TTTGTTTCGCTAGATAGGCTCATGCGGAAAAGATTTCGTTATACCCGAAAATTTTACATCTCCGGGATCCTGGAGCGAAGCAGAAGACCCAGTTAAGTAGTATGCAGTCTCCACAACACATCCTCATAGGAACTACGACAATCAGGGCATAGTCACCCGGGATTCCTGCGTTCCATGCATGCACCAAGGGGCGCATTTTGCGGTAGAAACCCGCCACTGCGCCCGCGTCCAAGGAACATCCATCGCCTCCGGTCGAGATTCAACACGACCCCGGTGGCTGGCTAGCTAGTCGGATTGGGCACTTGCGGCATGAAGCAGACATCTGAACCTAACGGACACTAGAAATGCATACCCCAACGAGGCCTATTGCCCATGCGGCGTCGGTGTGTGGCCGTCCACGGACTCGTGCTAATACCAGAGGCAATAACGGATGTCGCAGGCTAGGAGAGTCCTACTATCCATGGAGGACTCAAACTCAAAGAACCTACATCGGTGGACGCGAAAGTATTTGGCAAAGCTTCGAGGCGGAATGGCGCCCTTATCGCACAGCCAGATGAGACGAGACCCCAAGGCGGCCTCTCTCATAAAATATAATTCGGCCATATTATACTGACTGGTATAAACGGTGTCCTTGACACCTTTGCTTCCTTCGCTGGTCAGGGTCTGGTGCGAAGCACTGACAGTCATTTAAAAAATGGATGCACAGATTTCAGGCGCGGGCTAAGGCGATATTGTGCATCAGCACGCGGGGCAAGATAAAGGGCCATTTGGAATCAGTGTCCTGCCGGTGCGTCTTTCTGAAGCTGAGTCAAGTCATGCGGTGTCTTCGGGTGTGGTAACGGCGACATTGCCTACAATGGCACGTGAAAATTCGGCTTTCCGAATCTATACAGCACTCATCACCGTCACCGTCACGGTTGCTAGTTGGGTGGAAAATCAACCACTGCGATCGTCGCTAGTAAAGCCTATGGAGATAAGGGCGCCGACATTGGAAACAGGGCAGAAAGAAGCTAGGCTCCGGATCAATATATCTACTCCAATCTATCTTTCCGTGCTGATGTTGCCGATGCAGATGGTTAAGCCAGGCAACAGGGACCTACAAGATGTGACTAACCAAGGTCTTGCCATCCCTAGCGCGCCACACTATAGGGAAGCTTTGCGAGCTCATCGATCTGGATGTGGGCTTTTCCGCCGCTGCTTGTCTATCGCTATCCGATATTGAAAAGGTGAGGTAGATCATCCGGAGAGCAAAAGTGGAGACTCATTTCTGGAACTATGCGTCGGTGATAGCCTTCAAAAACTGCCATAAGGGTGCAAGTGCCAAGACAACTCACGTATTACCCCCAACAATCACCCCTTCAGATACTGGTTTCCAAGCCGTCATCGAAACCTACGCTGGCCGCCTTTCTTTTCTTGGAAAATACTCGAGGGGCCCACGTCGTCTCGCCCTGGATCAACGGATGCAAGCCCCGGGAATAGAAGCCAGAGACGTTGAAGAGGCCATTATAACAGATGCAGAAAAGGAATAGGACGAGGAGAACACACATGGAAGGTGGCTCTAGGTAGTCGAGCGACACGCTCATAACAAAGACTCTGCAAAACTCCTGGCCGCGGGCGGGAAGGCCTCGCCGTCGCAGAAGGACTGGGCGATAATCCTCAATATTAGTGATAACCCTGCGTTTGACCAGGGAATCCCCTAACAGTCTAAGAATGCGCGGGCCTCTCGGAAATTGCACAAGCAGTTGACGCGAGTCCGGACTGTCCCAATTTTCTTATCTGTTGTCGTTGTCTTGGAACTAGCAAGACGACCAGCAACTAAGGATGTCGTCTCCACGGAGGATTCTGGATCAACCAGACTCTATCCAGGATTTTACTATCGTCTTGGCTTGAGGACTAAGAAGCCTACGGTATATTTGATGTCTGGATCGCTGAAAGCTCGGCAGAGGATGATGTGGGGCTTTTCCGGATGTTAGCCCTAACTCGGGGTCCGAGTCTGCGCTCCGTTCAGGCATGTCTTTTTTGAGACAAGAATCAACCAACACTGGATAAAAGTAGCGCTGATGGGATGTACCTCGGCAATATTATATCCCTCATTAATTCAATAACTCAGAGGAAAAGAGAGCTATGCAACCAGGGCGAGGTTCAACTTCCCTTGTGCGCGTTCAGGCACTCAACCGTCAAAACAAACTTAAAGGCTTGACCGTTAAGAAGAAGACATCTTACTAGGTCGTGTAGAATATCCCATTAATGAGCCATAAGCCTACACAGCGTCATAAGCTATCCAGCACCCTTTGGCTCTAAGCTCGTCTACCACGTCACCGACCGTCCTGAACACGAATACCATTGGTCGGATGCGGTTATTAAAGACTACAAAGGATACCCAGCCACGCAACGCGACGCTTCGTCGCATGGCAGCAGAGGCGGATTCCTAGAGGCATGAACGCATATTACAGCACAGAGAAACTCACTATCTTGGTCCTGTGAAGCTCGTTACTGGTCAGCTAAATGCGCACGACGCAAAATATGGATCCGCGCCTCTAGCATGTTGCCAAGACTCATTTACTCTAAGGTATTTATTTTACAGTCCCTCTTCGACTATCCTGAACGTCACTATTTGTCTATTAGGCACAATGTTAGCGTTTTTACAATCTAAATTGCTAACGCACTTAAAAGGTACTTCTCTACTACTGGTTTCCCGGTCTAGGTACACAACATTTTGGGAATCGCCTGAACTGATTTGCAAAGGCCTAAAGCCCTCGGCCTCTTGGTCGGGGCCTTTGGGTCCAGTATGCTCTCACCCAGCTTCGCCTCCCCGGAGGCGATATCCTGCCAGGCTATCTGGGACCTTGTCGAAAATGACCTGACCGTGCCTATGTGGGTTTCTCTGACAGGAATAACCGTCCCTTGCACCCCCTACCCTACCATAATGCACAGACTAAGTAAGCTGACGAACTTGGTTCCTGACGTTCGCGGGCGACCCATGCCTCTTGTGACTAGAGGTGGGTAGAGCTAGACCCTGGCCAAGAGGCGTTGAAGCTAGGGCTCGCATCGCCAAGAATCTACTAGGTAGAGTCATAGGGTCAGCCACCATCTCATGCCTTCGGGGCTGTCGATGGAAAGATCAATGTAAGTGAATACATCTCAGATCCCCCTGACGGACGGATGCAAGCGGCGGATGCCAAAATCCAAGTGCAGATGACGTGTCCGAATAATAAATTTATTTACATTTGCACAAGACATGTTACCTTTCCTACATGCAGAGAAAGGTGGTCTGAGGAAGCCAACACCTGTCCATGACCCGACTTACGCCAACTCGCGCTTCCCCGCGGCGGCGTCCACGCACCTACCGCTCCCATTCAAACGGCTACACCAATGCGAAACGGCCTACTTATTACCAGTGCTACCGATATATCTCCATACCATTAGAGGGGTACATGATCCGACCCTTGGGGACAACTACAATTGACGAACGCCTTTTATCAACCAATGTCCTTGGCTGTTGCGCGGCCTGGTCACATTCTGGACTACACTTTAGAATTAGCCAAAGGAACGGCATGCGGTGGAATCAAAGAATAGAAAAAAAAAAAAGAAAAGAGGATGAAAATTCCCACGGCTCTTCTAGTGGATAACGAATGTTTTTTCCACGGCTTAGGCTTGGGGGAACTTAGGGCTAGAATCACGGCAGATCCACCAGGATCCGGAAACGCGTTTCTTTACCATAGCTGACTTGAGAGATTTATATTCACCATATACGTACGTAGGGTAGAAACACCTACCAGTATATTATTGTCGAATAAATAAATCAGAAAAATGGACTTCGTACTTTGTTCATCCTGATATCTATATTGTCTGCGCCCAAGGTTAATGGAACAACAATAAATATACTACATAAAGCTCAACTACGCCAGGTTCCTAGGCTGAGTCAGAGTGGTATGGAGGTCATATGAAGTGGCAGGCTTATACTTGTTACTGTTCCATTCGGTTCTTTTCCACATTGTGCATCCATCTCTTGCTGCGAGGCTGAGGCTTGTTGAAACCAATCTAAATAACACGCATATAGTAGAGGAGAGGTCACGGCTTCAGACAGTTTAGCCTTTGAATAGGCTGGTAACTGGGTAACTTATGAGCAGCCACACCTCGGCCATATCAAACGGCTCCTCCGAAGAGAGCATAGTGGAGTTACCAAGCGAATCCTCGCTTACGTCGAGCTGCTTGTCTTCCACCGTAGCAGCGAGACAGTACTTTTCGGCTCAGAGGGCAACAAGGTGGCCTCTTACCTCAACCGTCGACGAATCTGGGCTTTTCTCTCGGGTGGCGAGAATTCAGACGTATATCACTGCCCGCATGGTCGGAGGTTATTCGCTCGTGCATCCTACTACCTACTCATGACTGTTTTAGACATTAGTCCAGCGCTGCCGGAGCCCTGTCAAGATGCGTACAGCTCTCAAATTCAAGGAGAATTTAGTGGTTCGGTCAGCTCCTGGCTTGGCAGCCTCCGTATCCTCATGGCGCACGACAAGCGGATTTTTGAATACTCATACGATGCAGAGGAGTTTCGGGGACCTGCAGTTATAGAAGAGGAAGTCAAAGGGCTGACCATGCAGAATGTATCCATTACATTCCAGAAGGAACCAGATACATCTGAAGGCCACATGCCAGAAATCGTCACGGTCGCGTACGAAATGGGCGGGCCTAAGATTCTGACGTCTTTCTGGACGAAAGACACGGGTCTTTGCATGGGCGGCGAGCCTATCCTTGAATAATTTATCTTGGACCTCTCGCTCGCTAGACAGCAGACTGGCCTATGGGCCCACCAAGGGATATCAATATGGTTCGTTTGCAGTTAAGGTTCCTCCAAGTCTCCTATTCAATTTCAGGAAATTGTTGGTATCTTCTTTTCTAGCAGACTCATCTATTTATCGCATGTACAGCCATCGTATACTCCCTCTTCTCGAAGCTGAGTTCTGAAATAGCCTGGTATATCCCGGGCATCCGTCCCGTCAGCCTTGAACCAGCATCGTCTCTGGAGGCCCAAGATAACTCCCCGCAACCGACTCACTACCATCAAGCCCAAGAACAATCTTCTCGAGATACACCTCGGGAGAATTCACTCTCCATACCAGTGTATGTGGACCAGCCGCAACACTTCCCAGATCAACCTCCCGCGTCCACACCGAGTTCAGGACTTCACCCGTCCACGACTCAGGCAAGTCACCAGCTGTTTTGGGCTCCGCGAGGAGGCGGGTGAAGTTTGCGTTCCCGGCTGTGTCTTGGGATTTGATGCTTAGAGAGTATTGCATTGCGAGTTCAGGGTCTGTGTCGAGGTTTTGAGTTATGTAGATTGTGGCGTGGAGATTGTCGGCCCGGTTGAAGAGGTAGATGTTGTATTCAAGTGATGCGGATTGTGCTGAGGCTGTGGACATTCTTGCGACGGTGTATGGTCTTGAAGCAACGGTACCAGAGTTCGTGCGCGTGCCGAGGTAGGGCTGGGTTTCGAAGTGGATTGTGTCTATATCTGCATCTGGGCCTGTTGCATTGTTCGCGCGCTGAAAGTGTGCGGCCTCAATGGAGATGTAGCCTGCTGTCTCCGGGAACCCGTGGAAATCTGCTGGAAGGGCTGGTTTGTTCTGCACGGGAATGAGCAAGTTATCGTATCTGGGTAGTGTGTCGTAGTGTACGCCGATAGGTACAGTCTCGTTGAAGTCACTCGGTACCTTGGCCCAGTCAATCGAGACCTGCAGCCGCTGATCTGAGTTATCCCGTGTCAGACGACCTTCGCTAGGCGAGATCTCGATCCAGTCATATGGTATTTCGAGTCTAAACTGAATAGGTTTTCGATGATCGCCCCGATGAAACAGCTCCACAGTGCGATACTCTGGTCCGTACGGATCCATAACCGGCAGAGTCGCTGCCCACGAGCCCTGAGTTGGCATAGACGGATCGCACGACTCGCACCAGAACGATTGCCTATTCGCACTCTTTGATCCCTCGGCGTAGATCCCAAGGTTTCCCAGCGCGTACACAAAATCCTGGCGCGGCTGCACGAACGAGAGGTTTTGAATGATGTCGCGCGTTGGCGACATCCATGTCTCACGCTGCCAGTCCTCGAGCTTGGGCTGGTCGAGGATCCCGTCCCATTTGCCGTCCAGCATGCTGGTGTATTCCTCAAGGAGATCAGCGTCGGCCTCGGAGTCTGCCAGGATCTGTTGCGCGATGGCGTTTGCGGTGTTGCGGCGTTGGTTAGCGTAGTGCTGGTTCGTGGATTGGCGGAGAATGATGCGATGGAGGAGGAGGCTTGCTTGAATGGGATACTGGACGAGGTGGAAGTATGCGGCGCGGGATTTGGGAGGTAGCGAGTTGCGCACTTGGAGGACTCGGAAAGCCAGGTCTTCCCATTCGTGGAGAACACGCTCGAGCTCGTTGTAGTTGAAGAATGAATAGGTTTGTGGTGTGGTCGACTCGTGCTTGCGGCGGCCGATGAGTCGACTATGTTCCAGCAGGATGGAACCTATTTCTTCGCTGAGATTCCCAGCGCCAAACTCTCGCGAGGAGACTGCTTTGAGATAGTCTGGAATTGTGGTGAATGTAATCCGGGACGAATTCCAGGCAATGTCCAACCCAAATGCAAGAGGCAGCTCCATCGGCTTAATATCCGCGACGTTGAAGACCCAGATCCGGTCTGCACCGCGTTCGAGTGCTTGGTAGAGTTCTTTGTATACCTTGGCCTAGTTTCGTCAGTCTCAACCCTATCGCCTTGCGCAGAATGAGCTAGAACACATACCAGGTTATTGGTGTTCTGCCACTTGTAGCTTTTTGGCCGTCCGACATACTCGAAATGATAGTAGAGCTGTCGATATTAGCTTCCCATAATGGAGTGAATGATGCCTGCGAACGTACGCCAATACCACCGGGTCTCGCAGCCTCCTCGGCAGTCGGAAGCCGCATAATATTCCCAAAATTATCGTCCGTAAACATGAGAGTCACGTCTTCGGGTGGAACCAAGCCCCCAGCATAGTACGTTGCGACCTCCTTGTAAATAGTCCAGACCTCTGTAGCCATTAGTATTACCCAAGTTGGTATCCAATTGAGTAGACGTACGGTTGACAGCCGATATGTCCTCGTGGTAATGAGCGAGAATACTCCTCTGCGTCTCGATAACCTCCCTCAGCATGTCAATCGGATCCTCCCCGGTAATCGCCCCGTCGCCTGCTCCACGCATACCAAGCGTAAAGTAGCTTTCATTCATCCCAGCCCTTCGAACGCCCTCCTCCATGAATCTGGTAACATTCCCCTTGTTCGACGTCCAATCCCATTCACCTACTTCAGAGGAGTTCCATTCATTCGTTGCACGCTGCATGGGCTCATGATGGCTGGTCGAGACGACAATTCCGTAGTCGTCCGCCAGCTGCTGGTTGTGGATATCATCCGTGAAGAAAGTATTTCCAGGCCGTGGCACGTACGAAGCCCACATGGCCGGCCAGATGAAATTCCCTTTGAGGCGCAAGATCAGATCGAACACGTGGCGGTAGAACTCAGTGTCGAGTGGGTAGTGGTCCACGCCATGTTTCTTGGACCACCAGCCTGTCAGCGTCGGGGCCTCGTCGTTTATGAATAGACCACGATATTTTACGCAGGGCGCGCCGTGGGTCGTTGTCACTGGGAGCGCGTAGATGGCGTCGTGCTGAGTAGTCGGGACGTCAGCCCACCAATGGTACCTGTCTCATGTTATAAGTCCTGTTGGCCAGAAGGAGAGAATAGGTGTGTAGAACTAACGGGGACTGGCCACACTGCTCTGCAAGCGTATACAGCCCGTAGACAACAGCCCTCTTGTCACTCCCGGCGATGACGAGAGCATCTTTCCCTGGCTGGTAATCCCTAACAACTGTAGTGCGAAAAGTCTCCCATTCCCCTCTTATGTCAGAAACATTCACAAGTCCCCTCTCTTCCAAGCCACGGATCAAAGAAGAGTCGGCTGTTGCAGCAATGATCGCAGTCTCCAGAGCGCTGGAGGTGAATACATCACTTGCATTCGTCGCGATGCGGCGAGGCAGCCTTCCTATAATCTTTTCAAAATCCTCTGCAACGCTTCTGGCAGCGATGGCGATCGCAACCGGGTCGGAAGCGTCGTGAACGATGGCAGCATTGTGGATGGGGATTGCATCGCGCTGCGGAGTAAATGTGACGATTTTCTGCTCCAGGAGGGCAAGACAGCCCACCAAGAGGAAGAACCAGACAATAATAGACGAGGTGATCATTTTCAGCTCTGGAGATGTTTTCGCGGACCTGGTACGGGTGTCCTTTGGAGATAACCCTTTAATACTGCTAACTGACCAGCCTCCAAGTAGATCCGGGGACAAGACCTGCAACGGATTTCGAGTTCCATCAATCATGGCTCACAATTAAAGACACCATGTAACCCAGAAACTCGTCTGCATCCAGGATAGGTTCGATTGGCTAAATTAGTCGGAACAAAGAAATCAGGGTCCACGAATGCGGAGGAATTGCTCCGGGATGCGGGGGATCTGCGTGTGTCGATCGGGAGGAAGAACACCGAGAGCAGGTGGCATGTTCGAAGGTTGCTATGAGCTCACGTCCAACGGCATGGATGAAAAGACAAATCACTGTGGGGTTCTGCTGAGACTATACACTCAAAGATGGTCCCGAGTAATGGATGGGTGTAGAGTTGTTGACCCTTGTTGAACACTGGAACAAACAAAGCCCCAGGCGCCCCTCGCTCCTTCGCCAAGTATTCTTTCTATCCATTTCTTTGCTACGCATTTCAAACCTCGTACCCTTCCACGCCAGTGATCCTAATGACCAACCAATAGACCAATCAACCCGTCTTCGCTTCCCACTCCCTGCGAACAAACCTCGCCCTCTCCCCACCAGGACTCGCATTTAGCGCAGTCGGATCCTTAATCCCCTTGATAGCATCCCACTCATCCTCACTCGCGCCCTCCGACGGATGAATCTCAAAATTCGCGATCGTATGATACAACACCGTATACACTAACCGCGTAGCGAGATGCATGGCGACACACATACGCGATCCGTATCCGAAGGCGAACTGGTGTGCGTGCTTTGTTGACTCGTCGAGCCAGCGCTCGGGGGTGAACGTCCAGGGGTCGGCGAAGAGGGTGGGGTCTGCAGATTTGATTAGAGTCGTCAGGGGTTGGAATCGAACGGGAAAGAAGGACATACCGTGATTACAAGCCCAAGCGTTCAGGAACACTATCGTCCCACTCGGGATCGTGATGTCCTTGTATACAACCGGTGCAGTTGTCTCTCTGGGCATAGCTAATGGCAATGGAGTATAGAACCGGAGCACCTCCTTGACAAGCGCAAGAATATATTCCACGTCCTGCGTCACCTCAGGATTATAATCCCCGACCGTCCTCTTGAATTCCTCAAACGCTCTCACTTGAATATCCTGCCGATGCGCAAGGAGCAGGAACGCCCATCCAATCGTGGGCTTACTGCTATCCGAGCCTGCCATCATACTGAAACTAATACTCAGAAGCTCATTGTTGGACAGTCCGACCGCTTCAGGGTCGCGAAGGACGTTTCCCTGGATGCAGGGCACGTCGGCATCACGATCAACGGCGTCCTGCAGTCGGCGAAGGAGCTCATGATTATACGCAATACGTCTATTGCCAACCTGTGCCGCGCGTGCCGCGGACTTGCGCCAGAAGACTGGTTCAAGAAAGCGCAAGAGAGGGATGTAGTTGGCCAAGTTGCGGGATGTGGAGCGCAACTTGGAGATTTCGTTTTCGACAGCGACGACTTCGGCGTAGAATGCGTCCTCTTGGAGGTCAGTGGTTTTGGCTATCCTCATCCCGTAGTTGAGCGTCATGACCGTATTTAGAGACAGCCGGTGCACGGCGGCTGAGAAGTTTGCATCCCTCGTGCCCCCGGCGGATTCTGCCCTTAGAGCCGAGATGAAGTCGGCCGTTTCCTTCAATATCATCTAATCTTACGTATTAGCTAACACCATCTTCCGGTACTCAATATGGGAGCATCAAAACTCACCGGCTCGTAGCTAGCAACCTTCGGCCTATTCAACGCGGCCGCCGCAACCTTGCGTCTAGCCTTGCAACTCTCATTCCACGGGCTTGTGCCAATACTAGCAACATTCTTGCTCACCGTCTTGTGGAAGACGTGAAACAGCGGTCTCGAGATAGTTGCCGAGCTCTGGTTCAAGAGTAGTGTCTTGGCTTCTTCGGCGCCGTTGACAATGACGATAGGGGTGTTGCCCAGTCGCACTTGGTAGACGGGGCCGTAGGTCAGAGACCATTGGCGATACTTCTCAGCAGAGAAAGCTTTGTTTATCTGTGTGGGAGAATTAGATGCAGACACCCAAGTGGAAGCGAAGAAGGCAAGGGTTTACCTCTCGTAAACTGCCGATTAACGGTAGGCCGCGGGGTCCTTTGAGGCCGCTAAGGCGATTCTTGTACCGGACAATCTCATTGAAAATGAAGTAAAGTGTCAAAATTGCCACCGCGAGGCCCAGGGCCTTGAGAGTTAGAGAAAAGAGCGGGAACATTATGACGACCTCCTGTCAGTGTCTGGGTCATCCACGCAAAGCTGATAGATATAGAGGTATCGAATCGACCACACACTTTGTCGTTGATAAGCGAATCGATAAGCCTACGGTGTGCTTAGTGGTTACTGGAGGCCGTGGTGAATGTCATCAGTACTTACTCCAATGGTGAGATTTGGAACACCGAGTCCCCGGCCTGCGCCATCGATGTGGGCTCTCGCGTGACGGGCAATCATTGGTCGGTTTTATTGTATACTCGACGCGCTCGGTTTAAAATGTCACCAAAGCCTGATACTTGATGGATGCAACCATTATTATCTTCGTTGAGCTCAAGAGTTAGTCATGGAGACCAAACTCCCAGACGCTGAAAGCAACGCCGTGTCGGCGGGCTCGCGCAATGATGAAATTGACCCTGCCATTGAGAAGTCGCTTGTTCGGCGGCTGGATCTTGTTCTTCTTCCAACGTTAGGTGCGAGTCCCCTGTATCATTATCAAAAACACCAAACCCTAACACACTGGCGCAGCGCTGCTATACCTGACCCACACCCTTGACCGCGCGAACCTGGGTAATGCGAAGACCGCAACTCTGGACGCGGACCTCAACCTCGTTGGGAACCAATACAGCCAAGTTCTCATCTTCTTCTACGTGCCGTACAGCATCTTCAACATTCCGGCGACAGTTCTCGCTAACCGGTTCAACCCCTCAGTGGTCTTGCCCTTGCTAGCCATTGGATGGGGTGGTCTCGCAATGATCACGACGGCTGTTAAGAATTTTGAAGGGCTGTTGGCTTGTCGATTGATTCTAGGTATGATGGAGGCGGGCTTCATGCCATGTGCGGTGTTTTATTGCTCGCTGTTCTATACCCGGAAAGAGCTGGCCTTCAGGCTGAGCTTTTTCTATATTATGGGTTTTATCGCGGTATGCACTCGTCAAAATAAAAAGGATGGGCCAAGAAAGCTGACTTGTCAAGGGTGCGATCGGTGGCTTGATCGCATATCGAGCGTTCCAGTGGGATGGACCACTAAGGGTAAGTTCAAGTTCAGATGTCCGATCCGCTTTCCGTCAGGATAAGAGGACTAACGAATATCAGGGCTGGCAATACCTTTTCCTAATTGAGGGAGCAATGGGCGTAAGCGTCGGCGCCTGGGCACTCTTCTGGCTTCCACGCGATGTGTCGAGCTCGCGATTCTTCACAGAAGCCCACAAGCACTGTGCTTCACAGCGCATGGCATACGAGAAGGCAGAAGTGTCCTGGATTAAGGGCATGCAAGTGTTGCGCGACTGGAAAGTCTGGGCTCTTGCGAGTGCTGTCTTTCTTTGCGGGGTTGGAAGTGCGAGTAGTTCAAATTTCTTGCCAGTACGTGCCCTGCCCTTATTCGTAAAGGCTTGTAGTGGACTTTAACCGACATGTTGCTGATTTGCTGACAACGAATATCAGGTCATGATCAAAAGACTAACGAAAGATACTGTTCGCGCGAATCTGCTAACAATTGGGCCCAACCTCGTCGCAGCTGCGACCATGATGACAGTCTCCTGGTTCTCAGATCGCACACAGCAACGTGCGTACTTTGCCATCGGCCCGATTGCGATCGCGCTGGTAGGCTGGGTGCTCCTCGCTTCCCTGAACCTGATCCACAGGACCGAGTTGGGCTACTTCTTCACCTATTTGACCACAGGTGGAACTTTCATCCCGCTTCTTCTCATCCCTGCTTGGGTAGGCGCGAATACGCGGTCGACATCTGAGAGAGCGGTTGCGCTAGGGTTGCTCTCAATGTTTCAGAACCTCGGCGGAATCGTGTCAAGTGGTGTGTACCGGGCGCAGGACGCGCCAATTTATCGCCCTGCGCTCTTGACGGTTTCCGGGTGCTTGGGAGGGTTCTTGGTTATCACTGTTGTTATGCGTTTTGTGTATGCGAAATTGAATCGGGAGTTGAGGCAAGGGCTGCAGGAGGGGCCAAAGGGTTTGGAACCCGGGGCGAGGTATATGGTTTAGACAGCTTAGTTCCTGTATTTTTGTGAAATTGCGTGTAGGAACGTGTGGATGAATTGAGATAAGCCGCGAGTTGGAGATTGGTGCCATTTGATCATTTCTCGGGAGATGGCGTGATAACTGCCCGCATCCGTCTCCAACTGCTTCGCATTCCTTCATGTATCTGGATAACGCAGTTCTTGAAATGCCGTCCTCGGTCATCCAAAAACGAACAGCAAGACCGGCTCCGCTGGCATGCACAGAGTGTCGACTCCGACACCTCAAATGTGATGGCAGGCAACCGCACTGCGCACGATGCCAAAACGCGAATTTGGTATGCCAGTACCTGAAGTCCCGGCGCGGCGGAAAGAGGAAAAGGCCGCTCAGTGAGCGCCAGACTGATAGCTATCCGGCGGTGCTGCATAGTAATTTGGAGGCCGCAAGAAGCCCTCGCGAAGAGCCGATATTGGGGTCTCAGTCTAGCTCGAGTTCAGTTGGGACGCACGAGGAAGCTGTTGCGGATTTGCCCCAAGGGGTCGACCTTGTGCCAGAGACTTTGCTCAAACTATACTATGAGAACTTTCATAGAGCACATTCGATCCTGGTCCCAGAAGACCTGTTTCATCAACGACGATATCCCAAATTCCTCGGCTCAGTTGTTGCCCTTATCGGGGGACTGTATTCCTCCAGTTTTGACCCGACAGTGCGCACAATCGCAACTGAGCAAATGACCGTTCTCGACGAAAGGACTATATGCGCAGTCCAGGCACGGCTTCTCTATGCGATCGCCGTATGCGGGGAGGGAAGTATAGAAGAAGCACGCGCCCATTTCATCATAGCCCGAGACATGGCGATCGAGCTGCATATGAACAGAGACGACTCCCTGGACCGATCACTCGGCGACACCGAACTCGAAAGCGAACGCCGAACATGGTGGGAGCTCTACATCCTCGACGGCTATATGACCGGGATCTGGCCAAGCCTTGGGTTTATCACAAGCGTACTCGCCTGCGACGTCCCTGTTCCCCTTGATGGACCGTACGCAAACATTCTAGGAGGGACGGATCAATTTTCGCCGGACATCCTCCTCTCAGAAGACGACGACCGCTCTCTATCCCCATGGTGGCACCGCATCCACGCCGCAACTCTTCTGACCAAGGTCGTTCTTCTTCCAGACCAGGATAAAGCGCAAGCTGCCATGGCTGCCCTCGCAACCTGGCGTCTCTCACTACCACCCGAGAAGGCGCAGTTTATGGACCCATTCGGGCGCGTCAATGCGCCTCTTTTCCACGCGGAGGTACTTGCTCAAACAGCCGCGTTGATGTTGCACTTCCCTCGCAGCGATCTGCATCCCGATTTCGACCAGTCGATGCAAACAGCGAAGACACTTCTCGCCCCAGCAGGAACAATAATTCCCATTCGCACTTGTACGCGCAAAGTACACGGCATCAAGGCAACGGAGGCATCAAAAGAGATATGTAACCTGTTCTCGATATACCCATCAATGGAAAGTTGCTCGCCGTTGGTTGTTCCCTGTTTGGCCGCTTGTGCACTCGTCCAGCTTGCGACGTATCGCTCACATATCAGAAACGGTGGGGATTGCCGCGAGTTGCATCGCGATCGCCTAAGGCTCTTAGCCGGGTTATTAAGGTCTGCGGGGAAAGTGTGGGGGTTTGCCAGACGAGCATATGAAGAGATCAAAGGTGTGGCAGGGGAAGTATTCCGCGACCGACGCCCAGACGCTGAAGGTGAAGGCCCAGAGTCACGAACGGAAAGAGCGACTCGGGATCCACCGGCTGCTGAGGAAGGCGTAGGCTTCGTACCGGCCCTCGGCGGACTTGAGCCTGGCTTTCAAGACTTGGGACCGTGGCCGTGGATGCAAGAGGCATATCCTGTTGAGGCGTTGGTGGAATATCCACAGAGTACTAGCCAATATCCACTTTAGATGTAGTAGCCAACATCTGCTGCACCTTTGATTTGATGATTGTTCACCGGCGGAGAGTCTTCATAAGCACGCGGTCGCCGCGTGCGATCGCATAAGTCAACATTGCGAGGCCAGTCTTGAGAGTTTAAACTTTAGGCTCCACATGGAGATACTGGAGGGAGAGGGGACGAGGTCGATTGCGCTGCGGGGAACACCTCCAAGCCGAACGGCGACTCGGTGATCCAACTTGAACCTCCATTCTGAAACAACTTAACTCTCTTCTACACACTCAGATAAACGCGATGACCTCGACCTCAACTCTGGCCCCTTTGGGCAAGTTTCTAACCTCCACACAACTCCTAGAAGGCTTAACATCTCCGGGGAACCATCTTTCATACTCTGCATTAACCGCCGCAAAATCATTCATGTCGGTAAGGAAAACTGTAGTTTTGATGACATTTCCCAGATTAGTCCCGGCTTGCTTGAGAATCGCCGCGGCATTTGAGAGACAGACGGCGGTTTCCTCGCCGAATGTACCGCTTGTCAAGGTGCCATTGGCGTGAAGCGGGATTTGGCCCGAGACGTAGATGAGCCGGGCGCCGGGAGGAAGGATGGTGGCTTGCGACTAGCATTGTTAGAGTTCGCCACCGTGCTATATCGAAGGGAGACAACAACTTACGTAGGGGCCAAGCGCTGTGAGGGATTGTATCAATGATCATGATTGTGATTGAGGTACAGAGTAATGGATGGACTTACCGGCTGGTGCTTCAGAAGTGGATACCGGAGACGCCATGGGGAATGTTATTGCGTGACAAGGTAGAACGGTAACAAGGCGAAAGGATTATTGCTTCTCTGCGAGGGTTGGTCAAATCGACGAAGCAGCGTCGTGGAGATAAGTTCATGCTGAGAGAATGAGTCGCCGAGCATCGCGTTTGTTCGCCGACCGACGGGGTTTGCTCTAATCAGATTCTCGAGTCACAATCTTGACCCGGATCATGCTGATTTCAGGACCCGGCAGAAGATTATTTTTCTTTTGATCGTATCTCGCCTTTTCTGTGCAGTCTATCACCCTTTCAATATGGAGGCCCCAACAACCCAACACCACGACCGCCAGGTCGAGGAAAACCAAACCCCTACTGACGCTCAACTCGTTCCTGTTCGACGTCCACAAGATCACTCGCGAGTATCATGGCTTACGAAAATTGGGCTCGCTGCTGGTGCGGCTCTATCAATCGCCACTGGTAGTCTGTTCTCGCGCGACACAATTGAGCCCACGGACTACGCGGCGCGAACCCGCGACGTTCTCAGCAAGGTCCCACTTATCGACGGGCACAACGACTTGCCATATCTGATCCGAAATGAGCTGAAGTATCAGATCTATAATGATCGATTCACGTTTAATACAGGGCTTTTGAGTCAAACCGACCGTAAAAAATTGCGTGAGGGTTTGGTCGGTGGGCAGTTCTGGAGCGTGTACATCCATTGTCCGGATCCAAATGAGAAGCTGGAGTTGGATGACCCGACGGTTTGTTCCCTACTTCTCTCTTGATAGGCGATTCCTAATTCTGTGCAGTGGGTTGTCCGAGATACACTTGAACAAATCGACATAACGAAACGATTCGTCGCCGAGTACCCAGAGACGTTTCAGTACTGCGATAATTCGACTTGTGCCCGCGAAGCTTTCAATAATGGCAGGATTGGAAGCTATATCGGCATTGAAGGCGGGCATCAAGTCGGAAACTCACTTGCTGCGCTGCGGATGTTCTACGAGCTAGGAGCTCGGTATATCACGACGACACATAATTGCGATAATGTTTTCGCTACCGCAGCCAGCACAGTTGCTGCAGGGGGTGAAGACGCAGGTCTCACTCCGTTTGGCCGGCAATATATTGCCGAGATGAATCGACTCGGTATGATGATTGACCTGTCTCATGTGTCCCACCAGACAATGCGCGATATACTCGACATAACAAAAGCACCAATCATCTTCTCGCACTCGGGTGCTCACGGAATTTCAAAATCCCTTCGCTTCGCACCAGATGATGTTCTTCGCCGCACAGCCGAGAATGGTGGGATCATCATGATAACCTTCGTTATCCGCTTCCTGCGCCCCGACGATCCCTCTGCTGCAACAATCCACGACGTAGTGGATCACATCTGGCACGTTGCTCAGGTTGCCGGGTGGGATCATGTGGGTGTGGGCTCAGATTTCGATGGAACGCCTGCGACACCGGTTGGACTGGAAGACGTGTCGAAGTATCCCAGGCTAGTCGAGCTGCTTATGGAGAGAGGAGCGACGGATGAGCAAATCAAGAAGTTTGCGGGAGAAAACATACTCCGTGTATGGAAGGAGGTCGAGGATGTTGCAAGAAGGTTGCAAACTAAGGGAGCGAAGCCGAACGAGGCGTATTGGGATGGGAGGAAGTGGGTTAGGGATGAGATAAACATGCCCAGGATGTTCCGAGACTCGATTGGCAGGAGGGTACCTAGCTTTTCTGGCAAGCCATAGATGACTGGTTCAATCAGTAGCACGTTTGAGGAGATGCTCACAACGTACTCCGTAGGACAGCGATGGAAAGATATGATGTCTGCCATGGCAATTGACTCCTGACCCTCTGCCGCGTCAGAAAGTCGAGCCACTGCGGCCTCGGTGTCTTCATCTAGGTTTATCTGCCTGTTTTTGTCTTAGACCCGGGCCCAGATCCCTCGTCTTCTTCGAAAGATGAGGACGCGAACGAGGGTGGATGGGTTCGCCTAGCAGTTGCTCGAGTTGTTTCTGTACTTGGCCTGAAGTTAAACAAACTGTCAGCGGAGCACTGTGTAAGAATATAAAAAGGTTAGTTAATCACATTTCTTGAGTAAAGACAACTTGTCCAGAAGCACTGAATCGCTGTTGGACATGGTAGTCTCATGTGTTAAGAAGCGGGCTGATGTTCCCAACGCAACATTGAGAGACAAACGCGGGCTGCCAAAGCTTTGGAGGCTCAGTTGCGGACGCCAAGACCCTGAACCCGAATCCCGGTCCAATGATACCAAGACTTGAGTTCTACTTTGAAAATGGACCTGCCCCGAATGTTCAAAACGGCGGTAGGAGGACAACACTGCTCCGTGCAGCAAGAGAAAACATGAGAGGGTAACTCGAATTCTCCTGCAGGATAAAACAAATTCTATTACGCAGGCAATCTTTCTCTCTATCCCAGCTTCTGCTCCCACGTGAGCAAGTTCTGCTCTCGCCAGTTCGGGAACAAGCAGTGGACATATATCCTAATCGCGCCGGCACTCCGAGGCTCATCTCGCGTACGTATGTAGCTCTATGTAGACGTCATACAGTTAACGTATTGGCCTTGCTCCTGCCGGCGGGTGATCCACATGTCCATATTTCAAAGAATGAGAGCGGAGCTGATCCAAGCCCATGTAGGTGTTTGGTGCGTGGCCTCTGAGCGTGGCCGGTTTCCTCCCCACTCGGCACGATCCGTTTTCGCAGGTCGGGTTGGTCTCCACGCACGGATGGCCTCCTGGGTGGTATTAAGCCGTTTGAGAAGTTGTACTGGGTCAAGCACCGGTTGCTTGGGTTCGTTGACTTTGGAACTATAACGGTTCATTATTCAGCTGTTGGTCCGATTAGGAAGGGTGGGGAAATAGCAGGGCTATCCTTCGAAAGAGCCTTTAGAAGAGAGATGTTCTATTCGCGTGTACCTAATCGTAGAGTAGGTCTTGCATGCTATCATCTTCACAGCCTCGCTGAATTGCGAGGTCCAGAGGACGTATAAGGCCATCTTCCCCGAGACATTTCTCCTTAGGGTTTGCACCGTGGCTGAGAAGAAACCGCACGGTATCCACTCGATTGTTCTTTATCGCGTACCCTAGCGGAATATACCCACCGGTTGATGCGGAATTCAAATGTAGTCCCTTGGAAATCAAATCTTTGAGCTCGCCAATCAGGCCAGCTGAAGCAGCAGCAAGAGCAATTAATGGCATGGTTGCTTCGTATTCTGGAGCGCGCGAATAATCCATAGCGGCCAAGTCAAGCGCGACAATTTCAGGACGTCCAATTGTAGCGGCACGGTTGAGAGTAAGCCTGAGGGGTGTCGCGCCTCGGTTGAGTAAACAGCGTACAATCTCCTCATACCCAGAACAGACCGCGGTGGTAAGAGGGCCAGATCCCAGACGAGTCCGGGTAGTAAAGTCTGCACCAATTTCGAGTAAAAACTTCACAACCTCCGTTCTTCCCGCCCTTGCAGCCAAATGCAGGGGCGTGGCCGCCCATTCAAAATCCGTCACGTTGATGTCTGCACCCGCATCGACTAAGGTTTGTAGCACTGCTAGATGGCCGTGGAGTGCGGCCACTCCCAATGCCGTTCTTCCCAGAAGATCCCGAGACTCGAGGCTTGGGCCGTGACGAAGCAGCAGCTGAACAACGGATAGATGGTCAGCAGCGGCAGCCTCACTTAACGCCGTCCTGTCCCCACGGCCCTCGAGGTCGACGCTAGCGCCGTGGCGGAGAACTAGCTGTACAACCGAAATATGGCCGCTCTTCGCTGCAAGCGTTAATGGCGTTCCACCGATGGCCTCCCATATGACCTTGCTTCGGCTGTTTGTTCACTCATCTAGGTCTACACCGTGCTTGCAGAGGAGAGCAACGATGTTCTCGTGGCCGTAATAGGCAGCCGTAGAAAGCGCGCCGTGGGGCGGCTTTGCACCCGGTTTTAAAGCGCATAGGGCTTTAGATGCTGTGGCTTCTATACCGTGCTTGGCTGTCCAGTTAAGGGCGTAGCTTCCCTGTGACTTGGCGTCCAGTTTGTAAAGAAGGGCGTTTAGGTGGTAGAACTCGCTAGCGCATCGCAATAGCACGTAGACTTCACTCGGGTAATCCAGATACTCGGCAATAATGAGGACGAGCTCGTTGGGAAGGGTGGAAAGATGGGGAGGCATCTTCGTTTCAGCGGAGGTTTAGGACGGAGCAACAGACGCGGAAGGTTCTCGTGGACGGTGCGGAACACTGTAAAAGTTCAATAGAATATAAGGCAACGCTTCGGACGAACGAGAGATGTGAAATAGAATAAAAGAGAGTATGAGTGATAACATGGCGAACGAAGAACGAAGGAAGTGAATGATAAGAGGAGAAACGAAGGAGAGGGAGGTTTTAGGCTCGGAGTGGAAGGAAAGATGCTTCCCATTCTTTTTGGTCTGCCTCTGGCCCTGCCCGGGCTGCCTTAGACCAACTGAGCTTGAAGAGGACTAAGAACATCCAGAAAGCTCTATGTCGGAGCAGATATATTAGAACATAATTCAATACTTGTCTTACACTCATTTAATTAGACCACGAAGAGCGAGTAGGAGGTCGCAATCACGAAGAGATATAACAACACTTACAATGCATATTCTACCATATACCTAAGCTAGAAGGCACCTAATAAGCATACTCCGCCCTAACAGTATCATATCTCTTCCCCTGGCAGAAGAGGACATACGTCGTCTCGGCAGATGTGTACGTCGCCTCAATAACACCATCAATATCATACCAGTTCTTCCCATCGTGGCACTTTCTCACTGTCTTATCCAAATCCGACTGCGGAATGCCCGAGAGGTTCGCCTTGAGCGTGACGAGTGTCTTGGTGCTATTGGCCTTGTGCACCGGGGCGTCAGTGAGCTCCGGATCTGCCCAGATATCCATATACAGCATCTGTGGCTTTCCGTTGCTGACTAGGAAGTCTTGGTGGAAGTCGATTGGTATTGGTTTGTTCTCTTCGATGGTTGAACCTTTGGTTACGAACCAGATCATTTCGGGAGCGCGGTGGAAGCCAGAGCGGGCACAGTAATATCTATGGTACCTTGTTAGCTTCATATTCTGCGAGACAGGGAAGGAGATATGGCCCATACTTCTGGGACGCATCGTGCTTGGCTGCGTTGAAGGGACAGTGTAGCTCAACGCCGTAGTGTTTCCTCGCCTTTCGCGATACGACATCCACTGATCTCAATGCCTTGGTCTGACTCAAACCCATCATCACCGCACCGCGCACAACAGCCGTCCATGCGTTCGGGGGCTGCAGCACCTCCACGCTCTTGATCGCATCCCTCATCCTCTCCTTCAAGTAACTATTTTGTCCGAATCCTCCGACCAAGAGCACCGCCTTGATAGTCACCTCGTTATCACATGCCGCAATCTGATCCTGCACGTACCGGATAACCTTGAGAATGACGGGCTCAAAAATAAAGTGCATCTCCTCCGGTGTAACGGTCACTTTTCCTCGTCTCACATTGAGATGTGGGTTATTCGCTAGCCCAGGCACCGGAATGACGTAGCCCTGATTCCCGTCAAGGGTGGGCGAGTATTGTTTCTTGATGACAGAATCGAACCGCTCCATGGCTTCGGGCAGGACTTCGTCGTCCCATCCTTCTTCGCGGCCGAGCTTCCGCGTGAGGAAATCGGCAAAGCGTCGGTTCAGGAATGTTGAGCCGCAGGGGCCACCGGTGCCTGTTGTAACTTCCTTCACCTGTAGAATCGGAGTGAGTGCCGTGATAGTGTAGGAGATCAGATCAACTGTTCCACCACCGGCGTCGCAAAGAACGAAGGAGTCGCCAACCTCGAGGCCGTGCGGATCGAGGCCATGTAGGGCATAGATTGCTGCTGCTTCCTGTTTGTTGACGTCAATAGTTAGCAAACCAAAACCTAGGCATAATGGAAGTACTCAAAGAACGGATGAAATACCGGCTCCGAGCAAAGGGAAATGGGCTCGTCGCTCTTAAATCCAGCCTTCTGGCACGCTTTCAATGTCTTATCCTTCGCGGCCTCAGTCCAGATAGCCGGCACGGTGAGAGAAAACTGTAGCGGGATGGTGCGCAGGAGTGCAGCGCCAAGCTTCTGCTCTAACGTGTACATGATGTGCTTGTATAGCTCTGTCAGATAGTCCTGTGTCAGCCGCTCTGGAGTCTTTTCGCCCCAACTTTTGTTTGCGACGAGCGGATTGCTTTCATCAAGGCCGCTGCACCCTTTTAGCTATCATCCGTCAGAAAATCATGAGCAGTGGGCGTACAGCTTAAACCACTGATACCGGTCGACCAGCGCGGGGACCTGGAATCCCCACTCAATATTCTCTGTTCCATTTGATGTGGTATATCGCAACTCGGTGGGCACTTTGACGCTGCTCATGCCTTCATGTGTTCCGACGTGGGCGGGCCATGATTCGATGACGGAGATGTGATCGGGCTGGACAAGTTCATCATTTAGCACCCGGATACTGACAGACAGGGGGGACATAAGGAGGTCTCACTCGTCTCGTTTCAGCCCATGCGACACCAGTAAACGTTGTTCCAAAGTCGATGCCGATGACCAGCTTGCGGTCTGTGAGCGAGAGCGATCCCATAGACTTCTCCATCGTGTCGACACCTCTTCCGGAGAGTATAATGACAGATACCAAATGTTTTTTTCCAAGGGTCCGAGATCGAAAACAGATGGAAGATGAAATTGCGTAGATCAATCGTCACTGAACAAACGCAGGGCGACAACGCAGTTCCGCAGCTCCGCAGCTCGATCCCAGCACAACAACCCACCCGGGCACGGGCGCCGGGCTAAATTAGCCTGACTGAGTCAATCGGAGCCTATCGACCTATCGGTCAATTTTATTAGTTTGGGGCGCAGAGCCTCGTGGTGATGGATGGTGGAGCGATGGTGGTGCGCTGTGTCTTGTCCAATGGCCTTGTTGTGTTGGAGGGCGTGCACTCGTATCTGCGATGCTCGGATGGATGCTAACCCTAGCTCCAAGCTGAGGCTAACGGGCGCTCCAATCTGCCTTGCGCCCCGCGGTGGAAAGGTGAGACTGCCCCTCATCGCGTCGTTTGCTCGTGATTGAACTGGGTGGAGGGCTAATTTTAGGCTGTGATAGTTTATGTCGTGGCGAGAGCTCAATTCTGTTTGCTCTGGCTTATTTTTCTGGAATGGAGGTTGACAGGAACTTCAATATGACAGAAGATACCGATCCTGTCGCTGCTACAGTAGATATGATGACTTTGAAGTCCCAGCCGAATACATTGAAGAAGAAGCCCGGGGTTATCGGGGAAGCCGCAAAAGAGAGGTTTGTCTCAGTCACTGCACTCAAAACACTTAACACCGCCCTAACTTCTCACAGACCCAAGCAAGAAGCGACAGCAAAAGCGGCCGCGGCAGCAGCAATAGCTACAGCTACATCTCTACCTACGTCTCCGGCTCCTGAGCAAAAACAAACAGAGCCAAAGCAAACCGAAGAAGCTCTCGCCATACCAAAACAGCCCGAACCTTCTTCCTCCTCCCCCGGTGAACTCGCAACCGAAAACGCCGCCCTCCGCGAGCAAATCTCTCGCCTCCAACACGACCTTCACGAAGCCCAGGACCTCATATTCAGCCTACAGCCTCTCCAACAGCCGCTCACAGAAACCGAAGCCGTCTCCGAATTCCAAGCCCTCATCGCCTCCGTCGAAGAATGGGTCGACCAGAAGCTCGGCGACGCTCTTGAACCCGACAATGATGTTTCAAACGACACCGAAACCAGAGACGAAACCAACACTGAGGGCTCCCACAGTGAAGGCGGAGGAGGCAACCTCGTCTTTCAGGTCGACCCTCAATCGACCCCGCGCGTCATGAAAGAAATTCAATCCCTTCTCGACCTCATCCCCAGTCCCGGCCGCGCCGCATTCGCATACCATGCTACAGATGTTGACGTAGTCCAAGCGCTGATTATGCGCTATCTCAGCGACGCAATCTTCTCGCAGGACTTCTACTGTCCGCTACCCAAGGCCGAGCGGGAACTCGTTACGGTCGTCGAGAGAAGTATGCGCACTCTTACCCCGCGACGGGATACGCGGTCGAGACGACATTGGCGGGTTGAAACATATACGGCGCTCAGTGCGCGGCCTGGGTTCGACCAGTATGCGACGAACCGGATGTGGGATCTTACGTATGACATCACGCGGTTGCTGAGGTTATTCGCCTCCGAAGGCGATGGGCAGAAGCTGGCGAAGAGTTTCTTTGAAGGGATTACGAAGCCGGCATCTGAGCTCGCACGGAAGATGCATCTGAGTTTCGATGAGTTTGCCGTGGAATGGAGCGGATATCATGATCGTGTTGGAGAGTGCGAGCGGCTGTTCCAGGACGGGCCTTTGGAAGGAGGGACAGAGTTCGAGTTTGTGGAGCTGCAGTCTAGGAAGACATTGAGGGAGATGCCTGGGAAGGATGCACGGTGGATGTTTGACTTGACGCCGCGGCTTGTGGTGAGGAAGCTGAAGGCTGATGCATATGCTGAGGCGAGGACGCTGGTGAAGCCAAGGATCCTCATTTCAAACCGGCTGAAGGAGAAGAACGGGGCCTTGACGGTGCTGGGAACATTGGAGAGGTGGCTCCAGGAACAGTACTACACGCAGGCGAGGCAGAGGGAGAGCCGTTCAGGCTCTAGGATTCTTTCTTATCTATCTGGCATGTAATGTTATACTATAGCGGTAATAGTATACTTGGTTTCACGGGAGATTATCAGTGTGGAATTTACAAGTCGGTTGATGCATCGAATTCCCCTCTCGTCGAATCTCCTTGTAATCACTCATGCAGATCCAGCAAAATTCAGTCTGACATTTTATACCTTTATCTCAGAGTTAGCTTAATTGAACAAACCAAGTCGCCTGCAGTTCCGGGTATGCGATCTCCATTCACCGAGGCAAAGCCAACAGAACTCATGTCTGCATTTGATGCCTGTTTCGGTCAATCACCCATTTTTTGCAGGCGATGCGTAATAGAAACAACTTCAGGAAGCAAAGAAAAAAGAATCACTTACACGTCATATGGTCACACCCGTCGTTCTTCTCAATCGGCCACCGACAGCCGGGACACCGCTTCGTCGTCTTCTCAACAACCTTCTCCGACTTCTCGAGCTCTTCCTTCCGCTTCTTCAACTGCTCTAGCTTCTCCTTAAAGTCATCTTTAATGTTTTCCTTCTTCTGCTTTGCCTCCTTTGCCTCCTTCTCCTGTCTCTCCTTTGCAGCCTTCTTCTGCGCCTGATGTAACTGCTGTTGTCGGAACTGCTCTGCGCGTTTCGCGCGCTTCATGCTGCCTTTGCTCATGGCTTCCGGCTTAGGGTTGGCATCCTTGCCCTTTGCGGCGTTCTTTGCTTTGATTTCTTTGTAGCTGTCGGGATCCCAGAGGACGGCGTCGTACTCGTCGCAGGTGAACTCGTCGTGCCATTTTATGGCGTGCTTAAAGCAGGAGACCGCGGAGCATTTGAGGCAGCGGACCTGAGGCTGCGTGGCGCCTGGCTCGTGGAGCTGGCCGAAGTCGCATTCGAGACACCAGATGAAGTTTTTGTCTGCGCTGACGGCGTGCCTGAATGACAGCTTGTCGTACCTATTTTGTCAGTATTCTTCAACCTATGCGTTGATCTGAGTGGAACATACCTCTCAAACGTCGCCTCGTCTGCGAATTTCTTGACATCCTCATGAGTAAACAACACCTTGCACTCGGGGCACTTGATCTCGTCCCAGAATTTCGTCTCCAGATCGTGCTTGATACTCTTAGCGAGGCAGCCATAACATACAGATGGTGGATGTTGGCAGGCCATGGTGACCGTTGGAGGCGCCAGAACACTGCTAGCAAAGGGCTCAAGACAGATGATACAAGCGTCTTCCCCTGTCACTGCCTTTGTATACGACTTTGCGCTGGTAGCCCCTATGAACCCCGGCTTCCACGAGAACTTCGGCTTCGCATTCTGTTTCCCGGATAGACTGAGATAATCTGTGTAGAGCGCTTCGAGCTCTTCATCGACTTGCTGGAAGAATGACTCAAAGTCTTTCCCTTTACCTTTTACTTCTGCTGTTTGTTCGGGCTCGGTTCTGGGTTCTGGCTCTGGCTCTGGCTCGGGGTTCTCGGCCTCCTTGGCCTCCTGCTCGCGGATTATAGAAGTCGGGGCTATGCCAAATTGCCGTCCGAAGCCTGGGATTGCGTCCATGTCATCGGAAAATATGAAGAGGTCCTTGTCGATCGCGGGCTGCGACGTCGTAGACGATTGTTCTGGTCCTGGTAATTGCTGATTTGTCTCGGCACTCCCGGTAGCATCGCTGCTTTTATCCTTGCCTCCATCCTGCCTTTCCTCTATCGGCTTCTCGTTCTCAATCTTCGCCTGGCTCTGACTCGGGCTCCGTGTCGTCCTCAAGCTTAGGCTCTCACTCCCGGCATCCAACTCTTGATGTCCCAAACTCCCGATCCTGCTGCTCCTACTCCCAATACTCCCAACGCCTCCAGCAACGCCATTCCCAGCCCCCGCCTCGCCATTCTTTTTACCAAACTCCCATCGGAAAGTCGTCGACTCCGACACCGCAGAATCCAACTCCGCAGGCCCCGTATCCAGAACCGAGGTATCGAGCTCCGCCGGCGTAACCTGCTCCTGCTTCGTCGACGTCACAGACTGCGCCTTCTTCGGAGAGGCTCTGTCAGATTTGGTCGTGACAGGGCGCTCCTCAGGGGCCCAGAGGGCTTCTTGCCAAATGCTATAGCGCCCGCGGTTGTTGCCAAGGAGTTTGCGGAGGCCCATTTCGTTCCTTTTTCTCTTGGTTTCCGTGATGTGCGCGAGAAGAGAATCTGAGGTTGGAGGGCAATGGGAGTCAGGAGGGTTAGGTTAGGTTAAGTTAGGTAGCGCATTTCTCCAAGCTTTATGACAAAGTTGAGTTGGTGGGGTGACGCGGTTAATGAGCGTGGAATGAGTAGGACATGTTCAGAGTCTGAAGGCGAACTTTGGTATTGTCGGGAGAAAGGTAGTTATTGCGAAGAGGGCGAGAAGATAGAGATGATTCATTCGAGGGAAAGCTGGAGAAGAGAGGAGAGACCAAACGCCCTGTCTTGCTGCGGCTTTCCGTCGTCTGAGCATTTTGGCGAGGAGACGAGTGACAGTCTGGTCGAATCAGCCTTGCCAGAATAGACGCATCAAGGGAATGCAGTAGCTTGCTGAAGTGGAGGGGACTGAACACGAGATGGCTGCGCCAGTCTGATTTGCCCGGTTTCTTGGGGCGTTGTGGTGGCTGTACTTGGTCAAGGAAATGACTGGGCGCCGATGGCGTCGAGAAAAGCTCGCTTCCTGACTCGCCAACGGGCGTTTTGCTGCCTGCCAGCACTGCGGCTCTACGGTCTGGGACTCGGGAGATAACAATCTAAGAACTGATGAGAAAAGGTGAAAAGGTATCGTAAATGCATATACAGTAGTAAGATAGATATGTAGTCTTCGCTGAAATACAGATAGTTTAGCCCAACAGCCCTGTCGCCAAAGACTCCAAATCCTCCAGAGTCTGAATCCGCTTCTCCTCTGCAGGCTTCTTCTTTTGCTGCTTGTACCAGGGCACCGCCTCCTCTTTCTGTGTCTTGGCCTTCTTGCTCGGGCGAGGTACCTCCACTTCCTCTTCTCCCTCTGATGAGTAGGGCTCATCCATATCCTGATCGCCCTCGTATGGCGCAAGCTGGGCAACACGCTCCTCCCGTTCCTCCTCAGCGAAAAGTTCACGCTCCCTGGCCTTCCGCTTCTCCTTCTTTTCGCGCTTCTTCTGTTTCGCGAGAGCCTTGTCTTCCAAATCTGCGGCCTGAGTGCGTTGCGTCTCCTCCGCCAGGAAGCGGGCTTGTTGTTCCTTCGCGTCGCCGCGAGCCTTGAAGGCTTCTTCGTCTTCCATTTCGTAAATCTCGTGGGCATTTCCATCGTCGTCGTAGATGAGTTTCGTGCCCTTGCCCTTGAATTTGAGTAATTTCTTCTTCGATTTGAGGAGTTTCTCGCGGCGTTTCGAGTCGATAACGAGTGTATCTTTGTCGCTGATTTTCACGACCTTGGCGCCCTCTGTCTTTGCACCGTCTGCCTCGGGAATGGAAACACCGCCGTCGGAGCCCGAGTCGGAGCTGCTTCCTACAGCGAGATCATCGTCGCCGGCTTCGAAGCGGCGCTTGACGGAGAGGAAGTCGTCGTCTTCATCAGCGTCAGCGGTACCCTTGCTTGGCTCGGCTATTGTGCCGTCGTCATTGATAAGTTTCGAGTAGTGCTCCGCCAGCACGTCCTGGTTTCGTCGTTCGAACATTCTGTCGTACTTGGTGCGGACTTCCTTCTCCTTCGGCTTCTTCTTCTTCTCCTCTCCGTCCTCGTCCGAGTCGTCGTCGCTAGAAGCGTAGGCTGTAGCTCTCGGTGCGTTCTTGCGTTCCTTTGTATCGTCTCCCTTGATGAACTTGATGCGAGGGGCACCAGGTAGACCTAAGCTGCCCGCGAAATCATCCAGCTTGAGTTCTTTAAGGTTGAATGTCTCTTTGTCTTTCTGCACGTAGACAGACTTCACGTATGAGATAAATGCTTTTTGCCCAAGATACTTCAGCTCGGGATCCTTGAAACACATGTTCTGTAGCTGGTTTTTAATGCTTTGCTGCTTGTTGGCTTTGACGTTGATTCGTTCAACTGTGACTTTCTTATGCTCGAGGCGCCGGAGCATTCCTTTCTCTTCGCTGGGGTCGAGGAATAGAACAGCACGTCCATCGCGTTCATATCTTGCTGTTCGTCCGACTCGATGAATATATGTATCCGCATCCTCGGGGCAGTCCACTTGAATAACCCAGTCCACAGCGGGGAAATCCAAACCACGAGCGGCCACATCAGTAGAGAAAAGGACAGCGTGCTGTGCTTGTGAGAAACGAGTTGTAATATCGAGTCGACCACCCTGTTTCTGACGGCCGTGGAGATGTAGAAGAGGAATACCGGGCTGCATGTGTCGGAAAGACTCGTAAACAAAACGAACCTGCTTTCCCGAGGAGAAGAACACAATCGTCTTCGCCTTCAAGTTACTGCGAATGAAACTCCATAGCGTATCCAGCTTGTGCGCAAGTGGCGTGATAACGTAATGCTGTTGCAGCTTCGATGGCGTAGCAGAAGACGCAGCTTCGTGCACAGAGACATACTCCGGATCCTGCAGACTCAATCGTGCCAAATCTGAAACCTTTTTTGTCTGTGTCGCACTGAACAGAAGCGTCTGGCGCTCAGGCGGCAGGTGTCCGACGATAGCATCCACGGTCTTCTGGAATCCCATATCCATAATCCGATCCGCCTCATCCAGCACGAGCATCTGCAAATTATGGGTCTCGAAAAACGCCGTCTGGTCTAGATGCTGCAGCATCCGACCCGGCGTACAAACAAGGATGTTCATCCGCCCTAGTCTCTCCTGCTCCTCGCGCAGACTCTTGCCTCCGATAACCAACCCGGCGGAGAATGTATGATATCGGCCAATTTTGCGGAGCACCTCGAAGATCTGGATGGCGAGCTCGCGGGTCGGAGAAATAATCAGGGCGCCCAGGCCGTCGTGCTCGGACCACTGCTTGCGGTATAGGTTCTCGAGAATGGGGACGAGGAAGGCGAGCGTTTTTCCGCTTCCTGTTTTGGCGGCGCCGAGGACGTCGCGGCCCTTGAGAGCATGGCTGATCGCGCGGGATTGAATGTCGGTCAGGGTCTTGAAGTGAGAGGATGTAAGACCGGAGAGCGTCGGTTCTGAAAGTGGTAGATCGGAGAAGGATTCGAATTTTCCTTTCAGGTCGAGATCTTCAACACGTTGAACGAGCGATGAGAGATCTTCTTGTACGCGTTTGCGCTTCAAATTGCCGGTCCGGTGAGATGGCTTCGCAGGCTTGCCATTCCGAGGGCCATTAGCTGGGGCCATGATGAGATTCTGCGAACTAATCCTGATCGTCAACTCGGTCGTTGCTTGTAGACTCGGCGCCGCAAAGAAACAACGGGCGGGCGGTGGAGAAACTTTTTTTTCTGCCGGACGCACCGGATGAGTCAGCACTGATAAGGTTGCTCTGCCAAAGCGTCAACTGAACGCCGCGACACTTAACTCCGTAAATATATCCTGCGGCCTAATCATTATCGGTGTCTTCGATATCAAGACCCTGACTATATACAATTGCTATACTATATTTTCACAGTGCTGTCTTAGTTCCTCAGCAGCCATTCGTCATGTCCGGTGACGAGCAAGATGCCCTTGATGCGCTTGAGAGGGAGGCCTCCGACTTCGTGAAAGTAAGTCCGGCTCCGAAAGGCGTCCAACCGGTCTGATATCTAACTCAAGTAGGATGCAGAAATTGACCGGATACGGAAGGCATTCGTCCTGGATGCGTACGTCCTTCACAAATCTCCCTCACCGAGCCGAAGACTGATAGAACTACAGCTACGCGGTCCTCGATCTTCAACCCGGAGTACCAGAGAAAGACATCAAGATACAATACCGAAAGAAATCCCTCCTCATTCACCCCGATAAAACAAAGAACCCCGCAGCGCCGGACGCCTTCGATCGCCTGAAGAAGGCACAGTCGGCTCTGATGGACGAGAAGCAGCGCGAATACCTTGATGGATGTATTGCGGATGCGCGGCGGTTATTGATCCGCGAACACAAGTACACATTGGACTCGCCGGAGCTGAAGACGGAAGAGTTCAAAAAGGAGTGGCGGGCAAAGACAATTCACGTCCTATTGGAAGAGGAAGCGCGGCGGCGAAGGCAGGCCAAGGCCAAATTACAAGAGGAAGGACGGGAGAGGCGAAAAGAGGAAGAGGAGATCGAAGAGCGGAAACGGAAACGAGACCAGGATAAGGCATGGGAGGATACGCGGGATCAACGAATTGGAAGTTGGCGTGAGTTTCAGAAAGGGCACAAAAAGGACGGAGACAAGAAGAAGAAAAAGATGAAGGTCTTAGGGTGATATATATCTATATATTTCTAGAATCTAAAAGTGTTGTCGGGTTCGCATATAGAACTCCGGGGACCGAGGTTAATCCAACGCTCTTGAACCACGAATCGGACAATTCCCATCGCGTAGTCCAGGAAATTAGCGAACCAGGCCAGCCGCACCGCGATCAGCTTCATATGAAGCCCGCGAAGTGATAAGAAAGCGGTCAGGAACGGAAACTGCGGGGAGCGGGGCGTACCAGAACATTCCACTCGCTCTCACAGCTCCAGCTCCTCGCTGGACCAGTCCACCTCCGAATCCCCATCGTCTGAGCCTATCCCCTCCTTCCCCTTCCTCTCTGTCGCGCTCACCCTCCCCCGAGCCCCTTCCGACTGCGAGGCCTTCGCTCGACCGCAATTGGAGCCCGTGCCGCTCTCAATCCATCCTACCCCCGCTCATCGCATCCCCATCTACATCGCATGATTGCCGTTCATTACCGAAGCATACTAGTACCCCAAAACACCCTACACAACCTCCACAGCCTTCACATGCCGAAATCGAACATTGCAAAACTCAGACAGCAACCGAGAAACGCAGCAATGGAGCCAAGATCGTTCGAAGACAGCGGGATCCCGAAATATGCGGAGTCCCTCGCATCCATAGCCAAGCACTGCAACGAGAAAGTCGAAAGGTTCCTCTTGACAAAGTACGAGGATGGCTCTTTCGAGCATCTCGCTCAGCGCGAAACCCGTCATACGATTGGGATCGTCGAGGTGGCGTTTTCGAGATACAAAATCTCCGAACTTGCGGTCTCCTACAACGGCGGGAAGGACTGCCTCGTCCTCCTGATCATCCTCCTCTCGTGCTTGCACGGGCGTCCGGAAATTGAGAGGGGGGAGGTTACAAAGATACCAACGTTTTATGGGACTCCGCCGGATTCGTTTGCTGCCGTTGAGGACTTTGTCCAAAAGTCAGTACGATGCTATCATTTGGCCCAGAATAGATACGAGACTCGCAAGAATGATCCGGACCATTCATTGAAGGCAAACTTCCAGAGATTTCTCGACGCCAACCCGAATACAAAGGCGATCTTTATCGGTACGAGGCGGACCGATCCATACGGCGATAAACTAAAGTTCTTTTCTCCCACGGATGGCGGTTGGCCCGAGTTTATGCGCATCCACTCCGTCGTGGAATGGCGTTACCCGGAAATATGGGCATTCACCAAGGCTATCAATGTGGAATACTGCAGTCTTTACGACCAGGGGTATACGAGCCTGGGGGGTGTTAAGGATACCCGTCCCAATCCAAAGCTGCAGATACCTGGCAGCGATGACAGATATCGTCCTGCATGCGAGCTGAAAGCAGACGCAGATGAGCGCTTAGGGCGCAAGCCCAGCTGAGCCGAGTCAACTTCTCTCTCATATGTCGACCAGGAGATACCCCGTTTTTGACCACCAACGTGCACCATGACTTATACAGATAGATCCCATACATAGTTCGGCGTTTTCTGTTCACCATTACTATCAAGCGGGAATGACGTTTGCTGCAACATTGTTGATTTCTAACACTAGACTAAGCAGCCCGGTTTGTTTCTCTTCTTAGCAAAAGGAAATCGAGGATACAATCCTAGACAGATACAGGAAATAAAAAGCGTCTTGCTTTCATCCATGATGAATGGCTCGTCTAACACAAACTTTCGTAACACATGCGAATCCTGAAAGAAATGCTTTTGTGGCTCTTCGAACCCCGGATCTCGTCAAGAAAATCAAGAACAGATACTCTCATACAGTACATCAAAAGCTCAAGAAGTCCAGAACAACAATAGAGGAAGACATAGGAGAAACGATATGGAAGAAATAAACCGGATCAGACGACCAGCGATAAAACATGCAAGCTTCGGGTGCGCAGCACAGATGACAGGGAGAATACCGTCAGCCATCACCTTGTCTGGAAGTACTCCGAATGAACCGATTGGACCACATAGGCAGGTCGACCGACATGGGGATTTCAGATAACAGAGCGTGGCGAGTTCACAATGATCTCCCTGCGAGATGAAATTGGCGACAGGGAGCCCGCTTTGATGTTCTCCTTGTGTGGGCTAGATCGCTCCGAACGAGGCTCAGCACAAGGAGTGCTAGGGAGAACAGTCTTGGAAGAGCCACCCGAGACGTTGTCAGTCCAGTTGTTACGGTTGGCAAAGGCCAAACGTCCGCGGTACATGGGAGTGTTGTCCAGAGGCACAGGGCTGTGCTTGGATGACCACGAGTTGAAACGCATATTACCCGCTGGGTTTTTCGCCAGAGGCACCCTGCTTGACTTGTCAATAAATTTGAGGAGGATTTGAAGAGGTACAAACGCTTACGATGGGGAAATGGAAGTTGCTGGAGTCCAACTGTTGCCTACTCCGACTGGAGACACATAGCTGACCTGAGAGGTCGGGCTGAGGTGAGAGACGGTCTGTTGAAGGCGATGGAGCGAAGGAGATGGAGTAGATCCTTGAACAACTTCGACGGAGTAGTTGTACTCCCCAGCACGATATGCACGGCGCTCGTTGCTCTGCTGCTTGAGAAGTTTTTGAGCTTTAGTATCTGCAAAGCGAAGAAGTAGCTTCACGCCATCCTCTGCGACGGAGTTGTGATACTCTGACAGGACCTTCTCGGCAATATCCCGCGTTTCAAAGCTGGCACGGTTAGTCACAGGTAGGAGCCTCGACTCGAGCTTACTTACCGAGCGAATCCAACCTCCTTACTCACTCCTGTCTTCTCATCACGGCTGATCTTTTCGGATACAACGCGGTACGGTTCAAAGTGACGGCGAAGGTCCTTTGAGAGACACATTAGCCACGAGCAGCAATCTTAGGGTGTATACATACAGCTTCGGTCCAGTCGATGGGAATATTGGTGCAATAGATGTTCGTGGAGGTCTTGTCTTCAAGGTCCTTCAAGCGGGAGTTGCGGGATTTCTGTGCCTTGTCAGCTCTAATACCGGTCGTAAAATCCAAGAGTGTGTTACGCACCTGAGCGAAGCTTGCCTGGTAACCGAGGTAGAAGAAGCCTCGAATGCAGTTCTCGCAGGACTCAAAGTTGTAATACTGAACAAAACCGAAACTGGTGGAGCAGCAGTCAATAGCGGCGATGGAGGAATCAAGAACGGTTGGAAAACATACCCTTTGCATAGACCAGTGTCTAGGTCGACGATTGCCTTGCAACGATCTATCTTACCAAACCGAAAAGCATATGCGTGCAGCATCTCATCGGTAGTCTCTGGGAGGAAGCCTCGAATGTAGACATTGGTGATTCCCTCTCGATTCTCAAGGCACTTGGCCAGGGTCAGATCGGTGGGGTTCGTCCACATGGCAGGGACGGCTCTTGGAATCGCAGGCTCTTGCTGAACCAAGCTCTCCAGATCCTGTAGAATGTATCCAGTGGGAGTCTTCATCATCTGAAGCTGTAGACAAGCCTGTCCACCCTGCGGCAGACCATTCATCGCATAGTTCGAAATGCCGGAGCCGTCGAGACCTGGAATGGCGTTGAAGAAGTCACTCTGGTTGCCACCCTCGGAAGCGGAGGGACCAGCGCTCTTTTGCTCGTCGGTACTGGTCCAATGGCTCCGCTTCTGAGCGTTTGGATCCTGCATCTCGCAGTTCATGAGGTACGGGAAGGGGTATCCTTGCATAGCAGCCGGGACAACAGGGCATCCGGGAGTGAGGCTCGGATAGATGGCATTGTGCAGATAAGGAAGTTGGCCCACCTGGTCATGGCCGGGGAGTGAACTTGGGGGGAAGGCTGCGACAGGGGAGACCGGCGGAATGCCACCAAAGACACCACCATTGGGGAGTAGGACGAGCTGGTTGTTGTAGTGACGAGGGCCGGCGAGCTCCAAGGGCGGCGGAGGCATGGCCACTGGCAAATTCCCCTTCATGGTATTGAATTTGCTGCCGGAACCCTGATTCTGAATGCTCAAGCCGCCGAAAAGCGCAGCCAAGTCGGGGCGGTTGCCCTGTTGGTGGCCAGGAGCATAAGCCCCACGATTGTTGTGGTTGAATTGACTGGCATGGGCAGTCTGCTGCTGAGTCTGGGCAGGCATCGTTGAAAATCTAGTAACAGTTCTGAAATATGTGGTTAGCGTCGTTTCTCAGACCCATAACACATGGGAGCCAGACAGCACTTAAAAAAGCAGAGGAACGTAGAACGCATGACAGACATATAGAATGGGATGAAAAGAGAGAAATGGCTAAACTAGCCCCGAGATAGTACAATAGAGGGTGACACTTACCGCAACGATTCGAGGCCAAACCCTGAGGAACACAGGCAAGCAGGACGAAGCTGATCACACTTGTTAGAGGGATTCTCAGTCATGCACGCACAGAATACCCACATGATGCTGCGATGATTGAAGGCTAGAATAGCAACGAAGTCGATTGAACCCGAACGATGAACGAACGTCAGCAGTCTTCAGTAGACTCGAGACGAGAGCAATAAAGCGATAAGGTCCGGAGGATGACTAGAGACAAGCAGTTTATAGCAAACTCAGACGTTGTGAGATGCGGGATAGCTAAAAGAGACGATGGGATGATGAAGAAGTTGATGAAGGGAAGAAATGGTGGATGAAGAAAAAGAAGGAGGTGAAGAGAGAACGAAGACGGGGGACGGGAAACGAGACGGGCGGGAGCAGACAGGAAAGGAAGGAGTCATCCAGGGACGAGAGTGTTGAGGAGGAGATGGATAGGGAAGGAGCTGGGAGTAAGGCTATAGTAGTTCCAAAAACGGAAGGCACGCAGGGTCACAATGGGAATCATAACAGACATAGAAGGACAGGTGGTGATACAGCTATAGAGAGAAACAAAAACAGTAGAAGAGATTTTCCAAGTGAATGAAATACTCGGCATGGTAAAGCTCGGCAATAGAAGGCATCATATACTATTTAAGCAAAACGTTATCAATAATGAGCTCAATCTACCTCTTCAAGACAAAGACAGTTGTAGGACAACGGCAAAGTCCCATTCGACAATGTCTCCTCCAGCCAAGGCTTTGTAGAGCGATACATACCAAGGTAAGATGCGGCTGCATAAAGCATGCTAGGAAGTACACCTACGGGAGTCTAGTGTAAGCGTCGCTGAGGTCCCTGAAAACGAGTAGATGATCCTAATTTGTGGTTAATTCTAAGTCCGCGACGGATGCGATAGAAGGTTGGAACCGGCCAGATGGGATATCAAGATCCAAAAGACGAATCACTAAGAAAGGGCAGTGGGCGAAACGAAGAGAACGCCAAAAATGAACTACCTATTGTGCCATCATTGCGGTTGTGACTGATCCCGCAGCCACTTGTACACCACCGAGAAGTCCTTCCCACGATGTTCTGCTTCGACAACGGTATATAGAACGCGAGCAACCTCTGCCAAGGCCAAGGGCGTTCCAGACTCCTTCGCTGCTGTGAGGGCTAGTCTTAGGTCCTTATTCATGAGACTAACCCCGAATCCGCCCTCGTAGTCTCTCGAAGCTGGTGCTCCGTCAACGACGCCGGGGACAGGATTGTTGACTTCCATTGGCCAGCATCGGCCAGTGGATGTATTGATCATATCGGCCAGAACCTTCGGGTCGAGACCCCAGCGCATACCAAGGTTCATAGCTTCAGCGGTGGCGATATTATTGATAGCTAAGATGTAGTTGTTGGCGAGCTTGGCTGAGACACCGGTCCCCGCCGCACCCATATGCCACGCCTTCTTTCCCATCAGAAGCAGAATGGGCTTTACCCGCTCCACAAGCTCACCGGTGCGAGAGGAGGCTCCAAACATGAAGGATAAGGTTCCAGCTCGAGCTCCCACAACTCCACCAGAGACTGGCGCATCGACAAAGCGCCCTTGGCAGGTTGTATGGATGGCATTTGCAATTTCCTTGGAAGAAGCCGGGTCAATCGTCGACGTGTCGATAAATATGCGTTCTTTGTCCAAAGCAGGCAAAGGCCCTTGTCGAAGCATAGAATGGAAAACGTCCTTGACGTGCTGCGGTTCCGGAAGGCTAGTGATAATCACGCTCTAGGGATGACGGGCGTTAGTTGGCTTTGCTAGTAACAGACATGCAACCACCCGGACACAGACGCGGCTGTCTCCAACCAAGGAATACAGCCTCTAAGCAGTTGTACTACAAGAAGGATTGACGCTCCACTTACCGACTTCTCCGCAATTTCCCTTGCATTCTGAGCTACCACAACCTTCGGCAGGACATCAGTAGCGCCAGTGCTCTTGGCAGTCTCACGGGCTTCTTTAATGAAGCGTGCAGTTGATTCTTCATTCACGTCACGGATTATGAGTGTATCGGTCGAGGGAATCTTGGCATGTAGGTTCTTGGCCATGTTATAGCCTGGGAAAGACAATGTTAGCTAGCTAGTCCCGGCACACATAACCCTGGAAGCAAGAGCCACGATCGAGAATCAAGGAGATATACCCATTTGCCCTAACCCGATGAAACCCCATGTATCTTCACGTCGCAGACTCGTCGAAAAGGCGCGGTGTGTTGATTGTGAGAGCCGGCCGATCGAGTGGCACAAACTGCCGGACGCGACACTCCTCCGCATGAGGGGGCCCAAGCTACAAGACATGCTCATCGCGAAAGCTGGGGACAAATTGAAGGGACGAAAAAGATAACGATAATTGCTTCAAGAGCACACTGATTATAGTTGGGATCTAGAGTATAAGTACGGTAAGTAAAAGAATAGGTTGCGTAGAGATTCCAGTCTCCGGAGAGAGTTGCGGAGCAAGAAGGTATGGACGGCCGACCAGCCGAACGTAATCAACCGCAAAGCGTCCCGAGGAAGATGCGAAGGTGCCTGGTCCGGAACCCCGTGGTTTTCCGAGGCTACCCATCCGGGGGAAGAGGCACACAGACCATGATCTGCCTATCATTTGTACTCCGTATTGAATCCCCTCCACTCTAGCCTCCACTTGGTCTCAATGCGGGGTAAATCTTGAAATGGAATGGCTACGGAGCGCGAAGAACCGATGTCACGTGCCTGAATTTTATGAACAACATTATGAACATTAAATGGTATATCAATCTCTAAAAGGTCTTCATACATGTGTCTAAGGCTAATAGATGCAAACAGTTTGTATCAGACGCTAAAAACGCACAGCCAGGGGTATGAAAATATGTATAATTCCAACGTCGAATTTCCCATGAACGCCAGAACGGCACACCAGGTACCGATGAGAGAGAAAAGAGCAAGGAAAAAGCCAACCAACGCCCTGAAACGAGGTGGCACTACCCTGGTGAAGTCGGATTACTTGATGTCCCCGTAAGGTACTCCGCCGGTACCTTTGGCACGCGTGGTGAGCTTGCGTTTTGTGCAAATGCCCGCTGTTGAGCTCGGACAAAGTCACGTTGTCGTTCCTTATCCCGGCCGGCTGCTCCACCAGTGAGCCGCCGCATACCGCTTCGAATCATTGACTCGAGCGAGGAGGATCCATCTGTTGCGCTGCGTGTTTGACTGGTCAAAGGCGGCATAGGGTGCTTTGTTACCGTCAGCCGTTCGTCAAAGTCATATAGTGTTTCGTCCACTTCATCATCCGAGAAAAACGCGGGTTCGTGAGCTCCAATGGGCGGCGTGTAGAACTGTGGACCGCCCGGAAAGGTCGGAGAGAAGACATGGTTGACCGGAGACGTGACAGACCGAATATGGGACACTGGACGTAGCGTTTGTGTTGACGAATGAGGTGTGGATGTCGAAGGGCCTGCGGAATGCATTCCACCACCACCACCACCCTCAAAGCGCATATTTGATGGCCGAGAGTCGACGAGACCATTGTGAAAAGATGAGGTCGAAGCTGTTCGCGCTAAAGACTTTCGCAAGATGGGTGCGGTTTGTTGATCGTAGATGCTCGCGTTGGAGTCTGCATACGTGCCAGTAAAGCCACGCAACGCCATGTCCGGCATGGCGCCAAAAGTCGGATGAGATGTTTCGGTTTCGTCGAAGAAGTCGTCAAGACTGTCTAGCTTTTGTACGATGTCGCCGATATTGCCATCTGTCTGGGTATCGATTGATTTCATGGTATCAGCACGCATGGGGAAGAAGGTGTCACTGTAATCATCTGCGTGGAACTCGACTTCCGATGGAGCGGTGTCCTGCGCCTCCACGCGGTCGACTTCGGCGCACGTGTAAAAGACCGCGTGAACGTTATGTCGTGTAACTCCTGACTGCGCAGCCGGCATCGGGATAGACCACCCTGTGGGCTCCGGTATGCCATACAGACTTTGGATGCGTTCATATTCTTTCCGAATGGCTCTCGACGAAGAGGACGACGCCATGCTCATTCGGAGATGATGACGCTCCATTGGATTGCCCGAGACAGTCATGATATAATCCATCACTTGTAATGCTTGAGGACAAAGATCTGTCTGCAAAAGTCGCAGAAGAGGTGAAATTAAATCAGGTCCATGACAAGTCACCTCGGGGCGTCGCATATCAATCTCGGGAATAACTGCACAAAGGATCTTCATAACCTTAAGCTGGAACCAACCAGTTGAATTGGTGAGCAAGCCCATGAGAAAGATTAAGCTGTGGACATCCTGTTGAGGAAAGTAGGAAGACCGAATCTCCGTAATGATGTGATTCAAAAAGTCATTCTCCGCCTTGTACTGTCCGTTGGCGAACCCAAGGAGGGAAGCGGCCAAACGGGGAAACCCTTCATCCTCGGCAACGCGTGCCAGACACGTAGCGCGAGCAAAGGTTTTTGAATCCTCCACGTCTGGGTCGAACTGGTGAAGGAAGTGGCAGAGATTTGCTAGGATTGTGAAAAGTAGCCGGCTGCTATCCCCAATAAGTGCATTGTTGGGAAGGCTACTGAGGCGGTGCAAGATATCCAGTGTGCGGTTGAGAGATTGCGCAGACTTGAGTCCTTTGTAGACCAAGTTCTGGATGCCGTCAAATCCTCCTTCCCATTTTGCTGGCTGTCCCTTGATGAGCTCATCAACCACCATAGGGTCACTCATATCAACTCTATCCATGAACTTTTCCAGCATGCCAATACTTTCAACAAACTCGGTTTCATGTATAGTGTTCAAGCAGGCACATGTTGTCCAAAATAGCTGGGGATATCGCAAAAGGTCTGATGGTGCTCGTGAGCTAATGATGATCTTAAGTGTGGTAAGGATTTCCATGGAAAATGTTCGGTAGTCTTGCTCTTCGTCCGCGATCGTGTTCGAGAGCCGAGCCAACATATCTGCAAGCATTCTAGAGTCGAGGGTTGTGGAGATACTGCGGAATACTTGAAAGGAGCGGCATGCAAGATGTTTGACTGGGCATGAGGTTGCCCAGTTGAGAGCTTCTTTGGCCCAGAGATCGGTTATGCCCTCATAGGCAAGACTGAAAAAGTCAACAACTGCCCGAGTAACACTCGACATCGAGGTTGGAACCCGACTATCGTCCTCATCATCTCCTTTGTCGTTGTTGTCCTCATATTCCCAAACAACCTTTGGGTCGCTTCTGCGAATGCATTCCACGAATTCTTCAATGGACTGTCGGCTTCCGGGTGGTTCATTGTCTTCTATCTTAGCCGCGATCAGCTCATGGATAAGATGAACAAGCATTTCCCTCGCTTGTTCCTGTACAGTAAGTGTATAGTGGTCCCAGAGAATGATAACAACGTGCAGCAGTTTCACGACGTCTGCGAGAGCAAGGGTGACTGGAGCGACCATGAGATCAACAAGGAAAATGAGCGAAAGCTGACCAAGTGCGAGGTGAACCGGCTTGTTGCCAAGAGGAAGCACCGCATCAAGGTCGGCAAAATAAGGTAGAGTATTGATGTCTGGTGGCGCCGGTGTGATGATATCTTTGTCTTTTCGGTCCTGAACCATGTTCTTAGGGCCCACTTGCATCAAGAAAAACTCGATAACCTTGGACCCTGCAGGCGTTCCTGAGAGGAAGACCACAACTTGCTTGGCATATTCCACAAAGTTTTGCTCCTTGCGCTCCAAGCACAAACTAATGACAAAATCAAGCACCAACTGGACGTTTCCTCCATGTGGCCCTGTGGCCAGCGCCTGCCATAGGGCTTGTACCTCGTTGGGGAGTATGGTGCTTGAGCGTATAGTAATCTCCAATAGATTGGCCAGGAGCATGTATGACCTGACTGTTGGGCCGCCATTAGGATCCACTTGCAGCTCAATGGTTTGGACCCAAGGCAAGATAGCAGCCACCATGTTTCGTTGACTATCTGGCTGCAACTTTCTAAAGTGCAAGCAGAATTCGGAGAAGAGGGTGAAGGCCAAATCGGAATGTTGCTGAGCAAGACGCTTCGATGTTTCAAATTGAGCCAGCTTATAGACCGCGGTGGTCTTGTCAGATATACTGATGTCAAAATCCTGTAGTCGCGAATTCTTCTGCTGGCGTTCCTCTAGGATACGGAGGAGCTTGGCGGCTTTCATCCTAATTTCCCGCTTCGGATTACCCAGGGTCACCAGAACAGCACCCAAAATTCTCCAAAAACCCAGAGGGTAGTCATCATGTTCCATCAGAATTTCAGTCACAACTTCAAAGTAGCTTCCCAGAGCCTTTGGGCGCTCCGCCACGTAGCACATTTCAATTGATCGTTCCAGCAAGTAAGAGTGCTCCTTGTTATGGGTGATCAAGTTCTTGAGTGCACGCCGAGCAATCACATGCCACTTATCACTAATGGTCTTGAAAATATTCTCAAGCCATGCTAGCATCCGCCCAACGTCAAACTGAAGCACCGAACCAGTCTCTGTTGTGATGCTAATCGGACCCGCCTGCTATAGTTAGCTCGTGGACCTAGGAATATCTGAGTACCACTTACACAAAGGGATGCCATTGCGCTCAGTGATGCTGCTTGCAGATTCTTCTTTTCTATTTCCATGGCTGCGGCTGCACCTCGTAACTCTCCTCCTATCTCCTGTCGCTGCACTATGGCGATTTTCCGCATATTCTCTTCTCTCTGGGTGATTTGTGCCTGGTTGGGAGAATATCCGCACCAGTCCTCCATGAGAGAAAAGGCGGATTTGCGTGATTCGAAAGGGATCCAGCGAGATGGGTCTTTTGTCCGATTGACACCTTTGAACAGTTCCTCCATCAGCCCACAGTAGTGAAAGCGTAGGCTCTGGTATTCCCAGTCATTTTGAACATCGGCATCACTCAGGAACAGTCGCAAATCTTTCGCGTAGGTAACAAGATTATTGACGACCCAGTCATCATTGTATACTTCTGGTTCCTTGAGAAATTTGGAGGTTAATTTGTACACATGGGTGACCTCTGTCCGCAATCTGTCCGTCTTGCGGCTTCGTCGCGGGCTGCTCGGAGTCCGGGAATGTACACCAATTCGGATTTTGGCCTCCTCGTTGCATGTCGTCACAGCGTACTGTAGAGACTCTAGCAAGGTCCGGTAGAGGTTATTGTTGATAGAGCCCAAGGCAGCCACAATGGCATTTCGGATGGAAGGCCTTTCAGCCGAAAGCAAGGGGATCACGAAGGCGAAAAGACTTCGAGCGGAGCCAATCTTGTCAGCCGACTGTGATCCGCCCCTTGACGCCTTTCTTGCATGCTGAGCGTTGGCAAGTTGGCTTTGTGACTGTGCACCAACACTGTTGAGAGTGGTGCAAGCCATAACAAGGTATAACTTCCATTGCTCAACCAGGATTTCGGCGGTCGTGTTATTCCTAGCCAAGGATCGGGCTTGCATAGCATCAAGAGGAGAATAGTAAGAACTCTGTGGGCTTCCGGCCAAAGCAGTGATGGCCTTGTGCATGTGGACGAGTCTTGCACACACGATTTCTCGTCCAAGTGTGACAGCAAAGGGACAAGTCTCGAAGCTCAAGCGAACAATGTTTGGAAAAACCTTGGACCATAGTGTAGAATCGTAGGACACCTCGCTGCTGCAAAGCTCAATCAGAGTATTATGGGAAGCGCTTCTCCGTTTGCCTTTTTGGATGCGGCTTCTTTCAGCAACGGTCAGGTGTTCGTCATTAAGATCCAGAATTTGCTGGGAGTCAGCCTCGAGTATTTTGATTATCCGAGTGTTCTCCTTGCCCAAGGCCTTGTCAAACTCGGTGATGAGCCGGAGAACTGTAATGGCGAAAGCTCGAACCCTTCGTGATTGGGAGCATAAGAAAAACAGGCCATGCGATTCGACTTCCTCGACCTGTGCCAAAACACTAGATAGATCGAGTTGGAGTGCGCGGCTACCGGTGGCCGCCTTCTCTCCAGGATCGGCACTGCTCCCTTTTGTTTTTTGCTTGATTTCCTCAATCCAGATCTGCAGTAGTTCGACATAAAGCTTCAAAGTCGACTCTATGTGGCCTGGCCCAAGCATTCCTTCATCGGACATTGTAGAGTATCGTGCGTCAAAATTGAAAATGAATCGTGCGAACCCTATAGTTACTTGTTGGGCATGTGACTGGCGCGCGATTGCTTTCAGGGACTCTGCGGATGAAAATGCGATGTTGGACTGAACATGCGCGGTCCCAGTACATAACAGATTTATCAAGGAATTGAACGGGATATGATCGGACAAGCAGCGTGGAAGGGCTTGGACAGCAACATGGAGCAGGTCATAAAATCCCTGCCTCTGGTCGGCAGTGTTAAGGTAATCATCACGTCTTCCGAAACTGAAAGCTTCCGTGATTGGCGTCTTGGGGGTGGCTCCGCCGAATTTCTCATCTAAAGCAGCCTGGCCGCCAAACGTGTTATCACACAAAATTGTGATGTTGCCAAGTATCTCGCAGAAGCGGATGTAATGGTCTCTGACGTTGTCTGTGAGCCTTGCAGTATTGACGGGACGTGAGGAGTCTTGGTCCGCCATCCGATGCCCAAGGTCTACTAGATATTGAGACCGAAACAAGTGCGACGGCGCTAGGTTTTCAGTAAAGGGATTCGGAATTGACCCAGTGGGGAAAGGAGGACACAGCTGATCGCAATTCTCCAGGTCCGTCACAATAGCTAGAAATGATCGAATGCCAATTACCATCTTCTCAGGTTCCATCTGCTCGATCTTTATGTCCCTTCCCGACGAGGTGAAGTAGTCCGAATTAATCAATGGGAAGATGATATTCCGGAAACAAACGTCAGGATGCTTGAATCCTATCATTCGTATCAACTGAATCAAGGGTTCTGCCACTGCCGGGTCGGTGCTTAGGTATGTTCTCTTTTGGGTGGGTAGCGCTATCTTAGCTACCTCTTCCATTTTTCGGAGAGTCGCTGTAGGGGAGTCTGAGTAACGGAAAAAGTAAGTCCACACAAGACGACACATAGCTTGAAGAGCTGGCCCCCTTGTGGGACGGTCCTTCAGTTTCGCAGGAAGAGATTGGACGATCGACAGCCACTGAGATGAGAAGCTTTCTTTCGTGGATAAGCACAGAAGTAATACGTGAAGCGGAAAAGCTGCCGGCCAGTGGCGGGGCTTGGTCAACATGTGCGGGAGGCGGGAATGCACCAATTCAAGAAACTCTTTCCACTTGGGGAGGGTTAGGTCGCAATTGGGGTTAGCTGCAACTGGAAGCAGTAGTCTCTCAATGATATTGCAGTATGTCTGTTTGATGCGCTGCCCGTGGGAATTGACAAACAGTCGAGCCAGTGAACGCATGAATTCGCAAGACTTTGGCCATTTATCAGGTGCTGTCATGATGCGAATGTGCTGCATTCCGGAGATCAAAAGTTCTGACTTGGCGTCTCCTTCTCTTGATGGTCCCCGAATTGCTTCATCTTTCTGATAGCGCTCAAGCTCAACTAAAAACCGGTTGGTGACACTTTGAAATTTGTCTTCGCTCATAATGCCGAGTAATTGCGAATAGATCCTCCAGTTTGCCATTCGCAGCGCCGAGGCAGCGATCTGTTCCGGATCGACGGTTTTGAGCTGGCCAAACACAATATCCTCCAATCGATCGGCCATATCGACGGTTATAGATTCGAGGTTGCTCTGGTTGAAGATCTCTATAAGAACTCTGCAGACCAAGTACACAGACACCGTCGCCCGGCGCTCTATTTTGACAATATCTCCGTGCCGCGCGAGGAGTGAATTGGGCGAATGGTCGGTATGTGGAACGGGTTCTGGGACAGCCTGGGTCGGTTCAGTATTTCGGCGGATAAGTAACCCGTTCTCCGTCAGTGGCTTCGGCTGCTAAAGTTCAGTATAGGTAACAAGTAAAGGCGCCCTCCTCGCGTGCTTACCTGACTCACGGCCTGTTTAGCTTCCAGTACAGCATCGCCTTTAGCCTTCCGCCAGAACATTATCGTATCGATCAACGGTTTGGGCTTTTGGCGGGCGATGTGTCCTAGGGCAGAAATCAACTGATCGAATTTCGGGTCCGCGCCAGGGCCGCACACTTCCTCCACAGGCGCTTCGGATTCGCCCATTTTATCGATGGCCTGGTTGATCTTGTTGTCCGCTTGTCCGACAAACTAACGCACATGTTAGATATCATCCAAGTGTACTCTGTGCTGGGGTTGACTCACGGAGTTGAAAAGGTGGTGCAGCGCATATTCACCGACGGTCTTCGACTCTGACTGGTGATGACGCGAATGCGAACGGCTGTGCGAACGTTCTCGCCATGGTTTCCCAGTAGAGTTTATCCTCCGGTGAGCTACACTGACCGGGCTAGCACCATCCTGGACATCGTCGGTATCCCGGTCCTCAATTGTACTCAGCATCCCCTGTTGGTTGTGGCTCGCCGTCCCGTTTGCGGGCGCTGTCTGGTGACTCGAGTGCATATCTGGGTGTTCCAGCCTCCCAGATCCAGCACCTTCTTGTTCAACGCCGCCGCTGCGGCTAAGACTCGCGATAAGTTCCGGACTCAGAGGACTCGTAGATGTGGTTGACGCGGCGAAGCTGGGGTTTCGGGAGTGTTGAATACCATGGACGATCGAAGTCTGTCGGTGGTGTCCGTACGAGTTCGAAGGTCGGCGCTCAAGAGGGGCATCGTAACCGGGATTTGAGCGCACAGATGTTGTTTCAGGACTCTTGGAGTGTGAATGGCCGCGGCGATTGCCCTGAGGCTGGAGGGTGGCAGGGGCTAGCGCGGACGGATCAAGTGCCCTTCCTCTAACAGCGGAGGTTTCCCGGCTATGAACAGTGGATGATGGAGTACTCCTTGTGGCTAAACGCTCTGGTGGAGATGAGAGATTGTGGTGCGACGTCAAGATCGGGTCGTCCGGGACGAGGGGCGTCGGCGATGACTGGGCTGACCCAGCTTTGATCGTGAAATGGGATGCCACTGTACAATCATTAGGTCAGAGCTACACTAACCCTCGCGGAAGCGGTTTCTCAGGAATTGGATTCACGTTCGGGGGTTTGGTAACTCGTATGCAGGGAGCAGTGGGGGCAGACGGGAGAGCAAACGGTCGGGGGTCACATACTGTTGCACTCGGGGGACCGCGCCCTGCAGTTCAAACATTCATTGCTGGGCAATGCCCATGGATCCAAGAGCTACTAGAGATGAGTCTACGCGTGGGTAGCTCATTATCGCCCTGTAGCTTTGGGGGTTGGTGTTGATAAATTGCGGATGTTAAGGCTGAGAGAGCTTTTCTGTGAGTAGCGATTCAGGTTCAAGTTCCAATTGTCAGCAGCTCCGGGGAGCACGAGCCACCACCAATCCTGCCTCCATCATCCACACCTCGATGAGCTGGCTAGCAAATACTGTCTTTCTTTTCTTTTTACCCTGATTATATCCTCTCTGTGATAGTCCCTCCGGCCCAAATTGCGCTCTCACATCCACAATTCAAGCATTTCACTGTCTAGATTATTATCGGGGTTTCGCTTGGCCACTGAACATTGGGCCTTTTGGTCCACTAACAACCTGGAGGAGGATGTTAAGAGTTTCAGACTGACCTCAAAAACAGGTTCTCTCTGTGTTTGAAGAATGTGGAATCACCTGGATCTTTAAGTAAGCCTCCCACATGAGGTATTGTCAATCTTGGGTTCAGGGGCGGTTTGGTTTAGACACATCTATAAGATCAAATACTTCTTCACTCGCTGCATGAACACGCCTCACTACTGAGCTGCGAGCAACCAGAAAAAGAGTCCGTCAAGACGAGAAATCCCAGCACCTCGATGCTCAGGGCACCACGATCTAGCGCAGCTTCATACACCTGGAAATGCTAATGATCCTTTTTCTGTGGGGGTCTGGGGGTGAAAAATCGCCTGCGCTTGAAGTTCAGGAAATAGAATCCCATTGGTGATTTACCAAATGTAAAGCAAGTTTATTGATTTGCCTCTGGCCGAATTACAACCTAGTGATATCTAATGATGTGCCGATGTTCAAGTGCCGACTAAGACTTATGTGGTGCTTGAGGTACATGGGTACACAGCAGCATTTATAAGATCAGACCCTCGGACAAAATGTCATTTGATTCATAACGGACAGTCGCATATGATAGCATGCAGCTTAGAGCTTGCGGATTGCTTGGAAGCATTTTCAGAGCAGTAATCATCTTCAATTGACCAAACTCCTGAGGATAAGATGTCTGGCGCATTTCACATGGCCCTCTCGATAATAGGCGTAGGTCGCAAGGCAACCTATTATCGAGCGAAGAAAAGTTTGCTTCATCGAGAAGTCTCTATTTCAAGCAATTAGATGACATTAAGGAAAGATCCTGTAATTGTAAGTTCAATGCTGTTCATCATTAAACTGATTGCTGCGCTGTCTAGTGATACTTGTAGAACGGGACTCGATTATTGTACTAGTATGTATTTTGATCGCGCGCCTCCGGATTTATGCTGTGCGGAATCGATCCGTTCAACGCTTCAGTTTCCGTAGCTTGTCCTTATGCAGCAAGAATTCCCGAAAAGAACCTTCAAGTTGACGTTAACAGTTTTACCAAGCGGAATAAGGGCACTATGGCACACTCCGAGCATACAGTGTATCGAATTGTGCCACAGAGGGATGCCATGGTACTCCCAACACACCTCCGAAGTACCCTACCGGACTACGGAGTATGTACTATCTCTACCGTATCTTGGACTCGGCCAGCGAAGATCAACAGCTGAGCTGGTAGCCCTGATCTGCAGTATATTCTTGTCATAGGCTGCCAATCTTCATACAGTATCCTGGAACCCTGTTCAAGTAAAGCCTATAAGTTGACATAATGTACCTTTCTAAACCCCTATGATGAGAGGCAATTCGTGGCCCTGAATTGCGGCGAACTCTCTCTCACAAGTGATCCCTGGTTACGCTGAAACCCAGACTTGGTCAAAGGCGGAATTCGGCTAGGGATACTGCTCGGCAGGGTGTTCGGGAGATTCCCCGTACAAAGCCCCAGAGATGATGGCCGTCTTGAATTGTCTTCGCCTCTAGACTTGGATCCATTGGGCTGGGTGAGTGGGATACCAGCGACCGCTCCGCCGCCACCTCCAGTCTTCGCTACGTTTCTCTTGTAGGGAGGCCGACATTCCCTTCCGAAGCCAAACTTCAACTCGGGGCAAGCGTCGGCGAGGTGTGAACCCCACGCGACTTCATGTGCATATATAGACAACGACTTCCATCTTTCCGTTGTCGAAGATTTCCTCCGTACTCGAGTTGATTCGGTGACTTGTCTCCAAAAATACCTCTTATCTCAGATTCTCAGATTGGCATCCCCGAGTCCCGTCAGCCCGCCACCAGGTGCACGCACTTTTTCGGCCACGGCCACGGCCTCGACTCTTGCTCGCCTCGCCCCATCGCCTGGCTCCGGTCCTCGGAACGAGTGAAGATCGTTGGCTTTTGCTGCCTCAGTCCTCAATTTTGCTCCCCATCACGTTCACGTTCCGTCTTCCGAAGCAAATTAATCGTGCGCGGACCGCTTCCACGGGGATCACACCACGGCCACCCACTTCAACTCCGACATTCCCTCCCCTTCTGTTCCTGCGTGTCCTTTTCGTTCTCTTCACGCTGCCTTCTTCTTCTCTTTCCCCTCATTCTCCCTTCTTTTAGGATTTCTCCTCAAGTACACTGGAACTGGGTGCCCTCGTTCGCCCAAACTGGTCCATTCATTAGGGGTCGGTTGCCATCCCTTCCCTCCCTTATCTGTGTCGCCCTCCGCCCCCGTCCTCCGAGTCGTGCTGAGGCTACAGTGTCTCCAGCGCCCCTCGACCCCCGAGCTTCAACATGGCGCAGCTCGACACTCTGGATGTGGTTGTCCTGGCGGTGCTCTTGGCCGGTAGCATTGCCTACTTCACCAAGGGTACCCTCTGGGCAGTCGCCAAAGATCCTTATGCATCTTCGGGCACTGCAATGAACGGCGCCGCTAAGGCAGGCAAATCTAGAAACATTATCGAGAAGATGGATGAAACCGGCAAGAATTGCGTTATTTTCTATGGATCGCAAACTGGAACGGCAGAGGACTACGCTTCAAGGCTCGCAAAGGAAGGGTCCCAGAGATTCGGCCTAAAGACTATGGTGGCTGATCTGGAGGAGTACGACTTTGAGAACTTGGACAAATTCCCCGAAGACAAGGTTGCGTTTTTCGTTCTGGCTACATACGGAGAGGGTGAGCCCACCGATAACGCTGTCGAATTCTACCAGTTCTTCACCGGCGAGGATGTGAGTTTCGAGGACGGCGCTTCCGCCGAAGATAAGCCTCTCTCGTCCCTCAAGTACGTCACCTTCGGGCTGGGCAACAATACATACGAGCACTACAACGCCATGGTCCGCCAGGTGGACGCCGCGCTTACGAAACTCGGTGCGCAAAGGATTGGATCCGCTGGTGAAGGTGATGACGGTGCTGGTACAATGGAAGAGGACTTTCTGGCCTGGAAGGAACCCATGTGGGCTGCTCTTTCGGAAGCCATGGGACTGCAGGAACGCGAATCTTCCTATGAACCCGTCTTCAGCGTTGTGGAAGATGAATCTCTGTCACCCGAAGATGACTCGGTCTATCTCGGTGAGCCCACCAAGGGCCACCTTGAGGGCCAGGCCAAGGGTCCTTACTCCGCACACAACCCGTTCATCGCTCCTATTGTCGAATCTCGTGAGCTGTTCACTGTTAAGGACCGCAACTGTCTGCACATGGAAATCAGCATCGCTGGAAGTAATCTCACTTACCAAACTGGTGATCACATTGCAGTCTGGCCCACCAACGCTGGCGCGGAAGTGGATCGGTTCCTGCAAGTCTTCGGTCTGGAGGAGAAACGCCACTCTGTCATCAACATCAAGGGTATTGATGTGACTGCCAAGGTCCCGATTCCGACACCAACCACCTATGATGCCGCCGTCCGCTACTACATGGAAGTTTGCGCCCCTGTTTCCCGTCAATTCGTCTCCACCCTGGCTGCCTTTGCTCCTGATGAGGAGAGCAAGGCGGAAATTGTGCGCCTCGGCAGTGATAAAGACTACTTCCACGAGAAGATTACCAACCAGTGTTTCAACATCGCTCAAGCCCTGCAGAGCATCACGTCCAAGCAATTCTCCAACGTTCCGTTTTCGCTGCTTATCGAAGGTCTCAACAAGATACAGCCTCGTTACTACTCCATTTCTTCATCTTCTCTTGTCCAGAAGGACAAGATCAGTATTACTGCTGTCGTGGAATCCGTTCGCTTGCCCGGTGCTACCCATGTTGTTAAGGGTGTGACGACAAACTATCTCCTCGCCTTGAAGCAGAAGCAAAACGGTGATCCTTCTCCTGACCCTCATGGCCAGACCTACGCTATCACCGGCCCACGCAACAAGTACGACGGGATCCATGTTCCAGTTCATGTTCGGCACTCCAACTTCAAGCTCCCCTCCGATCCCTCTCGACCCATCATCATGGTGGGACCCGGCACTGGTGTTGCTCCCTTCCGCGGTTTCATTCAAGAGCGAGCTGCTTTGGCCGCTCGGGGCGAGAATGTCGGGCCTACTGTTTTGTTCTTCGGTTGCCGCAACCGTGAGGAAGATTTCTTGTACAAGGACGAATGGAAGGTACGTTCTCATTCTCTCAGTGTTATTTCCAGGAATATTCAATGCTAACAATCGTTTACAGGTCTTCCAGGATCAGCTTGGCGACAACCTGAAACTCATCACCGCATTTTCTCGTGAAGGATCGCAGAAGGTTTATGTTCAGCATAGACTTCGCGAACACGCAGAGCTTGTCAGCGATCTTCTCAAGCAAAAGGCGACCTTCTACGTCTGTGGTGACGCTGCAAACATGGCTCGTGAGGTCAACCTCGTGCTTGGCCAAATCATTGCGGCTCAGCGTGGCCTCCCCGCTGAGAAGGGAGAGGAGATGGTGAAGCACATGCGAAGCAGCGGCAGCTACCAAGAGGACGTCTGGTCATGATCCTCTCTCGGTGCCTCATTAATACGCATTTTAGCATGTCATGACTTTTGTTACGTTCTGATGCCCAGCTGATCTTTGCACATATACTCCGGTTTCTTGGTTTATTTCGGCATGGCTCATGTGTGCCAGTCCTTTCCTTGCTGTCAGATAGTCGACCACAAAAAGGAGTTCTGACCATTATATGGATGAGATAGACGGTGATGACGAATGTGAGACGAGGTGTCTCAATGATTGGATGCCCGGCTGCTCGGAGTCGATAGTCATTATTAATACTCATATAAAATACATTTCATTTTTTTTTCTGCTCATTGGAATCTCTCAGTATCTAAATCACGGTAGGTGTGTTTGGACTGTTGGATCGAGGCCAGGAACCCTGGTGACTGGTCAGCCCGAGCGGAGTTAACAAAAGGAGTCCGCAACCAGCGTCATCAAGATTTCTGCGAGATAAACGCGCCCGCCGAGGGAAGTTCCGCAAACCTCGAAGCACCTCACCACTTCTCCATCCTCCTCCCATCTGCTTACCAACTCAAAACCTCCCAACGAAGGAACGGGTGCCAATGTCAAATCAATCCTGAGTTCGAAAGCTGTCCATGCAAGCCACTCCTCCCGCCCTGATTCAGCGATAAGCTCGTGCCCCATCCCCGCAGGCGTCCCCGAAGCACGCATTAGCGACTCAGAGGAGTTCATCCGAGGCAAGATGTCTTATGTAGTGCCAATTCATCGGGCCAGCAGCATCCGACATGCCTTGAAGCTGCAATTTATAAATTCCGAGGAGGAAACACTGGTTGTTGCGTGCGTATCCTCGACAGGCGTGTCCAGGTCCAGCTCCGCGGCAGAGCAAAATGTCGCCTGGTAGAACCCCTCTGCTGACGGATACAATGTATTTGATAGAAAATCGAACCAGCTCGAATTCTACTCCCTCACACCCGACGGCCTCTCCCTCATAACATCATGCTCGATATATGCCAGAGTGACTATGCTGGCTCGCCTGCCAGCGCCCGCGGGCTCGCCTACGGATCACCTCTTCGTCGGTACGGATCGCTATTCCTACTTTACGCTCTCTTGGGATAGCACACAGAACCAGGTCCGTACGGAACGAAATTATGTTGATATCTCCGACCCGTCCTCCCGTGAGGCACAAACAGGTAGTCGGTGCATGATTGATCCGAGCGGACGGTTCATGACGCTGGAGATATACGATGGCATGATTGTGGTTATACCTATTGTACAGCCACCTAGCAAAAAGAGGGGAAGGCAAGTGGCGCCGCCTACTGGTCCTGACGTCCCGAAGGTTGGAGAGTTGAGCGAGCCGATAACAACACGGATTGACGAGCTCTTCGTGAGGTCTTCGGCGTTCTTGCACGTGCAGTCTGGGCCACCGCGGTTGGCGTTACTGTATGAAGATAACCAGAAGAAAGTCCAGCTGAAAGTTCGGGAGTTGAGCTATACCTCTGGGTCAGCAGCTGAATCGGAATTCACACATGTTGCGGATTACACGCAGGAGCTGGACCTTGGGGCATCTCACCTTATACCTGTTCCTGCTCCTCTAGGTGAGTAACTGATCCAGCACTCTGTTTTATAGCTTCTTTCGCTGATAGTTTAGCAGGTGGGCTTCTTATCCTGGGCGAAACAACCATCAAGTATATTGACGCGGACAATAATGAGATTGTCTCTCAGCCTTTGGAAGAGGCAACGATATTTGTGGCATGGGAACAGGTTGATAGTCAGAGGTGGTTACTCGCAGATGACTACGGGCGGTTATTTTTCTTGATGCTCGTCCTCGAGAATTCTGTGGTGGAACGCTGGGAATTACACCGTCTCGGAAACGTATCACGGGCTTCTGTCTTGGTATATCTTGGGGGTGGAGTGGTGTTCGTAGGATCACATCAAGGAGACTCACAAGTTCTGCGCATCACCGACCAGTCATTCGAAGTCATCCAGACCTTGTCCAACATTGCCCCTATTCTGGATTTCACTGTCATGGATCTGGGCAACCGCACGAGTGAGAGCCAAACGCACGAATTCTCATCCGGCCAGGCTCGTATTGTTACCGGCTCTGGAGCTTTCGATGATGGCACCCTCAGAAGCGTGCGTAGCGGCGTTGGGATGGAAGAGCTGGGCGTGCTAGGCGACATGGAACACATCACCGACCTGTGGGGGTTGCAGGTTGAGTCGAGCGGTGATTTCTTGGATACGCTTTTGGTTACATTTGTGGACGAGACGAGGGTCTTTCGCTTCAGCCCTGATGGGGAGGTCGAAGAACTGGAAAGCTTCCTTGGACTGAGCTTGTCGGAGAACACTCTCCTTACCGCGAACTTGCCCAACGGCCGCGTGTTACAGGTCACCGAGCAGAGGGTTCTTATTGCGGACATCGAAGGCGGGATGATTGTCTCCGAGTGGACACCACGGAACCAGCTGATAATTACCGCTGCCTCTGCTAACGACGATGCATTGGTTGTCGTCGCTGGGGGTGAACTCGTGACTGTTCTGGATATTCGTTCAAACGCTAATGTCATAGCGGAGAAGGACTTTGGGGCAGACAAACAGATATCAGGTGTGACGCTACCTTCATCGCCGACAGGTGTCTGCATTGTAGGGTTCCCTCAGTTGGCCAAGGTCTCGGTGCTGAAGCTAGAAGATCTGTCGGATATCAATACGACTTCTCTTGGTCCTGCTGGCGAGGCGTTCCCACGTTCAGTACTCGTCGCCAGCGTGCTAGCGGACAGTCTTCCAACGCTTTTCATTTCTATGGCTGATGGCAGCGTCATTACATACAGTTATAACCCTAACGGCCATTCCCTCACCAGCATGAACAAGCTTATCCTCGGATCTGAACAGCCGACCTTTAAGAAGCTGCCGAGAGGCAACGGCCTGTACAACGTCTTTGCCACATGCGAAAACCCTAGCTTAATCTACGGATCTGAAGGCCGAATCATTTATTCGGCGGTGAATTCGGAAGGAGCTTCGCGCATCTGCCATTTCAACTCAGAGGCATATCCAGAGTCAATTGCAGTGGCTACTGCCAAAGAGCTGAAAATCGCGTTGGTTGACAAGGAACGGACTACGCAGATTCAAACGCTCCCAATTGGCGCTACTGTCCGCCGTGTCGCATACTCCCCGTTAGAGAAGGCCTTTGGCATTGGCACGATAGATCGCAAGCTGAAGGATGGCGAGGAGATTGTAAAATGTCAGTTTGTCCTGGCAGATGAGATCCTCTTCCGACGCCTTGACTCCTTCGAACTCAACGAAGGCGAGATTGTGGAAAGTGTGATTAGAGCTGAGGTGCCGAGGGGCAAAGACGGAGATGCAAAGGACTGCTTCATCGTCGGAACAGCAGACCTGGATGATGCGGAGACAAACATCTTCCGAGGGCGCATCATGATATTCGAAGTCGACAACGGTAGAAAGCTTAGTAAAGTCGCCGAGTCTGCTGTGCGAGGAGCATGTCGAGCGCTGGCAATCATGGGAGATAAGATCGTTGCAGCACTTATCAAGACGGTATGTCTTAATGGAGGTCGCTTCTACAGAACTAACATTTGTCGTAGGTTGTGGTTTATCGGATAACCAACATCTTCAGTGGCATAAAGCTCGAGAGGCTAGCCACCTACAGGACGTCTACTGCCCCCGTGGATGTCACAGCGACAGACAACACGATTGCCATATCTGATCTGATGAAGAGCGTCTGCATCGTGGAATACAGAGAAGGCGAAAACGGACTCCCTGATAAATTAGTCGAAGTGGCTCGACACTACCAAACCGTGTGGGGAACCGGTGTTGCCTCAATAGCCCCGGATACCTACCTCGAGAGTGATGCAGAGGGTAATCTGATTGTCCTTCGCCGAAATCGCTCCGGGGTGGAGGAAGAAGACCGTCGCAGGCTGGAAGTTACGGGTGAAATCTCCCTCAGCGAGATGGTCAACCGCATCCGCCCTGTCAATATACAACAACTGCCCGACGCAACCGTCTTCCCAAGGGCTTTCCTCGGAACGGTACGTTTATCTCTGCTAATCCATTATCCCTTCCCCGGACCTCTTCACCACCCCCACCCCCACCCCCGTCTCCGCACCAACCCTCTCCGCATCAATTCCCTAATTCCTACTCACACGACTCGCAAAACAGGTCGAAGGCTCAATATATCTATTCGCTTTAATAAACCCCGATCACCAAGACTTCCTCATGCGCCTGCAAGCAACAATGGCCAGCCGCGTCGACTCCCTGGGCGACCTGTCCTTCATGGAATTCAGAAGCCTGCGGACACTGACCCGGCAAGCCTCCGAGCCTTACCGCTTCGTCGACGGAGAGCTGATCGAGCGGTTCTTGACCTGCGAACCGAATGTGCAAAAAGAGATTGTCGATATGGTGGGGAAGAGCGTCGAGGAGGTAAAGGTTATGATTGAGGCGCTTAGGAGGTTGCATTAGATCTCTTCAGGACATATTCTTCTTACCTTATATGGCTTTGTGGCCAGTATCTATTCGATTCAGATCTGCGGGCCTATCTACTTATGAATTATATGCATAGAATTCTTTATGATTTATCGACTTCTCCAATACTCAGGTAGGCTTCCGCCTCTTCTGCTGAGATACGTTCACTGGGCGAGGTAGAAAGTCCACTAGGTGCGATATACCCTAAATTCATTGGCTACAGACCCTCTAAGAGGCACCCTCGTAAGGCTTAATTCCTGGTTACTTGCGGCGGTCTGATGATGTGGCTCTTTGGTCAGGGCTGACGCTGAAAGATCTGGCCGATCGCGATATCCCCGATGTCACAAGCCCCAGCACCGGTGACGATCTTGACGGGCATACCAGGTCTGTCACTAGTGCCTCGAAAGGGCTCGTAGAGGTCACCAAATCTAAGCAACCAACAGTCCAGTTTATCCACGAATCTGTCCGAGATTTCCTCATCAAAGACAAAGGTCTCCAGGAAATCCGGCACGAATTTGGACTCGAGCTCGAGGGTACAAGCAATAAAACATTAAAACAATGCTGCTATGTGTACCTAAATCACACTGAGGTGCGTGACGATATTAAAAGGCAAAGCCATAGGGCTATCGCGCCACGACAGAGGGAATTATCATCAAACTACCCTTTTCTGGAATGCGCCACTAAGCATATCCTCCACCATGGTGATATCGCTGCTTCTACCATTCCTCAGAATAGGTTCTTGTTCCTTTTTTTTTTTTTTTTTTTTTTTGCACATATTGTGTTACGTTGATAACCTTATCGAGAAGTTTCCATATCATCAGTTCAGCCAAATACAAGTCTCTTCTATGTTCTTGCAGAGAAAGGGCCCGTAGAGCTGATTCGCACAAAGCATGAAGATGATCAAATGTTCACGTTTTTGGTGGACATTACAGATACCCTCTATTCGTCGCTATGGCCCTTGGCAACCAGGAAGTTATCGCTGCTCATCTAAAGGTGCCGATAAAGACAGTTAAAAGTCTTGATTTTACGGCCGAGGGGAGCGAATTCTATCGGCGTACGCCACTTTCATAGGCCGCAGAGCAGGGCCGGGTGGGCATTGCTGCTCTACTCATTCAAGCTGGTGCAAACGTAAAGGAAGTAGATCAATAGATAAAAACGCCATTACCCTTGGCCGCAGATAAGCGACATAGACCTGCAATACGGCTGTTACTTGAGCATGGAGCCCGGATACCGATTAATGGCAGCCCAACGCCGAGGATGAATATGGAGAGATACTATCGTCATTAGCATCGCGAAAAGACCAGAAGCAGAAGATGGAGCATTCCATTATAAAGAAAGCTATGAGGGGGCCCACTTTAGGTTATCCGAGTAAGCGCAAGACTGTTCCAATGTTGTGTTTCATAGGGATTGGATATGTCTTCCGTCACGGGATATTGGCCCAGTATATCCATAAATACGTGGTTGATTACGAGTTCTTCAGAGACTAGAGTGGCCGTGGGACCTAGTGGAATATGAAGGTGATGTTGAATAGCGAGATGTGCTCTGTGGTTTATGGATTAAGCTACCCAGGGCTGCTACCTAGGGCAGCCGAAGCTGAGGACATCAGGAAGATGTGGAACTTGGCAGCTGGAGTTGAGATAAACCTACCTTTTCTTAGCGTAAATCCTACAGTTCAGTTGCTTTCAGATACTATGATATCCTTGACGTCTCCGTCGTCAAACATTCCCCGAAGGATTTGCTACTTTGTTTGTTAGCATGCCCAAAAGTAGGAAGAGATTATGGGACTATTTCGCCTGGTTGAGAGTTATACGTTGCTTTCGAAGGCTCTCCAAAGTGAGGTTCGAGAACTGACTGTCAACGCATGTCTTGAGATTCGTGTCTCAGATGCCGCAGGGCATGTTTGTTGAGCCTCTCCCGATAATTAAGTTCGACTATAGTGTAACATGTAGAGCTAGTTAATACACGATCCGAAAGCAAAGCCACCCCGAGAAAGACAACAAAAAGATCTATCAATGTAAAGAGCCCATGCCCAGAGAACGGAGCCGAAGAGAAGGCTTTGAGAAAGAAAGAGCGTAAATCAAGCCTTCTTTTCGTCTTCGGACTCACTCCAATCCAGAAGCTCCATAAGTTGATCTTCCGACAATCTGGTACCCTTGCCCTGCGCGGCCTCCTTCTCAAGCTTCTTTTGGTGCTTCTTCGCCCTTTTCCTAGCATTCTTTCCCCACTCTGGCACCCCACTCGCCGTCGCAAACTCCTCCGCATCCTCTCCCTCAAGCTCGTCGTCCGTGTTCTCAACCTCGCCTAGCACCTTCCCCTCACCATCCGCAGCAGCACCACCCCGCAGTGCATTTGCAGAGACCTTAGCCTTCCCCCTGGCTGCAGCCTCGGCCCGCTCCTTCTCCTGCTGCTTCTTGCGGTCTCGGTCGTGCATTTTCTTGAAGAAGGCCTCGATGTAGGGACGAATGAGGATGTAGCCAACTACGCAGAGACCGACTTTCGTCCAGCGGTGCATGGTCATGTCGGCGAAGGAATGGTAGAGGTTTTTGCAGAAGCGGGTGATGAGCATTTCGAGGAAGGCGTACAGATTGCTAAAGTAGTCGTTTATGGCGTCGACTATAGCATTGTTAATTTTGGAGGAGTCCATTTTGGCGACGTTTGTGCCGTTGGCGGGCTTCAATTTTCAGCGAAAAGCGTACGCTGGTTGGAAAAGAAATCGGGTGTCGAGGGCAAGGTGGTGGGAGGACGGAGCCGGATGGCTCGGTGAGGAATTCGGTGGCGGGGCAAATTGCCTATGGCAACTGCACAGCGATTAGGTGGTGGATATAGCGCGGGACTGCCGGAGGATCCTCTTCGGTTTCGAGCTTCGAGCTGAATACAACAATAAAAAGTCAGAGCCAAATGCGTGAGGTATTTCCTGAAAGTTGAAGGCAACCCTGGGCAGGCAAAATGTAGATTCCCTTCGTGGTTAGCTTGATCGACACGGAGAAAGAGTCATTCCGGCGGGAGCTTCAACCAATTGCAGGCCGCTCATTCGGAGACGCGTCGAGCTGCCGCTGTCGCGTTTGAGCTTTGGTTTTTACCAGACAAATTGTTGCGCGCTGGACAGATTTCAGATCAGTACCAATCTTTGTTCTTGAAGCTGCCGTTCCTGCAGGATACGAAACACGACCTTTACCGCGGCATACTTGCTTTTCTGGAAGAAGATGGATCAAAATGATGATCCCGGTCTAGAAGAGGTATGAACTTTGATCTTGCAACCTCTTCCAAAGTGAGTTAACGCGAGCCAGCGCCTTAAATCCGCGCTCTGGTTGTCCATCGGAAAGATTGTGGACGAGGAGACAATCAAGCTCGGCGTGAATGCCACTCCTCAATTCATCGGCGCCCTGACCGAACTTGTCTGGGTTCAAATAGGTATGACACTCTCTCCCCGTCACCTCCCCGCAACATACACAATGTGGATTGCGCCTTGCCGCGGGGAATACGCCGAGGTGCAGCATACGACACCGCCGTGCCGCATGAATTCGAGTGTGGTCATGTTTCCCTCATTTCATCGTGCCTGATGCCGCCAAGTCTTGGATCGTGGCTGATTCAATGGGACAGAAACCGCGAGTCAGGACTTAGAATCATTCGCAAAGTGAGCCATCCAAGCCCTTGACTTGTCATTCTTGTTTCCTAATAGGTGTCTTTGGGATTAGGCACGCGGGCCGCTCGACAATCAACGTATCGGACGTGATGATGCTAGCACGCCGTAACGAAGGACTCGAATCTATATTAAGAGCATTTGTTGATCAACAGCGGCAACAGGAGGCGGACTGAGTGTGATTCGCGGCTATTGAACCGTAGGTCATTTCGGACCTCCCCACGAAAAGGACAGTGATCTGATAGGCTGGATGTCATTTGCGGACCATTCAGATCATAGAGTTTATTATCCTTGACAGGAGCGTGATATTGACCATATTGGGTTTGAAACGAGGGATCATCTGGCCCAAATGCAGCCTTTACTCAAAAAGTCTTAGGGGTGAAGTCAGCCAAGAGCAGTCATGATGAGATGAATGGGTCGGAAACTCGGACACAATGACGCCACCCCGCACGCTCCCCACGATTTTTGACGTTTGAGGGTTCATGGAGACGTGCTAGCGACCATTCTTTCCAGAACGAATCGGAAGAAAGTCCAGCGAATCATACTCTCAAGTGGCTTTGGGACTTTTGTGAAACGCAAATCAAATCATAAGCTCTCCCCACACTTCAAGGAGAACTATCAGCCACAAAGCTTGACTGACGACACCAGGTCAGATGGACCTGCATCTTCTTCAATCAGCTTCACGATCTGGATCTTTGCCAGGTACAGCGTTCGAAAAAGCTGGCGCAGCTGCTATGGAGGCTTGCCTCGCAACGTCATGGAAACGTCGCCAGTGGGTGACCATAGATAATATAAAAGTAAAAAGCCCATAGGGCCTTTGATCTTGGTTGTACCACATTTCAAGCTCGACTGAAATCAATTGAACTACTCCTTCAATTGCTCAAAGAAATTCCACAATAATCTTCCAGGCACTCTTTTAACACAGTCCCTGAAATATGCCTTCTATGAGAGCAGTCCGTTTTCACGGTCCTAAGGACATAAGGCTCGACCACGTTGAGGAGCCCGTCTGCGGCAAGGGCCAGGTAAAGGTAAGGCGCATTCGAGACACCTCAGATCAACAGACTGACAGAAATCTGTCTATCCAGCTCCGAAACGGCTACTGTGGAATCTGCGGGAGCGGTAAGCTTCCTTCCTCTCTTCTTAGCCACCAGGCGCGTGCTAATCCATTGCGCAGACCTGCACGAATGGACAGCAGGGCCTGTCCTCATTCCGAAAGAGCCTCACAATATCACCAAATCAACGGCGCCGGTCATTATGGGTCATGAATTCGGTGGAGTCGTCGAGGAGGTTGGCGAAGGCGTCACACATCTATCTCCAGGGCAAAAGGCCGTGGTACGACCAACAATCTTTGACCGCAAATGTCCACCCTGCAAACTTGGGTACGAGTACTGTTGCGAGAACATTGGCTTCATCGGTCTATCAGGTACGTTGGCCAACGATCTTTTGTACAGCAAAGGATGTGCTAACGATTATTGCTGCAGGGTACGGTGGTGGATTCGCCGAGCACGTCGTCGCACCTGCGGAACACTTCTACCCTATCCCCGACAACATCTCGATGGAATCCGCAGCGATGATCGAACCGCTGGCCGTTGCATGGCACGCTGTGAATCTGTCCCCATTCAAAGAAGGCGATAGTGTTCTTATTGTGGGCGGAGGGCCACTTGGTCTGTGTATCCTACAAGTCTTGAAGATGCGCGGAGCCAAATTCACAATGGTTGCCGAATTGATGGAGAGCCGAAAAAAGTCCGCGAATGACTTTGGCGCAACGCATATTTTCGACCCTACGGAGGCCGACATCCCAGAAAAAGTTCGCGAATTGACGAACGGAATTGGCGCAGATGTCGTCTTTGATACGGCTGGTGTCGAGAAAGCACTAGACGGTGCTATTGGAGCCTGCCGTGTACACGGAACCATCGTCAATGTCGCCGTTTGGGAGAAGCGACCGTCTATTCGAGTCAACGAGATGATGTACCACGAGGTGAAATACCTCGGTGCAGCATTGTACGACGAAAAGTCATTCACGAGTGTGATTGAAGCTATCGCAAAAGGCGAGCTCCAGCCGGAGGGGATGATCACGGACAAGATTGGGCTGGAAGATGTGATAGAGAAAGGATTCAAGTCGTTACTGGGAGGCAGAGACAAGCACTGCAAGATCCTGGTTGATCCGCAGGCGTAAATCAACGGGACCGTTTCCTTGATACTCGGAGTTGGTTATGGGGATTGCACATAGGTTGGGTAATGCCGTCACGACTACGTTTTTTCCATGACGCTATTCTTGCTTCGCACACGCCATAATAGAGAGACGATCATGCCTTCTTGCCTTTACTAGTCGAGCTTCATGAACTTTTACTGCCATACATAAATCGAATAACTGATGTGGCCGTGCAACTCGAATCCAGCGTCGAGCCAATTGCGATTGTTGTAGCCTTTGAAGATGTCGTGACGTCAGCTGAGGCTGGGGGTGTGGCTTGGATAGCTAAAGGGGGAAGTTTTGCCATCGCTTGAGCTCATCTTCGTCATCTTTGGTCAATCATTCGACTATTTCATGGAACAAGATTTATGCAGCCTGTAAGATGCTGCAAAGGCTACGATCTTCCCGCGGTTCCATGGGCCAGACCCAGAGCTGTACCCACTGATGTGCTCTCAGCGGGAGCCCTCAACCCACAGGGCCCTGTGTCAATGTAATTCTGCTGCCTTTTTGGCCTGTGACGCCGTTGGTCTTTTTTTGTTTAAAGGGCGTCCTTAGCTGCATTCCTGATCTTCCTCAATCGCTCGTGTTGAATCCCGCGAGCTAACAACTGCCGTACCCCTCTACCCCGCGAGAATTATATACCTTTGATCACCATGGGAGCCGGAGGCGCCATTCTTCGCTTCTTCAATCTCGCTATACGCGTGCTACAGTTCCTGGCATCTGCAGTCATCCTAGGAATCTTCTCCTATTTCCTCGCCAAGCTCGCACAGAACAACCAGCACATTCCAACATGGACGAAAGCCGTTGAGGGTCTTTCAGGAGCAGCGACCCTCTATTCACTCTTAGGTGCTCTGTTCACCTGCTGCCTAGGAGGAATCACCTTCTTTGCAGCCGTGGCTATCTTCCTGGATGTCTGCTTCGTCGGAGCTATGATCGCCATCGCCATCTTGACCAGTGACGGAACCGACAACTGCTCTGCCACCCCCGATACCCCTGTTGGAACTGGTCCTGATGGCACCAATTCTCCCGCGGGCGTGGACTATGGCTACGCCTGCAGACTGAATAAGGTCGTATTTGCCGTCTCCATTATCTCAATGTGAGTTCACAATCCCCGCTCCCCCGCAAACGAAGCCTGGTAGAACTAACCCACTACTTCACAGCTTCTTCTTCCTTATCTCCATCCTCTTCCAATACCTCCTCGGCCGCCACCACAAGCGCGAGAAGCGCTTCGGTCCCTCCCCGGCCAACAACTACACCTACGGAACAGGCACGCAGCGCCGCGGCTTTTGGCGCCGCAACAAGCATACGCCCGAGAACGCCAGTGCTGATGATATGCTGCCCGCTCACACTACTCCCGGTGAAGTTGAGAATGGCGGCGTGCACAATGAGAAGCCCGGTTGGTTCGGCCGTTTCGGGCGCAGGAATGAGCCTATGAATGGTGCTGGTGCTCCGACGGCGTATGGGGCTCAGACCCAGGCTCCGGCTGCGGGTGCTGGAGCTGGGGGGTATGGGTATGGACAGCCGGCGTATAATACCAATTATTAAGAGGAGGTTGAATTCTGTTGTTTGGAAATGCAGAATGCAACCACCAAAATTGCCCGAAATTACAAGAAAGACAGAAAATATTTTACGACGCCGCGTGAGAGCTCAACATCCGCTCTAAATACGCCTAATACCAAAGAAGTTGTCCCTGGAGCATACCCAAGAAACCCAGAACAACAATGATCAGTCTCTTTTCACCAGACTCATGATTCAACGAGCCGAAACTCGAAATCTACGTAATCTAATACTATGCGATCATGGCTGAACAATGTTTGGAGTGTTCGCCTCTTGCTTGCTACATTGTTGTTCACTACTATATGGCTGGCTTTTGTTTTCATTCTAGTACTATAATATTACCCTCGTTAGACAGTCATGATTACAATTCAACGTTAATCGGCTTATATTTTGGCTGTTTGGATTGTGGTGTGATCTTCAGAAATATATTTGTGATACCGCTGGCGCAACGCAATATGGTCACTCGCCCTACTTGAATACGCACACGCATTTTTGACAAGTAAAAAAAGAAAAAACTACATTGCGTACACAAAGATCCGAGTATATTTCATACGGACTAGCGACTATGTCTGCAACGAAAAGAAGACTTCAGAAGACAAAAAAACACCATATTGATTAGGCATATTAAGCTTGAGGAAGAAAGCGAGGGTGAAATCCAAGACATCAATTCATCATTGAGTGCAGGAAGCAAGAATGAAGATCGCAAGAAAACGAACCAACCATCCAAGTGAACATTAGAAGATGGATGGAGGAACTGAAAAATCATCAAGAGCGTGGGAAAAAGGTACAAGACAAGATAGTATAAGGGACTAAGAAGTAAAGCCACAAAATGGGTAAACAAAAGTCCTGGGCAACATCACCTCGCACCAGGCGAGAATCGAAGTACATAAATTTGCTGGTGTAAAAGAGTGCATATTCTGAAATGGACAGAAGGGCAGATACAACAGAGGCCAATGACTATCAGCTGGCTTGCTTAATCAAGACGCTGCATCGCGCCATGAACGCAGTGAGTCCCCGCAGCGACCTTGCCCATGTGTACCGGATAACCCTGGTTGCAGAGCCACCAGCTGCCGCCGTCCCTGGAGCAAATCACGGTTCCGGGGACGCAAGGAGTGTCTGGGCCTCCGATGGGGAACTCGGGGCGTAGGGTTGGAACTGTTACTCCGAAAGAGGAGGCGGCCCTGGCTGCAGAGGATTCTGCCACTGAGGAGGATGAAGGCGACGCGACAGCGGCGGAGGAGGATGCCAAGGGGGCGTGCGCTAGGGAGGTGGTGCTGGGAGTGCCTTTAGCGGACCCGGTGTTATAGGAATCAGAATCCATGCCGGAGTCGGAGTCGAAGATGGTGGGGAAGTCCGAGTCTGCGCCGGTCGACAATGCAGCGTTGGGGGACTTGGAAGTGCGTAGGAACGGAGCGGATGCGGCGCACTCGTAGCCCGTGCCGGAGAGGCTTCCCTCGACGTCTGGGCCGGGGAGGGGAAAGTTGACTTCTTGGCCTTCGATTGTCTTGCATTGGCCGGGGCCGTTGACGTTGGCAATGAAGATAGGCGGAAGACTGCTGAAGGCGTCGCGACGGGAGACAGATGTAAACCCTGCTTCGCGAGCACCGCTGCCGATGGTGACTTGAGCGCAGTTCATGTACATCTCGCGGTTGCCAATCTTGTTGAACCAACTCCAGGCAAGGAGAGCTTGGCCGGAGGGAGCGTCTGCGGGAACCTTAAAGCTGTAGCTGCTTTGCAACGGACATCCGCCGAGCATCGAGTGGATGACTTGGAAAGTCTGTCCGTTGTCGTAGGACAGGGAAATCTGGCATGACCCTCCGCCATGAGTAGCGCTGCCCTGGAGCTCGATTTGATATGTCTGACCCTGGCTATAACTGGCCACGGAATTGAAGGCATCTTTATGATAGCCTTTGCAGGGATAGTTGGATCCATCGGTGGACAGAGGACTGGTGTACGAGTAGTCCTTTTCGCTGTTTGCTGGGTTCAAGGGACTGCGGATAGGGAATGGCTTGGACATTTGGATGTGTCCGTAGGTGGACGAGGCCAATAGGGCACAGGTAAGGAAGAAGCTCTTCATGGTGTTGGCTTGCTAAAGGAACGTTGAAGGTGAATATTCGAAGCACCAGGCTGTTGTAAATGAAGGACAGAATCGATACTTGGGAAGTTGTTAGAGGAGGTTGGTTCAAATACCAAGAAATAAGTTGCCAAATGGCCAGCACAAAGGGATTCTTACCTGGTTATTGAGGAACAATAGCCCAGTAAGGAGAGACAATGATCAATAGGCGATATATCAATGCAAAGGAAGGAATGGCAATAACACAGCAAAAAGCCCAAATGTCTCTAGATTGAGAAGAGAGCGTGAAAAGCAATTCCACTCTGGTCTGCCCACAACGGCAATTTAAATAAATGGCCCATTGAGCATTGGCATGCTGGCAAACTTTCTTCAGCGAAAACAGAGCCCTGCGCTAGGATGCTGGATGCCATGCCATGCTCCATCTCTAGGCACCGGGTTGTGGGCGATGATTGTCTCGCGAAGAATGTGACCGTAAACAATCGCCAAAACAGGGTGGCTGACTGTTTCGTGCCCTGATTATAAGCTCTCCTTGAGTGGATCCCATTGTGCTTGCTTCGAAGTATTCTCTGTCATGGAGCTGAGGCTCCGAAAGAGCGAGTTGCGCTTGTTTTGGTGGATGGACGGTCGTATACCGAGTAGAGACAATAGAGGAACAACTCGATTCAAGAATGACTTCGTCATTGACGAGCATACGGCAATTCAACACAATCCATCGTTAGAGCGTTTGCAGGTGGAATGTCGTCGATGCACCGTCGACGTCAGAGCTGATCGAGGATATAGAAGTTGGTGAGGTCTGGTGTTCCGCTGGTCGCTAAAAGATCCCGCTAACGCGATCGCCGGAACACCTTCAACCGCCCCTAATCTCACGAGGCTGCGGGCTGAGGCTTATGCAACACGGCCAAAGCCTTCCGTGCCTCCTTGCTCCCTACATCACCCCTTTACGCCGAGCTCCCTCTCACAATTGCTGCGCCCACGATGATGACCCAAGGCGGCTGTAACTTGGATACCCCAGTTTAAAACGGCGTCGCAATCCTCCTTAAACCTTTCCAGCGCCTTTGAACCTCTCACCCACGCTGAATGTTTCTGCGGCATCTTCCTCAGCAGAGGTTCGCTCAGCATGCCGCACGTTTCCACAGCGCCGTGGAATCCGGCCCAGCCGGCCAGGTTCGCCACACCTGCGCGTCACATCGGTCATGGATGACTGTCCAAGGATCTGTGGTGATCCCGATCGCCGCTACTGCTCCAAAGCTGGATTTTCACACCCAGCATCGTGCTTTTAGCCGGACAACGTCCTCGTCACATTCCGGCGGACGATGGTCGGCATTGAAGCTTGAGACAGCCCCATTGACCACACTAACCCTTTGGAGACAGTTCACTGCTGGTTCGCCGCGCCCATCCAGCGATATGAAAGCTACCTCTGAACCACAGACGCCTCTGAAAGTGGAGGGGGTGCAGATTGAAGACTCGTTTGCCGATACGGGCGACACGCGTGAGAACGGCGCACTTAACGTGCCAATTGACCCAGAGTCGGATGAGGAAGTGCCGGTTGAGGCTGAAGAGCTTCAGGAAGCTCTTTCACGCGCGCCACCCGTCAATAGCAGCTACCTTCCCCTTCCCTGGAAAGGTAGGCTAGGGTATGTGAGTAACCCCCGCCCTCTTCCTGGTTCTCACCGTCGTCGTCTAATCAAGCACGTATCTTATAGGCATGTCTGAACACCTATCTACGATATTCGAACCCACCGGTTTTCTGCTCCCGCACCTGTCGTATAGCCTCCATTCTCGAGAATCGACACCCGCTTTCCGATCCCTCACAACCCCCGCATCCCACCAAGAACCGACCGGACCGGGAGCAGACACCTGATGTTGCACGGGGTCAGGCATACGTGGAAGCGTTGGGGCTGACGAACGCTCGCGATCTGCTGAAATTGTTACGCTGGAACGACCGCTATGGAATCAAGTTCATGCGCTTGAGTAGCGAAATGTTTCCATTTGCATCTCATCAAGAGTATGGTTACCGACTGGCTCCGTTCGCATCAGAGGTTCTCGGAGAAGTTGGTCGCCTGGTCGCGGAGCTCGGTCATCGCGTGAGCGTTCATCCAGGCCAGTTTACACAGCTTGGTTCTCCCCGAAAGGAGGTTTATGAGAACTCTGTCCGGGACCTAGAGTATCACTCAGAGCTGCTACAGCTTCTCAAATTACCCTCTCAGCAAGATCGCGATGCAGTCATGATTCTTCACATGGGTGGGGTGTTTGGCGACAAGGAAGCGACTCTGGATCGATTCCGACAAAATTACCAGACACTGTCGCAAGATATCAAGAACCGGTTAGTTCTGGAGAACGACGATGTTAGCTGGTCTGTGCATGACTTGTTGCCAATATGCGAAGAGTTGAACATTCCGCTTGTTCTGGATTATCATCACCATAACATCATTTTCGACTCGACCCAGCTGCGCGAGGGAACTCTCGACATCATGAATCTCTACGACCGAATCAAAGCTACCTGGACAAAGAAGAATATTACCCAAAAGATGCACTATTCAGAACCCGTCGCCGCCGCTATAACAAACCGGCAGCGCCGAAAGCACAGCGATCGCGTTCGTGTCCTTCCGCCATGTGATCCCACGATGGATCTTATGATCGAAGCCAAGGATAAAGAACAAGCTGTGTTTGAGTTGATGAGGACTTACAAGCTCCCAGGGCATGATCTTTTCAACGACATAACTCCATACGTGCGAACCGATGAGAACAAACCGTTTAAGCCGCCACGAAAGACGAAAAAGAACGGCGACTTTGTTGACCTTGAAGCCCAAATCGCGCCCCCAAAGACTGTACCTGAAGAGGAAGTCGGCATGGGAGGCCCGGAGCGAAGGGTATACTGGCCGCCTGGCATGGAAGAGTGGCTTAGGCCGAAGAAGGTTGTGCGGACAAAGGCACTGAAGACGCCCAGGTCTTCTAAAAAGGCGCCGCCGCCGGCTGAAGGAGTCGAGATTGATGGAGCTCCTGCTACACCGACCACGCCGACCTCGAAATCTACCAAAGGCGTGGAGCGCGCATCGAGTGTGAAGAAACGAGCGACCAGGAAACGCAAAGCATCACTTACGCCTACTCCATCGGCTTCCGATGATGAGCCCGTGGAAGATACTCAGCCACCCAGTCTTTCGCGGTCCAAAACTGAAGGCGCCCGCCGAAGCCGACGAGCAAAGACCATAAACTATGCGGAAGATGACGAGTCAGTGTAGTATAGAGCTCTGAATTTGTATATGTAAGATCATATTTGTATACTATATACTGAAGCGCCTGAAGCAAGTCTGATGTATTCGCACCTCCCTACTGGTACGGTACAGCGACGTCACGCATCTCGGTGTAAATAGTAGAGTGGAGCGAAGCTAGCCTTACGCCTCAAAAAGTACCAAAGTAACGTCACCAAGCGACTCAGCTCAGCTTCCCCACAATTTCTTGTGCTGGCAAACCTCAATTTGCATCCTTTCTCAAGCCGAACGCTACACACGTCCTTCGCCTCTGCCCTACCACCAAGAGCTCCCTCATAAACGGGCCCTAAGTTGAGATGCTGATGGCGTATTCGGTTTGTGTCCCCCTCGTCGCTGCTGCCTTGCCCGAATCTCTCTCACCTCATCAAGCACGCACAGCCTTTACTAACCATTCATGGAATTCAGACACAGATATAGAACCTCATAGATAACTAGCGATTTAGATCGCTTAATTCAAGAATCTGGCTCCGAAACCCTTTTTCCGCAGTCGCTGGCGCCTCCCCCCGCCGACCTCTCCCGCAAAGTGGCCAGTGCCACACCGACCCTCCCCTCTCCTCCCTCGTCGCTTCCCCAGTCGCGATCCAGAAGATCCTAGTAGAGGCCGATTCTCGCGCATCTTCCGCCTCCTCTTCGGACCCCACGCTGCCCGACGTGCACACCTGCGCCTCTGGAACTTCCGCCACGAGACCGTCCCCGCGTTTCGGCACCGGGCGCAGGCAAGGATATACCGAGCGATCCTCAACCGGCAGGCCCGACTCGCGAGACGCGCAAAGACAGGGAAATTCGGAATCAGACACATCCTCACCAGGCGGCGTCAGCGGCGACGGCGAGGTCTAAGCGGTATCGTTGGAGGCCTGCTTGTGCCGTTTGAGAAGGCAGCGCACGCGGCGGGCAAAGCGCCCGGTGCTGGCGCGGTAGCGAAAGGTGTTATGTCGGACTACGGGCCACCCTCGTCGTCTCCAACATGGGGGTCTCTTGGGAGTGGGTATGGTCGGCAGCCTGGTGCTCGTCGGAAGAAGGTCTTTGAGTATATCAAGGCGGCGAATGAGTTGCGGCAGTCCTATGCGGCGCAGTGGACGGCTCAACGGAATGCGTCGCGCGGGGATGATGAATACCTGAATACTCCAGGGGCATTTCCGGATGTCGAGATTGCTCGCTCGGGGAATGAGGAAATGGTTCTGTTCCCGAGTTATGCGCGTGTGTTGGGACAGAATAAAATGGGCGAGCAGCGGAGGCGGCGGCGCGGGTCGGCGTCTACGATTGATGAGTATCGGGGCTTAGATGGGCAGGAACATGAGTTGTCTGAGTGGGAAATGTTTGACGATGAGAACGCTGTTGTTGCTGTCGATGTACGAGGCTGGGTATATTCACCTTATCGCGGGCCGATGACTCGTAAACAACGGCTGGCAATTGCTTTGGCACGACGATTGACCGGGATACCTGCGCCAACTAATAGTAAAACTGGCCTTGATGGCGAGAATCAGGACGACGCTCATATACCGCGGACGACGGAGAAACGAGAAGAGGAGATTGTCAATACTGAGGTGCAGTCGATTATTAAGAAGGTCGACAAAGGGAACGAAATGGGATGGAGGGTCGATTCTTCAGAGCTCGATGAGGCCACACCTGGACCTACTCCACAAAGAACACCTACAACTTCCTCGATGCAGTCCACACAGTCGACCCAGCTCACCAAGGACGAGCTCTCCGTTGCCAACGCTCACCTCATGGAGCGGATACGCCCTTTTTTGACAAACCCGATGGCTGGCATGGCGGTGACTGTGTTCTTCTTCAATGACGAACAGAGCCAGTCAAGGAACATAACGACGAACGAATCGGGTCATTTTTCTATTCGTGCCTCGTTGTCTTTCGTTCCAACACATGTCCGCGTACTCGCTTCGGAAGACCTTTCCGCTGTGAAAGGGGTTGAAGTTATCAAGCCCACAGGCGTCAGTCTCATCAGTGACATTGACGACACAGTGAAACACTCTGCCATCACCAGTGGAGCAAAGGAGATATTTCGGAATGTGTTTGTCCGCGAGCTAAAGGATTTGACCATCGAAGGAGTTGATGAGTGGTATAACAATCTCGCCAAGCTGGGGGTAGATATTCACTACGTTTCGAACGCACCGTGGCAACTGTACCCTCTTCTGGATCGGTACTTTAAGATGGTCGGATTGCCACCGGGATCATTTCACCTGAAGCAATATAGTGGCATGCTCCAAGGAATATTTGAGCCCACCTTGGAGAGAAAGAAGGGTAATCTTGAGCAGATTCTCCTTGATTTCCCTGAGCGCAAGTTTATTCTGGTTGGCGATAGTGGAGAAGCCGATCTTGAGGTCTATACTGACCTGGTGTTGGCGAATCCTGGCAGGATTCTCGGAATCTTCATTCGGGACATCACAACGCCGGAACGTACAAATTTCTTTGAAAAGTCTATTGAGCATCTGGAGCATACGCCTTCTCGGACTCGCAGTACCCCGGATCTTGTCGACCGCTCTGATTCAGCGCCTAATCGACCTACACTGCCACCACGCCCGTCACAGATTCCCTCAGCGCCAGTTCCTGAAGCTAAAAGCGCAGAGATGGAAGATTTGATCGATCTTTCGGACGATCCGCCGCAGAAATCAACATACGAGTCTGAGAAACTGTCAACCGGACGAATACCCCCTGCAATACCAACCAAACCTTCTTCTCTACGGTCAGTCACAAACACCGCTGATCTTGCAGATATCCGGCCGGAGATTAGGGATCCTATCAAGAGGAAACCGGCACCTCCGCTACCAAGACGGTCCGTCGCATCCGACTCAGGTCTATCGCCCAATGAGCCTGGGTCACGGCGCTCGTCGCCGGCAGGGGCTAGTGATATTGGTGAAAGGAGCTCCCAAAACCGAATGCCAGTTCGTGCTAGGACAGCTGGGCCACAGTCAAACAATCAGACACCTGTCTCTAAACAGCCTCCGGCTCCTCCGCCTCCCCGTCGATCCAATACCGGAGCGTCCACAATCAGCTCCAGCTCTTCAAGGTCGGACCTAAATTCTCGTCGAACACCTGAACAGCAACCGACATTCCCTACTTCTACTCCTAGCTCTCGAGCCTCGTCGCCGTCAAGGCGGCCAGTCCCGCCAAACATCCTCCGATCACCCGCATCCAATCCGTCCCTCAACAGGACTAACACCAACAACTTAGACGTCTACCCCCCGTCACGAGCATCATCCGTCAACTCCTCCGCGCCTCCTCAGGCTCCGCTGCCAAACAAACGAGAAGAGCTATGGCGGAGACGCTGGGAGCGCGCCAGTGAAATCCTCGCCGATCGAGGGGTCGTACTCGGTAGTTGGCGAAAAGGGCGAGATGTACAAGATGTCAGTCTCTGGCTGGTGAAGGAGGCGTTGAAGGGATCTTCTTCGCCCACGAAAGAGAAGGAAAGAGAGATGGAGAGGGAGAGGGAGCGAGGGAGTGCGTTTTCATGATACCACATGCTGTACTCTGTATCTAGTGTTCTTCGGGTTGTGGGAATAGAACACCCCGATTCGATTGTATAAGATTATCGCTTAGATTATATAGAGGAAGTGGCTATGCACCACTCGATGACTATCATGGCTTCCACTTTTTTTGTTGCATTTGGACCCTTTCCCCCATAAAATAATTGGCCCTAATTCTAGGCCCGCCTGCTCAACTCCTGGTAGAGTACTGGAGATGCGATAATGAAAACCATGGATCGGTCGAAGATATAATCTGCTAATATATGCCACAGATACATATCAGAATCAATCTAGAGTTCTCGCTTCATCTTCATCTGAAAGGTAACTGTCTGATCTCGCAGTGCAATGTCCTAAAAAGATCAAGAAACACGAAATCTATTATGCCATGCGAACAACAAGATACATATGAATAATAACAAGAAAAGCGCAATCTCTGCTTCAACGTAGCGAAGACGCATCAATAAATCACCAAAGCAAAGAAACAATATATTCAATTTCGCCCGCGATGCCATCAACAAGCTCATTGACCTCCCCTTCATCGAGAACGCCGCCCTCGACACGAACTCCTAACCCGATAGTATTTGTCTTCGGATCTGGTCCGATATCAATGAAGATGTTTTCGTGTGGTAGGAATGACGTGTCGAGACCGTCTATTGGTGTCGGTGAGGCGGGGAGTGGTTCGGTTGGGATGAAGTCTGTGGGGACACCGATGCGGAGGGGGTGGAATAGCTCGCCAACGAGGTCTGAGTTCGTGTGTGTTGATTCGAATTCTTGATCGGCGCTTGAGGGAATGGCATTCTGCATCCAGAGGAGGTTGATCCAGGTGTTGAATGTTGGGGCACCGGGTTGTTCGAGATTTGTCCACTGAAGGACATCACGAAGGGAGCTTTGTTCGTAGGATGCACGGTCAGCGAGGGAGGTTTGGATAGTTCGGGCTTGTTGGAGGATGCTGTTCTCTTCCTCGGTGCCAGACAAGGCATTGGGAACCACGAATGGGTTCACGTTCAGGCACGGTCCTGACAGCGTCTCGATGTTCTCGAAAGATGCAGATCGTCCAGTTTGGTATAGTCCTACTGTGGGGCTGGCAACACCGGTAATACTGGCGACGCGGCGAGAAACCGCCAGAAGGACAATAGTTTGAAGACTCAATCCCACCGAACGACACGTCGTCTCCAGGTGCGAAAGATTCTTGATCTTCTCCCATGCTCCGAAGAAAACTTGCGTGTTCCTTGCGTTTACTGCCTTGGTACCCTTGATAAAGGTTGGTTCACCAGCCTTGAGTGCAGACGTCCAGTACTCCTTTTGATTCACCTCCCTGAGAGATCGGACAGAAGAGTTGACAAAGGCGGGGAAGTCGGGATTTGTATCTAGCGGTTGCCCATCGTAGAGTCTACCGAGCTCAGAGACAAATATCGGCATAGTCCACGCGTCGTAGAGGGCATGATTGATGATGATCAAGATGCCATCGCTATCAGCGGCCTTGAGGAGCCGAAGTCGAACGGGAGGTGAGAATAGAGAAGATGGGTGTATTGCTTCTTGGTGCGTCTGTGCCTTGGCGAGTTGGATCAGACTGTCTGAGGATTGAACAGTTGTGAATGTGCTCCCGGCGTCTGCTTTCTTCAAGACAACCTGAACAACTTCTGATGGAGAAACAGCTGCAAAGAGCGTACGCAACACAGGGTGCCGCTGGCGAAGTTGCAACCATGCATCTGCCAGCTTGGGACCATCGATGTGCTCTCGACTGAAAAAGGCCCAAGCTGGTTCTAGGAGTTTGCGTTCAGACTTGAGCCAGCTGGCGAGATGGTAGAATTGTCCAGGAAGGGTAGGCAGAATTGTCTCGATTTCCTCCTTTTTCAGCTGAAGCTTCTCTAGGACCTGAGCTTCGACACGGTCATCAACCAGGGCGCCTTGAGTAGGAGAATCTGGAGTTGTGGGAGGTCGAACACGTTGACTGATACCACGGACCGTGTTGCCCTGAAGGATATCGCCCACACCTATCTTCACCCCCTTTCCTCGGCACAATGAAGCAATTCTGATCGCAGATAGCGAGTCTAGACCGAGGTTAAAGATACTCGTGTCAGGTTTAATATCCTCCAGTGGGATGCCAGTAACCTCCGAAAGAACTGAACGGATGGGAGCTTCGTAAGCAGGGACCTCGGAATCATCAGAGATGGCCTTTTGTGGTTTGGCCGAGAGCTGCTGTAGTGGTAGCTCCCCTAGTCCCTCCGGTAGCGTAGTAGAGCACCGTGTGGGATGCTCAATGATATCACGGAAAACAATTTCGAAATCACTAGTGAACTTCTCGAGAATATCCCGACTGATATACTGAGAGTTGCATGTAGCTGTCACCACAAGGCCGTCGGCGGTATGGTCAACCTCAACATTGAGTTTGTACTCTGAGTCAACAACATAGTTTTCCGCATTGTACGGCGTCCAGATATCTTGACTATCGAGTACAGATCCAGATAGAGCCGCGCTCTTCTGGAACACGAAGAGAGAGTCAAATAGCTGTGTGGATTGAAGTTGACCGGCTTGTCTTAGCTTGTTCTGAATTACACGCAGTGGCGCATGTTGGTGAATCTGCGCATCAGTCGTCTGCCGTTGAATCCTTTGCGCAAGTACTCTGTTACTCAAGAACTTGGGCTCGAATGTGACTCGCTGAGCTACCGTGTTGAATAGAGGGCCAAGGGTGCGGTCAGCCTCCGGGTGGGCTAACGCCCGTCCTGCAAGGACTTGCCCAAAGACGATATCACGCCGCCCCAGAAGACGTGCATATACCTTTGCATACGATAGAAGTGACACACTCTGAATCGTGACCTCCATATCTTTGCAGGACCCGGTGATTATGGCCAGATCGAAGTCGATACGATGCTGCGTGGCTAGCATGCCCGTTGAAGCAGACTCAAGAGGTGGTATCTCAGCGGCTTCATATCCATGGAGTTTAGTTGTCCAATAATCGCACGATTCCCCTTGCCCTTCAAGAATGTATGGAATCATATCCGGGAACTGTGGTCGCTCTGCCGGGGATTGACTAGTGTAAATTGTTGCCAAGTCCTCAAAGAAAAATGGAAGCGATGCACCATCATAGAGGGCATGGTGCATAATGATAACGAGGATCTTGCTTTCTGGCTGGTTGACCAAGACAGCACGGACAGGTGGGACTTCAAAGGAAACACCCTCATTGAATGAGAAGAGTGACATGACCTTTGAGATGACGTTCGCATCAGAAGGCAAGTTTATCTCGGTCCAGTCAAGCAAAATGGCTGAGTGGACAGCACCGACCCAGCTCTCTCCAATATCTTCCATTAAATGGAATGAGGTCCGCAGAATGCCATTTCGTTGGATCACTTGCTGCAACGCGGTCTTGAGCTGGTCGATATCCACGGAGTCATTCAGGCGGATCGGGTGAGGGTTAACGTAGAGTTTTCCACCCGAACTGATTGTTTGCGTAATCATACCAGACTGCAAGGGTGTGCACTCGAACATCGATGATATGGAGTCAGCCTCGCTGAGGAGCGGAATAATTTCTCTGTACTTGCTGAGGGAGATAACTCCTTCCTTCGGCTGTTTGACGCCGTTGGTCTGTGGTTTGGTGGATGCTTCATCGATGTGCTTTGCCAACGCACCCACGCACGAAAAGCGCAAGATATCAGAGGACGAAACCTTGAGCCCGTCGTCGCGGAGTTTGCGCGCAAACTGAATGGCGGAGACCGAGTCGATACCCAGGCTTAGGAAAGAGGCTCCCTTGGAGATGGCGGTTGAATCCAGTCCACAAAAAGACGAAGTGAGTCTCTGCACCTTTGTCTCAGTGAAAGACCACGAGGAATTATCCCATTGTGTTGAAGGAAGATGCGAATCCGGGACCCGCGTTTGAGGGAGATTGAAGTTGTCCAAGGACACGGTATCGCCGGATACAACATCGGAGAGGACTGCTTCGAGCTTTTCGAGAAACTCCCCTGCGTCACGCTGGGAGCCAAAGTGGGAAGAGAAAATACAGTCGAGTTCGAGGCTATTTGCCTCGGAATCTGCGCGGACTTCGAGGGCCAGAGGATACTCGGACGGCATGGTGCTGTCATGCTCTTTCCACAAGTTGTGCTTCGGAGAAGTTCCGGATCGAATGTAGGAGAACAGACAGTCGAAGAGAGGCTTTTCAGACTTCAACCATTGCTGCATTCTCCTCAGGGGCGTATGTTGAAAGTCCAGGGACCTTACGGTTGCACGTTGAACAGCTTCGATGACGTTTGTGACAGTGCTCGAGTCCTTAGTATTGAGTCGCCCCGGTATAGTTGTGATACAAGGCAAGAGTACTGATTCTGCTCCATGGGCAGATACAGTTCGTCCTGATAGTACCAAACCGTATGTGACATCGGAAGAGCCCATGTAATCTGCCAGCAAGAGAGCAAACATGGCTTGCATCAAGTTTGGCACAGTGGTTTGAAGACTGGATGATCGGCTTTCTAGATCGGAAATGTTGATCCTGAGACTTCGACGAACGGAGCTAGTACTCTTGACAACTCCCCCAGGTGAGCGGATCATAGTAGGGCGACATCCGGACATGGTTCGAACCCAGTGCTCCTTTGACCTGTCCGCATCCTGGAGGTAAACATGCTCTAGGAAAGCAGACGGCGATCCTCGCCCTCTGACTTGGCTGCCCTCATAGTACGCAGCAACATCTTCCAACATCATGGAGAAAGATTCACCGTCGTACAAAGAATGGTGAATGGCAATAAAAAGACCAAGCGGCTGCTTTTCCTTTGCAGATATCGCGAGATGGAACCTAATCGGAGGCAGTCTCGAGATACGGGCAATTATTGCCTTGGCGATTTCGATCTGCTGTGACCTTTGCTGTGTGATCGCCTCTTCCAAGTTGGCATACTCTTTCTCGGTCCATTGAAGCTCATAAGATGTCCCCGAAAGTATTACCTGCGCAATCTCTTTGTCAAGTAAGGCGAAGGCAGTCCTCAGAATGTCATTGGCGTTAGTGACTTGCTGCCATGCAGACTTCAGCTTATCACAATCGACAGCGCTGTCAAGCTGTAGAGTGACATGGTTGACATAGAGCTGATCCTCGTCACTATTAAGAGATCGAGCAACAAGGCCTTCCTGTAGCGGAAGGCAAGGTCGAACTGCTGCCACCTCGGAAGGGTCGATTCCCGGACTCGGAGAGTTGTGGTACAGGGCTTCAAGCTCTTTGAATCTGTCCTGCGCTTTGGAGATACCGACGTTCGTAGCTTGGGAGGAGTTCTTTGGGAGGCGTGCAAGTTGTTCAATGACCGGGTTGCTCATTACAAGCGCAACGGTTGCCGCATATCCAATATTGCGAAGCCTGATAGACAGACCTATTGCGCTCAAACTGTCTAGACCGATCTCAAAAATATTGGTCAATGGCCCAAAAGTCTTCTGGTCAGCAGACACTACATGGCAGATCTCATTGACCACGGACTCCTCATCCACACTCAGTTGCCTTTGCGAGGCGACGTCTTGACTGTGCTGGTTGTTGCCCTGTAGAACAGTCTGAAGCGGAAGTTCGGAGAAGAGCCTGTGCAACTCCTTCATGTTGGCCTTTCCAGACATTGGTGCCACAGGAATTGTTGTGATCGGAAGAATCAGTTCAGGAACCATGTAGGCGGGGAGCTTGCTCCGACATATCTCTTGCAGCTCACGACCGAGAGTAGCAAAGTCGGAGAAGAGGAAACTGATGTTGTCATCCTTGACCTTGCCACGTTGGGATCGTGAAACAAAAGAGAGAAGCTGCACCTTCGCGAGACCGGGATGCTTTGCAACAGTTGTGACGACATCGATAGATACTGGGGAAGAGGCACGCAGAACTTCTGAAACCTCTCCTAGTTCCAGTCTCTGGCCACGAATCTTGGTCTGGTCGTCGCCACGCCCAAGGTATTCCACCGAGTCATCGGCCATCAAGCGCCCCATGTCACCAGTGCGGTACATCTTCGTTCCGTCGGGCAATGTGAGGAAGCCGACTGCATCAGGTCGATTGAGGTATCCTTTCCCAACTAAGTCACCACTGAAACATAACTCGCCCGTCTGGCCCCGCAGTGCGTAATTCATGGTTCCCGGAATAAGAACATGGCCAACGCAAGCAGTCAAAGGCGGCCCGATGTTGCGCAGATTGGTAAACTTATTGATGTGGGCAAACGTACAGCCTATGGTCACCTCTGTGGGTCCATATGCGTTGACAATCGCAACATTAGGCGCTGAAGCCCAGGTGTCGAGAACCTTTTGGGTGATCTTCTCTCCACCTACTGTCATGAACCTCAGCTTTGGGCATTGCTCTGGGGTGATATTCGACTGATCGACGAGTGAGGGAACAAAGCTTGCGTGTGTAATATCCCACTTTGAGAGGGTGATGCCAATATCATCCAGAATCATTGGTCTGGGGGCAGTCACCGTGGCCATCCCATGACGCCAGGGGAAGAACATCTCAAGGAGATGCGGATCAAAAGCCCTGTTGGCTTGGGCGAGATATTTTCCTATACCACCTAGGTTCAAGGTGTCGGGAGCGACTTGACATGCAAACACCGAGATCGACTCGATGAAAGAAGAGAGGTTACCTCGGGTGATCATGACACCCTTGGGCTTCCCAGTAGATCCTGACGTAAAGAGCAGGTACGAGTTATCGTCTGGATGTGACTTGTAATCTCTGTTCTCTGCCGGCATTTCGGCAAACCTGCGCTGGAGCTCAGGGCTATCAATGCATTCCACACGACAGCTGTCGGGCACCCCAGAAAACGATTGCGAGAAGGAAATCTCCGTAAATACGAGCGGACTGTCACCATCCTCGAGAAGAAAAGCCTTCCGTTCAGCTGGAAGGCTTTCATCAATCGGGAGGTAGGTATTTCCCGACTTGAAAATACCAATGATGATCGGATATGACGCCAGGGTCCGTCCACAGGAGACACCAATAATGCGGTTCTTGTAATTGAAAGACGCCAAGTACGCCGCAACACGGTTGGCTTCGGCGTTCAATGTTGCGTAAGTCAGTGTCTCCTTCTCTATGCCGTCTGCAGAGATACTGCTTGCGACTTCGACCGCTGTCCATTCGGGGTGGATGCCAGCATTCTTCTCCAGCCAATATGTGGGAGCCTGGTTGACTGAGTTCGCAACTCCATGACTAACTGGCCGATTGGATAAGGATCGCAGGTCTGACGGCATCCGATTGACCAAGGTAGGCAGCGGGTCATCTGGAAACGCAACCATCGAGGTGATGAGACTGTCAACTTGGTGGACGAATAAGCGTAGTTGCTCTCGGCTGAATATACGGCTATCCGAGGAAGCTTCCAGCGCAATGGTGTTGTCTGGCTTCTGGAAGACATTCATTGCCATTGGGTGCTCGACATGCAACCCAATCTGATCTTCCATCTCAAGCCAAAGGTTAGACAGAGCCCGATTGTCTGACGATTGGTCAGGAGCATGGAAGTTGAAAACAGCAGGATACAGAGGCTCCCCCCTCGGTCGGTTTAGTGCCTTCCGGATATCACGAGCATGAATATGGCGATGCTTCCAGGATTGAGTAGCCAGCCGATGCTGCTCGACTAGAACTTCACGGGCGGTCCCTTTGGGGTTGAATGGAACAGGAACAACGGAGATAAAGGGCCCGACAATGCTCTCCATTGAGGGGTCGAAGATTCGGTCAGACATTGTTTCTGCAAACACAGTGGCTGGCAGGCCTAGATATGAGAGCGATACATAGGCCCAAGCAGTTCGAATAACGCCGGCAATGGATCGAAGTCCCATGTTTGCTGCAACGGATTGAAGTCTCGTGGCAGACTCAGTCATGGGGCACTCCTCTGATATCAGCTGGTATTCTGCTTTGACACCTGGAGGTAGCCTTCTCCCCGTAAGATCGGGCCACACCGGTACATCAAGCTCTCCAAACTGCTGCAACTCTGATTTCCAGAAGTCAACAGCTTCCGTATACTTGCTTTCATTGGCCAACACGATAGAGAGGGCATCGCTGAGTTGGCTCCTCAATGGAGGTTTGTACGTATAGGCCGCTCGTACATCATCCGAAATAAACCGGAGAGAGGGCTCATCGTGCACTGAATGATGAACGGTAAAGACCATGAGTCGCTCAATGCCCTTATCGAAGATCGTGACGGCCCATGGTGGGTGTCTGAAATAGTTCTTCTGGTGCCTCGTCATGATGTCTTTGATTCGGTCATTGCACACTTCAGTCCATTCCTTTTCGGCACACTTGTGGTAACTCCAATCCAGTGAGGGGAGCTTGTAAATTAACTGAAGAATAGAGAAGCTCGAAGTCTCACTGGGCTGTTGGTTTCGAGTTTCCGCCACCGGAATGAATCCAGTTCTCAACGCTTCTGTCTTCTGGCATACAGCGAACCAAGCTTGCCTTAGTCGAGGAATGTCCACGGATCGATCGAGCTTGAAGAAATGGTTACTCCAGTACATGTTGTAAGTACCCAGTGTCTCCGTAAGTAAGCTCTCCTGAACTGCAGTGGCGCGTACAGTTTTGAACTCTTCGGTGATCTTCGCTGCTACCGCTGCGTGCCATGCAACATCGAAGGCGTCTACATCGAACCTTCGTGGAGTTGACGCGCCGGATCCGTCTAATGATGTGGCCAGTCTAACAAGGTCATGAACGGTGATACAGTTCAAAACACCCATAACGGAGAGGTTGTAGCCGGCTTCTCTCAATCTGTACGTCAGGCGTGTTGCACGAAGAGAGTCGACACCCAAACTTCGGAGGCGGTTGGATTTCGTGACAGCCGAAATCTCAATTTCGACGAGAGCGGCAACAATTTCCACAACCTGAGCAGACGTAGCCGCATCAACCTCGTCTTCGGGATCTGTGGCGGGATCTTGTGGATTTACTTTGTGCTCCCAGTCATCAAGATCGACGGAAGCGTATGCGGCCTTGAGTGCTCGACGATCGACTTTGGCGGAAGGAGTCTTTGGTATGGCTCTGACCACGAGATACACAGTTGGAACCATGTACTCAGGCAGTGATTTTCGCGCGTGCTGGCTGGCAGCTTGCGCTACATCGACTGCGGTGTCGTCCAGCAACAACAATTGTCCTTTGGGAGCAGTGCTGGCTACCCTGGGGGCGCAGAGAAAAGCGACAACCACGTCCGTTGGCCGATCAGGGCGACTCAACATAAGAGTTTCAATGGTGTCAATGAGTGGATGACAGCCACGAAGAGCAAAGCTGATCTCACTTAGCTCTATCCTGATTCCACCAAGCTTGACCAGGTCATCGACGCGGGTAATGTACTCGAGAGAGCCATCAGAAAGCATCCTGACGAGATCTCCAGTGTAGTATAGTTTTTGCCCGGCTTCCTCGTTCCAAACGTACTTCGCCTCAGTTACATCTCGTTGGTCCAGGTACCCTGGAGAAAGTTGTGGACCTCCCAGTGCCAGCTCGCCGATGGCATTCTTCATCATGATGCGGTGATTCTTCATCACGAACACCGAGACGGACTTCATGGGCCAGCCAATGTTCGCGCTCTTGATCGATTTGTGCTCGTTTCCAAACTCTCGTATTGTCGAGACAACTGTGACCTCAGCCGGGCCGTAGGTGTTGAAGGCTCTCATGTCCGTACCCCAGTCATCTGCCACGGGCTGTGTCAGCTTCTCGCCAATCATAGTCACGACCCTGAGCGTTTTGCAGTGCTCCCTTGGGACACCCGCGGCGAAAGCCGGGGTTAGATGCGCATGAGTGGCATTCGTAATGTTGGCGAGTCTAGAGAAAGAATCGAGCATGATTTCTCGCGTTGCCGAAATCAAAACACCTCCCATGCCCCAGGTATAGAAGAAATCTTGTATTGAAACGTCGAAAGTGCACTGTGAAAACTGGAGGCACCGGACAGGGCTACCATCTGTATTACCAGGGATATCATTTTGCAGTGATCGCATACTGGAAACCGCAGCAGAATGAGTGATCGGTACGCCTTTTGGAGCGCCGGTTGTACCACTGGTCCAGATGAGATAGGCGACATTTGATGGCGCAGCTCTGTGCTTGGTCGATTGCCGCTTTCTGTCAAAAGATACACCCTGGATAAACTGGCAGACATCTAAGACTTTGACTCCAGCAGGAACCGCGCCCTCTGGCTGTGGCTCATCTCTGCCTGACACTAGAAGAACTCCAGCGCTAGTTCGGGCGATAAGGTCATGGCGACGTTGCATGGGTGATAGCGTGTCAATTGGGCACCAGGCTGCCCCAGCCTTCAGAATTCCAAGAATGGCCACATACAACGGGGGGCTCTTCTCAATGCAGATTGGGACCGAAGCATCTGTCAACTGCCCACAAGCCTGCATCAAGTGCTCAGCAAGGTCGTCAGCCATGGCATTAAGCTCCGCGTAAGTCCAGGTTACGTTTCCAGGGCTCTGATTGTCATCTAGGTCTTGCTTGAATATCAGGGCTGGGTCGCTCGGATGCAATCGTGCATGGTCCTCAAATTGCGATTGTAGCAGTTCCCCGTTTTCAACTTCTGGAGCAACAAGCGGGTTAGGGTTCGACATTGATTTGAGGTCGAACCCGGTGTACAAAGATGACTCCTCGAAGTTTCCTTCAGGATGGTCAAGAATGTAGCAGATAATATCATCAAACTGCCTCAGCATGATCTTAGCCGCCATCGAATCTAGTTTGGTATCAAAACTGGCGCGCAGAATCAAGGCCGAATCCGGCCCGGGAACAACCTCAACCATTACTGAGAAGTCGTTTGCCATGGGTGGATGATAGATTGAGCTCCAAGGTTGACTAGCCACAGAGCCAAAGCCAAAGTCTTGGTAAGCTAGGACGGTATCGTAGGGAAGCTGGCCATCAGTCGTTGTTATCGTCCCAAGTTGGAGCTGTAGGTGCGATAAGGCTTGTGCATTGATGGAAGTTATATCTCGGATGACTGTACTATTTGACAAGAACGCAGCGGCTCCGTTCTTGATTCGCTGGACGGATATTCTTAGAGGCGTTATTGTAAAAGTCGGGCCTATACACCTTTGCGAATCTTCATCAAGTCGTCCGGATACAACACTTCCCAAGACGACATCTTGGTCCGGAGTGCCCGTATAGTTCAGCAACACAGCACCCCATGCCGCCTGCAGCACAGAGAGCGGTGTTGACCCCAGATATCTAGACTGTTTCTTCAGAAGGTCGTGCGTACGAGCAGAAGAAACTTCCACACTCCCGGTGAATCTCGTACTTGGGGCCCGGTATGGTGTGATAGAAGGGAATACGACGGGAGAATAATCCCGTAGTTGTTCTTGCCAGAATTGAGATGTCGAGTCGCGATTTGTCTGAAAGTGGTGTCGGACGATGTGTTCAATTGATGTTCGCCGCACAGGCGGTTTCCCATAGTATGCTGATGTGACATCCTCTAGTAGCAGCTGCAGAGATGCTCCATCAAAGATCCCATGAAACATGCTAAGGACAAGAAGAGAACGGCTCGAAGATTCAACTAAAAACAGCTTGTAACAAGGACGGCTCAAGTTGATGGATGCCTCTGCTTCTCGAAGAGCTTGATCTAGAAAGTCTTCTTCCGCAATGTCTGTATTAGTATATGTGTCCCAGACGGTCCCAGAAAGACTGTCTGGTCTCAAGATGCATTGGGCAAAAGGCGCCATCTCATCATCAACCATACAGAAAACAGTCCGAAAACAATCGTAATTAGCAAGAACACTGCTCCAAGCCTGTTTCAGGTTGCTCAGGTTGACGTGCGCCTCTAAAGTGAGCACGGAGTGGTAAATGTATGTCCGTTTCGTGTAGGACTCGTCGGTCAAACTACGCAGGAAACTGGTCAACATCCCGGATTGGGTTGCAGTAGTGGGCAGCACTTGTGCTATTGAGTCTGCCGATACTCCGAGCTTTTCTGCGCAAAGCGCCTGATTCTTGTCTTTGAACGCTGCAAGGCGAGAACGAATGTTGACAGAAGAGTGTATCCCGTCTTGATCGTCAACGGGCGTGTTGCCAGAGCTCATTAAACGGCGTTGGATAAGTGATACCAAAGCCTGGGAAGTCTGGGACTGTAACACATCACTCGTAGATAGACCTTTGATCCCGTTGTCTCTCAGTTTCTGCAAGAATCGCATTGCTCCGAGGCTGTCCATTCCCAGGGAGTAGAGATCGCTGGAGGGCATGATGTTGGAGACATCCTCCTCGGTCGCCTCCGATATGAGTCGGACAACAAGCTGCTGTATTGAGGTATCGTTCTCCCGCTCGTTCTCCCGCTCGTTCCCCCATTTCTCGTTCGCGTCGTTGGGGGAGCCGTTTGTTGTAATCACGTCATCCCCTTTTCGCTCCAGCAAGGCAGACATGGCTTTTCGGTCAACCTTTCCAGAGCTTGATCTTGGAAGCGCATCCAGAAATTTGTAAGTGGATGGGCACGTAGATGGCGTGAGGTACTGCGCGGCGGTTTTCCGGGCGTGGTCCACAATCGTTTGCTTAGCGCCATCACCTTTATCATTGGCCACCAAGCAAACGATGACTTGCTCGCTTCCCTCTAATTTGTCATCTCGTCGTGACACGACGGCGACGACTTCGGCAACACCCGGTACTGTGGCAATTGCCGATTCGATCTCTCCAAGCTCCACGCGACGCCCGTTAACTTTGACCTGACCCATACAGATACGGCCCAGATATTCGATCACCTGATCCCCGTTCTCATCCCAGACAATGCGTGCTTTATCCCCAGTGCGGTAAAGATATCCAAAGTCACTGCTCTGAACAAAAGATTTTGCGGTCTCCTCTGGTTGATTGAGATAGCCTTTGCTCACTTGCGGTCCGCCTATTGCGAGCTCGCCAACGGTGCCCATGGGAACAAGCTTTGGGATGCGGCTGTGTGGACACAGAACGAACATTGAACACGTGGGTAGCGGTTTTCCGATGATCGAGCCACGCATGTGGTGTTTGAAAGGGGCAACGAAGGTGCAGTTGATCGCTCCTTCCGTGGGACCATACGCATTGACCAGCGTCCGTGGCACAGAAACGTCGCCAGGTTTAGAGTTTCGGGCAAAATTGTCAATCACCGTTCTATTAAGCTTTTCCCCCATGGACCACAAAGCTTCGAGACTTTCCAGACGGTCGGGTCGGAGGATTGAGGCTAAACTGGGTGTTGCCATCATTATAGTCGCTCTTGTCTCGTTTATTGTCTCCTCCAAACTAGCCAGCATCAGGGTTCTGTCGGCAGAGCAGAGAGTGGCACCGCTACTGAGAGTGACAAAAATCTCCATCAAGGATGGGTCAAAAGAAGGGGAAGCGAACTGGAACCAGCGAAAGTTTCCAGCTGGTTTTCCTGGAAGGGGAATGGCTGTCGCATGCGACGCGATAGAACAAGCACCTGCCAGATGGCTGACTTGAACACCCTTAGGTTTACCAGTGGTCCCGCTAGTGAATAATAGATAGGCAGTCTGTTCTGGGCTAATTGATCCCTGCTCTAGGGGCGTCTGGGAGGGTATCTCTAAGGCAGAGCGTTCACCTTGAAGTTCTTTCCACTTCGAAACTTCAGTCACATTAACCCAAACAGAAGTTAAATAATCTGAGGTGCTACCTGTGTTCATCAGCTCAGGGGATGGGCTTGGTGAGTTTCCTAGAACAATAGGGGAAGAAATGTCGTGGAGGATTTCCTGGATACGTTGAGCAGGGGCGTCCTGAGGTATTGGACAAAATGCACAGCCCGCCTTCAGGACGCCGAGATAAGAAATGTAGAGCTCAACTGAGGTCGACATGTGGACCGGTATAATACGTCCGTACTCGAAAGGCTGTGGGTGGGCAGACAGTAGGGTCCTGATATGGACGGCTATATTTGAAGCAGCGGTGTCGAGAGCGGCATAGGTAAGGATGCTGTGGTCGGCCGGCGATGTGTCGGATTGCAAAGAATGAACAAAGTCTAATGCGATAGCATGTGGCTTCCTCCGGGCCCAGCCCTCAAAAGCGACATGCAGAAGGTGTGAGTCTGAAACATCTTGCTGTGGCGGAGATATCGTAGATGGAGGGAAATTCAAAACAGACAATGTTGGCTTCGGCGATGCAGGTATGAGAAGAGGAGAAGATTCGACAATATACATTAATAGTGTTTCCAGGACCTGGTTTCTGGCCGGACCGGGAAAGAGTCGATTGGGATATGAGAAGCTGATGTGGACAGCGTTTTCCTCCAGGGTCGCCTCAGCAAATAATGTAAACGCCTAGAGGTATGTCAGTATGCTCCAGTAGAAAGATTTTGGGGCAGTTACATTATCATGTCCTTGTACGACTTTGTGTTCCCCATTTGAAGATTTGACAAAACGTCCCAGTTCAGCGTAGAACTGCACTTCATCGTGGCTGTGGTGGTAGTCTGCATCAACTTCAGTAGTATTGATGTTGGTCTGGCTTTCAGTATGCGATACAGACGCGACAACAATGGATCGAGATGTCTTCGAGTCCCCAAAAGGAAATGTCCGATTAGTTAAGAAGGCGACATCTTCGAGCCCAGTAAAAGAAGATATGAAACGTGCATAGCCGCCGAGTAGGCCGTCGATCACGTTTCGCACGTCAGAGCTGCATGAAAGCTTGACGCGAGGGCTCCTGCCGACAGGATTTCCCGCGTCCACGATTGGCTCATTCGCGGCATATCGGTCAATAGTGTTCAGCGCAGGGACCTTGGTCACTGGCAACGCCTCAACCGAGGAAACGGGAAGCGAACCATTAACATGGGAAGAGGGTATTTGATTTGATTCCTCAGCCGCCGGGCGCTGGCGTTCCTCATTGCTGTGAAAAGCCCTTGCAATTCCTTTGGTTACTCGGGAGAGTTCGGTAGCAACGTACCTGCGCACGGAACCAGCCAGCTTGCGTTTCCCCATCTCCTGGATCGAAATTTCACCCTGTGCAACCGTGGAAAATTCCCGGGGGCACTATCAACCGCAAGAGCTTCTTGTCAATAGAAATATCTATTCAGGCACAGCAAGGAACGACCTGGTCTGATGCAGGAACCTTCAACTGATCTCTAATACACCCACCCTTATTGGTGGGCGATGCGAGGGGTACGTCACACAGTGATTGGTCGCGGCCAGAAGGTGGGGGAAGCTGGAAGCTGCCTGATTCTAGGAGCACAAGCACAGACGCAGGCCATGAGGGAGCTCCTTGTGGCTTATTACGTGGGATACTGAGTACTCCTGCGCGGCTTCTCAAGCGTGGCGTGGAAGTTGTGCTCACTGAGCCGATTACCTCACGGGACCAGTCAGGTGAGATTCATGGATCTCCGAGTTTCGGGCGTTTATCTGATAAGATTAGATCCGTCTGTTTTGATCTGTATGATAACTTACACTGACAATACACCGTTACTTCGACGTGGTCACTCGACGTATGTAATCTTGTAAACTATCGGCAGCGCCCATTGCGCGCTCGCTAAGGTATCTGGATGTCGATCATCTCTCGGCCTTTTAATGTAGTCAAAATTTTCCTGATTACTTCCATCAACTGGTGGGGGTTCACTATGCAAAGCCCCTGTTTCTGCTCAGCGAGTCAACACAATTTGGCAGTTAGTTTGTCGAACGCGATGGTAGAGTTGCAACCAGTAAGGTAACGGCAAGGTGTATGGGAACCGTTGACGACAGCTGTAGTTCAAGGCCATACTCTGGTCGCCACTTGGCTCTGATTAAGTCGACTGACGCGCCGACCGGAAGGTTTCAGCCTTTCTGCTATTTTATCTGATCCGTAGTGGGGTTCCAAGATGGCATTCATGATCCGCCAGGATATGGAGCCCAATAATCATAGGAGAGCTTCAATGTGAAAGTGCTGCAGCGCCACTCGAAACACCTGCGTGCATGTCTCGGAGGCTACCGGCTGCCCTGGAGTTTTGGGTGCAACCTCGCTCCATAACAAAATCCAGCTTTCATTGTGGCTTGAAGGAAGAGACAACGTGGGTTGAGGATGCTACACCCGGAATACCACGCATGAGTGACAATTGAGCTCTGCCCACTTTCTAGGCTTCGGTTGGCTGGGGATGGTTGGGGATGGTTGCTAGAAATTCGGATTTCTGTTGCCGTACACGCAAAAGTATATTTTGAGCCTACAGTCAAGCCAGTCCTGGACCGAAGCAAGTTCTCAAGGTGACTCGAAAACCCGCCACGCGATTCAGGTCTCTGAAGATCGTTAAAAGTCTAGGTGTAGTTCTCGCTTTCGCTGCCAGGTTTTCAAGCGTTCCAAGACTTTTCGTCAGAAGAGTCGCCTTGATCGCAAGAACCCATGGCCGTTATCAGATTTAACCCCTGCATTGATGAGCCAACCAAAGGACGCACCAAGTTGCACCACAGCCAATGGTAAAAACTTTCAGGCCCCCACACCCACAGAAACCTTCAGGGTTGGCTCGGCTATGCAACGAGGAAATCCCCTCGACCGCCAGCGTGCAGATCTGATATGAATTTTGGTGGTCTTTCATTTCTTCCACCCCAAAACCCGGTGTATCCGATATCGTCTTGACAAACTGTGCCGAAAAGTGGAGACCACACCATGGCTGAAGACGTGGAGGTGCCCACTGCCCACGGTATTTTTCCTTCATTTGGGTCTCTGACTCGCTTAATCTGAGCAAAAATAACGATGACATGGGTGGGTGGAGGGCGCGAGGTACTCAATGATCTAGCTCCGAGGTAGTCTGATGCACGATCGCTACTAACCGGGACATTGGGTCTGTATTTAATCAGCCCTGCGCTCCCTGCTGCATGGTCGCGGGGGTCGACCTTTGAAGTGCGTGTCTCCAGCAGAGAATTGTTCCATCGCAAACCGCCGAAATGGCCGCCGTGCGAAGACTTCAACAAACAATTTCTCATCTTCAGCCTGTTCAGGCCCCACAGCAGCTTTCTATCGTATATGGGCCGACAGAACCAGAACTGCTGGATGTCACGCTGGGCGAACTGTTGACACTTCAAAGCCTCCAGTATGGAGACTATGAATGTCTTGTCTTCCCGTGGACAGGGGCGCGGTGGACGTATGCAGACTTGAACGATGAGGCTGATCGAGTGGCTCGTGGTATGCTGGCGATGGGTATTAAAAAGGGCGATCGAGTCGGTATTATGGCCGGCAATTGCGAGCAGTACATTTCTATTTTCTTCGCTGCTGCAAGGGTAGGCGCGATCCTCGTGGTTTTGAATAACACATATACCCCATCAGAGTTATACTATGCTCTCGACCACACTGGTAAGTTAGCTCAATGTTGAAATGATAGAGCAGAGCTAATTAAATCAATTAACTCACAGACTGCCGACTCCTGTTCCTCACTCCCCGCATAAACCGTCACTCCCTCGAAGAAGTCCTCGAGAAGCTCGGTCCTCATCCCAAGCAAAGTGGAACATCGAAGGCATTGGAGGAGATTGTCATCATCAGGGGCGAATATAAGGCCTTCACAACGTATGCTCAAGTCATTGAGCGGGGCCTGCCACTCTCAAGTAATGCTTTGCCCGAACGAGAGGCGGAGCTACAGCCGGAAGATGTGTGCAACTTGCAGTTTACGAGCGGCTCAACAGGGAATCCCAAGGCCGCCATGCTGACGCATCAGTATGTGACTTTCCTCACCATCACCACCCGAGCTCAGTACTAACACACGCTCCCTTCATTACAGCAATTTGGTGAACAATTCTCGATTCATCGGGGACCGCATGAGCCTGACTTCTTTCGATATCCTTTGCTGCCCGCCGCCCCTCTTTCATTGTTTTGGCCTCGTGCTTGGAATGCTGGCTGTTGTCACGCACGGATCTAAAATTGTATTCCCCAATGAGACCTTTGATCCCCTTGCGACACTCCATGCCATCTCTGACGAGAAATGTACTGCCCTCCATGGCGTACCCACAATGTTCGAAGCCATCCTCAGCTTTGAGAAGCCAGAGAATTTCGACTGCAGCAATCTCCGCACTGGAATCATTGCTGGAGCACCTGTACCCCGTCCATTAATGAAGCGATTGTTCGAAGAGCTGAACATGAGGCAATATACTAGCAGTTATGGTAGGATATCCACGAGTGGTTCCTGGGTTCATCAAAACTAATAAATCTGTCTCTTTTCAGGCCTCACAGAAGCATCGCCAACCTGCTTCAACGCCGTCACTACCGATACCATTGAGACACGCTTGCAGACTGTCGGCAAGGTCATGCCTCATGCCAAGGCAAAGATTATCGATGCGAACGGAAAGATCGTTCCCGTGGGCCAGCGCGGTGAACTATGCATGGCCGGATACCAATTGACAAAGGGATACTGGAACAACCCGGAGAAAACGGCCGAGACCCTGGTCACCGATGAGGAGGGCACCACCTGGTTGAAGACCGGCGACGAAGCAGTCTTCACGCCAGAGGGACGGTGCTCTATTACGGGGCGATTCAAGGATATTATCATTCGAGGTGAGCACGAGGTACCTCATTTTACTTAACACCGCTAACAAATACAGGCGGAGAAAACATCTACCCTCTCGAAATCGAAGAACGCCTCTCCGCTCACCCAGCCATCGAAGTTGCCTCAGTGATCGGTATCCCCGACCAAAAGTACGGCGAGGTCGTTGGAGCCTTCATCGCGGTCGCCGATGGCCAAAGCCGACCGTCAGTTGAGAGTCTCCGCGAATGGACGCGAGAAACTCTAGGCCGACACAAGGCGCCGCAGCATGTTTTCGTCTTCGGCGAAGAGGGTGTGGACCGGACCATTCCTGTGACTGGAAGCGGGAAAGTACGGAAGGTGGATTTGCGCAAGATTGCTGCGGGAGTCCTCGAGCGCCGAGCAGCCGGCTCTCGCCAGGTTGCTGCGTGAGGGAAAAGTGCTTATTCTTATAGAACTTTTTTTTATATATGTTTAGGTAGCGTTTGATTCATACCCGGAGTTATCAAAACTTTGCCCATCACCTTCATATTCTGTACCATTTTGCTTTCAAGTTTATTTGCGACGAGAGTCAAAAGTGGATTCGATTCTGGTGAGGGGTAAACAAAAAATTTTCGGTTCCGCAATTTTATCAATCAGATTAGATGATTATCTAATCTGATTCTAGCCATCAAACTTGAAAGCAAAATAAAATACGAGCGTGTAATGTGTCCCCTTGCCGCTGGGGCCACCTCTCCACTGACAGGAAAATGTACTTCCGGTGTCGGCCTCGGCGGCCAATCACTCACCGTGACCGGATGGGATGAGGAGAAACGTGGGCCTGCTCTGGACGCCAGGTGGGGGGTGGTGCATCAGATAAAACGAGAGCAGCAAGTTGGGCTTGGACTCCGCTCGGAACACGTAGAATTGGGTGACGTGAGAGATTTTCACGTGTTAGGGAATGGTGTGGTGAGCGGTCAACATGACGGTTCTCTTGTTATGCGTGAATGAATTGATTCATTTGGTATCATATATTTAACTTGCCAGGGCCTTCCATTGTGGCAGACTATAGCTTCAACGCCCGATACGGATCGCGCTCGAGATGGTTCGACCCATCGAAGCGAAACGGAGAGATGTGGAAGAATTTCTCTCGGCTGCACTTGACCAGCGCAGATCGCTTATGCGGAAGATCAATGAGCTTCTCAAGGCTGAATCCCGTAGCGTGGTCGTATGCCAGCACTGTCAGGTTCGTGAACTCAGGCTCGCCGACAATGTACCTCGTTCGAGCCTCGTCCAGAAACATGTAGTGCATAATACTGCACCACCAGACCATCACGCGATGCTGCCCGCGGAAGCGCACGTCCCCGACGAGCGAGTGGCGACCGCGGTCCCAGTCATCTGCGTCGTAGTGTGCGCCGATGCTGTCTTCCTGTGGAGTTGTCAAAAAGGCAATGATCATGAGAGAGATAACGCTTACCTTGGCCCAATAGATCTGATGGTAGGAAAAGAAAGTGTTATTGAACTTGGCCAGGACCGCGATCTGGTGAGGATCCTCGTCAATCTTTCGAAGGTGGCTCCGGTGCTGGTCCAGTGTCCCAGTCTCGTTCCAGCCCTTAGCTACACGGGGATCGTTCTGCCATGCGTGAAATAGCTGTAGATGTTCCTCGTTCCGATAGTCCAAGGCCCAGATGGAGAAGAACTCGTCTAGTTGCGGAATGTACCGGCTATACATCCTAGACCCTGGAGTCGGCTTGCGCGGTCGAAAGGGATGGAGAGCGTGAACGCGAACATCGGCGGATTTGGTGGTCAGGGTGTGCTGAACGGGATGCGTTGGAAATGATGTCAAAGGTCGGCGGAGGGATGCATAGATGTCAGGATCGCAAACCCAGACTGGCCTCGGACCAAACGGTGAGCCAGCGCCTTGCCAGAACGTGCTGCGGTAGATGACCAATTGGTTCGAGAGATCTGGGGACTGCGGGATACGCTGCCCTGGAGGAGCAGAAGGTCTGGGATGCTCAGTCGCCAGTCCAACAGCTTGCAATTCCCTCCCCAGTTGTTCTCTCCCTGCTCCCGATAGCACGGCGCGAAACATCTCGAATTCAGTACGCAAGGTCAAAAGGCCGTGTAGAACATTCCAAATCTGCCCAACCGAGGGCGCCTCCTTTCCTTCCCATGTCCAGTATGTAACGGGGCTCCTCTGCGCCCGTGCCCAAGCAGAGTTGTTTCCTTCTGGCGGACTTCTAGACGGATCGGGCTCTTGCAAGTCTGTGAAGTGGAGGTTGTCGCGGTGCAGCTGCTCTGGAGGGGGAATGCCGTCGTCAACGCGCGGGGACCGTCGAAGCTGGAGTTTCCGGACGCCGTGTTGAACGGAGACAACCTGCAGGCGATATGCGGTTTTGTAAGGTTCGGGCAATCGAATCAAGGGGAGTTTATCTGGGAAAGATGCCATTGTTATTCCTTTGGAGACGTCAGCATTGGAGTAAAGAGTAGTTCGCGTTGTGGAACGGCCATTGCGCCAATTCACTCACCTAGACATCGCAACCGAGGTGGTCAGATCTTCGCCGTAATCCAACATTATTATGTTTGGATACCTGATCGAGCATGGTTCGGCCTCGGCGCATCTGTTCCTGTGGACTGATGAAAATGCCGCGGGACAGAATGGTGCCCCTCTTCTGAGGATTGCGACAAGCAGATCCATAAAATACGAGAGTGTCACGAACGGTCAGGGTGTATCGTGAGGATCCGTGTCGATGTGTATTTCAGAAACGAAACGTAGCCGGCAAAGGAGATGATTTCCCGGACTGGAAGGGATCGGCGGCAGAAGATGACCTTCCATTTTCTTCTCTGTTCTCTCTGCAACCTGGATTATCCCCAGTCCAATCTTTTCTCTGCGCGCTAACCTCGTCACTCTCGTAAAACAAACTCTCGCATCCCACTTTGCTCCACCTCAAGCGAGACATCCTGCAGGCTTTGCCCAGCCCTGCGGGGACTGCGAGATCCTGGCCTGCTTTGTGCAGTGAGCAGCAAGCTGGATTGGGTGATGATTCCGTCCTACACACTTTCAAACATGCGGTCAGGCATCTCATGGTGTTGTAATGAGTCAAGGCATTGTTGCTGAGTCGGGCCTACACCCGGCTCCGACCAAATATCCGATCTCGCTCCTAGCATGCAATGACTCCGCAAGAATGCTCTCTATGCTGCAGGAAGGGATACGTAGGCTTGGAATCTCAGCTGCATCGGCGCTATAAATGGCACCATCTGTTTGAGTTCAAGCCGTCTACTAACTGCGTGGTCTCAGCTCTGCTCTATCGGGACGCACCAATAATCTCATGTCCTCGACATATGTTTTCTCCTATTCTTGCTAGGCCGTGCTATCTCCGACATGATTCCTCTCCGCTGTGAGCGATCAGCAGCTCCTTTTTTTGCCTGGCTGTTGGCTAATCAAGGTCAACCAAGTTTATTGAAATAGAGCCATGCCGCTCGCCGTCTGTTGCAATGACCAACAACTCGAAGCTACCGGCATCATCGTCGCCAGTACTAGTCGTATGCGGTGTGCAAGTCCTGACTATCCCCCACGGGCCGCCTCATCACATCTGAAATGCGGATCTCTATCACGATCCTTCGAGGTGCATGCTATCCCAGTCTCGTGTCCAATCATTACCACCTATTTCAAAGCTTCTACATGAAACTCAACTCGTCCCTACTGTTGAGTACCCACTCACAGCTCCTGCATTTGCAATCGCCCTTTCCTCGATAAAGACCCAGTGACAGAGGCGAAAGTTTGTTTTTGTCAGACCTCTCCACTCGCTGGGATCCGACAAGCTATAGCTTGCAGCATGGGATGATCAACATAATGGGATTGGGGCATCGTTCCGTTCAGTCAAGGCGCGACAGTAAGCCGCGGCCATGAAAAAATTGGGGGATGAGCCCTGTGTGGTGTAGTCAGGGTGGTTTGCTGTCAGTCTCTATCCAGCAGACTCTTCTTTTGAGATCGATCCTTCGGCGACGGAGAAACCAGCACAATCACACTCCCACAATTCACCGGCAATCCGTCAAACGCAAATCACACAAATGATTAGTCGCCTTGCTGATGCTCTCTAGGAAGAATCAACAGGGCTTTGGCTTTCGCCACTTCATAAATGATCTTCGCAGCATGGTGGAGACAATATATCAACTTTCTTGGTCACTTGTGACAGTCGCACATGCCTAAGATGATTGATGGCTTTGAGAGCGAAGAGATAGGAATGATGGCTCTCTTTCCCGAGCTTCATTCGAAAGAGCTGCAGAGACGAGTGCTGACGGTGTAGGGTCCTACTACGCCATGGTAAAGGTTGCTGAGGCAAGTCGTGCTCATGTAGCGCATGATGGGATGGCCACACTGCGAAAACACCTATTGATGCCAAGGGAGGTGGTGTCTGGAATGGCTCCTTGGGTCTTCTCGTGGTATCACGACCTCTCAGAGCAGTGACAACTCCCAATGGCACATGTCATAGGGCACTTTTTTACGCTGTTTTTGAGGACTTTGGCCACGGTTTCTGCAAGCCTGTCGAATACCATTGCGCGTCACTCAGAGTCCCATGCCCCTGTATTTCCCCTTTGATTGAGATAACCTTCGTCTCAATCGCATCTGAATTGCTTCTCGATTCCTAATGGGATGCGACTTGTTGACCCTAGGTAGGAATCTTCATACATGTCCTTCCTCTCACCTCAAACAAGCTATGATATGACACTGATTTTTTCTAGAGCGTCAACTACACCGGCGCAAGTTGACGCTGTTTAGAAAATCAAGCAGTAAATGCCGCCTACAATATCCTACCCTTAGGCTTACTGATCTATATCACTTCAGCTGTCCTAGGAAGTGTTGAAAGGTTACGAGCAGGTTCAACGGACTAGCAAAATATCACCCGGTTGTTCTTGGTTGAAACTTTGCCAATCACAATGCCTTCAGGTGTCTCGCAATTCTCGCACTTTTTGCATGCTTGCTTGTTTGTTTCTTTCATAGCTATCCACCTGACTGCGACAGGGTGATCTGGATCTCCATTTTAAGGTAGATAGACTCCTTTCAGTGGAAACACCCATCACCAGGAAAACCTGGATGCTGACTATACCTCTCGAAAGTGTATTTCTCGGGCGAGCGATGAACTGGATCTGTTAATTTGCCCAAGTAGGCTGTACGGCCAATTCGTCAAGATCAGGTTGCGCTTATTTGTGACCTGCGAGCATTGGCGGGGTAAGATAGATCATTAATCAGCTCTGAGCTTGGGAACATCTCCACCAGGAGTAACCCGTTTGAGACCCCGCACTTTACCCCTCCATCACATCACCGTCTCTATTGGCCCACTAACATTCCTCTTTTCCCTCCAGGGTCCTCCTGAAACTTTCGATATCAACCGGCTAAACTGCTCGGGGGAATTCACGGGCCAAGCCGATGTTGCATTTATCGATGACGATGACTCAATCGGCCACGGCTGGTGGTTAAATTGCGAGCTACCCCTCTCTCCTCCCGAGCTCAATTGGCAACAGCTTCATCGACGCCACGAATCTTTCACAATGCCTGAGAATAACATGATCTATCGGAGGCTGGGTAACTCTGGTCTCCATGTTTCTGTCATTAGTTTGGGAGGATGGATTACGTGAGTGCGCGCGTCGAACGAAAGTGGTCTGAAGCTAATGTGTGCAGCTTCGGTGGTGACGTTGCCGACGGTACGATCGGAGAAATCCTACGGATACCTGCGAAGCGACATCCTAACTGACCATACTCACAGATGCCACGGAGAAGTGCATGAAGCAGGCGTACGACCTCGGAATTAACTTCTTCGACACGGCAGAGGCGTACGTTTGGCTCCAGCCGCCACAAAACACAGCTGACGGGTGATAGCTACGCCGGTGGAAAATCCGAGATTGTAATGGGAAAGGTTATCAAGAATGCTGGATGGAAGAGAAATGATCTTGTCATTAGCACAAAGGTTACCCCCACCCTGGTCTCAATATCCCGTTGTTGCATTGCACTGACGATAGGCGCTAGATCAACTGGGGTGGCGCCTTTGGGGAAGTCAAAGTCAACAACTACGGTCTCTCGCGAAAGCACGTTATTGAAGGTACAAGGGCTTCCCTCGAACGATTGCAGCTCGAATACGTCGACATCATCTACGCCCACCGCCCGGACCGTCTGACACCAATGGAGGAAGTCGTGCGGGCCTTTAACTTTGTCATTGAAAAGGGCTGGGCGTTCTACTGGGGCACATCGATGTGGTCCGCTGATGAGATAGCCGAGGCGTGCGGAATTGCCAAGAGGCTCGGGCTCATCGCGCCCATTGTCGAGCAGCCTCTGTACAACATGTTGGATCGTGAGAAGGTTGAGGGCGAATACCAGCGGCTGTACGAGCGTGTTGGTCTTGGCTTGACCGTCTTCTCGCCTCTCAAGGGCGGCCGTCTGAGTGGCAAGTACAATGACGCGGTTGAGAAGCCGCCGGCTGGATCACGGTTCGCGGAGAGCAAGGACGGATACTCGAAGGGGATCCGTGACCAGTGGCAAAGCGAGGAGTCTGCAAAGGTTCTGCAGCAGGTTCGAGCTGTCAAGGTACGTCTTTCCCCCTCATTGACATTCGCGGTGACTAACATGACATTTTCTAGACCGTCGCCGATAAGCTCGGAGTCAAGCAGTCCCATCTCGCTCTTGCCTGGGCGATCAAGAACGAGAACGTTAGCTCAATCATCACTGGTGCCTCTCGGCCGGAGCAGATTGTGGACAACGTCGAAAGTCTCAAGGTGCTTCCACTTCTGACACCAGAGGTTCTCGCCGAAATCGACGAGGTTCTCGGCAACAAGCCTACCGTGGAGCCTGCTCGGTTTGGATAGACATGGCGTCTGTACACAGCTCGTTAGAATAATATACGATGCGCCAGTGGGGCCAACCCTTCCAGCCGTAGGACATACCAGCACAAACCTTGAGATCTACCCCCGGCATGTCGCAACTTTCCGTTTAGAGGCATCCTTCTCAGGAATCCCAAAACACACTTTACAAATCTCACCACCCCCGCCATTACCCACCTCCCCAAACACCCCACAAGCCTTACAAACCACAAAAACCACCCCACCCCTCACAACCATCGCCCCAGGCCCATACCTCGCCTCGCCGCCACCCCTCGGCCGAAGCCCACACTCGACACAGAACCTCCTCCCCGCCGACTTCCCCCTCCGTCCACGCCGTTTATGCAACATGCGGTCGCCGAATTCAGAGCTGTGACGCAGCCGCAGGCAGTACCGGCACGCGTAGAGGTCTCGGGATATTGCGAACTCGGTGGATTCGGCGGCGAGGAGTTCGGCGTGGGTCATTGGTGGGATTAGGGCGTGGAAGTAGGTGCATGTTAAACTTAGGTGGGTTTTCGAGGGGAAGGGGAGGTGCGTAAGGATTAGAAGGTGGAGTTCGGGGGGGAGGGTCAGGAGCATTTCATTTCTTGTCGATAAGCATCAGTAAGCTCTTGATGTTGTTTTAACTGAGTATCCGAGACATATTGTCGGAAAGACGATGGGAGAGGTGAGCTTGCGTCGTGTCATGTCGCGTGTCGTCATAGATGGTCACCTGATGACCACATTGTTCAACTAACTTTTGACCCCCTGATCTTAGAAACTTTATTCAAACTACAAGGCGTGGAGAACCCGACCCATGGATGACCACCTGTAGGCAGGGCTATCCGACGTACGGATACGGACAACAGTGGTTGAACGGGTGGGGTTCCTAAACAGTCAGTGCGGCCGGACTGCATGTACCTAAGGTATCTACGTACCGGTCCAGCGATTGGAATCACAGTAGGGCAGAATATTCTGTGTCAATCTTTCGTGCCTACCCTATAGATGATCGCCTCCCGAGTTCGTGCTTGTGTTGTTTTTGCTTAATGCACCTTACACTGTAGAGCAGGAAGCTTGCCCTGCCTCCACTCCTTCCTTCATGATTTGCTACATATAGTTCCTGCTACCATCCCAAGCGTGGTTAATGGATAGGCAGGAATGGGAAACATTGCTTTCAAACTAATCCTGTGGTATCATAGGATACTGTCACGAGCAAGCGCATGCGGTTATGTGTAAACAAACAGTAGAGCACTGAAGAGCATTGAGTTATCATGGATGCCGGGAGCCAGGCGTCGAGGTAGGGATTCTTGGCTCCTGAGCTGGGTATCATGCGCGGTGTCATTACATTTAGTCCTAGAGTCCATGTTAGATGCATGACATGGAACAAATCAACCAACGACTTACTATAGTCCAAGCAACTCGTGATAATATCTAGAGGCAGCGTCGACAGGTACGTCTGGAATGGATTGATGCTTCCTTGGCTGAGCGTGAGGCTGTTGGCCAATAAGTCTGGTCCGTGTTAGGCTCTGGTCTGCATCGACGAGAATCAGGGTATCGCAGCCTTACTGTAGTCCTCTCTGGCTTGGCAGTGATCATCTTGTCCATCGTGCATGTGGCTGGGATCCATTGTGAAATATGGGGGATGCTAAATACTTGGCATCTTGGTCAAAGAGGAGAAACAGCGGCGACTGCAGGGGGCCACGCTTGAGCCATTTTGAGTTGGTTCTAACTTGAAGTAACTAGAAGCTCAGCTGAGATTACAAATGCCTCACTTTCTGTCAACCCTCTGAAATCCACTATCATGATAATTGTGTTATTGCTCATGATCTATTTTAACACGTCTATTCTGAGAGCAGTATGCACTGGAGTCTACAGCGCGTTTACCTCTCAATAGTAAGAGCAACCAGACGCTAGGTAACTTCTGGTGGTACAGCACAGCGAGGATGAACCGAGGGATGGATTTACATAAAGTCGATCGCTGAAGGTAATATCGGCAGTAAAAGTCACATCACAGAGCTGTGGCACACAGGGCCAAATAAGATACATGCAGTTAGATAGCTAAAAAGATGCTGAAGCTACTCGCCTCTTCCTCTTGCTGTGGTCCGCAGCGGGTGGCTTTAGTCGGGAAATTGAATGAATATGTTTCTTGGAGGTTATAGAGCTCACCGGCTCTGTGATTGGAGTGCAGAGATCCGCCATGATCCCAACCCTTTCCTCAATATCCAATCTCCACTCTGTTTTGCCATCTTCCATTGTTTCACAGATATATGGCTGCTTGCGCATCCATCGGGTCCATTTCCGGACAATGTCGACTGCGGCATCCTTCGATACACGAAACCACTCGATGTGTGTCGCGTTACATTTCGAGCACTTCTCCTGTAGGCGGTGTTCCTTGAGCTCAGCATGAATCAATTTTTCGACGCGGTAAATATGCTGAACAGGCTGCTTGTCATCTTCAGCCAGAGGGAAATGCACATCCAGGGGTTTCCCACAATCTTTTTCCCAGCGCCGCAGCCTCTGATCTAGATCTTTAGTGTGCCCGATTTTGAGATGACCGAAGTTTCCTTGATACCAGAAAATGTATATTATTCCACTCTTTTCAATCTCTCTTTTCTTGAGGGGTGCAGTCAGGACTTCACGCAGCATCTGGCTGACGCTTTTACAGGCATGGCGCTTTGGAGAGTACGGTTCAAAATTCTGAATCGGTGAGGGAACACCTTGCTTAGAGAATGCTAAGGTGATTGGGCCAGATGCATCTGAAGACGAACATGGTTGCGGTTTCTCCACTGGAACGAGTGCTGAATGAGCGTTTGAAGTAGTATCCGTGGCTTGCTGTACGCTTGCGCCGAGTTTGAGCGCACTTATCCATTCTTTAATTTCAGCCAGATGCTCTGCCAGATGATTGGTTGGCTTATCTCCAAACCACGAGGCCAGTGACTTTCTTGCTTCCCTTTGGTGTGTACCACACAGCATCAAAGTGCATAGATCCTGTAGAACTGGACTGATACCCGCAATGTTGGAGATAGACAGGGTATCAAGTCCCTTGGAAATAGCTTGGATATCCAGGTTCCGACGGCCAGCGCATCTCGTATTTGTTCCCTTTTTTATAGCCACACAATTCTTCTGGTTTTGAACCAGGAATTGCCGAGTCCATATTGGTAAGATTCTCGATAACGAGATCATGATGTGTCCGCTCGGGGGTTTTATCGCCCTTATATATGGAGTTTTGTCTGCAGGGCTATCGGGAAGAGTCACTTGGATTCTCGATCCGGCTTCCAAGGAGCTTTCGCTAGGTGTTGGAGACTTGATGTGGCGCGTAGCCTCTTCTGATAAAGGATGAATGCTGCTTTTGGCTCTTGGTCTACCATTAAGACACTGTCGGCGATTTGTAAAGTTCATGTCGATTGCCAGCGAAAGGGAGATTTCCCTATTCTTGTTGTAACCTTGCGCGTCAATGGAGCCCTTGCTCCCGCTCACTGAACATTGATCCCAGATTCTGGTAAAAACCAGGTTGCCATTTTTTATATCAATCTCCTCTTCGGTCGCACTCGGCGCGCCGCCTGTCTCGTCTGGTGCCCATGAAGCTCTGGTGGGCAAGTCAACAGGAGTAGCAAAGGCAAAGGAATCTGACGCGTCTTCGCTAGTAACGCTTCCGGATGGACCGATAGCAGCGACAGGTTCAGTAATATCACTCCCCTTGTCCTTGTTAAATAGGCTTACGGGCGAAAGGGATCTTGAAGGCGTTTCTCTCGGGCTGTCCCACCCGTAGTCCTCGGTGATGTCGGTGGAAACCGACCCATTGGGACTAAACACATTGCGGCTTTCATACGCAGTAGATGATAATGGAGTGCTCACTTCCAAAGTGAATGAGCCTTCGGTAGAGTTGACAGGGGTGGAGGCTCGCTCAAAGACATGGGGTGTGGCTTGATCATTTACTAAGTCGGTGTTCTTTGCCATCCGGGTAGTTCTCAGTATCAAGCTCAAGAAACTCCGAGAAATTTCCAGATGGACCTCGGGAATTGTTGCGAGTTAGTAGTAGTAGAAGGAGGAGGAGGAGGAGGAGGAGGAGGAGAAAAAAATGCCCCTCGGTCGCGCTTTCTGCTTTTGAGTCTTGCTACGCAATGTGCTTAGCGCTGACAGGGGGTCTCTGGCGGCACAGCACCCTTGCATACTGGTCGTGGCTATGCTGCATCGTTGGGGCTATTCCAGCTGAAATCAAAACCAGAGGCTCCGTGCGCATGTAGTATGCCTGGTCTGGCACTGTTATTCCGAGGCCAGCATGTGTCCTCAGAAATAAGCCACGAGCGAGCAAACGTTGATGCTCTATGGACCCCCTCCTTTTGGTTGATTAAATTGCTATCATGGAGTTTTATTACGCAGCATTTCACCTTATTTCAACTTGCTAGTCCGTTTATAGTGTCAATTTTATTGCCATTCACGATTTATTGCCTTGACGCACCTTTCTTTGTTGTTTTTATGATACTTTAAACATCCTGGTCATTTTTCTTCCATTCCTATTACCCCTGTAACGATCCAGTCCGCTGCTTACTAGAACCACACGGCCAAAAAGGCACTATAGAAGACCGTTAGGTCTTGTTGCAGCGGAACCATATAGTAAGGGCAGAGGCCATTACACCCTAACTCCTAAGCTACTTAGGCAAGAGTGACTTTTTACTACCTATAGAGTTACTTTAACCTCTCCCTAGACTATCTATAATCTCTAAGGGTAAGTAGCCTAGTATAGTACTCCTTTAGAGTTCTGATTAGAGCTGTATAGACCTAGGGGACATCCGAGCCTCCTAGGATCCCGAGGAGCAGGCTATAATCTATCTGATTTTAAGTACTCTAAATGCAAATCATTGTGCTATTTAGCGTATTGATACTGTACGAGGAACCACGTCGTACAACTAGCCATATCTCCAGCCCTAAGCAGCCTTCATCTTTCCTCCCGGCTCGGGGCTAGGTACTCGCGCCTTCCACTCCTCCACCAGCCCCGCGTAATCCCTTGGCTGATGTGGGACGAACAGATTCCTCCACCAGGACCCCTTCCTCGCCGTCCGCAGACCCAAGTCCCTAAGCAGTATATCTAAATAAGGGAGGACCTCAAAGACAAAATCCGCGTTCCGTGACCCATGATTTGTTGGTGACCGCAGAGCAACAAATTCAGAGTGTAGTATTGCCTCGCGGAGTGCAGACTCTTTGTCCTGCGGATGGTGTCGGGTAAGTTCAGAGCTGTGGTTCAGGTAGACGAGCGCCCACAGAGCTTGCACTTCGGTGACAAGCGGTGTGTTGAAGGTGGTTACGGTTCCGAGGATAGCGATGCTGTGGTCATCCCATAGCTTCGGGGGAACCATGAAGCGCGCAAGACGGAAGGGGTGTAGGACTGTCTCATTGATATGTTCGCCCTGCGCGTCCTTTGCGCGGTACATTCTTCTGGCTGGGGCGGTTTGGAGCATGGGCAGGCGAGTGTACAGCTCCTGGCAGGTTTGTTTCACGAGGTCCTGCTGATCTAACGAGTCGGTGGTCCACGGGAAGCCAAGCTCCTGTTCAATTCCATCTGGTAAGAAGCGAATGCCCGAGGACGCTTTCCAACCCGTGCATAGAATCAGTCCTCTCGTGTTTAGCCTCTCCCCATTCGATAGAACGATGATCTTCCCCTCGAGTCGCTCAACATCAGCAATGTGCACCTTGACCAACCCCCGCCGAACTAAACCAAAGAAATCCCCTGGGAAATTTAGAATTGCCACCGCAGTCCCCGCCCAAAGTAGCTTGTATGATGGTCTTAACTTGGCCGTCTCCTCATGATTATTATACTGATTCGCCCGTAGCATATCCCACTCGAGCGAAGCCCAGAATAGCCGTACAATCACCTGGCCGAGCCACGTGCCATGCAAGAATCTATGGATTGGATTGCTCACCAAGATACTAGGGCTAAATACGCCCAGTGCCCGAACGAGAGGGAGGCTCTCGAGGAGGAGGTTTAATGGTGAGAAAACAGCAGCGGGAGTCATCCACGAGGGGCCAGCCCCGGAGGCTCGGATGATCCAGTTCACCTGGTGGCCCTGTGATGCGCAGGCGTAGACGGCGTCCCAGGCTGATTTGCTTCCGCCGAGGACTGCGATTGGTGCTGCGCGGTCATGACGAGTATTTTCGCCTTGATCTCCTCCTGCTGGCTTGTTGGCGAAGAGGGTGTCTTGATAGTAAGCAAACTCCTTGACGTGAAACAGCGGCGCACCGAACGAGCCCTGTCCGACGAACGTGGGGATCCGCGGTTGCGATGTAAGCCCCGTTGCCAGAATGAGTTTCCGCGTCGTCCATATACAGCCCTCCCGCTCCGCGCGTCCTGCCCCTGCCCCTGCCCCTCCGGCGGCTGCTGTTGTGCATCGAATAATCCACACTTTTCCCTCCCCAACTCCAACTCCCTCGGCGTACTCCACAGTCTCCACCTTGCAGTTGAATCTGACCCTCTCAAGAATCCCGAAATGGTTCGCGTACGCTTTTAGATACTCATGAACTGCTCTCCCCGACATATGTTCACCGGGCTTCACAAGATCAGGCACGGTAGGAGCCTGCTGGATGGGAAAATCGCTATACACGTACGACTCTACTCGGTTATTCGTCCGGAGTCCCTCGTATACCCGCTCCTCTGCCCAGACACCGCCCACTGATGCGGCGGAATCTAGAACGACGAGATTAATGCTGCGATCGAGCGCGAGGGCGGTTTTGGCGGCGGCGAGGCCGTGCCAGCCTATTCCAACGAGTTAGAGCTGTGGATGGTTCAGGTCCCTGGGACCTTCTAGGTGATGACATTTGGGATCCAAGGGGGTGTGGATGTGAAAGGAAAGAATGCATCATGTACCCGCGCCAATAATGACCAGGTCAGCGACTTCCGGCTCCATCTGTATTGGACCTATTTCGCTTGATTTCTGGATGTTCGGGAAATTGGCATTCGTTGGGCGAGAACTTGGGTACCGTGCATCAGCAGACGAAGGTTCTCCGAAAAAGAGAAAAATGCAGGGAGCGCATCGTCAGCATTTAAATTCCCTGCCCTTCCTCTTCTCCCTAAATCTCTAGTCCTGTATTCCCGCCAGTCCTTGTTGAATACAGAAACGTGACGCTAGTCGACAAGCAAGCTTGCCCAACCAACCAAGGGCCCAGACGTGTCCGAGCGGCCTCACTCCCGCCCTTGAAGGCTCAGCTACCTTGCCGGAATTGCCCAATCAGCAGATTTTGGACCTTCACTACGACGGTTAGTGTGGTGCGGCTGACTCTGACCGAGTGGCGTGGCTGGGCTTAATCCACTTTATTCAATCCCTTTCCTTATCTTCTCGCGGAGCGCTGGAGCAGAAACATGCATGCAGAACGAACTCTCACCACACGCGCGCAGCAGAGCGCCTCAACTCGACATCTCCGCTTCAACGGCTGAGTGGACACCCAATATGCTCTCTTCTGGTCCTTCAAGGTCCCTGAAGGCTGTACCTTGTGGAGATTACCCCGCTCTTTCAGGCGCCGGCAGAACTTGAGATCGTCGATATGCGCCGAGGAGGTGCAACCCGCTCTAGACCACCCGGGCCCCGATCGGCACGCACTCTGTGGATGGAGATGTACGGTACGGACTCATTTGGCGACTGTGTATTATGAAGCTTTAGTATATCAACCCCCCTTATCCATGAAATAATTGGGTAGATATTCGATCTTGTTAACTTGGAGTCTTAATCGATGTCCATGGGCGGTACTCGGATTATGTATCCGACAAGCAAGATAGGCCCACATAGCTACAGTTCAAGCATCCAGGGTCGGCCCATTAATGCTACGCGAACACTCGTATATTATTCTTGCTGGTTCGAGGGGAAGAGCTGTAGGTTGTCCTCGCTGTAGGATGTGCTACAAAATGGTGGCACGCAAGTGTTCTCATTCTCGACATTATGGGTTGGATTATGTACTCGGTGGTAGGAGTAGTGAGCTTCTCGGTCCCCGTGTCGTGCGCATTAGGTTCACTCGGCAGGAGGCCCGGTGGCATTGGACGGGCGAGGTGCGGATGCTGCCTGAACATAGCAAGGACCTTGTGGCAGGGTGGGTAAGAGAATTAGTGACAAAGGTTGCTAGACACATTCGATATGGTCACGACAGAAACCCTCCTGGCTGCCTACTCTCGATATATGGAACCCCTGCAGGTCGGATCCGGTCTGCCTTGTGCGCTGGGTGGCCAAGGTTTGAGGTGGACGCCTTCTCGTCGCCTACCGCCTGGTGCAGGTTCAAGCACCGCTGGTTCAAGCACCGCTGGGGAAGATGATTACTATTAATAAATAAATGGGCCGCCTGTGTGACGCTGGATGGATGGGGAATCAACTCTAGTCCTGATCCGGAGCTACGGGTGTCAATTCGCCAGTATATTAGGAATGGTACACGAGACAAGGATGCAGATGTAGCAGCCATCAACTTTGGGCAGGCAAGGCTAGCCCTGGACACCACGGTTGCTGCTGACTGAAGGTAGGGCGGCGTGAGCGCTAAACCCGACCAGTCCGGCCGGGGCGCAAAAAAAAAGAACACAAAAACATACAACAGTAGGGATTCGCATGTGGTCACCCACCATACTACTAACCTACCGGCGTGTGGCTTAAGTACGGCTGAGCGGACGGGAAGCCCTGTTCTCCACACCCTGTGGTCGTATGTACTGAATATTTTGATAAAAGGTCTTACGTAGAGTATAAACCTTGGACTATTCTAAGCCCGTTCTTTCGAGAGGGTAAAACTAGCGCACCATAAATAGTAGCTCGGTGCATCACGGGGTCATATCACGTGTAGTCTACTCCGCAGTGCGTCACCGTCACTCTGGTCGATAAGCTGCGATAGCCCATCTCCATCCTCGGCCTGCCACGGCTGCTGGCAGCCGGGATCATCATCGATCATCATGGCTCGTTCTCAGCACTCTCGAGCCCGGCTCCGGGGCATATCAAGCCTGTGTGCATTATTTATATCAGCTTTCAAACTACCAGCGGCCGCAGGGACCTATGATAATTCGCCTGCGATCCAGCTCCCCATCTTACCGCCACCCGCATCCTTGGATGAACCGGTGTTGTCACCCGAACCACATGAGTTTGTAAAGGCCAGGCACGAGCTCTTCACTTGATACCATGACTGAGACTCTCTAGTCTCTCCGTCACATCTTCCACCGGGGAACATATCAACATCCGGAGCTGCATGCTAGACTCGACGTCAACCCCAACACCCACCTGTGGACGCCGTCTGAAGATGGCACCGAGCCAGAGCCCTTCACGAGCAAAGCCCCCTTGATAGCCTCCTCGAACCCCATCACTATACAACGCCTGGCGGATCGACGTGTCCCGGTCATAGAAGGACAAATGTCTGCAGTGCGATCATCGGGCGTTGCTGCCTCGTCGCCGGCGGATTGGGTGATGGATACACTGGCAGGTCCAAATGTGACGGACAAGCAGACGGTGTTAACTTTTGCACGAATGACCGCAAATGACTATATTGAGGAACCCGGAACAGAGGACTGGCAAACCATCCACGGCAGGTTCAACTACTCCAACAGCTTCGGATGGAAAACGGACGGCCTTCGAGGGCACATCTATGCGGACCAAAAAAACACCACCATAGTGATCTCCTTGAAAGGCACATCCCCGGCTCTCTTTGACGGCGCCGGCACGACAACGAATGACAAGGTCAATGACAACCTGTTCTTTAGTTGCTGCTGTGGCCAGGGCGGCTCGTATCTGTGGAGGCAAGTCTGTGACTGCCAGAGCGACGTCTTTACCGCCAACTTGACCTGTATTGTGGAAGCTATGCATGATGAGAATAGATACTACCGGGCAGCCGTCGATCTCTACTCCAATGTGACCGAGATCTACCCAACCTCAAACGTCTGGCTCACAGGGCATTCCCTGGGTGGTGCTATGGCCAGTCTCCTTGGCTTGACGTTTGGCCTCCCCACAGTCACTTTTGAAGCGATTCCCGAAGCCTTACCTGCAGCTCGACTCGGTATCCCGAGCCCGCCGGGCCATGATCCTCGCCTTCCACAAAAGCGTGACTTTACGGGTTCATATCACTTTGGGCACACGGCTGACCCGGTGTACATGGGCACCTGCAATGGTATCAACTCTCTTTGCACATGGGGTGGCTATGCGTTTGAATCCGCCTGTCATACCGGCCAGATGTGTACGTATGACACGGTAGGTGACAAAGGGTGGCGCGTGGGTCTCGGAACGCACCAGATCAAAAATGTCATCTCAGACGTGATCGAGGCTTATGTTGACGTGCCACAATGTGCACCAGAGGAGGAATGTTACGACTGTGTCCTTTGGAAATTCTTCAAGAGTAACGGCTCTGAGATCACCACGACAACCACCACGACCAAGACCTCTCCGACCCTCACGAGGACATTGACATGCAAGACTCCCGGCTGGTGGGGATGTCTGGACGAGTCAACCACAGTCACAACAACGACAAGTACGACCACGGCAACCACAACCACATCGACCTGCAAAACGCCCGGCTGGTTTGGCTGCAAGGATCCGACAACCACAACCAGTATAATTTCTACAACTTCCAAGTCGACCCCGGCTTCCAGGTGCGAGACCCCGGGTTGGTTCGGCTGCCATGATCCCACGACCACCAGTAACATGGTCACGCCAGCGCCTTCTATCAGCACGCCAACTGCAACTTTGACTTCGGCAACTTGCCATGATCCGGGCTGGTTTGGCTGTCGGGACCCGGTGCCCGAACCAACACCCACTCATGAATAGATCAGCGTTGACATGGTGGGCGCATAACATATACACACAAGACATTCTGGTAGTTCATCTGTCCCGGCTCGGGATCACCACTTCATACACACACGAACTGATCTGGGGCAGTCCACCGAAAGACTCGGTGAGTCCGTGCCTGCCATATATCTCCGCTTCAGCCTCTGGTTTTTCTTTTCTCCATGAGTTTGCTTGGCTACGCATGTGGATGTTTCCGCAGACTGCTTGCTTCGATTTCGAATGTGAGCCCATGGCTTTTTGAGGTATATTGTGTTTCTTGGTTAGTAGAATACACTTGATAAACATCTTTTACTGCCTCTGGCCCTTCTGCCAATTTCAAGGCGCTCGTTACAACGTGTTTGTCATTATGTAGTCTATTACTGATGTACATGGTCCAAGGGATCATAGCCGTGTGTGAGCCGGTCAGTTTCTACGGCCTGTGTAGTGAATAGTATACGGTAAATATGCCGGGCTCTGTATCGGCGCCAGGCGAATCACACTGACCCCCGAGCTACCCGACATGTCCAGATTGCACCCGTCGGAGCGACCGATTCGAGGGTGTCCGTACAGGCCATCGCGCCGTGAAATAACCACTCCCAACTGAGAGTCTGGAGATAGGGCCCTGCGCTGCAGGAGCAGTATCGTAGCCTGACTGCGTTTCCCATGTGGATGCATTGGACGGGCGGAGGCTGTTGCTCCGCACCAGGGTGAAAGTCCCATCGTATCCAAAATGGTCCACGGTATCCGTTTCGCCCTCCTCATCAGAAGGTCCAATGACCGACTCGGTATCTGCACGACGGTAATTGGCGCTGTCGCGGATCCCATCGAGGGCAGGAGGCGCTAGGGGAGTGATCTCTCTCAGAATCTCCGCAAAAAGATGCATCAGTTCTCGGAATTCTGCTTCGTGTAGCTGTTGTGACGAGAAGCGTGCGCGCTCATAGAGAGACAACAATTACGCACCGAGTTCCGACATGTAAGATGTTGAATGTACTGTCTGAGGCTCATTGGAGTTGCATTCCTGGTGTCGCGTTAGCTTAGATTGTCCGGACAAGCTATCGCCAGTATTAGTAGTGGTTCGTGAGGAAGAAAGACAAGATATTCTTAACACTTCTACTAATATTTATTACTCTATAGTTTATTACCAACTATAGGACGCTAAAATTATCCTCTAGAGCTTCGGGGCTAGGATAAGTTTGGTTAAAATATATTAGGATATAAGAGTTATTTAATATATCTAGAATCTCGAGATAGAACTTTTAAGCTATTATTAAAAATATATACTTATAAAGATATGTCTTACTAGACAATTTATAAATATAACTTAAATAAATATTAGTAGAGCAGGCTTGGCTTAAGCAGAGAGTAATAAAAATACTAAAATAGGACTGTCACTGACATCATCCCTGGGAAGCCCTCCGGGTATTCTGCTGGTGGATACCACTGTAGGCGGCTATCTGCTCCTCCAGTAGCTCGCTAGATAGATACAAGCATAATATAATCTATATCCTAACCCTATACTGGCTACTAAATAGTAGCATGTCTAGGTTTTATATTCTAAGGGATCTCCTGGGGGGTCGGAAAAAGGACAGCGATCTAGTCCGCTCATTGCTAGACAAGCTAGCTCGCCTTGTGGTCTGCTCTGTGTCATATTTCGCTTCTAAAGTAGAAAGCAGAGAGTCCTCTTTTGGTAAGATCAGTATACAGTCAGCGAGAAGGCGCGTGTGGGGAACGGAAGGCGCCTTGATCTCTATCTACTCTTCAAATGAGGAAAGAGCGACCGATTTCCGATTTCCAAAGCCCTGCGCCCGTTACTGTACAGATGCGACTCCGTCTTTTCCCCTCCTAGTTTACCCTCCAGCGCTCGACAGATGATATTCCGTTTTTGCGAGGCTACAACTATTGCCAGACCTGGGATAGATTGAATAACGCGCCTGATCAGTGCAGGTTCACACTCTCCTGTTTGATAATTCTCACTCTCCTTTATCTTGGAAGCTGCATAGTCCCTCACGGATTTTGCTCTAGGCGTTGAAATGTTCCAGTACTATGGATACTCCACCAACTCTGTTCCTCAACCCCCGATCGCGCGATCTTAGATCAAAGACTTAATCCATGGAACCACAAGTCTCGCGGTGCTATTGCCGCACTATTACCAAGAAATATATAACATTAATACTATTCTCAATAAATGTGGGCTATTTCCAGGCTAGAGTATCTCCCCTCTTAACCTATATTTAGTACTACATGGTGCGGACATTGTGAATATCTCTACCGTGCACAATGAAGGGATCAACTATCCAACTAGGCTCCGGGCTCAGCAAGCTCAGAGGTCTCGTCACTGATCTATCCACCCCACCACCGGTAGTGGCCGCAAGTTGTGTCTGTTGAAAACGCCTCTCTCTATGTCAGGAATCACCACAATCCGGAAGGATCACATAAAGATGCTCCCTTATGCGTTGTCTATCTTGGGATATAGGCATGTCTAGATAGAATATATCATCTCTCTTATACAGAAGACAACGATGACCCCCTGGCGTGCGATACCTGAACCTGGCTATCAACCGTCCTGGAACCCTTGCACCATATCAGTCGAATGGGAGGAATACAACTAGCTACCATGGCAGTTGTCAATTTGACAACAGAGCAGTAGTACACCGGGGCGGAATCCCATGAAGGATCACGACCTTTGTAGAGGTGTATAACGAAGGCTAGTCTAATCGAAGCTGCAATGCCTGCCCTAAAAGTGCCTCACAGAAAATCGTTGATTCTAGTCTGCTGGGCATTTCTAGGCAACCTTACACAACACCTATTGAGCTCAGGAGCGCAATGATAGATGCTTTTCTCTTCCAGGGAGCATGCAGGTCTAGCACTGTCAGCGAGCCAAATCTCGGTAGGCGGTCTCTACATAGAGCGAACTTACGGCAGATCGTCCTCATCGGCATAATCACGACCCAGAAATCAGTTAGGAGATACAGCACCGCGACGCCACACCAGAAGATAGAAGCATCGATGCAGTGCGATGTCTCGGGATTGCCAAAAGACCAAATGCCACCAACTGGCTCACACTGAAAGATAGCCGAGAAGAAGAACGCAATAGTCATTGCACAGACGAAGACGACTGTCACGATAACGCAAATGCGGAGAGCCGGGAACAGACGGCGATAGAGGAAACAAATGGATAGCTTGATCAGGCCGCTTGATATTGTATAGAGCAGCTGCGTTGATAATCGTATCTACTTGTTTGGTCAGCAACCTCTATTAGTTTCTACTATGCGCGCCGTTCATAAGAGACAACCCTTCTCTAAGGTCGCAATATCAACTGCACTTTCCCGCTGCCTCAGTCCAGAACCATACGATGCGCCTCTGCGTGTTAATGATTTTGAGCTTTGAATTGCAGGATAAACGCGCACCTAAGTCAATAGAAACAAGCGTCCCGATGGTAATTATCGTAGCAGCAAGGATGCACCAATCATCAACTCCGGGATCTCGCGCGAGGATGAAGCGCGCGTATAATCGGATTAGCACGGCTAGCGTTGCCAGCGACACCAATGCCGTGACCACTATTATCAGAACAACCCCATTTGGTCCCAGGGCCATCAAGGTGGTGGCCAAAATGGACGAAGCTGTCCCTATCACTATCAAAGTGATCCTATATGAAGAAGCTAAATGAAACAATGAAATAAAGTGAGATGTCTTTACTTTCCTCTGGCGACGGGTTTCCCGTACCCTAGGAGTCACACCTATTAGCGAGGCGAAAAGCCAGGTGGCAACTACATCCCGCCATGACTTCAAGAGTCAAGCAATCAGAGATCAGACCAGGAACACAGGGCATAAAAGCCTATCAATTGCCGAGGATTCCCCCGAGCGTGCCTGATCGGATCTTGAGGGATTGACTCTGGAATCATGCTTCCCGCGATTTTTTATGACTATTCAAGGTCCATGACCTCACCACTTTGATAATTGTCTAAGCGCATGTGATTTCCACTGCGTTTTTAACATTGTTCCCTTGTTCATAAGAAACTAAAGACACCTTAATATATAAGGGTTTCTAAGGGAAAATACATCAAACCCTCCTTTTGTTGAAAGTTTTCCCGGCCATTTGTATTCAGATCTCTCTGTAATGAATATCAGATGTTAAATTATAATGCCGACGACTGCATCGTAAGTTCAACCCGACCAAAGCGGCCTTCTTCCCTCTGAGACTACTAACAAAATCGACCAGAGATGTCTGCGTTGCCATCCTCGCCATCTTCATCCCCCCTCTAGCTGTTTTGCTAGTACGAGGCTGCGGAGCGGATCTGTGCATCAACATTTGTCTAACTCTCTTGGGTGACATCCCTGGTATAATTCATGCACTGTAAGTGTCATCTACCTACTTCCAGAGTATATAAGATTTTCCAAGATACACAAGCCAACCAGAAACCAGTTATATAGTTCTTGTATCCCGGGAAAGACGCCAGTGGGCAGCGCAAGCGCCGCCACAGTCCTACTCGTATTACTAGCGAGATACTCTCCTTTTTTTTAAGAGATAATTGTAGAGTATACCTTTGCTAGACTTCACTCGTCCAAACTACTCTACAGTTACTACATGTGTGTAGTAGGTGGCCATACTTCAACTACAAGCCTAATAACCCTCGACGCACTAGTTTAGCATAGTATCATCATGGAACAACTTGAATGAAACCCAAACATACTGCACGTGTGTGGCCTTGGTTATTGTCTCGGGCCTCGCCCTGCTTATGTCCCGCTTAGGTCATCGCCACGTGACAATCCTCTGGTGATTCGCAGAATAATGCTGAGAGCTTTGCGTACTTTGTCACTGGTGACGATCCCTCCCATGACTGGCCCTTGAACCTTTAATGAGCTAATTGCTTCATTAGCTATGTTTCTGAACAATAATGACTTCCACAAGGGGTGGTCCAGTATGTTCTAACAGATTTGATCTCCGGCTACCGATTGTAGTGAATGTCTGGTTGCGCTATGGAAGAAGTTAAGCAGGGAGCTTGATAATTGAAACTAGAGTATAGAGTGCTGAATGACATCAACATGTTCCGCTTTAGCAATAGATCTGACAGTATCCGAGCACATCAAACAGCGCAATTACCAGGGTGTTCAGTATCAACGGCACCGAGCGAAATGCTAGGGAGCTCTTCAGGTTCTTGGACCAAAGTCTGCTAAACTGGAAGTCCATAATCCTGCCGACAACATAGTTTGCTCATACATGTTGTCCTCCACGGACATTACATGTGCCTTCGATTTATAGGGCAAATGTAAGCAATGTACCTGGTTATTAGTGCCCGCGCAATCACGCCAGCATGCGTAGATGGAGAGATGGTGTAATCTGCTATGCCGATAGTACTGTAGCCGCGGCTCCCATTCCCCTTGTTTGATGTCGACCTCCTCCAAGGGTTTCCAATCAACGCTGTCGCAATTTAGATGTGGGCCTGCTGCTCGCCGAAGTAGCTTTTGTTCCGCGACATGGCTGAATATCTCTCGAGCAATGGTAGCGTCGAGCCATGGTCGGTTAGAGCTTTTCGAGATATAGTGGGTTGGCATTTGTTCCGCGAGTGGAGTATTGAGTTCCAGATATCTGAGGCTTGGAAACCATCCGAGGCTGTCAAGATGATTGACTGGCTAGCAGACGTGAACTAAATGTTAGTGTTCAGATCTCACCTTATCTTACTGTAGTGTTTCGGCGGACTCACCATAGCCCCAGCAAAGCACATGTCAATGCCGAGTCTTTCGAGCCCCGGTACCTGGCGGGACAAGTCCTCAAGCTCATCAGGCGAAAACAAACATCCTCCATAAAATGAGCCCTCGCGAGCCTGTGGAGGAAGCTCTCCTGTGTTTCGTTGGAGAATGCGGTGTGAGTGTAGGCCCTTATGGTCTGTATGTCGGAAGCGCAAATGCCGGATAGAGCTACCGTGATGGCGAGCGACAGAGTAGAGGACATCCTTTGGGAGGTCATACGCCATGAATTCTGATAGGCCATGGATCTGGGATACCAGTGCATTAAGGGCTTTGCTTATTTTAGGACCGGTGATCATTGGGGTTGACTCGTCACTAATCCGGACGGAGAGTGACTTCAGGCTCGTCAAACTATCTAAGCTTGATAGAAGATCAATCAGTTCGCATAGATCCGTTGATCCATCCAGCGCCAAACGCCGCAGGCTAGAGCAACCAGATAAACATTGTGCCCAACCGGCTGCTTGACGGCGATTAAAGCAGAAATTTGTCAGAGAAAAGTCCTGAAGAGTGGGCGGCAGAGCGCTGCCAGCGGCCAACTCAAATATCGGCCTTGACCCTCCGCGAGGACCTGGATGATGCTTTAAAATGAGTCGCTTGAGATTGGGTAGGGAAAGAAGAACATCCCGCAATATGTTACAGTTGATTTTTGCACCTCCTGCCCGGTCCGGTCTAAAAGTAAGACTCAGCGATATGATATTCGGCGCGGCTGTAACATTTTGCTCAAGTATGTCGATCGGAGGGCCTTCATAGTAAAAGGAAGGGGGAGATCTCCTCTTTTTGAGATTAGAAAAGAGATTAGGAGGAAATGGCAATAGCCGCCATCTGCCACAGTATCAATGTCAGCTTCCTTACAGGCTGCTGGGTAGCCAGAAACTATACCTGATAATATTAACATTTGGTAAACTCTCTATAAATTTGCCGATAGCTCCAAGGTACTCGTCTCTGAAGCTGGAGCCGTACGAAACAATCAAAGACCGTGCATGGTGATATACTCTGCTTTCAGAGCTTTGTTGAATGCGGTCCAGCAGTTTTCGAATGCGAATGGTGGTTTCTTCCTCGGGAAATTGGATATATAGGGTCTGAAAGAGGAGAGGCGATATGGCATTATTTAATGCTCTACAGGATTGGCTGAGGGCTTGAAGGCTTGACCAGAAATCCCAGCGGAGCTTTCATAACACACCATTAGTCAACGTTGCAGGTCATCAGATTGCCTAGTAGAAACAGATGATCTCACATAGTCAAATACGTGGACCCAAATTTCGACAGGCAGGCATTCGACAGCATTGCCAGTATTGGAGGGCGACATGACCTGAGAGTCTCCGCTGATCGAAGCGAGTTAGAATTACGGGGGAAAAGAAAGGTTGGGGGGATGCCCCCCCCATACCTAACCTTGGACGCAATGACCATGTGACAGACGAGGGTCAGTACCCGCACCGCGCAATCTCGCTAATATGAGCAGGGGTTTTACTGGTTGTGTGTACAAGGGCTATACTACAAAAGGTTCAATACCAAAACGCCGTGACGTTTCGGGCTAGTAACGGCCCTGACCTCGAGGCTCGAGATGAGAGCCGGTCTCAGAAAACAGAACACAATAATTCTTCCATCTAGAGACAATTTCCTGTCACTATAGGGATTCTGAAATGCCTGTAACCGGCTTTGCATGTACCTAGGTAGCCTTGAACACCATCTCTACTAGGAATTGGCCTCCATCTGGGTCCTTCATAGATTGCAGGGTTCATTATGAGGCCTAGTACCCTCTTGCCCAAATCGCCGGTTGAGTATATGATCTGCCTGAAGGTGATAGCCCCGCCCAGGACATTTCTTGCTCATACACATCGTCTTCTGCAAGATGGAGAAAACCGCCCAAGTTGGCTGGAATGATCATAGTGACCTTTTGGCCCAGTGGGATAGTAGCCCGGACGGCTATCCTTAACATAAAGACTCTATCTCTAGGCTAATTCCTTAAGCCCTTTCTATTTATATTAGAAATAGAGGAATAATAATTTTAGCCTATTATATATAGTATTCTATAGCTCACCCTTCTCACCCTACTTACCCTAGTAGGTGATATTCTCACTAAATTCTTACCCATCTCACCTATACTCACCCATGATTTAGCACCTGTCACCCATATAGCAGCGACACCCTCGGGGCCCATTTAACTTCTGGCCACATTTATCAGTGTGGCTTAAGTACGGCTGAGCGGACGGGAAGCCCTGTTCTCCACACCCTGTGGTCGTATGTGCTTGTTTCAACCCATACAGGAACTATATATCCTCTTGACATATACCATTTCGCCCTGAGCTGGGAAATTAGTACTATTTAATTCATGGGTATTACTTATATGTAGCATCTTTATTACATGTAATTATCTTAAAAAGTAAATGCGTTATTGCTATTTAAAAGTCATTTAATCGAGTATGTCACCTACCCTGGCCCATGCCCGAAATTCAATATAAATCTGTTGTCTCTACGCAGTCCAGCACCTATGTCCACTTACGCCAACTCTGAGAGATAGTTGGATTTGAGATGAGAGATAGATGAGATGGGACCTCGGGACCTGCACTATAAAAGGGACTCAACTCGCCTCTATAAACTCTCTCTCCTACACATCTCTCACGCCTTTTACCCCTTTCTTTACCTTTTCTTCTCCCTCCCCTTCCTCAACTTCAATTTCGAATTCTCCAAGTCCTCCCCTTCCTCCTTTGAGAGTCTGGTCAAGTCCTCAACTTCAATCTCTGGTAGTCCAGTGAGTTCATACTCCGGGCTTCGGCCCTACTTACCCTCTGCACCTTTCTACCTCATCTCCTCAATTGCTCATTGCCCTCCCTCCACAACAACCTTCTCTTCCTTATACTTCCTATCTCCATCCTCGATAGCTGTGCCCGACCCATTCCGTTATACTCGTCTACCGCATGAGCACTTCTCTTCTCCTCGAGTCCAGAAATTGGCACTAGTCTTATCATATCACTTTGATAAGACTTTCCACAAGTCGAACGTACTTAGTAAGTCCAAGCCATCTGCATTCTACCTTCAGCCTTCAACTTCTTCACAACATTCGCCCAGAACCATTTTGAAACATATTACTGATCAGAAACCTAGATACAATTCCCTTCACGATGGCAATGCCAACCAGGTCCTGTGGCATTCCGGGCATTGATTACGATGCCACCTACGTCAAAAACCTCCTCACCAGCCCCGGCTGCCTAGCTGGGGCTTTCGGCCTACCAAGCACAAAAGCGCTATGGGCATTAGCTCTGCGGGACCCAGAGACAAAGCCGATTGTTGACGGCTGGATCGAAGAGAGAAAGAACTTTGGAAAGCATATCCTCAATAAAATCTACCAACCCTCCCTTGAGAGGTTGCTCGCCGACCCGGCTATGCACCCCATCCTCACAAGTGATCAACCCCCAGCGTCTAGCCCCGTTGGCCGTGGCCTGGGACGTGCGGATATGGCGACACTGGCGAAACTTACGGGACTCTGGTATATTGCCCGCCTGGTAAGGGCAAAGCCTCACCTTTTCCCAAGGTCTCAGGTTGAGCCGGTTTTGTCGCTGAACGGGTATGATCTTCTGCATGGGTGGAAGTTTCTGAGATGGGTCTGGCGTGAGAAGGCCCGGAACCGTTTGGGGAACTACGAGGGCAAAAGATGCTCCCAGGCTACACGGCCTGTTTTTCATATTCCGGCCTTGGCTATAGCGGCCCCGGCCCAGACGGCGGGAGTCCCCATGAATGTGCAGAACCCTGCGGCCCAGAGCCCAGCCCCTGTCTATACTGTGAGTATTTGCCGTTCAATCCCTGGACGGATATACACTAACCTGGACAGCGCGATCTCACTCCGAACCCCGTCGAAACTCCCGAGGAAGAAGAAGCCTTGAACCTGGCTATAGTCCACGGGCTTGGTGATGGAACTATTGCGGTAGAAGACACGGAACCTATCTTTGTTGAGCAAGACGAATTGGAACACGCCGAAGACACAACCGAAGACGAGGAGAGCGACGTCTCAGAGGTGGCTAAGGTGCCAATCTCAAAGGAATACATCACCAACAGCGATGACGACGCCTACGACAGCGGCTACGAAACTGCCGATGAGTGTTGGGATATCCGAGTCAACCCGGAGCCTGAACAGGCCTACGAGGCGACTTTTGAGGAATTTGTCGAGGAGAATGCCGACCTGTCCGCTACTCCCTGGGGGCGAGTAGCCAGTACTTGAAACCTTTTCGAGCACATGGAACTTTTCTGCCATTCACTCAACATCTACGAATACTTTCTTCTTACAATATGTGGTTCTGCGTTACGGGATCATTCGGTCATGTTTATTTCGCACGGAAGGACTCGTGATACTTCACTTTCAGCTTTTTTTTTTTTTTTTTTTTTTTTTTTTTTGAACTATGAATAGCATGTTCTACGGAAACTATTTGTGACTGGACGGTTTGTTATCTCGGAGATTCAATCAGGAGATTTGGAGTTAGGGCTCATAGCAGCCGAAAGAGCAATTTGCTCTGTACTTCGCAAGGCAGATAGATAGCTTGGAATGCAGTTTTCTTTTTCGATAACAAAAGATTCAGTATCTCAGTGAAATCTCGTAGACCCATGCGACACAATAGTTGACTCTCAGGCGCCTACTCATCAATCGCTCCCATCGTACTTCCCTCCACTACCATTAGTATTAACTTCCGTAGCTGGCCCCATCCATTATATCATCTGTCTTGCCTCCAGTCTAGGCTTAAAAAAAGTATATCAAGAACGATCGTTTATCTCAGAATTTGATAATGATCCATGGTGTCTAGAACCATTCGCAAGAGGCTTTTTATCTCTGAATTCGAGGGCTATATACTTAGAGTCGAATAAAGTAGCTCGAGTAGGCATCATTTGTTTGTTCTACGAGTAATACCTAGGTAGCTGGTGCAATGGCCTCTCTGTATCCTTTTTTTCAGTAGCTAAGCTATAAAGTACATATGAAACCAAAGATGCTTCGTACAGACAGGGGTTGTGGGCAGTGCTCTTGGCACCCCGGGCGACTGGCCCTATAGTTCTGGGATAATAGGCCGTGGGGTGTTGGATCACATGGAATTCATAATGGCGCCTATTATCAGCCTCACGTCTGATTCTTCGCCGTTGAGTCTCCCCAAACACGCAGCTTGAGTCTGCTTTTGAGATCATGTCCATTCCATGAAACCGCTACCTACCTTATCCCCGTATATCTAATACACCATACGATAATGGGTTTCGTTTCCTGCCCATATCCCTAACCCCCCTCCTCCTCACCACCCTCCCCTTCCCCTTCACGACCGCCACCCAAACAGCAACTCCTGATCCAATCCCAATCCCGGCACCCCCGCAAAAAATCGAAGCAGACCTCATCTTCCCCACAAACACCACCTACACCCCGCTCGCCTACTTCCCCCTGATAATCGGCCTCACAAACACCCCCGTCACCTGGCCACTGCATGCAATCCTCTGGATAATCCTGGAGCCGCTCGACGCCCAAACGCGGAATCACAGCCACACGGGGGAATACGAGGAGTGGGAACCGTTCCCGTTCCCAGCAGATGGTGGGCTGAATTTCACGGTTGGGATTCCGCCCGCTGATCCGTACATCTATCATGTTTTTCCGGCCATGTTGAGGGGCTTTTCGCGGGGGAGGTGGAGGGTTGTTTGGGAGTTTGGGCTTCTGCATAGTTGTCGTGAGGGGAGCGAGAGGGTGGATGACCATTGGTGGGATTGGGGGATTGGGAGGGAGGCGTTTTTTACTATTGCCGATGATGATTATGATGATAATGGCGACTCGTCGGCGCATGACGTCGACGACGTCCTCCGTTCCTGGGACTGTACGGCCCTCGAACCCCCACCGGGAACAGAAACAGACGGCGAGCTAGCCGCCGCATTCGAAGTCCTCGGATGGAAGACTCTCGAGCCGGAACATGGAGAGCCATTCTCAAACTACACATACTGCCCGATCTTCAAGAACAATATGAATGCCGGGACGGGGGCTACAGTTCCCGAGCCGTGTAACTTGGTCTTTGGGGAGAACGATATAGAGGCCATTGTCGCGGACGCGAGGAGGATCTCTGGATGCCATGGGTGGACGCTCGGGGAGATGGAGTGGGATTGTTATGGGAGGGAGGAGAGGATGAGACGGAAGTGGAGGTGGGGGATTGGGGTTATTGTGCTTGTTCTCGGGGCTTATACTGTGGTTGCGGTTGGGAGGGAGTGGAGGGTTGGGAGGCGAGGGTGGATGAGGTAGATGGGTTCAATGTTGATTACTAGGGCTAATTGGAAGGTACGTAGGTGGGTTACCTGGGCAATGCGCGGTCGTTCCTTCTCTATTTATCAGATGTTATATCGCAAACAAAGCGTTAGTTAGGAAGGCGCGATCCAGCATAGTTTAGAATTGGCAGGCACGATGGTCACCACGGAAACCCAGTTGTCCATCGCTCCTTCCGTGTATGTTGGTGAATTATATGACCGAAGATGGAAGGAGCTACCAGTTACCCGCGTAGATACAACAATCGCTCCTGCCAAAATTGGTCCAATCTATAGTGCATATCCGATGGTCTCCAGTTGCCGGACGTGACGTCTGTATCTAGGAGAAGAGGATCCAGGTATGACATTCGAGAACCATAAATGTGTATTGTCCATGATGCTATAAAAGAAGGCGACCTACTTCTCACACAACGACAACGCAATCGCCCTTTCGACATCGCTGCGCCGAAATCCAGGGCTATGCCCGAGACATATCGATTTCTCAATTAGGGCTGCATCGTTAGCCAATCATTGATATTCACCCACAGAAGTAGGCAGTAGGCCAACTCACCCGACGTGAAATCCAGCGCCTTGACCGTCCTCCTCGTCCGCGGAACCTCCTCCTGCATCGGTGACACAATATACACCTCATTCTCGCGCAAATACCCAGCCAAATCATGCATATCGAACCACTCCCCCTCCAGTTCCCCCTGCACCTCCGGCGAAAATGCAGACAGCGGGCTCGATGCCGTCGACGTCTCCCACTCTCTACTATGCTCCGCGGGGAGATAAAGCTCTGGATAGTGCGTGCCTGCACCGCCGAGCTGGAAGAATGGAATCTCGGCAAAGGCTTCTGGTGGTCGCTTGTTGAGCCTGGCTACGAGGCGAGCGCGGAAGAATGAGGTGATTGTGTCTCGGGGTACGAGTGTTAGAAGAAGACGAAAGGGTCGCCAGAGCAGTTCGAGGGGGATTCGGGGGTTGTTGAGCATGACGAAGCCGTGGTAGAGGCAGGCGATGCGGAGCTGTTCGATGAAGTCGGGGACGTCCATGGGTGTGTCTTTTGTATGTGGACTGAACCCAGCGAGCATGGCGGAGCGGTATGCATCGTGGAAGACGTCTCTGTTCGGTGACAGGCTATACTCTGTACCCGAAGAACGCTGAGCCTCTTCTGGTAGATGAAGAGATGACCCATCCCCACCCTCCTCATTCGCCTCGGCAAGACTAAGGCACGTCGCCACCATCCCCCTCAGCGGGTCCGCGAGGTTCGGAAACGAAGTAAGCACGCCCGACTGCACAAGCGCATCACTGAAAGAAACAACCGCACTCCCCATCTGCTCCAGCGCACTCTCGAGCTGCACAATCCGGCGCTGCAGCGTGGCCGCCTGCGCCTGGTTCCGTGCCCGGTATGCCCGCTGCGCCATGCGCACTTGCATTCGGCGCTTCTATACGGATAGGTGGCTAGAATTAGCTGTGGAACATCGCGGGGCATGCGTACGCTAGGGCCGGGGGCAGCCTCCTTACCTCCCTGGAGTCCTTGTCCTCCGGGCTGTCAGACCCGGTGGGTCTCGGTCTGGTTCGCCGGGCACGTCCCGAGGCCGAGCTCGAGCCTTTTGCGGGTCGCTCCGGGGGGTCCATTTCGATGGCTTGAATTTCTGAGCGATGGCCAAGGTCTGTTTTGTGATTTGCTTTTCGTCGGTACTTGCGAGGAGAATAATTTCGGGAGAAAGAGGATGTCGAGGGCGAGCGGGGATGAGTCGTCGTTTCTTTCGGCTCCGTGTCAGCGCTTGGCTCGGAGTGATCACTAATCAGCATTTCACCCAACAATCGTGCCATATGAGCTCAAATAAGGTCATATGGGAGGTAAAGGCCATCTGAGTGCAAGGAAACTTATAAAATATAGATTCAAGGGATATTTGGATGGGTTATGCTGGGAAGAAGCTTTCCAGACTCCGTTGGCATCCTTTCATATTGCCTTTGACAAGGTATAGCCAAATCGGGTGGCGAACGGGTCAACAGTCATCTCCAAGAGAATGAAGCATGCGGACGGGCATCTTTCTTCTTGGGCTTCCATTGCCGATCCCCGCTGGTCGAAGAAATAGCATAGTAGGAGTATGCGTGGAATTCCGTCCGAGCTAATAGTCCTCAACAAAGTGATCAAGCCCACCAATCTCAATCCCAGGCCCCTCAAAGATAAAACACGGCTCCTCGAGATAAAACCACCCCTTTTTCTCGGGATCCTTCGCCTGCCGATAAAACTCCAAGCCCTCTTTTACCCCGTTGCTGCCCACAGTCCAGATACCCTCTTCGATCAACCCCTTCTTCCATCGTACCAACAACGTGACCAATCGAGTTCCGTGCTGCGTGAAGGACGGACAATCTCCATGCTGCCATAGCTGTGTCCCATACGAGCGTCGATTAAATCGGCGGGCAGTATGGTCGAAGTAGAAGGGTAGTACGTAGGGGAGGGTTAGGCGGACTGTATCTGCCCATCCGTTGTCTGGGCAGATGTAGAGACCGACGTCTGAATCTGTGACTGTGGCTGTCCCTTTGCGGGAAAGAGGAGCAGTGCGTCGTGGTTTGCGATTCTGAGTCCAAGCTCTGGGTTCATAGTTGTGTAGGTTGGTGTTTGGAGAGTTAGGGCATTTCGGACGGCGACCGGGTGCGCTGGGTCGTATATCGTCATACCCGGGGCAGTGTACTTGAACAAAGGTCGCTTAGCGGCTGTGAGGAAGGCGCGAGGGAAGCCTTTCACCTCGTCATCGAGTGAGTCGTCTGCAATGGGGAGTAGCTCGGCCAGAGAGCTTCACACCTGAGACAGGATACGCAGAGTAGTACACTGAATGAAGGTGAGCAGTGGGAGTAGGACACTATATAGATTATATTAAGATTATTGTTCTAACTATTATACATACCTCAACAGCCCTTGCCCTTTAATCATCCCTCAACCCCTCAAACCCAGCCCTAATCCCCTCACAAACCCCTTCAACAAAACCTCCTTCCTCATCCACTCTGTCCAACCCCAATGCCCCAGCCTGCCAACTAACCGCAATCACCAAACTCCCTCCTTTCACACTAACAACATTAAACACCAGCGGCGCACTAAGCACATTCCCCGGCTGGACGAAGACCATCTTGGTGACCCTGCACTTGCCATCCCCATCGCTGCCCGCAGCAGCAGAATCAAACGCCAGCAGGTTACTAACCTCGTACGAAGAATCCCTCCTCTCCCCGATCTTTCCTAGCGTCCAGCCCCGGATACTAGGTGCATACCGCAAGAGTCCAATCGCTTGGTCCTGGAGTCGCATACCGCATGCGGCGAGATTGCGTGTCATGGTTCTTGCTGATTCCCACATCTCCTCTGATAAGGCCGGCTTCCTTTGCGCGACATCTCCAGAGTCAGCAGTAGACGAAATCCGAGGATGGACCTCGTAGTGCCCCGAGACATACAGCCCCCACTCGCCCGCGGGGACGTCAATCGAAGCACGCATATCGACCGCCGTCCCGGAGACAAAGTTTTTGACTTCCTTACTTGGAAGTGCCTCGCTCAGCGCACGCACGATAAGCTGGTGGAGCGTTGCGGTGAGTTTTGCGCCATGAGCCCTTGACGTTGCAAGCGCATTCGCTACAAGCGGCGCCTCAATCTCGAGTAGTCGCACACGACTGCACTCCGCCGTCGAATCAAAAAATATGGGCGCACCCGTCCACGTCCCCGCGTCAATGGAACTAGCCGACGCGCGGAGGCCGAGGATGTGCGTTAGCGTCTTGGGGAGGATGGCGCCTGCGAGGGGTGCGAGGAGGAACTTCCAGGATATGGGAAGGCGCTCGGGCGTATCGAATGGCTCGGAAAGAGTTCCTTTTGGAAGAGAAAGTGAGAAGGATGGGTCGTTCTCGGGGGAGGTAAGGGACTCGATCCAGGCGGCTTGGAATGTGCGGTGGAAGGTGAGACCGACCTTGCCGTCGCCGATTGTGTGGGAGAAGGAGAAGGCGATGAAGCAGCGTGTTGAGACTGAGTTGGCCGGTGCCAGAGGGAGAACGACGATGCGCCAGGGCGGGATCTCAGCGGGCCACGGCCTGTCGAGTATCGAAGGTAGAACCTTCTCAATTGCCCCCACTTCATTCTCCCCCGTCGACTCGGGGAGGGTAGAGATATGCTCCTTGAGATCCATCCTGGAAACACCCTCGTAGGCCGCCTTATCCGTATCCTTGCTGCTAACGACGGCGCTGAGAAACGGATACTCGAGCACGCATTGTTTCAGGGGCGCGATAAATGTCTCGGGCAAAGTCATGTCCACATTTTGACTTTCGATCTCGTAGATTGCGCCGATGACCAGCGCGTTGTAGAACCCGACGTCTTCGCGACTGATTGTGCGGCGTTCGTTGGGGCCTGGTTTATTTTGTCAATGCAGGTCTGCGTTTAGGATACGGGGGCTGACTTACTTGCGAGTCGGAGAAAGGTCCGTGGCTCGGCCATCTTTTCATATGGGTGACTTTGAGGTGTACAATATGCCGTGGAAGGCTTGATCCGGGATGCCCGGTTCTGGACGAGGTTGAATAGAGGTTGAAAACCAGGCAGAAGAGTTTAATTAACCTTGATTCGCGTGGAGCCCGCTAGCCCCCTTGGGTATAAATTTAGCAGTCCGTATTATAGACCAGTTTGGGGGCGGAATTATTAAGTCTGGGATCCCGGGATGTATACCGCAAAGTCTGTCTTAAAGCGATACGTAGCCTTAATGCTTCTATTTATAAGAAAAGTCCGCCCGATCCACGTCCGCGGAATAGAATTCTTCGCTTACAAAGGTCAACAGCGTATATTGTTCAACTTCTAGATTGCAATTCTCAGTTATACCAGGAGACTATGCGGATCTACTTACAAGAAGTATGGCTGTATGCTTATATTATCGCAGTATGACCCTTGAATAGTATTGGCTAAGGCCGGCAGCACACGTTACTCTCGAGTACTAATTGGCCGTACATGATAGCGAGATCCATAACCTGAATCAGCACTGAACCTTGATACTCCCAAAGAGAACCGAAGTGCACCCTGTCCCCGAGATGACCTTGCTGGACCCCCTGCAGTTCAACCCACTCCAGGATGATATCTGGCAGCCGCTGTTTTGTATCAGCTAACTGGGCCAACACTCGATTTTCTTTATAAACTAAACCCCGACAGTGGCAAGTACAAAGATGAAGAGAGAACAACTTACACATTCTCATAAACATAAATCGACCGTGCGGGCGACGAGACGGGGTAACAGCCACCTGTGCTGTCGAACTGGTACACGGGACCAGTGCAGGTGTCGCCGCCCGAGTACCCGAATCTGACGTGGTTGGCGCGGGATTCGATGTTTGCCTCGGCGTTGGCTTCGGGGGCCGGGGCTCCAGCGGCGAGGATGCTGAGCATGCTGGGAAGGACGAGGTGGAGGATGCGCATGGTTTTTATTGTTGTTGGGCTGGTTTGTGAGCAAGATGACTTGGTTAGGCTTTCTGGGGGAGCTTGGAGATGGGGATGGGTATGAGTGAAGAGGCATAGGGGAGAGGTTGGAGGGGTGGCGCTCTTTATAGGTTTTGACCTAGTGATTTTCCAAGTCAGATCTGTACTATATGTACCAGGATAATCAGGCCTAAGCAGCTATATCTGTGGTTAGTGTCGAGGTAATACGCTCACGCAACTACTGAACTAGCTAGTAGTATCTGTCGAGAGTCTGTCAGACGATCTATGGAGTACTCTTACGGTGCCATCCGTGTGACGAACTACTCTGCGCCCAGGATGTGAACCAAAAAGCTGACATACATTTCAATTGGCGAGTTTTGTGCAGGTGGGCACCCGAAGCTGGGTGCACGCATACGGCAAACATCACTGAAAGGTATGGGGGAAAGGGGGTCGGGGGGCCGCGGGGAAGCTTATGATAGACAGCAGCATTGAAACCGCGAGTAAAATACCTCGCTTGCTAGATATAAGCGGGTCCTCTAAGCCTCTTGGTTCTCGAAACCGGCGAACTACTCGCTTACAGCGTGGGTAGCCTAGTTGATCGGCCTTGTAGGATAGCAGGCACTCTAAGCAATATAATTCACCAAAGGACAATCAGAATGTGTATCTAGACCGCGGCAGAGTGTTTTTACCATTAGATACGAGGTCGAGAGCACTGGTCAATTCGAGAATTCTCTTACGGGCATCGCTCCTTCAAGCCGTTATAGCGAAACCTGGTAAGCGGCGACGAGCAGTGTATACTAGATAGGACGCAACATAAGACGTTTCTGGCAATCATCGCTAGAAGCACGTAATAGAGACACTCCCAAACGGGACAGCCTGGCACTCATTGAGATGGGCCAATGCTCCAGCCACGGGGCCCGCGATTCCCGAAGAGGCGATCTTCGAAGAACCCTTGCAATCCTTTCCGCTCCATGTTGTTATGATGCAGTTCCTACTCACCCATCAGTCCTCTAACTTTCATACTTCCTGGTCCAGAAATAACGAGAATAAAATCTAAGCAGAAAGGCCAAGGACCAGATAATCGCGTAGTAAGACATACACATTCTCGTAGACATAGATAGCCCGCGCGGTGGATGCAACAGGGAAACATCCAGCGCTGTCGAATATGTATAAAGGAGCGTTACACGTCGCGCTACCGGTATATCCGAATCTGGCGTGCCCTGCACGGGCTTCGAGTTCGGGGGTTGGTGCTGCTGCTGCGAGGCTGAGCACGCTGGGAATGATAAGCTGGAAGAGGTGCATGGTGGTGGTTGGATAATTCTTTGTGTATATCTTTGCTTGTGTCGAGTATCGGATTTATAACATCAGACAAGATAGGGTGAAGTGTTTTGATATGCTTACTGTACTGTTGGCTTATCTCAAAGTAAGCCCTAAGCAGGTGTTTGCAATACGCTCGCGCAAACTGGTATCAGAGGGAAGAAACCTTGTATACAGTACGCTTACGGAAGCACGTGGTGCAGACAAACCACGCTTACTGGACCTCAGTCGCAGGATTCGTCGATATAAGTTCGCCTAGATGACTTGAATTTATCTACTCAGGTAGTACGTACAAGTCAGCAGTACAGGACGCCGGGTATTCCGGATAGGAAGAGGATGCTTCACGCGAGCCGTCAAATGCCGGTGACCAAGTAGCAAGACTGCCCCCGTGTGTGCCAAATGATGACGACTTTGATTCTCGCATGTGAAAATCAGTCCTCTGCCATTCCCCAGGTTGTAGCTCTTCTCTTTCGCGTGTCCGACGGGGCTGGGGAATATGCTTGAGCCTGTGAACTGTGAGCCAAGATATCCGGACTTGCTAATTGACTTACTTGCAGTATAGCTAGTTATGCTAGCAAGGCCCCTACCCTATATAATTGCACAATGTCTCTTCTTCTTGATCTCCGGCTTCGGCCTCTGAGAAGCAAGGATTGCCTACAATATCAGCCAGCGTCAGCTCATCCGGATTCCAAATGAACGAACAGCAAAATCAGAGCAAAATGCTGTGACGAACCTCCTCAAAAACCCCCGTAACATTTCCCCCCTTACCCTCCCCAAGCCTAGCCGAACACTCCACATACGCACTTGCCCCCAACTTCCTCGCCATCTTCCTTCCCTCCTCCCTGGAAACAGGCACATTAAACCTCCTCTGGAATTCCGACCTTTCCCTCTCCCTCCGACATCTCTCCGCCTCCTCATCATCACCATCCCTCAAATCCGTCTGCATCCCGACAAGAATCCACGGCGTGCCGGGACACGCCGCGCTGATTTCATCCAGCCAGCGATCGCGCACGTTCTCGAATGAGGTTCGCTTCACAACGGAGAAGCACACTAGCAGGATGCTTGTGTCTGGGTAGGACCGTGCGCGGAGAAAGTCGTGTTCTTCGAGGACGTGCGTGTCCCAAAGGGCGAGGTGGTATTTTCTAGTCCGGGTTGTTAGACGTAATCCAGCAAGGTCTGGGGATGGCCCGGGGGTGGTGAGTACCCGAGGTCTTGGACGTAGTTGTCGAATACCCTAGGGAGATACTGGCCTGGTTCGACGAATATGTTGTTCGTGTAGCGGATTAGAAGGCTGGTTTTGCCGACGTTGTTGTCGCCGACGAGGACGCATTTGATGTGCACTGGGGCGAGGGCTGTGGATGTCTGGGTCTCTGAATGCTCAGAATCTTCTGCCATTATGTGCTGCGATCCCTTACTAGAGGTATATTTTGGTGTCGGAGAGATATGTTGGATCACGTCGTCAGCGCGGTTCGAACGCGAGCTGAAGCCCGTGTGTTGGGAAGAACTACTGATCCTGAGTCTCAACATACGAGATTGACTAACCGCATCTAGTACTAGGCATCCTGTGAGCCCAGGGCAGTATGCTAGCGGGAAAATGCCTTTAGAGATCATAACATCTACCCTGCAATGATACCGAGCGGCAGTTATAAGCTGCGGCAGCGGCCTATGCGAAGAGCTCCTGCTGTGCGTCCCTGCTTCCAATCGCGCTTCTTCATCCAATACCCTATCGGTCTCTGCTCGAAATCCAGAAGTCGTCGCAACTCAGGCTGGGAGTAGCTCGGCTTTCGAGGATTTTCTCGACAAACAAGCACGCACGCACGATCAAGGCGGCGCACTGGCGGGACTCGATTGTGGACCTGTTAAAGGTGCTTGGCCTCAAGTGAGACGGGGGGTCGCGTGTACGGCTTGCGGAGATTTTGCACGTCGAGACGAAACCCGCCCTAGACCACTCGGCCATCTTGCCTGTTAGATGCTTATTGTTTCATAATGACAGCCTATAAACCCTGACTTCCCTGACGATGAAGTTACTTGGAGCTACTTCGCACTTACATTCGAACAAAATACATTAATTTATGGTGCTTGAGACTAGATCTCTCCCCTGCGGTTTTGTGGCTTGCGCTGGTCAAGAACTCTATGCTGCCAGTATCGTGCTACTGGTTGTCGTTCTGTACATCCTGCTCTCAGCATCTATATACCCCAGCTTTAGATCTCCCACGTATGCTTTACTTTGAATATGCGACCTCGTGGACTTTCGGATAATCATGTCTAGTGTGTACTATATAGCCTTGGATGTAGACACCCGTATTTTCGGCATACCCCACCGACCCTGCCCGAGTCTTCTCCTATCCAACTCAAACTATATATTTTGACATGGTTCAATTGATATCCGCATTTAGGAACAATGCTGCCAAACTGAAACCCAAATGTCCAAAAACACGATAACGAGAGTCAAACAAGGCTCTGCTCTCTTTCGTCCATCTCTGACTTTCATATACAACTCCCATAAACGGGCGGCGAGAAGCCACTGCCCTCCTTCCTTGCGGTAAGCCAAGCCCCAATTTCAAAAAAAAAAAAAAAAAAAAAAAAAAAAACAGTACCATCCCACGAAAGCGATACAGCCATGCAACGCACTGCACTGTAGATCTAGGCTTCACGGGTGGTTGAATCTTACGTCCGACCAACCCGTCCCAGAGTCCAAGAATGCAGTGCAAGACTGATCCCTACCGAAAACAGCGACCTGCAGGACAGAGATGTCAAAGGATGGGCTTCCACGCTTCTGATCCTTGCTGGCCCTTGGCTTTAGGGGGGCTGTCGCCAATGGTTATTGGATTTTGTCTTTATGCGACTAGGCATCTAGCTGCATTAGCTCTCGACGTCAAGAGTACTGCAATTCTGGCGTCTGGGGGAGGTTGCCCTGATGTGGATAAGAACTGACCACACCGCCAGAGCCTAAAATTGCAGTGCTATCTGAGTATCTAGCCAGAATCCAACTATCCATGCAGCCTGCCACGGGCAAAGACTGAAGACCATACTCGAGTAGAATGCGATGGAACCATATTGGGGACATTAAGGATTTCTTACTCTGGTTGCTACTAGGGGCGCTGAGCTGCAATACACTATTATATTATCATAGAAAGGTACATTACGCCCAAACATCCCTTCCTGCCGTCGTGATAGAACATAGATCGAATTTTGAAACTCGGTCTGGTTGAGTGCCAGAGATTAGACGACCAAGGTAGTAACCACTCCAAGATTGGGCTCGGAGCCAACACTGCCTGAGCCTTTCATCAAGCCCTCCTGGAGCGTAAATTTGCAGTGTACAGTACTTGTAGGATACGCCATGTGAGTCAGGCCGGAGGAATTACCTTAGGCCACATGGCTGACCAGTGACGATCCAGCGTCGCTGAGATTCTATCCGGACTTGATTAGGATCCTGGACAATTCGAACAAGAAAAAATATCATGTAGCATTCGCAACTAAAAAAAAAGAAGGAAACCCATAACCTGCCTGCAGGAACAAAGTCAAGTAGAGCACCACTACTGCTCCCCAAACTGATAAACAAGAACCGCCTTCTCAATCGCAGACCCCTTGGCCGCAACAGCCTTGCAGGTCAAGCGCACCTCCTCGCCAATCCTCTCGACGGCCCAGATCTATAAATGGGTCAGTACATACCCTGCAACAGCAGGAAGACCGGAATAGACGGGGGAAGCAAAAGCAAAACACACCTGCTCAGCCGTCCACCCCTCCGCACCACCAGAGATGAAATCCTGCACAAATGCCCTCTCCACCACATGCCCATTCCCATTCTCACGCTCGCCGACACCGACAACCTCCACGCCAGCCCCCAAATACTCCGCAACCTCGCTCTTCCGCACGGCCGTCTCAACAGCCAAGTCCGGTCTAACCCGCCGCCCATCCGCACCCCGGATTCCATCCACAAACCGACTCTGCACTGTAATCGCCGCGCCGGAGACTGCGTCGACATGCTCGTGCTCCGTCCAGTCGAGCGAGCGGGTTTGCTCGACGCCCGGGAAGATACCCCGAAGGCCTTGCTGCATCATTAGCTTGACGGGCTCCGTGGTGCCGGTGCTGCCATTGGAGGCGGCTGCGGCGGCAGTGGTGTCGGGGGCTGGGGTTGTTTGGGTGATTTTCAGCGTGATTGTGCCCGACGAGACGGCTTTTCGGCGGAGCCAGCCGATTCCTTGCTATCTGATATTAACATCTTGATGCTCCAGGTAGTGTAATGAAGCATGCCGTCCCGATGACATATTGAAGTAGGTAGAAGACGGGGGTGATTGGGTTGTGCACGTACCAGCTTCAGGGCTCCATCGAGGTTCTCGGTTTTGGACTTGTCCTGTAGAGTAGGTATGTTAGAACTGCAGCCCACCATAACCTGGATTCTCCTTGCGATGCATGCTATAGTACGGAGTCGTGTAGGTAGGGCTGACTTACAATGGTCCAATCACCATTCAGATCGCGGATGCTCAGCGTTGCGGGCGGGGAGACCGTCATTCTTGCTCGCGGCGCTCGGATAGGATAGAATGAACCAGTCAATGTATTTTGGCGGTCTTTGGTCGCGTCGCGAGGAAAGGATCTCACGGATGGTATGATCTGCAAACTCCAGGGAAAGGGCTGGGCAAGATATACATATACCTCTCGCAGAACCTCAGGCTCCCACTCACTGATCAACGCCCCATACGGAGTACTCGCCGCGGCACATGGGCAACCAAACGTACCGAGGTGGATAACTAGTACATGGCCCCTTAAAACCCACATCGACAGGGGTGGTGTCGAATATTTGAGTCAATCCATTTTCATTAACGTTCACACTGGGTTGGTTCCCCGGAATCATATTAGAAGGGTCCGTGTTCGGTTCGGTACCCAGCATTTCTACGGCATTTGTTGACCCCCGGGATCGACGAAACAGCCGCAGTTTGGATGGAAGCCGTGAAACAAGTTTTGTTTCGTTTCATTTCATCAGCCCTGTTTCATATCACTCCACCATCGATCGAGTACTCTTTATTTATCTATGCCTCCACGATTTCCAGGCCAAAACGGCCCCCCAGAAAGCAAAGTCTAGAAGCGAAACCCCTCCCCCTCTAACAACAAATCCAAATTCCCCAGCCCACTCGAAACCATGCTCGTAAACTGGCCCCACCCGGCACAGTCCGTCTCCGAGAAACCCAGTCCAGCCATATTCGCCTGGAAGTCGAGCGCCGTGGCGCTGTCGTCGAGCGAGTCGTTTGTGTAGCTTGTTGCGGCCCCGGGGCTGTGGTCTACCAGGGCTGGGATTTGGCTCGCAAAGGGCGCTCCTCGCGCGTGCGATTGAGCCTGGGTGTGATGCTGTGAGTGCGGCTGTGTCTGAGTCTGAGAAAGAGGATGCGAGGTCGTCGCCGTGATACTGTTCTGAGCAGGTACATTCGCAGGGGCAGATCTCGTCTGCCGCGTTGCCTCGACTCTAAGCTCCTCGAGGACAAGACAGTATCGCTCTGACAACGATCCCTTCTCGGCAATTGCAGATAGATGCGACTGGCACCGTGTCGCTGCAGAAAAGTAGCTGCTGTAGACCTCGGCGGGGTATGCACGGTTCTGGATAACGTAGATGTACAGCATTATTGTTGCGCTAAAGGCAAAGTAGGATGTTATCTAAGATGTATATTAGTCCTTCCATGTTGTGATGATGCATCCCGATGAGATAGAAAGAGGGCATACCCAAAGCGCGCGAAAAAGCTGCCGATTCTGCGTAATCTCATCAATAATCCTAACCGTCTTCATCGCCGCATTCAAACACTCCTTGACACTCTCTTCGGTCTGTGCACGATGCTCCCCTCGCTGCGCGAGCCTCGCAAAATCCCTCAGCACAAACGGCCGATGGGTCAGGATAATTGAGTGCCAAAAGGTTAGATTCAACACGTTCCTCTGTCGCTGGAAGATCGGCATAATCAGTGCCGCGCTGAGGACATCTGCGTCGAGGAACCAGGCCAGTTCCGCGCGCCACTCGGTTAGATCTCGACAGATCGTTTTGACGGCCGTCGCGCGCCGGGTCTCGGATACGGGCTTGATGGAGTAGAGATCGCGCAGGATTCGGCTTATGATCCGTGCAATCTTCATGTGCGCTAGAGGAGCTAGCATCGTCGTGAGGCTTCGCGTTGGCGCGGGCGTCATGGGCATGTTGATCTGCGCGGCCATGAGTTCGTGGTCTTCGACGCAGGCCGGGAGTTCGGTGTCGACGTCGTCGTCGTGGAAGGAGCGGGGGCGACCGAGTGCTGCGCTCAGGTATGCGTCGAGCGTGTATGCACACCAGAAGGTGCGTCGTCGACACTCGGCTTCGATGGGCGTTATGCCCGCTGCAGGGTCTGGACGGCGGTTCCTGTTTAGGCCTATGGCCAGCGCGAGATGCGAGACGGTGCCGAAGAGACTCCAGCAGTGGTTGATCCGGGACTGCGTGAGGAGGTAGTAGCATTGCGTTAGGCGGGCCTGGACGCTAGTTAGACGGATCGAGCCTTTTTCTTTGGAGAGTTGGTGCTCGGCTGCCAAGTAGTAGCGCGCGCTGGGCTGGTTTAGTACACGAGCATGGCGTTGGATGTTTTCAGGGATGTATGTACCTTAGATCAGATGGTCCAGGCCGGTCATTGTCCGGCATGTAGACCCTCGCAAGCGAAAAGACCATGAAGAGCAGCGCGACTTTGGCCGGCGCACTATGCGCATCACGCATGACACCAAGCGTATCATAGAACTCGGCAAACCACTCTTCAATCGTCGGTCGATGCAAGAACCGATACGTCGGCATGGCGAAATCAAAGTACCGGTCTACAAGGCGATGCGCATCATCCCGCGGGAGCATCATACAGAACGACGGATCGAATTCCGGAAGATGTAGCGGCGCATCGCCGAATGTGAATATACTACTCGGCTGCGCGAACGAGATTGCTTGGTGCAGGCGCTTCTGTACCCTTAATAGGAACGAGACACCAGATGCGGGCCCAATGTAGTGGCCCTGCAGGTCTGTCTGCGATGGCTCGGGGGAGTTGCGTGATGATGCTTCGGCGGAGACATGTTGGTGGCTCTGTAACAACTCGGGAGCGGCGATGCTTGCCTGAGATGTCTCGGGGCTGGGGAGGAGAGCAGAGTACGCTCGGGGACTGCTGTCGTTGTATCCAGAGGGGATGCCGAATTTGCGACCCCGAGTGTACGAAGAGTCAAACGTGCATCGTGCTTTTGCCCTGATACAGAACTGACATGGCTGCGAATTGTTGCATTTGATTTTTCTCCTGCAGAGTATCAGCTAGCACTTTCACACCTTTCCAACGGCCCCTACCTCTTGCACCGATCGCATGCACGAGTCACCCGCACACGTTCCCCGTTACTTCTCCGCTTCCTCGGTGTAGCGTTCTGCAGCGGCATGTTGACGATCCTTGGGACGCTCAGCGACAGCGGATAGACAGTAGATAAGACGGAATCACTGACGGAACAGAGGAAAAGCGAGACGGAAAAGCACAACGGAATAGCAGCGCGGGACAGCTCAAGTGCGGGGCCGTGCTCCGTGTTGGAGACACAGGCTATCATCTGATGGATCGGCCATCCTCTCCAGGAATGGCGCGGTTTCATTGGAGGTGGCAATGAGCGATGACTCGAGCAGGAGCCCTCCATGTTTCCTCCGTGACAGAGTTCTCCGCGGATTGAAGCTTCTTAGGGTTAAAGCTGCATCCGAAGTGAAGATGTGCATGCTTGGGGACGGTGATGGAACCCACGACGGAAAAGACCCTATGTCAGAGCCTTTCAACCAAGAAAGATAGCATACTAGTTAGTGTCCTCGAGTTAGTGCTCTCGGAGGCCCTCCACCATTGAATGCCACGATGTAAGATACCCGTCTCCAATCTCCAACTTGGAGAGCTATACCCCCAACCTTCATATACCCAACATACATATCAGAGCGGCAATTCCTCTCCCTCGCAGCGCAGCGCAAGCATACACACACCCCCATCCTTCCCCATATTGCCCACTTTATCCATCTCATCATGTCCACCCCCTCCCAACGCCTAACCGGCAAAACCATCCTGATAACGGGCGCCTCGTCCGGAATCGGGCGCTCCACAGCCCTCGAATTCGCACGAACATCCCCCTCGAACCTCAAACTCATCCTGACCGCGCGCCGCATTGACAGACTGCAAGCGCTCGCCGCCGAGATTACCAAAGAGGCACCGGGCGTCAAAGTCCACCCGGTGCAGCTCGACGTGAGTAACGCGGATGAAGTTCGTAGGTTTGTTGCCGCGTTGCCCGAGCAGTTTAGGGAGGTTGATGTTTTGGTTAATAATGCGTACGTGCACCATCGTTACCTGCTCTGTCATGATCTCTTATGGCTGGAAGGCTTGCCAGCTAACACGCAGGTATGAACAGCGGCCTGGTAAAAGGCGTCGCGCGCGCGCCCGAAATCGCCGAAGAAGACATAAACATCATGTTCGCAACAAACGTGACAGGCCTCATCAACATGACACAAGCGATTTTGCCTTCCATGCTCGCGCGCAACAACGGCCAAGGTGCTGGGGACATCATCAACATCGGTTCCATCGCCGGCCGCGAACCCTACGTCGGCGGCGGGATCTACTGCGCGACCAAGGCGGCCGTGCGCTCGTTCTCGGAGTCGCTGCGGAAAGAGCTTATTGCGACTAGGGTTCGAGTGGTTACCATTGATCCAGGGCAGGTCGAGACTGAGTTTTCGGTGGTGAGGTTTGGCGGGGATAAAGCGAAGGCGGATGCGGTTTATGCGTGAGTCCTCCACCTTCACATTCTACGTTTTGCGTGGGAATTGAGTCTACCTTGACACTGACCAAAATTATTAGAGGATGCGAACCGTTGACACCCGAGGACGTCGCAGAGGTGATTGTGTTTGCGGCGGGGAGGAGGGAGAATGTGGTTGTTGCAGACACCCTCTTGTTTCCGAATCATCAGGCTAGTGCTACTATCATGCACCGGAGGGGTGTGTAGATGCTAAGGCTTTGATCCCAGAGTCTCATAGATGTTATTATTGGGAATTGATTTGGTTTCATCATACCTGCTCATGGTTTTCCCTAGACTCGCTCCGCAAAACAGTATACTTCTAAATAATAGTGAGGCAATTAGGGCTAACTCCCAATAACGCAAAAAACACCTTACGTTGTACTAAGAAAACTTAACCGCTGTGAGCAAGACAGAGTTCTCTCTGCCACAGGATGGGGACTCCAACCGAATCTCTCCATAGTTAGATCCTGGACAACCTGCCAAGCGTACGCCAGGATTCCGGAAAAGCACCAACCTCATCCGTCATCGGCCATCTTCCGCGTTTGCATATCCGTGGCTCACATCCGAGTCTCCTCCGATTCAGACCCCATAACTGAGGGAACTGAATGAGGGGAGAGGATAATCGCTCGGGATAATGGCGACCGGCACGCGACAGCAGCTCTCGATACAGCCCCAGAATCCAGAATCCAAACGCAGGCAGCAAGATATTTTCCTTATAGGGCAGCGATACCCCTCTACAGACTAAGATTTCAAATTTGAGCTGCCCATTTCACTCAATCGATCTATAGCAAAATAATGACCCACCTCAAGGTCCCCCCCGGCGGCGTCTGGGCGCCCGCAATCACCTTCTTCAACCACAAAACCGACACGCTCGACATAGACTCGCAAGCGAAATACTATGCGTACCTCTCGAAAACGGGCCTCGCCGGCCTCGTCGTCCTGGGTACAAACTCCGAGACCTTCCTCCTCACCCGCGAAGAACGCAAGACCCTCCTCGTAACTGCCCGCCAGGCCGTCGGAGACACATACCCGATCATGGCCGGCGTTTCTGGCCACGGGACGAAGCAGGTCCTCGAGTTTATCAGCGACGCTGCAGAGGCGGGCGCGAACTACGCGCTTCTCTTGCCACCGGCGTACTTTGGGAAACAGACGACCAAGGAGGTGATTTTGGACTTCTTCGACGACGTCGCACGCGAAAGCCCCCTGCCCATCGTCATCTACAACTTCCCCGCCGTCTGCAACGGGATCGACCTCGACAGCGCAACCATCGCCTCCCTCGCCCATCGCCACCCCAACATCGTCGGCGTAAAGCTCACCTGCGGCGCCGTGGCGAAAATCACCCGCCTCGCCGCCGAATTCACCCCCGAGCAATTCGCCGTCTATGGCGGGCAGTCGGATTTCCTCATCGGAGGGTTGGCCGCAGGCTCCGTGGGCACAATCGCGGGGTTCGCAAACGTCTTTCCGAAAACAATCGTCCAGATCTACGAGCTGTATCAGAGCGGGAAGTTTGCCGAGGCGATGGAGCTGCATAAGAAAGCGGCGCTGGCGGAGCAGCCGTGCAAGGCGGGGATTGCGTCGGTCAAGTACGCGGCTGCGATGACGACGGCGAAGCATGCGGGGATCGAGGGGGCACTGGAGAAGTTGAGGCCGAGGCGGCCGTATAAAGAGGTGGATAATGCGGGGAAGATTGCGGTTATGGAGTTGACGGCCGGGTTGGTTGGGATCGAGGATAGTTTATAGATTGTTTGAGGCTGTGGTTAGTCAGATATATGATATATTTAGCATGTATACAAGTGCTCTACTTGGTTCTGAAGCAGGAGGAAGTATGTACCTGCCTAGTATGGAGCTTGGGTCGGTGCCCGCGGCATTGATCGTTCCTTCCCTCCCTGACCTATGGTCGCATACGGCCATCTAAGGGAGGCACACCCAAAATGATCTCAAGAAGGAAGGATCAACCCATGACATGCCAGTTTTGGCAGGTACGATCGGTAACCCTGACAACCCAGGGAGACCGCTCCTTCCATTTATGGCAATGAACCGTATACTTCACGACACGTGCGTGCATATCAGGATATAGAGAGATACAGATCATCACCAATAGGCCATCAAGTAAAAAGTTATCCATTCCAGCCTTCCTCCCATCTTTATTCTCCCATAACCCCTCCAACCCCTCCTCGTTCAAGAACCAACCGACCACCCAACCACCACATTCCACCTACAGAACATGCACAAACAACGGCGACCGATCCCCCATATCAAACAGTTCCTCCTCGGTAAAGCGCACCCTCGCCTCCTCCGCAACCGCCGCCTTCCTCTTATTCGCAACCTTATAACTCCACTCCAACAACGCCGCAACAACAACCCCCGTCCCCCCTAGTGCCAATGAGATCCCAAACCCAGTATAATACTTTGGCTTCTCACTTTCCAGATACATGAAACTCCCCAAGATCCCACCAACATTCCCCACGCAATTCATGAGCGCGATCCCGATGGCGCGCCGGGACGCGGGGGCGATGTTGTTTGCGTTCCAGGAGGCGGCCGCCGCTTGGATCGGGTAGATTCCTATTACGGCGAGGACTACGGCGAGGTAGGCGACGCCCATGTGGGCTTCGAGCTCGCCCTTGAGCGAGATGATGATGCTGTAGGCGACAATGACGATGAGCATGGGGATTATTACAAAGGGCATGCGCCAGAAGAAGTGGTCGGAGAGCCGGGCGAAGATTATGGCTGAGATTGCGGCGGCGACGTAGGGGGGTGCTGAGGTTAGCTGGGCGTTTGTGGTGCTGAAGCCCATGGATTTGGTTATTGTGGGGAGGGTGAATTTCGTTCCTATAATTTGTTAGATGGGGACAAGGACGTATTGGGTGTAGAGGGATGGGTACCATAGGAGAGTGCAGACTGCACGAACAGGAACCAAGCCTGCATATAGACTCGCCAGTTTGTCAAAACCATGCGGAGGTCCTTCCACTTGAACTTGGACTCGTTCTCGACGCGCCCACCCTGCTTGATGAACATGGACAGCTCAAGGTACTGAATCTCATCGGGCTCCAACCAGCGCTTCGATAGGGTCGGCGTATCGATCAGGAAGAAAAAGCACGCAACCCCCAGCACAACAGTGGCAATTCCCTCGATGATGAAAATCCACCGCCACCCTTCATACCCAGCAACACCATGCATCTCCGCAATCGCAGCGGCAAGCAGGCCCGAAAACGCGCCGGACAACGCACTCGCGCAGTAAAAGTACGAAATCCGCAGCGCCAGGTCCTTGGGCATGTACCAGTACGAGCAGAGATAGATGGCACCGGGAAAGAAGCCCGCTTCAAAGATACCCAGGAGGACGCGGACGGCCATGAGGCTACCGTAGTTGTTGACGAGCCCCGTGCAGGTCATGATGATGCCCCAGGAGACAACGAGGATGCCGAGGTAGGTGGAGGGCCGCTTGAACTTTTTGAGTAGGATGTTGCTGGGGACTTCAAAGAGGACGTAGGGGATGAAGAAGATGGCGAGGACGGTGTTGTATTGCACGCCGGTCATGTTGAGGTCTTCGACCATGCCTTCGACTTTGGCGTTGCCAATGTTGGCGCGGTCGATGTGGCAGCAGAGGTAGAGGAGGGCCAGCATGGGGACGAGGCGGATATCCACCTAATATTGTTATTTTCCTGATCAAAGCTTTGGGTAAAAATCGTCAAACATACCTTGCGAAACACCTTCTTCCGCTTCTCCTCTGGGTAGTTGATATAAAAGTCCGCATCCTCAGCGCTCAAGCCGACAACACGAAAGGTCCCAATCTCAGTGACCGGACTCTCAATGTGCGTAGACTTTTCAGCATCGGCCTCGTCGACCTTGCTGATCGAGTTTCTCTTGTCTGCCATGGTGCCTCAGTGCAGCGATTCTCCACAGAGCAAGCACAAAGATGAAGAAGAGAAGAGGTGTGCACACCCACGAGGATCAACGCTCAACCAGGGGCCATATATACACCGCCAGCCCGGATATGCAGTCTATCATACGACAGCAGCTTTCCCCAGATCTTCAGTGCTACTCCGGTGGGGAAAAGGGCCTGTGCATGGGCGACGGATAGGCGGCCAATCATCTTGCTATGAGTAACGGAAGCAGCATCCGCGCTCGACTCCAATGCATATCCGTGAAGATTGGATGGCCACGGAATGAGCGTGGCGGTGCTTTTCCGGGGCCATTTCCACCTCTACCCCGCAAACTGGCGGTCTTTGGAGTCGAACAGGCCGGGAAATTCTCCGGGGCAAGGTCGGTTAAATATGGACGAGTCATGATTCTTGACCTGTTGATTGTACGTAGCACAGTACATTCTTGCCCAGATACGAAGCTGAAGAGAATAGGCGCCGGAAATGTCGACTACTATCCGAGAGATCGTCATCACGCCCGTGGCATTCCACGACATGCCCCTGCTCAACAGCGTCGGCGTGCACGAGCCGTTTGCACTGCGGAGTATAATCGAGGTCATTACAGACACGACATACGGGCTCGGCGAGTCCTATGGCGACTCGGCACACCTCGACAGGTTACAGAAAGCAGCAGAAGAGATCAAGGCCGCAGCACTCTCAGTCTATGACACAAATGCCATCTACAAGCTGTGCGTCGACAGTCTCACGGGAGATGAGAGTACCGGCGGCGACGGGATGGCGGGAATGGTCACGACTGCGTCCGTCGCGGATAAGGTGTTTTCGCCATTCGAGGTTGCGTGTCTGGATATCCAGGGAAAACTGGCCGGCATTCCTGTTAGTGCGCTGCTTGGAGGGCGAGTGCGAGACAACGTGCAGTACTCGGCATACCTCTTCTACAAGTGGGCTGGCCACCCCGGGGATGCAGACGACGAGTATGGAGCAGCACTAGACCCCGAGGGCCTCGTAAAGCAGGCGCGCAAGATCATCGACGAGTACGGGTTCAAGGCGATCAAACTCAAGGGGGGCGTCTTCCCACCGGCAGACGAAGTCGCCGCGATCAAAGCGCTAAACGCTGCATTCCCGGGTATCCCGCTTCGTCTTGACCCCAACGCCGCTTGGACAGTCGAGACCTCAAAGTGGGTTGCAAAGGAACTCGAGGGCATTGTCGAGTACCTCGAAGATCCTGCCCCGGAGATTGAGGGGATGGCTGCCGTAGCAGCAGAGGCGACGATGCCATTAGCCACGAATATGGCTGTCGTTGCCTTTTCGCATCTCCCCCCTTCAATTGCGCAGAATGCCGTGCAGGTTGTTCTCTCAGACCATCACTTCTGGGGCGGGTTGCGCAAGTCGCAGACGCTGGCTAGTATCTGCGCGACGTGGGGGATGCGACTCTCCATGCACTCAAACAGCCATTTGGGTATCTCTCTCGCGGCAATGACACATCTGGCCTCTGCGACGCCGAATCTCGACTATGCATGCGACACGCACTGGCCGTGGAAACGGCGCGATGAGGATGTCGTTGTGGTCGGCGCGTTGAAGTGGGCAGATGGCGGCGTTGCCGTCCCCACGGCACCGGGGCTGGGTGTTGAACTTGATAGGGAGAAGCTGGCTCGGTTGCATAAGCAGTATCTCGACTGTGGAATTCGAAAGAGAGATGACACGACGTATATGAGGAGGTTCAAACCAGAGTTTTCGCCGCATATACCGAGGTGGTGATTCATGGCGTGAGTGACATGGTCGGATGCCCATTGCAGAACGTGCATTTCATTTCTTCACGTACATAGATATCATAGCAATAGATTGTCGGTTCCAGGCTGATCCGCCTACTGGTCTAGATGGGCATTTATTATCGAGTTGAGTAAATCCCGTTTACAATGCCCACTGCTCGCTTGCGCTTGCAAGACTGCTGGCCTGCTGGGTGATCCAGTAACAGTTTTTCTAGGGACCCAAGACGTAAACATGGCGGTTTCAAGCGTAGGACTGGCAGCCTGTCCGGGTTGGGGGGTACCAATCCTTGATTCCCAAGGAGGCTAGTAGTTCAAGCTCGTTTTGGCTTTTTTGTCCTCGAGGTCCAAGCCACAAACATTCTGTTTCGGTCAGCAGTTATTGAAAAAAAAGGCAGAAAGGTAAGAACCAACCCTTCGTCGCGTAGCGAAATCCCCATAAAGTCCTAGCCAGATATCCCGCGCGCGGCAATCCGCCCTCGCTGTCACTGGGTCCATATCGCACACAGGCTGTGTTAGTTCGACATTCCGAGGATTGGCCCGAAACCAGGGCTGAAGTCAATATGTTAGCATTGAAAAATAAATAAAGTCAAGTATAAGATTACCTTTGGAACCGGCCAATCCGAGAAATGGAGATACTTTGTCTCCTGGAGGATCTTTTCGGGATCAAAGATTTCCACGCCATTGCCCATGTAGTTACTGTGGGACTCTAGCCGGAACTCTCCCATTAGTAACGCATACCTCCGATGCGGTAGAATCTGTGCGGTGTTGTTGTATAAGCGATTCAGAATCTCCATGTCGTACTCTGATGAACCCGCATCAGAGACAGCAGCCATTACACGGTTGAATTCAGACTCGGACGGCTGGAGCAGGAGTACATGGACAGCGAGCGTGTGGTCATTTGGACCAAGCCAATATGCTCGCGGCATGGCCACAGGGCTAGGCGGGAGTAAGAATAATTCGTCCATCGGCTGGAGTTTTAGATATCAGCCCGGTTTGAATTGAACTAGAGGAATGGAAAACAACCTGGAGAATGGTTGCATCCGAGTCTAAATGCAAAACACGCTTATACTGGGTTTGGTTGAATACAAGGAGTTTGGTGTAACTCTCCTTCCACGTAACTGAACGATGATTAGTTTCCTCGAGGGCATTAACAGCAGCTGATTCAAAGGGCCTATAGATGGAAACGTACATTCAACGCCTTCCCGAATTTGCACCTGAACAGGTACGAGTTTGACCCCATAGTCGTCACGAGCTTTGCGGAGCAGCGAGCCCTCGAGCGAATCTTGTTCAGTGGAGAAGCTGTCTGGGTATAACATCAATCGATCGGCCTTGCTCTTTAAGCGGTCGAGTATCTCAAAAAGCATCACGGAGTTGCACAAGTAGTTGGTATTGGTGACATATTGCGTGTATGCAAAGTCCGACCAATTGACCTTGTCCGTAATGGTGTCTGGATCACGAGTAGATTGTTCAAGCGCCGAGCTCTGCAATTGTAACAACGTCGAGGCCACGATGAAGAGGAAGACGATGGCCGCAGCAGTTCGCCGCCTGGCTTGCGGCAAACCCAGCTTTGCGTTCATATCCTCGATCTGGCGAGTTGAGGTATTATTGGACCTGAAAACAAACACAACTGAAGCGACGAGAATAAGAGGAATCAAGACGTTGGGCGACGGTGGTGGTAGTGCTAATAGATTCAGGTGTTACTCCCTAAGCGCCCGCCAAGATTAGGTACAGTATGCGGCCTAGCGCTTGTGTTGCAAGCACAGGACATTTCAATTGGAGGAGCGCAAGTATTTTGAACTGTAAAGGGTCCGGTCCTAGTCGGTTTTTTCCCACCTTCGATTGGAAATTTGGCGTGGAAATCTTTGCACCCTGGCAATTCTCGGTAGTTCCAGCCGACGCATTGCGAGTTATGTGTTTCTGGTCGAAACACGTCAAGCTTCTATTGCTGTACGTTGGAGTGTACTACCTCGACCATGCTTAAGCGCCTGAAGTCTTTGAGTTGACCTCGCCAGCATCCGGTCTTTGGATATTCGAGCCTCTGGTTCCCATCTTCCATGCATCTCCCCGCCTCCCATCACCTCTTCCCTTGATTCTCTGTCCTTATCTTACTGACCTGCTACTTCTTCCATTTACAGCTCTCGATGATTATCTTCCCAGCTGGAGTAGGCGCATTTCTCCTTCTGGGGTTTTGTCGTTGGGCTCTGGCTGCCTCGCCTTTTAGCATGACCTGGTCAAGCATGACTTTCGGTCCTGATGGACCATGGAACGCCGTCGAGGTTGGCATAGGGTCGCCTGGCCAGAGAGTCGCCCTGTACCCTGGAGGTGCATGGGAGAGCAAAATCCTCCTGTCTGACAGCTGCGCCAATGTCACACTCTCTGCGGTCTGCTACGCCAATAAAGCTGGTGTATTCAATCCTGAAGAGTCTTCAACCTGGAATAACACTTCTATCAATTTCGCTCCTCTGCAATATCCGGTTGGCAGCCCTATGTACTAGGAGGAACCAGCGCTGTGCCCGTCGGGGCTCTTGCCAGCCGCGCATTTGATTGTATTGACGTTGGAGATCGGAAGGCTATACCCCGGCCTGATTTGGTCGGTATTATGCAGGCCTCCCAGACCTACCCCGGAGGCCAAGAATATCCTCTGCAAGTCGGAGTGCTCTCGCTTGGTGCCCCGACTATCAACCATACGTTTGAGATCGACGCGGATATCGATAAACCTGACACCAATGGGACATTTATCACGAGCTGGCTATGGGAGAAAGACATCATCGCGTCTTATTCGTATGGTCTGCACAGTGGCTCTCCAACGGTCGACATTCCTGGCAGTCTGATGCTGGGAGGCTATGATAGAAATCGAGTGCTTGGTGACGTTTCTCCCCAGCCCTTCCTGTCAGATGGAAGCCTGCCAATCCAGCTACTGGATATTAGGCTTGGTGTTGCCGGAGATGGAGGCTCACCATGGAACTTCTCTAGCAAGACCGGGCTCCTTGCAAAGGGCAATTCCACCCTTGAAACAGGGACTATTGTTCAAGCAAACACTGCGGATCCGTATATATACCTCCCTCAGAGCTCGTGTGACTCTATCGCTGCTGAGTTGCCTCTTTACTACCAGCCAGACTATGGACGTTATTTCTGGAACACGTCCGACCCTCAATACCCCAAGGTTGTTCTTACGCCAAGTTTCATGTCCTTCACCTTTAGCAAGAACGGCCTGAACAATGAGAACATGACCATCAACGTCCCTTTCGCATTACTTAGCCTCACCCTTGAGCCTCCACTCATCGCCAATCCAAGCAAATATTTTCCATGCATGGGGACAAACAGCACACAAGCCCTAGGCAGATCATTTTTCCAAGCCGCGTTTGTCGGTGTCAACTGGAACCAGGGCACAGGAAACTGGTTCCTCGCCCAAGCTCCTGGCCCTGGATACTCGGTCACCGTGGACCGGACGAACATTGAAGCACGCGCCTCCACAATCACCGCCTCGAGCAGCAGCTGGGAGGCCAGCTGGTCACGGTACTGGACAGACCTCCCGACAGCCTCTGACTCCGCCAATCCTGATCCCAATTCCAGCTCTAATACTTCCGGAACGGATCCGATGGCGGTCTATCCACACGCGCAATGGCAGTCATCTATACCGGCTCGGCAGTTGCTGCAGTCGTAGTCATTGTCCTTCTCGTCTGGCTATTTTTCCGTCCTCGTCGCAGGTCGATGTCAAATCCCAAAAATCAACAGATTGCCACCATCGCATCGCCCTTTTCGGGCCTGGCCTTTGGAGTGAATCGCCTCGCTAGGCCGACGGATGTTTACGAGGTAGCTGATAAGCGATACTCGAGGCAGCTAGGTCCTTATGAGATTTTGGATAAGCGGGAGATTCAGCGACGTGGGCCCCATGAGGCAGGGGTGAGCCGGTTCGCCAAGTCGGCGGATGTCTATGAGGTACAGGATAAGCGGTATTCGCGGCAGCTGGGCCCCCAGGAGCTTCCTGGGAGGTATTCTCGGCGAGATGGGCCGTTTGAGCTTATGTGATGATGTACCTTGATCTTGTCATTCATGTTGACCATCGCATGATCACCGCCGACCGACTTACAACCCAGCTCCTCACATCCTTCCCGGCCGAATTTGAAGGAGTCAGCCCATTTGAACGCATTATTCCCCGCATACAAACTTCGCCGACCAGGAGCTGCCGCTTTGTTCGTGGACCTGGAAGTGTTTGACCGTCAAAGTTGGCCTCACCGTCCACAGTACAACCCCCATGTCGCCACACGGAAGACGATAAGTATCAATGGTCAAGCGGCCAAGATCTTTAGTTCTGAAAGAATCCTGCGGGAAAAGATTCTCTCCCAGTGATGAGTCTTACTGAGTCTCATTGAGAGCACGTCAGGTTCAGTCTCTCGTGGACGCCTAAACATTACTGTAAACGTAGCCCCGATCCTGTCTGGTTTATCTTGAGAGGACGCGGTGTTTTTGTGGAGCAAACAAAGAACGAGAGAGGGGATCTGCCAGTGCTATGGCGACTTGGCTCGGAGAACCATGATTTTCTGTCTGGGGCTGAGAGAGAGGGCCCAGCGCAACCAGAGGAATCCTGTGAATTCGCCAAGCAGTGTCATGCCTTTGGCGCTGTTCCCAAGGGCTTTTCCGCCAGTCTATATCTCCTGCTAGAGTCTACATAGCCGACACCCTAGACCCGTCATGTAGAGTTCTGTCGCACTTTACCGTTGAATGATCAGATTGCGTAGCCCATATTACGCTGCTCACTGCTTCCTGCCACATGTTATGGCTGTACTACCATCTAACCAGGGAGCTTCGCTTTACTACAATAACAATTTTTTGGCCGGTGTGTTATAACATAGCACCAATGTCTGATGGAACGCTCAACAGGAGGCAATGCGATGACCACCTCCTCCAAGCATCCGACAAAAATAATATCGCCGAAGTCCACCGTCTGCTAGAATCCCGCGTTCTCCCAGTGGCCGCCGCGATTCCTATCCCGCTCTGTCACCCTTGTCCAAGGCAGTGGGCCTAGGGCGCCTCGAGATCATGTCCATACTGTTCCAACACAAAGTGAAGCCTGACGAGGACAAATTAGGGTATACATCTGGAGATACCCACCTCGCCGTGAGCAACGGGGACGCTGTGGTCTTGCAATTGCTGCTGGATTATTGGAAGGACGAGGGATATTGACTCTTCAACCCTGCTTTTGGCGAGAATCCCGTCCACACTGCCGCGGAGAGCGGGAATCTGAGTGCCTCAAGCTGCTGCAGGCAGCGGGACTGGATATCAATTATACACGTCTGTTTTTAGGGATGACAACCCTGCATTATGCGTATCAGTGCGAGCTTGCTCGCGGGTCTGATATTGTCCAGTATCTACTGCAGTCCGAGTCTGGTACTGCTGACATGAATGCGGCAACAAAGCTTGAGCAGGGGCCACCACTGGTTCGCAGTGAGCGCAGGGAACGGCGATATGTTATCGGGGCTTCTCTAGGCCTCGCCACCGCCGGATCTTGGACTGCGGAATCGCCTCGGGCAGACAATCTTGCATGCAGCCGCGTCTTACTGTCCACTATTAGTCCTGCAGATGCTGGTCTCATCTGGTGCAGATACCCACGCGCGGAGTAAGACCAAGGCGTCCATATTACATTGTGCAGTCAAGGCCGGTCGGCTCGATTCACTTAGGCGGTTGGCATAGAATTGGGGAGACCCGCGGATGGAACGGTGAGTGTGTCCCAGCCTCGTGGACCAGGAAGAAGGCGAACTGGAGCTCAGACTGCGGTTTTCTTTCGGTGACGCTGTGGAACAAAGGAAAGAAGAACAAGGCAAGCTGAGATGAGTTTGCCAAACCGGAGGCTCTGAGGGATCGAGAACTGACTTACTTCAATTGCATCATCTAAGCATGGCTGAATCTTCTACGGGACTGAAAGAGGGGAATGAGAAGGCGGTCATGGCGGAGTCGCGCAGAGTTCAGCACAAGTTTGTGAGCAACTTTTGTTTTTCATAAGGTATAAGGATAATCATCGGAAGAATAGGTACAGGTATAAACACATAGGATATCAGAACAACCGCAGCGCTCAGTCGTCAGTCATACACTCACTATCACAGTAAACAAAGAAGCTCAGAGACGTGCGACGGCAGTGGCCAGATCCATCGTCTTCGCAATGTTGCGACTGATATAGTCTGCAATACCCATATTCGTGATCATGGGGTTGACGCCACTGGCACTTGGGAAGATCGATGCATCGACCACATACAGCCCCTTGGTACCCCAGACTTGGCCCTGCGGGTCCACAACGCTATATCTAGGGTTCGTGCCCATGCGGCAACTTCCCATCTGATGAGCACTGGCCCACATCACCTTGTCCGACGTCTTTGGTGCCTTGCGTCGGAGTTCGTCGATCCATGCCGTAATCGCCGGGCTGTTGACTCCATCGGGGCCGTTTGGTGAATCATCCGCTGGCCGAATGAACGGTGGCATGTCGCGGTACGATGTGTGGATTTCTTTGGCTCCGGAAATGTAAGAGATCTTGGCGCTAGCAATCAACGCGTCGATCATGTGCTGGCGATCGAAGGAAGAGACGCTGTAATCAATTCGAGGTCGTCCGTCGTTTGAGTCTGGGTAGACTCGTCCCGGATCTCGGTCTCTGACAAGAGTGATAAATCCAGCAGAACGGGACAGTTTGGCCGCTTGGAGCTTGTAGTCCAAACCGTCGCGCCAGGTGTATATGGGAAGGATTGCTGCCGGAAGCATGGAGACTCCTTCGATTTTAGCGCCGTGACCCTGTCCGTCACTGTCTTCGAACTCGTTGACGACGGCGGTCAAGCAGGCCCCTTCCCATGGGCGGAGGGTCTCATCGAACACGGCAGTTGCGATAGCGACAGGATGGAGATGAAGGTTCCTGCCAATATTCGCGTTCTTGATGCCGCTTCGTAGTAGCAATAGAGGACTATGCAGGGAACCACCGGAGACGACAACTTTCTTCGCCCGGATAATGACCTTCCGTTTGACCGCCCCAACCCCAGAGACTCCAAAGTGTGCATCACGAGAGACCCATGTGCCTAGCACGCCAGACGCAACCTTTCCGGCCTTCTTCTTGGAGAAGAGAACCCGCTCCACGTTAAACCCTTCGATGAAAGTGGCACCGGCATTGGCAGCGTCCACGAGGAAGGTCTCCACCGGCCCCTTCTTCCCACCCGAGTGACAGCCCAGTGTGCAGTGTCCACAGTAGTGAGTCTCGCCACCGGTGTTCTGTGGCACAGCCTTTGCAGAATAACCGAGTTTCCGAGCGCCCTCGAGGATCATGCGATTGGCCTTGTTGTGGTTGGTAAATTCAGCGCTGACGCCCATGCGCTCACAAACACGATCCAAGCTGTTCTGGAACTCGAGCGATGTAAAAAAGGGAAGGCCCCGGTTAGCCCATTCGCGGCGTACATAGCCTTGTGTTTGGAGCGAAGCGGACCAGTTGACGGTACCGCCACCACCCCAAGTTGAGCCGTACAGCACACCCATGGAGCCTTCGTCATTGGTGACTGCGCCGGCTGAGTCGAAAAGGTTGTTAAAGCCCTCATTCGGCCTCATGGGGAATTGTCGTGGTGAGAACGAGTATCCTTTCTCGACGACTATTACCCTCTTGCCGGCCTCTGCCAAGTTTTTGGCTGCTACACTGCCACCACAGCCGCTCCCAATAATGATGACATCGGTTTCGATCATCTCGGGCTTCTGGCCTGGTGGGAATTGCAGGAACTCATATTGGAATCCGTCTTTCGGGGTGCCGAAAACGGGAACATGAGGGACGCCAACGGTGGGATAGAGAGTTGGACTGAATGTAACCCACATCTTCTTGAACATGCCAACAAGACCCCGATAGAAGGCGCGCACGGGCGGTAGGCGAGAGTCTGCCCAGCTCTGAAAAATCTGTTCCCGAACGTAAAAGGGTTGATCTTGGATGGGCGTCATCGAGCCGGTCAGAAGCAGAGAGCCAGCGCGGGTACTAGTCGCCGTTGTAAGTAGCTGCAAAGAAAGACTAGTGCGGGTACGTACTTCAGGGCAGTCAAAACCATGCTCAAGCCATTTCTCCCCTCTTGGTGCACATATTCAGTGAAAAGGCGCTGCAGTGCCTGGCGAACTTCGGGAATGGAGGTCAAGTTCTCTTCCAGATACTGTGTCGCGAGAGTACTTGCATCAGGACCAGGAATGCCAGCCTTGAGAGTTTCGAGGGCAACGTCTAGTTTTGCTTGTGGGACGACCTTTGTAGACCGCGACTTGCGAGCTCTGGGGCCCCGCACGGATGGGATGACGGTATCAGCTAGTGACAAAAGGGTCTTCCATTGCAAGTCGCTGAAGACCTGCTCGGTGGAGACGGGAGCAAGAGGGGCGACGGAGGGACTGAAAGAGACGAGTTCTTCAGCCATGGCAGACGTCGACGGCGAGCAATCACTCGACCACGTAGGTAACCTAAAGATAACCAAACGAAGGACTGGAGAATGATAGAAGCGGTTCTTGAAAGCCACTGTGGGAGAGGAAGAGGAGGCAGCGAGATGGGAGGAGAAGAAATGTTATAGAAGATCGTCAACCGCGCCGAGGGCACTTTCCCCGGAATGGTGGAGAGCTCATCGAAGCAGCAGGAACGCTTGTGTCGTCGACGGGTTGAGACTCGAGGCAGGAGCGATCCAGCCGGAAAGGGCAGTGCTTGCGAAACTTGGGACGCGCCGGGGGCAGCGGCATCAGTAGCTTCCAGAGTGGGCAGAGCTTTAATCCGAACGATGGGAGAACCCGAGGCTCTTTTCGCATCTTCAGCCAATTATTCGGGGACTTCTCCAGTCAAAGAGGGGTGTTTGGGATAAGATTGGAACCACATGGCACCTCAACCGAGGCCGGATGCTGAAAAGGGATCAAGCCATCGCTTGTCTGCCAGTCAGGGCAACCCGACCGCCGAGAACTGCTCCCAGGTATCTTTTAACTGTGGAGCGACGCGGGGAAGGGGGCGATGGATAGATTGCTTCCAGCCGAGCGCCCAGCGGAACCATGTGAAGGCGCGACTTGCACTCTGCGTATTCCAGAAGTACTGGTTGACGAGACGGTGGAATTCCTTGAGTCAGGCCATCAGCCTCATGGTCAACGTCCACTGATTCCAGGCCTTGGACACTGAGTGTGGAGTTGATGAAAGACCGTGGCTGAAAACCGGTCGAGAGCCACTACCCACGAAGACAGAGCTCAAGGAGCCTAAAATGAAGAATACAGCTTCATCTTTGCACTGACTTACCTCGAGTATCAGCTTCTCTCTGCTGATGCCTTCAGAAGAGCTTTTGAGAGATGCTCAACTGGAGCGATGTACGGTCGGAGTGAAAATGCCGGACTCCGATTGCCCGTGACTTTTTCCCAGTTGGAGATCTCCAGCTCAAGCTCCAGCTCCAGCTCCAACTTCGTTTTCTCCTCTTCTCTGCGCCGACGGAGCTTTTCATGACTTACGATTTCATTCTCAACTAGATAATGCGCGCAAACTGATACTACAATTGCACTCTTGCAGCCGCCCGCCCACTACTACGACTACGAACCTCGGATCGTCACTTTTATGCGGTCGCGTTGACAATTCCCCGCACCTCTCTGCCTTCAAAACCACAAAGCTTCCGAAAAAGAAGGACTGTTTCAGCAAACTTTGGCGACAGCCGCACAATGACGGCAGAACAGAGCTCTTCGTCTGATTGCACTCTCCCTCGCGAGAAGGTCTTCTCCATCCAGATTGGCACCGAGCTCTTCCGCCTCTCAGGCGCCTCGATTGCTTCCGATGGTTAGTTGGATCCCTGGTCGCATACGGTAATTCTCATGGTGATGGTTGTTATTGAGCTCCCTCGTACTTTTCCCGATTCTTCGAAGATCAAATGAGCCAGCACCCCGATGGGAACAACATCCGGACTTTATACATCGACCGCGACCCGGTCACTTTTCAAGAGATAGCCCGGCATCTGCAAGGTATGATCGCACCAGACTGTGTCTAAAATAGCAAAGCACCAGCTGATATTCTGGTTCATTAGGATACCACTGCCAACCTAAAGATGGAGCGGAATTCGTGAAGCTATTCGCCGACTCGCAATTCTATAGCCGTACGTTCGCAACCCTGAACAATTTCTGCAAATGACTGATTTCCATTAGTACCGCGATTAATGTCACAATTGTTCGAGTCCCAAATCGTCATACAAATCGGCGATCGCCATTTTCAAATTGCCCGCGACATCTTCTCAGGGTCTGGTGACTGTCCAAACTTTTTCTCCCTCGGCTTCGGGGCCTTCTTCGCCTCCCCCGCCGAAGTCTTTCCCGGCCTTGACAGGCGCGGTCTTCTACGGCCTCCAGCAATTGTGCCCCCGAGTGTCCCCAACAGGTCTGGCGACGTCTTTGCGCAACTCGTCCACCTTCTTCGCGGCTATCCCCTCCATATCGAGAATGAGAACCAACGGGCCGAACTCTTGCGCGATTGTCGCTACTTTCACCTTCGCGGACTCGAGCAGAAGCTTATTCCACATCACATAAGCTTCAACCCCGTTCGTCGGCGATCCGAAATCATACTCCGCCTTGAAGATGTCCGTCGGTCAGGCGTCAGCGTCGAAACGTCCGGAGATAACAGCAATGATTTGATCGTTACATATGCACGTCCTTTCGCCGATGATTCACCTAATGACCTCGTCCTTGAAATCGGCGGTGAAAACACCGTCATAGACCCTCGAACAATGCGACCGACATTTCTTAACTCTGCAAAGGCGCGTATTGCCAGCCTCCTCCAGGTTATTCTCGACAAAAAGAACAGTGAGACCCAGAAATCAGCCAGTACCACAGAGCATTCGATTCGTGTGCAAATAGACGAGGAGACGGATTTAGTGATTGACGATGAGCAGCAGACTGGCTACACACATGAGTCTACTTCAGACGAACCGCAGGCAAAGCGCAGGCGTGTCGAGAGCCCGGGGTTAGGATCCGGATCAGAGTCATCTGATATTAGCAGTTGCTGGATTGTGCGGAATGGCCATTGGCGAATCTCATTACGTCCTGAGTCAACGTCGGGGGCCAGTGCGGAGTTCGTCATGGTAGCTGTCAAGCTAGACGTGTACACCAGTCAGCGGATGCGGAACAAGCGGCAGGCTTTCTTAGGCTCATAAGGCGCTTTTTGATGGGAATTTGAAGATACCATACCATTCTAGTTATAGAGATTCACAGTTCAACAACTAATTTGCCTATATCGGCCTGTTCTAATCAGAGAATCCCTCCCATTCATCATCCTCCTGATCCTCGTCCTCGTCTTCTCGAGAACCAGAAACTGTAGGATTTCCCCTCCGCTTGACAGCATCATCCTCACCATCGATCTCACAATCCCCATCCCTCACAAACCCCACAACAAAGAACCCCCCCGTCCCCTCCTCATCCCCAGGCCAACACCTCAAACACCCCTGCAACTCCTCCTCACTCAACCCAACCTCTCGCCGCTCCCCATCCTTCCCTTCCTCCGTCTTAATCCCCCTATGCTCCCAGTTCCTCAGACCAGCGGGCTGCTCATCCCTCCGGAGAACCCTCCACCCGCGCCTCCGCGCAACATCGGAATCTAGAACCCTCCGCACAACGGCCTCGTTCTCGATCATGTGGATCGAGCACGTGCTGTAGGAGATGTGGGTTGCCGCGGGGAAGGAGAGTGCGTGCGTTACGATGCGGGTTTGGAGGTTTGAGAGTTTGAGGAGGCGCTCTGTGTTCATTGGTTCGGATGTGCTGGGAGTGTCGTTTTCGTCTGTTGCGGAGACAGATGTTGGGGTTTGGAGTTGGTTTTGAGTTGCAGTGGGAGTGGCAGTGGAGGCCTCGTTGCGTTTCCGCTTCTTGCTCTGGTTTCCTTTCTTCGAGGGTGTCGGGGCCGACTTTCCGGCTGGGAGAATGAGGGTCGGGACATCGTCGCGGCCGATGATACCGCTTCCAGAGCAGGACGGGTCAAGGAGGAGGCCGGTCGCATCCTCGAAGCGAGGATCCTCAGGGTCTAGTGCTAGAAAGTCCTGACCCGGTAGCACCGTAACGAGTCTATCGGCGCCAGCCGTCGCGACCATCTTCTGAAGCGTCTTTGCTCGGACGGCAGAGGCATCCATCGAGATGATCTTCGACGAAACGTTCCTCCGCCCTGTGGCATTCGCGCGCGCCTTGTACAACAGCGAAGCCATATGCGTCGTCTTGTTCCCAGGTGCCGCACACCCATCTACCAGATCACCCTTCTCCCAGTCCTCGCCGAGAAGCATATACGCCGGAAAACAAGATGCCTTGTCCTGCAAAATGATCTCGCCATTCTTGTACGCCGGCGACGTCGAGAAATCGACTCCAGGCGCAACGGCAAGCAGATCCGGGATATGCGGGTCCACGCGCATACGCTTCTGCTTCTCGTCGCCGCCAACCACGAGCTCGTCTAGTGTGTCGACGGTCTGGAACGAGGCGAACGTCGTCTTGAGCTGGTCCTCCATTGTCGTTCGGACATTGTTAATGCGCACCCAGCGTGGGTATACTGCACTGGCACTGGAGCCTTGGGAAGCGAGCTTCTCGCGCCGAACTGCCTCCTTGAGCTCCGGGATCGTCGCGCAACTGCGCCGGACGCGCGCTTTTGTGAATTCAGCCTTTAGTCGGATCTTGTGTCTTTCAACGGCTTGACGGAGGGGGTGCGTTGCCGTCGCGGCGATGCCATTCTTCGCGAGGAGGTGGTCGTGTACGAGGAGGAGGGCGAGGAGTGGAGTGAGCTAGTTCAGGTATTCTTGGTCAGTCAGCAGGACTCTTTCTGCGCTTCGCTGGTCGAGCACACAATCGGGGAAGAGTGAGTGAAAAAAAGTGATAAAGATGGGGCGTAGAAACCTTGGGTTCAAGTTTCAGGATCCCCGCATTATCAATCACCTCTTTGAGGAGGATGTCCCATTTCGCAGCCTCTACGACGAGCGCGTAGACTTGAGCCGGAGAGGCTTTGAGGGTGCGTGAGTTGTAGAGGCGGGATTTGAATGAGCCGCCGGTAGATGCGGGGGCTGTTAAGACGCCAACGGCGTCATAATACAGCGACATCAAGGCGAGGGATGGCCGAGGTGCGGTGCTTCTGATGGTGTGCGGAGAAGAAACGGTCGACAAAAAAATCCCCCGATGAAGAGAGAAATTGTTGTGGTTTGCACTGTTTGTCCCGGCCTCTCTCCGATTTCTGATAAGCTTATCGAACCCCTCCAGATAAGATCTCCAATTCTCCCATTCCCCTGTTTTGAACTACAAAAAGAGCCACTGAACATAGATCCTCGCACAAAAGCCATCCCACAAAATGCCCTCCTCAAACCCCCTCCTCGCAACTGCAAAATTCACGACAACCCGCATCCCACCCCCGGGCCCCGATACAACCCTCACACTACCAACGCGCACAGTCCCCTTCCCCTACGACAATCCGATGGCGCTCAACGACGCCCTAGCCGTACGCCTCGAAGTCTTCGTCGACGAACAGAAATGCGCCGCGGAGTTTGAGCTCGACGACGACGATTCCCGGAGTTGGCATTGGGTTCTATACGATGAGAATGCGCTGGTTCCTGGTGTGAAGAGCGCGGTGAAGTTGCCCGTTGCGGTTATAAGGCTTGTGCCGCCGCCGCATGCGTATGAGGGTGGGCATGGGGATGGGAGTAATGGGGATGGGAACGGGAATGGGTTAGTCGACGGGGTAGCGAAATACGACCTAGAACACGAACCGTATATCAAGTTCGGGCGCGTGGCTGTTCTCGCGGCTTATCGCGGGTTAGGGCTTGCGAGACGGCTTATGGAGACGGGGATGAAGTGGGCGGAGGAAAATGCCGGGGAGATTAATCGGGCGCTTGCGGAGGTTGTTGAGGGGAGGAAGGAAACGGAGGCGGAGGCGGAGGCGGAGCCCGTTCCTGTGCCTGTGTGGAAGGGATTGGCGCTTGTGCATGCGCAGGTGGATGTAGAGAAGATGTATGGGCGGCTTGGGTTTGTGACGGATGAGAGTATGGGGACGTGGGTTGAGGAAGGGATTGATCATGTTGGGATGTGGAAGCGTTTGAATGTGTAGGGCCGATGCTACATCTTCCGACTTGTATATACCCAGGATTACGATAGAATATAGAAGAGCAGATGGCTTGCAGTCTGAATTATCATTAACGCCTCTATAGACCGAAACTAGGCTGGTAGCATCTCAGATCATAACGCCATTGAAAAGCAGCAAAAATCAGCAAGAAAACGTAGAATCATAACAGGGTATCCTGGGCGATGGAACGAAGAGCAAATTAATAAGCCTCCCACATCTATGATCAAGCACAGCATTAAAGGGAAGCCTCGCGGAGGTCGCAGAGAAGGAGGATATCCGTAAAAGCATCAGAAAGCCGACGTAACTCCAGGTAGATGACAAAAGCTGTAGCGAAAGCCCAGGTAGATGGGAGAAAATCGTTCTAAAACATGTGTGGTTGAAGTGAAGAGAAATTGTGGTCGGCGAGCCTCATCAGTCAATGCGAGACCGCATTCGAGTCGAATGGTAAGGTTGGTTGTTTAGAAGGTGCTCCAATTCCAGCCCCGAGGGACACTGGCGGCAATCTCCTGACCAGGTGTTGTAGGCGCAGACTTCCGACCATCTGCTACCGGGGTATCAAGAGACTCGGTAGAGGTGCGCCCGCTAGGGCTGTTGGTATCATCATCCTGAGTGTCGATCTGGTGCTGAATCTTGTTGAGTCGGTCGGTGCGAGCCTCTTCCCAGCGCTGGTAGGCACTCCAGCAGAGGTCGCAGGCCCGAGAAGGAACGCCCTCTGGGTGGAAGCGCGCAGCCTGGTCGAGGGGAACCATGTGGGGAGTGTGAGACGAGCAGAAGACGTGACCGCAATGGCGACAGTGATGGCGACGGAGGAAGAGACCAAAGGAGGAACGGCAGGTGGGAGAGTCGCAGCTCGAAGAAGCAGAGTCCGCCTAAAGTTTGCTTGTCAGCGGGTGTTTCGAGAAAGGTAACACAGTTGGTGGGCTATGACGCATGATATGATGAAGTCGACGGTGTAGATCACGCAAGATTTCGCAAACTGTTGGCTGACGGGAGGGGCCGGATGCACGCACGCAACCGGGGCAGTATAAAGTCTACCCAAGCGCCCGAGCGAAGGATGAAAATAATTATGTTCGGCTTACCTTCCAGTGATCCCTAGTTGGGAGGCCAGTAACCTCGCCGAGGTCTTCATGCTTCATCCATTCGTCCTCAGCCAGCTTGCTGATACCGCCGCTGTTGACGCTCTCCAAAGTGGGGCGACGAGGGACGGGCTCGTTGGTCTCCCCGTCGTTCAAGCTGTCTAGAGAGCCGTGCATGCTGCGGGGAGGGGTAGGCGGTGATGGCTTCGATGGCCGCTCAGTCGGGCGGAGCGCAGCAGGGACGTAGAGGGGCGCCTTGGGAGGTCGGAGCTGTCTGGTCTGAAGGGGAAGATACTGCTGGCGAGGAGAGGTGGGCGAGTTGTTGGCGGGAGTGCTCGCTCCAGAGTTGACAGGAGAGGGGTGGCCATAGACAGAGATCTGGTTGACGGGCTGGACGGGCGCAGTCATAACGTGAGTGGCCATGTTGTGTTATGTTGTGTTGGTAGATCGTAGAAAACAGTTGGACGTGTTGTATTGCGGAGAGCGGAGAGAAGAGCTGGGGTATACAAAGCCCAGCAAGTGAATCGTGAATTAATTATTAGTATTGGCCGAGTGGAGAGTGAATCGATCGAGCTAGCAGAGGTGATGTAGGCATAAACACATTGCTGGGAGGAGTGGCGAGGGTCGGTTGAATAGAGTTCGATATGACGCTGATGATGTTTATTCGATCTCCGAAGAGTTGCTACCACGGGAAATAGTCGCGTGGAGAGTGTGGGCAAGGACGAGAGGACAGGACGGCTGAACCTCAGTCTGTTGGAGAGGGGATGTATAACTGACGGCAGGAATGCATTCACCTTAATAGGATTCGTGGACGAGCAGCGAGGGCGATTTTTGCCATGCGCCTGTGGAGCAAGATGTGCGCTAACAGATGGAGTCGCCGCTAATCCTTCAGAGTTGCTTCTCCATTTCAGAGCGTCGCGCGAACGGAGAAAGCAAGTCCTGGCTATACGAATGAGACTCGACGAATAATAATGAGGCTACGGAGGAGAGGAAAAGTCCCGAAGGAACGCTGCCGGTGGAGCCGTTACCGCTCTTTATCTCATTTCATACAGGCAGAGTTGACGCTTGGGTGATTCTCGGGTAATCACTGGACGATAAGTTGGAGAGCAAGTGTCTCTCAGAAGTGTCTCTTATCGCAATAATCCAGATTATTACTCTGCTGAGAACGGAATGTTTGGCAGTTACATCTACACGGAGGAGCATCCCAACTTGGAGGAGCCATGGCAAACGAGCGTCCCGATGCGGCGCGGCTTTTTACCGAGGAAATGAGCGGGCGAGTGGTTGGACGGGATCTGGTCTAAAATTACTTGATGCTTGGAGCTGTCTCTGAGGATGATCCTTCTCGGCACATTACTATTCCCTTCCCCTTACCATTATTGAGATCCTCCCCTCCAGCAATCAAAGCAATCAAAGCAATCAAAACTAGCAGAGTGTGAATCACATTAATGAAGCGTAGACACACTTGTTTGGTGCTGTTGTTACACGATCAAGGGCGGTTTATGCAGGGATGCCCCTCGTCCAGTCCCCATTCTCCGAAGTCATCATGACAACACCCCTGCCACTCCAGACCGCCTTTTGACCCCCAAGCGGTAGTTCTACCCATCCGGCCACTCAGCGGCCAGCACCGGGCTGCCGTCTAGTTGCCCACGATTTACAGATTTACTACTCTGTTGCTACTTTGTCTGGAGTAACATCATCTCGAATCATCCTTGGTACCTCAGCTTGACAGATCAAGTGGCAACGGTTGAGTAACCTCGTTCATCAACGCCTCAAGATCCAGCGGCAAAACACGATGACTTTCCCCTTCAAGCGATCCCCATCTTCTCCCCGAATCCCCGAATCCACACTCTCGCACGAAAAGGATCGCTTCCTAGCCAACGCGCTTGGCGTCACAGTAATCCCGGCGATCCTTATTGGCAACGGGACTGCAGTTGACGGCTCCATCGAGCTCGTCTCCTCTCGTGATGACCCACCTGCTGGCCCGTTCTGGCTCGCTCCTCGTCTCCATGGAATCGACCATGGATCCGTCGGTGATGGGTCGCGGAAGCGTTCACGAGAATCCTCGGGAGGTTTGACCACCACGAAAACCCAGGGAGCAACCACCAAGACAATAAAACGGAGACGTGCATATGCTCCCGACGGTAGCCGGCGAGTTTGGTGGTCAGAAAATATGCCTCCCTTGCAAGAGAGTCCAGCGGTGACAAGAGGACCTGAAACTGAACTACCGAGATGCTGCCCGGCCGTCCGTCTGAGGTAAAGTTCAACATGCGCCTCGCGGGGCTCACCACCAATCATCGCTGAGCACGGCCCTTTCCAGCCTGCCGGGCTCGATGAATCTCGCCTCCAGATTGGCCATCGAACTCCTTATCGCAGGGCTCTGATTTGTCTTCAGTCGTGTGCCGCCGCCCTGCAGTGCCTGCACGGACAGATGCCGAAGCTTTTTCGTGGCGGATTACATAACGGATTCGCTGCGCTCACCTGAACAGGTCTAGCACGGAGGGGCCAATCTCCAGCAGAGCGCGAATCAGCCGAATCTCGCGCTGTGGAAGCACTGTCGAATATTCTAGCGACCCAGAATCGAAACGTCTCCGAGGGGATGATCCACCGAACTATCGCCGCCGCGTCGTCGATGGGCCTTATCAGCGCCTTCCACGAGCACAGAATCTCAACGGTTTCAAACCTCGGCCACAAGAACAGGAAATCGCCGGCCCCAAGATTTCGCCGTCTCAGTCTCACGCCTCGCCACCTCCTGAACGCCAGTAGTGATGTTCTGCAGCTGGCAGCTGCAGCTTTGCTGACTAGTAGCTGATAGCTTCATTCACAACGGCTGCGCCAAGCCTGGAGAACCCCTGACCTTCCCCAGCTTACAAAGAGCCGGGCAGAGCGAAAACACTTTGCCACCACCAAACATTCGTCATAGCACAGGGAACAACAAAAGTATAATGTACTGTGCGGAGTATAGCACCATTCTAAAACGGTCTCTCTCGTCTTATGCAAGTTGAAGGTTGAGCTTGAGACCGAGCTGAAGGAAACCGGTTCTGAAGCCATAGCTAAAGTGAACGACCAACCAGATAAGCGGCTAGTTTTCGTGGCTTTTTATCTTGCATCTTCGCAGATGCGCCCAGGCCTAGCTTCAGGCCGGATCTCTCAACCGGCTCGATACCATCACATGATATGAGACTGTGGACAGCCTCAGCGGAATATGCATTCCGCGTGACTGGAGATCGACAATGGAGGTTCAGCTCCGATACTCTGGACTTCTCCAGTGCGATGCACACCAGGGGCAAAACGGCTTGTCTCTCACCAATAGCCTGGCCAGGAAAAAAGGTACACATACCTCAGATGTTTGATGCCTAGCACCTCACATCCTATGTATGCAGAGTGCAGACCTGCATGCATATTGAGGCGCATTCTAAACCTTACGGAGTACACCTCACCCAACCGCATCTCGCAGGGAAATAAGTACCATCCCTCCCAAGTGGAATATCGATATATCCAGGGCCAAGAAGATACGTACATATCTGGCTTATCTACTCCTTCGTACCACATACCTGACCCTGGCGTCTATGCGTTATCTGCATATTACACCGCATCGCGGATCATTGATGGAGCATGTCCCAGGTGCATGGGTCTCAGATCATTTGTCCGACACAGATACGAGGCCGAGCTGGAGGATAGGACGTGTCCTACCACACGTCGCTTGCCTGTCGTCATTGGGTGGTCGGGTTGATCCAGAGTCTCTGAAACAGGTAAGTCTTTCCATCCAGACTCCATTCATCCCTTGACCATGAGCTTCAATGTCGAATACGAGGCTCAACAACCTGACTCGACTACCACGTATGCCCTTGACACGGCAAAGCAAAAATCATTAGTTGCTGTTTCATTCCACCTGTGCGACAGAACTAATAGCTACAATAATTGGAGGAATTATATACGATCATTATTGGCAGCATTGTTGAATATCCAATGATATGGTAGCATATTGTACAGTAGCCACACTGCTGATATTGCACAATATTAGTTTGTTCAACCATCAACCTACACAACATTGAGCATCTTTCTACCTGACACAAGTCTAAGAAACAGAGCCAAGACTTCGGAATCAGGGCAGATTTCAGCCTAAATCTCTTTTCATGGTTGTTGATTTGATCGCCAAGTTATAGACTGCGGCGCGGCCCTATATCAGGAAAGTAGAAGACGTCATGAAGTATAGAACACCATAAAAGTACCCTTGGCATCCTGCAACCATCAGCCCATCGCCCATCCCGACCCCGCAATCTACAACCTACGTTTCTGGAGCTTTAATCGTCTGTAAAACTCTGGTTGGAGTTGTACTTTCCATTAATATCGAAACGTCCAAGTCTATCTCTACCTCCATCAAGGTAGGCGGGATATCCAGCAACAAAAATGACCCTCAAGCTCGCCGTCTACAGCGCAAAGTCCTACGACAGGACATACCTCGACTCGGTCCTCGCCTCCGACCACGCAGACCTCTGCAGCATAACCTACCACCCGTTCCCGCTCTCGCTCGAAACCGTCCCCCTCGCCCAGGGCAGCACCGCAGTCTGCGCCTTTGTAAACGACACGCTCGACGCCCCCGTCCTCCGCACCTTACACAGCATCGGTGTCCGCGCGATCCTCCTCCGCTGCGCGGGGTTCAACAACGTCGACCTCCCCGTCGCCGAGGAGCTGGGCCTCTTCGTCGCGAACGTCCCCTCGTATTCGCCCGAGGCTGTCGCGGAATTCACGATTGCGCTGCTGCAGACGCTGAATAGGAATATCCACCGGGCATATAATCGGGTGCGGGAGGGGAATTTTAATCTCGAGGGGTTTCTGGGCATCACGCTTTATGGGAAGACGGTGGGGATTATTGGCGTTGGACGGATTGGGCTTGCGCTTGCGAAGATTGTCCGGGGTTTTGGGTGTCGGTTGATTGCGTCGGATCCAAAGCCCGGATTGAGTCCTGAGGAGTTTCGCGATGGGTATGGAGGGGAGTTTGTGGATTTGGATACATTGCTGAAGGAGGCGGATATTGTTTCGTTGCATTGTCCGTTGACCCGGGGGACGAAGCATATTATCTCCACGGAGAACCTGGGGAAGATGAAGCGTGGAGCGTTGTTGGTGAATACGTCGCGCGGGTCGCTGGTTGATACCAAGGCGGCGATTGAGGCGCTCAAGTCGGGACAGTTGGGTGGGTTGGCGCTCGATGTGTATGAGGAGGAAGGGGCGTGGTTTTACAATGACCACTCGCAGGAGATCATCCATGATGATACGCTGATGCGGTTGATGACGTTCCCGAATGCGCTTGTGTGTGGGCACCAGGCGTTCTTCACGCGCGAGGCATTGACAGAGATTGCGGCGACGACGTTGGCGAATCTGGAGGATTGGCTTGCGCAGAGGCCTTGCAAGAATTCGTTGGTTAGGGAGGGCCATCTGGTTGTTCCCGAGGGGAAGGAGCCGGTTCGGATTTAGCTGCTCTCCCAGATATCTGGTTCAGAGGCCACTGCTTTTAATCAGAGTGTAGCAGGTCGCTTGCTGAGCACTCGATGTGCACGTAACAGGAACCGATCGATTGGGCAATTCACGCTGGAAACGTGATTTACAAATATGAATGTATTGCGAGACCGGATCATCGATACATCTTACCAGGCTCAGGCATATCGAGCTCATCAGAAGTAAACGTGCAATGCCCCATATCACCCGAAACCGGCACAGACCCCCACTTGACAGGTAGAAACTCCATTTCCTCCTCGGGCTGCAACTTCTGGCCGTCCTCATGCAGATTGGGGTCATACTTCGGATGGCACGCTGCCGCAATCACCAAACTGCAGCTCCCGGCAACGACCATGGCTGACGGAAGACGTCGGGTGCATATCCATATCAGACAGGCAAACATAACCACACCGATGACGATTGCAATAACAATGGCCACGGGGTTGTATCCACACATATTCAGGTCAGACTCCGGATCCCTGACCCATTCCTGGTTGATGTCTGTGTACGCCTCGACGCCCACAAGGAATAGGCTTTGGGAAATGAGCCAGTGGAGGATTGCAGAGCACGTCATGAGTGGAATGGCGTAGCGGTATGGTAGGGAGAGGAAATAGTCGCTCCGCTGGGCGGACTGGGGGTTCCAGGAGACGCGGACCCCTTTCCGTGAGAGAGCATATCTGCTCCATTCTGTGGCAAGAGCCATGCTCGTTAAGACACTGTTGAAGGCGAAGTATAATAATGAAAATACAAGTTGCGGTATATTAGCAATAATGGTGTTGCTAATCAAAGAGGATGGCCACTTGTCGGCTTTGATCAGGGCTTGCGGGCTTATAGAGCCAAATGCAGCGTCCCATATCTCTTTGCCGTCCTTCGAATTGGCGTACATCAAAAGGATCGCGCAAAAGCCGATTGAAATTATCCAGCTATTGTAGATTGTGAGTCACATGTCTCGCAGAGCAAAGGGTACGTACGAAAGGAAAAGCATTACCCATACACGGCCAGAGACCGCGTATGCTTTCCTCCTTTGTTTCTCCGAGTATGGCCGAGAGTCGTAATTCGGCCTAGACATGCCATCCGTAGTTGAGTCTCCGAGTCGATGAGGAGCCTTCTTCAAGCCCCATCTGGGCACCAAGCACTGGCCGAGGGTATATTTGTCGGGTTGGCGCAGAAAGGAGGCGATGGCGTCACCAGTAGTCAGGATAGGCCATTCCGCCATACTGATGATTATACAGCAGATGATAGTTAGTTTAAAAGCATTGACGACGATAACACTGATCGTCAGCGGCAGCGAATACTGCAGCTTGCAGGTCTCGCGCAACTTCACGCTGAGACAGAAGTCCACACGCCGACTATGGGCTGGTTCTGGAACCGGCAACCACTTTTGGTCCACAACAACAGTCCAGTTGTCGTTCTCCGCCCGAGACTTGATGTCGGGTATCAAGCTGGGGCAGTTATACCGATTCGACGGACAAATCCAGCTGTATGGGCTGGCTGAAATAAAGGGGTCATATACCTCCTGGATGCCAATCGAGTCGTAGTGGTTGGTCGTATTTACATCCTCTGTAATGAGCAGTAAATCGCCGTGTTTCGATTGATACGTCGTTGCGTAGGCATTAATGCACTTGACGTTATCCATTATCTCAAGTGTTTTGTCTTTTGCTGCTTGGTAAAGCCTCTCAAAAGCAGCGGCTTCTGCAGCGCTCTGTTGGGATACCACAAGGTCGTCTATATTCTTGGTTTCAAGAGAGTAGTGGCCGGCAAATACACCGTACGGATAGGCTCCAGTAGCCGAAAAGATTGTTGAGTTATACCTGAGCACAGTGTAAGTCATCAGACGAGAGGGCCGTGTAAATGAAGCTGTTTGCTGAGAGCTCACATGAGGTGCAAAGGAGTTGAGGAGAGGGCGAGGCATATCCACATAATCGACCGCCGCTTGGATAAGTAGAAAAGATTTCGAACGCTGGGCACACCAGTATCAAGCCAATTTCCTTGTTCATGTGCCTTATCAATATCCTTCCTGGTGGGAGCACACAGGCATTGCTACATAGGTTAGCAGAGTCCCCTAACAGGAAATATTTCGCTTACCATGGTGTAGTTGCTAGCAGCTAGGAGAGTGGTGCTAAGTATATTGATCAGGAGGTGTAGCCCTGTGCTCAGTTGTTTCACTCGATCGCAGTCGCCTTCATACAGGGTCCCGCGGTCGCCTTCGACATGATGCCTCGCAACTGCCCATAGCAAAAACCCAAGGTTAAACGAGAGGACGATGATGCAGGCGGCTGCTGCCAGGAAAAGGGTAAACCTCCACCCAGTATACCATCTGTAAAGTCGACCTCTCTTGTCTGGATCCGGGCTTTGAGGGCGCGTCTCGCCCTCGTTAATCAATGGCAATTCATGAGTGTCCCGAGAAAGCCGATTCGACATCTTGCCTCAATCGGTCTCACAGAGCCTAGTTGTCGTAAGAAAAGGGTTCGCTGCGGACAACGATGGATGCCTTGTCACCGCATGCATAGATATATGGAGCAAAGCCACAGTGAGTGCATCACCCTAGCGGAGAGGTTAAGGCAATTCCTCAGGATCTACATCCTGGCATGGGGAGATGGGGCCGAAACTGCGCCAAGAGGAATTAGCACCTAGCGACTTTGCCTAGATCACAGTTAAAAAACACGTCTTTCGTCTTATCGGGTTGGTTATTTTTGTACATACTGTCATTACGTAGAGCCCAGCCAAAAACCAGGGTTTACAGCTCAAAATTGTGGCGCTTTCGTGGTGATCTATGCTTTGGTATGGTCGTTTGAGGACGGGATCGCCACCAGAAGAGCGCCGCAAGGAGCGCGATCATCAACTGGAATCAGCCTTGCGTGCGCCGTGTCCGTAAATTGCCTGATGTGCGTCATTTGGTCTAGATAATTAGGGATGATAGGCCGTATGGTGGACAATTAGAATGATGGTACCTGTATGGATGATTGATATTAGAGAGTTGATAGATGGTTTATGGCTGGAAAGGTAGCAAATAAGACTGATAGGGGTCAGAGTCGGATAGACTGCCGCCGAGGAAGCCACATGCTTAGCATAAAACCCCAGGGACAGCACTCTCTCCGCCCCAATCAGGAACTGGTTGTTTCTAGGGCTTTAGGTTTCTACCCTGGCCAGGGATCTAGAAAACTGACTCATGGTATTTAAATATGACACGCTGGTATCCTGGTATATACATTGATTAATATCATCAAGGTAAGAAAAACACTAGAATCACAGAGACGCCTCAAACTTGCCATCCACTTCCTTGATCTTCTCAACAGCTCGCTTGTATCCCTCCTGCTGCTGGATGTTTTGCACATATTTCGCCAGCAACGGGTACTTCTCGCTCAGCGGAATCCTTATGTTGGCTGCAATCAAGGGAAAGCTCAGCATGATATCAGCGGGGGTAACGCTGTTACCGCAGAAGAAAGGACCACCCGCAGGCGCGGTCTTAAGTTGGTCTTCGAGGAAGTCAAAGGTAGCGAAGATGTTTGGGTTGACGAACTGCTCTTCAACCTGGTTGGCCACCATACGGGGGATTGGCTTGATGAAGAACGGCACCCCCGGTGGGTTTTTGATCGCTGCAAGAGTTAGTCCTCTTAATCATATCCAGTCTAGGAAAAGCTAGAGAAACCACTCACTGTCTGTAACGAGCTTGAATACCAAGAACGGCATCAAGCTCCCCTCCGAAAAGTGCATGTAGTACCGGTAGCGCAGCCACTCTTCAGTTTCGCCGCCAATTTGGCCTTCCTTGCCAGCAGCATAGCGCGCAGGGATGAGCTTGTCCCCGCCAAAGTGATCGCAGAGATATTCAACAATCATGCCTGATTCCGCAATGACAATGGGCTCCGAGGTCGCGGGAGACTCGATGGAGATAACGGGCGACTTGCCAAGCGGGTGAATCTTCTTGAGCTCGGCGGGGGCCTTCATATCCCTTCCGCGCTTGAATGTCTTCACCTCGTATGGTACATTGAGTTCCTCGAGGAGCCATAGGACGCGCTGAGAGCGCGATTGCTCAAGCCTGTATTCATAAGTCAGAAGATGTTCTTGCGGGTCAGCAGGAATGAAGTGTGTTTACCAGTAAAGAGTGACTTTCGTATCCTTGGAAGCCATGGTGGAGTGTTTGTGCAGTGGTGAAAGTTATGAGTAGATAAGTGTAAGTCAGCCCAAGAGACGGGGCCAGGAGGGTCTTTATCCTCCTCGATCCTGGTCCATGACTTGCTCATGCTTGAACCACTAAGTTTAGTCCTCGGCAATTTCTCAACAACACCTGTGAACGATCGACTGCGTCATTGGACCTCGTGCGGACCCCCCGAACGTTTTGCGCATTCTAGGCAACAGTTTGCACGCGATATGTGAGAAAAAAATTCGGCTGCTTCGATTCTAAATGGGTTCATGCAGCAGATTTCCTCTCGCTTGTGGAGGTTCTCCGCAGAATCCAATGAGGCTGGCGGGATTCACGATCGCGCCGAGCCCGCACGGCACTTGATATCGAAGCTCTGGGACCTTTCAGTCTCCGAACTGAGGCTGTGCCTGCGGCTTAGATAGATTGTAAATAAAGAACACATATCAAATATTCCACTGGTATTCTTCCAAATGCCTTGAAGCTGCTCGTACCCCCCAAAACAGCACTCTAGTATATGATGACTCAGCCGTAGAGCACGTGACTACCAACTTCGTCTCATCGTCACGAAAGCATCGCATCGCTCTTGAGCAAGCTAGTCGCCGAAAAAAAACAACCGCAACCATGGCCGGTCCTAGCAAGTGTAAGAGCTCATGAGACCCCGATTGACACCCCTCCCTAACTGTTCACTACCACAGCCCTCATCCTTGACCCGGCCCTTCAGAAATACTACGGTACCGCACCCCGAGATCCATCCGATGTCGAGCCGATGCCCATGTCCTGCAGTTGAGCGGGAGTGACGGAGACTATACTGCTGCGCAACGAACCGGAATAACGGAATGCTAATGGAAATTGTTTTGGATAGAGGTCAACGCAAACCGCTACAAGTACTTCCGCTGGACGCCCCGCAATGCCTGGCACTCGCTCCTCTACATGGTCCTGATCCCTGTTTCATTGGGCTATGTTGCTTACAAGACCGATGTAAGTTGTTTACCAGGAGAATGCTGGCTTGATAAATGATATGGAGGTGTGAGTGTGGAAATGGTTGACTGATTGATTGTAGGGCAAATATGAGCTCCGCGGGAAGAGAAGGGGTGATACCATTGCTGAGTGGTAGACGAGAGGGAAGAAGCCGAATGAGAAAGGGGTGTTGAGGTTCTCAGGCCGAACGGTTCTGTCGCTGGACGTTGTAACTATTATTGAATATACCGCTTGAAGCTTGTTCGATTATACGCTATATGCACTTCTCTCCAACTATTCAGTAAGAGCTGGATTGCTTTTCCCAAATGATACAAACGGCCTTGCCTTTTTATTCAGGGTATCCCCCTTCACATAAAACTCCATGTTACTTGTACACAATTCCCGTAGAAGCGGCCAGACCAACAAAACATAGATCGAATCAATACGGCGCCCATCCCCTCCTACCAGGTCCCCCTCCCCTTCCACTTCCACCCTCTGGAAGTCGTTCACCACGCCTCCAATCTCCAGCAGGGATTCGATCGCCACCGCCTCTCCAACCGCCTCTTCCTCGTCCACCACCACCAGGACCGAACCCATTATCCCGGAAAGCCCTCATACCACCCCCAGAGATTGGACCCCTCCCACCCGTCAATGGCGGCGCAACAGATCCATCCTCTAATGGCGGCAAAATGGCACAGTCGACATAATCCCCAATCACAAATCGCGCCTCTTGCAATGTCTTCTCCGCGTCGTTCCCCTGCATCCTGAAAGGTCCCGTCCGCGGAAGCGGCGCACCATTCTTTGACCCTTCCTCCTCGTCTTTGCCGTCTCGGTAGGGGCTCTCGCGGGGCCCAATCACCACACTGCCTAGATCCTTGCTGAGGTATCTGCCTCGCGCGTCAGGGCCCATCATCGCTGCGCCCTTGGTGTCTGGGTATATGAGACGGAAGCATAAACGGGTTCCAATTGGCGGATCGGGAAGCGCCGAGGGAAGTGCCGAGGTCAAGAGGAGTGCGAGCTCGCGCAGGGTGCAGGATTGCCAGGTGTAGATCTGGAGGTGCGGTGGAAGTGGTGCTGGCGGGGGAGGGGAGCGCGTTCGAATGGCGTTGGGGCCGCTGAGGGCGCCGCCACGTGAGGATGAGGAGTGTTGAATTGAGAAGTCGGCGAGGTTATGGAAGGATTGGGAGCGGTAGAAGAGCTTGAGGTGGAATGGTGTTGTTGATTGTCGGTCGATTTTGGGTTTGGGTGCGTCGCGGGCAGCCATGGTTTCGGAGCTCAGCGCGTCGCGGTATGACGGTTTCTCAAGGAAAAAGCGCGGTTATGACTATTGTCTTATGAGAAGATGTACTGAGTAAAGTTCATTGCCGAGAATGCGGTGAGTTGTGAAGCACTGATGCGCCTAGAGAAGTGTTTGATGTGGTTAAGATCACGAGAGCTCGACCGCCGGAAGAAGCAGCAATTTCACCTTCCAACGTCACACCTCTGAACCCACGCTTCCGCCTTACCTCCAATCATACATCTCTTACACACCTTTACAAGCCGAGAATCTGGCCTTCTATTCTCTTTCAACAGCTAGAGACACCGGCAGCGACCGATCACAATGGATTTCGCCGCGTTAATGTCAAAAGAAATCGCCAAGGCGAAAGGACCAACGACCTCCAGCTCCGGCTCAGACGCAAATGGTTCATCAAAACCCCAAGGGAAAAAGTATCTTCGCCGCGCAGACGAGGAAGCCGCCCGAATAGCTGCCTACAATGAGGAGCAGGCCCGTATAAAGAAAGAGCGCGAAGAGCGCATGGCTCACAAGCGCAAGCTGGAAGAAGAAGAGGCAGAGCGACGCTTGGAACGAGAAGAGAAAAAACGACGGCTTGCGGAGGAGTCACGAAAGAAGAGAGAAGAGGAGGAAGCTGCTAAGGAGCGAGAGCGACGCAAACGCATTGGTTTGCCTGAGGTGCCACGCACACCGAGTGAGACAGAAACGCCAGAGAAGGAAGGTGAAGGGGAAGATATCAGCGAAGAAGAGCTTACGGAGAAGTTGAGGGAGCTGGGAGAACCTATTCGCCTATTCGGAGAGACTCACAACAGTCGTCTACGGCGGTACAAGAAACTACTCGAGCGCTCACTCGAGGTTAAGAAGATGTCCGATGGGCCGATCCCAACAACGCTGGAGCCTGTTCCTGAGGTGGAAATGAAGATTCCAACAAAAGTTCCAAAGGATGCTGAGGGTCGCCAGTTCCTGTTCCGCCAGCTGGCGTCGTATTTCAACATGGTGCTTTTCGAATGGGAGCTTGCGCTGGCCAAGCGAGATGTATCGGTGAAGCAGAGTCTTCAGGGACGACAAGCTTATAACGCCTTGGTGCAGTCGCGGGAGAATATGACACCGCTGTTTCGCAAGTTCGAAAAGGCTGATGTCGACAACAGCGTGCTTGAGCACATTGTGGAAATCGTCCACAAGGCCCAGCAGCGGAAGTACATGGATGCTGGCAATGCCTACCTTCGTCTGAGTATCGGAAAATCGTAAGTGACACCCTCAGAATTTCGTACCTGTCATGTTAACTAACAGATCGCAGTGCGTGGCCCATTGGTGTTACCATGGTTGGTATCCACGAGCGTTCAGCACGAGAAAAGTTGCACCAGGGTGATCAGCAAGCCCATATTCTAAGTGACGAAATTACGCGCAAATATCTTCAAAGCATCAAGCGGTGCCTCAGCTTCGCTCAGACCCGCTGGCCCCCAGAGGACCAGCTGCAAATCATGGGCTGAACAAAAGTAGCAAATCGAAGACGACTCAACGCCAGATATACTTCGCTTATTGATATACAGTTCCTATTAGGCTATCGACAAACTTGCTAATGCTGCTCGAACGCACACCCAAATATACACAAATGGATCAGATCTAACTTACATCTATACAGCGCAGACATGCAGTGTACCTCCAAAAGCGTTTATACCTCAGTCCACCTCCAAATGCCCATCAGCCAAGTCCACATTCCTTTGGATGAATTGCTCACAGGTATTGGCGGCGTTATTGTATCGTCTTCAAATTCTCGTGGCTGGCCATTAATAGGATAGACATCGTGCCCTTCGATACCATGCATCACTCCTATGCATAATTCGGGCTTGGAGTGAGGGGCTGAAATGGTTCCGGCATTAATATGCTCCCCAGTAAGCGCGTTGATCAGCTTGCCAGCTGCCTGGACACAGCTTCCGTATGCAAACCGAATGAGAGAATCTCCTGTCAAGCTGCCGATAATGAAGACGTCCTTGGCAACCTCGACGTTATCAATAGCTTTGCCTCTCAGTGTTTGTCCAGATATTGTAGTGTCTGCTGCGGTTCTGTCATCGCAGCCGATGACCTCATGCAAGAGGCTCTGGTCTAGGTAGCTCAGACTGCCTCGCCGACCGGTGGCATAGACCATACCGCGTACATTCCTGGAAAAAGTGGTCCCATCCGGACGGCGCATGGTCACAATAGCCCCTTCCTGCTGCACCTGTACATCGATTATCTCGGTATTCGGGAACCCTTCATAAACATCGGCCCAGGATCGACTTTCGAGAAAAGGGGAGGAGCTCGTGCGCAGGGGTTTTAGCCGTTGTTTCGTAATCCTCGACTGTGCAACTACAGTTGCACGTTTCATCAGCCGGTAAACACCGGCATACTCTGGATACGCATGTTGATGACAACCGCGTAATGGCGAGGGTCGATTCTCAGGATCCCATTTGAAGATGTGGATGATTTTCTGGTTGGTTGGCGCAGAGATGATCACGTCCGCCGCGGAGAATCCGGATCCAATGACAAGTAATGGTGTCTCGGGAATCGGTTGAAGCAATGTGAGAGGTTCTAGGAGTGGTCGAGGCTGCAAGACTTCGGAAAAGATGCCACTGGCTAGGACGAGATGCTTGCAGTGAATGTTGTGCGATCGGAGGAAAAACCCTTGCTCGGTTCTGATGATGCCTGAGACGTCTTCCCCCGAGCAAAATGCGTCATCGATACCCACCGCTTCAGGATACACTCGAAAGTACTCCGCGGTTTGCTCTCTGCTGGGCCGAGTGTATGCGGGAAGGTCTTTGCCCGTAATTTTGCGGTAATGGTCCGCGAATGAATACCCTGGCAAGGAGAGCATCGAGGCGTAGCTCAACGTCTGGATTTCCCAGCTCGCTGGCATGGGATTCTCGGTCCATTGCCCACCGGGCCGTGGTGCATTCCCAAGAACCCGATGAGGGACGGCTTTTTGAGGCTCATGTCGCCATTCAATGTTCGTGACACTCTGCAATTCCTCAACGTCGACACTGGGTCGGACCAATGTGTCTAATAGCACGTTTACAGGTAGAGCCTGAGTGGAATACGACAGACGAGACGCGGCGAAATGCTCTGTCAAAGCATCCACGTCGGCCCCAAGAAGAGCCGGCGCACCCCTGAGCTTCGCGTGAAGTAAGGGATCGGGATGCGGGTGCTGAGACGAATAATATGGGAGATTGCCATGAAGGATGTAGGACAGGATCATGGAAGATGGCCCGTTGCCTGAAGAGCCCTGAGGTCAATAAGGATGGCCATTGGCGAGGGGAGAATAGATAATCTGTGGGTAGCCGCAGGGCGAATACCTGGCAGCTATGGCGACATACCGATGATAATGGTGTCAATCTCCATGGGAGGCTTATAAGTGAGCACACCCCCGGCAGCCCGGTCTGCGCGGGGCATACTCTATTGCGCCGAGAGGATTTGCTTAGAAGATCCAGAGGCAACGTCAACGATCAGAAACCGGTACTACCTTCGGAGGAAGGAATAGTAACCGCGCGGCCATTAGGGACCTGTTACATTGGAAAGAAATAGACTATGGCCTCGACAGACAGGGAGACGAAGGTTTGGGGTTGGCGTGAGGCGGATGTGGGAGGGCCCAGTTCCGCAAACGGCGGCCGATGAAAATGGAGACTGCTGACAAAACATGGAAGCCTCTCACAGCCTTTAAAACACACTTAAAATCAGTGCTTCAACTACAGGATGAGGCGCGATATCTCGACAGGCAGTTGGGGGGGGAGAACTAGAACATGGGCCTGGTTGGAGTCCGGATCACAGAGTGGGAAGCTTGCAGCAAACCCGCGATACAGCCGGATTGTCATTGGAGACCACCACGACATCACCTCATCAGCCTCGAATCATGAAGAGCCCTTTGTAGATTTGCTTTTTCAGGCTAGTATACTAGGCAATCTTGCTTCATCAAAAGTACGTTTGGATGTTGACATGGCGCTCCGGAGCCTTCTTCATCTCAACGCCGAAAGAATAAATGATGACCCTGCATGAAGTCACTTGTCGTAATCAATAATTCCGAGGCCCGGGCCCTGCGGGGTGCTTCTACTTTAGGAAGCTAGGGCTTGGGGCTTGGCGTGTTTGAGCCCCAGGCCCTACCTTCCTGATTTGGATAAGGCTGACGCGTTGGCCTGAGGTGGCTCGGGCGGCATTGAAGACATTCGCTGGCGATACAACGAGGTGTCCAGAACAAGATAAGAAAAGAAATGGCATTATTCCTGCCATGATTCTCTCGCCATACCCCTCTTCACACCCGTTATAACCCCTACACTGAGGCTGCGCCGTTGGAGCCGCCGGACAGCGGACTGGCCTAGTTGCGCCCACCGCTGCCATACTACAAGATGTACCATCTGGCAAAGTCCCTGTATATGTACGCCACCAGCAAAGAGGGTAAGTCGCATGGAATGTCTGCGCCGCTTGAAGTGCCAGAACTAATGTGCGACGTCGTATAGAATACTCCGTCCTCCTCCTCGGCCTCGACAACGCAGGCAAGACTACGCTCCTCTCGCAGATAAAAGCCCTCTACCAGTCCCGAGCAGATGGAACACCCGCGCCAAATCCCGGTAAAACAGTTCCCACCGTCGGACAGAATGTCAGCACAATCTCTCTACCGGATATGTACCTGAAGATATGGGACGTCGGTGGGCAGATCTCCATGCGCAACCTATGGCAGAGCTACTACTCTAGCTGTCACGCGATCGTCTTCGTGGTGGATAGTACCGATGTTGGCCAGAATCCGGATATCACACGGCTTCCGTCTATCTCTACTGCATCGTCTGCGAATAACACTCGGAAACCCTCGGCTGCGGGGTTAGCGTCAGCGGAAAAGACGGCGGAGGCGGGGGTGGAAGAAGAAGCAGACGTTGATAATGACGTTGCAGAGAACTCATTCACCGAACAACTGGCCGGCATCAACGCGCCCGGTAGCGATTTCGGTCGACTCGACGAGTGTCGACAGGTGCTAGAGTCCGTCCTGCGGCATTCGGACGTCTCAGGCGTGCCCATCCTCGTGCTTGCGAACAAGCAGGACCGGGAGGATTCGGTTGAAGTCGTCCGTATCAAAGAGGGATTCGTGAGGAAGGTCTTCGAGGGTGAAACAGGCGGTGTTGTCCGCGATAGTCGGGTGCTACCAATCAGTGCGCTCATGGGATCCGGAGTGCAGGAAGCTGTCGAATGGATTCAAAGCAGAGTGAAGTGGAATAAAGAGGGGAGACCACCGGTTATGAGGTGATTTAACTGATTGATTGTGACAACATCAGATGGGAGTTGCTCATACCGGCTCTGGTGACTCTATGGCATCGCCTGTTTTTTAATACATTGTTTGGCGCTGGGGTTGGCTTCTGTCTTGTTCTGCTGCGAAGATACCTAGATAGTTTGCTTGATTTGTTCTAATATCCGTGCCTATAGCCTGCATTTCAGTCTTCAATTGTTTATAGTACCCAATGGCCTTACCTATCTGCCGCGATCAGCATCTCCATATCGGACCATCCACAGGCCATCTTTGCTCCAGCTCCCCAGAGTAAGATTCGAGAAACATACGCAATTTGACGTCACCCCAAGCCTAGGTTCAGACGGACCAGCTGAAGTCATGCCCAGCAATGTCTTCCCAGAGCTTCTGCTTTGTTCTCTGCAGTCGCACGTTGCATGATACGATCATGAAGTCAACCATGGCGACTTTGACGTCATACCCAATTGGGACGAGTTAGGGTTCCGGTGTTTGGAGGACGTATAAAACAGCTGATAGATGGCTTTCCATAGAGCGGAATATCTACCATTCTACAGACATAGTCTCATACGCTGTACAATCTTGAAACCACATATACGATTCACCAAGAAACACATTCACAATGAGCGAGCTCAGCAACGTCCCCAACCAGCCAGAAGGCTTCTTTAAGCCTGGCGTCAAGCCAACTGCCCCAAACACTCAACCTCATGGCCCCCTCCCGCCGGACAAGGTACGAACCTTCTCGCCTCAAATCTCAAGACTATCTACCCATCTCCGGGCATTCCTGACAATTCCTAGCACGCCCCCGGCGAAAAAGCCTCCCCCTATGACTACAAGCCCGAATTCTCAATGGAAACCCACCCTCCGGGCACCGCACCCGCCGGCAGCTCCTTCAAGCCAAACCCCATCGACCACCCCGGGGAGCAGGCGCTGAACCCCAATGTTGAGCGAAGCCACGGGAAGGAGTCCGTTAAGACAACTGCTGAGCAGACTCTTATGGGCGCGACGTCGAAGGATGTGTACAAGGGATTTGGACACCCTGGTTCTGGGCAGACGAGCACTGAGATCCGCCATGATGGGCAGCATAAGAGAAAGAACCCTGGAAGAGGCCTTGACGCACCGCTTCAGACCGACCCGAGGCTGTCGCAAAAGCCCACTGCCGCAAGTGGAAGCCATGCTGAGGATTCTCGTCCCTAAGGGATTCTTTGGGTAGCATAGGTTTTTTTTCTTCATGAAATTCGTGGTATTTAGCATCAGTGTACAATAGCTCTAATGGATTAAAATGGGGTATCATGACCGGACCGTGACAAAAGTGACAAGAGTGTATAGTACGAAAATCAATCAAGACGTCGACCCGAGACGCTCTCGTTCGGGTTTGATGTTGTTCGCCTCGTTCAGTTTCTTTGGCCAGCTTCGGGCGATATCAATGTTGGCCCGAGGGAACCACATTTCTAGAAACGTGTAGAGCAGAAAGTCAATCACAACGCAGAGACAGAATAGCTTTCCGGCCCAGACTCCACAGCCATAATACCGCTTTAAGCGGTCAATGAGGCTAAAGTTGCGAATTCGATCGCTGCCAGCTTCTTGGATCTCCCCTGGGTAGTATCCATAAAATTCTTGTGGACTGATATCTCCTGAAATGCCCTTGTATACACGCTCGGTTCGACGTGCAACATCGGTCCATGAATACATCACTTTCACCTGGTCGTGGAATCGCTCGGTCCGCACCCTGTTGGACCGCAGTGCGCTAATGGCTTTGCTCGTAGCCAGTACTATATCGTCCTCCTCGGGTTTGGCAAACGTCGTCATGTGCTGGGGAAGTACTTCGGGAATGCCTCCAACTCGAGTGCACACCACGTACAGCCCGCAACTAGCAGCCTCAACAATGACCGTTCCAAATGCCTCCGTCAAACTGGGGTGGAGATAGATGTGCCCTCTGACCATTACGTCTCGAACCTCCTCATGGCGGATAGCACCGATCATCTCAACTTTGTCTTGAAGGACATTTCGTTCCAACATCTGCTCTAAGTCGATGGCCTTGGGCCCTGAGCCCGCGATGATGAACCGTACATTGGGATGGGACGCAAGAATTCTTGGAATGGCAGCTATCAGAAGATCTGTGCCCTTGTTGTAGAACAGGCGTGATATGACGACAATGGTGATGATGTCGTTCGGGCCAATCGGCCTCGGAGTGGGCTGTATCTGGGGTGTCGCACCAGATCTATCATTTGTGCGGTTTGTGGCGTGTAAAGGTCTAAAGTTCTCTGCTACAACAGCATTTGGAATGACAGACACCATGAGTGGGTCCAAAGATGCTCGAAGGACAGTGTTCTCTTTGCTGAGCGCATATTAATATGGTCTCCTCTAGTCACTAGGTGCGCAGGCTTACCATGTATGACTGACGCAGATAACGTGGTCGACATCACTCAGTGTGAATTTCAGAAGTTTGTTGGTCAAAATGGACCCGGCGTCGGCGAATCCGAACAATGAATGGTCAGTAAAGACCGTTCTCAGGCCCATGGTTCGGGCGTGCAAAATGGCTTCGTGGCAGAAACTGCTCAGGCTCTGGTGTCCATGAACGATCTGGATCTGCTCCCGGATGACGATGTTCCGAAAGATAGGGAAGAATGAGAACACCGTAGGCATTGTCGTCTCCCGGTAAATGACCAGAAACGGCACATGGTAGACTTTGAGCCCATTTGTGAGGTACCGGACACCTGTGCGACCCTTATAGGCGTGGGTTATGATAATGACTTTGTGCCCCCGGTCGATAAGCTTCTGGAATACAATCAATATCCGCTGACCCAAATGCAATTGGCATACTTACGGTAGACAACTGGTATATGTGACTTTCGACTCCCCCTGTAAAGTTCAGTAAGTTTGTCATGAACTTCTTGAGGGTATGACGAACCTGGTTGGGGGAAGAAGAAGTCACTGACCATACTAAAGGGACGGTATAACTTAGCAGACACACCTCGGCATATCTCCGGAGCACTTACGCAATGTTGTAGGGCATGTTGACGGATAGCTACCTTGTTATATGCGCACTCGAACCAGCAGGTCAGCCATATAGAGCGCGCCCAGGAATAAGTTGCTGCCCATCTTGCATGCAGCAATATCCGAGGGCAAGAATGCTTGTTACAAAAGGAGACACGCTTGTCGCGCTGGCCGATCTGGAAGAGCCCAGACCGCGGCGGTAGCTCGAGCGGTGTGCTTTTTGCCAAATATTTCTCCCCGCTAAAATTATTGTGAAGCTTTTTTTTGCGATTCAAGATTCCAATAGTCATTTAGCGGATTCGCCGGAATTTGCGCCAGAAATACCTCGTCATGGCCGGTGATCACCCAGCCAAGAGAGATGCTGCAATGAAACATACCGCTACCCCCACGAGCGAAAAGAAATCACATAAGCGCAAACGAGACCTCGATGGCACCACTGCCGCTTCCTCCACCCCATCGAAGAAGTCCAGAAAAGACCAGGATGACGCATCTACTCCCGTTCCAATCAGAGAGAAGAAGAAAGACAAGCGGTCGAAGACGAGCCCCGATAGTGATGCCGACAAAAAGTCGACCAAGAAGAAGGGTACTATTTCGGCTACCATCAACAAAGAAGAGACAGCAGAAGCGGACACTGGTGCCAAACAAAAGAAGAGTAAATCGAAGAAGGAGAAGCGAAAATCCTCAGAAGATGATAGTGGCGCGAATGAAGAGTCTGCAAATTCACTAAACGAGACCGAGCCGCAGGAGGGTCAAAGGGACATTGAAAAGGATGCTAAGGGAAAGAAGCACAAGAAATCGAAAGCGTCAATCCCGACAGAAGCGGGAGAAAACGACACACGCCAGACCAAGAACAAATTTGCTGGGATTCTGTCGAAGTTTGAGAGGTCTGCGAAAGTGAAAGAGGCTGCAAGTGCCAAAGGAGACGGAAAAGAGGAGACACTGGAGCAAGATCTGAATAGCGCTGAACCGGTCATAGCAAAAGGACTGGAGCCTATACCCCAACCAGAACCAGTTCTCGAGCAGGAAGTGAAGCCAACATATTCTTCGCTCCCAGAATGGCTTGCTAACCCGTTGAGGACCTCAGCTGAGACCAGGACCAAGTTCTCAGAGCTTGGAATTGAACCCAAACTACTTGGTGTGCTCGAAAACAACGGATATAAGGAAGCCTTTGCTGTGCAGTCGGCCGTCATTCCGCTTCTTCTCAAGGGCACCGGAAGCCATTCTGGGGATCTATGTGTCTCAGCAGCTACCGGATCCGGAAAGACCCTGTCCTACGTTCTCCCTCTTGTCACGGAACTAGAGCCAAGTCCAGCTCCCAGGCTTAGAGGGCTCATAGTTGTCCCCACCAGAGAGCTGGTCAAACAAGCCAGAGAAGCCTGTGAACTTTGCACAGCAGGATCTGGTCTGCGCGTCGGATCCGCTGTTGGAAATGTCGCGATCAAAGACGAACAGCGCTCTTTGATGCGCGTCGACCAGGTCTACAGTCCCGAGAGCGTCAGATTAAGACAACAAACCAAGCTGACAGGGGAGGATTGGACCGAATTCAGCCTACAAGATTACATTTCTACCACAGCCGATTTTGGCGAGACGTTACCAGGCTATATTTATAGGGCAGAGCCTAATGTTGATATCCTTATATGCACACCAGGTCGTCTGGTGGACCATATCCGTTATACAAAGGGCTTTACATTGAAACATCTGCAGTGGCTCGTGATCGATGAGGCAGATAGGTTGCTCAATGAGAGCTTCCAGGAGTGGGTCGACGTTGTCATGACTTCTCTCGATGCCCGCAAGGCTCCCGAGGCTTTTGGTTCAAGCGGAAAGTTCCTAGCAGGCCTCAATCTCCCTTTACAAACATCAGAGCCGCGGAAGGTCATTCTGAGCGCTACCATGACCCGAGATATCTCAAAATTGAATTCGCTCAGGCTGTCAAATCCTCAGTTGGTCGTTGTCGGCGCTGCGGAGCAAGACGTGACAAGAGACGACGAGGTTGGGGTGCTCACACGGTCAGACGACAAGTTTACCTTGCCGACTACATTGAAGGAGTATTCTGTCGCAGTTGGTGATGGAGCGCAGAAACCACTATACCTCTTACAACTACTCCTTTCCGAAATCAAGATTGCTGTGCCTGGTACTTCTTCCAGGCGCACAAAACGACGAACCGCAATCGAGTCAGATGAGACTAGCTCTGATGACACAAGCTCTGATGACACAAGCTCTGATGACACAAGCTCTGATGACACAAGCTCAGACGACACCTCCTCGGACGAGTCCACATCTTCAGATGGCTCCTCGGACTCTGATTCCGACTCCGATACCAGCTCTTCAGCAAGCTCATCATCAGACTCAGACTCAGAATCATCAGACAGCAGCTCTGACTCTGACTCCGACTCAGACTCGAAACCCTCCCCAATACCCACCGAACCCTTAACAACCCCCAACAAGCCCACCGTTCTAATCTTCACCAAATCCTCCGAATCCGCCTCCCGTCTCTCCCGCCTCCTTGCCCTCCTCAACCCCCACCTCTCCAACGAAATCGGCACAATCATCAAATCCAACAAATCCTCCGCCTCCCGCAAAACCCTCGCCGCATACCGCCGCGGCAAGCTTTCAATCATCATCGCCACAGACCGTGCCTCACGCGGATTGGATCTTGCGTCTTTAACCCACGTCGTAAACTACGATGTCCCCGCTAGTTTGACGACCTACGTACATCGCGTTGGTCGAACGGCCAGAGCAGGCAGAGAGGGTTCGGCGTGGACGCTTGTGGCGCATAGAGAGGGGCGCTGGTTTATGAATGAGATTGCAAAGGGTTCTGATGGGAAGATTACGAGATCTGGAAAGGTGGAGAGGGTTGCAATGAAGTTGGAGAATTCGAAGGAGATAAAGTCGAGGTATGCTGCTACCCTGGAGGTTCTTGAGAAGGAAGTTAGGGCTGGCGGTGCCAAACAAGCTGTGCGGTCGTAGGTGCCTTTATTTCAGCGATTAGCTATACAACTTATACAGTATATAGATTCGAACTCTGAGTTCAGCTAATTACTCTGTATGATGTATTGATTGCCTTTAGTTGAGAGTCCGTCTGTCATGGTGCACCCTCAATCTAGCCACTCGTATTCAAGGTTATGAAGGAATAGGTAACATTCCGACTACTATGTCATGAGTCAATTTGAACAGGCACCATAATTGAAAGTGTACTGTAGCCCCAAACGATTTCCGTTAGGCAACCAACTGCATTGTCATGGTTTCTATAAAGACTTCTGATCGAGGTCGAATCCTCTTATAGAAACCACGATTATCACACTCTGTTCACCACCCACTTATACTCACCTACCCTTATAATCCCATCACGGCAAACCCCACTACCAGAGCCACTCATGATAATGAAACAACTCAAGCTTCTTATAATTGGAGCCGGATCGCGAGGAAATGCCTACGCCCGCGCAATCACCGCATCACCCAAAGCCTCCGTCTACGCCGTCGCAGAGCCAGACCCTTACAAGCGGCAGCTTTTCGGGCAGCGATATATCTGGGGTAGTGCTGATGTTGGGAAGCCAAAGCATGGGCAAGAGTTCGCGGGTTGGTGCGAATGGATTGACTTCGAGAAGGATAGACGACTTTTGTCCGGTGTACGATATGCTGATGAAGTTGAAAACGAAGGAGTAGACGGCCTCCTCATCTGCACGCTGGACGAAACACACATTGAGATCTTAACTGCTATTGCCGAAGCCGGTTTACGGGACATCCATGTTTTGTGCGAGAAACCGCTTGCTCTGTCTGTGACGGATTGCTTAAGTGTTTATGCGGCCAGGAAAGACGCAGCCTCAATCTTCTCTATTGGTCATGTGCTTCGGTATAGTCCACACAATCTGCTTTTGCGGCGACTGATTCGGGAAGAGAAGGTCATTGGTGATGTCGTATCGATTGAGCATACGGAGCCTGTTGGGTTCTGGCATTTTGCGCATAGTTATGTGCGTGGGAATTGGAGGAGAGCTACGCCCGGTGGTGATGGGTCGTTGCTTACGAAGTCGTGCCATGATCTAGACTTTATACTCTGGTTGCTTGAACAAGATGATGATGGTGCAAATTCGCTGCGAACAATATCTTCATCGGGTCATCTTACTCAGTTCCAGCGTGGCCGAAAACCTCCGGCCGCCGGGACAGCGACCAATTGTCTTTCCTGCCCGATAGAGAAAGACTGTATCTACAGTGCTGTGCGGATATATCGTGATCAGCATCTTGCAAAGGGAAAGCGCGGATGGCCCGTCAAGATTGTCTGTCAAGATATAGAAGAGTTCTATAATATTGGCCCTGCTGCAGCTGGAGAGCATCTTCTAGATTGCCTACGCGAGAACTATGACTCCTCATCGTGCACTTCAGAAGAGGTAGCCTCTCGCCCATGGTATGGTCGGTGTGTCTGGGAATGCGACAATAACGTGTGCGATGACCAAGTCGTCACCCTTACCTGGAATGAAAATGCGCTCTCGAGCGGTAGTGTTGGAGGGAGGACAGCTACATTTCATATGGTTGCGCATACCGCAGAGAGGACTGATCGCCGAGGACGTATCTATGGAACCCACGGTGAGATCACATATGACACCAAGACAATCATGATTTATTCGTTTGAGACACGCCAGAAAAGTGTCATTGAGGTGCCTAAGATGCCCCCGGAGGAAGAGCAAGCGCATGGTGGAGGTGACCATGGGTTGGCGAGGGCGTTTATTGATGCTGTGGATGCAGTCGTCAACCATGAATGGGAAGTCGAGAAAGCTCAGATGCAGTTTGTGGGTTGTTCATTGAAAAACATTGTGCGGGCTCATGCTGTAGTGCTTGCAGCTGAAGAGGCAAGAACGGAGGAGAAGCTTGTGAAGTGGAAAGAGTGGTGGGACGGTCAGCTGGAGGGTAAGCTTGAGGGGCCCAGGAAGCAGCAATTGCAGTGATCTTGATAAAATCCGTGGTCATGCTTCAAGGATAGTCTCATTTCAGAACGTTAAAGGATGGATCAGTAGAAATAAATCGTACCTATACCTGAATGGGGTAAGACAACGTTCTATATCTCAGCAATCTGGGGATCCACCATTTCTATACACCCACAAACGACTGAGATTAGCAACTCTTGCGCGCCGCGTAGAGGCACTTGAGCCTTCCGAGCCAGAATCTGGGACGTCGATTTCCATATCCATGAATTCATTCGTGTCGAGAACTTTACCGTCTGCCCCCAGGGTAAACATAGTATCCATGTAATGTTGGTTAAACATGTGGCCAGTCCCAGGACGGACGAACACCTGACCCATGTACCGATTCACTATGTTGGCGAAGTTCAGAACACCCAATACACTTACAAACTCTCTTGAATTGGCGTAATGCTCGATGTGTAAGATAGTATTGTCAGGTTCGTGGAGTCTTGTGTTTCGAACATTTGAGCACTGACTGTTCTTTTTCCCAGCAGGAAGATTTCTGTACGGGTTGTTGAAGTGATTGGCGGCGTTTCCGAATGTGTAAATCTCAAGCTTGCGGAGCAGACCTTGAGGTATCTCGTCCAGTAGCCAGTCCACTATTAGTCCGCCTTCGATCCCTCCTTGGCTGTGGAGTATCAGGACCACCTTTTTGTTTTCGGGATCCACTAACGCAGCTCTTAAATGAACGTAGGCATCCCTGACATCCTGCGTTGCGTAAGAGAAATCCCTCTGGAGAAGGCACTGAAGAAGGTCAAACACAAGTCCGGCCCTAGAGTATCTTTATCAGTTCCTTAAGCTCGTGTCACACATAGTCCCGAAGTAAACCATACGTAGGGTTATGAGCACCATAAACCCTTCTGCCGAAAGTAATGCCCAGACGGTCGATGTTCGACTGAAGCCAAGTCTGCCTGTGGGGGCGAATGTTAGCTGCTGTCCAAGCACCCCTGGCGTGGTTCGCGCTTACCCACAAGCTACCCCGTTAATGAATACCCAATGCTCACCTCTATGCTCGGGGCACTCGTGTTCTGGAAACCGGGACACCAGCACGGTGGATCCTCGATTCACGAGTAAGTCGCACAGAGCCCTATTGGCAAGTATGAAACCACCTATGTAGACGCAAGTCCATAAAGTAGGCGCCATACAGATAATGAGGACGGGTATCGAGATCAGGAAGATGACTTGGAGCAAGCTGATAACAAGCTGAAATGCCAGGTTGGCTAGATTGCGTGGCGACGGGTACAGCTCATCCAGATCACCGGAGTTGTAAGGCGTGAGAGGCAAAATGACGTTCAGTACTGCCCAAAGGCTTCGTAAGACGAGGAGTATGTCCTCCCACATCAGCTTCCATGGTGACGCCGTATAAGGAAGCGGGGTAGCTGGCGTTGTACTGGATTGTGGAGGGAGAAACTTGGCGGGCATGATGACTAGACGGAGGTGTTGAGAAACAGAACGTTGGGTTGGACTGGAGCCTAGAAATAAGATGAAGTTTGACAGTGGTTCGCGTGACTCTGCGCAGTTTGCCTTTGTCCTGCCCCAACCAACAGGAAAGCCGCACCCGCACCACAAAGACCTGGTCGTGTCTTCCTCCTTCCTTCAGCACATCTCTCAGTCCATCTGCCTTTGAAGATTCAATACTGCCTAAAGAGATCTCCTTTGATTGTCATTCGTTGTCATGCTCCATATGATGCTAAATCACAAAGAAACATGCCGTGCACAATGACCTAGTGTGGCTTCCTAAAACAGGGCATTTAGATACATATATAAGCAGAGCTCATCCCCCCGCGCCCCACCCCCAGAATGATGCAGATCATCTTCAAAACGCGTATTATATACTACAAAATGCTAATACCACCGCGACACAACTGACACGAAATCACCACAGAATGCCAGGCCGAACAAAACAGAAGTATCCCGTGTCGATACCCGAACTCAGCGAGACCGAGATAAAACTGCTAATTGAAGCCCTCCAAACAGACACTCCGCAAAGTATCTTCACCCAAAATGCAAAAACCTACGTTGAACATACTCATACTGCTATCAGGTCGCTGCCTCCAAGTCTGCGTGCAAAAATCGGTATCCACCTCATCCCCACCCCTGCCTTCTTTAGCACTGCAGCCCTATGCAGCGTCCACAAGGGCCTTAACAAGTACATCATTAGCCATTTTATCCGGATGATCAAGCGCGAAGTCAAAGGACACTTGGGCAGTCTCACTGAATACACCTGGGAGCCTCCAAAGCCATACCTTGACGTCGTGATATGCACACTACGGTCACTTGCGGGTATGTGGTGCTCTCCGTCTTCGTCTGGAGATACCATTTGTCCCAAGAACCCAGTCCCATACCAGGCCAATAAGTGTGAAGCATGTATGATGGCTCGGATACTCATGGATCAAAAGTGTGTACAGTATCTTCGCGCAACAGTCCTCAGCCGAATAAGAACGACATGTAACTACCGAGCCCCAAAGTTACGCCGCGTCACCGACACAATCATCAGGACGTATGACAAAGGACAGCAACAGGAGATCATCATGTCCAGTTCAAAGATCGCTTTCGAGTTGAAACGGGCCCGAAAGGAAGCACATCATATCAAAACCGGACACCTACGTGGGAATCTCAAGGACAAACATGAATATCTTTCTCAGCCACGGTCCAGATCCCTTGATGATGATGATGCTGATAGCCCTGACTGTCGACCCGTAAGCTCAATAACAGTCGACTTTTGCATGATCCAAGAGGCACCTCCGCCGGAAGAGAAAGCAATCGGCCCACAGGAGATGGGTCAATTCTCCCAAAATCATAGTCAGCCCATAGATCTACACGAAACCGAGAATGCGAGCCACACAACGGGATTCTCATTGTCCGATGACTTATTCATGAGTCCAGAAGAAGCCGCGTTTGCAAATAATCCCGAAAACGAAGAAGAGAGACAACAGGACATCCTCTTGGAAATCATCGAGTCCTACATGGACCTTCGAAATTCATCGCTCATCTCTCCCCAAAGCGCTTCTGCCTTGGCCCAACCTTACATCATCTCACCCCTGTCACCAAGAAAGAATGATTACCCTACTTTTCTCCACATGGGAACGGGAGCAAAGAACGAATACGACTCCAGGGACACGATCATCTCCCGACTGCGAACGCCACCAAGGCATGGCGTTGACTGGGACCCATTTCTCAAGAGAGGGAAAATGGGCAGTCCCATGGACAAGCTGATTTCGCAAATAGGGCATCTGCTTGATGAGCAAGATGGGCTTGGTTCAAGGACCGCTTCTGAACGGGCCGAATCATACATTGCTATTATTCCCGAGCGAGGAGAAGTCTATACCACTGATGGAGACGATGAAGCGGCCATAGAGCGGAGTAAGTTGGACCGTAGGGATACCGCATGGAGTCTTCTCCTGAGAGATTGCTAATTTATTATCCTAGGACGTGAACCCTCAGATTCAATATGGCAGTCGACAAATGGTATTTGATGCTGACTTCGACGGGGTACACAACCGTATGATGTATCGGACGATAAGGAACATTGCTCTTTCAAACCTATGGCTCAATCGCTTAATAGATTGCATGACCTTCCCAACATTGCATTGAGGTTGCATTTCACATAGTAGAAATCAAGACATGATTGAGATAAAGGAATGAATGAATCGTGATTTTCATACCCACACCCAAGCAAACTTGGCCTAATTATAAGTATTTGACAGAAGAATAATTGAAACATCATTGTACAAAGCATAGGCAGCCGTGAAACCCAATTATTAATACACAGTATTGTGGCGCGAGACCAAGAAAAGAACCCACATCACCTAGAGACGACCTGCAGCTCCAAAGGCTGTATTGACGGGGTCAGGAATGAAGCGAAAAAAAGGGGGAAGTAAGAAAGGCGAGCTAGATCGCTAGTCTGGCCCTGAGAAGGTGTCTATAGGACACTGCTAGCCACGCCGTGATTCACGCCTTTCAGCGAATCAACGCTCGGAGACAGGTTAGCTGTCTTCTTGCGGAGACGGCTCCGCGTCATTCGTTCTGCGGAATCCTCTGATGAGACGACTGCGGCATCCTGGGCGGGCTTCTCAGACGCCACATCGGTGTCAGCATCGGACTCTTGCTGTGCTCCTCCGCCAATCTGCTTCTCAGCAGCCTCCCGGGAACGCTCGTATCGCAGCTTCACCTCCCCCTTCCACTGGGTGTCGAAAAGTCGGTCCCAGAAGATAAAGAATGGCTGGGAAAAGTTCGTCTTGATACCCCAACTTTGATGGTGAATATCGTGGTAGGCGGCGTTGTTAGATGTGAGATGCTGGAAGGGATCCCAGGGGAAAGCATAGCCACAGTGATCATCGACTGTCTTGATGGTACATAGAGTGAAAAACCACATGCTCTGACGATGGGTCATTCCGGATGTCAAGAAACCAATGCCAGTACCGGCAGTATCAAGGAGGAACCCTTCCACTGGGTGGTTGTAGAGAGCACCGAAGGCATATGGGACATAGAGGCGGTGATGGCGTGAGTGGAACTTCACTAAACCATAGAATTAGCACTAGTTATATTCAGAAAGCGGGCATCCAGAACTTACCATAAAGCCATTTGTTCATATGCATCGCGCGGTGAAGGAAGTACTGCCAAGTATCTACCACGCAAATGCCCCAGAGCAACTGCAGTCCAGGGACGAAATACCAGTAAATAAAGTTGGCCAAAGCCATCTCCCAAGCAGTAAAAGCAGGCGCCACTGTCTCAGTGCCGGTCGATGAGATGACAGACTGGGTGATGCCAGGGTATTTTCCACCTGCAATAGCCCCGGCGAGCATCTTGTGTCCATTCTGAGATAGGTTGGCCGCTACACCTGATGCGTCCAAGCCAACGACAGCGAGTAGGTAAGGCAACGCCTTCTGGGAAAAGCGAATACGGCGCGCCCACACAGCCACGTCGTATTCCTCTCGTCCGATATATTCCTGGCCGTCGAAGTACGCCATGATAAGACCTGCAATTGTCTGAACCACGTGCTGCAAGACAACATCCTTTACAACATCCCAGCGGGTTACACGGTTTCGTGTCAGAACTTCGGCGGGCGTATGTAGACGGTAATCGGCAAAGAGACCGTAGACATCTATAAGATGGAAAAACATAGACACCGTCCAGTATGCGACAACAGGAAGAATCAGGGCGAGGATGTTGTCCGGAATCCCGGCAACAAGGGGAGGGCGCGGAACCAGCGTGTACGCGGGGAGAGGAGGAAGGTCATAGACCAAAGTCGTGTTTGTAGCCATTGTGAGTCGCGCAGACGAGTTGGTGCTAGGTATCGCGCAATCAATAAAGTGTGGCTAATGATGGGTCGGAAGCATCGGTCTCAGCTCTCAAGATAAAAAGGAATGAGACTTCAGAGCGAGATCAAGGCTGTCGAGAAGCCGATACCAAAATTCGTAGTCAAGTCGAGGAGGAGAAGGAGGCAAATTTATAGACCGAAGGATCAGCAAGCTGACAGTGATCGGAGTTGGACCTGAGGTGGGCCACCACCACAATCAGGGGATCGCGGGCGGGAGTAAGCGGAGGAGTCAAGGATCAAGGTACGCAGTCAATTAGGGCGGATTATTGCGGAGGGACGATGGGGCAACCCGTAGGGATGCGAAGGTGAGAACGAGAAATAAAAATGATGCAGAAAAGGAGCGTGGACCGTCCGAGGAGCGAGGTGAGGTGAGATGGAAGTCGAGAAAAAGGAACAGAAAAGTCAAGACCGAAGTGGCACCACAGAGGATCGCAGCTTACCGTATCTAATCAGTGTATTGTATCAGAAATTTACGGTAATATATGTCATTTACTATAGACCATCGTAGTATGGTATGGTAAGATACTCTGACGAAGAGCCTGAATGATCAGGAGTCGACTTTTATCTCGACATTGGAATGATCAAGCCGCGTCCGGATGACCAGGCCACTCTGAAATGCTCCTGAATCCCGTGCAATTCAATTGACCTCTGCAGGCCTCAAAATGTCAATCCATTCAATGTTTGCCTTCGTGCCTGAGTCCAGACCAGGCTGGAAACAGTCTAGTGGCGTCCGTGATTCGCCCCTCAAAAAAAGTAGAGCAAAAAGACAGGAAAAAACCCCACCAAAAGCACTAAATAATAAACCTCAATTTTTCCCCTCCTTCCCTTCTTCTCTCTCTCTTCTCCAGCCTTTGCCAATCCATCATCGAACCCTCTGTGATACCTTCTGTCCTTTTGCGTGTTCTCGCTCTTCTCCTCATCTATCCATCAAAATGATCATTTACAAGGTTCGTCCTCGATCTTCTTTATGGTTGTCTCCTTTCTATACCTGGCTCTACCCCACTCTACGATTGCCGCCAGATTGCAGACAACAATAATACACCGGCTTTAGCGACGCCTGTCTTGACGTATCTCTCTTTACGGCCGAACAACAGCTAACATGGCTTTTGACTTACTAGGATATCATCTCCGATGACGAGCTCGTCTCTGACACCTTCAACCTGAAGGTCGTCGACAACGTTTTCTACGAGTGCGACTGCCGCAAGTACCTCAAGAAGACAAACGAGGACTTCGAGCTTGAAGGTGCCAACCCCTCCGCCGAGGGTGGTGATGAGGATGGTGGTGAGGGGGAGCAGGTCATGGTTCACGACATTGAGGACCAGTTCCGCCTTGTCTGGCTCAAGACCGAGGAGGGCATGAAGCCTTCCAAGGACGCCTTCAAGTCTCACCTGAAGAGTATGCCTTTCTTGCCCTTGTTCGACTGTAAATTTGGCAACTAATGTTCTGCTTCTTGAATAGCCTACATGAAGAAGGTCCTCACCAAGCTCACGGAGACTGGTGCTTCTGAGGAGACCATCAAGGAGTTCAAGACCAACGCCCCTGCTGGTGTCAAGAAGATCCTCGCCAACTACGACAACTACGATGTTCTCATGGGCCAGTCGACGGACGGTGATGCTATGTATGTACCACGTCTAGTAAATGGCTTGGTTCGGTCACTAACATGTCTCGCTAGGCACGTCCTGATTGACTTCCGTGAGGACGGTGTCACTCCTTACGCTACTCTCTGGAAGCACGGTCTTGTTGAGATGAAGGTTTAGATTCCCCGATTTCATGGAGAATATGTTCAACGATGGAAACAAAAGAAGTGAGATGGTGAATGCCGCGCCTTGCAGGCAATTGCATTCTCGTTTTTACCTAATATCCTAAGCTTCTATATCACATTCTGGATCCTACTTGATCAGAGTCACGCCTCATGAATCCCATACCTGTTACGTCTTTCCCAGTTCCTTAGACGGCTCTTAAACACAAGCTATCTTATACTTCAACTTGCATATATTCAACTGTTCAAAGCTTGTGCTAACTATATATACTCAAGAGGTATCTGTGCAATTCAGGACAATGACGCTAGAAAACTTGACCCAACCAAAGAAACCAACAGCAAGAAACCGTAGCTAGCTACTATATGGATATTAACAGTAACCATTCCACCCTGGACTCCGCATCCCAGTACTTGCGCCTCTCATCCTGGACTCGCTCCCATTGAAGCTGCCTGCGCGACTCACCCTCCCAGACCCGCTACCACCAAACTCGAAGCCAGTAACAGGGTCGAGTTCCATAAGTTCGTCGGAGACAGGAAGGTGCTGGCCAAAAACAGCGTCCCACTGGTCCCAATCGAAATTCAAATTCGGGTCAAGCATTGATGGTGGTGTAGGGACGTTGAGGTTGAGTGGATGTGAGGGGGAGAGTGCGTCTAGGAACTGTAGGGGCGGCTGCGGCGCTGCCGGTGCTTGTGCTGGTGGTGCCATGGGCATACATAGCCCTTGAGGGAATGGGACGGCTGAAGGTGAAGTACCCGGTTGTTGATGGCTGAAAGGAATTATATTGGGATTTGAGGGCGCAGCCGGAACAGCCATTGGGCTTGTGCTAGTAGAGGAGATAGGGGAATGAGGATAGTCCGGAGATGAGGAGATGAGTTGAGGATTGGACATAGTATTTCGCGGCGAAACCGGGGCGGTCGAGGACATTGGATAGCGTGAGCGGATAGATCGTGGTATAGAGTTGGCGCCTTGAAGAGTAGCCGCAATGCTTGGAAGAGCTTGCGCACGCGTCATGCTGTAGAACACCTTGCCGAAATCAAGCAACTGCTCTCGGCTGTGTATCGGTTGCAGATGTGCGGAGGAGCCAGAATAGTAAGGATTTGTTGCGATGCAGTCATCGGGAATAGCAGCACCAGCTTGGATTTGTGCCTGCTCAGTCCAGAGCTTCTGAGGGTCAAGCCCCGCCTTTTGCCAGGCCTTGTGCCGTAACCTGCGGATCATGTCCCAGGCCTCGCGGCCTCCATCCTTTAATGGTCGTTGTGTTGATATGCCATCCTCGCCTCCAACCACGCCTCCATCAGGGCCGGTGAGGGAGAATATCTTGTCTATGAAGGCCCGGGACTTAGGAGCCTCTGGGCTGTATGGCCGCTCATAGAGGTCAATGAGCATAATCATAGTGGCATGCATAGGTTGGTGGTTTCCAGGCCAGCTCCAGTGGAAAGGCTGAAAATCGGGATCGGTAGCAAGAGAAATGAACTTTTCCATAAAGCCATGGCAGTGGCGAAGAGCACTATACTTATTAGCATGCAAAATCCTATGAGGTCAAATCAATATACGATACCTTTGTCTCGCGGCGGGCCATATCCGGCTCTTCGCGTTTTTCAGAAATGGTTGGTATGCAACGCAGAATGCCTGGATCAGAGAGTAAGCGACTTTCGACTGCCCAAGTTTTGAAGCCACGACATACTTTATCTGCGTATAGACCGAGAATTATCCGCGCCCATTTGTGAAAATTCACTAGAACGGGCGTATGGTATTGCTCGGTGCAGGTAGGCGCAGCATCGCCCGGAAGTGTCGTGTCGATGTTCAAGCTTTCAGAAGGAGACCGAGAAAAAGACCAGGACCTGTTGGAAGCGTTCGATGAGACATCTGTTTGCCTGGTTTGAGGTATACGTTCGGCGATTGAATTGAGTTGACCCTGAAGGTCGACTAAAATGGATCTCAATTCTTCCATATCTCGCCGAGTTACCGGTTTGGTTCCAAGTTGAATCCTCATTATTCGACGTACAGCACCTAGGAGCAGTTAGCCAGTAATAACGGATGCTCAATCAGGGATACTTACGAGCCATGATATATTTCCCTCTCACAGTCAGGTAATATACGTTCACCATTGACGAGCCACCACAAATCGTCGGGTCATCAGGGTTATCTCGAGGCCGTAGTCCCGATCGAACAAGTTTCTCGTACTGTTCAGCTTCTGGCAGTCCTAACAGTGTATCCTTAATTTCACTAGTCTCGCGGACGTCCCAATAAGTCTCCTCGTTCACCAAAGGAGGGAGCCCACTGGACATTGAAACCACACCATCCATATGGACGATATGCCACCACATCCGTCGACGGCATTCCGCCTCAGCTGGGCTAATTCCGAAATTTGCGGGATCACGATGAAGGCCCATGGTCTGTGCTACTCGCATTGCGAGACTCACAAACAAGCTACTTGTCAAGGGCTCTTCCTCCTTGGAGAGTATTGTTTGAACAAGCAAATACGCCGCCAGACCTTGCAATGAGGGGCTGCGCGGAAAAGCGACTTTGGCCAACCAACGCGTAACCTGGTCATTGTATGTCTTTGAAAGAGCAGTACGTGTGAAGCCACTAAACTCAGCCTTGATTGTCCTAAGCGAGACTGTAACCGACCCACCATACCACACGGCGTACAACAAAGGGATAAAGGATGGATCCGGACAAGACTCTCCAGAGTAACTGCTCGAGTCGTACCAGTCCCAGAAAGCGTTGTACTGCCTCAAGACAGTTGGTGGGTGGATGACGGGGCTGATAGCATGGATTCCGGACATGAAGCCTTTGTATAGAACGTGGCTTTGCCGCTTTGTAGGGACGTAGTCGAGCATATCCGGTTCAACCACCTTGTCCTTCACGGATGGCGATCCATTTGTCGAGAAGAGCACAGAGCTCTGAAAAGCATCCCCAGCTGATAATCTTCCGCCGATTGGGGCATTGGGATTGTCAACCGATGGCAACCAATGAGCTTTTGTTGCATTGTCCAAAGTCTCCTCGGTGTATACCTCATTAGCTCCAGAAGTCTCATGCGAATGGGTCTGGTCTCGAAGCAGTTGATTGAGGTCATTTATCTGCTATTATTAGCCTTCGCACTGCATGGGTAGATGTGAAAATCATACCTCATGCGAAATGTAAGCCCAGAACGTGGTACCGACATATCTGCAAATCAATCAGTTCAGGAGCTCTACCCTAGGAAGCCACGGCGACATACCGTGATCTTCCATCCTCGAGGCTTAAATGACCCAGGTTCAGTGATCCAACTGGGTCCACCAAGTCGGTCGCATGACCAGCCGGTATGGGAAACTCGTCGCTACTGGAATCGGTCGTGCGGCGAGGACTATCCGGGGTCGAATACCCATCGATACCACGAAGTTCTGGTCTAGTTGCCCCATGTGCATTCTGAGCCAGAAGCTGTTGCTCCGCCGGGTCTAGTGGCTGCGGTGTCTTGCTGAGTCTTTCTATCATCGACGTGAGCTTATCCAGTCTCTCCTCAATAGACTTCTGTTCAGACGGTCCGGCCTGGCTTAAACGGCCATACATCGACTGCAGATCCTCAAAGTCATCTTCCATGGGCCGCGAAGCTTCCCGTCTCCGTTTCACGCCATGTCCGTCCTTTTCCCGACCTTCATCCTTGTGCGATGTCGGGTCGTAGATACACTCGGTTCCGTTTTTCACACAATTCCCGCAAATCGGGTGAACCTTGTCACATTTCACCTTCCGTCTCCGACATGTGTGACAACTGTAGCTGGCGCGGTTCCGGGTGATCTGACGACCCGAGGCCTTCTTGCTCGCGGACTTGGCCACACTTGAAGGCGCAGAGGCAGACGTAAGGGGTGAATCGTGGGTGAATCGAATCGGAAGGTTCGGGAGCCCGTTCGCGGGATTGTTGCCGGACGGACTGGGATTCATGATCCCTTCTCAGCTGCAGTGGCGGGGAAGTTCGTCCTCCTATCCATCGATAAGCCGATGTAACTGGAGCCCCTCATGCGGGACAGCGGGGAAATCGTGAAAGAGTCAGCGCATAGGGGAGTCCAGGTCAAATAGCCGGGCACGAGGCGGCGAAGTAACAGTGCGCTAGCTGAGGATTCTAGGCCTTTGAAGAGCTGGGGCGACGCAAGAGGTGGGAGAGGAGATCCTCGATTACCTTGGAAACTATGGAGAAAGTCCGCATCGACGGTCCGCCTTGTCGGCGATAAGTCAGCCAATGGCATCCCCCACATTTTGGATTTCCGCCCAGCATCACGAGAGTTGACGCCTTTTTGTCAAACGATGGCGAGGCGCTGCAGGATTGTCGGTGATAGCACTATTTGAAATACAGCAGAGCCAATTGAACGTTACCGACGGGCAGACGCGCTTGAGATTTAATTCAACCATGATGGTATCATGAGCACAAACTATATGCCATCTATCTCCAACAAACACAGAAGTTAGAACAGAACGCCTTTTCGCCAATTCCAATGCAACCCAGACATGTACACACACACGAGTTCATAATGAACCTCATGCTTTGCCCTTCTTCTTCTCCTTCTTCTTCTTCTCGCTACCGCCAGATGGCTCTCCCATCATGCCAGCCATGTTGGGCAGTCCAGGTATTTGGGGCATGCCTGGCATTCCCTGCATATTCTGCATCTCGGCCATGGCATCTTTCAAAGGGTTATCGCTGACCCCACCTCCGCTGTAAGCGGGGGAATGTATAGGTAGAATCTTGCCAATTTTCCAACCACGGGGAGCCGGGGGAGCTTCCGGGAGCTTTTCAGGCATCGGCAGTCCTCGAATTCTTAGGCGGTATGGCGATTGGTCGTTTGTGGGGTTGGCTTTCAAGTATTGAGCAACGAGGATATAGAGGTGGTGCTCTGCACACGGTCAGCATTGAGATCCCGCAGTGAGGACAGTTGAAGCATCATCACATCGTAGATGACGGGATTCTGCGTGTCAGATGAACGTACTGTTCTTGATTTTGGGGTTGATCGGTCCTCCGCTTTCATTCTTCAATTCCACACGCACTCGGCCTGGATTCGCCCAATCTTTGGGATGTAACTTCTCAGGCTCAAATCCAACACGCAGTCCTAGCATCTGCACAGCGTCAACGATATCCCTGGCCAGCGGATTCTCCACAGCAAGTTCCGCGCCGACTTTGCGGCCCTCTGCGCGAGTCCGTGTTTTGTCGAAGTACACCGGGTATAGGCACTGGTATGATTTCGGAATTTCCCGCTGAGGCTCTGGGGCAGGTCTCGTAGGCATGGATTGCGTAGGAATCGAAGCGCCGGATAGAATGGATTCATGAGCGCGACTGGGGACCAAAGAGGGAGCGACTTCCTCTGGGTCCGAGTCGGAGACTTCTTCAACTTGGGCGTTGCGGGACATGCTTCGTTTATATGCGGAATGAACGAAGACCAAGACTTAGGATTGGAGTGAATGTCAGAAAAATGAGCCCACTATCAATGGTTCATTGAGTGGTTGGCGGGCAGCGTGATGGTGAAAGTAAAGTTGGATGTCTGGCCCTCCACTGGTTCTGTGTGGAATGGGGTTTAGTGGCCACTGCGGGCAACAGAGCGGAGAGCTTAGTCTCCAAGCTCATTTGACTTCACCCTCACAACAATGTACCTGCTCTTCGTTTTCTCACCCCGTCTTAAATATTACGGGGGGTGCATTTTCGATTAGGTGGTTATCTACGTATTGGCCTTGCGGCACAGTCAAATGACAATGCCGCCTTCCATGGTTTACACTCACTCCTCGAAGCTCTCTCCTCCAGGCCCCTCCCCATGTCGCAAGCCTGGAAATACATCGCCAAAGAGAAAACGCCCGACTCTTAAAAAAGGTGGTATCCTAAAATCTCGCCAAGGATTGCGAACCAACTCTTCGCAGGTATTTAGGTTCGCCGTCAGAGATGGGCGTCGGAGCGGCAGATATTGTGAAATCCAGCCAGACAACCACACTCACTATCGACGGACGTGGTCAAAACTACGGGTCAAACGTCTCATCGTCTGTCCAGTAGGATGCAAAGTACAATTATTATCTCGTCAAATATGCCGATACAAACACGCCTTTATCATGCGCTGCAATCCGATGCCACCACGCCTCTAGGGCACCGCACCCTGGCAAACAAATAGTGGATGACACGAGATGTTTCATCTCGAAAACACGAAAGGAACTTCAAACTCATGTGCTTATTTATGCCGGATATTTGACGGGAATCTTCAGATAATTTCCCGGGTCTGGGGTTTGACACCAGCATCGCCGTTACTTGTGCATCCACGACTCCATCGCAACCATTCGCAGAGAAATCCGGAACATCATGCACTTGCATTCTATCAGGCATCAATCCGCCTTGAGTCTGCCTCCTCTCACATGGGTTTTCGATAGTCTAGGTTACCCAGATCTTGTGGTATCCGGTGGCGACAAGTTTTATATCGCCTCAGCTTCCGCATATCGCAGGTGACTCACTGGCGATGAGGTCTATGAACCTCAACTAGCGAATCAGTAGCACAGTTTGCCTGGGAGGCTGTATTATCATCCTCCACTCATCGGTTGTTCGAAAAAGATGCCTACCCGGACCTTCCGTCGCAATCAAATCAGTAGTCTAGAGCCTTCGCCTGACCAAGACCCATCCTTAAACCCAAGCCAATGTGAGTCATTCCCAAGACGCGTCATTCATAATGCACTCCGAGCCCTCCTCTCCAGGTTTCAAGGGTTGTGACTTCTGTCCTCTCGACCGACTCCCAGCACGAATCCCAGCCGAGCAAGCAAGGATCTCAAAGAGTCCTCCGAGTCACCGAGCACTATGGCCTTGTTTTCAACCCTAATTATGCCTAGGCAAACTCAAATAACCACACATCCGCAGCTCATTCTATGTCGTACCACGTCGCCAGTACGCCTCGCTCAATGACTCAACGGGCAGCAAACCGGGTCACGATGTGGTCTACCATGCAGTCACATGGTGTAGGTAGCGACAACAACGATGAAGTCATAGGCTGTCAGATCAGCAAAATGTTTGTCTCTCGTTAGTGTGTGGGTGAGGTATAGATAGCTGTAGAGTTGGTTGGTCAGTTCCATACTACTCCTCAGCACTAGGTACATAATATCAACTAGCTAGAGACTCAGCCTCAGGTAGCTGCGGAAAGAGGCGGAAACTGCCTGAAATGTCCCTCCTGATGGAGTTGTATCAAGCTTATCGAGCACGAGTTCCGTATTATGACAGTTGAACTAAAAGAGTTGACTCGAATCTAGCTATGACCCCAAAGATGCCTAGTCGACCCGCGCTAGGCAGGGCGTTGCCTGATGCAGGGTCCCCCATGCGCTGACTGGCTTGCGTGGGCCATGGCTAGCCTCGTATCTCGGGGCTTTTAGTAGAAAACAATCGGGTTGTTAGTAGTCAGTTTTGTACTTGCAGTCTCTTATGCTACGAATGGGATAAGAGGTCATGCATACGCAAATCCAGTAGAACTATAGAGCTAACATTCATTGCAATAATCAAATATTACAGAGCAGCAGATTGTTATCATTTCTGAAACAACTGACGAGAAGACAGGGAGAGTGTAAACGAACAGAGACTCGAGATGTGAGATACTATAAGAATGGTGGGTGAAATGATAACGCCCGGGTATATTTCAGGAGAGAGAGAGAGAGAGGAAGGAAAAAAGAACACCACCGGGTCTGCGAGACAGAATCGACCTCGAGAAAACGCCATAATCTTGAGCTTATCCAGTTTGATTTGGAAAATCCACGCGTTCTTCAAGTGCAGACAAATTCCATAGAAACCCTCCCCATGACGTTGTAAACCATAAGGTGCGTAGACTGAGTGAAGCAACAACGCCTTTGCAATGCAAACGCGATAGAGAATAGAAACATGACAGAAAGACATTATGACGTGGGAGAGGTGAGTGAAACGGGTAACATTCGACGTGGATACCATCCAAGGATGATTATCCCTGCGAGGCAGCAGTCTGGGGCTGTGGTGGTATGAGCGACTGCAACCCGTTTACAACGCGCTCGAGCTCCTGAAGCCGGAGATCCTTTTCCTGGACTTCGCGTCGCAGTCGCTTGAGTTCACCCCGTAAATCAACCACATTGTCTTCGTCATCCGGAAACGCGATAGCGGTGGGGTCGTCCTCGAGCGATTCACGCTTCCGCTTCACAGGTTGTAGCGAGGTGGCGCCATCCAAATCAGGCGATGGCACGATCGCCAGATCTGGGGCGTGTCCGTTCTCCGTATGCATGTGGCGTCGGCGGAGATGCTCCTTCAGGTTTTCTTGACGCGTGAACCCATTTCCTGTGCTGCGATTGCAGTCGGGGTATGGGCACATAAGTGGCTTCTTGGCGTTGACGTTCTTCTTATGCACCTCCCGTTGATGTCGCAGAAGGCCACCAGAGTATGTGAAGCCTTGAATCTTGTCACATCCAGGCTCCATACATTTGTAAGGACGGTCGTGCTTGTCCATATGTTTGCTATTCAAAAGACCGTGGTTAGTCTCATGTAACACAATAGAATCCGGTTACAGAGGGGAAAGATGCACTTACTTCCATTCGCAAGGACGTCGAAAAGTCGGGGGAGTAGGTTGACACTCTGCATGGTCACAATAAATCTGACCGACGGCGTTCTTGGGCGGATCGCGCGCCCGTCTCACCGACAGTCGCGGACGTGCCCCTTCCATGAAACTGGGAGAGAGCTGATCGTTCATTTTCGGAACAGCGACAAGAGGATCCTGGGTAGCGACAAGAACAGCTGTCGAACCACCAGCACCTTCGCTTCTGGGACTTGGATAGTCAGAACCGTCGCCCATGGTATCGTACTGAGTAGAAGAACCCCGCTGACGATTGAGCTGGGGAGGCGCGAGATACTGCTCCAGTGTAAATTGCGAAACAACCGAGATATTGGGAGAAAATCGAGAGGGTAACGAGGCTCGTGAGCGAGAAGCGACGAGCGAAAGGGAGGCGATGGAGAAACGCGTTGCTATATACTCGATGGCTAGACGAGCTAAGAGTCGTTGGAAGGGCCGAACTGGGAAACGGGGGTGCCGAATTTTTCAGGTAACAAGGCACCCAGCGTGCGCGTGACTAATCAGGCTTGGCGCCGTCGCCACTCTCAACAATAATAATCCGGAAACAGCGATGCTGCACAGTTGCCAGTGGGAGATGGAGAATTCCGGTACACAGTGTCAGCGGTGTGAGCTGAGGCGACTTCACGCAATCAATCAAGTGTCTTCAATACGTGTGTCTTTGCCACAAAAGAGACCCAGCAGTTGGTATTTGTATTCAACCCTGCGGCGCTGCAGTTGGTGAATCACCGGCACTGGAATGCTTTGCTTCGTTTCTATTCTTTGCGAAGTTTAGGCTGCAAAAAAGTGACTCATTTACTCCATCAGGTATCGTGGCCCAGGCTTCCCGCGAGAATTAGCTGGCATACGCTCTTCGGTCCCTTGGGGGTCACCGATTTATGCCACATCCACCTCAGGCATCAACTTTCCGCCACATCGGATGCTCTCGCAAGCCAATGAGACGGCGGTATCACGTGGACGCAGCCACACAGCACTGCCCTGACTGCTAGCATCACCGCTTGTCCATCCCAATCCACAGATAAAACGCGCAGTGGACTAACTTAGCTACGTTGAGTGGATATGCTCTGTACCTATGGGATTGGTGCTGCGTAAAATGTGTACCTCAGGCTTTCGATACCCGACGTCACTGACCTCGGAGATATCCACTGTCCCTCCATCTTCTCGCCCAACGCACTTCATAGTTGCCGCCAAAGCACAACGACAATAAATTACCCATTCGCTCAAGAGAAGAGTTTACCAGGCTCTATTTTAAGTCTACCTTGGCGCAAGTCGATATGATCAAATATCACAGTTGGCAAGTCAGAGTATGCACTAGATTTCGGACATAAGAACGTGCCCTAAGTCGCGAACGATATCAGCTGAAAACCACACCACGTAGCTTAGCTCGAGACGACTCCAAGGCTTGTGCTATGCTAATCGTCTCCCAAACGAGTAAACGAACGGACATATCTTGCCTAGTTGTGCCATTGACGCGCGGCGCAAGGGTCCTGCTAAAGATAGAAAACTAGAGGAACAAGTGCCGACTTAGAAGAGGTTAAGAACACTCAAGGGAGAAACACTGCGGTCAAATACCAAGCAGGCATCCTCGTTTCTGAAGTGAATCGTGGAGAGCTTTCGTCAAGGGAGAGAGACGGTGAACTGTCAGAGGATTAAGCTTAGACGATCTTTTCGGAGGACGAAGGGTGGCGCAGTCAGTATCGAGTTCGATCGAGCTTCTGCAGAGTCGTCGACGATCGAATTACGTGGGCTGCAGGAAGCTAGAACGCTCTCTTGAGAGCGCCGTTTGTTTTCTGCGTGGCTGAGTCGGCTAATCCTGCATAATGAGAGATCGGGTCGATTGTCAACAACATAATATCTACATAGATCATGACAAGGGTTCCATGGTAGTGCCGATCCTACGCGCGCGCCACCAGATACGTTGATGCCTGATAAAACTGATAACGAATGATAATAGTTGGATTTTTTTCTGAGCAACAGTAAAGGTAATTTGTGCTTGACTTGCTGGCGTTGCTGTTGGCGCTTGATAGAGAGAGGCCTCGTGTACCTAGAAAGCCAGTCTTGAGAGCTCTCTCATGCCGTCGCAACGCCACAGAGCCAATGGAAACGACGTAGATAATTCATAGCGTAAGACAATAGATATTTAGTCCATGCAGAGCGATGGCTGTGTTTTCTTTTATTCACCCGCAAGATAAACCTGTGGTTGGCAGCCCCGGGAGGGCCGGAAGGGTATAAACGTAAGCTGGAGAAGAGACTCGAGAAATACCAGTTGCCTTGCCTCGAGGCGAGAGTCGACAGCCGTGGACCATTCCGTAACATGAGGCACTTAGTTCCGACACCTGTCCTGGTAACCTCCCGTAGTGCAAATAATCACACTTCTCAGTGGAAACCAGATACGAACGGCAAAGGATAATGATGTTGACATAACTGCCGTAGGAGAAAGCTTCGGATATACCCCCAGTTTCCGAGATATGGATGAGACGCTCCCTATACAGATGCTGTCCTGAAATCGCCAGCAGATGCACCACGGACAATGAGGCGATCAGTGGAATGAATGGACGCTCAGGGCATCAGCCCCAGTTCGGAGCGGAACCAATCATCGTCGAAACAGCTGTCCAACAAGCCCATGGGGTGCGTGCGCTGCGCGCCCCTGAAGGCAGTCTGGATCATGGAAAATTACCCTCTCTATCCGATCAGTCATAATTACCTCCAATCTGGCTGGCAAAGGCGGTTGAAACACTTCGCGCATCATCATCGTCATGGATATGACCTGGTACCCCACGAGTGACACGAATGCTGGCCGAGCTTCCACCGAAGATGCTACCGTTATCAGTGACACCGGGTTTGTAAGGTTCACGCGCTCCAGACTCTACGTAGCGTTTCAACCTATCGGACTGGCTGAGGCTTGGCTGTTTGGTCATATCGTTGATGCTCAATCCTGCGAGGCTGACACCGCCTTGGTCTGCGCCCTTTCCATCGATGATGCTGGAGGTAATGTCGGATTCGGTGGCTGCAACGGACTCGCCAGCGATACTAGGCGCTCCCTTTCCTCTATTTCCGTTGGCCCGGCGAGCTCCAGGGAGCGAGGGCCACGAATCCGCGAACTGCTGGAACATCGGAGGGTATCCAGAAGGAATGCCCACGCCACCAAGTGCAGACGAGTGAACAGAAGAGACGTCATCAGGGATGTATCCGACCACCGAACCACTCTCGTGGAAGTCGTTCCGGTGTCCATTTCTTCCATTCATGAACCCACTGGTAGCATTTGAAACATGATTGTAGGCCATCTGAAATCGTTGCGGTCCTCGATATGCTTGCTTTGGGCGGCTGAACTGGATAAGAGATTCCTGAAGATTGGACAATGGGCCTTCGACGAGGCAGTGGCGTTCCTTGAAATGTTGCAGGAGACAGTTCCAGAGAGGGTGCTTAGACAACACCTTGGGGTTTCCAAGGATTACTAGTCCATATTTGGCTCGAGTAAGAGCGACGTTCAAGCGGCGAGGGTCACTCAAGAAACCAATTCCTTGGTGATCATTGGAACGCACGCAGGAGAGAATGATGAAGTCCTTCTCACGACCCTGGAAAGCATCGACGGAAGCAACTTCAATCTCTTTGTAATGCTCCTTCTTGAAGGTGCCAGTCGCCTGCATGGAGCTGACAATGTAACTGCGCTGGCCTTCGTATGGAGTAATGATACCAATATCCTTTGGTTGGACACCAGCCTTGAAGAAGCGAGTGACAATCTTCTCCACGTTGGCTGCTTCGGTGCGGTTGAGGTATGAAGTTCCAGACGCCGATATTTCTTCATTTCCAAGGTTCGACCAGAACATCATAGGGTTATCCATAATGGGCCAAGGGAAATCAACTTCCCGGCGTAGACGCTCGAAAGAGGTGATACCGTTCTGCAACGATCCCTCATAGAACATATTTGAGGGAAACTCCGAGAGACAAGGGTGCATACGGTATTGAACATTCAGCCGGATGGGAGAACAGCCCAGAATGACAAGACGCTCAAAGAGTGACTGGTTGAGACCAGCTTTGGCCGCCTTCTTGTTCATGATGACAGGACCAAGCTGTTGGTGGTCACCAACTAGGACAACTTGTTTGCAGCCCAGAACCAAGGGGATCATGCACTCGGGTTCCGCAGACTGAGTCGACTCGTCGATCAACACAGTACGGAACTTGAGTTTTGCGAGTCGCGGATCACCTGCACCAACACAAGTACAGCAGATGACATCAGCATTGTTCAAAATTTCGCGCTCGGCGGCCCTTGTAAGCTGCTTCAATCGTTTCTCATCTTGACTAGACAATTCACCGAGCTCGGCCTTCAGCTGATTGAGCTTCAAGAGCTCGATGTTGCTATCATTGAGGCGAACTTGTTCGTGGAGAGACAGGAAGCCGACAGGCGATTCGACATCCTCGCGAGACTTGGCTGTCACACGGACAGTCTTCAAACCGGTACGGTGAATACGTTCGCAGAGCTGATCGACGGCAACGTTGGAAGGCGCACATACGAGAACCTGGCCCCCGTTGATCCTGGCAAGATGGTAGATGATTGTGGCGGATGTGACTGTTTTTCCGGTTCCCGGAGGACCTTGAATCAAGCTCAGAGGCCGTTGGAGAACGCTTTTGACGGCGTTGATTTGACTGCCGTTGAGCTCAGGAAGACCGGGAACGCTGAATTTCTTCGGCATCTGCGTTTTCATCGGGGCGGCCGCGACTTCATGACCCAGAAGACGGTGGAAGATATAGCCGGAAACACTCATCTCGTCAACGGCGAAGGTCTTCATGGCAAGCTGCATACGGTCGAATGAAGTTGATTTCCAGACATAGTCGGCAGTGAAGTTATGTGTGCATTCGGTGGGAACCGACTTGTGGTCGCCTTTAGCCCGCAACTCGATAGTGACCTCGTCAGACTGGTTGTTAGGGATCTTGATGACGTATCCCACTCCTTCCCACTTCGGTCGCAGTTCGCCCGTGTATTTTAGACGCATCTCGTCTCCGACAGCCAGCTTCACATCTCCGAGCTCGAGCTTGGGTAGGATGAAGCTAGCCAGGTGCTTATTGTTAAGACCAAGGTCCCAGCGGACAATCAATCCATCCTGCGACTGTGACTCCTTCAACTTGCGGTCGTAATCTGCTTCAATCTTGACAAGTGGACCAAAGATATTTTGATACTGAAATGCGTCGTCATAGCGCAAGAGAACTGGCGCGGGTTCATCATCAACAGCCGTGGCCTTCTCCAAATCGGCTATGGTAGCTTGGGAGTTCTCCTTCCACATCTCCTCCAGCTTCGCAATCATCTGCGGGCTAAGGTGACGAGCCCGGAGTTGTTCCTGGTCAGATGGAGCAGCCACAAGCCATGTCAAGAAAGACCGATCCTCGATCAAAGGTTGCCAGCGCGATGTATCCCAGTTCATATCCTTGGACGACGGCATGGCAGCACAGGGTTGACGGCACAACAGCACAACGACGGTGTCGGACTTTGCGGGGATAAATCCAAGGAGAAAAACGTTCTTAGTCCCACAGTTATAGCATTCTAGAACAGTATCACCAAGGGACGACTCGGGATGCAGCTGGACTTCCTTGTGCCTAGCTCGAACAAGGTGGTTCACGATATGGGATGAAGATGTGTTGCCACGGGCACTACAGAACCACTTGCTGCAAGAGAGGCATTTTACCACACTGCTTGGGTTATGGATACCACAATAACTAGAAGATAGTAGATGAACCGTGTTAGTAAGGAGAGAGCCTAAGGCCTATGAAGAGCCATCAGTATCGGGGTCAGACGAACTTACGCGCATGCGTGCGGGGCAAGTTCCTTTTCCTCCTCCAGATTTCCAGGAAACCTTGGGTTATCAGCATGAGCACTAGTAGTGCTTTCTAGATCATCGTCTTCAGAATTATCCGGACCCTCATCATCGTCATCGTGCTTTCTGCGGCGCGGTCCACCAACAGTTCGCTCCAACTCCCCGGTGGCTTGATAATCAGCAGAGGCAGACATCGCCGTCGAAAGATGGTGGCGGAGAAGATATCAGCTAATAGCCTGTTTCTAACAGCGTCCGTGGAGCAGACGGCAAATAGATCGAAGTGTAGATGGGTCGTTGCGATGCAGCGAGTTGTCCGCAAGATAAAATCACAGTGAGTGCTCGTAGGTTCCAAAGGGATGTGTTTGGGTCGTTGTCGATAGTAATGAGCGTAAAGGACAAGCCCGTCGTCCGCTTCAAGTCAAGAGAGAGAAAGCCCCTGTGTTTCTTCCACGAAAACCAGTGTGGCACAACAGAGGGGCAGAAGAAAAGAGCCTAGATATATTCAGATTAACATGGTGACCACATCGATAATGCTTGTAAGTAGAGGGTTACCTTTGAGTCGATCCTTCAATTTCCCAAGCTCCCAAGCCACGTACACACTCCAACAGAACAAGAAAAGAGAGAGAGATCAGCGATCCTGAATGGCAGGGTGAATGAATGCTCTCTTGCCTTCGCGTGAGAGGACGGTTTGCGGCTTTATCGGGGCGGGCGCTGCTCAAATCCCACACTGCGGTTGGCGCTGCGGACCTAGAATGCAGGATAAAAAAAAAGTTGGCCGCGGCTTTGGGAACCATCAGACCTACATTCACAATCACGAAGTCAAAATGCTCGTATGTCTTTACTTCATTCCTCTTAAGTCTGCGGTAGAGTACATGCTAACTATACTTGCTTAATTTCCAGCGCCGTCAAGCTCGTGAACGTCGAGACTACCTTTATCGCAGAGCTCTACAACTCCGCGATGCCTCTATCGCCGAAAAACGAGCGCAACTGAAGGAGTCGCTGGCAACTGGAAAACAGCTCGATCCCTCTGTTGCAAACGATAAAACCCTCCGCGAAGACTTCAAGTTTGACGAATCCCTACCCTCAGCGGACAAGAAGAACAAAGACTCCGACCTTCTCGACCTAGACGATGAATATGCGCTCACGTCCGGCATTGTCGATCCCCGTCCGATCGTTACGACTTCCCGATCTCCTTCGGTGCGCCTCGGAACGTTTGCCAAAGAGATTCGCTTACTTTTGCCCACGTCAATCCGCCTTAACCGTGGTAATCTAGTTCTTCCCGACCTGGTGTCAAGCGCAAACTCTGCGGGACTCACGGACATGATTCTTCTACACGAGCACCGCGGTACCCCCACTGCCATGACCATCTCACATCTCCCTCACGGACCAACGGCTAGTTTCTCGTTGCACAACGTTGTGCTCCGCGCGGATATTCCCAATTCTGCTCGCGGAACCGTATCAGAGAGTTATCCCCATCTAATCTTCGAGGGGTTCAAGACGAAACTGGGCCAGCGCGTCGTCCAGGTCCTGAAGCATCTATTTCCTCCGCGGGAGGCTGGAAAGGTCGGAAACCGTGTCGTCAGCTTTGTGAACAAGGAGGATAGCATCGAAGTGCGCCACCATGTCTTCGTCAAGACGGGCTACAAAGATGTTGAGCTGGCGGAGGTTGGGCCTCGGATGACAATGAGACTGTTTGAGATTAGAGGAGGGTCCCTTGAGAAGGGCTCAAGTGGCGACGTGGAGTGGGCACTCACGCAGTACACCCGAACATCCAGGAAGAAGGATTACCTCTAGAGGTTGCATTTTATGGTGTCTTGTCATGTTAAGGAATTGGGAAAAGCTTGGGTCGGCGCATACGGTGCTTGAGAGAATTCATAAAGGTACTCCTGATTACTATATACCCATCTGGAAATAATTTTGAGGTTTATCGGGGTCATAGCGTACCGACTCCAAACCCGTAGGAACATTGAATTGGTGTCCTTATAGTCAAAGCTTTTAGGCATCCAGTAAAACTGATCGTGAGATGCAAATTCATTTCGAGTATTCATGCAGGCTGGATCAAGGCACTTCGCCCCAAGTTCTGGACCGGCGAAGCTATGTATTGTGATCTTAACAAAAATCAAGAGAGCGCAACTCGGTGAATACCCGACATTAATAGCCAGGAGCAAAACAAAAAAAAGAAAGAGGGGGGTATATCAAAAATAGAAGTTAAAGCCTGATATCAATGTCTCATGAACCAAGAATGACACTTGTGTTGTTTTTTTTTTCAAGTAGAAGATCACCATCCATGTCCCGAATATATATTACCACCCAGAAATCAGAAGAATCAACATCTGAGCCGGCATCACGCTATAATTTCCCAGCCCGGAACATACTCGCCAGTGATTCGGTTCCGCTGTCCCACCAAAACCACCCTCGATATGGTGGCAGCGTGTTTCCCTCCTCGTCCTTCTTTGGCGGTGGTGATACCCCCTTCATCCTGTCCTCCCACTCCGTTCCCGTTTGTTCCTTGAAGAACCCTTTGAATGCGGCCAAGGCAGTTTCGAGACTGCTCCCCAACGGAGCAAGGAGGTCCGTTTTTGATGGACCGAGGCATGAGAGGCTTATGTGCGTTGCGTAGGTGGTTGGCGCTGCAGTAGATTTGTATATCTATTTTGAGCTGTTAGGCACTTTACGGAAGTGGAGGGCAACCCCTGTGAACTGAAATCGAAAGATGCAATAAATGAGTAAAGAGCAAACCTTGAGCCGGAGTATCTCTCTAGTCCCTCGAGCCGACTTGGAAGGCCGTACCAGCTTGACGTCGTAGGTGATATCTTCCTCCTTGAAGACCTTGTAGTTTTCTGCGATTTTGTCCTAGTTAGCCTAGAAGTATTCATTGTCGTAAAAGTGAACTTGCCTCCAACCGATTGAGCCTTAGGTGTGCGACGTTTGGTATCAAAGGGGTCCCTCGACTTCTCTAGTTTGCTGTCAGTAAGTAGATAAGGGCATTGGAAAGTAGTAGTGGCCTCATGAATAGCTTACTTGGACCGCGCTTTCTCTTTTTCTGGATGGGCTTGGGCCTCTCCACAGCTGCGGCCGTACCCTGAGGGCCATCCCTCGTGCTATAATTCTCGACTGGTTGATGTTCCCTTCCCTGACCTCTTTGTGCTTTGTCGCGCTCGGCCTTGTCCTTCTCGACCTTTTCCTGCTCCAGCTCCACCTTTTCCTGCTCGATCTTTTCCTGCTCAGCCCTTTCCTGATCAGCCTTCTCTTTCTCAGATTGGATTCGCACAGTCTCTTCCTCCAAGGCCTTGTTGGGCTTGGCCTTGCCCTTTGCAGCTTTGTTTTCCGTTGCCTTGCGCTTGAAGACTCTGTTCTTCGTGACCTTGTTCTCTTGAGCTTTGCTCTGTCTTCCCTTCTTTTGAACCTTGGGCTCTTCAGCGCGCGAGTCCTCCAGTAGATAGTTTTTTGCCGGGAGCGGCCTGCGCTTGTTCATGAGAAGGGAGTCCGACAACCAGTCATATGAGACAATCCACACAGTCCCCAGCTCTTTCGCCTTGCTCACTATTGAAGACACCGTCAGCTGCCCGTGGGCTTCGTCGAAGGTGGGCCAAGGAGCTTACCCGCTGCTACGTTCTTCGAAAATGCCTCCTCTGTGACGATTAAATGGGTCGTCTCTTCGGTAACTTGTTTGGAATATTGCCCGCCATTGTTAGCGATCCACTTCGGTATCCGTATTGTGTTTTCCTCGAAGTTGCCCACAGAGCATGCGTTGACTTTTTCAAATCCCTTTGCCATCGAGGCTTGAGGTCGATGGGGAGAAATCAAGAAAGGGGCTTCAAAGGAGATTTGAATAAAGGGCGATTATTGGGCCCAAGTAGGTTGACTCGTGAATACGAAATAGAATCAAGGAATCAGTTGATGAGAAAGTAAACTCGGCGTATTAATTGAGAGAAAAGTGCTGCTGAGTGAGAGCTTTATTGAGCAAAATGCTTTGATAGGCGAGGAGTATCGAACCACCTAAGCAGCTGCATTGATTTGGGTAGTAATGAGGTAGGGCTGGTGATGAGGTCAACTTACCCTAGAATGGACGAGACGTGGATGCTAGATCATCAACTCAGTAGAGAAGTTCTAAGAGATCAATGAATTGACCGGAAGTGAGATCTGAGTGAGATGTCAAACGGTTTTGAATGGCAGGTAGGTAGGTGCCTGGGCTACCATAGGAGATGGGACTGGCATTGGCGCTCATGATTAATCTCAAGAAGGATAAGCTGGTAAAGAGGCATGGACGCAAAACCCGAAATTGTATATTTTATTAAAGGCAAATGGTGAGTATAAACTCACTGAGCGAGACCTTTTACCGTCTGTACGAATGCGCGGATCTTGTCTAAATCTTGAGCACCATTGGTCTCAACGCCTGAACTGACATCAACACCAACCACCTTATTCCTGAACTCTCCAAGCTGCTTGAGAATCTCGTCCACGTTGGTCGGATCTAATCCACCAGCTAGGATGACTCGTAGCCCGTCATCGGAGTCTAGCACCTTTTTAACACGCGATTGGTCTAGTAACTCACCCGAGCCCCCCGAGCCAGAATCTAGTAACGGCAATGTATGGTAGGCTCTTCGGGCGATGCCGAATTCATCGAGGCCAAACTTGCGAATGACTGGAACTGGAATCAGCCTAGACCACTCAAGGGGTTCGGACCCGTGTAATTGTACGACGTCAAGTCCTAACTTTCGTTGTTGAGAGAGGACGTATGACAACGGCTGATTGAGGAATACTCCCACTAGTAGAGCGCGAGTGGGATGGCGTAAATTGTTGGAAGAATGATCGAACCAGTCTACCGATGTGGCGTTTGAATCTCCTTGAGGTGATGAAGAGGAGGAAACGGGTCGCGGTGTTGAATGCACTACTTCGGATATACGCAAAGCAGCATCATCGGGGACAGTTCGTCTGCGGCCTTCGACTAATATGATGCCAATTAAATCTGCGCCAGCTTCAATTGCCACACGAGCACCTTCTTCGGTTCGGGTGCCACAGATCTTGACCAGAGGCGAGCTTTGCGACTTTAAGAGGGGTTTCTTAGACTCTCCTCCCAAAAGCTCGGCAACGAAAGCTGCAGTATCTGAAGCGCGCATAAGCGCCTCTCCAACGAGGATGGCTTTCACGCCATCCTTCTTATAGGCTTCCACATCCTTGGGTCCAGAAATGCCGCTGAGTGCACAGACAATGGTGCTCTCGGGTACCTGGTCCATGAGCCGGCTAGTGGTGCCAAGATCGACCTCAAAGCTTGTCAAGTCTCTGTTGTTGACACCGATAACCTGAGCGCCGAGATCAACGGCGATCTTCATCTCTTCTGGAGTGTTGACCTCAACGAGAGGCTCCATCCCAAGACTTTGAGAGTAACGGTAAAGTCTTGTCAGCAACTCCGTGTCAAGCATCTTCACAATGAGTAGCACGGTATCTGCACCAGCCAGGCGAGCTTCTAAGATCTGGTATTCATCAAAAACGAACTCTTTTCGCAAGACGGCGGGCCTGTGAGTCAACCCTTCCAGGCTTTGCCGCACAGCCCGTAGGTCATCAATGCTACCCTTGAACCATTCTGGCTCAGTAAGAACAGAGATGACGCTGGCACCGGCCTTGGCATATTGTCGAGCCTGGGCTGGGGCGCACGCATGCTCTGCAATCATTCCTTTCGAAGGGGAAGCGCGCTTTATTTCCGCCATCAAAGACAGAGGATACGCTGATTGCCTGAGGCGTGCCGGAAATGAGATTTGGGGTGGGGCAACGTTCAGGTCGTAGGCGGCCTGAAGGTCAGATGGCCGCTGAGACGGAATGGTCTTTTGAATGGCGACGGCCGCTTTCCGGTGGTCATAGATCTTGTCTAGGATAGACTTCTTTTTATCCGTCTTCGCGGAATTCTGGGTAGCGGCGGCGGCGAAATTGCTCTGCTGGGCGACATCCTTGCCATTGCCCTCCCAAGTTCCAGCGGTCAACTTGAGGAAATTCCGGAACATGGTCCGTCCATGCTCTGTTAGGATACTCTCGGGGTGGAATTGAACGCCCTCGACCGCAAACTTCTTGTGCCGTACACCCATTATAACGGTTTTGTTGGCATCTTCACCAAGCTGCGCATAGGAAGTCACTTCCAGACATTCAGGCACTGTGGAATGAGTTCCTGCTAGGGAATGGTATCGAGTAATGACAACCGATGGGGCGAGTCCTTCGTAGACGCCCTTACTGTCATGTTTCAGTACGGACGTCTTGCCATGCAGAATCTCTCCCGTGACATCGACTTTGCCGCCGAACGAGTAGATGATGCATTGTTGGCCCATGCACACGCCAAATACGGGTATCTTTCCTCCAAAGTGCTGGATTGCGGCGTTGCTGATACCGGCGTCGGCCTCGGGGTGGCCGGGGCCAGGGCTAACCACCAGATGGGAAGGTTTCCTGGCAATTAGTTCTTCCAGTGTGATTTCATCGTTGCGAACGACATTCACCGTGGCGCCTTCCAAGACCAGGTACTGGTAAACATTCCAAGTGAAAGAGTCGTAGTTGTCAATCAAAATAACATTCGAAGCGGTCTTGAGCTGTGCCGCTCTGGTGGGATGGTGGGGGGAGTGGTCAACAAGGGCGGAGTCGGCCATGGCTTGAGTCTGCGTGGGGGAGAGAAGTGAGCATAAGATGATTGCAGGGGGATCAGCCAGCCTACTCACCTGAGCAGGACTACGCCGACTATGTAACAAGCTGACTGTCCTCGATCGCAAGGCTTCTGAGTCACCAGGAATCCATCCCTACATGCCGCCACGAGTGGGTCCAATCACTTTCCTCCAAGAAGCACTTTGTCAAACGGCACAAATTTTTGTTCTCACCGCTGGGAGCTAAACCCAGATAGGCACTCATTGTTGTTGACCTCCAGCCAAGCCCAAAAGTGCTCCTTTGAGATCATCTTCAGGCCGAGCTCTGCTTTAACACGCTTTTCGCCCTGTATCGCGGTTTTTGTGCACACGGGGCTTCCCGAGCCGCATCTATTTGCTGTGTCGTTTTTTATCTATAATGATATAGCTGTGCCGCCAAATGGCTCCCGTTCCGGAAGCCTATTTCCCGTCCCTGGACAAATGCTTTTCTGGGGACGTCCAGCTTTTGTACGGGCGCTTTTGTTTTTCCGTCTTGATGATGGCTGCTGACCCTGCTGCTCTTATAGGTCATGGAAGAGGGCGTTTCTCTATGCCTGTAACCCAGACAGTTACCGCGACGACACCGGACTTCTCGACTCGTTTCTGTCACATCCTGAAAGCATCAAGCTTCTCTCAGATCGCGATGGTGTCTTTTCTGCCCCATCCGCCAAGTCAAAAGCGGACTTCGAGACCAAAACAGCGGCGATTCATGCGGAAACAACTGCGCAAGCTTCCTATGATCTGAAGGAGATCAAAGCGGACGCTCTCTGGCTGAGTGACAAAGCTGGGATCGACGAGGTCAATGCGCTGCGGATTACGATCTTGGAATGGCAAAATCGGCCAGCAACGCGCCTTCTTGAAAGATTCGCCGACGAGGAAACTACAAGTCTGAAGGAAGCCGCTGGAATTGATATCTTTCGCGTGTCGCTCGCAGGTCCAAGTTTTGCCGAGATTTTCAACACCAACTCAGCCGAAGGAAGCAATGCGGACTTTGCCTCAGAGAAGAATAGGCGCCTGCGGCTCCGTGAGCTCTATTTATCTGAACGAAGCCATATTGTCAAGACCGCCCGCAAGCTTGTAGCCTTGTTTTTGGATAACGATGATCAGCAACGCAACTCGGGCAGTCGCACTAGCTTGAGCGAACTCGGAGCATCTATTTTCAAAGGGGAAATACAAGGAAGGAATGGGCACGCATTTACTCAAGGATGCATCGAGGCTGTAAAGGCGCGGCTGTCGGCTCTCGAAGGCGATGGTGGCTGGCTGCGCGCCTCTGAGAGCACTGAGATAATTGAGAATCTATGGAGGACAACTCTAGTGGAGGAAGTATCCCAGATACTTCAGATTTTGTTCCTTCAGCTTCAGACGTCATTCGAAATCCCCTCGGCTGACCTCATCCTGAAATGGCTCCGCCTCATGATCGACTACGTCTTTCTTGAGTCCCTCCAAGTTGTGAGTATCATTCCAATCGTCCCGTTTGCGAACCATCACTGACTCCAAAAAAAAGCCCTGCGAGAATCCAGTAGAGGTACTTTTACCTCTTCAGGGATTTGTGTGTTTAATCACACTAACATTTTTGAAACTGCCGCTGTCGATTCCTGCAATCATCAGCAAATCTCAACAAAAGAATGCGTCCGCCAAATCAGCTTATTACCTATCCAAGGACGATATTGGCCAGATAAACGAGCTATTCACAACAGCCGGAATTGAGTCGAAGACTGCAAGTCCAGCAGCGTTTTCCTGGGGGCTTGTCCTGCATACCATGGGGGAACTGGCTCATAATGATAAAGAGACTCGGGAGCTCGAGCAATTCCATAGCGCCGTGGATTCGTTCCAGTCGAACACGCCGCATGCAACTGCTGGAAGACCGGCTGAAATATCTCTTTATGAAGAATTGCTCGAACTAGCATGCACAGCCAAACATACCGTCGAGGATTCCATCGCCATCCTCACCTCAGATGCGATCAAGAGCATTGTGTTTGACACGATTGTATCGCTAGCCCAAAATATCGGTCCCACGTCAGCTATTGATGATCTAGTGACTGACCGGTTAGTGCGCGCATCACTTCTTGACCTTGTTCGGTCCATGACAATATACATGGACTATTCGCCCGAAATTGTTGCATCAGTCTTGGCTATTCTGGCTGGGCCACCTCAAGACTCGTTGTGGCCCTTGAATACTTCGCCAGTATCCACAAGCGATCCACGGGCCACTTTTATCCAAGACGACACTCTCATGACCAATATCTTCCGAATAGCGCGCTCACGTTTTCCATACGAAACCGTACCATTTCTGAAGCTATGCCGTGCTCTCCTCACCAGTGAAGCACTCAATGAGGAGGGGTTGCCTGAGATCTTGAACGAGTTGGAAAACATGGACTCATTCACGCAGGTTGTGCCAGACCACTTCCAGGGTTACGAGACTATACGAGAGGACGAAGACGCGAACTTGGTCAGTCTCACTCGGCCACTTCCAATGATAGACTCGACCCCCCGAAGACAGACACAGAAACACCAAGTGAGTAGCAATGCTCTCATAGTTACTGCTTCCTCTCAGCTCCCATCGACAACAGTGGGCCAAGTGGTCTCAGATTCCAGGCCTGCAGTGGTCATGTGGCAACATCGGTACTCCTGTTTAAGCTACCTAGGGAGCTGGCTGGAGGAATGGAACGAGAATGGGGGCTTTGCAGAAGACTTTGGAGACGACTGTGTTGCCGAAACGATTTGGTTGTTCACAGAACTTCTTCTCGCGACAACGAGAAATAAACAACGGAACGACGAGGGTTTCGCCGCCAAGAGGATACTTGAACTGGCCAGCGATGGGCTTTCTCGTCAGACCGATATTGTTTCTCTAATATTCGACATCTTTGAGCGCAACCTACAGGATGTCAGTGCTAGATCCGGCTCGGAGGGTGTAGTTGATTCAACGATAGCCTGTCTGCACTTTATTCGGGCCCTCATCGTGGTCCTTCCAAACAGAGTCTGGCCATTCCTGTCCCGGAGTAGCCTACTGGGAACCGATGGCAAAGGTGGTATGATGACTGCCATAATATCTGCTACAGAGGTGACTTCTGGGGATTATCCCTTTTTGATGGCCTCTGTACGATTATTTGAAGCTGTTACTGAGGACGCAATCTCGCGTGCAGTCCTGAGGCGTTGCCTGCACGGCAAAGCAGGAGTTGTTTCCGATTGGACTTCAGGGGTTCCGTCTCATATTATGAGAAATATCCTTCTCAACCTGGTTCGAACAATGATCGAAGTGTACAACAGCAACGGCAACTGGCGGTTCAATACCCCGGAGCGGAAGTTCGAGATAAATACTCCCATTGCCAAGACTCTCGAGAGGATATTGTACTATGCATTTGGCACAAATGACACCGGAATTGACAAGTTAGATTCGAAGATCACGGGAATCTTCTCCTCTTCAGCGACTTACATTCTGGATGCCCTTCGGCCACAGTCGGAGGCAGATTTGCCTTTCAACCCTATCCTTCGACTAATCATCGACGGCCTCCAAACCCCTCCTACATTGCTCCTCCGGTTCTTGACCTTGGTGGAGAAGCAAGTGATCTCCACCTTGGAACTCTCTTCGCGACTGCTACAAGCAGCTCAAATCACCGGACAGCCACCATCCTTGCTAGAGGATCAGCTGTTTAAAGCCACCCCAGTCCTCGTGAAGTTATATGCTCTCCATGATCCCTATCAACTACCCACCCTATCACTCCTAAACACTCTAGTAACCGGCGCTGCGCTAGACAGCACAAAGGAACCGCCGTCGTTAGTCGGTCATTTGGGCGCCGAATCATCCTGTCTCTTCCTTGACGTTCTATCTCGACTTGACAAGCCTCTCAATAACTCACACTTACAATTGGCTATATGGCGCTTATTGTCAAACCTAGTCAGCAAACGCCAACAATGGCTAGCAGTCTATATCCTGACAGGGTCATCTCCCCGTCAGTCCCTGAAGAAAACAGGTGCCAAGAATGATTCTGCTATGAGAGGCACTCCTTTCTTACAAATGGCACTCGACCAACTCTCGAATATTGAGCAGATTCAGCCTCAAGTATCTCTCTCGCTTCTCGACTTTGTTTCAAGCGCCCAAGAGCACTGGCCATGGGCCACTCCGGAATTGAGGAAACATGCCACCTTCTTCAATAGCCTAGTGAATTATGTCTCCAAGCTTGATCTCTCGTCACTGTCTAGTGATGATCAGATTTTCGCTACTCGCATCGCCGCTGTTGTCGCCGATCTCTGCGCAGTCTACCTGCATTCTGCCAAAGAATCGCACGATCGGAATTTTTACAAAACCTTGTTCCCACTCGTGTCTTGGTACGCGAAAGACGCCGTTGACGTTCCAGGATACAATGCATCCCTGCACGCCAATTTGAAAAGGAATTTCGAGGCCCGGTATTCTGGCTGTAAACTTGACGATTTTAAGCGCACATCTTTACAGCCGCGTAGTCTAGGGTCTGAGTATTACTACGACGTCTATCTTGGTGAAAAGATGCTTTCTTATGATTTTGCCTGGGCTGGGAAGTCACGGAACCGAGGCTTTGCGGCGGAGTTTGAGCGCGCCAATCTCAACTTGTCTCTTGTCGAAGCTCAGGTGGTACGTCTTTCGTCCTGATTCATACTGATATATACTAACAGTGCCCCTTTCGTATAGAGCCTGCTCCACAGCTGGAAGTTCTTTGCAGTTGAACACTGCACAGACTTCATGACCGAACGCGAGGTACAAAAGTCGATGGCTACAGTCATCAAGAGTTGCCTGAAAGCAAATACAAACGGAGTACCACAAGAGGCAATCTTCGAAAGAATACAGCAGACCAGAGTCGATTTTGCACAAACTCTGCTGCAGCGCCTTGTGGAGAAAGGTGCAAAGGGCGCCGAGTTCTTTGGTTTGCTAGGGGTGGTTTGGGAGTCGTTGCGATCTCGCCGAACCACATACGAAGACGCATTGATAAATGACGATTCCGAGTACTACCGATCGCTTTTGAACATGCTCTTCCTATCTCTACAGTTCCATCTCGATGGTCCATCAAGAAATGCGCCTGCGGCTTTGAGCAAAAAACCAGAACTCTCGTCCGATCTAGAAATCGTTGTTGAGATAGTAAAGGTTGTGGTCGCGCAAGGGTTTAGATCACTAACATCTTACCTGCATGATCAGCCAGAGAAATGCACGCCCAAAGACTTTGCAATTATCACGGCAATCCTTCAAAGCTCGTTGCAGGTGAAGAATGTGGAACGCCTATATGAGCACATCGCATATCACATCGCCGACAATGACACAGTGCGGCACGCCGCCTCATTGTTCTCATGGGCGGACCAACTAGCCGTTGGGGGCGACCCTGTTTACGGAGAGCTTAGTATCTCTTTCCTTGCTAAGCTATCAACCATTCCCATGCTCGCAGAGCACCTCGCCGTCGAGGTGGTTCTGTCCCAGCTCTCCACCTGCCGTCTAACGAATGTCCTTCGACAACCCAAGGGATTTGGCCCATTCGACCCTATACCCAGACTCTACTCTATCTGGTCTGGCGGTATCCTTCCACTTTGTTTGAACCTTTTATACCATGTCATCCGCACGGCACCAGAGGTTGCGGCCTTCCTCAATCAGTTTGAAGGACCGCTCACCCGGGCCGCTGAATCCTTTACTTCCACTCGCAGCACGGGAATACCCGCCCGTAGAATCTGCCTAAGCATGGCGTCGGAAGCTTACTCCCTCGCGCTTATCTCATACATCATAACCCGCCTCCGCGAAGCCGGACCCAGTATCGGCGTCGATACGCAGGCGATCCAAGAACTCAACTGGGACAAGGCGCAGGTCAAGGAAGATATCGAGGAATTGATTGAACGCCGAGGGAACCTCCGTGCACGAATCACCGCGACGAACGACAAGGAGGTTGAACTGGCACGCCAGAAACCTGTCAATGAGGCATCCGGCGCTGAGAATAGGTTGGAGGAGAAGGTTGTGAAGGAGCTCAGGGCCGCTCTAGCTTGTTTGGGAGGGGATGAGGCGTAATCTTTTTTCTTTCTTTTTGATATATGAAGGGAATAGGAGTGGTGCACTGGCGGTGTGTACAGAGTAGATATGACATACTGGTTGCATTTAGTCGCAGTTTAGGCTCACATGTTATGGCTTCGACTTTGCCATTTGATCCTTTGCCATCTTACTTACTCTAGAAGCCATCTTATCCACATCGATATGGTCACAGTAACCTCGTGAGCAGCACTTAGTACCTAATCTCCCCGGCTGCACGGCTGGACCAAACAAACCCGCCTCACAAAATGCAAACCAGTCCCACAACCGCATCACATCGGCCCTTCAACCTTGAGCTTCACCGGCATCACGATTTACCACCGGCACCAGCACCCGAGGTCAGCAATATGCTGGCCCTCGGGATCGTCAGCTGCCATGCGCCCTGATTGGCTGGAACCGGGGCGCAATAACCGATGGAAAAGGCGGGGAGGGGAAGTTGGAGTAAACTCGAGCTCAGCCGTTGTTTGGCCGGCAGGGGTGCTTCAGCTTTCAGGTGCATGCATGCAGAAATTGGCCGTAAGCAAGAATGAAGGCGCTTCGCGATTAGTTATCTCGTCTTCGGTTTGGCCGTGCGGGGGTGCAATGTCAGTCTAGGTCTGGAAGAAGTAACTCCGGCAGAGCTCCAGGCTTCTCTGCAATGAGGAGAGGAGCTACGTATATATTCGTTTTATCCCCTCATTTTTGGCCGAGGGAGTTGCATATTCTTTCGTTGCTTATTTGATTTTGCTTTTTGATTTGTTATCTTTCTATATATATACTGTTAGTCACTGTTTGCGCCTCCCTTCAGTACGGTTTATGTACTTTGGCCCTGACAACTCCCTCGAAGCGCTTCTCTCCTGCAAATTGGAGGTAACGACTCAAAATGCCATTCAAATCGCGCTGGCAGATTGATGTGCCTGATGCGCACCTAGCATCGCTATTACTTACCTCTCCGAGCCATCCTCTGTCCCAGACGCATCGATGCTTCTCCGAAGCCGCTCGCCCAGACAGCCACTACTTCACAACCCATGATTTCCGGCTATGGTGTCAGCGATTTGCGGCTGGGCTACGCAAGTCCGGTCTAAAGAAGGGAGACCGGGTCCTGCTTTTCTCCGGAAATGATATATTCTTCCCTGTGGTTTTCCTGGGAATCACCATGGCCGGTGGCATTTTTAGCGGCGCGAACCCTACCTATGTAGCGAGGGAATTGGCATTTCAGCTGCAAGACAGTGGCGCTATTTATCTCCTTTGCGCAGAGGATAGTCTGAATACCGGGATCGAAGCCGCAAAACTCGCTGGACTGGGCCAGGACAAAGTGTTCGTATTCAACAACGCGATCTTCGACGGGAAAGGAGAAGCGAAGCAGGGTTGCCGATACTGGGGCGATCTGGTAGCGACTGTTGAGGAGAGTACTGGATTTGCTTGGGAGGACCTAAACACTCCCGAGAAATCTAGCACAACTCTTGCCCTCAACTATTCTAGTGGCACGACAGGCAGACCGAAGGGGGTGGAAATCTCGCACAAGAACTATATTGCCAACATGTTGCAATACAACCACCTTTTCTACCTTAATTCCGACTGGAAGGAGAAGTCAAAGCGGGCTCGATGGCTTTGCTTTCTTCCCATGTATCACGCAATGGCCCAAAACATCTTCATCGCAGCGGCGCTGAACCGGGGTGTACCCGTGTACATCATGCCAAAATTCGACTTCCTTAAAATGCTCGAATACACCGAAAAATTCCACATCACCGACTATATCATAGTCCCGCCAGTGGTGGTTGCGCTGGCAAAACATCCTGCTGTGAAGAGTGGCAAATACGACCTGAGCAGCATTGAAGCAATCGGCAGCGGAGCAGCTCCGTTGGGACGAGAAGTATGTGAAGAGGTTGAGGCTCTGTGGCCGCCTGGGCGAATCAATATCAAGCAGGGATGGGGAATGACTGAGTATGTTCTTGATGATATTCACCGTGAGAGTTACGCCTAGCTAATATGAATGCTTGCAACAGGACGACGTGCTCAATTCTCGGATGGGATCCCAACGAAAAGAGCTTTTCAGCATCCGTCGGAGAGCTAAATGCGAACTGCGAAGCCAAGATTATGGCTGAGGATGGCGTGACAGAACTAGGCAGGAACGAGCGCGGCGAGCTTTGGGTCCGCGGCCAAAATATCATGAAGGGGTACTGGCGAAACCCACAAGCAACTAAGGAGATCAAGACGGAAGATGGCTGGCTCAAGACGGGCGACATTGCTTATGTTGATACTGACGGAAAATTCCATGTAGTTGACCGGAAAAAGGTACGTATAAGGGACGATCAACCTGAAAGTGCCCAATATACTAACAGTGACATTGTATTAGGAACTCATCAAAGTGAAGGGCAACCAGGTTGCACCAGCGGAACTTGAGGCTATTTTGCTTGAGCACCCGGCGGTTGCTGACGCGGCGGTGATCGGTGTGCCACTGTATGTGAAACAACCCCCGCGAGACTCAAGAAAGAATCTAACTCGGAATTAGGAATAACGATGAAGCCCCTCGGGCATACATAGTGCTGAAGCCTGGTCAGAGCGCTACCGCGAAAGACATTACGACTTTCATGGACGGTAAAGTGTCAAGGATCAAGAGAATCACCGGAGGTGTAATCTTTCAAGACGCTATTCCGAAGAATCCATCTGGGAAGATCTTGAGGAAGGCTCTTCGAGAACAGGCCAAACAAGAGATGCAAGGCGTCGTCGCGAAGCTATAACCACCCCGCGTCGGTGTTGACTATAGACCCCCCAAATGGGGAGGCGAAGAGACCAAACATAGAAACTTTCGTCCAGTTTAGCCAACCTTTCCAATGGAGTAAGCCACGCATCTTTTAATCAGGACAACGAGTGTGTAAGACAAGATGCCACCGATGACGCCCGAGAATGGGGTTTTCAGACTAAGTCGATTTTTCAGCATAGAGCATTGGCCTCAGATAGATGGTGCCGCCCTGAGTGGAAGTAAAGGATCAGGCTACTGGTTGATCAGCAACTCATGCTTTTCATGGCGATCAAAGGGCGGTCGCCCTCAAGAATAGGCAAGCCATCGCGAGATGTCTTGACAGGTTGGTATTCAAGTAGTGTGGGGTGTCCAAAGGATTTGGAATTCGAAGAAGTATAGAGTTTCCAACGATCGACAACGTGCATGGAAGGAACCAGGTTGTTGGGTCCTTGGGCATCAAGAACAGGGCGATCCCAGTTCTGTGACTCGATACTCGGAAATGCACCTGGTGAGACGACAAGACAGATCTATGTCAAATGAGATGCGATAAGAAGGTTCCCCACAAATTCCATGACAAAGAGGATTGTTGCCTATTCCTTTTTAGTATTAAAGGACCCAACAAGAACGACAGCCACCTGCATCCAGAATAATAATAGCAAGAGTGTCGCCTCACGCCGAAGATGATATATCGTCTTCAACATCAAGGGCGGGGACCTGGCGATTCTTGGTGGCGCCTTTTGGGATGCCTTAGGGCCGTCTTGTGGGCCTCGACCACCCCAAGGCCCGTATGTGACAGATGGCGAGCTGATTGTGGTAAATTAAGGTTCTGTGATCGAGTCTGCGACGATCCCCGACGAAGGCGTAGCTGAATCGCGAGAGCTCTCAGAGATCGAGATCGGTTGAGGAGAAAGAGGCGGCAATCAGGAGGCGCGAGTGAGTGTTACCAACGGAATAGGCCACAGAATCACGGGACGGAGTCAACTCGATTGGGCCGCCGCTCGCTTCTCCTTCGTTTCCTCCTCGCCTCTTTCTCCCTCCTCCCGTGCGAGATCGCAGAATGACGACGGCGGCGGGGATTCCATCATCCCTGCAATCCGGTTGATTCGCTCCAAGCGAGATCAACTTCCTTGCTTGCGATCGAGCCGCATAGGCAGCCTTAAACCGGCCTTTGTCGAATGAACGCCCACCAAATCGCCCCTAACGAACTAGTGGGACTTTGCCCTGACGCTGTCGTCTCACCTCCGCTGACTTGGAGAGGTGGCGCATCATCTGGACAGCTGAACCCCTCTGCATCTAAATGTTCTTTTTGCGTTCTCAGGATCCGCTAGCCCCTCCCAATGCACTTTCTCGCGGGCTCAATTTGCTGCATAAGCTCTCGTGGCTGACAATGACACAGCTGGACTGGGGGTCCCTCTCCCCTCTGGGGATCAAACATGAGTTACAAGTCAGTTACGGCTGAGACCCGTGAGGGTGGCCCTGTATTTGGGTTTCTCATCTGCGCCAGCTACGCCAGCTACGAACGGATAGAAATGCTATTAGAGCATGCTGTCTCCCTCGCTCAACACATTCTTTGGCGCATCTACCTACGGATCCGGTTGTTGGCTCTTTCGAGTTGTTGATACTATCCATATATCGATCCTGTCGTCTCTATTCGACTTCACGGCACATTCGTGACCCCGCCTCTACACCCCACCATCCGTTCAATATCCTCACCTGGATTCTGCTTTCGCTTATCCGAACGCTGCGCTCTTCTCTGAGATAAAACGATACAGCTCTCTTCCACAGACGGTCCCAGACTTCCCACCTTGCCGCACTTTTGGCGTTGACTCACGATCTCTGCTCTGAATTCTCTGAGGGCTCCGAGTGAGCAGCCTTGAGAGAGAGGCAGCCTATTGAATCAGAGATGAGTTTGGGGCATGATCATTCGACCATCCTCTGTGATTCTCGATTTCTGCTCTGTGGATTAGTTTATGCGATTACCTGCATAGTCTGCATCCTCGTGCTTGTCCAGCGTATCAGGAGTCGACAACGGAGAAGGCGCTTGCTGCTGGAGGGGCAAATGGATTCGCCATTTGAAAAAGTTAGTGGCGAAGGGTCATCTGGTGCAACAGGCGCAGGGTTACCTCCCCCTACACACGGCCTCGACGATGTTCGTGCGTCATTACCTTCTGCTTGCGATATCCTGCAGCCTTTATCCCAGTCTTCGTCGTTGCCCCCAAGTGGCTACCTGGCCGCTGTCCTAGACCAAGAGCGGAGAAATAGACTGGAGCAAGCCTATGAGGAAGAGAAGCGAAACGTTCGTCCATCTAGTTCGGCTCTCCCTAGTCCAGACGACTCCTCGTCACTGGCATCGCCAACAGACCCCAGCCACGGAAACCCACCATCTGGAATCGAGAGCTCTCCCACGCAGGCCGATAATTTCTCCCAGGCGACATCTCCCCCAATCGAGCGAGGTGCAGAGAGGGAAGATCAGGCACATCCCAGTTCTCCCGAACTTCGCGAAACTCAGTCGGTCCAAAAGCGTAGCCAACAGATCCATGTTCTACACGATGTAGACGATGAGGGTGTCCGAACCTGGAGACGGTGGGTGATTGAATACAGCTAATCCCTTTCTACATCGGCTTGAATATTGCTTGTTTGTCTGCGGTTGCTCGGTCTTGTGTTGAAGTCTGCTGTGCACCTCCAACTTTGTGACTTTTCTCCACTCTGTTCTTCTGTCTTTTTCCCTCATTTTTCGCCCCTTCCCCCCCTATGCAGGATATTTTTGTTTGTGACAAGTTTTTATTTTTCCTTTTTGATTTTTATTGCCTCTTTGCCACTGAAAAGGCTACATAGTTGTTTGTTAAAGTCCAGGAATGAGTGATGACCCTAGATAATAAAGATTCCCAGCAATGAGGAACAAAACAGGAACTGGCCGGTTAGGCCCGTGGATCGCAGATGCAACGCACTACAACTGGTTAGAAAAAAAAGATACAATGCATAGCTGGGTACCTTGGGTACTCTGGCGTCGAAGAGAGAGACCCAGGCCAATCGATATACTTGCCCCAGGCACATAGAGCTTAGTCATCCTCCGATATGCCGGAGTCGCCAGCGGGACATTTCGATAGGCTGCAGGGGACAACAGCTGCACAAGAAGCAATCATGAAGTGAATGCCTAACTCTCCATCGGCCCCTCTTTCCCCTCTCTCAACCTTCGCGGAAAAGCGAGGCCCGAATTACGCCTCTCGGTTTTCCTCCGTTGTATCTACACCTGAATCAGCTGTCTCAAGCTACCTCCAAACAAGATGACCCTCACAACCTACCCAGCTACCACCGACTCCTCCGACCTCGCAGCTCTCAATATCTCTCGGCTCCTCGCCCGCCTCGAACAGAACCTACTGTCGCCAAATGCCGACCTCAAGACCCTGCGGCGATCGGAGTATCAGCAGATGAGAGTTAGCGCGGTATGTCCAAGCTCGATGATCCCGGACCTACGTACCTACATACATGACGGAAAATGTATCAACATCTATGAAAGGTGAGGCTGACACTGTCCAAGAATGTAGAATACGCCCGTACAAACCTACAAGCTCTCGAGCGGAGTCTTCCCCAAATCAAACCAGTCGGCCGACGCCATGAGCTCCAGACCACAGTTACGCGAAACCGACAAACGCTGAAACAGCTCCAAAATATCCTCGATGAGATCCAATCGGATGCGGCGATTCGCTCTTCAGCTCGGGGCACTGAATGGGATGATGGAGACTCCGATGAAGATGATGCAGAGTCCGAAGACCTGCTAGGTACACCGGAGGGAGGAAGCACGACTGACGAGGCTGCGCCTGAAGACGACACCTCGCGATCAACACCTGCAACGACTACAGTACCGAATATGCCGCAACCAACACCCACAGACATATCTGAGCCAAGCTCAACACTCACCCCGACAGCACCCGCCACAACAACACTCCGAAAGAGACACCACAACACACCGAACCCCTCCTCAAACCTCACAAAGGGCACAACGGCAACAGGGACATCCCTCCACCCCTCCTCCACCTCACCAACCCCCGCCACGACCTCCGCCGAAACAGAACAAGCCCTCTCTGCTGACCGTGCTGAACAAGAAAATCTCACATCCTCCCTCCTCTCCCTCGCAACACAGCTCAAAACATCCTCGCAAGCCTTCCAGGCATCTCTAGACGCCGAGAAATCCGTCCTCGCCCGAGCCGCGGAGGGACTAGATCGGACGACAGGGAACCTCGCTGCCGCAGAGCGCAGGATGGGTATGCTGCGTCGGATGACAGAGGGGAAGGGGTGGCTTGGGCGGATGATGCTCTACGCGTGGATCTTTGCGCTGTGGGTTGTAGCTGTGCTGCTTGTGGTAGTTGGGCCGAAGTTGAGGTTTTGATGCACATGCCACTTTTGGCGAGCAGCGGTTTTTGATTCCGTTTAGATTGATTTAGCGGAGCGTTGGCGCGGTTATTGGTGTTTTGGGCGTTCCTCCAGTTGCACTGGCAGAATCTCCGCTGTACTGTTTACCTAGTAACAGCGGCTGATATTGCGAGAAATTTTTGACTAGATTATCATTGTTCCACGAGATTCGTCTTCGTACTGATCTACTATAAGTACAATAAGGTGACATTGAATAAACTCGAATTTTGACTACTATATGATATCGACCACGGGCCGACCTCAAGCATAACACATAAAACAAGACATGATAACTGGTGTAGTACCCAACCCTGCCTGCTTATTCTGTGCATCTTGGTATGGGACATTGTCGTGCAAGCAGCGGATAATGTGAAAAAAAAAACCAAGTTAGGAGAGAGATATATGGAAACAGATAATGCGTGATATATGGGTTACACACATGGCTTTATGACGAGTGCACCAAAATAGATGTTGGGATATCCGATTCGCAAGGAAAAAAAAAAGACAGGTACATGAGATAGGAGATCGGAACGACGGAGAGCGGACGAGGGCCAACCCAAGGAAGAAACGTTGCATAGACTGTCCTGTACTTACTCGTGTTGCGAGTAGGTAAGGTAGGCATGGTCCATGCTTGTGTGGAAAAGAGAAAGAGAAGATAAACCCTGCTCTGTGTCGCGTGGATATCAGTAATGCTGAAAAAGAGAGCTTGCTAGATATCATCTCGAGACAATGGAACACAAAGGAAATAGTCAAGAAGAGAGAAAAAAGTAGGAAAGAGAAAAATTATAAAAAGTAGACAATGAAAGTCTCAACGCCAATCGAAAAGTCTTTAGAAAGAAATGTGCAACATGGTATGATAGTAAAAGCAAAATACAGTTCACATAGCGTCCGGTCTAAAAGTCGAGATAACTCGATTATCATAACCGATCATTAAATCAAACCACAGAGTCTCAGGTTTTCTTGGATAATGATATCTGGGAAGGAGTTCCGTCAGTACTAAAGTATAATCAAGTGAGACGTGATGTCAAACTCACCATTTACAGCTGCCATCACGAATCGAATCTGCGTCGTGTCTGTGGCACATGTGAAATGCGTGTAGATCTGCTTCTGCTCGGCTTGGTTTAATGAGACGAAGCGGTTGAGAATGTAGTCGCACGCAGCGGCATAGTCGGCACCACCCTCGTAGTCGGGGAAGTAGTTCTTCATGGGGCTGACTGGCAGCTTCTCCTTGAAGCGATCGATCTTGTTGAGGAAGAGAATGATCGAGGTCTTGACGAACCAGCGAGAGTTGCAAATCGAGTCGAACAGGGTGAGGGCTTCCTGCATACGGTTGACGGTCTCATCCTCAAAGAGCAGCTGGTCGTACTCGGAGATGGCGACCAGGAAAAGAATCGTAGTCACATTCTCGAAGCAGTGAATCCACTTCTTTCGCTCAGAACGCTGACCACCGACATCGAACATACGGTAGGTCAAGTCGCCGATGATGAATGTCGTCTCGGTAATACCGGTAGTCTTAACACGGGAGCGGAGCACATCTTGATCGGTAGGAAGGTAGTCGGGCTGGGCAATACGTTCGATAGAGTCAAAGTAGCTGGCGATTATTAGCAGCTGTAGACCGTGGGCGATATGCATCCAAACTCACTATTTAGCAGAGTCGTTCAGTTGGTATTCGCGAGATCGCTTGAAGCACTCCTGAACACCAGCATCCAGCCAAAGAGCTCCAATAGCGTTGCCAACTTCCGAGGGCAGGCTATCTCCTTCGATCTGAGCGGGTTGCATGAAGACGGTCTGGACGTGGTATTCGTTGCGGGCATCTTCCAACGGCAGCTCTAGTGATTCCATAGCCTCCAGGATAACACGCATCGACTGGACAGTGTTGCTGTAGATGATTTCCTTGAACGATTCTCTCTCGTCGCGCGAGTAGCCTCCCTCGTGGATCAGCTTCATCTGCTTGAGAATTGTGGACTTGCCCGACTCTCCAGCACCTAAAGTCGCAAATTAGCCAGGAAGGCTTGGTAGGGTAGAAAGCGATAGGCCATACCGAGCAGGAGCATCTTGATCTCGTTCCTTTGCATCATCTTGTCCCGTTTGAGCTGGTTCTCAATCTCCTCATTGCGGGCCTTGCCCTCCTTGTCCTCAGTACTCATTCCACAACCCATTTTGCCGGTTGTTCAGAGATCAACAGTATTATCTGGTATAATGAATGGGGTACAAGTGAGCGACGTGGTGGTGGTGGAGGGAAATCTGCTCAAGGAGACAAGGTCAGCGAAATCTCCGTGCACGTGAATCCTGAAACGGGCTATTCTGAACGTGGTAGAGGCACGGGAGAGGACTGCGAGTAGCCACAGTTGGGATTGAAGAGCATCATGAAATGATCCGAGCATTCAGGTTTGTTCCCAGCACAGCCGTCGCATTCAAGGAGTTTCTAGTATACCAATGAAGAGCCGAGACGGCGGAGTCGGAGAACAAAGGAAGAGAGTCGGAATCGCCGAATGATCGTAAATGCGGTAGAAAGAGGCGAGAAGAGACTCACCTAATGGGCCCTGCGCTCGCGGCTGTATTGTGTCAACTTGCGAATTGGATATAATTGCGATGAGGCGCGCAAGATGAAGTCGAAGTAAGGGGAAAAATCGAAGATAGTCGCGGACGTATGATTAAGCGGAAAGGAGGCGAGAATTAGTGAGCAGCGGACGACCAATTATTTACCAGCGATCCCGAAAAGCAGACACAGGCAATCGACAAGAGATTGACTGAAGATGATGAGAAGGAGAAAAAGAAAAGAAGAAAGCCAGTCAACCCGTGGAAGCGGATCAGGAGGAAGAAAGAAGGGCGAAAGAGCGCGGCGACGGGCTGATGGGAGAAGATCAAGCTTGTCAGTAAGGGGAGTGTTCGGCCAGCAGCACGCAGGAAGAGGGGGCGGTTCCAAGACTCGTTTTTCTGGAAGAGAACATGGATCCGTGGGTTTTGCTGGAGGCATCCGTAATCAGGGGGCTGTGGGGCGATTGTCTGAAATGACCAGGATAGCCCGGATGCTCTGTGTCCATTGGCCGACTCTAACAGGGGATGTGGTGGAGAGCAAACTGCAACGGCCATTCATCGCGCAGCAATCGACATCCCCTTTTTCGATGAAATCGTCAACTAGGCCTGTTCGGTCTTAGCATCAGCACGTAATGGCTGTGGTATCGACACTGAAAGGAACTGATAATTGCAGGCGCTGATGTCTTGGAGAAGGAGGAGAGACAGATTGTACTTTGAAACGACATTGAGTCACTGAGTCGGACGGGGCAATAGGATAATGGCCGCTTGAACAATAGACTCCTATTCAGGGTTGAGCCTTGAAGGGATCGTGGTTAATCTCCGGCTGTTGCAGATCCGCTTCAACTTGGATCATTGGATGAACAGAGGAAACGGCAGTTGCACTTGACCCTCACCAACCTGGTATTCACCTTTTTAAAGCCGGCCCGGAGTATACAAGCTGCTCTGAAGGACATGTCAGACCGTTTCATCTTGCTACCACGCGCAGTCAAGCTCAAGACATTGCGGACCTCAACCGTCAGGCGCCGGGCAGCGCATCTCTTTGCATGAACATGATGGGTTCTTCTCCAGTCAATTCTTTCATGACGTGTCTCTTCCTCTGACAACGTGTGGAGAAGACGGTGTACAAAGACAGGCGTCTCCCTGATTCAGGTCCCTCAAGTAGGATTAAATATTAAATAATGGTATTTTTCATACTCCACCAAGTATTAGATAGACAGCCGATCGGGGGTTCTCCGCACATTCATGAAGATTATGGCAATCATATTCTCGAAGTTAAAAGAAAGAACTTCCAATGTTGTATCGCCTGCAGATGCTGAGCAAAGTAAATGCACCCAACGTGATGAAGAGCAATCCCGCCAATCCGACAGGTCGGCGATACCAAGGTGTAACCAACCATCTCCATGGGATCCGCTCGATAATGCGCCTTTGTTTGCCATTCTTGAACTCTAAGACCCTCAGTCTCAGCAGGTTGGCTTCTGAGTCGGAAGTTCTGAACAATTGTTAGACAAGAAACCTGGATTTTGGTCTGACTCTGCACAAAACAGGAGTCCAGATCTGAAATTTGCAGAGTTCAGGTGGTCGCCGCTGGTCGGCCTGCCCAAGCGTCGCAAGGAGTTAGTGCGCGGCGTCGAACACCGCTAGAACCCAGTCTAGAAGGCTGCGCTGGTGGAGCCGTGGTTTGAGCCAGACACGAAACCGTGGAAGATGAGGCCACACGGCGACAAACAAGAACAAGTTGCCAAGTGCGCGAGTCAGTATCAAGACAAACCGGAAGCGTGGGCCGACAGAGCCTGCGATTTTCAGATCCCAACTGCGATGCGAACAAATTCTGACTCTTACTCAGACCTGTCCAGGACTCTGCCATTATATCTCCGTTTATATGTTGAGAAACGGCGGTGCGAATAAGAGATACAGATACATGCTATTGATGGAACAACCCTGACAATAAAAAAAAATGTAAACGAGCAACGGGTAAGGCCGAAGGCATCGCCATGGGTCGCCCTCTTATGCAATCTGATCAGGCCCGGACGTTGTCTACTTTGATCTAAATCCACACTTGATTATCCAATTCCAAGGACCAAACTGATCCTAGGCTCTACGTGCCTAACACCGTTCGATTCCGCTAGACGCCGCTTATCTACATCAGCGCGGAGTCCGGAGCTGCCGACTGCAACATATACGATACTCATCGCTCAATGAATTGTCTCCTTACTCTTTGGCCAGAAATCGGGCGCTTCGGTCAGACGTTACACCCCATTTTACCATACCCCAGAATATATGAGCTGCAATTGGCCCCCAATCTCCAAGTTGCGCCATAATACTTTCGTGCGACACTCCAAATCACTGCTCAACGAATATGTAAGTAGACTGGATGCCGTTCGACGTCAGTTTGCCAGCAGGCTGGGTAAATGCGGGAATCTTCGAATCTCAAAATAGGTTGCTTGGACGTGCACCATAGAAGTAGCTCGGCTCAACAGACGGACCTCATCAAGGATGGTATGGTAATCGCCGGAAACTGCCTCAGTTCCCGTGATCTGTGACGCCGCGAAGGGCCACGATCAAATGCCGGATTAGCTTAAGGTGCATATTGACTCTTGCTCTGGCTCAGACCCCAGAAGTCCTGGATACTTGTACTTGTACTCAAACCTCGGCATCGCCTCCACCCGCCTATTAATGCCGCGATTGATCTCTGAAACGGCAACTGATGGGAATTCGCTGGCACACATAATCTCTGCGTACTTGTCATCGACTCTCCACATCTTAGTCTTCCCTGCGCGGCTCGCCGTTTCCTTATCATGACCTTCTTTGCCCTCCTGCGGCCCGTCCCAACGATGGAAAAGACAGAACTCTGCAATATCGGTGGGCACTTCAACCCCGTCTTATCCCCAGTGAACTGAACTGTCCAGTCGAGTATATCTCGCTCTGAAGTGAGCTTCTCCCCAAGCCCAACCTTCTGGAACGAGTCTTGTATTACCACGACTCGACATGCCGGATTATGCCCGCCCAGCCCTCCATATCCCGAATACAAAGGCGGAAGCTCTCCCATATCAGGCCATGCCCCCTAATAACATGCAGCGTGTCATCCCCCCAGAACTTTATCGGAAGCACTAAACACGGCATCAAATCTCCCTAGACGCTGTTTCAGCAGGCTCATTGGCTCAAGATCTCTGCCCCGCTCCTCAATTAAGGAGCTCTTCTGTAAGAATAGCCAGGAAAACGACACCAATACGTCTTTCAAGAAAGATTGAAAAGAAAGGATGCCGAAGACATGTTCATAGTATACAAATGCCTCGTCTCTGTCTTCAAGAGAAAGCGCGTCCACTTGCGGAGTGCTCAAGGTTAGTCGAACAGAACGAATGTGTTTAACGGAATGGCGGACTTTGTGCGCGTGAAGAGGATGAGTGTGTCCGAGTTGGGAAGTCGAAAATGGCTGTATAGCAGGCGGAACGCTTCCGAGTACTGGATTGCACGGTCATTTCGACATACGATATTGAAAGACAGCACTGGAATGGAGAGCAGTGTAGAGGAGTATCCTGTTGCGCGACGAGCTGACAAACGCGAGTAGATTGCCCCGCGGCACTGTGTATAAGAAGCAAGTTGCGTGGCCGTAGTTTTTTCGTGGCTGCCAGCTTTTGATAATGCATCTCTGACTTGAGTAGGCCAGAAGCCGCCAGTGTAAAATCGATGACGGAGAGCATCCAGCGGATCTTCGAATCGATACGATGGCGCCCACTGCTGGATCCGGAGCACATGGTGTTCGAAGACTGCTTCGTAGATCAGGGTACGGATCTCAGTTGGCAGCTGGAACAGTGGAGACTGTGCTTGGTCTTCAATGTGAAGCTTATTTACTGAATCTGAAGAGGAAACGGAGTGGGGTCCCCCTGGTCATCCTGCTAGCACGGTGCAAGAGCAGACAGCATGGAGGGACTTGACCTGAGGAAAAGGCCAAGTTGAGACTTGAAGATGAGGTCGCGCATCGATACGAACGGCAAAGTTCTTGAGAGACCATCAAGGATAGGGCCAAGTAATGCTTAAGGCAGTCTCAGCCGCTCCAGGAGAAGGACCATCCCAATCAGCGGGCGTGTTCTGGCAAGCGAAATCATCGCCTTCATCAAGCGGCGGCGCAACCGATCGATTAAGCTGTACTCACAGTGGCACAGCCAATGATACCAACAGACAAAGAAACGATGCACTTGTAAGATTAGGGGCGTCACATGACAACTAAACTGGAATCAGTTATTTGACCCGGCCTGGCATCTGTAGATGAAGGGTCAATATTCCCAGGGAAACACCTCTGCGCGAACCCGACAGGGAATTTGATCGAAACCGCATCGTCGGATTGAACGTTGAGGAGCACGGGGTTGCTACCCTGGTGAAGGTTGGGTTAGTGTAAGGAGTCAAGTTCGACATCCTTGGTACGCTATCTTGACACCCATGGTTCATGGTTCGTCTTCCTCCGAAGCCGGGAATGGCTCCACCCAATCTTAGGGCGTCGATCCCCAGATCTTTCAGCTGCGCCGCGACTGCTTCAGTTCGCTTCTTTGTCAATTCACATTATTATTCTACATCAACACGAAAGAGACAATCGCAGTATAATCGCAATAAATTTATATATAGAAATCATGCACGAAATGTCCTACATGGGCCGTCGGGGTAAGCACTCTCTTTTCCTGAACCCCAATTTCTGGCGGCAACAACATCCCGCTAACCTCGCCGATTCGACCACAACAGCCTTCAACCACTCGCAAAGCAACGACGCAGAAGCTGAATATGACCGCCTCCGTGACCTCGCCCGACAAGAAGCCACAAAGCGCGGTTCCTGTTTCCAGCGCGTTCGTCTTCCCTCCAGTCCATCTCTCTCCCAGGCAACCACGACAACAACCATAATCACCTCGCTTTGAACAGCTCAATTGACCCTTGACTCCCATACTTTACAGTCTCAAGAAGCATACACAAGCGGCGATGGCGCTCTAGCCAAAGAACTTTCCGAGCAGGGCAAAGCCCACGGCCGCAAGATGGACGAGTACAACCGCCAAGCGTCGGAGTTTATCTTCCGGGAGAACAACGCTGCGGGTCGGGTAGATGCCGACACGATTGATCTTCATGGCCAGTTTGTCGAGGAGGCGGAGGATATCCTCGAGGAGAGAATCAAGTATGCGAAGAGCCATGGGCAGACGCATTTGCATGTGTATGTTTTACCACCCAATGTGTTCAATTCCGGGTCACATAAGCCCGTGTAGGGTGAGTGAACTGTGTTGGCTCGGTGCTGATTATATCTTTCCCTCTGGTAGGATCGTCGGCAAGGGAAACCACTCCGCCAACCATGTCCAGAAGCTTAAGCCGCGCGTTGAGCAGGTGTGCCGCGAGTTGGGGCTCCAGTATGCGACAGAGGAGAATGACGGGAGGATCTACGTGAATCTAACCGGTGGACCCGCGGATATGGGTTCAGCGCCATCGTATGGACATGGGCATGGTCAGACACATGGCGGGCAGTACCCGTCGCATCAACAGCATCATCAGCAACAACAACATCACCAGCAACAGGAACAGCAAGGCGGAAACCAGGACCAGGTCGAGCAGGTGGTCAACGAACTTCTGCCCCGTGTGCTGCGGAAGTTGGAGAAGGCGTGCTGTGTGGTTATGTAGGGGTTTTGGAGATTTCGGTAATGTTGGAATTGTTGCAATATACCTTCTGGATAGAGCTAGATGTAGGTGAGCGTGGAGGCCACTATACCCGGAGTTCTGTGCGGTTCCTTTCTCATACTTTGCGCAATCTGGAAAGTTGGTGGATTTAGACATCCGAAGAATAATTATTCGTATCTCGTTACTAGATCATATCAATCGTTCTACAATACCGTACACAGCCAACAACATGTGGGTATGCGGTCAAGAATGAAAGTAAAACAGGATTATTGCGCCGAGCCGTTGGTATCTCTCAAGGTCGTCTCTGTGATTTTATCTAGAATCGCCCGGACCTTTGTGCCGTCGCTATTCCCCTCCGGTCGCTTGCCATTGTCACTGTTTTCGATCTCGTCGATAAGCTGCAACGCCCTTTCTCGCAAATGCCGAACCACGTTCTGCGTGTGTTTGAAACTGCCCGTGCTTTCCATGTATTTGAGCGCGTACAGCTTGACTTCCTCGTCTTGGGTTTTTTGTCGGAGAATGTTGATGAGCTGATGGTTTTGCGGGTTCGAGCGGATGCTGTGGATAATGGGGAATGAGAATTTTCCCTCCGTCAGGTCTTCGCAAAGACCTTTATTTTTGGTATATGTCGTGCTCGACAGATTGAGGTAATCGTCGCATATCTGAAAAACTAGCCCCATGACATTCACAAGGGCCACGCAGTCCTTTCCCGACGTGCTCTCGGCTTGCATCAATTTCACGGCAAGCCGGAATAAACCTCCGGTCTTGTTCCCCACCATCTCAAGGTACTCGTCCTCGCTTGGGCAAGTTAGGGTGTCTCGCCAAAACAGATCCATGCCTTGACCACGGTGTAGATTTAATAGTTCCTGGACATATATGTCAATAGCAGCTGGGCTCTTGAGTTTCTGCACCTCCTGGAGCGCCAGAAAGTACACGTAGTTCGCCGAGTTGATCGTTTGTGCGGTGCCGTAAATACTGTGTGCGACCGGAATGCCTCGACGAAGAAGGGAGTTATCTTCGACATCGTCAATCCTAATAGAAGGTGTCAGCGGCACTCAATATGAAGGGAGTGGCAGCGCTTACAACAATGAGGCTGTATGGAGCATAGCTACCACCTTGGTAATGATGGCAAGGCTATCGGTAGGAACTTTTAACCATGCATCGAACGCGTGAATCATCTGCCGTCGTAGGTCCTTCCCAGGATGTTGAAGCATATAGTCATATGGGCCTATTACGATCTTTTCGTTCTCTTGTGACCATGTCCCATCCTTGTATTTTGTCCCGTCGAGGCTCGACTGATTGCGCGTGTGCCGCCGTGACATGTTGGTGTTTGTCTGAAGCTTCTCCTGCTTTCCCATTCCGTCGTTCTCGTAGATACTCATGAGTGCCGCTTTATCTCGAGGGTATGTATCGGACATCCGGTTGGAGCTAGTTCGAGGGGGTATCGCTGCCGGAGGCTGAAATTGCGAGCTGGAGGACATTTCCGGATAACCCCTGGCTGCTCTGTGATAAGCTTTTGATGCAGCGAAACCTTATGGGTGAGAACTATGCTGCCTCGGTGTTTGCGGATGCCGGGTGTGACGAAGTATAAAATGACAGATGTAGTTAAAGATGTGCTTGACTAAGAATGCAAACCTAAACGGGTACGCAAAAACAAGCGATCCGAAAAGTGAAATAAGCTCTTGAAAGCTGCAGAAACAGCAGCACTTATCCGATCAGTAGTGTATGTGCCCCTGGGGAGGATGCCGATACATATTCTCGGTCACGAAAAGCTCCCCAACTTTCAATGCGGGGGAGACGAGGGGGGACGAAAAAGATGAGTAGGACAACGTGACGTAGTGTCACATGCTGCCGGGCGGTGATAGCCTGCAGTGTCACATGACTGTATTGAGAATGGAGGATCCGACCGCAGTCTGGCCGCAGCCTGGACGGTTGAGATGCACTCACGGTCAGGGTGATTGCTCCGAGAAACCACGGTTACCCGCCTCGAGTATGACGGGACACACTGCAGTAATACTCTTGCAAGAACGGTGCTGGAGGGTCCAAGCCGGAATGCGCGGGAACAACGTGACACTGCCTGGTGGTCAATAATAATGCCGCCGGAAATGTGATGAGACTCCGGAACCTGCAGCAACAGGCTTGACAGATAGAGCCCGTTGCAGGATGAACGAGGTCGGCGATCCCGACCACGGGATTCATCCTTGACATCATCTCCGTCATTGGCTCTGGCATGTTCAGCTGGCGCCTCATGCTGCTAACCGCCCAGCCTCTGCGTTGGGCTGAAGAAAAGGCGACGGTATCCCGGGGCAACCGCCGAAAGGTGCTGCGGTGGACCAGTCAAGGTGGACAAGGTGGAGAGCTTCTCGACCTTTGAACAGCTCAGGATGACGATGAGGATGCGCTGTTACCAGCCTCCTGCTTGTTATTCTATCCACAACTAGGCCTGGAAACAGATTTAGATCCCTCCCCGAGCTCCAATCCACGCCGCCTTTGTCCTCTTCAACCCGCATCTCCAGATAAGCCCTTGCTCTTGGCGGAGGGTTTGGATTATTGCTGTGTTTTGCCCTCTCTTTCTTTTCCTCCTTCGATATCCCTTTCACACTAAAATCTCCTACACCGTCTACTGATGGAAGCGTTACTGGCGCATTCGTTCGACTACCTGTCTTCCTACGAGCCAACCAAGGTCCGCAAAGGGTTGCGCCAGGTTGAAGGGCTCCTCGCACAGATATGTTTGAGTAGGGCGAAACGGCCGGTGTCTGACAAACGAGGGTCGCCCTTATTATTTGACACTCCACAATCGGGCTGCAAAGCCCTGTCAGAGCTGCGCGATGACCCTGCCTTTAGGGAGTTTTTCAAACTTCAAGATGGATTTCAATGGAATGGTGGGTAATACTCTATTTACATTGCGCCTGGAGCCTTATGCTAACCGAGCTTGTAGTCGCAATGCGCCTGGTGACTTGTCTAGAGCACCTGCTTGGCCGTGGTAGCAGCGGTACTACCGATCTCCTCATTCTCTCCACCCTCGACTTAATACAGGGCGTGCTTCTGCTTCATCCGCCATCGCGGATTCTTTTCGCACGTGAAATTTATATGAACCTTCTTCTGGATCTTCTGGATCCAATCAATTGCCCGGCCATCCAATCTGCAACTCTTCTCACCCTTGTCACCGCCCTTCTAGACCACCCTGCCAACACACGGACCTTTGAGCAGCTGGATGGCCTCCTCACGGTGACCTCGTTGTTCAAGCAGCGCTCAACGGCTCGCGAAGTGAAGCTTAAACTTGTTGAGTTTCTGTACTTTTATCTGATGCCAGAAACACCAATGCTTTCGACAAGCGCCCCCAACACAGCTCTTCAGCGCAGCCCGAGCAAGCTCGGAACCAGTCCAACATCCAGGAGCGTCAATGTTTCTGGAGCCCACAATGGGAGCAAGGGCAGCCGGGATACACGAACAACACAAGAGAAACAATCTCTTCTCGGCAGATATCTCAATAATGTGGAAGATCTCGTGGAAGATCTCAAGGAAACAGCGCCGTTTGGAACCACGGTCTGTTAAGAAGACGAGTGATGAACATGATGTCTTCCGACCTACAAAGTTACTGAGCGATGGAGTGCGTACTAGTATGGATTACGGGTTAACGACTCGCTCATGCCTCTCATTTTTTACCAGATGATTCTTTTCTCCTCGTTTTAGCCCTTTTTGTGTACCCGGCTGGCACGGCGTTATGTCGACTTCTCTTCTCTTATAGTCTCTTGCATATCTCTCCATGTGCCTTTCTTTCACTTTCCTTCTCGTCTCTGTCGAACGTCCAACCTCGATTTTTGTCGACTTCTTCGGACTTTCCTTATTCTATTTCATTTTACTTTGATGTTGCATGCCCTACACATGATCTCTGGTTTATTTGAGATCCAGACGGCTCAGCCCAGATGATAATTTCAGATGATAATTTGCACCAAGATTCCTTATCGTAACCCTAACCTTTGATCGATGATACTGTAGCAAAATCCTCCAACAAGCATGGAGGGTGACTTAAATGTGGGTGATATTGTGACTCATCTCAAGCCCGTATAGATCCTGCAGAGTGGAACGCGGAGTCATTTTACATGCGTTGAGCGGATTTTTTTTCCTCCTAGACTTTCTAGACCCCTAGGGCGCGGAGTCAATCCTACCTTTTACTATACCTCCATTGAAATATAAATACCACCCAAGAACCAGTGACTGAGTAACGAAGAAGATCCACACGGTCAGAAAATCTTGCCCAGCAAGTTCACGACAACAACAGCACCGGGACACAACCCGCAGTTGAATCTCCCACAGTGACCACAATGTCTCGAACCATTCAGGACACACTTTCTCCCGGCCTGGGAAAAGATGGCAAGCAAGTCGAGTATATCGAAACGGTAGATGCATACAACAAATGGGCCGAGGTGAGCTTCCGAACCGTCCAGTACCACTACTACTGTACGCTGACAAAACTGGATCAAACAGGTCTACGATAAAGATGGCAACTTCTTACAGGCTCTCGACACAATCGAGATGCGCAATCTCCTGCCATACTTTTTAGCCCGTGTCCAGTCCGATTTCGCGGCCGAGAATACGCTCAAGCTTGTCGACCTGGGCTGCGGCACAGGCCGCAACACTCTGCAACTCGCAAGACTCGCACCCGCGGAAGCTCAAATCACGGGCGTCGATGCTTCGCCCGGTATGCTTGCTGTCGCCAAAGCTACTGTCGAAGCTGAAGGAAAGGGGCAGGTAATGCTAGGCGAGTACGATCTACTTTCCCCGGATGCTCCAATCCCTGCATCCCTACAAGACGGCGCTTTGGCGTCTGGGATAATTTCCACGCTTGTGCTCGAGCATATCCCGGTGGATTTGTTCTTCTCTGGCGCAGCGAGGTTGATGAGGCCCGGGGGATACTTTCTCGTCACGAATATGCATGCGGAGATGGGGGCGATTAGCCAGGCCGGGTTTGTGGATGAGAAGACGGGGACGAAGATTCGGCCAACAAGCTATGCGCATACCATTGGTGATGTTGTTGCTGCCGCCGAGAGGGTTGGGTTTGAGATTGTCGGCTTGGATGAGAATGGGGAGGTGGGCGTAAGAGAGAGAAAGGTTGAGGAGGGGATAGTGGAAGCTTTGGGAGTTAGAGGGAGAAAGTGGGTTGGTGTAACTGTATGGTTTGGGGTTTGTTTTAGGATGAAGAGTGCTTAGATGTTGCACAGTGTTGGTGGGACATCGAGGATGAATGGTAGGCATATTCGATCTAACAGTGCTTGATGATGTTTGGCAGAACCGAACAGTTCAGATTAGTCTATTATTGTACATATATTCGTGCCTTCTTTTGTCCTTGGCGCTTTTGACATGGATATCGCCTAGAAGAACTTTAGCAGCCTTTCCCGGTGTTGAACAAGATTCTCATGTTGTGAGAGTAACTGTTCCAGCCTGTTATATTTCCAGTCCATCTTCGAATCTAGAATCAAATGCGTATAGGCGAAGACGTTTGCATCGAACAAGCCAGGATTCGGCCGGCTGAAGAAGTGAATGTTATCGCCCAGTAATGTAGAAAGCGCTTCGAACGCCTCCGCCGCTTCGGCTTCCAATGCGCTGGCATCAATGTAAGGCGAAGACTTTAGTAATTCGTCGCGCGCGGCTTGCTGCAACTGCGCGGCTAATACTGTGCGTACAATCGGATCGGCGGTGGACGGGTCAACGTATAGGCGTCGCGCAACAGCTTCGAAGTTCTCGCGGTTCAAGTAAAGATGATATAGCTATGAAACATCAGCATCGGCTTCCAATAGGGTTATCCTATACATACCCAAGCATTCCGTATCCGGTTATCCAGCAGGGACGAATATACTTCGAAGCGGAGGTTCAATTGCTGCTCTTCTTCGCAATGAACCTCTTCAATGGCCCATTTCTGGAGTTTACTGGAGGGAATCGGCGCACTGGCGCCGACGGGAAGAGCAGGGAGGAGGAAGGGGAGCACGCCGGACGGGGATGCGTGGTTATTTGAGGGGACAAGTTCAAAGTCAATTCCGACGAATTTGAGGTAGGCCTAGATATCCAGGGAGGCAAGTCAACATCAGACATCAGCAAACAGGCAAGCTACACATACCTGCCACTTGAGGCATTGTGGATTGAAAGAAGGTCGCCCTCTCCGCGCTCCCGCGACATCGCTGAAAACAAACAGTCGATTTCCATGTCGTGTTGGCCAGGCGCAGTGTGGTAGCTCGTTCGAAGGGTATGTGACTAACGGAAAGCGATCGAATACGCGTTTCACAGGAGCAGGCACAGAAAAGAAATCCCGAATACGGTGCGGCTCCCTCCTGCTGTCGGGTAGCTGGTCGGGGATATTATGGCCGTGATTGTTGTCGGTCATTGGTTGCGGAATGGGGAATTTCAGATAGGGAGACGTAAACTAAGGATAATGAAGAGATAAGAGCCTTGAACCAAATATACTGCTGCAGCTCCGGAATAGTGCCATGCGTGTCAGTTGAAGAGAGCGAGGGGTTGTCAAGGACAGCAGTTGGAACCTCGGAAGCTCTGATTCCAATAATTTTCTGGTTTAGGAAATTGGATGCCGCCAAACGCCAGGCATCAAGGCACCCAGGCACACCGAGACTCGGCCGCCAATGAATGACTGCGGGAATCTCTTTCTCAAAGGTCTCGAGTCCATGAACCCCGCTACTACGCTTCTGTGCTTTATCAGCTCTTTCACCCACTTTCCCGGCTCCGAGAGGAAGCTGGCAATCATTCAGCCTGGGTTGTCATGGTCTTTCTTTTACCATTGCATTAATTATACTGTCGCCTTTTTATGCCCTGCCTTAGGCTGTTCCCTCCCTCGTCTGCCATCTGGATGGCAGCATCCCAGTCCACCTCTGTCCGTTTCTATTAATCCTCGCCGCATGCACTCTCTGCGGTTGATGTCCCCGGCGCCTTGTTTTGAAGACTGCTTGAATAACTTGAACTTATCAGCTTCAAACGTCACTTCTTGAAACTGCGAGTTTTATTCCCCGCATTGTATGTGTTAGTGGTCTCAGTGCTGCTCTCGTGGGGTGAATTACTTCTGATATTACGTGCTATCAACACTCCACAAAGCCAGCTTGACTCTTCTCCCAACTAATTATTACGCGCTCTTCTTCATCAACATCACTATGCCCTTTGATGAAACTGGAGTCAAGTGGTCGTGGTAAGCATTCCTCCCGCCAAACAAGCACAGAGAACAAGCAGAATAGTTAACACAATCAAACTCCAGTGAGCCATGCATCCGCGGCCACCGTTCCTCTAAATGCGCCCATTTCGATCGCCTCATGGTTAGTGTTGGAAAAGCTGGACGCCCGTTGTCAAAGTGCCCTCACGTCGAAGGCAGTTGCAACTGCAAAAAACTATGTGCTTTTATGGTTGCAATCCCGAAGGGTAAGGCGCTCTTGAATACCAGGCCGTTAATCACTGACATACTTTCAGGTACGGGATGTGTATGCAGGCCGGTGTATAAGATGTTACTGGACGAAAATGGTCCTACTCCAGCGGTCTCTCGACTCCCGATAGATCTTACTACTGGCTCGAGCACCAGCCCTAGCCCTAGCAAAATCCAAAAGTCTGGCAAAAAAACCGTTAAGCCGGCATCAGAACAGCTTGAAAGAGCTTTACATACAATACCAGATTTTCAGCAACACACTGTTCAAAACGGATCACCTGCCATGACCCCATACGTGCCACACGCACAGTTGAATGGATATTCATACAATGGTGCCAATGGTGCTCTCGCGCAGCCTAGCGTCTTCCCGACCTCGATTGGCGTGTCAAACGGCATAGGGCTTTCAGAAGACGTCTTTACACCTGGTGCTTGCCACTCGAACAGCTTTCCTTCGACTATGCAACCCCAACCCTCTATTCCCATGCAAGCTCAATCCTCTTGCTGCTCAGGGTCCCGCCGTGGAAGCCCAAATGGTTCCAAGGTCGAGCAAAGAACTTATGTGCAAAACGGGTTCCCTGCGTCGCCTTTGATTTCTTCACCCTTGATTGGAACCCCCTCCACTTGGCAGGGGTTTCCAAGCATGGATGGCCACTTCCCGCATCTTTCTGGTCCTTCGAACGGGCTTCAATCAGTCTTGCCTGATTACGCATCTCAGGTCTCCCCTAAAGACTACAACAAGCCTACTAGTGTTAACTTCGACCATATTTCGATCTCTCGACCCGACCGTGTCGGCTCCTCTGATTTTGCGCACCACCTTCCCGAAACAGCTGTCCATGGCGCTACACGTAGCTGCAACTGTGGTCCGAAATGCAATTGTTTTGCATGCCCTGACCATCCTTACAACGAGGTTACGATGCAGCATGTTCAGGAAATGGGTCGCATTATTGCCCAGGACACGCAGACCTCCGAAGATATCAGAAGTTATCCTGGCCAAAACGGTCAGAGCAACGGTACTCATGATAACAACTCTGAGACCAGACAAGCAATCTTAGATCCCGAGAGTCACTTGACGAGTGGATTCGATCCTCCGACGACCGGAAATTGCTGTGGTGTTGACGATGCTGTTTTGGATGATGATTCGGAGGCCCAGACTTTCAATTCAGTAACTGCAGACCATCTCATGGTCCCTGACGCTTACTACACTTACGAATACCAGATTGGCTTACCTGGCGCCTGTGCCGGCGAGGCTGGTAACTGCCAATGTGGTCCCAGTTGCAGCTGCCTCGGTTGTCTCACTCACGGAAACCCACCATGATTTTGCTTTCAGCCTGATTCCTACCAAAACGCGCACTGTTTTAGCGTCTACCTGGTCTTCGCTTTCAAATCGGCGCATAGATTTCGACAGGTTTTGTTCCAGGTTGTTCTTTGGGTCGGATGTTGGATGATTCATGATTATGATACCCTATCTTGCATGTCGGGCTTTGGAGTTATTAGGCCATTTTTGTTTGTGTACATTCTTCAATGTTTTGTCATGTTGCGCAGCGGGTTAGCTCATCGCAGTACCAGATATTCTATTCTCTCCTCATGTCTACTTGCACTAATGTGCGGCTATCCATCCTTTCATATCTTTCTAGCTTGCTTTCTACTTCTGGGTCTCTTTTTCCCCCTTTTTCCCACCTACCTTCTGATTCCCTGGGCTTGGATAATTGACTCCCCCGTTCTCCGGATCATGAAGTGCAAGGCATGTTTCTCCCACCTCGTCTTGTACCACGCGAACTGTCTCGAGTCTCTTCTGGAACACGTCCCCACTGAACTCTAATGACGTCGTGGGCATGGTAGATGTTTTAGGTGATCGGTTGTATCTACTCTGGAAAAAGGACGCACGATACTGCTATTACGAAGATTTACATTGATACCTATTCAAGCTAGTCAAGCTAAATCTCGGAAACTGTGAGGGGATTCACATTGAATACAAGCATTGCTCGAGAGCACAAAAAAGGGGGATACCAGGTACACTCTGACCTGAGCGAAGAGCAGAGTCAATTTATCGCATGAAAATGGATTGTAGTCGAACCGAGAAAAAAACCAGGTCTAGAATTTCTCTAAACTTTATAATGAACCACAATGCCTTTGCGAAAGCGCGATTCCCCTCCAGCTATACAGGTATCATACATACGCAAATTGCATGTCTCAACACGTCTACCTACGCAGAGCGTCTCGCACGGGAGAGTCTCCCCGGCGGAACGAAGCTGTACTCAAGCATTAGTGACTCCGGTTTCTCCTCGGGCTCAAGTTTCTGAGTTACGACATACCGTCAGCCTCTTCCCAAGCACGTCCGGCACCGAATCCAAGACCAACCCAAGCGGGCCAAGCCCGTCGCTTGAAAAGGAGCACTGAGAAAACAACACCGAATGAGAGGCCGAGGGAAGAGCGAATGATCATAGAAGAAATGGCACGGTCCCACTATAGACAAACAAGGTACGTGTTAGCCGGTCGTTCTTGAGACTGTCGAGATCATAGCATAACGTGTGGTAGGTAGTTTCGGAGATGTTCCGGAGTAATTCAAGAGGCTGAATTATGGAGACTATGGAGACCGAGGGTTGATAAAGGAGCTTGCTACCTTTTCGTTGAGCAGAGCCTCGCTGACGAGCTTGGTCGAGCGGGAAACGGGCTGGGAGTCGCTGGAGTCGGCCATTGCGATCGATCTAGGTGTTGCGAGTTAGTTCGTAGTCATCAACGGAGCTGCGGCCAGCGTACTTTGTGCGAAAAGCAGCAAAAAAGGATCTTCTTGGTGTGGAGGGAATGAATTGGATAAAGTAGGCACAAGACGTCAAGGAGATCGGTTCGGCAGCGACGATGTTCGAGCTCTGGTTCCGCCCGCTGAGACGGAAGGCGGTCGGAAAAATTAGGCTTGCCCGCGATCAGTCTTTCCACTTTTTTTCTTGAGCGGAGTACAAACAACCCCAGCACAGCAGCAGCCACAGCTCCTTAAATGTTTGCTGGTCGGCGATGCGCTAGGATCGCGATCGCGGGGACACGGAGAAAGAAACAGTGACGGGACTTTTTCGTGACTTTTCTGTCTTCGCGTTTTCCAGGATGCCTTCCTTGCCAGAGGTACGTTTAAGCCCACTTTTAAGCTTCCCTCCTTATATATTGACAACTAGTACAGCGTCCACGTTCCTCGCAAGAGGCTCTTCTCCGATTAGAGAAGGGCACGGCATCACCTACCACCCAGTTAAACGAGGCTGCACAAATTATCGGACTCGATTTGTCGTTATGCGCGAGCCATCCGGAGATCGACCGAGCCCCTCATATACCGAACCCTGCGGCACCGAAAGAAGAATGGGTCTTGCGATGGTTGTTGAAGAAATTGAAGGCCGGGAAGATCTATCGGGTAGAGCCTGTGTCGTTCCTTCTCCTGCGCCAATTGATTGATCTTATTCCTCCCAAAACGTTGGCTTCTACACTCAAAGACCACAAATTCCTCGACGTTATCGAACATGCTATTGGAGACCTGACCGACAATGTTTTGACCGGCCTAGTATATGGGACGGCTGATATCTTGCCATCTGGTTCCGAGTCCAGCCGTACACTAAGCGACTCGTCACGCGCAAATGGAGGACATGATAAGAAGGGAACAAAGCGCAAGAGGGCGAGAGAAAATGGACAGGATGCGATGGATATTGACGAGCCTCGGACGCCCGCTTCATGCTTCTTGGCCTTTACTCGTGTTTTGGACTGCTTGTACAGCCTAGTCACACTCTCCAATCGAACTGCTGGGGTCACCGAGGCTGCTAGCTCGCATCTTCGGAATGCGCTTAGGGGAGAGCCCCAGCAAGCTGCAAATACGGTTGGCAAGTCATTGATGCTCGCTTCCGTTGCAATCACGCAATTCTCTCATGGGCGGAAGACCACCGAACTGCAACATCTGTTTTACGTCCTGCCCTCGTTGTTCGAGGTGTGGGAGCTGAGGTCGCACCGCCAGGACGACTCCAGTCAGGGCTCGAGTCATGTATGTTGGATTATGAATCTCGTTCATGTCGCCTACTAACTATTGCTATAGAAAGCCTTTGCGACACATTGCTTCCAGAGCGCTCTAAGACTTTTACACTGCGTGCGTGCAAGTCAATTGGATACGGCCGAAAAGAATCAGCTGTCAAACGGCTTGGAACGTTTAATCGCTGTTCATGTGGTGTTCCCTGCGCGTACGGGCTTTCTGAGTCGAGGTGGCTCAGGAATTGATTATTCCTCTAGTGAGCCGGATTGGAGCTCCGTTCAACCCATCTCTGATACCTTTCGGCCAATTCTCTGTGCGGAGGAGCTCTTGAACCACAAAGGCGCTAGGAAAAGGTTGCAGTGGGAAACAGCAGACCTCATCCCAGAATTTTTCGCTGTCGCCACGCGATCAGTCCCGCGAGACACATTTCGAAGGAAGACCGACGAGGAGCCTTGGTTGGAGACGTTATTCGTTGCCGTTGCCGAGTTGGCATTCTCCGTCGTTAAAGCAGAGGCGATGCCAACATTTATGCCTAGGTTTGTGAGCGTGTTGGAGCAACTCTTCCGTGTGGTTCTTACGCAGAACGTGCGGCTGTCACTTCAAACTCTTCTTACCCATGCGAGGTATACTGGACTTCTCAATGATGGTCTTCCCGAAGTTGAGTGGAGTCTCACTGCTTTGCTAATTGAACTGGGCGTGGATATCTTTCTGCCAAATTCCGGTCTTGCCGACTCAGACAAATTGCTCGAAGCTTTATTGAACAAGATCATGCTGCATTGGCAAACCAGCGTCTCCACAGGCAGTAGCATTGAAGTCATCAAAACCGGCATTGTTCTCCCCCTGCTACGTGGGTTTACTGGGGCTAGGGATCTTGCTACATTTATGGAAGTCTGGTATCAGCAATTGGGCAACGTTGAAACCGCGAGAATGCGAGATGGCAACCTCGGACTCTTCACCGTGTGGGAGGACGACGATCTGTGCAATGCTTACGGCGACCTTTTGCGCAATCCTCTCAACCAGAACCTTGCTGCTGCTCAAATTCGGGCGGCTGCATCAGAAATCCGCGGCGAAGACGGTGGAATAAGCACGTCCGAGGATGCTTACGGACAGGTAGTGATTCTGGAGTCTGGATTCAGAAAACGGCCTGTCAACCTTGCCGATAACAATGTCGACCTCGAATCTGTGCTCGGTACCGTTATTCCTGCGCTCTCATCCCAACAGACCTTGCACTGGCGATGGCGGTTATGGAGATTGGTCCGCAGTCTTGTTGAAAACAACACGCACAAGACCGACTCTGGCCTTGGTGCTAAGCTACTCAGCCTCACTGGTGAAGCTATAACGTCCATTCGCCGTTGTCACCAAGAGTCTCAGAACAAGTTAAGCGCCCGGCTCGAGTGTATTGAGGCATACCAATTCATTCTTGCCGCGCTCAAACACACCAATGATGGGGCTGCATTCCCCACTGCGATGAAAGAAACGACAGATTACATCAAAACAATTTCTGCAAAAAATGCCCTACAGTCGATGAGCTCCCCATGGGATGGTCGCTCGGAATCCATCGACTCTCCAACTATCCTAAGTTTGGCATATCTTCTGACCCTTGTTCGAAGCCCTAGAGTTTGGAGTTGGATCGAGCCTGAAGTACGACGCTCGCTATTTGCCCACATTCTCTCCTTGGTAACAGCACAGTACCAGCCATCATCATCAACTCTGGAAACCCTTGCTTCCGGTGCACGTTTTCTGCAAGCTTGGACCAGCGTCGTATCCCACGAATATTTGTTGAATACACCCGTCATTATTAATGACTTGATCACTGTGATTTCCGAGCGGGTTAAAGATGACCCATCAAATCGGAAGCTTTACATTGAGAGTCTCCAACGGATCCCGGCGACTTCAATCAGACGATCCCAGCGAGGAGCCATGCTAGACTTGCTGCAGGGTGTTGTTTTGAAACAAGACAGCAGCCCCGTTGTCACTGTTGGTATCTTGTCTCTGATGGCCAAATTGTCTGAAATGTCGAAATCTACGGCGCAGTTGACGGGCAGTTGGGAGCCAATCTGGGAAATCGCCAAAGCAATCACACTTCAAGGTGCCGACGTCGACCTCGAGATCATGAAGGCATTCAGATTTCTGCATCGTGCAGTTTTTGCAAAGCTACTTCTCCTAGCAGAGGGAGACCGCCGAAAATTGTTCAAAAAGATGTATCGGAAGATTTCCGGAAAAGTCGCGAAATTACAGTCGCTTAGTTCCAGCTCTATGGAATGTTTCTTTTTGAGAATATCACTCTCGCAGTTTTGGCAGGATCGAAGCCAGCTGACGGATGCCATTGACGGCCCTGAACTGGCCTCTATCCGCGAGAGAATGTTTGGGCTAGTGGTTGCTGATGTGCGTTCGGCAAAGGATCAATGCAAAAAGCAACCCCTGGAAGAGACCATCAGCTTAATCAAAACCCTCGATGCGCTAGAGGATTTTGAGGACCTAGCAACGAATCATGTCGAGGTCAAGAAGTTCTTGTCCAAGATTGAAAGCTACGTTGAAAAGTCCACCGACTCGGGATCCTCGTTGAGAAGACATATAAGACGTCGGGTGTTGGCAACTCAAGGGCAGGAAAAAAGTGTCACAGTTCCCGTCGTTCAATATGCCGAGTCCCTCCCTCTTCAACAGATGTACAGTGACCAGCAGCAACTTTTCATATGGTCAACAACTGACCAATTTCGATCGATGTCCACATCTTCCTTGCTCCGGGTGATCCGAGAAGTCCGCCAGCTGGGATTCTTCGGCAAGAACGCTGAGTACCATTTGCTGATTGCTGGCTTGGCTATCTCTGCGGCGCCCTCCACCGAAGACAGGGAAAGTGATCAAGCGAAAGAGCTGTCGCTTGTTTGCACGGGGATCACTGAGGCAATTTCCCAGAGTAAATCGCACGTGGAATTTGTCCTTGCTACAGAGTGTTTGGATGTTCTTCTTCGCAGCCACCCACGTTGCATCTCTCAGTGGAACGTTGATAGTCTCCTCTCCTGCATCGCGATATGCGCTTCAAAATCAGGACCGCGTATCAATCCCGAATATTCCGGGGTGATTTATATCCGCCTATGCCGGCTAATGGGCCTCTTGCTGGGCCTTCACCGTCAGAAAATAGGTGGCCGTTTCCACCTCATTCTTCCTCCCATGCAGCGTCTGCTGCATTGTCTTTTCGCTAAGGCCAAGAAGCGTGCGATTCGGCTTGCCAAGTCCGATACAGGAAATGCGCAACAGCCACACTGGCTCTCTCAGCTCGACGCTACGCACGCCACCCATTTCACTCGCCTTTTGACCTCTCTCTGCGACCCTACCGTATCAGCAGTCTCACGGCCCACGCCACAGGGCGCGAGTCATGAAGGGCTAACCGACCAGACGATAAAAGCCAAGCGCATTGCGGGACAGTATCTACAGTACTTGATCATGGACTATGCCCAGCGATCGCTTCTGGGCACTCTATCTCCGGATGTCAAGGCTGCCCTCTTGCCCGGTCTATACTCGGCACTGGACGTGATGTCCCGGGAAACAATGCGGGCTATGAATGCCGGACTGGATATATCTGGGCGAGCAGTATTCAAGTCCCTGTATGACGATTACATGAGGTTCGGCAGGTGGAACAAAGGTTGATTCGACCTGTATATGATAAGAATATCTTAGAAAACCAATCAATGGAGAGCTCTTTTGTTCTGCAAGATTATCGTAGATTATTTTTCCGAGATATACCAGAACCTTGAGGGCCAAGTCAAAAAGGTTCAGCCAGGCGAGAATCATGTGACTCGGTCGAAAGAATCGAGAGCGCCAGCCTGCCAGGAGACAAACTTTGCGCGTCTCCTGAACCCTCTCGGAGTCTCCGCCCCGGGGGCCGAAAGCATCTGTTGACGCTTGAGCGAAGGTTATCGATGGCATATCTTTACTCGATGAGATCGAGTCAGCGGAGAGGAGCCAGCCTTATCTGTGAATGGCCAAACACCCAAAATGCGGAGGCGGCGGGTGGGTGCGTCTGGCTGGTGGGCACGGGCCGGTCGCTGATAACGCAGTCGCAACTCACCCCTGTTAGTCGACAGAATAGGACAAAAAGATGAAGGAGGGTGATAAGGACGGCTCTGCCAGGGATCGGGGTGGCCGATCAGTTCTTGGAGTCTCATATTTTGACCAATTCGCATGGCTTCTTATCAGACGCAGGCTCCATCACAAGCATTTGGGTGGTCCGATGGAGCTGACAGGCCCAGCACCATGACGATATCGCCAACGGTCTGGAGAAAACGTCCAAAATGCCTCCTCGATGAATCGATATTTATATTGAGCGGGTTTCCCGCCTCTTGAGCTCTTATGTGTCCCTTGTCCCGTTTCCGGTGATCAGTTAGACTCGAGTCTCCCCACGGTTTGGCCCCGTTGCGTCATATCCGATCACACCTTAATCTGAACCATATCCAAGTTCAAGTGTTGATTACATCAGGGACGTCAGTACTTTTGCTGCGTCGGTTTCCAGTGGTTCTTTCTTTTACATACTTCTCTGTCAATTCGTCCAGGCTGGAAATGCCTGAGATCAAGCGATGGCTCAAAAAGCTGGAGGTGGACTCGATGGAGGGGTTGACGAACAAGCAGTTGATGTTGACGAACCATGACTTGCAACCAGGTTAGCCCCAGATAGTCTGTAACTTCAGGGCAAGGGTTCCCTAACACTCTGCAGTCGAACCCGATCGCCGGCGATGGAGGTGGTACAACTTTGTTACGTTCTGGATCGCAGATTCGCTCAACATTGTGAGTATACACGAGCTCATAGTTCTGCCAAGACGTCTGGAGCTAGACTAACACGTCATCAGAATACATGGATGATTTCCTCCTCGATGATTGTTGACGGTTTGTCCTGGTGGCAGTCGTGGATTTGCGTCTGGGTTGGATATTTCCTGGCTGCTTGCTTTGTCTGCTTGACCGGTCGAATTGGTGCCGTCTACCACATCTCCTTCCCTGTTGTATGTCGATCATCCTTCGGGGTTTGGGGCTCGCTATGGCCGGTGTTGAATCGTACGGTCATGGCGATTATCTGGTACGGTGTGCAGGGATTTATTGGGGGTAAGAAATATGTCTCTCAAAAAGCTGACGAACAGATCTAATAAGGTTTAGGGCAATGCGTTACCCTAATGATTCGGGCTATTTGGCCAAGCTATAACACCATTCCCAACGGGATTCCCGAAAGTTCTGGAGTTACTACCAGAGACTTTGTGAGCTTCTTCATCTTCTGGCTGCTTTCTCTACCTGCTCTCTGGTTCCCAGTCCATCAACTCCGCCACCTCTTCACCGCAAAGTCAATCTATTCTCCCATTGCTGCCATTGCATTCTTTGCTTGGTCGATATCTCGCGCCAACGGTCTTGGGCCGATTGTTCATCAGTCTCATACCGCTCATGGAAGTACTCTGGCTTGGGCCGTTGTGAAAGCCCTAATGAGCTGCATGGGCAACTTTGCTGCCTTGATCATGAACGATCCAGACTTTTCTCGATTTGCCCGAAAGCCAAAGGATGCTCTATGGGCGCAGCTGTTTACAATTCCTATCGGATTCGGCATTACGTCCTTTATTGGTATCATTGCCTCTTCATCTTCTGCCGTCATTTTCGGCGGAGACGCAATCTGGAACCCTCTTGACCTCCTGGGAAGGTTTCTTGAGGGCGCCAGCTCAGCCGAACGCTTTGGCATCTTTGTTATCGCGCTTGGGTTTGCCGTGGCGCAGTTGGGTACCAACATCTCCGCCAACTCGGTCTCTGCGGGTACAGACATGACCGCTTTACTTCCGCGATACATTAATATCAGACGAGGCAGTTACATTTGCGCCGCTGCTGGTTTGGCCATGTGCCCGGTATGCTGCCTTCCTTAGACCGCTAGAACTTTGGGGCTGACAGAAGCAGTGGCACCTCGTCTCCGACTCTAATCAATTCACCACCTACCTCTCTGCCTACTCGATCTTCCTATCAGCTATTGCAGGCGTCATGATCTGCGACTATTACCTTGTCCGGAAGGGCTACCTGATTGTTCGGGACCTCTACAGCAGCGAGAAGCGCTCCGCCTATCATTTCTATCACGGCTTCTCCTGGCAAGCGTACGCCTCGTACCTCTCTGGCATCTTAATCAACATTGTCGGATTCGCCGGTGCGGTCGGCCGCGACGTCCCAGTGGGCGCTCAGTACATCTACAACGTCAACTACATCTCCGGCTTCATCGTCTCCTTCGTAGTCTACTACACGCTCACCCGGTTCTTCCCTCCCGTCGCTATAAGCGAGACCTGGAACGAAGTTGACACTGACATCGACAATATCCAAACGGAGGGCCAGGACGTGGATTCAGACGATATCCACACGACCGGGAAGCCCGTGGGGTTTGATGCATCCGAGAATCCAGATGATTACAAGGGCGCAAAGTCGGGCTCTGCGGGCCTATAGATTGTGCGGATTTGATTTATGGCGATAATTCTTCATGTGATAATAATTTGCTCGGTCGAACAGGCATTTTTTCCCTTCGACTCTGATTAGCTCCTGAATGGAACATGCAGCTGGCTTTGAACAGCACACCACTATCACTGGTACCACTTCTTTGAATTTCGTTTTTTAAACTATCTTTACCGTAGGTTCCAAAAGATCTGCGACGGTCTAGGTCGCTCTCAAGATGTCCAACAGCGCCGCGCGGTTGGAGGAGGCGAGTGGGCAGCGTTCATAGAATGGATTGTCGGCGTCCAAAACAGGAAGCCGCCTTCCGCAGCACAGCATCATGCCCGAGACATATACTCACGACGTGCAACGCGTTCGTTGGAATCAGGCCTTCTTTGACTCATTGCTTGTTTATTACACTCTCGCTTGCTTTTAGCCTCCTTTTCAGCCTCCTACTGTGGTATAAATGCTAGTTGAGATCCAGGTCGTACCCTCCTCTCTTTCTTTTCTTCAACATCGCCGGACTGGTCTCTCTCTCTATCCAGCTTTGCTCAAAGAACTATCACTTTTACTTGAGTCGCCTGTCTCATAGAGACTTACCCTTACTCTCATTTTTCCTTTAAATACTAGTGCCAGCAAGTTCTACTTTCTTTTCATCCCGACATCCTCTCTTTCAATTTGACTCTTTCTACTCCAACATGGCTTCTTCCAATGCTCTCCCCCAGACCCTCCGCTCCATTACCACCACCAAGATCAACGAGCTTTCTAAGCAGCGCGCATTGTTTGAGAAACGCCGAGACGAGATTATCCAGGCAGCTTCCGCGACTTCTGACCTGCGAGCCAAAGCCCGAGTCCTCTTGGAGGGTGTCACCAAGCTCAAGGGCCACCCAAACGACGCCTTTGACGAAGAGGACCTCGATGTTGACCATGTCGATTCACAAACTTCGAAAGTGCAAGACGGAACAGTGCGTGGAGTTCATGTCAACATTCGCCGTTTCCTTCTGCAGGGCAAATACGATCCGTCTATCTCCGAGTCTAGCCTGAGTGAGTGGATTGGGAGACTTGAGGGAGAGATCAAGTACATGGAGCGGGCACATGACCATGCCTTGTTCTATAGTGGCTTGGTGACAGAGTGGCTAGGTGATCTTGAGGCCTCTGCGTCGGTTTCTACTTCACCGGAAACTGTCGATGATTTAGAGAATGTGGGCCGTTCTGAGATGCACGAGCAAAGACAGACCTGGGAGAGCATCGCGTTTAGTGACTCGACTGTCCAGGCTGACAAAATCCACGCGTACCTGGACAAGCTCTTCACCAAGTCACCTCTCTCGCAGCAAGCGCTAAAAGAGTTGCGCGAAAGCATCAAGTCTTTTGCCGACAGTCTCTCGGCAAAAACGACCTGGCTTACCGTGCCCGACCTTGGGTGGGTGTCTGAGTCGCTCTTGAAGACTGACCTTCTGACAAAGGAAAAGAGTATCACCCTCAAGGAGCTGATGCGGAATCAGTCTGTGACCCAAGAAGTGGCTGATGTGTTGAATATGCGCCTGGCTTCGATGGAAAGCTGGACATGGCCTGAGGAAGGTGTTCCTGTTGAGATGCGGCGTCAACTGAATGGCAAATATCGGGTTTTCATGGATGAGGATCTGCTGGACAGCCTCATGTTCCAATACCTCGGTCTCAAATGGTCTGTGACCTTTAGGTCCGCCTTTGTATCGTTTCTTGGCTCGCGCGGTTGGAAGACAATGCGCGATCACATCCCTGAGCAGGATAGGTTGCGGCGAAGTTACTTCCTCGGTGACCACCGACGGGGAGGACGGTCTGTCAACGAAGAGCGACAAACGGTCTACAAAGAGGACTATTTCATGACTCAGCTTCTTTCTTCTGTCCATGCCGATGGGGCCAGCTATGATGAAGGTGGCGGCGACAACCAGGATCGCCCCATGAATGCTCTGGAAACAAAGCACTCGCTCCTTCACCTCCTGATCACGGAATCCATTCTACACACCACTCTACATGGACAATTCACCGCCGTCCGGTCTGACTTCAAATGGTTCGGCCCGTCTCTCCCGCATACCACGATGCTTACTGTTCTCTCCTACTTCGGCGTTCCCCAAATTTGGCTCGACTTTTTCAGAGTCTTCCTGAGAGCACCACTGAAGTTTGTTCAAGATGGTCCCGATGCCACGAGTAACGTTCGCACCAGAGGGATTCCCATGAGCCATGCGCTCTCGACTCTCATGGGCGAGGCCGTGCTCTTTTGCATGGACTATGCCGTGAACCAGAGCACAGATGGGGCATATCTCTATCGTTTGCATGATGACTTCTGGTTCTGGGGCCAAGAGAAGACGTGTGTGAAAGCTTGGGCAGCCATGACCGAATTTGCAAACGTGATGGGCCTCGAGTTTAACGAAGAAAAGACGGGAACTGTTCGCTGGGAAGGAACGAGCGACAAACTCTCTCACATCCGATCGGCCGGCCCAGTGGAGCGTGGAGACGATGCTCTGCTTCCATCTGGTGATATACGTTGGGGATTCCTGAAGCTCGACTCTCAGGAGCGCCGGTTTATCATCGACCAGGACATGGTCACGACGCACATCTCCGAGCTTCAGCGCCAGCTTGCCGCCTGCAAGAGTGTCTTTTCATGGATCCAAGCCTGGAACAGCTACTTTGGCCGATTCTTTGTGAACAATTTTGCCAAACCGGCCGTGTGTTTCGGGAGAGAGCATATCGACATGGCAATCTCCACACTCAGCCACATCGAGCGTACACTTTTCCCTGAGAGCAATGGCAGCGGAGTTACTGACCACCTGCGCAAAATGATCGCCAAGCGCTTCGACACCCACGACCTCCCGGAAGGACTGTTCTATTTCCCCATCGAACTCGGTGGCTTGAGTCTCGTTAACCCGTACATCCCCCTGATTGGCATGCGTGAGGACATCAAGCAAACACCTCATCGTCGCATTCAAAAGGCGTTCCTCGACGAAGAAGCGATCTACCTGTCTAAGAAGGAATGGGTTGAAGCCAACGGACCTCGGAACCCGCGCGCCTTTATGGTTGGAGGGAAAGAGGTTGGCGACTTCCCGGCGGACAAATTTCTGTCTCTGGAAGAATACATGCGATACGCGGAGTCATTCAGTGGGCCGCTCCAGGATGCCTATGAGGACTTGATACGTGTGCCGAAACAAGTCAGCGTGAACCTCTCTCCTGCCCTGCGAAGCAGCCAGATGATGAGTGAGATTGGAAGCTCAGGGAGGACCATTTGCAGCACGTCGACAGAGATGTCTCCGTACTGGAGATGGACGGCGGAACTGTATCAGGAGGGGATGGTGAAGAAGTACGGTAGCCTGGCAGCCGTGAACCGGGAGTTTGTGCCTGTTGGTGTGGTTGAGACGCTGAAGGAGGGAAAGTTTCGCTGGCAGGGTTGATTAATGTAAAATAGTTTATGAGATCACGAAGTTATGATATGAGAATGGCGAGCCTAGTCTCAGAATGCGAAGATTATTATTGAACATATCCCGATTGAAAATCATCTAGAAGCATCCGTAGTCGCTGTTTTTCGTCTTCGCCCCCAAAAATCGCATCAATGGCTTTGCGAGAGATGCTGAGGATGTCCGCCCGGTTCAACTGAAAGTGCTCTGCGGCCAAAAGATACTCATTCGACACCACACTGCAGAAGAAGCCGACGTCATCGGTCTGAAGCAGAGCTGTCAGCTACCACTGCATAACAAACGACAACGCAAGCAGGAGAGGGGGGCTCACGCAAAGGGCAATAGGACATTCCTCATGCCTCCAGTAACCAAAATGGTGGTCCAAAAACCCTCCATCAAACATCTTCGCATGCACGTTACACGACATGCACAGCTCCAACCCCAGCTGCCTGCGCGCAATCTCTTTCTTGATGTCATCAGGCACATGAATCACATGGCCGAGACGGTCCGGATCGAATGAGAGAAGCGTCTGCAACTCCTCGCGCAGTCCCTCAGAGTGGATCTCAGCAAAATGCACCGTGATGCCCAAGCCATGCGCTTTAGCTTTGGCGAATGCACCCTGACAAAGCGAGACGTCGCCTTTTGTCGGGTTCCCGCAGACGTCGACGCCGATAACGCCGCGCGCGCGGTTGGCGATTGCTAGGTTGACGATTTCGTGGGCGTGCGTTGGGTCGCCGTTTGTGAGCAGGCCGCGGTCGATGGCGAGGATGAGGTAGATTGAGATTTTGCCCGGGTGCTGGAATTTGAAGTTGGTGATTGTGTCGAGGATGGTGGAGAGGTATTGGTCGCGCGTGAAGGAGGTGCCTAGTGGTGCGCGAGGGATTGTGCGGAGCTCGAGGTAGCAAACGCCGTCGTCGAGGAAGGATTGTAGCACTGAGGTTGTGGCGTAGGCGATGCTTTCAAGGTCGTTGACGAGGTGGTAGATTGACTGGGAGAAGACTTGGAAGAATCTTGGGTCTTTCAGCTTGGTGGTTCTTTTTGCGTTCTGGTTCAAACTTCTGAGATGAAACACATTGATCTCCTCCAAGTACGGAGGATATCTTCGTGAATTGTTTTGATCTTGGAAACCTACGTGTTGAGCGAAAAGTCAACCTTCCCAGGCGGCATCACCACCAACGGATCTTCTACGTCCAAAGCCGGATTGTGGGATTTCTTCTCGAGCCATATTTCATGGAGACACTGGCGGCTGATACTTCCACTGAGGTGTGCATGTAGCTGTTCAGGCACGTGTTCGTTATTAGTGAGCGGGACTAAGCGAGAGCAACATACCTCGACCTTCGGGAGAGCCTTGGTGAAATGCGCGTCAACAGGCTTTGAGAGATCCATAGCGGCAAGGGCGCGAAATTGCTACAAGCAGAAAATCTGAGACGGGAAGCAAGAGTCTGAAGATAGAAATGGGGTCAAGGGTAAAGGGATGGAGTGAGGTTGAATGAGAATTGGGGTTGATGCAGGATGCAGAGCCAGTAACACCTGGTGACCCGCCTTGCCTTCCCAATCTGATCAACCCCGGAGAGGTCAACCCTGAGGACATCAGGGATGATCCCTGGTGACTTCCTCAATCCCTTGCATGACCATTATGGGTTTGCAATTGAGCTTGCGCAAATTAACTCAGGACCACTCCATTCCCATTTCTTCCTCAACATACAATTAATTGTCTTTACATGATCGACAGGACATCATCCCGAAAGTTTGGGAGAAATCCCCCACAATCCATTATCCACCACAGTCCACTTTCCAAAATGACATACATATCTAATCCGTTTCATTTCGGCGGAGCATCCAGTCCCCTGAATTTAAGGAAGCGATCTCAAGCGTTGCCGCGGATAGCAAGCGTGTTTCATCTGCCGAGATCTCAACGTGGAGCATACCCCAAATAGAATGTGCTTCATCCCGCTCCAAGCAGAACATATCCAAAGGGCTCCTGTATTGAAGTACGAATGACATCAGTTTTAAAGCCGCCTTCAACTGCCTTGCTACAGCGAGCAGCCGGTCGCCGTCAAAATCTGGCAGAATTGTCGGCAGCTGCCCTGAACTCTCTCTCTCTCTAATCGGCAGAGACAGAACAGAGAAGTATGCCACATGCCACACAACAGCCAGGCCGAGCCTGTGTAGACCGCAACACATCGTTCATGCGAGTGCCATCATACGACTGTGTCACCATGAAGCGGGCTCAACGACGGCGTTGTCCGACATCATCAGCAATGAACATCTGACGCGTACACGTCGCGACAAGTTTCACGCCAGTCCCGCCCTTGCGAGGGACTGAGAAAGACACAAATCACAGGTAAGCGAGATCGGTACGCGGCTACGGCCGTAGGGCAGCCCAGGGGCTGGAGAGAGGTCTAGAATTCCATGACCAGCATGAGAAGCACCTTGGTCATAGAACTTATATCGAATCGAGGGTTATCTTTGCAACACGGAGATGGGTTGTTGTCTCGTCTTGCGTCCGACTTACTTCTGTCTTGCGTCAGGTGGTTCTGCCTTTCATCGAAGGGATGACAATGAGGATCATAACCCCAAGAACACCGAGATATCCGGTGCGAGCGAAGAAATGTAACCCGTAAGCGCAAGATATCTCTGAGAGAAGCGTGTCCGCTAAACCTATGCTGAAGCCTGCGCCATGAGTTGGTATCTACCCATGGAAAATGGGGAAGCGCGTCAAATGATTCCCAAGCTGTGCACACATATGCAGTCCTTCTCGGCGCTAGATAGTGCTACCGGCCTTTCCGGTCTTTCTTGAGCAGCATAAAGATGGCGGAGGAGTGACAGAGCCGGTCCTTCTTAGGGACCCACGATGTCCGTGTCCCATCGGGGAAGGTCCATGCCTCGTAAGTTGTATGAAAAAGGAGATACATTCCCACACAGCCCCTTTGGGGGCTTGTACTGGTGGGGTGGGAGCTCGAAACCAGATGGCAGACGAAGGCTCGAATAACTGAAAGGTAGAGACAACGTATGGAGAAATTGAAAGCAGCCGGAGCCGACCTCTGCCAGAAAGAGTGAGCAGGTTCCAGGAATCTTCTCGGCTGAGCGCACCGTTGCATTCCCCGTGGCTCAGACGCGCATCTGCCATCGCATTAGCGTGGGCAAGGCGCTTTTTGTGGGCATAGTGGGTTTTCTTCTCGAAGGATGCGAGAAGCCAGTCTGACCGGGACAGGTTTGATCAGATCCAGCCTGGTGATTGGCTGAGTCTCTCCATGAAACTGCTATATTTAGGTGGAGATCCGGGAGGGCTTGAGGCTAAAGTAAGCGGCCCACGATTGCAGTGGATTCGAAATTTTGAATGCAAGCAACCCGAAACGACGCCGAAGAGAGAAACAAGTCGGAAATTGTGTTTTCGAATCGTTCCATGTTTTCTCCGGGGAGATTATGAATAGACGAGGATATCTTACGTACTTGTAATACTCTTTCTTGGAGCTCCCAGTCCGTATCGAATAGACATACCAACTGAACCGTTTATGCGAGGAAAAGAGCAAGTGTGACAAGGAGTCGCCTCGCTCTTTTTCCTTCTTTAGAATCCCTCTGCTCTAGTCATTCTTGAATTCGACGGCCTTAGATTCCCGTCCAATGTTTGCACAATAGGGCTGAAGTATTGGACGAACTCACGCCATTCGTGGTTGGCACTCGCACATTTGACATGCCAATCATCGCCAATGCGAAGGGGAAGGAATTTCAGGCAGCAGGAGGAGGCTCAGCCGCATGCGACAGACCTAAACATTAAGGGGATGCGCCATGTTACTCGGTGCTCCCCGTATCAAGACATCGCGAGAGACAGCGTGGGTGCTGCGGCACAGCCAGGAGTGAGGTGAGCGTGCCACGATAGCAGGTGGGCCTGAGCCTTATGGCCCCAGCTGCGGAAAGACTGGGCATCTACTCCACCCCGCACGAAGATAGACGAGCAATGATGACTGGAGAATGAGCAGCGTGGGTAAGTCAAGAGTCCGGTGTCCTCTCGAACTACTGGGCAGCAATTGCAAAGTATCGTTGCGGTTCATCGTCTTAGGTGAGGCTCACTGAGGAGGCCCAAACTCTCGAACCATGCGTTCACGGCGCCGCTCTAGGAAATGTCGAGGCGCATGGACAAGGAAAGCTGAAGCGGGAAGAAGAAAACAAAGGTGAAGCAATGTTTCTCAAAAGTTCAAACAGATGTCTCGAGGGAAATGATTAGCGCTCACGGGGAGGAGAAAAAGCAAATTCATGCAAGCCACATTCCGAGTAAGGCGGGCTCTCGCTGTGTCCTCGAACAAGCCACACCGCGTTGTCTGACAGGCAGGTCGCTGATAAGACTCCAACTCGCGAATTGCCAGAAGAAATTAAGTGATTGTTGACCGAAGAAGGATTATCAACGCTTGGGTTCTCTTCGGAAAATTGCAGTACGCTTGCGCGTTCTGCAATCTGAAAAATTATTGCTCAACCGCTCTCAAAAGTTGCAACTCTGGCAAGAATAATATACTTCAAGTTCCACTGTCAGGACTCGGAAGCCCATGATTGAGTCAGGTTAAGGTCAAGGCTTCGTGGCTAGTGCGGCAAGTGTCATCTTCCGGGCCTTTTTTCGGTAGCGATGCGGCTTCATCCTAGCAACTGCTACCTTAAAATACTACTACATGGTTCTGAGGAGGGAGCAAAACATTATTAAGATAACGCGAGTCTCATAATCATCGGTGATATGGCTCTAATTATTTGCACTGATAAGTTTCAAAAAGAGGTCTCAGATGCGGTACTAGAGGAATCGCTGCGCTTGAATAGAGTGATATATATCGTGTACTGTATATATCATGTCTCGTTCGCTAGAAATTGGAAGATGCGCTTACGATGTAGACATAAGAATAAAGGCATGCCCACCGCTACCAAAAGCGGTAAAATTTACACAGAGTGCTTAGCTCGACGGTTCCAAAGTTGGAGGACAGGAGGAAGTACAACAGAGTTTTGATGTGTACACAGCTTTTAAAGTAACCCGGCAAAGAGCAGATCAGGCTTTCTCATGTGGATACGCCTTTATGACGGTATAGAGCCGCCTACAGAGCGTTCAGGATACAGCACCTGGAGGGCAGACAAGCTAGGGCGAATAAACCACGTCTTATTCAAGTACAGAGGAGGATCCTTGTCCAAGAGGCGCAACGTTCCATCCAGTTGGGAACGACTCACTTCATTGGTTGCTGATCATATATGCGGGACAGGGCTGTAAGATTGTGAATGAAATGTGTACTGTCATGACGGGCCCTCGAATTTACGAAACCAGGTCAGAATTACCACTATTACTTACTTTGGGAGCCTTGAATACATTTCCGTCGGCTTTCAAGGTGGTAAGAAACTAACCACTCTGGCGGTAAACTTATCAGACTCCCTCATCAGCCTCCCCACTACTACTCGCCCTCCTTTACTCCTTTTCAACGGGCTTTCCGTTCTTTCTTGGGTGGGGAAGTCTCAGAGTTGCGTGCTCCAAGTCCATGATGTCACCTCGCTAAGTAATGACCAAACCAGGCCGTATTCGCTTTCGCTTCCGCCAGCAGTGAGCGTTGCACAGGAGAAAAGTGAAGCATTTGAGCAATTCCTCCTTGAGCAGATTCGAAGGGCAAAGTGAGGGGAATTGATTACACTACCCTGGCGAAGTTAGTGGAATACTGTGTACAGCCTCACAGACACCCATGCTCCTGGAATTGACGACGACACTGGACAGCCCAGCGGGGGCTGTTTGTTACAGCCTGGAGACTTTCTTGATCGGAGCCAGGAGTTCTCGGATGCGAGATCTTCAACGAGACAAAACCACGTTGGAAAGGCTTGGAAGCTGTCAAGAGTGGGGTCGACGTTGAAGGGCTGCCCCATGAAGGAGAAATAGAGCCAATGGCAATGCTCATTCAGCACTTTTTGAAAGCTCAAATCTGCGGCTGATTGGCAGCCAACTTGAAAATCCAACTCAAGGATTATTGGTTCCAAGGTGAGTCGGTGACCAGTATGCACCTAAAGCGCACATTAGTACTCACCGCCATAAGGCTTCGGCAGAATGAGTCACTGACTGCAATTCATTCAGTTTGGAGACGTCAGGGCTATTCCTTGCGCAATGAATAATGACTGTAAATGATATTGATACTGCATTGATACACCCGACGTATTATTTGGGCGGGGGGCTATCAAGAGTCGCCGGGGCTACCGGCGCGAAAGAGGAGGAATCGTAAAGGGTGGTCACGGGCTCAATCTATTTGGACTCAGATAATCATCATCAATTGGAAATGCAGATGCATGTCGATAATTGCGGCATGTCAGAGAGCAGGGAAGTGGTGCTCGTGGCAGCAGATCAGATTGGCCCCTCCTTCCGCAGCAAGCAGCAAGGATCATCAGTTTCCATGGGAGAATGGCAGCAATGGGGCCGCTTTATCGTAGTAACCAACATTTCGATTGTGACTGGGTCGCATTCGATCATCTGAGGTTCTCCGGGTCAAAACGTCGATGCCTAGTGACAGCATACGCCACAGAAGGAGACCCGGAGGTGCAGTTTGCGAGCACGGTGGGCGAAACTGAAAGTCAGTCAAGCACGCGAGACGGCGACAACCTAAATTGCTGGGCCGATCGCTCGTCATTTTCCATTTCCTCAAGTTTTTTGACGACGGCTTATCCATGATCGTTCCTCGTCAGTTCGAATGAGGGGGATAGTCATCCGGTTTGGAGCTTTCAATGAGGTCCCAAGCGCTCAGGTAACCGAGGGAAAGATTCGAACAGATGGCAGTAGGCCTCAACTAGTAATAATTACCAGAAGAGGCCAAGAACCACCGCGCCCCTGCAGCTCTTCCTGAGTCTCCTACCCCTCTTATCGCTCATGCCAAACTGCACGGAATCATGGCCTGCTGCTCGCGATATTAATCGGCGCTGCTCTTTGTAAAGCTCGGCGACTGGATGAATGCTAGGCTTCCTTGCGTCATACGAGCAGATGTAAGACAGTACCCCATATCAGAAATTCGGAATATTATAAACAGATGCTGGACTGCGCTCAGAATCCGCCATAGCCGCGATATCAATCTCATGCTCGCATACTCCATGCAGCTGAAACAGGTTGATTGCAAGTTTATCGCGAGGAAGGCCTATCCAATGAAACCACGCTCCCAATGAAATTACGAAGCCGTCTGGTGACTATTACGACGTGAAGTGCTCGAGACGAAAAGGTGACTGGAGATTCCTCAAAGAGCAGTTATAGAAGCTCGAACTTCACGTGGACAGTGATGAATCTTGCAAGGGAAGACGTCCTCCACGGAATCGCGGGAGAATATTCGACGGAGCAAAAAATCAAGGTGTCTGAGCGCAGCAGCGAGCTAATATTTCTGATTTGTGGAGCGAGCGTCCCTCTCCCAGTGGTGCAACTGGGGTCGGAGGAAATTTCGATTGGGAGCACTTCGCATGGAGACTCAACTTCGTCTCCGTACATTCCTGCTTTTGATGGAATGAATTATTCAGCTCTGCCCGGTAGCTCACTATCGTGCAGAATCCGCCCTTTCCAAGCGGCTGCTGGCCTAGTGAATCTTCTTGGCTGCGTCTCAGCAAGGCCCTTGAGTTTGGTATTTGGACAGGGAATCAAAGGCCACCCGAATGCTGCTGCATGACAGGGTGCCAATATTGAACATGGCTACGAAGTATATGTCAGGCATCTAGCGCCAAGCTTGCTGGCACGACAGGCCCAGTCAGCCACCGTTCGAACGGGCAACCGGTAGGGCAGTGAAAACGGTTAGTCAATCTGCGTTTTGCTTTTCATCATCAATGTTGCTCCCAAAACATTATCTTCGCGGAAAGCATCAGCACCCGAAAATGTCTGACCGCTTCTCTCGTTGAGGACGGGGTGGGTTCATATGACAGCAGGGTAACAGATCGCCGAGCGAATTGCTTCGTGGAGAGGTTGGCAAAGAGCTACATCGTATTGTAAGCCCATGAGGCCTTTCGGTGGTGATTGATTGTCATGTGCGAGCGGAGATTATTGTCTTTGCAAATCCCGATGATCTGCCAATCAGTCGTTGAAAAAGTCACAGTTTCATGTTCCTTATCCATGACGAAGACGGTGGGTGCGCTGGAAGGCACGGATACCGCTTCATCGTCATGGCGATCGGGCTCCATTTCCCCATTTTTCTGTGCTCCTTTGGCCCTCACCGCACCGCCTCAGTTGCTCCAAGTCACTGCCACAATTGCCACAGCCTCGAAATTCTGAAGCCAACACCAATCAGCAGGGAGTGGTCGGAAACGAAAAACGGCAAGTGCGCGTTTGAACGGCTTATCTTCGTTCCTCCTCTTCCCTTCGACTAAACCCGCAGCAAGAGACCAATAGTTGACGAGTTTATGAGTGACTGCCCCTTCTAGGATTGTGAATGGATGACAGTATCCGGAGCAAACCGCCCTACGAGACAACGGCATGTCAGGTGACGTACTCCTGATGTATCTTTCGGCTGAGATTCCATGTCGTCTTGGGCGTCGAGATTTGAGAATGTCTTGCATCGTGATGTCTGTGGTCTTGGCTCGCAGCATTGGACAGATTGAAAGGGACACGGCGTCATAGCGATAGGCTATTGCAAGGGAAAGGGCAAAAGAAAGAAAAAGACGACATGTCGAGGACTCCGGACTCGGGAACTGCAAGACGGTCAAGACGTAAGACAGGCTCCGTTGAATCCACATTGCGAGGGAACTCTCCCAGGAGAACCATCACGTTGGCGCGCAGAAAATCCTGTAACAAGGGTAATTTCGTGCCCTGGAGAAGGCTGAATGTCATTGGATATGATTTGCATCCTTCAACCCCGAATTCCTTTGTCTTGTTTTGTTCGTGATGATTTTAGCCACTTGCTCCATACTTCCATACCGACTGTTCCCTCATCGCGGGAGAATGGAAGGAGAAAGTTTGGAGTATTAGGATGCGCAAAAGATTTTCTGTGGGGAACATGGATTTCCCCTCGTCCCTTGAAAAGGAAAACACAGCTCAAAGTTGAAAAGTTTGGGTGTGGAGTAAATTCTTGCGCTTGGTCGTCAGGAGATCCTCAGTAATACTTCGTCACAGCAACCTGAAACGCCCACAAATTGTTGATGTGCAAGATTGGCCTGCGCAACTGCCTCCTCACACCAAACGTCCAATGAAAGGACTGGCTCCTCTGGCTCAGTGGTGCCAGGCATGCTCAGCGAGGATTCGAGGTTAGGTAGAATCGCGGCTCTCGGGAAAAAACCATTTCTTTTGAGTGTTATTTGCTCTGTGAGGTGTGAGCGACAAGGGAGCCTTGATTCAATGCCGGAGCCAGTGACAATATGGAGGAGGAATGAAAACAACCAAACAGGCACAAAGGAAGTTCCAAAGAAATCCTATGATTAGTCCTTTTGGTTTGGGCCGCTATTTCTGAATAACGATTGTTATCCCTCTCAACCTTGCAAGTCAACAACCTTCTGTCCCCTGCGATGACCCAGTTTATTCAATGAGAGCGCAGCAATAGTGAGTAGCAGCGACTCCATCCACATCCTACTCGTAGTAGGGCTGCCACCGTTATCCCTTTCTCAGCAGTCTCACGTCGCCATCGGAGTATATAGCAAGGACACCAGTCCCCTTTCCTCCATCCTGCTCTCACAATTGTCCTCCACCCTTCCCACCTCTTCTCACCAGAAGCCAAAGAAGGAAACTCCCCTCGTGTCTTGTCGTACGGAGAACATCTTTGTGCCTCGCCCCAGATAGATCTCATCTCAACTGCTATCCAGACTACACCACACCACCAACCGCACAACTACCACTACGAGCAGTCTTGGACGTTATATCAGGATTACATATACTCTCTCAGCCGCTACAGAAAATCCGGGTGTGTTTCCGAGCAGGAAGGCATTCTCCAGGCCTGCTGACTCTTTTCTTTTTGCTTTTCCTCAGCACAGAGAAAGGGGAGTATTAATTACCGACAGCGGCCGATCTTGTACCAGTACGACTGTCCATAACGCGTACGGTTTCGTGTCTTGGACTTGGATTACCAGTCAATACGTCATTACACAGCTCCACTCCAGCTTCCTTTCTTTCAAGTTTCAATCCATTGAAACATCCATCGGTTTCTCGAAATAATTAAGCCTTCCAAAATCTTTCTTTGACTCTTCTCCGTCTCCTCCCCATCTGACGCTACTTCGGCCAAGAAGAACGTTGCGAGACAGAGAAGGACCGACGGAGAACCTCGAACATTATTTAAAATCGCCCCGACTCCTATGCCTCTCCGAATTGACCTTCCTTGACCATCCCAGGCGACTTTTGACTCCCCGAGCGAATGATTTCTTTGGCCCTGTCGTTCGTCGCATGATCATCTTTCCTGCTTCCATCCCGGTTATTCCTGCTGCAGGTCCTCGTTCACGCAAGTGCGCAGGGAACTGGAACACCTACATACTGTCAAAAGCGCACTAAACGCTGACAACCTCGACGATTTCATCCCTCGGTCCAATCTCCGATAGCTTGTCCTCAGCCTTCCGCTTTCGACCTCCTGCATTACTGCGCTGGCAGGCAATCCTGCATTCGCAATACGCCGTCGTGGCCGCTTACCCCATTGCCTGAGCTCATCCTTGGTTATCCCGCCTCTATTCTCGCTCCATTGTCCTTGCTATTGGACTCCTGAGGGGATACACTGCGGAGGGGCTCTGCGACCACCACAGCACATGCGCAAGGCGGGTTCGATTTGACTTGCTTATTACTTTCCTTAATCACTTATTTTTGTTTTTCTGCCCTCTTTTATTACCCTCTTTTTCTTATTCTTCCCTCCCCTGGTGGGCTATTTTCAATCCTTTTGCAGCACATCCAGCAATTGGTCGGTCTCCGCAGGTCTCCCATTCTTGCAGAACAGCTTTCCCCGCACACAGAAAGATCAGCTACTCTCAAAGAGCTGAACGCCGGCAAGGCTTCGTCGACAGGGAGGTGAAAGAAATACACAGAAGGCTGTGAGACATCTGGGAAAGTTTAGTGACGACAGCCAACTGTTCCACCAGACTACCAACCTTGTGCTGCATCATTGGACACGCCCGAGAGAGGAAGAACGGACAACAGTGTTCAGCTCGAGCCATTGTTACACAAATCTTGACGCCCTGTTCTCCATCTGTTATCTGGAACTCTGGAAACCCGTCTACTTGCGAGTGTTCCTCAGGCAGGGCTCTTCGCATTGCATTCAAGGCAGGCCAAAATGCATACATCAAAACCGGAGCAATACCGCTAAGGACGTGGCTCTTGCATGAATCTAGCCAAACACATTCGCTTCACTGGCTCGTATTGCATATCAGCTATAGCCCTGCCTCAATACGGCCACTTGGGCCCAACCTAGGTGATTATTCGCTATTGCAGGAGTCCAGGTGACTCCGAACTCTAGCACGGCTCACGACAGGGCTCTAGTCTCACCTCTGCAGCTAAAGGATAGCCCTAGTCAGTAGCCGCAATGGCTTATGCAGCTACTCCATCATCCTCAGCCGTAAATGGCGAGGCCGCAGGAGGTTTAAAACTTGCTGCCTCACGCCCCAGGCCTCCCAAGCTACACCACGCTTTCACTTCAGTACCATCCGCACCTCCCTCTCTAGGCCCAACCTATACATCCTCATTTACGTCTACCCCAATCTCCGACCGGCCTTCTTGTTATCCATCAAATGATTCAAGTCCCTCGGGCACCCCGTTCATAACCGCCGCCGATTCCCTTCGAGGACGGATTACTTCCAACCCCCCTGTTTCTTCTCCCCCGCTGGAGCTTGGGGATAGTGCCATGGCCGTTCCTGCAGCAATACCTGCCTCGTATCCTGGGGATTCGGGCATTCAAAACCCAAACAAAGGCCCGGGGTTGATGCGCAGAATCTCCCGGGGCGCTGCCAACAAATTAACACGACGAAGGCAATCAACCTCACAAAACGACAAACGTGACCGAAGTTCCGGGCCTGTGATCATGCGCAGGCGCAGCGATAGTAAGACTGGAACGCAAAATGCCCGAAATAGTGCCTTTGATTCCAGCAATGAGGACGACAGCAACGATGCCCTTGAATCGCTGGGTAATTGGAGCGTTTCAGAGCCATCCAGTCTACCAAGTGACAGTGTCACAGTGATCCCTCAAAGTTCAGGTACCGTTGCGCCCACAGTGGACTCCGCCATTCAGCGCGGCACTATTCTCACCAAAGTGACCCGAAAGAGGAGAAAACAAGTGCGCTTTCTGCTCGACCTTGACGCTGGTAAAGTATATTGGGATCCCTCAAATCCAGCAAAGAAATTCTACATCGATGATATCAAGGAGATTCGGGTCGGTGCGGACGCTCGGAACTATCGCGAAGAACACCAGGTTTCTCAGGACGCAGAGAGCCGATGGTTCACCATCATAATTGCGGACCCTCAGCGATCCAAGGGTCGCCCAGTCAAAACACTTCACCTTATTGCTCCGAATGACCACATTCTAGAGCTCTGGACCAAGACTCTCGAGTACATCTCACGATACAGGATAGGGCTTATGACTGGCCTGTCTGCTTCTAGTCAAAATGAAGCGGCCCTAAAAGCCCACTGGCAGCGTGAAATGGCGAGGTTGTTCCCAAGGGGGTTGAAAGTTGGCGATACGGAGACTTTGGATTTTGCAGCGGTTGAGAGTGTTTGTCACAGTTTGCACATCAACTGCTCCCAGAACATGTTGCGCGCCCATTTTCTCAAAGCTGACACTGGCAATAAAGGGAAGCTCAATTTTGATGAGTTCAAGGACTTTGTCACGAGGCTCAAAGAGCGAAGAGATGTGCGAGAGATTTTCAAGGGTGTTGCTTCCAACTTTCATGAGGGCTTCACAAAAGAGGAGTTCTTGGCCTTCCTCCGTGATGTGCAAAAGGAGGACGTGGACTCGGACCCTGCTTACTGGACCTCTGTCTTTGACAAAATCGTCCGCAAGTCCAAGTCGCGAACCCCGAGCTTCCCGGAATGTCCCGTTGAAGATCAATCTCCTCGAATGAACATTGATGCCTTCTCTTCCTTCCTTGCATCCCCTCGCAATGGCGTATATGCCTCCCGCCCACCACAATCGAGGTTCGACCGGCCGCTGAACGAATATTTTGTGTCAAGCTCGCACAACACTTATCTTCTGGGTCGGCAAGTTGCTGGCGCCTCTAGCACCGAAGCATACATTAGCGCCCTTACACAGGGGTGCCGTTGTATCGAGATAGACTGCTGGGATGGTGCAGATGGCAGACCTATTGTGTCTCATGGACGAACAATGACAACCAGTGTTCTGTTTGCCGACTGCATCACTGTTATCAATCGGTACGCCTTTTTCTCGAGTGAGTTCCCTCTGATTATATCTCTGGAAGTCCACTGCAACCCGGAGCAGCAACTTGCTATGGTGAAAATCATGAAAGACACCTTCGGAGAACAGTTGGTCTTGGAACCACTCCTCACAAACTCCTTTATCCTTCCATCTCCCGAAGACCTCAAGGGTCGTATCCTCATCAAGGTCAAGACGTGCGATGAAACCCAGAGCAATGCTCGGCAGGATTCGTCAAGCTCATTTCTTTCTACTGGTCGGAAACGCAGTTCAAGCTCTCCCTTCATGCGTCCTTCACTAGTCGATGGCCCCGCTCTCCCAGCCCTCCCTCCGCTCTCCAGTCCACCCACGGTGGGCGCAGACGGGGCCGGTCCGTTTTTGACGCCTGAAATGAGGTCTTTTACTACTACCAGTATCAGCAGCGCTACGGAAGACAGTGATGGGGCTCTTGTGTCCGCCAAGAAGGAGAGAAAGAAGCGTCAAAGGAGCAAAATCACCAAACCCTTGTCGGATTTGGGAGTCTATACTCGCGGCTACAAATGGCATAGCTTCCTCTCCGCTGAGAGCCAGATGTTCAACCACATATATTCCTTTGCAGAGCGTTCCTTTGAAAGTATCTGTCGTGAACCCAACAACAAGGCGCTTTTCGAAAGACACAACAGAAAATACTTCACTCGTGTCTACCCCTCGGGCTTCCGTTTACGGTCATCCAACTTTGATCCACTAAAGTTCTGGCGGCGTGGTGTCCAAATGGCCGCGCTCAACTGGCAAACCTATGATACCGGCATGCAAATGAACCAGGCCATGTTTGCTGCCGGGAGCGATCGCACTGGCTACGTCCTCAAACCACAGTCTCTCCGTGTCGCTCCATCAGAACAAGATACGAGGATTACGGAGAGAAAACTTGTCCGTTTTTCGGTGGACGTTATCTCTGCTCAGCAGCTCCCTCGTCCCCGAAACATGGCGCCAGAAGGCAACATCAACCCTTACGTTGAGATTGAAATGTTCAGTGCCGATGATCGCGGACAGAGCTTTGTTTTTGGTGAAGGTGGGATGAACACCTCCGCCCGAAACGGCATGTCTGGCCTGGGTTACCCGCATCGTCGGCGCACGAAGATTGAGCAGAGGAACGGATACAGCCCGGTCTTCAATGAAAGTTTCCGCCTGTCGCTGGAGACGAAGTATCCGGACTTGGTGTTTGTTCGTTGGACTGTTTGGAGCTCGACGGACGGCCGAAGCACGGGAACCAATGGCAGTGTCCAATTGGCTACATTCACAGCCAAACTGAGCAGTCTCTCTCAAGGGTACCGATACCTGCCTTTATACGATGGTAGTGGTGATCTGTATATCTTTTCGACTTTGTTCTGCAAGATCAACAAAGAAGATCCCATTTCTGTCCGCAGGCTCAATGCCGACGAGCTCAGAGCTGAGCGGCTGGGAATACTTCGCCAGATCGGCCAGACGGTGTTCAAGCGCACCTCGTCAACCGAGAGAGAGAGAAATGACCAGTCAGACAGGGGAACTGAAACACCTCTGACCTCGGAAGACAAAGAGACGTCCCCAGTTTTGACGCCAACGGTCTCAACCACGTCAACTTCGTCGCTACAATGTTGAAGTCTGATCCAGAATGATCAGCCTCATCATACCACCATATTGTGAGATTTTGTCAACATCTCCAATGTGTCGTTCTGTCAGCTGTTTGCTTACTGTTTTACTTTATTTGTCAATTCTATGCCGGTGTTTATCAATCTGGAGTTCGGCGAATTCGAGCCCTCGGGAGTATTTGGAAAGCGCGGCAATATGCCCTCGACTCTGCTTTTTTCATGCTCGGAGCTCAACATTTTCACTTAGCGGGATACATTGGTCTGCGTACTGAAGACGCGACCTACTGGTGCATCATGATGGTCATTTTCACTTGTTCTTGCACTATTGCCTCATCACCATGTTAAGCGATACCCATATTTTTGCCATTATCTGTATCATCTTGTACTGCATTTGCTGTGTCAAAGTCGAGGGGATCCATTTTTCTTTTGTTTTTCAACATTGGCATACGAGCCGGACTCATTGTACGAGGTCAATGGTATCATCATCTTGCGCAACAGCCCAGGAGTGGCTATCATCAAGGACTATCGCATAGAAGCGTTTGCATTGCCGAACATAAATGGTGGGGGATACGATATGGAAGTGTTCGATTAGGAAGATCATACCTAAGTCTCATGGAGAGAAAATTATTGACTAGTTGATACCCATAGCACGCGTCAGGGACGCTCATCAATCCAGTCAAAATTGAGGTGCAATACTCTTCGTCTTAATCATAATCGGTAGCTCAAGTCCTAGGTAGACAAGCTGGGTAACTCTACGGAGTATTCCTGAGACAGTCTCGGGGAACCTGCTTACCCTCTCGGCCAACCTGCCGCCCGAGCGGAGAAAGCCAACTTGCTCCTTCCATTCCAACCAGACAACAGGAGCTCCTCATAGCGAAGCTTCCGGTAAACAACATACACAAAACACAATGGATCCATTCTCAGCAGAGGGCGGTACGCATCGATATCCCTTTATCATTACCTCTCTCAAAGAAACCAACTAATCCCTTATCCTCCGCCACCCCCGACAGAACTCATCAACATCCACAATGCCTTCCTGCAAGGCCAATACCAAGAAGTCATAGACTTCAACACATCCTCCTTCTCCCCCGAGAACAGCCTCCCCGCCCGAATCCTACAGCTCCGCTCCCGTATCGCCTTAGGCGAAACAGACCAGGCGCTTGCCGACGTCGAGGGCGAGGAGGAGACACCCGAGCTAGCGGCCGTCAAGGCTCTCGCGCAATACACAGCTGGCGACGCCGACGCCGCTCTGCAATTAGTCCAAGACCTCGTGGAGAACTATCCGGATAATGCCACGGTGCAGGTTTTAGGGGGGACGGTGTTGCAGGGGCTCGGGAAGAGTGAGGAGGCGCTTGCGGTGTTGGCGAAGCATCAGGGGAATCTGGAGGCGTAAGTGAGCTCGCTTGCTAATTGCTCAATTGAGAATGCGTGGATGGGGAGAGGCTGATTAGGCGCAGAGTCGCATTGGTCGTCCAGATCCATCTTCAGCAGAACCGGGCCGATCTTGCGCTCAAGGAGGTACAGGCTGCGAAGCGGTGGGCTCAGGATTCCCTGCTGGTCAACCTGGCCGAGTCCTGGGTCGGGCTGAGAGTTGTACGTCTATCTCCTTCCATAAGTGCTACAACTAAGATCAGATGGCTGATTGAATCTACAGGGCGGCGAGAAATACCAGTCTGCCTTCTACGTCTACGAGGAACTCGCGTCGGCCGATAGCACCTCATCGCCCCTCTCGATTGTCGGCCAGGCCGTCGCGGAAATCCATCTCGGCCGACTACCTGAGGCCGAAGCTGCGATCTCGACCGCTCTTCAGAAATACCCCAATGAGGCTGGGCTGATTGCCAATTCAATCGTGTTGAATGTGTTGGCGGGGAAGCCGACGGAGGACTTGGAGAAGTATGCCTTTGCGACCCTTCTCTGTTCATACCTCAGAAGAAACTTGCTAATGGTGGTTTGCAGGCGCCTCCAAGAAATCGAGCCGTCGCATGCCCTGCTCGCCGATATCCAGGAGAAGAGTGAATTTTTCGATACTGCTGCTGCCAAATACTCCGCAAAGGTTTCATCATAGAGTCCCTTCGCTTTTCTCTTCTGTCGAATTATGTTGCGTAACTTATTTTATGAATCAATATGACGGCGAGCTATCTCCATTTTTCTTTCGGTTTGCCTTGCCGATAGAACCCAACGATGCCAATGTCAACCGAAAGTATATATCAATGGCGCTAGCCTTTTAAGTGCTGAAAAATTTCACATTCGAAACGAAATACTATATACAACAGTACTCGAGCGCCTCAAGTCAGTGCATTATAACTTCTTTGGGGTATGTACAGCCGATCTCCGGGGAATATCTCCAAATCACAGATGAGCGCCTAGCCAATGCCTCAGACCGCGAGCCTGCTGATCCATTCCAGTCCCGCTGTAGACAGTTGATACATGGGTTTCCCCATAGCCCACAATATAAGTAGTTTGCGGTAGCACAGACTGGAAACCAACCATTAGCACCGTTGTGGTATCAGGCCATCTGGCCGAAGAGTGAACGTACCTGAAGCTTCTTTGCAAACTCCTCAACAGCAGAAAACAGAATCTCATCTCCTCCCGCAAGAATTAGCACCCTTTTCGCCTTTGCACCAACCCACCACTCCAGTGGTGCCTTTGCTGGCTCACTCCACGCATCTCCTTCTTTCCGCTTTCCCAGATACGACTCCGCCCAGACCTTCAGGCCCTCTTCGGGTATGACGTCTTTATAGCGATTTGCCTTGATAGATTCTCCATCTAGTGCGAAAGATACCCACGGCGCAAAACCAAACACACCCGCAAGTTCAGCGCCGTCCGGCAGCGAGATGGGATCAATCTCGGGATGCGGGTGTGTAAGGTGCAAGAGGACGGCGAGGGCTAGGTTTCCGCCTGCAGAGTCTCCTCCGACAACCACGTTGGAAGGGTCACGGGCGTCCTGCGTGAGAGTGTACCTGAGGGCTTCGACGGCCTGGCGCAGTTGCGTTGGGTACTCCGCGGGCGGGGATAGAGTATAGGCGAGGAAGAAGATGGCGATGCTGTGGCCGTTCTTGTTTAGGTCGTCGATGAGTGTAGAGAGGAAGGCAAAGTGGCCCGCGACTGGCGGAAGGGCAAAGCCACCACCTGTATTGACTCTGTAAGTTTGTTTAGTCCTACTAGCTGGGTGTGCTTGACTGACCGTGGTAGTAAACAACGACGTCCTTAGCATCCCTGTCTCCAATCCAGAGACCTGTTGCACCATGGTTGAGGGCGACCGTTTCCGGTGTGAGGTTGTGCCCTTTCATGTACATCTCATAGCCTTGGATGGTTGCTGGGTTTTGGGATCTGGAACTGTCAGCTACCTGAAGATCCGGAATCCTAACGAAAGAGGGAACGAACTGAAGTTGTCGCGTCGACAGGCGACGCACTGCCTTTCGAACTGCAGCATGAGCGATATGGAGGTTGTATGTCTGCGCTCCGCTTTTACCCCGGAAAACACCAGAGATGACACTATACAAAACAGCCCCGAGGATAGAAATATTGCCAGCAACGCGATCGGCCTTCTCCCAAAAAGAGAGAGGCTCCCCAGATAAAGATGACATGAGGAATTAGGGCTTTCGTCGAAATAAGAATGTTATATAAGAATATTGTGGGATAAGGATAGGCGTGAAGGGGATTGTCTCGAGTTGGTTCCCACGCAAGGGTTTTGAATGGAGCCAAAGCTACAGAGGGGAAACGGATCGCCATCTCCGCCGAAGAAAGCCATCGCCCGAGAGTCGTCCCTTCCCCGCACTTCGAAGCGTTGTGCAGGAACGAAGTTGGTTCCGAGCACTCAAGGGAAGGCCGAGTCGCCGGTCGTTCATACCTCGGCTGGATCTGGATCGTCCGTGGTTCCGGATGAGGGGAAGGGGTCACAACTAAATTAAGGTTGCTTTGCAGATATAATTGATTTTATTGTCGTGTATTCGGTTTAATGCCCATTGGCACTATCCTCCTGTCCAGTCAGGTCACAAAAAGCCTTGAATGTGGTAAACACATTCTCGTCGTCTGGTCCAGTACCAGTGTTCTCGATAATGCATTCTGCATTCGCGCCTACGAAAAACACATATCCCTCCTTGACTTCCTCTGTTTTCCGACCGACCGTGATTTTGCCCGTCCCGCCTGTGCAGATCAAGATACTGGGGCCAGTAAGCGGATCAAAGGTCGCTTTCGCGCCGGTGCGGCGGAGCTCCGTCTTCAAGACGCTGAACTCTTCGATCGGCGGGTCGTAGAGAACGGAGGACGAGGCGCTCGAGTAGGCCGGCGCATTCAACACCACATAAGGATACTCTGTAGGTTCCAGCTTCTGTTCCTCAATCGGCGCATATGAATAGGTCAACATGTCCGTGAGCGTATCCACATCCTTGAACTTGGGGGTAAACCCCGCTCTCACGACATTGTCGGATGATGCCATGCACTCGATGATGTCTCCAGAGATGTAGGCGTGGATATCGTCTGCTTTGAGGAACATGGCCTCTCCAGGTTCAAGCGTGACGAAGTTGAGAAAGAAGAACACAAACAGGCCGATATCATTAGGGAACTGTTCGTTGAGGCGGACAATAAGAGCGGCCAGTTCGGCGGCATTGCTAGGGTTGGTGTCAGGAGCATTGACTAATGAAGCAAAGGTCTCGGGGGAGCTCTGAGCTGCTGAGACAAGCTCCTTCGCTGCAGCCTCGACATCTTCGGAAGAGGACTTCATGAGTGAAGAAAAAAGGGTGCGTAGCGCGTCTTTGTTTTTCTTGGTTTGCTCCGGGTCTTCGGAGTCTTCTGAGCCCTTGACCACCTTTTCAAAGTCACTTGCGGTCTGCACGCCGACCAGGTATCGGAGAGGCGCAACGGCTTTCAGGAAATGTACGATCTCGGAGAGAGGGCGGAAGCCGCACAATCCCTCAAAAGGGGTGATTGCGATGGTCATCTCCGGCTTGTGGTTGTCATCTTCATGGAGTTAGGCATACACAGCCGACGGTGTGACTCTTGGATATAGCATACCTGGGTAGTTTTTAGGATCCCGAGCATGGAGTTGCTCTGCCAACTTCTTATTTGGATGAGCCTGGATACTGAGAGCCTTTCGGATGGACAACACTTTGAAAAGAAAGGGAAGTCTGCCGCCGTATCGTTCCGTAACCTCGGGTGACATCAAAGCCACGTTATCCTGGACTAGGTCGAGCAATGTCCGCTGCGTCTCGAGGTCCTTTGATGGCAGGGAGGGATGGGTCCCCATCCATAGCTATGTCGGATCAGCTTCTCGTTCCTCGCATTGCGACCATCTAGGGCATTCAAAGGACACGCACTTCTGCGTACGGCTTCTCGGATTCAATCGAGAAATCTGCAGTCGCCGTAGTCGCGGCATACTTTGCAGCTGCCGACTCATGGCCGACCTTACCTGCGAGAGTTTAGACATGCTTCCGGAATAGCTTCGCTTCTCGTGAGAAAAGGAGCTTACCCCAGTCGTAGCTGTTGACGCCTAGTGCAGTAATTAGTTTTGAGATTCTGTACAATCGCCAGCAGGACGAAGAAACCCACCACATTGAAGACGTAGAAGTGGCACCTGCATTTTCAGAGTGAATAAGCTAGCTGACAGCTGTCTGGTGATGGAGATTTGATGGAGAATCAAGCTCGATGCTGGTAGCTCCTTCGCTGTCAATTGAATGAGAATGAGTGGATTTCTGGTGGCGCTGGCGTGACTATTCAGATCGCTCTTTCTGACTCTTGTGTGTGTCGTTTCTTTCTCACAACCACAAAATCGATTGTTTAGCTCGACTTCAACTTTATATAAAATTATTCTTCGACCCCTCACCGAACAGAGTCCAGAAATCGTTCAAGCAGCCCGCCCGTGCCCGATTCGGCTGACCGCATTTGCTCCGAACATCATTCCAGACCCCGTGACAAACCCCGCCAGCTCCGATGGAACCCGCCAATGGCAGTGTCCCTTGGAGCGTCAAGCGCTTACCAGAGGGAGCTCCCCCGACGAGCCGCGAACAGAACGACGGTGACGCCAAGAGCAGTCCCGGTGCGCCAGCACCTGATCCTCCGTTGATTGTTCCGGCTCCCAGTACTCAGTTGACAACCGAGGGACAACAGCCTGAAGCTCCAAAGAGCAATTCCCAGAGCCCTCCGCCAGACGTCCCCATTCCACACGACTTAAGAACTGGCGCGGCACGCGGCACACGAAGCGCCAACAACCATAATTTTGAAACCTCTTTTGAATGGGACGCCATCGCGATTGAGAAGCGAAAGTCCTTAGAGGAGATTACATCGGCCGCCGAAAGCAATCCTGGCCACTGGCCAAAGGTGGCCGCTCCAGTGCCCAAGCCTTCCTCCCAAAAAATGTCCCGGAATCGTCCTAGGGGCCCTCCAGTGCCCAGGGACAATGGCGCAAACGAGGAAACTGATATGTGGAACAAGATCCTTCAAGACCTGCGCAAGGCCAAAGAGAAAAATGACAAGCAAAAAGCGCTGGCAGAACAAATAGCAGCTCTGAATGAGAAGATCGGAAAAGAGGGTGGTAGTAAGTGACATGCAAGCCTTGTTTCCAAGCACAAAGTCTGGCGTCCCAAGCTGCAACTGCCTATGTGCATTAGATATTGACTGCGACTGTCCTTATTGTATTGAAGGGCAGTTCGTCTGCAGCCTCCCTTTCTCTCTCTCTTTTTTTTTTTTTTTTTTTTTTTTTTTTTTTTTTTTCCGGTTTTGGATAAGCATTAACTCATGCATAGAACCAACCCTTAACGAGCACAATCAGCTGGATGGTCTTTACCGCCAAATGCTCAAGCTGTGCGAAGAAGAAAGAGCTATCTTGCAAGATGAGCCTAGTGATGTGATCAAGAACCTGGGGCTTCTCAACGCGCTTCGACAGGCCTCAGAAGCAGAAGCCCCGCAGAGCCGTGCTGTATCGCTATCCAAGTCTCGAAAGAAGCGAAACGACATGGATGGGTCTGCTACCGACTCACCTGGTCCGTCCGGTGGTCTCTCAGACAAAGCCGGTCGCTCCAAGGGGGGTACGCAACGCAGCACGAGTGTGTCCAGCACCCACGTCCGCGACAACGTACAGGTCAAGATCGAAGAAGGGGCTGAAAGCGCCAAGGGCACACCTGCTGAGCGCAATGGGCAGCTAGCTGTGGGAGCGGAAGTGGTTTTTAAGCACAACAAAAACAAGCAGGGCGTGGAAGGAGAGGGTATACAATGCATTATCAAGGGGATAACAGGTGAGGGCTATAAGAAAAGGTTGGTCAAGTCTTGATTCCTTCGTTTGCAGGCAAGATTGACCAATGAATGCCTCTTCAAGATACGATGTCCAGGACCCGGAGCCCAACGAGAACGGCGAGCAAGGGGCTGTCTACAAAACCACGGCGGCGTCTCTAATCCCAATCCCTCGGATGGGGTCTACGTTGCCATCCTTTGCCGTTGGAAAGCAAGTGCTTGCTCGATATCCGGATACAACCACCTTTTACCGCGCGGAAGTCATGGGATTGAAAAAAGACACCTACCGCCTAAAGTTTGAAGGCGAAGAAGACGACAAAGAGATGGAAGTAGACCGTCGGTTTGTCCTAGATATCGCTGGGAAGTGATGGCTGGTGTGCTCATCTGGAAACTCCTCATCGATACCCTCAATTTTTTGTTTTTACTTGCACACGGCCGGTGTCATCTGAAAGGCGTTCATCAGGATATGGAATTGGGTATAACTATGGTATAGCAATCAAATTCGCGGCGACAGCGCTTGTTCGTAGCCCAGATTGCTCTCTCATCGGTCAATTATGGAGTAATGTCATGGAAGGTGCTAGACTGCCTGACGGGGTCCTTAGTTAAGCCGTCGTAAGCTGTCGCTGACTCAGCGCTCCCCGCCATCCCGCCGCTTCTCCCGAGGCTTCAAGATCCACATGCGGTCCGACGACGGGCTGTGGAATATTGTTACGAGTCAATGCTGTCCTCCTTTTGCAAACTCTTGGCCCTCAAACCTCTAATTGACTCACTATAGCCGCATATAAACGACCTCAGAATTGACATGCGAATTGACTTCAGCCTGTCTTGACTTTAGTTGTACATTCCGCCAATTCGTCTTACATCGCAATGGCAAATTTACCGGCTCACGCCTCTCCATCACTGCACGCTCTGCCGACCTCAACGCAACCGGTCAACAACATACAGCTTTCTCCAACGAGCCATCCATATGATACTACCCCGGCGAATTCCGCGAGTGAAACCAATAGTATATCAGACGGTGATAATGCGACAACAGGAGTGCCTCCGATTGTCTCTCCCCCGGCTACTCCAGGCGGAACAATCCCCCACACTCATATCAGCCACCCAAAACTCATCGAACGACTCCCCGAAGTAGAATGCATTGTACGCGCTCGGATCCCGACGACGACTGGAGCTGAGATGTTCCTACATCTCTATCACAACGACATCGACAAGAAGGAGCACCTTGCAATTGTGTTTGGAAATACAATCAGGAGTCGGAGCTTAGACCGGGTGCGACCCGGAGAGTGCGAACGAGATCGAATGATTCGTGGTGCTTATGTGGGTAAACTGCATCCAGGTCGTGAGAGCAGCTGGTACGAAAACCCGGCTAAGCGGGGAACAACCGGACATAATGAGGGGGGCGCTGTACATGAGTCAGAGGTGATTTCAGAACGGCCGAGTGAAGCACCACTTGTACGGATTCACTCTGAGTGCTATACAGGAGAGACAGCTTGGTCAGCCCGTTGTGACTGCGGAGAACAACTAGACGAGGCAGCTCGGTTGATGTCATTACCTATGGGAACCTTGAATGAGATTGCTTCTCAGCAATCAAGGACCGTGCCGAACAATGTCTCCGGTGGTGTTATCATCTACCTTCGTCAAGAGGGCCGCGGGATCGGCCTTGGAGAGAAATTGAAAGCATACAACTTGCAAGACCTGGGAAATGACACAGTGGAAGCCAATCTTGCATTGAATCACCCTGCCGACGATCGAAGTTATGGACTAGCGACGGCGATGCTCGTTGATTTGGGTCTGGGAGTTGATTCAAACCCGCATGGCATCCGCCTTCTCACCAATAATCCCGACAAGGTTAGGGCAGTTGAGGGGCCAGGGCGTGAGGTGGTGGTGAAGGAGAGAGTACCGATGGTGCCGCTGTCATGGCAGACTGGGGGCAAAATGGGCTTCACAAGCTCCGAAGTGGAGGGCTATCTGCGGACGAAGGTAATATGCCATTTGATTTGACTCGTAAAACAGACAACTAACTGCTGTCCGACTAGATCTCCAAGATGGGCCATATGATTCAGTAATGTCTAGAGCATTAGAAGGTTTTGTTTTCTCAAGTCATCATCGATTGGAAAGAAGCAATGCTATGGACAAAACAGCATAAAGTCTATGATGGAGATGATTCATTGTGTATGTATAGCGATTCCCTGTCTATTCCCTATTTATAATTCGGTTTACGATTCTCTATTCGATTTTCACTTGGCTTGGATGGCGAACCCATGTTACCCGGAATTGCACGTGCCAATATGGACCTTTGTAAAGGATTGGGTTCTAGATACGCTCTCTGATCAGCAATTCAACATATCTATATCGTCGTTTAAACATCTCGTACAGTCGCGCGTCTGTGTATACTACAAAAAGCATCTAATGTACTTTGAGTGGAGGAGCCGAGAGTATCCCCTGGGCAAATCTTTCGAACGGAGATCCCAAGGGCATTATCTCGGCGGCAGGGAGCAAACGGATGAGACTGAGAGAACAACGTATTTTCTCACGGGCGCAGGCATAGCTAGGACAGTATCTCTTCCGGAGATCTGGGTGGTTACCGTTGTAGTCGAGCTGAAAAGCCACACAGCCCCGTAATCGCCCAAAAAAATCGCCTCTCGAAGGGTCGAGAGTCGGATTCAGCAATCGAATCGTATCGTCATCCTTTCCCCGAGCTTGCGTCTCCTCTCCTCAGCCCACCATTGTTCCGTATCTCTACCGTCCCCTCTTCGTTTGCTCGATTCCCTGTATTGATGTCTGGGAGCCTTCTCCGTCTTCATCTTGAATAGAAACTACTCCGAAACCAAGCTTCCCAATGCCGCTTATCCTGCTCCGCTGATCAAGGAGATCCCGCTCGTGGACACTTCCGAGTCCACCACCCAAAAGAACCTTCACCCTCGTGCTTGTGAAATTGAATGGCCATAACGATCCGATAACCTACCGCGAGGAGGCAATGGCCACCCGCCTACCTCCCCTTTCCGATGTGGCGCCCTCTTCGGCTCTCGACCTCTCGAATTCCTCCCTCCCAGCGATCCAACGTCCGCCGATCGTGAATGCGACAGCACCACCAAATGACTCAGACTCCGTGAAGCTCGAGGGCTCTCCCACGCCACTTGGGGTGGTCTCAGCCGCGACTATCGATTCTCTATCCGCCCTACCTGATGAGAACAATTTCAATAATAGCCCGAGTCCGGCCACGACAGCCGCGGGCCGAAAACGCAAGCTAAACAGTACTTCCGCTCGCGGCGTCGCCAACCTCACCCCAGATCAGTTAGCGAAGAAACGAGCCAACGATCGCCAAGCCCAGAGAGCGATTCGCGAGAGGACAAAAGCGCATATTGAGACTTTGGAACAGAGGGTTCGCGAGCTCTCGTCGCAAAAGCCATTCCTGGATCTTCAGACGACGCTAAAGCAAAATGAAGCTATCATTTCCGAGAACAAGGAGCTGCGACATGGCTTAAGAGCTATTGTGGATGTCATACAGCCACTGCTAGGGAAACAGGATGCATATAGTGAGTCTATCTATACTAGCTCGGATGTGGCCTTCTTCACTTCGTTCAAGTTGTTGGAATAACTTCTAACATGGCCAGACTCACACGCAACAGCTCCTGCTCACATTCGACCAGCTGCTCTTCCACCCTCCGCCTCTCCGTCCTTGGAGAACCACCCCTACGCTCCTAATGCACATAGATCAGCGACTGTCGAGCATTCCTATACAGAGTCCATCGCGAGCGTGGAGACACCCTCATCGACGCAGTCAGCACCGACCTTAGGGTCTCGGAGGGATAGTTCAAGTGGTAATCACGCCTCTCTGCGAGTTGCATTCGACTATCAACGGCACAATTTGCTTCATGGACTCGACTTTGGGGGAGACGAGAGGATGGGCTTCAATTTCCTATTAGAACCGACGCAGCAAGTGCCCAAGATGGAAGGCTTTCGCCGTCCGTCAGAGGCTGGCAGATCACAGGCAAACATCTCACCGAACTATAACACACCTCCATCGCTTGGTAGTCTAACAGACCAGTCAATACCTGCCTACATGACCCCGGTCCGTAACGTCGCTCCGACCTGTACCCTAGATGCCATTTTGCTCGACTTTCTCCATAACCGACAACGAGAAGCCGCCAAAGGAGTATCGAAACAGAAGCTGGTTGGGCCAGCGTATCCCAGTGTCTCCTCCTTGCTCAATCCGGAGAGAAGTGTTTATTCGCACCCCCTTTCCAAAGTGTTTACCGACATCCTTCGCACCTTTCCCGACATCGCCGGTCTTCCTGAGCAGGTCGCAGTTTTATATGGCATGTTCCTCTTGATGCGGTGGCAGATATACCCTACTGCTGATAATTATCACCGGCTACCTGACTGGTTGACTCCACGGCCCTCGCAACTTCTCACACCGCATCCTGCATGGATTGATTACCTTCCGTGGCCCCGAATGCGTGATCGCCTGGTCATGTCTTATCACGAATACCCATTTGAGAATTGGTTCATCCCATTCACCAGTACACTTTCGCTCAATTGGCCATATGAAGCAACGGATTGTCTCTTATCAGCCGGAGATACCGACGAGCTGATAATCAACCCTGTGTTTGAGAGACATTTCTCCGATATAAATAATTGGACCCTCGGACCCGCATTCGCCGAAGCCTTTCCGCAACTGGTTGATACAACCAAGATCAAGCCCACATCGTGAGCAGCGCCACTGTACAACCTATGACCAATGGACGGTATTATTGTACTATTCGATATACCTTCGAGCTATGTTGCTCAGCGAATCGACACTTCCCCAATTGGGCTTGATAAATCTATGCAAAAGCAACGACGGGTAGTGTTTCTTTCCTTGGCGTTTAGGAATATTGTCTGATACTTACAAGTTCTTACTCAAGGCACTGGATGCGATGTGGGAGGAAGATTTCCATCACAAGAGCTATCCCTACACTGAATCTTTACCAAAGATATTTCCTATTTACTCATTAGGGAGGACCTATTCGCCCTAACCACAATTTTGGCCCTTTCTTTACTGAAATACCTGATATAATGGATAGACCGATAGTAGCTAGCATACTGTCTCAATAAGACCCCCCCCAAAAAAATTATACACATCTAATTCACATGGGTGCATCTTACTCCTGCCGACTCTTCTGGTTCCAAAACTTCAGCCCGGCCTTTTGCCGAAGAATCCCATACATCGAGCTGCTGTCTAGACACTCTCCGCCGTATTCACGAGCAGCAACCATGTTCTCAGTCGCAACCCTCAGTCCAGGAAGATCAACGCTGCTCTCTTTGGCTATGGCAAATGCGTGATTGGCGTCCTTGATGGCTAGCGAGACACCAAAGCCGGGTCGGGACTCTAGTGGTGGTGCGTATGCTCCAGTTGTTAGGCTGCATTGAACGTTAGGATAATTATTCCAAGCGCAGGTTGATGCATTTGAAGGTAAGAGGCAATGCAGTACCGTTTCGAGTATCCCCCTGCAACAGGACCAAAGGCCTCCCCGATGAGCTCCTCCATAGCGCCTGTTCCGAGACCCGTCTTCTCAGCAAAGACCTGAGCTTCGCCCACGGCTTCCATCAAATTGACGGTTATGATATTGCTATTCGACGAAACGTCCTTAGTCAACAGGAACTCGCTCTCAGGCGACAATAGATAAAAGGAGTATACACTCACCCGGCAATCTTTAGAAGCGCAGACTTCCTCGCATCCTCTCCACACTCAATCACCTTGCGCCCCATGACATCTTGAATCAGGGGCTTAACAACATCAGACGCGCGCTTCGGTCCCGCAATCGCAAAGACAAGCTTCCCGTCCACAGCAATCGGGTTGCCGCCAAAGACGGGCGCGGCGAGGAAATCAGCTTGCTTCTCTTTTAGTTTCGCCACGGTCAGGCCCACGGTCTCTGGGTGAACGGTTGAGCAGTCGACGAAGATCTTGTCCTTGAGGGGCTGATTTGAGTCTGTGACGCTTGTTATGAGGTTTTGGAGGACAGTGTCGTTGGAGACCTATTCTCCTTAGTACAATGGTTTATGGGATCGAGCTAGAACCAATTGGTTGGGAATACCATGGTAAAAATAATCCCACACTGCGAGACCAGTTCCGAGAAGCTCGTCTCGGGAGTGGCGCCGAGTGCTTTGAGGGGATCACCACGGGTCATAGTTCGGTTCGAGTAAAGGAGACTACTCAACGTGCTCTTTGTTGCTAGGTGTTTTTGCAGATTGGTCGCCATTGCGAGGCCCATGGACCCTAGGCCGTACTTTGAGAAATGTTAGCACGAGGTTTATAAGCTTTATGGCCAAGACGAACCCAGCCGATTCGAGTCATTGTGTTTTTTTCGTATATTCGGTCAATTGGGCCAAATGTTTGTTGTATGGGAAAGATGGTGGTGGGATTGTACTAGAGTAGATAGATAGCCTTCCTACTATCAGAGAACCGATCTCGGTCGAGAACCATTCATCCGAGGTGTCCGAAAACAGCATAGAGTATGGAGTATATTATTGACAGGGAAATAACCCCTTTTCGTTTTTTTATACACTATTTCTATAACTAATGCTTGAAGTAGTATCCAATCAACTAATTAATGTTGCCTGGCGTGGTCGATTCCTTAGGCACTAAGGCACACAGTAGCGTCAGTCAGCAACGCAACGAGCACCGCCGACCTGGAACTCCTGCTCGCTTCCCCTCATAATCACCAGCTCTCCCCACGGCTGGACCTCATATTCATGACCTCATTTGGCCTTCACTCCGCAATTGATTAAACTACTTTGAAGTCTCACTCATATTTATTCACCATGGCGGACATGCCCATTGGTCAGCTTATTCCCCCATTTCTTGTTGCTGTGTATATGCCTGTCCGAAGGCAGCGTCACTAACAACCCGCCAGTGCTCGACGGAGGAACTGGTTTCCTCAAGGTCGGATATGCTGCGCAGGTACGCATCCTGACTACCCGGCCTCTCCCTACCATACTCAAGAGCTTCATTCTCAATTTACTTCCCTCCAACAGAACTTCCCAGAGCACCAGTTCCCTTCGATAGTGGGGCGGCCAATCTTGCGAACGGAGGAACAGGCTGGCGACATTGTCGTCAAGGATATCATGTGCGGAGATGAAGCCGCTGCCGCCAGATCGATGCTCCAAATCAGCTATCCTGTATGTATATCACTTCCCTTGCCTACGTGCTGTGTCCGGGGCTTGATCGCGGGCACCCCGCTCCCCGGATTTCCAGAGATGAGGTATGTTAATCCAGCTTGCCGCGGGTAGATGGAGAATGGTATCGTGAAGAAATGGGACGACATGCAACACCTATGGAACTACACCTTCTACGATAAGATGAAGATCGACCCTACTGGCCGCAAAATCCTCCTCACCGAACCGCCCATGAACCCGCTGAAGAACCGCGAGCAGATGGCTGAGGTCATGTTGGAACAATACAATTTCGGAGGGGTTTATGTTGCGATCCAGGCTGTCCTTGCGCTGTATGCTCAAGGTAGGCGATAACCATCTCGGAATCCTAAAGTCTGTGCTGATTCAACGTGATTCAGGTCTTAGTTCCGGAGTTGTTGTCGACTCCGGTGACGGTGTCACCCACATCATCCCTGTTTACGAATCCACCGTGCTTAACCACCATATTCGCCGACTGGATGTCGCAGGTCGCGATGTCACTCGGAACCTAATCGCCCTTCTCCTCCGCCGCGGCTATGCCCTCAACCGTACAGCCGACTTCGAGACCGTGCGCCAGATCAAGGAGAAGTTGTGCTACGTATCTTGCGATCTCGAACTGGACAGAAAGCTCTCCGAAGACACAACAGTACTAGTCGAGTCTTACACTCTTCCCGACGGTCGCGTTATTCGAGTCGGCAGCGAGCGATTCGAAGCCCCCGAATGCCTCTTCCAGCCACACTTGGTGGATGTCGACCAGCCCGGTGTCGCCGAATTGCTCTTCAACACTATTCAGGGTACAGATGTGGATGTGCGCTCGAGTTTATACAAGGCCGTCGTGCTCAGTGGAGGAAGCAGCATGTACCCTGGTCTCCCTACACGACTGGAGAAGGAACTGAAGCAACTGTGGCTGACCCGGGTCCTCAAGAACGACCCGGAAAGACTAAGCGTACGTTTTTTGCAGATCTACGTCATCCGTCGCAAATCATACTGATTTGATCTATAGAAATTCAAGGTCCGCATCGAAGACCCGCCTCGACGAAGACACATGGTCTTCCTGGGAGGTGCTGTCCTCGCCAACCTGGTACGTTACCTCACAAACCCCGGGCCGTTCTTCAGACATGTACTTACCACTTGGCGTGACAGATCGCAGACAAAGAAGACATGTGGGTCACCAAGCAAGAATGGCAGGAACAGGGCGCTCGTGCTCTCGCCAAACTCGGCCCAAGATAGAACGAGTTCCTTGTATTCCTCGAATTTCTTTGAACTTGTCAGCGCCCTCTCCTTCTTTACCGTCTTGTTTCTCTCGACCGTACCTTCGTCAACTCTATTAAATGGAGACTCCCTCGAACCGCTCTCCTCTGTGGATCCCGAATTCCCTTGCCTTCCTTTCTTGTCCATATACATATAGCAGTTCCCTGGCTGCGTCCTGATATCAGTGAGTCGTGTAGCTACTTATGATAGATAAGTGAATGAGGCGAAATGATTCGTAAAGTTCCTTAGCAAGCCGTTGGGTTGTGGAACTGTATTCCACATGATTTATGTTCTATTGATTATCCAATGTACCAGTGTGTAAAGCCATTGTAGAGGTGAAAAGGTATAGAAATGTATAAGCACGGCTCCCATGACGATGAAGTAGACCAGTTCCAGCCCAGTGCACTTTCCGAAACGCCTGGCAGGTATATCCAGAAAATGCCCCGATATGCCAATGGTTGAACAAACAATATGATGCCAGAGATATGTAACCAAACCGTGTCGAAAGAAAGAAAAATAAAGAAATGTGTATAAGGGCGAAAGAATGCGTGTCCTGGTCTGACGAAGTTGTATCAGGTGTGTCTATTCATCGCTATCGGATTCGACGTCGTCTTGCTCAATATTCTTTTTTCGCTCTTCGTTCATCTCACGATAGGTACTCCAACTAAGCAGGAAAAAAGCGGCGATGATCAAAAGTCCGCCAATTATAGAGGCCATGGAAAGCGGCTGGCCGGTTCGGAACCAGTCGACAATGGCAACAAGGAAGATGGTGAGCAAGGCAGCCACAGATGAGAGGACCGGCGATGTTAGGGAGATGAGGACCAAGAAGGATCCGGAAAAGGCTGTTGCAGAGGGGAGGAAGGCGCATGGTCAGCGATTGGTTGATTGACTTTGAGCACTTTACAGCGAAAGGGCAAGGGGCGGGATATAAGGGCTTTCCATTACGAGGGGCCGATGATGCCGGATGGCTTGCGTAGCTTGGGGTAACTTACTAGCATTGGCGATGACTGATATCATAAGCATCCATGCAGCTTCTCCTGTCGGCCATCGAAACTCTTCGAGGCCGAGGATGTGAAGTATTGGAAGCGGAATCCAAAGGACAAGTAAAGTGAAAGACCCAATAAGACTACCAAATGTGTTTGCGAAGATCATACTTCGCCCAGCGCTCGTCCCTTCTGGAGGACAGGCAAACCTCTTGTACAGCACCTCATACAGGCCATATAGCACGCTGCCGATGCCGATAATGATATTCCCCAGAAGCCTAGCCTGCCCCTCATTCTTGGCTTCTCCGTCGGTGGTGTTCTTGTCACCTCTGTCTCCATATGCGACAATCAGGACTCCTATAATAGCCACGGCGACAGAAAACACCTTGTCGGCTCGCAATTTGTCCTTGAGTAGCGGAATCGAGAATGCATAGGCAAAGAAGGCAGAGCAGTTGTAGATTGCCGTCAAGTCGCTGGGCGTTGTCATGTTGACCGCGACATACCACGAGCCGCCGGCTACCGTAAGGGCACTCGTCACAAAGGCCGTCATCTTGAGTAGGTAAGGAACCGGCGATCTGCGGGGATCATGCGATGCGAGGCGTACATCTTGAGATTCCACCATTTGACCCGTTGTCCAGAGTAGATTGACATGGCGCCGCCAGAATGCTTCCCAAGAAAGCTTTCGTTTTTGTAGCCGTAGTATCAGGAGCTGTGTCGGCCAGAGCAAGGACCAAGAGCCGTGGGTGAGGTACCTAAGCACAAAGGGGTGTTAGCGATCGCGCATTCGAGAGCTACTTTTCCCAGGCTTACAGCATGCAGTATGGTTTGTCCCAGCCTAAATCATGCTGAATGTATACAGCGGTTTCGGTCTGGATCACAAAACTTGCCAAGCTTAACAACAAGAATCCGGAAGCTATGACATATTTCTGGCGGGTCTGTTGCTTTGCCAGAGCATCCGGACTTTTGCTCCGCATTGTAGACCGTCTCGAGTGGTGAAGCATAGGCCTGCCTTCTGCGTCACCATACTCAAAACCTCCCCCTGACAGCCGACCTGGCTGCTCATCTTCGAGCAACGGCTGTTGGGATCGACCATCCATAGGTCGGTGTATGCCAGTACCAGCCATGAAGTCGGGTCGTTCAGATGACAGGAAGTCGAGAACCTGCTTCGTATCTTCCACTCCGATTTGTTGAGTGGCTGTTGCGTGCGCGGAGCTCCCGTATTCCGTGTGTACCGGATATCTCCTAGTAGAGCATCGAGAAAGTCAACGAGAGCGAAGGTTGTAAGGAGCGGTTTTCCTGTCCTTGTTGATTAAAAAGAGGTTCACATTGAAAGGACGAAAGGCTGTGAATGCGGGCGCTCAGGTCAACGAAGGGCCAAAAGTAAAGCACAAGTTATGTCGCATAGATCTCCATTGAGTCAGCAGATCTGTCACAGCGTGGTTGCGCTCTGTCGGAATACAGTCAAGCCGTCTAGAGGAAGTTGAAATGGACAACGCAACAGGATTGAAGACATGGGGAATGAAAGATGGAGATCGGAGTGCCACTGCCACTCGGTGCCTGTCCTGTGACGGTCCATTACTAACTCCGGCATAGCCTTTGCACTGGTGGGCCGGATGACGCCCCCTTACACGTGACGCCCCACAAACATGTCCTTTATTACTTGGACGTTTGCCTGGCCATATGCCTCACTCAGCACAAGTACATATATGCAACAAACGCAATTTGAGAGTTGGAACAGATGTGTTTTGAATTTCAATATGTATCACCCTTAAAAATAGGTGAGAATAGCCAGGTGAAAATTGGGTATTATCTCAGCGCTATCCCTCTATGCTTTGGATTTCGGCTTGAATAGGGCTTCCTGAGTGTCGTAGGTATATTTGAGTTCAAGATGCCAGTAGTCAGGAGCTGTCGGTTTCGTAATCAGCCATGCCTTGTCCAGAGCGTCCACCACTTCCTCTGGAAGAGGTCCCTTTTGAACGTCTCTAAGGTTGCTTTCCAATTGAGAAAAGTTGCTGACGCCGATAATGATTCCATCGCGACCGTCTTTGATATTGAGCTTTGAGTGGTGGTGGACCCATCGGATGGCGGTTTCGGGTAGGGTCAGGCCGTGTTTCTCAACGACAGGCTCAATGACGGCCAAAGCATCAAAGGTGGCATCTCTGAAATAGCGTTTGCGGTACATAGCGCCATGGTTGGCATTGTCGCTGAATCGGCCCTCTGCGGGGACGTCCTTTGTCTTGTATTTGCCTGAGAAGATACCACCAGCAAGGGGGTTGTAGATGACGATGTCAATGCCATAACGCTTGCATACAGGAATCAGTTCCGTTTCGATCGAGCGAGCTTTCATATGGAAAGTCAGTATGGTACTTTGATTTTGAGCGAGGTAAGCTTGACTCACTAATAGCGTTGTACATTGCCTGGAAAATAGTCGGTCGCACCCAGCCTCTCTCATTGCACAGTGTAACTATCTCTGCAACCTCGAACGCCGCGAAATTGCTCAGGCCCAGTTGCACAAACTTTCCCTCCTTATGCAGCTCATTGACAGCTTCCAGCGTCTCGGCAAAAGGAATGGACCGATCTGGTGCGTGCAGATAGAAGATATCGACCTGGTCCGTCCCGAGCTCACTAAGAGAGAGCTCAAGATTCTTGCGAATGACATCGCCTTTATGGTCACCGGGTGTCTTGGGGTACCACTTTGTCGCCAAAGTTAACCCTCGCTCTTTCCACTTTGCTTCTCTTGTCCAAGCTTCCTGCTTTCCACCAACGTAAATCCGGGCAGTATCAATTTCGTTGAACCCTTGTTGTTGAAAGTAGTCCAAGTGCTTGTTGAATTCGTCGAGCGAGGTGATTCGTGCTCCAGTTGATACGTCCGGTCCAAAGGTCATCAACCCAAGGATTGTCCTCGGTAGAGGGTTTTGAGCAATGAGAGGCATCTTGCGGGCGCTTCTGCACTGCGGGGTACACTGGAGGTATTGTTAGTTTAGTACTGGACATAATAGGGACCTTCCAGGCAAGTGAGGCTCACCTAGATACAAAGGTAGATTGAGTCGAGCTACCGATAAGCTTGGATTTGGAGAAACCAAGGAGGGGTGCTCGCCAGAGAGTCAAAGCGTTCGAGGTCATGGTGGAGGTAAGTACCTCAAAAAGCCGATTATCAAGCATTTACCCCACATCCAATCGCGTCATTCTCAGATAAACTGGTGTGGTACCACAGGCAAAAATCGGCTTTCTTAATCTTTCTGGCGGTAATTTTGAATGATTGAGAAGTTGACAAGAGCTCAGTCAACCGACAGTTACTAGTGTTCTGGAAAGATGCGGATCCAGCTGCTGCTGAAGAGGCGACTCCGGCGTCACGCGCAGTGACGGTTTGCTGCTCCTCCATCATTCTTCTTCGCTCCTCAAACCCCTCCTCAATCGTCGTCACCAAGTGCGATACCGGCGCCAAACCATCCAACATCCGCCATGGCTAGCCCGAGTGGCCCGCGATTCTCGATATTGATCATCAATCCAAACACATCAACGCATATGACAAGTGCGCTAGTCCCGATCTTGGAGAACCTTGGATATTCCGACGTCCACTTCGATTACTTTACAGCTCCTGAAAACGAGATCGTCACCCTTCCAGATGGCCGAGTCATTCACGGCGTGCCCAGCATAAACTCTGGAGAAGATTCGGTCCTGTCAGCCCTTCACTGCAGACAATTTGTGGAGCCGCTAGTCTCGAAGTACGATGCGTTTCTCGTCGCCTGTTATTCCGCACACCCTCTCGTTGGAATGATTCGCGAAGCTATAGAGAAGCTTGAAGATGCAGCAATACTAGAACTTGGTTCAGCAGCAAACGTCAGGAAGAAGTATGTGACGGGGATCTTTGAAGGGAGCATAGTGGCGTCTCTATCATTTGTTAGCTCTTTCCAGCTAACTTGGGATGGTGGCTTCGGCAAATCGCAAGCAAAGGATGCATTTGGCATCGTCACGACCGGTAGCATCTGGAAGACTGAGCTCACGAACGCTGTCTCGGATATGCTCGTCAACTCGGGTGACCATACATCATCCCTGGGACGCTTTGCTGGGGTCGAAACCACAGGACTCACTGCCGTTGAACTACATACCACCCCTCCTGAAGAGGTGCGGCGCAGGATCATTGAGGCTACCGAAATATTGATCAGAGGAACCCCGCGCCCTGTCACGGCAATCTGTATGGGCTGCGCCGGTATGGCCGGCATGGAGGAAGCAGTGAGAGAAGGATGCGTCAAGGCATACGGCAGGAAACAGGGCAGCCGCGTGAAAATTGTTGACGGTGTTGTTGCTGGTGCTGGGATGCTTGTGACTGCTTGCAAAGCTGGTTTCTGAAGGGACCTCCTGGCTTCTGTGAACTGATTTGGTAAGTGCATGGTGATGGGAGTAATATAGGTTTAAAGAGGCCATCAAATTGCCCCAATAAAATCCCAAGGTCGATAATCCATCCGTGGTGGCATTCAGGAATGATCTTGGTAGAATGGTGCTGGGGTCGACAATTGAAAGAGACTACATTGGTCCATTCTGCGCCTTTTGATATGACAAGGCCTCGAAGAATTGGTGCTGGCGCTTTCAAATTGATGTTTACTATTTGTAGCGATTCAAGCAGCAAAATTTATCATGTTTCCTTTAGAAAGGTGATTGCAATTTAAGCTCCTGCGTCATTTTCCTGCGGCCTGAGGCCGACATCGAGATAAATCAAACCAAGTGAAACGCGCGACGCGTTGACGACCACCTTCCCCGAAGTCAGCCCAAAAGATGCCTAGGTATGCCGCAGCTTTCCAGCGCTATGCGCACTTAGCTTATCACATTCTCGCTGATTCTGACCTTTCATATAGGGAAATTATCACAATACAAGCTGGCCAATGCGGCAACAATGGTACGAACCTTCGTCACAAAGCCTCCCGACCGAGCAACCCCCATCACCATTCAAAACTTTGGGCTATTCGACACCAGCATGCAGTCTAATACTGACGGAGCTTATCTGCAGTTGGAAGTCAATTCTGGCAACAGCTATGCATGGAGCATGGAATAAGTCAAGATGGAAATTTGGAGGAGTTCGCGACTGAGGGTGGTGATCGCAAGGATGTTTTCTTCTACCAGGTAACCGAACAATCCCTCTTGAAGCCCGCGGTCTTGTAGAAAATGCTAATCCGCTCTTTATTAGAGTGACGATACCCGATATATTCCCCGAGCGATCTTATTAGACTTAGAACCGAGGGTACGATACTCATCTGGGGGAGCTTTGCGGGCAATTAGCTGAAGCGTCTCAATCAGGTTCTCCATAGCATTCAATCCGGTCCCTACAAAAACATTTACAACCCAGAGAATTTCTTTATCGGACAGCAGGGCATTGGTGCCGGAAACAACTGGGGTGCTGGTTATGCGGCTGGTGAGGTTGTCCAGGAGGAGGTCTTCGATATGATCGACCGAGAAGCGGACGGAAGTGACTCGCTGGAGGTAAAGTTGCCGAGCTTTGGAAATTGGATATGATGGGAATGATACTGACTTTGATAGGGGTTCATGTTCCTACACTCGATCGCCGGAGGTACCGGCTCGGGATTGGGAAGTTTTATTCTGGAACGCATGAACGACCGGTTTCCGAAGAAGTTGATTCAGACATATTCTGTTTTCCCGGATACCCAGGCTGCGGATGTCGTCGTGAACCCTTATAACAGTCTTCTTGCTATGCGACGTCTGACCCAGAATGCCGATTCTGTTGTAAGTCCGCACATATGTCTCGAAACTATCGCGCACAACTAAATCATGGTACAGGTGGTCCTGGATAACGGAGCTCTCTCACGAATTGTCGCAGACCGACTTCATGTCCAAAACCCTTCATTCCAGCAAACGAACCAACTTGTACGTACCAATCCTATCAAACAGCATTGGAGAGGCATCCGACTGACACTCTGCAGGTTTCTACTGTCATGTCCGCCTCCACCACTACCCTTCGATACCCCGGCTACATGCACAACGATCTTGTCGGAATCATTGCCTCACTCATCCCCACCCCCCGCAGCCATTTCCTACTCACCTCGTACACGCCATTTACCGGAGATAATATCGAACAGGCGAAGACTGTCCGGAAGACAACTGTACTCGATGTTATGCGTCGTCTTTTGCAGCCGAAGAACCGAATGGTTTCGATTAACCCTAGCAAATCGAGCTGCTACATCAGTATCCTCAACATTATTCAGGGCGAAGCAGATCCGACCGATGTGCACAAGTCACTGCTCCGTATCCGCGAACGACGCCTGGCATCGTTTATACCCTGGGGTCCTGCGAGCATCCAGGTGGCTCTAACAAAGAAGTCGCCGTACATCCAGAACACACATAGAGTCAGCGGACTGATGCTGGCGAACCACACATCTGTTGCCACTCTGTTCAAGCGAATCATCCAACAGTACGACCGTCTTCGAAAGCGCAACGCATTCCTGGAGCAGTACAAGAAAGAGGCGCCTTTCCAGGATGGTCTTGACGAGTTCGACGAGGCGCGAGCTGTGGTCACGGACTTAATTGGGGAGTATGAAGCGGCAGAGAGAGAAGACTACCTGGACCCTGATGCAGGGAAAGATAAGGAACTTGGAGTCTAAAGGCTGTACTTTTGGAGCTCACGGTTCTTATCTTTTCTTATTTATTTTACGACCCTGAGAACGGCTTGGTGTATTCAGAGGAAAAGGCGTTTTCATTTTATTTTCTGATGTGGATGCTTGCTTTTTTTCGCATCTCGTTATTTGGCGCGGATACTTCGTCAAGGAGAAATGTAAGAAATCTGTCACAAAGCTATTTTGAATTTTCCTGCGGTATCAAGCGATCTCCGGCTCTCCTGCTGCAGGTCAACTGTGCTTAGAACTCAGGACTCGACATAAATACATCTTTATCAAACCTTGGGTAGTGGACTCGTCGTCTCAATAAAATCCAGAGAGGACAAGAGCCTCGAGATATCAGCGCTTCGCCCAATTTAGTCAAATAATCGCTCCCGAACTGTCCAGCGTTGCAGATGCAATGCAAAGTCAAAATTCAAGAGTGAGTGGATGCAGGAATTCGCTTCCCCGCTCTTCTCCGCACGGCTGCAGACGTTGTGGATCAGAACTCAACTGTACGGATGGGGCCTGAAGAAAAGCCGAGTTAAGTCCCTCTGGTCTCCGGCTCCTCACGCCAATGAGTTGGTGAACCATTGTTGCTGCATGTTGCCACTGGAATAGAGGCTTGACCATTCGGTTAGCTGGCAAGTGGCCATGGCCACTGCAGACCTAGTGGCTGCCCAGGCCGGCCCCTTCGAATTCCCGGACTTTCGCCGCGTTGGGGATTCATAGTTTGATACCGATATCGATCATAGCGGCCGGAAGGTTATCGTCCGAGACGAGGGAATTTCCTACGGTTCGTCTTCGACAGAGACTAAAATGTAATTGGAGTAAGGGTGCGTACGCTACTGAAGCTATCGATGGAGTCACAGCGGCGGTGAACTGCCCAGGTGTCAAGCATCCATGCCCAAGATGAGGGGGTTTAGTACCTATCATGAGATACGGGGAGCTTCGAAGTTGTCCCTGTTGGGACAGCCATTGTTGCTGCCGGGAACTGGATCTGCTCGCCTGCAGCCAGCACGGACGCACCAGCCATGGACGGATCTGCATCCTGTCCTTGGGCTGGTGGTGTGCGACTGCCACGACCATCTGGCAGTCTATCCATTGTGCGGGTTCCAAGGTTGTAGCTGCGAATGTTGTATAAAGGTACGAGGGCTCCGTACCACTTGATGCGTCCACGTTGGACAGTTGCTCTCGAAAACTACTACCTTCCAAAGTCCCCGTGAGTAAAGTACGAGACATTTTGTTGTGACTGAAGGAATTGCAGAAACGGCAGCTGAGATCGGCCCGACTCATGTGATTCTTTCCCAGTCAGAGGATTAAGATTTTGTTGAGCCGAGAGTCAGTCACCTGTTCCTATCCTGCTTTTTTTCCCTCGAGCTGGGCTAATGGACTGACGAGCAGGGGGACAGTTTAGACCAGAATGCACAGACGCTAACCTCGCCCAGGACCTGGATTGCTGAGATGGCGTGCATTGGTTGATTGGCAAGGTCGTGCAGCGGTTGGGTTGGAAATCTTGTTCAAGGGGGGTCAACCTGTACTTATTTCCAATTTCTTCTGCTGAAGCTCTACGCCCTCCCAGCAATGGCGACATTGAGAGTTGTGGTGGTTGAGCATGACGCCATAAGAATGGGCGTCCAACTGACACCTATGGGAGACATAATCACTGAGCAGCACCCGTCGTCAGCTGGGGTCAGGATAGGTAATAATGAAATGAGCCTTGAGTCAGTGCAAAGAACAATGAAATCTGGGTCAGGATGATTAATAAAGCAGCGAATATTTCGGCATACCCAAGTTGCAGCGCTTCCTGGAAGCTTCCAGGGCTCCACCTCGCCTCATACTAGTGCTAATTATACCGGAGTAGTCGTGAGATACTCCTTTGGTAACGTCCCGACTGCGGCGATCCCTTTTTGAGTCAGCCAGGCTGTCCATGAGGCGATTCCGTATAAATTGACTTTGCGCTGCTTTCGCCTCTGCGCTGACCCCTTCTTCTCCTTCTCTACCAGTCTTTGTCCTTCTTCTTTCACTTCCGAACTTTGGTTTGCCTTTGACCGTTCCAGAATCTCGGTCTAGTCTGCCTCCTATATATACCGCTGCCTCCCGTACATAGGCCCAACTCCGTCTTCATACCTCCGTCCTTATCTACCTCTCCTTATCTCCTTCGCATCCCCAACTCGTCCTTGTGACCGATCCTCTAGTACTTTACCACGTCATCCTCACCCTCTCAACACTCTTGACCTCTCAACCGCAATTACCGCTTCTTTGACGGTTCATTCCGGAAATTAGGCTTCCGACAAGCAACTTACAACCTCTCATCAGCCGTTTCAAACCGTGAATCAGACTCCCGGTCCGACTTCGGCACGTCTCCCTATCCTTCTCCATCCGCGCCTCTTACGTTCTCTCGCCACCACACAACATGGCTCCCCGTAAGCCTCGCTGCAACTTCAAGGAGTGCAAGGAAGCCGCCCAGCGCATTGTTGGTGACTGCACCTTTTGCAACGGCCACTACTGCTCCAAGCACCGCATGCTTGAAGCCCACTCGTGCACTGGGCTCGAGGATTGCAAGAAGGAATCCCACGCCCGGAATGCGGACAAGCTCAACAGTGAGCGAACTCAGGTCATCAAGGGTGTATGAGAGCACCTTTTGTTGCCCCTTTTTGTTCGCTCTCCGCCGAAATGGCACGATCTCCTCATACGGTTCCGATTGTCGGCAGTTGACCGCTTCGCTCCATACAATTCGCCTCGTGGCCTCTTTCTTCTGGCTTATTTGTCGCTGTTGAGCATCTTCATTTATGGGCTGGGTATTCATCTACGTTATCATTTCTTCCCGCATTACATGCGCGGCGTTAGACCTGTGTGGAGTTTGTCTTTGGTTTCTTCCTATTATTGCATGGCATGGAGAATCGCGGTAGCCCTCGACGTCTTGCGATCGGCGACAACTCGCCTGACTACCGCCTTTTCTTCCCCTCGCGGTAGAGGTCTTGGTCTCATTTTGGGTGATTCATCGTGTCCATTGGCGTGTCACATAGCCAGACGGGTATGGGTATATACACTGCATATTATTGACCTATCATTCGTTTCTCCTCTGTAAAACAACGTAGGGCAGCTAAAGCGTGGCCGTGGAGGTAGCCAGGAGCAACCTGTTGCTCGAGCCAGTAAGCGTGCAGAACGTAGCCAGCACCATCCCAGCAGCGCCAGTGCTCACTTAGGTAGGGACTTGTTGCCTGGTTCCCCGGATGGGTAAGTACATAAGGCAGTTGACAATTGACACCGAAAAATGAAGCAGACGCCGTCCTTGAAGCAAGATTTCAGAAACCCATTCTTGGGCTCTCGGCCCTTAGCCTGGACCAATCTTCGGCCTGTTCATGGTTGATTAGCCACTCGGCGCTTAAGTAGCAGACTATGAGAGTGAGAAATGCATACATATCGTGATGTTCACTCAGCCGGCTCAGGTACTTATTCAACTCCTCCACTCGCTCCTTATGAGTCTTGACTCCATCACGCTTCAGACGTTCTTGCAGCTGTACGCGCATTAGCAATGCCCGTCGCCATTTCTGGAAGTTGACAGTTGAGAAACAGCCCAGGGATAATCCAACAATATAAAAAAGCAAATGCTGGAACAAAAAGCAACAAAAGTACGTTCCCCTTCTCCATAACCAGTGGTAGACAAAGGTCTAGAATGGGTAGAGCAAAGAGAGGGGAAGCAAAAGAAAACATGCATGCAACATACCCGTTTCTTCCTCATCTCCTCATGCCGCCTCTCAGCCTCCGTCTTCACAGCCGGAGTCGCGGAACTTTCACGGTGGCTCTGGTCCTCATCGTCATCACGCCCGGCTGATGACCCCTCCCTCGACCTCGACCGGCTCTCAGCGGCTTCTTGCTGTGATGCGAGGTCCGCGGAGACGTCTCTGTCCTTCTCCTTTTCGGTACCAGGGGTCGAAGCTGACGAGCTCTTCTTGCTCTTCTTTTTCTTGACCCGGCCGTCACTCACTTTTGAGCCTTTCAGTTTGAGCTTTCCGCCGCCGCCGGATGAGTAGGCATCCATGGTAGCAAACCAAGTGGGTAGGTTGCCTACTACCTGACTGAGTGCGGGATTTCGAGGTGACTTCGATATTGTTACAGTTGTAACTTGTTGAAGAGCGAGAAAGTGACGGAATAGGTGTGGCTGCGGCGCTGCTTTAAGCAGATCATGTGACCTGGCTCCAGGGAGGCAGCTGATAAGCAAACTTGGAATACGCACCAAACTTTATGACTTGCATATTACTGAGTACTCTCTATCCTCCGTTTGGATATCTCCTCTCGGGCAGACCAGTATAAAGCATATGGGCATGTACTTGGGCTGTAGAGGCCTTCGGCGCTGGATATCGATAAGAATAATCACGCTAACCGTAATGGGAGGCGAACATGGTCCCCAGCCGGCCAATTTGACATCATTCCTGACCCTCTCCTTGACCGTTGCTTAACTTTTCGTTCAACAAAGCCAGCAGCCTTTCGAGATCGCATCATGGCGTCAAATACAGAACTCTCCTCAAAGCCGAAGATAGACCTCTCACAGAAGTTATCACAACTCAGAGCCGCAAAACAGGGGAAGTCTGGAAGTTCCAGAGATCCAGCTCCGGTCACCCCTCAGCTACCGGATCTACCAGACCTATCCCTCAACAAATATTCTCACCCTGTCCGTCGAATTCTCACGAGGAGAGATCTTGAGACATTTCGGTCGTCCCCAACCTATACCCTCGTTCTCGCCTTCATCTTCGGTCTCTCGGACTCAGTGCGGGGCCGCGTCGCTTCCTCTGCAGAAACAAACACCTCGTCACCCAATATCTCCAAGATCCTTTCAATAGTCGATAATGTCCGGACTCTCGTCGAGAAAAATCCATCTATCGATCAAGGCGGCTCTCGATTTGGTAACCCCGCTTTCCGCGACTTATTCGATGATGTTGCCACTCAAAGCACAGCATGGCACCGAGATATCCTGGGAATAAACGACGAAACGGCCATTGAAGAGATATCTACATACCTGATTCACTCTCTAGGATCGAGGGACAGACTTGACTATGGCTCGGGGCACGAGCTGAATTTCATGATGTGGCTGCTCTGTCTGCGACAGCTGGGTATATTTACAAGGGCGGATTTTGAGGCTGTCGTATTCCACGTATATGTCCGCTACATGCACCTCATGCGGGATGTTCAGTCCACATATTATCTCGAGCCTGCCGGCTCGCATGGTGTCTGGGGCTTAGACGACTATCACTTCCTGCCATTCCTGTTTGGTGCGGCGCAGCTTGTTGGACACCCATATATTACGCCCTTGGCCATTCACAATACTGCCATCTTGGATGAGGAGGGCGATCGATACCTCTATCTTGACCAGGTGCGGTGGGTCGACAGTGTCAAGACGGTGAAGGGTCTTCGGTGGCACAGTCCCATGCTGGATGATATCTCTGGGGCCAAGAACTGGATCAAGATCGAGAGCGGGATGAAGAAGATGTTCGTCAATGAAGTTCTCGGTAAGCTGCCCATTATGCAGCACTTCCTGTTTGGGAGTTTGCTTCCCGCGGAGACGGGTATGGGTGAACTGGCAGACGAGGACGATGGACACGATCATGAGCACGGTGATGGCAACGTGCACGATCATAGCAAACATACGGATTACTTTGGCGATTGCTGTGGAATCAAGGTTCCGAGTACTGTTGCTGCTGGGGCAGAAATGCGGAAACGGATGGGCGGAAACTCGAGTCTGCGGCCCATCCCCTTCGATTAAATACTCTTTGGGGCATACCATAACAGGAAGGAGCGGAATTTCTAGTATGAGGAAAGAGCAACCCATACCATGGCCGTTTGCACCTTCCTTACGAACACAATTATCTATCTCGATTCGGAAGGTACGACGGAAGATATTTGACGGGTTGATGATCGCGCCTTCTCTATGAAAATAAGCTTTGATTGGGAAGGAGCGATCAGCACCCTTGTTCTCCGTACTTCCTTGCGAAAAAGCGGCATGTGTTGCATTCACAAGGAAGACCGATAAAAGTCACTCAATCCTACCTACTTTTCCATATGATATCCACAGCTCCAGAGGCTTGGAGTATGGAAGACTTATTGCTTGTTGAACGGATTTTACACTATACATACTCCAACATCAACTAACAGGCCTTCTAATCAGGCCCTGATCTTTTCTAGTGCATTGAGGGCTCGATAGTACCTTGCTGGTTTTTGAAGACATGATGTCGGAAGCGTTGTGCTGAATCTATCTGTAGAGTAAGTATAAACATCCGAACCTCGGGGAGCTACTGATGACTCCTCATTTGCCTGTTTTGTGTTTTGGCATGAATACATTTGTCTTTCAAAGATGCTTGTATGTTGGCTTAGCAACAACAAGGGAGCCATGAGAACAAGCATACATTCATGCTTGATATCTTAAGAAAGATCAAAGATAGTGTGTCGCAATGCACTGCCTTGTTGGATGGTATAATGTCGCTTATCACTTCAAAACATTATGATTTGTTGTCTTTTAACTCTCCCCTCTCCTTCACCATATCGGCTATACCCTTGCCAACATCCGTACCCAGTTTCTGGAAACCCTCAATAACACCCTGACGATCACCCTGGCCCATTTCCTGACTCATCTTGAACTTTCCCTGCAAGCGATCGATAGTGATCTCAATCCCGATGATGTTCTTCTTCAGGAGATCAACATAGTTGACCGGCGCATCTGAAACTTCCCAGGGCGAGGAAGAACCCATAATCTTCGTCTCAGACTGCCTCGATAACTCCTCAATCTGTGTCTGCAGAAATGTTGACGTCTCCTCAGACTTTGAATCGCAGTATACCCGGATCTTTCCGTACGCCTGCGCAGCAGCATAATTCCATGTAGGAACGACCTTCCCCGTGGCGGGCTTGGTCTCGGTGTAGAACTTTGGCGTCACATAGTGGTGATGCGGCCCGTTGAAGAGGATCAGGACCTCGTCTGATAGCTCAAGCCCCGCCTTGCCTTGCTCTTGCTGCGCGGCTAAGGCTTCCATAAGTGCTTTTGCCTGTGGATTCTGCTTGGCCATGTGGCCGCGTAGAACTCCATTTGAGAGGCCGCCATCGGGCGTTTCGGGAACATCTAGCACAAATGGAATATGGCTAGATTGGATGAGCGGGTACTGAGGTGATTTGATTGCCGTGGTTAGAATTCCAAGTGGGTTGTCGCGGATGAGTTGTTGGAGGATTTGGATTTGGGCTTCTGCGTGAACAGCGCGGAGATACATGTTGGAGGTGGGGTGTCGAAAACTGCTTACAGGAGAAGCTGAAACTTGGACCTGGAACAAGGCACTTCCAGTTCTTATAGAGTGCCCTCTGAAAGTTGGAGTCATCGTTTCTATAGAAATTCTTTAATCAACGACCTACCATTGGCTGCCTTTGCCGAAGGACTGCGGGGCCGTCGCCGAACTTCCAAAAACGCTCAAGGGCGCGCCTTGCTCGACTCCACTTTTGATCTTTCAGATCTATCTCGAGATTGAGGCTCGCTGCTTCGTTCCGGGCCAAACCATTCAAGGTCGCAAGGATGATAGCCCGGTGCTACTATACCAGATAGCGCTCAGCCGACCCCCTGGGCAGTGGCCACATCAGGCGATGGTCGCCCCGCACAACCCATATCACGTGGTTTCTTTGTTCCTTTGTTGATGATGTCCAACAGTGCTGGCCATTCTCAAACTTACTCTGTGCAACCTTTACCAGTTATATTGACCTCGAATCTTACGTCTCCACTGTGAGGCAGCATGGGTCCTCACTGTGAATTTGGTTCGAGTTCCGGCATGCCAAGGAAAAGGACAGCGGCACATGGGCAAGCATGCATGCACTGCTTCAAGACCAAGTCAAAGTGCGTCAAGTTGAGCAGCGATTCAAGCTGCGAGCGTTGTACTCGACTCAGGAAGGAATGTGGACCGGCGGACTCACTTCGGAAGAAACCGTCTCAGAAGACCTTCAATACAGACGCGTTGCTTGCAGACTCGAGGAAAATGTCCCCGGTCTTACGATGTTCCTGTATTCGGCTACCGAAAACTTCGCCAGTTCCTTACCCCCTGCACTGAATGAAGCTATCGAAAGACGGCGTCAAATAAAGCAAAACATGGATCAGAAAAGAGTAGGGGGTGGCGAAGAAGAGCCGCGCGCCGGCGAGATGCCCGCGCCTCTGGGGTACGAGCAATTATCCAGAAGAAGAACAGAATCGTCTTTCTATTTTCAGGGATCGGAAGCTGAAAAACCTCGCCTTTATGTATCTGCCCTCAGATCTAACGGTTCAGCAACTCCGCAAGGAAAAGCCGCTCTTAACGAAAGCCATCATGGCTATTAGTTGCTCATCACTCGAAGAGAAGCGATCCCGTGCAGATGACCTGGAAAAGGCGATCAGCCAGGCTTCTGCCGAAAATACTGAGTCGGGTCTCGATTTGTTGCTCTGCGCGTTGACTTACGTTACATGGGGATTTTACCAGTTCATCAAGACAGAGATGCACTGTTTGCGCCTTCCTCAGCTGACAGTGTCCTTGGCTAATGAGCTTTGCTTGGAAAAGCCAATAAAATTCAGATCAGACGAATGGCCGGATGGGGTGCCCTTTTTAGATCAGCGGGGATTTGACCCAGGACTCCCTATGGACTCGGCTCAGCAATCTCTGGAGGAGGAGAGGGTAATTTTGGGATGTTTCACCATAATCTCCATGTGCGTGTTTATGACATATTTTGGTGCCGGCTTGGTCTTTTTTTTATGGCTAACATGGGATGAACCACGCTAGATATTCATTCAAGCTCAACCAAATGTCGCCGATGCGCTGGACACCTCAGTTGGGGGGGTACCTCAATGATGTAGAGAAAGCCCGTCAGTGTCCGACGGATGAAATTCTTGCCATTCAGGTATGGCTACAGCTACTTATACAACAAGCTAGCGAGCAACGAAACCAGTGGTCTCAAGCAACCACGCCTGGTATAGCAGCAAATTTCACCGAGCCCTTTCCATCCTCACTTCATTTCAAAACGTTTCGAACGAAACTACAAGATATTCAAGCGTCTATACCACAAAATCTTAGAGAAGACAGCAAGTCCCCCCAAATTGCACTGCACTCTTTGTGAGTTGAGGCGGATCTGCTGACGAATTCCAACCCTAGAACTCGTAATTGCGTATCTGAACGAAGCTTCTATAAACATATACGAGACTATTTACGCTGCTTATTTGGAATCCGGTCACTCCAGTTGCCGGCCATTATCCCCGTTGCACTTGCTTCAATGTCACCTCTCGTCCCTGGAGGCATTGGACTCCTGGCTCAACAACTTTTTCGCCTTTCCGGTGTCAGAGTACCCTGATTTCAACTTTGGTATCTGGATGCAATTGATGCGCTGCCTTACCGTACTGCTCAGACTATCGATACCCTCAGACTCTGGTCGCGATCACCAAATAGTCCGCAAGACAGCCAATGTTGTGGTGATGGCGGATAGAGCTTTGGAATCACTACACAGGGCTTCAATTTATGCAAAGGAGACCTCACCTGAGGATTTGTTTGGGATCTTCTGCAACATTACAAGGTCATTTCGTATTCACGCAGTTTCCCAATTGCGCAATGCAGAACAGGAGCGAGCAGTCTCCGACGCTGGAAACCAAATACAAGAATTCTGCGACACACCAGAGGGGGCTCTGGAGTGGAGTCTGATCGAAAAGATGCTGACTACTGATGACAACCTGACCTGGGATCGATTCATGAAAAAGAGCTCCGAGCCTTCCTGATATCAATTCTCGGCGCTGGAACAAAACTCGGCACCGAAAGTTCTTGTCGAATCAGAAAGTTTACCCGCATGGCATCCGCCTTGATACGGCGCTCTTAATCATGAGCCCTGCTGTATCTAAGCTCCAGAGCTGTTAGTGCCTCCTGTATACGATGTCTTCGAACTCCTGCTTTTTCTATTCTCAAAGGCATTGAAAAAGATAATACCATGCGCATGAAAACTGTCGAGGGCGGCTCCTAGTATTAAGTACTAGCAGTATGCGATATATATAGCACATCACTACGGACAACACTTGCGCGATTTCCTTCTTTCGTTAGTAATATAACCTCGCATCTCCCGCAAAACAAAATAGAGGGAGACGACTTGACGCCGACTCCTTCAGTACCCACTAGAGCTCCCCAGACTTGACTCTAGATCAACTTCCTGTCTTCCATATTTCCAAAGCTCTTTGCGCCGCATCGACGAAGCGATGTTGCTCAGCCATCTGAAAATTGCTCTCACGTCACAACATTCTGCAACTGAAAGCAAATAATAAGTGTCCTAGGGAGGTATTTTGCGTTATTACTGGTGCGGAACCTCAGTCATGTCCAGACAAGCTTTCTGTTTGTCGTATTTGAAGTATTTTGTTCAATGGAACTGCTCACTGACCTTGTGTTATCTTCCCAGACGTTTCCTGTGGCCCGACTACGCACCATACCCGACTAAGAAACCCTAGTGTTCACGGCAAGCTTATGGTTCTTCAACGAAAAGGACAATACCATTGGAAGGCTATGCGATCTCACCAAAGTTGAACCGGGTGAGCATTGGGTTATGGTCGTCAGCCCGTAAAGATAGCCCCAAACCAAAGAGCATCTTGCCACTCGCCATTGCCCAGGACAACCCTTGGGGGCGCAGTGTGCGACATTCTAGGCCTTGACTATGGAAGCTGTTCTCTTCGCCCGTTTAGTCGTGTTGGACATGAAATCATACGCATCCCCATAGCCCGTCTAAACGTCGAACAACTGGATTCATCAGGTCCTTGCACCGACACACAAGGCGTGATAAACATTTTCTCACCAGGCCGGTAATAGCCGCCTCGGATTAGTGAACCCCGATGGTAATCCTTCAAACGCTGTCGCCATTGGTAGATCGATCCCCGGAACTGAACCAGGGCTGGCTACTATTCGCTGGGGTTTGGAGCTTGCTAGATCGATATCCGAACTGCTCCTGAGTGGAGACCTTTATTCTTCTACGTCTCGGTATGCTATCTAACAAGATGCGTAGCCTCCAACAAGTATCTAAGGTGAGTAGTGTATGATCTCAAAAGTTCAATGGCTGACACGGGCGAAGCGTTCCCCTAGGCCGTGGCTCTCTCCTGAATGGCTCGTTTGCGTTCTTTGCGGAGGTTTCTGGCATAACTAACGCCAAAGCCATGCTCAAACACTTCTTTGATCTCCTCGAGGACGAGCCCCGAAACTTCTGGGTAGAAGAAGTAGATCAAGAAATAGCTGACGCCACAAATCCCGGCGTAGAAGCCAAACGCACCGGACATGGTCATGCCGTGTATCATGGACAAGAACGTACTGGAAATAATGACGTTGCTTGCCCATGCGGAACAGGTCATCCACATGGTTCCCATTGCTCGCACCTCAAGAGGGAAAAAGTCGGCGCTCATCCATGCCGTGTTGCCCACGGACACGCCGTAGAAGATGACGAACCAGATGATGAACACCAGCACAGCTATTGCTGCGCCGCTCACCGGGCCAGACTCCACCTCTGTTGCATTAATATCCACATGGATGTAGCGGCAGGCGATTGCAACGGCTATCAGACCAGTTGACATACCCCACACAGTGGACAGGAGCAATCGTCGGCGGCCAATGCGATCGACCAGCATCATGTTGACAAAGGTCATGATGAAGTTGGTTCCAGCAACCACAAGACCAACGGCTGTCGGGCTATCGAAACCCACCAGGGCGAACACAGTGGAAGAGTAATACATCAGCGTGTTGAAACCAGAGATTTGGGAAATAACCATGAGGCCACAGGCGCAGAGAAGGGCTCGGAAGTTGCTGGGGACTGTGTGCAATTTTACAATCTTTGCCCATCCACCCTCATCGCCGCTGATAGCACGCGCTTCCTCGCATCCGGCCTGGATAGAGGCGAGAACCGCCTCGATTTGAACGTCACTGGCACCACGATAGATCTTGCGGAGAACCGAACGAGCTTCGTCAATCCGGCCATTATATACAAGATGGCGAGGAGATTCGGGGCAGAAGGGCATCAAGCAGGCCATGATGATGGGAGGCAGACCACCGAGGCCAACCATGTACCTCCATCCGTGAGGGACGCTGGCAAAGGCAGCGCCGATGGCATAAGCGATGACCTGGCCTCCAGTAATGGACACATTGTTCAGACCGATCAACCGTCCACGGGCCTTTGACGGCGCGATTTCCGCGACATAAAGTGGGACAATCATTGCAGCAGATCCGACGCCAAATCCAACAATGACACGGCCGACGCACATCTGGGCAAGGGAGTACGCAGCGGCCTGCAAGACGGCACCTATAACAAAGAGGACGCAGCCCAGGTAAATTGCAGGTTTGCGGCCAAACTCGCGAGCTGGTCAGCATCACTAATCTACGGCACTTGAGAAACACGTACCCTGTCTGCGGTATTTCCCGCAAAGATCGCACCGAAAAACGCACCCCCAGAACATAGCGACGTAATGAGTTCCTTTTCGGAGTTTGTAAGGTGACGACCACCGAGGGCATCCTTGATGTAAACCAGCACAGCGGAGATGATACCAGTGTCGTAACCAAATAGCATACCCGCTATCGAAGCGGACAATGCTACTAGCCAGACGAATAAGCTGATTGGGATGTTGTCGACATCAGCTGCCACGGTAGCGTCGACGGCGAGAGCCTTGTCAACGGACTCGATATGGTCGCCGGCTTTGGCCAGGTCATCGAAGCTCAGTCTCTTTTCATCGGTCGACATGATTGCGGATGTGAACTGAACCGACTGTCAAGAGATCGAAAGGTATACAGACGAGACGAGGAAAAGAGATGTAAGCAAATGGTTATATCAGAATTGGAAAGGTAAGGTTGAATGGTTGGTTGAGAGGGACAAACCACAACAAACCCGACAACCTCGCTGCCACAAGGCCCTATATATACTCACCTCCAGCGTTTCCATGGCCAGGAATGTTCCAGTCGCCCAGAGATGGCATGCTATCGTCCTACTCTATCCGGTAAGGTGCAGTTACGATGTGGGCAGCCAATGAGGACGGGATCCCCAACTCCAATAGCCGAAAGTGCGGAGGAAACCACGAGAAATCCGGGGATGCGGCGGGGAAAGTTTCCCTTCCGTCTCCAGACCGTTGTTCGCTCTAGTCCAGGACGAGTACAGCGCCAGGACTCCATCCCGCTCCAGCCAATCCTCATCAGCAGTTGTCTTGCTTCTCTCGTCATCGTCTTGTCTTCAAGTTCGGACGGCCTCCGTGGTTCAGTCAGGCCGTCGATCCTCCATCCTTTCCCCCCGGACCCGCCCAGCTTCGAGGATCGATCCTGGGTCGAGTTCCCATTCACTATGGTATCCCAGTGAGAATAATATTTTTCTATCGCGCGGAAAGAGAGCACTATAAATTTGTGGACAATATTCAGCTTACCCACTACAACGGTGGACAAATTGTGGAAAACTCATGTGGAAAACTTCATGTGGAAAGCCATGTTAACGGAGGATCGCCGACGGGAGCGGAATAGATTTCCCTGCTGGTCCAAAGCTATTCCCTCATCCACGACAGGAACAAGCACAATATCAAAGGATGCTATAGGCAGGTATCGCCAAGTCATGCATGATCTGTGCTTACTGCTAGAGATCGCAATTCCGACTTTTGAGGCCTGTTGGATCTACGACTCATTCCCATGACGGCATTCCAGGCACTGCTCCGGAAGCTGGCATGAGCTACCTTGAAGCGTAATTCAACCAGTCAACAATACTAAGCGTCACACTGGACATCCAGTACATGCACTTTGATACCTAACGAAAACAGGCGGTTCTCTGATAGGAAAGGGGAACCCGGAAGCTGATCCTTCAAGAAGAATTGAAGCAACCTTACCGACTCAGCCTCACCTCTGGCAGAATAATGTTTCAGATTTCATTAGTGTGTTATCTTGTCCATCTCGCATTTAATCCCTCAGCATCGGGTTTTGAAGCTGCCACTATCATGATATCACTCTCCAAACATCCCGTCGTCCAGCTGCCAAGATTCTCCTTCGGTCAGATGCCAGTGGTATGATCAGAACCTGATTGCCTCAGGTAGAGGAGAAGACTGTGGCAGGGGAATGAAGAGATTCGGTGGCGCCATACTCTCTAGCTTCGAACAGAAGAAGACTTTCCTGATGTTTCGCATTGCGCCTCACGATTTAGAGAATATAGATTGGTCTTTGCGACTCATACTCAGCTCATCAGAATATTTGCGCGAGTTAATCAATCGGAAATATGCTTCTGAGCAGACGCCGACACTGACCTCGATGCGCGCAACGGGGTTATCTGCTCCCTGATCCGAGTTCTATCGTCCGACGTCAATTCACAATCCGGATATTTGGGGACGGAATTCGTTCCAAAGCCTACCGCTCATCCGTTGGGATCCAGAAACCCGAATTGTGCTGTGCCCTGCAAGTCCTGGGTCTTGATGGAGGCCAACTGCTCGTGAAAGTGACCTAGTATACTCCGTAGGGCCTCGAACCGTCGCAGCTATTTCCTTCTCAGCACTACTGCGCTAGTGCGCTAGGTCATCTCCTACGTAGCCGTAAGCCAATTTTACGGCAATTGAGATACTACCAAGACTCCATTTATTGGAGCTTTCAGGGCCCTGTTAGAGTTAGCCTTACCTGGACGGCCTTTGGATTCAACATCTCGAAACAGCTTTTCCGAAGGCACTGCATCTGTCTCCCCGGTTTCTTTTGACTGTATGGCCTCGTATTCTGGAGAATTTATGTCGTAAAAGCAAGGGAAATGCTCACGGATCCTTGGACTAGCGCATACGCGTGTTTTGAGAACCATTCGTCGGCTTTCAAACCTGTCTTTTTGTCATATTTCAACTTGAGCCCATACACATATACCCACATATGATGTGGGTTTACAGTGGCCACACCTATTGTGTGGTAGAGATATTGACAACAGTCTCGCCTTGACATCTGGGCAATCTGCGCCAGTGGTACCTCCATCACAACTTCATTCCAATGCTTGAAAAGGACTGCTTGTTTAATCCGCATGCAAAGATGTTGTAATTCCAGCTTGGAAGCTTTCATAATCGGAAGGTACGAGCGGATCACCCAGCCTATTGCCTCCTTGTCTAGGGGAGAATTGGCAGAAGCAGAAGACTGTTGACCACCGATCGGATTTTTCCTGTCTCTCCTGAGCAGCTGGCAGTCCATAAGGAATTTACCTCTGCCAAAGATAAGCCGCTTTTCACTTTCCTTTGTTAGTCTCAGTATCATTTTCACTGCTAACAGGTCATGGAATCGCCCCAGACCCAGGTATTCCTTTAGTGCCTTTGCGCAAACTCCAATAGACACCACATGAGGTAGGTCAAGTCCCAGCAGAACATGGGATATAAGCCCTTTCTTACCGAAAGCAAGCACGGAGAGACTTCTTCATACAGCCTACCAAGTGACAACAGCAGAGCCACAAAACATCACACCAGACTCCTCATAACACTATGTACCACACATTTCAGGTTGGATCAACACCATCAGGATAACAAGGCGAGGCTATATCCTCTCACCACAACCCTGCGGTTGAGGACAGTATAAGGCGGACGCGAAGTTACACGGGCTCGAGAAGAACGAAGTCCGACGCAGACACTTCGATTTCTTGGTACGCTCGAGTCACGAAGGGGCGGCTTCGAGTTACAAATACGGGATCTCCATACCCATTACCTCGCACACTGCATTGCCTGACCCCAGTCGCTCTTCTCGGTTCTCACTCTCCTCTATATTATTCCACTATTGCCTCGCCCAACCAAAGGTCTTCACAGTCTCCAAGCTGTTCCGATAACCCAGCCCAGTGTCACGGATAGACCACGGTCACCTTGAAGTCGAAAGACGATGCTGTATTCTCCCTGCTTTACTCGAGCAGACCGCAACGAGCCTGTACAGGTTACACCGGTTCATTAAGGCCCAAGCATAATGTCACTCAGCTTTCCACACGTCTATATACATGACCACACATTCCATGGAGAACATGTGCTTCGAGACGGTACACAAGCAGCCCTTGCTACTGATCTGTACACGAATGTATCACGGGCACAGTCTTCCTTGTCTAACACTTCTAGAGACCTGGACATGTCATTCTCATGCGACGGGCTTCCCTTCCTGTCGTGTCCATGATGCCTACCTAGGTTGAGCGTTTCAACCAGGTCAGAGCGTAGTAGTAGTACGAATCATGGAGCATGTATACTTCTACCCATTTACTTCATCTCTTCTCTCGGCCAGTCGCTTTTTGGTGAGGAACTCAATCAATGAAATCATGACCCCTTCCCATATCTGTGGTTATTGCGCACCTACCCTAACCTATCCCTATCTTTCTGGGTTAGTGGATTGTACTGATGCCTTGGAGCTGCCTAAGCCATGGGCTGTTCTGATACTTGCTCATCCCAGAATCCCAGTGCGAGCTAATACCACAAGATAGGTATTTGTTCAGCCTGATTGAGGGTGTTACAACAGAACCATAAAATTAGGGTTTTATTCCCGTACACCAAAGACGGGAAAGGCACTCAACAGGCATACAGTCGCGAAAATGCATATGCTTACAAAGAAGGGACTAGATAACTAGTCATCTCGCTTATTAAATCTGATCCAACTCATTTATTCATTTGCCACATACGCTAGGATATCCATAGCGTTTGAAGATCACCAATATCTACCGGAAAAGAGACAGAGGGGAAAAAATTAAACCAAGTACAAAGCCAGGTGCTGAAAGCCACCAATAAAGGCTTCTCTTGCGGGCAACTTGGACACAAGAGGGAGTCACCAGCTTTATGTCTACTGAGTAGCCCTCTCGGGAACTTCGTCGTGCTGGACACCAGCGCGCTTCTCCTCGTCCGCGTCGAAGCCAGTCTGTTCCAGAATCGCCGCACGACCACGCTCGTTCTTCGTCTTCCAGGCGGGAGTACCAATGTAGCGAATACCGTTGGGGTTGGTAAAGATGGCCTCGACATCCTCGAGGGTCTTTCCTCCGGTTTCAGGAAACATGAAGAAGACATGGATGCACATGGCGGTACAGAAGACACCAAAGAGGATGTAGACTTTCCACTGGATGTTCACAAAGGCAGGAGGAACGAAGTAGCCCAGAGCGAAGTTGAACGCCCAGTTGGACGAGGTGCAGAGGGCGTTGGCCTTTCCACGGACACGGAGAGGGAACAGCTCGGGGGGGTAGACCCAGGAGACCGGGCCCCAGGAGATGGCATACACAGCCACGAACAGGTATGTACAGGCGATGACGGCCTTGCTGGGAGGTCCGCGGATGATCCAGGACTGGGCTTCAATGCCATCGAGGCCTCCTTCTGGTGCAGCATGGCCGTAGCTAGCCATCAAGCCACCGTTGGCGAAGAGGAAGGTAAGCATTCCGATGGCGCCAAGGAGGAGAGTGGGACGACGTCCCCAGCGGTCGACCCAGAGGATGGCAGGGACAGTCATGCAGACGTTGATGACATATTGGATAGACGAGGATACAAGCAGGTTGTTGCCCTCGAGACCGGCCATGGCAAAGATATACGTGATATAGTACATCATCTAGAAGATTGAGAAGTTAGATATTGGAGGGACAAATAATGGAGAGGGAGCGGGATGAATTGAACGGGAAGAAAAGTGACAGAGATAGATACATACCACGTTCATACCAGTCAACTGCGACCAGATCTGAGTAAAGACACCGACATGAGTGCGGTTGATCATGTTGGGCTTGATGAGTTCGAGGTAGGAGACATCGGCGTTCTGGCGCTCAAACTCGCACATGGCTTTGATTTCCTCATATTCGCGAAGAACAAAAGGAGCGTTGGGGTCGCCTTTGCCGTGGACGAGCGTCAGCACAGCGAGGCAATCCTCCCAGCGGTCCTTACGGGCCAACCAACGGGGCGACTCGGGCAGCAGCATCATGCCGAAGAAGAGGAGGATGGCGGGAATCATCTGCAGACCCCAGGGGATGCGGAAGGCGGCAGTGCCAGAGACATAGCTCGTTCCGTAGGAGATGCTGTTCTTGTTAGACTTATCCGAGGACGGTGTGGTAGAGTTGCTTAGCTTACTAGAACATGATCATGATACCCCAGGTGATGGCCCACTGCTGGAGACCGACCAAACGACCACGCTTAGTTGGGGGAGCCTAGAGAGGTCAGCCATGGTCCGTTGAGCTTCTGAAAGGAAACCATACAAGTTCTGAGATATAGACAGGGACCTGAGCCGAACAGATACCGACACTGAAACCGTTGATGATACGGCCGACGATAAGCATGGGGATGTTCTGGGAAGCGCAGACGATGATGGAACCGATACACCTGTTCCTCAGTTAGACGAGCAGGCCCCAAGAAGTCAGATCACTATAGTGTTACTCACCAGATAACAGCACCAATCATAATTGAAGTCTTACGGCCAAAGATATCAGACAGGAAACCAGAAACCAAGGCACCGAGCCAGGAGCCTCCGGCCATGGAGGCAGTGATACCACCCTGAACATCGGCAGTGGGGCCTCGACAGCGTTGTTCGCCATTCTCATCAAACTCGATCGGTCCTTGGTGGAAGTAGCAAAGATAGGCTCTTGTGTTAATGATAGCCGACATCGAAGAGATATCGAAACCGAAGAGGCCACCTCCAATGACGGCGATGGCCGCAATGGCGTAGATGTTACCAATAGCCATGGTGATAGACACTCGAAGCGATATGTCAAGGACCAAGGTTGGAGGACAAAAGGAGAGAAAAGGGGATGGGGAGTAGAAAAAGCAAAAGCCGGGGCGCGGGGAGAGACTTTATAGACAGCGAGTGCCTTTCAAGCGTGCGCAGAGTGGGTCGGAAGAGATACACCCCAGAGTCAAACACTGGGACAGAAAACTCTGTGACGACTGGACTCACTGCAGTTGAGTGCAAGAGATATTTGTCTCGGAAATCTTCCACCCGGGCTCAAGACAGACGTCAAACGCAGCCAAGTGAGTGGCCGAAAACATCGTGTCGGCCCACCGACTGCAAGTCAGCCACTTGCATAAGTGCAAGCTGCCCAGGAAGGCATTCGGCAGTCCGAGTGCGATGCCAAGATCACGATAAATTGGTCAAAGGCTGGCTTCGGGGAAACCTGTGGAAGCGAATCTCTCCAGACCGGGCAGTGGTTTGCGGGACTCCGTGGGGACCGAAGGCGGAGATTCCTCTGCCCCAAACGAAAACCTGCAACACGAATGCGACCTTGGACGGAGAAGACCAACAAACAAATGACTCACGTCAGGACTTTATTGGACGAGAACAAGAAATGGAGCCGGAGGTCTCCTGTCAAAATAACCCTGGCACGGCGAAGATGTGATGCAGGCCGAGAACCCAAGAAGGAGCATTGCGAAGCCGATCTCACGACTGGAACAGAACCAGCAACCCGATCGGCACCGCGTTGCCTGTTCGGGACTGGCCCCCATTGCCTGAGTCTTCGAGAACCGGCTCCTCGTCCGCTTGCATCTCCTTGCCAGCACAGGGGGAATTTCGAGTCTACAAATGTGAGGGCCAAAACGCATAAAGCAAGTAGATTTCGCCAGCTCAGCCTTTCAGGTTCGGATCCCTCTCTTGGCCTAGAAATATTAATGCCGCAAGCCGGGACAATTCTCCTGCTTCAAAGGACAAGGAACAGTAAATTAGCCCATTTAACCGACCTCTGCCCATTACCCGTAGCGCCGCCGCAAGGCTGGATCCTTCCCGCTTCCTTGACATGGTCGCACCAGTTTTTCTTGTCCTGCGTAAGAGGCGCCGTCGAAGCTTCAACTGCCGGTTTTCCTTCAAATACCTGGATGTTCATTTCATTAACATTACGTGTGTCGTCTATGGACATGGTGGCGTTGTCGGGAATCTAGGTATAAACAAATGCAACATCAAGGCTGTAACAATAAAAGCCCGGGTCGGAGTGTTCCGTACCAGGTGGGTATAACAATATAACGAATCCATGATCCCATGCTCATGCCACGAGCTCCCACTCGGCAATGTATGCCCAGGCCATCCCCACTCGTCCAACCTGTCGTTGGTACTCCTCCACTGTAACCCCACGAGCGTCCTCCTGCTTTCCAAATTTCGTGAGAACAGCCAGTTGCACTTTCTGCCCGGGGGCGCCAAGTACCCTAGGATCAGGCACATCCACATACCAGACATCTCCGCCGCCATTTGGCCCGGAACCCCGCCAGTGAGTCAAGGGAAGGCGGTCCTCCTTTCGACCGTCAACCCCATGAATCATCAGTAGAAACAGCCCGGGCTTTGCCCGAGTGTGCCTCTCCAGCGTCCAGTGTTCGCAGATAAGATTGAACTGGAAGCGCAGCGGGCCCGGCTGGTGAATGGAGATCGTCTCGCTGGCCGGCCGGTACGACCGCTCGCCAATGCTGTGTTTCTGCGCATCGCTGAAAGTTCTCGGCTGCGCGGCGCCAAGTGGTGAATTCGGGTTGCCTAGAAGGTATTCCTCCCAGGTAATTTCGGGCCGGCCGTCGTCCCGGTAGAAATAGGCTCGGTTGCCTGGATAATGCCTCAGCCCGAATTCATCGTTTGTGCTGGTAAACATGGCCGGATTAAAGCTGCGGCAGTACGGCTGTCCAGGTCCATTCACGTGGCCGGCTCCCCAGCATGCATCTATGAGTTTCCACTGATTGTTGTCAATTCGCACGACGTTCCACGCATGTCCAGCTGAGTAGGCCGGAAGAGGCGCACCGGGAACCGGAGCGGAATACCCGTAACCTTTACCGTGCCCAGAGATGACCTTGGCCTCCAGTCCCGCTCTGGTGGCAAGTTCCTCAAAGAGCTCGGCGAAGCCCTGACAAACAGCAAGTCCCGACGCAAATGTCCCCCCAGGTGTAGACGGCTTCACACAGTTATTATAGAACGACACCGTATCGTAGTCTATGTTATGATGCAGCCAGGCGAAGATTGCCCGCGCCTTGTCGGTAAGTGATGGGAATGGCGCGGTGAGTTCATTTGCAAGCCATCCGAGATCATGAGTAGGAAGCGACTCTCGCGGGTATCGGGTAGCATGTGCATCAGGTGCCGAGAAATCGCGGCATTTCAAACAAACCGTAGCCACCGCAGCAGCCGATGCATCAGCCGCCGAGATTCGTGGCTTGGTCGCCTGGATCGCAGAGAGATCTGGGCGAGAAGCCCGAGGCACTGGCGGGGGAGCAGGCGAGGCTTCCACTGATGTGGAGTCCAGGCTAATCTCCTCTACTTGCACCTCCGTTGCCTTTTTGTTCAATCCTCCGAAACCATAACGCTGAATCTTGTCCAGATCGGCTCCTGAAGGGGTGGGCGGAGGAAGCCTTTTAGCTTGGGGCTTTTCGTTTTTTTCCTCAACAGGCGCAGGTGATCTGTCGCGAGTACTTCTAGAAGGGAGTTGTGGAGGTGGTCTTGACTGGGTAAAGCTGCTCTCAGTCGACACTGTCGAGATCGTCGAGACGCTCTGGCCTGAGGACCGACGAGGAGGTAGACCCGGTCGAGGGGGCGGCAAGAGGCCATTACTCTTTGAGGTAGGAGTTTTCGGTCTCGATGGCTTCGGTCGCGATGACGGAAGGGCGGGTTTCGTATCTTCTCGCTTCGGAGGCAGAGGGGGGAGCGGTGCGCCCCATGGTGGTGCTTTCACTATAGATCCGGGAGATTTGGCAGAAGACGCTGTCTTCGGTCTCTCCGTGCTCGTAGTCGTCGATCGCGATACATCGGAAGCCAAAGAGTCTGCCGAAGGTCTTCGTGGAGGCAGCGATGGGGCGAGTTGGCTCGAGCTTTTGCGGGCTGGTAAGGGCGGGGGCACCTTTGGCTGTTGCCTAGCGATTTCGCTCGACACAGAACGAGGCGGCGGTCGCTGTACAACACCAGAACCCGGGGTATTTCTTCCAATAGGCGGTGGTCGGTCGTTGTATGGCGGAGGAGGAGTATTAGAGCTGACGCCGTTGGTTTGCGGACGGAGCGCAAATGCGGTTGGCTGTGTACCCAAAAGCGGCGGCGATCCCGTCCCTTCAGAACCTTGTCCGTTCTGTGCCTGTTTCAGCGCCCTGATCCGGTCCTGGATGGACAAAACTTGAGTTTCCTCTGACATCCTCTCTGGCGATTGTTATCCTATAAATTGGAGGGATCGAAATAGGCGCCAGGAGATGAAGACGTTCGCAATAGGGGGCGTCAAATTCTTTGGTGAGGCTCAAGGCCGGAATGGGGAAGCTTGGCGGACGAACCTACGCTATCAGCGTAAGGCAGCTTCGTCGGAAGTAAGACAACGAGAGCGCGGCTTGAACGTCAAAAGTATCGGAGAAAGGAAAAAAAGGAAGGGAAGAAAAAACACCATCAGGGAAGGACGTGAAATAAAAGGAGGAGGACAATTTGGCCCCCGAGCGAATGTCTGCCCCTCCAGGGATAGAGACAAGGCTGTGACAAGTTTGACTCAAATCGCGTCTGGCCATTTGATCAGTTTGCCGCCTCAGGTGTCACGCCCGTGAGAGACAAAGAACAGAAGGCGGTACCGCCTTGCATCCGCGTCAGGTTATGACTTGGTTTCCCCAATCAATGTCATAAAAATAGGTTGCAAAAAGCGATTTCTGGCTCAATTTTGTAGAAAGAGCTGCTTTGACTCGTAAATATTTTTTTTCGATTAGTTGCGTTGGCGAAGTTTGCACCCAGAGGTGCCCTCGATATATATTCGCTTGTCAGTACTATGCAATGCCATATATTTATAGCCATGATTTGACTCCAAAAAAGATATTTATGTTAAGAAATGAAATTGCACCTTTGTAATAAATACAGCTGAATAAATGTACTGATAAATCTCTTGAGTATCAGTCAAACATCAACAGCCCAAGTACCACCTTTCCCCACGTCGAATAACGCGGGGATTAGTATGCATGACATCACAACTTTTACATCTACATCTCGAACTGTACCTACCTTCCTCTCCTATTGTCGCAAGATCAATAATACCCCCGTTCAGAGTTACAAGATGCCGCCTAAACGCAGAAAGACATCGTCACGATCTGCGGCTCAAAAACAAAACCACCTGTCGCCCCCAGAGCACCATGTCCCCACTTCTCCAGATTCGCGGGCGGGCGCTCAAGAGCACGATACTAATTCCGACGCTCCAAGCCAATCACATTGTGACTCACCAACGGAGCCCATGACGCCCGAAGATGCCTTTGAACCGTTTCTGGAGACCGACGAAGAGATGCCTGAACGAACGGAGCACACGTTGGGCGGAGCCGAAGGACACGCGGTCCAGAAAACTGGAGAAGGGCGAGCATTCTCTGGGAGCTATAACGCCTTGAAGTCATATAAGGGACAGTATTACTCAGGAATGGCCGTTGGAGGCTCGCACACCTGGAACTACGACCAAGGCGTTTGGAAAGAGACGAAGGAGGAGCCCGATCTGTGGAGGATTGACTATAGGACAAATAAAAGACGGGCGAGGAGGGCTCCACAGGGAAGTGGTGCACCGGTTGGCACAGAGTATCATTGGCTTATTGTTGGACATCAAGTAAGTCTATAACCTTCGTTGTAGGTAGACTGCGCAGCTGATAACGAGTCCAGCACGTCAAGAAGGTCGACGCCAATACGTATGAGACGGTCCTGGAGGGATCAAAGTACAAGCTGGCGTACAAATCGGCTAGTTCTAACACGTGGTCCGTACCGACCGTGAAAAAACAGCGGGAACGCGAAGTCGAGTTACTCGATGACGCGAAAATGCGTGTCCAGGGGTTGCCTCCCGTTTCAGAAAAAGTGAAAGTGGAAAAGCAAGAGAAAGGGCAGAAGAAGCTGGATGCAATGTTCGGTCCGGCCCGTCAGGGTAACGTTGTAGGCAACAAGAGAAAAGCCGAGGAATAAATGCCGGGCGTGCCGCCTAAGTATTGATTAATGTGACAGTGGTTGGTGTCTGCGAGTTATCGAAACAATGATGGGAGGTCCTGATTTAAGGCAGCGGTTCAAAGTAAGAGATCAGAGTATGACGATACTCTTTTCAGCCGTCTCAACCATTTTCACTAGGGCATCTCCAATTCCGTATGAAAAAGCGTATCCGCCGCCACCGAAGCCGTAGGCAGATAAGACGAGGCGGTTCCCGACCTGTTCGGAGTCTAGTCGGAAACCACCTTCTCGAGAAGGACGAATTCCGACTATGTAGCTTAGTGACTCTTCAGGAGGATTTTCTGGAACGATTTCCGGGGCCAGATAATGTGCACGGGCAATCTCGTCTCGGGCAATATCCATGTCAACTTCCGGTGACCTGCTGCTGTAAGTACCTGATCATGATTATAACATTTCCCAACTTACAAATTGTCCCTTTGTTTGACGCCTCCTAGGATAACGGCCTGGGATAAGGGTCGAGGAATGATGTAAGTGTACGTTTTGCCATTCTGAAAGTAGAACGTATTGCAGTTGGCTGTGCGATAGAACACATTCTGGCCGCGTTCTGGAAAGCATTTCTGGTCTTGCACATCAAACAGCGTTCTGCTGCCGTTCCCGCTGGCATTGATGAAGATACGCGAGTCGGGAAACAGTGCGTATAGTTCTTCTAAAGCCTCGACTCGTTTCCGAATGAATGTACCTCCGAGGGAGTTGATCTTGTCTCGCAGATATGGCATGTGGCGTGTCGGATCCGTAACGACAGTTTGATAAGCCCATCCACAATTGAAGTCGGTAGGATATTCACCAGCGTTCAAATCGCGGAACTGCAACACTGTTAATGTTATTACCCGACTGTACCGAGCACAAGCCATACCTTGGGCAGGATCGTCCTTCCCCAAGCAGAAGAGTCCTTAGATGGAGGCTGTTCCACGTATTCTCGAGCATCAACAATGCAGACCCCAGAGTCCGGCTCTTCACGGGCCATCTTCAGCAAATGGCGATAGCACACGGCTTGAACATAGCGATGCTCAGGGCTAATCCCGCCCGCAGCGTGCCAGGCCGCTCCGGCCCAGGCCGAGGCGTAGGAGATGTCCTGGTCACCTGGTAGGTGTTCTGCTACTAAGGTGACAGAGAAGCCATTGAGGAGGAGCTGCCTAGCCGCCGCACACCCTATGATTCCTGCACCAAGTATGATGATTGTGCGCTGCGGGAAAGGGGGGTCGATGAAGGAATGATCGCAGTCTCCCATTCCGCTTGATGTTTACTGCTAGGTATCTTTCGAATGATGCACGGTGCGTGATTGATGGGTACGAAGCCAACCACTTCTCGCCAGGGGCGAAGGCACTGTGTGAGAGGGACGGCAAAACGGCAATATATATGGCACACGAGAGGGGAAAGCCCCATCTCCCTCAGATAAACAAAGATAGGGTATCCCCCTGTCATGTCGCGCCTTTGAGTCTGCGCCGATGGCGGACAAGGAAGGGTCGGCTGTAGCCGCTGTAAGAGTCTGGATTTGCTGGGATAGTGATCCGTCGCCATTCCACTCCGCTAGCACGAGTCAGAGCTTGTGGAGAGGGTCGGATTGTCATCATTGTGGTAAGAATGCCGGCAGGGTATCCGTATTTAGGCTGGCTTAACTCGATGGGGACATTTCGGCGAGCGGGTCTTTCCGACAGGGATCGCACTTTGCGACCGTCATCCAAGCTATTGATTCGCTAAGAGTTGTCGGTCTGTGAAACTTGAGGGGGTTTTGTGGATCGGCATCGGAGTGCAAGTGCCTGGCCGGATGAGGAAGTATACAGTTTGTCGAGAACGAGTGTATGGCTTCAACAATTGAAGATGGAAGATGCTGCGCAAAAGGCAATGCGGTGGGGACAGAGCAATGCAAGCCTCAGGCATGACTTCATTTCTTTTTTTCGCAGGATCTTTTCTCCGCCTCCCCTGAATTCTCCAGGCTCCCATCAACAGCAACAAAATCACGGACCTCGTGGTGCATTTGAGCGTCCTTTCATGAATTAAGAGGCCCGGGCCCTTGCTTCAGGATCACGGCAAATCTCTGTTAAATCTTGATGATCAATGACCATCCCACAAGGGTCCAGCTCCACCTGCCTTTCACAATCGCTTCCTGCGGCCCCGATTTCAATTTTCCGACGTCAAGTGGCCCTGGTGGGCTCGTACTTCATGGATCATGGCAGCGGTCGAGAACAAGTCCACTCGTGAGGGCTCCATCATAGTGAGTTACATTCCAACTGGTTGCCTTGATTGGCAACTTGTCCTTCAAGGCACCAACCGATGCCGGACGACTCCGGGCTCCTCCCACGTATTACTGCATTGAGTAATATCTGGTCGGGCTGTGTACCGCTCATGCAGGCCAATTGCTGACCCAACCGCTTTGTTACGCCAGGAATCACAGCCGGATAACCTGGAAATCAATAATATTGAGACTGAGGTTTTGGACGACGCCGAAGCCGAGAAGATTCTTCCCTATGAGGCGGGAGACTCGCCATTCCCCGAGGTCCGGGCTGTTGTTCGCCCCGTCGACGACACAGAAATGGTTGTCAACACCGTCCGAATGTGGACTATTGGCATTCTCTTCACAATTGTATGCGCTTCCTTTTATGATCTCAGGATTTAGTCTTAATTCTTGGTCCTCTCCTTTTTCAACCGCTAAGTGGACACTATAGATTGGAAGTGGTTTAAACCAGTTCTTTAGTCTGCGACAGCCTAGCGTTACAATCAGTGCGCTGGTCGCCCAGCTTGTAGCGTATCCAATCGGCTGTGCATGGGCTCGTTGGATGCCATTGGGGTGGCTCAACCCAGACCGCAGCTTCAACATCAAAGAGCACGCCTTGATCACAATCATGGCCAATGTATCATTTGGGTCAGCTGCCGCTACCCAGATAATTGAGGCAATGGTTAAATTCTACAAGATGCCTTCGCAGGGCGGTTTTCAAGTACTGCTATGTATCACCACTCAGATGTTTGGGTTTGGTGTGGCTGGGATGGTTTCGCGCTGGCTCGTGGAACCTGCAAACATGATTTGGCCGCAAGTGCTTTCAAACGCGGCTCTGCTATCCACGTTGCACTCCAAGGCGAATCAAGTGGCTGATGGCTGGACCATGACACGACTGAAATTCTTCCTTCTGGTCTTCATCGGTGGCGCGATCTGGTATCTTTTTCCGGGATACCTCTTTACTGCCCTTAGCTTCTTCAGCTTCGTTTGTTGGATCGCACCATCAAATGTCGTTCTCAATCAGCTTTTCGGTCACAGAACAGGCCTGGGTATGTCCATGCTGACCTTTGACTGGTCGCAAGTCGTCTTTGCAAATCAGAGTCCTCTTCTTGTCCCCTTTTGGGCCGGCTTAAATGTCATGGGATCTTTTGCCTTGTTCTTTTGGCTTCTCGTCCCTTTGATTTACTATACTAACACGTGGTACTCGGCTTACTTGCCGCTCCTCGATCCTAATACCTTTGATAACACTGGTCGCAGGTATGACATGCGTCGTGTTATGAATCGCAACGGTACCGTTAACGTGGACGAGTACCGCAACTACTCGCCGATGTTTATTTCTGCAGGATTTGCCGTCACGTACGGTGTGGCATTTGCCAATCTGACTGGCATCTTTGTCCATACAGCACTGTACCACGGAAAGGAGCTCCTCGAGCAATGGAGTGGACGTCACAAGAAAGACGTTCACGCGCGAATCATGGAGTCATATCGTCCAGTTCCCTGGTGGTGGTTTGCTGCAGTTACGCTCTTGATGTTCGGTCTGAGCATTGTAACCAGCGAGGTATGGGAGACTGGACTCCCCGCGTGGGCAGTCCTGCTGGCTTTCGTGCTGCCAATCATTTACTTCATCCCAGTGGGGATCATCAAGGCTCTGACGAATATCACGAGCAATCAACTGAATCTTATTACCGAGTTTATAGGCGGCTACGCATTTCTTGGAAAACCCGTCGCCAACATGACCTTCAAGTTCTACGGATATGTGGCCGTTGCACAAGGGTTAGAGTGAGTGGCGCCTCGGCCTATTGCCGAGCCAGAAAGCTGACTCCATTGTCACAGATTTGTTGCAGACATGAAGCTAGCCCACTACCTTCATATCGCACCGCGCACTCTCTTCGTCGCTCAAGGTCTTGCAACCCTACTTGGCGCAGTAGTCCAGTGCGGCGTAACAGTGTTCATGATCACTCGCGTCGATGACATTTGCACGCCTCATGCCGACGGCAACTTTACCTGCCCCCACGGCCTAGTCACATTCTCATCCTCTCTCCTGTGGGGTAAGCCGCCTACCTCTAACCATCTATGCCGCCCACTTCCCGTGTGTAATCACTAACAAATAATGATGTCTAGGTGCTCTCGGCCCCGGCCGCAACTTTAGCCCCGGTCAAATATACGGGAACCTCCTTTGGTTCTTCCTCGGCGGGCCCGTTGTCGTCTTAGTAACATATCTGCTCGGTCGCCGCTGGCAGTTCCTCAACTACATTTCATGGCCCGTGGCATTTGGTGCAATGAGCATGGTGCCGCCTGCTACGGGGATCAATTTTTCTTCGTGGTGGGTTGTCAATGTTGTTTTCAACGGGTGGATCAAGAGAAGGAAGCCCGCTTGGTGGGCAAAGTACAGTATGTGCTCCCTTTTATGCTTAGTTCCCTGCCATTGTTTATCATGGTGAGGTAATGTATGTGTCCGGGAGTTTGTATGCTGACGCGAGTAGATTATGTTCTTAGTGCGGCGCTAGACTCTGGTGTTGCGGTTTGCACTGTTTTTATATTCTTCTGCATCATGTTACCGGCTGGTCCGTTGAGATGGTGGGGGAATGAAGTGTTCATGAGGACTGCAGATGGTCGGGGAACACCGTACAAGCATCTTCCGCCTGAAGGGTCCTTTGGCCCTACTACCTGGTGGTGATTTGCATCTACCGGTATGTATGGAATTTTAGACCGAGATAATACTTAATATCATATATGCATTGGAAACGCTCCATAAAGTTTGAACAGACAAGCCGCACCTGCGACTTATAGGGTATAATACGTCGCCATCTCTTCCTGAAACCAATCATACGAGTAAAACAATTGCTCCGCCATCTGCGGATCCATGACAGGCATATTGCCCGACGCATCCACCAGCAAGACATCATCCAGAATCGGCGCCAGTGGTACAGGGGGCGCCATGAATACCGGGTTCGATTCTGGCTGTGGCGGATGGAAATGATGTGGGATCGCCCGCTGGCGTTGTTGCTGCTGTTGCTGCTGGTACGCCAAATGGCTAAAGATCGTAGTACTTTGTTGGCGGAAAGTCTCCGCCAACCTGTCCATTCCAGCTCTTCGCTTTCCAAATTCCTCCAGAATAACAACAACAGCTTGAATGGCCCGCCGCATTGTCTGCTCGTCGGGCTCCCACACCGGACCAAGACCCTCATTGACGGAGTGGAAGTTTCGGTTCAGGCACCACAGGATTGTGATACCAGCGAAATAGAGTTGACTCAGAGTCAGCCATATCCACTTCAGCTTCCCGATGGAGTAACTATCCCAGTAGGAACGAATAACGGCAATGCTGGCACTGCCACAGCTGATGATGCTGGTTGGGTCGGGCGTTGGGTTGCGAGGACTTGGTCGGTAGAGAAGTAGAAGCGTTGTCGCATGAAGATAGTCGTAGTAGCTGGTTGAGTAGAGGAGAGCAGGAGGGTATATAGGGCTACTCGTCCGCCAGTCGTCGAGTTCTTGTCGGAAATGGCGAAGGGTAAGTGAAAGCTCAGTAGGAGTGGGTGGAGGTTGGTTGGCGCTGTATACTTTGAATTTGTTAGATAGATCACACGAGTAAGGAGAGAAGAGCCCACAGTAACGGTATATTCGCGAGAAAATGCGACGGAGTCGTATAACCTGAATTGGGATAGTCATGGAGCTGGAGCCTGGTGTTTCAGTCCAGTCGTCGTTGAGTTCACGAGGAAGAGAGACAGTGATGTCCTCGTCGGCCAAACCTAGTGGCCTGCCTAGCGTGCTCGCAATGAGCCGGTCCAAATTGTAGAGACTCCAGAAAGCGCGCTTCGACATTTCATCATCTACTAGGGTTGTTGGCTGCCGGGCTTTGTGTAAACCCAAGCTGCTGGCTAGCCGCAAGGCAGTACCCAGGACGTGCCAGACGCTGGGACCGGCCGTCGCAAACATGGTGTACAGGGCCAGGCTCAGCAACGCACGCAGAGCAGTTAGATCTTCACTGTGCAGCGCAATTGAAAGTGTTTCATTGCTTGCACGATAGAATTCTATTGCTCGGGTCTCTGCATCATTAGCTGACCCGATAAGCAGGGCAATGGCGATGGTGATGTGATAGCTGCAGTGCACTTCGGGCGTAGGTATTTCGCCAGCATAAATCCGTCGTAAATGATCAAAGAAGTCTGCTCGATGCAGGAATGGATACTGGTATCCCATACTGTCAAAATACTGCCCGGCTACGCGCTCCGCTTCGCTCAGCGACGCTAGACGGAGGACGCGCGGCGCCGATACCGAGATGGCCGGTCGGGCGACAGACGGCTGGCGGTGTTCAAGCTTGTCGCGAAAGATCTCGCCGACATTGGGCAATTCAGTCCCTACATGTGAGGTACTGGCAGAAGCAGGACTAGCGCTGGACTCGACACCCGTTGTTGAACCTCCTACTGTGGAGGCGTGGTCTTGAGGGCTGCCAGGAGTCACCTTGATCATGATGGCGGGTAACTGGTGCCACAAATTGGGATCCCCGTCCTCATCCAGCGTACTTCCCGTCGGCTTGTCGGCTACCGCGATGCCGGTCTTGCGGCGAATCACATCCTCCAGCCATTGTACTCGATCGTGCAATTTCTCGAGCTGGTCGCGGGGAACGGAGGCGTTGGCAAGCTGCGGCCCAGGCGGCGCGATGGTGCAGCGGACACCGGCTCGCGTGCATGCGGAGCAATTAGGATAGCGAAAATCACATTTCTTCTTCCGCTTGCGACAGAAGTCGCATGCTGTCGAGACGCGTTTTGGTCGGGAGGAGGGACGGAGAGGCGGAGGGGGCGTCGACGCGGAGACGGAGGGGGCCGACGTCGGTGATGGGACCGTGGGAGTTGAGGTTGGGAGAGGAAGCTGCGAGGGAGGAGGATCGAGACGGAATCTGCCCAGCTGGTGTCGAAAGTCAGGGTCGCGGTTGCTCATCGTGCAGCGAATGTGACCCCTGGAGGCGGCTTGAACCGCTGGCCATTGTGTGAGAGTTTTGAAGAGTTGAAGAGTCGAGGCGAGCCTTTTCTTCGCCAGCCGCGATGCGTAATTCAGCCGATCACTGCAGTGGGTCCCGTTCCACCATCACCACTTGCACTCTTGTCATGAATTAAATATCATCTATCTTTCATTATCTTTCAATCATCTACGTCCACGAAGGAGTCGAGTTCCAAACTCGATCAGGTAGTAGTCCGCATACACCAGCCCATGGTCCCGTACTATCTGTGCTCCCTCTGGGTTGTTCGACACCGTTGCATTCCGCAATATCGCCTCGAATGTTTGCGTCGAATTCGACTCGACACCGGCTAGTCGAGAGTCGGAATTCCAGCTAACAACAACAACAACAATTGAGCATCCATGCGTTTAAGCCATTCAATCTCGCTGTACGCTCTTCTGGGCAATTAGGCCCGAGACCTTGCCGATTAATAAAAACTGGGCTCCTCAAGGCAAGGCCACACTGCCGGCCGGTAGTTTGAGAGCTCTGTCGATATTTTCGACTATGACGGTGATGCTGGGGAAAGTAGGCACCGGGGAAGTAGTATCCGAAGGCTGACAGTGTTATTGAAGTGTGGGGCACGTGACACATAGTGAGCCAAAACACTAAACAGGACATGTCAAGGGCAAGGCTCAGAATCCCCAGACCCATTCCAAGCCTTATTACCGATTGTCCAATCAAATATTCCACTTACAGGGACTCATATATGATGTACAGAGTATAGCTGATGATTAGCGATGAATCTTCATGAGTGGTCATGACTCATACCTTGGCATACCCCACCTTTCCGCATTGGGACGCAAAACAGGCATGGAATATACATAGGAGAGGTGAAAGGAATATAAATGGAAAGGCATCCCATCAGGGTTTCCATCAAATATATCAAGCAACACTAATTAGGAGTCGTCTATCTCATGGCAGACGCAATGTTATCGAACAAAGGCCCTGGAATGCCTCCCCACGCCCCCCTCTCCGAAAAAAGCAACGATGAGCCCTCAAGGGCCTCAACTGCCGACAAGCAGCCCGCAGAAGAGCCACAATACCCAGGGAAAGCCAAGTTCGCGGCAATTCTAGTTGGCCTTAATCTTTCCATGTTTTTAGTCGGCCTCGACAACACTATCCTCTCGAGCGCCATCCCCAAAATCACTGATCGATTTCATGCCCTGGGTGACGTGGGCTGGTATGCCAGTGCGTACCTGTTGACAAACTGTGCCTTCCAGCTCATGTGGGGAAAGCTATATACATTCTACGTCGTGAAGTGGGTGTACCTGGTCGCGCTGTTCCTCTTTGAACTCGGATCTCTCGTCTGCGCCGTATCTCCCTCGTCAACGGCTCTGATTGTTGGTCGCGCTATTGCCGGCGTTGGCGCTGGCGGTGTCACAAACGGCTCATTCTTTCTCATCGCGCACTCCGTTCCCGCACCGAAACGCCCAACATTCGTCGGTCTTCTGGGAGCCATGTACGGCTTCTCTGCAATCGCGGGCCCGCTCATGGGCGGTGCTTTCACTGACAACGCCTCGCTGACCTGGCGATGGTGCTTCTATATCAACCTTCCGCTTGGTGTTGTTCCAACAGCCTGTATCATTTTCTTGATCCCTGCCTTTGCCGGTAGTGACAAGGGCCAGACTGGTTTCATGAACCAGGTGAAGCAGATGGATGTGCCTGGTACACTTTGTCTACTTCCTGGAGTTGTCTGCCTGCTGCTTGCGCTGCAGTGGGGTGGAACGAAATACGAGTGGAGGAATGGGCGCATCATCGCGTTGCTTGTCCTTGCTGGTGTGCTCCTCATCGCGTTTACGGTCATTCAGTACTTTAGCGGTGATCGTGCAACGGTTCCGAAGCGCGTGTTCGGAAACCGCAATGTTTGGGGTGCAGCTCTGTTTGGATCTGGTGTCACCGCTGGCTTCTTCCTGATGCTCTACTACGTATGTCTTAGCCACTATATTTACCTACCTTCATCCCCGCCGAGCAGAACTAACAAGCACGAATAGATCCCCATCTGGTTCCAAGCGATAAAGGGCGCATCTGCAATCCGCTCCGGCGTCATGAACCTCCCCATGGTCCTCGCCTACGTCTTCTTCTCGCTGTCCGGCGGCTACCTCACAACCGTCATCGGCTACTACGTGCCCTTTGCCTACGCAACGGTAATCTTCATGTCCGTCGGCGCCGGCCTCCTCACAACCTTCACCGTCTCCTCGGGCTCCTCCCACTGGATCGGCTACCAATTCCTCTTCGGCGCGGGCGTCGGGCTCGGTCTGCAGACTGCATTCGCCGCGCCGCAGTGCACGCTCCCCATTGAGGATATCGCCATCGGAACGGCTATCGTCATGTTCCTCGAGAACCTTTCGGCCGCTGTCTTTGTTTCTGTCGGGCAGAATGTGTTTACCAACCAGCTCACGACGAATGTGCGGGTTTATGCGCCGGAGGTCGATACGACGAAGTTGATTGAGGGGGGTGCGACGGAGATTCAGAGGAATGTGCCACAGGTGTTTTATGATGCGGTGCTGTTTGCGTACAACAAGTCGTTGACGCAGACGTTTTATGTGGGCGTCGCCTTGAGCTGTGTGGGGATTTTGGGAGTGGTCGTCATGGAGTGGGTTAATGTGAAGGGAAAGAAGGGGGAGGGGGAAAAGAAGGAGGAAAAGCAGGAGGGCGAGCAGACGGAGGATGTTTAAGGAGGAAACGAAAATATTCATGGTTAGATTCTTCTCTGTTATCTAGCGAGCGATTTAGACTTGACTTAATAGACTTTCTTCTCCTTATTCTGTTCTCAACCTCTACTTAAAGCAGCAAATCCTCACTCAACTCGAGTACGTTCATGAATAGATTTATTACAATACATACAGTACATCAACCACCAGCTACCTCCGTATTAATAGGTCTACTGGACGATCTTGGTAATAAGCTTCCCCGTGTTGGCGCCCTCAAACAACTTCATCCACGTCTTGGGCACATCCTCAAACTTGGTATCAACAACGGTCTGCATCGAGTCGTCGATGATGATCTTGCCCTCCTTCCACGCGCCAACGATCTCGCTGACAACATCGGAGAACTTGTGCAGGTAGTCCAGCACGACGAAGCCGTGGATGTGCAGGCGGTTGGTGATGATTTTCTGTTACTGTTAGGTTGTTTTCGGAAAAATAGGATAGGATGTGGGGGAAAGGGAATCGGAAAGGAAGGTACGTACAAAGGCGTTCTTGAGGCCCGCGGATTCACCCTTGTTATAATCGGCGATTGAGCCGCTAAACTTTCGTCAGTATGGAGTTGGAAGTATAGAAAAGAAGATTAGGGCTACGTACCAAACCGCAATGCGTCCGTGGCGCTTCATGCGGGTGAGCATTAGGTCAAGGATTTCGCCGCCGACATTGTCTATACTTCAGTCAGAATTGCACATGGTTTGCAAAGAGGAATGGGTGGTGACGTACCAAAGTAGACCTCGACGAAACCATCAGTCTCGCGGATGAGATCCTGCTTGAAGGAATCCTTCTTGTAGTTGATACAGGCGTCCGCGCCGAGCTTCTCAACCCAGCGGCACTTGTCGTCGCTTCCTGCGATACCAATGACCTATATCATACTCGTTAACTGCCATGGCATGGCTAGAATGGTGCGTTCTGGAGGGCTTGAAAGATAAACATACCCGCTTGCACCCAATAATCTTCTTCGCAATCTGCACAACCATACTGCCGGTGGCACCCGCAGCCCCAGAAACAACAACCGTATCATCCTTGGTGGCCCCCGCAACCTCCTTAATTCCATAGTACGCCGTCACCCCGGTCAACCCCAACGCACCAAGGAAGTGCCCCAGATCCAGCCCCTCAATACTCTTAATCACCTGGCACTTCTTAATCTCCTGAACCGAGTAATCCGTCCAATTCGTGCTGGCCATGACGATGCTACCAACGGGCAGCTCAGCCTCGTTCCCAGACTCGATCACCTCTGCGAGACCGTTGGAGGCCATGGGCTGGCCCTCGGGGACGGGTGGGTAGTACATGCGCTCCGGGTCGGCTCCCGCGGAGATCCAGGTTCGTTGTGCGGGGTCGTTGGAGAGCATGATGGTTTTCACGAGGGCTTGCGTGGAGCTAGGTTTGGAGAGGGGGGCCGTTGTGAGTTTGAAGGTTGGGTTGGGGCCGTCCAGGACGGGAGCCGCGGTGGGCTTGGAGTTGAGGATCCATTGGCGGGCTTCGGTGGGCATTTTGGCGGTTTTCTGATGGTGAGGTTGGACGTGAGATGCGTATACGGTATGCTAGGGAGAGAGGAGGATGGGAGGTCTAGACATTTGTACTCCGGAGTACTCGGAGTGGAGCGACGTAAGTCTGCGAGTCGGTGACATCAAAGCCCCGAGAGATCCACTCTGCTCGAAAGTGTCCGAGATTTGTAAGGACTGGATGAACAATTGTGTGTTTAAGCTTCAATTGTCCCGAAGATCGGATGAAAAGGTTGGAAAATGAAAGAGCAGAGCTCCAAGCATATAAGCAGACCAAACTATAGACGTTTCGAATCGGCATGTATGGCGTATGAAGCTTAAATTAGTGCTGATAGGATCAGTCTTATAAAGTGGGTCTCATTAATATCTCTCCGAGTCCCGAGGTATATGGGGATACTGCCTAGGCTAAGGTAGATATAGTTGGCAAGGCGTCAGGAAACTGTACACTGCACCTTTGTATCACGCTTGAACCCTGGACACAGGCTCTAGGACTGCCTCGTTATCCATGGTGATGGAGCACCATGGCGTGCATAGAGGATCGTTGCATTACTCTGTGGACTTGCATACCTTCCACGACAAAGGATGATAGGATGACTGTTTAGCATGATATCATTGATTAGCTCCTGCTCCCAATGTCTTCGTGATTGGAAGAAGGACTGAATAGTTCCTGTTTCTCCAACGGGAAAGACGAGCTCGGACTGCGCGGTTTGGCGCTGTTGGAAGCGGCCTGCCAATCGTCCATGTCGCCGGCAAAGCTCAAGCTGGGGCGGCGCGGTGGAGTGAGGAAGGAATCAAGCTCAGGTAAGTTCGAAATGAGGTTCGGAAGGAATTTGGGAGGCGTTGTGTGATGTTGTGTTTAGGCTGCGTTTTCGGTGAGGGGTTGAATTCGAAAATAAGCGGGGCTGTTGTCAATTGTTGCCAGTACCTGGGATACTCCGTACTGGTAATTAAAGGTGTCCAGTTGGCTCAATTGAGCTCTAAATTGCAGAATTAGCTTTAGTGATAACAGATCAAGGCACTGGTGCCGGTTATCCAGAAATTCCACGAGGAAGCCCCAAGGAAAAGCGCTCTACCCCACCTGCTTATCAATCACTCCTCATCTCTCTTATCGATCAACGACATCATACCCTCATCAACCCCTCTCTCTCCTCATTTTCCACTTACCAACCCACTGCTTTCATTCGACACTCAATTCGCATCAACGAACGAAAATGTCCTCCCAAAAGACCATGCGCGCAATCGGTACCTCCCGCCACCACTTCCCCTCTTTCAATCAACACCACTGACGTCGGTTTCAAAACAGGAATAAAAAACGGCCGCGGCCCCGCGGACGCCCTCTTCGTCGATGAAATCCCCCTCCCGACCCCAGGCCCCCGTCAAGCCCTCGTAAAAGTGAAAGCCTTCGGTCTAAACCGCATGGACCTCCTGCAGCGCGAAGGACAGTACCCGGTCCCACCGCAAGCGCCGCCAACGCTGGGAGTCGAGTTCTCCGGGACGATTTCCGAGCTCGGCGAGGGGGCGACGGAGGACTTCAAGGTCGGCGATGAGGTCTTTGGGTTGGCGTATGGTGGCGCTTATGCGGAGTATATTGCTGTTGCGACGGGGATGCTTATTCATAAGCCGAAGGAATTGTCGTGGGAGGAGGCTGCGGGGGTTCCGGAGGTTTGTTTTTCTGCTCCTTTTCTGCTCCTTTTCTGCTCCTTTTCTGTTTGATTGACTAGCGTCGTATCTTGAGGAGTAATTGGGCTAATCTCTTGTGTTTGCGTCTAGACCTGGATAACAGCAACGCAAGCCCTCTACCTCGTCGGCGCCTTCCAAAAAGGCCAATCCGTCCTCTGGCACGCCGGCGCCTCCTCAGTCTCCATCTCCGGCATTCAACTCGCCAAAGCCGCCGGCGCCTCTGCAATCTACGTCACCGCGGGCTCCGAAGAGAAGATCAAATTCTGCGTCGAACAACTCGGCGCAACAGCCGGCTTCAACTACCGCACGCAGAACTGGGCCGACGAGATCCTCAAGGCGACCGATAACAAGGGCGTGGACGTCATCGTCGATTACATCGGCGCGGCGTATTTCCAGGATAATCTGCGAGCTGCGGCGATGGATGGGCGGATTGTGAATCTGGCGTTCATGGGTGGGGTCAAGACCGAGGGGCCGGTTGATATCTCGCCGTTTTTGAGGAAGCGGGTGAGGTTTGAGGGGAGTACGCTGCGGAGTCGCGATGAGAACTATCAGCGGAAATTGCGGGATATGGTTGTTGAGAATGCGCTGCCGAGGTTCCGCGATGGGTCGTTCAAGGTGTTCGTCGAGAGGGTTTTTGCGTTTGAGGATGTGGTGCAGGCGCATAAGCTGATGGAGAGCAACCAGACCAAGGGGAAGATTATCTGTACGATCTAGACATGTACAGCTACGATTATATACAATTATACAATATAACCAAGTAAGTTGGTGGCATCTATTCATTCATTTTTAACATAACCTATTTACAGCTCATCCAATCATCAGTGACCAGCACATTCAACACCGCCATCTAAACAATAACCTTGTGCCCAGCAGGCTTCTCCTCCTCCTCGCCGAAGATGTTGATGTTCCAGCGAGGCTTGTTCGCAACGTACGGCGTGTTGTAGCGGCGGCGGTTCTCACCCAGCTTCGAGACCTTTGCGATCTCCTCGGGGGTGAGCTCGACCTCCTGGAAGTTCTCGGCGATGCGAGAGGCAGTCACGGACTTGGGGATCACGGAGTGGCCGCCGACCTGGGACCAGGCGAGGATCACCTGGGCGGGGGTGACGGTCTTGCCGAGGCGAGCGGAGGCTTCGGCGGCGACGGCCTTGACGTCGTCGTGGGCGACGAGGAGGGGGATGTTGAACTGGTTGTTGCCGAAGGCCTGAATTTGTTAGTAGGCAATTTCAAACAGAAAGTGAAGGGAGGTGCATACGGAGTAAGCGGTGATGTGGATGCCCTTCTTGGCGGCGTACTCGATCAGCTCAGGGCTCTGGAGAACAGGGTGACGCTCAATCTGGTTGGCAGCGGGGACAACGCCAGTGGCGTTGATGATGGCCTCGAGGTGCTCGACGGTGTGGTTGGAGACACCAACGGCGCGGGCCTTGGACTTGGGCAGCTTGATCATGGCCTTCCAGGTGTCGACGATGGAGATGTTGTCCTCGATCTGGACGTCACCGTCGGGGAAAGTGCTGGAGGTGTCGGCGGGGAAGTAGTTGTCGCCGGTGGTGAAGGCGACGGGCCAGTGGACGAGGTACAGGTCGAGGTAGTCGAGCTGCAGCTCAGCAAGGCAATCGTCGAGAGCCTTCTCAACGACGGCGGGGTCGTGCTGGGTGTTCCAGAGCTTGGATGTGATGAAGATGTCCTCGCGCTTGAGGCCGGGGATGTCCTTGTAGGCACGCTGGATGCCCTCGGCGACCTCGCGCTGGTTCTGGTAGATGGTGGCCAGATCAAGGTGGCGGTAGCCAACCTTGAGGGCCTGGTAGACGGCCTCGCCGACCTGGCCGGGGGCGGACTGCCAGGTGCCGAATCCCAGCTGGCTGTGGTTTGTTAGTAGACAGTAGACACTAGGATCAGAGGCTCACGTACGGGATCTCAGCGCCGGAGTTGAGGGTGACCTTCTTGCCGAGAGACATTTTGTATGTGATGATAGCTGACAGAGTTGGTGAGGAATAAGAGGGAAAGATGGAGGGATGGAAACCGTTCGAGGGGAGGAGGGGGAATTAAAAGGTCCCTTGCGCTGCTCCGGTGGGGTTGCTCGAGGGGTTCCTGAACCAGACGCCAATGGCCACGCTGCTCGGTTGAACTCTGGAACACTCATGGTGTTCCGGTCGATTCTCTCTGACTAAAGCTCCAGCGTAAGAACTCATCTGGCCATCTTGGTGGTCGTATCCCTGCCAGAACCCCTCGGTGGGGCATGATGATGGCATCATCATACAGCCAGCGCTGCAATTACTCGCAATCGAGGGCGAAGCTATCGGAGGACTTGCGAGACAAAAGTCATCACTCCGCGATGCTCCCGAGTCTCTCACAATGCCATCCATCGCATTGACCTGGCCTGGATGATGTCAATCGGTAGACACTCCTCCGCGACGCGACCCGTGAGGTTGAACCAGCGGCGTCCCAAACAGGGAATTATCCCGCCGGCACCATAATTTCCCGTATGGACGGATAAATTGCAACCTCAGTTTCATCCAATCAACCCGTCGGTTTCGTTGCTCGGAGGAATCCCGATCTCATCCTAGAGCGGTTAAATTTGTCGGTTTCGGTCTCTCGCAGTGGTTGCACTTTCTGAAACCGTCGTTGCGCTTCGGTTGAATTCTATGCTACCCCACGTCCATCCACCCCACGCTACCCCAGTAATAACTCGAAGCGTTGACATGGCGCTGGAGTTTGATTCGACAGGATCATCGTTCTGCGCTGGCCTGAAAATTTCGAGGATGCTTTGACGAGGCATGTGTTGTCTAATCTTCTCGAGTGCAGACAATGCGGGTAGCATTGTGTTGGCCTTTTGAAAGTGGAAACCAGTTGTCCGCTTGGCCAGCCAAGTCAAGAGACGAAGAACGCATTCGCCATGTGCAAATCACCTGCTTTCCTCGTGCTTCGGTCGAAAAGCACCGACCAGGTCGGTTGAAGTCGGGAAAGATACTATGTACGGGATTCGGATTCATCTAACCGGGGCTTTCGCGGCGTGCTCTGTACACCGGGGTAGACTCCGAAATATGGCCCGGGGTCCAGGCTCGATCATAGATGCCATATCTATCGGTTGTCGTATGAGTGGACCTGATAGCTCAGTTGTTAGGGTGCGAGCATTGCCCATTCTCGTCATCGTCTGAGATGATGATACTTAGTGGGCTAGCATACATGTCCTTTGTATAGGTCTCAGAATGTTGGATGATAGGTAAACATGTATCTCAGGAGTCACTTGCCGGTGTTATGGGACCTTTGAGGGGCATTTACCTGGCTCCCTCCCAATACGCACGGATCATGATGAGAAGTATCCAGACGAGCGCTAATTCGAGCTCTACTGTTCTTTCCGACGCCCAAGGCATCCAGCTACCACCACCAGAGTCCGTCCTCGTGCTAGTATACTCAAGGCATAGATTATACAGTCCATGCCATGCACTTCGGTTTAACCCCCACCTTAATAATGGACTTGGTCTAATAAGTTCAAGATACTTCACTAACAAGGAGGAGCTTATTGGTCTTCACAGATGTAGCAAACCACATTGCACTTGGACCTGGATCCTGGACAGGCTAGTATAGTGCTGGTGGGTAAGCAGGTGTCACTTGCAGGATGCCGACGGGCCGCGGACCATTTGCATTCCTGGGATACTAGTACTAAGTACTAGTATAGTCTATTTGACGCCACATCGTATCGCCTTCAATAGAAGGCTTGTGATTCGTTCTGCTGAAGAATGAACGGCCCTTATGAGTCCATGCGCGCATAGTTGTTGAACTGTGCAATAATATAAAGGTATTCCACACCAAAGAAGATGTCAGATCCGAAGATCGTGACTTCAAGAGGAACATGACACAGAGCCCTCTGATAACCCATAAGATTCAGGAGCAAAGGGGAATGTGATTTGGTTGTATCCATGCTTCTCATAGTAGCTTGCCAACCACCCAGACTGCTTAGCGACTGATTTAAATCCCTTTATGCGCAGTGGAAGCTAACACAGAGGAGCTCGGCCCAAAGAGTTCTCTACGATAAAACTATTACTTGGACTTGACATTCGACGAGAAAAGACTGTACATTGGCTGTTTGTGCTCAAATAGGCCCATTTCGCGGACAGGGGGGTAGAATGGTCTCCTAAAACTAGAGATAAAAAGAAAGGAAAGTGAGCACGTGCCCACGGACAGCACCATTTCCTTTGTCAACAACCAAGGCAACCAAGGGGAAAAGCGCATTGTATGATATAAACCTGGTGACAGCTTCATAGGTATATCAGATATTACGCATACAAGGTAGCTGCGTTCTGGAATCCGGCGAAATCATCGATTCAACCGGTCCGCTCGATGGGGATTTCCTGAAGCAGCCAAGATGGGCCCAAATACCAGGCATCTTGGCGGTGCAACTGGAAGAACCCGACTCCAAGAGTTTCTGGCTAGCTACACTTGCGATGTCTTCAGATGTTTCTCGATCCTGAATGTTTCTTGCCGTTGTCTAGAGCTTTGATGGCTTAAATTGCTGGAGGATGAGAGTCACGGAGTCTTGAGAAGATTCTAAATAAAGCCACTTAAGAGCCCAGACTCTCGCGGCGTGAGCTAGGCGCTATATGGAATAGATTGTGCAACAGATTGACGAGAACAGCTAATCAGGACCAACCTTTTGAAAGGGTCGTGGGCCAGACCTTGCAGAAAGCGAGGCGATTGGGCCAAAGTTCGCCATCTGCCCCTATTATTTCTCCAACCCTGCCGAGATCCAAAGTTTTGCATTCCAAGCTGGCCTGCTTACGTACGTCACCCGATAAGTTGCACCGACCCAACACGGTTAGTGAGCCACGAATCGACCTCGCTGCCAAATTCCCAAGTTCATCCATGTATCGATAATTGTGACCACCTCTCGTTTCCTGACGCCTGCTGGACCTTTTCTCACATTTCGTTGACGTACATCTTTCGCGCTGTCTCCCATCGCGCTCGCCTCTCCCCCGTTCGCGGAGAGGTCCGTCCCAATGCCCAAGAGGCGACTCTTCCGCTGGCCAGCCCCCCGGACCACCGTACTCACCTTCCTGGCCCTGGTGTTGAGCTCTTTGGTGCTCTTTCTATATGGAGGGCCATCGTTTCCATTGTCTCGGGATCATCGAGGTGCGTTATATCGTTGGGTGGATGGAGGTTGCGCTGCTGACGTCGACCGCAGAACAGGAATCGCAGCACGACCAGGTTATCCGCGAACTCGCCGAGAGAACGGGGTCATATAGCAACGCCAGCCAGATCGGGTTAATATTGGCCGCGACGCAGGCGGAGGATCTCACGTGGCTATTGGAATATCTGAAAGAACGGTTCGCTTCTCTTCTCATCCTGTTATCGGAGGAGGAAAGCTAATGAGTGTCTCTTACAGCGGTCCCGACACTATCCCGTTTATATACACCACCGACCCAAAACCTGACCCTCGTCTCCTCGTCCCACGCACAATTCGAGGCCGCGAAGCCGCCGCGTACCTTTCCTTCATCGTGGACTTTTACGACCGTCTTCCGCCGTACTCGATCTTCATCCACTCCAACATCAACCAATGGCACAATGACCTTTTCGGTCCCTTTACAAGCCCTGCACTGCGCAATCTACGTCTCGAAGCCGTCGATGCAATGGGCTACGTGAATCTTCGCTGCCAGCACGACCCCGGCTGCCCGACCAGCGTGCACCCGTGGAGTCCCACCCAGATCGACATTGACAAGAACGACATCCGCGCGTTCTTCCCAGAGGTATACCAGTACATTTTTAACGTCGGCCCCGAAAAGGTCCCAGAGCACATTGGGAATGTTTGCTGTGGGCAGTTTGCCGTGAGCCGCGAGCGCATCCTGCAACGGCCGAAGAAGGACTACGAGCGGATGCTGCAGTGGGCGGCGGAGACAGAGCGGACGGATAGTTTCGGCGTGGGCTGGGTGTATGAGAAGATCTGGCATCTCATCTTTGGGATGGAAGAGATCTAGTGCGTCCACTTTCCCTTTTGTTTCTAAATCAGGATACTAACAGATGCAGCTGCCCCCGCTTCGAACAATGCCGCTGCGACGTCTATGGATGGTGCGGCCCATTAGCAGGCACCGGCGAAACACTGCAGGCAGTGCGGGCCGCGGCCTCATAACCAAATCTACTACACGTAATATAGATGATTGACGGAAATACCTTTTTTCTCTTTCTTTACTCATCAAAATTCCCCACGGGCCATCCCCATGCTGTGTTTTGCATCACTTCCATCTTTTTTTCAATGCACGCTTGTATAGTATCACGAACCACTTGACTGCGACTTGCAAATGCATTAACCGGTGTCGGGGTGGGGACGAGAATAAGGACGCGCGCGAGAGCGAACGAGAACGGAATGACTTGGATAGCGGCTAATACCCTTTTTCTCTGGCTAGTGCTAGTGATTTATAGCCAGCCTTTGCTTTTTATTGTTACCAGGAAAGGATAGGATGAGACATTTATAGACTGGAATGGGTACTCATTTCTATACATCATAACCATCACATCACATCATATACAGCGGAAGAATGAGCGGGAAACCGAGCAGAGGATATCGAACGAGATGAGAACAAACAAAAGCCAAGATCAGGTACTACTGGACTGATTCTGCCCCTGACCCGAACCAGAAGCTTAAGTCGGACTTTCCCCTTCCGCGTGAATTGCCCTCTGATGCCTCGCCCCCTCAAACCCACCATCCAACTCAAACGTCTCCCCGCCCCCAACAACCCTCTCACCAACCCTCTCACCAACCCTCTCACCAACCCTCTCCCCTCTATTCCTCGCGACACCAACTCCTGAAACCTCATGCACATCCCCGCTATCCAGCATCGGCACCTCGGACTCGCTCGGTCGACGCTGCCGTGGCGGCGGGCGGCCAGCCATCGGTGTTGCGGTCGTGAAGAATAACCCGTCGCCTTCGCCGAGACCTCGAGTGTCACCTCCTGGTCCAGCTCTGGGACCGACGCCTGGTGGTGGGAAAGGCGGTGCGGCGCCGCCGTTAATACCCGAGATCAGGGAGGGTGGGACGGGCATTGAAGAGCGGTTCGTCGCGGTTCCCGGTGTGAGCGAGGAAGGGATTGTCGACGACGGGTCAGTGGATGTGGGCGAGTGTGACGAGGGGTCTGTTGGCGCTGTTGAGACGGGACGGCGCGGGATTGCGCCTGCTCCTGCTACAGCAACACCGGCACTAACAGCGGCCGCATCAGCGCCAGCAGCGAACCCACCGCCGGATGAAGGGTCCGTCGTCGTAGGACTGGTGCTCTGGCTCGGCTGCTTCTCCTCGTCCTTTGCGGTTAGGGCTCCTGCGGTACCAGCAGCGCCAGCGGCAGCAGCGGCGGTCGCAGCTCGATTCTTGCGTCGTTCGCGGAGGAACAGCCAGATGAGGGCGAGGCAGATGATCACACCGACGATGACGCCCACGACTATACCGGCTATTGCGCCGCCGCTGAGACTCGAGTCTGAGCCTGGGTTTGCGATTGCGGCGTCGGTTTGGGTGGCCTCGGGGGAGGTCGTTGACGATGATGTTGTTGATGAGGTTGAGGCGGAGGAGGTCGCGGTAGAAGTTGTCGAGGGAGATGCAGTCTCCGTCGTGCATGTGTACGAGTTCTGGAAGACGGGACCGGAATTGTTGTTATCGTCGTCGCCGCCACCCCCGGAGGAGGAATTGAGCTGGTCGATTGCGGCGCATGTCGCAGAGCCTGTTGTGACGATCGAGGACTGGCCGCTGACTTGCTCGAGCCTTCTAAAGGAGAGACTATCCTAACTATTAGAACGGCATCGCCCAGTCAATTGAGAAAGAGAACGTACGTGTTGAACCCGCCACTTAGATGCAGACCCCCCGTCACTCGCTCGAGGTTATTCATGGTCAAATCGACCAGCGCATTGTTATCCTGAACTGTCAAATCCCCGCCTATAGTGGCTACGCTCTCGAGCCCTAACTGCGTGAGCTGTTCATTGCCGGTTACCGAGAGGGTTCCCGTGATGGTCTCGATGTCTGGTATTGTGATACCCGTGAGCCCTGTGTTCTCGATGACGAGGTCACCATAGACCTCTTCGAGGCCGTCGAGGTCGAGCGTCCCTGTTGCATCGGATGAGATTGTTAGTTTGCCTCGAATGTCGTTGCAGTCGTCAAAGTATCGGTTGGCGTCCGCTTGGCTCGTGATTGTGACGTCGGTTGAGCCTGCATTGTTTGTTAGCAAGGGGAAAACGAAAAATAGGGTTGAGATCGTACAGTCTTGAGCTGCAACAGGCCTAATGGCCCGAAGCGAGAAAAAGAAAAAAAGTAGGGGTATCATTGATGCGCGTAAGACCATAAACTAGTATATGTACGTCATGGGGAAAGAAAACGAGGGGAACAACTACTCAAAAGACATGACGAACAACAATAAAATTCGATGCCTGGAGGGGCGTGGCGCTTTTATTATGATCGAGCTGGAGATGGAGCTAAAGATCTAGTCTGCTTGGCCTGCTTCTGGGGACATGGTGGATCGCTCTTCAGACTTCACGTTCCCATCGGAGATATTCTTGTGCGCATATCCACGAGCCTTACCAACGACGATGACATCGAGCTCATTACCCAATGCTGAGTCTAGATGGAGCTGCGTATTCCCTCGTCCATTCACAGTGCTCGTCTGTCATCATGTCACTGGGATCAAAGACAAGTCAAGAATGCCAAGTACACAACACTGCCTCACTGACTCCACCGCATCGCCGGTGTCCATCCACTCCCGGCCCAGGGTCTGCTCACTAGCCTCATGGCGGACTCAACCCGCTCACCACGAGGGCAATTGAAAGCTGTTTCCCTGAGTCGTGCTCCTCCATTGCTATGATGATCTATCCCGGATGCGGTCTATTTATATCCAGACCCTGGGTGCGTTCCGACTTCCCGCCTGCAAGCTCCTCTGCACACACCCCGCTAAATCCAGGCATCAAAATTCTTGAGCATTCGATTCTTGATATTAATACTGTTACCTGGTACTGTTCAGCTGGCTGCTGGGCAGACCCAGATGTTGGACCGCAGTGCAACGGCCAATGGATCTAACCTGTCGTGCCCGCCATCTGATTGAGGTTTCTATCTTGGGCATGACAGGATAGGCTTCATTCCTGAAGCCACTTAGTTCGCCAAGAGGCTTGCTTGCCCGAAGGTCCACCACATCGGGTATTGAGGGCTTCCCGGCCATTCCGGGAGTGCTGTGTATTCAGCCTCTTGGCTTCAAGGCGAGGGTGACCTGAGCGTTATTCAAGATGGGCTCGACCTCCACCAGCAGAAGAACCGCAACACCCAGAAAAAAAAATTGCCAGCCGCCCATGACTGTGTGGATCTTCCGTCATGATCCTAGCTTCAACGTTTGTCCCTGCATAAGAGAAGAGCCATATTCCGCCACAGCCCGTTAGCCGTGTCTCACAGCTAATGAAAGTGGAGCTGGTCATTCCTGTCCCTGGATTACTGATCAGTGCTTCGCCTCAGAAGAAGCTCTACAACGATGAGGTGCCTGCCTGCGCTGTCCACATGAATGGCGTTTGTCACACAGGGCCTTTCAAATCGAAAATAGTGCCAAGATCTTGCATGGCAAAGATTCCGGAGTGGTCTTCTCTGGAGGCTCTTTCCCCGAGTCTCCGGGTTGGAGCCGTTGGTGACCAACGTCAGTACAGCCTTTCCTGGCCCGAGTATTGCAGCAAGATGCAGTCCGTCGAGCTCAATGGGATAAGGCAGGCTTGTGTATTGTTCATCAGTGCTCTCTCTAATCGGGGATCCGTCCATCAAGTTCCCTCCAACGATGTTCGGTAGCCACGTCGTGGGCATTGGGACATCTCGGTAAGATTAAAGCTAGTCGACAGCACTGGCTTGCAGATCTCGCTATACCCTTGAATATTCGCTCGCATCGCTCCGAGCAATGACCAGCTGGTAGAGGTGTCTCACCCGTCCCGAGCATCCGCAACAACGAAAAACAAAAGAGCTGGTCCAAAAGAGTCTGCAGAAACTCAAGGGTGGACAACCCCACATTTATCCAGCTCTAATCGCCTAAGGACGGTCAAGTAAGCTTTCGGTGGATGTGTCCTTGAGGTATCACCTACCTAGATCCCCTCACACATCAAAGTTACCATATAAGATGTGTCAAGCCTCGTGCAAAGACTAAGGATGAAGCTGCTTTGGTTCGTGTCTTTATTGGTCTCTTTCCAAGACCTCTATCGAAGTCTAGGAGTTGCCGCAGCGTATTCAGATAGTATATATATTCGAACAAGAACAGTATCGCAAAAACGTAACAGACGGGGTATGTCTATAGTGTAATTCGTTGAACGCATCATTTCAGAATCTTCAAAACCGCGGGCTCCAGGCATCAAGAGCCTGAAGTTCGCCCCATTCAGCCTCCAGCGCTTGAATGATCTGCGAAGTCGGCCAACCCAACCTCTTCTCCACCAGGGTCAAAAACTCCAATGAGCCTTGCCGTTCACAGGGATGGCGAAGGCAAAATCCATCTAAAGGAGTTAGCTTGTGCACTGGACAGAAGGAAACGAACATACATCGTTTGAGAAGATGGCAAGCCATGTAGTAAGCATTGTCGACTGTATCGTTTGACTTCGAGAGTCCGATGACGTTGATGATGTGTGATGCGATGATTTGCTTTGACTGTCAGCAGAATCTCAGTTATCTGGAAGGTGGTGGGCATACCTCTTCGATACGTTTCCGCTTTGCTAGTTCAAAGTCGCTAATCACACCTTCATGCCGATTGGAAGTCTCAAGAATAATCCGGGAGGTGTGGTAGTATTGCAGGCCAACAACTGGGCCAATCAGCACGACAGTCGTACGAAAGAGAGTCAGAATGACTTACCCGCCGGTGGAGAAACGATCCAGAGCTCTGGAAATGGTTTATTATCCGCAGGGTTCGCCTCCTTATACTTCAACGGCTGCCAGCTGATGGGGCGTTCTCGATACCAGCTTTCCACGCTATCGGAGAGGAATTGCCAGTCGCCTGCCTCAAAGCTGTGTGCATTTGGGCCCGAGCGGAGCTGGATAATCCTGGCACAAAGGAAGATTATCTGGTTGGCGTAGGCCGCGTCGTCCCTTCGCTGAAAGACAGACGAATGCTCGTAGTTCTCTAAATTCAGGTGCATGGGCTGATACTCGACGAGACAGGCGTAGATGGCCTGGCGCAGAAACTGCCAACTAACAGCCTCAGCGAGTCCCCCAGACGACGCTGACCTGGCCATGGTATTCAGAAGCCTGGTAGATCCCAACCAGTGGCACTTTTCATCTGAGTTTGGCTCGAGCTCTTCATAGACGCGTAGAAGGACCACGGTGATTAGCAGATTATCGTCGTATGCTCCCTCATGCTTGGCAAGTGCTTTTAGAAGTAATTCAACGCACTGGCTGTGGTATTCAGAGGCTTCCCAATCGTCGGACCCAGACATTATTGCCGCGTGCCTAGCCGAGAGCGACAAGATAGCTTTTAGCACCATTGGAATTTGCAGTGCTCTTCGGGGGACTTCTGACGAAAAGTGGGAATTCGAGTCGCAAATATCGTACTGTTAAATCGATCAGAGATAGGCCAATATTTGAGACAAAAGACATACCCTCGGCGCATAATTTTGAATAAATGATCGCAAAAGGAAGGCTTCGCGTGACGTCATCGCAGGAGGAGCGTTAAGATTCGGACTCAGGGAGCTCAATGAGGGCGATAAATCAGCCCAACTGCGGACAGATGGCAGTGGTGAGGGGCCGCTGACAGGTTTCGGTGAGATGCCGATGGAGGATATTGTTCGTCGTTCATCCGGACTGGAGACGGGTAACGGTGGTAATATACGCCCATAATTGCTGGTAGACGTAATGTAATCGCGCGGACTGGGAGTATGTGGGACAAGTATGTGTGATGTTATTGGAAAGCTGTCCGCAGCGGCAGGGTTCTCGATCGGGGCTTCAGGTAGAGCATCCGAGTCGGGCTCATCGGCGGACTCTTCAACAAACATCACTGTGAACAGATCTCATCAGATTAGATCGATTAAAAGCGGACATTGATTGGACCGGTCGCATACAAGATTTCGGGACATTCACCCATGGTTGTCGGTCGTCCCAAGCCAGCTCGAACTTGGATGCGGTCCCCTGACTCTTCTGGTACACATGGCGGACTGTTTTGAAACGGAACGGAGGATCGAGGCGACACGCTCGCGATAAGCGGGTGCATTCATTGCAAGCTGGAGCTCCTTTGGCAATGGTGCATTTGATATGGCGAAGGCGACAACGCTCACATCCCCTGCCGATTCGCATTGCAAGCAGCGGAGGGAAGCGTTAGGCGCGGGAAGAGAGGATCGATGCTCGCCGTCTACATCGGTGACGTCCCAATATTTATCTGGATCATATATTAAATAACGAGAAGCTCGGAGAATAGGACAGATATAATAGCGATTGGGAGGAATGAAAAACGAAAGAAAGAAGTGAGACTGGAGACGAGACAAAATACGAGAGTGGAAGTTTCCCCGCAACCCCAGGATCGCTGATTCAGCGGCAGTTTGCGGGGCGTGATTGGTGCCCTCAGGCTTCGGACGATCTCCGAAGTCACGCAAGGCAACGATCGCGATATTGCTCCAAAATCCTGCTGGAGTGAGTCGCCGTCCACCTACGTCAGTATGGCCATTGGTTGAGGATCCAACAATCATGCCTCTACTTTATTAGGCGAGAATCACACTTGTCGACATCTATGCCTGAGGCATCAGCGGCCGGAGCGAGGTCACGTGGTGTGACACCACGATCTTCCCGCTCGGTCTTCCCGTCGATACCAAGCGTTACCATCTCCACAACTCTTGACCACCAAATTGGAGTCCACGAAACGCGCCCGTGATATTTCAAGCCTTCCATTTACGCGCCAGTAAAATGCGCGCTGACACGCATTACCTTATTTCCTAAAGTCTTAACCAAGCGCAAATCGCGCTACGAGCACTTCTTGATGATTGCTCGGAGTCAAGGAGAAGTGGCAGGCCTGATATTACAAGGGCTCCCACGGAGTCCTTTCAAGCAGCATCGAAGAAGCCTGGTGAGACCGTGCAGAAATTACAGGATAGCTTAGTTTCTGTATCACCAACCAAAGAGTGAACTCAGAAGCATTACGGGTAGATCCACGATGTCCGTTTATCTCATACGCAATCGAGCTTAGCGACGCTAGGCAATCAGCTTCTTGGCATATTATCGCTGACGGATTACGCAAAGTTTGAACATGGCAATAGCTCCCAGGGCTGTCCAAGGGGCTATACAGCTTGATCATGTTTCATTGTATCAGCCCTTTGTCAACAAGCGCCGTGTGCTTAGACGATTCTGAAGCAAACACATTTCTTTCCCTCTAGATCAGAAATCCGTACCACACTAACGAAAGTATCAGGCACACTCGATAATAAAGCTCTTGCTGACTGTAAGAGATGTACCTATCCATTCAGTTCATTGGCTCGCAATCCCTTTCCACTCGCATGCTTTTACGCTCGCCACCACTCTAAATATATGTTATCGAGATTCTGGTCTCCCGCGTGTTCAACTGCAAGGCTCAAAGTTCGGCTTGTGGCGGAGCACAGTTTTACTAACGAATTCAGCCTTGCTTATGCGACAAGCCAAGATAGGGAAGAGCCGTGATGACAGCAATTCGGGCTTGTCGGTCTGATTCTACTCCGTATTGCTTTGATCATGAGATAGGGGCAAAATCTCCCAAAGTCTCTTGGGTGCGCTCGAAATCTTACCCAGAGACTCAATTGCTGCATTGATCCGTTGGTGGCGTTTCTCGCGTGACTCTAAACGGCCATTGGCACACGAGAAGGCATTTGGTTGACAAATATCAAGATGTAAAATTCTTAGATCAATATTTTCAAGAGTCGGAATACCCTGAGACGAGTCTACGATGTCCCTGGCTGCCCCGCCAGCGATCTTAGCCGAGGCATACTTGTAGACAACCTCCTGGTGGCACAAAAAAGCAATGCCCCAGTGACAGGGCCCTCTGTGTCCTATTCCCGATAGTGCAAAGTCATTATGCCCTTCAAATCCTTCAGCCTTACTAACCACAATTGGTCAGAATGAGAGATTTCCAAGTAACACAAAGCTTGAGCCTGGCGCGCTTGGGAGAAAGGTTGATTGGGCACACTCTGCCAGCCTTGTTGTACGAACCAAATCTCCGCCACCAAGATGCATACCTGCAGCGCAAGGAAACACAGCCTTGCGACTATATTAATTGAAAAAAAGGGAAGCTTGTCAGATAAGGTGACACTGCCTCCGTCAAAGATGACTGACAGGTCTATAAAAGCCACCTGATGCCGTGGGGTTTTCATTGCTCAAGTCTCACACTCTCGTTAACTCCGAGCACGACGTTTACTCGGTTGATACAATGGCCGACATAGTCACAGGTTTTCTGGCATTTGGGGAGTGCTTGGGGAAGTTGCTCAAGTTCGCGGAGGATGTTGGCCATGCTGGCGAAGACCTCAAGCGGTACCACAAGGTGCTTACCACTATCAGAAGGGTACGTAATTGAGCACCGTACCACGGGTGCGGCTTGTACTTATATGTCTGATTTAGACAGTCGCTATCATGCAGTATCTGGCAAGTCAATCTGAGCTCCACGAAAAGCTTTCCGCCCTTTCGAGCAACAAGCGGCACAATATCATCGATTCCTTCGCCGAAGATGTCCAATCTATCATTCAAGACTTGATGCAGTTGCTAAATAATCTTGAACTTGCAAAGAAAGAAATTGACTCCCGATCAAGTACTTGGGATAAATGGAAGGGCAAGTTCAGGGACATCATCGGCAAAGGGAAGATTGTGGTACACCGGGCTCACATCAACGATTTGATTCAGTCAGCAAAGCACATTGAGTCATCTCTCCATAACGCCCTTTCAACAATTCTTCTGGTAAACAGCAATATACGGTAAGTCCAAGCCCCCTTCTCATTCTGATGTACTTGACTAAGCTGTTGAAAGAACGACGGAGGTAACCGAGATGTTGCAAGATTACGGTGACACTGTGCGTGAGCAACATAGGGACTTTAAAGACTTGCACAGGGCCTGTCAGACGGCAAAGACGCCAGTGGCCTATGTCAAGAAAATCATGACCAAAGAACAGCTACGCTCCCTAAACCCTAAAGCGAAAGGGAAAAGGGGTTCGAAACGGAGCAGTTGGCTGGGTGCCAATGGACGACATACCGTTATCCCAAATGGCTCAAACTCGAACTACAATGCGGATAACATCAGCACATCATCACTGGCCACCGTTGGCACTCAAGACCAAGAAGCTCTTACTTCGGATATTGTGATTTACAATGATGGAACTCGAAGCGTTGTTCATGGGCCTTCCTCCGGCGTCGATTCCGCCATGATGACCCTAAATCCGGATCCTGAGACTGAAGACACCGCTTCTGATTTGCCAAATCAAACAACCGCTTGCGTTCCAGAGACCGAAGGCAACAAATCAGACATCCTCGAGGAAGCAACTGCCAGCGACAAGGAATCAGTAGAGTGGAGCAGTCCGGAATCAGAGGCTTTTGACCTGGACTTGGCCATCCATGCCGAGTCTTCTTGCTGGGCACCGCTTGGTGACGGCTTCGACATTGAGATTAACTCAGAAGCTCTCTTTTACCTCGACAAGGCCATTACCATGATGGGTGATACGCCACCCAGCCCTAGCGAGGAGCTTTCTTTTTGCGTCGAAACCTGGATCATACAGGAGAGTGGCTTGTCTGTGCTGATCCTTCGACAGCGCTGCGACCCCAGGCCCTCCGGGTGCTGCGCGCACGTGCTGATCAACTCGTCTACTCAGCTGTCAACCGACTATCAATTGCCACATTTACTCCGAGGCACACTGCGAGAAGAGCCATCATTGGCAGTCAACAGTAGCCACAGCCCAGAAGGAAGTCGCTTGAAACTGGTCGCTACTCACGGGTTTGATACTCGGCGCCGATATACCAAGCTTTTGAAACAGGCAGAGAGGTGTGAACAAGTTGCGATTACAGCCTCTTTCTGGGCGTCTTTGGTTATGGAGACCGTGAGATCCAACCAGAAATGAAATGATGGAGAGACCGAGCAACGGAATGCGGAAGCGGTGGTTGATGGTGAAAACGTCCCTTCTGCAGAAGACAACGTTGCCCCGGCTCCTGTATCAGATGCTGCTCCAGGCCCTAAGCCAACTACAGGGGGCGACTCGGAGCCTCAATCTGACAGCGCTTTTGACGACACTGAGCTATCGCGAATCTTCAGCAATCTCCCATGTACCTTCTGCCAGAAGGATGCTCTGGAGCCTCGGTTAGGTGGGGACATGCGACATGGCTTCCTATCCGTTCGAAATGCTTCTTTTACATATACCTGCAAACGGTGCAACGAGCGTATATGGGTTTTAGGGTCTAAATACAGGATTACTGGTGTCGGTGGTCAAGGTTGGTTCTGACTTAGGACCTTTCGATCAAACCGAAGAGTGCACAAGAGTTTTCCATCGTCTTAATAGAGTTCACAGCTGTTATACTATACAGATTGTTAACAGTCTTTCTATTTATGGTCAAGCCTTCGCGCTTTCTCGAAATAATAAACACTTTCTAATTCCAAGGGTTGACCAAAACGCTGCCATCTCTTGGGATTATCATGAGATATTTAGCTCAAGGTAGATTGATTCCAGGTTGGCACGAACTAAAATAACTTAGCAATAGCTCAAAGGCCCGGTCGAAGCATATATATCTATGGACGGCGTTTTACCCAAGGCTCAATAAGCGGTTAATTAGACTTCCAATGTCCATGACTGCTCACGTAGCTCGGTAAGACCAGTGACGAGAATGTATATGAGAGATGGCCTGATTCCCAAGTCGAATATTCCAGTGATACCTGTCCTACTTTCTTCGTACTTTACTACCTTGGCCCTGGAATCCCACGGCACCTACCAGATGGCATTAGTTAGGTATACTAATTTTGTCCCCAAGGGCCTTGGCGGAGACTTGACAGGGCACGCCAACAGGATCTCCACCCGGATTTCGGAGTTAAGGTCAAATAACCCCACTTTAGCGTGTCATCAAGACGTATCGTTCGAGAGGAGTATAAGACCATTCATGCTATAAATGCTTGACCTCATCCAGGAGCTCGCTGCACATGACGGGAAATCACCCAACATGTCCAGATTCCAAGGTAAAGTCATCACCGTAACCGACGCCGCATCCGGCATCGGCTACGCCATCGCCCAACACCTCGCCAACCTCGGCGCACGCCTCTCAATCACTGATATCTCCACCGAAGGCCTCGCAACAACCGCAGCAGAGCTCGAAAGCATCATCGGGAAAGAGAACCTCTCCAGCCAAGCCCTCAATATCGCCGACCGCCCCGCCGTCGAATCCTGGATCACCTCGACCATAACCTACTTCGGCCGCCTCGACGACTCCGTGAATGCCGCAGGCGTGTAACCCAAGGAATCCGGGGTAAAACCCATCTGGAACGTCAGTGACGATGACTGGAACTTTGCGCAAGACGTTAATGTAAAGGGGATGCTGAATCTTGTGCGCGTGCAGTTGCGGTATTTGACTGGTGCCGTGGAGCGCAAGGAGATTGAGACGGCGTCGGTGGTCGTCTTTGGAAGCGCCGCGAGTGTGACGGGGGCGCCGAGCCTGTCGGTGTATACGACCAGTAAGCATGCGGTTCTGGGGCTTATGAGGGCGGCGACGATTGATGCGGCGCCGTTTGGGTTTAGGGTTAATGCGGTTTGTCCATGAGTTATCCTTTCTTTGCTTTCTTGGAGTAGTATGTAGTCCTTGTGGGTCCGATTGATACACCGACGCTACGGAACGTCGTTTCGAAGGAGCGCATGAAGATACTTTCGAGCGCTATTCCGCTTGGTAGGATAGGTACTGCGAAGGAGGTTGTTGGGCTGGTTACGTATCTGCTTGATGAGAATTCTGGGTTTACTACGGGCGCTGTACATAACGTCGACAGGGGTATCCCGACTGCTTGATATGAATTATACTGGATATACTAGTACTCTTCCAGCGCGGAAACGTTCCTGATATGATCCTGAGAGACATGTAGTGAAATATTATTAGACAAATGAACTTGCTCTGGTATCTCTATTAGAAAGCAAATTGAATCCGAACCAACGCCACAATACTCCTCCCACAACTACCACCCTCCACCTATCAACATCGATACCCAGTCAGAAACCACCACATGGTCATGGTCAAATATCATTGCAGCTCATGTGGGTCCTGCCGACCCGGCAACTCCTGGGGTTCCTGACGACTTGGTAACTCATGCGGCATCCCCTGCGCCTGCTGCTGCGCCCCAAAGTACCCACCAGTCCCGGGCTCAGAAACCGTCTTCGCACCCTCCATCGGCACCGGCGGTGATGCAACACCTTGCTGATACCACCCGGCCTCACCACCATTCTGCGCGCTCGGGGCTCCATACCCTGGCGGAGCCTGGTACCCGGCCATGCCGATATCCTTCTCGGGAACTGGGGTATTGCGGCGCTTCCGGAGACAGAAGAAGACGGCGACAATGGCGGCTATCAAGAGGGGAATACCGACTCCTAGACCTACACCGAGGCCAATTGGAAGGGCGTTGCTTGAGCTTGAGCTGCTTGAAGAGGAGGAGGCGTTGGCGTCTGCGGTGGGAGAGGAGGAGGTTGTTGAGGAAGAGGTTGGGGTTGGTGTGCTTGTCGATGTCTCACCGGAGATTGTGGCGACGATGCGAATGGGGTCGAGGTTGAATGTCTGCGTCGAGTTGTTGCAGTCGCAGCCGCCGAAGCCGTAGCAACAAAAGGTCCCTACGCCGCAGTCTGTCACACCGACTCCGCCGGCTAGCACAATATTAGCTTTTTCGCCTTGAATAGGAAGCGTCGTGTGGATTGTCACATACTCTCAATACACTGGTGGGGGCAAGTGTCGACCTGTCCATCGGTCCAGTCCTGCACCGAGCAGCCGTGGATGGTGTATTTTGTCAGACCTTCTGTCCCGTTGTTCACGCACAGGCCGTCCGAGGCACAGAGCTGGCCAATCTTGCAGCATTGTGCGGGTGAGCCATCGGCAGAGCAGGGGAACTGTGTCGTATCCTCGTTGCTGTTTGTGTCGTAGCAGACTGCCATTATGATCTCGGATATGAATATACGCCGTCCTTGCGGGGGTGAGATGGGGTGGGCTCGAGGAGGTAAGAAGGCAGGAAAGATCGAAACTAAGAAGAGAGAAAGGGATGATCAAAACTATAAATACAGAACAAACATAAGAGGTTTCATTTAGGCCGACCCTTAGTCCATGAACCTCCCAGCCCAATCATGATCACGCAAGCAGATTCGTGAATTTAATGCTCAGGGTGTCCCCGTTTCAGGGCCTAAGCTGAGAGAACAAGGCCACAAGGTGGAGACACGACTCAGCCTCGACGGATCGATTCTGGTGCTGACCTGTGAGACCCATCATCAAGGTGGCTGATTGTAGGTCCAATGGGTTCGTTGATTTTTTTTGTCCAGGATGCCGTTCGTAGTTTGTGAAGATACTGATGTGATTTACTCGCAAGTCTGTACTCCTGTGATCTTTGCAGTCTCTGCGATACAATGAAGATTTCAACAAGGTGATTTCTGCGCGAATCGCCACGAGTCAAGCCCAGCGGAGCCCTAACTAGGCGTCCCGTCGTCTGCTACTAGAAATCTGTTCTAGCGGACATAACCCAATGCGATGATCCTCCCTAATACTACTAAAATCGTCCATCTTTCCCCAACTCTGCCGCTGTTTCTGGGGGCCAAAGCAGACTATTGGCGGAACCGTCCAAGCCTCGCTCATCGTGTAGAGTCTCAATCAAACCAGACCCACTTTTACTGTGACAAGCCTCACAGCGTTCAGCCAGGCAAGCCCCAATAATGGGGGAGCTCCGACGTTGATTGTGAAACGGGCATGGATTGTCAGCGCGAGATGAAGGGTTAAGCTGTAGGTTGGCGCAGTGTTCCGACGGAATTGAGAATCGAGTCCTGAAACTTTACTGTTTGTTGAGGAATTAAGGTGGCAGCCCAATCGCAGCCACTCGTCCGGCACAATACATTTATATTTTCGCCATGCGCTTCAAACTTATTTCCACCACCTTGTTGGCTTTGTACTCCAACCTACAAATTCAAAACCATTGAAGTCCGGCAATTACTATCCGAGTAGGGTGCAGAGCTCGTACATCCAAAAACCTGCCGCTGACAGTGGTGATGTATACACGGATCGGACCAGCTGCCCTAATACTCTCAAACCAGCGCGAGCTTCTCTTTACGATGAAGTAACTATCTACCAAGAGATGCCATCCTAGCGTAGCAGAAGCCCCTAGCTCTGGATTGGTAGGTCATACATCGCACGCGATGCGCGACCAACGTAGCCATGAAGATGACTTTGTCTGATTCGCTGCACGCTGTAGCTTTATCAATTGCTCCTGATCCTGGTTGAGGCTTTTAGGGCTTGCGGTAATGCAGGTCCAAAGTATGGATAAGGCTGTTTGTTCCGCATGGGTCGAGCTTCCTGATCGGGTACATAGCTGCATAGTAATAAAAATAAGAATTACAAGATTCACTCTTCAAATTCTTACACTTGACAAGTTGACCTTTGGACCCTTTCTACTTCGTGGGGTAATTTCCTGCTTATAATGCGTGAACAATAAGCGCTATCATCACGTGTTGGCTCCTATGGCTCAGTTGGTAGAGCGCATGACTAGTAATCATGAGGTCCGCGGTTCAAATCCGCGTGGGAGCATTTCTTTTTATGTTTTTATCCGCCAAATAACCACTTTCTCCAAGGCATGAAAAGAGAGATGAGGAGTTTGGAGGGTGTGGCGAGAGGTGGTTGGATCCTGTTCGTTGAAGAGTTTTATCCGCTCTTCCATATACTTCGTTCAATCCTTAAGGTCTATCAAGCCGCACCTTCCCTGCCCTAACTTTAATAGGCAACAAAAAGGTACAGCGCTGGTCGTTCGTTCCTTTATCATCTGCTCTGGCTATCTCTCAGGGAAAGAGCTACCCCTGTGATCCTTGCACTGTCCATGGAAGGCAGGACCCTCTCCCCGAAAGATGTTCCTTCCTATCCTATAACTGGAAAGCGCATTCTTCGTCGTGCCTTCCCCATCATGTATCCTGGTTCATTTCACAAGGAAGGAGCGACTGTCTTTCCTTCCTGTTATGCCTGCGCTGGTTGCACCTTCCTCGCATGGCCTTTGACATCGAGGAACTTGGGAAGGAGCGACCATGACCGTGCCTAGGCGTGCCTTCCTATTCTGCTATAGGAAAGTGCGTCGGCGCCAACCCTGGTTGCTCCTTCCATATGTAATAATAGATCGATCACAAACAGGGAAGGTGCAGAACCAGCCCCAATAAGCGCTCCTGCCTATTCTGTAACCGGAAGCTGCGCCTGCAGTCGTTCTTTCTCAGAGACTTGTTCAACTTCCCAGGGGAAGGAGCAACCGAAGGTGAGGTATCGCTCCTTCCTTTCTTGATATCAGGGATTCAAAATGGTTGGTGTAGGCGTTCCTTCCTGTTTTGTACCTGGAAGGGGCGCGCATAGTCATGCCTTCCTCATAGGTCCGGCCATCCTCAAAGGGAAGGAGCAACCCAGGGCCACACATAGCTCCTTCCTTCTCTGCAGAAGGTGCGACCGTCTACAGGGTAGCTGCCGCTTCCTGTTCTGGAATAGGAAGGTACGATGTTGCTAGGCCCAGTCGCTCCTTCCATCTCAACTCGAGAATGCATCCAAGGGAGGCGCAACTGAGCGTTACTTTCCTATCTTCCCCCAGGAAGCACCTCCTGCATAGGAGGTATAGCTGATTCCGGCACGCCATTTACCGTTAGCGGTGACCGAATGCCTCGCCGACGAACAAGGTGTAGACGCGGCAGACGAGGGTATAAACACGGCAGCCAGTTTATCAACAAGAAATAACCCATCTAAAAATTTTCCTATCCAATACTTCTTACCGATCTCTTTCGTCATCAAGGATGAGTTGCCCAATCTCCGCTACTCAGCTTCCCACTTAGGGCTTGGGCACCGACCGGCGACAGACACCTCCAGTTCCACGCGGCCTCCACTAATCGTCATAGCCCTCACCAATGCTCAGAAAAAACAACAGAATATTTTATTAGGTCCTCACTGCTCGGACAAATATTTCAACCGCATACCCATGTCTCCGGCGCCACATTCACATGGGCTGTGACAATAGCCTATCAAAACCCGGCTAGCCCGCACCAGGGTCAAGTTTGAAGGATCAAAAGCTTAGGTCCCAACTCTAGCTTTGTCAGCGGTGGCTGCATAGTTAACTAATGCGGACGGCATTCTCGAGCCCTAACCAAGTAGGCTATGCATCCCCTGATTGATAACCCGTCATACAACGGCTGATTTGCGCAACAGGCTAACCGGCACCTATCGGGCTGTAGTGCTTGGAAATACACCGTCGCCTTGTTCAAACTAGACAGAAGCATGGCAAGCAGTAAACGGAGATCTTATGCGAGTAGAATGCTATAAATCCCGCGAATGTGCAATGGGTGTAATGGGACTCTCCAGCACGGTAGTCAGTCAGGCCACGCATCCCTCACTTTCGACACACTGCCCCTTTGAACAGATCCAACCACAACCACAGCAATGTCCACACCACCAGTCCAACTAATCTTCGGCGGCGCCTCCTTTGGCCCAACCATGGCGTCCGACTTCACCTCGTTGGAAGCCATGAAGGGAGCACTGGACCTCCTCGAAGCCGGTGGTGTGAAGACCATCGATACGGCGAGATTCTACCCAGACAGCGAAGAGTGGCTCGGAGAAGCAGCTGCGGCTTTTCAATTCACGATTGATACAAAGTACCCTGGCGGGTTCGCCTCGGAGGCATCTAGTAAGGAGGGACTCATTGCTAGTGCGGAGGAGAGCCTTGCGGCTTTGGGAGTGGATCAGGTATGGGTAATATGCGCTGGGTATTGCCAATGGTCTATTGACACAGCCAGGTGGACGTCTACTACATCCACGCCCCCGACCGCCGCGTGCCCCTCGAACACCTATTATCCGGCATACAAGCCGTGTACAAGAGCGGAAAATTCAAACGCTTTGGCCTATCCAACTTCCTCCCGGATGAAGTCCTTGACGTCGTCCGCATTTGCAAGGAAAATAACTACGTTTTCCCCTCTGTCTACCAGGGAAACTACAACGCGGTTGCGCGGCATTCTGAATCGACTCTCCTCCCCATCTTGAGGAAATATAACATCGCTTACTACGCCTACTCGCCCATCGCGGGCGGATTTCTTACAAAGGACGTCGAGACCCTGATTTCTGGCGGGGAGGGGCGCTGGGATCCCAAAACGCCCACAGGCGGGATATTCAATGCTTTGTATGCCAAGCCGGGGATGCTGGAGGGGTTGAGGCTCTGGGGGCAAATTGCGGATGAAGCGGGAATTCCGAAAGCGGAGTTGGCGTATCGGTGGGTGGCGTTTCACTCGACGTTGAGCGGAGAGCTCGGGGATGGCCTTATCTTTGGGGCAAAGAATAAGGAGCAGGTGGAGGGGACGTTGAGGGGCTTGAGGGAGGGGCCACTGTCCGGGGAGGTTGTAAGAAAGATCGAGAGGGTTTGGGAATTGGTTAGGGATGATGCGCCGCTTGATACGTTCAATAGTGTTGGAAAGTAGAAGGGGTGTCGATTGGGTATAGACTTGTTTGAATAACAACTCGAGACATAGCTAATCACATCTAGCTAGGGCTTGGGTAAGATATAATCGTGTAGGACGCCTTAATCAAATGCTTGGTAAGAAAGCCAAAAGCTTAGTTTTGTACCTGCATAATCACCTCAGAGCGGAAGGTCTTAGCGACGAGGATCTATAGCGTATTCTGTCTTGGACCACATCCAAGTCCCATTCAAAACAACCTAGCAAGCTAGCTCAGTCACAGGACCCCTATCCACATTCCTTTCCTCGGCCCGCGAGGAGGAAATCCCACTCAACCACTTATAATACCTCCAGCATTCCCTTGCAAGCGACAATTCCTTCGTATCCGCCGCGGTTAAAACAGGCGGTACTACCGCAACAAACGAGGCGCGACTCTCTGGCTTGTCACAGGCCGCTGCGGCAGTAAGCGCAACCCACAGGTACGCTTCTGGATTGTGCTTCTTCCACGTTAAGATGTCTAGATTTAGGAAAACAGCGCCTAGCATCTCCAATGATGTGCGTGGAACTGGAGTTGATGGGTCATCTGCTGAAGATGGACTCTCAGGGTATAATGCGTTCTGCACTAGAGACCAGAAGATATCGGTCGCTAGATGACAGCATTCGTTTATGATTCGGGCCGTTTGGCTGGTAGGACTGGGAGATTCTGCTTTGGCACTGGTTTCTGTGGGATGTTTGGTTCTGGTGGTGGCGTGGAGGGTATATAAGTCTGATATCGGGACGTGCTCGGCATTATCGATGAAATCGAGGACGTCTTGCAGTTCGAAAACAGTCTCGCTGCTGAGTAGGCTGTCTCGATTCCCTGATCTCACTGCGCGTCGGAGCAGATTCGAGGGCATACAGCCGGGCTTGAACGTGAACGCGTCAGTCTGTGTTGATGTGTTGACCGGGGGGATGATCGGCGGATCTTCGTTGACTACTACCGTAAGACCTAGGAGTATTCTTAAGAGATGTTAGTTACAGCCAACTACAGTCAGAAATTGCTTACAAGTTCGCCAAGGCTGTCAGTGGCTCAAACTCCGGGCCTTGATTCTGGCTCTTCGCAAGCATATGCAACAGACCATTCCTGTGTATAAGGGCAGAGTCCGTGTTATATCCACTCATCTATCAAGGTTAGTATAGCCGCGAATGTGTTGTCATAACGGGGTTGCATACACTGTAAAAGGTCAAAGAAATCACAGAGGCTGCCGTTTCATAGGTAATTTGGCGGCCCTCTTCTAACCGTTTGCGCAAGATCTTCAACACCTGCGAGTGATGATATAACGTTTGGTAGGTATGTGGTATACCATGAACCATGTCCCGGTGGGCCGATGCGTTGTAGAGAAGTGTGGAAAACAGACAGGGATCCGCTAGGGCTCGACTCATCCAAAAGCTATTGATGTGCGCCATGAGGCTGTCCTGTACAACATAGCTGGATGGCATACAGCAAGCCTCGGTGTCTGACACGTTAGTGGTAGTTCTTAATCCGGGGCACATGACCTTACAATAACGGATTAATTTCGGAAAATAATCACGTTCGGGTATAGGGTATCGCAGCTTATACTGGGGTGCGGACAGTGCGAGGGGGGATACGGAATGTCTGACTCTAGACAGCTCCAGGTCTTCGAAAGGTTGAGGACTGATGGCGACTTTTGATAATCTATTTCGAGGAGACCATGATTGAACCGGTATACTTCGACGGTTTGCGTCAACCGAGTAAGCTTTGCCGAGCTCATAGTCGCAGGGCGTATTTTGTCTGCCAATACAGTTAGGAAACGAACAAGCTCTCACCAAGATAGAGCGGGTATCACCTTTTACATCTTAAACAGACCGGCAAGTCCCTGCTGCAGGCGCGCTTTCCTGCCCGGCATTTTTCGCAGTTGACTGCAGATTTGAAGGATGGTGAACTGGGAACGAGCGGTCTGATTGGAAGAAAGTGAGACAAGTGCTCTTAACTTGATTTGCTGAGAGTCGGGGCCACACAACATACCCGCTCCTATAGTCCGTAAGTTGGTCATCAAAGGGACCTCGATATACACATTGCCGGTTTGTTTTTGACCTGCACCCGTTACTCAATCCGTTATTTTGCAGGATCGGCGCACCTACCGAGCACACCTCAAGCACGCTGGAAACGTCTTGTCGCATTTCCGCTTTTGCGCCGCGCAGGTAAGACACGCATTCGGCATCTGAGGAGCCATTGTGTTGGAATCGGCTCTTTGACTCCTTTCATGTTCAAGTCCGAGGTTCAGCTAGAAATCAGTCGCATTTAGCGCCTGATTTCCGGCGACTTTCCGGCGACATCAGGTTCGCTGAGTCATCCTCAACGGCGAGCCCGGAAGACTGGAAGTGGCTTGAGTCTTGGCCGCTGAAAGCCTGAAGTCGTTTGGAACGAGATTGGCGGATATAAGAAGCCGGCCATTGAGAGCGGGTGGTGCCAGGTGGTGGGGAGGCCGAGTCGGGACTTGATTCGTTGTCGAGAATGGCGGGCTGGGCACCTGCAGGGAACAGAGCTGAAAGAATCGAGGCAGAAGAGCAACTGTGAGGATGTCGAGGAATTAAGGTTCTGAGCGTTTCTCCTGCCAGTGGTGCCTGGCGGAGACGTTGCAAGAAATAAACACAGATGCTTGGTTGACTAATCTCACTGTTCAGGGCAACCGCAGCCGACAAACCTTGGAACCCCTGAAGATTGAACCCTTAACCCCGCACTAGTAAGGAGAGCACAATGCTCCAGCTCCAAGAAGCAATCTCTTGACCGATGCCAATATCGTACCGCCAGAGACCGGATGTCCGACCGCAGACCATCCTCGGTTTCCCTAAGGGGCTGCGTATGAGTGCAAATCGGCGTAGGGAATGATAAGGTACGTGCCTGAGCCGAAATAGTTGGCTGCGGGGTTGGATAGTCGCTGTTGGATACTTCTAACGTACTGCCGAGCCTTTCACCTAGCAGGAAGGAAGACATTTGAAAGTCGTCCGTTCGACTGTGCGATGACCTTTATATGTCGACACCAGTTTTAGCTTGTACACGGAGCACCCTATCATCACCCATCTGAATCCTTCATGTCCGCTAGCGTCCAGGCGCTAGCGGCCTCAGTTAAAGCACTCGAGATTCCTCTATGGCCAGATATCTCTATGCAATATCTACCAAACAGGCAATACTTTGCGACGACGCGCGGTGCTCACGAGGAGAGGAGCTGGCGGCAAATGCAAGCTGTATTGACAAACAAACAAACGTTATTTGCTAATCAGACGATTCAATTCGGGCCGAGACAATTTCGATATCTTCAGGAAAAAAAGACACTCGACAGAAGAAGTGGTTTTCAATCAAACATGACGTAAAGAAAGGGACATGGAGCCAGCATTACAATTTTCAACCAGACAGGGGACATACGCCTACAGGAGAAACGAACTGAAGGAAGAGAAAGAAACATCCGGGGAATTTAGACAGAGAAAGAAAGGATGAAGAAAACGAGTCCGGGCGCACCCAATGCTGGATGAAACAGGAATAAAAGAAATACAGGACCGTGGCGGTCGATCCAGAGTCGGTACAAGGCAGCAAGCCCAGGTCTAGGAACGTTTGCTCATCAACGTCATTCGTCCGGCGCATGATCATAAGCAGTGAGAGCCGTTTAAACGTTCTTGTAGAGCAACAGAGGCTCGCCGATGTTTTCGATCTCGGGGATTGTACATTTCAGGTCAAACGCTTTGGCCAAGACGATTTTGAATATCTATGGCGATGTTAGTACGGCCATCAGTATGGAAAGGCGCCAGCTAGAAAGGAATCCTACCTTTTGTACATTGATGCTGTGACTGGTACTGCTGAAGATCAAACTGGCTTTCATAGCTTTTGCGAAGCGTTTGGCCTAGGGAGGTTAGAAATGGCAGAATTACGGCAGCGATCTGCTTACCTGAATTGAAATCTCCTCTTGATCTTCCCGAGGAAAGTTCACAAAGTGATCGTACTTGGTACCCACGAGGAAGGGGATGGCGGTCTTGTTGAACCCTCGCCCTTGCCTGTACCATTCCTTGATGGAGTTCAAAGTGCTTTTGCGGGTAAGGTCGAACATGAAGAGAATAGCGACGGCATCGTTACACACAAGCGGCAGCATGTTGACAAACTCGCGCTGACCACCCAAATCCCAGATTGAGAATGTGATTTCTGTATTCCGGATCGAGATTGTTTTTTCCATAAAGTTGACGCCTGCATCATTAGCAAGGATCGACACCGCAATCAAGGGAACATACCCAGTGTCTGAATGTAATCCTCATCCCAGCTACCCTCGACATATTTGACCATCAAACTAGTCTTTCCAATTTGTGCATCTCCGACCATGCCGACCTTGATCACCACGCTGTTCTTCGACGGCTGCGCGGGCTGTTTCTGCGTAACTGATAACCCAGAACTCGGTCTCGACGTCGCCGGCGGTTGAGGGTGTGTGTTGTGCGTGGGAGTAGTGTGATAGTCATAATGAGCGCGCGAGTCGCTGCTGTAACCGTTATGATAGCTTGTCGGAGGGAGGGTAGATTCTTCTGGGGCGGAGGCCGGGATGATGGTAGGTGTTTCAGCTTCTGAGCGACGTGGGATGTCTCGCTGGTGGGGCTGGGCTTCTTGCGGAGCATCTTGCTGAAGCTCCTGTGCTTGCTCTGGCAGTTGCTCCTGCTGAATATCTTGTTGAAGGTGTTGCTGGTCTGGCTGAGGCGCCTGTTGTGTTTCCTGAACTTCGGGCGCAGGTGGCTCGGCGACCGGGGGGTGGACGGGATCCATGGCGATACGAACGAAGGGAATATCAGAGCACGGCTCCGGATAAAAGAGGGACAATCGAACAGAGAACAATAGGTGACAGGACAGGAGCGAATCGAGTTGGACGAGGCCGGAGGGGGAGAAGCCTGAGGTCAACAACACAAGGTCACAGCCAGCCGCAGCTCCAGCTCGACCGATCGCCGCTAGACCGCGATAGGACTAGTGCGGGCCACCCCAATTTTCAAAGAGAAAAAAAGTTCCTGAACCACGAACGAGAAACGTCTTCCAACGTCTCGCATTGCCGTACGACAGGCTCGCTGCTGCTCATCCGGAGGACTGAACTATACCGATAAAATGTCTAAACGAAGTGCCGACGCCTCTGACGACCAGGCCGCCGCCTCCCTCAAGGCTGGCGAGCGCCCGGTCGCTGGTGCCCCTCCCGACGAGATGGGTGAGTTCGAGGATGAGTTTGAGGACGAGTTCGAGAGTGAGGACGAGATCTTGGAGGCCGGCGTGGACGGGCGACCGGACGCAGAGCGCGAGGAAGAGGAGAAGGGTATGTCTACGCACCCATGTCTACGCACCATTGATCTTTCATTATAACCAACTGACACTGTACAGCGGACGCAATGGAGGTAGACCAACAGACATTCATTCCTGGCCGGACGAAACTCGCGCCCGGAGAGGTTCTCTCCCCTGACCCTTCCACATACGATATGCTACACACACTCAGCACACCATGGCCATGCCTTTCATTCGACATTGTCCGCGATAACCTCGGCGACAACCGCAAGACCTATCCCGCGACAGTATATGCAGTGACCGGAACACAGGCAGAGGGACGACGTGCAAAGGAGAACGAGCTCATGGTCCTGAAGCTCAGCGGCCTCGGCAAGATGGAAAGAGAAAATGAGACAGACTCCGAGAGCGACTCCGACGACGACGAGGGAGGCGAGGCCATTCTCGAGTCCAAGAGTATCCCGCTCGGCTCAACGGCAAACCGAATCCGTGCGCACCAGACCCCTTCGCCGACCGGAGATTCCACCCCTCAAACAATCACCGCGACGATGCTCGAAAACTCACAAGTTGTTATTCACGATGTCACCCCACACTTTACCAGCTTCGATGTTCCCGGCACGATGCTGCCCCCTTCTGCCTACAAGCCCTTGTCTACACTCCGCATGCACAAGTCTGAGGGTTACGCCCTCGACTGGTCCCCTCTTCAGCCTCTCGGCAAGCTCTTGACAGGTGACAACGATGGATTGATTTATGTGACAACCCGCACTGAAGGAGGTGGCTGGGTGACAGACACACGCGCATTCACTGGACACAGCTCGTCCGTCGAGGAGATCCAATGGTCGCCGAACGAGAAGAACGTGTTTGCCTCAGCGAGCAGCGACGGCACCGTCAAAGTTTGGGACGTGCGATCGAAATCTCGCAAGCCTGCTGTGGATGTGAAGATCTCGAACACGGACGTGAACGTCATGAGCTGGTCGAAGCAGACCTTCCACCTTCTTTCTACAGGCGCCGACGACGGACAATGGGCCGTCTGGGATCTGCGACACTGGAAGCCCAACCCGGCCTCGCCTTCGGCACCAATCACCGCGGCCCCCGTTGCCTCTTTTGACTTCCACAAAGAACCCATCACAAGTATTGAATGGCACCCGACAGACGACAGTGTCGTTGCTGTCGGATCCGCCGATAACACAGTTACTCTATGGGATTTGGCGGTCGAACTGGACGAGGAAGAAAGCCGCGAGGCTGGTCTCTCGGACGTGCCGCCACAACTGCTCTTCGTGCACTACATGGAGTCCGTCAAGGAAGTGCACTGGCAGGCACAGATGCCGGGCACGCTCATGGCTACCGGAAGCAGTGGATTTGGGTACGTTTTCCGTATAATCTCCTTACTTTGGCTCATGCTAACCTCTCTACAGTGTGTTCAAGACAATCAGCGTTTAGTAGATAAAAGTGCTCGAATAATGACCTTCATGTTTATATTTTCCGTTTTGGACGCTTCGCATCTATACCATTATCGCTTCTGTGTATAGACCATAGCCAATCAGATTCAATGAATGACACGACACTAGAGCATCGACGTGGCATTGTCTATCATCTATCAAACGATCTAACAAACCAGACTTCTAACAGCAAACAGCCACCGATTACTAACACATCTATCAGCAGTCCCAAGATCTATGCACAGCCTTTTTACACCACAGCGATTTACTCGACCTTCTTCGGCAAAACCCAATGAAGCACCCCATCCCTCTTCCCACTAACATCGCCAACATGCGTACACTCGCCCCAAGTGCGCACAAGACTGCGCATGAACCCAGAGTCATCGCGATGGTACTGCTCGCCGAGGACAGGGATGATCGCATTCGTCGCCTCCTCGGCGCGGTAGAAGGGGATGCGCGAGAACAGGTGGTGCACGACGTGGTGGTCGATGATGTGGTGGAAGAAGTGGCGACCGATGAAGCCAAAGTCGCGGTCAACGGTGCTGAGCGCGCCGCGCGTGAACGTCCAGCTTTCGTTTGTGTAGTGCGGGATGTCCTTGTGTGTGTGGTGGAGGTAGGTGATTGCGACTGGTCTCGTTAGTTTGGTTCCTTTTCAGTGAATTGACTTGGGTGGAGTGGGACATGGACATACCGAGCCAGTGGTGCACCCAGAGGTAGGGAACAACGTAGATGAGGAAAGTCTTGAGCAGACCAACCTGCTGACTGAGGTACCAGACGGCCGCACCCATAAGAAGCAGACCGAGATCAGAAATGGCAATGAGATGGCGCTGCGACTCGGTCCACAGCGACCCCGTGGGATCAAAGTGGCTGTTCGTCTGGAACCAGCCCGTGCGCTTGCCCTGGATCGGACGGCTCTTGGTTCCCGCAGTCACATTGAAAAGCAGGTACGTCTGCCACCCGGCGAGCTGGTGCGCGAGCAGGCTGACGAACGAGTAGATGGGGGTGTCCTCGAGCATCTCGAGCCACTCGGGGAGGTAGCTGGCCTTGCCCGCGATGTCCTTCTCGGTCCAGGGAACAAACGCCGTGTCCTTTTCCGTGTTGTTTGTGTAGCGGTGGTGGCGCGCGTGCGTGATCTTCCAGGAGAAGTAGGGGACGAGCAGGATGGAGTGCAGCGCCCAGCCGATGACATCGTTGATGCGTTGGTACGGGGAGAAGGCGCCGTGGCCACACTCGTGGGCGAGGATCCAGATTCCGGTGCCGGTGCAGCCCTGGAAGAAGCCGTAGAGGATCCAGGCGAGGACGCGCAGAGGCAGGGACGGGAGGTAGTCGATCTGCAGGGCGAGGTAGAAGAGGATTCCGGCGTAGATGAAGTCGCGGACTACGTAGGCGCAGGAGATGAAGAGGGAGCGGTCGAAGCAGTGCGCGGGGATGGCATCGCGGATTTCCTTGAGGGTGAGTTCCTCCTGCGGTGCTGTTAGTCTTGCTGTCGCATTCGTTGCTGAGAAGAGTTAGGGCACCTTTTGCTCTCCCTTGGTTAGGGATATAGTTTCACTCATGGCGGCGTGTATAGATCTCAATCTGACCAACTGAACTGGAAAAAAACTCTTCGCAACCTCGATCAGAAGGACTCCGCGAGCTATTTATTTTGTCTCTCGGTCTGCCGATTTTTTTTTTTACAGAGGGAAAAAAATCAAACGCCCCGGTTTCTCGCGATCCTCTACAAACGCGGATAACCCTAATCTTACTCCGTATCCAGCTAACTCGGAGGATGCTAGTCTACCAATAATAGGACAAGCGATCCTTTCCCCCCTGAGCCGAGACAGCAACAAAGCATCAGAAAGGGTTTGGCTGTGGACCCCCGTTGCGTTTACCGGCAGTGTGATAGGTGCGTGCCTAGCCTCCTTTAACGGTCCCGTGGAAGACTCCGTTGACATTTTAAGCTCCCAAACTTTTGGGTGAGGAAAAATTTCCCAACATGTTTTGGATTTGTCTGGGCATTGGCCCCTTTTTTTTGCTCGGGGCCGAGTTCTGCGCGATCGGAACGAACGCTTTGCTCTCGAGAATCCCGTATTTCGTATCGGGTGTCGGGGTTCTTTTTGCGATGAAATTCTGTATCGCGCATGGGAGTTGAGGCTCGTTAGAATCTTATTTCGGCAGATTATCTGGCAGATCTGGAATAAACATTCGAGCGACAGGCGATTGGCCGCTTATGCTGCTGCTGACATGGATCCTGCACAGGGGCTGGCAAAGGGCATTGTATCCATTTGAAGATTCAGCTGACATGCGCAAACCATGGATATATTTATGTGCATATTCACGCAGTCATCAAACACTCCGAGCCACAGGAATTATTGAGTTTGCAGCTTCAGCTGAATGGCGAGGCAAAGTTTGCATATGCTGACTTACATAAGCTATGCATGCACAAGGCTGCAGCGCCTTTGGTAGGGTACAGCTGGGTCTCCGCAATATGCATTAACATGGCTGAACTGATTATCAATGATTGGAAATACAAGTTCTGGCTCGGCTAAAGACGCCGCGTTTGTGGCGAATATACGCCCAGCGAGGAATCCACGAGGCCGTCATCGTCACCAGATCCTCAGAGCTGCATAGCTACAACGTACAATGCCACCAACAAAGGAGAGGATGCGGCTTGAATTGCATCTTTGCGTGGGGCCCAATGACCCAGCGGATTGAGGTAGCTCGCAGCCTGCTAGCAGTAGTACTGCGATATCTGCTTGGGGAACAACGCACCGTGCGACCACAGAATGCCGCAGACAGGCTGCAGACCATGTTAAATCAGCGAGGCAGCGCTTGCCACACTGCTCTTGTGTTCCGCTCGTGTTCATCTTGATTCGCTTGGCCCAAGACGACAAGCCGTTGTATGATGCAGCCCAGGACTTATAGCCTCGACCACCCGCTTCTCTTCGGGGCAGGCGCTCTGACGCGTTCCTGCCTCTAGAGGCGCAGCTCCCCTTTAAAGATGTCCGCGATCCTCCAGCTGGATTTTGGGACGGCTGTCCCCTAGCTCAATCCTTGTCCCTTGGAGTACGCCAGCAACTACTATGGGAAATGGATGCTTGCTCCAAATAACACTCTCCTTATGTATGCTGCCTCTGGGATACTATTTATCATCGTGATCGCCTTGCAAGCTTACGGCGCTACAGAGCCCCGGGTTCATTCGCAGGAGCCGCTGGGGCTAAGAGCCTCGCGCTTCAAAGCCCGTGTATCGAGGCTACCAACGCCGTGGCTTCCTCGTCTTCTACCTAGCAGTATCGTTTTGGAGACCCTCTTCCGCTCGACCAACGAGCTGCAGATAACCTCCGTGATGGCTTCTGCAGTACTCAAGTTCGTTCTCACAACCATTACTAGTCTCCGAACAGTGAACCTTTACGGCCATTGAGACTATAATCCGATGCACCAGAATGTTCTTGGTGCCAATCTACGGCAATCCACGGGGTTGGCCAGCTGAAATGCTTTGGATTACCTTATCTACTTACCTATGCTGACTCGATGAGTGCTGTCCAGACACTGCGCAACCTCACCCGCCCGCTCGCCTGCGTTCAGGGTGGCACGTTGATTCTGCAGCCTCCAAGTTTGTTGACCCAGCCACATCGCCATTGTCCAGAACCAGAGGCGGCAGACGCTCGATTCTATGAATTGTTGCGGATGTCACCGTCGGTGAGCAGACCTAGTCGACGTCTCAGTCTGCCTGAGGCAATGCTCTCGAATGGTCCAGCACTACGCGGGACAGTCATGCGGTACCTCTCTTCAAGTCTTGTTGGGCGATACCGGAAACCTTATACACCAGGGTCTGCAACCTTCTCCTGATGAGGGCGACTCCCCGGAGCTCATTTGAACTTGCCACGAATCAGACACGGATGAACCTGGTCTGTCTCAAATGTCCATGTCGCATCAGCGCGATCCATATGCGGTCCAGGTCACCTATCCAGCCAGAAACCCTATCCCAGTCTCCGCCCCATCGCCTAGAGCGGCTTTGTGCGCAAGATATTGCGCGGTCTCTGCTACTGTGGGTGTGCTGTTCTAGCCACCAACGTTGAACGCAACCAATCGTCGCCTTCACGGATTTCATATGTGGCGCCTTTATCTCATGAACGCGATGTGAAAACATCCGCCAAACTCAAGGGGACTTTCCGGCAATGTGTCGGAGTGGAAGTAGCGGGCCCGATTCCGTGCAAGGACATGTGGTCGGGTGTCGCGCGGTGGTGTTGTCGAACTTGGTGAAGCTGCGGTCATCACAGTGTAATCTCGCCCGGCCGATTACTGTCCCCAGTGAGCGACACAATGGAGTTGTCCTAAACAAGAACACCACCAGAATTGATTTACTTGCAAATGGCGAACTTGATACACCAGAGTCGTCCTACCATTCTCCGACTGCCATGATCATTATCTCCGAGCTGAGGCACAAAGTCAGGCTTAACACGGGCCGAACATGTTCAGTAGTTCGAGGTAAAGAAATGCTTCATCACCCAAGCTGACCTCCAAAAGACAAGACTGGCCAGATTCGGGCCCTGGCCATGCTCTGAAACGCCAGACGTCATGTGAATCCGAAAAAGGCAATACCCTGCGCTGGGCTAGAAGGGTCAAGCGAAACTCTATCCGCTTCTGGTAACAGCCTTTATTGTGCTACCATAATCCTGCCAAAGCGTCCAGCCAACATCCTCTGCATCTTGCAGCAGCCTTTATTGTGCTGCCAAAATCATGCCAAGTGCCAAGTAGCGGAAACAAGACTTTGACAGACCGGGGTCGAGCTGGTGCTAGCCCGAAATGGAACCACATTGCTTGCCGCTGATTGGTGGGCTGGTTTATAAGGTCCGCCAAGTCTCAGCTTCCACCACATGGATATACAGGAACGAAACCATGCAGTTATCACAAACGTTCATTCCTGCGTCCAGCTCGGAGATGCCCACCCTTTTCGGTCACGAATCCCAGAAATCAGGATCATATCTCGCATGCCGAGCATTCAATAAGATTCGGTGAGGAACTTGGTTATTGCCCATTCGCAGCTGGACCGCCATGTGTCCGCGGAAATGCTGATCTTTGTCCATTCGTTCAATTCGTGCTTGAGATGCGCCCGACGGACTAATTTCGGTCTAACTAGTCTTTAGGTTGCAGCGCGTGACGTTACAACTGGCGCCAGAGGCTCGCGTGGAAATCGAATCTCAAACAGTTTTTGAAGGACACTGAGATCGAGTAGTTGCACACTGAGATCGAGTCTTTGTAAAGGAGGACACGACAAGCATCAGTGACAAGGCCTTATCTCAAAAGTCTCATAGAGTTCTCACGGTGGCTTCATCCTGAAGTTCAGACTTAGAGTCATGACCTCAGGCAAACACCCTGATGCTGGGCGGCTATATTGAGGGAGAGAATGTATTGGCTGGGACGTGACAAGACCGTTCAAAGTTCGTCACGCCAATGCCAGCTAATAACGATTTAGCCTGTAGCAGATCCCACCGGTAGCGCCAAGGGAAGACTAGACCCTGCCTGCTCTTGAGGTGACAGCTCCACCCATTCAATGAGGAGTAAGCAACCCCCTCCTTGAAAGAGTTAGCTCCTGCAATTGTTGGAGAAGGGCTTTCCGAACTTCGAATATATAAAGGACGAGAGCGCCCGTCGAGCCTGCACGCCGTACGGATCGGATCTACCTTTTATCTCCAGAGCAAACCAATCTAGAATGTACTGCCCGCCAACTCACAACATGTCTCCCTTTTACGTCGGTGACCTCACGCTCGACCCCGTCGATGGAGATAGCGCCCAGCGCCATGCGCACTGGGATGACAGTACTGTCCATCTCATCGGGGACCTACCCCTCCTCTCACCCGTCTCTCCTCCCATTCGAGCGCCCGGAGCAGAAGACATTCTGTTTTCTTCCTCCTCTTCGACCTCAACCTCCTCTCCTCAGATGTCTGGTCTCCGCGTGCGAGACTCGCAATCCGCCTCGGCAGAAGCAGACGATCACCCCGACGACGAGTGCATGGTAAACCCCAAGGTACTTCACCTCCCCCGCTCAAAGAAGAGGGGGGAAAAGATACTAAAAAAGCAGAACAAAAACCGCCGCACGCAAAACCGCCAAGCGCAGCGGCGCTTCCGCGAACGCAAAGAACAACAAAAGACCGCCCTCGTCACGCGCCTCGAAGACCTCCAGCACAAGCACGACGAGCTCGCCACCCTCCTCACCACATTCCGAACCAAAAACCACACCCTCGAAACGGAACAGACCCGCCTCACCCGCGAAGTCGACGTCCTCCGCAAATGGCGCCGCAAGCTGCTCAGCCTAATGTCCGATCTCGTGCGCCAGGACGAAATGGCGAATGACCAGCTCACGACGATTGCGAAGAGCTGCTCGGATACGTGCTGGCGGAGGGGAATCGAGTATTCGCGGCTGCTGATTACCATGCAGACGCTGCTGTCGTTGTTTGAGGAGTTGCAGATTTCGCCGGATGGGGGGTGACCTCCGAGTCTGCCGCCGTGGAACTGTGTTGAGATTTTTTTTTTTCTACACCTGCCTCTTTCGGTCTCTTGCGTTTATGGGTAATATAGAGGCTATGTATGGTATGAATGGCGGAGTAAATTGGTATGACGAAATTGCCAAGGATTCTAGCTCAAAAAATAATCTGCTCATTCCAGCGCGGTGTAAATTGCAAGAACATTTGCTCTGCTTTCAATCACATCCTGGACAAGTCGGTTTCAACCGTTCAACCGTTGCAGGCTGCAGCCCGATCGAGTGGTTGGCTACTCGGCCATTCCCCGACCGAAGCTTGGCCCCCAAGCACGAGCTTGGGATGAAACCAGATGGAGGCTAGCGGGTTAGACCGCCGCGGCGCCCCCCAGTCACCACGCGCAAGCGGAAGGGCGGGAATGTTGGTGCTGACAGAGCTGGTTTGTCATGCGGCTGGATGACTGACCAAGATGACTGTGCAGAGGGGCTTTTCTGGTTGGGTGTTGGGGAGGTGGTTCGTCAGCTTAGTTGATGTAGGGCAGAACTTGAAGGGTTGGGCTGCGGTGCGGCTGGGGATTACCAGCGTTTGGAATCTTTGGATGGATGTGTATTGGATTGGTGCTTGTTCGCATGTGACTTGAGTAGAACTAGGGCAGTGGACTAGCCTGCGGAGAACGAATGGTTCTGATATCCTCTCCCCTCTTCGAAACAGTATAAGATATATTACTGCTTTCTGATGGAGCATTGATTATCTCGTTAGATCATCTTGCCCGATGAAAGATTAATAACTGATGAATCTTCAAAATGTTTATGGAGTCAGCTCCCTAATACACCGGTTGTGTTTTTGACTGCTGTTGTCAGGATCAAGAGGCCATTGCCGTGGGGCCCATAATACTCTCGTGCAATTCAATACAGGTGTTCATATAAAGAACATGGGGTATTTAGATCTTGCGGCCAAAGCGAACACATACCACAGGCATCTCTCTATGCACCTAGCGGACCACCATATGGATACAGAGTACCATGCCCCTGATCGGCCCAAATACCTCGCAGATAGGTCCATACCCCACCGGAGGAGAGGTCTCATGCATGATGCATCTTAGTATCACTATTTATCTAGTACTCCATACCCTGTCGATCCTCCTCACATCAACTGTACTGTAGACAGCAACCTTATTCCAACTCCAAATTCTTGGTTCATTATGCACAGGCCATAGAGAGCGTGCCTTGAAGAGCCAGTGATGATTTATCGCTTCAGTGAAATCTCATCTTGATACCGTGATCGGAGGTGGTACATGCGTCGCCTTGGCTTGTCATAATGCGCAGAGCTATGGTTCCGCATTTTCCTACAATAAATCAGGACTAGATCGCTATGAACTCTGTGGCGTCAACTATATCTCCGAAATGCTTAGATTGTCCCGACGCAGTGGCATGCATACATGCCCTACCCTGATCCGAGGGCGCTTAAATATAGTATAGAATCTGTAAATCACACCATCGCCGCCACAGCTCCATTCTCTATCGCGTAGACTGCACATTAAAGCTTGAGCTCTGAGCCAACATACCATACGTCCTGGCTGTCGGGCTAGAATCCCTGATGAGGCCGATGTAATGCTTGCGAGGTCTATACTGGCTGAATATCGCCTTGACAGCTAACCCTAATGGAGTTTCGGCTTGTGCGCTATCCGTATCCCATTGTCCCAAATCATGGTTGACAGACGTTGAAGGTTTTAACCTGCCGGCTAGTCTCGAGATCCGAGAAAGAAAAGTCTAGTAAGCCTGCCTCGGATATCACATCATGAATAAATGCATTAAGAATCTATACAAATTCACAAAAAGTATTAGCTCTGCCGCAGAGCCAACATTTTCTTCCAATCCTCATAAGCAGAGCCAACGCTTCAAACCCTAGATCAAGACTCATCCTCATCATCCCCATGCCGCGCCTTCCTCACATCCTCCCTCGAATACGGCGGCACGAGGAAATACAGCACCCCGTGCAACATCGACGCCGTCAGCGGGCCGATCCAGTGGATCCAGTGGTAGGACGAGAAATGCGACCCGACCATTGCGCCGAAGCAGCGGGCGGGGTTTCCGGCTACCGGTTACAACAGGTCACAATCAGCCAATGTATACAAGAAAAGAAATACGGAGAGCTTTGGGAAGCGGCACGTACAGAACCCCGTATACCCGTCCCTTGAGATCCCCGTGAGGAACGAACACCCGCCGACGATGAGACCGACAAAGATGGGGCCCAGAGCTGGGCCAAAGACGTCGCGCTGGCGCGGGTCGAGACCGACTCCAAAGGCGAGGAAGACCAGGGCGAAGTCGGTGGTTGTTTCGATTGTGAAGGCGCTTGCGAGCGAGACCATTGATGTGTCGATGTAGCAGCCGGGAACAATGAACTGGTTTTTGTTAGCTGTTTTTTCATCTTTCTTGGTATATATCGTGGTTGTATGATATAGGGTTGCGGTTGGGAACGCACCGATCTCGTGTCAAAACTTGCTCGCAAGAGCCACCCGGCGACTGCACCACCAAAGGTCTGAAAAGAAATGTACAGGATTGCTCTGGGGAGCGAGCAGAGGCGGCTGAAGAATGTCGCAATGGTGATGATGGGGTTGATGTGCGCACCGGACACTGGGCCTGCGGAGTAGATGAATAGAGGGAGGGTTAGTAAGGCTGAGAGCATCCCGACCAGTCCCGGGACAAGGGGGCCGGAGTCGAATAAACTGATCTCGTTAGCTTATATTTATACAAGGATGAGAAGCGGAGAAAGCGGACTGAGTACGTACGCGCCCATTTGCCCTAATCCCACGGCTATAAAACACGTCAAATAGACAAGCAAACAACTCGCTAGCACCCATCAGCATTCGCCCTCGAATATCTCGACCTTGGGAGGTACAAACCAATGGCCTCCACAACAGCCGCCTTCCACAGCTCAATCTGCAGAATCCCCCTCATGGACAGCGCATCGCGCACAGGAATCCACGGCGCGGCATCCGGAAATTTCTGCAGGATCTCTGCACGCGCGCAGTTGTTCTTGCCCAGGGTGAATTCCTGGTTTGCGCCGACACGCCCGGCAAAGGGGACAGCGTTGTTTGCAGGGAGGTGGTCTCCCGCTGTGCGCCAGAGGCTGGCGTGGGGGGTTTTTGAGAACATGTTCGGCTGTCGCGAGTGGTTGATGGCTTGGTATGGAGACTGGGGTAAGATGTCGAGTCGGTCTATAGGCGATCACGACAAATCCAGGTGCTCATAGACACTTTCTGATATTGTTTAGAACGATCACAAGACTCGAGCATGCCAACGGAAATCTGGGGGGCGAGAACCCCTATATGGCGGGTGGGTGCTGGTTATAAAGGCCTTAGTCATGCTTAAGAAGCATTCCGTAACTAACCGTGAGCATCAGCCGTGGCAGTCTCGCCCAGAAACTGATTAATGAGGATAGCAAAGGATGATCTCCAGAAGGCCCAACACTACTTTTGATTGGCATGCGCTATCAGGGGGTCAACTTTATTTCAACTGTTGTGGCGGCCTAGGGCTAAATGTCAGTCTTGGCGATTCCGCTTACATATATATCCTGCTGTCATGGAGGGTGCTGTCCGACCAGCAGGAACCAACAAAGATTTGAAACTCAAATACGTGTATGACTTGCCCTATTAACCAAAATGACAAGCTCCTTATTCCATGTTTGTATAAGAGCTCATCTATCATCTACAACTCCTTGCCCCTTTCCATTCAATCCACCCCCCTCAGGCATCCAAAAACCCCCTTATAACCCTCAAAACCTCCGCATTCTTCTCCAGATGCACACTATGCCCCGCTCCCGGAAGAACAATCAGCTTCGCGCCGGGCACAACCCCAGCAATAATCTCCGACTGCTTCGGTGGGCAGATCCAGTCCTCTGCTCCTACGATGACGAGTGTCTTTGCGGTGACTTTGTCAAGAGAGGACCGGTAGTCGAAGTATTTCTCGCTTTCCGAGTATAGGTCATCTATGAGTGATAAGTTAGCTGGTCACCCGTTCCTTGCTTGGTTGAGTGTGTCCTTTCTTTCTCCGAAAGGGAAGGAGCGACCTGGGCCTCAGGGCTCCGATCTGGATCGTTCCTTCCCTCTCCATAACTATCCCGGGCAAACAAAGCCAAAAAAACCCAAAAAAAAACGGGAAGGAACGACTCAGGCCTCAGGACTCAGGACTCCGATCACGCTCCTTCCTTATTCAACCTCGATTCACGAAGTTGTTGAAGGAACGACCCTTCCTCCCCTCCTCCCCAGCCATTCTCAGCGAAAAAAGGAAACCACTCACTATGCGCGACCGCATTCACAACCATCCCCCTCGCCCTCTCCAACGCGCGATCCGCATCAAAGTTTGCAGCGTCAACGTACAGCGGCGCCGCGGCATGCATGACGAGCCGGAACTCGGTATCGTCGATGAATGAGCCGAAGATTTTGTCGCGGAGCATGGCGATGGTCATCCCTGGGGCGCGGTGCAGGCGTTTGGATAGGGTTGAGAGGGCTTCGGATTCGTCTATTCTCGAGTTTTAGTCAAGGGACTTGAGTTTGCATGGAAGGGGGAAGGATATACGGTGATGTGAGGGCGCTGTGCCCCTGAGTATCAAGTGTGAGGCATTCTGCGGGTATGTGATGGCGTATTGCTGCGCGAGGAAGCCGCCGAAACTTCCTGCAATGAGGACTATGGGTTTATCACTTGAAAAGTGGACACGGAGTGCTTCAATGTCGTCAACTAGTTGGGCGAATGTGTAGGGTCCTGTTCGTGAGCTGAGGCCGTGGCCGCGGTAGTCGAAGGATAAGATACGGTAGCGATCTTGGCTGAGGGGCGAGAAGGCCTGGAAGTCGGAGGTGTGGTCGCCGAAGCCGCGGCCACCGTGGAGGGTGATTATTAGAGGTGTGCTTGGATCATCAGGGCCGGCGAGACGGTAGGCGAGGGTTGCGTTGTTGATGGTGATGTACGAGACCATTTTGTCGCAGATGTGGGTACAGTACAGGTTTGGCGGGGAGGGAGCGGCCGATTTATAGTTTCTTCAAAGTTCGTTCTAGAAGCGGATTGTCGCCGAGGGAAATTACCCTTTTTGATCATTATACCTCTACATCGCTGTTTTCAGTCCCTCGCTTGTTCCATCGTTCAGCAATCCTCTGCGATGCATCGATGCCAACTCCAGTGAAAATCGTCAATGATATCACAAACGCCAGTCCACTCGGCCACCCATGTGTCTCCTTGAACTCCGGCGCCTGCCCACTGGGAAACTGCAGCTGCTGGAACGGAATAACCACCGCCTGTCCGAGCGAGACCATGAACGCTAGCACGAACGCCCTGAGCTGCTGATCCCCTCCGCACACCGAGTTGCACCATCCAGCAAGAATTGGGGTGTAGCAGCCGTAACAGCCCGCAAGGATGAACGCTGCCATCTTCAGTCTGTCCGGAACATCCCACACTACCATGACCGCGTAGCAGAATATCAAGAGACAGCCAACGGCCGCGCAGACGGCGCCTCGCCGTTTCGGCCCAAGCATATCGATAGCGTACCCCGTCGACATCATAAAGACAAAGTTGACCGCTCCAAGCGATGTCGGAATGCTGTTGATCTGCGGAATCGAGTAGTCGCCTGTTGCCTTCAGCCAAAGCGTAAAGTACTGCATCACATACGATCCACACGTGAGCGTCCAAAGACTGTATGCAATGGCAAAAACATAGAGCTGCCAGGCGCCCAGAATCCGGCGAATGATACTCCAGTCGAACTTCATCTTGGGCGCGCGGCCGTCTTGCTCCATGCGTTCGATCGCCCGTTTCCGTTCCCACTCATTGAGGTAAAATGCTGTTGTAGTCTCCGGCGTATCCGGATAGAATATAAGACCATAGATAGCAACCGGAACCGCTATAATAAAATCGAAGATAAAAAGCCAGCGATAAGCAGGCATTCCGCCTCTGCCCTCCATTCCGCTGTATAGAGCTGACTGGAGGTACCCGGAAAACATCTGGCCCAAAACACCAGACATGACGAAGAGACCACTCCGTCGGGCAATCTCGGATTTCGTGTACCAACAGCCCAGCACGTACTGGACGCCTGGCCATGCCGCGGACTCAAAGAGACCGATACAGAAGCGCAGAGCATAAAACTGGTGCGCGCTGGTGCACTTGTACAAGAAGAGGACGAAGAACGACCACGTGAAAAGGCAGAACGGCAGCCAAAACCGGGGCCGGACGACAGTCAAGATAAGATTCGAGAATGGACCACCGATAATCACGGCGGCGTTGAAATAGGTGTTCATCCAGCTGAGTTCGTTGCCCGGGCCGAAGCCCAGATCCGCCGCCAGACCAGAGGCGTACGCATTCGTGACGTTGTTCTGATCGAGCTGCTTCACGAAAAAGCATAGACAGCTGAAACTGAGGAGGAACCAATCAAGTTTGAAGATGAGCCATTTCTCGGCCTTGCTGGTGCCCGGCTCATGCCATTGGAAGAAGCGGCGGCGGGGTGTCTGCTCGGTGGACGAGGAATCAGACGAGGCTTTGGCGACCGTCGCAGGGTCTTTGCCCGTGGCGTCGTTGACGGAAGCCATGATTGTTGTTGCTCTCAGTCGAGTGACGAGACATGATTTTATATTGGAGTAACGGAGTAGATTGCGCAATCCGGGGTTTGCAGCAGAAAGCTAGGGTTTCCGTCGTAAATTCCCCGATTCGGAAGCTCAACGTAGTGGGGCCGACGGTGGCGGTTTCCCACACTTGTTTGGCGCTCATGTCGAATTCAAAGATAAGAGCACACAATCGCACTAGCATCCTCGACCGGAACAAAGGACAGTCCAGATCTTGGAGACTCCTCCTCCACGCGGGAATATGTGACGCTTTCCTCCCCGTCAATGAGATCTTGATAGCACGTTGCTTTCCCTAGCGTCTCACCTGCCAGGGATACCAGCTCTCCTCGCAGTGATCTTAACCATTCTTGCTGCTGGACTTCCGCACTATAAACTTCATGGCTAGCAACAAACTCAGCAAACTCGATCATGATACCTGCAAGACGCCGCGCATGCGTCCACTTCTCAGAGAATCTTTCCAAGATGTCAATAACAGCACGGATCTCGTTCCTAGCTGTCAAGGCAGTGCTACTCTCGTCGCGCACGAAGCAGTAAAACATGACAAGGCATGCGGGAACCAGGCGATCGAGGGTGACTCGATTCAACGGCAGCTGCTGGTGACTGAGAAGCACGCGATTGTACTGCACAAACTTTCTTACAAGCTCTAGCAACGTACTCACGCGCGCTGCACTATGAGCTGGTGTACTAGCGTTGAACTGGCACGGATAATAGAGCAGCAGGAGCAGATGATAGTACCGCGCATTCAGCCATCCCATGGTGTCATGGAGGCGCACATTATCTGGCTCGGGTTTCGTGATCAGACATCCATGGCTATACCAGTTTTCGATCTCGGAGCGCAATCGCGTCGTGATGATGCTGCGGTCAGCCTGAGTCAGGCTGCTAACGGCAATCCGTGGCTGCAGATGGACCGTTGACAGGATCTTTGACTCGAGTTGTCGCAGTTCGATGACATGACGACTGACTTGCAGCATGCTTGCGTGTTCTGCGCGCTTCGGCGAGGCGAATTCCACTACTGTGATCGCGGGGAATGGAACTCCCATTTCTTCAACCACGAGGCCGGGAGACTCGCCGACAGACACAGCCATCATCCGGTCCAGGCCAAAGACGCTCCAGAAGAGTCGCCGACGGAGTTCAGCCGTTTTTGGTGGTAGGTTGTCCTCGACGGTTGGTCGAGTCAGGCCCTGAGCCAGGGCTTGCCTGGTGATGATTCCCACTATCGACCAGGTCGAAGGGCCGATCGGGTCAAATAGTGAGTACAGGGCAAGCAGTACAAGTATTTGAATTGAGTCTATGCTCTCTTGCATGATACATCGTTGCATAATGTCTGCGTATGGGATCTCAAACCCTGATCGAAAGCCAGCTGGCGCTTTGCCGGATCGCTCAAGACTGGTGTAACCGATGGCCATGATCATGTACAAAATCTGCTTGATTAGCCACGTCTATAGTAATATGAGAGCCCTACTCACAGTTGATTCGGTATCACGACAGTTGGGCACGCAAGAGACAGCAGCCCGTCGAACGCGATCTTCGTCGATGAACGGATAAGCTCTGTACACATGATGAAAGAAGGCATCAACCAGCACGGTCGGGTCTGTTACTTCTACTGGCGGTGGTGCATTGATTGGGCTTTCCGGTATACTCCAGTTCGCAGTGTACTCATTCGCATTTGCATCCTTCTGCTCCAGACCGTTGATCAACTGCTGAACTCGTGCCTGCAATGCCTCGTACGAGCAATTCCGACCGGCGTGGACGCAGTTCGCGCAATCAGGAACCTTCCTATCACATCGTTTCTTCAACCGTCGGCATCGATCACACACGGGACGAGGCCCTGGATTCTTTGGCACGGAAGGCGACTCAGATGGCGATGAGCGTTGGAGGCGAAAGCGATGAGTTGCAAAGTTGCGTTCCTTTTTGGCGATTTTTGGCGGCATTTCGCCGATGTTGAGGGGGAAAAGTTCTCCAAGTGGGCCTGGGAAGCGAAGCTATTTATTCGCGTTTTATCAGCATGCAATCGCGTTCTGCGATGGTGTCATTCCGGCTTGGCGTGTTGACCCACATGATAGGTTCAAGGATCCAGGTTTGATTTGGCTGAGAGTATATAAATGAAGGACATGGGTCTGAGTAGCCTGAGAAAAGCCGCACTGTACGATCGCTATGGCTATATCTCCCGACATCAACATATCGATTGGTACGTTTTCCGAATATTACCACTGACTCCAACGCTAATTCTCTTAGCAAGACCGGGGTGGGACTTTCTGCGATGTGCTCGTGCAAGTCACTAGCCAGCCAGATCGCGTCTTTAAGCTCTTATCTGAAGATCCAGCAAACTACCGTGATGCGCCCACGGAGGCTATCCGACGTGCGTTGGAGGCCATTGAAGGTCGTTCTTTCCCAAAAGGCAGAAAACTTGACGCTTCCCGAATCGCTTCTTGCCGTATCGGCACTACCATAGCGACAAATGCGCTGCTGCAAGGCAGAGGAGAGAAATTCGCTTTCTTGGCGACAAAAGGGTTCAAAGATGTGTGTCGAATCGGTGACCAGACCAGACCGAAACTTTTCGAGCTCAAGGTTCGCAAGGCGCAGCCGCTGCATGAGAAGGTCGTTGAAGTCGATGAGCGGGTGACAGTTGAAGATTACGATCTCAATCCGGCTCCTCTCGACAAGACAGCGCAAATTGTAGACCCGAACTTGGTTCGAACAAAAAGTGGTGAAATCGTCCGTATTCTCAAGCCATTGGATGTTGCAGCCGTGCGAGAGTCGCTTCTCGAACTGAAATCAGAAGGATACACGTCTATTGCAATTGCCTTGATGCACTCATATCTGTTTCCTGATCATGAGCAACAGGTGGCTGGGATCGCACGCGAAATCGGCTTTCGCTACGTGACTACTTCGTCTGAGGTCTGCCCCGTTATCAAGTACCTCGACCGCAGCAACTCCGTCTGCTCGGAGGCGTTCCTATATCCAATTGTACAGCAGTACATTGCCGATTTTGAAGCTGGTTTCTCTACTCTCCCGCAGAGAGTTGATTTCATGTGCTCCGATGGAGGATTAAGGTCAGCCGCGAAGTTTAGAGGAAACGAAGCACTTCTTAGCGGACCAGCCGGTGGCGCCGTCGGTATCGCGAAAACGTGCTTCGATGATGAAGACGGCACACCGGTGATTGGGTTCGATATGGGCGGTACCAGCACAGATGTCTCACGGCACGACGGCACCTACGACTATCTGAGCCAAACGCTCATTGCAGGACGGATTATCACCATTCCCATGTTGAACATTGCCACGGTCGCTGCCGGAGGTGGCTCGATCTTGGCTGCTCGGAATGGCCTGTTTGTGGTAGGACCGGAGAGCGCGGGCTCGCACCCAGGACCGGCCTGCTATCGAAAAGGCGGGCCTTTGACCGTAACCGATGCGAACCTCCTTCTAGGAAGATTACTACTCTCTTCATTTCCCTCAATCTTCGGACCGAACGCGGACCAGCCGCTTGATTATGAAGTCACTGCAGAGAAATTCAAGAGAATCACGGAGGAAATCAATTCGCAGACTGGCCAGACTCTGACGACCGAGGAGGTTGCTTTGGGATTCATTGATGTGGCCAACGAGACCATGAGTCGTCCGATCCGGAATGCCACCGAGGCACGAGGCTTCCATCCAGAACGGCATAACCTTGTCAGCTTTGGTGGTGCAGGAGGCCAGCACGCATGCTCGATTGCTCATCGGCTAGGGATAAAGCGCATTTTGATTCACAAATACTCGTCTATTCTTTCCGCCGTAGGAATCTCAAAAACCGAGCTCCAGTCGGAATCGGTTGAACCATACGTTGGCGCCTTTGAGATGTCGGCGCTCGCTAGTATCAACTCTCGGTTAGCTGCATTGAAGGAAAGAGTCAAGGCAAACTTACTAGACCAAGGGGCAACTGTCGAATCCATACGTTTCGAAGAGTCACTGAGCTTGAGGTATCAAGGCACTGACACCAACCTGGTTATAGCGAAATCTCCAGGCGAGAACTACGGAGAAGCCTTTCGCACGACACACAAGCGCGAGTTCGCGTTTACCCTGGAGCGACCCGTGATTGTAGACTTGCTTAAAGTCCGTGGTACAGGCGCTACGAGTGCTCTAGGCGCAGTTGCCTGCTCACCCTTCCCTGCTCTGCAGCAGCTCAAACTGAACCCTCAGAGTGCTGCTCCTCAGTCACAGTCCAAAGTTTTTGTCGAATCCACCTGGAAAGAAGTCCCGGTATATAACTTGGAATCTTTATCATCTGCGGTAATTGATGGCCCGGCCCTAATCATCGACGCCACCCAGACCATCTTCGTCGAGCCACAATGGCAGGCGTACATTCTTCCTGAGCACATGGTCCTCGAAAGGCGTGAGGCTAAACAGATCTTGTCGTCTGATCTCGCAACGCAGGAACTTAGTCCAATCCAACTGTCAATCTTCTCGCACCGCTTCATGTCCATTGCTGAACAAATGGGCAATACTCTGCAACGCACATCCATCTCCACTAGTATCAAGGAGCGCCTCGACTTTTCCTGCGCGATCTTCTCACCAGATGGCAAGCTCGTAGCAAATGCTCCACACATTCCCATTCATCTCGGAAGCATGCAGTTTGCCATTCAGTATCAGCACCGACTGTGGGAGGGCAAACTCCGCCCAGGAGATGTGCTGCTCACCAACCATCCTGAATGCGGTGGTACTCACCTTCCCGACCTGACTATTATCAGCCCTGTTTTTACACACGACGGCAAGACCCTCGCATTCTATGTGGCCGCTCGTGGTCACCATACCGACATTGGCGGAAAAGGCATCTCGGCAATGATGCCAGACTCGAAGGAGCTTTGGGAGGAGGGACTGAATGTAAGATCTATGAAGATCGTCTCAGATGGAGTCTTCTTAGAATCGGATGTTCGCGATGCCTTCCTCGTTGCCGGAAACCTTCCAGGTTGTAGCCCGACGCGCCGTCTGAACGACAATATCTCTGACATCAAAGCGCAAATCTCATCAAACCAGCGGGGAATTCTCCTCTTGCAAAACCTGTGCGAGGAGTTCTCACTCCCAATCGTCCATCGCCATATGCTTGGCATCCAGTCAAATGCTGAGATCGCTGTGAGAGAATTCTTCAAGAAGATCAGCGCGACCAACCCGGAGCCCCTAACTGCATTCGACTACTTTGATGACGGTACTCGGATCCAGGTCACCATCACCATTGACCCGAAAACAGGCAGTGCAGTGTGGGATTTCGCTGGTACCGGGCCGCAAACATGGAGCAATTACAACTGTCCGATTTCCGTCACCCACTCCGCAGTAATATACACCACACGCTGCCTGATTGACATGGATATTCCACTCAACGACGGTTGTCTCGCTCCAATTGACATTCGCGTTCCCAAGGGTTCTGTGTTGAATCCCACTGCTGCTGTTGCCATCTGCGGGAGCACGCTGGCTAGTCAGCGTATCATTGATACCATCCTCCGCGCCTTTGGCGTTTGTGCCGCTTTTTCGGGCTGCGCAAATAGTTTCGGTTGGGGTCTCGGAGGTAAGGATCCAGCAACAGGCTTAATCAAACCTGGCTGGAACTACGGCGAAACCGTAGGTGGAGGTTGTGGAGCTGGTCCCACCTGGGACGGAGAGAGTGCCATACAATGCCACTCTACGAACACGAAGATCACAGATGCGGAGGTTGTTGAGAAGAGGACGCCCGTCATAGTTCGACAACATTCTGTCCGATATGGGAGTGGAGGCGCAGGAAAATTCCGCGGCGGTGATGGAGCGACCCGGCTGATTGAGGCAAGGATCCCAATGCGGTTCAGTATCTTGAGTGATAGGAGGGTATATGCACCTTATGGACAGGAGGGAGGAGAGGACGGAAGTGTAGGGAAAAATTATGTATATCGGTGGAATGAGGACAAGACCGGGCATGAGCAGATCTCGCTGGGAGGGAAGGCCGAGCTGAGGCTAGACGCCGGAGAATTGATGGAGGTGAACAGTCCAGGAGGTGGAGGCTGGGGGCGCTGATGATGTGAATAGTCAAGTATACCCCGTAAATTCTGTGCTACCAAGTTCATACCGATATCCCAGCGACAAACTCTTCGGACTGGTGTCGCTTTGTGCAACACGGGTACCGTCGGCGTAGTACACCTAATTGAGCCGCATATCATCGAAGATCCTCGGCCAAGGCAGGGCTGTGCCCCTGTGGACAAAGCTGTGTGTTCCCCATCTCTTGATCGTACCTGTAAGTATAACATGCGTTAGCGATCATACAAATCATCCCGCGTCCACCTCCGAGATCGGACGCGCCTGGCTGATTATTCCGCCTGCCCGCGAATGTAATACCGACCTGTAAGAGGAATAGATCCTTTTCGCCGTCTCAACGCTAGCTCGAGGCTGGATCGTTTGCAGTCCCTGGAGCTTTCCAATGGCCTTCAACATAGTACCACCCCGCCTCAGAACGCGTCGGATCTCCGGACGCGTCTTCGCAATTGTCCGTTGCCGCAATTGAAGCGAATCCAGCTCTCCGACGGCGAAAGAAAACCAATTGACCGAATAAAACTGAAAACACGATAAATCGTGACGAGACACTAATTCGAGGATGTGTTGACTGCGGAGAGGGTGGTTGTTAGGAGGAAGCGGGGGAAGCCGGGAGAAAAATGCGCGCAAACAAAACCGGAAAGAGCGACCCTGCGCTCCTTTCCTCGTCAATTCTTCTATACTGCTCTGAATTGTTGAAATCAAGCCTCCCCCACGCTACCGTATGTACACCACTCATGCAACCATCATGCTATATACAAGTTTTCTAGATCCCTCTATCCGAAATTGTGTTGAGTCTTGACCCCTCTATTCTACCCCGCACCCCCACACTCTCTAGCTCAGAAATAGCTGCAGCTCAGCTCAGCTCAATGACGCGGCGATGCGGCGCGACACCTAGTTCGCCGCATCCCTCTCGCTCAACAACTCCTCGATATGCGGATTAAGCCAGTACCCCTCCAAATCCTTCCTGCTCATCCCCTTGGCCCCCTGAATGAGGCCCTTGCATTTATCCCCAGAGCCACAGTTGCACTGGAACGCCTGGTCCATCTCCCACTCGGAGCTGGGGTAGAAAAAGGTCAGCGCATCGCCAGCACTTAGTGGGCGCTCGTCAACGACGCGGACCTCCATCTTGTGCATGTCAAAGTTTAGCGACGGGGTGCAGGAGTGGTTGCAGAAGACGAGGTCGGAGTTGAGCTCGATGTGGGTGTCGCGGCCGGTTTGCACGGAGGTATATGCTTTTGTTCCGGGCGTTGCGGTGGTGATTTTGGCGAAGAGGGAGCCCGCGGGCAGCGAGACTTCGGAGTAGGCGCCGCTGGCGAAGGCTTTGGTGCTGCGGGAGACGCGGATGAGGCCTGGGTGGGTTGCTGGGGGGTAGAGAGGTGTAGGGGTTGAGGTGGGTTCTTGGACGGCGATGGGGGCCATTTTGATGGAATCTGGTGAGTGAAGCTTGTGGTTTGAGTATCTGACGCAAAAAAAAAAATATAAATAAAAGAAGGATAGTGCTGGAAAGTCTCGGGGGATCGTTGTTTATATGACGTTCTTTGCCTGCACTTCTGAACCTGGAACCTCGGGACTTTGGCTGTTCCAAGGATGGCCGAACCCGGTGGGCCTGCCAATTGCCCTGTTGAATACGCTGCCGTACTGAATGGACTGTTCTTATTGACGCTTCGCCGGAAATAGCCTCAAACTTGGCGGCTGATCTCCTTCCATCTATCCGAGGTACTAGACCAGCTCACATGGCATGTCGTGCAGATCACACGGTACGGTGCCTGAAAATCACCTGCATCGGTACTCGGTTGCCTTTTATGACACCATCTATTTTTCCTGGCAAGGTAGACTACAGGAGCGTCTTTAATTCTTCCCCCTTCAACCACCTTTCCAGATTCTCCGCGACCTCGTCATACCACCCGTGGATCTGCTCATCGCCGTATCCCATATGCGGCGACAAAATGACCTCACTCCGCCCGTTCCGGCCCCACGCTGTGGTTCTCCATCGAGAGTCAAGAGGAAGCGGCTCGGGATCAAAAACATCGATCGCAGCGCCCTGAATGCCTCCAGCGTTCAACACTTCTAATAACGCCTCTTCGTTGATCAACGGGCCCCGCGACGTATTAACCAACAACCCCGTCTTCTTCATAGCACTCAACTCCTCCTTTCCGACAACGCCACGACTCCTCTCCGAAAGAACATTATGCAAACTAACCACATCCGCCCGCGCGAAAAAGTCTAGTTTCTCACTCACCGCGACAAAGCTCCCCTTTGCCAGTCCCAACCCCTCAGCAGCCTGATCGGCCTTCTCCTGCGTCAGATTCGCTGACCACGCAATGACCTTCATCGAAAACGCCTCGATCGCAATCTTGGCGACCGAAGAACCCAGTTTCCCTAACCCAACAATCCCCAGCGTCTTTCCCGCAAGACTCACACCCAGCGATCCCTGCCAGTACGCACCGGCTTTCAGAGCCGCGTCGTCGCGTGGTACGTGTCGCGCAAGGGCGAGGATGAGCGCCCAGGTATGTTGCACTGTTGATGGCGTCCCAACCGGTCGGCGCGCGGTACCTGCGACGGGGACGCCGCGTTCGGCGCAATAGGCGATGTCGAGGGAGAGGTTTCGCGTGCCTGTTGTGAGAAGCAGTTTGAGGTTCGGGAGCTGGGCGAGCGTTTCGCGGGTGAAGGGCGTGCGCTCGCGCATGGCGAGGATTACGTCGAATGGGCGCAGTCGCTCAATTAATGCGTCGCGTTGAGCGTCATCGCGCGGGTCGAGTGTTTCGGGAAAGTGCGCAATCTCGACGCGGTCTTCTAGGTGGGCGAAATGCGGGGCTGCAATGCCCTGGTAGTCGTCGAGGATGGCGAACCTGGGCTTGGACATTTTGCTGGTTATATATTGGTTGGGATACCGCGAGTCTTTGAGGATTTGGTGAGTTCGGAAAGTAAGAGGGGCTCAGGACGCATTTACGTCTTCTGGCGGGGTAAAACTTCTGCCCCACGGCGGTCGCTCTCGGGACTCGATGACTCCATCAAGGTGAGAATTGCGCCTTCATTCAACTGACGATCATGAAATTGCACATCTATATGCAGCTGACTCTCTGAAAACAGGTCATTTAACTAATGTCCACCCCCAATCGCCTCAAGATCGGTCAAGTATCTCCCCGCAAACTCCTCAAAGGTCGTCAACTTCCCCTCCACCAACCCCACCGTCTCCCTGACCTTCTCCGCGGTTCCAGGCCCATAATACCCCGGCTCATCAATAAAGCTCATCATCGCTACCATCCTCGCGCCCATTTCCTCCTTCATGAATCCCACAAATACCTCCTTGGGAAGGGCCTGGTACCTCACCATCTCCCCGGACACCCTGGAAATAACCTCCACCATCTCATTGAACGTATAAAGCTTCGTAGCCGCATACATGACCTTCCCATTCATGCCCTCGGGATCCTTCAGGAGCGGAACAGCATAGAGCCCCGTGTCCACAGCGGTCTCAACAAGCGGGATCTTCGTCTCCGGGTCACTCACCCCGACAACAAGGTAACTCCCATCATCCTGCCTCCGGGGCACCATGATAGTCGTGAAATTCGACATGAACATCCCCGGCGCAATGAACGTGCTCTTCAGCGGTAGACCGCGGATATACTCTTCAATCTCAGCTTTGCTATCGAATTGATCAACAGGCCCATTATCCCAGAGCCGCGCGCAGTGCACGGAGGTGCTGAAGATGATAAACTCCACACCAGCAGCAACAGCTGCGTCTGCAACGGCTTTGGCCTGTCGGAATTCACCTTCCTTGAGGTCCTTCTCGTAGCGGGTTTCGGTGATCAGGACGACCGTGTGTGCGTTTTCGACTGCGCGGGGGAGCGAGGAGGGATCGTCGAGGTTCGCTTCGACGATTTCGATGCCCTTCTCTGCGAGTGCGATGGCTTTTGGGCCCGACGCATTGCGGGTTATGCCACGGAGGGAGTACTTCTTTGAGAGCTCCGGGTGACTGAGGACGGTGGTGAGGATCGAGGAGCCTTGCTGGCCGGTCGCGCCGAAGACGACGAGTTTGGACGGAGAAGACATTGTTAAGACTCTGAAACGTAGCTGTTCCTTATGGTGAAAGCTTTGTTTGCTTCGAGATCAGTGTTGATGTCAATACCTCTATCCTTGTCGCATAATATTGATTTATATACTAGATATCCCAAGACCTTGATTGGATACACCTGGACTTGTGCAGACTAATTCCGAACGGTCGTGACGGACACCGACCTTAGATCCGGCCGGAGATAAGTGTAGTGTCGGCCTGGCCCCACTTTGCTACTGTACAACAGATCTCTGATCTTGCCCTAGGCCGGGGGAGCTGGGTCTTCGGTCCTGACTCTTCAGCCTCAACCAGGATTAAGCTCTATTTCCGGTGAACTTCTTCCAAGGTTCGTCCGAATGTCTGTCCGAACCGATATTGGTAACCTGTTCCGCCGCAGTGGTGGAAATCCTCGCCGAGTCCAAATGACTGGCTAAACACGCTTACTTCATCTATGGAGTAGGCAAGTTCATTCTGCTAGAATAATTTGGATATATCTGGCAAAGTCCGTCAAGATGCAAATACTCTCACGATTGGCTGAGAACCTATCTTACTGCAAATTGCCGGTCCATACCCGTGCTCTAAATCTCATGCACCGGAAACTTATACTCAGGCCTACTGACCAAATATCTGCAGAGCCCAATCATATTTCTCAGAAACTCCATCCGCGCAACCCAATCCATGCCCGCAATATCATATCGTCTCGACCGCAGGACTTTCAACGCGCCTTTTGCCGGCTCGTTACCTCGAATAGACCGGATATAGTCCGCTGATGCAACCGCGCGGATAAATGTATACCGAAAGGGTTCGTCAAAACTGACGAGGAATGCATCGTATTCTCCTCGTGTAGCGTCGAAGTTGTAGACCATGTTTAGCTGAAGGAGTAGTTGCGGGATCTCGTACCGCGCCATACCGAGCTCGCCTCGTTTGCGGGGTGCCTGCCGAAATAATAGTCTTAGACACAGGGACACCGGCCAAAGTCAGAGAAGTTGGAAAGAAACCTACCGTGATAACAGCCAACGGAATCCCAGATACCAGTCTCAGCACCCCATCCGTCCTATTGGAGCTGACACACGAGATAGTCGCGTCAACTCTCTGTCCGTACCGCTCCTTCCGCCAGAGACCGAACGCTGTGAGCGGGATGTGGTCGTGCTGTCTTACGCGTCTGGGAATGTTAGTCTGAGAACAACCTAGCAAATACCTATATAGGAGTTGTAGGAAAGTAGAAAGACTTACATCCGTCTATCACGAAATACCTCCTTCACAATATCGTCAATCAGATCAATAGTATCATGGACACCTCCAGAGTCGAGCGTTCCACAGTTCGTGCCATACTGGATGGCTGTGAAGAAGTTGAAGAATGGGATTGTCGGATCGATGCCTTTTGATCTATCGGGCCTGTCGGCTCCTGGGTCGAGCCAGGGAGGATTTCGCAAGTACTTTTCCATCTTTCGAAATTCTAGTCTCTAGTCAAATCTTGATGTCTGAAAAAATTTAGCAATAAAGTAACTTACTTTTACTATCATCCGGCGGGATATACCGTGGGTCTATAATCCTTTCAATCGGTACATCGACTTCATGCTCGACATTCGCGATGCGTAGATGCTCTCGTGTCCATTTCTCCGGCTCCTGGTAAAGCAGTGGCGTGTCTCGTTTCGGTGCTTTGGAGATGACTCGAGAGAATATTTCATCTCGATCGTTATCCGGTGTGGCGGGCCTTGGTCGAGGGTCAAACCGTCTGTAGATATTATATGGCCATTTTCTTATCCGTGGGCGCAGGTTGTATCGAGTGGGAGGCATATTGTGCAGGTCTTTTTTTGTATATGGAGTATTTATTTCACTTGGCGATGGATGATGTTATATGCTGCGAGCTCAAAGACAACTTTTAAAGGAGACAACAATGGGCCATCCGAGCTCAGTAATGGTCAAAGGGCGGCTTGTTCCAACGTTTGAGAATTGCCCCAAACTCAGCAGAGATAAAGAAAAATGGAGACAAAATAAAGGCTAGATGGTACATATGGAACTGCACGTAACTAGTATTTTAAGTATTCACAGCTACTAATATTTAGTTGGCGGCCCTTCCATATATTGCGGATACTGTGCCCGTTAGGACACACAACTATAGGGTATTCATGGATGCCACAACTATAAGCAGGCCTGCGAGCTCAGCAGTGCCCACGCCTTTACAGTCGCTCAAGAAGAGTGTCCTTAGGATGGACTAAGAGAAATCCTGAAACATGGGATCTGCTTAGAAACACTCAAAATAAAACACGAACAAAACAAACCCCAACCAAGCAGTGAAATCACAAATAGCCCAATCAGTGGCAAGACCAGAACCCTTCATAATAAGCAGAGCCCCAAATACACCATCTAGATACCAAGCAAAAAAGAAGAATCACCGCCCCTCGAACCCACCAGATGGTGACTCGGAAGGCGGCTTCTTCTTATACCGGAACTTATCAGTCCCATCCTCGTGCAAATGTCCAGTGCCGACCCTCTTTTTGTCCTCGTCGAAGAATCGGATTGAAATGACTTTCTGCGTGTCGGTGGGGTCCTTGTGCGACTTGTGCAGTTCCGTCCCTTCGATGCTGGCGTATTTGATGCGAGGATCCTGCGGTACTGCCGTTAGAAGACCTTGAATATAATGATAGTATGGCAAGGGGGATATACTCGTTTCTCTTGGTCTCTGCAATAGGTCCACAAGAGTCCCGTGGGCGGGGTTTTTGAAGTCACTCGGTTTGCATTTGCCAATGTAAGAAAGGAAACGGCGGATAATGGTGGACATCCTACTAGCGACAAGAATGAGATTTGAGAATGCGGAAAGAAAGAGACGGTCGACAGTTCTTTATTATAGTCGAAGCTGTAGACTGGGTGCTTATAGCTGAACTTCCATTGAGCAAGGGGGCTTAGACAGAGTGCAAATAATTTGCGCCGTTGCGAAGCGCCGGCTTTTTGACATTTGTCGCGTTTCAAGCCAAGACGATCACACTTTAAAGAATCGGTAGAGAGCGCCAGACCTGGCGCCAATTCAAATGTGTCCGATTCGAGGTCAGGCTGTGGGGAGGCGGCGGTTATTCACGACGTACGCCGCTGATCACCAACAACATCTTACAACAAAAAAGGATGCTCCAGAAGTTGTTTCGCGGTTTGGCGCTCCTCCGGCATCCACTTGAGCATAGACTTTAGAAACGCCAAAAATAACTCCTGCTCCTCGCCACTCAGTCGCTTCTCCAACTTTTCGAGTGAAACGTTGGGTATCGGCTCCTCATGGTGAGCGATCCAGGCGCCTGTAGCTTTGTTAGTCCGAGAACCGGACATAGAAGGTGTCCAATAGGTGAAGGCTACTAACCGCTTGGGTCGAAACACTGCTCTGTCGTCTCGCTGCGCCGCACAAAGTCGCTCGGCGGAGGGCCAATCAAAGCCACCATCAGGGCCAAGTGCCTGAACGCTTCATGTCGTCCTCTAGAATTGAAGATATCGCCAAATAAATGCTCTCCCTCGAACAGATCCCAGATCTTAGCAGCGATCAGCGGGATATTCATAGAAGGTTGAACGAGATGATGCGACACTTACGAGTCCTGCTAGGTTCCAGATATCGACGGGGCTTCCCCAACGCATCTCGAATATGACCTCCGGCGCGCGGTAAATGTGAGGCTGGACAAACGGGCCTGATTCCTGGTTTCTGCCTATCCTTGCCTCGCCAAAGTCGCATAGAATGGGGAAACCGTATCCCTTACCTTTGGCAGGCCGGCGAAACTTTCGGCTCTTGTAAACAATCCGTGACTGATCGATCAGTTTTCGAGGGCTGGGGTCCTCGACTTCAGCGGTCGCAAAGTCAGCAAGCATGCTCTCATCCTCGAGACTAAGCATCAGGTTATCGGTTTTTAGGTTTGTTTACATTGCTTGTAAGTACTTGGGTCAGTTAGGTGAGTGCGGTGCGTTACCTGTATGGATGACCCCAGCCTCACTGTGTAGGAAGTCAAGTGCCAAGAGAAGCCTCCTGACCGTCATCTTGAGCAACGGCATATCAAAGGGTTTGGGATTCATCGCCAGCATTTCAAGAAGCGTCATATGCATTGGCTGTAACACAAGACACTGGTGCTTGCCGCCTGGGCCGTGGAGGTCAAAGGAGTCGTACAGTTCGCGAACCAGGGCCTGCCCCGGATGCGTGGATTCGACTTTTGACAGATGTTCATAGACCTTGAGCTCGCGATCTGTTGCAGTTGGAAAATCAGGTAGGGACGTCGACACCTTCAGTACCGCGTACTTGTCGACCCTTCATTGTAGCGAATTAGCATTTCCGGCGGCAGGTTTGATTGACGTGAAAAGACTCACTGAAGATCGCGGCATAGCCAACTCGTCGAGTACGCCCCGTATCCAAGTTTGCCTGCAACCTTGTATCTGGATTGGTACACATCCCCGATCTTGACAGGGTAATAATGAGCCGGTTGGTAATGTTGTAGCGTTTCCTCCTCAATTATTATCCCCGCCGGAATTAATTGCGGAATACTAGAGATCTCTCGCCTAGAGGGCCACACTTGTCGAAGATTACCTCGCAGGGCCTTCAGAAAAGAAGACATGGCTCGGTACTGAGGTTGATGTACGGAGAAGCTCCAAAGGGACTGCGGGAGATCGGCCTGGACAAGGAGGCTGGAGCCAGGTCACATGACATGGCACGTGCCGGGGTGGACTATAGATCCTGGGACCTTCATTCAAGTACACTTGATTAGATACGAAGATTGGACAACTAATTATTAGAAGGCATACAGTCAGAGAAAGATTTACTTAACCCTTTTTAAATAAAGCCTCGAAATGTGTTGGATAGTCTGGGTCGAACGTACTGGGAACTGCTCCAGTGGCAAGAAGTCAAAGATAAACTGACTCTAATATTTCAACTCATGGCCCTTTTGCACTCTGATTCGCCCGCCACCTAAACCATGAGTCTCTTCTGCGCTGCTGCTTCTAACAGCTCTAGTATCTCAAGTTTTCCTTTGGACCTCGCATGGTCAATGGGGGTTTCGCCCGTGTTGTCCTTTCTTTCCAACCCAGAACCTTTACTAACCAATATGGCTGCGAGTTCGTGACCGGTTTATTTGATGGCTTGCATCATTGGGGTCCTTCGAAGATTGTCTGTGGAGTTGATATCGGCTCCTCCCTCAAGCAGCAACTCCTTTGCAAAGGTTTTATTGCGCCCATTGTCCGCAAAGAATATTGGGGTTCTACCAAGGCGATCTCTCGATTCTAGGTCGGCGCCAGCGGCCACAAGTATCGGGATAACCGATTCCGGGTTCTTTGATGACGCTGCTATTGAAAGTGGGGTGTGGCCGTCAGAACCTCTCGTATCTACCTCCACCCCTCTAGCTAGTAGTGACCTCACAGCCTCACCCCTTCCCGCCTCAGATGCGAAGTGAATGGCACCCCAACTGTTACTGTCGTTGAACAGAGGACTTGCCCCTCTTTCAAGAAGTAGTTCTAGGACCGCTTGGTGTCCTGCCTGTGCTGCGTAGATTAGGGCCGTCTTCCCATCCCTGCATGGTTTGTCATAATTCCAGTAGCAATTCAGTCGCATCCACATAGTTCCCCTTTGACGCAAGCGAGAGTAATGGTTTGCCCTCGATGACTTCATCTAGTTGGGCACTCAAGGATGCAAATGGGAGTAGTGGTCAGCCCCCGATTAGCTCGTCTGATGGGTCACTCAAGGCCGCATCATATCTGAGGAGCATCCGAGCCACTTTCGCATTGCCACTCAACACGGCGACATGGAAGGGATGACCGCACCGCTCTTTCGAAATACCTGTCTGCAAGTCGGCATTGATATCTTCTTTCAGGAGGTATGCATAGTTTCTCTCATAGTTGTGGATGCGACCCGTCGTGTATTCGGAGTCGGAATCGTCGTATTCCTCATCGATGACGTGCTTTGCGGCGGTGTATTCGAGTGCGAGGGGGCGGATCCAACCGATTGTGAAGTTTGTGGGACATGGTCGGCGTCGCTTCATCGTAAGATCTTGAAGTCACTGATAAAAGCTCCGTGGGTGATGGAGTGAAAGATGAGAATTTTCGAGGGGAGCGGGGTAAAGGAGAGAAGACGAGGTGAGGCTGAAATTTGGCAAGATCCAATCACCTTCACCAATGGGTAACACTGCATCGCCCTTTCCAAGATTGGAAAGAAATTCGCTGCCCAGCTCTGCGGCAACATACTGGTAGCCAGGCAGACTCTGCCTTTCAAACTCCACGTTGTCACTTGCCGTCGGGGTCGAGATCCCGATCATTGAGCTGTTTTCCAAAGAACAAAAAAGCCTGTGTATTTCCCGCTATGCATATGCTAATATTCAATAGAAAATGCTCGCCAACCAGCTTACACCGGAGGAGGAATAGACGTCACCTCTATCGCGTCCCCCTCATCAACACAAACCCCATCAAACACCTCCGCCCGATTCTTCAACCTCGTCGCCGCCTGCTCCTCACTCGGCTGATCGCGCACCGCCTGGTCAAGCTCCGCGGTTTTCCGCGCAACCCTTACGGCAAGCCTCGAATCCCAGATCCCTTCGCGGCGGTTACAGATTGATAAGAGGTAGAGAGCTTTTTGTTGTACGGTTGGGTCAGGGGAACGGGAGGCTGTGAGACAGAGGGGTGGGACGATTCCCAGGGAGAGTGTGAAGGTTCGTTTGCGGGCTGGGTGAGCTCTACAGTTATTAGCTTGCTAATCCTTGCCTTGGACATCGATAGTAAGGGAGAGAGGGCATACTGGAATGTTCGGGCGAGGTAGCCATCGGCCAGAGAGACTATTCGCGCAAAGTTGTCGTTGTGAGGGCCCCATGCATCGGCTGGATCCCAGGTATGTGCCGTCAGGAGCATTGGTGAGAGGAGGAACCATATCTGTAAGATATCCGGATCCTGACCATAGTCCTCTCCCGCTATTGATCCCGACACAGGTGATCGTTGTAAAAACGCGCTGTGCAACCGCTTCATATTCTCCTTGACATTCATCTGCGACGTATCGATCGACGGACTCGAGGGCGCCCCCTGCGCAACGGCCTTTGCCGCATCTAGCATCCCGTGCAAGATGTGATTCCACAGTCCGTTCAACGCATCGTGTACGTCATCCTCCGCTGAGGGATCGCCCGCGATCACCTCGAAACTATCGTGCGGCGACATCATACTCATACTACTCCCCCTCATCTCAATGAGCTGATTATCCAGCCGCGTGAACAACGACCTCATTGTTCGCCTCGGAACAAGCAGGCCCGTCCGCGGATCATTCTCGTACTCCCGTAACAGATTCAATCCGGAGCGCATGTGTATTATGGCAGAAGACACCGATCCGCGCAGGCACTCAAAGCACGCGAAGAATATACACGAGATGAGAATAATATCCGGACTCGTCGACCCTGTCCCGCGTGCGTTCAAGGTCACTCGGTCCTGGAGTAACCGTAACGCCTTCCCGTACTGCTGCATCGCAAACTGTGTCATGGGACTCCACGACCCGATCGCGGAGGAGTCGTCGTACTCATAGACCTGCTGCATAGCACCGAGCGCGATAACAACATGCGAAAGGACATCCTCACGGTGCGCAGCCTGTAATACGGGCTGCGTGAAATGTAGCGGAAGCCGACTGCGCATTGCCGCGAGGAAAAAGTCAAGAGAGCGTTTTTCGGCGCCTGTCGTCGCGAAGGAGGCTTTGGGTGTGTAGACAACGATGCGCATGTTGCTGTCGGCGGAGAGTTGGGCGTATTCGCAAAGTCGCTTTGAACGCGTGCACTTTAGGCACGCTGGGCGGGCCTCGTCGCATTTTATTCGACGGGCTCTGGGCCGTTAGTCACTAATCAACCCTTGAAAAGAGATAGAGGCTGCGTACTTGCAGACCAGGCATCCTGAGCGAACTTTCGTCGAGCCAAATCGCAAGGGGCGTGGCTTCTCAGTCATGGTGCAGGAGAGAGCGGCGTGATCGGTGTGCTGGGAGATCGAAGAAGAGACGAGAAGCTTGGGCTCGGAATTAATGGAGGCGCGGGGGCGCGGGGCCCGAATAGTCTCCTGCTTCTAGCGGCTTAGCCTCGAAACGCCCTCGTAGATCTGCTGCCCTCGATTGGTTATGGCAATCAGTGGGGGCCAGTCGGCGTTACATAAGATATCATATCATTATGCAGTGCATTCAGAAGCAATGCCATTGTCATCATGATGAGCTGGGTTGATCGTCTACCTGCATAGGCTATGATCCTACCCAAGGAATGTTGGATGTGACCTGATGCTTTGTGGGGACCTCCTAAAATATCAAATCATCATGCGGTGCATCTAGAAGCAATGTCATTGTGTCCAGCTAGACTAATCACCTAACTTTGATAGACTCGGCAGAGGTCCAATCGACACGACTCCAGTTGTATATCTATAATCACCACATAACATAACGCGGACCTCCGTAGCACCCGTATACTCCTTGATATCCTCGACAAGATCCTTCGCAGTAGTAAAGTACCCGCGATGCTGTGCATCACTTCCCCCGAAAAGCAAGCCAACCACCTCTCCGCCTCCAGTCGCGACGAGCGAGCCCGAGTCTCCCGGTGCCACAACGCATTGGCTGTTCCCAACAACAATGGTGTGTTCCATTGTCACAACCACGTCTTCGCTCCCGCCGGCCAGGGATCGCGAGACCTTGCACTCGAATAATCCCCCATACCACCCGCGGGCGGGGCCGGACTGTGCTCCCACCTTGAAGAGGGTATCGTTGTGCTTGAGCGCATTGAAATTGAAATCAATCAAAGAAAACTCTTCCGGGAGTATGTTGTACTTTGCGGTATGGGCAGGTATCTAGAAAGCAACCGTCAGTTAGTTTGTGGTTTCTTTTTTCCAAGAATAAGACATTACCTTGTTACTACCCATCACTCCATCCCGGGGCTTGACCAAGGCCCAGTCCAGATTGTACGCCTGGTCTTTGAGATATGCGGCTCTGTCGTCGTTCCACCCTGACGTGCCCCTGAGGACCCTGAGGTCTGAGGCCGCCATCACACGGCCAAAGATGTAGTCTTCTCTCTCTAGCATGGATGTGTAGGTGGCTTTTATCGACCGATACAGGGCAATTCTGCGATTCATCGTGTCCCAAGTCTTCTGGTCGCGGTCTTCAAGTTCGATCTCTTCCTCCACGAACAGTGCAATTCTTTTGTAGGTATCGGACCCAGTTTGCCCTGCGATGTACTCTTCCAAGCTCGCTATGCGCGACTCGATGAAGGTCCTGGTGGGTGCTTCGACTGTTAGAATTTTCGGTGCCCTGTCGATACCTAGTCGGATTCCATCGCGCGTCCAACGCTCTACATCTGCCTTGAAGTCAGTGATCCACCGTAATTGCTCCCTGGAATGTCATTACTTACCCAGAGGTTCGCTCCTGATTGGTGATGTCGCGTCTGGTATGACACCGTGCGTGCACGTAATGCCAAATGCCTTCCATTCACCACCATTCCAACGAAGTTCGAACCATCCCCCAAAAGTCGAAGCTGCAGCCCCATACATGGCCTTTTGATGCAGCTGAAGACTAGTCCCCGGCGTGATATCAGCAATACCCTCTTCCGTCGCGCCAATATCCGTCCCGGCCAGTGCAGACTGCGACAGAGAGTCCCTCCCATCCAACCACAATGTATCCCAGCGGACGAGCACGCTGACGCTACCCAGATCATATCCATCCAGGACACGAATGATCGTCTCACGGAGATTCCCCCAATCCTCCCGAGCCCTTGCATCAACCCCAACAAGTATGGTGACAGGGCACTCTCGCCAGTTGCTGCTCATCCCCACCCGGTAACAGCCCACGCAGTGTACGCCACGCAGGTCGATGCAGTTAATGATGTCTCGGCTAACGCGGGCCCATCTCGACCAGATCGGATCAGTAGGATAGCAAGGGAAGACACTAGGCCTGCGATCGAAGCGCGGGTCGATTATCTCAACGGCAGCGCCGAGAATCCCGCTCTCCGTCAGATACTGCAAAACGCGCCGTGCGGCATCGACCCACCCGCGCTCCGTAGGATCATGGCGATCCGCGTAGATGAGCACAGTAAACCGGGGATCCGGCCGCGGCCTTGCAAAGGCAGATCGCCGCGCGCAGTAGCGAATCTCCCTCACGCGGACTCCAGCGTCCGTGGCGACCCGGGCGATACTCCGCATGTGCTGCGTCGGCGGGGTTGTTAGAGCCTTGTACTGGGCTACGTGAAAGACGTTGGAGTTCTCGACGGGGGGTTCGCATAGGTTCGGACCTCCTGCGCGGAAATCCTCTTCGGTGAACTGGTCGGATTCTGGGGGAGCTGGGGGAGTAGCTTCGTCTGAGGATGTGGAGCGGTTAGAGCGTCGGGATCGAACCGTCCCTTCTGAGGAGGAGCCAGAGGCGTAGACGATCTCGCCGTAGGAAGGGGGCTCAATCAGAGGGTTTGGATAACGAGCGACGGCAGGCGGATACCACATGTTTGTCTTGTCTCACGATGGAGTATGGATGAACAAGAGAGGATGTATAGCTCGAAGTTGAATGTTCCAGTCCTGAAATTGCTAATTTGTGTAGAGAAGGTGATGATGGAGAAGAAGGTTGATGAGAAGGCGGAGCGATGGACATACTTTTTATTAAGGTTGATCTACCTGACTCAGAGAAAGCCCAGTGAATCCCGAGCCCTAGGCAGCCAACCTCGACCCATGGGTCACTGGTGACGGTTGCGGACATCCGTTTTTACTAGCAGAAATCGTGAGTATGCCGGTTGATAATGCGCTTGGGCACGTTAAAGGCAGCGGACACAAAATGGCTTAGCATGATACCCGAAGGACATATTGAGAGCTGGCTGAGAGGTCGCACCCAGAGCAGTGCCGTTGGCCTCCGACTAGTTCATTGCAGTCGCTGATGGTTACCTTGAGATTGCCAAAGACAGCGACGGCGATCGAGGCAGGGACATTTAATCAACGAATCCGCTTCTCCGACCATCGAGGTTGGATGGAAAGTGCAGGACTGGAGTAGGTTGGGGTGGATGATGACGCCGTAGGTCACTTCAATAGAGCAGTCAGAATTGTGTTGGCATGGAAGCATCGTCTGCAAGAGGAAGGGATAAGAGGACATGGGAGAGGATTCCTTTTCAGGGGTGAGGAACGAAGATGGAGGACACAGGGAGCGAAAAAGGGAGAACGGGGTATACATATAACCAGGAGAGGTCAAAGAAGAGTACGACAGAACAGGGAAGAAAAAGGTAGGTGGTCTTCACAACAGGCTTTGGAAATGGCCATGTTGAAGAGAAAAATGAGTGTAGTAAGAATTACTTCTTATTATTCTGTCTGGTGTCCAACTAGTATTTCACCACCAATATGATTAACATTCACCATGAGCTCGGCAGAGCAAAAGTCTATTCTAAAACAGGATATATCTAATGCCTCAAAGACACTATGTATGTCCAACCCTGCTTGTATCTGACCACATGTTCGAAACCACAAAAGACAATGACAGAAGAGACGAGACGACAAAAGACAAAAACACGACGACAGTCCAAGCACAAACATATCGACATCGACTATCTAACCAATAACATGATCAGCGCCTCCAGCCAGATGCCCATCGTCCCTGCAAGTGAAACTGTGGCTGTCGTAGATATCACCCCCGATATAGAAGGGCTTGGCAGGGTACTTGCAAAGATTCCGCGAGGCAACCCGTCCATTTGGCAACCTTGATCTCGCCGACAGCGTCTCCGGCGGAATGCCGTTCTCCACCCAATTGATGAGCGCTCCCATGGCGTCGAGAGGCAGTGGACCAGCCCCGCCACGACAATGGCCGACGCCCGGGGCCGTAAAGACGCGATAAAAGGCATCGATAGAGGTATCACGTGGGAGGCTCGCCGCGACAGAATCGCGAAATCGAAAGAGGTTGGATGGGTTGATGTATTCGTCGCTTAACCCGACCCAGGTGAGCATTTTCCCTCCAGCGGAGTAGAAGCCGGTCAGATCTAGGCCGCTTGTCCCCATGATTTTGGCTCCAATTCTCATCGACTCATTAAAGGCGGCAAAGTACTCCTCGGTCGTGAGATTGAATATGTTCGCAGTAACGTTGCGCAGAATCATCCCGCGAAGCCAACCCGCGGCGGGTGGGAAGGGAGCAGGGACCAAAGAGTTGTTGCGCAGGGTAGTATTCGCGATGCCGCTGAATGTTGCACCGGTGGAGAGCCCATACCACAGGAGGTTATCATCATCGTCCTTGACCCCGTCCATGATCTTTTGCACAATCCTGGCGTGCGTTTCTGTAACGAGTATCGACGTGTCCTTGCCGCATTGCGCGGCTTTTCCGACGACGGAGGAGGGATCGAACGGGCAGGACGCAAGAAGATCATAATGCGAGATCAAGCCGTCAACGAGACCGTCTAGAGGGTCGCAGTATCTGATGATTTCCCTCTGGAAAGTCTCGAATACGCAAGTTGGGACGAGCTGCTTCTCTTGCGCCATGACGATGAAGGGCCAAAAGTCACCGGGTCCAAGAAGCTCGGGGCTCAACGCAGGGGCGACGGCGAGGATTCCATCAAAGTCGGAAGGGTATCTGGCAGCGGAATGGTAGCCCATGCGCCCACCTTGAGAACAGCCGGTATAGTACGAACGGAAACTGTCGACCCCGTAGAATTGCCCGATTACATCCTTCGAAACAACACTCATGGTGTGTACCGCGCGGTGGGCCAGGTTGGTCAGAAGGTCAGTATTCAAAGTTCCATCCGGCCTGTGGCCCCAGTATCCTGTCTGGGGATCGATCCGTCTCCCGAGGGTCAATCCGCCGTCGGTGAATGAAGTTGCAAAGCCCGAATGGGCTGGGAGGACCATGTTGAAATCGTATCCTGCTGCGAGACCGCCGCCGCCGGTCGCCGCGTAGCGGCCGTTCCATCTGTCTGCGGGGGGTAGCCAAACGTTTACGAAAACCGTGTCATTTGCTCCAGAGTGCGTGAGTGCAAGAGACACGTTGCAAAAGTTGAGACCTGGGATGTCTCCAGGGATACCCGTGAGTTGAGCGGGGAAGGAGACGTTGTAGGCGAGGCTCGAGTGAAGGGACAGGACCGCAGCACCTGGGACGACTGGGAGGGTGAAATTGGCACAGTTTCTGGCAAGGGCCAGGCCCTGAATAAGAACCAAGATGAGCAGTATTATCATTTTGTTAGAAGGTAGAGATGCGTATGAAGGAGAAACGAGTAAAGTTGTGTGAGATTGGTTGATAGACACGCATGTGGCAAAGAATCAGCGGCACATAGGAAGGGAGGCAGAGGGAGAGAAGAAGAGAGAAGAGTGATTCTACGTTATATACAAATCAAAACATAAACCTTAGGCATTAGCTCATTCACTGAAGAGGAAGAAAAAACCCCTCATTAGGTAAAGCGCCCTTGTGCAGGCACCTCCAAAGACATGCCTTGGAACTGAGGGAATTCACCTGCAGCGGACCAATAATCGTCCGAGACATCTCTGAAATTGCTCATGACAGTAAAGCCCGAGTAAAATACATCGCGCCTGCTAAGAAACAGAGATCAAAGCCTTCTACGGCCGTCTTTTCGAGTCCATCAAGTCAACAATGCTGAGAGTGTAGTTCCAGAGCTGAGGCGAGTAATCCGTGCAGAACGTGTATCCAGTGTAGTAAGTGCTCCTGTGTCCCTGCAGTGCGTACAGCTTCTTATAAAACCCGCTTCTGACATCCTCATTCGAAACGTGAAGACTACTCGGTGTGTGGTTTGCAAGAGCCACAATGGTCGGCTCCTGCGCACCGGGGAATGTGCCTGCCTCTTCCATCCGTCTGAGATCTCCCAGCAGCAACCTTCTCGCGTCCATCTCGGTAAAGTGCGCGACACCGGTAATCCGAGTCCTGTGGTAGCCCGAAATTCCGGTATAGTCGAGCGCGTACAGAAACGGCGGAAGGGGGAGGCTTCCAGGTTGGTTGTTTGGATTGAGGTTGACCAGGTTAATGCCGTCTGGGATACTTGTGTTTGCGACGACGAGGCCACCGTAGAAACTGTTGTGTTTTAGTTTCGAAAAGACAGACCGCTCGTCCTCATCCAGATTGAAGCCGTCGAGATTGGGGAGGATGGGAGGGAACGTTATGAGCAGCTGCTTCGCACGGACGACTGTTTGCATACCGTCAGCATCTTCGACTAGAAGGTTGACGCCAGTAGAGTCCCGGCTCGCCGCTGTGGCTCTGGAGTTTGTACAGAATATTTCTCTTGCCGATATACCTCGCCGCCATCCGGAAGAGCTCATGTGTGCCGTTCGATGGAACTATCCCTCCAACACGAAGCCATCGATAGGTGACAGGCTGAAGCACTGTATCACGTATAGCAGCGGCGTCTCCAGAAGATTACCCACGGGCTCGGTCCAGGTCTGGACGAAGTGCAGCACGCCTTGCAAGGAATGTTCCTGGACAAACTCCCCAAATGGACGGAGGAGAACCTCAGGAACTTCATCGGGGAGATAGTATGCGCCTGAATAAAGGTAATCGAACTCCTGGAGTGTCGCTAGGTACTGAGAAGCAGCCGTGTACGGATCGAGTGAGTGTCCCGGGTTGACCCTTTCACCCGTCTCGAAGTTAATAAAGTCATAGGTGGCGGCAGGCGCAGTAAAGTTCTGGTACGGCACACCGACGAGGTCGAAGAAGTTCCTGGTGATCTCCAGATTGAAGTATCCACCGACTCCATACTCAAAGTGGCCGCCGCCGAGGTACAGGGTGTGCGCATGCCCACCTAGATGGTCCTCTTTCTCAACGACGGCAACGCTATATCCGCGACTGATAAACTGAGCCGCAGCATAGGCTCCCGTTCCGCCACCTCCGAGAATGCACACGTCGGTGACGATTTCCCCTTTTCCATACGTCGCTGCTGCCAGTGCCAGCGACACGGCGCCGAGTTGCCGAGGAGTCCCGAAGCGCATGGTAGCCTTACTTTCGCCTTTTCTTCGTGATTAGAGACTGATTGCTGTATTGGCGAGACAGGTGCAATCTTTGCATTTGATTTCCAAGGCCGAAAACGGCATCCCTCCGAAGTTCAGGAACCTACGGCGTCTGAATAAGAAGGAGCGAACCCCCGCATGGCCGGACCAGGAAGGAAGGTACAGTCCGCTCCAAGCAGCAGCACTCGAACTCACACAACTGCAAAGCCATCGAATTAGATATACAAAATGGTATCACAGACAGTACCACGCGCGCTGCAGCCCAAATCCCAATCTCAACTCAAACCCCGACCAATCCAAAACCATAATATCAAGCAAACCGAAACACAAGCCCAATAATAGTCCCGATAATCGCTCCCACAACGAACCCAATCAGGACATAGAGGATATAGTATCTGAAGACTCGCGACTTGGACCCGTATTTCCATTCCTGTCTAATATCGCCCCATGACCGGAGTTGGTTTTTCGGCGGTTGTTGGAGTTCCAGCGAGTTGGAGTCGCAGTACCCGTTCGTGCTGTACTCGTAGACTGCGGGTGCTGGTGCAGCGTGCGCTTGGGGTGGTGGGTAAGCGGCTTTTCCGTCCGAGTCCATTCTTCTTCTGTGTCTGATGTTAGCACAGGGACAGATTTTCAAGTGTCAGTTAGTCGTGTATAAAGGACAGCAATAGTGCTCTTACAATGCTAGCTTCGCGCTCAGCTTCGTCTGAGGTATGTCAATATGAAGAAGGTGATAGAGGAAAGAAGTACCCCAAACAAGCCAAGGTGCGCGAGGTTGATTTAAAGTATCCGACTGCGACCGCATGAGGAGCGTGAGGCAGTGTGTTGGCGGTGCATGCTGGTGGGTGACGTACAGAGTCCCCACCCGGGCCACGCCCTGGGCCTCTGACAGTGGCAGCCGGCAGGTGATCAGCATGGGGGCCATGTTGTGGACTGGGTCAGCCTTGGACACTGCCTCTCGGAGCTTGGCCGAGACACTGCATAAGCCTCGGTGGGATGGGGTCATTATTGGTAGAGGATTGTCTCCAAGAGATATACATACTTTGCCGAGCTTCTTAAGTCTCTAATACATGAGAGCCATGCGAGGTACACGTCTCGACGCGCAAACTGGCGGGTATCTCGGAATCTTGGACAGATAGCCCGTGTGTATCCGAGCAAAGGACACGGAACTTCGAGCCCGATTTTCTGATAAGCGTGCTGTCAACCACATTGTCGTCCAAGTTGCGTTGCCTTGGCGCGATATTTCCGCTCCGCTTGCCAAGAAGAGTCAGCCCTATGGGATGCCACAACAGCTGGAATACGAGATCGGTAGGCTTTGATCGAGTTGATTGGAGAATCTTGCCTCTCGGCAGATAGACCTGGTGTATCGAGGTCGATAACGTGGGTTCATGTCTATCCACGCATAGTTTGAGAAGACTTCCGTATCACCGTTGTCTAGATGGCTGCTGTTGGAGTGCTGCCGGGTTGGTTTGTCTGATCAGGAGGAACCAGAATATAGATATTAGTTAAAACTAAGGATCAGATATCTGTGTAATATGACCTAAAAATTTATATCCCAAATCTACCAGATCCAGCCCTTCAATTCTTTACCGGCGGCTGCACACTCCCTTCAAGAACCTCCACCTCTCCAATCTCCACCTCACCAACTTCAACATCCTCCCACGTTGCCTTGACTGTTGTCTCCCCCCTCAACAGCCTCTCCACATTCAACAACGTACTATACAAGACCCCATGGCTAACCGCCCCCTCGACATCCCCCTCAAACGGCCTGCCCACCTCCCCCTGATCCCCATTAATATCCGACCCCTTCCCCTTCGCCCCAGCAGGTCTATACCCGCCCGTAAGCGCCGGATACGGCGCGAAGCATTTCAGATATCCACTCCCACACAGTCTCCCCAACGAGACGTCGAACTGCGCGCCCGTGTCGATGTCCGCGGCGAGATGCGATGGGTTCACGGAGAGCGCGGAGAGGATGCGTTGTGCGCCGCGGAGGGAGACGGCGTAGAGGAGGGAGCACACTCCGTCGATGATGGGGCAGGTTAAGCGGGATGTGTTGGGGCGGTTCTGTGGTGGTTCGTCGCGCCAGTAGGGGAGGAAGTGGTGTGGGGGCGGGATTGTGGGGTCGTTGGGGGTTAGGTAGGAGGGGTGGGAGGGGTTACATTCTACGCCGCAGTGGCCAAGCCAGAGGATGTCCCAGTCATTTCCGTAGGGTGAGTTCGAGTGGGAGTCTGGGTTTGTTTGTGATGAGGGATCTGTGGATTGGAGGGCGCGGACTGCAAGCGCGAAGGATTGGAGTTGAGCTTTCACAGAGACGTCCCAGTCTGCGTCATCTTCCATTATTATTGTGCTGCCAAGTCTTTCGTGGACAGTCCTAGGGGCGTTAGAATAGAATACAGGGTGGAAGAGAACGAAACATACTTTTGCAACGCATTGAGGTGGCTTCGCCGAGCAGCATACTCAACCGGTCGGTGGTCAAAGTTCCAGTTCTGATGAATCAGTATGGTGCAATCGCAAGGGGCCTTGTACTAACAAACGGATATGTTTTTGGGTTGATCTCATCAGGGGTAATTGCGTCGATGAATTCGACATCAAAGTCGCTCAGTGATGAGCCCAGGACAATGTTGTCGCGCTTGTCTAGCCGACTGGGAAGGCTGATGGCGAAGATTTTTTGTACCTGGACAAGTCAGCGCCATTGAGCTTGAAAGCACAAAAGATAGATGAGCTACCCCCAGAGTGGTATTCGTGATAGCAGTAATGTGGTTAGAGCCCTCATTGTGCTGTAAACCCGCGCTACCAGGCGCCGTTGCGGAGGCAAAGGGATGAGACCAGAAAATGAGACTAATAATGACAATCACTCCGATCGCATAGAGCATTAATCGAGCGATTCCTCGCTGAGACGTTGACCACGCCATTGTTCATTTATCTCTGACATTGACGTGCTGACTGTTTGGTTAAGAGAATTTAAAGGGCAGCAGATGTCGGCGTTTCAGGGTGCTACGGGCGGGCGTCATTTCCGAGCCTGAAAGTCTATGATGATTTGACTGCTAAGCGCCAAGAAGGTTGGACTCTTATTGGTCCAATTTAGAGGGCTTGGCCATGAATTAAATCGAGATTGACCTGGTAATTTTGTAGACAAACAAAAATGAGATCAAGCCCTAACTTGTGTAATTGTCTTTAACTGTCCGCAATTTAGACGCTCCCCTTCCCAACCGGTAGCCTCACGTCGATCCCAGAGGCACCACCGTCGTGTCCGAGTGTTTAAAAGTCGTAATTCCCGTCCTTGAAATCTTCAATTGCGATGGACAGTTCGGATCAGGGCAAGCAATAGTTGAATCCGTCGTCATCCAGTCGTGTTCGTGGGTCATGCGTTGTTTCGCAGCCAACAAGGGGAGGACAGCCGCTAAAAATATATCAGCCACAAGATAAAATATATTTGCAAAGCATGAAATCTGGTGGAAGAAAACAAGGTACCCAAACTATAAATACTGATTCCTTGACCCGGTGGAAGATGCATCATCTCGCCCTTCAACGTAAAGTAGTCGCCCTCCTTTGCCCCGCAAAGTATGCGCTTCCCCTCGGGACAGATCATCTCGACGCGAAGGTCGTATAGTTGGAAGGAGTCGTCGCTAGACATGTTTATGTTAGGTTGATAGTCTGGGTTGTATAGTTCCTGCAATGCAAGGAGAGCAATGTGAAAGTTGAGGTTATCACTCGTGGCACCGGCGACCTACGTACTCCAACTATCGGACTTTTGGACGCCGGCGCCACAACCTGACTCACTAGTTTGACGAGTTTGGAGACAAAAGATAACGTGCCAAAACTCTGACACATGGCACAGGCCACACTACTTATATTATCTCGGTGGTACGGAGATATCCTCAACTCTAGACCACAACCCTCACCGAGTCATCACAATGGCTTCACCCAAAGATGAGAAGACTGTCGATGCAACAACGGCCGATATGGAGATGGGTCCGGTGCAGGGTGACCAGGAGGAGACTAGACGCGACCTGCAGAGCAGGCATATCAACATGATAGCGCTTGCTGGGATGATTGGGACAGGTCTATTTCTTACATCGGGACAGGTCATTGCGATTGCCGGACCAGCAGGCGCATTCCTTGCATATACCCTCATGGGCTTTGTGACGGCCGGTGTGTCCTACACTACCGGTGAAATCACCTCCTTCAGCCCGTGGACAGGCGCATTCGTCCGCCACGCGACCAAATTCGTCGAACCGGCCCTCGGCGCAGCGACGGGATGGAACTTTTGGTACACAATGTGCATTGCCGGCCCAGCTGATGTTGTCGCCGCGTCCAATCTGGTGCAGTACTGGCGCACCGACATCAACGTCGCCGTCTGGGTCTCTGTCTTTGGTTTCTTCATCGCGGCGGTAAACCTGTGCAATGTGCGCCTGTACGGAGAATCCGAAGTCTTCTTTTCCTCGCTGAAGATCATGCTCATCATCGGCCTGATCATTGGAGGGATCGTCATCAATTGTGGAGGTGGCCCAGATGGAGAGTACCTCGGGTTCACATATTGGGATAGCCCGGGGGCATTCAATGAGTACATCGCGTCTGGAGCTACAGGACGGTTCCTTGCGTTCTGGAAGGTCCTCCTCACATCGGCCTACAGCTTCGGAAACATCCAGATCGTGGCCATTGCAGGGTCGGAAACGCGCAACCCGCGTGTGGTGATTCCCAGTGCCACGAGGAAGACCTTTCTCCGGGTCTTTGTCTTTTACGTCCTGAGCATCTTCATCGTCGGGCTCATCGTGTACGTTCTCCCGGAGATTCATCTTCGGCACCAAAAGATAGCTAACATATCTAAAGCCCCTCCAACGACCCCTCCCTAACAATCTCAACCGGAACAGCCCAACAATCCCCCTTCGTCATCGCCTTCACACGCGCCGGAATCTCCGTCCTCCCACACATAATCAACGCGGTAGTCTGCACATCAGCCATAAGCGCCGGATCGGGCTGCATCTTCATCGCGTCGCGAACCCTCTACGGCCTCAGCCGCGATGGGCACGCCCCGCGCTTCTTCCAGAAATGCAACCGCTTCGGAACACCATTTTACGCCGTCGGATTATCGTGCGCGTTCCTCCCGCTGAGCTACATGACCCTGGGGAGCGCGGCGTCGGTGGTCTTTGGGTGGTTTGTGAATATCACCACCGTGGCCGGGTTGATTGGGTGGGTGGTTATTCAGGGGACGTATCTGAGGTTCTACTATGGGTTGAAGAGGCAGGGGTTTGATCGGAGGGGTGAGTCTATATAAGAATCACCGTGCTAGCGCTGGTGAGATTCGGGCTGGGATGCTGTGCTGACTAGGCTACTACAGATCTGCCGTATCGGAACTTTCTCCAGCCGTATGCAGCCTGGGCGACCCTGTTTATGGTTGTCATGATTCTCATCTTCTCTGGTATGCTTGCCCTACAGGTCGTGACTGAGCTGAGCTTGTACTGACTCCAAAGGCTACGACGTCTTTACAAAGGGAAACTTTACAGCATCCGGCTTTCTGACATCGTATCTGAACATTGGGATCTTTGCGGGTATGTCACAGCGTCCACAAACACTTATGAGCCTTGAAAGACACTAATGAAGGCAGTTCTATACATTTTCTTCAAGTTCTACCTCAAGTCAAAGGTCGTCCCGCTCAAGGAGATTGATTTCCAATCCGAGTTTGATGCGATTGAGCAGGAGAAGGCGTCGGGGGAGTATGTGCCGGAGCCGGAGCTGGTTTGGTGGAAGAGATGGATGCACTTGTTTTAGGGCTATATTCGAGGCGCCTGTTAGTGAGGGTAGTGCTCAAGTAATGCCGCATATGGGGCTCCAGAAGACTATACTGTCGGATCGGAGAGTCTCGCTAACCTGATAGTACTGCAGAGGCCAAAGGTGAGGAGCGTCGTGTGTACCGACGACTATTGAGAGGCATCCTTAAAATAGAGATAAAGTTAACACCATGTTCATTCATCTCGCCTCTGCTCCCATGCGATAGTTAATGAATACATTGCAACTCTATTCAGACGTTTGACAGCCACGTTGGCCACCTATGGGTAGCTCCTTCCTCATTATCGCAGGTGAGCGGGTGAGGAAGGCACGACCAGGAGACGCGCTTTCATATACTGTAATAGGAAGGAAAGGGTTGGTTCTTACCGATCGTCCCTTCCTTACATATTTAGAGATGGATATGGTTAATTGAGGAAGGCGCGACTGTGCGCACCCCCAGAACGAAATAGAAAGGTACCCCTAGTCACTGCACTGGGCACTGCTACTGCAGTTGACAGATCATCGATACTCCCCACCACAGTCACCCATGCTCTCAAACATCTCACGCCTCGAACCCCTCGCCAAGATCCTCTCAATCCCTGCGCCGTCCTCCTCATCCAGAGACCACCCCAAACTCGCCAAATTCTCCCGGGACTGCTCACTAACCCCCATCCGCGCACCCACAATAACCGCCCCTACACACGGGAAATCCAGCACCCACCGCGTCGCCACATTCGACACGCTAACCCTATGCTTTCTCGCGATCTCGCGAAGGACGCGCAGGAGTTCCTGGAACAGTTCCCACCCTCCCCAACTGCGGATCATGGCGTAGTATTTCCGTTGACTGGGTGTTGTGGATTCACTGTAGAGATCGGGCGCTGGCTGTCCGATCCATTTCTCGGCGAGGAGACCGCCGAGGAGCGTACCGTAGGTGAGGAGCTTGATGTCGTGCTGTGCGCAAAAAGAGGCCATTTTGACTGTTGGGCGGGAGTCGATGAGGGAGAACTAGTTTCAGCGTCAGTGAGTCACGAACCTAGAAGTGCAGCGGTAGGAGAAAGGACAGACCTGAACCTGGTTGCTAACGATCTTGACGCCGCTCTCGACAACGCGCTCCATGTGCTCTGTGTCAAAGTTGCACAGACCCAGCCTTTTCACGCGCGTATCTGCTTGGAGATATTGCAGCGCTTTGATATATTGGTCGTCGTTGTACTGCCCATAATTAGTCCTGGTCCTGGATGACGGAGACTTGTACGTACAAACTGCCAATGAAACTGCAACAGATCAATCTCATTCGTATTCAACCGACGACACCGCTCGCTCACGTTTGCGCGCACAGCCTCTTCTGTGACGGTCATTGGATGGAAGATGCAGTACTTTGTCGCCGCAAACATCTTATTCGAGTATGCGCTCGAAGAACGATACCGACCCTATACTACCAGTTAGCGCAGCTCACTGGACCCTGGGTAGGGGTAATGACGCACGAAAATAATCTCCGCATCGCCATAGTGATCTGCCATGTCAAATGCCGTGAACCCGCGCTGGACAGAGCTCGAAAACTGATCCATCATCTTCGACCGCGATGCGGAGCCCCAGGCCGGACTGGAGAGCTGCCATAGTCCGTTGAAAATACGAGGCAGTGTCTGCCCGTCCAATGTAAATGTCTCCGGGATCACCTCAGGAGCCAGCTCCGCCCGCGGAACCATGACGGACTCAGACAGACCAGGGTTTAGTAGCAAAGCCAGCGCATCACTAGCCCTTTCAAGCACAAATGGCTGCTTGCGAGCGACGCAATCCTCTTGATACGCCAGAACCGCCTGGTGGAGTTGAGTAACGGGCTCTGCCTCCTCTGCGGACAGTTCTCGTGACCCCGTGGGTGAGAGGAGTGTCTTCTGGATTGCCGTGAGTGCTTGAACGATATCGCCGTCAACGGCAGCAGTATCATTCTGAAGGCTATCGTCTTCGGATGCGATGCCGGAAAGCTGTTGCACGATTTGTCGGAGGATTGGAAGTGCCTCGTAGCACATGCCGCATCCGACCATGCAGCAGATGCGCCGACGGAGGTCTTTGAGGGAGGGTGTCGTGTATGATATCCCGTCCTCTTGCTTCGCGGTTACCGACACAGTCTGGAATTGTGACGCGGTCTCGTTCAAGTAGTTTCTCGTCTGCTCCTCAAATGCCGGTGTCGCGGCTGGCTGCGAGGATAGAACCCCGCGCATGACCGCACGTAGACCTTCAAGCGAGAGGTTCGCGATAATTGTATCAGTCATCATGTTGACATGAGCCGTCTTCGCCTTTGCACCGGCCATGTTTGCGGTTGTGCTCGGCTCAGTCCTGTCCCAATTGCGTCGTATCAAAGCCTGGGCAGATCCCAGAGTCTGACTGAATCGTCCTGTAGATGCAGATAAACTGAACAGCTTATCAACGCCCGATACCGACCTGATAAATCCTTTTGCGCTAAATGCCGGCGTTCAAAAAGACGCCGGTGACTCCAACTCCAGCCATCCAATCTTATCCACCTCGCTCGGCGGCTGGTTCTCCACCTTCTCCAACTCCAACCTTCTCCACTCACCTGCTCGTGCGATAAGCTGGGGACGAAGTCATTGCGTTCACGGCTCAGTCGTGGCGAATGTCAAGGGTGAGATGTCGGAGAAACAGCAAGTCAAGGCATGTTTAGCATGTCGCAAGGTGAAGATGAAATGCGTGACAAGTGAAGGAGATAATAGATGTGTTCGATGCGCGCGCAAGTCACTCCAATGCGTCGTTCGAGAGCACTGTCGGGGGCGAAAACCAGGAATGCGGTATGCTCTCTCAGGAGGAGGCACGCTCCCAGCATCCAATACTAATGACAGCTAGATTGGGGCGGAAGGATGGACGGAGACCTGCGCCGACGGCTCCTGGTCGAGCCAGGGCCGAATTCTTCGGTGAATCTGACTCGTTCCAACCGCAGAGTCTATTGAGCCATCAGGCGATGCAGGGCAGGTTCTCGCTTCGAAATATTCTGAGCGTTGACCATGGAGTGGAAAGTAGACCTTCAGTCTCCGAGTCGACCTCCCCAGATGACCCGGTCGTTCTCGGTCTGATAAACACGCAGGTTGCCTCATGTTTGCTGGAATAGTAAGAACATCCCATGTACAGCCCTTCCCAACATCAATCTAAGAAGGCAGCTTCATGCAAAAGATCAATCCCTACATAAGCCAACTCGACCCTGTGCTGCACACCTTCAACTTCCTCCGCAAATCCCCCTTCTTGTTGACAACCGTCCTCGCCGCCGCAGCTAAAGCATTCGAATCCTCTCTATACGCAAAACTAAATGCCCACGCCGAAGCCCTCTTCGCGACCTGCTTCAGGCGCGGCGACAAGTCCACCGAGGTTATCCAGGCAATCCTCCTCACGACCTACTGGAAAGAGCCGAATGACACCCGGGCTTGGACATCTGTCGGCCTTGCGATCCGCATCGCGATGGATCTGGGCTGGCATCAGCTTTCGCCTTGGGCGAGTCGAAAGGATGGACTGAGTGAACTTCAGCGGAGGGAGATCCGGAACGTCGAGCGGACGTTCTTGGTTCTCTTCGTGTATGACCGCAGTCTCAGCCTGCAAACGGGGAAACCGTGGATGATCGAGCGAGATGTGTTGATCGAGTCTGCTGAAACCTGGTGGCAGGATCCGCTATCCTCGCCTAATGACCAGCTTCTTTGTAGCTTTGTCGCTCTGCGTTCAGTCACGGCGGACACATTCGACCTCCTCACCCCGTCAAAGACCTCAGTTGCCCAGGTAGAGCGCCTTCTTAACATCCTCGACAATCGAATCGACTCCTGGCAGGCAAAATGGCTGACCACAGTATCTACATCAACCGGAAGTACATGCCACGTCTTCCTCATAAAGTTCTACGGCCACCACGCCCGCCTGCAACTCTTCTCGCTCCCACTCCACGAAAAACGCATCCGGACATTCGGACAAGTCCCCGTAACCGATATCAAGCCCTTCTGGCTGAGCTTTCAGAATGCGCTGGCTATGCTCCAGCTTGTCTCTGTGTCTTCGTCGCTACTATATCTCGCGCAGGATTCTGTTCATGTCATGGTTGCTTATGCGGCGATTTTTCTGATAAAGGTACGACTTCCCTTGCCCATATTTTCTTCAACTAGTTGACGTCGAATGTGAAGATGCTGCTGTCTTCACCTCCAGCCGTAACCTCGGAGATAGGATCCACGGCGACGGAAGCGATCCGTGATGCCGCCGACACATTCGCTTCATTATCCGCGCCGTCGAACTCGAGCTGTACATATCAATCGCGGTTCCTCGAGAAGGTTCTACTCGAGTACACCCGTATCAAAAATAATCGGATGGAGGCGCCGAGGAGACGGATGCACCCATCGACCTTCCCATCTCATCCCCCCGCTCAGGCAGAGCCGAGACTATCTCTGGGCTTCATGCTCGAGGGAGACCAGATACATCCCGGGCAGCAGTTATCAATAGAACCAAATCCAGAGGTTGAGTTTGATGCGGCGAGTGATGGATTTGCGTCTTTCTTTAGAGATGAGGGGGTCTGGGATGATATTTTTGCCGTGGCGGGGTTCAATTTGCAGGAGGGTGTGTTTTCTTGTGAGACGTGATAGCCCTCCAGAGGAACTGAACCTGTTTGTCTCGCGCGTTATCGGGAGGTATATTCGATGGCCTTTTGTACTCTAGGCCAACTTGGGACTGTCGGCAGTCCTTGGGAATCGCATGAGGCTGAGAGTCAATATCTTTGTGTTACCATCCTTGCGAGTATGTAGGCATTGATGGACAGGTTACCTGCCTCTATAGGAGCTGGGGCTCTGCATTACGAGCAGGACAAGCGAAGAAGTTTCGGATATCGCATCCACAGGGGACAGATATTTGTCCTTGTGAGAAATCACCCGTCGCGTCCTCGGGAAGTTGAACGCGCTCTCTAAACGCGTTTTGAGATCGCAAATGCTGTGATCCAGGTATGGGTCTGACAAATTGAGTCGCAGGATCAAGATGCAATAATAATACCTCATACATTACGCTGCTGCCTTGAAGATAAATAGACCTGATAGGTTGGCCCGTGTAAGACGCGCTAAATCAAAGGAGCCCCTGAGATATGCAGAAAATGGCGGGCCCCGCGGACGCCGGGGGAACACAAACATCCGCATCGTACGAGGCGACACGATCGACCAGGAACGGTATAAAGCGCAAACTGGGTCGAGGCTCAGCACATGCTTATACCAACGACAAGAAAGGGGTCTCAAATCACCTCCGTTCCAACCCAAAATGGCCCAACCCCACTCTTACTATCCAGTGGGGGTCGAGATCCCCAACTACGTCCCCAATGAATGGTCGACTCTCACTCTGGTCTCGACCTTTGCTGCTGCCTGCGTGATTGTTCTGGCCGTGACATACTCTCTCGCGACAAAGACCAATCCACGAATCTCGAAATCAGAACTTTCCAAGGTCTTCTGGTTCGCGCTATGTACCTTCTCCCACCCAATCCCAAAAGTGTTCTCCTAACAACCACAGGCGGCTCGATCCACAGCATCCTAGAAGGCTACTACGCACGCAACTTCTCCACCCTTCCAGGTGAACAAACGCTCCTCGCCCAGCTCTGGAAGGAATACTCCATGTCGGACTCGCGCTACCTAACCAACAATTCGTTCGTGATGGTGATGGAAGCCATCACCGCGATATGCTGGGGCCCGGCCTCGTTCTTTCTCGCATACTTTATTGTCACGGAGAATGCATTCCGGCACCCGCTGCAGATTATCATCTCCCTGGGCCAGCTGTACGGCGATGTCTTGTACTACGGGACATGCGCGTTCGAGTTCCTGGTGTATGGGCTGGAGTTTTCGAGGCCCGAGGGGTATTACTTTTATGGGTATTTTGTGTTTCTGAATGCGTTTTGGATTGCTATTCCGACGTGTGAGTTTCGTTGTCTTTGTTCCTTTGGGGATTAAATGGATGCTGACTATAGATCGCAGTGCTTATCATTGACAGCGTCAAGGCCAGCGCGAGGGCTTTTGCGGACTTGAAGAAGGTGAAAGCTGCTGGAATCACGGTGAATGGGACGGTGAAGAAGACTCTGTGAAGTAGGACTAGATCTAATGTCACTGGTATATTCAACTGGCGGCGTTGCTTGAATTGTCTGAGTTGTAGCGCAATAGTCGTCTTGGATTTGAGCTTCACTCTGCGTTGGACTAAATAGGTAGGTTTAAACTTCTAAATATGGTCTTCTGTTCTCGCCTTTTCGATCATACAACCATCAAGACTCTTTCAAAAGCCCAAAGTACAAACCCCTTACGCTCGGCCTTCAACTGTCCCATTTCCTTTCCCACTTTCCATTCCATACAACCATTCAGGCTCCTTCAAAACCCCGAAACCAAAAACTTCTTACACTCTGGCTTCAACCAGCCCATTCTCTTTTCGCCATCTTGTCAGTTCCGATACATATTTCAGCTGTCCTTCGACACAGGGAAAACGGCAACCACATTGGAACACTTCTCGCCAATCCTCCTTACATCTCTGTTCGCGCCCGGGAACGTGAGTTCGCTTCATCAGAGGAAAGTAACTCCCCTACTAGGCCAGGGTCCCCTCAAGGCTCTAGCACCAGGTCCATCCGCTCAAGCCGCTCGTCCACGGCCAGAATCCCCGCACCCGACGGTCTGATTGAGTAGGACCTCCTCAGGCCAGGAGGGCCCCGGGTCTTTCCGCCACCTTGCGAAACAATCGACTCGACACCCGACACCCCAAAGTGGCGAGCTCTCGCTCAGGAACCCAGCCAACCGGCACGCATCAAAGAGCTTTGCACTGGCCGCTAAAGTCGCTGTTCACGTGGAAGAGCTGTAATCCTGTGGTCGCAGGTCGGAGCTCTCGAACGCGACTTACAAGCCAACCGTGTTGCTATGCTGTACATTGGTCGTCATAACCGTTAAGAACGAGCGGTGGATCCAGATTGCCCGTCAACATTGACGGCATAACCGGGTCACGTCGAACTAGTGGGTCTACGGTTCGATGAACCGCTGCGAATCTTTTCCTGTCAGCACGGACGCGATATACTCTGGCTGGGGAGAACGGGCTCCTAGAACTAACCGTAACATGATTCGGTCTGGGGACGGAGGAGATGGGACAGCATGTGCGGATCGGGAACCGGATTGTTGCGAATATCTGGGCAAATGGTGATAGGGCTGCACTTGATGCGTAATTCTTTATCCCGTCCTTACCAGCCTTGCTCAAGCGGGACTACTAACTCAGAGAAATCATTGTGGAATGATGCGGCAAAGATGTCTTGTTATGTCATTGTCCCTGTAGTTAGTAATCAGAGCAAGTGACTTGGAAGGACGGAGCAACTGGAAAGCACAATAAGGGCAGATATACGTGGCTTTGGCGTTGATGCGGCGCCTACAGCTATCACTCACAAACTCCGGAACCTGTTGGTTGCTTCCAAAGAGACGGAATAATTGATATATTGTTATGGAACATTTATGGAACAGTCCCCTTCCTCCTCCTCTCCGCTCTCCCACTTTAAGCTGGTGGTAGTTTGTATCCGCCAGAAAAGGCATCGACCGGACTGTCGCTAGAAGGTATGTCGACAACCGGGTGGACAGAACTGCAGACATATTTCGTGACTCTTGTCCCAGCTACCATTAGCAAAGAGGTGCTAGTGCCAAAGTCAGTCGAACTCTGAGTTCACTCCATTATACTGAGACTTGTGAGTAAGTAATCATTGCTGGTTTTTCGCTGTTGGCGATCTGGCAAGCAAACTGGACCAGCACCAGGTATATGATCGAGCCATTAACCCTTCTGGTAATAGCCACTTGTAGGGTTTATATCAACCAGAGGGCATGGTTATCGAACGTTTTTCCATTTGAAGTAGGGGTAGGTACTAGCATAATGTTTGCAAGTTAACCCTTAAATATAACGGCATAGCCGGAAAATTTAGAGGTATCATCGTTCGTCACGTCGAAATTGCAAAGGTAAATTCGGGGATTTGTGTTCATCACATATCTTCTGCACTTGGCTAAGCTCCCCCTTGAGCCAACGGAAAAGCTCGGTGAGGTCGGAAGTCGTAAACCCGTCCTGTTGTCGTACGCCAAAGGTTTTCTCAAGCTCACGACGAATGGTCTGACCGAATGGCTCCTCGCTGGCCAGACGTTTGCGTCTGCCATGCTCTGCACTCACATCGTATCCAAGCAAGACTCGGTCTAAAAGCCACTCTGGCATCAGCTGCGTGAAACCATCGTCGTACATAACACGCAGAGCCGTCGGAACGACCGCATCGACGACTTCATCCTTCGCAAGCTCTGTATTTTGAACCCCTTGGAAGTGCATCCGAAGTCGAACGCAGGTCATAAGCATTCTCCTTGATCGCTGAGCCCGTATTGAGTCCCTAGCTCGCAGGTGGCTTTGAACTTGCATCATGGCGCGGCCGCTTACAGCTAGGAACCAATTGCCATAGGTTTCCAGCGCATCCGCGATGTCCTGTGGGTCGTCATCATGGGTGTGATTCCCTGTAAGGAGGACGAGGTTCCTTAAATGCTCTCGCTCTTGTTCGTCCAATTCAATACCGACCAAGGTGGGTAGAAGACGGTTTGGTCCCTTTTGTCGTGCGTGTTCCAGATCCTGGTCAATGCTTGTTTCTCCGTATGGCCGGAGAAGAAAATACATGTCTTTGGAGCCACTATCAATAGCGTGGTTGAGAGCTGTATTGTTGTTATGGTCTCGTAACTGCACAAGCTGTGGAATTAGGTCCTTCATCAGCTCAATCAGAATCCTGACTGCGTCAATTAGTCCTTTACACACCCAATCATGGAAAACAGGAATCTTGGAGCTTGGCACTCGGTATGTCAGAAAAAACGCTGGCCAGCCGCTTGTCCAGTCAGCCCAGGGTGCGTTTGTGTGGCTGACTAGAGCCGAGCTCCTATCGCCTAGAACCATGCGAAGAAACTGTAAAGCAGCGGGATCATCCACCTTGCATCCAGGTCCTTCCACTATGGCCGCGAGAAGACCATATCGCCTGTGGTCAGAAAATGGAACCATGGCCATCTCTAACAACGCATATATGACTTCTGGATCTCGTTGGCCATGGCGAATGGATTGGATTAATGGCTCGCCGTCTAGCTCCCATCGCCTCTGTCTGAAATCGTACTGAAACCCCCGGACGGACTCTGCCAGGCCTTCGGCAAGTCTTTGGTCGTCTTTGACAAGGAATGGGGACTTGCTGGTGCCATTTTGCCCAGTAAGTGCCGCAGAGGTCTGCATGCATCTCCAAAGCAACAGCATGTAAGGCGTAGGAGAAGGCTTTCGTAACGAGCTCGGCGAGTCAATCAGCCTCTCAAACCAGCCTTTCCGAGTTGGAAAGCCAATCGCACAGAGTCCTTCATTGATATCCTTTGAAGATACTTTCTTGGATTTGGCCAGACAGGCAACAATTTCAGGATGATGTAGTGTACACGCAAGGAGTAGTGGTGATGGATTATCCGCAAAGGACACCGTGGGATCAGCGCCCATTAGCAGAAGAGCTTTGACAGACTTCAGGCATCGAGCCCGCACAGCCACATGGAGCGGAGTGCCGTATAGCTCAATTCCAAAGGGAGGAAGCCAGGTCCGAGTTGTTCTCGGTGCGTCAACGCCGATACCCAGGGAGACGAGATCCTCAATCATCGTGCAAAGGCCATGGTCAGTCTCCTGCAATATAGGCAAGAAATGAAGTGGGGTCTCTCCTGTTGCTGAGCTATGGACGACGTTCTGCCTGCGGCCCTCTTCTATAAGCTGGCGAAGCAGTCGAAGCTGGCCATTGCTCGCAGCCGAGTTCACAAGCCGGCTCCAAACTTCATTGTAGTCCCCCCAGCTGCTGTCTTCATAGCCTCCAAGAGTTTCCATATGTTCGAGTGCCTTCCATAGAGCTGGGATTCCGTTTGCAGCAGCCACTTCATAGAACGTCCCCGAGTTGAGGGACGAAAGTAGCGACGAATATGACACAGTCACATCACATATTGGTTGACCATACTCTGAAATGTTTTCCAAAAGCCGGGTCACGCCACTTGAATCCCATGAATAGGACCTGTCCCGCGAGCCATCATGCCAGAAAAAGGGTTGGCGTCGGATAAAGTCACCATTCACTCGAACCCATTCTCGCATATGCCTGGCTGGTTCGATTCCGTCGAGCTCATCTGCTGTGCTTGTGTGTGCTGACATGCATCTGTTTTTGATACGTTTGATGACCTGAGAGACTTCGCTAGAAGCTAAAGATGGTCGACCATTGGAAGAGTAATATGACAACAGGACCTCATACAGTTCAATCAAGCAGGTCGCTTCGATATTGTCAAGTTGGGCCGCCAGATAAAGATGCTCGATAGCGGTGTTCATGTTCCGCACGACGCCATAACCTTCAGAATAGCATCTGCTGAGTATAAAGTGCAGCTCCGCATGGTTCGGTTGAATTGGCTGTTCCAAAATCTCTTGAATTTCAGAAACAAACTTCGTTTTCGCCTCCCATGATATATAATCCCAAGGGTTGAATTCCTAAGGTCTTCTTGTCAATTGCAGCGACCATATGGATGCTTTCTCACCACGTACCCAAACTAATATTGACTGCACAGCGATTCCAGGAGTGAATGGAAGGATCCTGCCTCTACGTAGTTATCAGCTTCTAACCACCTCGGAAGTGGGGTGTTAAAATACTCATCCCAAGGGTCCAGTGCCATTGCCACTACCTGCATATCTGATCTGGCTTCAGCGCGATCTCGGAGGGTGATTTGAAACATGTGGTAAAACATTGAGGTGTCATTCCTGGGTAGCCCGGCAAAGGGAAGAAAGTTTAGCGCCTTCTGTAGAAGCCCGTCAAGCCCTAAGTAGTCGAAACAATCTTCCTTTGCCTCAGTGCCGGTGGTAATAGAGCTGCCCCCGTCAAGACCGTCGAAAAAGGGTCGCCCGTCCTTGAGAATTTCCCAGATCAGCAGTCCAAAGGAGAACACTTCGCATAGGGCGAGTTGGTCGGATAGGATGATTGTCTCTCGTCCCCGAATCTCCGGCGCATTGTAGCGACTGGATCCCGGATAGGTCGACTTCCGTTTCGTCGACAATCCAAAGACCGAATGACTGAAGTCGGATATTCTAGCGATAAGGCCTTTATTCCCATTTACAAATACCAACGTGTTCAGGAGTTTGACATCTCCATGGGCGATGTCAACGGCGTGGAGAGCGTTGAGTCCGCAAGCGATATCGCGAGCAAATTGCCGCTTGAGCGAAGCTGGTACCGTGGCTTCGTTGGATTGAAGATAATCTCTCAGAGAGCCTTGCTCTGCGTACTCGACAAAGATGACGGGTATTTGCTCCATCGACCAGTCCCATCCGAGAATGTTCACAATGTTTGGGTGGGATCTCAGAACAATATTGCTGACGACTTGGATCTCTTTCAACGCGGAAAATACCCCGCCAGCAGATGACTTTTTGGTATCACCCTTCTTTCTCAGCGTTGACCGTCCGTCGAGCTTGGCTGTCTTTAGAGCATATAGCTGACAGCTCTTTGTTGCCTGTCGTAGTGTGACTTTGAAGACGCTACCCTCTCCCAGATTCTGTATGTGTCGACTGTCCTTGTAAAGGCCGCGGATATACGCATTCTGCGCATTGGAAATGGTGTTCCGCGACCGATACGGGTCGTTGTTCAGGGCGCCAAAGTCGATGGGCAGGAAACTCCATGACTTTGAGAAGGATGCTGCGTCAAGGAAGCTCATCTTTCCCGATGTCAAGCAAAGCTTGTACGAAATTTTAATCGACCACTTTTCTCGAACAGTTCATGCCAGCAAAGATAATTTCTGGAGAGGCGCCCATCCCATGGCAATGATTAAAATAGCTCGGCTACTCATTCCATATTTGTCTGCGGCTGCGCAGCCTGATCGTATCATCGCCACCATCTTGGCGGAGTCCAGCGCTAAACATTGCCCAGCAGGCAAGGCTGCTTGGGATGGAGGGGAAACAAGTTTCTCAACTTCACATCGGTGACGAAAGAAGCACGTCGTTGTAAGCATCAAGCAGTTATGTCGGGCATCGAAATCGCGGGCTTTGCCTGGGGTGTCGCTGTGGCCGTCGAAGGTCTGATCGAGACGTTGGTTGAGGGCATCAAACACACCACGCAATTTGGGTCGGGGATAGAACGTGCCCGGCTGGCGCTGAGTCTCGAGGCCACCTCGTTTCGCTCAATAAAACGGGTTCTCTTCGGAACGGCCGACTCGCCTACACCAGGCCGCCTCTTCTCTCTGTCCGACCTCCAGACCCAGATTGACCTTCTCAACGTGCTTCGGCTGCTTAATGAGACCCTCGAATCCAAGTATTGCCTGGTGACTTCCAAATATAACGCTAGTCGTCCTTCGTTACTTACTGTGTTCGACAATTCCATCGCCTTTGGATCATATCACAATGTTTCGTTGGTGCGAAAACTCCGATGGGGATTTAGTGAAAAGGCGAAAACCGAGGGAGCAGTTCAGGAGTTGCGCATTTGGAACGAAAGACTCTTACGAATCATCCAATCGCAGATGGTTGATCAACAGTTGTCCGGACAGATTCACGCCAACAGCGGGCGAAGGACGTCTCACTACCTTCAGATACTGCAACAGACTGAAGATGCGGCCACTCTCGGCCTGATAACTGATATGCGATTGCTTAACCTCTCCTTGAGCGACACTCCTGGAGTGGCGATGGTGGATCTGGAGCAGCGCGACAAGAAGAGATACAACACCGCGCAGCTCATCTCAACCAGCGAGAACAGAAGGCTTGTCAGGATCGCGAACTCCTATATACTCATCGAACATAAACCTTTCTTCTCGGATCAGGAAGGTCGCCCGTCGCAAGTCTCTTGGGAGCGAGCCAACCAGCTGGCAAACATTCTTCATGAGGATAAGCCAGAGCGTTATTGCAGTCTTTCGTGCCTGGAATTCTTCGTTGAAGATGGCCAGTTCGCGTTTTGTTTCAACATTCCATCTCAGCATGAATACCGCACCCTAAGCCAGCTTCTCTCCCAGTCCAAAGTACCAGCACTGGAGTCGCGATTCATATTAGCCAGAGAGTTGAGTGCAGCACTGTCGCAATTCCACACGGTGAAGTGGATCCACAAGTCGTTTCGAAGCAACAACATACTCTTTTTCCAGGACACGCAGTCGAAGGACACGACTCCTTCGTTCCATCGGCCCTATCTTTTCGGCTGGGAGTACGCACGTCCCGAGTCCGGCTTCTCAAGTCGCGTCGACGAGAAGGATGACATCGAAGAAAACGTCTATCGCCATCCAGAACAATGGGGACTCCCCACCTCCTCTTTCAATCGTCTTCACGATATCTATTCGCTCGGTGTCGTACTGCTAGAGATTGGTCTTTGGAAACCGGTCATTTCGCTGCACAGATGGGGTTTCAAGAACGTCGGTCTAGGCAGTGAGGTCAAAGATTATCTAATTGAGTCAGCACGACACCAGCGGTTGCGAGCGGCCATGGGGGAACGGTACCAAAACCTCGTGCTCAGTTGTCTCCAGGGCTCGTTTGAATTCTGTGATCCAACGATGGGGACAGTTGCGGTGGAGACATTCAAGAAGGAGGTTTGTGATCGCGCCTCAAAGTCTAAACCTGCCAAACTTATGTCTGACCTTAGGTAATCGACGTGCTCGATAGCATAATCCGTGGTTTCTTTCAGTAGAGCAAATCAACGAGCAAGGATCAAGTTGCTGAACCAGTTGGGAGAGAGATCCTTCGGTATGAGTTGACTGAGATGGATATCGAGGTCTCGAGGCATCGCGGCATCGAGGAACGATGGAGTTTCTGTACCAAGAAGGTGTCTCCTGCGGTTTAGTCACCCAAGAAGCAGGCTTGACTAAGATCATGTTATTGCTTCGCTCAATCATCTTCCAGGATTAGCGCCAGTCGTTATCATGGCATGTCTTTTAGACCCGACCACTACTATATGGACTATGGGTAGGTGATGAAGGTGGAGCTTTCTCACCAGTGTATAATCAAGCTTCCATAATATATGCTAAAACACGGTATGTGCACAATAGATCCATACCTCAACATCCGAGTCTACCGCCCCTTCCCACCAGAAATATCCTGACCCAACCGATACCCGCCAACCTTCTCCCACTCGACCTTCTGCCGCGTTATAGGTAGCTGTCTCCGCAGGGACTTGAAGGCACCCTCGGCCATCTGTCCAAATGCCTTGTTGAGCTCCTCCTGATAGTTGCGCTCGGCAGTCGTAATGCGGGAAACTATGCTCTCGGCGCTGGCGCTAGGGACGGTGATGCTGATGGGCTTTGTCGTGTTCAAGGCGACGTTGCCGTCTTCGTAGTAGTGCACGTCGACGTGGATTTTGCCGGTGATGGTGGCGGAGTCTGCCAGGGAGACCTCGTAGATGGAGCGGAAGCGGCCATTCCTGTAGATTCCGTTGTGTCAGTGGCGGTTTTCGTCTGGTCAGCTACCCACGTACCAGAAGTTGTTAGGGGAGTAGCGGTTCGCGACGAGTAAAATGGCCACGGCGGAATCATCGGCAGTCGGGTAGACACCATACGAGGAAGACGGGTAATGTTCGCTGGCATGTGCGCTCACTGCTTTGAGGAGGGATTTTCTGAAGGGCACATTAGCCAGAAAACCGAGGAGCTTCATGGCGACAACACCACTCACATCAAATCGGCATTCTGCGACTCCAGGACATATGATTGCGCCGCAGATGCTTCCTACACCAAGCCATGCGCTATCAGCACGCGATGCTCCAATCCCGCTTCTGCGAAGGCCGGCAGTCCTCACCTGTGTAATGTGGTCGACCTCGAACGACGTCTGGCTCTCGACGTCAAAGTATCTGTTGTCCTCCAGCTTGTTGAATTCGCTCACGATAACCTGTTTCGCCCGGTGCTGCGTCAGTTCCGTATATCGAGTGCCGGACGTCGGGCTGTCGGTAGCTCACCTCCTGACTAGCTCCGGGTAGCTTCACGGTCGTCAGCTGTGACTCGTTATATCGTTCGAATGCGGGCGCTAAGGAAGGAGTGATATCGTCGCCATCGGAGGTAAGGGCCTTGATGTCTATTTGTTGTTGAATAATGTTTTAGTGATCATGCTTGGTTGCGGTGAGACGGGGGTGTGGGGGAGGAATATGCGAGTTCGCAGACAACTTGGGAGGGCTTAATACCGGCAACGACATCGTGGAGCTATACCCAACGAGATGTTAGCTATTCATCTTCACCATGCTGCATGGGTCAAGTATACGACTGATGTACCTCGCCTGGCGGGGCACCCTCGATGAAAGAGGATGCAAGTTCAACGGTCGACGCCATAGGAATTGGTTTCCGTTTCACGGCGGAATACGTCAAGAGATCGGTATCAAGCGTTTATAAGGAGTAGATTGTGTTTTGTGAACCAGGGAGGCAAGCAAGAGTTCAAGCTAGGCAAATGAGGGGAGACCTCCGTTCTCCGTGTCAACAGGGAGCTTTGACGCGGTAGCCGCGCACGTGCAGGGGGGACCCGCGGCTACGACAAGAGTACTACAAGACGAGAATGCGATACAAACATAGTCGGACAAGTTAGAATAAGCGTAGAATTATAATATATTCTAAATAGTGAATGAATATGTATAAGAATGTCTGAAATGATGCAATATCCCAATGTCATCAGTGAGCCAAAAGACAACACGAATCGCACCAGAAGATGCTGAGCAAAACCAGTCAACAGCAGCATGCTCCCAGCGAGTCCGGCTCTCAAGCAGAAACCTGACTCCAGTAACCGAATCGCTTATTCAATGCTCATATTCATGAAGCCATCATTCGCCTCGTTCATACCCTGCATGCCAACTCTCTTCGTATTTCCAGTATGAGGAGTACCAAGCCCGTTTCTGGCCCAATGCTCAGCCCGGTCATTGAACAGTGGTCCCGCAGCAGACTTGGACGGAGGGCCCCAAATGTTCGGTCCGTTGTCAAAGGTTGCCGGAGAGTTGGGCATGATTGGGCTACTTTGAGCGCTCATACTAGGCGAGACAGCTCTTCGTTTGAACAAGTTCGGATCGAAGTCATCCTCACGCCGCCGTTTCTTCCGTAATTCCGAAATCATGCCAGGTTGGCCTGGTAAAGGGGTTGAAGAACGAGATGCCGGTCTTTCGCCGGGCTTGACGAACTCGGTATTGTTGGATCCAAACGTTGTCGACGGCGTCATATCCATTGATATATCCTCTTCCGACACCGAAGAGGCAGCGTGTCGGCGAAGTGGCGGTGGTGGAGTACGATACCGTTCATCGAAGGTATTCCAGAAATCAGGACCACCAGAGTTTCGATGTGCTTGGTCACTGAAACTAGGTTCGTCGGGTGCAGGGACAGCCTTTTCTGGCAACTCTTCACGCTCTGTCAGTCCAGCTGGCATGAATGCATTTGGTGAAGAAAAGGCGGTTAAGACGGGTGATGTCTGTGGCATATCCGGCTCGGTTTCGCGCACTTGACGGATAACTTCGGCTTCACGCTTAGCGTCACTATCGATGGGGGCGGACTCTTCCATCAGGGCAGCACGTATTCTAGCAAAAGTCTTCGTTTTCGGCTAAACAAATGGTTAGTGGACATCGTTCATGACATGGAAGTGTTGAACACAAACCAGCAAGCTACTCCGCCGCGTCACAGCACGTCTGATAACCCCTAGTGGCCCGCTGTCAGACCGCGTTCCAGTTGGACTATGGCCGCGGAGACCTCGAGTTTCCCCTTCGTCACTCATATCCGACAGTCGCAGATCTCTGGTGCCCATGCTTAAGCTTTCTCGCCGCGAGGACGCGCTACCCCGTGGACCGAAATACCCATTTTGACCTTCAATGCTTTTCATAACAGGTGGAGAGAGGGGTGCCGGGCTCTGCTTAGAGCTGTTCCCGCTCGCACTGCTTGAGCTGTGTCTGCTGCTGCGTCCCTTGCGAAAACGCGCCCGCTGAAAGCTCAGCAAGCTTGCTGCCGCTTGCGAATAGTTACCCATCCAATCACTACCGGGGCTGGGGACATTCCCAATGGCAAATGAATTGAAGCCAGGTGCAAGCTTCTTCGCCTGGGGCGTGTTCATTATCATGTCATCCCTGTCGCCGATCATCGGCTCATCGTCCTCTTCACTGCTGCTTGTATCGGATTCCATCATATTGACGCTGGACATTGAGCTCGAGATCGTGGCCCGATCCGCAGGGTTCGATGTCGAGAATGGCGGCATAGACGTAGACCCAGGCGACCCTCGCCGCTGGGGAATTGCTACGCCCCTGCCGCCCACTGTCGGCGACGAATCCGGTGATGATTCTGCTAGGATCGAGTGATGTAGGTTTGTGCAGGCTCGTGAGAAGTCAAGGCCGCGAGACCGGCGGGGTAGGACGGATCCTGGAGAAGCGCTGTAGATGTGGGACGGATCGAGTTGAGGGGAGAGAGGCGCACGACTGGCAGGAGAGGCGGTACCAGAAGCTTTTGGCGGTAGTGATTGTAGATTCAGAGGAGGGCCATGCGTGGACGGTCGGCGGGGTGTCTGAGGCGCTGACGGGATGGCAGTGTCATCCTTACTAGATGGGCGGACTTGGCCGGCGATGGAGAGGGAGGATGGTGGCTTGGAGGCGTCCGACAGAGATCGACTTTTCGGTGAGGGACGTAATGGCGGTCCGAGCAGACTGGCTTTGTCTCCTGCAGGGTCAGTCTCGATGCCTGACTTACCCAACTCAGTCCGCTGAGACAACTGTTCGCTGAGGTTGCTCGCGAATGGGAGGGGAGGGACACTATGAGACACTGGCGAAGAGGTCGTCGATGATGCCATACTATCCACTTGGTCGATTCTTTCTCACAGTACCATCATGTAATCAATACTGAAGTGATATGTGCGATGAATGTCGTCCAGGTCGAAAGTTGGGAGTCGTGAGGAAAGCAGGACTTTCAAACGCGATGCTAGGCGCCGCGACTTTGCGCGATAACAGCCAGTACTTTGCAGGTCAACGGCTGAATTTCCAAGAATTGCGATGAATAATGTCGCCTAGCAACGTCAATGGACGAAATGCACGTTATTTGAGACATATAGCGCGCGATCAAACGACCATCAAATATCACCACGAGATGAGTTTTGGTTGGATGCCCTTCATTATTGCCGTGGACTGACGTTCATTTTACTTGATTCGGCGACCCTTGCACTGAACTGGAGTGGCCCGCATTGCGCTGTCCATCTATTACTAAGCGCCTGATTTTAACTATATCTTCCTACCCTTTTAGGAAGGTGCATCTCGCTAGGATAGTAACCAGGCCTCGTGTGAGAGGAAAGTGAGACCGAGTGGTTGACTCACTGAAGGAAGGTGCGACCGAGTGAATTTCCTACGGGAGGAAGCCGCGACCGAGGAATACTATCTGAGGCAGGAGCGACCTAACACTGCGGAAGTGGTCTAAGAACGACGAGAAGAAAGGTGCGACAGCGATCCTGCTCTTGCCATAATTATGGGGGGAAATGGTGAGGATGCCAGAAATTTGATATAGACTCATTACTGCGTTAAACCATAATAATATCGCTAAAATCGCATCGTGCAATCAGACTAGGCTCATTGCTGTACTGAAAGGAACAACGTAATGCTCCCAATCATTGCTATCAGAAGTATCTTCCAGCTCATTCGACGTGGATAGCTTCAAAATGTTATCACGAGCTTGCCACACTTTCACAATGACTGCCCTGGTACGGGCGACACTAAGAACGCTAGACTCCGACATGGCAGCCAGAGCACGGAGGACAACCGGCCGTCCATATACTTCATTGCCGTCAGCGTCCTTCCAAAGCTCATCGTTAAGCGGGTCGAGTTCGACGGCGGCCACGAACACCGGCCATGCGAGGCCTATAAGCAGCCCTTTATCCAGCATGTCCGAAACAGTCTTCAAAATCCTTCGGACGTAACGAGCGACTATGGCTGAGGTCGGTGAGGCGTTGTAAAGCGTGCAATGCAGGTACAGCACTGCAGCGAGTCGTTTGAGCTCCGCAATTGCTCGAAGGTCTTCGTCGCCTTCATCGACATCCTGCACCAAGTCCTCCAGTTGTTTGCACAGGTTTGCCGCTTTCAATGAGAGCGTTGCGCGAGCTGAATCTGAGGCCAGCTGCCTCCTCGTTTGACTCAAGTCTGTGATGTCCGACAAGATGGCAACAAGCTCAGGGCTGCATCCCATCCACGCGTCAACATTCTGTTTATTGTGTTGCCAGTGGTCAGTTCCGAGCAGCCGGGGCTTGCCACAGGCAGTGCGACCCATGATATCTTGGAAAGCAAAGAACTGTTCGGCGAATGAAGTGACCTCGTCCGGTTCAGGCGCCATAAGTGTCTTTTGCTGCCACCTCGACCCGATCAGCTCTTTCGCACCTCTGAGATGGATTGTCCATTGCTGATCACAGTGATCCACAAGCTCATAAAGGCACATTAGCATCATGACGACTAAGATCTCAGAGTATGACGAGTGCGGTGAAGAACCAGCGCTATATAGACTGTTCCGAAGGCCCCTAATAGCTTCGGACTTAAGGCGAAGTCCAACAGCGCTATATGTCGGGTCCGTTCGAGACCAGGTACAAGCACCGAGAGCCTGTATGGCCTTCAGAACGGTTGGCGAGGCCGTCGTACAGAACGGGATAATGATAGAAGCGAATGGAGACGGCGCACTTGCACTCGCCGTCATCCGGGGGCAGACTTGCTCGATATAGTATTCAAACAGATGCCCTTGGTTGGTTCCGGATAAGTGAGGAAAGAGTGGTAGAGATAAGGTCGGTCCAGTCACTTGCACCCTGCGAGCCGGTGGAGGAGCCAGAACGACAGCGCGGTCATCGTCCGTAACTTCGACTTCGTATGGGAGTTCAAGTGTATCAACAGAAGTACTGACGAAGTTCCACGGCTCAACCCAAGATGTCGCGCACCATACTTGGTCATCGGACGAGACTGACGAGCTCGACGGCGACGGCGTAGACAGGTGCTTCCCAGATTTACTCCAGACACCCGCTCTCCCAAAGGCCTGTCCTCGGCTCGTAAACTCCGACTCCCACTTTAGTACCAACGGAGTCGCACAGGTAAGTCCTCGTTCCTGACATCGCGTGCAAACCGGCTTCTTGGTATCACAGCGGACCCGACTCGCCCGGCACTCGGAGCATCCCTCGCGACTACGGGTCTTCACTGGACCCGCGCGGTCATTGGCCTTTCGACGTGGCATTCAATAGAATATGCAGCGTAAGGTTGTTTCATTGCATATATTGACAGTGGAGACGACCCTTCCTCAAATGAGGGCAGAGAGCATCGTGGTGAAAGCAAGATTGAGGTTGAAAATCCGCGGGTGGCGAGAGGTGGGCCCAGTGTTAGTGCCTGAGGCAGAAACTACACGATTTAAGGCCGCCCTACACAAAAGAGTCTAGGCTTGTCTATCTTCCGTTCCTTTAATTTGTTGAGATGAGATTTTTGTCGAAATGATGCTGATCTCAATTTTACCTCGCTAACAAGTTTATACTAGTTTCTATGCAATTTGCATTCTAAAAAACAGCTCTATTATTGGATGTGATCTGATGTAGAGTGAGCTGCAATAATATATATCTTGGTCAATGATTCACAACTTGCACGTAAACTAAATCCAGAATCACAACTCATGAAACTCTAGAAGATATGCACAAAATATGTATCCAATATACTGGACAGATTGCCCAACAAAAAAGGACCTAAGCACTGATATCTCTAGCAATAAACTTTGTTTTGAAGTTATACTGCCTGACAAACCATGCATTCCACAATTCCCACTCTTGATCCGGATGCGCAAGTTGTATCTAGTACAAATCAGTAATTGTTCGATTTAGACATCCACTTCCAAAGGAAAGGAGAACATACATCAAACCGCCTCAAAAAGCTCGGCACGAGCTTATAAATCTCCATCAGTGAGATATTCTTTCCGATGCAGGTCCTCGACCCAGATCCGAACTGGAGCATCATGCCGTTCATCGTCTTCAACTTGTCCGCCGACGTAGTCAACCATCGATCGGGGTTGAACTTGTCGACATCAGGACCGAAGATCTCTTCGTTGCGGTGAATGACCCAAGGCGTACATCCGACGATTGTACCGCCTGGGATGAAGTGACCGGAAATATCGATTCCGGATGCCGGAACGACGCGCTCGAGGTGAAGGCCTGCTGCTGGGTGTATGCGGAAGGCCTCTTTGATGCAGGCGTCGAGGAAGGGGAGTTTCTGGGACTCAGCCCAGGAGACAAGGCCAGTAGGTCGGTTGACGAGTGTTCCGTCCTTTACAGCAGCATCGAGCTCTTCGCGCAGGCGTTGCATGTATTGTGGGTTCTTGAGGAGGTAGTAGAAGACAGCGGCGAGGCTGATGGCGGTTGTTTCGGACCCGGCAAAGGCCATGGAGACGGCCATTGTGAGGATGCGCTTCTCGGTCATGAACTCTGGGCGATCCTTGCCGGCTTTCATGAACATGGTTAAGAGGTCTCCCTTCTGGGTTGTGGGGTTGGTGATATCGGCCGACATGCGCTCTTGCATGCGTTGGCGGGCAAAGACCGCGACCGGGTGGGAGTTATCTGCGATTCCCCATTTCTGCAATGCGTCGAAGATCGGGTTCTTCCAGAATACTTTATCGAGCCAGGGCATTTGGCCGATGGGTGCGGAGTAGTCGAAGATCCGCGCAAGAGACTTGACGATGCCGTCTATGTCTCGGTTTTTCTCAATGAAGCCGTGGCGCTTGCTATATGTGATGCTGCCGATGACGTCGAATGCAAAGAACTGGAGCCAGCGTGCAAAGTCACATGTTCTCCCACTGTTGGCGAACAATGTAGCTGTTTGGTCGAGAAATATTTCGACCGTTTCGTTCACCATTGGTTCGTATTGTACGAGGGAGCTCATTGAGAAAGCATGGTTGACGGAGCGGCGGAGGTTCGCGTGAAAGCCTTCGTCAAGGGTTGAGAAGAGAGATGGTAGTGGCTCGCCTTTAGAGACAGTCATTTGGACAGGATAAAATTCTGACTGTTGGGTGTCAGAGTGAGAAATATTATGTTCAAGGGGAAGCAAACCTTGGTGAAACCTTTATTCAACCCATATATCACCTTGATAGCACTCGGAGAAGCGAACGATAGTGTGTTGGGCCCGAGTCTAACCACATCGCCATACTTCCTATGCAACGCATTATGAGTTATGTCTGGGCGCCGTCCATGGACATCTAAGAATCGCCAAAGGTCCGTGAACTTGGCCATCACGGGGCCAGGATAGCGATGAAGGCCATTATGAAAGTACTGCTGTAAGAGGTATAGCAGCAACAGAGAAGGAAATAAGTAGATGACGTAGTCTGAGGCTTTGAGCCCAAGAATGGCTGACACGAAACCCATATTGTGAAGATGTTCAATGGAAACGATGGATGTGACAGAAGCAGATGTTTCGTCAATTATAGTCGCATGGCGACCTCCTCTGGGAGATTCCGATAGCAGTCTACAGTGTCATCACCGAGAGGCAACGAAGTTGGACAGCACCCTTAGTGGGACATCGGCAGTTGAGGATGCTAAGAACCGATGGATTCAGGCTATCGTCAATGACTAGCAAAGCCAGTCAGTAACCCTTCGGTTCCGCAGATCAGCCAACAGACTTCGGGTTCGCGTTTCATACCTTCGGAAGATTCATCCCCTACAGGAAATCGAGGAGTGAGAGTCGCACGGTACTCCCAAACCTATTCTCCGGCATGTATGCCGAGAGGGTTGGAGACTTGGAGTGGTGTACAAAATGCGGAGATGGGGTTCCCCGCAACAAGGGAGCCATTTGGTGGGGCTTCCGGCACAACGTCTTCCTGATAAATCTGGAGCTGATGCTGACTCCACAGGAGGATCGCGCTGGTCTTTTTGTTGGAGGGCCAGAGGCGCTTTCGACCCTGTGGCTCCGGCACGACGAGCCTTTGATCTACCGGAACCCACAATCCTCCACTTGCCCTAAGTCTCGCAGCTGCGGATGTGCATGAGATCCGATGTTCCGCTTCGTGCTTGCAGGTACTTGTCATAGCGAACAATTGATCTGCCTATTGACTTTTACTCAGCCACGGTGATATGATGATATGTCCTCGTAATTATACATCGTTGAATTCGTAGGATAACATAGGACTTGGAAGAAGAATCAGCTGAAACCGCCAAGGCCAGTGTGACATGACAACCAGAGTAATCACAATTCAGATCCCAAAGAAGCATAGAAAATGCAATTTAGCTGCCAATATGCAGAACCACCCTCTGGGATTTCATGCTTGCGGACAAGGAATTGAGCCCCAGCTTGCCCGAAGGAAAAGAATATCGATAACTGGCTTAGCTCTAGGGTATCATAATGATGAACACGCAAAGATTCACCCAAACTCGATTCTGCGTCGTAAGATTGAGTAAAACACTGCTAAGTCGATTGCCAAGACCTCTATCGATCCTGTGCTGGGATGGACTCATCGAGCTGATAAGATTCATCGCGACCCCACGAACGAAGCCTCCTGCTTGACAACTGCTGCTCCTCGTCATCTGGGACTTTAGAGAAACCTTCAGGAGAATATTCGTCCTTGCTGTATGGTGTATCGCACCTGGGAGAGCGCAAAGACGGGTAGTAGCGCCGATAGCTGAAATGGGCGATGACGGAGCCTAGGATTGAGCCACTGGTCACGTCATAAACATCGTGCCGGTAATCCTCCAGACGGGAGATTGCAACTAGCAGGGCACAAATGATGGGTATTAGGACAAGAAGACAGCGGCACAGGTCAGTCCTTGGCCGAAAAACGTGCATCTGACCCGAGAAGAACCTGATGCGACAGTTAATACCCCGAGAGTGATAAGCGTAGTACTTAAACTCACAAGGACAGATATCCCAATCCACCAAATGAAAAGCTGCTGTGACCGCTTGGGAAGCTTCGCCATCCTTCCTGCAAAATATGCGCATTGGTTTGAGTGCAGACGGTCCATTGTACAAGCGTGCTATCTGGTGTTCCTTTCCTGGGTACGCAACGCGATATCAGATCTGGTCGAGGCCTTCCAACCGCATTCTTGATAATGTCCGTTATGAGCGAAGTGAGCATGAGCGCTGTCAAGAAGCCAAGTATAGTCACTTGTACTTTATGCGGGCTTGGACGAAGAATGGCGGCCCACGCCATGAGAATCAGGAATGGTATAACTCCCGCATAGAAAACCGACCATACTAGAGAGGTGACCTGTTAGATGGATTCCGTATCGTGCTCGGCCGGGATACTGACACACTGGGACTCGCTCTACCACAGCAAAGGGATATTGAATGGATTGATTGTCAAGAGTGAACATTCGATGGAACGGAGTCACAAAGATTTGGATCTGCGCAGGACATAGATTGTTAGCGATGAACACAAAGTGCTGGTCAGAGGCATAAGAGACAAACCAGAATCCAACATCCTATAATACAGGCGAGACCGATCGCATCAACAAGAGGATATGACTGCTGCAAAACACGCGACAGTGCACCACCAAGCCCCCCAACCAGAGGCGAGGGAGGGATCGTTGACCCCGCAGACAGTCCGCTGCGGGCCATTTCTGCAGTTTTCAAGCAATAACGAATGTCATGGACGCCCAATGTAGCTCACCCGGAGAACGGTGACTGATCGCTCAGGGGAACGTAGAGAGTTCCTCATTGTCGGCTACCGGCGTTTCAGCGGAGAACAGAGAGAGCACGGACCATTGCCACTACAACCTCCGAATCTCCGCAATCGCTGTCAAAACACCCAACCTTAACATCCCTCATTTTCTCGCTGCACGTCAGCCTTTCTAAAGTTCTTCATTGGCTTGGTAATTTGTCGAACGACACTTTGACCAAGTCGAACGACACTTTGACCAACTTCACGAATTGACAAGAAATCAGCCCGCCATGGCTGAAGCCGGACAGCAACGAGCTCTCAACACTGCTTTCGCGCCTCCACCTCCCCTTTGGAAACACTTCACTCCCGGAAATCTCAAGAAACTAGAGGAAATCAAAAGAGAGGCATCAAAGCGAGAAGATGGAAAGCCACGAAAGAAGGAATGGCCGCCATCGGACCTGCGCTCTCTGGCTCTGCCCCCAGAGCTACGTTTCCTCGTGCCCCCGGAGATTCCTTCGGGCAATTACAGTGTCTTTGGCGAAGTTCAAAACGTAAGATATACCTCTGCTTATTTTTATGCATTGTCTAAGATTTCACCGATAGCTCTCAACCGCCCTGCCGTCCCTAGAAGAACAAGGCATCAATCAGCTTTATCCCTCCTCCCCCAGACCCGGCCCCAACGGCGAACCACCCGCGCAACCAGCTCAGCCGTTGAACCACGCGTACTACCTTTTAAAAATCAGCAAATCGCTACTCCTCAACTTTCTAGAGCTTGTCGGGATCCTCTCTACAACGCCGGACCAATTCGAGCCAAAAATCGAGGATATCCGCAACCTATTCATCAACGCGCACCACCTACTCAACCTATACCGACCACACCAGGCACGCGAGTCTCTGATTATGATGATGGAAGAACAGCTCAGCCGGACACGAGAGGAAATCCGCGAAATGGACAAGTTGAAGGAAGAGCTCACCGCTGTGCTAGATCAGTTGGCTGCCGAAGGCGTTGATGTGGGATCTACTATCCAGCCACCTACGGGGGATGACAGAAAGGCAGTGAAGCCGGAGGAGCATGTGTCTGAGGACTCTCAGCTCGTCTGGGATATCATCGATGAGCTTGATCGGTAATCGCCTCTCCACCGAGCCTGGAGATTTACCGTCCAAATCTCTGGTCTCTCAGATGCTCTCACAGTCCGACTTGCCGAGACCACACATATTTGAGGCACAAACAGCACAGGCGCTGCTCAACTTACTCAATGCTGGAAGCCACGATCTATATTTCAAAGATTTGGGGCCTCGAATTGGAATTGGAACTTCCGCAGGCAAAATCCGCCAACAGTCGACAAAAGCCACGTTCATTCCCCAATCGTACCGCCTACGACCGCCGGAAAACCATTTCTTCTCCAAGTCCATAACAAGCTCCATTCCGCATCCTCGGAAGATTGAATGATCCGCAAATCACGTGGCACACTAGCTCCGCTGCTTTAAAATTGGCTTAAATTTTTTTGCTGAACAAGAACTTTTGATGACAAGACTGCACAACCAACAAACCTCTTTTTTTGAGGGAAATCGCTCCACGCGAAGAAATGCAATCATCGGAGACATAATGCTGCCTCTCAACTAATCATCACTACATCAGCCACCGAGTACAGCTCGAAAGTCAGCAGCGTAAGTTGAAACACCCCCTTCTCTACCGGCTCTTTTATGATGAATATGCCTTTTTCTTTGTTTCAACCCCATCTGAACGTACAGTGTACGCTTTGGTGATAATTGTGCATTCTCTACCTCTTTCCTGAAATTGAGCCTGTCGACACAATTGATAATCCTCTATTGCACAAATTGGATTCGTGCTGACTTTCACTGAAGTATAGGTTGCATGGCATGTTTAAAATAGCTTAGTGCAAATTATATTCACAATATCTATATCTTCCATCTATATTCTTCTCGTACATCCCTCAAACGCCAGTCATTCCTTGGTATATGAATCCCATGTATACGTAGCGACCTTCTAAGAACACAACTGTCAACCCCAAACTCCTTAACATGAAAGCACATAATTCGTCGCACTGCACCTAAGCAGTCGTAGGCGTCGAAACCGCACTCGTCCGCTCCCTCCACGCCTTATCCATAGCGCAAGTCGCAAGCCTGCACAACTCGTTCACGAAATCCGCAACAAGCCTCACATGCACAAGCTCGTTGACTGAAAACGCCTGCCGCAGGAACACTCGCTCGAGCATCCCTGTTGCGCTCTTGAGAAGCGCGAGATCCTTTGTAGCCTGTGGCTCTGCGGGGTTCTGGAGGATGTTGCAGAAGATTGCCAGGAGGGCGGACATGGGATAGAATATTAGGGCCCTGAGTAAGTATTAGACACGTTTGTTTAGAAAATAGAGAATTATAGGAAACGTACCAGAATACGCCGTCAACGAGGACATGCCCTGATGCCTCGAGATACAGCAGCGTGGACCGACTCGCCTCAACGGAGAGCGCAAGGCTCGAGCTTACGCCGTCCATAACGCAGGTTTGTGTTTCCCAGGACTTGCAGCGACTGCTCGCTTGATGGATGATCGTCATGCACAGGTGGTAATTTAGGCGGAGGATGACGGAGTGCATGGCGCAGTTTGGGTCAGGTGCTTCGTGAGTGAAAGATAGGGTCGGTCTCCATAACGGTGGGACGGAGAGGCGCCATCGTTCAAGCTCATCGTCTAGTTCGCGAATGTTCTTCAGGACCTCGGCGTCGGACTTCTTCATTGCTTTGAAGGAGTACAGGGCATTGTAGGCTCGTGCTCGGATCAGGCTGAGGCGAAGGTCGACGGGAAAAATGGGATTTCCGGGGAGGCTGGTAGAGTTGTGGTGATATTGGAGGCTGATGTACATTTGCTCAACGTAGTCCGGGGGTAATGTCAGGTCGCAGTTGTCTTCGGAATAAATCTGGGCTTGTCCCGTCCTGAGGGAGACGTCCTGCTCAACGGTGAAGTGGAGCCAGAACAAAGTGCGCAAGTGGGTTTGGGTTCTGGCAGTGGTGTCCTTGACGGATTCTGGGAGCCAGCAGGGTTGGTTCGAGAATTTGTGGCCCCCCAGCATGAAGAGCATGCGGCCTGCGATGGAGCCGTAGTAGTTTGCAGACTGAAGGTTGCCTTGAAATAGCTCAAGCAATGCCTAGAATGAGATGCCAGTATATAAGCACTGTGAAAATCTGCACAACGAGACTAATAGACATACCAAGATGGTTACAGCCTGTAAGCCGTCCATCGTGGGAGGCTCCTGCAAAACCTCACACAGCAAGTATCTCGCCTTCGCAATGCAAGCTTCCTCATCAAGCCGCGGTAGTTTCTGTTCCTGAGCGGCGAAACACGGGCTACAGAGAACACCAACAAATGCAGCAAAGGCAAAGATACACGCCTTCGTACTAGCCGAACATCTGTCGGACTCTGACGAGCGTTCTCGATACGCAGATCCTATAGTAGACCAGAATAGCACCGGGTCAAGGACCGGAAAGACCCTCTGCATCACCGATGTGCGGTAAATCTCAAAACTCAACTCGAGCAGGTGACGATCCGGAAGCTCTCCCAGTTGCGGGCTTTGCAGTTGCGCCAGCATGTCGTTCGAGTTGACTGCTCGCTGCTTCTCCCATGGTGTACGGAGTGATGTGAACTTGTCAAAGGCGAGCTTTTGGCCCGTCCGTGACTGCACCCATTCTTGGCCTTCCGGAAGGATGAACGGGATGCCGGTAAACAGACTGATCGCGCCTAGCTCCCTCCCAGCGAAATGGAGCGGAACAGAAGACGAGGCAGACGGTTGTATGAGACTTGGGGGGCTGGGGGTGAGCTCCCAACTGGGGTTTGTTGAGCCCAGATGTGATTGTTGTGGCAGTGAGGGAACTATAGCAGTTAAGCTCGTGCCGACCAACGCCGGAAAGACGACAAGACGCACCAGGCTCATGGTGAAGTTTTTCCGCCAGAAGCTTCTCTATCCTTGCGATGCGCTCCGAGAGGTGAGATCCCGGAGTGCTGGAGGAGCTAGAACTGGATAAGCACTATTTCTATGAGATACCGAGAGAAAGGCACATACTCCTTCGGGGTGGCAAACTTCTTGCGGGTCCTTCGGATCTTCCTCTCAAAGGTGCACGGACTATCATGATGGCTACACCAGTTACACTTTGGTAACGCAGCATCGCATTTTATCTGGAAGTCCGCAAATCAGCATTGTTTCGCAAGTTCAAGGAGACCCTTACCTTCCGCTTGTAACAAGCGTCACAAGCCCTTACAGTCCGCTTACTCGGCTGGGCTGTCTCTTCCTCCGAGCGGCCGCCAGAGCTGGGCGAGGGGTACATGAGGGGTTGTGGGGAAACAATATCCCTCTGATATGGTAAATGAATAATCCAAATGGAAGAATATCTTAGATATGGTCAAGGAGCATGAATGATGGTAGAAAGATGGCGGCGAAAAGGCGAAGAAAGAATGCCGAGCCGCTTACCAAGCACAAAGCTTGTCCTTTTATCTCCGCTGAATAAGCGGTCATTTAAGCTTGTTATCTACATTGATGCAAAGTTTATGGAAGAGAGCGGGTTCTGAGGGTGGCAGTTATTTCCCTATCTTATGTCCACGTGGACATTCATGTTTCGTCGCTATTCATAACAACATTGCTCGTATCAACCATCAGGTCATCCAATCATCAAGAACTCAAAAAGCCAGACGAGGCTCACAGGGTATTCACAAAGTATCTGCAAAAGATAACAAGAAAACAGAAGAGAAAAACAAGAAAAGAAATGTTGGCAAAATATGGTATGATGAACAGATCCTACCCGTCGGCGTCAATGGCATAGGGTATCTATCAATGTTTTCGCAAGCCAAAAGCAGAAGGACAGGCTTGTGCACAAAGGCACGGCAAGTGACTGGGCCAGGGGCCAAGGGCATTCAGACAAAGTCACTCCTGCGCCTGCCGGGTTTGAGCCGTTTAATTCGCGCCGCAGCTTCTCCAGGGAACAGCATAGACATTGCCTCACTCTTCTTCATGATGCCAGTCCCCTTCACTGACGGAGCAGTTGGCTTGGTGACGCTCTGGATTCGATCCTCGGGTATCTCAATGATCCTCGGTTCCTTTGCGGCTTTCACTGGGCTTGACGCATCGCTAGCTTTATCCAGCGCTGACTGAACAGGCTTCCGACGTACCAAGCGGCCGTCTTTGCTATATCGATCGGCGGCAATTCCTTGCGCGGTCAGCTGAGCAAGTTCGAGTCTCACTAGCTGGTATATCACGGAAAACAGCACAATCTCCAACATCGTTATGAATGGGATGGTGTCGGTTGCGGTGAATATGGTGGACCAGAGCATAGGTATAAGGAGCCTAGCATATAACAAGTTGAGAAGTAACGCCGGGCTTTTGAATCGGCCCATGTGGGATTTGGCCCAGCCGATACCGTCAACTCCCGCAAGGTAAATATCCTCCTTGATGGGGATATACTTATGCAAGTACATTAGGATCTTGTGAGCCCATTCATTGCCAATCTGAGTCCGAGACGCGAATTCAATCTTCTCGCGCCCACCCGGCTCGGCCCATGCTTTCCACCCAGCTCGAAGACAAAACGGGCATGCAAGAGTGTCTCCGGAGTGCTTGAGACATTTAGCGCCTTTGCAGTCAAAGTATTTCGGTATATTCGACTCAAAAACCCTGAGCCTGTGCTCCCAGAAAGGTAGAAGATGACCGTCCTTATCATAGGGTGAGTGTTTCCCAAGCCACTTGGACCAGAATTCGAGAATTTCAACCGCAGTTTGCTCTCTTCCCCATAAATACTGACAATGTGTGGAGCACACACAATTAGGATCGTAGCTCATGTTGATCAACTCGGCTTGCGCCAGCTTCTCAAGTCGCTTGTATTGCTGGATGGGTATGGCCGGCTTCCTTTGTACTCGGAAGGAGGAAATATTGCAGATACTCCGGTGCTCATTTGCCCGTTTCGAAACATTCTTTGCACTGCCGATCTTGTAGAACTTATTCCGGCCGGTGGGGTCGGCAAACACATAGGTGAACCCTTCGCCTGTCGGCTTGGATCTTGTTCGGAGGATGTATGCGACTTCCATCACGACATCTTCAAGCGGGAGCTGTGGGAAAGCAATGGGCTCGTCATGTCCAAAGTCTGAGTTCTCCGTAGAATCGTCGTCTGAGTATAAATCGGCGAGCTCGGCGGGATGTGCGTATGCGCTGCGCGGAACTGATTCGAGAACCTCTGTGCCGAGGCCAGTGTCCCCGTCTTGAAATGACCCCGGAACCTTCGAATCGTCGGATGGACCAGCTAAGTCGTATGTGCCCCAGTCGCCGGAAAAAGGTCGCACAGATTGTCGTCTAATCATTTCGGGCAGCCGGGCGACACGCACAATTTGAGGGGCAGGGCTCGGTTCGCGTGTCTGGTAAGTCGGGTAGACCAGGTGGTCACGAGAGTGGCCCGCGTCGCCATCGTAAAGGTTGTAATCGACGAATGACTCCCGGTCGTTGTCTGGGGTCATGAGCGGGTATCGGAAGTCTTGCGGGAGGCTTGTGGGGAGCCGTCGTCTGGTCATGGTTGCGGTGCGGACCGCACTATCTCAGTGCTGGATTCGATCTAAATCATCAAAGTCATCACGGAAAGGATAAACACAGAAACAAAATCCAGAGATCGAAGCAGAGTCGGCGTCAGCGAAAGTGGCTGCGCTCAATCGGCGGCAAGCTGCTCGAGGCTCAGCCCATCAGCTCATTTTGGACACAAACACGAGGGCGGCTCACGAGCCAACAGGCAGCATGTGACCCACTCAGGTGTGTCGATCGCTTGTGCAACAACAGGCACCTACTTGACCTCCCCAGAACAAGAATCTTGTGCTATTATTTCCTAAGTCAAGCGATGAGCCTTGAGAAGCGCCGAGATTCCACGTTTCCCTTGCCGCGACCGAATTGGTCGTTTCCATTGTGGCTCGACAATGGGTCACCTTCAGAGCCCCCGTCCTGGGCTTTATCGCCATTTGACTAATGTGATTATTGTACATAAGGGCACATCATGGTTTGTTAGGCCACAGGGATATCTCAAACTCATGTTGTTGGCGAGGCGTTGGAGCAATCCGAGCAGTGCTCCACCATGACTCCTGAGAAGGCGGGGCAACTTTCCTGCCTCTTCACCACAGCCCAGGTTTGCAGTCTTTGACAATTCCGACGGAAGCAAGACCAGACCAGCTCGACGGCATGGACATCGCCCAAGGCTTTCAGTCACACCCCTCAGCAATAAAATGCATTGATATGCACACGGTTGGGGAGCCCACACGGATCATCTACTCGGGCTTCCCCGCTCTCCCAGGCCCAACTCTGCTGGATAAGCGCGACCAAGCCCAGAAATACCACGATGGCATCCGCAAACGCCTGATGCTAGAGCCCCGTGGGCATAACGATATGTACGGTGCCATTTTGATCAGCGAGACAGAACTCGTGCAAAGCGGCGAGGCTCACATCGGCGTTCTTTTCACTCATGCCGGAGGCTTCTCAACCATGTGTGGGCATGCGACAATTGCGCTGGGAAGGTTCCTTGTTGATACGCGAGACTTGAATGTTTTCCCGAAGAGAAATGAGTTGGTTGTGGGCACTGCTGAAGACGGGAGAAAGGAAGTAGAGGTTCGGCTACATGCACCGTGTGGAGTTGTAAAGGCGCGTGTCCCCGTAATCGATACTCCAGACGGTGGGGTAAAGTCTGATCCAACGCGAAATGTTTCATTTCTTTCGACGCCTGCGTATGTTGCTGGTCTCGAAATTGAGGTGGAAATCCCAGAAAACATTCGCTGGGCGGAATTGGGAGCCAAAAAGAGTATAAAAGTTGACATTAGTTACGGAGGCGCCTTCTACGCACTCGTAAAGGCGAAAGACCTAGGGTTCGAGAAAGGACTGGCTGGAGATGATACGCAGATGAAGGCGATGGCCAGTGCAGCGCGCACCCTGAAAGAATTTCTCTCTACCTGCCCACCGGTGGTCCAAGCTCTGCGGCGTGCAGAGGACGAGAGACTCTCCTTTTTGTATAGTGTCATGGTGGTTGATGCGGAGCTGGGACATTGTCCTAGCAATGTTGAGGGCACAGAAACGGGGGTCTGCTTCTTTGGTGCCAGAAACCAGGTTGATCGATCGCCTACAGGATCTTGCGTAACGGCCCGCATGGCGTTGGCTCACGCAAAGGAACTGAGAAGCATAGGGCAGCGGTGGGCCTATAATTCTATCGTGTCGAATCATTTCGAGACTGGTGCCTTTGTAGCGACTATTGTCGAGGAGAACGTCCGCGTGAAGGGGTACGAAGCAGAAACATGGCCTGCAGTCGTGGTTCGTGTTGAGGGCGATGCCTTTTACGTTGGGGCGATGACGTTCGTCCAAGAACCGGGCGATATCACAAGCGAGGCTGGATTTACTCTGGATATCTGAACAGGTCACTGAGTACTTCATTTGCTTCGGTCACATCACAAATGTATCTAGAAGTACTCTAGAGTCTCAGGTGTGATATGCTTGTACTTCCTTTGTTAGCTCGCACAATGGGCCACAGATCTCTCATTGAATTGAGAACCCCAATGTTCAATGACAGGAACTGGCAATCCGCTCCGAATGCTGGTAGCCAGTCAACAGACAGGACAGCCAATTGACTGACGGAACTCAGTACCAACGTGCATGCAACGAAGGGAGTGTAGTCGATGACCGGGGTGGTAAGCATAGCAAGCTTTGACAAACCAACGGCTCCATTGACAACTTTCGCCGTGTGTACCTGGAGATTGGCAGACCTAGTGGAAATGCCAAGAAGATGGGAGCAAAAGGTCTCCCTAGCGCTCGGCAAGAAGGCAAGAAGGTAGGTAGGTAGGAGTTAGGGTAATGGAGGTAGACGGAAGCGCAATGCATGAGCATATAGACCTGAAGGAGTACCCGATCCACCTCACCACTATTGCCGATTATTGATTTTAGACGTGGGTTCCGGTGGAACCAGGCCGCTATAGATGCGTCGAGCAAGTCCAGCTCGTATTGGGAGGACGGAGTCTCGGCTATGAGAAGGGATTTTCGGAGCACTGCAGCTACTTCAATCCTTTATGCTCGCGAAGAAAACATGCCGTTGTCATGAGGCAGGAGTTCCCTCTCGAGATCCCCCAAGGTGGGCTGGAGCCGATCAACTCGAGCATCAGTATACTCATCTTCCTCACAAAGGAGGGGTACATTGGGGCTCTCAGTCATATTAAACTGTAGAGGGCCATCAACTTGCCCTGCAGCAAGGATGGTATCAATAACGAACACTTCCCACCACGTTCGGCGGACGCTCTCGGCTTCAATAGGATTTTCGAGCCCAATCACGTCCGAGAACTCTCCTCGATGCTTACCGAGCTTCAGACTGTTGTGTATAGCCCTGGTGACACAAAGCCTTGCGTTTTTTGGATCTCGGCGTCCATGAGAGGATATTGACGGAAGTTAATAAGCCTGAACTTTCTCCACGGGAAGATATGCCTCGTCCAAAGATATCAACAAGTTGGTCATATCCTGGCTTATATAGCCTCATTCCCACTTGTCTTCGGGCACGTGTATACCTTCTCTCCGGGCCAGAGTGGACTAGTGCTCGTCGGCGTCGCTATAGGCTGCACACTCGGCGCTACCATACTAATCCTCATCGACCAAGTCTCGTTACGGCCACGCGAACACACCACTACCTCCTGAATTGCGCCTCTGCGGTGCAAGGGTGGGCAGACCACTTATGCCCATTGCGTTATTCTGGTTTGCCTGGTCCGCTCGTTCGAGCGTACACTGGATAGCTCCGGTCTTCGCAACAACATTATTTGGATGCGCGAATATCCTTATCTTCGTATGGCGACGCCTTCTGCGTCTTCCAATATTTCTTTTAATCTAACAGCTTCACTCAGGTATCCTGTGTACTATATCTCACCGCGATATATGGTGTCTGATATAGTGCGTCAGCCCTAGCGGCCAATGGCTTCCTTCGCTATACAACCAGAGGATCATTTCCTCTTTTCACACTTCCCAGTAGGTCATTACATATCCTTAAGCCTTGTTTTATTGACCACATTCATAGTGTTAATAACCTCGGTACAGCTGGGTTGGCAGCCTGCTCGGGTTCTTGGGGATAGAGTATTCCATGATTGCCCAGTGTCTGTCGCATCACGCGGAGTATACAACTGCCCCACTATTTCGGTGAAGCTCCGCTACATCGCCAAGGCCAGCCAATCGAGTATCTACTTACCCAATATATAACAGAGGAGTCGGATAGAAGTCCATCAGAAACATCAAGAGTATCCTCATGAGTCGCTTGATTAAGTGTACTGGTGAGCATTCCAAACAACGACGTAGGACTGAGGATACGGGGTAAACCCATCTCGTCCTAAGACATGTTTGAATGTACCCCAAAGTATACGGAGTATCGCTCTACGGAGTGGAAACACGACAGGCCAAGAAAGCCAAGAATAAATACAAGATGCATAAATATGTCAAAGGTATAGCAAGGCTGAAATTCACGATCACTGATTAACAAACTCAAACTCCACTCCATAAAAACCTCCCAATTCTTTGGCGTAGATTCGTTAGGTCTGTAGACAGAAAAAGCTGCCACTCCCACACCGCCACATCCCAATCCTGTCCTATGCTATCCTGTCCTGGATCTTGATCAGCCTCGATCACAAAACTTCTATTCGGGGACCTAGAAAAGGAGAACAAACCATTCACATAACAGTGCAGATACAGAAATCACACTCTGTATCGCCGCAGTCGCACCCAAAGCATGGCCTCGAAACACCCTTGATGGGTTTGGTGATGGAGGAGCCAGAGCTGGAGCCCGAGGGCGGGAGGGTGAAGTTGACCGGGGAGAAGGAGGAGGCGCCCATTTTCAGCTGATGGGGATGTCTATTGTTTTTTTTTTTCTTTTTCTTCTGTGGGTGGTGCGGAAAGGAGAGATCTCTTGACGGTAATTGCGATGTCCGAAGACTGAAGACGAGGAGGATATAAAAGACTGACGACGCACGATGACGCAGGCAGCAACAGCCCGACCTTATACTACGGGCTGTTATTGGGCCTCCACTGAATCCACTCAGGTTGCTACCTAAGAATAGCGCGGCTTATCATTACTCTACCAAGAAAATGTGGCTGGCACAAAACGTTATCTGCAGACGAATAAATTCGCAAAAGGCGTTTCTAGAAGTAGTATGTACAATTCAAAACTTTTGCTTTTAGCGGTTATCTTTCCCATTCATAAGTCATTGCCAGAGGCCCATTCATCACTCTGGCAGTCCGTGGTCATCGCGCACAAGGCTCACCGGCCTGGCGCTCCGGGGTATCTTTCTAACTGTCGTCCAAAAAGTGTTCACTCTATCCATTATTTAAATTGTTTGGTTGTCCGTAACTCATCAAGAAGCGTGGGTAATCACAGCTGCTCAGCCCAGGGAGCGGCGCCGGGCTGCATTTGGTTCAGCCACTTGACGAGCTCAATGAGCTCGGCACGGCGCTCGTCCTCGAGCTGGTCGGCGTCGCCGCAGAGCACAGACTGAAAGACGGGGAGGAACTGGGGAGTGAGTTCCCGGATGGTGGCATCTTCCCATTTGTCTGCGTCAAGGTTAGTCTTGTTGTCAGAAGATACTTGCGGGAAATACGTACACATCTGGCAGATCATGCGGTAGAGAGGGTCGTTCTCCTCGTAGTCATTCTTGAGGGGCAGGATCGAAACGAGAACAGGTAGGACCTCCTTGATCGGCACGTTCTCGCGGTACTTGAGAATCATGCGGCTAAGACAGCCAGTGGCATTGTCTTGTAGGCGGGAGACATCCTGGTGAAGGCACTGCTCCAAGCGGCTGAGGATGGTAGGGAACTCCTTGACAATCTCGTTGGAGTTGGAGTGCTCGACGAGGCGGCCAACGGCGTAAGCAGCGTTGGACTTGGTCTGAGGGTCCTCATCGCCCAGGCGGTGAATGAGAAGCTTGAGGAAGCCAGGAGTGAACTGGGTGGCAGCCGCGCCCATGCCATTGATGCACTCAGCGAGGACACCGACAGCAGTAGCACGTTCGATGGACTCGGTGCTGCCAGCGTAGCGCAGGACAATCTTCTCGAAGACCTTCCACAGCTCCGCGAAACTCTCACCGAGGGCTGCAGCCATGCCGGAAACGACATCGAGGGCAGTGTCAACAACGATCCAGTCGAACTCGGATGTCTCTTCACCGGCATCGACGTCATCTTCGACGTACTCGAGCTGGCAAGGGTGCTTCTTGGTGATGATGTCTGTAATCATCGTGATGACATTGTGCAGAGTAGTCTCGTTGGCGATCAAGGCGGGTCCACAGAAGCGGAGGTTCTCCGCCATGTTGCGGTTGATGTCGGCGACGGTAGATCTAGGTTGGCATTTGTTAGTGACCCTCGATCAAACCCAATGTTGAGTGTCAAGCATATAATGATAGTTGAAATAATCAGGAGTAGATAAACGTCTTTCACATCAATCACGCTTTGCGTGTCAAAGTGAGCTGGGTTAAACGAGTGATTTCATCATGTAAATTGGAATGTGGATAGGAAACGCAAGCGCAGCTGCGAGATAAAATGAGAGAGAGAAACGTACCGGTCGTCTTCTTCCGTCCACATCTTGAGGGTGGCAGTCATGAGGATCTCGCCGAACTTCTGGACCTCCTTGGCGGGCTGGACCTGTAAGGGAAGACCAGGCTTCCATTTGGCCATCTGGCCGGTTTCCTCAGCAATTGTGAAGAGCATGGCGTAGGATCGGTGCATCGTGCTGATAGTGGCCTTACGGACACCCTCATAAGGATGCTCAGCAAGGGGCATGACCATTTCAATAGTCTTCTCAAAGTAGGGAAGGTAGGCGCTCCTTGTGTGAGTGACGAGATCGCCAATGATCTCAATAGCGATTTCCTTCTCAAGAGCCAGAGGAGTGGTAGCGGTGATATCATCCCAGTCATCCTCATCGTCGAGGTCGACATCTTCAATCTCGCCATCCTCACCGACGGGCTCATCGTCGTCGTCAGCGCTGGCAACCTTGACCTTGCGGCCGGCGACGGTGACTTCCTGACCGATGAGATCCTTGGCGGCCTCACCGAGTGAGACCTCAAGATCTTCCTCGTCCTGTTCAAGGCAATTGAACAAGCCCTTTACTGCACCGTCGAGGAATGTAGCAAAGTGCTCACCATAGACCTTGGCCATGGCGCCCCAGAAGATGTAGGTGCTCTCCTTCAGACGGGAGTGACCCAAGTGAAGAGCCTCCTCAGTTGCACGCATAAGCGGCTCAACGTACGGCTGGTAGCGCTCAGGTCCGGCGGCAGCAGCCATCTCGCCCATAGCATCAGTGACACTAGCACGGAGGTCAAGCTGCTCCTCACTATCCTTGACGGCAGCGAACTCCTGCAGGAGATGCATGGATGTGTCGAAGAACGGAAGGAAAGCGTCACCAGCGGAAGAGGCGAGAGATCCAAGGGCACCAGCGGCGAGGCCCTTGATTCTGTAGTTGGGATGCTTGAAGAGTTCGTGAAGAATGGGAACCAAGCGATCCTGGTAGGAAACAACGTCCTTCTCATCCAAGCCATCAACAACGGCATCAATGGCACTGAGACCAGCCTTCATGATGTCGACAGTCGGTCCCTCCTCTTCACCATTAGACTCTTGCATAGCACTGGCAAGGTTCTGGAAGAGCAAGGGCATAAGCTGGGCGTGCTCACGGTTGAGGTCTTCAGTGAGATCGTCGGCCAGGCGAGCAACGGTGTGCAAGGAGGCCTGACGGACCTTGAGCTCCGGATCGGCAAGGAGCTGCAGAACCATGGGCATGATCTCCTTCATCTGGGTGCTGATGAAATCGGGAGCGCCCTCCACGACCATGCCCAAGGACATGATACCCGCACGGCGGTAGTCGGGGTTGCTGTTGCTGAAGTACTGGCCGAGGGAGTGGAGCAGCGGGACAACGACCTGACTAGGAGGCAGGCTCTGAGCGAGCATATCGAGCAGACCCAGAGCAGAGCGGGCAGGGGTGATATCGTCATCGTTGGGGGAAGCATCACCAAGCTCGGTGACGATCTGCAGAGAGGTACGGGCAAGCTGCTCGCCGAGACGCATGCCCTGGATTTTGAGCTTGCGGTACTGCACGCACTGCATGAGGAAACTGATGGCCTGAGTGCGAGTGTCCTCCTCAACTTCGGTGTTGGCGGCAATCTCGTTCATGAAGATAACCAAATCCTTCAGGTGCACGGTCAAAAGAGCAGGGTCAAAGCCGAGAATTGTCTGGAAGACCTCAAAGGCCTGCATGATGCGTTCCTCATCCTGTTGGTCAATGGCATCCTTGAGGACAGCGACCATGGAGGGAACAAGTTCCTGGAACGCCTTGACAGGAGCCTCATTCTCCGCGGAGTCGAGGTACATAGCCAACTTGCTCAGAGCGAGCAAAGTGTTGATACGCACTTCAGGGCTTTCGGGATCACGGATGGTCTTGCTGAACAGATTGAACAGCTCCTGGAATTTCTCCTCGAAACCTTCGCCCAGTGTTTCCAAGATGGTGAACAAAATATACATAGAGACAGCACGCTCGTCCTTGTTACCGCCGTCTGCTGCACGAATCAAGAAGTTGGGAAGGTCGGCCCACTGGCCATCTTCAAGATCAACCTTGGCAACGGCAGAAATGACGCGAGCAACGGAGTGGCGGACAAGGTCGTTGCTCTCGCTAACACCAGAGCGCAGGAGCTGTTCCCGGAGGGCAGGCTTCTGGGCATCCTGCACCTTCGCCCAATGCTTGCCCACAAGGGAGCGGGCTTCAACAGCCGCCAATTGTTTCAGCTGAACATCCTCGTGACCGGTCGCAACCTGGATTAGGAGGACGAGGGACTCGGGGTGTTTGTAATATTCGCGTTGAAGAATGCCAGTGGCCTCCTTAACGTTACCCTGGGAGGCTATCTTGGGAGTTAGCAAACGAACAAATAAGATCGGGGCCATTGGCTACTACTTACGATTCAGAACAATCTGCAGCTGCTGCAAGAATCGTTGCTGGTCCATGATGGACTTCTGTGTTGTGAATGTCCTTTTGAAAATTTCTTTCAGTCGGAAAAAAAAAAATTGTAGGCGGGGTTAATCCCTTAGGCCTCAATACTTATTGAGGACTTGGCAAGGGACTGAAAAAGGCTGTCTGCACAAAAACAGACAGCACAGGGGGTATCACACAAATACGAACAAAAGAAAAGAGAAACAAAAAAAGAAAAGAAGAGGGAGGATGAGGGAGAGGAAGAGAAGAAGAATGGATTGTTGTGGAGGGGGAAGCCCAAATAATTGAGGAAGAAAAAAAAAATTAGGGGGAGCTCAAAGTCTTGGCATGATCATGTGAATCTCCACTTTTCTACACAACGCTTTGTTCTCCTGAAATCTATAGAGGACGCCCAACGGATAAGGCTTTTCAACGGACTTTGGTTAATATCAGTATAGGAAGAGGCAATTGATTCAGGTAGTGGCACAGTATGCTAAGGTTGGTATGGGTGACAAGCAAAAAAAGCACCAGGCCAATGAAAAATCCTAGAACGAACATGAAAGTCCAAACTCCAATTCAACCAGATGCTACTCCTCGATTCCTCGTAATCTAACAATAAAGATGAAGGAAACGGTGTATATAAAACAGGGCCACATCGTCATTGCCGTATGCTGTGAGACGCAGTTGCCATATGAAGGTGATGCTCCGCTGCTGTGCAAACCATGAACTAGTATTCGTCCGAGTCGTAATCATCGTCAACCAGGAGAGAGCGATAGCCCCGAGATGCAAGGTTTTCCTCTAAGCCCCCGTCTGCCTCGGGGTCGGCGTATCCTATAGAAGTATTAACAGACGTTTGAGAGGTCATACCTGATCGGAGTAGCTTACCCTCTCCGCCGAAATAGCTCAACGCTACCGGTAAGAATATGAGCGCGTGAGTCGCTGCAAAAACAATGAGGGCCAACCACACTCTGAAATAATAAATCTCAAAAATCTTGCTTCGAGTGAACGCTAGTACGCAAACTCCAAGTAGCTTGGTTATGGTGATTCCGCTAAAAACGCTGCCGCCCACATTCACCAAGGCGGTCCACGCACGAGCGTCTTTGCCCCGGAATCTAGTCGGCGCTGTATCCATAATCGCGCGCGAGGGGAACATAAAGGCTCGCGCGATATGTGCACAGAACTCGACGCTAATTCCAACGCAAATCACCAAGTTCACGAGTGAGACGGCGTTCAATGAAACGCCGGCTATGGCCATGGAACCAATAATGTCAACCACAATCATCACGACTGTACCGGTGACAACTGCGCCCGTAGCAACCGAGCCGAGGAGGATGGAAGTGATAGCAAATATAATAGCCACGGCAGATCCGAGTAGAGTGCCCGCTAGTTGGACGATTGAGACGTATTGATCGAAGAAGATGTACGACTTCGAGTAGGGGAACACATCGATTCCATGTTCTTCTGAAATCCCTCGGGCAATTCGGCGAGCAGAGACGTAGGATTTGATGAAGTCATCTTGGGTCCGTAGTGGAGTGTGGGACGTCCTGAAGTGGCTTGCGTTTGTTGTGAGGCGTTTTGAATCGAAGACAAGGGCGCTGCTGTACGGTGCTTTTCCACCAAGAGGGCAGGATGCATCTGTAGGAGATTCGATCCATTTCTCGAGGTAATGGATAAACTCCTGGCCTTCTGGCATTCCATACATGGTGATATTCCAAGCAGGCGTCCTGTCTTCAAAGCACAACTGATCATCCTCAAAGCAGCAGTCTTGCTGCGGATTCAACCAGTAGAAGAAATCGTCGAGCCAACTAGCGGTAGCACCCGAAATGTAAGAGACGTCGGACCGTTTCGATTCCTGTTCGAGGACGAACGCTAGGGAGTATTCTTCACAAGAGGTGAATCGCCCACAGAGCTGTTGTTGATGCGCTCTCTGGGTTACATTCACATTCCGAGTCACAAAGTAGACAGGTGGACCGCTGCCGAAGTACTCACTCAGGTCATCAAAGTACTTAATAAGATAGGAATCACTCGGAAGGGCAATGCGCTGATCCAATCCCAGGGCGACTTCTGGAATTAGAGCCAACCCAGCAGTTAAGATGCCTAGGAAAATAATGACAACAAGGACCTTGAATCGGCGGTTAAGGAGGTGAGGCGCGTAGACTTTGCGGATCAATTTTTGCAAAGCACTTTCTCCATCTTGATCGTCGAATCCCCGATCCTCCGACATGCCGGAATGGGCCTTGCGCACAGTGAGGCAAGGAATGCAATCCGCACGGAGGCTTTCGACGCGCTTTTGGTTTAATGCAAGCACAGATATGAACATTGTGACTTGCAGAATCGCGTTTATAAAGACAGCTCCTGCCGCATAAATAGCGAAATTTCTGACGGCGGGCATGCCAACAAACACCCCCAGGGCAAAGGCGACGGTTTCTGTAATAGCCGAAAGGAAGATACTCGGCCCAATTCGACCTATTGCCCTCGAAATGCGCTCATCTATCTCTTCATCCGGATGGCTAACATTCAAGCGCTCGAATTCATGGACGATTAAGAAGATATTGTCCACGCCCACAGCTAAGACAAGAAAAGGAATCACCTCCGCGATGATCAACGTCACTTTAATCCCAGCTGCGGAGAAAAGACCGACTGACGCCGACACTGACATCAGCACAATAACAATTCCCACAACGCCAAGGGTGAACTTGGACTGCACTAGAGCATTGGACGGATTGCGGACCAGAGACTTCCAGGTCATTGCCACTGACCCAAGGGCCAGAGATGCATAAATAAACATGATGATATAACTGATGACCACGATCTTTGCATCAGTGTTGCTAGACTTGTTGAGTTCCTGCTCAACACTAGCTTCGGTCGAAAAGGAGACTCGAAGCCCACGTTCTCTGGCTTCCTCCTGAACAACTTGGAAAATGCGCTTGAAACTGTCCTCCCAATCCATAGCATTGGCCTCTTCAACAGATCCTTGGGCATGATTGTTGACAACCCAAGTCACGACCAGTGCCTGGGCATCAAGAATACTTTCCGCGCCTTCGTAGCCACCTAAAATCATCTCTGGCCTAAGGGGCTGCTGGAAATCCGGCAGACAGCTTGGATCACCTGGTGAATTGGTACAATGTGACAGGCGTTCTTCCCAGGTATCCGGATCCAGGTTGGACACGGACCCTCCAAAGTAACCCGTCACCGATTGAATTACACACGCATCGCCAGTGGGCTTGAAGCAGATATCGTCTAAGGTCAGCCCACGGTCTAGAGAGATCATACGGCGAACACGAGACTCAACGTCGAACCACCAACTGAGGGTGTTGTAATTGAGAACCCGGCCATCACTAGCACTGGAATTATCGTTAACGAGGAACGCCTGTTCCGCGCGATAGAATGGTCCAAAGTGCTCGTCGAAGAACTCCTTTTCTTTTGCCGCTGCAGAGGTAGGGCTGACCCACAGGCGCACGGGATCCGTCTCCACTGTGAAACGCAGCCAGCCCAAACTCAACAGTACGACGCACACAATGCTGGAGATTATGGTAATCGCGGGGAAACGAGCACATACTGAACCGATGCGGCTGAAAACGGTTTCGAGTATGTTGTTGAGCTTATAAACACCATGAGGATATTCCAGATGCCCACCCGCGTGGTCAATATCACCATCGTCTTCGTCATCACTCGGGTTTGGGTCCTGAAGAAGGCGTACTCTTTCGGGTTTGCGGTATCGTCCTTCTTTGTATGTGAAATAGCTCGAGAACCCGGCGATAGCAAGCAAGAAGATCGAATAGATGAGAATAACCGTAAACGACATGCAAGGCAGCAACCCCACGTGGCATCGTTTCTCCGTTTGTATTGCAGAAAGCTCAGGACATACATCAGGGCAGTCGACGCAAGAGCAGCGGTATGCTGGGTCGGCATCGTTGCAGGCCTTGGTGTGGATTGGTAGAGCTTTCATACCTTGAGAGTCCGCGCGAGGCTCGGTTCGATAATTAATCTGGAAGGGACTTCCTAAGAACTTCTTGTCTCCGAGGAATTTCATGAACTGAGTGTAATTCTTCGCGCCACCTCCAATGAAGTCTATTGCCTTGCCGCCCGAAGCACCATTTTTGACGTTCTTGCAGCTGTCGTAAAACCCGCTTTGATACTCCTCTGACCACAAGTTATCCAGTTCCGTGACCAGATTCTTCCCGGAACTACCAGGCTCAGTTTGTGTGACATTGATGAAAAGCGATTGATCTGGTGAACATGTGAAGGTGCAGAAGATATTGAAGAAGTTGTCTTTGCACGCTGGGCAGGACGAGATGATTCCTTCGGCGAGTTTCAAGTTGCTGGAGAGGGCATCGATCTAGCAAGCATGGCTTATTAGTGATATGTTTTCCGGAATTATCAGTCTGATACAGATGACTCGCCTGTTCCTCCTTGCAGCATACTGGCCCGTCCTTCCATTTATCGCCGCACAGATTCACCAGTTTCTCCCTAACAGTCGCTTCGGGTTGCTCGGCGAGGCCATTATCGGGGCATGGAAGCTCTCCACCAAAGAACGACTGCTTTCCACAGTGGCCTCGGATGGCACATCGCCCTGCTTCGTGAATTTTCGTCTCGCCCTGCGCTATCGACTGCGGGAGCAAGCTTAGAGCCGCGCCGATGGGGATCAAGCGGAGTCCCCGCATCGTTTAATGGATGAGCTAATGTCGCAATAGTACAGACATCCAAGCCAGATAATAATAGTAGAGGCTCAGAAGCACCGTAATACGTAAGGAGGGGACCGAAAATTGTCACGGCGATGCTCTCGTGTTTGTTGGAGAAACAATCAAGTGGAATGACGGATGACGATCGCAACAAGAGCGCCAAGACACTACGTAAGCGGAGGCTCAGACAATAACGTACTCCTGGTTCAACACTTCCTCGGTTCCAGAACCTCCGCGCTAACGCCAGGCACGCGCCCAGGATTTGCACGATCGAGTTCAAGCTGGACCAAAAAAATACTTAGTAGTAAGCTAGATCCTGGAAAGCATCGGTACTTTCGACACGTTGAAAAACAGGTCGGTAGTGGTACACTTTTCGTGGGTTATCGTTCGAATTGGCAATGAACAGCTGACTGGTCCTTATGGATACTAATTAAATATAGGCTTGTCGATCGATGTCATAGTCTTTGGAGAGCCATAATATGGTGTGCAAAAAGTGCCATGAATCGAATATCGGTTACAGATGTATATGCCCACAGACAGTCGAGCGAAAATTGCATCACCTCTTGAAAACTCGGGGCGTGTTGTCCCGTCTCTTGCTTGAAGCCACAGGCATCAGGCTCTAGATGGTCAATAGGCAGACACGTCTAACTAGCCCAGCGCGCGGATAGTTAATGCCTTTGAACGGCAGCGCTTTCTACTGCAGGTGCTCTTTGAGTATTCGAATTGATTTATACCAAAGCGCTAACAATAATGTTTGTTACTTCCTAATGGGCTGTTGAAGCTCATATTCGACGACCTCGAATCCTACCGAGATGCCGCTAATGCGTCACGAGTATGCAAGCCGCTTTTACTCCCTTGTTGACATGTCCACTCGTCAAAAGAACAGCCGGATTAGGCTCCGGAAAATGGAGCGGCTCCAAGCGGGATTGGATATGCTCTCAATCCTCCGGAAACCATATTTAGGGACATATTTACGACATATAGAGCTTGATCAAGCGCCTGCCTCTAGTTATAATGGGTCTTTCGATTGGCCAACAGCACCCCCTGCGCCAACAAACCCGCAACCACAGGGCTCGGAATTCCTCAAGCAGGCAATTGCCCAGGTCGGATGCAAAGAGCCCGAGAAGAATACGGCCGTGTTGGATACTTTGCTACTTGATCCAGGCACAATTTAGTAGGCTCAAGCTCAACCATTAGCAAAGAGATAGGCTGACAGTTTAAAGAGACAACGCGATACGATGGCATCTTACGCCCCAGCGTTGGCTGCTCTACTTGTCTCGGTTTCTCCGAATTTAGAATCCCTGACGCTTTGTCCCATTAGGATAGATATGAATATATCGACGAGTCGGGTGTTCCCCGAGACATTTTTCTTCTCAAACACCTTCTCGAACAAATCCGTTCAGGCGATCAATCCGCTCGTTACCTCCAAAAGCTACGCGCCATCGAATTTCTTCCAAATTCAGATGAAATGGCGATTGACAGTCGGTCCTACACTCATATGACATCTTCGAGCCTTTTGGATCTTGTTCGGAAGCTTCCAGCTCTTGAGTGTTGCCTTCAATGGAATCACAGACCACCACGCTGAAACAGACCCAGTGCCGAGATCCTCCGCAAACTATAGTAGGATCTCAATCAAACACTCTTGCCTGAGCCCGGATGCGCTGTGCGTGGCAATCGAGTCAGCAAAGCGACTGAGGAACTTGTTTACTCCATTGGCGGGCGTGATTCGCCGGATGGTTTACATTTTACAGTTGATCTTGATGCCTATCTTACATCGCTTCTCATGCATAAAGACAGCATTGAGCGTCTATATCTCAACGTGGACGCAAACCTGTCTCTCAAAGAACTCCTCACGCCAGCCGGGGAGGATTCGGTATTCGCATCCCCGGTTGAATGTGCTTGGAAGGTATTCGACAAATTGAAACACCTCGCACTTGGAGCTCATACTCTCTATACTACACGTCTGAAACTAGCAAAGATCATATCGAGATCCACTCGATTGCTGGGTCTGCCGCCGAATTTGAAGTCCCTGCGAATATATGGTTACCGGAAGGGCAGTAGCTCAATGGCCCGCTGGGATTTGCCCAATCTCGACTTGGACGCCCATATCTCTAGATTCATGGGGGAAAGAGAGTCAAAGCTGCCTAACTTGAAACGCATTGAGGGGGTAAACCAATGTATCCCTAATGCCGAACCAGTTAAAGATGCTAACAACCAGCCTGAGCTCAAATGTAAGCGAGAAGAAGGATCTTGGTCTGTGTACGAATATTAGATGTTGCCGTTCTTCACGCTCTTGGTTTTCAATACTAGAATGATTAGCAGTCATACTATACTGGTTCGTCCCAATCTGTCAGAACACTTGATTTGCTCGCCTCATCAATAAGCCACCGTAGATACTGTTGGTGTTCCGATTCTTTTGAAGCTACTATGCACTAGATACAAGCAATTTGCACTATCCACGGGTTGTATCGGGCCTTGAAAGGCAGGCCGCCCTCCTTGTAGAACAATTGGCAGTACCCCGCCTTTGTGCAGCAGACACAAACAACTCAACCTCAATCCCAAACTTCCAGGGTTCCTTCATCATAATATTAATATTCAGACAACCTTGTCGGTAACTTTGGCACTGTCCCTTCTACACTGGTCAAAATAAGAAACCAATCTCAAGATGCCCATCAACTGCGACATTTCATCTGCCCTTTACCCCCTTCTCTTTCTAGTAAGCGGCAGTCCCAACATTGAAATTGGAACTCTTTGCTTTTCAGAAGTCGATAGCTAATGTTTATTGCCTACAGACCTCTGCAATTTCTCTCGTCTTTGGCGCGTACGTCCGACTCTCAACTCCTACCATCTCGCTCACTAACACCTTCAACCATCTAGACTTTCCTGGACGCGTACAACAACCCTCTTCCTCCCGCTTCCCTCCTGGATTCCTATCCTCGCAACCCTCCTCCCACCGCTCACTATCCTGGCAATCGCAAGCAGCCACCTCCTCTCCCGATCGGCATCCTACACACGATCCCGCTGGACTCAACCCCTCCAGCTCCTCAACCACGCCCACACAATCCTCCTATCAATCATCGCAACAGCCGCCCTCGCATACCTCTACCCCGAAGACATCCTCACCTGCCACCTCAACAACCAATGGCAGTACTTCTTCCAACACAAAGACGCACGTGCGATCCGCGCAATCCAAGACCGCTACCAATGCTGCGGTTTGAGGAGTATCCATGATCGGGCGTGGCCGTTCAAAGACCGCGATCATGGGGATGATGCCTGTGAGCAGCAGTTGGGATATCGGCGGAGCTGCTTCGAACCGTGGCGCGGCGTGCAGACGCGGACCTCGTGGATGGTTGTTGCGGCCGTGGTTTGTGTTCTAGTGGTAAAGGTTTGTTTTCTTATTCTCCTGGCTAATCGTGCCGTGGTCTGTCTATGTTATCTCTAATGCTTGGTTTAGATTGCAGTGTGGCAAATCCCCCGTAGGAGGGCGAGTTGGATGAATACGCGTGTGTTGGAAAATGGGGGAGAGCCACGGCGGATTCCAGGGCCCGAATTGGAAGAGGGTGAACAAGGCTCCGAGGTAGATGGGGAAGCCAGAAGGGCATTGTTACCTCGATCTAGGCCTGGGAATGAGAATGTATGAGATGTCGAGTGAGGAGTTTATTTTGCCTTATCCTTGATGGTAGTTGATGGTTGAAAACGATCTTATTTCAAGTTCTGAGCGCTTTACTTATTGGGTTGAAACAAAAGATTTCTCAATATGTACTTAATCCCTTCCTAGTCAAACACTCTGATACTGACTACAGGACCGTTTTGCTGCGCTTTCAGAGAAGAAAAAAAGTGCTATATCTTCGAGTTCATCATCATACATTCAGAGATAATTGGTCTTGTTCAATCTCTCACACTAATGAACTAGTATGAGCCGTGGAATATTTGTTTTTGAGTTTGTTTTAGGGAATCGAGTTGCTAGCTCTACACGGATTGAGATATCGCGCGTCAAGAGCTTTTCTCTTCCCACTCTTCCTTCCCCTCACATCTTCCATCTCTCTATCTCACAAAATTCCGTCACTTGTCTTGCCCTGCATAATTTGATTTAGACAAGTTACTCTGCCGTTTGAACTCTACATTCTCATATGCTCCTACCTCTCGCCACGAGATCAGCTAGCTTTCCTGCATGCTATCCCTTAAACCGCCACTATCTTTCCTTCGCGACACCTTGCATACAGAGACCGTCATGGGACCACGGTCATGCGTTTATTTGCCCGCAAAAGCAACAATGTCCTGATTTTCAGTGATCTTGTCTCCTCCAGAAGCCTGCCGACCTGCACCCCCAGACCCACTCCGGTATGACTCCTTTGATGTACGCAGCCGCCAAGGGTAATTATCCCACCATTCTGTTGGAAAAGGACAAAAGTGGCCTGAATATCATGGATGAGCGCGGCTCGTCCGCCCTCTCTTACGCGGTTGAAGGACGCTTCGATGTAGGGGTATATCTATTGCTTGCACAACCTTCAATTGATGTCAATGGCCCAGTTAATCGAGCTCGGAACGATATCCCTCTTTTGTGCGCCATAGAAAGGGGATATCGCGCAATTGCCAGGGCACTCATACTCCATCCCGAGACCAAGATTAACGGCGTGAGTGATAGCCTCACACCACCTTTGATCAAGGCGATCAGAAAGCACGATGAAGAGCTCGTGGAATTCATGATTCTGAACCGCCCTGACATAAGTCTCAGTTCTATGCATGGTAGCTCTTAGTTGCCATTGCCGGAGGCGATTATTCATGGCCTAGATTCAACCTGCGAGCTTCTGTTGGCTCAGGATACGGTCCCAGTTAATTTCACTGGTCATGTGGAGCAAACACCACTTATGAGTGCTGTGATTAACTGGAACCTTCATGCCATGAAGCTACCACTAGCGCGAAATGACGTGGATATCGACAGCGTTGAGTTTGATGGCCGATCAGCCCTGTCTCATGCCGTCGAAAGGACATCACGCTATGTTCGACTACTTTTGCAACATGGTGCACGGCCAGACCCGGAGGAGGAAGATGGCAGAACTCCAATGTTCCGGGCTATTGTTGCTCCACTCGACCGAAGTGAGATACTAGAGGTACTGAAAGCTGCAATGACCGCCAGGGATACTCTAAGAGGAGGCCTTTGATCATGAAGTTCTTTATCGCTGTAGATATGTCTATCGAAGCACTCTGTGTTTCGTAACTAGTTTCATTGCAGATTACATCTCTATATAGCTTCAGCTCATATTTTCCGAAAATGTCTTGCTGCTATTTCATGGGTTACGCTATCACCTTCTCAAGCACTATACTATTTGAAACCAATGCCTCTTTCTTTGCCACTTAGGGCTTACCTTGAGCCTTGTTCTTTGCGCCGAGCGGCTTTGGACTTTTATTTTTTCTATTACATACTTGTAGGCACACGTGAACAGGCGAGCGACGGTTACTGTAGTACTGTGCGTAGTTCCTGCAGGAGGCCCTGGGCCGAGTGCACCGACAGATTGTTGTAGGTGCCCGCGGCTCATATGACCACAATTTCGTGGTCTTGTAAGATATAGAAGCAACTCTCGGTGATTCTCTATAGAGTGCCAAGCAGTACTCCGTAAATGCCGCCCTCCAGCCCGAATATGATTGGCGGGTATCAGCAGAGAGCAGGATCCGATATCAATTCGAGGATGATCGTCACTAAATCCCTTGGCTTTTACCTTGAATCGAGCGTCATTGCCATGCGCCGAACACCAAAGGCTCAGCCCCCACCTCCACTGACTCGAACATTTGCAGCAGAATCGGAACGTCATCATCTCAACCCGAATCTCACATTCGCCAAAGCCACCACAACTGAGATTACAGGCAATGTTCTCGGCCAAGCACCTCAACGCCTTCTATCACGCTATAGTATGCACTACAGCTGCTCGTTCGATTCACTATCTAGGCTGCTACCTCGATTTCCCCGGCTTAATGAACCTAGGCCCCTATATCTACCAGTCTGTCGGTCACTGTTCAATGAGCTGTACACAGCGCGGCAGCTCGGTTATGGGTCTCAGAAATGGTACGGAGTGTTGGTGTGGTTTCTCGTACCCTAGTCCGGAAGTGCTCTAGATCCACGGGCTTGCCATCTGCCTTGTAGTGGATATCCTTTCGATACGTGTAGGCTGCTTGCCCTCTAGGGGGATACCCAAGTAAAACTATATGCTAATTGATTTCTCAGGTGGAGGCCACGATGGTCTCAGCTACTATGAGATCGAGCATGCCACAGAGACAGCAGCTGACTACGCTCCGACTCCGACTCTGCGGCCGACATTAGCAATTGAAGCTCCGATACAGATTTGTTAGTTCAAAAGAACTAAGGACTATCTAGAGCTCAGCATTCGTTCGAGTCAGCATTATGTCAGGTAAACTGGAGTTCAGTCACTATGTTGGAGATCGCTCTAATGTTGTTTCAAGCAATTCTCTTGCTCTAAAAGGCGGCTATCAATAAAGCCATTTTCTCTAATCAATGAGGTCCGTCTGTTGTGTTCGAAATATAGGTACATGGTTACGGTAATACATTGGGGAACCCATATCTTAGGAACTTGTTCAACACCACCCACCCCTCATGGTATCCTAGACATTGATTGCCCTTTAGGCCTAAGCTTGACCAGTGAATTTACAGCTAAGCCATCGACGTCAAGTCAGAATCTGATACATTTGCAGACACGGACTTCGGGGGCTGGATGCAGCATTAAACCCCGACAGTTTTGGTGCAATTCGAGCCTACAGTTCTACTTATGTCCATAGCTCCCCGGTAACTCCATTTATTAGGAGTTTCGACTTGTAGATTTTAGATTTGTAATGCAAAATAAATTAACTAGCTTGGCCGTGGGACTTGAGACAGAAAGGGTTGTAGGACGGACAATCCTGGTTAAGTCCTAAGCCCGCCGCCAAAGTCCGTTTGTTATTCACTGCAGTACAGAAGATGCAACACAAAGTAGCTACAACACCAGCACTTATAAAACTGTGATTGTTTCCTCCTCCATGTCTCTCTGCAACACATCCCTCATCTCGAACCTCCCGCCACCTTCCAACCACTCTCCTACACACTTTTCACCCCACCATGCCGCAAAAGGTCTTTATCACGGGCGCCACGGGCTTCATCGGCCGCATTGTCACCGAACTGGCCGTCAAGGAAGGCTACGATGTCCGCGGTCTCTCTCGCCGTGAGGAAGGCGACGCACTTCTCAAGACTCTCGGCGCAACCCCGGTGCGCGGCGACCTCCAAAACACCGAGCTCCTCACAGAAGAGAGCAAAAACGCTGACATCGTACTCCACCTCGCTTTCGACCATGACTTCTCCAAGCCCTACGTCGACCTCATTGCTCTTGTCATCAGCTCTGTGAGCGCCCTCGCCAAAGGCCTGGAGGGAACCAACAAGCCCCTCGTCGTCACCAACGGCACAGCCGGTATCCAGCCTGATCCCAACGGCAGCGAAACCGACGAGACAGCCCCAATCGCAGAGTTCGGCTTTGGAAACCGCCAGACCGCTGAGGATCATGCCCTCAAACTTGTGGAGAAGGGCGTCCGTATAATCTCAATCCGTCTCCCTCAATATGTCTACGGACGCGGTAACCGCACCGGCTTTGCAGCGCAGCTACTTAAGCTTGCTATCGACGCGGGCGAGTCCGTCTACATTGGTGATGGGGAGTACTGCTTCTCGGACGTCTACGTCGATGACGCTGCGCAGCTGTACCTCCTCGCGGCTCAGAAGGGCAAGGCTGGCGAGATCTTCAACGGCACCGGCAACACCACCATCACATACAAGGCCATGGCCACTGCGATCAGCGAGGCCGTCCAAGTCCCCACTAAGTCTATTACCAAGGAAGAAGCCGTTCAGCGGTGGGGTCCATTTTTGGCTGCATCCTTTGGCATCAGGAACCGTGCAAGCAATAAGAAGGCTGTTGAGACCTTTGGTTGGAAGCCCGTTGGACCAGGATTGCTTTGGGAAATCCGCTCTGGGAGCTATGTGCCGGTTGCGGAAGAGTTTAGGAAGGCAAAGGATGCTGCTGGGCTTTAGTTGGTACATTTGGATGATACATTGATGTGCTTTCAGCTTCCAGTAGTTCATATCTTTTCTAGATGTATTCTATATCTTGATGAACTTTTATCTGATGACCTCATCCTACCCTTACCTGCATAATATTGAGAATCAATGCAACCAACCAACATAATGGGCCGCAGTGTAGGGTTTCAAATATCTGGTAGCGCTCAAATGAAAACTTGACATACATGGCACTGTCTCTGATTTAGCAGTCAGTCCAAGTTGAAGAGAGAGTCCACCAGTTCTCCTGCCTAGACATAGAATGACAACAACTCCACCACTCCATCTTAGCGTGATAATCGGCTCCTGCTACAGACACGGAGTAGAAGCCTGCCATGTAGATACACTGGGACACGGCCTTATGCTAAGAACCCCACGGTCTCCACATTATTCCATGGCATGATCTGCCTCCCGAGCTGATCCCGCTAGCACGTTCTCACTAGCATCATAGTACTGACATTGTGTATCAAAGATACTTCCCATTGCTATGATGTATTATATATTATTATCGCCACACTAAGCCTAGGTTTAGCACAAGGATTGATTGGATGTAGGAATTCAGACTGCAGGATTGCGCCAAGTCCTCCCAAAAGGCTGGTCGCGCTAGAGCTGAGAACAAAGAAAAGCAGAGTGGCTCACGTCAGCCATCCCCCTTCTTCTGACCACCTCTCAGCTTCTTCACGACAACTCCTCTAACCCTGCCACTAAGAACGCTGCATAGCTCGACATCTATTAAGTTATTTCAAATTGTACACAATGCTGCAGCACACGCAGCGGGTGGGACAGCCTGAGGGTGCCACAAAGCCGAAGCGGAAGCCCGTCCGCAGGGACCCAGAGAAGAGGCGTCAGCAGAATCTCCAAGCACAAAGGAAGTACCGTAAGTGCACCTAATTTTCCCCTCCTGCCTAAAGGTCTGCACTGCAGATTATTTATTATGGTGGTTCGGGCGCAAAAGTCCTTGTTATCCTGCGGTTTGCTGATTATTTGCCAGGGGAAAAACTGCGTGAGCGTTTGGATCGACTCGAGGGGCTCGCTCAAATCGCGGCCCAAAATCGTGGCATTGAGGCTCCACTACCTACTGTAGATACACGATCGACGAAACCAGGCGAGGCATCCATAGACGCCCTTCCCATTACCAGCGCTGCTACATTGCATCCCACCACAGGGAGTCTTCCGGCTTGTGTTGCCCCAAAAATATCCATTCCCGACTTGCTCACAGCCACTCTTGGGGACTATGCCCAGCTCAGTTCACACCCTTATGGCGCTCCGACGACCTTACCCATCTGGGGGCCCGCGCTCAATGAGACGCAACTCGATCCCTCCTCATTGAGCGTATGGGATACGGGGTACATTTCACAGGCAAATACCTGTTCCACAACAGCGATACAGTATCCAACATCACAAGTCTCGCCATTGAGTGACACCCTGCCGGAGCTAAGTTTTTCGAACTCAACAACGGTCGCCTCGCAGTCGGAGTCCGCCTCGTCTGGACCTAGCTCCACGGGTTCTCCAAGCCATGTTGATCCAGCACTCATCTTCCGTGACGACAATAAATCGGGCCCATGCTGGACAACGACCCTCAAATGTAGCTGCGTTAGGCCGCACATGGTCATTCAGCATTCAAGACCAAACTCTTTCAGCTCTGGAGATTCCAAAATCATCAGATTTGAGCCAAGTCCACCTGTCGCTAACCCATACGTCAATAATCTCCGAATCGACACACTCTGCACAATATCCGCAATATGTTTGCTTAGCGAGCACGTCGGTATCACCGAAGAAGCCATTTGTTTTGATGACTCGATCTCTCCATTCTTCCGGTACGACGCGGAGTTTGCGGATGCCGCCGCCCAAACCAGCATCGTCAACATGGTTCGCGGATCATACAGAACATCACTAAAGCCAGACCTCCGCCCAAACAAGGAGCAGATCACTGTCAAGCACCACCCCTACATTGACATCCTGCCGTTCCCGGAGCTCCGAAAAAACCTCATCACCCGCACGGAGGACTATGACGAGGACGAGTTCTTCCACGATCTGCTATTCGGGCTAGTATGCTGGGGCAACGCAGGCGTCGGAAAGCGGGATCGGAATGTCTCTACTGGATACGCCTCTACGGGGATGCCGTGGGATGTCCGAAGCTGGGAAGGACATGAATGGTTCCTGAAGAAGTACTGGAGTTTGTTCGGTGGTGAGGAGGGAGAGCTTCCGCGGCAGACTGAATGGTGGCGTGGCATTCGAGGGGATGAGCCGCTGAATGTCGAAGAGGTCAGCTAGTTCGGCCTTTTTGTGCTACTATGAGTTCTACGTGTCATATGCTACTTCGGAGCCAATACCCCTTTTATATGAATTCAACAATCTTTCCGCTCTATCGCTCATTGGACACGATTATGCGCTCAAAAATACCCTGGGTATATCTATAATGCTTATAAGATCTCCGATTTACAACCAGATGGCCGTGATCTCACTCCTTCCACTCATCTCTCCCAAGCCTGATAATATCAGGCTGCTCAACGACCCAATACCTGGAGGGCGCCTTGCCCTCATCCGCCAACCGAGCAGCATGAACAGCAGCCCTTCCAATAACAAGCTGATCCGCAGCTACATCACACAGTTAGCATCCTCCCACCCTTAAGGAATGGGAGCGAGAAGAGCATACCAATCTTATCCTGTAACCCCTTCGAAACCATCCCAAGGGCTTCAAAAAACCTTTCAAGCAACGGTGCCTTTGAGTTCTGTCTCCCAATAATCATCCCTGGCCTCAGAATAATCGCCTGCTCAAACCCTAGCTCTCGCACCGCATCGTCCACTCCAACCTTCATCCTCGCGTAAGGGGTATACTTGAAGAGAAAGCCCCTAGTGCCCCCACTCGAGATGAACACGAACGTCTTCACCCCAGCCTCCTTGGCCGCGCGCGCACTGTCAATAACAGAATCGTGGTCGATTTTCCATTGTTCTGCGACTCCACCGGCGGCCGCCCTGGTCGTCCCAACCGCGTTGTAGAAGACTGATGGTTTAGGTGTGAGGGTGGATATTAGACCTGCCCATTTTGAGATGTCGGCTTCCTCAATAGCCTGAAGCTTGGGAGAGTCGGATTTGGGAATGCGGCGCGATATCGTTTTCACAGAGGTGATGTTGGGGCTGGCGAAGAGGGTTGCGAGGATCTGTGATCCTACGCCGCCTGTACTGCCTAGGACTACTGCTGTTGTCATGACGAGTGCTTTTCTAGATGGAATTGAGGGTTTTTTAGATGACTGGGAGGAAGAAACGGTTATGATGGAAATGTCTGGGTCCTTCAAAAGATCTAATGGAAATATGTAGGCTGCAAGTCGTCACGTCACCATTCTTAATTCGTTCTTGTATAGCTTACGTTATCCACGCATGGCTCTATCAGCCACAACTCGGGCTCAGGAGTTAACATATAAGCCATTGCAATTCGAGGATAGTTTATAGTCGTATTTCTCTAGGTCAAAATTGTGTTTCTGATGAAGCTAGTGGCGATGAGAGGGAAACCAGACATACGTAGTTGTAATCATTTAGGAAGAAGAAACTATCGAATTAAGAAGCTTGTTCAATATGTAGCCAAGCTAGGGTTGAAAAACACCTGCATGGGCGTCAGAACCTTCTGCAGACAAAAAACTGCCAACGCTTGTTTGGTAAGAAAGGCCCACTACAAAAATGAGAAGTTCCCCAGTGACAGTTGCCCAGCTACTACAGCCTTAAGTGTACCCCAATTTGTGTAACATCCGGTCTATTCCCCTATAGATCTACCCCGTGTTTCTAATCTGAGAGCATGGTCAACTATAGAGAAGCCCTCCCCTTCCCAGCCAGGGCCTCTCCCAAAGCCACCTTTGCATCCTGACACATCTTCTCTACATCCGCATCCGTGATGATCGCATTACGATGGTTAATCGCTTCCTCAATCTTCTCGAAATCGTTCCCTACCCCGTCCGCGCGCCACTCATAGCAGTCTCCAATGAACCGACTGCTCTGCACAAGCCACTGTGTGCGTTCCCGGCGGCTGCTGTCGAACGTTGTCAGGGCGGCTTCGAGATCGCGGTGGTTTTGCACACGTGGATCGGCGAGCAATGCGGCAAGAACTGCCGTATCCTCAAGGCAAAATCCGGCGCCGGCGCCATGGTGTGGAGAGGTTGCATGCGCTGCGTCGCCGGAGATGGCGATGCGGGACTTCGAGAAAAAAGGGACAGGGTTGATGCCTAGGTCAAAGATGGCCCACTGTGACCTGTTAGTATCTGACGGAGAACTGTACCAAAGGCTCGAGTGTTTAAAGACGTACGATGCTGAGTTTAGGCTCACATAGCTCTAGGAGTTTGGTCACATTCGGTCCGTAACCGGCAAAGTCTCGGAGGGCTTCCTCGCGCGTCCCATCTCTGGTTAGACGGGGATATTCTTTCCATGTCTCGGATGTGGTGTGGAAAGCAACAATATTAAGTGTTTTGCCTTGGTTGACAGGAAATGTGAGCATGTGATTGTTTGGGCCCATCTGGTTGTGTTAGTACAAAATCTGCACCTTCCGAATCCTTTATATTTGGCTTCCGACTTACATGCATGCAGGAGTTGGATGCCAGCTCCTCTCCAATAGCCTCAATCGCCTTGTCCATTGGTACCAGACCGCGGTAGGCATATTTGTGGGTGAAAGATGGGTTTGCAGACGGATGATCTCCCACCAGAATCTGGCGGACGCGGGACTTGATACCGTCACACCCAATGACCACGTCCGCTTCCCCCATCGACCCATCCACAAACTTCAAAACAAGCTTCCCATCACTCGACCGCTCCTCAATCCCCTCGAGCCGCTTCTGAAACTGCGCAACATCCTCCGGAAGCAATTTGACCAGTTCATCCAGAAAATGCGCACGATGAACGCCCGTCTGGCCCAGGCTGTTTGTGATGGTGAACGCGATCTCTTGCGTCCTCTTGTCCGTCCCTGTGTTATACGCACTCTCGCTACTCGTGTACCCATCCAGGTAATCGAACCACACCTTTTGCTTTGACGGCCAGAGATTTGTCGTGCAGACCTTTGCGAACGCATCGTATATGCCGCTGTGGCACAGCTTCATCGCCTCCACCGCATTAGGGCCGAATGAGACACCTGCGCCCACCTCGGAGAATGCAGTCGCTTGTTCATAGATTGTGACGGAAATACCACGGTGGTGGAGGGCAATGGCAAGACTCAGGCCTGCAATTCCGCCACCCACGATGGCGCAGTGGAAGTTCTTAGTCTGAGGTAGGGAGCCCATCGTTATGTCGGGTTATTGTTGGGTGGGATGTGGTTTGAGGTGGTTTGAGAGAGATACGGTAAGTAGGCTTACAATGGCTTTATCAAATACCTGGTGACGATCGTCTCGGCTCACAATTGAGGTCATGAAGGCAGTCGGCCAGGCGAATCGGATCGCAACAAGCTCGTTCGGATCTGGGGTAAGCCACAAGTTGCCCCAGTCGACCCTCTTCGGATAGGAAACTCGGGGACGGTTAAGCGGCATTATGTCCGTTCCACGCACACCCGACAGTTAGCCATGTAATAAGGTATCTTCCCTCAATGGCGAAGTTAGCTACGCTATGCAGAAACCTGGGGCTACTCACGCCGCGCATCAGGTTTGGCCATCATCTGCCATTCCCAATCCATGGTTGAACGGAGGATGGGGGTTTCCCGGTTCCGATACGCCACTCGATCGGATGAGGTTTCCAACATCAAACTAACCGACGCAAGTCACTGAGAGTGATAATATACCCAGGGCGAAGAAATACTTAGGCCAACTTCATTGCGGTTGAGTACTCCGTGCACCAGAAGATCTGTTGAGTTTCGGTCTTTCGCATATCTGACTCCGAATATCACGACGAGCGAGGGGGAGAGTGTTCCGATTACGAGGGGAAGCGAGTCAGGCACTCGGAATCGTCCCCGAGACTCCAAACCGCACGCCGTAAATGGCCTGCATCCTCCAGGTTTCGCTTTATACTCCAGTTGTTGATGGCGTGGCAATTGGCATATTAACGGCTGTCTTGGCTTGTCCGGGGAAAACCGGCAACTGAACAAGTCGACAACTGCCATCTGCGTGGGGGCATCACTGAGAGATGGACCTCAACCTGAGTCTTCTACCTTCGATTGCACGTTTGAGAACAATCCAATCATAGTACTTTCCCGCTGCAGCTATCTCAGAAAGGAAACTGTTCACAATTGCAACCGGTCCAGGCGCCAAACAGAAAAGAAAACTAGCTTCCCCAATTCTTGGCGTCGGCGCGCCGCCGCCGCTGGGGAGGGCATTTTTGTTTCTGCGAGGAACATTCGACCTGCAGGAAGCTAAAATCATCTCAGTGATCTCACGAATTCCCTGCGTTGACTCCCAAGGCACCGTTGCGACTTGCGAGCGATATTTTCAAGTGGTTTCAGCTCCTCGCTATGTGGCCTTGCAAGATATAGGCATGGAGTATGGGTGTCTCTGTCCGCACGAGGTACAAAAGTTATCGTCGGTCGGTGAGGGCTTTGGATTTACCGGCGTTTCCCCATGTGCTGAGGTACTCCGTAATACGTAGTTACCAGGGGTTCTGAATTCTTGCCTTGCGTCACAGGCTGCTGCACGAGTCCACGACTGAGAAAGCCTTTCTTTGTCTGAAGCCAACCACCCGAGGGCAGCTCGCTCTTGGAGCAAAGCATCAGCGATGGCTAATATTTATCGCCGTAAAGAAGTATGGAGAACAGATTCTAGCCTGGTTCTCCAAATCCGAGGCGGAAGACACGGCAACCAGCTTTCTTTCGCTTAAGGGCGAATTGGGCATCAACCCCCTCTTGAGTCGCCTCGACCGGTAGAATGGATGCGGATTCCGAGGAGGCACCACTAACAAGCAACGAGTTCAACTCTCGGCCGTTGGGGGTCTCTTTGCCAACCATACTGGCAGTTTCTTTCGGGATACATTTGCCCCCTCCTTTTTCACACACCGTGGTTCCATGGGAATTCCAAAAGCTCATTTTTAGGAGTTTTACCCAGAGTATAAGGCCCGCAATATGTTTTGCCACAGCTTAATCGCTCTTCACCTTCTTCGCTGCTTCCATTTTTCGTCGTTGACTAAGGTCGCGCCCCACACGGGATTAAGGAACTAAAGTGGCGTCGAGCTAAGCTGAAATTTCGCCTGAGTCTTAGGAGCCGGCCAGAAGAAAGTTGGAGCTCCCAGCTCCGGGTTGGTCCATAAGAAGCTCAAGGCCATGGAGCTGGGGAGAGCTGGGAGGGGGAGTGAGGAGGGGCACGTCGCACATGGTTTCTTTTAGCCGGCTTGCCCTTGCCCTGCCACTGGAAAGCTGCAAGCATGAAGGTGAGATGACACCATTGCCAACCTTGCGAACCCCGTCCTGCTTTCTTCATAGGCGCCGGTTGCTCTCTTTGACATGCAAGGTTGTAGCTACAAAATTTCAGCTGATCATGCTGGAAGCTGTCGAGTCCATCTCCTGGGCTCCACTCCTGCACACACTCCTGCAGCTCCCGGATTGCTGGACAGGCTGACTAACTGTACCGTATGGTAATTCCAACACACCCTCTGAGTTTCGCAGACTCGGAAAGTGGAGGGCAATTTAGGGATGCATTGTCTCCAGGACTCGCTCTGTGACACTGACATATGCTGCATTGCGAGTCATTTTGAAGAGGACTAATCAGACAAGGCCACAGTGAAGGGCTTTGTTGGCAGGTGTTGGATTTCTCCTATGGCGAACTTGAAGTCCTGCCGCTCGTCTTTTACGGTATGGTTAGGTACTACGGAGTACCATTAACCACTGGCAGTGGTTGTAATCTGAGGCCGATGCTACCGAACGAAAAAATGCAAGTGTCAGACTGGAGACGACCCATCGCAACGTCGCACGCACAAGCAATTGCAGCAGGACCTCGGAGATGACACTCATATAGGAGCATTCAAAAGACAATACGGAGGAGCGCAGATAGCAGTTCAGAGATGCCAGAGGCTGTCTGCCTGCAAGAATCTTTTGTTGTTGGCCTCGAAAATAGACTCTCGACGAAGCCAGGCGGAAATCGCGGTGTCCCACGTTATCGATACGGAGCAAGCGCCACCCACGGCATCTGATTCTTGTACGCCAAATCGTTCAGATCATTATGAATGCGATTGAGGCAATAATAACATAACTTAGCTTTGAAGTAGATCGTTTTATCCTTGTACCTTGAAAAGAATGCATCCTCAAGCGCCATTCCAGCCGGTCCAGCTGGTCCAGCGCAGCCCAGATGTTGACAGGATGATGTAAATGAGCACAGCATAGATAACCTTCTTCCAAATTGCATTCTCGGTCAGGCCGGGACAAGACCGTGTCACCGGATCAGTTCTCCTCAAGAGCTCGAATCTCTCGAGAATAACCAAGCAGAGCTTGAGCTCTCAGAGAAGGAAGTTCTCCTCTTTGGCCCCCGTTCACTCCCGCCGCCCATCTTCATTCGCCGTCCTCTCCACCTTTTCCCACCCGGTCGCCTCCATTCGTTTTCGCTCCTCCTGCAATTTTCATTACTGCATTGAACCGTAGTCGAGCTTTCAGTCTTTTCCCTCCAATCAGTCTCCTGCTTATCACTTATCCATCTCCTCGGCCTTCCGCTAGTCTCATCGTAGCCTAGCTTTTCAACACGCAAAGGAGCTTCCTGACCTTTCCCCTCCCCTGTGAGAAACCTGCCCTACTATTCCTTCCTTGACCTTCCGATGCATTGCTCCTAGCTCCCTATCATTTCTTTATTAGAGCTGGTTACTCCCTTCGGAGCTGCAGGACGAGGTCATCACTCGTTCTTGAGCAAATCGCTGCTTTCATCTCTTCTAACCGCGGAGTATCGCCTCCATCTCTCCCCCCTCCTTGTCTTCAGAGCTCGGCCCTTGCAACCCTTCAACTCGACAATTGTTGCAGCTGACGAGTCTCTGGTCACATCTGAAATATTTAGCTTGATCTAGAGCATGCATCGCGACGTCGGATCTGCAGCTTGACTCGACCTCGAACTGAACCGCCTGTCTCAATCCTTTGTTGCCGCCCTGGCCGACCTCTCACTCAAACGCTGCCAATAAGACGGATTCATGCAGATCATGCCGCCGCGAGCGTCCTTGACCAGCTCCTTTTCCGTGACCGATGCCAATAATGAGGTGGTTTGTCCCTTGAAGAACAATGATGGCTCCAATTGTCGGAAAAGATGTTTGGGCGTGAGTCCTACCTACCCCGCCACCAGAAGCTCCAGATCGCTTTTTTCCCGCTCTTATCGATTGGCGCCCCACCGCAATCGCAACGAGCTTTGCGAGGGAGAAGAAAAGAGAAGTTACTCATTGTGCTGAGAGATGTATCAAATTCTTCCCATGAGGCTAATTCCATTCTTTCACTAGGAAAAACGTTATCGCTCCATGCAGGAGCATATCCGACGGGCCCATCCAAACCACTACATTCCAAAGCTTCCGGCAACAGAGGAGAGCTTTATCATGATGGTCACCACTCCTCTTGATCAGCGCGCACACCTTACTCCTCCGCAAACCCAATCCAGAAGACGCAATGGTTAGTTTTGGCTCTTGCAGGGAGAAGCTTGGATCAAGCTGAACTGAATTAGATGCCGACCGAGACTTCTATGGCCGAGAACCTAACTCTCCCGCAACCCCACGGGGTATCGATGAAGCGCACCCTGCCGCAGCAACTGCAGCGGTCGCACTGGCTCAATTGCACCATAATCGATTAACCTCTGATTGGGATACCGACGTGGTATGGCCAAATTCATACTAGCCTCAGATGGAGGGTGCTAATACCAAAGTAGGAAATCCATTCCGACAACGATATTGGGAGAGAGCCTATGCGGTCGTCAATTGAGCTTCCTTCGCTGCGCGACCACTTTAAACAGGAATCGTTACCCCCATTTTCATCACCCCGGCCAAGATCGCTTTTGCCTTCTATACTCAATCATTCCCCACCCGGTCGCTCTTCGACGCTTCCTCCGATTCAAAGGACTAACAAACTCCCCCGCCCTCGCAAGGGATCCATCTCAGGGGCACGGAAGGCGAAGCATGAACGGCCAAAGTCGAAGGAGTTTGGCCGACGGCCGAGTCTAGGCGATCGGAAAGCTTTATCGGCAGAGCCACAGACCGCAGCTTGGGCACAGGGTAAGCGCTGGGAGGATCTCATTGAGGCAGCGACATCAGCCACTGAGGTTGACGATGACCGATCTGAGGTGAGCCTGCATTGTAGCCGTGAACCTGTAACCATCCAATTAACCAGACAGCAGATGGGACGTTCGCCCACCATACCACCAATGATTCCCAACATTACCTCCATCACCTCAGCACCTTCGGTCAAAGGTCGATCATCCATGCCTCCTGCATTCCAGTCCCCCGGATTGCCACCGCCTGCCTCGCATCGCCATTTCCCACCGCCACACTCCTACGCAGCGTCGCCTCTCCACAAATCTCTCACACCGCCGCCGTACGAGTTTTCGCGCAACCGTGATACTGACCTTGAGCCTTTCCCGTCCATTGAGTCTTCTCTAGATTCCGCATCCACTGCTTCGGGAAAGACCTTTAGTTACTCCAACCACGTGAATTCAACAGGACACCCTGACTCCAGCCCAGTGCTGAATCTGTTCCCGTCTTCGGCAGCCCAGCGGCAGCATCACCGGTTTTCTAATCCTACCCCAGCGTCCTTCCGCAACAAAGAGATACAGATATTCTGTGCGAGCTGCAAGCGACCATGGCCGTTGAACGAATGTTATGCCTGCACGGAGTGCATCTGCGGTGTATGTCGCGACTGCGTCGTGAGCTACATCAGCAGTCCGCCTACGCCTTTCAAGAACGTCACCTCTAGCCCTGGCAGTGCAATGTCTCATGGACCAACAAGCTATCCAAGCCCGCGAGGTTGCCCTCGGTGCCGAACCGTAGGCGGCAAATGGAAAGCATTTCAACTAGATGTCAAATAGGGCATACATAATGCATCAGACACGGAGCCCTGGCAAGGCTCTACTTATGGCTTACGGAACTTATGATTAACGGCTGAGGGTCCACGGTACTCAAAAATCACGTCTCAACGAACGACACATCAAGCGCCAACGGGCATCGATGCGATGAGTGCCCGAATGTGTTATGGAAGGGCTGGCCCGACCAACTACTAGCGGGTATTCTCGCCACAGCCGGCATGTTTGCTTGTAAAAAAGCTGGTCTTTTGATTTCTTGGATATGTTTGACGGCGCACATGTTGGTATTATCATCTAGGCGGTTTATATACAATGCGGTGGTATTTTGGATTTATTTCTGTTTAAGTTTGATTGCTGATATATTTCAGACGATTTGCATGCATTTGTGGTTGACCCATGGGCAGTATATCTTGAAGGATTTGATCACATTTCTGAACTGATCAAGTTGTTTTGGTCGGCCAATGCCGTCGTTGCTGGCTATGGCGACTCGCCTGAACCAGCGGGCAGTTTACTCGTCCCAGATAATGCTGCTCAGGCCCTCAAGTGTGTTAGGCTCACCAGGCACGCCCACCAACAAATCCGCCACGACATCACCAAGCGCTCCGGTATCTGGGTTCCTCGTGACAATGGCGACGTTGGAAGAGAGCTGGTTTCCGATAGCAACCAAGTCGCCGGCCTTGTTGATTGCAAACGTGCGAGGTAGCACACCATACGAGGATGTGATCTCTTCAAATGCAAGCTTGCCGCTCCGAACGCGGCGCAAGTTCGCGAGGGAGTCATTGCCATCAAAGGCAGCATCCAGCCTCACAGAGACATAGACGTTTTCACCGACCAATCTGATTTCCCCTAGAGAAGCACCATCCGGCAAGTCCTCGGGATAAGGCACGTCCGCGTCAATCCGGCGGAACGCAAGACATCCACTGGCCGGGTAGGAAACCGCGAAAGCCTCGACTTCGCCGTTTAACTCGCCAGCAACGTAGAGGATAGTCTGCGGGGCTTTCGGAGCACGTCCGCGGATCTTGGGAGAGCCCTCTGCCGTCCAGAACACGCCGTGGCGCGGGCCTCCACCGGATGTGTAGTTCAAGCTCGAGCAGGTGTTAAGCTTGCCGTTACTCTTATCAATCGCAAAAACGCGGACAAGATCAGCCCCCAAGTCGGGAACGAGAACGAAACCTCCAGTCGGGTCGAGGAAAGCTTGGTGTGGGTGCGGCGCCTCCTGCCGATCGGGGACCGCACCGGGCCCGGACAGCTCGAATTCAAAGACTTGCAGAGGGTCGGCGTCCTTCTCCAGGGGAAGCTTGTATGTCGAAACGGCGGAGCCGGAGCTGTTTGGTACTCATATTAGCTTCCAATCAATGACATTCTGAAATGAAACGGGGAAGAGCTCACTAATGCGCGACAGCCAAATACTGACCACCCTCCCCTTCATAGATCACATTATGCACGCCACTCCCCGGTGCAGTCCCTGTCACCGCAATCTCACTCAGCAGCCCATTCTCATCAGCAGCGAGCGCCGTCAATGACCCATTGGCCGACTCATATTCGTTCTTCCAGCCATACTCATCAGAGCAGTAGAGCGTACGCGTAGCAGGGTCAAAGGTTATCCAGCTCGGATACGTCCCGCACGTCTCAAGCGACGAAGCCTGGGTAAGGGCATAGCTTCCATCGCTGGCGCGGTCGAGCGAAAGCGTGTAGACCGATTTCGTCGAGTAGTGCGTTGCGTAGAGCTTTGTGGCTGTGGCGCTTGCTAGGCCGAAGCTTAGCAGCGCAAGAGGGGAAGTAAACATTTTCCCCAGCTTTTCGATTCTGCAAAGATAAACAGACAACTGAGTTATGGATGAATGAAAAATGAGATCTCAAACCCCGCCTGGGAAAAACAAAAAGACACACAGTCGCGATGCAAATAAATAGTTCCGCCGTCGATGCTTACCGCATTCGTCAAGGAGAAGCCAGGCTGACCAGCATGCCTTGGCCCTTAACTATGCAAGGGAGCGCGCGATGACGCTGGAATTTTTATTGTCAGGGACTGGCGCTGGGGCTGGGGTTGGCCCGGCTGGGGCTCCCACTGACGGCTGGCGGCCTGATCTGGGCGTGCCACCGTGCCTGTGCAGCCAATGCGGAGAATCCTGGATAAATTGGGTGCTCCGTATGTTGTTGCATCGCGAATTCGTGTCGGAGACTCCCCGTGAGTAAATAAATTTAGATTGTTTGGGGAGATGGCCGGTTGAAATGGTGAGTAGTCTGAAACAGATTCTGATACACGGAGTGTTTGGTCGATCTTTTCTGGCGCTTCGGAGAATCGACTCTCTACGTGGTTGCAGATGGCAGGTACACTTGGTCGTTCTTTCCATTGTTGAACGATATCCGGGGAAATGAACAAGGAAAGGGCAACCCACCGGGCCTTGGAGCGCACCTGCCTTACGTAGAACATTAAAAAAACGAAGGAGCGACCCGCCAACTTCTTAGATGTGGAAGGTGCGACGGTCGTTCCTTCCTCGCAGTGAGATTCCCTTGGGAGGGAAAGTACGACCCAGGATGCACCTGCCTCATAAGAAACACTACGGAGAGGGAAGGAACTACCGGCGTCTGGACCGGGGTTACTTGGTCTTTCCTCTTTCGAAACTCCCTTGCCCTTGAGTTCCTGGCGTTGAGATGGGATTTGGGGAAGCTCAGCCATCTCCGCCAATTTTTGCGGGATGTCGGGGAACTGCCGTGACGAATACTATATAGTGCTTCTGCACTTTTCGGGAAAACGGCCCTGCCCACTGTCATAATCCCAATGTGTATAATCTATTCCCTATATGGATTATTATATTCCAATAAATCATGAGCTGGCAAAAAACAGCATCACAATCTCCGCCGCAACCTTCGCATCATCATCGTCCTCGGCCATCCCCTCGACTCTCCCCTTCTTGATCAGGCCAAGATACCCCTCCACATCCTTGGAATTCCAGCCGTTCCATCCGTCCCTTCTCCCGAATTCCAAGCACGTCTCCGTGTTCACAAAGACATCGAACTCAAAGTGGCCCTGGTACGTCAATACTCGACCAGGATAATACAGCCCCTGTATGGGACAAAGCTCCGTTGATCCAACGTTCGTCCACGGCGCCGGCAGTGCCTTCATCCCAGGTAAAAGAGAGACCCAGTCGCCATGAATCATCTGCAGGCGGAGCTGGTTGGCAACCGGCAACGAGGCAGGGGAAAGGTTCGGGAAATGCGCAACAAATTCCGGATCGAGCGTTATAGAGGTGAGGCCCACCTCTGAGCCGCGAGGGCACGCTTCGACGATCACGCTCGGTGGTTCTGGAGTCTGCGCTTGTGCTGAAAGAAGAGCCTGGCCGATGAGCTGGTGGCCGAAGCACGAGCCGAACATCTTGACGTGGGGGTAATCATTGAAGACCGTTTGCAGGTAAGTCTGTAGAGTGACGATCCATGGGTATTTTGCGGACTCGTATGCCGCCGCGGCAGCCCCGGTAATAAGTATCGCGTCGATGGGGAGGGAGTGTGGATTCACGGTGCTTGATCCTCCATTTATTGCTGAACCCTTCGTCCCTGGTGGGGGACGTGGTAATGTGCGCAGGCTCTGAAGAGGTGGTAGAGAGCCGCCTACGACATCGAAGGCTGTTGTGTGAATATCTGAAGCGGAGAAGTTGAGTCGCGACGCCGCGGATTGGAGAAGGTGGCGGAACTGAGAGCTGTAGAGACCGCGAGCGGCGTAGACGGTTGGGACGGGGACGTCGGTGTCCAAGATTGCTATATGAAGCATCTTGCTCTCCGAGGCGCGGTAGTGCCGATGTGTTGAAGGAGCATGTATGAGAGTGGGAAAGTCATGATCGAGGAGTTCGAGTTTTATTCTGGTGAGGGGCACGAGGGGATTCGATTACCGGATTGGGAAGTTGTATACGATGGAGTCACAGTTGGGTAGAGAACACATTGCAGTGGTAGTACACTCAGGAGCGAGGTAAATACTCTGATAAAGGTGGAAAGAAGCTTCCCTCGGAGAATCGTAGGTATGCGATGTATACAAAACTTAGAAGCAGGGATGGAGGGGCAGCATGGGGTACTCCACATTCAGGAACATCCACTAAGGGCGACGGAATTATGCGTGCATAACCAGCCAGATTGATCTATAAGATACCATATAGTGCTGCTCATGTTGTCCTGCACCGAGTAGGACAAACTTCTAGAAATAGAACAGCAGTCAAGCGCCTTGGTTTCCGGTGTCACCATTATCGCATATCGTCGGGTTCTCGAATCCTCTTCGTCAATTGACCCCTCCATCATCGAGTCGCGTTGCACTTCATAGCCTCAGAATCGCGTCGGATGACGCCATCGGCAAGGCCAATCACGCCGTCCACAGCAATATTTATCGGAGACTTCATCCTATCAGCTTCATATCTCTCACGATCTGCTAGCACGCAATGTCCTCCACTGTTTGCATGACAGCTTGCGTCTTTTGGGATGTCTATACCCCTCTACCGGCCGAGTGGCTTCAAGCCGAACCTGTTGCTCTGTTTATAAATATCCCTGTCACGCCTCCCCTGGATGAAGTATACAGAGAAAAAGCAATTAACCACGGCAATCCTCACGAAGCAGACTCGAAATGGCCACTCTTACTCAAGCCCCGGCGCCTGTACCCCTCGATGTCTTCCCAGACGGGTTGAAGACTACTGGACAGCATCCTCCGCTATACGAGGAGCTTCATCCCTTTGACGAATTCCCCAAGCAAATCTCCGGCCCTACCCTGTGGAAGGCAGAGGACTACCGAGATGCTCCTGAGAAATGGACGCATCGCTTCACTGCGGAGGAGGTTGCTGAGCTGAGCGCAACAGCTGATGCCTTCTTGGCTTCGAAGACCCCTCTCACTGGCATCTCAAAGGTATGGCGCATCCTCCCACCCATACAACCTTGACCCTACTAACAGAAGAACTAGTCAAACTTCCCCCTACCCAAGCTCTCTGCCACCCTCACAGCCCTTCGCGAAGATCTCCTCAACGGGAAAGGCTTCATCCTCTTCAAGGGCTTCCCCGCCCAGGAATGGGGTAACCACAAGTCCGCTGTCGCATACATGGGTCTCGGCACATACCTAGGTTACTTCGTCTCTCAGAACAGCCGCGGTCACGTCCTAGGCCACGTCAAGGATCTCGGCGAAGACCCAACAAAGATCGACTCTGTGCGCATCTACCGCACGAACGCGAGGTACGTTTCCTTGAGTAACCCGCTCCTTCCTTCAGTACATTCACAGGGGGAACGCAACTGACAATCAAACACAGACAATTCTTCCACGCGGACGACTGCGACATCGTTGGCCTCCTCTGCGTCCACCGCGCCCTCGAAGGCGGCGAATCAGACATCGTCTCCTCCCACCACGTCTACAACACCCTTGCAGCTGAGCGCCCAGACGTCCTCAAGACTCTCACAGACCCAATCTGGTACTTCGACCGCAAGGGCGAGACGTCCAAGGGCCAGGAGGAATACATCCGCACCAGTGTCGTCTACCTGGAGCGCGGCGAGAACGCCCGCGTCTACACAAAGTGGGACCCTTACTATGTCCGCTCCCTCACCCGCTTCTCCGACGCAGGACTTATCCCGCCTCTCTCGCCTGCCCAGCTTGAAGCTCTCCAGGTCCTTGAGGAGACCTGTCAGCGTCTCTCTCTACACATGATTCTGGAAGTCGGTGATATCCAGTTCGTATCGAACTCGCATGTTCTCCACGCCCGCACTGCATACAAGGACTATGCGCCGCCTGCGCCTCGGCGACACCTGATGCGCCTGTGGTTGGCGACGCCGGAGAATGAAGGAGGCTGGAGGCTGCCGTTCTGGGATAGCAATGAGAAGAAGAGAGGTGGTGTGCAAGTTGATGATACAGCCCCGGTGGCGCCGTTGGATGCAGAATAAACGCGCAACAGGGTAAAATAAGTTTTTTTTTTCTTGAATGTTTTCGTCTGTATCTTAGCGATGATCATCTTCGGAATTTGACATGTTCTATTTATTCATTATTCGGTCGTCAAGGCATGATATGATAGTTTAGTAATACACTAAGCAGGGAAGAATCAGCGCACAAGCTTGTAATTCCCGCCGCTGACGATTTCTAGTTTTCCCCTCGAGACCATCCCAGCGAGGAATTCGCGGAGCTCCTCGTTGCTGAAAGGGAACCCGCCGGGCACTGCGATCTTCAGCATCATGACGATCCCCTGCAATGGCATAGCACCCTGGTTCGTCAACATGCCCACGATAAACTGCCAGTACAGATTCATCTTCTCCATGGCTGCTGCTTCCGCGGATTCCCGTGCTGCAGCTGCGGCTGCCGCTGCCGCATTCGCCGCTGCTGTTTCTGCGTTGCTTGTTTCGCCTGTGCCACTGAGGTTGCTGGATAATCCGGTCGGTGCGGCATTGTCGTCGCTGGCGACGTTCTTGGTAGGCAGGGTTTCGAGAACGCGGAATGTATCCCGCTGCACCTCGGCAAGGATGCGACGACTAACCCAAAACAGGCAGGCGCTGCGTACGAGGACGGGTGACATCTCAAGTTGTGACGCAAGCTCCGCAGTGGTTCTGGTGACGGAGTCGTTTGAAGGGGAGTTGAAGGCGTAAATCACGGTTGCTTGCCATGTTGTGACCTCTTCGACAAAGACGCGGTCTTCGAGGTCTAATTCCACGGTGACCTGGCCAAGGCCGTTGAGCCAGGTGAGCTTGCGGGATTGTTTTAGTGATTCGAAACCCTCGGAGTAGCGCTGCTGTAACTGCGTGATTTCTTCAGGGACCTTGAATTGCTGACCTTGTATTTCGGGCCAGAAGAAGTGTGAAAGGATCTTGGCGTGCAAGTCGGGGGTATCATTCTCTTGGGCTGTCGATGTTACCATTCCTTGATCGTTTCGGACGACGGCATCGACTCGTCTTGAATCAAAGATATCTCGTAGCATAACTTCGCAGGCTTGTAGTGCGTTGTCGCCAAATCGTAGTTTCAACAGCTCCAAAACGGACATCTCTTGCTCGAAATCTGCGCGCTTCTGAAGAAGACGCTCCGCCAGCATGTTTTGCATCTCTCGTACAAATGTCTCTTTAGACTCGAAAAGGCTGATAAGACTGCCGATAACATCGGAGCTCTTGGATTTGCGGTAGTCTGGCGCCGCATCCACAGGGTCCGGCATCCAGTTCATATCATCCCAATCCAACTCTCCCGTGTCCGCTCGCAGAGAGTTTTGATGAGCTTTGCTCAACTCCGCGGAGAGCTCCACCAACGTCTCGCTGCTAGGCGAGGCGGTGCGACCATCGGTATCAGCGGGATCTGCTAATAGACCTCCAACGATCGCTTTCACTGTATCATCGCGGTCCCGTAGATACCGGCGGATTGGCCGCGCGATGCGGTCCAAGAGCACACCCTTCGGGTCAAGCAGGTTGAAGGACCGTATAATCGAAATGTACACCTGCAAAATCTCCACGGTCGAGGCACCCGGATGTAATAAGCGTCGATTGAGCACCGCTGCGAACGAGTGCGTCAAATGATGCCGTGCCGCTGGGTGTGTAGTAAAATGCCGTAAGTCTTCGATCGCTCCACTGCTTGCCGGCCATTCAACAATCACGTCAAACAGTTCCCCAATGCGAAGTGCTCCAAGCCGGGCGATCCCAATCTCCTGCCACTTTTCCACATCGCTAAGTTGCACATCGAGTTGCCCTGGCTCTTTTATTCCGGACTCCGACACGTTGATGACCGCCAGTACTTGTACGACTAGCTGCGCAAATACGTCCTCGATCCATTGCCGTAGATGAAGCGACACCAGTGATGGACCTTCCCAGAGGCCCGAATACGCCGCCCGAATAAACTCGGTCAGCATAGTATCCATGACGCCTGCAAACACCACCTGCGCTCTTTCGCCTCCAACGCCAATGAGCTGGAGGTTATTGAGTAGTAATAATAGCTCTTCGCGTTTGGCCGTAACTGCGGCGTCCTCACCTTCCGTCATCATCTGAGTCCGAATCTCGGCCGATGGTGCATCCCGCCAATCCTGGTATGACATCGAGTACTGGCTATCAACTTCCATGGTATCAACATCTGCACTATCTTGGTCATCCGCTTCCTCCTTCAAGCTCTTTATGCCGAGAATCACGAGCCCACTTTTGATAAATTGGCGAGCCAACAGATCCGCTACCTGCGGCCAGGGTATAGCATAGGCAACCATTGAATAAAACGAGCGCTGAAATTTCCTAAACACTTTTTCCTGTTCTGGGCCATCCAAAGAGGGAAGCATATATTCGACAAGCGGGGAAAAGTAGATTCTGCGCATCAGGAGTAAACAATCCACAAGCATTTTCAATATACTATCTCGGATTGCATCATGCGCTGTCTATGATGACATTAGTATCGGGCCGCCAAAAGAAAATAGGCCACAGGTAGGAATGATCGCGAACCATAAACAGATCAGCTTTGAAATTCTGCATAAAATGGCGCCGTATCTCAGACTCGTACCAGTCAAAAATACTCCCATAAACTGATCCGGCAGTCTCCAAAGAGCCCTTAGCCAGAAGGCTGAAAGCATCCCTGGTTTCTTTCGATGGTTTCTTGGATCGGTTCCACAATCTCAGAAATTCAGCGTCGCCCATCTCGGTGATCCGTAGCAGTGGCTCGAACTCCGCATCCGGCATCGTGAGAAAGGAGACCGCCAAGCGCCATGCTCGATCCCATGTCGTTTTGTCTGGAAATTGGGTCTCTTTCCGTAAAGTCGAATTGTCCGCTGCGGTCTTTGGGGCGAGGGATGGTCTGGTGGGTATGGGATCTCCAAGCGAGCATGGCGCGAACACAGAAGAAAAGATGTGGCTGCGGCCAACGCAGATAGAAGAGTCGGGGGCCATCTTTCTGAATCGCAATATCAGGAAGGCATCGTTGGAAAAAGAAGCTGGAACGAGCTCAAGGCAGCGTGTTGAGGAGTAAACTTATCCAAACAAACCCGCTTCCCTTGCGGAGTCGCAGAGTGCTGACTCAGCTGCTTATCGATAAGATAAGAGCTGTTGTCGCCTGAGGCAGAATAGCCGTGCTGGCGTCCTCAGGCCCATACAACTTCCAAATGCAGCGGTGAGTTGAAGTATTTGTTTCTCATCGGAGTATTCATTCCCAGTCTGGTATATATAGCACTATCGGCATCTATGGGTATCTCTCCAGAATAAGAATCCCCTTTAAAATATGCATGGAAAGCAACGCGCCGTCTTAGACATACCGTGGCCCGTCCGAGTCCGAAAGCCCCAGCAGCATGGAATATAGACGTATATACCCATTTAGATAGTCTGTCCCCCAAGTTGGGCGACACGGCCCTCTTCAGTTTCCATTGCTGTCATCCACCTTCTCCCACTCACTATCAGTGCTCGCGTAACCCGAGCTATCACCGCTCACACTAAGACGCTTTCGAACTTCATTCGCACTCCTGGGAACCTGAAGTGTCGTGGAAGCAGAGGTCGACTGTGGAGTAGAGACAGAAACTTGCGGGCTCTTGCGATCCAACAAGCCTTCCGTCTCCGTGTCACTATCGGCACCGTCCGGAGTCCCTCGAGTTCGAGAATCGCTCTGCGCAGGTTTCTTTCCTTCCACCGACGCGTTTTCCGTTGATGTTTCCTGCTCAGCAGCCTGAGCTTGCGCTTGTGTCACTTCCCGAGCGAACCAATTAATCATGTACCAAAGCCCTCCCGAGATGATCGACAGAAAGACGAAATGAATGCTATATGTCGCTAGGAGGAGGACGAGGAGCAGGGTTTGCAGCGCGGCGAAGCTGACATTGGTCGCGAAAAGGAGGGTTGGAGTAGGACCGGCGGTAAAGATGCTGGACCACAGGTCCTCGATGAACGATGCCATGACTATTTTCGGTTCCGGGCCTTGTAGTCCGGGTTGAATGGGTAGTAGTGAGAGTGTGGAGTCGAAGATGAGGCTGCGGAAGGTGATATAGCAGTCTGGATGGTGTTAGCACGACGTACGCGCGGTAGCAACCGATAATTTCGAATAGAGGTACAGGCTCTCATAAAGCGAGCGCGCCTAGGGGTAAGTAAAGAGGGGTTAAGAGGGGCGACGCGAACTCCACAAGATAAGAAATGGGAGTTTACCGTCGCAGCTCGGATTGCCTGAGGAACTAGGTGCCGAACGGGAGGTGGGGAATGAGCAGAACCAGATCCGCGGCCGTCAGCTTTAACAACTCGAAAGCGTCAAAGATATACGACGACAACGGCGCAACAGATGATGAGAAGAAAGCTGGGAATCTCACCAGGCCAAGTCACGTCACCCAACGAGGGGCAGGTGCCTGGTTATGTAAGGACTCCCAAAGTTTGTTGTTGTTGTCAACGCTAACGTCGGCGTTGGGTATCCCCAGCCTCAGGCTGCCAGCATTGGTCGTGTCGAGTCCCAAATGATCGCCCGTGACCGCTGATCATTCATAGGCCAACCGCTCATATGCACCTATCCGGCTACATACTCAGCCCGCCGATCATCTGATGAGCTTCCGATCTCCAGGCGTCATAGCAAGCTCTGAGCGGTTGAACAATGCCTGTATTTTTGTCATTTTGAACTGCGCTCGGCTTATCGCTGCCTCACGCTGGAAGCTCTACTATGTCAATGAGTCTTGAGTTATCCCACTTGGACATCCCTTGTCCAAGGTCTTGGTGCCACCATGACATTTTGGTACCCTTTCTCATCGGGGCTGTGGCTGGGCGGCGTGCCTTAAACCAAGTCCTAATATAAACCCAAAGGATACTTTTATTTATTCGCGCCAAGGAAAGAACGCAGAAAATTGCGCCTTGATATCTCACGCTCCCCAGAACCATGGCATGCCCTTCACGTCCTATGTTACGCGGAGAGTAGTTTCTTGGATGAACACCTTATGAACCGCCAAAGATACTCATCAAGAACTCTATCGTGGTTTGACCCATGGGTAGACATGAACGCGTTTGGAGTGAATCACTGAGCACATCCAACGGTTCTTCCGTACGAATGGAGACGGGAGGAGACAGATGGATGATGGCCAATGATGAAAGCAAGCGAGATTCATCTATCACATATGTAGGACCACCAAGGTCAAGGGGGCTGTTGAATACTAGCCCATTGCGAATGTTCGCTGTCCAGGCACCAATTTAAACGCCAACTATCTCGAAGAACAGGAGCGGAGGGAGCGTGAGTTGCCCGTGAGGCCGTGATACAATAAAGAAATGTAGATGGCTGGCACTACTTCCCTGAGATTTCGCTCAAGATGAAAAGCCGTATACTATCCAATCCAGTTGGCTTTACCTTGCAGGGTAATTTCAGACAAGCTCCAGGGCTGCATTTGACATTGAACAATAGAGATGGCTCGTTTGAGCGAAGTAGAACTCGGGTCCATGTCTGTCAGCGAGCCCACGGTATTGTATATCATTGATTCACTAGAAGCATCATAGCACACTTCTTAAAGAGTAAAGCGCTTTCCTTATTCTTTCTTACCACCCTATCTGCCCTATTCTCGGCCTCTAAAGCTTTACCTCACATATATCAACATCTAAATCTTTGTCTCTTCCATCATCCTCCCCAATCATCTCTTACCTAGCTTTATACTTTGTTCAAATTGCACTTGGACTTTGATCGTGTTCATGCTACTGCCTTCTTCCTATTCCACTTCTGATTTCTAGGCTACTTCCTCCAAGGAACCCCGGCTAACTTCTAGAATCTACTAACATATATTCCCAGCTATTGGAAAGCATCCCTATTCGCTGAGAAACTTTCCCAGTCAATCTATTGGCTATGGTACATGAGAAAGCTGGCACAGTTTCTCAAAGTCCTTTTATGGCCGAATGGTGTATATCTGAGAAAGCCCAAGGCCTTATTAACGAGATCGGTACCACGGGAGGCATGTCTAGATCCATAATCTACCCCTATCATAAAGCTAGGCATTTAGCTATTGTAAAGACTATGGCGTAAAATTTGAAACGGACAGACCATTGGTACTACTCGAAGAATACTAGTAACGATCAAATTTGCGAAGGCGCTACTCAAGAGCCATATAGCCCTAGCTGCGGTGCCGCGCTTAGTTGTTGTCGGCACCAGATTGCTGACGGAGACAATCCGGGCAGTGGCATTGTAAATGGTGCTGTTAAGTATGGACAATGCGGAAAAGGCTGACCTAGCGTCTCGCATAGTGGACATTTCACTTGCTGTCCACAGATAAAATTTCGTGTTCTTACGGGGATCTAGGGTAGAAAGGAGCAATCTACAGAGACGAGCGATATATGTACTTAGATCTAGCCCTCGTAAGATATCTAGGTAAGTGTAGGACTAGGCCATGGAACTCTCCACGCCTGTTTTGATGCCTTGGCGGGATTGTCACCTTACAACTCGTTTATAGAGATGTTCTGTTGGTATGGTGTTTTCACCGAGTCGCTAACTAAACGCCCTAGCACCCGAGTATCGGATACAGAGAAGTACAAAGGTCAGGGCCCTTGCGAGCAAATAGCCTACACTGTGACTTGACTCTTGAAGCCAGGCATAAGCAAGATATACTCTGTCAGCAGGGTTGGAAGCATTTACGCGGACTCATCCATTCTCCGGTATCCATTCTATGGATCCTGGATCAGATAATGATAGCAAGCCAAAGCAGGTATAACGGAGATTTACTCTGACAGCGATTAGATATCTTTTTGGGCTAGTTTTGTTGCGATTACAAACCCAAGGTGCCTGAACCGATGTACCCGATGCATTGCCAACAATTATGTCCATTAGCTCGAATACAGGGACGAGAAATTGAAAGCTTGGAAAGGGCAAAGGCAATGCTTGTTTGAGAATGGCCTGATTTTAATATCCAAAGACTTACTTTTTCTTGAGAAAAATCACAGAGTAGGAAACTGCGATAAGGAATCAGGTGATGTCGTTCTAGTGTCAGCCTCAGTCAGCATGCTGTAGGCGAGCGTACACATCACACAAGATCATTAATCGATCATTGATAGAGCGGTGTCGGTGCACTCAAGCCAATTTCTAGGTGCCGAAATTGTCGAGGTGATGTGGAGGCCTTGATCCTGTTCCTGCTCCTGAGGGATCCGTCCCCAGACGCCGGATTGCCAATTGCTCTTTAAGGTTTTGGAGTTAGTTCAACATGTTAGACAGCGATACGCATACCGATGTATAAGAATATAGCGCATGGTCAATGGCACTGCAAAAAATATTAGATGGCCCTGCGAACATACTCTGGGGGCCCTGCATCATGGACGCCTCAAAGGTCTCGGCTTACTCAGAGAGACTGAGTAACTAGCTCAACAATGATCACAAATCTTTGATTGCCGTCAACGCGTCAACGGCCATCAGCTTCAGCTCAGTAATTTCTGTTCACCACTTTCAACCTTCCGCCGTATCTGGCGTCGGCTAGTGGGAAAGAATGGCGAGGTGCTCACTGTCGACCCGCCACAGCCTCCCGCAACCATTGACTTGGCTTATTCGCTGGCATTTTGCATTTCGCGCTCTCGCACGGCGCTTGCGTAGCGAAAGCTGTGTTGTTCACAGGATAATTTTGAGTCAACGAACCGGGCAGACTCCAACCACAAGACCGAGATGCCATAACCAACCTCGTAGACCGCGGCATCAACCGAGCTTTCCAAATTTGCGTACTCCGTAGGGGTCTTTCGGTCTGCCCTTGTACTCAACATCGAAAACCAGCTGAACGTATCCGAGATTAATCCGGGTCCGTGATACCGAAGGAGAGAGTCAGCGGCCGGTTCAGTACAAATCGAGCGAGGCGCGTTTTGTCGTGAGTTGTGTCACGTCAGTTACTGTTGTTCGAGTGTTGATTCGTCGGGGAAGTAACAATGGACCGCGGCGTTGGAGGAATATCCCGGCTTGATGCCAGAGATGCCAGAATCAGCATGAATGGCCAGACTCTACACCGCTACTGGCAGTCCTCTTCATCTTCCTCGGGCCGTACCGTTCAGAAGTCGTTTCAAGACTGAGCGCTCGGAATTGAGACTTCACGATTTCACGAGCCTCCAGTTGCGGCAACTTGAAGTGCCAACAGAATGTGCTTCTGATTTCAGGCACCGACCAATCGCAAAGCAACAAGTACACAAGGGTGGGTTAAGAACAGAAATCTGCTGAGTGTCAAAAGATTTCCCGCGAACACCTGAAGCCGATCGGCACTGCCCCGCGCACGGAAGGATCAAGAAAAGCGGCCCAGATAATATTCCACCTCGATACAGGGCCTGGCAGGCTCTTCCCACGTTTCCCTCAACAACTCGATATTGAGCGAGCATCCGAGGTTGGTCGTCCACCGTCCGGGCAAGATCGAAAAAGCAAAGAACAGTTTCACAGAGCATGTCTTATTGTTGCGAGCCTGTGTTGGGACTTCCCCAAGCCACCCTCTTTTCCGTGACTCGTGCTAGGGCGAATTAGCTCAGGGCCCATCCGAATGGCTGAGAAGTGCACTTGTGGACGTAATCACAAAAATAATACGGAGTTTCTCGCAGCCTCATGACTGTGGAGAGTTTTGAGACACGTACTGGATCGGACTGGATTCAAACTCCGAAGCGTCCTGAGACAACTGACAAACAATCATCATTCGAGACTGATGGTGTGATGGCTGCCTCGTGGATACAAAGCTCAAGTTCTAGCGTTTGCCATGGATACGAGAGTGCCAATTCGAGAACGTCATCCAGGAAGACTGATCTTACTGTCCAGTCAGAGCGCGTGCGGAGGGTTTCTGTCCAACTCAGGCACTGTTCCGATACGAATCGCTAACACGACCCACGCCTCAATGAAGAAATTCCAAGCCTTCCACTGCCAGCGAGGGGCCCCCGCAAGGCCTGCCGTTAGTGGTGCAGGTGGTGTTGGAGAATCGTCCCGCTAGCAGGGCAGTACTCCGTAATGGGTCCGGATGACCAAGCCCCGAAGCGCCTGCGACCCGCCGAGCGGTTCAAGAGAACGTATCAAGACCTCATGTATCCGCCACCAACCTGCGTGATTGAGTGTTGGCTGTCGTTCGCTCAGTCGCTCACCCTCGTAACACTGGAAAAGACCTTTTGACCTGATGACTCGCGAAACCGAGTCATCAGGAGAATGATTTGCCATCAGGTCTTCGTTTCAGGCCCTGTTGACTCCAAATTCAAAGTTCTGGGAATGAGGCTAAAAAGCTCGTTTCAAACAATAAGGGGGCTGCCAGGAAGACCCCGAGAGCTGCTGCATCATAGTACATATTCCTCCGGGAAGAAATAAGTGGAACACCCTCCCCGGCTATTGGCTGTGAAATAACAAGGGTGCCGCGAAAAATAAACCTGGCAGGCTGACACTTTGAATTTCTGACACAGGAGAGCTTAACTTTTGGACCCATAATGGCATTGTGCAGAGTACGGTGTAGTACGGAGGACCGAATATATCTCTCCGGCTTTTGTCTCCAGAGAGGTTGGTTTGCTCAGACTGCTTTCCATCGTTGGCACCGTGAAAAGTAAAACGAGGCCTGCTACATAGTCTAACGGTTAATCGTGCTAAACTAGGGCTGATGAGTCTAAGCCCTGCAGCCGTTAGAACCCTTGAATGCAAGTTCCAGTTCCCACTGCTCGTTTCACTTTTAGTGAGGCGACTCTCACCTCCTCGGGGCGAGGCCTGATCCAGGAGCAAATGAAGCGATGGCGCTGCGATTGAGGAGACTTGTAGGGAGTTGGGAGAGCGCCCAAACGGGCACGAGCGCGAATCGTGGCTTTTCAATTTCGACAAGCGAAGCGGAGGTCGATTAACATTTGATACCGAACGTCAACACTGGGACTCTGGGAGCAGCCACCAGCGATGTGACAGTTCGGGTGGCGGGGGAAATGGAACCAGGCTCAGGTTCTCATTATGCCAAAAGCCATTGAACGCCTCGATATAGTTTATGATCACTCCCCACAGATCCATCTCCTTGACTCTGCTGGTTCGGCGGCATTCCGACAAGAATGCTGGCTCTGGGAAAAGGCAACGAGGGAGCTGCTTCCTTTCCCCTTGGCTATCCACTTCGGAATCCAACTGTTGAGCAAGAGGGCCAGCAGGATCGATAAAAGTGCCACAACACGTGGAATGCAAGGAGATCGTCGAATCCTGGCCCGCGTGGCCATGAACAAAAGACACGGCTAAATCAACATTAATTAACTCGCGAAAATGAGGCCTGCACTCGTAAAGGAGACCAGGCTCTCTGGCGTGTGAGACCTGTGATTGGACTTGTTTCCTACAGACTTAGGTTCTTATCTTCACCGTCATTGGCACTTCGTATGCAAGATATGATGCGATGTCGGAGGCCTTGACTTCTTTCTCGCCTGGAGCAATCAGAACAGACGAAAAGCGAGGGCATCCTCATGCTAATAGGCCCTCCGGATTCTCCGCCGAGAAACGGCCCCAGATGCCGAGTTGAGTCCAGTAATAATTGTCACTGATCATTGATGACGATGAATCGATGATTATTCCGTGTGTGGGTGCAGCCGTCCTCGTGTGGAGACCCCAACAGGGAAAGATTCAAGACATTAGTCGTCGGGACAAGACAACAAGGCCGATAAGCTCGACAAGCCAAAAGATGCAATGGCTCTAACCGTCAACGAGGAGCTTGTGAGCCGTCAGGCTTGGTAGCAATGCGGTGCTCTTCGAGCCATCATATTCATTGCCCAAAGGAGGGCAGTCAATCTAATTTACTTTTGACGACAATAGGTCTCATGGAAATAGGACTCGATTGAGGGAGTTCGCGTGTCTCAGTAATATCCTTTAGAGTCTCAAGGGCCCGTCTTGACTGGAGAAATAGGGAAGCTTCCAACCCGGCTTTGGTCTCCAACATTCTGAACAATCTCACAGACTCATAGTTCTCCGTAGTCTCCCTGCCGTTAGGTTCTTGATCCTGGCTGATCCTTGCCGTGGCTGTCAAAGGCACTAACCACTAGGTTATCACTTCTCTGGAGTCATTCCGCGCGCCGGACTTGCGGTCGAAAACAGGTGAAAGTGGACGGAACAATTTCGTCTGACAGCATCTTCGCCTCGGCGCTTCCACCAGCAGTCCCTGGCCAATCTTCCATGATTTGGCGTTGCCATGCAGTGCTGGCCATGTGATATCGTATTCGTGCACGAGAATGATATCGCGCTTCCATGAACTCCTTTTCCCTCAGGTAATTGAGGGTAAGGTACAAAATAATTTCCGCGCTTTGACTCCAGTGACTTCAGAGGAGTAATCCAGAAAAAAGTTGGAGATTTAGAATTTTTTTTCTCTCTCACTCGTCTCGAAGATGCTTCGTCAAATCGTCAGGAGTGAAAAGAGAAAGGATAGCCAAATCATCAACTGGGCCAGCGTTGAAACTAGTCAGTGTGGCTGGCTAGCACTAAGTTTGGGGGCCAAAGGGGAGCCAAAGGTCCTGACGCAGCTAAGAAAACCAGAGCCAGTCTCACAACCACCCAGCCCCAAGTCCAACAACAGCATGACCATCAGATTCCAGCCGTCGATTAGCGGGAACCGAGAGACGAGGCAACAGGTGTCAGCAATTTAGCGCCTCACAGGTCTTCTTCCGTATCCCAGGCGCTTCTCGGCAATTGGGAAGTTTGTCGAGCCAACCGATTCCTTGATCCGAGGACGCTGTCCTTGCATATTGACTGATTCAGCCGTCCGTTGCTTATCGCCATGTGGTCAAGATCTTGCACTGCATCCTCCGTCGCACGGCGATCTTGTACAACTCCGCGAGCCTCCGGATATTCAGATGGTATTCTTGGGTTGCCGGGAGTCGAGAGGAAGTTGTTTCTGAGGAAAAGAAGCTAACGTGTATTAGTCAACATCGCCAAGTAAGCAGAAAACCACACAAGAGCTCAAAAAAAAAAAAAAATAGAAATTGGCGGACGAGAAAAGGGATGCGCAGCCGGGATGAAAAAGCAAAAAAATAAATAAAAAATAAAATAAAATAAAAGAAAAGAAAAAAGTAGAATGTTGGAGAGATAAACGGCTAAAGAACAAAAGGGTTAAAGCCAGCAACCAGTGGGTCATCATATTCCAGTAGTATGATCTGGGGCTGAAAATAATAGAATTATGTCCCAGTACCATTCTTCTCATGAATCTTTTGTTCATGGCTGAGCCTGAGGGTGAGCCTTTGAGCGTTGGAGAGCTCATTTCCCCAGGTCTTCCACCAAGCTCCTGCAGAGCCTTGTCCCCGTTTGCCGGATAACTTTTAGTGGACTCGTGCCAATATCTAGCCTGGTGGAGCTCGGGTCGAGAAGGAAATGGGAGACGACGGCGCGGTACCGACGCTGACAGCAACAAGGAGGCACAAGTATTCATGTGTTGGCCCAAAGACGGTCCGCGAGCTGCCAATCAGCTGTCGTATCAATTCCAGTTTCCAGCTTCCCGGATCAACCCTCATGAAGCTAGTCAGGAAACGGAATCCTCTCGCAAGGTCCCTTGGCCATTGAAGCGCAAAGAGCGTGGGCGGTCAGTGTGGGAAAAGAAAAGGAGAGGGAAGAAGCAAAGAAAAGCGGCTTGCTGCATGTCGACAGACCGTTGAAATGGAGGAATTGAGGCGTCGGTAGATGGAAGTTGGTTGGTTATTGGCAACGAGAAGGCCGGACTTGGAAGATGAAGTTGAGCAGCAAAGCGATGAGCCAACCCAGCGATTTGAAAAAAAAATAAAATAATAAAAAATTAAAAAAAACGAAAAAGAAAAACGAACTGTCAGGGCCAAGTAGGCTGTAATTTCAAACAAACTTAACAGAGGCAGCTGGAATCATGAACGTCAACCAGGTCGAGTAAGCTGAGCGGCCAAAGAATAATACCGTCGAGAGGAGCTAATTCGGTCCGGCTCCGGCTCACGCTTATTCGTTTCTTGTTCATCCTGGCATTTGATTTATTGTTGTGTTCGGCTTGTGGGACGTTTAAATACTTGCTGTCGACCAGTCCGGGGATGGCTTCACTCCAGTGTTGTGGCCATTGAGCTCCAGTCCCTTCCTTTTCTTTCCCTTGTGTTGTTGAATCGAGTCAATACTTCTAGCTTGGCTTATTGGTTCGAGCGTTGAAGGAACCTATGAAGACATCTGCTGGACCAATCTAAGGTAGATTCATCATGCCCTTCCCTTCTCCGTCTCACCACTATTTAGTTAGTTGCCGCTTGTTTCTCCCCGATCCTGTTTATCGGTTTGATCCGCCTGTCCCATCTCTTCTTCCAGGGAGCTGAAAGCGTTCTCTTCCTTTTTTTTTTCTTCTGTTGATAGCGTTGTTCGTTGTTTCTCTGATTGCCCCTCGTCAATACGAAGGCCCTGGCACCCTGCCACTACTATCAGCCTCTTCTTGTTGTTGGGAGCTGACATTCTGGATCCTCTACAGTGAGACATCAGCTATTTTCGTCAGGAAATACTCCAATAGTTCAGGCCGCCATCTTACAGAGCTCTGCAGCCTCCTTTGGGTCGACAGCTCTCTTTTCTTACCTGAGGGGCACCTTCGTGATTTCCCGAGATTCAGCCTATGCTCGTGGATCTAAAGACAAGGCCTAGGTAACGTTCAGACAAGCGAATACCGGACCTCGAAGCACTTTGTCAAGCTCTACAGTCGACGAATATCGTCTGTACCCGAGTTACGAAGAAGCAGTTGACAAAACGCCATCGAACGCCTGACAAGGCGCGTCGAAGCCCAGGAGACAGTCTCCAGACTAGCAGGCTTCGTATTCTTTGGAATATCCGAAAGAAGTCATCACGAGATTATGGCTCACAATTCCCCCAGTATGGTTGAATGCAGGCTCTCCGTCGCTTTTTACATGACATCTCCAAACTGACTCGACACAGATTACGGCTGGCAACACCGCTCGCCGCAGCCTCTACACCCTTCTTCCATGGCCATGGATCAACAGAATTTCTCGCAACCTCATGGCCTACCTTCACATCCCGGGTACCAAGTCGGATATTCCTCTCACCACTCGGCTTCACAGAGCTACTACCAACCAGGGCCCCCATCATCTCAATACCTCTATTCACAACACCCGAATGCCTCACAGAACCGTCATCACCCTAGAAGGTACGATCCTCGCCAGTTCACTCGCTCTAGAGAACATGCACATCATTAACGGGGTCTTTGTGGCAGTGCTTCCATACCATATTCGTTTCCGAGCACCTCGGTTCCCACAAGCTCTTCGCCAATGCCTGAACACATGTTTACCTCATCGTGAGTTTCAGGTCGATTAATCTCAGAGAAATATGCCACTAATACAATCCTTGGAAGCCCGCCGTCTTATCTCGTCAACCAATCAGAATACTACTTAGCACAAGGTTCTTCAATCTCGTAAGTGCTGTTATTCAATCCCTTTATGTTCCATTATATGCTAATCTAGAACAAATTCACTAGTTCAAACACTGGATCGATAGCCGCCACCCCTCAACCACAGCCGCTTATGTCCTCGGGGACAGTCTACTCATCACCCGATTCTGCTCCAGCATCTACGGATCCCGAACAGCAGGTTCGAGTCATCAGTTTCCGGCCGAAACCACAATGTTGGGATCACGGATGCAATGGGCGCGAATTTTCGACTTTTAGCAACCTGTTACGCCACCAACGAGAAAAATCAGGTGTCGTGGCCAAGGCGGAATGCCCCAGTTGTGGTGCTGTCTTTACACGAACAACAGCGAGAAATATCCACGTTGCTCAAGGCAAGTGCAAGGGCATTGGGAGAGACGCCTCGAGTCGTTAGAATACAGGGTTGGTGTGGACAATGAAGCATAACGAAAGGCTGGCAAAAGATTTCTGCTGGAGCTTCAATACCCTTCAAATAAGGAGGAATGATTGTCTGCGGTGCCCTAACTCACGGGCCGTGGATCAGCTGCACATAGTACAGCACTCGAGTCGACACCGCTGGGCGCGAGCATCAGCGGCTTGTCAGACATCTACATTACGATACACTACATTTACATATAGGACAAGGTAATAAGGCGCAGGATCGCTTAGCGGGATCTCGGTGTTATTGGGGTATGACGGTTGGAATAGAATTTACCAAGGAGCCGCGGAACAGGCCCACGCAGGCTTAGTTGCATGGCTAGCTTTTGGCCAAAAATTAATTTTGCATATTGCCCGGCGCATGCAGATGCTGCTGCACAGCCAGTCACACCTCTAAATGCTTTTCTTCGTAATGTTGAGCAGCGACATCCATACTACGAGTCAGTCGTAGTATAGACTTGTACCTTTTCCGCGGGGCTAGAGCAGCGTTCGAAGAAGTATTGAAGGAAGTCGAATGGTCACGACATCAGGGAACGTGACACTCTTCATGAGCCCTCTCTCCGTGACGACCGAGAATTTTTGTCAGAGCCACCCACCCTGACAACGGTAGCACATCAAGTTCGTCCAGTGGGAAGAAATCCTTCGGCCAGCATCATGTGTTTCAATGCAAGGATCCGCAACGGCCCCACACGTGGGGTGATCTGCTTACATCAACCCAGGCCAAAATCACATGACTGAATCGCGCTCACGAAGCTTCGCTGCAAGAGACATCTTCAAACTCGCAGACACTTATGACTCACGTTCAAAATGCCGGCTCACTTTTGACCATTGGCCTCCGCTCCCGGGTTTTCTGTCAGCATTTCTGATATTGTTCCTCGTTCCTGGACCCATCTTCGAGTTCTCATTCTCCCAATTGACAATCCCTCCGTGTTTTCAGCTCAAGATGACTCTATTATCTGGAATACGCAACATATGTCAAGAACTCAAACACTGCCGATATACATCCCGTCTACGATTTCGCATACCTGGAACCGTCCGAATACTTGCTTGATTCAATTATTTACCGCATTGCTTGCTAGATAGCCTCCTCATTACCAGTGCGCCTTCTACGCTTGATAGGAGATGGCGTCTGTTTTTACGTACGACCCTGATCCACCCAGGGTCTCCTCGCCATGGTCTACTTCAGGGTCTTCGACCCCGCAAGTAACCGTTGTTGGAACTCGAAACACGGGCATTCGTTCCCGCTCCAGCACAAACCTGGAGAGTGGGGGTCATGATTTTTTGTCTGATTACGGCATCTCGAAGTTAGAGCCTGAGCCGCAGGAAGGGCCTACTGAGTATAAACTCCATCTCCTTCTACGCCCTCGGCGGCCCTATACTTCAATGTCTACGGGCAATCTCGTGGGTGGGTCTTATCATACCCGCGCAAGCTTGTCCACCTCTGGCCCCGCAACAGCTTCCTCGGTTGAAGAGCCGAATTCAAAATCCCTGCATGCCCGTTCAATGGACAGCCGCCAACAGCGCCTGCAACAATTGACGACGCAGCTACTATGGCGTTTACAACAATCGTCCCCCTTTCACTCTTCAACAACGGCCAATCTAGTGCTTCCCGTTCTACCAGAAGCAACACCGAGACTGGGTGCTACTCAAAAGCCACTTCGGCTACTGCCTGGTCTTGAAGAGAGTCAAGGGGCTCTGTACGAGATTGGGGTCGCGGATGATGGGACGTTTGTTGGACTCATTCATGACGAGCTGGAAGAAAGTTTAACGAATTTGCAAGCCATGGCCGCAAGCCTGGGCTGCAAAGTCGAGGTCCTCCGCAGGGTAGTCGTTGGGGATTGCGAATGGGTGGAAGACCTAGGAACTGAGGAGCCCGGAAAAGTGCATACTGAAAGCCTCTGGGTTGCGGAAGCATTGGTGAGCCCAGACTGGGATTATTACCGCGTGGACTCACTCAAAGCTGAATTACTGGAGAACATGTCGACTGAAGGGTCCCAGCCGAACTCCATATCAGAAGGCTCCTCTTCCGCTACTGAACAAATCCGAGTGTCTATTGCTGGGCCAAATGCTGTCGGCAAATCATCGCTTCTGGGTACTCTCACGTCGTCTATTCTCGACAATGGCCGAGGGACCAGCAGGCTAGGTCTGTTGAAACATAGACATGAAATATCGTCGGGAGTAACCAGCTCTGTCGCCCATGAACTTATTGGATATGTTGCGAACAAGCTTTCCTCAAATGGTGCTGATGTCGTCAACTACGCTTCCGGAAATGTTGCGGCATGGGATGACATCCATGCAGCTTCAGAAGGTGGCCGTCTAGCCTTTGTCTCGGATCTCCCTGGCTCAGTACGCTACCTCAAGTCCACTCTGCGAGGGCTTGTTAGCTGGGCCCCTCACTACGTCTTTATGTGCCTCTCTGCCGCTTCTGAGGACGAGATGCCGCTTGGATCCGGCGCTGACCCTGCAGAGCAACCCATGGACTTGAATTTAGCTTTGTCTTACCTGGAGCTTTGTATCAAGTTGGAGATTCCGGTCATTGTTGTCATCACAAAAATGGACCTCGCATCACGAGCTGGTTTGCGAACTAACCTCGCCAAGGTACTGTCCGCGCTAAAGGCAGCTGGCAAGAAACCGATTATGCTTCCTGTCAAACCCGATCCCTCCGAGGATGGTGTAAACCTGCAGCGCTTAAGATTAGCCGATGCGGAGGAAGCGAAGAAGCTCGTATCCACAACCGGTGATTGGGCCAACACAGTCCCAATTGTACTCACGAGTGCGGTTGATGGTTCTGGCATAGGCAAGCTACATGCTTTGCTTCGATACCTACCTATACCCTCCAGGCCTCCTCTCAGGGACATTAGCCTGCCGAAACCATTGTCATACCCCCAGCTGCCAGCAATTGTCTTTGACGTTGACGAAGTATTTGCAATCCCCCCGTCCAAAGTGTATTCAGCGCAACGACAGCAGAAACATGGTGTGGTCCTGTGTGGCCTAGTGCGTTACGGTTCTGTCTCTGTTGGTGATGAACTAGTTATTGGGCCTGTTGTCTCCGGCACTCAGTTGGAAAATGGCAATAGTCCGGCTCTGGGGAACAGCCCCTCCGCTCAAAGGCTCCGTCCGGACCGACGCCCGGACCACGCCGCACAAAGCGGCTCATACCGCAGTCGGCCAGCGTCAGGCGACTTCTCAAACTCATTCCCTCATGGTTCGTATCCGGGGAGATCTTCAGCCTCAGCTCATGCGCATTGGCAACATGTCCGTGTCGTCAGCGTTCGAAACATTCGGCTCCCGGTACAGAAACTGACCCAGGATCAAGTTGGCACCATCGGAATTGAACCCCTAAGCACCAATTTCGGCGATCAAAATCCACGGCTTGGCAAGATCCGAAAAGGTGCTGTTCTACTCAGTCCATCAATAGTCTCTTCTCGCCCTCCGTCGTGCTTCGCAGGCTTCGTGGCGAGCTTCCCAGCCTGCGAATTCTCGTCCGCCCTATCCCCACCTGTTTTGCTAGGCGGCAATGCAATAGTCTACGTCGCTAATGTTCGAACCACGGTGAAGTTGACCTGCATGGCGTTAGCAGGGGATGAGATTATATCATCCCCGCCTTCTCCGACAGAACCGGAGTTTTTCAGCTTTGATGCGGACTCTGAAAGCCGCGAGGCTGTCCAGAAGCCTGAAGTGAACACAGTGGTCAGTTCGTCTGATGGCACAATACAAGACACTATCGACATTACGTTCTCGTTCGTTACATCGGTCGAATGGATTGAAATTGGGTCCAAGGTGCTTCTTATGCCTAGCGCATCGTCTGCGTTGGCTTCTACAGAAGGGTCTAGCCCGTCTTCGGGCTTGGAAGGCTTTGCTGGCCGTGTTCGCGAGATCCAGTACGCTGATGAGAGTCCACATACATGATACTGCGTTTGATGTGAATCTTTTAGCTGCTTTGCTTTTGCATTCTTCCTTTCTTCAGATTCTATCTGATATGCGTTTGTTATTCGTCATAGCTCAGATATCAAGAGACCCTAGTCTAGAATCGATAGTGGCACGTGCGCCCTGGGACCTCATAGGCCCCACTACTGCCCCACTAGGTGATGTTGAGTCGTGACGGAGGAGTTCCTGCACAGTAACCAGCCCTTCAACCTAGTTTTCTAGTTTCATAGAGCATCAAGTATCCTACAGCTTCACTTAGCTTGGTGACTCAAGAAGTGAAGCAAGATTTGATTAGATAGAAGTCCCTATCTTTCACATGGAACCTCACACGACCATCTTGTCAAGACACTGAAGAGTTGGCGTTTGGCCGCCTTGGTGATGTTTGATCGTGATTGGTAGCCTCTGCCCAGCTGTTCCAGTTCTTCCCGCCGGTCCCACTTGCAACTGGAATACCTAAATTATTGCTCACTGTTTTTGATCCAGCCTCGTCGATTTCATTGACATCGCTGGGTTTGAAAGCCATCTGCGCGCGCCAGGGAGCAGGCTTTCCTTTTCTTTCAGCCAGCTGGTCTGCTCATCGCCTTAACTTCTACTTCCTATCCTATACTTCCGGCCTCCCATCAGTCTCAATCTTTCCGCTATGACCGATTTCAGCTGCGCTTACCCAGATCCCGGAGCTGTATCTGACTTGGATCAGCTCTATGATGAAGATGATGAGGATGCCTCGTCCACTACCAGCATTCTAGCTGATGACGAAGAGCTCAATATAGAGACACGACAATGTCTAAAGGAACAGCCTACGGCCTTAAAGCACCACTCCCGTTTTGAACGTATCGTGCGGAAGACGTTCTCCCCACCGAGCAATAGCACTGAGCCTGAGTCCAAGGCTTCACTTGTGTCTAGAACGCATCCCGATCCTGTACCTGTCGAAGAGATAAAGCCAGTGAAAAGGCGGACTTTGAATCTCCTCGATCTGCCTGTGGATATTCTCCAGGAGATCATCAAATTGGTATGCGCTTCAACACTAACCTTCCATGGAGTGACATGCTTACCAGTATCTTAAAATCTGCTAGGTCATACACACGAATGATTTGACTTCCCTAGCACTCACCTGCTCCGCACTCCATTCCCTCGCAATCCCTCAGATGTATTCACGGTTCGATATAGTCTGGCCCGATGCCGTTCCAAATAGTGGACATTCCACTGGAGTGGACGCGCTTTCATACGGTCTGGCAACCTTGGTTACAGCAGAAGACATATTCCGTGAAGTGCCTTTGTCGTCTGTACCATCTCCTTGCTCGCACTGTGGATGCAATAGCCGTATGCCCTACCTACAGCGCTCGGAAGCCAACGGACGCCCGATCCGCCGAGGGAACTACTTTGCACAATACACACGCAAGTTTTCGATTGGAAACGGTCCGTCCGATTGGGTCCAGGAGTACTCGGTGACCAAGGAGACGGGCAAAATGCTCGGGACACTCGTTGCTTTGGCAGTGGCTCGGATGGTGAATTTAGAGACCTTCATTTGGGATATGCCAACGGGTGTCGTGCGAGAAGTGTGGATTGCGCTTGCATCATTGGCGGACCGGCCAGGACATGATTGCCGTCTAGAGAATGTCTGGATACGTTGGCACGACAATTCTGAGAACAAACCTCGCTCTCCACCAGCAGCCCCCACTGCATCTTCGTTGGCTCTCCCTGAAACCCAAACCATGGTCCCGTCCTATATCAGCTCGGCACTTTTTGGGAAATACAGACATGTAGAATATCCTTCGCTGTCGATACTACCCCCGCTGAAAAGCTTGAGCGTCCTCGATATAGATGAGACGTCATATCTTGAAGAAATGGCCGTTTTAATCGAACGCTCGCGACATTGTCTAAGAGAGCTTCGCATTGGCCTCTCGGCGAAGGCTTACAAGCAAGGTTGGTGGAAACCGCGAGATATTTCACACACAGCGAATCACACCATTTTTCCTGCCGTCCCCGGATGGCCAAAGCCTGGTGGAGTTCTCGGGGTAGCGCTGGGGTGGCACGATTACCATGCCCACGGGTCCAGATTGAGACCGGAAGGGCCGATTCAAGTTGAACATGGCAAGGAACCTGAAACTGTGTTACAGGCAGGGGCATCGACCCCAGCTGACACTGTTGAAACACCCTCTTCGTCACTCAATGACTCCGCGCCGTTCCAGAATTTCCTCGACGCGCAACTTTCTACTGAACAAAATACCAACACCTCGTCTCACTCTCAGAACACATGTCTAGTCGGCGCGCTCGATTCTGAAACCTCGAGAGAAAACTCGAAGGGTTTTACACAAGCATCTCCATCTAAGCCTGGCTCTGATCGCCAGTTGCTCAGGCTGGAGAGTCTCGAATTGGAACGTGTATCGATATCTCCGTCAGTCCTACTAGACTCTCTAGATTGGACCCGCATTAAGAACCTCACCATTCTTCGTTGTGATGGGCACGAGAAACTATGGAGAGGTCTTCGACGTCGTTTTGCCCCTACATCGCCACGCACTGGGTTCATAAACGGCAGGAAAGGGGGGCCCGGGCCAGACAAAGATCTCGACTACCCTCTCAAGGTCAAACATCTTCATACGGATGCCGTTTCGCCCTATATGCTATTGTTCATCAAAGATACCCTTCGCCCAAACACGCTCGAAACCGTTTTCCTTCACGGGCCACCTATACATGACTCTGCGGTTGAGATCGAGGGCATTTATCGTAACATCATACGCACACACCGGTCGAGTTTGAGAAAATTGTTGGTCGATGGCACCGGACGAGCTCCCGGGGGCGCTGAGATAAGCACTGCCCGATGTCGGAAATGGACGTTTAATCGTGAGATGATTACTTTCATGACGAGCGGGAGAATGTCTAAACTGAATGAACTTTCCATGGCGCTTGACTTCAACAACTGGGTAGGGTCCCTGACGCACGACTTACTTTCGTTGCTGACACATAATTTAGCATTACTTCCTGCAAAGGCTTCCCTATATTTCTCAACTCCGAGCACTCCATATTCCTCACATCATCAGTCCGAGCCAAACTCAACTTGAGCTCAAAGAGCTTGCGCTGCAGGTTCTCGATATCGTGACCCTGCGGCCGGAAATTAATCTCAGCTATATAGGCATACGGGACAAATGCTACGAGATCCTGGAGGGTAAGGGCGGCGAATATGATTCTGCGAGTACTGATGATACGCACAATGAGGGATTCGTCCCAGGGGCAGAGAATTGGACCGGATCCGACACGAATGATGATGATTCGAATGAAGACGATGAAGAAAGTAGGATAGAATACCAATCGGATATGTCGGAGGACAATCTTCGATCGCTGGACGATGATGACGGATCAGACTACGACTATGGCCGATCGCGCGTGTCCTTCCGATTGCGGGAGATTCTTTTCTACGACGACAAGATTGCTATTTTCAAAGCGCGACACGGCGTTTTATGATTTGAGTTGATATGTACAAGTGATATGGGCGTTGGTCAGATTTGAAGTGCTTTCGTTATTGGCCGCAAGATACCATGGAGCGTTTCCCGAGTAGCAGGTCTATGGTCATTTAGAAAATTGAATTTTCTAACTCACGATACCTCATCACAAGAGCTGTGCACGGAGTAATCGACTCGCAGGATGTTAGAGCTGCTGAGCACGTGACTTAGCGGTCAGCCAGCTTGCAGGGACTCCGACGACGAAATGTTGAAATGTCGGAACTATCTACGTACGAACCAACTGAAGCCGATCAAGCAGTGCACCACCTTGGCACCGCTTTTTTCGACCATCGCACGCGTATTACTCTCGCTGTCCTCGTCAATTCTTCCTATCATCACGCGAACGCAGACCCATCGCCGCCATGAAGCTCGTGCGGTAAGTAAAATCCCAGATCCTGAATCGCGCATCGAAACCTGATCAAAAGCTCGCCCCTCCTTCCTGCAATGCCGAAACTGACAACTACAATGACAGATTTTTAATGAAATGCGCCAATGAAACGGTGACTATCGAGTTGAAAAATGGTGCGTCCTTCCCCTTCTCCGTCAACCAATCGTCCATCTCAAACCAAGCTACCATTCAACCAACACAAAACTTACGTACGACAGGCACAATCCTCCACGGCACCATCACCTCCGTCTCCCCGCAAATGAACACCTCTCTCCGCACCGTCAAAATGACCCCCAAAGGCCGCGACCCAATTTCCCTCGATACCATCAACATCCGCGGCTCGACGATCCGCTACTATATCCTGCCCGACAGTCTGCCGCTCGACACGCTGCTCATTGACGATACACCCAAGCCGAAGAACAAGGCGCGCAAGGAGGCCGATCGTGGTGGACGTGGTGGTGGCCGGGGACGCGGTGGTCCGAGGGGGAGAGGCCGTGGTCGTGGTCGGGGCAGGGGTTTCTAGGCGTGCGCGTCTTCAAAGTTTCGGATTCGGATTCGGGTTTTCGGATGCGGAGTTTGATTTTTCATCTTTGGTTTTCTACGTTTGTCATTTCTTTTCCGTTTTGTGTCGGGTTGATGCGCCTGTCTGTGGGTCTGTGCGTGGGATTGAGACCGCTTCTTTGCCCAGCGATGATATTGGACTGTGGTAGACTGTAAAAGGAAGCGAAAGGAACTGGAAGCATCTCCGCTTCATCGTCCGCTGAGTCTCGGAAGGAGTATAGGTAGGAAGTGGGCTTCGTCCGGACGAGGACTTTTCGTTCCGACACAGATGGGATAAAGCTATGGTTTACTTCCAACTCTCTGTCTTCGCTCTCTGTCTTCACACGAAGGCTCGGCATGACTGTTCAAAACGAAAGGGGAGCAGATTACTCGGCGAAGGGCGAGATCAACCCTTTATCAAATCAATCCTCATCAATGTCTAATAGAACGAATAAAAGAGAACTCTATCGATCATCCCATCATAGCATCGTCACTTCATCATAGTTATACACAAACAGATAGTCTATATCTATAAACAAATGGCCAACCCAAAGGTACTCAATCCCTCCATATCCTCACAATAACCAGCTTCTCCCAGCCCGCTTGCACCCCGCTATTCCCCACCGTCTCGGCCTTCCATCCTCCTTTCCACCCCCGAATGCGACTCTTGACTTCCTCCGGCCGATTCTGAGCACAGAGCAACACATAGGCGACGCCGCGGTTTGGATCCAAGACCTCCGGGATCGCCTCGAGCAGCTTGTCGGTTGTCTCCATGCCGTCACGGCCCCCAGCATACGTGAGCGAGAGGTAGTACGATTCGCGCTCGAATTTGGCGCTTCGTGATAGGTTTGTGCTAGTGTCTTGTGCGGTTGTAGAGGTAGATGTAAAGGGGATCTCTGGTAATTCTTCTGTGGGGACATAGGGCGGATTGAAGAGGAGGATATCGATTGTGCCTGGGCGGAGCGGGGAAGTGAGGTTGCCTGTCACGGCGGATAATGCTATCGACGTCGGTTTTTTCGCTGGTGTTTCTTCTGTTGGTGTCTCTACACCTTGATTTTCTACCTGCCGCTCAAGCACAGCCTTCTGGATGGTCTTCTGCGTTGCAACGCACGCATCGCGATTGACATCCGTAGCAAGGGCGAGGACGTCGCGGCGCCCGAAAATGAGTTCAGAGTTTGCAGTCACGAATCCGAGTACGACGCCGGAGCCGCAGCCGACTTCTAGGAGGAGCGGGGATGCAGACGGGTTTGTAAAGCGGGACTTCAGCCATGCGGACTCGGACGCGGAGGAGAGGGTGTCGAGAAAAAGGTACGAGTCTTCGGAGGGTTCGTAGATTGTGTCGAAGGAGACGTGCGATGTGTCCGGGGTCGGGAGCATCTTGAAGCTCTTGTTGAGGGTGAGAAGCCGTAGCGCGGGGTTTAACGGGCTGGTGAAGGTGAAGAAGCGATTCGCGATGCGGGACAATAATTAAGAAGAGGAAGAAAATCGCAGGACGAATATTTCTCCGCTTGAGCTTCAACCGCGGCTCCTGCATCTCCAACTCCTCCGCACCATCACGTCAATCCCCAATCCAACTCAGCAAGAATCAACGAATCGTTACCGCTAGCAAAATGAGAGTATTCACCCGCCTCCTCTACGCGACTCCCGCATCAATGGGCTCAGCCTCCAGCCTCAGCGAAGCGCTCGCCCTCCTCCCGCCCATCCCGCTCTACCGCCGCATCCTCCGTGTGCACCGCAAGAAGCTCGATCCCGAGATGCGCATCCTCGGCGACTCATACGTGAAGAGTGAATTCCGCGCGCATCGGAGTACGGAGAACCCGTTGCATATTGTACGTCTCCCCCGGCTGTTTACTGTCGTTCTGAGATAAGTAGCGGTGGTGACGACCGGGTATGGTTGGACGATGCTAATATGGTGAGGAATCACAGATCGGATTCCTTACGGAGTGGCAGTTGTATGCGCAGAAGCTTGAGGGAGATTCGTGGATTGGAGAGAAGCTAGATAAGGGGAAGTTGGATAAGATGAGCGGTGAGTATTGTACTGCTGAAGGTTCGCCAGTCCTCAATTGGCTAACCAAAAACTGTAGACCAGCAACTTGGTCAGTTGTACGAGCTGATGCAGACGATTAAGAATAAGGATGGACAGGGTGATGAGTAGTGTGACATTTGTTTGAGTATTGTAAGCTATCTATGCTAGTTGGCGGGCATATTGAGTGGAGCTGTGATATTCTGGACGTTATACAAAGCGCGCGTTGATTGGCGTTGAAGTTCTTCTTGCTGTATATAAGACTGTATATATTCTCCCTTTACACTTGGTATGGCAGATATAACCCAAAAATTGGAGTGGAGAGAATCCGAGAATCAAGCGCCCCAGTCACTTCAACAAACCATGAAACTAATGACTGTGGAGAAATTGGAGATATATAGCCTATATCTTAGCCACGCCCTACATTTGACATTTTATTTTCATCCTTTATATACTGCCAACCAGACTCATCCACCCCTAACATACTTTCCCCATACAAGCAACTCTTCGGCAAGCCAAGGGCAATCAACATGCCCTCTATCCTCGAAGACCCCGCCACCATCACCCCTGCACCCCGCCACATGCTGCACTCCTTGAAGGCTACCCCCCATCTCTTCACTCCCATAAAAACCACGCTCAAAACAGGAAAAGCGGTAACATTGTACCCAATTACGAACGGCCCATCATCCCTGCCTCAATCTCTCCTCCGCTTCCTGCACGCCGAGTTCTCGGCGGAGATTGAGAGGGGGTGTACGTATCCGATGGAGGAGGCGATGGATTTTGAGAAATTCGGGGAGTATTGGTTTGGGGTCTTTGGGGTTGTTGCGCTTCTTGATTCTGGGTCTGGTGGCGAAAGATTGAGTGGGGAGAGGGATTGGGAGAGGGAGTGTTTGGGGACGTTTTATATTAAGCCGAATTATCCCGGTATGTTCCTTCCTTTTCTATAGATCCAACGTAGGTATTCTCAAAGGATAGATGCGTTAACACCTCGGGCCAGGCCGCTGCTCGCACGTATGCAACGCTGGATTCTTGACGACGGGGGCGGCGAGGAATCAAGGTGTCGGTATTGTCATGGGCAAGGCGTATCTGCAGTTTGCGCCGTGGCTGGTATGCCTCCACTCTCTTTCCGGCCCTGGCTTGCCTAGGCTACATCCAGGGGTGAAAGCGGCTGACTGATTATCCAGGGCTACAAATACTCCGTCTTTAACCTCGTCTTCGAGAACAACGTGGCCTCGGTCAAGATCTGGGAGAAGCTTGGGTTCAGCGTTATCGGCCGCGTGCCGGGCGCCGCGAGATTGGCGAATAGTGAGGAGTTGGTTGATGCGTTGATTATCGGGAAGGACTTAACAGGAAAGGTAGATAAGGAGACAGACAAGGCTTAAATTGACAAATTAGATACTCCGTACACCTGGTATGATGAATATGAAGATATACATTGCGCTAATCAACAGCCTGAGGTATCAGTGCGAAAGGGGAATCATCGAAGCAATCTGGCAACTCGAAATATGACCATGGGATAATACACAGGTGAAGATGAAATAAATAGCACGGAATATAAACCAGACTTCGGCCCGCGAATTAGTCTTAGCCTCTCCATGGAGGTCGGTCTGCCAGTTTGCTCCGAGTGGCAGGCGTGGTGTCCTTGCGAGCGGAGCCTCTGGGAAGAGGGAGCAGGCTGATGCGGCGGCTACCCGAATGTCCAAGCGCCGTGCCAGGGCGTGCGACACTTGTTGGGCTGTCTGGACTCCGGTCCTTGTCGTGCGAGACACTGCGGCTGAAAGACGTTCCTGCAAAGCTCTGTCGGCTGCGGGGCGCATTGTTCATGTTTTCTGCTCCAGGTGGTCGAGTCAGTTTGCTGTAAGGAGGAGGATCCAGAAGAGATCGACTGAATATGGGAGACGCCGTGCGCCCTGGGCTGCGTGAAGCCAGGCGGCTGGACACACGACTGGCGGGCCTGCCGGTACCCGGTGCGGGAGACGCAGACATATCCCGACGGGTTGGGCTTGGGACCGTCGACGATGGGCGGGTAATACGACTGGGCAGGGATGAATTGCGTAGTGAGGGTGACAGGTTTTTGTGCACGTGCCCGACTTCCAGATCGTGAGTGTTTACACTGCCATTCCAACGTGGGCGGTTAAGCATGGCGGGAGAAAGCACGGGTCGTGAGCTCTTTCGCGTAGCTGGTGTAGGTGTAGTCAGACCATTCGGTTTCGGAGATGGAGCTGTCAGGCTAGTCCTAGGGATGCTTGATTTTCTCCCCGTCAAGGTGGAAGATGGCTGCGGTAGCCCTGAAACTCTGCGGCCTGACAACGGCGCTCGAGCATTGGAGCCCACAGAGCTACCGCGCCGGCTTGACGATCCTAAAGCACGAGGCTTATTTGCAGGAGTCATCACGATCGAAGAAGCTGGTGAGCTACCCGGGGTGTCAACAACACTACCCGTAGCTGGACTATCCATTGTGAGGATACTGGAGATGGAGTCGCGCATATGCTGGGTTCGCAGGTGTTGGACATCTTCAAGTGAGGAATCCATCACCTTGACGCTAGCCTTGAGGGCGTCAACCTTGTTGCTCATCTTTTGCAACAGACGTATAATTTCGCCGTTCACCGTCAGCCTATCGTTGACTCCCTTTTGAATGATTGAAACCACCCGCTCGATTGCAGGAATGTAGTGTTGCTTCTTAGCCTCATAGCTCTCTATTCGCTTGGTGAGCCCACTAGGATTGTGAAGGTGCATTCCCGTTTCGAGACCCTCTTGTAGCTTCAAGATACTTCGCTCAACAGACTCAAACATCTTTTGCGCCTGCGAGCCAGCATTCCTGAATACAATGATCCACCGGTCCTCAATCAGCTCCTTCTGCAGCGCCTCGGCATCCGCTTCGACAGCTTGGTAGCCCTTTTCAAGTCGGTCACGACGGTCTTCCAATTCCGCACAGGCAGAGGGAAAGATACGTTCCGCGCGCGACTGAAACATGGACAGTCTCATGGGCAAAAAGTCAAGAGAAGCGCGCAACGGTTGCAGTCGGGCGAAGAGACCGATGAGTTCTGTGTGCTTGGTGTCGTTCTGGGGAGTTTGAATCATAGGAGGGGCCATGGCGGAGGGAGGGGTGAACAGGGACCCTACACTGGAACGTCTGTTGCGTGTCCCACTGGACGGTGTCTCTTCCACAATCGTCTCCAGCTCATTGATGTCCATCCCCGTATGCTCTTCGCTTGATAGATTAAAGTGTCGCTTCTCCTCCATGTCGAAGATGAGGCGATCCAAGTTGTCAATCTCTTTACCCACCTCGCCCAGGACGCTGCTCCACAGCTCCTCCCACTCCATGGCCAGTTCGACCTGCTCCTTGATGTTTCGAAGTCGCGACTTGATTTGGGCCCAGCTCCGTAAGATGGCGTCCATTTGCGCAACGATCGTCTCGAGGCTGTCGGTGCTGACATTAGCGATGTCGTCACGAAGTTGCACCGCTTCGATGGCTTTTACGTAGACGTTCACCAAACTCTCAAACTTTGTAATCGCCTTATCGACACCATCAAGGCCATCTCGCCCACCAGCCGCAGCCCATTCGACATCATCTTCCGCGTCTAGTCCACTGAGCACATCCGAGGCCTTTCTGATCCATATCTGAATTTGTTCCGAGGCGCCACTCAGCGCTTTAACGGCATTTGGAGCGTTGGATATTGAAGCGATACTAGCTGCAAGCGACGAGGGTTGAGGAAGGGTGATGGAGGTAAGTTGTTGTATCTGGTTGCTAAAGGAGGCCCGGGAGAAGGAGTAAATGGATTCTGTGCGTTGCAGGCCTCTCGGATTGAAATATGACTGACTTTGTGACGACGCACTCGACTGAGGAGGGGGAGAGTCTTTCGGCGGCGGAGGGGGCGCGTCGTTGGCTTCGAGCTCGCTGGTCTTTTGGATATACTTTTCGAAATCTGTCTGGCCTTCTGTCTGGTCTCCCACGTTAGAATCACCTAGTTCGCGACCCAGCGGCGCTGGGGCTGACTCAACCACAGACATGGCTGTTGGAATGTCTTCCACCTCTACCTCCTCTGTAACGTCACGGTCGGATGATGGCGGCGGGACGTCCTGCTCTGACCCAGGGATATAATCCGCGACCGGGTCCGGTTCAGGCACGTCCAACGCTGACTGCTGGAGTTGTTGTTTATTTTGGGGCTTGCCGATTAGCTGTATTCCATTCCACACGCGACCTCTTTTTTCGATTTTGACCGAAAGATTTTGGTGCAGACTGTCCAACTCCTTCAGATGTTCCTCAGGGATGCGACCGACAGCTCCGTAGTTGCGGGTGGAGGATGATGTTTTGGCACTACCGTCGAGTAGCTTGACGCGGGCAGCTAGGCCGGGCGACAGGCGACGGAGGATGGACGGGCGAATAAGCGACTTATCGGATTGGTCGTTATCGTCGTAGTCGTCCTCGTGCACGCTACTGCTTCCTATACTGCGAATGCTTCGTAGCGATGATTTCGATTTGATCCGGCGTGGTGCGGTGGGCTCATCTGCGGGAGAGACCGAAACTGAGGGCGCTGCTGGTGGCGGAGGAGAAACTTGCGACGTGGTCGTGGACGTGTCTGGCAGTTCCGAGGTGGCTGTCGACGCGGAAAAGATGGCGCGCATGGGTACGTCCACACCTCTCTAGCCCGGATAGACTGGTGGGCTAGAGAACTGGAAGTCTGGTGAGAAAGTGATAGAGAGAGGTGAGAGGAGTTGAGACGGCTGAAGAATGTTTTGTGGCCGAAGTATGCCCCTTTGACTAGCACCTCTGTGCTGTGCTAGTGCTCTGGGTCTGACACTGAGGCTTGGTGGGAGTGGGGTGATGAGACGATGAGCTGTTCTTTGAAGAGAGTCTCAGCCTACATGGTAATCTGTTCGTACTCAGATTCAGAAGGCGAAGAAACATTAAAAGTGATGACCGAAGGGAAGAACCGGAGGCAGAAGAGTTCATTTCTTTTAATTACATTTTCCTTACATTTCCTGACAATTTGCCTACTGATCGTCGCCCACCAGAGCCCTGGATTCCAATAGTGAGCTCCTTGAAGGGTCCAATTCAGGAGACTCACCTTATCTCCTTTCTGCGCTCTTTCCTTCGCAACCGATTATTTTCTGCCCTTTTAATTCCTGTCGAGGAAATATTGTGTAGTAGTTCTGGAGGAGTGCATTCCTGAAAACCTGGAACCGAGCATTGCCTCACCCATGGTATCACTCTCCAGCTTGTCCGAGTCAACCGACTTTGATTTCATTGATTCTTGGCTAGTAGAAAAGTAAACAATTGATATATACATAGATGGAGACGAAAATTAACCTAGTCTGCCAATCATGGAGAGGTGTAATGCAAAGCAATGGAACCAAATATACAACCGTGCATAGGAACAAACACCGGAATCTAACAAACCGTCACAGACGAGTAAGGGGTATCAAAGTACAGGCAGTGTGGAGCTGCAAACAAACGTCATCCGAAAGAAACAAATAATACGTGGTCCAAATCAACTCCTTCCCATCCAAGACATCGCGCACCGATAGACAAGACACACGCGGGGAGCTGTCATGAAGTGCGGACGAGCAGACCGTCAATACTGGCAGCAGTCGCCCGTCTTCTCAAGACCCGCAGATCTTGGGAGAGTTCTTCCCGGACAGCTTTACACCAGCCCATGATCGCCTTGTCGAACTGGTGCCACGCGTCGTCGCTACTGCCGTAGACCACTCCCATCACGTCCATCTCCAGCTTTGTCTCCCACCGGAGTTCGGCTGCCTTGATCCAGTAACGAAGGTTGTCTGCACGCCGATATGGCTTGGCAACGTCTTCATGGAAAGACTTGATTTCGCCAAACGGTCGCTTGGACTTCTTAACGCCCAGGTTATGTAACCGTACCAGGTCACGCCCGTCACGGAGCTGCTCAAGAAATGCGGACGGTAATGAGCCGTTCTCTGGAGCTGTCCAAGCTGGCAACGGTGAATCCGATCCTCTCAAACTGGCCAGAAACGCCTCTTCCCGTTGCCGTTCCCGGCCTGTCCAATCACCCTCAATCCAGACCCAACCTGCTCGCTCCTTGACTTCCGCATCTTCAAGCTGCGCCTCCTTGGAAAGCATATCGCGCACATCGGACATCCAGCCTTGTACTGCTGTCCGCTCTTCCTCTTGAAGCCCACCCTCAAAGTTGCGCCCTGCCCATCGTTTCAAGACCTCCAATACACTGAATAGCTCCTGTCTAATTTCGCGTTCGCTTTTGATGGACGCCAGCCGCTCCGGGTACTCGTGGGTCGTATAATAGATTTTTGCTGCACGAATCGCGAGGGTAACGACGTCCAGAATACGCATTCCCTGGATTTCGTCCCAACCCTTGCGTGCTGCAACCATATCCGCCTGACGTTGTGAATCATCTTCCGAGTCGGTATTAGCGTCCGGCGGGAGATGGATTCGCGGGGGTAGCAGCTCTGGACAAGGTTCATCCTGAGTTATCGAGTCGATTTCTTTCTGTGCCTTCCATATCGCATTTAAGAGATCCCTTCGCAATTGCAGCAAATCTGGTGGTGGCGGAATATAGTGGGTCTTAATGCTGTAGGTGCTCACAGTTGGCGGGAGCATGACCTCACCGTCATCGAACCCCTCTTCTCCTATATGCGCAGCATCTTCCTCCGTCGGGCTGAGAGTCAAGTCGTCGGTGAATCGGGCATTCGGAGTGAGAAGCAGCTGAGGGACATCGTCCGCGCTCTTGTTCTTCTTCTTGTATTCTCGACTATTCCCGCCTCGGCCCTCTAGTAACCCCGTCCGAGCAAAGTAGTACTGCAGATGTGCAATGCTGCCCAGACTCATCACACTTTCCCTATTTCTTGCAGACGCGGCGAATTCTGCTCCCTGTGGGCGGATATACCCCCGTCTCCGCGTGGAGACTGAAATCGAGGATCTGGCATCGCCCGATGCGGTGGAAGATGTCGATAGCGAGGAAACTGTAGAGAACGTACGATCTGGGGACGGGCACGATGAAATGGCGGGGGTAGGGGAGACAGAAGGAGACGGCGAGGAGTCTCGGACAGGAGGGGCTCTTGATTTAAACTCGGCCGGATCCTCCATTTCCACGTCGATCAGAAACGGTGTCTTGGTTCATACGAGGACTGTAGCAGATTTGTGTCAAGTATAGAAACGGTTGTTTTGAGTGCGAAGAACCTGAAAAGAGGACAGTTGTCACAGGGAAGAGAAGCAACAGATTAACAAGAACAAAAATAGGGACGAATCCTCGGCAGAGGAACGAAATTAGAGATCGTGACCGATCTGCAGGCGAGAACAAACTTGAGACGTTCGAAAGGGGGTTCTTGGGCTTCTTTTTCCACACTAAAAGGGGAAGCGGGTCAATTATTCAATAGTCGCGGACTTTGTCTTTCAACGTTGCCGGCATGATCACCCCTGCCAAAATCATCAGGGAACTGTGGATGCCCAAGGATATCTATGGGAAACGTCCAGTTGTTCAGTGTTGGCAACTTGGCTGTTGTTTGCTTCTTTCCCTCCTTCTGTGTTCGTCGGATGCAACCCCTGACAGGATATGCAATCCCACCACAAGCTCGAAGCACACGAACCTTGGGAACACTGCAGCTGCACCCTGCGGTGCCGCCAACCGCAAATTGGGCTACTCCGCTGTCCAGACGGCATCAAACGGTTGTTCCAGAAGAGTGGGCATGTGAGAAATGAGCGGAATTAAGGACATCAGAAGCAGAAAAATCCGGGGCCGCCGGATATTGCCCTTCCTAATCAGGCCTAGATCATTGCATTGGTTTATGGACAATATCAGAACGATTCAACAACATCCGATTCAAACATTCGTTGCGGAGTACTTGAAGTATGATTGAAGCTATTGGAAGGTAGGCCAGACGCATCAATGCTACTTTCTTTACAAGATGTTCGGCTCGCCCACCATACTTAGGATTTGCTAGTGGTATCCGCTGTGGTTGAGAATACCCTCTGAGCTATTACCAGGTCCTCGTGGATCTCTTGAGATACTTGGCTCTGGCCTAGGGATAGGATGGTATCTCTTTCGCCCGCGAGAACACACAACCCTGGAAATCAAAGTTTCCAAGGCAGATTTTTGCCGTAAGCCGCTTCGGCTGCTAATGTCTACATCTTTGCCCTACAAAGGGTGTCGGTGTGAGACCTAGGTCTTCCCAAGGCATATTGCGGTACAGGCGATACAACCAAAGAGTACTGCATGTAAAAAGGAACCGAATTAAATACTTCTATAGCAGCCCTAATGGATGTCTCTATTACATCCAATTGGCAACAAAAGTGGGGCAAAGAGAGTGCGTATGAAGTGGTGGTATAGTGATGGTACATGCCAATGTTTGGTATATTTATGAGGCCGCCCTCTGTCCTTCATTTTGCTTCCCGCGGTAGCCACTACCGCCTCGACCGCCTCGGCGGGAAGAACTAGGGGTAGATTCCAGACGAGATTTTTTCTGAATCTGTGATTGTAATGGAGAAGGTCGGTGCGATTCTTGGCGGGAAGGCATTGGACTCGCGTTAGCTGCAGCGGCAGCCTCAGAATCACTCCGCGGTAGTGGCTGGGGTGATGATGCGCTGCCAGGAACACCTTGAGGGCCCTTCCCGCGTCTCTTGCGTTGCGCCGAGCTCTTGTTTCTGCGGCCGCTTCGATCTCCATGGTCAACTTGACCGTCTTGGCCTGCCGCCGCGGAGGCCTCGGATTCCGGTTCAGGGATGCCTTGGATGCGCCTACTTTCTTTGTCCCACCATTCCTGGAACGCTTGTTCGGTTTGGATATCTTGCAAATTGTGCTTGGCAGTTGCGGCTTCGCGGATTTCGTCCTTCTCGGTTTGTTGCTGCATCAGGATCGTGGCTAATGACATGGAGCTCGCGGAGTCCGAGTGAAAGTTTGTTTTGTAGGGTTCTGCCCGTGGAATATGACGGACAGACTGGATCGGAGGTGGTTGATTGGGGGATGTTGAAGGCGCTGCGGTGGACGGTCCAGAGTAGGAACCTTTTGCTGGGAGGTGAGTGGTGGCCGAGACACTGCGACTTTTGGTCTGCGTTGATGGAGCCGGACTTGAGGATTTGGGGCAGGGCGCCCCTGCAACTGTCTGACGAAGGGTCATACCTGGTCGTTGAACAGACTTGGGCGCGGTAGGAGTCGAAAGGTCTTGTCTGGCACTGGGTGGCGGCCCGGTGGATGATGAGGCCCCAGCTTGTGCAGGAACCTTCCAAGGATTCTGCGGGCCATCCTTTGCTTTTTCTTGTGCCGTAAATCTCTCTTGCATTTGTTGTTGCTGTACCTTTTTTCGTTCCTTCTGGGACAATTTGGAAGCAAAGGTACCGCTGCCTTCTCTCCGAGCAGACATTCCCAGGCTGAGATTCGAGACTCGGCTTTCCGAGGACTCAGTCATGATGTCCTTCAATGCTTTTTTAGAGCTTGAAATCACAGGTGAGCTCCAGGGCGCCTGAGAAGAATGCGGCGGGGACACAGATCCATTGATACCACCCCGAGTTTGGAACCCCGAGGGAGACTTGACAAGTATATGGTCATGAGGGGAGGCCATCTGGTCATCCAAGTAGCTTCGATTCACAAACGACCCTGTCTCCTTTAAACTGGAACCTAATCTTGACGTATCGTTCCAGGCTCGAGAATCTTTCTCATCGACGAGCTTGGTGCCGCGGTCCACTGCTTTCCCTTTTCCTAGACTAGAAGGGGACAGCAGCTGTTCATCATCCATCTGGAACATCAAGTCACCAGCAGACAGTTTTGGCTTGAGAATTGGACTATCGTTGGCGGTCGAAGGGTTGTCATTGTCCAAAGTCATCTTGAGTTTTGACACTGAGGATGACACTGCAGTCTTTTCATAAGACGCTCGGGGCTTTCCTTCTTGCATTTCAAGCTTGCCAACGCGCGATTTGAGCCTCATAGAGTCGATCCGTCGCCGCTTGTCGGACTCTATTGCCGAAACGAGTTCTGGGTATCGTTCCAAGCTATACTCTAACGAATTGCGGCCACGGGAGATGGGGAAAGCTGTCAACTGATTATCATGACAGACACGGTCAAGCGCGCGGAGCAAATGTTCATCAAGCTCTTCAAGTAATCTATTAATACGTTAGTGACTCTGCCGCCATGTCGCCCCAGACTCACACTCACTTGTTTGAGATGAGGTCTTCCAAATTCAAGCAAATATACTCCAAAGCAGCGTCCTTGAACTCCGCTATAAAGCACGGGGCAACGGCATTAAGAAGCTGGCAAACATTGCGAGAAGTCACTAAGAGTTGTTAGCAATGTTAGACTCATGTCAGGTACGTGGTAACCCACCAAACTTGCCAAGAGCCTTCTGGCAGATTTGTGCTAACCTATCAACCATCAACTCATCCGCGACGAAAGCAACGTCAATGATTAGATCAATCAATTCTTGAGTGTCTCTCGTTCGAACTTCATCAAAGAGGCGATCATCTGTATCGGTGTAGATATATCGGAGGACGAATTCAAAAACGGCTCGATCAATATGCTTGAGGTCAACGTGAATTCTGTCCTGTGGGTTCTTGCGGCGGGATTGTAGCCAGAAGCCACCAGAACGACCGTGAAACAAGGTGTCGAAAAAGGGACATCGCTGACAGATAACTTGGCTGTGGGCAGTCATCTGGCCGTCACTCAAATCAATTACGACATCGGCGCTTTCGTGAAAAGCTGGGTCCTCGAGGGCTCGTGCAAAATCGACTTTGATGCTCTTAGCAGGCCGGACCATCAGTATCGCGGCTCGTTCCAAAGCAGGCAGGTTTAATTGTGTGGCAATCCGCATTACTTCAGTTCGCACCTGGCGATATCTGGCAGCATTTTCCGGCGAATATCGAGCCTGTTGCCAGACATCAAAAACATTGTCGCTGTAGAGAAAGAATGCGATGTTCAATACAACCCAGATATCGACCCCTTGGAAGATTATCTGGCACTTTCCACCTTTGTCTTTTTCGATAGTAAAAATATCAGGCATAAAGGCGGGTCTTTCAGATCGAAATTCGTGGAACGCCCTTCTCAAAACGGTGCTGCGGCCTGTCAAGATAAATTCGTGAATAGGAACCCGTACATTAGAAGTGGTTGTCATGGCCCAAACTGTTCCGGCTGGAGGGTCAGCCGTGGGTGGAAAGTAAGAGTCAAGGTTTGAACAACCCATAATGGCATGCCTAATTGCTGTAGGTGTGCCGTTGCCATCTGAGCTTGGTGTTGAATGGAATGGTGATAATGGGAGAATATCATCCCACAGTTTTGTTGGACCAACACGTATCTGCTCCCTGGTCACATCGCACTCGCGTTGAGCAACCGCAAAAGCCCCGAAAGCATTACTGCAGACACCTACCACTCGAGACAAGGCTGGAATACGAGCGAATTTGTAGTCCTTCGATGACCCACCCTTCGTCCTGCTTCGCTTCTCTTTCCTCCATGCTGAGCCGGAAGCTGTGCATATGATGATGGATCCATCTTGTCCTACATCAACATCTTTGACAGCCATATGCGCTTTCTTTACAGACCAAACTCGCGCGGGCGCAGACAGGGAGTTGCGAATCTTGGATGGGTTGGTCGTAGAGGTCAAGCTTGGTAAATGCTCTAATTTGTCGACCTGTGCCGTGAAGACATCCCCCGAGCTTGACAAAGCACATATGGTACTACCTCCAGTTCTTATCTTGACAATGCGGTTTATCGACGCATCATATCGAGTAGCCATAAAACTGTTTCTTATGAACCGGGAATTGGCCTCCAGGGGGAACGAAAGTTTGGTATAGCCGAAATGAGAAAACACCCAGACTTCGTGGTTTTGAAGTAGGATTGCGGTCGCCTGATCGATGGCGGACACGATGTGTATTGGAGCGCTAAAAAGCGAGGCTCCTACCCGCCGAGGTGTCGTCTGAACCTCGAGCGATCTCGCGTCTGAATCCACAAGTCCCAGTTGGCCTTCGTTTTTACCAAACGTGTATAGGCCAGAGCTACTAAACACAACCGAATGTATGGCAGATGCCGCTGCGCCTAGGATGACCTCTTTCTTAAATGGGTTGAAAATCTGCCTTGGAGATGGTTGTATCGGCACATCATCGTTATTGCCTGTCCTTGGGAGTCCGTAACCCAGTTGACCGAATTTGTTGCTCCCCCAGCTGAAAATGTCTCCTTTATCTGTGATCGCAAGAGTATGGTCTTGACCGAGAGCAACGGATACAACCTTTTTGCTGGCAAGGCCTCCACCCTCGATACAAACAAAGCTAAATCTTGTGGTTTCATCACCGGTACCTAGGCGGCCACCAGGGCCAAACCCACACATGAAGAGGTTGGATTCGGGATCCGTCGTAAGTATGGCGGTATGAAGTTTCGACATTGCGATGGTCTTGAATTTGATTGGCTTGGCCCTGATGAAAGCTGGCAAACCTTGACCGAGGTTCGACTCACGAGGTACTATTGAAGCTGGATTTTCGTGTTTCTCTTGATACTCTCGATATAACCTGTGCAAAAGATGCTCTGGACGTTTCAGCGCTATTCTTTCGGGGAATTGGCGGTCATCCTGATCTCCGACTCCAAGGTTCAGGTTTTTATTGCTCCCAAATGTGTAGACTTCGTCGCCAAGCCAGTGCGTGCCTCCTGGCTTCTCGAAGCTTTCAGTAGCATCATCTTCGTCGGATGACTCGGCGGAAACTGCATCATCTAAGTCAACTTCCCGGATGGCGGACCCTTGAGTTGCTGATGGGTTGACATCGCGAGAGTGTATGGTAGCCGTATAGACATCAAAAGGGCTGTATCCCTCCCGGTCCTTGATTTTTATAAGGCCACCGCTTGGATGAAAGAGGGAACCCGGTTTACTCAAGTCCGTCGCATCCCGAGCGTCCCTGGCCATTAGGGCTTGTGCTATAGTAGCGTTACCCGCATAAAGAGCCCGGTGCAGTGCTGTCCATCCACTTTCCAGATCCTGCGCGTAGATATCAAGGTAGGGTACTTCGAGGAGGGCGAGCGCAAAATCGACGGCTGATGGTTTCGATGAGGAGGCGACGTGGTGTAGGAGGGTATTTCCATGTTGATCTCGCGCGTTCAAGTCTTCGCGGGAAAGGTGCTTGCTCGGCCGTGAACCGCCTCGATCTGAGAAGGAAGCCGCAGGAGACGTGCCGGCTGATTTCTTGGGCTTGGGTGAACCGCCCAGGCAAGACGAGGTTACTGTACCTAGACTGCCTGACTGGAAAATTGGAGACCCTCCAGGCCCCCGCTGGCCACCAGCCAGGTACCGCTGGAAGCTTTCAACGTCATCGCGTAAGAAGAATTCCCAAAGCTTGCTACTCATGTGCTCAATTATGATGCGCTGTCAGAAACTCGTTTCAGCCCGGAACCAAAGCGTCAGCTTCACCGCGGGGGTGGGACGCGTTGGCAGGATTTCCGTGGGCGATAAGAGTGTTCTGACGGGATAAGGAAAGAGTCGATAGAGGTCGACGCGTGTTCAATGCTCGTTCAGATTGCAGTTGTCTTTTTCACGGATGCGAAGGTTTAGGTTAAGGATAAAAAATGTGGTCGAGAACGCGATTGTGTGGTGGCGATGACTCCTTTGGTTGACAGACTGGTCACTTATCTCCAAGGCTCGAGGGGCGCGGGAGCGGAAGGTTCGTCTACAACTGTAAATGAGGCTCAAGAATCGTTTGCGACAACGATGGAGGTGCGGGATATCGCGTCCGAGGGGGGAAGTCGGCAATTAATCAATTCGAAAAGTTGCTGGCAGCAGTGTGCTGAAGAGAGCTCCGAGGTGAACCGTGGATAATCGGGATAGCGGAAGGTCGGTAACAACCAATTGGGGACTGTATACCCCTCCATGCGCCCAAAGGAGAGGATGAGGTCCATCGCTTCCGCCCCTCCTGCATCATCACTTGGTGAACATCTACGGAGTAGATGCTCATCGTAATGCAATAGTCGTTTGATTCTGGTGCCCGTGCTTCAGCTCAAAACCGTATGAAGCCACACACTTGTGTGCTGCTCCTCGGGGCTCCCAGACGACGGAGTACATGCAAAGGATCTCGTCTATGTCGATTCTCACAGTATACATGATGTGCGCTGGTAAAAGCCATCAATCTGGACAGTCTGTGCAGCATTGAGATAACATCTTCGCCAAATCCATTCTCCAATGGAGGCAGCTTGCGATTTGCCATGCAGAAGTCCAGAGCCGCGATAATTTCGCGGGCTTACCTATAGATTTAGGAGACGGGCATATCAACGAAGATTCCGAAGAAAAGTGTTCAAGTAAACCACCCGAAGTGTTCTCGCTTGACAACATGGGATACTCGACGCGCTTGACTATATCGCAAAGAAAGTACTGTAGTAGAGTCCTCGTCCTGCCCCAGCAGGCAGCTTAGATGCGTTAGCGTTCAAGGTTCTCTATCGAAGCCCAATCCAGCCTGTACAATCCAGGTGACAGTTTCATTGGTCAGTTGAGGATCTTGCAACGTGACGAGAAGGCACGTCCAGGTGTACTCTGTACTTGAAAGACTACAAAATAAGCACTGTGGACACATGTACTTGACTTATAACTCATGCATGAAAACACGAAAGCTAATATAACCAGAAAACGAGCAGTTCGTGTACAATGAACCAAGCCCAGTCCCAAGTTCTGGCCCTTTGTTCGCAATGCTCAAGGAAAAGGCCAATGCAAGTGACCCATAAATTAGTCTCCGAACCTTGGGAGGAAAAGGAGAACTAGTTTCGGCTTCCTGCAAGGTCGTTATCAGTTGCAGCCTTGTTGCAGAGCGTGGCCCTGGCGCTGTCTTTCCTTTCCTCTGGCCGTAGCATATCAGAAGTGAACTACGGAGTATGTATTATTGTAGGCTCGACGAGAGATTTTCGGAAGTATTCTACTTCGTAGGAGACAGCACCTGTCGAGTCAACATACATAGCGGAAAGTGGAAACTCGCAAGGTGTCTCAAGGGGTGTCTGGACCACGCAGTCCGCCTCGAAACTCCACTGATGGAGTTGCAGATGAGGCGACCAGTCTCGGACAGGCTGATCATCAAATGTCGAAGCCCGGAGGGTGGTCTGTGCCTTGCCTGCAAAAAGGACCTTTGATAACGAAAGATCAGCCACCTGACCCTGTCGTCACGGGAGTACCTTTCAAGACCTCACCGCCTCGGAGCCATCGTTTGCACTATCTCACCAACCGACTGGATCGCGAATTGCGTTTTCTTTGTGGGGAAGACGAGAAGTGACTGGCAGGTTAAGTTCTAGTAGTCTGATCATCTACTACTTTTATCTGAAGTTGAACAAATTGGTGGGAGCTCAGCTAGGCGATTTCGGCTGCGGCAAGCACTGGGTTTAGCCTGACCATTGAGCGGCACTTGACCATCGAGTCACCAGTGTGCGTCACAGACCCTCTGGAATTACTCACCTCATAGTCTTCGCTTCCTGGTCTGTCTCCCATCACTCTTCCGACCTCCTCTTCACGTCCCGATCTATACCTTCTTCTCTTTCCGACCTCCCATCACCGCCGTGTTGATCATGACTCCTTAATTGCTGATCCTCCGGAACTGAGGGACCCCCAATAACTGGAGCCGCCCGCTTGTCCATGCGGAGAAGCTCCCAGGCTTGTCTAGACCACAGACGACTCTCAAACATCCTGTTGCCTGAGTACAGCAAACAATGACATCGCTGCCTGGACTCTAGAGCTCAGACAGTACATTTTTGCGGATTCTTGCATTTCTATTGCTTGTCTTACTTTTCGGCATCTTTCCTTCAGGGTTTCGCTGCATCTCCACATCAAGCACCTACGTTTTTGTTCGTGAGCATGGCCGCCCGCAGCTCCTCCGCCGTCTCCCCATTTCCTTCCTAAGCTAGACAACTACGCCACGATAGACTTGAAACGGCGTCCGGATCCTATATAGCGACTGCTTGCGCCCTTCTGTACCCCTGCCACAGCCATGCATCAGCATCCTAGGTCGCCCGCCCCAGCGGCGCCGACCTCTCCAGCTCGGCCTCGTTCCCAAGACCAAGATCGTCGGTCCAACTCTCCAGCTTTTGATATTCGGACGCATTCAAATAGAGGGTTGGGGATTGAAACAGAGAGTGATGCTGCGGATTCAGCACCGAGCCTGCAGCCCGGTAAAGAAGCCGTGACGAAGCTCAACCAGATCATCTCGGTATGAGTACTCCTCGCTGCTTGCATCAGGTTGCTCCTCCGGGAAAGCTCTAATCCTAACATCATGTAGAACTATCATACGAAAGCTGCTCTAATCATCTTGCACTCTCGTGTCGAGCTTCCCCCCGTTTTCAACAAGGGTTCTGACACACCTCGAGTGAATCGCTGGGTAGGTTTCACTTTCCTTCTGCAGCTGTGCATCTCTTGGCTCCCACAATGCTGCTGCATGCATTATAATGACTGAGATTCTGACGTAAACTTTCTGTGCACAGTTCAATGTTGAGGTGGAGGAAACGGATGTTCTTCGGGAGCAGCTCAAGACTTGGAAGACATGCGATACCGCCGACAACCGACCGCCGCCGATGATTATTGAAACATACCTGGATACGAAAGGGCTCACGAACAACCAGACACTTGTTGCTTTGGACGAAAATGGGAAGCGCTGGGATGTGTTGGAATCTCTGGCTGCCTCCCAGAGCTCGCAGCCAGTGAAACCTCCGTCGTCCAGAGGAGAAGATGTGATCCTGGAGCGCTGGAGAGTAGAATTGGGTGATATGCCCGGTAAATTACCTACCGATCTTGGCTCTATCTTGCCGACGGTATACAAGAAGAGTATCGTCGTTTTCCGATCTCTATTTACCTATTCAAAATTTCTCCCTGCCTGGAAATTCCTTAAACGCAACGGACGGTTTCGAGCGAATCCTGCTCTGAGGATCAAGTATAGGATACTGAGAGAGCCGACTGCTCAGGATCTTTCTAGGGAGGATCGCTTGACTATTCCTTTGTACGAAGGCGCCTCCAAGGTTGTCGATAGCTACAGCTTTGGCGTGACGGAATCCCCTGCGGGTCCATTTTCTGTCCAAGTTACATATCGCACCAACTGCGATTTCCGTGTCGATGACTCCGAAGCTCTTCTGAGCTCCCAGTTCATGGGGGCTGATGATGAGATCTTTCAACCGTCGTTCCCTTCTCGAGGCGTAAACGCCAAAACGCCGAACCCCGAGGTGCCTGGGTCAGCACCGGTAGAGAGACGAACTGTTGAAGACCCAGATCCGAGTCGAGCTTACGGTAGCTTATCAACTTTTCACCATGTAGGCCCTCCTACTGGCGCGAGTCCGATCTCAGCACTACGAGCCGCAAGAGAATCCGGCGCGTCCTCACCATCTCCCCCAACTACCTCTCACCGGAGGCCTCTCGCTACTGCCCGAGCTAGTCCAGTAGGCCGCGCTGCTGTTCTTGCAAGCGAAGGAAATGCCAACATCGCCAGACGGCCATCAATCTCGTTCCAGCCGTTCAAGGCGCCGCCTTTGTCTGCCTCGCCTTCACTGGTTGATCCACCACTAGGAGTGTCGCCGCGCACCGCAGGGCCTGCTCGTGGCTCGTTGTCCGATTCCAGGACTATGCCCCCTCCGTCCATGGCAGGGTCTACGCGCAGAAATCTCCCTCCTGGCCCCGACAATGCAATCCCTTCCTCCAGCTCGGCATCTCCTCGCCCAGCGCCTATTTCAAGATATAGCAGTGCTTTCAGTCATCGTCGTGGCAGGCCATCGTCAGGAAATATTAACAGGATCGAAGACGACAATTCCAGTGGAAGAGCGAGCGCGACGTCCTCCGCCGCTCAACCAGGCTCTGGCTTGCTTGCTGAAATTACTGGCACGAGTGCTGATTCACTCCACGCGGACGATGAGCATCTCTCTGACTTTTTGAAGATGCTCGATTCCAAAAAAGATCTGTTAAATACGTCACTGAAGCAAACCCCTACCTCTGCTGCTCTAGCCCGCTACCGGGGCATGAGAGATTCTAACGCTGCGCTTTCCGATTCGATGTCCTCTTCGCTGCACCTACATCGTTCGTCCAATGCCTCTAGCAAGCAGCTTTCTGGCGTCCCGCCAATGATAGCTGGCACCTCTGTCTCTACCGCCTCGTCGCCTGGGGGAAAGGCGATATCTCCACATACGCCTCACACACCAGCTATCCCTTCTCGACTGAGTTCCAATAGTGTAGTCGACAATAATGCTGGTATAGCAGTTCAATCCATTCCCCATGGAGATAACGGCTCTCTACTCGAGGAGGACACCAGTGACGACACTACTGTTGAACGTCTTCCTTCGACGGTGACTGCAATTCCCATCCCCACTTCACCTGCCTCAATTTTCCCCACAACGTTCCGACGCTCTAGTTCGGCCGCGAATCGTCCACCTAGCGCTGCAGTTGATGACGAGGAGATTTTTACTATGCGCAGTGTCAGCCTCGGGGCTGAGGAACCGACCAACACTGGCCTAAGAACGCTGCAACAGTATGAAACCGCTGGCACCAACGTAGTTCCGTTAGAGCCTAATTCACGCCGGAACGTAGGCGGCGCTACAACTGCACTCCGCGGCACTGCAGCGCGAGAGTCAGGCTCCCATCGAGCTGCATCAACATTGGGTTCAACCGTTGGATCATCGCCATCCTCCAATCACCCGTTACACCAGCAACGTTTGAGCCATTCACGCGGTCGGGGTTTCTCTGGCGGCCCTCACTCCCTGAGCTCCGGTTCTGGCAGCGTCGCTCGTGGTGGATTCATCCCTCCTTATCTTAGCGAAAGAGATCCCGAACGCGATGGTAATGCAAGTGGAAGCAACAGCGCTACAGAAGATCGACGAACCGGGCAGCGCTCAAGCGTTGGTCGGCAAAGTCTTCCTCAATCCACCCAGCTCGAGGAGGACGAGCCTCTGCTATTCGCCATGAGCGATTTCGGTGCGTCACGGCGAAGCTTCGAGGAAGGCCGGCAAGGTAATAACGGGCCCGATTCGAGTGGAAATACCTACAGTTCTAGACGAGGCAGTGGAAGGCGAGGTGGGCTCTCGAGCTTCCACGTCTGGCCTTGAATGACTCACAGAACGCTCCATCAATTCACTCAGAGCGCATCTTTCTTATCCATATTCATCCTTTACGTTGTGCATATTTCGACGTCGAAGCCGCTTCCTCTTCTTCCTTCGCTTTTTTTTTTTTTTTTTTTTTGGTTAACTTATGTTTCGTGCTTTTGGTTCATATACACCTTAATGTTTTGATTTCCTGTCTGATCAGTTTTATCCAGGGTGGCTCTGTTATAGACTGGCAAAGGCGATAGAGAATGGTACGAGTGGCCCTCGAGGGCTCGATTTCGCTGTTTCTCCTCCTATTTTCACTAATGTGGTTTTTCATGAAAATGCGCTTCCTGTGTTGTCGGACCTGTTTAAACTAACAGACTGCTCATCATTGCAGTCGATTGATAAGATATGGATGTATTATATCCATTATATCTTTCCTCTTCCTTTCTCTCATTGTCTTGGATGTTCCCTGGATGTGTCTTCATTTTGTTATACAGTCGAATGGTGTTTTGGCAGTCACATATCACGGGTTTTGAAGCCATGTTAATGGTCAAGGCGTTGGCTGTCCTTTCCGAGCTGGATCCAGACCGACTCATTAATGCTGATTTGAGTGCTCTGCATATTTCTTACGGATTTGCCAAGCAGATGCAAGTTATGGATGGAATTGTGAATTTCTGTGCGGCAATGACATCTCCAATGAATCTGTTGATGTATCAATATCATAATAACGCTAATTATACGCGAACGCTTATGCAAACAGTCGCCATTACATATTGTTGGGTAATGGCCAACCAGGCTAGGAAACGCTGTCAATAGGCAGTATGACGGGCGCTTCGACGGCGCTGCTGACCACTGCTGTTTACTAGCTAGCTAGAAGAAGCAATGCCTGTCACAGGTACCCCAGACATCCCGAAGTTCAGGGAAGATTCGAGGTGGGCCACTCGAGCCCGTAATCGGCGCTGGTGGGAGTACTGTTGCGTTGAGTCCGTCTTACTCGGGAAGTCTAGCTGAAACAGCTAGCGAGACCTTTACGAGGCACAGGACGATACAGTGATGTTTTAGACCGCACGATACGGAGCATCCACGCGCGGGGACCTTCACATCTTGCGGAACGTATTGCCAGATGCACTGCGTCGCTCTTTCGCCTTATAGTCAAACGACGCGGTAGTAGGTCGAGGAGCATTGCTAGGTTTGCTCTTGCCCTTGGGCGTAAAAGTGAATTCCTGTTCGCCAACGACAGCAGCGCGCCTGGACGGCTTCTGTTTCTTTCGCATGTTCTGAGCTCGGGAGCCGAAAGATCGATCACGGGTGGAGTTGATGGCGTTCGAGGAGGAGACCTGCATCTGGGGCTGGCGTCGGTTGTTGAAAGCTGACTTGTTGCCGGTCGATTGTCTTGATGACGAAGACTGTTTCTTGAAGGTTTTCTGCTTTGCGGCTCGTTCTTCTTCGCTATCGGAATCGGAGTTGTCGTCGCTAGAGCTGGGGACTTCGTCGATTTCTTCCTGCTCGACGGCTGTGAGGCCACGAGGTTTTCTTTGTATGGTGGGTTCCAAAGAGCTGTTTCCGTTGCGGAGCTGGTACTCTCGGGAGCTCTCGTCGACGGCAAAGTCTTCGTCTTCGAAAAGCTTGGCGAAACGACTGTCAGCGAGGAAGTTGGGACCCGTTGCGTCTGGTGCGGGTGCGGTTTCAGTTGCATCTTCCATAGGCTCGTCGCCGCCTTGTTCAAGGACCTGTTTGGCCCTGCGACGCTCATTTTTCTCTTCAAGCTCCAGTAGCCTTTCGGCCAGTTTCCTATTAACCTTGACGGCTGCCTTCTTTTTGCCTCTGATTCTGCTCTCACGCTCTTTGTCAATCTTCTCCTTGATTCTCTTCGCGCGCTCCTCCTCCCAGATGTAGGGGTTTGTGATGAGTCTAGCTTCTTCGTATAAGCGCTGAGCGACAAAGTATCCATGCATGTAAGGGCGAAGGAGATTGGTCCTGCCAATCAGATGATCCAAGCTCAAGGTTCGCAGTTGGGGCAGGGTCAAAAACTTGTAGTTATCGTAAATAGAACCGGCCTGGGCAGGGTTGAATGCATTGGGATCGTTGGGATCTTCGGCCATCTCTTCAACGAGGTTGTCGAGGAACGAGCACCATTTCGGAGCCGGCCCGAGTTGAGGGATGAAGAACGAATGTTGCTGTCGTCCTTCGTTCGCTGTCAAAATCATTCCACTATCCTTGCACCAAGCGACAGAGTTGATATCGACTGCAGGCTCGACAGAAGTCCAAGGAGTCCCGTCTCGCGGATCCCAGATTTTGATAATCTTCTTATCCGCGGACAGTATTTTAGGTTCCAGGGTCTGCTCCCGCGTGCTTGACGACGGTAGCAGGAATTTCAGCGTATGGACAGGGAAGCCGTATCCTTGATCCTTCTTTAGCAAAGGCATAGGTGAACGAAGATCGTATAAATGGATGAGTCCGTTTGAAGAGCCAGTGGCGAGGGTCAGCCCTGAACGATGGAATTCCAGTGCTGTAATCTCATTTCGAAAATCATCTGGTCCAGTCTGCGTAGGGGGTAAGAGGACTCCAGCACGGCCCTTCGCTCGCGGATCCCAAAGCTCAACTGTTCCCAACGTGGTACCGAAAGCGAGAAGGTTATGGCTCTCTTCAGCGATTGCTGCCGTGTTCACAGCGCCGGTATTTATCCCGCCCTGTAAGGTCCCTCCACCAGTAGAGGTAAAATCGTCACCTCCGACATCAACCTCGAAGCTGCGCATGTATCGACCTAGCTCTAGGTTGAGTCGAAAAACCTCACCCATGCCATCGCCGTTCACACCGACAGCCGGAACAAGAGCCTCGGTTGAGACTCTATTGTAGATCAGATCACGACCATATCGAGGGAGCCGTGTCTTATAATGGCAACCACCAGGTGTGTGAAACTCGATTGACCGGTCGGATTGGAGATGTATGGACTTCGAATAGTCAGATGATAACAGCTGAAATGTTGTATTGATGGAGTCTGTATGGCGAGCCCATGATAGCGACAGCTGAGGAAGGTGGTGCGTGTGAATCTGGGGTTTGTATGTTCCTGCGAGACAATTAAGACTAATCAGTTATGATTTCCCAGAATTGTCCAAAGAATGCGACTCACCTGTGCTCATGACCCAGTCTCCATCTTCACTAACTCGAATACAATGACTCGCCTCCTCAAACTCGAAGTCTTGTAACAACTCGATTCGGTTCGCATACTCTGGGTCATTCTTCAAACTGCGCTTTCGGCGTCTCGCGAGCCATTCGGGTAAGGGACGGGCAGTATTGGACCCTGAGATCGTATACACGGGAACTTCCGACTGATTTGAGAGCTTCATACTGCTGTGAATGCCCCTAGAAAATGGCGAACCGCGTTATCGAGATCGTCGGAAAAATCATCGAAAAATAAAAAATCTGGGATGATTATCGATAAAAGAATGCACGTGACTGAGTGGATATCAGGTCGTCTTGATTGGCTCCGGTGGGCCAAGGCGAACCTCCGACTTTACGGCAGCGTTGAATGTCTGGAACTCGCCGCATCTTCCGCTGCTCCAGATGTTGATATTGTCGCTCCCTACCCCCTGTCCCTTGATATGAGCCATGATTTATCCTCTGTGACTGTCGCATGTGATACTAGTCTCCATTACCTTTTGCTGGGCCGGGGGTATTCCACAGTTCAACTCGTCGCTGACACCTTGACCATCGCCCAGCTGCGATGGGCCGCGGGTTGCGACACTACATTCCGGTCAACTTCCTTTGGAAATGAAGCTATCGTCGGTCTTTACAGCTTTGCCAGCTACTTGTTCGAGTCTCTCTTGGGACTGCAGCTGAATCATGGAATTTCCTGGAGGATCCATCACAAACATACGCGTCATTGTATGTATCCTTCCTATTCCGCTATATCCGCTGCAGTTCTGATTCGACCTTCCAGGATGGGTTCTCCAATATCTACTGGAGGATTTACACGGAGGATACCGGCAGTTCTAACCCTCCAGCTGACGGCCTTAATAGCGGGCATACCATCTTAAAACATATCAGCCGTCTCAAAGAGCTCGAGCTTAGGCTCCGGAGTTTAGGCTGCTTAGTGTTAAGTTACCCTAGGCGTCTCGGCCTCTTAATATTTTCTGCTACTCCGGACTTTGAACATCTTTCATCATTGCTTTCAAATGACAAGAAAGAGGATTCAAACCGGCTTTTTGTCGGCTCTACCGCCCTGAAAGGTACGCTTACCCAACCCACTTGCTGTATACCAGCAACATACTAACTCTCTTTAGTTTGGACGTCCGGCAGCGTCTCTTCTGGCGATCTAACAAAGAGCCTTCGATCAGACGTTATTCAGCCCACAAACGCCAACTCGCCCGCTGCATCGCAGCGACTACAGGGCGGCTCTGCGCCCCCGAGGCGGGTGGACAATTCGGGTGGTTCAGCGGCCATCTACGCCTCCTTTATCTCGGCTGTCACTGCCGCATTTAGTCTGCAAATCGTCCGGCAGAACAATGCCATCCCACTTGGGCCACGTACCCTCTTCAATACGGTTGAAAGCGAGTCCGGCGAGGGTCGAGGCATTCTCAACGATGGCCCTACTTCTGTTTCAGCTCTCACCTCCCTCCAGGTTCAATTGACCTCTAATGGAAGGTTAACCGTTGCGCTGCAAACCATAGCACAGACCGGGCTTACCCGGCTCGGTCACCTCGACGGAGATTTGTCTGGACTTTCTAACGTTTCACCTGGGACTGACCTCTGGCTGGCGCCCAATGGGTCCATAGCAAGACTGGTAGCGACGCCGACCGGGAATGACAGCTCGCCACAACCACTCTCCAGTTTTGAGTCTGAATGGAAGTCAAATGTTCGACAATGGTTGAGTTATTTTGGGCTTCCTATCGACATCATCACTGATGAAGGCTGGTTGGAGGTAGAGGTTTGGGAACCTTTTTATGCTAAACTGTCCGGAGAAGCCGCTCGGAATAAAGTGGAGAATTCTCCACTTCCATTGAAGCGTATCATCTGGCCTGCCGCCTATTGCTTTACCAGGACCAAGTCAACTAATCCTGAAGCCTTTGATAGCGCCGAAGTATTGCCTTCTTTTGACTGTGACCCTTTGGACTTCGCAGAGACTTGGTGTTCTAAAGAGATTCCCAAGGCTGTTGAGACATATATAAAGCAACCCTCCGAGCAAGAACGCAAAACAACCATCCAGAATACGTTATCTCCAAGCCAATCAAACTTCCCCGGTGGGATTGAAAGTCTATCTCGGGCTTCATTGTACGCCGACCTTCAGACAGCAAGTCTTGTCTATCCAACTCCTCCAGATGGAACTGCCGGCATAGGGGTCAATTCCGGTGCATCCGCCGATATATTCGGTGAAGACTCGGACCATAGCTTCCGGACGCAAGCCGTACAGCAACATGATGTCCGGCTTGTCGGGAAAGACCGATCTGGCTCTGATGTGACCATGGGATTCGGCCCTTCTGCTGGGCTTGCTGTCGGATCTGGTCTTTATGATACCAATGAAGACGACGACCTATTCGGGGACATGAACGGACGGGATTTCGGTACAAAAGGGATAACTGATGCAGATTTCAGCTTCTTTGATGATCCTGATTTCGATCCCACCAGCAATGATATCACTGCAGATGATATGAACGTCGATGGTGTTGAGGAGGTTTCTAAATTTGTTGACACCCAACAACCAGATACTATCGACTTGCCGGATTTGGAGGTGCCTTCACCCGGTAAGATCGCAATAGAAGAATCCTACGCCCAGCCGAGTCCGGAACAACCTGCTATTACACCACCTAACCTACCTATTCCTGATGCCAGCGCACTAGCATCTTCACCGCATCATGACCGAATCCAGACAATCAGTCCTCCTCTCAGCCCCGTAGAGGTGAAGAGGATACTGTTTCCGGAGCCCACTCCCAGTGCTCAGGGCACCATAAAATCCACGCATGCGCCTAGTTATTACAGTCCAGTTGCTTTCAGAAACAACATTTCTTCATGGGACCAAAAATACGGTGCCGATGGAAAGTTTGCGTTTATAGGAGCGGATACTTCAAACAAGGACCCCGCCAACCCTTCAAATGGCATTCCGACGATTGGCCTCCCGCCACGGAAGAGCAACGTCAAAGTACCTGGTCTTTCTAAAACTCTCGATGAACAAGGAAGCCCTCCAAATGTGACCGGCCAAGGGATAATGTCAGATCCCGATTCCAGCAGCGAAACGGACAACGAGAGTGACGAGAGTGATCTGGAGAATAACATACCGTCCACAGCCTCTGTACCCCTCAAGCGAAAGCGCGTCCTTTCCTTTTCAGCGACTTCAACCGCACCGTCTTCAGAAAAAGTCCCCACCACTTCGTCTGATCAGGAACTGGCCACTATTTCGCGGTCTGATGATTCCATCTTTTTAGGGAACTTCCTCTCGACATTCTCGGACTGGTCGATTACAGGATTCTTTTCTGTGGCTGAAAACCAAGTCTTTCCAACTCTGACTTCCAGGGAAACGCAAGTCGAAATTGCGCAGATTTTAGTCGACCAAGTTACCCAGTCATCATTAGACCACAAACTTGATGGAAAGTACGGCGTATCCTGCCTTGATAATGAGGCATTCTGTATAGAGGAGCTTCTTGAGGGTACTGATTTTTTGGGCGGTTTTGAGAAGCTTGACCTGAATAGCTTCGTGTCACTGCAGGAGCAAAGTATTCTATCGCCTTCTGCAATGAATGCCCCTACCCCTCGGCCAAACGCTCAACGCAGAGATTTTGGCAAAGGTTCAATAACGAAACTGTTCCCACCGCATCTGCGAGTCCGACGCGGCAAGGACTACCTGGAAACACTACCCCCTGCAATATATTTCTGGGAAACATTTGGTCTGGAACCTGCTCACGGACCAAAGGACATCGCGAGCTATTGCATACATCCTTGCGTTGCGACCAATGCAGCCGACACATTTTTGGAGCGATTGACCCTTCTTTATAGTGGCTGCAGCCTCGGTACGTTCACCAGGGGAGACCACTCCGGCGCATTTGAGAAAGGTTTGGGGGGATGGGATGCAAGCTCATCAAAACTGTCTAACTATCAGACGTCGATGCAACAGCTTAAGGATATTTGTGAAGAGCTCGGTACGTTATACCTTTTCACCCAGCCAAACCCCACTAATTCTTGAAAGGAACTGCTTTAAACGGCACATCTTCGACGGACAACATTGTTGTTTACGTCATAAATCCATTCTCGCATGCCGCTTCCCTCGTCGATATATGTGCTGCGTTCTTGTGTCTCCTCCAGAAATACGCTGCCAATGCAGACAAACAGCAATCCAAGCAGTTATCTCAAGTTGTACTGCAAATTATTCCCATGGACTTTGTCACGTCATCAGAATCGCTAGTTGTACCTCCCCAAACGGATTATCTCAACCTGGCCCTAGAGATATACAGTCGGTGTTCCCTAAGGCAGGCGCAAGGAAGCCTTATCAACTGCGCCCCGCCTGTGGTACTGGCGGAACCTATTCCACCGACTATAGGCTTCAAACTTGCTTCCGAACGTGCTTCGCCCCTTCAAGAGGGGAAGTGTCTTCATGTCGCATGTTCTAGAAGTCAAGATCAGCGTTGGATGAGTGTCGCTTGGTCTGATAATGTCGGAGTTCTTCAACGTACCATGTCTTATTGTCTTAGGTTCCGGGAATCTACTGTTTCCCGTGATATTTCTACTGTTCGCAGCGAGATATGGACTGCAACGAAAGAAATCCTGGATAGGGACCAAATGCGGTGGAGGATTATTATGGTGAGCACCGAGAATGTGGATCAGGACGAACATGACAGTAAGAGTAGCCCAAGTCGCACCTTGAGGATGCTTATACTGACGACTCTAGCCTGGTTGAACCTTGCCGAACAATACAACAAAACCAGACCTGTGCCTGTGGAGTTGACAATGTTGACTGTCAATACGACCTCTGATCTTTTCCTATCACCCCCACTCCCACCTATTTCGATGAGTGTTCTCAATCCACAGGCTTCTTCCACCCCTGCTGCCACGCCACTTGCCAGTGGCGCTATCCTCTCGCCAGATCAGTTGGGGAACGCGCCGACACCCCCCGGTGGTGCCAACATACCAGCAAACGCTCCTACCCCAACAGACGCGCTTTTTGAGTCAGATGCTGAAGCTTTCCTTGCCGATATCTGTGACGAGACCTGGGGCGTCGTCTTATCCCATCGCCTAAACGGCACCCTGCATTTAACGGAGTATCGCCCTGCCCTTGCCAGTGGTTACCTAGTGCGTCGAAAGGGTGCTACTGACTCTGATGGAGCCTTTACGATGAACGTTAATATCTTGCATACACAACGACCTCCATCGTCATACGAAACCCTTCTTCGGGAAATTCTAGGGATGTACCGCAACCTGGCAACTCTTGCACGTGTGCGAGGTACGCGGATTGTCCAACATGGTACCTTGCCCTGGCACATTGCCACCGCCTTACGAGCTCAGGAGGTATTGAGCTATGTTTTGTGATGTGCCATTATTCTACCCTTTTGCATGTTATATACACTGGGCTGGGTACAAGGCGTTTGGATGTGATCATTTGCTTAATTCGGCGGTTGCACATAGGGTATGGCTTACCATGTGGCTTTGGTTGTTATTTGGCATGACATTATACCCATTTTATCTTATGATTCATTTGTTGCCTCTTCAGCCTACTCCCTACAAACTATGCATTCTTTTTCCTTTCCTAGAAGCGGGTCACCTGACAAGAACCTTACAGGCTTATCATATCTAATCGACCTCCGCTGATAAGGACGAGAAAAATTATTTCGACACAGCAAGCTCAAGCGGCACGATTGCCCACTCCCCTCGTTCTACTCACTTACTGTATTTTTCGCTTTGGGCTGAGGCTGGACTCAACTGAGATATCTTCAATAACTTTATCGCTACTCGATCTCCGTCTGGGTATCACCTTTCTTCCCCCGCACAAACCAAAATCGCCCCTCCACAGACCCCCACACCACAAAACAGAATACTAGACCGGAAGCGCTTCACCACGCAAAGAGAAAACCTTGCGATCACCACAAGGTCTAACGCCTGTACACAGTTCCACAACGATGGCTACCCAACAACAACAACCCTCTGCGGCTACGCAACAACCCCAAACCGCCTCCTCCTACCTCGACCTCGGCGTAACCCTCGCGATAAACGCCTGGCCAGCCCTCACGCTCGCCGTAACCAGCAGCTGGGGCGGTCCAACCTCCTCCGACAAACGCGACTGGCTCTGCGGCGCAATCTCCGAGATGCTTGTTGACCGACCGGAGACAGACGCCGAGGACCTCGAGGACGTGCTGATCCAGGTTATGAATGATGAGTTTGACGTTGTAGTCGATGACGAGAGTGCGGGGGAGGTTGCAGAAAGGATCATGGAGGTGCGCAAGGCAGTTGAGAAGGGGGAGTTTGAGGCTGTGAGGCAGATGTGGGCTGAGTGGGAGGCGAAGAGGGGACAGAGGGGAAGTGCGGTTGCCGGGTTCAGGAGAGGGGAGGATGTAGAGCAGGAAACAGATGAAGATGAGAGCGATGATGATGAAGGGGATGTGGATATGGGAGAGGCGCCGGCTTTGGTGAGAGCGCCGAGAGAGAGGGTCGAACCTGAGGTGGATGAGGATGGATTTACAAAGGTCGTGGGTAAGAAGAAGAGGTAGATTCATGTGCTTTTTGTGATTTCCCAGATAGACCATGCTTTGATGTAATGGATAGGCAAAAGACTTGCTTTACAAGCCACGACGTACAGCCTATTAAAAAGCTCTACATGATAATTGGAAGAACAGACACTTTTTTTCATATCCAGCATAAAAAGCGAGAATAAAGGAGTAAATCTATAGAAATGGGATCCAAATGAACATCATCATCATCAACAAGTCTGAGCCCCTCCCTTTAGAAGGTGTGTCCCTGTTTGGTGCTCGGATGCTTCGACTCCCAGGGGCCGTGAAAGTTTTAGGGGTATCGTCTAGTTCTCATTTTCAATGAGCTTGGTGATCATACCAATAGCAATGGTTTGGCCCTGAAAGAAACGAGTTAGTGCATGGAACAGGCTTGTGATCGCGAAAGTTAGCTTACCTGGTCACGGAGGGTGAATCGTCCCATTTGGTTGTAGTCTTCGAAGCGCTCAACACAGACAGCGCCCGCAGAGCTAGTGATTTCAATACGGGCAATGATCATTTGACCCTTGCTAGCGAAGGGAGGAGGACGCTTGCTTCGTCGCCCTGTACCGGGCTCGAGTTTGTGCAAGAGAGCGGCAACTGTGACTTCTTCGACGGCAGAGTGCACGTGCATAACACAATTGAAACCAGCTGTGAGAATGCTCTTGAGGTCGAGAATCCTGATCTTAGCCTCGAAGGCGGAGACGCAGTGAACCGGGCGCTTAGGTGAGCACATGACGAATCCAGGAAGTAAATCTTCCTCTTCAACACCTCGGAGACGCATACGCACTTGATCACCGCAAGTACCAGTGGCAATCTCATCCTCGGTCTCTCCGTAAAGAGCAGCGATTTCGACCTTTGTGCGGTTAGGCATGATAATGCAGGTCGCGTTCTTCTTAATAACACCGGCTTCGATACGTCCTTCAACCATAGTGCCCATGTCTCGGTACTTGGTACTGATAGGCATCATGAAAGGTGCATTGAGGTTACGCTCAGGCATCTTCATGTTGGTGAGGTATTCGAGGAGAGAAGGACCACTGTACCACGGGCAAAGGTCACTAGGAACACGATCCTTGATACCCAGTGTCCGCTGGGCGGAGATGGGCATGAAATGGAGGTCATCCTTCTTGTAGCCAAGGGCTTCCAGGTACTTCGAGACCTTGACAGTACACTCATCGAAACGAGCCTTGCTCCACTCGACTGTCATGTCATCCATCTTGTTAACGGCGACAATAAGCTTCTTGACACCAGTGTTCCTTGCCAAGAGGGCGTGCTCGCGAGTTTGCCCACCCTTCTCAAAACCGGTTTCGTATTCACCTTTACGTGCGGAGATAACGAGGACACCAACATCTGCCTGAGAAGCACCACCAATCATGTGGTGCACATAAGACTTGTGACCGGGAGCGTCGAGAATGGAGAAGTGTCTCTCGACGGTGCCGTCGGGCGTTGGTACATCGATCTTGAAGTGGGCACGGCCAACCTCGACAGTCTTTCCCTTGGCTCGCTCTTCGTTCGTCAGGTCAAGGGCCCAAGACAAATACCATGTCTCTCGACCAGCTTCCTTTGCATCTCTCTTGTATTTATCGAGGGTTCGCTCATCGACCATTCCGGTGACGTACAGGATAGAGCCACCAAGAGTGGACTTTCCGGCGTCGACGTGTCCGATGAAAACAATGTTAACGTGCTCTTTCTTCTCACCATAGATTTCCTTTAGTGTATCCTCATCCACATCAGCCTGCTGTTCCAAGGCGACTGCGTTCGCATCACGCTTTTCCTTGGCGCTTTCGCCTCGCGACGGGCTGGATCTGCCAGGGCTGGCCCGGCCGGACGGTGTTGGTGACGACTTGCCGCTAGCAGCTGCCTTTTGCTCTGCTTTCTTTTCTGTCTTCTCAACGGCCTTGTTGGCCGTTACCTTGGCAGCGGCCTCAGCCGCCGCGGGCCCCTTAGCATCGGCGAGAGAACCAGAGTCGGAGGAGGGCGTGGTTGATGCGGGTGTGGGGGTACCAATCGAAAGGACTTTCGCTTTGGGTGCGGAAGAGCCGCCAATAGACAGTACCTTGGCGGCCTTGGGGGCAGCGGCGGGAGCGGAAGCGGGAGTGGGAGTGGGTTTAGGTTGCTGCTGTTGTTGTTGTGGAACAGGTTGCTGAGAATATTGCTGCGGCTGCGGCTGTTGGTAGCTGGCGTAGTTCTGGTTCTGGTTCTGGTTGTAGATCTGATTATAGCCACCATAATTCTGGTATCCGCCGTACTGCTGCTGTTGGCCGTATTGAGGGTAGCCACCGCCATATTGTTGAAAAGCTTGACCAGGAACAAAAGCTGCAGCTCCCGGCTGGAAAGAGGCGGCTCCGGGCTGGAAGGTTGAGGCGTGAGCCTGAAAACGTGGTGGTGCGTTGGGATTCAGGTTCACTCCCTGGGTCTTGATTTGAAGTCAAGGGTTAGATTATTCCCCTAGTATATTGAGAGAGAAATGAGGAGACGTACCTGTCTGGAAAGCTCATCTTCCCAGTTCTCAGGAGTTTGGTTGGCCATGCTGAATGCGTCTAAAAACTCGAAAACAGGCGCTCGAACAAGGCAGTGAAGGGTAACGGGGGGGGATGGTATAAAGCAGTCGGGTAAAAGAAAGAGGCGAAGGAGGGGGAGGGGTGTCTAGTTCCGATTTGGGAAGCCACGATGGATTTTTGCACGGATGACTCAGCCGCATCTTTTCCCCGCTTTACAGAGGGTCACACCTTTCGATGGTGGCGGGAAAGCCATGTTTTGCGCGGCTTATGTCCCAAACTGCGCCTGAATATGAGCTGCATGGGAGATATGCGTCATTCAGGGACAAATCTCAGTCTTCTACTTGCCTTGGTGTGAGCCAAATGGTACCTGACCTTCATTAAGGCACCAAAGACAAGATGCCGATAAGCGCACCAGCCACTGTGGCTTGGTCCGTATCGATAAGACATTAAACAATCCCAAATCCGCCTGTTGTTTTCCTCGATATTCTTCCAACAAATATGCTGGAAATAACGCTGACTCGGGACGCATTTCAAAGATGGATGTATTCTTGGCTCGCGTAAGATACCTCAATGACACCGTGAAAAACCACATCAATAGAATGAACTAACTCTGCTGCAGCTCACACAGCAGGCGATGAACTATGCCATTCGGTATACATGCGCCTAAGCCCCCGCTCAGACTTTGTGGGGCCTAATTGACAGCAGGAATATGTGCTGACATCGACTTCAGATCTGGCATTGCCATCACCGCTAGTTATGCTATCCGCCAATCTTCGAGGTTGCTGCAGGTTGGTGGATACATCTTAGTGAAAATGAAAAGATGTGCTGACCTCGTTTATTTCTAGAATGCCGAGAAGAGTGAAGAGAGAGATGAGTTACTTGCACTGCAACAGCGGCTGCAGAACAAGATCCAGGTTGGTTCTTCCCCATCCCTCGATCTGGTCGAGAGCTGATCATGTTACAGGTCATTTCACCGGCGATCGACATGATCGAGCTGATGTAAGTGGCTCACAAGATTGTCGGATTAGAACGCATGCCTAACACTCATAGTGCTGCACGAGGCAATACGTCTTTAGAGTCTGCAGTCGTCCTCACAAAGTCTCTCCGGGTTGAGATTCAGTCACTGGGCCAGCGGCTTGCTATTGCTGCCCAATCTGAAGAGCAAAGTCGAAAAGGAGCGAAATCTCCCCGTGATCGTTCAAGAAGCAAGGAGCTGATTAGGCTTATTATACAAGATATCAAGAAGCTTCTAGTTCGCATAGAAGATGCAGTTCCCCTCATGAACCTAGCAATCACCACTTCCGGGGCGAAGCTATCAACTAACCTACCTCAAACGATATCACCCTCGCGATTGCTTCAGGCGAGCACGTTCCTCACTGCTGGCGACACGCAATACTTCTTCTCCCCAACACAAGCTGTCCAAATCGGTCCCACTTTCACTCTGTCTATGTACATGCTTTTCCTAGGTCATCCCCGTCCGCAGGATGAAGAAGGTGTTCGCGAAGCGACGTGGAAAGAAGTCATACACAAAGCTCGCTTAAAGCTCCGGCGTGTCCCTATGGATCAGGCGATGAGTCCTCAGTCTCAATCGTGGGCCCACCAACTGCCGGCAGAAGCGAGAGTCGATGAGTTCGCCTACCAAATGCTGGTCATCGAGGATCTAGATGATGATCGCGTCCATACATTCGACGAGAACGAGCCCCAACCCCACACGTATGAAGGAGTCGACGTTGCAGGAATACGGGATATTATACCAATTCACCAAATCTCAAAGATATTTTACGCCGACACTAGCAGGATTCTCAACATCAGCACAGACGGCGAAACCAACAATCCAGTCCTACTTCTCAAGCGGGATATTGACGCCATACCTCCGCGTCGCATGATGGAACGAGAGGCCGATCTTGCTGCTGCCGACGGATCAGACTTCGGGGAGGTAGATGAAATACAAGCACAGCTAGATGCCCAGCTAATTGGAGTTGATCAAGCCAACCCGAACTCTAGCTTCCATGAGAGCTCAATCCCCAAGGAGTGGCGGCTCCCAGAAAACCTAGATCCAGAATGGATAGCCCTCGAGGTCTATAATGAAAACGAAATTTCAGACACCGAGTCAGACAGCGAAGCGCACAAGTCACCAGACCCCGAAAAGATGGCCAAGCTCTCCATAAATGCGGACGCTCACCCCCCTAGCCCTCATCCTACATCCTCACCACAACCACAAAACTCTCAACCCACTACAACAGTCTCGAACCCGCTTTTCAATAACATTCGCACATCCCTCTCCCTACTTGAAACCCTCCTCCGCCTAATGTCCCTCCAGCAGTTCCAACAGCAATCACATCTCGCAATCAGCGATGAACTACTCAACTTCTTCCTGGAAGAGTCCTCAACCACCGGCGCCGGCGGCGACGAACAACATCGGCAACGCCTCCGCGCTGACGCTCGGCGACGGGTAGGCTGGGATCCGTACGACGAAAGTCCCGTCAAGCGACGTGGCGAGGACTATCAATTCAGTGGGGAGCCCGATGAGGCCCAAGGCTTACCAATAGGATATGTCCGGGGCTCGAGCGAAGTACCACATACGCCAATTGAAAGAGCTCGCGGGTATCATATTCGCTCGAGGGAGAATACGCCAAGGACCCCGCTATATACCCGCGGCTCTGGCTCGAAGCAGGATAAGACAAGGCGGGATAGTACGATGCGAAGTTCTCCAGTGTCTTACGAGGAGAAACCATGCAGGGAAGGGTCACCTCTTTCAAAATAAGCTCTGCCAACTAAAGCACATATTCTTGACAGTAGCGAATTTTAGAATTACTATAATACACGCTTTCTCATGCGAGTCGGGTATACTTCTACTCGTAACTCCCATCATACGGCAATAATCCTTTTGAAAATACTGAATGGGACGGTGATATGTGGTGAGCTGTACTAGTTTACCAAAACCCATCATCGCAATTGTTACGCGGACGAAATGCACAGAGATAATCTCAACGGAAAATTACCTCGAAGGGGCGATTGTGGGATATAAAAGGGCTTATCGCTAAGTAGAGAGAACAGACCAGTAACACAGCACATAATCCTCGAACGCCTATAGCAAATAGAAAAGGAGCAAAACAACAACCCCACACAAACTCCTTAACCTGGGTTAGTTGCTTGCATTTTTCAGGCCATCCAGTGGCCGAGCCGACAAGCAACCGGTGATTTATCAGTGATCACAGGATTACCAGGCCTCCTATTTCTTGCAAAGTCACGGAATCATCTAACTGGCAAGCCTTGAAGATATGTATCCGCTATTGAAGAAAGAGTCTACTCCCAGTCATCGTCGCTGTCATCGTCCTTGGCCTTCTCCTTCGGGCTAGCGGGAGTCCGACTGGTAGCACCGCTGACGAGGTCGTAACTAGACTCGCTATCGGGCTGGGAAACCTGGTCGTTGGACCGGCGGGGTTCGTTGGGTTTCAAAAGGTTGGCATCTGTGGAAGGTTTGGTGGCAGTTTTAGGAATCTTTGTCTTGTCGGAAACTTCAGGGGTGGAAGGGGAGTCGGTGTCGTCATCGGAATCGTCGTCCCAGCCGACTTCTTCATCCTCTTCGACGCTAGCGCCTGGGGTCACGGAAGCTTTAATTTAGCTAGGTGTCGCGAAAGGAGGGGGAAAGGCTAGGAGAAAGACTCACCCTTAAGGAGCTCCTTGCGCTTCTGCTCTTCCGTTTCAATAACCAGGCGAAGGAAATAGTAGCGAGACCAGAAGTCTGCGTACTGCACCTTCTCCGGAACAAGCTTCTCCATAGCAGCTCGCAACTCGTGGTATTTTTCTAAGTCCGCAGCAATAGCAGCAGTCTTGTCGTCAACATTGAAGGACTTGCTGAACGCCGGCCACTCGTCGCTAACAGGATCCTTGAGGAAGCTGTCAAGAGTGGTATGAATCACATGAAGCTGTGCCTCGAAGCGTGTCGCATGAATCACCCTCTTCCCCTCCGCATCTTTACTCTCAAAGAGCACCTTCGAGCCCGATTCTTCCTCCGGAGGAACAATAGTTACTGCCTCCCGTAGCTTCTGGGTAATGTTCATTCCGAATCGTAAGATCGCCTCATCTGCCGCTTCCTCTGCCTTCTCGATCTCTTTTAGCCGGCGGGAGGCCTCCGCCTTGAATCGGGACAAGAAGCTCTCGCCGGAGGACGACTGCGTATTATCGGTGCCAGCCTTCTGTTGCTCAGTTTTTGCTGTTTCGTCGGCGCGGGCTTCCGTAGGGGTCAGAGAGCCCTCCGTCGTACCTCGCTCTGCGGAGCCAGCGTTGAACGCTGTGCTAAGAGAGAGGCCCCGCGTCCGGCCAACTAGAGTATCCTTCAGGTCCGAGAATCCCTTAACGGCTTCTTCGCTGGCTGCTGCATATTCCTGGCGAGCACCCTCGTAGTAGCTCTCTCCCTGTTTGCGGACGTTGTCCCATAACCCCCCGAGACGGGAACCCCAGGGGCTTGTGGAGAAGGCGCGAAAGGTCTCCTGCAGCTCGGTGTTTAGGTCGACGTTCGGTCGGGTTTCGGCGGAGGCATTCTGCTGGGTGTCTTCTTTTTTGTTGGAGTCGCTCGACGTGAAAAGGTCCTGCTGGACGTGGTCGTATATATCCATGGTGCTTGCACTGGTGCGAGTGAGGGGAAGTGTGGTTGTGTGGAAATAACAATTGATGATGTCTTGGCTGCAGCTCCCCAAACGCCTCTTGTTTCCGGGCCTACGATCGCCCGATGGGACAAGGTCGATTCTTCAATGTTGATATTTTTCAATCGGTATCGGTCTTTTGTATTCTAAAGAGGTGATATATATAGTATGATGAGGTTATGATTCTGGCAGGGCGTATGGTTCTCCTACACTGTCCTGGCTGCTCATCCAAAAAGCGGGAATCGGTACACTTTCCATGACACTAGAGCTCAGAATCTGGCTTCTGGAGAGTATTCCTCGACGTGCTGTATCCCGTCCCTCTGTTCTCCGTCTTTGAATCCGATCTCCCGGTTGCGACGACTCAACTTGCACCACAACGCCCGGCGCGGCTGGGCCAAACCTGGTGAGACTTTCGTGCTGTACGATCGGCGAGGATTCCGGAACGACCTCTGTCTGCATATCTCCTGCTTCTTGAGATTCAGACTGGTCCTGGCTCTCATCCTGCATCAGTCTCTCCCTCTGATTAGGCACACTGGGGGGTTTCATCGGCGTTGACGATTGAGACGGGGCGGTCAATGACTGTAAGCCGGTTGAATCATCTGGGAACAGCTCTGCCATTTTCTGAGTATTTATCGTCGGGATGGGATCCAGAGGAAACTGTGTAGCGGCGTGAATACGCTGGTATAATATCGATGCGTCTGATAGAAGGGTTGAATCGGTGGCTAAGGGACCCAAATCAATTTCTTGTTCAGGTAAAGGAGGAGGCGGGAGTTCTTGAGACTCAATATTCGGAGACTCGAGGTCATCTTCACTTGGTGCTTGGTGATAATGGGCGTTTCTAGGTTCATGACGTGGAGAACTTGGAACAGTCAGGGGGTCGTCTTCGGGCTCGCTGTAATCTGTGTCCGCGTCTGTTTCGTATATCACTGTTCGGTGGGTTGAGCTAGGGCGGTTTGAGGGAATCGATGCCTCGGGTTTAGCGGTGTCAGTCTGGTGTAATGCATGCGTTACATCAGGAGGTGTTCTCTCTGTCGATCTCCGCAGAGCTAGTGATGGCGACGGAGACACTGGGTCGAATTGTGATAGGACGGGATATATAGGAGCCCTGCGAGTTTCGTAAAGTTCATCCAATTCAGGGGATTCCGCTTTGACGTCGGGTTGAGTGAGAGCTTGAAAACCTCGATTCTGGGGCGACCGAGTATTATGATGGAACTGAGAAGAAGTAATGAATGCAACGCCAGGGCTTTCAGGAGACTGGGACGAGGGTATCTCGGCTTTCGCAGTTTTTCGTGGAGTGGCTGGGGTGCGTGAAGCTTTCAGTCCTCCCTCGTTTCTCTTTCCGTCTGACCCTTTCGAGTTCGAGAACGGACTCAACTTCCTCTTCTTATGCTGATCCAAAGGCTCGGGGTTGTATGACTGATCTTGCCGCACATCATCGGCCTCCCTCTTCTGGACGGTTTGGCGTTCGGCGTCCTTCTTCTGGGGAATTATATAGGCGAACTCCATCTTCACATCCTCGTCAGGCTCGACCACAATGCGCCGCACATAGTTCATTTGTGTCAGAGTGTTGTCCTTCTTCTGCAGGTCTTTCTCGTTCTTGTCGCCGCTCTTCTTGCGCCCCTTTTTTGAACTTCCATCCTTGTCATTAGAAGGCTTCTTGGGCTGTCGCGGCGCTTTCTCGGATTTGATACTTGGGGTACGCTTCGACTTCGAAGTAGTGAACGAGCGGTATTCGGGGTCGCGACCGTCCTCAGAGGTACCATCCTCATCGTCCTCGATTTCAATCACTTGCGCATTCTTCGCGGCATTCCTTCCAGTACTCTCAATATAGCCAAAGCCATCATCGTCATCATTTGACTTAGGATTCTGAGACTTTTCTACAAAGTCAATTTGCGTAAGGGTTGTCTGAGCTTGATCAATCCGTGCCGAGCTTTTTCTCAATGATTTCGTAGTTGACGAAGCCGTCGATGGCGCCGAACCCGGTGCTGTTCCTGGAGTATCAACCAAAAAAGCAAGTCTCGCAGGTATTCGCTTCAACTTTCTAGATGACGATGATGATGGCGCAGGTTTATCGGGGGTTCGAAATTGGTCGGAATTTGAGTTTGGCGTTCTTCTGTTAGGTCTGTCTCCTTGTCCCATCGCCATTCAAGCAGCCGAATGCAGTATTTCGAGGACTTTCACGAGCCATAGGCGTTGCTGAGTAGGGTGGCGCTTAGAAACAGCAGTGGCTTGTTAGTGTCCGGAGCAGGTAAATGCTGGCCTTGTTTCTAGGTGACGCTTCAGTGACTGGCGAGTGGTTGCCTGAGGCTGGGTGGAAAACGCGTCGACGCGTTAAGTAGTCTGTGCACGGGTCCCATCCAAGGGACCTTCCCTAAATGGGAATCTATACTTCTGCCATCCTCGACACAATGCTGGTCTCGATATTTGAGCTACAAACATAGCTAAAGGCAAATTCACTTCCAAAGAGTCTCTTTATACCTAACACCAACTTGACCTGGCATCCTCTTTAGCGATGAGAATCGTAGTTCGCGGTTGCGGATAGTTGCGTCATAGCCACGACGTCTCCCAGCTACATCGAGTACAACACAGTTTGGGGCTCTAATACCAGGAAGGCACCAGCAGATTAACACTCCCGCGGATCCTATACGAGTAATCCTGTCCATAGCCCACCAGTTCAAGCTAGAGCAATGCTATCACAAACACTACGACCGAGAGTGTTTGCTTTCGCATCGATACCCAAGGCACAAGTGCCGTCCATAGCCAGCGGTTGAGCCCTCGCAAATGTCTCCAAGCTGGAAGACATTCCAAATGTGAGCTATTACTCCCCACGCTTTAGGAATAAGGTCTAATACTGTGCTGGTCAGGAGGGGGACAAGCCATTTAATGTACGATATCAGACGACAGCTTTGAAACTTACCACTTCGATCCCCCACCGTATTCTCTCAAACGACAAAGAAACAGCTCAAACAGCTATACCATGACATGTCAATGATCTGGTGTGTTTCACGTTCACTCGTGCGTTTATACGACTGCTAATATAGCCCTGTAGGCAGATGGAAACATTAGCCGACAGTCTGTACAAAGACCGCAAGATCCGTGGATTTTGCCACTTGCCGTGTTGTCCGCTGTTAGGGCACGGAAAAGAATATGTTCAGGCCGGTAAAGGGCCTCTTGTATACGAATACACCACTTATCGATTTGCCGGACATTCCATGTCAGATCCCGGAACAGCATATCGCTCGCGCGATGAGTTGAAGACAGAGCGTGCCAATAATCCCATCTCAAGTTTCCGCGACAAGCAGATCGATTGGGGTGTTTTTACGGAAGATCAAGCTAAGAGCGTTGACCGAAGTGTTCGGGAGATGACCAGTAAGGAAGTCGCCGAAGCTGAGAAGTCTCCCGAATCAGAGCTCAAAGCAGAGGTGCTGTTCCAAGACATATATGTCCGTGGTAGCGAGCTAAATCAGTGGCGCGGGAGGACGATAGACGAGACTGATTACTCTGGATACTCCATGAATATCCTCGTTTAGCGTTTCAGCACGCAATATATAAGCTCGGCCATTCCATAGGCACCGCGGCATCAACACCCGCATTCAAACCTTGGCCTGAAGCAGAGTGCAACAACCTGTAGCAGAGAGATGATAACCTTGGAACATTCGCGGAATGCATCAGTCCGTCTACCCCGGGAGCAGTAGTCCTTGGTGGAAAGCTCAGCAACGCCATACTGAGAAAGTCAAATGGAGAATGAGGTAGGATAGTTACTAAATAAAAGACTTTCCATCCAAGGGCAAGTAAGCCTCGTCTTTGTCCATAATCAAACGCAGCGAAGCAAATCTCAACTCCGGTCAACGCGAAGCGAGGTGTCATATTGATGATGGATCTTGACAGATTCGTAAGCCCCGCAGTTTGCACTGTTGACTTCTTGGTCGTTCCGGTTGGTGCCCATCCTCCTCCCCTTGGGAACTTTCCAGATCTCGATGCTAATCAAATCTGCTAATAACCCGTCAGGTCGGCTCCCAGAGTCCGTCGTTCTCGAGAGAGATTGCTGAAATCCAGCAATTGATGCAGCGGTCCGGACTCAAGTTCCAGATACATGCTACGGGGACTACGGTTTATAGGCGATGCAGGTCACCGCATGCAGATAGCCAAGTCACTAATAGTGGACTGCAAGAGGGCCCGTGGGAGCAAGTTTCACGGATCATCGGATGTGCACATACTATGCTACACCAAGAAGGGATACCCAGAATCCAGACCGACGTGTGTATAATCACAAGGTGCAGTGCCGTGATCAGGTCATCTGGCGGGCTCCTCGCTGACATTGCATCCCAGGATGGACAAGATCAAACCCTTGGAGGAAAACATCCGAACAGTGCAGAACATCCTATCGACCTGATGGGCTTTGAAGTGCTGTCTGAGTAGCGAATCAATGTGTGCTTATCGTGCTTAGCGAGTCTGTGGTTTCGGATACGGCGTTTACTTAAGAGGTTGAGGTTTGTAATAGTTTGAAGATCGAGCCCTTGTTGAAAGTTCAGATCGATGTATCTTCAATTCGCATGTCCTCTATACTTCCAGCACTGCGGGAATGGCACCAAGTGGGAGCTGAGACCAAGAAACTATTCAGGCTGAAGGGTCTGCGCTTAAAATCATGTCATGGATTCGCAGGGAAATAGAAGTATAGCACACCCACTCGATGAGGCCACAACATGTGGTTTGGCCGGTTGAGGGGAGAACCTAAGGTTGACCCATCAGCTTCTGGATCTCTGTTCGACTCGTAAGACAGTGGGACACTCCCAAGTTCGGATACAACGGGGCTCAGGAACGACCGCTGTCGGGACCCATGTCCTAACGGTCATCGATTGGGATGACAGGCGTGAAGCTCAGCCATTGGTGAGAAGTGAGAACTCGTGGAGGGGAAAAGAAGTTTCACCTTTCAGTCAGTGCAGAGAAGGACTAGGCCTGATAAGGATGTCCTTGTCACCTCACCCGGGCACCCCGCGCCCGGGCGAAGGCTGCCTGTGTCCACCGCGGGCACCCAGCCGCTCTTTGTCCATGTTCCCGAGTTCAGCTCCCAAATTCTACGTATAGGGTCTCAGTCAATTAGCTCATCTTCGTGCAAGCTGGATCAATATCATGATGTAGAAGCATTATTCCATACTAGGGGTATTTGTCACAAGAATATATTTCACTATTGGGTAACAAGAATTGGCCCCATCCAACAGGCTCACCCGCCTGCGCCGCGCAAAGTTCAGCCTGCCATCCTCGACAGTCAACAAGGATCGGGATTGTTACGTCCCGAGGATGAAAAGACTGACCAAGAGCAAGCTCGTCTGTTTCTGGCCTTCACTACTTCCCTCAGCTCTGGCAAACTTTTAGAATACCACCAAGACGCCAGCCTCAGTGCATGCTCCACGGAATGGAACCCACTCAATGACAATGGCCCAAGTCATCGCATCATCCTGCTAAAAGTTGCCTTTCGCCGTCCGAATTGTGCATTCCGGCATTCCCCGCTGTAGTACCAAAGCCCTACCGCGAGATTGGATGACTCTGAAACTCCGCGCAGCGCAGGTACTTTCGAGGCCATCGATTTTGCCGTTCAGCTCCATTGACTCTGGTTCTGGTGTTAAGAAAAGAACTCTCTGGCTTACCTTTCCTCAGGGAAGGTGGCGATTTTTGTTATCTTTGAGCCGAAGCTCAAAATACGGAGTATTTTTTGCTTCTGCAGAAGACAGAATAAACGCCATATGCATATTGTTCTGCATTCCAGCCAGTACATGGCGGGCACGTAGCGATGATCTGCAGCTAATTCCACGTCGCCTTGAAGCGAGGCAGTCTGTTTGGCAATGCTTTCCCGCCAATGCCTAGGATTGGGCAGTGGCTGGAGTACCTAGCGCGAAGTCATGCATTGCGGATTTAGTACCAGGTTAGGCAGGTAGCCTTGAGCTGCTCACAAGAAACCACGAGATATCCCAAAGCCATACACTAGAGGATGTATCGTTGGTTATGTGCTCAACGGATAAGGCGCTTCAGATGGACATGGAAATGCAGGCCTATCGGCGAGGCAGACTCTCTCTTCACTGACTCAGGGCAAACGCCAACAACGCATGGCTCGGGTTTTTCGCTTCCTCTGCCTGGGTATACCGTATGGTCCTCGATAGCGTCAACGTTGTTGCAGGCCAAGGGCAGCCACATCAAGCTATGAAGAGCTGAAACAGGGGCTTGACTCAATGCTTTTGTTAACTTGATCATGAGCAAATGACAGGGCCAAATAATAGGAAAGGTGTGCTTCCCGTCCTGGCAGTGATACGATCTCACTTTGATTGAGCCGGGATATACCTGGACCGGGCAAGCCGGCTTGATAGAGGTGTACCTCGACGGTGCACACATGAAGAGCCAGGGTTGATGATCCTTAGCCGAATGCCAGGTAATTTATACTCTCGGTGTTCCTCGTTTCCGCAGATCAGGTTAAGAGGAAATGAATCATTTGACTGAATGCATGTCCGCCTCCGGTCTGTCTCAACAGGGAAAAGGAATACAGAATAGTGAAATGATAGGAAAGCGGATCAGGTCAGTCGCTGGCAGCTAGTGGAACGGAGTTTCCGACGCCCTGTCAAGGATGGACTCGGTTCGAGTGGGTCGGATCCGGGGCTCTGGATACGGACCGCAGCTCCGTTCATAATTGGGCCACCTACTCCGTACTAGCAAAATCCTTTGACAAGAAGAAGCACTAGTTTACGAGACACGAAAGTACGTCTCTCGTGACTTCTAGACATCCAGTGTGCAGAGTTCTGCATATATGCCTAAGGCAGAGGACTACTCGCGATGCGATGGAGTCAGCGCCCACTAGAGTCCTAGACTACTGCCGGCCATGCCCGTCGCTGAGGAAAGTGAGTTGTCCTGTAGTCAATCTATTTAGGTTTGGCCGAATCCATCAAAGTGACTGAGCATCGGGGATTCCGTCCACGGTTGGCTCCAGCCGGATGGATACAGTCACCCCTCCGAAAGCGATCCATGGTTGAGAAATTCCAGCAGCATGGCACACCCCGTCATTGGGTTCCAGCGCTCGTTGAAGATCGTCCCATATTTTGCGTCTTGTGCGACAATGGTCCTGCAGGCTTTGGCGCTAGAAGCTGCCAGAAACCCATTCAGGTAAGGGCTTGTGTTTCAATCAAGGTTCCTTTTGTAATGGTGGTAAGGAAACTAACGGGTTGGGAGACCAGGACTTCTTCATGAATCTGCCCTTGTGAAAACCGGGCATCGCCCAAAAATGAGGATCATGTCTGAAGTTGTAATTAGCATTTTCCTCGTGAGCCACCCCCAAGTTGCCAACCCAGGAGTTTGGAACAGACGCCCGTGCTTATATAAAGGAGTGGTCAATCCACCAGGATTCAGCAGGGATTTGGAGGGGCAGGAAAAAGAAAAAGCAGAAGCATACTAGTCGATATACGATGCATACAACTCTGTCTCTCACGCTTAGCGTCTCTTTTCTCGAGGCAGGCCGGCCTCTAAAAGCTTTGCCAATAAAAATCTTGAAGAAGAGTACTAGTAGGGGTTCAGACAAGAAAATGTCTGGACAAGGATGGGAGCCACTGGTACAGTTACTAGTACCCTTATGTACGGAGTACTTTGTTCCCTTCTTCAGCGTCACCGAGTGGCGGGGATGCTAATGCTAGAAAAATCCTTAGCTTGCGGAGTGCCTCAGTCGACCCCATTTTCGCCGACTGGAGCCTGCAGAATAGAAGAACTCGCTGACGCCATTGATTTGGAATCATCTCACAATGCCCTGGGGGACAATGGCGTTCCCGTCTGTCGGGTTTGGTAGATACTACTGTAGTGGAGGCCTCTTTGGCTCGCCGATGTATGAATCTTCAGCTTCCAACTTTTTCGAAGACACTGAGATAGGGTACGTATTTAAATCCGCGGTGCGATCGACCGCGCGAACCGCCCGTCTGGGTCATTAAATTTTCGGGACAACTTGACACATCTGGGCGGTTCTGCTTCCCACCTGCAAGCACTGACCTCGCTGCTGGGTCCGTCGGCTTGGGATACAGGATCCTATTGATTAGCCTCCGCATGGAGCCATGAAACCCTCCCCCTAATTATGCGAGGCATGTCCAGCCACTCCAGCGCAAAAACGGCAGAAGACTTGAGCCACTTGTTGCAGTTTCTCCCACTTTTCCGTCGCTTCATTTTAACCCTTTTCCGTCTCTTCGTCTTACTGCTTTTCATTGAAGAAAGCGAGCTTTTCTGCAGCCAGTTGTTATTGGTGGCTTTGTGAATTGTTTGAGATCCCATATTTTTAGGTTAACAAAGGGGATCACAGAAGGTTCCGGCTTAAGGCAAAACTTAATCCAGGCTGTCGGGTTCAGCGACAGAAAAAGGAAAGGCTGCCTGTGCCTGTGCCATTTGCACTTACGTCCCCCTTAGCACCCAAGTCTCCATTTACCCACTTCCCCTCTCTATGGCGAGTAGCGCCGCCATAGATTTCATAAAATGCAGCTACGGAGTACCTGGACGAGGCCCTCTCTAAATATATTATTATTGCCTACTTCTGCAGGCGTCAAAACTCATACCTTACTGCCCACCCAACTTTGAGCTACACAATTTTGCTAGTATATCGTCGTATACGAGCTACGAGCCCATCTCCTCTCAACCTCACTCTGGCGACGAAGCTACTGTGCAATCCCAGCCTTTTTCCCGCCTAAAAAATTCCAATTCGTCCTACAATCTTCGGAAGTTTGATTACGACGGTTTCCAAGGTCATCTCAAACCACCCCACATCGCAGGCGCTGGCGCGGAAGCCAAATGCCTAGATCCACCAGAACGACGGGTGGAAGACACTCTGTAGGTTTCCTTTTGATCCTTATGTGACTAGTATATGGCCGCCCAGTCCCTATCTCCGGGGATTGTGCTTTGATATTTACTTTCCTTCCCGTGTATGTGCTGTGAAATGATCACTGATGCCAGATGTCACAGGAACAATCTCGTGAATAGTAAGTCCTGTTCTCTGTTCAAGCGCCTTCCAAGGTTCCAACTTGTCGGCCTCCGAGAGGGGTGTTGATTGTCTTGATTATCCCTACTAAAATCGGGGTCTAGCGACACACAGTCCTTGACTGAAAGTGTAACCCAGTATCCTGTCGAGAATGGCCGAACATATCACAAATACCATGAGGGCGGTTTGTTACATTCTCTCTCCAAGGAAGAATATCTGCTGACTTCCTCTCTAGCATATGTATATCCAAATGACGAGCGGGAGATGAACCGACTGGACATGCAGCATCACATGTGCAAAATGCTAACGGGAGGCCGTCTGTTTCTCGCGCCTTTAAGAAATCCACGCAACATTGTGGATATTGGCACTGGCTCTGGGATATGGCCGATAGAACTTGGTCAGTTATTACCATCCGTATACATCTTCCAATTTCCGCTCAACTTACACTTGCCCTTGGTATAGCATCAATTTTCCCACATGCACAGATTACAGGCACCGATCTTTCCCCTTGCCAGCCGGATGAAGTACCGGAGAACGTTCATTTTATCGTCGATGACTGTACAGAGGAAGACTGGCTCTGGAACCACAATTCTCTCGATTATATTCATTCAGGACACATGTCCGGTGCCCTTCCATCCTACAAAGACCTCCTGAGAAAGATGTTCGACCACCTCAAACCAGGCGGCTGGGCCGAGTGCCAGGAGTTCGATACCATGGTCAAATGTGACGACGGAACGATGCCACCGCTAACTGACGAGCTTGGGGCATACCCATTCCAGGACTGGTGCGATTTGCAAATACGCGCAGGTCAATCAACAGACCCCCCAAGGCAGTTCCGCGTAGCGCACCGTATCGCGCGTGGAATGAAAGACGTCGGCTTTGTCGACGTCCAGGAATATATATTCAAAGCTCCCGTGAACCCCTGGTCCTCTGAGCCCCATTTACATACCATTGGCAAGTGGAACGAGTCAAATATCCTAGAGGCCCTCTCTGGGTGGTCTTATAAACCTCTCACAACACTGTCGTGGTCAAAACCAGAAATCGAGGTCTTCCTCGTTCAAGTGCGACAAAGTGTCCAAGATCGCCGTGTTCATGCTTACTTCGATTTCCATGTCATAACTGGGAGGAAGCCATACCCTGGGGAACGGGCGAGTTGACACCGCATGTTCTTTCATATTGAAATCCGCCATTCTTCCCATTCTCGTCCCTTCTAGAGTCTGGCGGTACCATTATTAGATATTGGTTTTGGAGGAGCATATATGCATGAGCAGGCGTATGTTTGTTGCTTTGATTTTTGGTGCCCATCTGAGGCTTCGAGTTGGTTTGGTGTGTTTACATAAAAGGGCAGCCGCAGGTTGGCCAGAGTACCAGCCATGTTTGTACTGAGTCTTTGGACATATAAGAGTGATATGAACAAAACCCATTAGTCAATGGTTAGTAAAAAGATGGGATAGTCGGAGGCTGCAGTGGCACTGACTTTATTAAAGATTGACTGATGGATACCTATAAATTTCGGGTGAGGCTGTTGGTTTTTGCCTCAGGCATCAAGTCTCAAGCTCTAGCTTACTCATAAAAAAAGAGCGACTCCGAACTAGCTGATCCAAGTTCCACGGTCAACTTTGACGACCTCCATCAAGCTCAGAGCGCTCAATTGCTCGGATAGGCTCGATACCTCATGTCTTTCGGAAGATGTGTCTATCGGCATGTTATGCGCCCGTCTTCAACAACTACCGCCACCACCGATCATGTCTGGGTCAGTGACGAGCTGCTCGCTTCGACGTTCCGGCGATTCACTAGCGGCCAACGACGCTACGAGAGTCGCGTTCCAGGGCCATTGGAGGCCAGACGACGGCTCGCCAAACGCAGGAATACAGCATTGGCTAGTGTAGCCGGTCCCGGGATCTTGGAGGATGTCGCTTGTTTGTTTGGGCGTAATGGACGGGAGCATATGAAATGGACAAATGGGCAAGGGGGACCTCCAGGTAACGAGGCTTCCCGTTGTAACTCTCGGATGCAGGCTCTGACTTATTTTCCCTAGTCTATCAATCCTCGCCACTGGATGCTCCGGCGCACCTGGAAGACGTCTCTTATGAGGACACCAGCGCATTCGAGTTTGGAAACCCGTCCCTCCGTTCGCCTGGTGTCTGGGGTGCGAATGAAGAGGTCTCAAACAGGCCCTTCGAAGAACAACTGCAGGAATGCCGGACAGTGAGCGAATTGAGGTATATAATTCGCGCGTTGGATATCGACTTTCGGCGGGAGCCCGAGTACAGCCGCCTGGTATTCGACCACTTGATGACCCAATTCACCTCGCGCCAGACGACCGTACATGAGTTGTTATTGTTTTTGGATGACCGAAACCTGAACGTCACCGGGGCAGATAATTACCTCAAGGTCATAGAGCACTTTGTCTCCCGTGGAGCTCCATGGAATAACGATGATCCCTTGTTTAATGCTGTCCTTCAAGGGCTTGAGCTCGGACTCGTTTCAACAACAGAAATAACGGGGATAGTAGAGAGACTTTCGGGTGCGAATAATTTGACAGATTTTCATATCGAGGTTTATCGCTTCATGTGGGACGCTATTGGCAGATGTGGAATATACGGGCACAAGGACCTGGGCGTGGCTATTATTGACAGATGGCTCGATGCTATCCTGAAAAGCGGCACGCACAGAGGCTACCAACTGGCGAGTGACATCTTATCGGATGCTGATCATGCTGTCTCGAACAAAATCTCGTGGTTGCAGAAGTTCATCTCAAGGTGGCTTGAAGACAGCCCTATGTTGACAGGACAGTTGCCCAATGATGGAGATCATGTTGCCAGTTTTTTGGAACCATTCCCTGCGGACTTGGTTTCCCAATCATTGATTTCGGTTACCAAGGGCCTGGTCGCTGCCGGGGAGCCACACCTGCTCAAAAGATGGGTTGGCTGGCTACGGAAGGTCCCAAATAGGTCTGATATTGTCTCATCCCCCGTCTGGGCTGATGATCATCAAATGCTCGTACTTCACAGCGGTGCATCCCATCGAGAACCTATGTCACTGCGCCACCAGATAATACAACGTCTTTGGGTGCTACACGTGATCTTCCCTTGCAGGCGCGGGGAGCGGCTCCATGAGACCCTCCACAAGCTCTATCGGCTTTATGACATGGCGAGGCGCCACGGCGACGAGGACTTGTGGGCCAATCTGACCAAGGGTATCCATGACCTGAAACTTCCTTGGAAAGACTTAGCGGATGTACTCTACTACACGAGACGACTTCGTGACCCACGAGTCTGTAACATACGCAGAACCAGAAAAGCTCTCCAAATCTACCGATCCGAACCACTATCTTTCTTCGACTTCCTCGCAGATGGTCCAGCCTCCCAAGCCGCCTTTCACCACTTTTTCCTCAATATGGAAAAGATGATCCGTCGAATCGATATAACAAGCCCCGCTTTCCTCGAAAACGCCCTCTTCATCGCTCGTAGCGGCGACATGAAGAAAATCAGTATCATAGTCCGCATCCTCTGCGCTCACACCCCTCTCAAGATCGCCATATCGCAGGCCTGGCGCGCGCCAGACTCAGGTAAACTCGCTCGGAAACACAGATCCACATACCAGCCGAACCCGCATACCTCACTAGAGATGATCAATGCGCTAGCGACTGCCTTCGCGGGCTCCGAGCGAATACCCCCGCGTAAAGCGTTCGAGTTGGTCTACTGGCTTTATCGGTTCTGCTATCAGCATAATGCGCCGATAAGGCCGAAGTTGGTGCGTGCGCTGTACCATGCTGGTGTAGTGAGATTCCGGGAAAAGGGTTTGCGGGTGTCGGCTCCGCGGTATGATTTCATTTGGAATGCTATTGAGGCGGCGGAGTCGCCGGAGGTTGTAAGGGCGATGCTGGAGCGGAAGGGGTTCTGAGTGGTTGCGAATCATGTACCATAAACTTCCACCCTAGGCAGTGTAGATATGATACCCTGTACAGTTTAATTAGAACCCCTAGGCATACACTACTGCGAACAAGCCAGTGGAAGACGAGAATACTAGTATACGCTTCAAACTGGTCCGTTTCTCAGGGTTATCGAAATTGTTGCTCCGGTTTGAACATGCTCAGATTGTCCTTCCCAGATTATAGTCCGTCCACTAAAAAGGAAAGTTCCTGTTACAATGTCCTCTCTTATCTATGGGTCGACTTCCATCAGATTAGGGTCGCCAGAAATCTCCTCCACTGTGACATATTTCCTCAGATCCTCCTTGCTAAACACCCTCTCATTTAGATACGCCGTGGTGCCCTTCGCGAAGCGGTAGTCACGCTCCTTCTGGCCACGATCGTTGGGCGTCATGTAGTTGCGCAGGAGTTGCGTGGGCTTGTCCTTTTCGATAACACAGACATCGACGTTGCTACCAGATCCGAGATCGTTGAAGATACCGGCCTTGATGGCTTCAGATGCCAGGGCAATTGCCTCTTCCTTGTTCAAGTTCGGCTTCCAGGTCGACTCAAAGACAGACATGGCGGCTAGCGATCCAGATCCCATGGTCACGTAGGGAAGCTTATCTGTTGATCCGTGGGCGTGCACGGTGTAAAGGCCGGTACCAGTTGGGTCAACGCCCGCAACGACCAGGTAGGCGCCAATGTGTCCCTGGTAGCGGAAGAGATGTTGCTTGAGCATGGTCATGCAGGTAATTACTCGCGGAGGTCGACCCGTTGAGAGAGAGTGTAGTTCAATGTTGGAGCTGATGAGGGCGGTGGTGAATTCGGTGTCGGCAGCTGTACCAGCTCCGGCACACCAGATCTTGGGGGCTATGTAGTGTAATTTCTCGCAGTTCTAGCATGAGACCGAGTAGTGTGTTAGCTGGAACCTATCTTCTGTAGACAATTTTGGACAAATGGTTCCGTCGTACCTTGTCCGCTACAATGGGACCACTGGTAGCTCTGGTATCCGCGGCAATCTGAACCATCAAGTCAGCATCGACCCTTCTTCATCCACCACAAATGCGTCTATCATCGGAGAGTACGGACCACAACGCCATTGTCGTATATGCAGCCAACAATCGTTGTACCTGTGCTTGTAGCTTTAGGGCCCGGTGCTCCCCTGGCCTGGAGCGCGGCATTGCGGTTGTAGTTGGAGAAGTCGAAGCCGGTCATGACGGCGGCACGATGTGATCAGGGTAAGAACCAATGTAATAGACTTAAGCAGAGGCCTTTTCAAGCAGGATCAGAGGAAATGAAGGAGGAGCCGGGAGAATAGCTGGAGAGAGCTGGCGGAGACACGAGGATGAACCTGGGGAGCAGCTCTGGGCTCTGGAGTGACGAAGCTTCCCGCCGCCTAGTTTCGTTGCCTCAGGCCCGTAACAGTCCCGTGCCCAAAGCTCTTTCTGTTTTTGTTCACCAAGAATTTAAATAACAGACATGCGATACTGTCGCTTGCTTGCTCCTACGACGTGAATCGAGCCCCCATCACCGGTGGGATCTTGTGCCCTACTCTTTTTCTGCGCGTCTTTTACCCGATTCCCCATTCCCCCCGTTCTTGAAGGGAGGTGGTCAAGATTTCCAGCTTTGCGCAGCTCTTCAACCGGAGTCCTCAGCAACTCCAACGTCGCTCCTTTCCTTCTCCGCCGCCGAGTTCTCCATCTCCTCATGCTTCAAAGGCCAGGATATCCTTAGGCGACCGTCCTCGTTCCATATCGGCCGATCTAAACAAACTCAGGATGGCGTTCAGCATGGGGAATTTAAACCCTGCGGGGAATATTCCAACCGAATTGGGGCCTGAGCTTCCGGATCTCTTCGCGGAGGTAGGTAACGTAGGTGGCACATGTGTATGGGCGCTTGCTGATTTGAGGAATAGGAGGTTGGTTTCAAAGGCGTTTCCGGCGATAGCAACGTCCAATTACTCCCTACACCCTGGCCCGCCGACGCGCTTCCTGCTCCCACGTCGACCTTGCTCGCCGTCGCGGCTACGAAAGGTATAGTTGTTGGCGCGGGTCCGAGTACTCTTTCTGTCGCATCTACCCAATCCGTCAGGGAAGCGATTGCCGCGGACACCGGGAAGGACAAGGTGAAGACAAAACCGTTCCAGCCGCAAGCTACTATTCCCCTTCCGGGACGGCCGACACATATAGCATTCGCCTCTAGCGACACAGCATTAGTGCTTGCTACGGAGAATGGATCTCAACTATCAGTCTTCGAGACGGGAACTCTACTACAACCGAATGCGCAGCCGGCCATATCCATCCCCACGGACGGTGCCACTTTTCGATTCATTGCGCCAAATCCTGCGCAAGCAGAGGACTCCCATGCTTCGCTAGTCGCTCTTGTTACCACTGCGGGCGAACTTCTGATTGCCGACCTCAAGGCGGGGAACCTTCTATCGGGACCGAATGGGAACATTCTGAAGTCTGGAGTTAGTTCAGTATGCTGGAGTAACAAGGGAAAACAGCTTGTGGCTGGTCTAGCGGATGGCACCGGATATCAGATGAGCCCAGATGGTACACAGAAGGACCTTATTCCCCGGCCACCTGATCTTACCGACCCCTGTCACGGTGCGTTTGATCCTACACAATCTCGGTTTCCACAACTAACCTAGCTTAGTATCTTCCATCGCATGGCTAGAGAATGATGTATTCTTTATGGTGTACACTCCAAACGTCGAGGAGGACGACATGGGTTTAACACCCTCATCCTCATACTACATCATCACAAGACGAAAGCAGGCACCATTCCTAGTCCAGAAGCTGCCCGAGTTGGCGAGTCCTTTCGGTTACAAGCGTGCGCCAGCTTACCAGTTCATCTCACGGCTTCGTGACTATAAACCGCATCTGAAGGACGTCTTGATCGTGTCGTCAACGGCATCTGCCGATGTTGGGTTGATTACTAGGTCAGATCACCCGCTCTCAAGTGAGGATAGTGCTAAAGCCACGGTTGGGCAATTTGTTACCACCGAAGTCAATGACGATGCGAAAAAGGCGTCGGTCCCTCTCAAAGACTCCCTCGACGAGACTTCAGTGATAGGTCTGGCAGTCGATCTCTCTAGCTCGGAACCCGTGATTGCCCCCATTCAAGGGGCGGACATTGATGAAAGTTCCACGCCCTTGCCAAATATCCTTCTGCTGAACCATGAGGGTATCTTATGTTCCTGGTGGTTTATCTACAATGATTCAATCCGTCAGAAGTTACCATATCATGGTCTGGCCTCGGTAGGGCCCCAGCAACAACACCCCGTATCTCAATCGCAAAGGGTACAACCGCAAACCGTGGCGCAACCAGCTTTTGGGCAGTCGGCTTTCGGTAGCTCAGCTAGCCCTAGTGCACCCGCGTTTGGTACTCCAGCATTCGGCAAACCATCTGCGCCGGCATTTGGAAGTCCATCGGCATTGGGGAAACCTTCCCAACCCAGTTTCGGGCAGCCTTCGTTCGGTGCCCCAGCCTTTGGGGCGCCTGCTTTTGGGGCGCCGGCCAGTCTAGGCTCGGCTGCACCACAGTTCGGTAAATCTGGCTTTGGACAGCCTTCGACGCCTGGGAAAGGATTTGGCTCATTTGTTGGAACTGCTGCAACCTCAGGCGGGGGCTTCGGCTCGTTCGCAGGTGGAGGTGGCTTTGGTAGTCTTGCTGCCACGAAACCCACTGAGGGCTCTCCGTTCAGCCAAGTAACCAGCGAAAGTCCATTTGCTAAAGCTTCTGGATCGTCGGCATTTGGCGGTCAAACCGACAATACGGCATTCGCACCTCAGAAGACGGAGGACTCCAAGGGTGCTTTTGGTGCAGGTTCCGGTGGCTTCGTACTCGGGTCGACTTTCAAGGGCGATGGGACCGCCGTCAATGATGCTCCCAAACCAGAAAAGTCTTCTGGCTTGTTCTCATTCGGCTCATCGTTCGATGAGATGGTTTCTGCTCCAAGCAAACTCAGCCCGCCCATGGAGGCCATGGATGACATGGAGGACGCCATTCCCCAGCAGAATGTTGCCGAGGAAAAGGCACCAGCGCCATCCATATTTGGCACACCCTCGAAGGCTTCCTCTGCAACGTCTTTATTTAAAGCCTTCGGATCTCAAACGCAAACTTCGCAGCCGTTCGGCTCAGCCCCAACGGCCAAATCACCCTTCTCAATTTTCGGAAGTACCGCAACGGAAAACAAGTTACCGAGCCCTTCATCAACCCCTTCGGAAAAGACTGCTATAGCTAGCCCACCTCCAACCCTGGCCAAGTCACCTGAACCTGAAATTACTCCTGTTACATCAGTTCCGGAAGCTCCTCTCCCGCCCGACCCCACAAGCAGAGCTGTGTATGGACCTGGTGATACTTCTGCCTCTTCCAACGTTTCAAAAAGCTCGGTTGACGATGCGCCCCTACCTCCTGACTTCACAGCTCTACGGAAATCCCCAGAACCTGAGAGTGAGCCACCATTACCTCCTGACTTCACCGTGAAGCCTAGGGAAGAGGAGTCGCAGCAGCAAGCCGAAGAAGCAACATTGCCGCCTGATTTTACGAAGCCAAGTGTGCCGTTTGCAAAAGAGCCTCCGCCGATCCCCGATGGTTCGGACGCGGATGAATCGGAGAAAGGCTCGCAGGGAGCGGACGAGTCTGAGTTTGAAGACAGTGGAGAAGACATCACACACGATCTAAGCCAGCCTGAAACTAATGCACGGAGCGTGGAGTCATCACCGGAGAGCTCTTTTGATGGTAAGCAAGCGGACGAGAGTCCTGCCGGATCCCTGTTCGGGAAACAACATCCGCGGAAACTGTTTGGGGAGATAAACAAACCAGTATTCCCTCAGCCTAGCCATGTTCAGGGCTCCCCGCGATCCCCCAGTCCGGTACGGCCAGGTCGTGGCCGTAAAGGTCTGCCTGGTCTGGAGAACCTTAGGTCCGTTAGTGCTCCTCATAAGCCAGGGGATGCTCTTGCTGCCCGCAAAGCATCCCTCTCGGAGTTGGCTAAAAGGGAAAGTCGACTGAAACCGGAACCCAAAGAGCCCCAACCACAGCCTACGGTTCAAGCTCAGGAGGAACCTTTGTCAGACGACGAGGATGAACGGCTCCGTGCGGACCTCAGTCGACCTCTGGAGCCTGTGCCAACACTTGATCCTTTCTTACCTCATCAGGATTATACGGGTCAAACAGCCAAGCCAGGGATCCCGGGCCAGATTGAGAGGCTCTACCGCGACATCAATTCAATGGTAGATACTCTAGGGATAAACGCGCGATCTCTGTCCGCTTTCCTCCTGTACCAACAGGAAACAACCGACTCCGACTGGGTTAATATACTCAAAGGAGACCACCCTGCCGACATCCTAGATGAGAAATGTCTCCTTCGGCAAATTGAGGATCTGGATAATGCCGTCGCTGTTCTTGTGAGCTCACTAGAGGAGCAGCAAGTTCAAAAGGTTGAGGAAAAGCTTGAAAGCTGTCGAGAGATCCTCGGCAAAGATATTTTGGCCCTTCGCAGCCAATGTGCTAGTATCCGGAAGACCCTCGATGCGCACACTGATACTGCTGCAATCTTATCAGCGCCTCTTTCTGCTGAGCAAGCGAGCCTTCAGCAAGATCTACGCGCGTCGTCTGCTGATATCCAAGCGAAATTGGCAGATCTTGAGTCTGCAGTGTCTCTTCTGCGTGCCAAGATTGCTGATGCGCCCCGCGCCGATGGATCCCGGCAATCGACGAGACGTCCAACTGTCGAGGCTGTGACATCAACGATTGCAACCATGATGAACATGGTTGAGAGCAAGAGCGGTGATATTGACGTCTTGGAAGTCAAGTTGAAAAAGTTAGGCATCGACACCTCAGCGGCCCCGAGTAGCCGGGAGGGCTCTCCGTTTGCTACACCGAGAAAGGGACTTGGAAAGCTTCCTACTACTCCTGGATCCCGTGGGCCTCTGGATGGCGCCATAACTTCCTACCACACGCCCGAATCTGCAGCTCGAGGCATGAACTTCCGATCGAGCATCAACGGATCAGCAAAGGGTAGCAGATTTCGGGCAATGGAGACTCTTGGTGATCTTGGCAACAAGCGCGAGAGCGCGCAGTGGAAGGCCAAGATGCAGCGCAAGCAGCACATCATGAGCAATTTGAAAAAAGCGATTGACGAGAAGAAATCCAAGGTTCGAAGTGTAGATGACCTTTAGGGCACCATGGGGAACCTTTTTTGTTCGTATTTCTGTTGTTGTTGTCTTGCGATATGGATGATAAAACCGACGACTCACGGCATGGAGCAATTGGGGATGACATGCGTTATTTGTACATAGATTTTACTCTCTTTTTGCCTTGATATTGGCGTGAGTTTAATCGGCTAATAAGATTCAAGCTATATTGTCTTGATTTCCATTACCTATCGCTAGTTGAAACCGCGAGGAGTTATGCCCCGTCAATCTCAGATCCGGGGCTTTCTTTCTATGCAGTTTATACCTTCTGGAATTTGACATGCACCATACCTAGTTGCCCCAGTGGCGCGACCATTCTCTCTCTGATCGGCTTAATCTTCTCAGTAAAGACATCCGCCTTCCTCGCCTCCTGGTGCTGGTCATAACTCTCCCACCCGATAACCAAAAGCTGCACAAACGCCTGGCCCGATTCAGCTTTTTCATGCTTAAACTCCCCGGGCCTCTCAACCTGCCCCAGCAGAAACGACTTTGTGCGCAGCTTCTCCTCGGCCTCTTCCACGAAAGCCTTTCGAAACGCGACGAGGTCTGCGCTGAGACTTGAGCGATCCTGTGGCGATAGCGAGGTCGGGAAGGGCAACGGTGCGATCTCGGTGATCGGGTTTGAGATGAGCGTTTGTGTTGCTGGGCTGTCGGATTCGTCGGTTGGCTGAAGGGTTGTGAAGAGGGTTGTTATTTGGGTGTTCTCTTGGAGGAATGGGGTAAGGGGAGAGTTTGTTTGTTGGATGCCGCTGTGGGCGTCGGACCAGTCTATTGCGTGATGTTAGTGTCTTATATTCCATGCTTGCTAATAATGTCCGGGGTTGGTGAGACATGCTTTAGGAACAAGGGTATGGAGTGTGAGAGAGGAGGGGAGAAGCTCACCAATCGCCCAAACAATAACATTCTCGTCTTCCCTTGTACGGCCCCATGCTGAGCCGATATGACCGCTTTGTTGTGTCGTCGATTTGAAGACTTGTAGGAGCGCGAGTCCTTCGTCGTTTGAGGAGTCTTCGGGCTTAACGGATGGCTTGGGATGGAAGTAGATGAGCTCGGTGACGTGCGGCATCGTGAGGATTTATCGGTGACTTCTTATTTAGAATCAAGTGCCAAGTATCTGATGGCTATCAGGCGTCTTTCTCCTGTTTATGTGAGCCGCGACAGAAGATGGAGGCTAGTGAGGTCTTCAAAGAGGAATTGAGTGTGGGGTTGTGGTTGATGTCATCGGCGGAAGTCGTGATGGTGATGTCAAGTTTACTGGAGATGAGTCTCCGGAGATAAGAACAAGAAAACGAGAGTAATTATAAATATGGAAGAGTACAGAATCAATTCAAAGCAAGACGTGACAACAGCTGAAGCTTCAAAAGAGCGCTTTTCAAATTGTACAGCAGAAAAGTAGGCATGCTCCGAAACGAAACGAAACCACCAAGATCGCCACCATGAGAGAACGACCTTTTATGTCGAGAATACAGATCGTCCAAGATTCTCCTGAAAAATGAACTCAAAAGAGGAAAAACATTTGCATCCCGCCGCCGCTTAGATGCGGTGCTTTTCGCTTTCTGTAGAACAGCCAGTTAGCTCGTGAAAAGTAAGTAGCTAAGTATGGGAACTAACCGAGTCTGGAGTAGAGCATGTATAGGGCCATCTGGTTGCACTCTTGGGTTCCAGTAATCGTCACCAAGCGTTCGTTGCTGTTCTCTTGTGGCTCGTTGATCTTGATCACACTGCCACTGAGGTGTCGGATCTCGTTGATCTTGGCACCACCCTTTCCGATAATGGCGCCAACCATGTCGTTAGGGATATAGATCTGTTGGGTTAGTGGCTGGCCAGGAATGGCACCGCCAACAGGAGCGGCCGGAGTTGGGCCACCGCGCGGCTGAGCCGCCTGCGGCGCGCCGTATGGAGCAGGCTGGTGGGGACCGGCACCAGAGTACGGGGTGTTGGGTGCACCATAGTGCATGTTTTGCTGGACAACAGGAGCAGGGGCGTGTTGTCCATGAAGGTAAGGTACTCCATATGCACCTGCACCGGCGCGGTTTGGGTGAGGGTGGTGACGCTTGAAGGTATCTGGATGACCGTACTGACCACCAGCGGGTTGTGGGACATAGGGCACAACTTGCATACCACCTGGAACGGCCCCTGCAGGTCCGCCGCTGCGGGTGGCGTATGCAGAGGCTGCTGGTCCTCCAAAGCGCTCTGTGAGCTGCTCAACAAGGGTCACAGCAACATAGTACGTGGCAATGTGAACAGCGTCGGCAACACCAAGGATGACGAGGGACCGCTCAGTGGAGAGGGGAAGACAAGCATCCGACGCATTGAGGCGAGCTCCAGAGGCCTCTTGAATTTCACGAATACGGCCACCACCCTTGCCAATGATTGAGCCAATTAGAATATGAGGAATCAGCAAGCGCAAGGGATAGGTCTTGGATTGTGCAGTGGAAGCAGCATCAAGGGGTTCGTTATTCAGGGTACGAATGATCAGACCAAAGGCCTATCATAAGTGTATGTTAGCGATTATATCAGAAACAAAGATCGTGAATGGAACAAACCTTTGCAACGGCATCCTGTGGGCCGCTGACAGTCAGGATACGCTCGACTGCGCCGCGCGAGTAATCACTAACAGTGCACTTGGCACCGGACAAACGGCGGATCTGGGATACATTCTCTCCGCCCTTACCAATGACGGTGGCAGCCTCTTGGCTAGAAATTACAGCACGAATATGGATCCAGCTGGACTCGTCCTGGGGCCGCTGGTCGGACTGATTTCCGCCTGTCTCGCCGTGAGAGGCAGTAGACTGAATCGGCTGTGTCTCACCGTGCGCTCCCTTGGAGTTGGGAGCATCTGGAACAACAGTGTCTCCCTGGCCATCCGCGCTCGTAGCAACACCGGGCTCCTTCACGTCTCCATGGCTGTCGGATTCTTCTCCTTTTACTACTTTGTCCAGAGCTGGGCGCTTGGCCTCTGGCTGGTCATTCGGACCGGAAGGTGAAGAAGGGTCCTCAAGAGGACGCTTGGTCGACTGCAAGGCGGATGGAGAGGCGGACATTATGTCAACTGTGCGGTTTTGCTTCGCTTACGCAGGAAGCCCAAGTGAAAAGATATCTGTCTTCTTAATTTGATCGACTATGTACACCAGGAATTCCCAGGGGAGCGTGCTGGTGTGGCGGTCGATTGGGGAGGGAATCTGGTGCTTGGATAAACTGGGAAGACTGGTGGAATCGTGCACAGTGAAGGGAGTGAGGCGGGAGGAGTATAAATCGACGAAGGTGAGAGTGCTGTGTTATGACGGGCCTTGAGAATCTGGAGAGCGGAAGGCTTCGCGAGAGCAAAGCGGTCCTAAGGTAGGTAGGGAGAAACAAGAGAAATGACTTGGATCGGATCGGGTACGGTGCTTGTGCTGGACGGTGATAGAGGTGATGCAAGGGTCGGGCGTGCTTGAGAGCTGACGGGTGCAAACCGCGGGAGAGGTATAGAAGATGAAGAAAAAGAGAAAAGACTTGGAGAATCGAAATAGCTTCCAGAAGTTCGTTCTACCCCGTTGCTTTCCTAGATTACGCGATGCTGTCGTTTGTGCAGGTGTACAACACGGACGTCGCTCCGGTACCCTACTCGGCCGGAAGTACTCGGAAGAAAGCGAGAAAGACGCAAGAGCAGTTCGAGCCGAATGAGCTCGTCACCTCGATGAGACAGGAGGTAAAAAGAAGAAGGACGAAAGGGAGATGCGAAAGGGTGCCAGAAGTCTCGTGTCGTGGTGAGGAAAGTGAGGTTGAGTGAAGGGATCTGTTGGCATGACGCTAGTCCTCTCCGGGGGAGAAATGTCACGTGCGTTCTTAGGCCCAGATATCGCGTCGTGAAACGCGCCGCGAACTTTGGAAACATCTATACACCACGCTCACTTTAATCGAAGTGATGTCCTCGCTCGCACAAATGGAAGTGTCGCATGAGCGGGTCGAAAAGATTCAAGGCTTTGCTAGGAACCGTCAGAAGGCCGAGGGCTTTTATGACCAGCAGCAAATAAGCTCGTCCGATATCCAAGCCTATGAAAGGAAATTGGACGACACGCTAAGGGAGCTCCAGGATCGAGTAAAACGCCAGGAGGAAGATATACGCAGCGTATGTTGCTGTAAGCCAGTCACAATGGCAAATCCAACGTATCAGCTTCAACTAACAAGCGATACAGCTTCGGGCGGCCAATGCCAACGATATATATGAAATAAGCACCGAACCGTCGATCCGCATCGCTCAAATACAGAGGGCCAAGAAAGCCTACGACTCTCTTTTGAATTCGGATGCAGATTTACCAGAACCCGAATCTCCTCTGCCATCCCTAGTTGCGCTTGAGGAGACGCTGCGCATTATTCAGGAGAGCAAGATATCCGTTTCAGTGACAGCAGAGAAAATCGCAGCGGCGCGCCAACGTTTGAAGACAGAAGAGACGAACTTGCGCAGTGCGCAGTCAATAAGAGATGGACTCCGCAAACGAATAGAGAGCATTAAAAAGGACAGATCAGCCAACAGAGAGAAGCCACCTTTCGAAGTTGCACGCGAAATTCTACAAGAACAGCAACAGAGAAAACATGACCTCGACAAAGACACGGATCGCATACGGGAAGCTTTACACAATTTTTGTGACGAAAACCTCGCGTCAATGATCGCAGCAGAGAACTTAGGCGGCCCGGCTGTGGGAGACATAGCAGATGTTTCTGACGCTACTTTAGCAGCCGGGTATACACGTCTTGGTAAACCGAAGAAGCCCAAGGCCATTGAGGAGGATGATCAGAACACTAACCAGCATCGGATTGATGATATGCTCCGTCGCCAAACCGGACAAGAGCGCAATCAGCCACCCAACAGGCGAGAGGCAGCGGCGACTGAAATACACGAGCTCCTTGATGCTTTGTTGGACGCGGGTTCATCTTATACGGACCTCCCCGAAGAATCGGCCGCGTCGAGATTCCTTGTAAGAGCAAAAGTTGCTCAGTTCCACCCGCGCGATGCAAGACGACTGAGGTTGATTGACTTTGGCCGTTCACTACATGATTGAACCAAGCTGGTGCTGTGCTGTTGTCTGTCTCTCCAACGCAGACCAGACGACCTACAGGAACAGCGTCTAGATTACGATGAGATTCCTGTTAAAAACCACGCTGCTTCACTTATGGTATGGCAGCTTGTTTTTGCGAAAATACTAGGTGGGTTGCACAGATCAAGTCACTTGTGAGAATGTTTCTCGAACAGAATCTAAAGCCCAGTACATGATATATTCAAGCCATAAACAGAGCCTGCAACACCTTTCACTATATAATGCCTGAGTGGATATCATCTTACGAATGGGCCAACAATAATAAACGTTTGGAACAGTAGACAAAAGCCGAACCTAAATGAAACGCCTAAAATGCAAAGCCACCAATTACCATACATCCTGCAGCATTCGTTAAACTCGTAATAGGCGATGAACATCAGAGAAGCCAGAGATCATAATGGCATTGCGGCTATCTGACTTGTGGGTCGTGTTGGTCTTCCACTGGTCTCTTTTCGAAAGGAGGAGCGGCCTTGCGAACGGCCATTATTCGTTATGGGCTTGGTTCGTGAACCTTTGGCTCTCGGTTTTGGTTCAGAGCTCTGGCGGCGAGATCGTTTGGTGGTCTTCCGCTTTTGAGGCTTGGAGCTGCTTGATTTGCTGCTAGCTTTGGGAGAAGGGCGGTACTCACCGTCCGAGTCCTCCATGGTTTGCGGGTTCCTCGGAAAGTATTGGCTGGTGACGACGTTTTCATCGCGTTGTAGGGTACTCGCTTGTTCAATGATATCGTCGAAATCACTTAATTCTCCAAATTCATCGTCATCGCTGCTGATGTTGACGACATTGGTATGGTTCGGATCAGGGACAACGCCATCGGCACCATCACGGTTCTGTTTCAACTCAGAGTAACGGCGCTGAGTGTCACGTATCAGCTTAAGCATTTTGTCGCCATAGCGATGTACTTTGTCCTCGTCAATATTGGGGATCTGGAGCATTTCCTTTTTATCTGCATCAAGTTAGCAACGCTTCAGTCCTCATTAATTCTCATTCAGGTTATTTCTTCACCTTTAGGAAAAACCATGACCATTTCGCGAAGGATGGTGTCAGTGAATGGCTGGTTCCGAAGGTCTTTCTCGAAAACAACCTAGTGCAATGTTAACAAAGTCTGCAATCCTTTTGACCGGGAATAGTAAGATGGCACCATACTTCCTGACAAAAGCGTTTCGCATAAACCATAAAGTCCTCCGCAACCATCTTGTGAAGGGGATCCAGTTCGTCGAATCGACGATCCTGGGTGATTGGCGGCCCAAGAAGGCTTTTTCCCTTCTGTTCCCGGTTGCCAGCAACGCGAATTGGTTCAAAGCCTTCGCTGTCATCGCCACCAGAATCGTCTTCTGCATTGTCGCAGTAACGTGCCAGCCGTCGGCGGTTCGCTGCCTGAACTGGTGACGAGACATTCGTAGATTGGGGCAAAAAGCCATGCCCCGGGGCACCATGCTTCCGGGATTTACCATTCGACGAAATTCGAACATCCATTTTGAGCTGGTGCTGACCACTCTCAAACTCTGCTGCTCGTTCGCCTAGCTTGATGTACTGGGTAGGAAAAGTACCCTGCCAAACGACGTTTTCCTCCCTCAAAGCGCCCTCGCTCAGGAGTTTGCGAAAGAGTCGTTCTGCGTCTCCTAATTCAACATCTGAACCATAACCAAAGCAGGGTGCACGCCTGTGCTCTGGGGATTTGAACTGCTTCGTAGTCCCTCGAAGAATATTCACACAATATGATATTGTGACCCTAGATTTCAGTTTCTGAAAATATCGAACAATCTTGATTGCCGATACAGCGTGCTGCGAGAAGTCCTGTTTCTCAATGGTAGCATCTGACTTGCAGTTGTCGCAAGAAGCGTTGCAATCCTGGCGCCGGAAATATTCGTTGAAATAAGCCAGAATCTGTACTCTCCTGCAATCGCTCTTGTTTTCGCAATATAGGGTGACGTTTCGCAGCATTTTGAGCTGCCGGGATTTCTGTGCTTCACTCAGATCTTCGTTTTTGTTGATCATACTCTCAAGGACGTTCACATCCCGATAGTTGAAGAAGAGGTAACAGCCGGAACGTTTGCCGTCACGCCCGGCGCGTCCAGTTTCTTGGTAATATCCTTCCAAGCTTTTTGGCATGCTGTGATGTATGACGAATCGCACATCAGGCTTGTCGATCCCCATACCAAAAGCGATAGTAGCAACTATCACATGTATTTCCCCATGTTGCCAGCGCTGCTGGATCCGAGACCGCTGCTCTGCTTCCAAGCCAGCGTGGTAATGGTCCGCTTTTATTCCATGCTCATCCCTAAGCTTTTCTGCTACCTTTTCGCAGTTGCTGCGGGAAAGACAGTAAACAATACCGGATTTTTTCCGATACTTGTTGATAATATCGGCGATGTTCTGCACAAGTTCGCTGGCTTTGGATTTGGACCGAACTTCGTACGTCAGGTTGGGCCTGTTGAAGCTTTGAGTGAATACTTCACACCCATCCATCTTCAGATTGTGGATAACGTCGGCCTTCACATTCTCCGTTGCCGTTGCGGTCAACGCCATCATGGGGACCCCGGGTAACCGAGCTCTGAGTCCACCCAGCTCCTTGTAGTCAGGGCGAAAATCATGGCCCCATTGACTGACACAGTGAGCTTCGTCAATCACAATCCGCGCTAGCCTTCGCTTGTCAGCCAGTGTTTCGAGGCGTTCGGCAAAGGTCACGTTTTTGTTGATCATTTCAGGCGTGATATACAAAAGTTCAATTTGTTTTTCCGGGGCTCGACCAGACAACGTGCTCATTATCCACTGGCGCTCTTCCCGCTGAGTCTCGCCATTTATCAAATACGCTTTGATCTTGTTTTTTCGGAGATGAGAGACTTGATCCTGCATCAGGCTGAGAAGCGGCGAGATCACAATAGTAACCCCTTTAGTTGACCCGCTAGACACAACGGACGGAAGTTGGTAACAGAGAGACTTCCCCCCGCCTGTTGGCATCAGAACGAAGGTATCTTTTCCGCTAAGTGTGGCGTCGATCGCTTCAAGCTGATTCATTCGAAACCCGCGGAGGTGGAATCTCTCTTTCAAAGCATTTTTGACATCTTTGGTCCACGAGTGCTCATTCCATAGAGCGCCATGGGTCTGCGACTTTTGTGTAGCTGGAAGTCTTGGGGCATTCCCAGAGGTCTCAGCAAATACAGGGCGGCTGTAGGGTTCCTGTTTTTCATTCGCGACGGGTTGCTCATTCTGAAAACAGTCCGCAGCTTCCAGCATTTCTTCATCAAAAGCATCCATGCCGAATTCGTCAATGTCCTGCGCCGGAGGTGGAGGAGAACCCATGACTCTCGTGAAAGTTGTCTCATCGTCGCTTATCGTTGGATCATCATAGTCAAACTGTCCACTTTTCGAGCGCGCCAGGGAGCTATTCGCAAAAGAATATGCTTCACGTCTTGTCGGGCTCAAGCGGTAGTTGTTGACGTTTAACAAGGCGGGCGCAAGTGAACGCGAAAACGCAGCATCATCGGCCACAGAACGTCTGTCAAATCTACTCCTGTCCAAGCTACTTCGCGACGCTTGGGGTAAGGAGTCTGGGCGCTCAGAGGAGGATTTAGGGTCGCCCAAAGACATGTTGTCCAGGGCAAAAAATAAATCAGCTTCAAGGAGCAGACGGCGTATGTCGGTTTCTATGTCCTTCAGCTGTGATAAGATCTTCTTCTGCTGTTCAATTTCTGGCAACGCGCTTGATGGGCATCCTTCTCGATGTACAACTTGCAAGATAGCATGCTTCAGAGCCTGCGACTCCGATTCATGATTTTTGTAGGCAGACTTCTGCGTCTTCAGTGCCTCAACTGCGTATTTTTGAGCTGTAACGACGTTGTTCTCTGAGGCCAGTGCTGCAATGTCAGGACCGTGTTCGCCTCTCATTACCTTTTCGTAAACAATATCCGAGTTCTTCTGAATGGTGTTTTGAAAGTGTTCTAGCAGGGCACCTAGCAGATTATCGGAGATTTGAAGAAATCTTTCAACATCCTGATCGACAGGTTCGGTGGTTGTCTTTGAAGCAATTAAGGACGCTGTCGGAAGAGGGTCGAGCCTTCGGGGGGTCGCAATGCTTTCTTTGACTGTGACAGCTCGAGTCGCTTTCGATGTGACTGTTGAATCGGGAGACATAGGTACTTTTCGCTTAGCGGACGTTGTCAGTTTAGGGGCCCTTTTCGGCTTCTCTGATGGCAAGATTGGGTATAATGCATTGTCCACGTTTCGAGGAGAACCCAACTTGCTGCTCATCCAGTCTTCGAACAAGCTACCGGCACTATCATCATCAGAGTCAGGAATAGCTTGGTTTCTCACGGCTGCTTTAGTAGACGAGTGTCCCTGTTCTCCAGCTCGGGAGAGAGAAGCGTCATCTCTTGGAGTTTGTGGAATCCTTTTCCGAGGAGTTTGTGTTGACAGAGGACAATCAGTCTGAGCCTCTTTACCAGAGACAAAAGGCGACTGGGCTCCGCGACGTTCCCTAGGAGATAACAGGTCACACGCATACTCATCACTCTTCCTTTTCTTGCCCCGTTTCTCCATCGGCTGCTGTCTAGATGCGGCATCCACGGTCCAAAGGCGCCGTGGCTCCCCGAATTCTTCGCCAGTTCCAGATGAAGTTGGTATGCGGTCAAAGTCCCCAGTCAAGTCAACCGTGTCGATGTCGTCCAAGGATGACGGTAGCTCCAGGTCCTGGTTCGCTCGAAGGGTGGTGGGTAACTGGTCTCTGCGGCTAAAGGATGAGAAGGCACTGGGAGATTCTTTTAAGCCTATCTGTTAGCATTGCAGTTGCTTCTTTTTGGTTTATGGAGTACCTTTAACGCCCTTGGTCCTTGAGGGGGTCTGTGTAACTTCTCGTTTGCTGGGCGAGCGCATCTTCGGAGACCTTCGAGCCGAGCCAGGCGACTCTTTTTTCTGACTGAGCATCCGAGGTTTGCTCGCCGATGGGGGAGCCAACATCAGACGCGCCATTTCTGTGTCCGAATCTAACTCGATCTCGTCAGTCACATCATTCTTAGTATCCGTTTGTAGCACCGGATGCGAGTTCCTGATGCTGAGTTCTTCGGTTTGACTCGCCAACAAGCTCAAAGTTGGGACGGTATTGCTATAAGAATTGTTCGGGTTCACATGGGACTCCCACGCGGGCGGCGTCAGAACTGGGTAGAGCGATGGGCCTTGATCCAGTAGCCATTTGAGATGGATCTTCAAATTGCTTCTAGTCATAGGGGCGTCTGCACGTGTTCATCGTTCCTTTGAGTATCGCATGGGCGGCATCCGTACTTCCAAGGTCGTTCGCTGGGCAGCTCGTCTTTCTTGTAGTATAATAACCAGAGCGATCAACGGTTGCTGGAACGCGTCGCTATAGGAAAACGCGCGGTCACGTGATCGGTGGGTCAATCAAGGAAAGAAAGTCGATGCTCGTCAGAGCGGCATGAACATCTATTTCTATTTTATTTTTCTTGAATAATGTGGTGACTTCAAGTATGATTTTTTGATTAGAGCATGCTCTCTGATATATTTGTCTATAACAGCATATTTCACCCAGGTCTGAACTCAAAGATCGATCATGCTGCCGAGTCCTTAGTACTCTTTACTTGCAAGAAACCGAAATATATAGGAGTCTAGAAGTCCTTTTCGCTTCCAATCTACCTCGAAAAAGAGAGCACTATAGTTACGTTGACGACGTCCAATAAATGACTGGGATTAGGTGCGCATGCCAAGATCTCTATATAGCAGTGCTCAAAGCATAAATTTTATAAGACTCCAGGGTGAATAAGGCAAGAATAGACACCTTGATGTCGCTGTAATCCCAATACATCAATAATACAGTGTACCAAAAAAATGAGAGGGATTGATATTTTTTTCTCTTCACCCCGCGCAAAGCTCCATACAAATCCACATATATCTACCCTGCGAAGAGATTTGGGGACCAAAAGTTTTCACAACATTGATTTTTATCGCAAAACTTGGTTCCCGAACAAAATATTGGATCGAAGCCTGAATTATGGGCAAAAAGAACAAGAAATCCACGGAGCACAAGGAGCGCATAGCAGCAAAACAGTCCAAAAAGGCAGACAAGAAAGAGAAGAAGGGCAAGACAAAAGGCCGAGATGCGGATAGTGACGCCGAAGATGCGGATCTAGATGCTATCCTTGCACAATATGCAGAGGAACAAGCGCGCTTTCTCAAGGTCACCGAGGTCGTTTCAGAGCCACCGTCTCCTCGCTCGTCTGCGACTGTGCTTGCGTCTCCATCGAACAGAAATGAACTATTGATATATGGCGGAGAGTACTTTGATGGAATATTGGCTACATTCTTTAACAACCTGTTTGTTTATCTTATTGATCGAGGAGAGTGGAGAGAGGTTACGAGTCCGAATAGTCCATTGCCGAGGAGTGGACATGCCTGGTGCCGGGGAGGGAATACCGGGGGTGTATACTTGTTTGGAGGTGAGTTATGTATATTGACAGTTGATGAAGGAGGTTCAACTAATTTGGAGAAGGTGAATTCTCATCGCCGAAGCAAGGTACATTTTACCACTACAATGATTTTTGGCACCTTGATCCCTCCACAAGGGAGTGGACTCGCCTGGAGACTAAAGGGAAAGGCCCTCCTGCTCGGAGTGGGCACAGAATGACTTATTACAAGGTGAGTTCAAGTACCGAGGTCCCATTGTTCATCCTTTGACGCCTTCCCTAGAATTACATTATCCTTTTTGGTGGATTCCAAGACACATCACAGCAGACAAAGTACCTCCAGGACCTGTGGATATATGATTGCTCAAAGTATACATGGTTTAGCCCGACGCTATCCACTGCCTCGCAGAAGCCTGACCCGCGGTCTTCCTTCTCATTGCTCCCACATGAATCTGGGGCCGTTCTATACGGTGGGTACTCCCGCGTCAAGGTTTCTACAGGAGTTGGAAATAAACCGACCAAGGGAGGCGCCCAGCGTATGACTATGAAGCCCATGGTGCACCAAGACACCTGGTTCCTTCGAATTACGCCACCTGCACCTGAAGCGCCAGCATCAACGCTCCCAACAGTCCGTTGGGAACGCCGCAAGAAACCTGCGAATTCCCCCAATCCGGCCAGGGCTGGTGCAACCATGGCATACCACAAAGGGCGAGGTATTATGTTTGGTGGTGTCCACGATGTCGAATTGAGCGAAGAGGGCATTGACAGCGAATTTTTCAATACCCTTTTTGCTTGGAACACAGACAGAAACCGTTTCTTCCCTCTGGCGCTTCGGCGTTCAAAGACGGCGAACAAAAAGCAGTCAAACCAGGTCAAGTCGCGAGACAGAGCCAAAGCTGACGAAGAGGAACTGTTGCGGAACCTGAAAGCTCTAGAAGCTAAAAAGGGTATAATAGCCGACGACGATGATGCTGAATTATTGCAAAGCCAGTCTAGGGTGGACGACGAAGCCGTTGAACCAGAAAAACCGGCCGTTGTTCGCTTTGAAATGCCTCACATGCGATTTAACGCCCAATTAGCGGTTCAAGAAGATACCCTCTTCATCTTTAGCGGTACTTTTGAGAAGGGAGACCGCGAGTTCACATTCAACGACATGTATTCCATTGACTTGGTCAAAATGGACGGGGTCAAGGAAATTTTCTACAACGAGCCTGGTAATTGGCATCTACTCAACGAAGAAGATAGTGATGAGGAAATGGATGAAGATGAGGAAGAAGAAGAAGACGAAGAGGAAGATGAGGAGGTTGCCATGTCGCTCGACACTGCCTCCCCAGCAACTACCGAGCTGACTGTACCTTCAGTAACCCAAGGGATGGAACAGTTAGACGTGGAAGAGCAAGGAGCAGAGCCATCTATTCAGGATAGCAGACCACTCCCTCGTCCATTCGAGAGCTTACGGGAGTTCTTCAGTCGTACATCTGAAGAATGGCAGAAGATCCTGCTTGACACCCTGAAAGAGAAGGGGGTAGCCCTGGAAAAGAACATCAAGGAGCTCCGGAAAGACGCCTTTGACATGGCGGAAGAGAAGTGGTGGGATAGTAGAGAAGAAGTTATGGCATTGGAAGATGAGCAGGAAGCGGCAGGGATTGGCGAGGTTGTTAGCATCGCTGACAGAGGTGAGAATGCCGGTGGTGCTGGACGACGGAGATGATCTTGAGTCCATTTTTCCAAAGCGAACAGTCAAGCAGGCCTATAGGATAATCGTTACTACCAACTTGATCTATATTAACAGTGTATGAGACCTATATCCTATACTATCTTCCAATGGTCCTGCTTAATCCATTTCCACTATACTTTCAAGTACCCCTCTCACGTTATCAAAGTCTGTTTCTTCGGCCCTCCAGTTGGAGATGGCAATGCGGCAGGCCGGTCTGCCTTGCCAGGAGGTACCTGAGACGAACATCTTAGAGGTAGCATTGATCTTCACCGTAAGTTGGCGATTGAGGTCGTCGTCCTTGGCGCTAACCAACACAATCATAAACGTTCGCTCAAGCAGCTCTTCTTTCCCCTCTACTTCAGGTAGTACATTGTATTTAGGGTGGTCAAAAAGCCATCCTGCGATCCGTCTAGCGAGTCGAATCTGTGTCTCGAGGATCTTTTTGTATCCGGAGCTTCCGTATGCTAATAGGGACGCATAAACGGGTAATGCTCGAAACCTTCGGGAGTTCTCTATACCAATGTTCAACGGAGACGGTATTGACTGTTCTTCGCTTTTACCACCTGTTAGATACGCTGCGTTGGCATTCCGGAAGACGTCCATAGCCACGCCCTGGTGCCGACAGAAGAAGAAGCCGCAATCATAGGGCACGTTGAGAAATTTGTGGGCGTCTCCTGCAAGAGAGTCCGCTAATTCAATCCCCTCGCAGCCCTTCTTAATGACACTGAACTCTGGGGTCTCTGGCAGAATGCGACCGAAGATCCCAAACGCCCCGTCCACATGGAGCCATGCTCCATACTTATCACATAAAGTTCGTAGAGTGCGCATCTCATCGAGCCCGCCTGTGGCAAAATGCCCGGTATTGACCTCACCGCATGACACAGCGACAATGGTCGCCTTGTCTGTCCTTTGAAGCTGTTCTTCTAGTAGCTCCAGGTCGAACCGGAGATGATCATTCTTGGAGGAAACGTCCTTGACGTTGGCCCGGCCAAACCCCAAGATCCCTGATGATTTAACAAGCGACGAATGTGGCATTGTTGAGAGAATCTGCAAACCCGAAAGCCCTGCTGCTTGCATAGTTTCAAACAGTCCAGACTCGCCCACACTTCGGAGGGATGTCACGCCTTTTCTAGTGAGGGCACTCCGTAGCACATATTCTCGTCCACAAGCTAGCCCTAAGATATTGCTCGCTGTCGCCCCAGTGGTGAAAGTACCGTTTTGCCATTTGCGATCGAACTTCAAGAGATCAAGGAGAAGCCCCAAAGCAGAATATTCGACATCCGTCGCGATGGTATGCTCAGTGAGATGTACTTGGACATTTTGGTCATAGGCAGAAACGATACTATCGGCGAAAAGAGCAGCTGGGGTAACGCCACCGGTGACAAATCCGTAGTACCGGGGACTGATGCTGCTGTTGTTGAAAGCTGGAACAATGTCGTCCAAGATGTGACGCTTAGCGGACTCGAATCCGATTCCATTAGCATTAAGTGAACTAGGAAGAGTTGCTCGTGCGCGTGCTAGACTGGAAGCATCAGGCAAAACAGTTGACTTGGTCGATTGGGAAATCTCCCAGAGCGTCTGCTGGAGCTGGCCATGCGCCTTTGCGCTGGATTCGACTTCGACGTTCATGATTGGAGATGCGGCAAGGGCTAGGCAGGACACGGACTTTACACGAGGAGGGGTAAATAATGCCGGGCTGGTTGGTGCTTTTTAAAATCGCTCCCACGGTCCTGAATAGAATTGTGGGAACGGTCCGTTTGCCGGAGGAAACACAGAAGGGGGAATCTTCAAGCAACACGGCTCAGCTGCTGCAACCTCGTCCCCAAAATCATCCTCTCCACTTCACCCCCATCGAAGCTCGGAGTAGTGTAGATAAACAATGGCTGCAAAACTCATTGACCGACAATTCCATAATGTCCCAGGCACGTTTTATCCCTGAATAAAAAAGCATTCGATCACGCTGACTTGCATTCTCAGGTAGATTCCGGGTGGCAGAACTGTTCTTCGAGGTTCCCATCAACTACAGCCAGCCAGGAGATGGAGCGCTGCGATTATTTGCTCGCAGTATCTGCCGTGCAGTGAAGCCAGTTGATCCTGGAAAGGACGAGAAACACCCGCAACTCCCTTGGCTTGTCTACTTGCAGGGCGGCCCCGGTATGGGGTGTCGCCCTCCCCAGGAGTATGGCTGGGTTGGAACTGCTTTAGATAAGGGATATCAGGTGTGCTATGCTGCTTTCCGACTCCCTAAGGGCCTCCGCTGACGTGTTTTGGCAGGTATTGTTTCTTGATCAACGTGGAACTGGACTCAGTTCAACCATCACAGCAGGCACTTTGGCTTTGCAGGGAAATGCTATCAAACAAGCCGAATATCTGAAACACTTTCGGGCCGACAACATTGTGCGGGACTGCGAAGCTGTTCGTCGGTGTCTCACCACAGACTACCCCGAGGAGAAGCGAAAGTGGAGTATAATCGGACAGAGCTTCGGAGGGTTCTGCGCAGTGACATATCTTTCTATGTTGTGAGTGAGATTCTGAAACTCGCAATCCAAACTATATACTGATATTGGTATCTCATCAAAAGCCCAGAGGGTCTTGCCGAGGCTTTTATCTGCGGCGGGCTTCCGCCGTTAGTCAACGGGCCAGATGCTGTCTACTCACGCACTTACGGTCCGCCTTATCTGGAAAATTAGTGTTGATAGTACGCTAATTCCCGGTAGAAAAGGTATTGGAGAGGAACAAATGTTACTACTCCAAGTTCCCCGAAGACGTGGCTCGGGTGAAGGGAATCGTCGAGTACCTGAAGCAAAATAAGATCACGGTGCCATCCGGCACACTTACTCCTCAACGGATCCAGCAACTCGGGATCATGTTTGGCATGCATGGTATGAAGAGATGGCCCACCGCTGAGACCATTACTAACATAATTTAGGTGGGCTCGATAGCGTTCATGGTAATGCCGCCGAGCTTCCGATCAGGGCATAGAGAGACGGTTACTGAACGTTGAAATCCAATAGATCTGATCCTGCGCGCCACGAGTGACTTAGACTCCTTCGGGTTTCTCACGCATCCCACACTCGTTGCCCTCGATAGTTACGGCGGCTACGATAACAACGTCATTTACGCCATACTCCACGAGTCAATTTACTGCCAAGGGTAAGGAGCGGTTCATCCCCTTGTGTAAAATGGACAAATACTGAAAGAAACAGGGAGGCCTCAAACTGGTCTGCCGACAGACTACGATCCTCAAATCCCTGGTTCAGTCTTACCTCTGATTCACCCGAAATCCTTTTTACTGGAGAGATGGTAACTCCTTTAGCCTGGCTCAACATGGATTTCCACTAACTTTAGAATGACAGATATACAAGGACATGTTCGACTCCTACAGCGAGCTCAATCAGATCAAAGAGGTGGCGGATATTCTAGCAGCAACAACCGACTGGCCCGCGCTCTACGACGAGGAACAGTTGGCGAAGAATGAAGTGCCCGTTTATGCGGCAACGTACTTGGAGGATATGTATGTGCATTTCGAGCACGCGTCGAACACAGCGGCGAAGATCAAGGGTATCAAGCAGTTCATCACGAATGTGATGTATCATAACGCCATCCGGAGCAAGGCGGACGAGGTTTTCCAGCAGCTCTTCGCGCTGAGGGATGATACGATTGACTAGAGCACTGGACTCTCTTTAGATCCCATGACTCAGACGCTAAAGTAAGGATGCGGATGTGCCGGGAGATCTTGAAAGTCGAGCAAATCTCATGGATTTTCAATTGGAGAGCATGGTTACTAGGATGATGAATACCACATGAATACCAGAGGAGTAGACTCAAAACACCTAGTAGAAGGCATTAGTCGCGAGTTAGCTTCGACGCAGGCAATTGAGGAAACACTTACGGCCCCCCCAATAATGAATAACCTCTCCTCCTCCTTCTGCACCCACTGTACAATCTTACTCGCACTCTGCGCAAGCGCGTTTCGATTCGCATGCGGCCCAGCAACACAGTAAAGCTCGAAGACCGGTGTTACCCAAGCAAACGAATTAGAAGACTGAGTGACGCAGTGGTGGACCTTGACATGCGTATGCTTTGCGTGTACGCTTGCGTGAAGATTGTTGTACGTTGAGATTAACCTGTATCGTAATGATTAGTTTGGAACTCAACCGAGCGGGAGTGTAGGTATACCTTCGGCGTCGGGCAACCGATGAGAACTCTGGAGCATAGGAGGACATGGTGAACTGAACGTTTGCCCGTGATTTATATACGAAGTGGTGCAGGACGGTTCCTGGGACGATGTCGGTTGTAGTAGGTCGGCCTTTGCCAATGGCGTCTTTTATGATTTTGATGCTGCCATTCTTCTCCATTTGCTGGATGATGTGGTTAGTGGTCTCTCACCCATTGCGAGTCGTGTCTGAGTGCGTACCTCGACGAAGCTGTCCCTCATCTTCTGCATTTCGAAGAAGCTTTCTTTGTCGGTACTTATTAAAATGATCGCGACTGACTCCTCTGTGGTCGCTGTATCTTCGGCAGCGGTTTCGGCATCTTCCCTGAGATCAAGGAAGCTGACGTACATGTATAGGTATCCGCTGCTGTTGAACCCAGGAAGGCATACGGGAATCCAGCTCTCACCACCTCCAGCCTTAACGGCTTCGGCTTCAAAAATCATATTGAATAGGAGTTGAAGGTCACCAGGGTGTAAAGAGTGTTTCTTTGGCCTCACAACGCTCACTAATCGACCGCCTGCGACGACTAAGCCATATAATAGATTGTTGACTTTCGTTTTCAAGAGAGCGTTGTTGATTGTCTGACGGTGTGATTTGCGGATCTTCAAGCACTCTAGTGCTGATAGTAGAGTGGAGGGCGAGCCTCTTGTGAAGCTATCTGCCAACGTGGAGAGGAGGGTTTCCGAGCCCTGCAGAGGACGTTTCAAGTCGGTAGATGGCCGTACAGAGAATAGATGTGTCAAAGATGGTAACGTCAACGTGGAGAGAATCTGCATATATAGTGCCTCGAGTTGAAGCTTAAGCTGAGTGTCGCTTTCAAGGATTCGACTAATGGCAACTAAGTATAGAGGCCCTTTCGCTACCACTGCAAACTTGGTCTCACCAGCAGTGAAGCCGCTCAAGCGGTCTTTGGAATCTTCATAAGAGGAAATGATGGTTTGGATGATGCCAACGTAGGTGGATATTAGCCCACCATCGCCATGTCTTGTCCATATCGGCTTTCCAGCAGCCGATAAGATGATATAGTGTTTTCGTTTCGCTTTCCATTTCTCGAGTACCAGCTCTGCTCGGTTAATGTGTTGTTAGCATGGAACGCAGTCGTGATCTTACGGTAGTTTTCGTACCTTCATTCCCCTCCTCTACATCGATCTCCCCAACCGGCTCAAATTCAGTGCTGAAATCATCTTCCATATCGTCGGCTTGGAATTCCGGAAACTGCATCAAGCCAGTGCTATCTTGTTGAACCACCCCTAAGTCCGACGATGCCAGATCACCAAATATGTTTTCCCCATCTCCTGACTCGGAGTATGGTGCATAACTTCGGATGCTTGCGCTGTCTCCAGCGTCACTCCCTCCTTTGGGAGTTGCAAGATGGCTCAAGCTAGCTTTCGCGCGTACGGCTGTCGGGAGGCAGCGAACCGGTAATCCTTCCTTCCCAGCCTCATAAAAAGTAGTTTCAGTCAGCGATACAGCCGTGGTGGCTCTGGACTGCAAGCTTGGATGCACTGCCGGCGTGTTTAGCCGTGGAGTTCCAAGAACTGTCCCTCCATCGTCCAACAAGCTCAGTGTAGTTGGCCGCGGGGGTAACGGTGGGGGCCGGCCTTCGGGGCTCGAGCTGCGGTCGGAGCGACTATGGAGCTGGGCAGATTGCCCTGACGTAGGAACGTCGCCGTCACTGAAAGATGTGTGTGATGCATGGGGATCGGTCGACTCCATGCTAGTCGAGTTGCGAGCATTTGGAAGAGCAGAACGATAAGGGCGGAACTTTGCGTGATACAATGAGCGTTTGCAGATCAGCGAAACATCCGGCCTATAACTGAGGCGTTCAGGTCAGGTCTAGATAGTGGACTGCCCATCATGGCGCTGCGGAGGTGTTGTAGATCAAGACTTGCCGGGGCGGAGAAGCTCCCCCAAGGCGGACAAAAACAGCGACTCACTGCGGACGTCTGCCTGTTTCGGCTTCGTGGCTTCACCTGCATTTCAACCCGACATGGACTTCCTCCTCGTAACATCTTCTGTTCAGACTGCCTCACGTGTTTGAATTATGATGCAGCGTACTCCGCCGGTTCCTGTGTCATCTACCAGCCCACAATCGCACCATGAGCCTTGATCCGAGCTCGTTCCCAAGGTCCAACTCCCCCGCAAGCTCCGATAGCTCGCTGACGCGCTCCCGGCTACGGGGGAAAGAAGGTATGATTTTCACATAGCGATTTCATGCTGCGTGTCTATAATTTAACGATCCCATCTAACGTGTTGCCTTCTTATAGGCTCCTTGAAGAAAGACAAGAACTACCGCCGATATGCCTCCAGCGTCGAACGTGCCCTGTCTCTGTTTGATACCACTTTGCAAGAATGGGCGGACTACATCTCGTTTCTGAGCAGGCTTCTTAAGGCGCTCCAGTCTCACCCGCCTGAACTCCCTATCGTTCCTCACAAGGTCGTCGTCTCCAAGCGGCTATCGCAATCTATGAACCCATCTTTACCCGCCGGAGTACATCAGAAGGCGCTAGAGGTCTACACCTACATCTTCAACTTGATTAGGCCAGAAGGTCTATCTCACGACCTTCCTTTATACTTTCCGGGCATTGCTCCTACCCTGACGTTTGCTTCCCTTACCGTGCGCCCGCTATTTCTGTCCTTGGTGGAAACGTATGTGTGCGCTCTAGAACCATGGGCAATCCGACCAGCCCTGAAGGCGATCATTCTGTCATTGCTACCGGGGCTTGAGGAAGAGACGAGTGACGACTTCGAACCCACTCTTCGTCTTATCAACGGCCTTCGTGAGATTGCTAGTCGAATGGACACACACCGAGCCGGGACAGAAGCGAACTCAGCTGGTCAATACTTCTGGCAATGCTTCTTCCTTGCGTCTATTACTAGCCCTAGTCGGCGCTCAGGCGTACTAGCTTATTTGAACCGCTATCTTCCCAAGCTGGGTGTCACGGACCGCAGGCCCAGTAGACATGATGAGGCAGACGCAGCCAAAATACCCCAAGATATGCTGGTGGCAGCTGACTCTGTCATTCTTCCAGAGCCTGGCTTACTCATTCGGTGCTTTGCGACAGGTCTAGCCGATGAACAAGTACTGGTCCAGCGCAACTTCCTCGATCTACTGGTAACCCACCTCCCTCTGAGTTCGCCTATCCTGCAGTCGCGTATCACGGAAGACGATCTTCAACAGCTCATTATCGCGGCGGTTGGTGTGGTCTCTCGCCGAGACATGAGTCTAAACCGCAGACTATGGGCTTGGCTTCTGGGCCCTGAACCTCCTGGAGATCGGACCTCATTCGAAGCACGGCCGTCAACGTCCGGAAGCACATCTAAATCGATCATTGAAAGCGAAGAGCTCTCTCAATCTCAGTACTTCAGTCGATTCGGTCTGACGCCATTGGTGAAAGGGCTTCTTCGAATGCTCGGGAAGGAGACCAGTGCCCCCAATGAGAAAGCGCGGCCCTTCCGTATAACCCTTTCGCTCATGGATCGATGGGAAGTCGGTGGCCACGTTGTGCCAGCGGTCTTTCTACCTTTCATCCGAAGTGTTCGAGCCTACGGACAGACAGCACCCAAACATCATTTTGAAGAGGTGTTTCGCAGCGCTACATCGTTCTTTGATGGGGTGGAAAGTGGTATGATTTTCTCCGAGCTCCTCAATCTTGTGGACTGGGACACCAATGAGCTTAGAGGTGATATGAAGCGTGTACTGGACAACCTAAACCTCGCTCATTTTATTCTAGACCACTTCAATGTCCGAGAAGAGGACATGGTCTTGAATCATGCGCCACTGCTCACCCTATCTACTCTGATCAAAATGAGCGAGTTATCCTCGGATACTCTGTCATCGGTGGACCCCGAGCAGTTACAGAATCTGTCCAATGGGCTGACAAAGGTGATGGGTTCCTTGACCATGTTACTCACAGAGCGTGCTTTCCTCCGAAAACCGGATTCTAGGAATGCGTCGAACGGTCCACCACCACTCGAAGTTAATGGCTCTGCCGCTTTGATCCATGAATTCTACGACAAAAGCAGAAACAGCCTTGACCCGCAGCCATTTCCCTTTATTCCTAGGGACCTGGCGGAGTTAATCATAAAAAAGGTTTACGAACTGACTATATCTGCTCTCGATGGTAGTGATAATACTGCGTCGCTATCGGAAAGACTGAGTCTTCTGATAGTGATACTGAAAAAGCTCCCTAGATCGCGTGTCTTGCGGGACAAGAGACTCTATCTAGCTATCAATGATCGCGTTCAACTTGCCAATGCCGAATCATCCACAGCGTCATTTTCACTAATCTCCTCGATCTCGTCGACTATCACAAATTTATACTACATCCAGAAACTCGGATATTACATTAGCTATGAGGATGTCTCGGATTTGATCCCACTTCTAGTCAGACAGCTCTGGCAGTACCTTTCTCCAATGAGCCCAAAGTTTCATGTTGAAGCAGTCCGCTGCTTATGGAATCTGCACTCAATTTCGTGGCCTGACCACCTAGTTGAATCTTCAATTACCTCCTTGATGTTTAGTACTTCAGCTTCAGATTCCTATCAGCTGTCTTCTGGAGATCAAGCTGGTAAATATTTTGTGCTTTGGAGTCATAGCCACCATGGAACATACGAGCTCCCTCCGAAGCACTTGCACGATTCCACGCAGTCTCAGGTTTCTTACCACTCCTCGATGCTTGAGCGACCGCTTTTCATTGTCTTGGATTTGCTGTCTCAAGGATCATCCCAAGCTGCCCAGGTCGTCCAAACATGGCTTCAGGATTTGCCATCGGTAGCCAAGTGAGTTCAGCTTAACGACATGAAACCATAATTCATCAACTAACAAACCCGCTAGGGTTTTTCGTATACTGATTTCGAAGCTCGAGAGTGTCCTACATCGAGGAAATCAACTTGGAACATTTGAAGGAAACACCGTCGTATCTCCTGATGACCACTCCGAGTGCAATTATCTCCTGGAGACGATTCATAATACGATGGATGCTCTCAGCCATAACGGATGGATAGTGCTTCTCACCCAGACAATGGCACAAAATAACAGGCGTGTTTCTGTTTCCGAAGGTTCGTTCTGGACATGAATTCTTGAGATACATTGTCTAATAATCAGCAAGCAGACAACACCGATGCACCGAGTCTTCACTCCGTTATATTTCAAGCTTCTCTGAAAGTAGTGAGTGGATACACCTCAGATACCAAGATGGCAAGCCCGGAGGAAGTCAAGTTGCAGCAAATATCGCTTGTAATCATGCGCCAGCTCCTGCTAGGACCAGGAGCTGAAGAACTTGTTGAATCTGGAATCGACGCACTCCTTGTTGATCGACTCCTGCTCACATTAAACGAGGGTGGAGATGTTGCAATTCAAGCGGCCCTTATTGACACGCTTCAAGCTGTCCTGAAAGTACGGTTTGCTCAAGCCTATTCGCCACTACCCGCTCCCAAGCCAAAGCATCAAAGGACAAGTTCGCGCGAAAAGTTAACCAGTCCGTCGATTCTATCCTTCACAAGTGACAAACCGGAGAAGTCGCCACTACTACCCCCAGCACCCCAACCCCCTCAGCGTCTTTTAGATTGCCTGCTCAAAGGAATCAGTTCATCGAACTCGAGAAAGATCATTGATAAGTGGACAACGCTTTTATGTGAAGTACTCCCACTATACTCCAGCTCCATCTTTCAGATTCTCCTGAAATTAGTGGACTGTTTGAGCAAGGATATTAAGCAATCTTACGCAAGTCTTCAGTCCTCATTCAAAGACACTGAGAGTTGGCCCCAGGACGGCGCGGAGCATACCACTATATCCTTACTTACCGGCTTTGAGACTTGCATTGCAGCCGCCCATGAACGACTTCTCACAGAAGAAGCCAACATACCAGCAGCCAAGAGCCCAGATCAAACTCACGGCTTCTTTGGAAATATGGTGTCAGGAGTGTTCAACTCTGATGCCGGTCATCCCCGCTCCAGTGCGATGAATAACAGACTTACCGTCCTTCTATCATTCCAAGACGCTGTGCGTCTTTGCTTCTCGATTTGGTCGTGGGGAGCTGAAGGAAAAGCCAGCCTTCCTCAAGACGCGGAATGTATCGCTTCGTTTCAGTATACGTCATTGCGGATGCGGAATAGGTCTCGCCGCATCTTAGAGCACCTATTCACTGCTGAGGCATTGGAATGTCTTGAAACGATGGTAGATATGTGGATAAAGTCAGATGGTGAGACTTCGCCTTTGATCTTTAGTCTGCTTCACACTCTGGATGGCTCTCGACCGAAAATAGCAATTCCAGCTATATTCAATGCTATTTATACACGAACGAATCCTGCCGCCCTTGACCCCAGCCGCAAGTCAACATTGACGACTAGTCTGAACGAGGCTGAGTTGGCCGGGTTCCTGGTTACATATGCCAAATCACTCGATGATGACGTGCTTGACGAAATATGGGCTGACTGCACAACTTTCTTGCGCGATGTGCTAAGCAACCCTTTCCCGCACAGACAGATTCTGCCACGATTAGTTGAGTTCGCTGCAATTCTGGGAGCAAAGTTGGAAAACACAAACTTTGGTGAAGATCGGAGGATGCGAAAGGAACTGGGGGTATGCTTTCCTCTCTCCTAATGATACAGATGTATACTAACGATGCTTAGGATGTCCTTCTCCGTCTTCTTACCGCTATCTTTACCAGCAAGCCCTTAGGTCTTTCACAAGAACAAGGACTTTTAGGCCGGGCTTCGTTGGATTACGATAATTCATCTGTGCCGCACACTGGGCCCGATGATATGTTGAGTATTCTTGCTGCTTCCATGCCTGCGTTCTCAACAACCCTGGGGGACTCGGACCGTATCACCACTGCGGTGTCTGGCATATCAACCAATGTGGTGGGGCCACTCATTCGTTCTCGTCTCTTTCCCAATAATCTCAACCAAAGTTTTATGGCTTTGGTGCAACATGTCGCTAAGATCCCGCAGGCTGCCAAGGTTTGGAAGAAGGATATTGCGGAAGCTTTCCATGATCCCAGATTTTTCGGCTCTCACATCGATCTAGTAAAGGGCGGCTGGATGAACCTTCTACGGCAATGGGTTCTTGCTGACAAGGACCGACTGTCTGAGCTCTTGTCTCGCCTTACACCACCAACGACAGCTGGTATCATGTTCGGTGTTGGAGCTTCCGCGGCTCGTTTGGAGGCTGACCGAAAGGCCCAATTAAATCTTCGCCGGATCAGTCTCGTGATTCTCTCAGCGAGCAACGACTACTTCGTCGCGGAAATGCCTGCCTTACTCCAAAAATTGGAAGACCTTCTGGGAGCTACTGCCGCATCCTCGCCCTCTTCAACCACCAGAGCTGAGATATTTATGGTCCTTCGAGCGCTTACTCTCAAGAGCACAGCCACGACGCTCAGCCAATTCTGGCCGCTCATCAACAGCGAGCTTCAGGAAGCCATTTCAGCGATATCGTCAGGAAACCAGCAAGAACTCTACAACCCGCACTCTTTACTCCAAGGCTGCAAGCTCCTTGATACACTGCTCGTACTGGCGCCTGATGACTTCCAACTCCTCGAATGGCTATACGTTACCGATACTATCGATGCTGTCTACCCACCAGAGCAATTCGAATCGACGGCGCTTGCAGACGAAGTTTCACACAACCTCGGGGTTCGGTGGTCCACTTCGTCTGATGGGCCGAGAAGAGAATCGACGGACCTTCACCGTGGGGTAAGGTACCCAGGTTTAAATTCGGACTGGATACGCGAGACTGCTAAGGACGAGATTGTCGATCGGGTACTTCGACCATTCTTTGACCAACTCAGTATTCATGCGTTCGAGAGCACGTACAGCATCAGCAGCCCGAATCTGGATGCTTGCCATGATGATCTGCTGGCAGATTTGTTCAACGAAAGTACGATGGCTAATTAGGCTGGATGAATAAGTCGGGTGCCATAGATGTACTATAATAAAAAATAAAGATCATTTCATCAATTTTGTTAGGTGGTGCGTGCTGTAGTATAGAGCGAAGGGCCTGATTGGCTGCACCAGCCCAACTTCTCCCGCCCAAACCGATCCATGTTGCGAAACGTCACTCCACTCCTCTCGAGCTCCATCCTCGAACTTCCATTATTTCGGCCGGCCTCTTCCGTACTTGTATTTTCTTTTTCAGCCAAAATACCTTGATCATGTCTGCTAACATGCGACGGGTCCTTCCTGGGCTGGGTTCCCTTACAACGCAGCCTAAACTCGCGGCAACGCGACATTTCTCCAGCTCTCCCTTTCTGAACAACGCTGGAGCTACTCTACCTGCCAAGAAGCCCGTTGGAGCTTTCCGTGGAGGGTATTACATATCCTTTTAATTCAACACGCGCTACCGTCTATGTTCTTACACTGACTGATGGTACTCGCAGCTTATTTGGCTTTCTCTCCGGCTCCCTTGTTGCAGGTGGAGTGGTTTACTACTATATCCTGGACGAGTACAGGGTATCAAACAATATGCTCGCTGAGGATATCTACGTATGCATTACTTCTTCTCAGGCTGCTCTCCATCTTCGAGGCCTTTGCGAAGTTACCTTTGGCTAATCTGATATCTCTAGGCTTTACAATCAGCAACCCAGAAACTCCAGACTTACATATCCGAACTGGAGACTCGAGTCGATCAACTGCAGAAGAAGAAATGAGCCCCTGTACCCACGACTGTACCCTGTACAAATTGTATCTACGTTCTTCTTTCTATGTTCATTGGAGCAAGGTCTTTTTTTCATAATGAATCGTCATCACTGTCGTGCGTGTCGCTTCCAAAATTATTGGCTTGTTTCAAGAGTAACTTTTCTCAAATGCACCACTGACCAGATCATCTAAGCCTTTGTGGTCTTTTATACCATATATGCTCAAGAACAAACATCTTATCACAGTCTAATAATCTATTCAAGGCCACAAGTATCAATAGAACTATGCAGCAGTTTAGTTAGATGTACCAGCTTATATAATCCGACCTCTCGAGAGACTAATGCAAACATATCAAACATTTCTCCCAGTTGTATTAATCAAACAACTTTTGGATCCGAACCTTATCGCTTTTCAGATAGCTTCAGCCGAAACCATGCCCTCATAATCTTCTCAACCTCCTGAACGTCTCTATACCTAACTCATCAAAACCGACTCGATAAACCATGTATCACGTCGAAGTCGTCCCCAACACTACCACGTCCCACGCGACGCCTGGGTGGACCTACGTCCCAGACAAAGGTTTCGACCCAGCCAAAGCCGCAATCGCGCCTTCGCTCGGCCGGAAACGTGGCATTCGAGACCCCGCACGTACAGATGTGTCTTCAAGACAAACAAACGCGATCGTAAGGCACTTGGCGGAGCTCGATCGGGAAAATCATCGAGATGTCGCCATTTCTGTTCCTGCGAGGCAATTAAAGGATGCCGCTGGTCGTGGTATGTCCGCCACTCATTGACAGCTCGTTACGATGTTCTTATAGATTAGTGGTGTTAACCGGACTTTGGTGGTAGGGACGCGAACAAAGACGACCTCAAACGTGCGACGAATTCTTCAATCGCAGAAGACTTTTAGGAACTATTTGGACGACGAAGAGGCCGCGTTAGCTCAGGCTGCTTCATCAACAACAGGGTCAACGGCCTCGCAGCGGCTACCTCTGAACAAGATTACGAAACCATCTTCGTCACGGCGAAGTTCAACGCCAGCTACAACGCCGCGGCCGGACCCAGCCACAGCTCGATTGAAGAAAGACCTTCCTCCCCCTGCCTCCCAAAAACCGTCCGCCGACGACAATACTTCCTCTAACAACCAAGAACACGACCCTCAAGATCCCGGAAATGGCCTCATAAAGTCCCAGCATGATAACGATCCTCTCCTAAAGTCATACATCCCCACCGCTCCCTCAGAACGTATCATGCGCGCCTTATTATCCGAACCGCCACTCACATACAACGCGTCGCGAGCTGGACCGCCGATAACAGGAAAGTCGGCCCGGAAGTTTTGCTGTATATGCGGATACTGGGGGAAAATTCGGTGTCGGAATTGTCATCAGCGGACATGTGGGATTGAGTGTTACAAGGTGCATGAGGATTCGAGGTGTGGTGCATTCTTTTAAGCAGGTGTTCCTGCGTCTGATGTCAACCCTCTTCTTCCCATCATGGATTCGCGGGAATTGGCTGCCAAGGTTCCCGTGTATCCCATGCGGCGACCCATTGCCGGCCTGAAAGCACCAGACGGCGGTCGCAGAATTATTGGAGCCTTGAAACAAAACACCCCGAATCCCCGAGGACTATTTACTCCTCAGAGTAATTTACGAGCAATATACCCAGGATTATGATATTCAATACTTATTTGCGATTATTTATATGTATATGTCCATCTTTCAATCATGGAAAGCCGGTATCAACACTTCATCCGAATTCCAGCGCGTAATTCCTCCTCTCGAATCTCAAACATCACTTGCACTCCCACGAACAAGGCACAGCAAGCCGAGACAAGGTACACCAGCCCAGCATAGCTCCCCAGCAACTCCGAGAGAAGACTCTTGATCCCGTCAACACCGAGGGCAAACCCGACTAGGTTGGCAACCATCATCATTAGAATATTCCCTACAGCTCCCACACCGCAGATAACGCGGTACATATTTGGTTGCGAGCGCCACCGGCTAGGCGGGAAGAGTAAAGTCCCGATGACCTCTGGCAAGACAAAGAGGGTGATTAGCCATCCCCACATCAGAAGGCGGAGATTGATATCATGCCAGAGCGCAATAAAGGTGAAGACGACGAGGAAGTTGAAGATCTGGCGGGCCTTGCCATAGAGAGGGGACGAAGGGGCTTTGCTGCCCGTCCCGCTGCCATTGGTTTTGGGGCGGTTGCTGCCACCACCTAGAGGGACATATAGATAGCGCACAACCCAGCGGTTCAAGGAGCGGTGCCAGCCGCGCCAAAAGGCAAAAGCGGAGTAGTTATTCGAGACGCAGCGGACCATGTTTTCTGGCGGGTCGATGCCGTCGAGGAGAGCCCAGAGGCGGAAGAATCGCCAGGGAATGAGGAGTTTGAGCCAGATGATGTGGAGATTGAAGAAGGCGAGCATGCTGAGTTGGCCCGGGGTGTAGAGGGACCAGTTTGGTGATGCTTTTGAGATTGCGACGGCGTAGATGAAGTGGAGGATTAATTCCATGGAGAGCAGGGTGAGGAAGAAACGAGTTCCGTAAAGAATGGTGCGGGTCTTCGTCAGGGACTGCGGCGCGTATCTCTGCTGGGAGACGTAGTCGTTGAAAGTCACAATGGGGCCCGTCAGGTATAGAGGGGAGTAGAGAGCGTATGCGAGGTAGTTTCGGCCGTTAAAAGCGGACTGGTCAGCCGGGATCTTGACCCGGTCACGTTCCGAAAGAGCTGCTGGATCGAGTTGTTTCTTCTTATGGCCATTAGAAGGATCCTATACCCAAAGGGGTGAAGACTTACTTCAATCGGGCTTGCACAAGGGTAGTCCAGACTCCAGTAGTAGTCCATATTGAAACTAATCAGTCGCAGCGTGGTGATATTGAATAGAATCTCCCACCGCGGCATCAGACCCCCGAAGCTGTCGATATTACGAGTCCAATGAAGCAAAGCAGAGTCGTCCGCGGCAGATGTCCAGAACGCAACCACCCGCGCCAACGGGTACCCACCGCAGAGCTCGTTGGCAAACAGCGTTGCAATGTTGAATGCCCATGTAGCCGTGGGAATATACTTCCGGGGTAAAGTTTTGGCAATCTTATAGTTCACGAACAATATAGCCAGCACCTTGGTAGCAGAGACGCCATGCAGAGCTGTGATGAAAATCAGGGCGAAGTAGAAATCGAAGCTTGTGCGATTGGCAAGGCGGGCATCTCCCCCTGCGGCGACGGACGTGCCATTATTCGTGGTGTTCGTGGAGCGAGTATAGTACTCGTAGACGCGACGGAGGAACGGGTGCACAGGTAAGAGGATCAAGAGGTAGGGGATATTGTCGCGGAAACTCGAGTACTGCGCGTCGGAGTTGTCCTGGGGCAAACAGTGTTAGCGGCATCACTGGGCGATTTCCAGGAAAATCTGGGCCACACTCACGACTTTACGGCCTGGTATCCACCCAGGCGATAATAAATGAGAGTAGGTCGAATAAGTGGGATGCGATTCTAGCAATCCGTCTCAGCTTGATTCAGCTTTCCAGCTCGGAGTGTACAGACGCACCTTGTGACACATCAACCACAGTCTTGAACATCAACGGAACGGCGATTAGGAAGATGATGTAGTAGAAGAAGAACTCGGGCGTGCCCCATTTCGAAGGAGACGCATTGTTGGCGACAGCATTGGAGCGGGCGTCCTTCGCGGACCCAGATCGTGTGTCCTCAGCGGCGACCTTGACAGGAGTGTTGGCGGGGACGGTGAAGCGTGTGTCCAGAGTATCGAGCGAGTAAAGCCGCCGGAACCAGGAGAGGAGTGAGAGAATCATCTTAGCGCCAGCATGGTATGGCCTCTGTTCTTTGCCGAGGGAAAGTAGATAGATAGAGGAGAGGTAGATTGATTTCTTTTGGGAGCGTGTTCATTTGCGAGTTTAGATCAGGGGCGGAATTCGCGCCGAGGTCCACCTTTCAGTCCTGCATAACAACATACAACCGTCTTCCTTGTTCCACTTCTCAACCAATCTGAAAAGAACAATTATTATTGCTGCCTCGAAAGCAGGTTTAAACATAAGAGAGGGGATAATCGCTATGCAATGCTCTAATCTCAACCCAAGTACGCCGTTTTTGACATCAATGCAACTTGCCCATTTGTTCCCATAGCCTTTATCGTGTCAATTCAGATCACGTCCTCTCTTTCCCAACCCTTAGTTTTCAGAGTCGCCAGCCCTTTGCCTGGATACGGCTTGGCGGGGTCCTTGTACTGGACAGCGAACGGGTTGGGGTCTGCAACTTGGTTCAGGTTTGCAAGGGTGTGGTTAACCTCGCGGTGCTTGGCTTCATCTGCCCGGACATATAGCAGGAGATCCTTGATAGTCTGGTGGCCCTCGGGCATCTTCCAGTATTGAATGGCGATCTCCGGGGCCTTCTCACTTGTCCATTTGGGGAGGTTCCCCTGTTCAAGATCCGCAATGGCTCGCGTGTAAGTCAGCACCGCTTCTTCTTCAAGATAGCCCACAAAACGGTGGCAAGTACGCGGCGAGACGAGGTAGGAAAGGAAGAATCCGTTGTAGAACACTCCCTGCGCTCCCAATACCATCAGGCGCATGAACCATCCTGGTTCGGCAAGTTTGAGCTACACAACGTTTAGTTTATAAAACCACAACGGTGATAGGATAGCGCTTACGAAGGTCAAAAGGTGCATCCTCTCATTCCAGGCCTCTTCCAACAACGTTTCAATCCTGGTAATCATGTTAGCATTACTCAGTTGGCTCGAGAAAAGACGTGACATACCATCCGTGATCCCGCTTCATACGTCTCAAACTCCTCAGATGGCGGAGCGTGCCACCCACCATTCCGGGAACGCCAGCAACACTCTCCAAGAAGACGAATCTGTTCAGCCACATCTTCTCCGTCATCTGGTACCTGGGATTATTCTCCTGCCCCGGCGTGGGGTGCTTGTATCCGGTGGCCAAGTCCATGCCCCAACGCAAGACACGGACAGCCCCGAGCGCCACCCAGTCGGACCAGTCCTTGGCGTCGCGATGGCCGACTTTGACGGAGAGCATTTGTTCTTCTGTATAACTGTTGTGCAGTTAGCGCTTGTGTCTCCTCCACTGCGGGAGTGAAGTTTCGACGTACACTGGATGGACCCATGCCGATTTGACCTCCTTGATCTTGGGCGCATCGGGAGGAGGGAAGTATTCCTTGATCTGTGATTTGGGCGTCGAGTGAATCAACCGCTTCGTGGCCGGCTGGTGTGTGTAGTTATTGCTGAAGTACGAGCCACTGCATCGGAGTCTAGTAGTAGCGATGCCCCTCGTGTAGGTCCGTACCGTGAACTGGACGTAGTGCTTCGGTAGTGTGGCAGCCACCCTAATGGGTGTCGCAGTTGATATTGAGTTCATGGTTTTGGATCGTAGTGTTGTACTGATAATTGATTGATGTTGTTGGTGTCAAGTTCAAGGTAGAAGTAGAAATAGTATTCAATGTTCTGCTGTAATGGCTCTTGTCTAAGGAAAGAGCCTTTAGAATCTCATCCAGGCGCCCTGATTATTTATACCTCTCCCAAATCAAAACCCAAACCAAGGCACAAAGGCCTCTAATCCTTCTCGATGACAATTACCCATGGCAAAAGTCGGGCCCCAGATAACCGGAACCAGGTATACGGCCCGAATGGACAGTGAAAAGAAAAAGTTTTCATTCACCGAACACGAAATCTCGCATCTCAAAGGCTCCAGCCAGGGCGTGACGTGCTAACGCCCATAGCTGCTGTGGCTGAGAGCCTGAAAATGCACTGTAGGGGACGCCGATTTGTTCCTGAGGAACCACAAGGGCAACCTTATGCATTTTTGGATCGCAGTCTGGTTACCGGACAGTACCAGGGCGTATACTTCGATCAGGGCTAGATTGGCGGGCGAAGTTTGTTCGAGTTTCAAACTATCTTACTGTTGTAGGGTAGTTTAACAATAGTAGAAGCAGAATCAGGTTGAACCTCCTCCCCAGTGATTTTATGCCTCGCTGAGAGCTGTGGTGAAAGTGAGATATGATTCGTGACTGTCAGAGCAATACGAAACGAAGAGTATTTTTGGCCCCCTGGTTCTCCATGTGACCACGGACAAAGTCGGGACGGCGTCTGCGCGCTGACTCACGGGAAGCCGAAAATGAGTCGGGGTTTGGATAGCCTATCTGGGTTTTGACGTCAGAGGATTTTCTATTATTATTGTCTTGAAGCCAGGAACGATTTTAGATTGCAAAGATTTTCTAAAATTTGTGAGATTGGTTCGATTCCAAAACGCGGCTGAGACTCCTAATAAACAAATAAAGTGCAGCGTACAGGTTATGGGCCCATCATGGTTGATCGCGGGGAGAGTACAACTGTTGTAGCGAACAATGGCCGTTGGCCATCTCGGTGACATTTCCCGCCCTAAGAGGATTCAAACAGCGATTCGGATGTTCTCCTCACGCCAAAGTGGCCATCGTCGTCGTCCCTCACGTCCAGGATTTTCTTCTCCAATTTGACGACATGCGCGGATCGAGGGCCTTTGTCGACATCCTTCAGGAACTTCTGTAGCGTCTCCTCGGGGCCTTGTGCCTCTCCCTCGACCTGCTTCTAGTCAGCACTTGTGTTCAAAATCATACGATGTCAAAGACATAGTGCTCCTCGTTTTATCAGACCTGAATAAGCTGAAGGAAGCGGCACTATACTAACCCGTCCGCAGTTTGTATTCTTGACCCAGCCCTTGAGACCATATTCGACGGCCCGTTTCTGGGTAAAGTCACTATGATGCCAGGGGATAATTAATCAACGGCTAAATCACTCCATCCACCAGATAATGTCGAAGATAAGTGCTTACCGGAAGCCAACTCCTGCAGGATTGTCTTAATAAACAGTGACAAACAAACAATGCATCAAATAAGAGGTATAATCCGTGCGCAACTTACCTTGGACCGTGCCATGCACTTTGAATGCAATCTGGAGAGCCACTGTTAGAGCGCACTTGCGGGTAAGGGATATACGAGGTAGGTAGTATACTCACCCTCTGTGATGACATGTTTGTTTCAATGGTTGGAATAGGAGTTGTAGACCGAGTCCGCGTGTACTCCGGAGGAGGTCGGCATGAACGTTTGTGGTTCGGAGTGGGGTTTTGGCTGAGGCTTAAAAAGTGCCCGCTGCGGGGTGCATCCCTGTGCGTCATGGCTGTCATGGACGATGGCAGATGCTTAAAGTCCCGGATAGGTGGACCTAGCACTGAGTGCAGACTCTATAGTTGTATAGTATACCAAGCACTGTAATCCTTTGTATCTTTTCAACGGCTTCACGATCGTCTCTACCAGGAAGGCAATTTATCTCGTAGACCAGCCGGACTTGAACAGACTTGAAGCTCATGAATACTTCGTCCGGGTACCGACAGGCTAGTCCTAGTTAGGAACAACAACTTGCATACCTATTTACCTACCTAGTAAACTGCATCCCGTTGTGTTCATAGAAGATGATCTGACGCAAGATATGTTGATACAGGGACAGAGTTAGTGAAATGCAACCTCAGTAAAATCTAATAAGGTAGCCACATCATTCTATCATAATTGCGTAAGGTTCACCATCCGGTTCCCACAATAGAAAATATAGAAACCAAAGTGGAAAGATGAGAATGTCTATATACGGGATCACATGAACGAAGCGGAATGTCAAAAACGCTCTGCTATGGCCACTATGCATGATACATGAGAATAAACACAGAGAATACAAAAAAGATAACAATTGGGGAATAGACGGGAGCATCGGCATCATGTCGTTAACATAACGTGAGCGCGTTGATATCATTTCGTTGTAGTGGACAGGCTATACATTTGGGTAGATGCAACTATTTCGCTGGCACGCGCTCATAGAATACAATATACGCTTGCTCATTCTGCAGCCGATTCTTGAGCGACAAATCGCGTGGCATGAAGTCGGTTACCTTGTCGTCGTCGAATTTGCGCCAACACTGGCGAGATGCATCGCGGACAAGGGAAATATAATGGCCGCTGCCCATGGACGCCCCTATATGACGCAAAACTCCGTATGCATCATAGGTAAACGGTGGGTCTGTGGGAGAGGTTGTATCCTGCAATGCTGGGTTGGCAGTATCACCGGGGTCTGGCTGCGATCGGGTTTGCGAGAACACAAAATCGTCCATGCGGAGGCCGTGGAGTGGGAAGTCGATGGGCGTATGGATTTTACGGGCACTCTGGGTTTTCGATGCGGAAAATCGCTTGAAGTGGACGACCAAAATTTGAGGGGCGCGAGTAATGATGATCTGCTTGGTCGCCACCCGTTCACACTTGCAGTATGGGCACTTCCAGACCTCGTCTCCGCTCAACAATTCTTCCTGGCAGTAACTGCGAAGGCACTGGTAGATGTCCCCCTTCCCCGACGGCGGAATCTCGACGCTGATGCTGTAGAAGGCTTCATAAGTGGTTGAAGTCCGCTTGCAGGTCGTACAGCGGAGCCGGCTCGCATGCTGACCAGCAAAGAGGGAGGATATAAATGACTTTTCCCGGTGGCAGTAACGGTCCCATTCTATTTGGGATACATTGGCCATCGGCATCCTCTCCCGCCGAATCTCCTCTTCAAACGTCAAAGGCCGAAGCGGATTCCGCTGCCAATTGCCATTGAGATCTTCATGGAGGCAATCAACCACAAAATCAAAGAACTCCTTCGCATCCTGTTGTCGATCGATACCCCACTCCTGATTTAGGCGCCCGCAAAAGTTTCGGAACGACGTCGGCATGATCACCTGCACATCATTCTTCCACAGAGATCTTATAAGATTCGAGAATAGCCCAGGCATGACTCCCTGGGATCCCTTCCAATTCTTCTGTACACAAAATCTAAACCGGTCATCGATGAAGAACTTGCTCATCTCCACCGTGGCACTTAGACACTGAACTGTTGAATTCAGGTAGCATGTAACGCCAAAATTTGCCAATCCAGTCCGAGGAAGCTTGAGGCGATTTAGAATGGAATTTGAAGTATAGAGTGCCGTCTTTGTTGCTGAATTCTGCCTTTGCAATGGGGGCTGTAGTTGCCGACCATCAGACACGCCACTATAACTGGGCCGTGGGACAGCAGGTGGTGGCCTCGATGGAGCAACAGGCATAGGAGCAGCGTAAGTGCGGGCCGCCAGTGGTTGCACCTGAGGCGTTACCATCGACTGTTGGATAGCATGTGGTTCGGGGAACCGGCGCAAGAAATCGTCGTAGGAGCGAACAAACGGTGAGACGGGGGTTTCGGCTTCTTGCTCCTCCTCAGGTTCCTCTGCGAGAGTCTCTTCTCCTAGATAGGTGCTTGTGTCGATTTCTTCCGTTTTGGACTTTTCCAACCATTCGATGAGCTCTTCGGGGTTTAGCTGTTCAAGCTTGCGAAGTCTGCGCTTTCTGACCTCCAAGCTAGAATTGGCGCTAGCAGTGGTGGGTACTCTCCCAAGCGGCCTCCCAGGTCTGGCGACAGGACGCTTTGCCTGGATTGAGGCCATTACGGCTGCTGTAGAGGAGGTGCCCAGAGACTGCTGTCCCATGAGGTCAATCCAGGCGTCCAAGCCACCCAGGAGAAGTGCAGGTGGGCGTCCATCTTTCAGCGGCTTGTAAGCATTGAATTCGTAGAGAGTGTCATACAGCGCTCTGAGGTGAGGCGCAGTGGTTCCGATGGGAGGGCCCGCAAGATAGCTGTTTGAGCTTGTACTTTGGTCGTAATAAACCACCATGTCAAACTCGTTGCGCCTCTCAAACAAAGATTGTTCGAATTCTGGTGATACCACCAGACGCTCCTCAAGTTCCTCTGCCGAGACATTCTCCTTCAGCGCCACAGGTTCTATACATATGATTGATTTCGCATAAATATGGCCCGTGTCAAAGTCCTCTCGAGAGCGCACATCGATCAGCAAAATGTTAAATCGTCTGAGGTAGTCCATAAGCTCCTGAGTTGTTATTGTAGATCGATGCGGTAGTTCAGCCGTGCTACTAACAGGTCCCTCGATCGAATGAAGGCCATTTGGAGTCTGAGATCGATAGGGGTTGTCATCGACTCCGGAGGGCCCTGGGCTGCCGCGAGGAGAGTTGGCAAACTGAGAGTATCGCGCATTTATGGGCCGGGAACTCTCTGTCGAGGTTTTCGGTGGGTTGAATGGAGGTTGTGAAGGCACCGTCCATATCGGACTATAAGCTGGGTCTGGTGCACGCGGTAGTGAGGTATTGAGGGGTATTTTTGGGGGTAAAGAGGGCCCGCTTTGCGTGGTTCCCATGCTTCGAGGCCCTAGAGGCCTCCTGACAGGAGAGCTCAAAGTCGATCCATTTGTTGGGCCGTGAGATATATAGGATGACGGCCGAGGCGATTGGTTTTCAGCAAAGCCCTCACCACCATCTTTGGAGGGAGATGTCGTCTTCAATCTGGCGAGTCGTTGAGCAAGCGCATCCGGCGAACTGGGAGGTGCTGAGTACCTCTTAGGTTGCGCTTGCGAGTCGAACGCTTGAAACTGAGAAGGGCTAGGCATCCGCATTGATGAGTTCCCTAGCTCACTTGGACGTCCCCGCTGGTCTGTGGGTGGATACGTTCCTGCAGGAAGTATTTGTGATGCAGAACTTCGACTGTTAACTGAGAATTGACCGGTTGGCTGTACATTGCTCCTTAGATTGTTCTCCAAAATTTGCTCCTTGATTGAGGCCACGGTTGCCTGCTTGGTTTGGACTGCCTAAAGACTCAAAAAGTTAGCCACTTCTCAAAGAGTTACGCGACTTGAACCCGAAAATTTCATGTTATTAATGACTTGCCATCATGAGGTCTTGAAATTGCTTATGCCAGCCAGGAAATTGAATGGCAGCGGTCCGATAGTTGGGATGGTGCGGAATGAGGTTTATAGTGATCTCGGAAGCGCGAACATACTGCACGTATGCCTTATCTAATTGATTGTATTCCGCGAACCCTCTGAACTTAGCAATGGCGTCTTGCGCGGTATTCAACAGATCCGTGAGCTATGCGAATCAGGTTAGCAGAGCGGTTAGACCACGGAAAATATTACTGAGGATGAGCTACTTACCGGAGTACTTTCATTCACATTCAAGGCCGCTGCCTCATCTTGGAGGTCTTTTATATTGGGGAAGCGCGGCGAGGATCCGTTCTGATGCCCCCCGGCCCCTTCGATTTGCCTCTCGTCCGGGCCCAGGCCACCTGTGTTGCGACGGCTGAAAGCAGCCCCTGGCGCGAACGTAGGCGGCGACGGGAGAGTCGCTGCATCTGGGGCCATGGCGCAAGGACTAGAAGGGAGGTATCATCGAAGTCCGGGGGACGGAATGGAAAAAGCGGAGGAGAAGCGGAAATGGTGGGTTGGTGGGACTCTCGGTGATCGTGGCGAGAACAAAGCAGGCACCCGCAAAAAAAAAAAAAAAAAAAAAAAAAAAAAAAAAAAGGCGGCAAAGAGTGAATGGAGGTAGGCGGAGGATTCAAAGCAAAAGAACGTATGGGTGGAGCTGGAAAGAAGGAAGATGGGATGCAAGAGGAATGCTAGAGAGACCAAGTCGTCAGAACATCCTGATGCCCATCTGCGGGATTGGATGCCAGTCATCTGGGGTATCACTAGTAGTACGTACCAACAGAGTACCTAGTACCTACCTGGTAGGTATTTGTGTAATTGTACTGTACGATAATGGAGGCAGAAAAAAGCGGTGGGCCTATGACGCCAGAGTATTTAGGCATCAGGGCCAATGAGGCTAATTCGGGGCGCATCATAAGAGAGACAAGCTCGATCGATGTCAACCTTGGAGCTCTCCCATCTTACTTGCTGACCTCCATCTTGTCTTCGACCTCCTCCTGTCAATTCTCCCTCAACTCGACTTGGGGTCCCTCTTAGTGCGCCCTCTTCTTATCGCCCGCACACCCATATACAAGCTTGATCCCCTCCTTCGGCTCTACTTCATCTCTTCCCCCCTCACCCCTCCAACCACCCCCAACCCCACGCGCATCCGTCATGGCGGGTTGGTTCTCATCGGCCTCACCGCTCGATGAGCAGGTTGAGCGCGCCACCGCGTCGTCTCTCGAGGATATTGCTCTAAACCTAGAGATATCAGACCTCATTCGTTCTAAGAGCGTACAGCCAAAAGATGCCATGAGATCGTTAAAGCGGCGGCTGGAAAACAAGAACCCCAACATCCAGATAGCGACTCTAAAGGTTGGTTCTATCAGTTCCTTTCTTTGATTTACTTCAATCTAACAGCGCTATCTGCCTAGCTCACCGATACCTGTGTAAAGAATGGCGGGACCCATTTTTTGGCGGAAATCGCATCACGAGAGTTTATGGATAACCTTGTTTCGCTCCTTAAAACGGATGGAGTCCCGCTGAATTCCAATGTGAAGGAGACGATGCTGGAGCTGATACAAGACTGGGCTATGGCGGCTCAAGGGCGCATGGATCTGAACTACTTGGGCGAAACGTATCGGAAACTGCAGAACGAGGGCTTCCACTTTCCACCAAAGACTGCAATTAGTGGGAGCATGCTCGAAAGCAACGCGGTGAGTCGAAATTCCCTTATCCAATTCCATGTCTACCTCTTAACAACTTATGGTACTCCAGCCTCCGGAATGGATAGACTCTGACGTCTGCATGCGCTGCCGTACCGCCTTCAGCTTTATGAATCGCAAGCACCACTGCAGGAATTGCGGAAACGTCTTCGATGCGCAATGTTCCAGCAAGACCCTTCCTCTACCTCATTTGGGCATTCTACAGCCTGTCCGTGTCGATGATGGGTGCTACGCCAAGTTGACCTCGAAGCCATTCACCCAAGGCGCCGTAGCCGATCGATCGTCCTTCAAGAATAACTCGATCACGAAATCAAACTCGATGGAACCCCGCGCAGCTAGGGCAGAGACTGGTTTTGATGAAGATTTGCGCCGAGCCTTGCAGATGAGTCTAGAGGAGGCTCAGAATATATCTTCGAGCGGTTATGTTCCACAACCTAAGCCTGCTCAAGGGCCTACAAAACCGGCGGCGCAACCCAGTACTAACGAAGAAGAGGATGCGGATTTAAAAGCCGCGATTGAGGCATCGCTTCGTGACATGGAACAACACAAGCAAAATCATGCGGCTGCACTCAAGAACTCCGCGCCCAATTTGTCTTCCAGTGAAACCCCAGTTGCGACATCCTTGCCCAAGAATCCGTACGAGCTTAGCCCTGTCGAGGTAGAGAACATCCACCTCTTCTCTACACTGGTCGACCGTCTTCAACACCAACCACCAGGGACCATTCTTCGCGAGCCTCAAATCCAGGAATTGTACGAAAGTATTGGAGCGCTTCGACCCAAATTGGCCCGCAGCTATGGTGAAACTATGAGTAAACATGGTAAGAAGAATCTGCAATTTTGATAGTAACGCCTCAGCTAACTAGCCTAGATACTCTCCTTGATCTGCATGCTAAGCTGTCTACGGTGGTGCGGTATTATGACCGCATGCTTGAAGAACGGCTGTCCAGCGCTTATTCTCAGCACACCTTAGGATACGGATCAGTACCCGGAGGAGCTTCATACCCAAATGTATATCCATCAATGCCCTCGAATACAGCCAGCGGGAAGCCGGGCGCCGAGAATTTTTACTACGGAAATGCTGGCACGGACCAGCCGGGGCCTAATCATACACCTTATTCCCAACCCCAGCCGGAACGAGAAAGCAGTACGACAAGTCCTGCAATGCATCCGCACACTCCACAGACTGTGACCCCCAGCCTACAGTGGAACCAGGGCAACCAACCGATCACATCGCCCCAAACAAACACAAGCAACACGTATCAAAATCCCGCTGCTTATCCTGGCTCGGGAGCGCCGTCACAATTCTATACTTCCCCAACATATCAAGAATCCGAAAAGGCGGAGTTTCAGCAACCAAGACACGGGGAAGGTGAATCACCTTATCAACAGTCGCCAGTAACGAGACGCCATTCATACTATCAAGCTGCAGGTTTCCCATCTAACTCGGCAGAGCAGACACCGCCTGTCGACTATGGACCTTCGTCAGTGTATGCGCAGTCGCCACAGCAGTCTGGCGGTCAGTCGGCTCCCCAACCCCAGCATCAAACCCAACCAGCAGAGCCATCGAGCCAGTCATATTATCTTCCGCAGCAGCAGCAGCAGCAACAGCAACAGCAACAACAGCCCACGCAAGGCGGGGGCTATCAAGGATATCCTCAAGGAAACATTGGCTATCAAGTACCTTACGGCGGTGACGTCTCTCCTATCAGCGCGCCCGGGCCCGCGCAGTATCAGCCGCCAGCACCGTCCCGACCTGTTGTTGAGGAGAGTTTGATTGAGCTGTAATGGGCTCGTTCTGATGTTTTCTTGGTGTTTTCGTAGGGGCTTGAGCTATTTTCCATGTTACATTATGATACCAGACGAATTGGTTGTACATTCTTTCCTAACAGTAAGCATTAATAACGAAACCTTGTTGTATTCAGTTGTGGTCTGCCGTGGCGGAAGCGGGCCATTTGGAGACTCCGAGTCGGACTGAGAGAGTGGTCTGGGCCTCGACTGTTGCGTCGAGAGGACAGAGGAAAGCTGGATGGAAACAGCGGCGTAACGCGTAATCTATAATTCCAGCTTCTCCTTCACCATCGTCCTTCGCCTCAACACAAAACCTGTGTCCCCTCTCCACTCTTCACGCCTCGCTCCGGTGGCGGCGGATCGTCTTCGGGCCTTGACGAGATTATCTGGGCTCTCTTCTCAGCGTACTTCTTTTGCTCTATCTCCGCTCCTCTTCCCCTCCAATCCACCACCCCTGCTGGTCGCTCGTCATATTCCACCAATTGCCTCGCCCCGCGCTTGTCAAGCACCAGGCTCGACGCTACTTTGTCATCATTGATATTTGCTTTTCTTTCAGATATTTCTTAATCCTTTGAGTCCTGTTGTGACACTGGGCATCAATACTGTGGTGAAGCATTGACTGCAGCCGTCAATCTCCAATCACTGACACTGATCCGCTGCTGGTAGCTGCTCGTCGCCTGATTTGGTCTTGACGCTGCTGGCGCCATGCCGACCTCTTCGAATTCCTCCCCTGTTAAGCGCCCGGGCCTAGGCCGCCGTGCTGTCTCCTCTCACGCCGTTGTCACGCGGTCCACCTCTTCCTCAACGCAGGGCGAGCTCTCTCATTCTCACACCTCTCATACCACTCATAAGGCCCCTGCGCATCGACCTCATCGAGCCCACGTTGTCGGTGGTGGTCATCGCAGCCACGGCCGGAATCCATCCCTCGGCAATAAACTAAACAAGCTACAACGCCATCTTTCGACTGGTCAAATCGAGCCAAGTGCACGGTTCCATCAACGCAAGAAGTCCGCTCCCGTAACACCCGCTGCAAGCCCGCCCCGCCCACACGTTCGGTGGGATGGAGCGGTTGACGAGACCTCCCATCATACAGCAGCTTCTATGAAGAAGAATTACTCAAGCCCCGCCTTGCGACGGAACAACTCGGGGGTATTGCCAAAGAAAGCCTTGGTGACCGATCGTCCAGCTACAAGCTCCGGAAAGAAGAAGACGGTCGGGTTTGAACTTGCGGATTCAACAGACGAGGGCGAGTGGGAGGATACGACACAGTCCCCTGAGAGTACCAGACGGAGTTCAGTTGCACAGTCTAGAGACGACAGCGACAGTCCGGTAGTGCTTATTGATCCGCTAACATTTGTGAAGCGCCCTTATCCTCAGTTTCCACGAGCTACTAGCCTTCCAGAACCCACGAGTAGGAGCTTCCACGACGACCAGTCGGAAGAAGAGCAGGAGGAGGAAGCGGATGCCAACGCTGACGCCCACGAAAACGAACAGCAGCCACAGCAACAAATTTCAGATACGGAAGAACATCAAGCAGATGATTTTACGCGCCAAGCTGACCCGGGAGACATAGCAGCACGTCTTTTAAGGCCGTCGCATTCGGCCAAGGCACTCCCCGCGATGTCGTCGATATCTGCCACCGCCATGCCTGCGCCGGTGGACACAGTGTCGAGAAACGCTTCGCTGACGAACTTGAAATCCGGCCAAGACGGCTTACGACGGCCCATCTCCTCAGCAAGTGTCGCGCAGGCCAGCACTCCAATATCACAGACCAACGCAACATCCTCGTCTATCGAAGGAGGCGTATCGAGATTCATCGTAAACAATAAGATTGCAACGTCTCGCACCGATTCAGACCCGAACACCCCATCCTCTTTTCTTCCGCATTATCATCCGCACACACCACCATCACCCAAGGGCACGACTTCAAGGAAGACACGAGCATCACCGTCCTCAAGACAGCCTGGGGCTGAACCTCATTCTCGTACTCAGCAAAAGCTCTGGTTACAGCGTACAGCAGCATTGAACACTTCACCACCTGACTCTCATGGCCCGTCTACAAGCGTGTCTCCGTCGGCGATGGATGCGGCTTTTATCAGTGGCGCTTCCCGGGTCGGACCTGGACCATATGACACTGCGAGAGCGCTTGTCAACGGATCTACTAGGAACGGTGGGGCACTGCATCAGAGCGAAGCGAAACATATCCGCAAGGCGTACGAAAAGACCGCTTTAGAGCTGACGGTTGTGCGAAGATTTCAATCGCCAACCGGTAATAGCTTCAATCGGTTAAACGCCATCCTTCAGCACCCTAAGCCGGCTACGGGCCCAGAATTGCGGAGTGGGCTCGGACAACCTGTCAAGTCGGCGCCTGCTTTGGTGCTTTTGCAACGAGGTGCAAAGGAACAAAACGGCCGGCCCCACAGCCAGAGCGGAAGCTTTGATTCAAGACAACTCATAGGACGGAGACAAGTCGATGCGCAGAGTTCCGTTTCCCAGGCTTACATCCAAGACCTCGAAGATCCTCCACACCCCTCCCACCGTCTTTTGTCTACGTCTGATGAAGCTGCACACGGCACTAATGCGGTAGACGATGACCAGGTGGAAGACTCATTCTTACCAAGTGAGGCTGACATGATGATTCGCCGCATGTGGGAAAGCCGAGAAGTCGCATCTTCTGGTTGAATGTACATATATTCTTTAATTTTTCCTTCGGATCATTAGTCTCGCCTTCTTTCTTTCAGCAAGTACTGGCGTTGGGGTGAAACTCATCCAATCTCGGTTTCAGCACACGGGTTGTTTTGGGGGGCGACGTCAATCTCCCCTTTAGCTGTTTCACATATATGTTTAGTGCAGTATAGCATGATATCCCCAGATTAATGATAATTTTCTTTTGACCCTGTTGTTGACCGGTGGGTGGAGATATTGGATTAACTACTACAGCGTACTCCGTAAAGTTCGGGCAATTAATCCCGAAGACACTACCCGACTGTAGCGGTCCCCGAGGTTACGGTTATCGATGGGTCAACACTGGAGACCAGTCGGAATTAAGGCGGGATTTCTTCCTCTGAATCTCAAGAGGAATTGTTCTGGACACGGCGATTAATAATAATTGATAAATACGCACATCCGTGGCGGGCACCGGGCAAGTTGGAGTCAGATAGGAGTGCGGGGATGTTCCGTGGAAAGATGCCCTCGAATGGAAAAGAAATGCGGTGCTTGCATGGTCCCTCCCCACGTTGAGGCACTGAGTATACTGGATCTCACTGTCAATGCGACAGGTACCTCTAGATCTACGTATATACATTTCTATCTCGATCGAGGAACGTGATTCTACCAAATATTGGACTGTTGACTCCAAGTACAATCCGCATTCTGTTCCCTGACTAAGGTGAAAATAGAGGATTCCTATTCGTCAGCGCTTTTATCAGGCCACTCATCAACAACTGTCGGACTCCGGTGGTTGAGTAGATAGATAGATAGAAGGAGGAGGACTGGCGATAGCAAGCCGAAAGTTTGAATAACTAGAGTAGAGCCTCTGTAGATTTACTAGTAGAGTACCGAGTTGCGACTGCCATCGGGTGGCCGGATACTATCCGCGGCAGAGATAGAGAGCGACACTGCCCAGGTGAAGGGCAAGAATGTAAAAAGGCGGAGAAGCGGTCGAATCACGTTCAGGAACCGACTCTTTTGAATCTCGCTCTCTCCCTCTCTCTCTCCTCTTCCCTCCTCCACTTTGCGCTCTCACTGTCACATCTGCTCCAGTCGCTGTCCTTCTCTCAGCTCAAATCTCGCCGTCAAACTCCCAGTGAGTCTCCCTGTCTCCCTGTTCCTTCCCCTATTCACATGCCCCTTCGCTTTGTTTCGCTCGCCGAAAAAAAGTACCCCGTGGAGCAAATTACTCCGCCGACTGTGATCGTCCTGACCACATGTCCTTTATCGTGCCCTGGCCTGCGATCAGTGTCACAGGTTGACTGATCATCGCTTTCCAATCACAGGTACATACATTTATACACTCGGTTATCTTCGCCACAATGTCTGCCGGCAAGGAATTCACGTTCAAGGAGGTCGCGGAACACAACACCAAGAAGGACCTCTATCTTGTTGTCCACGACAAGGTCTACGACTGCTCCTCGTTCGTGGATGAGCACCCGTACGTCTCACTCTAAACCAGCCCTCTACTGTCTTCAGCGATGCCGAACGCATAACTAATTTTTCCTAGCGGTGGTGAGGAAGTTCTACTTGATGTCGGTGGCCAGGACAGCACAGAGGCTTTTGAGGATGTCGGCCACAGTGACGAGGCCCGTGAGATCCTTGAGGGTCTTCTCGTTGGTTCTCTAAAGCGTCTGGTACGTTTCCCACTGACATCCATCTCTTAACTTTTACTGATATATGCAGCCCGGTGACCCCGCCCCCAAAGTCCACGCCCAGACCTCCAGCGATTCCTCCTCCTCCAGCTCCAGCTCCGGCTTCGGTATTGGCCTCTATGCAATCCTTCTGATTGGCGGTGCCGCCGCCTACGGTGCCTTCCAGTACCTCCAGGCTTCCGCCGCTGCCGAGCAGGCTTAGAGTCGCTTGGTGGGAGTGAGAGTGAGAGTGAGAGCGAGAGGGAGACGGAGACGAAGACGGAGGGCGCGAAAATTCAACTATGCAAGAAGATTATGTTACGAAGAAGCTTTTTCTGAGACCTGCTATCCTCCTTATAATTTATGTCAACCACTTTTTTTGCGACCTATTTTTGTTCCCCATCTGTTGGCTCTAGCATCAGGCGTGTTAGGTGATGTCTTATCTATTTTCGTCAACTGAGAGTCAAGAGTCGGATTTTGCTCGCGATTGCACTGCATTTTAGATTGGCTGCGTTCTGCTTCTACCTACCTAGATCTACAGAGGCAGTTTTGAGATACAGAGACTGATAATGATTACACGTGAACAACGGACACAGTTGCTCTAATTCCTTTTATAGTATTCAGTCCGCATCCACCACACTCAATAAGATGAGCCATATTCCATCGCTCAGTTCCAGAGTACGCATGGCTCGTCCCCTCAGAAACACCTCAAGGCCCAAGTGCTGCTGGGACTAGGCATGAGATGGCGTGACCGACCCCGGAACATAGTCAACCCCTCAGCGATCCACGGAGTCCAGGGGTGCGCAGGACGAGAGTGTCAGTAGCACATGTCAGATGCTGGTGTTGCCTGTGTACCTCAATTGCCTCGCTCAACCCTTCCTTTGTATGTTGGATTTCCGAAAATCTTGGAAAATGAACCGGGAAATCCCGACAAAGTTTCCCAATGAGAACACGGAGGAGGAAAATTCTGGAAAAAGGTTTATTTCGTGGTGTGGATGTAGCTCCAAACATGTGCGGGGGGTAGAGTTATGCTGTGCGGAGAATACAGACTGTGGTAGTGCCAGTAATGCCCATGTGAAGTGCCCGAGGCAGTACAGTAGTGTCTTACGAGTTGTAAATCGGCAACACGGATTGCTCGCAAGCTTGGACGTAGGTGGTTAGCCTTGTCTCCTCTGTAGGAGTGTGAGCTGACTATTTAGTCAGGCAATTATGAAGGAGGAGAGGTTCTGTCGATTATCTAAATAGCCAATAATGTATAGGTAAAATATTCAAAGAAGGCAGAATCGCCAGGATGCTCAGGTAGTGGGAGAAAGTAACACATTCTTTTGATGAAAACAAGCAGCAATACAAGTCAAGAAATAGAGGCGAAAAGAAGAGGAAGAAGAAAAAATAAGCAAGATATCTTGTATATTCTTCAAGGTATTTTGTTTTTACCTGTGGTTTCCCCTTTCTTTCTTTCTCGATGGCAGTGAGGGTCATCACCTGGCGTTGCCGTTCAAGCCGGCACGAACAGCCTCCAAAATCAAATCTTTAGCCTTGTCTAAACTCTCCTTGCTACCCTTGATTTCGATCGCTTCGCCTTTAGCCTGGTCTTTTGGCACGTTGATTCGGCAGCCTGTTTGCTTGCGAATCGAGTTGATCTGGCTACCACCCTGGCCGACAACGAAGCGATACGTCTTTGGGTCGGGGAGGATGAGGTATCCCGTAGCGGATTGCTGGGAGGCAGTGTTGATGGCCTTCTCCAGTGCAGCCTTGGCCTTGGCGACATTGTTGCTGGACCCAGCCAGTACCCATGGAATTGTGGCCGGTTCATTGGGATCGCTAGGCGCAGGGCTGTTGTCAACCACCTTCCAAGAGTGAGCGTCCAGCGCCTCGCTGGGTTCATCCGTAATCAATGGCAGGGAAGAAGCTCCGTTGGCAGTCGCCCGCGAGTCGTCCAATGTGGGCTTGGCTGGGACTTGCTGGCCAGCGTGATCCACCGTCACCTGGTAGTCGTTGCGAAGACGGCGGAAGAATGATCCATTGTCAGCGATGGCATGGTGCAAATGCCTTGGAACATCAACGCTCACGCCCTGCTGATCCTTGAGCATAGCCAGTATATGTTCCTTTGCCTCCGCGACAGCGGTGCTAGGTCCCTTCAGCTTGACATCGGCGCGTCCAGAACCTTGTCGAGGAATGTCCAGCGTGACGTTGAACTGGGACTCAATGCCTCGTCGGATGTCTCCCCCACGGCCAATAAGAAGACGGTGCTGCACAGCAGGGATCTCAACGTTGACAACTACCTGGTCTTCGCGCTCCTTCACGAACTGCTCAATAGAAGCAATGATCTTGTCCACGACCTCGCCGTCGCCTTCGAGTCTGATTGTGGTTTCGTTGCTCTCGGGACGCGGGAACTTAACAAGTCGGGATGCACTCGAGTCGGTCGGACCACCGGCTTCAGCAACAATCTTACGAATGTTTGCACCTATGTACGATTAGCGATATCACTCTATAAGAGTTCAGGGACACTTACCGCCGCCACCAATCAAGGACTTGTGATACTTCTTGTCAACCTCGATCGACTTGGTAACAGTAGCATCAAATTCGCTCGAGCGCTTCAGCAAGACCTTCCTCGCCTCTTCCACCTGTGTCTTGGTGCCCTTGATCCTGATCTCAACGCGGCCAGAGGCGTCTGGCGCATCGTTGACTCCTGGCACATCAATTTGAGCACCAGTGTCAGCCCGAAGTTTATCCATCTCACGCCCACGCTGGCCAATAAGCGAAGGAATCTGGCCCTGTGCAACAGACACAGTGGCTGAGTGGGAGTGGTCCACAACCCACTGCAACAAGCTCAAGATTTCATCACGTGCAGCGTCTGCGCCCTTACTGGGTCCCTTGACAATCACCTCGTCGGCAGCCTGCTGGAACCGTTGAGGTCTCACGCTGCCGGCCTCGCTGGAAGTGTCCGCAACAGACTGCTCGTCGCTGGCGATCACAGCTCTAGGGAACTGGACGCGAACAGAGTAGCGGTCTTGGAGTCGGTTGACCTGACTGCCCTTCTGCCCGATCAACTCGCGGTGATACTGAGCGGGGACTTTCAAGATGTGAGTCGTCTCATCCTCAAATTTTTTGCCGAGGTTGATAATCCTAGTCTTTGCAGCATCTGCTTTGGCCTTGGGTCCCTTGACCTCCACCTTTCCATCCTCCACCTTGATATCAACGTCAAATTCGTCACGAAGCTTATTGATATTTTCACCCCTCTTCCCGATAAGGAGGTTTGCAAACTTCTTGGGGAAGTCAAAGGAAGTGGTGTAACCCCTCTCAAGATCATCTTTCTCTTGCTCAACAACGAACTCTTGGAGTTTGGCTGCAAGTTCCCCAACGAGGCGGGAAGGGCCGCGCAATGAAACCTCACTGTGAGGAGTGGCTCCGCCGCCATTTCGGCTTGGTCCACCTCCAATAAGAGCGCGGACAGGAATCTGGTCTTCGCCCTTCGCCTCTTGTTCCCGGGCGATGAACTTCCGTACTTTCTCTTGATACTTGCTGGGAATCGGCACAGCCTGCTCCACGATGTCATCTTGGCTACCGAGAGCATTCAACAGATACTCTTGCGCCTCTTGGAGAGCTTTTTCAAATGACGCAAGGTCGGTGGGGGATGGCCGTTGGCGTGGAATCTCTAGCTGAGGAGAGTTCGCAGAGGGTCCTTCGTAGACGAGCACAACATCCGGGCAGTCGACCTCTTCAGGAATAAGGACATAGACACCGTATTCAGACCGCAACTGAGGAATGCTACGGGAGCGGAGGTAAGGGTAGAAGTAAGGGTCAACGGTCAGGTGCCGGAGTCTGGCCGGAGGGTGAGCTGCGACGAGATTCAGGATATCGGAGCGCGCACGAATCGTGTTCTTGCCATCCCTTGAGTAGACCTCCCAGGTGACCGGCCCATCTGAAGCGGGAGACAGAGCAATCCGGGAATCGTACATGTTTTCAAGTTCCTTGATGATTTGTCGTTGGTGTAGGTAGCGGGTAAGAGCGCGCGCATGAACATGTGGCCCGAGAGGAGCATTGGCGTGCTGGCGGGAGAGGTCGATGCTTGCCATCTGCATGCTCGTGGCGAGATCCATTGCTCGGTTAATTCCATCTTCAATGCGCTGCAGCGGGCCGGTGACGGTTAGGAACTCGGTCTCGTCTGATGAGGGGGGAAGCACAATAGCGCATCCAGTTTCCGCAAGGAATTCATGTAGTGCATTAGCATTATCACCCAGGATGAATTGGTGCTGACCCCGGTTGATTGCGAGTTGCCGTAGGGTAAGTTGACGCTGCAGATCGGCAGCAATCTTCTCAATCTCTGCACGAGCTTCCTGTGTCGCAGTGCGCTCTCCAGAAATGAGGATATGCCTATCAGAAACCGGTGCAAACTGGACGTGGCCAGGCTCGGCTTCCTGCGGCGGAGGCTGGCTTTGCCATGTATCGTAGCGAGGGATGTGAATCTGAGCCTTGGTTCGCTCTTCAATGTTTCTCAGGCTTGCATTGTGAGGACCCGCGATGAAGGGGAAGAATTCCGGCGGGATTGATTTCAGGCGCAAGTTCATGTTCGACGCACGCTCCTTGACAATAGCCTCAATTTCGCGCCGGGCCATCTCAGCAGCAACAGCATCGCCCTCGATCAGAACATCAATGGTGTCATTGTCCTCGTCATCATCTCCAGTTGGGTCTTCCGCACGTGGAACCTGGACGCGCGCTCCTGTTCGCTGCTGAATGTCTTGGACGACAGCGCCTTGTCGGCCGATGATGTGAGGTCGTGCGGAGGTGGGAATTGGGACACGGACCGATTGCTGGCGTCGGGTTAGTCTGATGGCATACAAGCTACTTGGACGGAAAGCATACCTTGGAACCAACCTGCTGGGCCACTTGTTTCAGAGCTTGCCGAACCGCATCCACTGAGCCCTTACCCTCGAAGATGATGGACCCTCCGGGCCCACCTCGCATATCAACATTAGCCTTTGAGCGTTTCGAAATATCGCGAAGGATGTCCCGGAGAGGCTTCTTCAGTTGACCCCTCTGGAGCATTTGTGAAGGCGCAAGTCGGAGCTGTTCCATGTGTTTTCCAGGTAGAGACATGATCCTAGGCACGTCGGCTAGAGCAGAGTTCGTTAGAAGATGCTTATCACATAAAGCGATTCTAAACAATGGGCGATTCTTGGGATAGACATACCTGTCGATGCACCACTGGGCACGCCATTGGCGACGGCGGCGGCGGCAGAGGGGCCTCTGGCACCCCAGGCGGAGGCAGCAGGTGCCTTCGACTTCGGACCACTTCCCAGAGCAGGGAAGAGTTCCTCCGATTGTACATCCAAGGTGGGAGCCTTGGCCGAGGCAGGCTTTGAATTCACTGGCGCAGTGGTTGCTGCGGGCGTCGGTACCTGTGTGGGGGAGGGAGAGTCGCTGGTAACCGGAGCAGAGGGGGGAGGATGCAAGACGTCGTCTTCGTCCACAACATCTTCCACAGTAACATTGTGCGCCTCATCTCGAGCATGTTGCTCTTCGAGCAGTGCTGCCCGGGATTTGGCACTGCCATTCACAACGGGTTCAGAAGACATGGTGACGGCACGGCGTTGGATTGTTAGTAACGGTCGAGGTGTCTATACCCGGAATAAGAGTTCGGATGTTTTCGTATCACACTACCCGTTCAGAAGTCAGAGGTAAACAGATAATTGCAGATAGGAAGCGGAGCCTCGGACGTACCGGAGGGCAAACTGTGTACCAAAACGGGGTTGATAAACAAGTCGCTAAATTGTCTGCTGAACCTAAACAGACCCGGCAGGCTTCAAAGTTGCAATTATATGAAATGCAAATAAGCCCCAATTGCAGAAAAGGGGAGGAGGGGACAGAAAGATGAATTGATATTGCACGGGCTAAAAGGAAAAAAGGTGCTACTGCATGAAGAGCACGCACAGAGAGAAGGAGATGAAAGGAAATTGAAGGCTGAGGGGGGAGGCAGCAGAGAGAAGAAGAGGGAGAGGAGGGGAGAAGAGGGCCAAGGGGGGAGGGTGAAATGAGGTGTGAATTAGAAGACAGGCGATGATGATGATGGGAACGAGGACGGAGGAGGACAGAAAGCCTGAATGTTCAATGGTCGAAGTGGGAAGACCGGGGGAGCTCGACTGTGCCATTGGAGGACGGCGGAGCCGAGACGCACGCTTTGAATGGAGCCTCACGGCTGATGCTGTCGCTCAATTGCAACCTATTCTGCTAAAGTTAATCAATTGAGATGCCTTTGTTTTTGGTCCTTCAATGCTGTCGAGTATGATCATCTCAGGTGTTCAGTAGTTACCGTCCTCAACAATGAGAGGCAGTGAAGGAGACATTCGACGACCCACGTTGTGCTCGTGAGTGTCGTCTCGAATCTCGAGACTCTCAATTACCTTCTCGAGGTGACTATTTCCAATGGCTACAATGAATTTGCTATCTATTCTCATCCTGTTCATATCCTTTCTCGAAGTAGATAGCCCAAAGGCGACAAGAAGCATGCTGCCGATCACTAATTCAAGATAACGGTTCCTGGCCAAGCATTAGATGGCGAGATTTTCCTTCCAACATTCGGAATAAACTGGTCCTTGAAAATACTATGCGAGCCTGCAATACCTTGTGTCGCGCATGGCAGATTTTGTTGAGATATAAAGTCTTGGTGTCTTTCATCGATTTTGTCTTCAGGGACACGTGGTTGGTTCTTCTCAAGACCGTTCATACTATCGGAGAAATATTTCGTCGCCTCCGAGTCGAGGTCTTGCGTGGCTGTGCCAAATTGTGCCGCTCGAACCCTTGGCTTCATTCGAAACTTATGTACATCGTAGGCGGAGCTCTTATAGCGCCAAGCATTGCAAAACACGCTCTTCGAGAACAAGCTCGACAGACATGGAAGGTCCGTCATATTGGAGAGGTGCATTATAGCGATACAGCTTGAAAACCCTGGGCACACTATATCTCGAGTAATAACCAAACTCGCATCGGGTGTCCAACAAGCACAACTCACAAAAACTTTACGCGTGTTCCACGATGGGTATATATATTTTGGTAACACCAGACAGACGGTTTCGAGATCTATTTACATATGAGATCATTCTTCCAATCCAGCTCTTGACACTATTATTGCACGACACCGGCACAGGGCTGTAACGGCTGTTGGGACAGCCGGGTTAGGCAGTCTTAAGCCTACATCCTAGCCCTTTTGGTAAGAGGGATTGCGCTGTCCGCTGTAGTACCCAGGGTACCCAGCGGACAAGTCAGATCTGATAGCTCTCAGATTGTTAAGAGAAACGCGCCGTGGAAAAGCGTGACTCGTTTCTGATCGGCTAGATACTTGAAGGCGAGGTTCACCCGCTCTTCCGGATCACAGTCACGCTGACAATGGCTAGAAAATAAGAGCTGTTCCTGCAGAATCATACAGGATGCCGTCAACTGCCAATATCTGGAGGACCATCTCTTGGAACACGTCATAGTAGACTGGCCAGTGTCATGTATGTTGGAGCGAATGATGGCGCTGGTGTCATCTTTGATACACCGGGGAGACAATCGAGGGTTGTTGATTATCCCAGGTTGCCTTGATATACCGCGAGTGATGTGGCAGAATCATTGAAAATGAATTCGAGTGCCATTGTTGAGAATTGGTGAGGGTGTGGAGCGGACGTTGGGCTTACACTTATCTACAGTATGTAGAACTTGAAGCCAGCCCCGCCTTGCCAATAGCGCTAGCAGACTGATTCGAGGAGGTTCAATTTGAAAGATGAAACTTCATGTCTGCCGTCGCCTCGAAATTAAGGAACCGATTAACGTTTCCGATTTTGATGCCAAAGCTTCCATGGCGGTTCACCCAAAATGATATCACGAAACACGAAACTCGAAACTCCGTCTCAGTATCTGCAGAGGATAATTTTCGGCTTCTCGATGTGTCCAGAACCCATGCAACTCCTGGTCGACGACTCAACCAGGATGGATCTGAGACGGGGCCAATGACGTCTTTCACAAAAGTACTACTTCTCTCTCCCTCGACAGAGCCCTGGAGTTGAGGGAGGGCACCCCAAAAGCTTGCGCAACAAAGACACCTTATAATACTCATAATAAGCAAAATAAGAGGAGAGAAAACAAAGGCGGTAACCATCCACGGAACCCAGCGCCAGCCAGGGTCAACAATCAAACCAAGGTTCAAGCCAGGCGTTTCTGACAAGTGGCTCTGGCCCCAGAGCGTATCCTCAAATCAACCGTTTTGGCACTCGCTTGTCGTCCGTCCGGTCCAGCCTCCGGTCGACGAAGGAGTAGAAGGATTCTCCTTTTGAAGTCCACACCCGCTCCAGGGCATCTCCATGATTCTTATTCCTGGCCGTCTCCTCGCCGCTGCACCCTCTGGCGACTGCCTCTCTCTTTCTTCCGTGTCGCATTGCTTTTTCCTGGACTGCAGATCTGTGTGCTGAGCTGTCGGTTGTCTGCAGCCTCCTGCATAATTGATTCCTCTCAATTGCTGTCCTTTTTTGATGGCATTATTGGAAGCAGACACTGCTCTCTTTTTCCGGCCTCCTCACTTGCTGGAGGCTTCTCTCTTCGCTGAGCCAGCAGTGGTTCTCCACGTGCTAGCCGCCGGCTTTTTGTTCGCGACGGTCGCCCGCGGCAGCTCCTTTTCCACTCGCAAGTACTAGTACTGCCCAGTGCCAAACCTCCCTTGCGTCGCCAATTTGGCTCTGCCTGCATCCCCGACCGTCGACCTGTCGGAGCTGGCCATCTTACCGCACAGTATCACCCCAGAACACCCACCTCGTTGACCACTTGTCGCCCAACCGGCTGGAAGGGACCGCCAGAGCGCACCGCCTCACCCGGTGGCTTCCCTCCTCCCTCCAATCAAGCTGGTGAGCCCAGTCACCTTGTCTCCAATCGGTCGACCTGTCCTTCCCCTCCACCCCCCCTAAAATTCGCGCGCCATGAATCACGATACCTTTTCATCCTTAAAATTCCGCCGGACATCAAGCAAACTCCATAAGGATCCTCCTGGTTACGCCTCGCGACCCCCCAACAGCCAGCAGAGCACCACGTCATTAAAACGGCACCCCTCCGCGCCTGTATATCCCCGCTCTTCTACCGCTGGCAGCCGGGAACATCTACGAACTAGGTCAAACGCCTACGGTTCCTCGTCTTCCTCACTCGACCAGAACAGCGCAGGAGCATCTCCGGTCCTTGCGAGCAGCGAAACGGGATATTATCACAACAGCCAGAACCCCACCAGACAACGCCCTCCCTACTTTGGACGGCTTTCTTTAAACGACCAGAGCTCAGATGAATTAATTGGCGCCCCGTTTGATTCACGGGGTATGTTAAGTGCCTTGGAGGAAAATACTGCCGAGTCCGATAGGAGTTATAACGAGAAGTCCGTCGAAAAACCTCCGACTTTCCGGTCGCAAACCGCCCCGAATTCACGAGCTCTGAGACAATCAGCTAGCTTCACCACTCTCCATCATCCCCGCATGGAGGCGTTTCCGAGTACCACCAGCAATGACCGCCCGACGAATACAAAGCGTTTCTCCGATGAGGGCAATACAACAAAGCCAGCCGGGACCGGCAGGAGTAAGAAGAGTAGCTTTTCTAGCTTTGTCAATAGCATGCTAGGCTCTCCTCGTGGTATCAAAATCTCCGCTCCCGAAAACCCGGTTCACGTCACCCATGTTGGCTACGACAACCAGACAGGCCAGTTTACCGGCCTACCCAAAGAATGGCAGCGGTTATTGCAGGAAAGCGGTATCACCCAGAAGGAGCAGGAAGAGCACCCACAAACAATGGTTGATATCATGAGATTCTATGAGAAGAACGCACGAGGCGACGATGAAGTTTGGCACAAATTTGACCACGCCTATCCCCAGCACCAGAACACCTCTAGTCCAGTATCCCAGCCAGCGGGGTCTCCGGCATATGGCGCTCAACGAACATCCCCGCCCAACAGCCCTCGATTCCCGCAAAACCACGAGGGCAGTTTTGAGAACCCACGAGCTCCGCCTCCAATTCCCAGAAGCGCCGCTCAGGCGATGTCTCCACCTTTAGGAACGCTTGTACCTAACCGAGCACCCCCGAAGCCGCCAACTCCCGCCAATCTGGTTCCTAGTCGGCCTGCACCGCAACCTCCTACTACGAATGCCTACCCCGCAATTGTTACCAAGCCAGTTCTAGAAACTCAGAGCCCCCAGTTTAGCACACCTCCAATCCCTGAGACGGAGCCCTTGCCATCAGAGCCCCAGCGCAGCCGATCCAACTCCAAGACAAACGGTTCCCAGCCAACATGGGGCGCGGTCAGTCCAAATCAATACCAGCAGCAACAAGAACACGCAATGGCTGTGGCTCAACAAGCTCTTGCCAACAAACAGCTTGAACGGAGTCGCAGCCAACGCCAGCAGCAGCAGTCTTCCCCTCGAATGGAGCAGAAGCCGGTCGCGCAGCCGGTCCCTCCACCACATGCCCCTTCGACTGAAGATGCTGCCCTGGTGCAAGCTTCCCGCGCGGCACCCGCAGCCCGCCCCCGCCAGCGGGCCCGACAGAGTAATGCCATGGATGTTAGAGCGCGACTGCTTGCTATTTGTACACCTGGAGACCCTACGAAGCTTTACTACAACCTCAACAAAATTGGCCAAGGTGCATCTGGTGGCGTTTTCACCGCCTATGAAACCAACACGAACAACTGTGTTGCTATCAAACAAATGAACCTGGATCTCCAGCCCAAGAAGGATCTAATCATCAACGAGATTCTAGTCATGAAAGATAGCAAGCATAAGAACATCGTGAATTTCCGGGACAGCTACCTTCACAATCAGGATCTGTGGGTGGTCATGGAGTACATGGAGGGTGGAAGTCTGACTGATGTTGTTACTTTCAACATCATGAGCGAGGGCCAAATTGCGGCCGTTTGCAGAGAGGTAGGCTGCTGATAGCTAGTTCGATACTGTCCTTGTGCTAATCTGCGTCTGTCAGACACTCAACGGCTTGCAGCATCTTCACTCAAAAGGTGTGATCCATCGTGACATCAAGTCGGATAACATTCTTCTCTCATTGGATGGAAACATCAAGCTGAGTACGTCTTCGGCAATCAAGACATGTTTACCTCTTGAAACTAACAATCCGCAGCCGATTTTGGTTTCTGTGCGCAAATCAACGACTCGCAAAACAAGCGAAACACCATGGTCGGTACACCATATTGGATGGCCCCTGAGGTCGTGACAAGGAAAGAGTATGGCCGCAAGGTGGACATCTGGAGTTTGGGCATCATGGCCATTGAGATGATCGAGGGAGAGCCTCCGTACCTCACTGAATCGCCGCTACGAGCGTTGTATCTGATTGCCACGAACGGCACGCCCAAGATCAAAGACGAACATAATCTATCACCGGTATTCAGAGACTTCCTTCAGTTTGCGCTCCGGGTGGATCCCGAGAAACGAGCGTCCGCCCATGACCTTTTGAAGGTATTTATGTCTTGCCGTCTCGAGGGAGTTCATTGCTAATCATCAAGTAGCATCCCTTTATGAACGTTTGCGCGCCTCTCAATCATCTTTCGCCCCTCGTCAAGGCTGCACGAATCAGCAGAGCACAGGAGAAAGCCCAGAAGGGCGGTGTCTAAATCTTTCGCCGTTGGCGTCTTTATATGTCGATGTCTACTCTATCCTTCAGATACCCATTAATCCCGATATTCTATTTTGCCAGATTATGATATCCTTGGCAGTGCCTTACGATGCTCCTATCTATCCGTTACAGGTTCTTCGGTTGTTCTCAAGCTAAAATATGATAGATAGCAATGACTTGATGGTGCACCTTATCGCTATGTTTAGTATATCCCCATCAATATTTGCTCGTCGGCGTTTTGCATGTTCCTCGGGACTCCATCCATGCTCTCCGTGCCAATGGCGCTGGCTATTAGGCAGCAGATTCGCATGATGTTGCCTCTATCGTGCTCTACTAGACTCTATTATTACCCCTTGATGATCTGCAGAACAATTCCTCAACTATCTCTGATGGCTGTTAATAAAAATGTACGGGCCTTCCATGAAATATATAATTACTATTCTCGCACGAACACTCTAGCTGTGAGGGGCTGCATGACTAGGTACCAGTACCAACACTGAACCCTTCCATATGCTATTAGAGCTCCATTACTAGCACTAGTAGTAGTCCCCTGGTACTGTTAACGTGTAAAGAATACAAGTACCTGAGGGAAGAACGGAGTGTTTTCTGGGTTGGTTGCCACTTCGTGCGTGGGCATTTTATCAAGTTATCGGAGGAGCCAATGAAGGTCATGGAGGAATAGCGTACCACAACTACATTTGATCATTTTACTTCAGCAGTGATGGCAGGTACCCGCCGATCTGGCTGTGAAGCGCGTCACTTGAGTTTGAGGAATAGAAGTGGACTTAGAAAAGAGAGCTATATCGAGGGCTAACGAGGACGACTGGAGTCCGACTAGTAGTATAGTAGGTATGGGGCACAGGTTGCGCCCTGCGGCTGAATAAGCGGGAGCGACTGGTTTCCGCTCGCGAACCATCACTCATCGTCGTCACTCTCTTGGAATCAGGTTCCAGCCATTCCTCAGGTACCTCTGTAATCTCCTGCTTTCTCTGATTAAACCTGTCTATCTGCTTCTGAAAGTGCCACGTATCCTTGGTCTCCTAATTTCCCCCACAAAGTCCTCCCACCAGCCATTCGACCAAAGACAGCGAGCTTCTCATTCCCCCGCACCGAGCATTCGCCGAGCAGCCTGAGCTCCATATCCACGCAGCTTGCTGCCAGCTGATCCCGCTCTGTTGAGCGATCAAACCCATTGGTTTTCAGCATCTTTGGCAGTATCTAATCAACAGAAAGAACTTTCTCAATTCCCATCAACAGCCTTGCTGCCTAGATAGGAGAGCTTAAAAACGCAGCAATGTTCCGCGCGCAGCAGAACGCCTTCGACGATGCAGTTGGTATATCGCCTTATTCGATTGATCTCCTGTACATATGTTTCCAAACAGTATGACTGACCCTTGTTCTCCACAATAGCTAAAGCAACGGACGAAAATTTGACCTCCGAGAACTGGGAATATATTCTTGTATGAAGAGACCGGCCCCGACGTCAACACCTACCCATTTCGGAGCCAAACAAAGAATGAGGAATCTGACACAGTGCTCGGTCTATAGGATGTATGCGATAAGGTCGCGGCTGAAGATTCTGGGTAGGTTTTCCTAGAACCGATTCCCTGTGACGCAATCAAGCTTCCCAAGCTAAACCCGCGTCGGTTATAGGGCGAAAGATGCAGTTGCTGCTTTGATAAAACGGCTTGCACACCGAAATGCTAATGTGCAGCTCTATACTTTGGAAGTTCGTCGCCCGACCTGTGTTCACCGCGCCGAACGAAGACTGATTTCATCCAGCTTGCGAATGCGCTAGCCCAGAATAGTGGACCGAAGATACATCGCGAACTAGCGTCAAGGAGCTTTACCGATGCGCTCCTGCGTCTCGCTGCTGACCGGGTAATTACCGTGCCCTGATTCATGCGAATTATCGCTAACTTGGTTTGACTCAGAATACTCACCAGCAAGTGAAGTCCAAGATTCTGGAGCGCATGCAAGAATGGACAGAAATGTTTGCCAGCAACCCGGATTTCGGGATCATGGAGCAAGCTTATATGAAGTTGAAGACTCAAAGTAGGTATCCATCTTTCAGTCATCTGCCGGAAGCTTATAGTTTACTGAACAGATCCTAACCTACAACCTCCGTCGAAACCTGGAAAGCGGGAAATCACTGATGTTGATCGTCAGAAAGAAGAGGAGGAGTTGCAAATGGCGCTTGCCCTTTCGATCAGAGAGAAGCCCGCTGTCGCCCAAGAACCACAAGCTGAGAGTAGTGGTTCGATGTCAGCACCGCCGAATCAGACACAGGCCGCGACATCCGGACCGGTGCCATCGGGTACCTCAGCTGCTACTGTTTCTAGAGTTCGAGCCCTTTACGATTTCCAACCCTCAGAACCTGGGGAACTGCAGTTTCGAAAGGGAGATGTCATTGCCGTACTCGAGTCTGTGTATAAAGATTGGTGGAAGGGCTCTTTGAGGGGCCAGAATGGAATCTTCCCTCTTAACTATGTCGAGAAGCTTCCCGACCCTACCGTTGAAGAGCTTCAGCGTGAAGCTCAAATGGAATCGGATGTATTCGGCCAGATAAAGAACGTTGAGAAGCTGTTGACTCTTTTGAGCACTCGAAACTCAGATTTGAATGTCCAGGACAATGAGGAAATCACGGCCCTGTACCATTCCACGCTGGCTATTCGTCCAAAGTTGATTGAGCTTATCGGAAAGTATTCGCAGAAAAAGGGTATGGTATCTTCCTGCTCCAATTTCGGTTCCCGCGACTCACACCTGCACAGATGAGTTCACTCAACTGAACGAGAAGTTCATCAAGGCGCGAAGAGATTATGAGTCTCTCCTGGAAGCCTCTATGTCACATCCCGCGCAGCCCCAATATCCCCACCCCGGCCAATCCCAGTATCCATACCCTGGATCTGGAGCACCCGCAGGTCTTCCTCAGGGTCCACCGCAACCCCAGCATGACCCTCAAAGATACTTCAGCCCTCGTCTACCAGGTATGTGCGACTGATTAATCTCTTACACCTGCCGTCTAACTCTTGACTAGACAACCAGTCCAATTCTTCTTACTACCCACCCAGTACGCAATCACCCGGTCCGGGTCACACACCTCCAGCAGCGCAGTATCAACAGCAGCAACAGCAGCAGCAGCCGCCACAGCAGCAAGGACCACCAGACTCGTACCAGCCAGTTCATCACCGCCCCGAATCGACCTATGACCACCCACAAGAACTGGGTACATCGATTTACGACTCTCCTGTCGAGCGGGTACAATACCCTCCAGGACCACAGGGGGCAGGACAGCCGCAATATCCGCAACAGCCACCCCAACAAACGGCACCGCCAGAATTCTCGTCTCACGTCTATCCTCCTGACCATCCACACAAGCCAGCGAGTGGTATGAACCACCTGAACCCAGCACAACCGCCCTATCCCGCGTCCCCTATCCCCCACCCTCCCCCACCAATACAGCAACCGCCTCCAGTCCCAGGCGCACCGAACCCAGCACCGTACCCTTCTGTGAGCGCCGGGCCTGGCAGTTACCAGGCTTACCAACCCCCACAAGCAAATCAGAACCCAGCCTCGTTCTATCAGTAGGGTGTCGCATTTTCCCGCATCCGCTGAACGCTGGCCGTCGGCCAATCATTCGACCGTTTCTGTGGCTTATCTCTTCGAAGTCTTTTACTGGAGGCTTGATGATTTGGTAGTGAATAAGGCCAGATCTTTATGCTATACCTATGTATCTATTGTTACTATCTTCAGCACTCTCCTGCGCAGACCTTTGCCATTGTATTCATTCAATACTTTCTTAAGCCTGAAATGGAAGACTATGTAGTGTTCATGTAGTGTTTGTTCAGTACTCCTCTTTACCAAAGGCTGGATAGTCTTAACCTGCTCCTGCCTTACTCCGTCCTCCATGACGATACTTCAATAATTAGAGGCATTTCTGGGTAGCAGATAGTTGAACAACTAATCACCTGTGTATCTACTATATTCCAAAATACAGACAACAGCAGACAATATAAGCTCAGTCGGATCTGACGAGAGCGAAAATAGACGAGTTGTGACTGTGCTGCTCGACTCAGGACGGGAGCCCATAGGTAGCACCTTCCTCGTCTGCGGCCGCCTCGAGTCTGACATAGAAGGAAGGAGCGACCATGACCAAAGTACGGATATTAGTAATTCCTCTTCTTTTTATCCTTAATGGCGCCAAAAATTCAGATTTGAGGGAGCAAACCCAGCTTGTACGTGGTCATATAGAGAAGGCGCTTGTTCTCATCTGCAGGGGAAGGCAGCACGTTGGCGCCTATATCCTCTATTGATACTGACGAAGACATCATGATATCGAAAAGTCAGCATCATAGGTACTAGTAGTAGTAGTATCAGCCGAGTAATCCTGGGTGGTACTTCAGTAGGCTGACTTGAGAAGTTTGTGAGTACACAAGCAAAACAGCCTTTCGAGTTAGACTGGGTAATCCCGTGTCTAGAAGAATGAGATACCAGGGTAGTTGCCCTTGACATCTTCATCTCGAAAGGTAGTTGGTGGTCTGGTTGAAGTGTGAGATCGGCGATGATCATTGGCAAGAGAAGTCCCCCACAGTCATGTGACCGTATCTTGGCACTGGTTCCTCTGCAACTGCCTTGTGCCTTTCTTGGAGGAACTTGAAGTGAGGGCGGCGCGAATAATAGATCTCTCCTTCTCGAAAATTACTGCAAACCGTGAGCGAGCATGTTTACTGGAAGCCAATAACGACACTCACTGTCCCACCCATCAGCAGTCTGTCAACGCGATTACTTCTCTGCATCCTCCCCGCACCCGCCCACTTGACGATGCCTGCTTTTGCCCGATATCCAGATGGGCAGAATCAAACAATCATCTAAACGGTCGCACTGAGGGCGTATTTACGTACTGAGGCAGAGACTCGCCTGGGATCTGGGCCCCAGAGTGTCGGATGCCATGGAGCGAGACTGGGTAGAACTAGTGCGCATTCCGCTGCCCCCTCCGAATCCGCACGCGCTGCCAACAATAGCCACGACAATTGCTTTCGACGATGTGTCAGAACTTCTGTGGGCCGGAAATGAATATGTTCGTCAAGTCGCAGAGCGTTGCTTTTCGAAACTTGCTGACTGCCGCCGTTCATCTAGGGCCGAATTACGTCCTTCTATGGCTCTGAACTCCAGAGGTATACCTCCGTTCGAGCCCATCCTGTCGCCGATGGCCCTGTACGACAAATATTATTCCACGAGAGGGGTGTCATATCACTTTCGTCGAAGAGTGTACATATGATTACAAGACGCGGTCTCTCACAATGGCATGTCACCCACGATGACTTTGCCGACCTCCGATGTATGAGCTTTACAGCTCAGACGAACCGGATAATAGTTGCAGGGTGCCAGAAATCGATGTTTACAATTGATATCGATAAAGGGATAATCATCGACAAGCTACGAACGGATCACCACTATGTCATTATGAAGAAAAGTCGATACCTGTGTGCTGCGACGGATTTGGGATCTGTCGATGCACTAAGCTTGAATGACTTCAGTATTGTGAAATCTTGGAAGGCGCACGGAGCGGCGATCAACGACATGGATGCTCGAAATGATCTTCTGGTTACTTGCGGATTTTCCGCCAGACATGTCGGCTCTCCAATAGTCGATCCGCTGGCGAACGTGTATGATCTGAAAACTCTATCTCCGTTACCCCCTATCCCTTTTCACGCCGGAGCAGCATATGTGCGCATGCACCCGAAGCTACAAACAACGGGTTTCGTGGCTTCGCAGAACGGTCACCTTCAGGTCGTTGACTTGATGAACCCAAATGCTTTTTTTGTTCGACCGGCGACCGTTACCTTCATGCTGGGCATTGAAGTTTCGCCATCTGGAGAAGCGCTGGCCATCAATGATGCAGATAGCTCGCTTCAACTCTGGGGTTCTCCGGCAAAGATCCACTTCAACGAAATGAGCAAGGAGGTCGAATTCGCTGATGTCACTCCACGGCCTCCGCCCCTTGACTGGTCGCCCGAGACGCCATTAAATATGATTGGAATGCCGTATTACCATGAGCGACTGTTCTCCGCATGGCCTAGTCATCTTGTATTCGAAGTGGGAAGTCCTCCAGCTCCAATAGATCCGTCGATCGTTCCTTACCTTCGTTCTGGAGAGATTGGGCAATATGCCGCAAACCCGAAAAAAACTCGAAGATATCAAGTTGAGAACACTCGCGCCTTAGCAACATCCGAACCCGCCCTTATTGCGCCGAAGTTTTTGAGCGAAAAGGCAAGAGAGCAAAACAAAGTGAAGCCGGATGGTCCTATCAGCGACACCGCCGATGCCCTCGCTGGAGCAAGGATTAGCGGAGAACCAGAAGATGACCCACTCCTCAAGTACAGCAACGTCGAAATCAAGTATAGTAGATTCGGCGTGGACGATTTCGATTTCAGGTAAGAGGCCAGCATACTTCAACTACATGCACAGCTGATTTTATGATGGTCTAGGTTCTATAATCAAACTACTTTCTCCGGATTGGAAACCCATATCGCCAATTCCTTTACCAACTCCCTCCTCCAGCTCCTCAAGTTCATCCCGCTAATACGTAACGTCGCTCTTCACCACGCTGCGACTTCTTGTATAGCAGAAAGTTGTCTGCTTTGCGAAATGGGATATCTCTTTGATATGCTAGAGAAAGCCAACGGTCAAAACTGCCAGGCTACTAATCTGCTCAAAACCTTCAGTGGCTTCCGCGAAGCCTCGAATCTGGGGTTGCTAGAAGAGAACCTCACTAACAAGTCGCTCTCGGCAGCTATCCAGGCTGTAAACAGATTTTTCCTTGGACAGATTGCTCAGGACTATCGGAAAATTCTCCCAAACTCAGATGATCTCGATGTCAGACTGACAACCTTAGCCACGGAATCTATTCGATGCATGTTCTGCCAGAATGAAATTGCAAGGCCTGGTAACACTCTTGTTAACGAGCTGGTTTATCCGTCGGTCGATATAAAGCAAGCTCGTAGAAACTCCAATTACCGGTTCTCTAGCATTCTGAGAGCTAGTATTGAACGAGAGGCACAGAACCGTGGGTGGTGCAACTATTGCCGGCGATATCAGCAGGTTGTTATCAGAAAAGCAGCACATCGCATGCCACTCGTCATGATGATCAATGCAGCAGTGAACAATCCGATGTGCCGACGTCTTTGGACTATTCCGGGCTGGCTTCCAGAGGAGATTGGAATCGCCCTGGACAAGGGTCAGATACATTGCTTCGAAGGAGAAGATTTGAGAATGCGCATCCAAGGGAAGATGCCTGGACTGATAGTATACGAACTGGTTGGCCTGGTTGCGGAAATCGACATACCAGAACATCAGAAGGCCCACCTAGTCTCATTTATCAATGTGTCCATTTCCTCTCGTGAGCAGGAGACCAGGAGCAGATGGCACCTGTTCAATGATTTCTTAGTCACAGAGGTGGATAAAGACGAAGCCCTACTTTTCAATCAACCTTGGAAATCGCCATGCGTATTGGCATTCCAAGTGAAAGACGCGCGGCATGTCGTGGATGATTCATGGAAGAGCTTACTGGACACCACTCTGCTTTTCCGCGATTGGTCGATGAAGTCAGTCATTTTCTACCATCACAAAGTCTCGTTTCTCTGATGCTAATCTGGTGATACAGTAATGGTCGCCCTGTCGAGTCGCGTATTATGCTTTCTGATGATGAAAAGCCGAGTCCTGGAACTCCGGTTGCCCTCGATACAGAATTCGTCGATCTCGAGAAAGCGGAGATCAACGTCAAAGCTGACGGGTCCCAGGAAATCGTGCGGCCAAATAAGAGTGGACTTGCGAGGGTGTCTGTGCTTCGAGGTTCGGGAGTCCGAGAAGGAGCCCCGTTTATTGACGATTACATCTCTGTCAAAGAGCCGATTGTTGACTATGTAACGCAATACTCGGGTATCAAACCCGGTGACTTGGATCCGAGGACCAGTCCACACAACATCGTCCCACTGAAAGTTGCCTACAAAAAACTGTGGTTGCTTCTTAACCTCGGTTGCATATTTGTCGGCCATGGCTTGGCGTCTGATTTCCGCAAGATCAACATCCAAGTCCCTAAGAAGCAGACAGTGGATACACAATACTTGTTCTTCCATCCTGGCAAGAACCGACGGCTCAGTCTTCGCTATTTGGCATGGGCTGTGTTTAAGGAATACATCCAAGAAGAGCCAGCGGAAAACAATGAGGGACATGACTCTATAGAGGACGCCCGCATGGCCCTCCGCCTGTGGAAAAAGTTCCAAGAGTATGAGGACGCAGGAATCGTTAATCAGATGTTGGAAGAAATCTTCCGCGAGGGGTCGAAGCTGGGCTTCAGGCCACCGCCTCGCAATGGCGCAGCCACAGTTCTTTCCAGGCCTGGAACTGCAGTGACCATGCAGAATAACAGTGGTCGAAATACACCTAGCACGCCTGAAGTTGGGGCTGCAGCTGCTTCCGCCGCCAGTGCGCCCGCGACTCCACGACAGGCCTTCCGACGGTCAATTGCCTTGACGCCGAGTAACGGGACATTTTCTGGACCTGGATCAGGAGAGTTTTTTGGTGGCAGTCCACTGAAATGACCGGCCCTCACGCTTTCATGAGTTGAACGGAAGTGTTTACCCCATATGATCTAAGTTATGTGAACGACGAGTGGATTTTTGAGTCTGACTTGCCTCCTTTGGTTGCGTGGCAGGACTTCAGAGACAGCTTGGACGATAGAAAGAAATAAGTATATCATTAAACCATCTTAACCTTTTAAGTATATAAATCGTAGCTGTCGTTTGCTATCATTTAGCCCTGGCTGCCCAAGCGCGGCGGAGCTGCCATGGTGGGGAATGACGTGGTGAATTTCGGCTTCCACGACTGCTCACAACAGCCCGGAAGCAAACTCTCACCAGGAACACGAACAGGGTCTCGGCTCTGGTCAACACTGACAGTCCTTCATCACTCTACTGTCAGATACCTACCACACATTTCACTGATCTTCTTTCTCCCTTTCGTCTCCGGCACAATCGAAGAGTGCACACCACTTACCCCGCCATTCCCTGAGTCAGACACAGCGAAAACTACCATGTCGCGACACCGCGTGAAGGCTGTGAGCTACGATGATGATGACTATGACGAATATGACGATGGCTACGACTCCCAGGATCCTGAGGAAAAGGAGTTTCTTGAAGAGTGTACCCGCGAGGTACTGAGTCAGTTGGCTGCTGGAACACCGTTTGTGAGCGCAACTCGGGACGAGGCTCAGGAGGCCTTGTGGCACTACTATAATGATGTGGAAAAGTCGGTGAACTATTTGAGGGGTAGGCCATGAAACCATATACAGTAGAGTGAGGGTTTTTGTACTAATTGCGGTTGCTGGTGTAGGCAAGAAGACGAAGGAGGCGGAGAAGAAGAAACCGACTGCTGTTTTGACGGGAAAGGCAAAAGTGACTACTACCGGTAAGCAACCTTGGCCAATTATGTGGTGATTTTATATCCTTGTGTGGTTGGGCTCGGGTCGGCTGCGACATTGCTTTGGTGTTTGGCTCGGTGAATATAGCAGTAGTAGGTATGTCGAGTTCCCGCTCTGGGCTATCGTCGTCGTTGTTACTCGACTAAACTGACGTTGCTGGAAAGCTTGAACATATTCTAACAAGCTGTTCTTGGTTCCAGGATATCCTATTCCTCCTACCACGATATCACCGCAACCGGCGCACTTTTCTGCTGCGGAATTCTTTCGCGACTCTCCCTGGCTCAACGTCCCTACTCACCGGAAAGCGGATTTTCTCGTTGAACCACTGTATCCACGAATCGGACTGTTAGGCGGGGCACCAGAGAGTGGTGGGGGGAAGATGTCTAAACTGGCTGCTCTGGCCGCTGCGCGCAAGAAGAAAGAGGGAGAGAAGGCCCCGTCGCCATCCCCAGCCACTGGCAACAATACCGAGCCATTTATGAACGACTCTAAGGGGCCTTCACTATCCCTGCGAGAGAGACTTTCCATCAAACAGGCCAAGCAATCTGATACCTCACCGTCGCTACACGATTCGAAGAAGGGACCTGGTTCCGGACAATCTCTATCTCCAAAGAAGAAGTCTCCCGAACCAAGCCCGCAAACTGTGCCTATCGTCATTGGAGTGGAGCACTCTGCAAAGAGTGACCAAGCAGACCAGAAGGAGAAGCATCAAACAATGAATATCCGCGCATCGCCTTCAACATTCGCCAGTACGATTATTGGAGAAAATACACGTCCCAAGATGACCGAGCCCAGCCACCTGTATACCAACACCCTGGATCTAATCAAGATCTATGGACAAGACCTAGCTGAACCATTTGACTTTGCAGGACCGAGTCCAGACGATGTCGTTTTAACCGCCCAAAGTTCAGCTAAAGGTTTGGCTATTCGGCGTAAGATATAGGATTCTTCCCTAATGAATCTGCAGGTTTCAAGTCCAAACAGCCTGCTTCAAAACCGCAAGGTGATAAGAAGGACCAGGCAAGTTTGACCAGCGATATGGGTAACCTCAGCGTTATCGAGAAGGTAAACGTGAAGAGCAAAAATTTAGATGTCCTCTCAGAGTACAAGAAGTCGAAGCGGAAAAATGCCATGAACTTTGTTGTCATCGGTTAGTACCGTCTATTTTTCTTGACCTGATTTACAAGTTAACGATTGACAAAGGTCATGTCGATGCGGGGAAAAGCACTCTGATGGGACGATTGCTCGCTGATTTAAAGGCTGTTGACCAACGGACACTGGAAAAGTATCGGCGCGAAGCGGAGAAAATAGGCAAAGGATCTTTTGCTCTGGCGTGGGTGTTAGATCAAGGGTCAGAGGAAAGAGCGCGAGGTGTGACCATCGATATCGCGGCAAGCAAATTCGAGACGGAAAATACGGTCTTTACGATTCTAGACTCTCCCGGCCATAGGGACTTTGTTCCGAACATGATTGCGGGGGCTAGTCAGGCCGATTTTGCGGTGTTGGTTATCGATTCCAGCATAGGCAACTACGAGTCAGGGTTGAAGGGGCAAACCAAGGAGCACGCTTTACTCGTAAGGAGCATGGGTCTCCAGAGAATTGTTGTTGCCGTGAACAAGATGGATACCGTTCAATGGAATCAGGAACGGTTTGAGGAAATCGAACAGCAAGTGTCGGCATTCTTGATTACAGCTGGGTTCCAGACCAAGAATATCTCGTTCGTACCATGCTCTGGTATTAGCGGGGACAACATCACCAGACGAAGCGAGGACCCCAATGTGTCTTGGTACTCTGGTGGCACACTAGTCGAGGAACTTGAGGCTACGGAAGCTTACTCGCATGCGCTCGAGAAACCGCTGCGGATGACAATCGGCGACGTCTTCCGGGGTAGCATCCAGCACCCTCTTTCAATATCTGGCCGAATCGATGCCGGCAGTCTGCAGATCGGTGACCAAATCTATACCATGCCGAGTGGGGAAACAGCAACAATCCGAAGCCTCGAGGTCGATGGAGAACCGAGCGAATGGGCTGTCGCTGGACAGAATGTGGTCTTGAATCTAGCGAATATTGATCCGATTCACCTCCGCTCTGGTGATGTCGTATGCCACGCATCCGCGCCCATCACCAACATTTCTTCGTTTACATGCAAAGTACTTGCTTTCGACCACCTACTACCCAGCATGGTCGATATCCATCGAGGCAGGCTGCATGTTCCCGGGCGAATCAGCCGATTAGTGGCGACATTGGACAAAGGGTCAGGAAATGTTCTAAAAAAGAAGCCGAAGATTGTTCCGCCAGGGGTTGTTGCACGCATCGTTGTTGAGATGGACCACGCTGTGCCTCTCGAAGCGCCCACTCGGATTGTCTTGAGAGCGGGTGGCGAAACGATAGCGGCTGGGCTACTGGAATGAACACATAGATCAAATACAACGAATATAGAGATGCTCACAGGTGTCTTCTCCCAGAGAACATAATTTTTGCAACCGTGGCATCAACGCGTTGGCCCCATACTCAGCGAATATTCGAGTCGTGCCCACTCAACTATCGCCACTGGGCCAGTTATCCTGGATCAAGAATACCAAGCCCTATTCGGGATTAGCCTTGGACCCTGGGGCCTGAATTGAACACTAATCCTGTTTGGAGTTATTCATTTCTGGCAGTTTCGATGAACTTCTTAGACCGCCTAACGGTGGCGGCCAATCACAGATCGAGAAGTGGTCGCTGTCCCTTCATTTTCACTTTTGAAGCCACCTATATTGTTTCTCGCCGCTCGCCTCAATAGTACAAGAAGAGCTTCTCACATCCCCTTCTTTCTTCTTTCTTTCCAACAGTTTCCCTCCCTCCACCCTCTTCGATTCGTGCTCCCCTTCCTCTCACATAGCGGTTGGGCCTGCTTTAAGTCTCTTTTCCCTTTTCTCTCTTGTGCCTTTTTATTTTGGAGCTGGGGCTTTAGGCCACATTGTCTTCAGCAAGTTTGACAGAACATATTCGACATGGCGCGCACATCAGGTCGCGGCGCGGCCAAGCCGTTTGCCGCTTGGACTACTATATTCTACCTTCTCCTCGTCTTCATTGCGCCCCTGGCTTTCTTTGGATCCGCACACGCTCAGGACGATGATTCTTCCGTTCAAGAGAACTATGGAACTGTCATTGGTATTGATCTGGGAACAACCTACTCGTATGTGGCTTGCTCGAATCTTCTTAGTTGAAGGAACTAACGAAATGCAGTTGCGTCGGTGTGATGCAGAACGGAAAAGTCGAGATTCTCGTTAACGACCAAGGAAACCGTATCACTCCTTCCTACGTCGCCTTCACCGATGAGGAGCGTCTGGTCGGTGACGCCGCGAAGAACCAATACGCCGCCAATCCCACGAGGACTATCTTTGACATCAAGTGAGTGTTTTCTGCCTTGCGTGCAGGCTGGTATTGAGGACTGACTCGTCTAGGCGAATGATTGGTCGCAGGTACGATGACAAGGATGTCCAGCGCGATATCAAGAACTTCCCCTTCAAGGTTGTGAACAAGGATGGCAAGCCTTTTGTCAAGGTTGATGTCAACCAGAGCCCCAAGATTCTGAGTCCCGAGGAGGTTTCCGCCATGGTCCTTGGTAAGATGAAGGATATCGCCGAGGGCTACCTTGGCAAGAAGGTCACACACGCCGTTGTTACTGTCCCCGCCTACTTTAACGACGCCCAGAGACAGGCCACCAAGGACGCTGGCACCATTGCCGGCTTGAACATCCTCCGTGTTGTCAACGAACCCACCGCCGCCGCGATCGCCTATGGTTTGGACAAGACCGGCACTGAACGCCAGGTTATCGTCTACGATCTTGGTGGTGGTACTTTTGATGTCTCTCTCCTCTCTATCGACGACGGTGTTTTCGAGGTATTGGCTACCGCTGGTGACACACACCTTGGTGGCGAAGATTTCGACCACCGGGTCATGGACTACTTTGTCAAGCAGTACAACAAAAAGAACAACGTCGATGTTACCAAGGACCTGAAGGCCATGGGTAAGCTCAAGCGCGAAGTCGAGAAGGCCAAGCGTACTCTGTCCTCGCAGATGTCTACCCGCATTGAAATTGAAGCTTTCCACAATGGCGAGGACTTCTCCGAGACTCTGACCCGCGCCAAGTTCGAGGAACTGAACATGGACCTGTTCAAAAAGACCCTGAAGCCCGTTGAGCAGGTGCTCAAGGACGCCAAGGTCTCCAAGTCTGAGGTCGACGACATTGTTCTTGTTGGTGGTTCCACTCGTATCCCCAAGGTTCAGTCTATTCTTGAGGAGTTCTTCAACGGCAAGAAGGCCAGCAAGGGTATCAACCCTGACGAGGCTGTCGCTTTCGGTGCCGCTGTTCAGGGTGGTGTTCTTTCTGGCGAGGAGGGTACTGATGGCGTTGTTCTCATGGACGTCAACCCTCTTACTCTTGGTATCGAAACCACTGGTGGTGTCATGACCAAGCTCATTCCCCGCAACACTGTTATCCCCACTCGCAAGTCCCAGATCTTCTCGACTGCCGCTGATAACCAGCCCACCGTCCTCATCCAAGTTTGTAAGTTTTCTGAGTTCTAACTGACGCGGCGCTAGCTACTAACTCATCACAGTCGAGGGTGAGCGTTCCCTCACCAAGGACAACAACCTACTTGGCAAGTTCGAGCTTACTGGCATTCCCCCGGCTCCTCGCGGTGTCCCTCAGATTGAGGTCTCTTTCGACCTTGATGCCAATGGTATCCTTAAGGTCAGCGCTAGCGACAAGGGCACCGGCAAGGCCGAATCCATCACCATCAACAACGACAAGGGTCGCCTATCACAGGAGGAAATCGACCGCATGGTTGCTGAGGCTGAGCAGTTTGCTGAGGAGGACAAGGCCATCAAGGCCAAGATTGAGGCCCGCAACGGGTTGGAGAACTATGCCTTCAGCCTCAAGAACCAGGTCAACGACGAGAACGGCCTCGGTGGCCAGATTGATGAGGATGACAAGCAGACCATCTTGGATGCTGTCAAGGAAGTTTCCGACTGGCTCGAGGAGAACGGTGCCTCCGCCACCACCGAGGACTTCGAGGAGCAGAAGGAGCAGCTCTCTAACGTGGCGTACCCCATCACCAGCAAGCTTTATGGCTCTGCTCCTCCCACGGAGGATGACGAAGATGACTACGGTCACGATGAATTGTAAAATAACTTAGAGGGGTTTTCTGGAGTTTGCTGCTTTTTAACTGTTATATCCAACTTGGCATTTCTAGTCAAGAACAAAACGCCTACTCTCCGTATAAGATAGGACTAGCATGATACCAATACCATGATTCACTGGATCTCTGCCGCCAATATTCTAAGTTGCCTTTAATGACCTCCCTGTTCGATAAACTCCCTCAGAACCTCGACAATAACCTGATGATCATCCTCCTGCTTCAACCCACTCACCACGATAACACCCACAATCCCATCAACTCCCTTAACCCTCACAGGAAACCCGCCCCCGTGAATCGCAAACTCGTCCGCAACTCTCCCACCACTCGAGCTTGTCAGCGCATACTTCCCCACAAATGCCGCTTCCACACCACTCGCATCCCCTCCCACACCAGCCAGCATCTTCTGCCTCATAAGCCAGCTCGACACACCCCACCGCAGCACCGTGTTCCGCTTCCGGCGCACCCATACCTCGTTATCGGGGATCGTGCCAGGTTCCGTGGCGCATTGGAAGACAACATGGGGCTCGGAGCCGCCCGTTAGTGTAATGGAAATTAGGGCTGGTTTGCGGTTTGCGCTGGGGAGGGAGAGGATTCGGGAGCGGAGGGCGAGGCCTAGCGCCCAAGCGGTTTCGGAGGTAAAGGTTGGGAGGATGGCCGAGGGGGAGCTTTCGAGGGCTGCGAGCTCGCGGGGCTACGCAGATTCGTTGTTAGTATATTTGATTGGTGAATATCAGCAGAGCGGAGACCGAGAACTTACATCGGTGCTAGCAGTGGGAAGGGGTGTTTCCGTCATTTTGAAGGTTGACCACCGGGATTTTACTCAGAAGGTTGTTTAGTAAAGCAAAAAAATATCTGAGGGCTGTGGCAGTTGAAATAGAGCTGACACTAGGTAGTCTTGTCCTGGTGGGGAAAGCTACTACGGAGTACTAATCCACTGGAGTAGTGACGTCGCTCAATTCTGGAGGAAGGTACAAGCGTGAAAGTCCACTACTTTAGGTAGTACTAGTACTACTCTTTACTCAACCTCCAGCACAATCCTCCCTGCAATATCTCCCCTCTCCATCTCTTCATACACAGCGGGAAGGTCTCTGAATGGTCGGACCTTCACCTCTGGCTTCACCATACCACGCCGAACTAGGTCAACCGCCTCCATACACTCCTTCAACGAACCTACCAGATTCCCACTAACTTTCAGTCCCTTGATCACGATTGTGCAGATCGGCGTCTCGAGCACCGGACGTCCAGGCGGAATTCCCACGCAGCTGAGGGTCCCTCCAACACGGAGCATCTCACAAGCATGGGCAAAGGCCTTGGCGCTCCCCGCTGTGACCACCGCAGCGTGTGCGCCTAGACGGGTGATTTCGTGGACACGCTGGATAGGGTCTGAGTTAACAAAGTCGACAAACTCGGTGGCTCCGAGGCCGAGTACAAAATCACGCTTGTCCGGGGCATCCACGCCGATTACTTGGGCGCCAAAAGCCCTGGCATATTGCACTGTGCCATCCATGCCGTTAATTAGGGTTTAGGTTGGTGGAGAGGAAACCCTACGTACCGGCGAGATGCCCGAGACCTCCACCTGCACCGACAACGACAAGCCAGTTCCCTGGGCGGATGTTCGCACCTAAGACTGCCTGTAGAGCATTAGTATAGAAGGCTCTGCCGATTGTTTGTTCGGCTCACTTTGTACGCAGTAAGACCGGCACACAAAACCGGTCCGATGACCTTGGGATCAACATCATCGGGTAAAATCGTCAGGTAGTCCGCATCGAGAGCGATGTACTGCTGGAAACTGCCATCTTCATGGTGGAGATGGTTGGTACTGTTCAAGCAGTATTGCTCTGTTCCCGCGAGGCAGAACTCGCATCGTCTGCAGATACGGCTGGAAAAGCGGATCCCAACAAGAGTTCCGACTTTCAAGTCCGGGCCGCAACCGGGACCCAGGGCAATGATACGCCCAACGCCTTCATGGCCGCCGACATGAGGGAGCTTGATCTTTGTGATTGGGGTCCCGTCAGAACCAGCAGCGGTGCCGTTCTTCGTGTGGAGATCTAGCGTTCAGTCAGTTGCGAACAACCGGATTTGAGGGAAACGATCGATGCTTACCACTTTGGCACACCCCAGTGTACAGAATCTTAGCCAAAACTTCGTCGGTCCTGGGAGTAGGAACTGGATAGTCCTCGACGAACTCGACAGGACCACCAAGCTCGCGGACAAGCGCAACGGTCTGAACTTGGGGTATTTCGGTCATGATGCAGGTTTAACTTGGACAACACTTTCAGGCATTGCTAAGGAGATGCGTGTGAAGGCAGAGCACATTCTTAAAAGGACTGCGCTGTTGTGTTGCTGACCCCTCTTTTGCTGTCCTCATGTGATGTTGGGCTTTGGAGAAAAAGACGTGCCTCCTCTTTCTTTCTTCTCTTCTCCTCATTTCTCGTCCTCTGGCACCGACCTCGACGAACAACCAGCGAAGGAGCTCTCTGGAAACCCAGAGACCCCATAAAGCGTGGGGGCCCGCATTTTTGAAGCTGTTCTTCTTCCTCTATTATTCGATCGGTCGTTGGCCCGAGAGCTGCCACCCCCTCACGGTCTAGAAGGGGCTGCAGCATATTGTGTTGCCATGGACAAGGTTGGCTAATGTCTGGCCCTGCTCGTTTGAGGAAATTTTGCGAGTTTGAAAGTTGGAGTTGCAAAAGGCTGTCGATAAACGACATGTCTACCCCGATCGGACAGCAGCCTTCATGCTATAATCTCGTGAAAACATCGCTGACTTCAAGCTGGATTCTCGAGCTAAGGATCCTTCCGTGATTGATGGAAACGCCGCCGGGACAAGACTTAGCTTGGTTTCGGCTCCTCCGCATTTTCCCCAGACTAAGCATGGTGGCCATTGGCACTGCCGATCTCGCACTCTTTGTGCAATTATTATGGGTCTGATGGTACGGCTCAGTCCTTCCCAATCGGGTATAATAGCGGTCTTCGCTGGGCTTCGATGGCAGACTCCCTCTTTGGTCCCCCCGGTCCCCATGTGGTGCATTATTACATGGTAATGAAACTTTCGGGAATCCCTTTCATGATTCACACTTCTCCAGGCACAATGGCCGCCTTCGTCATTACTCCGGCGGGATGAAGCTCCTACGCGGAGCCTGTACGGAGTACAACATTCAAGCTATTTAAAGCCCTCAATTGTTCAAATAGCTGGTGATCAACCCAGGATTCTTCAATTGGGTCCAATACTGGAGAACTGGTCTCCGTTGCCTAGCCACAATGCATATCCTCCGTTTTCTTCCACTCGCAGTTGCGATAACCGCAGTGACTGCACATCCCCGGCCCGAGCACCCAGAGCCGTATTCTGAAGTCGTCATCTTTGACCCGCCACGCAACTATACCATTCCACGCACTCTCTACGCGCGCAATGAGCAATTACCCAACGGCGACCTCCTAGCCACTTGGGAGAACTACTCGCCTGAGCCACCGGCAGTGTACTTCCCCATCTATCGTTCATCCGATTATGGCGAGACATGGACCGAGATCTCCCGAGTCCATGATACAGCCAACGGCTTCGGTCTCCGCTACCAGCCATTCTTATACTATCTTCCTGAGCGCGTTGGTCGCTTCCGCGCCGGAACACTGTTGCTGGCAGGGAGCAGCATCCCAACGGATTTGAGCTCGACTGAGATTGGTCTCTATGCGTCGCAGGACAAGGGTCGTACATGGAAGTTTTTAAGCCACATTGCCGCTGGTGGAGAGGCGATTCCTAACAATGGGCTGACTCCTGTATGGGAGCCATTCCTTCTCGCACAGTAAGCCTGATACCTGCTCTTTTCTCTGCTGTGCTTCTGTTTGTTAAGTGTGATTCTAACCACTGTTCACGGAATAATAGCAAAGGCAAATTGATTTGCTACTATGCGGATCAGAGAGACAATGCCACCCACGGCCAAAAGCTTTCCCACCAGGTCACAGATGACCTTCTTAACTGGGGCCCCCCGGTTGACGATGTGTAAGGTTTCCTGTACTCAAGAACGAACCTCTGTTAATATGTGATAGCGCCTACCCGACCTACACAGATAGACCTGGAATGCCAGTGGTTACCAAGGTACTGCCCTGTTCCGTACCCCAAGGCAAGATCTAACATTATATAGCTCCCCAATGGTAAATACTTCTACATCTATGAATACGGCTCCTTCTTCAACACCTCCGATTATTCATTCCCCCTGTACTACCGCATCAGCGCCGACCCCGAAGGATTCATTGACGCAGAACACCATGAGCTTGTTGTGTCTAGCGGGACAATCCCAACTTCGTCCCCGTATGTGGTCTGGACGCCCTGGGGAGGCAAGAATGGTACCATTGTGGTTAGCTCAGGCACACAGGATGCTGTGTTTATCAATCAAGCACTGGGCGAGGGCGAATGGACTGAGGTCCCCACTCCAGAGCCGCATAGTTATACCAGGGCTTTGCGTATCCTTAAAGAGGATCCTCGATTCCTGTTATTGCATGGTGCTGGAGTACTTCTTGGGGAGCAGAACAAGGTAACTGTGAGTCTGCTGAACTTGGAGGAGGCCGTCGCTGCTCTGTGAGTATCAGTTAGCAGGAAACAATATTACTAGGCCAGAGCACGAAACAACAGATGTTGATGTAGATAGTATGGTTATTGTTTGACATAATACGATGGCATTGCGGGCAGGCCTAAGGCAGCAGCATCAAAGGTCACTTGACCAACTCCTGCCTCTTTTTTTCCCATCGAATCTTAACTTACCTGTCGCCTACCAGCGAAACACCTTCACCGCACAGTTCCGAAAACATGGCTCCTGTTATGATTCGTGCTGACTGACTGTCGCCAAGACGGTTGACTCTCAGCGGTGATGGTAGGATTTCAGTTTTGGGATTGGTGTCGCTTTCGTCCAGTGAATAGAGCTCGCAGATGTATCCGCTCACAGACAGTATTTGAAACTGATCTCCGGACCTCAGGATTTCCCGGTCTTGGGAACACCGCCATCAGGACCCACGGAGTTATGCTCAATCGTGAGAAGATTAGCTTCGAGCACGGACAACTTGGGTCGAGAACCAGTCCCAGTAATCATTAATGCTGCAAAGGCCCACACACAAATTCCGGGAATGTCGCTGTCCTGGAACCCACTTGGCGACACATCGACAAGCAGTTGGCCAACCCGTACACTCGGGGAGAAGATTCCCAATTGAGGCTTGATGGCGCCGCTCTTTCGCTTTGTCTGAAGCATTTTTAGACTTTGGACCGAGACGAGGCGTCGATGCCCAAGATGATACATCAACCCTCGATGAGCCGATGTCAACAAGGCAAACTCACATGCAGTAGTTTGCCGCTAAGCGAATGCAAGCGAGGTCCTGTGTTGGTGCTAATGCATGGCTGGCGTCTTATGAAGTGCCAAACAGCAGGATCATAATGCCACACGCCCTTTTATTTATGGGACTTTGGTGATGAGCATCACTTCGTCATAGTGACCTTTATAGTGGCGATTCGGTAGCGATCTTCGACTTTCTCAAGTCTGGACTCTGAAGGATCAAAAATTATCACTATCCACGCTAACCGGGAGCGCCAGCCCAGCGCTAGGGACGGATCTGAGGCTTCTTGACTCCTGAGCAAGATTCTGGATTAACCTTTCGCGCTACCGGGACTTCTTCCGGCACGGTTTGCGAAGCCGTTTCCCAATTCCTGGAGTTATCTTCTGTCATCTTGCATTACTTCATGCAGCTCGATAAGAGATTAACGGAGATGGCCGATGCAATATCGAATAGCAATCTATCCATTACAATCGTTGATTACTCGATCTACTCCAGAGAACTCACTTGCATTTTGCCATGGCAGGACCGAGCTGGACAAGGCTCAGAAGACAGTCACGTTCGGCAAGTTGCAAGTATAGCAGTTGTACCACAACAGCTATAACAACTGCTATACTTGCAACTTGCCGTTAAAGGACGCCAGAAACAATAATGCGCCTAAGAACACAGGACACATCTTCAAACCATCAATAGGTGGTCAGTACTATTTTTGAGTGTCAGAACCTGACTCTTCTGGGACAGTTCTCAACTCGAGGACTGGTTCATATCACAAACGGCTTCAACAGCTGACTGCAGATCCTGATATCCAAATTAGGCTGGCTAGCCAGCGTCGGCAGTTCAAGAGGGTCTCTCCACGGCTCCGCAGGCATCTGCGAGGGACTTTGAAGACATGTCCAATGTGTATACTCCGGAGTAGACGATGTGGCTGAGTGGCCCAATCACAAAATGACCCGCGCACAGTGCTTGAGCTCATCTTTCCTTTTCCTCCTTATTTCTTTTTCTCAGACTCGCCAGGATCTTAATCCCTGCGTCGAGAGTGTCGCTTGGAAGGACCAGTCGCTCGACGTTTTCAGCTCCCGCATCACCGAGCAACTCGATGCTCTGAGGTTTGATTGCGCAAAGAGCGCCCAAACCATGCATATACATCAATTTACAGGCCCATGTCCTTCAGATATCACAAAAATCACTGCTCTTCGGTCATGGATTGGCCACTTTTTGGTAAGATTCAGCCTATCATTGAGCCAAATACCTTGAAAAAAAAGCGCATTCTTTCAACTCGTCCGCTCATTCAAGGACAGAGTGTGACACCCTTGATGTCCTTCTGTGAAGACCCAAGGTGGCCCACTCGAGCTGCGCTGTAGCTCCTCAATTTTCCAACTCAGGGGCCTGCGAGGTTCTCAGAGGTCGAATCGCGCCTGAAATTGGACTGTGCCGTATATAGTCTGTTCAAGGGGTAGCAGAGCCAGAAAAGGAGAAGCTTCTGGGCATCAGCTCGTGAATATAGTTGCTGTATTCCTGCGTGCGGCTGGATGTTGAGGGTTGGGGCAATGCCACACACTCATTCAACGCACACACGCACATCTTACAAATAGTACCTGTCTGTTTCCCCAGATTGGCTTGTGCTCTCCCTCTTTTTTTATTTGTTTTTGCTCGGCCGCGACTCAAGCGCTAGCTGTGGCGGGATACGATAGCCCATTGCTGCAGCAGTGGCTCCTGTTCTCTTTCCGATCTTTCCAAAAACATTCATTATTATTATTATTTAGTTGCAGACACCCCTTCCAACCACTCTGATGTCGTCTCTCACCGACCCCACACCCTCATACTGTCTCTTTTTATCGTACCAAACGCTATCCTGTCTTTGACACTTGTACCCAACAATCAGCTTGTGGTCGAGGGGCCGTTCAAAGCAACCACAGATGCATACTACCCGCCTCAGTGTCATCTGGCTGGAATCTTCACCTCAATAGGATAATGCCCGCCAAAGTCTCGAGGCTCATATTACCAGGTGTAACGCCTTGATCTTAACTTTCTCACGACAGTGTTCCTTTTTCTCCTCACCTGTGCCTCTGTCTATTACCTCCATGCTGCTCCTGGTGGTGACTCTAGACTTGAACGCCGGGCTATCCAAAAGCGTTTCTCTTTGTACATCACCGTTGTCGCGTATTTACGCCTTCGTGCTTGATTGATGACTACCTTTTCGAGATCCCAACACGCCGACTCTTCTCGTCTGCAGCATAGATTTGCGCGCACTACGGATACAGCCGCTCCAGCTTGTAAAACCAGTCTCCAGATGTCTGGCGGGCCGTTTCAGCAATGGACATATATATCAGAGGGCGGATACGCCAACAACAGAGCTCATGCTCCTGATGAAGACCGTCAAGCGCAGACAGCAAGTCTGAATTCCCGCTACCCCGCGCAATCTCCTCCGCGCTTCCTTTTACCTGATGGTCAAAGCCAGGAGCCGGCACTGGTCCAAAATGCGAGCCTTCCTGGAGTTTCAGTGCATGGCCGGGCATGGGATAGTGGAAGCGATTCGAGGTACCGCTATCCCCCAACAGCTGCCGGGTCTCTGGCGCAATATAGCATACAGCGATCGAGTGCAGCCAGGAACTTAGAGTATGCGCCGCCACCAAGCTCATATTTTGAGACGTCAGGTCGTGGTCGTGGCTCTGTCGGCTCAATTGGTCGTATAAACGACGTGGATTCCCAGTAATGACCCTTTTTTTCTTAATAACGTTCTGTCGCTCAGAACCTCATGTTGGATTCTGTCTCTCACTGCTTCCCCTTCAGTCACTTGCGATGCCAGTCGCCCGTGGCGAGTTGTTGACCTCAGACTTTCGAAGACAATGGATCTAATACGCGGCGCCCAGATATAGTAGTAGCTCTGCGACGATTCCGAGTCCCGTGCATTCCGATAGAAGCCCTGGGATATACTCTGCAATAAACTCCGCGCCGATGTACCAGATCCCAATACATCAACGGCAGGCTACCGCCGGTGTGCCATCGGGATTTGAGAGACTTCTTCACCATTCACCAAATCCCTCTCCTCCTCCACAGCCGCGAGCAGCAAGCTCCTTCCGTCACCGTCTTCATATTAGACAGCAACCGATAGCAGCGCGTGCTTGCGGTGCTGGTGATAGAGATAGACGACCTGTGGACCCGCCTCCAATAATTCAGCTGCTTTTAACGGACTTTGACCCGAAATCAGAGGAGGATAGGGGCAAGCTTCAAGATCCGCGGCTCACAGTTGGGTGTCTCCTCTACCCTGTGCACGAATCCCGCTGGCGTGGCTCGGCAGATATGGGCTTGGACGACAGCAAAGCTCCCGGCCAATCGACCCCATTATTATCAGGAAAAGCTTTCGTTTCGCCCTTTCACGTCGACGAGGAGCCTGATCCGGATACCGCTCCGATACACCCCTCAAGCGACGATCGCAAGGCTACTATAGCAGCAATTGCGCATAAAACGCAGGGACCAGCTTCTTCAAGGGCCCCAGCATGCTTTTTCATTTTCTCAGACCTCTCCGTTCGAACGGCCGGGATTTACCGTCTACAATTCCGACTTATGGATTGGGGCATGGTAGAAGACACGGGACAGGTATTTCCTGTCCTTGCCGAAGCATGGTCTGACCCTTTTCGTGTCTATCCGGCCAAAGACTTCCCAGGAATGCTTGATTCATCAATTCTTTCAGTGAGACTAAAGGAGCTCGGATTTGTGGAGCTCAAAACAAGAGGCAAAGGTATCGGGAAGGGGCGAAGGGTGGGAAAGAACGACTCAAAAAGTCAACAGGAGGACGACTGAGAACTTTCTCACTTTAGCTCTTCTTTTTATCCTACTTTCTCCGCTCTGTCCAGCTTGTCCTGAGTGTTCTTAGGTTGTTTCTGGAATAGACAACTCTATTCCTGTCATTGCATAGTCACTGCGTACTACGGACCGGTTGACGAGGCGTTATCGTGGAGTACAGATGGTCCCGGGGTTCTATCGACATTTCTATGAGGTTTCGTTTGATTCTCGGGAATTGGATTATCCATGCAGGCTAGATTTCATACCCACTGTACTCATCATTGGCGTTTTGCATATTTGCAAATTTTGAATCGCAGCAAACGAGCGATTGAGCGGCATTGCCCATGTAGAACATAGTGCCCTATTTTCTATCTTACAAAACATTCAATCAATATATATGCTCAGACATATGCTTTCTATGCGAGTGGATATCATCAATCCAAGCCTCCAAGAATTTTAGCGAACGAGCTCCGTGCACACCGCTGGAGAAAGCCGAGCATCCATTATCAGACATCAAAGATCCAGATATTTCAACTGTAATTGCGACTCCCCGAGAACAAAGTTCGCAGCTAGTCTCTGCAACTGCGCCTGTACGTCCCGTTGCCCTCTTCCTAACGCTTGAACCTCTTCTAATATAGTATTGGCGCCCTCGGCGTCACCATCTTGTTCAAGAAGTATCGCAAGATTCAGCCCCGACCGAACACATCCGGCTGCCCAGGCAACTCGGTACCATTCCATAGCTAGACCACGATATTCGAGGAGTGGGCGGGGCCTGAAATATGATAATGTTCTGGCGAAGAAGCCTTTGGGTTTCTCTGCGGCCGTCAGGTCGGCGTCCAGGTTTGCAATGCTCTCCCCAGGTCGGGGGTGTTGCTGTGAAAAGATGAGGAAGTACAGATTGCCGATTTTGCGACTGGCGTCTCTGTTTCCTGCTGCAGCTGCTTTACCCATGTACTCTTCGTACTTCTTGGTATCGCCCTGTTGCCTCATGACATCTGCGTAGAGACTCAGTGCGACCGGATCCATGAAATCTACCGCTCCGCGGCGTAGCACGTCGATTTCTTGTTCGGTCAGGTCATCAAGGCGCTCGCCCGTGTCGTAGCCACTTGGTTTGCCCTTGGTAGCTCCCTTCGACGCGCGCTTCAACCACAGATACAGTTCCCAGGGCGGCTCGATCCTCGACGAGACCGTTAAATCTTTGTTTGCCTTCATCTCCATACGGGTCGGATGAATCCGCCCAATGACCTCCTCGACAAGCGCAAGAGCCCCCGTGAATCTCCTCTGTAAGCCGAGCACCTTGGCGTAGATAAGCATTGCGCGCGGGTCGCGGTTGTCTACGCCTTCGGGGTCAGACTGCGTAGCGAGCGCCTGGATCTGGTCGAGAAAAGAAGTACGCGCGGGCGAGGTAGTGGAAGTAGCGTAGAGGACGCTGGACTGGTCGTGGCAGCCCCGGAGGTACTGTGTTGCCGTGAGGAAGAGAGCCATTTTCGCACCGGCGAGAGTACATGCTGTTATGATCCAGTGCGACAAGGCCTTGTCGTCGCGGGTAATTGCGCGTCCGATCTCAAAGATGGTGTCGACATCCAATCCGGAATCTGTAGTTCAATTATCTCGTTAGCGTTGATACGAACAGCATCAAGATTAAGAGGGACGAGAGGAAAACGTACCCCTCGCAATCCCATCAATACCCTCTCTTGACGGCGGCCCGCATAGCGCATTACCCAAAAGGGCCTTGGTGACATGCTTGAACTTTGTTGGCGTGACTGATTTATCAATTATTCCGTCTTTCAGCATCTCGGTCATGAGTCCTAGTCCGGTCTTTTCAAGGATTCGGAGCTTCGAGTTAAGTGTGCCTGCTGAGCCCGGTCCGGCGCGTTCATCGCCTGGGAAGATTGATCTCGTCCTTTGTACTACATTTGGACGTTGTTGTGCTCGTTGAGCAGCAGGTGATCGCACCGGTGCGGCGTAGTAGGTTGTGGTGGAGTGGAAGGGTTGTTGATTATTGCGGCTGTTGCGAGGGAGAATGTCAACTGAGCCGGAAATTGAGGGACGGATCTGTCGTACGGAGAAGAGATTCGAGCGACAATGCAATGAGCTCCATTTCTGGAGGTTTGGAGGGCGCGTTCGGGACATTGGTTGTTGGTGATATTCAGGAGGAAGAGGACTTTGCGGCGGAAGAAATTCCTCGGATGCGCTGATCTTGAGAACTTGCCAGACCACTGCAAGACTCACGACTAAACCAATGACCTAACAAGCTTGCGCCTTACACACAGAGAGTAGAAGCTTATTTTGACCATGATAATCCGGTCTAAACAAATAGATGACAGATGATAATGTACATTCGCTGCCTGCCTCCCGCTCTCCAGTCAAGTTATCAAAACACCCTCGGAACCGAGATCAGATATATGACAATAAAAAGAAAAAAAATCGCATCCACCAAAAAGCGGGATGGCAGCAGCAGCTAAGGGACAGCAGTCCGATACAGGCCAATGCCTCAACCACTTCCACGCAGAAGCTTCAAGGGCGGAAGGAAACCCCAGGCTCCGTATCCAGGTATCAGGCACTCGCCTTCACGCGGAACTCCGATAGAATCCCATAATCTACTCCATGATAGCCTTACCCCCAACAGCCTTCAGGGTCTCAATGATCTTCTCAGCCTCCTCCTTCGGTACAGACTCCTTGAGTACCTTCGGCACGGACTCGACGAACTTCTTGCTGTCAACGAGCGAAAGACCGAGGAGTGTCTTGACCTCCTTAATGACCTTAGCCTTCGATGAGGCCTCGACAGCCTCAAGCTTCAGGTTGAACAAAGTCTTCTCCTGTGGTGGGGGAGCGGCCTCCTCTTCTTCAGCAGCGGCAGCGGCGCCGGGGGCGGCACCGGGGGCCATGGCGAAGCCGCCGACGGGGAGGTCGGGGATATTTAGGCGAGACTATAAGGGAAGAATAAGTTAGTACAGGAGAAACATATTGTGTTGTACGTTGAATAACGCGGGGGCAATGACAGTGCGAGAGATGTGTATCCTATATCTGTCTAGATGTTAGGTAGACGAACCTTCAGGCTAGCAACGAGATCAGCCGTTTCTAACAAGTTCAATTGGCTAATCTGGTCGACAATCTGGGTGATCTTTGGGTTGGTAGGAGCAGCAGGAGCGGCCTCCGTGGACTGCCACCTCCGGCTAACTGTCTGCTGATATGTAGCGGAAATGCGAAGGGAAGCGGTCGAGCGGACGAGCTGTCTGCAGCATCGAGCTGCAGCCTGGGCGGAGATTGACATGATGGAGGTGTAATTGGAGGCTGGAACAAAAAGGCAATGGTAGAATCGAGGAGGCAGAGGGCGGAGGTGAGGGTCTCGCTCGACTAGATAATTCTCGCAGAAAGCGCAATTGAAAAAGAAAGTCGGCGCCGGAAAACCCAGTCTTGTCACGTGATTGCTACACAAGACACCATGTTGGGCTTGGAGAATCAGGCTTGGAACGGCACAATGGACTTGATTATGTTACTGGCTATAAAATTAAGAACGCGCTCGCTGCAAGGCGAAAATTATTCGGATTAAAATTTGAAAGTCAATCACAGGCTCCCGTAGCCAACGCAATGCACTAATCCTCCACCTCATATAGAAGTCCTGACCACCCTCGTCTTTCCCTCAAATAGAGTATCAATACATTATACATGAAGGTATAAACAGCATTACAATGCGATAGCATTTCCCCTCAGCCGCATCTGACTGCTCCGCTTCTCTGTCGTTCTGTCGTCCTTCTGAACAAGTCTAAGCCCGTCTGGTGCTCCGCTTCATGGTGCGTCTCTGCTCCTTGTCGCGTTCACGCTCGAGGTATTTGCGCTGTTCTTCGGCAGTCATGCCACGAAGAATGCGCTCTCGCTCCTCCTTCTTCAACTTCTCCGCCGCGAGCTTGCGCTCCTCGGCCTTCTCTTGCTCATCAATGCGACGCAGTTTCTTGATCTCCTCCTCGCGCACATTCCTGATTTTGCGCATAACCTCGGGACGGAAATGCCCAAGAGTTACGAGTCTATCCGGAAAGCGAAGGAATTGAGTAAACAAAGCCAGGGAGTTGGCGTAGCCGGAGGCAGATGACGCAAGATTCAAGCAGAGCTGAATGCGCTTGCGAGGAGTGGTTTCCTCGATCCTAAGGGCAAAGATATTAGATGGTTGTATAAGAAATATAGAAAGCTGAGTGAACGTACTTTGTAGGCTTGTCCGTGGGCTGATCGGTAACAATCAGGTATTTGAAGCTGTTCCCTGCCTGTTCCACAGCCTGGATCAGCTCCGTGGTGAGGAGGGTATCAGTGATTTCGGCGCTCTCCGTCATGACAGTCACCCACTGGGGTAGCTTCGCATTGTCCTTGGTGAAAGTCATAGACGCATCATATCTATCGTTGCGGAAATTCTTCATCTCATTCTTGTGTACAATCGCCCAGATAAAGCCATCATGAGTTGAGTTATTCACTTTCAAAGAAGAAGTATCCTTGCCAGGTACCGGAACCAAGTCCTTCTCCTTTCCATCGAAGGTGTATGCAGTAGCCTGGTAAGACTCCTCCGGGGAGGGCCAGCTGTCAAAGAAGAAGGCAAACACCTGATCCATCCAGTAGGTCACCGGATTGGCGCGCTTTGGCATCTTGATCACGACATCGAGGAATGCAACGTTCTGGCGACCAGTCGCGTAGGCGGAAAACTCCTGGGCAGACTTCTCTTTCAAAATTGAGTCGTCCAAAGCCACGGAAGAGTTGTCTGATTTTTGAATGCCATCGAATCCAACGACCGCGAACTCGTTTCGTAGAGCGGAAGCATGGGCAGTGGCCCACTCTTTGGCACGTCGTCGGTTCTTACGAGTCCCCCAGAAGTGGAACAGGACAATTAATAGGATAATTGGCAAAACCATGGCCTCTTGCATAAAGTCCTTGGGGGATGTGCGCTCCCAGACGCGGTACCATTTCGTATAAGGAACGGGAGTGACCCCAGTATGACCCAGCGGCGTTGAGGGCGAGTCTACGATAGGGGCGGGTGAGGGTTCAGGCGCCTTGACGAAGTCGGCAAAATCTAACGGCGCAAAATGGACATTAGCTAGGGAGCTTTGGGGATATTTAATCGACGACGAAAAGCAAGCGAGGCACAGAACTTACCACCATCCTCGAGTGCGGCAGAGCTGGGCTGGGAGCCAAAGACGTTCTTGAAAACTCCTGCCATTGCAAACGGACAATTCGGGCAAAGGTGGAAAAATTGACCCGGGGAGGAGGCTGTCGCGATGCGTGAATCTGCAAAGGTGGCCTGGGGGAGGAGAAAAGAGAGGGAAACCCGGGGCGATGGGGGAGGCAAGGTAAGTTGGTTCGGGTGGCATAATTAATTGACGTTCGCCGCAGAGCCAGATCAGAGAGAGCCTAGTTTAGTGGAGCCGTAAGCTCTCGTCGACCATTGACACAGCAGCCAAGAATGATCGAGATATGGAGATGAAGTTGAGAGATAGAAGCTGATGAATGCCATGATTGCTATGATAGTTTCAATAGCGAAGTTCCATGCAGGCCAACTCGAAAAAGCCCTCCTTCTGCTCGTTCGTCCCAACCAATCTACTAGACTAAAAACAGACGATCAAGCGAATAACCGAAAGGCTCGCGAAAATAGTGAGAGAAGTGGTATCCTGCACAGAAAAAAAAAACGATCAAACAAGAGTAAACGCCAGGGAAATTTTTTAGCAGTACAGCCCAGACCTCAAAGAAATTCTAACGCGCTGCGAACCAAACCCCTAGATCCTTGTCTGGACCAACAATGATTAAACAGTATTCTCATAACGGTCGTTAAATGTCCCAGGCCAGCTGGCTGACAAAGCAGAAGGGGAACCAGAAAAGAGTAAGAGAGCGGACGGCGCGGACGGGCGACCTGGCGCAATCAAGCGCTTAAACATAGTACAGATAATTTCAATGGCCGTAGGCCGGGGGAGGAGTTTCCTCATGGCTCAGGCGGTCCCAGAAAGGACTGCAGGAATTGGGGTTGGATATTTTTTCCTCGCGCATGCGGCGCGCAATTTCTCCTGCCAGCCTTTCAACTAGGGCTTGATCAACGCCACTGGAGTTTGCCTTCTCATCAGTAAAAGGGAGCGCAGCGGAAGGTAATTGTCTCTGAAGCTCAGCCTCAAGCTTCTCAGGGCCGACGTGCGAGCGCAAGGTTCCTTTTGGTGTCGCGTCCACATCGATAACTTCCGAATTGCGGTAGGGCTCAGCTGAGGATGATGCTTCCCCGGGTTGACCGTAAATATCGGTCAGACGGCGAGGACCGGGTCTCGAGACACTCATGCGGTGCCTTTCTGGGATAGCTGGAAGATGCAGGCCGGTCTCAGGGGATAAAGGCGGGGTCACTGGATCATCAACTTGTTCCCTCACAATGGGAAGGGGGGCCGAGTACACAGATGGAGCACTGGTAGATTCGGTAAAGGCACTCTCATCGCTAACACTCGCGGCATCATCCGTTGTCTTAGGACGCCGCAGGTCCACGACGCGCTTCTTCCGCTTTCTCGAATGCGCCTTGGAGTGCCTGCTAGCCCCCATGCTTAAGCCATAACTACTATAAGTGTGTGTGGAAGCCGTGGATCGGGTTTGCGACGATATCATGCTGGCCGTATCTGGGAAGGATGATGACATGTTCCCAATCTGGGAATGGGTCCGGGAGAGGGCGGGGCTTGCTGGATACATGACACTTGCAGTAGCATCCCCTGCATCGGAAGGAGACGTCCATGCGCGGTACACGACTTCCCGTATAGATGGAGTGAAAAGCGATAATGTCCGCTGAGAATCAGTGAGCGCACCGAGTCGCAGAAGGTTCTTCTGGGAGAACAACGAGTGTGTTTCCACCGAAGAGTCAAGAGATAGCGAAGCAATCTCCGTTTCGTTCAAAGCATTACCCAGGGCATCCACTGGATCTTGCGGAGGACTGGCCAAGGGATCTTGTCCAGGACCTTCTGCAGTAGCAGTGGTTGCTTGAGTCTCCAGTTCCTCCCCACTTCGATATTCCGGGACCCATAATCGAAGCGAAAGGCGATGAATGATAGCGGGAAGTTCATCCATAAACAAGATTCGAAGTTGGCCTTCTATTTCCTTTTGGAGAAAGTCACGAACGAACGGGATCGAATCAAACGTAGATGAAACCTTAAGCGACTCTAGTGGATCGTTCCGAAACACCACCGTAATTCCCTTTTGTTTTGAGAATACCAACACCACGAAGCCGGAGAGTTTGAAATCGGATAGGGTGATTTGCAGAGGGATGGTAAGCGGCGTCCTAGATTCAAGCAGAAAGTCAGAATCCGCGATATACGGGAAGGTCGGTTGGCTACTCACGCTGCAGCAAGCGGCAATGGCGATGCAAAGGACGGTCGCGTGAGGAGATACGTATTGAGAGGATTCGCTTGGACTCGAGTCTTGAGAGTCAGGAAGGCGTCGCCCGTGTAGGACATCTTGAAGATGCCCCGAAACCGATCCTCGGCCAAATCCCCAATTTCCAGTATTTCCAGCTCGGGCGGGATAGATCCAAGATTGAGTTCCGTGACGATGATATCGTCTACAATGATCGGGGGTTTGGGCGACTTATTGAGAGCGGCCGTCAGAAGGTCCTGTGCGCGGGTGTAAAAATTCGCATCCGCGGTCAGCGGCGACCAGTTGAAGTTGAACGCCATCGCAGATCATTGAGGTTATGGACTCAACGAGCAACACATCAAACGGGCCAGGGAAGATAAATGCGATAGTCAGCCTCGAAGGCGCTGATGAGGTTGAAGAGGGATGAGGTGATGATGGCCCAACTCGAAAGGGACGACGCTTTCTTTCTCCTGTGGGGGGCGACGATAAGAAAAAGGAAAAGGGAGAAAGACGGGACGAAAGGTCCGAGGATCAAAGAACGAGGCAACGCCGCAAACCTCGCGTGATCCACGCGACGAACTCGATAGTCGGCCCTTTTCGCCTCTCGATTCTCGAGTTGATTCTATCAGTGTTTCTCGCTCAGAGACTGTTTACTTTTGAGTTTTTCGAGTTTCAAATGGATCGCGTGCTTCTTTGACTGTTGGAGATTCCTCGAACGGAGCAACGGGAAGACGTCACTGTGCAGAGCCTTCAATTCTGGAGCATCTTTTCCGCATCCACGCGCCGGCCAAAGAGCATCTTATGATTCAAGATCGACTCAGGCGCCATGACTTCTCTCCACCTTCATCCGACCTTCTCCGAAAGGGAAAGGTACAGGCGGATTACCTCTGCTCCGGACTGGCTCAAGAAAAGCAGGCTAAATTCTTTAATGAACAATTATGAACCCGTCCTACTGAACATCGCGAATTCACGACGGGGCAAAACGCATCCCCATGTTCGGTGCCAACGCTGAGCTAGTCCTGTTTGAACTTAGAAGTCCTATATTACTTGATCTATTCTGAATCTCTGATGAACGTTGGAACCACACCTCTCAACATCCACCAATGCCATCACTTTGGGCCACCTAGGACCACTAGGAGTGAATCTTCTCATATCCGTTACGCAGTGAATCGAACCCATGGCTTCAAGTTCCCACCTTACCATCGGGCTTCCAAAAATTCATGCGATCAAGGGGAACAATAATGCGCCGCCGGACACTGACTTTCTCATAGGGACTTGGCATGTAACTCACTCGAGTCTGCCGCTCTGGAAGGGGAAGCGCAACGTCAACGTCACCTACAAGTTACTCCCTTCCGAATCTTCCGGCGGGCCTTTAACTGATGATCTTGTTCAGTACCAAGCCATCGGCTCTGACAAGATCAAATCTGTTCACGGCGTGGACACCCCGTCACTGGGCAATCAAGGTGCCTGGGACTGGCGCGGAAAAGGGTGGTTGATGATAGCGAGCTCACACTGGGAATGCCTTGCCTTCGGCCATACAGATGATAACAACCAGTGGATTGTCACTTATTTTGCCAAAACGCTCTTCACACCTGCTGGTATCGACATCTCCTCGCGCAACAAAGAAGGGCTTCCCCAAACAACCATCGACGGGATACTACAGGCCTTGAAAGAGTTCGAATTTGAGGAAATAACGAAGCTCGCCAATGATATTTTTCAAATCCCACACAGTTAGATAGCAATCTATATAGACTTAACGCAGACATAAAGGAGGTGGACCTCCTAATACTACCTTTTACTAACAATTCATTAGTGGCATGTGATTGGCTTGCATATCTTTACATAAGCCCCATACTTCGGCTCCCCAGTAACAAACACCAAACTCCTTTAGGAAGAACGTCAACATCCCCGGGCCATGGATCGCTGGAGCCTTTCGTCCCTTCAGCTCGACTCGGTCAGTTCGAATCGATGTTCTCGGGGATAGCCTAGAACCTCCCAAGCGACTCTACCACAAGAGCCCTAGCTGGGGAAGAGACAACCCAAACTCACATCATCAGTCATGGCATCAATTTACCAAACATTTGTTGACGATGCCAGCTCACAACGGCGAAAAGCAAGCAGCACACGCACCTCCGGAAAACGCAAAGTGTACGGCAAACGAAAAATAGACGCGCCGAGAGCAGTATTTGAACAGCGAAGCCCGGCAAAAGTTCGGGAGATCACAGAAGTGGAGAGAGTTCAAGATGCCGTGGCCAGTCTCGAGACAAAGCTAGCAAGAGTCCGGATTACCGAGAGTATTGTCGAAAAGAATGAGCGGGAGAATTACTATGGCGAGACTATTCATTATTCGACTGAAAGTTCTTCATATATCTCCGATGGGACACCCGGGCCCGTACAAGTACCGCTTGCAGATTCGGCGCCAATTGCAGAAACTCCCCAGAAGAGTGCCCCGATAACTTCGAAAAAACATCAAACAATGGTCGAGGTGAGGATAACCCCAAGGGTTATCCCCGATGAGCCTCGGGGGCAGACGAATGGATCCCCAACGGAATCATCAAGTTCTAAGTCCACCTCAAAGCGAAACACAAAGAAAGAAAAGTCGTCACGACGAGTGTCATCCGACTATGTGTCTAACGAGAAGGTGACCTCATACGTCCGCTCTATTCTAAACGAATCAATGTCCCCAGTAGCGGCACAGGGCATTCAAAGGTTCGATGCGTGGGCTGCACGTGCGGGCGAAATGTTGGAAGTTGTGAAACTAGCAGAAGGCTCTTACGGAGAGGTATATAAGCTCAAACTGCGGGGGGATGTATGTGAGAAGGAAATCTCCAAGTCCAAGCTCGTGCGCCTCAGGGCATACGGCGATGGTGTATTCAAAGTTGTCCCCTTGCGAGCCCAGAGCGGTCCCGGTTCAAAGAAATTCACCAGCATTGAAGAGATCGTGGCGGAGATCAAGATGTTGAAGTATCTGGATCCCATACCAGGATTTGCCCGGTTTAGGGAAATCCATGTTGTTCAGGGCAGGTTTCCAAAGGCCTTCCAAGAAGCATGGGATCAATATAAGAAAACGAAGGACGACTGTCTCAATCCGAACCCATCCAGTAAAAGAGCATACCCTGACTCACAGATATGGGGTATCGTTGAGATGGATGATGCTGGTTGTGAACTCGAGAAGTTTTCTTGGTCGTCGATTTTCCAGGTCTACGATATATTTTGGGGTGTTGCGATGGCTTTGGCTCGCGCTGAGGAATATGCTCTATTCGAGGTAATACCATCCTTCGGCACTTACTTCAGGCAATACCTAACATTTGATTAGCATCGCGATCTCCACCTGGGAAATGTCTGCATTCGGAGCGCGCGACCAGACGGCTGTATGAATCCACCATCTGACTTGGAAATCATGCATCAGTCTTACTCAAGTGGCTTTGGACTTAGCACACTTGAGACGACTCTCATAGACTATTCGCTCTCGCGTGCCGAACTGGTGATAGACGAGGCCGCGCAGCTGGTGGAAACCACATCTTCAGATTTGGATAAAAAGCAGATCTTCGACGCTATTGGCCATGACGAAGATGATGCTTTGCTGAGAGACACATACCGGCAGTAAGTGTATCTACAAATCTCGATACAAGTGATGTATTTGTACTAATCGTACGTATAGTATGCGGGCTCAATTATATAGTGGAGATCCACTTAACACAGAGAAAACACCTGACGTGCCCGGGATCTGGGCTGAATATGCTCCCCGGACGAATCTTGTCTGGCTTCGGTTTCTTCTCAAAATGCTGCTGAAGAACAGAAAGCCTGAAACTCGGAAATCCGCAGGTCGGGCCATGCGACAGCCTCTCGCTCCATGCACGCCCAACAGAGATATCAGGAAAGCAGTCAAATCAGGCAAGAAGCGCGAGACTGGCCAAGAAATGACATCTGCTGAAGAAACTTATGACAAAGTCTCGCAGCTCAAGCAAACATTGGAAGATAGGCTGAACGCCATTCTTGAGCTCCTAGACCTTGAACATGGGGACAAAGATATGTGCTGCACTGCGGATCTTGTCGCTTTCGCTCTCGATGCCCAGTGGTTGGACGAAAGGGATTTTTCCTTTGCAGAATAGATGTGGGAATAGTAATCTTGATTTCTTGTTCTTCCTTGGCCCTTTTATAGCATGGCGGTTGGATATATGTGACGGCGTTGGAGCATTTGCTTGGAGTTATTAGACTTTATTACTGGTTCACAACAACATATACCCTTTCGACTTCACAAATCTGTCAACATCATAACTGATATAAGTTCAGCTCACGGAAAGTGAATGTGTATATGACTGAATATCTCGCCAAAGGCTAGATAGATAGATATCTGCCGGTGGAAATGGGCCGTGTGCCAAAAAAAAATAAAAATAAAAATAAAAATAAAAAAATAAATTCTCCGGCTTTCATTTCACGAAATATGCATCCTACCAAAATTACCAATAACCTTAAGTAACATCTAGATATCATCTATGTAGAAATCTTGTTGCCGTGGCTCTTCAGTGCTTCATATCCCATATCCAGCTCATAATCTGAAGCATATCCTCTGAAACACCGACTCACGTACCGGAAGCAAAAAAGCTCAAAAGACTCCCTGCCGCCAACCCGCCCACAAGCATGAGACTCATAAACCCGCCCGCAGGTTCACGCTCTTCAGCAGAGACCCAGTAACTAGCACCCATCATACAACAGCTGGACAAATACCCATTCGTCGCGCCAAACAGAAGCTGCACAATGAAGAGGTAGAAGAAGTCACTATTCACAATAGCACCCAGCCCGCCAATGTTGCAAAGTTGGTAGAGAGGGATGAACCCCGCGCGGGCGATAGAGAGGATTAGCAGCGCCCAGGGCCTGTGAGCTAGTGAATAGCGTGGGTTGAGGACAAGCATTCTTGCAAGGAGATCGCCTGCGTTCCAGAAAAAGAATGCTAATGGAATAAAGGCAGCTGGTTGGAAGAGGCGGGATGCATCGGATGTACCGCGAACGGACTCGATTCGAGAGGTATAAACGGGAAATACCATTGTTACCACAAAGCACAAAAAGATGGAGATGGCAGGGAGTCGGAGTTTCAAGAAAAGAGTCCAAAGGCTAACAGTCTTCGTGGGTAGTTGGTTCGCGTTGGATGCTTCTGAGCTGTCATCAACGATGTGCAGCGACTGGCGTTTGGTGAGCCATACAAAGGCAACTAGAGTCAAGGATGAGACTCCCGTCGCTGTGATAAAGCAAGCGAAGGCTGACTTCCATGATGCGTCTAGCGCCTGTTCTTCTCCTTCTTCCGGAACTGCCAGGCCGGAGAGCATCTGTGCGAGACATGGCAAGACTCCTGCCACACCCTGACCGCTCATTATAGCTTGAGTGTACTCCTCTCTTCCGAAGCCTGAGACGTACGCAAACACACCATTCTGATTGATACCGGTGGCCATACTCGCCCCGAAAACCATGCTCATCAGGAACCCGAAGTATACGATCACCGAGGCATGTTTGAGCACAAGCGTAGAGAATGCGAGGAGGGTAAAAACAGCAATGTTGATCAGTAACGATACTATGATTCGCCGCGGATACGATGCTGATTGTTGCACCTTGGCGAGCACAAATGCTGATGTTAGGTTGGTGACCGTCGACACCGTCAGTATGGATGACTGGTAGTGAGTCGTCACCCATGTATTTGACTGAAACCGCTGACGAAAGAATGGTGCTGCAGCGAGGAACATATTCCTGTATAAATGTGGTTTGATTAGAGGCACTGAAGCCAGAACAGAGGGCTATCGGCGGAATGACGTACCATGCCCATAACATGGACACACCCAAGATGAAGAAAACCCAGTATACAGGTCTTGAAAAAGGCGAGCTGGATTGGCTTTGCAAAATAGGAGAGTCCAGCTCATCCTCATAATCCGCTGGCTCTTCTATGGGCTCGTAGGCCACCCCGGGAGGAGAGTGCCACTTCCGTATGCGGTCCATGATGAATGGAGCCAGAGGCTGCGCTTCTGCGAAATCGAAGGGAGACAGATGGCGTTGAGGAAAAAAAAAAGCCTCAGTCCATTGTCACGAAGAGCAAATGCGTGCTGAAACCCAGGCAAATAGTTTGTTTAGAAGGCGGAGGTGTAGTGAACTTCGATGTTGATAAGGGTCGAAGCTCGAAGCCAACGCCAAGACAAAGGGTCACGTTTTCAACGACAGCCCTCGTGACGCCCAAAGGGCCAAAGAGAGGTGACTTCCAGTCATCTTGTCGGAAGCAAATGGGAGGAAGGTCAGATAGAGATGAGTACTTCTATTAAGTATGTCTATGTTACTAATTACAGTGAGGAGTCAGACAGAACCTCTTCAAGTCCGTAACCTCCATACTGCGACTGTGCTACTCCCCGTCATATACAGATATATCCTCACCTACCATCCTCGAAACGAGGCGACAGAAGGCTGTACGCTATGTAAAAGTGCTAACAAAAGAGGATGAAACAGAGACAAAATGATAGGTAAGCTGTGGCAAGGAGAGGATAGAGGGCACCAATGAAAACGAAGGGTCTATCGTGGTTTCTCGGATTCATGGTTATCCTCCTCCTCCGATCGTACTTCCCAGGGTTTCTCTTGTGCTTCAGGGTCAATGGCAGGGCTAACTGGCGGTTGTGCATCACCGCCGTTCAACTGCCACTCCATAAGTTTAGTAAACGCGCCACCCGGGCGCGCACTTAGTTCTTCGTAGGTGCCTTGCTCGGCAACTCTCCCGTCGGGGCCAAGGACGATGATTGAATCAGATCGCTTAATAGTAGAAAGTCGGTGGGCGATACTAATGGTCGTGTTGTTGCCACGGAGCAGCGCCGCAAGAGCACTGTTCACTAGTGTCTCTGATTCCGCGTCAAGAGCAGAGGTGGCTTCGTCTAGAATCAGGATATCGGGATCTTTGATAAGTGCCCGGGCAATCGCAATTCGTTGTTTTTGTCCTCCAGAGAGCTGAGCCCCGCGGGGCCCTACTTGAGTGTCAAGGCCGTCCGGCTATACCTCGTTAGTAGACTAAAAGGAAAACATCCAGGGTCTCAACTTACAAAATCGCTGATAAACTGACAATTGGCCTTCCTTGCCGCTGCGACTATTTCGGATCTAGTTGCGTGGGGACTTCCATAGGAAATATTCTCGGCGATTGTTCCAGAGAAGAGCACAGGCTCCTGTGCGACAACACCAATCTTCCTGCGAAGTGATTTGGCATTCATCCCCTTGATATCCGTGCCGTTGATCAAGACACGTCCTTCGGTGGGATTATAGAACCGCAGGAGTATAGAAGCAATGGTGGATTTTCCTCCTCCGGATGGGCCAACAATGGCGACGTTCGTGCCTTGTGGGATCTCGAAGTCCAAATCTCTGAAGATGGGGACGGCAGGCCTGGTCGGATAACTAAACGAGACGTTCTCAAAACGGATAGGGCCACGAGCAGATACAACCTTGGTACCCTTGGTTGGCGAGATCGTCGGATGGCGATCCTGTAGTTCGAACAACCGACTGGCTGCCCCTACACCCTTCATTAACTCGGAGTAGAAACTAGACATGCCAAACATGCTAGAGCCTGCGTAAGCCGTGTACATCAGGAAAGATGTCAGTTCTCCAATGCTGATGGCGCCGGTTTTGACCATACCACCTCCCACATAGAGAAGCGCCAGAATCGTCAGATTGCCCATGAGCCCCGTCTAGCACACATTAGATCAGCCTCGCGAAGGCACAAGAGATTGATACATACAGAACTGAAGAAATTTGCACTGATGAATGATTCTTGTTTTCCAAGTTCGAAGATCTTGCGGACTTGAGTATTGTACCGGTTGACCTCGAGGATTTCGCCGGCAAAGGATTGGCTCGTTTTGACATTCCCCAGGCGCTCTTCCGCGATCTTGGTTAGTGTTCCCAAGCTTTTCTGGATTTTGCGGCTCAGGTTCCTAATTGCTCTCCCGTAAAAAAAGGCACCTATTCCGATTGGAGGGAGCAACAGTGCCAGGATGCTGGAGAGTTTAAGACTCACATACGCCATCATACCGAAGCCAGCGGCGCCACTAACGCCAGCCCGCAATCCGTCTGATAGGTTCTGTGTTATACTCTTGCCAACAATTATGGTGTCTGAGCCTAACCGCGAGATCAAATCACCGACTCGATTCGCATCAAAGAACTCTGCGTCCTGTATAAAGGTTTGGCGGAAAAGCCTCGAACGGAGTCTGGCGACAATACGCTCGCCCACGATTCTCAATACGATGATACGACCGTAGTTAGCGGCCGCACCGCAGGCGAGAATACCGGCCAGGGCGCCGTAAAACATTGGAGGGCTCAAACCAAAAAGCTCATTACCACCGTCCTCGGAGGATTTCGTGGACGCATCCAGAATTTTGCCAATTGAGAAAGGAAGCGACATTGTGATTGAAGAAGAAATTAGCAAGCAAATGAATGCAAAGCCGAGCTTCTTCGCTTCCGGTCGCGCAATGAGCAAAAGCCTCCATACTTCTCTGAACCCTGACTTTTTTCCGCCATTGCCATCTTTTGCTAGTTTCGCGCGAAGATTCACCTGCGCCGCCTGGGCCGCCTTTTCAGAAAGCTCAAACCCCTGGTCATTATCATCGTCTTCTTTGTCCTTGTTCTCCGCGCGCGAATTCTTCGTCGACTGCTGAGGCGGTTGGGTATCTAGGAACGGTCGCGTGGAGGAAAACGATCGGAGGGGTTGAATGATTCGAGGGTTCGGACAAAGGCGTTTTGGAGTGTTTGTGTATAATGCAATTGTTGGTTTATGAATGTGGTTGGTTAACTCCGTAGGAGAGATTCTGCGATTAGAGAAGGATTCCGAAAATATCGGGAAAGGCCGGGCATTGGTAGCATAAGAATTACGTCTGAAAGAAGCTGAAAAGTTCTCAGAATACAGACTCCTCAGAGCGCTGCCATCTCCTGGAGCCGCTCCCTTTGACGGAGCTCCTGCAACCCAGGATGGTCGTACCCGGAACCCGCGCATTTCGGAGATGATGAACTGCCGTTCAAAATGATGTAACTGTGGTTGAACAAGATGCCATGTCTCACTGGTAAAAGAGGGGTGTTTTCGTGGCACTCATGACATTAATGGAAGGATATCAATCACTGATCCAGAAACAACAGGAACGCCTCGCACTTGCGAGCTTGATCTGGAGCGAACCTGCCGAAGCCAAAATCCCGACGGTTCGGAACAAGATCGGAGACCCAGGATTCTGCCGCATGTTGCCGCCTATCACGAGCCTTTGATGGAAGCGGATCGAGAGCAATCGAGAGCTTTCGATATTGAGCTTCGTTATTGGCACGCCCCGGGCCGTTCTCTTGGGATCGACGAATTAATAAGGCCATCAGAAGGAAACTCTCATCGCTCGCCCTTACTCCTGTTACCCTTGCTCTTTTTCGCCCCATAGAGCATTCATATTGTTTTGTACCCCACTTACCACCCCTCTTTCTATACTTCTTCGAAATGGTGCTCGACTACAGCAAGTGGGACGCCCTCGAGCTCTCGGACGATTCGGACATTGAAGTCCACCCAAATGTCGACAAACGGTCATTCATCCGAGCCAAACAAGCCCAGATTCACCAACAACGTGTGCAGCGGCGCCACGAAATACAGACGCTGAAGTATGAGCGAATCGTTAACGATGGCCTGCTTTCTCGCATTGAGAAGCTTCTTACATCCTTCAAAGAGCAAGAAGGGTCCACATCAAATCCGGAAGATGTTGTATTTCAAGCACTCATGGAATTTGCGATGAATCCCGCAGATGATCAGCCTCCGCCAGCGCCGGAAGGAGTTCATACACAGGAAAGGGAGCAGCCAAAATACTCCCAAATGATGAGCGCATTGGTGGATCAGGTTAAAAAAGAGGTAGAGGAGTCAAAGCCCGACAGTCTATTCCAAGCGTATGTCAAGGGTGTCCAGGGGCACAAGGAAAAGGTGCAAGGCCTACAGAAGGAACTACTCACAAGGCTGGCCCAGCTAGAAAAGGAGGAGGGCAGCAAAATAACCAGCGAATCGATTCATACTGGATTCGATACTTCTCACATTGCGAAGCCGAAGACTACCCCGGCGACAACGCAGAAAACCAGTTCCGTTGAGCTTTTGAACCCTACACCGGCGGCTGGAGCTTCCGGTCAAGAAGGCAATGATGATGAGGCGCTTGATGATCCGGATAGCGTGCAAGCCAGCGAATTGGCCAAGAAGTTTTTTTTTTTTTTTTTCTTCGACTACCGAGTTCTACACCAGTACATTTCAGATCATCCGGAAATTGTCGCGGAGAAAGAAACAGATGGCCTGCTGGTTGAAGCTTTCAATAGCCAAATGGATGGCAAGGATGACTTTGCGCGTCAATGTGTCCACCAGGGCCTGCTACTGCAATATTGCCGTTCGCTTGGCCCAGACGGTATCTCACTTTTCTTCAAGCGGTAGGCATTCCCGTCTTAGCTGCGATAGATGCAGTGCTAATACCACACACCTTATAGCATTACAACAAGGGAACACCAGGCAGGAACCTTATTTCGAAATGATGTCAACGAAACCTACAACAAGATCAAGACTCGTGCTGCTGAACTAGCCAGGGACAGTTCAGCATCCAACGATCCCGCCGGTGTGGAGCAAATTCAACTTCATGCGGTAGACCCTAATACTAAAATTACCATCAACATTCCCCAAAGTGGGAGTAGCGAAGCTGTGGAAATTGAAGCGCGAAAGATTTACGAGTCATTCTCCCAAGAGCTGCAAAAGGCATTGGCGTCGGAGTCCCTCGATGAAGTCAACAAGGTCCTCGGCAAATTGAGTGTAGAAGAGGCCGAGGATGTTGTTGAGAAGCTAGGACAGAGCGGCATGCTTAGCCTTGAGGAAGGCATTGTTGATGCTACAACAGAAGAAGGCCGCAAAAAACTCGAAGAAATCGAAGCTGAGGGCAAGAGAGAAAAACAGGCTGAGAAGATTGGGGAGCCCAGCGGCGATATAACCGAGTTGGATTGAAGGTGCACATAATTGCTGTTCGGCTAATGAAGACGCATCTTTAGCTATTTTGATGTCTTTGCACCTTTTACAATATCAGGACATACGTGGGTGTTTTGCAGTTGTAGGTATTATTGTCTATATTCCCGCTGAAGACCTTAAGAGTACAAGGGCTCTCGTTAGTTAAATTCCCATCCCAGAATTACCGTCTCTTGATTGACCATTCCCGTAGATCAATTGCCCATGCTCATAACGACATATTCAGGGAATAGGATGTGGCATAAAGCTAGAAGAAGTAAACGGTGCGTTATTTACCTACATCAAGTGAAAGGAAGAAAGGAAAAGGCCAGAAAACCAGGGAATAAGCAGAAGAAAAATACAATCAAACCCCGCTAGCGCCAGGAGCCTTCTCATCCTTCTTGAGATCTAGCAACAACTCTCGGAAACGCTCCTTGCCTGATCCGCTAGCACCGCCTCTGATGCCCTTCCCAGAAACATCCACGAGTTTCGCAATACGTTCCCAGCTTGTTCCGCCAGACGATGTGTTTTCGCGGTTCGCCAGGAACTGCTCTGCTTCGGCGCGGGTCTGGGCACGAAGCTTATCCGTCTTGTTGTTGTAGGACACGTAGAAGTCGTCGATATCCTCCCTAGCCTTGGTAATGGTACTTTCCTTCTTTTCGTTCGAGATCTCTGCCCGTCGTGCGATGTCTGCATCCCGCTTCTCGCGCCACTCCCTGAGGTAAATGTAATATTAGCAACCGAACGGATATGAACGAACGCCGGGAAGCTGCATTAAAATCATGTATAGGATGGTCGATAGGACATACCTAACTGGTTCGGATTCCTCCTCAGGAGCCTGATAGCTTGAGTATCCAGTGGGCGGGAAGGGCGCTCCAGTTCCAGTGATGGTGCCGCCAGGAGCAACTTGCTGCGAATGGTCAGAGACAGTGTTCTTGTGAACATAGGTCCCAGTGCCGGATTCAACTGCGTACCTCGTTCTGGGTTTCTATGGCAGGAAAAGCGGATTCGAAGCCGGAGATCTCGGGACCAGCGCTGGCCTGGGTCTCTTCTGGGCCACCCAGTAGTTCGTCATTGTTGACATCTGTAGACGCGGCTTGGTCTTGGGAAGTTGCGAATTGGTCGGCATCGTCGCCTAGGAGGGCTCTTTCACGGGCTAAAAAGTCGTTCTCGTCTGTGCCATTGGTTTCGATAGCTTCGGTTTGACCTGATACCGGCATAGTTAGCCCCAGAAACACCCCCAGACAATGATGCGGGTAACTAACCCGCGGAGAAGTCCTCCAATGAGGGGAAACGGTCGGCCATGGTGTAAGGGTCTAAGTCTAGTCACCAAGTCTAATTACTTGCAGGAGCAGGATCTTTTGCAAGCAGGTAGGTAAGCGGGAAATGATGAGAGAGCGATGCTCCAGGTGGCTTCTTTTGAGTGTGAGGGAGATGCGATGGCTGAGACCCGGCGATTCTGCCGACCAAGAAAGCGGTGAATAAGCTTGGACCTAGAGTGCGACAGAGAGCTTCACTGTTGCTCCCTAAGCCAATTCTTCTTCACCTCACAAGTGAATGTTCCGGAGATTAATCTTGGTGCTGCTCTTGAATATTGCCTTGGCGACTCGTATAGTGGGATACTCTTGCTTCGCCTGTTGAAAGTGATTGTAGTTAGTCGTTGACTTCTCCGAGCTCGGCGTCGGATAGTGTCAAGCGCAAACGGCGAAACACCTATATCTCAACCCTCGATTGCTTAAGACTCAATCAAACGGATTTTACACGCAGGCTTCGGATGAAACAGCATCCATGGCCTACACAGACGATTCAGTGAAAGCAAAACTGTCTGCTCTCAATGAGACCCAGGAGGGCATTGTGACCGTCGCGCAATGGGTCATGTTTCACAGGTATTAGCCTTCATTCTGTATCTATTGGAATTTCTCTAACAAACCAACTACAACATCAAGACGACATGCCGATCGAACTGCACAATTATGGCTCCAAAAACTCCGCGATTCCCCAGCTCCAAAACGACTCAACCTGATTTATCTCGCAAACGGTACGTTCCACGCTAGAGTCCATATTCGATCCGCAACTGATAGGGAAGGTAGAGGTCGCGCAGCAGTCAAGAGCACGGCGCAAAGAAGATTTTCTTATTGCTTTCTCACCGGTTAGTACTCGTGGCCTGGACATACAGATATCAAGGATGGGCTGACGCAGGTTAGATTATTGCCGAGGCCGTGGCAACCGCATACAAAGGTTCCTCGAATGATATTCAACAGAAATTGCGACGGGTAGTTGAGGTTTGGAGACAGCGTTCAATATTTGAACTTCCAATTCAGGAGGCCGTCGAAGCTCGAGTTGATGGTATAGCCTCCTTGCGCCGTTATCGAAAGCCGCGTACTGACCTACTATAGAAATTGATAAATCGCGCTCGACCGGCAAAAAGCCGTTGCTGGGCGGCTCGTTATTCTCTGGTCCAAGTGGCTCGACACCATCCGAACTGCAGCCTCTAGTCCCGCTTCAGGTAGCGGTTTCTAAAGCAGCTGTTGCCTCTGGTACATCTGCTACAGCTGCCAATGCCGAGTATGATAAGATGAACGATCCTAACGTACCCTTACCGACCCCTCCTGTACATGCTGCTCGACTTAGCCAGCTGCTAAAAACGCTTGCGAACGCTGAGAGTTCAGTGTCCGAGGTGGTCAAGTCACGCCTTGCCCTCATTGATGGCCTAGAAAAGCTTCTCGAGACCAACCGTACAGCGCTGTCTAAGGAACAGGCATTGGTTCTTCAACTACAGGACAAGAAAGCCGAAACCGAATCCAAGAAACGGGAAGTTGAGGATGCGATCATGAGAGGACTTTCGGCGGAGAATACACCGGCGGCAAACCTTGGAGATTTTGGCCCAAGGGGTGAAGGCGTGTCTCGCCCGGAGGTTGAAGCTCTTACTCCTCCGCCTGTTGAAGCGATTACCCCCGTTGGCTCACCAAAGCAAGAAGCACGAGACTTCCCAGCGGGTCATGAACAGGAAGCTCACGCATTCGGAGGCTTTTCCTTGGGATTTGAACATCCCGGCGATGCCTCCATTCCTGGACTTACCCCGCCTCCTGCATCAACAGCGTTTAGTGAACTTCCGCAAGACATCATGAATGGACTTCACACCAAAAAGAGAAAGGTTGCTCATGAAGAAGAGGACTACGCCCAGTTCGCGAGCGGAGATCTAGATGCCGATGTCGCGGAACTTTTGAAGCAGGAGAGCAATATCCAAAGCTAGCTTTCTTGAAACCTTTTACCTCTGCAGAAGTTCCGGATGTCCCTCGTTTGTGGACATGTCTTCCTATATGTTTCATACTGGCTGCTGAGTATTGTATCAGACATTAGAGGCTCGAAGGTTCCCATTTTCATAGTTGGTATGATGGCGATTTCGATTCAAACATCTTTCGGGCATGTATTGGAGGTCAGGAAGGTTGACCTGAAGCAATATATTGTATTTTAAACAGCTACTTCACCACTGCCTGCAAGTGGAGGATTTTTCCATATTGATTCATTATTCAATCGGTTTGCGATTTTATGTTGATTTGAAAGCCATGGCATACAATGGCAATGATGTGGCCTCGAAGCTGGGTCAGCTTGTTTACTGAATGATAATAATCATATTGCCAAGGCTATCATGATGGTATCTCTGAAATCACAGGTAGCTAGCGGTATATATCAGGTTCAACCCACTTGCTCTTTGCGACGCGAGAAAATGATGAGGAGGCCGAACGCCTGTACGCGATTCCAGATTCTCGCGGAACCATGTTCAGCGGGTTGTTGTCGGGTTGAGAAGGAGGGGGCGAAGAAGGAGGCGCGGGTTCTGAGGAAGAATGTCTCTTGGGTTTGACGAGTAGGACGATAATCATACCCACTACCAGGAGTATTAATAAAAGGATAACCTTTCGTTTCGTGGTTCGCCGTTGATAGTTCGTTGCCTGCATATAGCTCGTCAGATAGCTCCATAGCTCTGCGTATTCCAAGACTGCGACGTACCACATTCAATTCTTTCTGAGCGGATTGGACGTCCGTGTGCATTCGCTCCACGTTGTAGTCTATACGGTCTAACATAGTACCTTGGTCGATGACCATTGTCTGAAGCTCGCGAAAGATATCGGACAACTCGATGATTCCTTTCGCAATGTCGTTGATTTCCCGCTCCCGTTGGAGGATGACGGCATCGTTCTGGCCGGTCATCCGCTGTGTGGTTTGCATTAGGGTAGTTTGCGAGAATGATTTGTCCGCATCAGACTCCATTAAAGACGGATCTGTGTAAGAATTTTGCACGGGAGTGGGCGAGCGATCGAATTGTGACGCCGAGTCTTCGAGGCCTCGTAATTCTATTTATTGTTGGGTGAGCTAGCTGATAAAGGGAGAACTGGGGGTGCCTGGCTGGCTCACTTCTTAGGTAGGTGCTTTGCTTCTTCCTAAACCGAGCACTGGCGTCCTGCACCCTCGAAGCCAGGGATATTTGTATATTCTTTGCCATTGTCTCATCCCCGCTACTCACTCCTCCTTGTTGTTTGGCCTCGTGTACCATAAGTTCAATCCTCTGGACAAGCTTCTGACATTCGTGAAAACCGCGCGTAATATCTTGGGTATATCGCTCGATCACACGTTCATCTTGCTTCCGTACATCCTCATCGCCAAATCCGGGGAGCAGATGCTTGTGGTGTAGCTTATCGAGCTGTGCTGACTTCTGCGCGATGTCCTCTAGTAGCTCCGTCACCTCCTCTTGCACGTCGACCCAGCGAGGGGGAAGCACATCCATTTCAATGATCGCATCGCCATCGTCATCTATTCCCGTGGATTCAGATATGAGTCTCCGGCTTTCTTCGGACTGAGACCCTATGTCGGTGAAGCCATTAGAAGCTCCGATGTAGCGCGGTTTCTTCGCGGGGTGGTGTGTGAATGACTGGCGGTAGGATATGTAACTGTGAGAGAACAGACATTAGCAGTAGCTCGCATAGATCATGCAATTTCAGCAAGGTGGAAAGGTACAGATTCGTGCGATCCCGCCACATCGTGGACGATGAACAGGGCTGGCTTCCCCAGGAACTCTGCTGGTAAGTGTCCTCTAGGTCGCGGTAAGCATTATTGGCCGAGAACTCGAAGAGGAGGCACAATAATGCCCAATAAACGCCGTATAGCCCTAATCTAAACCCAGACCAATCCGTCAAGCAAGTAACAAAAGACCCAAGCTGTCTTGACCGTCGGAGCTCGAACGTAATGGCCAGAGCAGCGGACATCGGCAGCTCAACGGCTGATCTCATCGCCCACGTGAAGTGAACCGCAGGTACTAGTCCGGTTTGGGAACCAATGTACCTGGCTGGGCCTTCGGCTGTTCTATATGCACTCTGGCCCCTCTTTATTCACAAATGCTCAAGCCAAGGAACCTCTCTGCGAGATCTGAGACTGGCCGGTGCGACTGATAGGGATGAACCCTCGTCTGAGTTCCAGACCATTCTAAGCGCTTTCTGCGTGGTGCTCCATTCCTGCCGATCGAATCCAACTTAATCGAGCGCCTCAATGTACGACTCGTAATTTCCTATCCCTGTGCTGTCTGTTGAGGTCATTGTACAGAGCCTCGAATGTGCTCCTCCAAAGTTGCCACATAGACTCGAATGCCTCAAATACTACTCGTACATATACCAGCCTATGCAGAGAGGCGACACCGCATGTCAGCATCCATAGTTCCACGAACTCGGAGTAACCATGCTGGGTGTGGATATGCCCAAGGCAGATCCGGATTTACGGCTTGGCAGTACTTTGCTTAAAATAACTTGCAGGCAGTCGAATCGCATCTTGGTGATTAAAGTGCAACTGTCAGCAGATAATTGATATAATCCCAGGGCGGCTCAAAAACTGCGGAAAATGGGCTTGATATCACCTATCGTCAGCTCTGCCAAGAAACACGTCACTGTTGGAAGAGAATCATCGCGCCAGGTCAAGAGAAACAAAGACATTTGGAATTCATTGAAGATGAGGGAAACTTCGCTGAAGATTCAGCCCTTTCAGCCCTTCGCGCGTGCGAAGGCCAAAGAGTGGCCAGGGCGGGTCACGTTTCAGGCCTAAGCGACCGCCTTGCCAGGCATCCAGCTCAGTGGCCGCCGATTTCTGGTTGTTGTGGTTTGAGGCTAGAGTCCCCTTTAACTCTCCTTCTTCCCCCACCGCCGCCCATCTCCACCAACGTCTTTCTGCTCGTGTTATTTCTCCTCAGTCCTGCTTCATCCCTCATCCGACTTGAATTTCCGTGATCTTATCACCAAACACTCTCACCATGGTACGCTTCTATTGCTCCCTGCGCTCGGACTTGTGTCGGGGACGCTTCCCCCACTTTGCGGGGCAGATCTACTGCTATCCTGCTCAGAAGAGCTGACTCCCTCGCAGGCCGACTCCCTCACCGAAGAGCAGGTTTCCGAGTACAAGGAGGCCTTCTCCCTATTTGTAAGTCGCCCACGAAATCTTATGATCACCGATCGCTATCTAAGAATCCCTTATTTACCCTTTTCCGCTTTGAACAGGACAAGGATGGTGATGGTTAGTGCAACCCACCCACTCCGGCAACGTTATCGCATACGCTCAGCCTCGATTATCCCATAATGTTTAGCCCCATCAATTAGCCTGGTATTGATAATGTGTGAATGCGTTTAGGCCAGATTACCACCAAGGAACTCGGCACTGTGATGCGCTCGCTCGGGCAGAACCCCTCCGAGTCTGAACTCCAGGACATGATCAACGAGGTTGACGCCGACAACAACGGCACCATTGATTTCCCAGGTATATACTCACGATACAACCTCTAGGCTTACAGGATATTGGGCAGATCACTGACTCGAAAAAATATATCAGAGTTCCTCACAATGATGGCCAGAAAGATGAAGGACACCGACTCCGAGGAGGAAATCCGAGAGGCTTTCAAGGTTTTCGACCGTGACAACAATGGTTTCATCTCAGCTGCCGAACTGCGCCACGTCATGACCTCCATTGGCGAGAAGCTCACTGATGACGAAGTTGATGAGATGATCCGTGAGGCGGATCAGGATGGTGATGGCCGAATTGACTGTACGTTGGCGATTTCCGCAAACATCATGCGCGAGAGGTTATGCTAATTGCTATTCAGACAACGAATTTGTGCAACTCATGATGCAAAAATAAACGCCTCCGACCTTATGATGTTTATCGTTAGCGAAGGTGTGGACACTTCTTATAATGTCTCACCTTAGTTGCTATATCATGGAATGTAGCCTTCTCATCACGGATACAGCACTTAGTGGTTTTAACGGCTGTCAAGATTTGAACTGTGTCTCTTGTTTCCACAATCCCCTTCTCAACCAGATACGTAAATCGGATAAGCCGAGATTGCAACAAGTTGTGTTCAGGCACCAATTGTTTATACCACGACTGCCTCTACTGCTTTCTGGCTTCTACCAGGCTTTGTCACTCTTCATCCAATATTAGCGTGGTTTTGCGACGATTCATGTAGCAGAAAACATATCCCCCACTCTGTGCCTTTAAATCATCTCGTGGTCCGCCCAGCCGATCTAGTCTGACTGATGAATTGATTGGTTTTTTCGGAGTTTGCGCTTAGCACTACTGACGCATAGAAACAAGCCGCTGGAAAGGTTGATGAAGGCCAGATAGGGGATCAATTGCAACCTTCAAAAAAAGAGAATATCTGGGTTGTTCCCCGGCTATCATCGGTTGAACCTAAAGATCTCCATATATTGCCTTGCCACGTCTACCCCAGCGTCCGGGTCAGGATCTTCGTCGGCTGGCTGTGCACCCTCGTCGTCCTTCCCTGGCCGGCCAGACGCTTGCTTACCTTGCTGCTTCAGCTCGTATAAGCGCCGCTTCACCTCCTTTCCAATATCCGGCACAAGTATAGCCTCCCTCGCCCCATCCACCCCCAGCGTCGCCCAGAACTCCCTAATCAATGAGGCAGTGACCCCATACTCCGTGTCGATATCTGCCTCCTCCACCCCGTCAGGTAAGGGCATTCCATGACCCAAATCGTCATTTTCTTCATCCTCTCCCTCGTCCCATGAATATAAACCTGATGCCCCGCCCGTCCTTTGCTTTCTCGACTGGTACAGTGCCGATAAGGTAGAAACCAACGATGGACCGCGCCATTCAATCTCAACGACCGTACCTCGCACCCGCACAGCAGGCTGCGTCTGTCGCACGTCGCCAACCCGGACTCGAAAATCACCGATTTCATACACCATCCCGCTTTGCACGGTGACGGTGTGTCTGGGCGCCCAGAAAGGCTGGCAGGCGTACACGAAATGCTGATACAGAGAAGCAGTCGATTGGTGCGGGACGGTCGTCATGATCATCGGCGTTGTGGCCGTCGTCGTTTGTGAGGACTGTGAACTCGTAGCGCTAGCACCACTAGGGGCATTGCCACTGTCTGATGGCTGAGAGGCGTATATGAACCCATGAGGGTAGTGGGACAGAGATAGAAACTGCATAAATTTGGGAGTGGCTTGGCGCTGTGAAGCTGACGGGGGTAGACACGATGGTGTGTCTCGCATCAATTTGTGCTCGAGGCCCCAGCGTCCGAGGAGAGCTGGCTCTTCCGCAAAGGCCAAGCTGAGGCGCTCTGTAATTGTGGCTAGAGCAGTGGAGGCATTTGGATTAGAGGGTATGAAGAAGACACTGATGCTTTGTTAGTTTTGGACTGTCAATAGGTCGAGTACATCAGTGGAAGATACCCTGTGAGTGGCATGGCGGTCGTTTGCTCGATATGAAGCCTTGTTGCGTGCAAAAGTCGGCGCGGGGATCCCCGTAGGTTAATGGGAGCGTAGCCGGATCCGTGACTTGCCTGAGTAGTAGACGCAAATATGTCCTCAATAAGTATCACTGCAGAACCTTTTCCAGACTATTGGCTTTCTTCCCTCGAGCTGTTGCAAATATAGCTTGATGTTTCACGGCAGCTCAGTTGCACTACACTATGGTTAACTTGGGAGGTAGTTACGTTCGAATGTCTGCAAGAACTAACCTTAATATATCAGAGATCTAACTATAAAGTAGCGCCAATAGAAACTGTGGCCTGAGAATCGCACGTTGCATAAAATCTGTCCTGTGTACGTGTGCACCGAGAACTCCAATGTTGCGGGTGTAATAGCGGCCTAAACCTTAAGGCCGTAAACCTTGCACTAATGTACGATGTAGGCCTGAGGCCATAATACAAACAGCACAAACATTGCGGAGTGGTTGCTTTACCAATCTTAAGGTACAGACTGACTCCCTCTAAGTCTTGAACTGTCAAGTGCAATTCCTCAGTTAACCATACATGACACCCCCAGTGCAAAGCTCGCGCTCATCGCATTTCTGTTCCCACGTCGGTTGTCAGGTCATCACTCGCTCAGGGGAACCTCTGTCAAGGGATCCGCCAAGACGCGGGACGATGGAGGCTGAGACCCAGGGGTCAAGAATAGCAGTTGTTACCCACAGTCTCGGAGACTAACACGCCACAGACCCTCTGGGCCTCCCAGACTTTCAAGCTTAGGGACCACAGCTTACGCAATGCCGGCAGATCCAATCAAGATGAGATGCTTTTTCATGCCATCCCCAGGGACTGTAGTCTCCAAAATGCTGGCCAGACTCGGCCATGAAGCCACCCGAACTCTCAAAATAAGGACAATCTCGCTGGGCATGCACACGGCTCCAGCCTGGATTCTTGGGTCTCTGTCTGGCAGCTTTCACGAAGGGGGAAGAGGCATGCGACTGCCATTTACCCATCAAAGTGTACATAAAACAGCTCCAAGGGGTGGATTCAACGCCGATCCTCTGGTATGACACGGTCATTGATTGACCTTTGATCTCAAACCAAGACGATCGCCCTGCTTCTCAATGCCCCTTGCCAGGCCCTGAGCCTTACCCCAGCTGGAGGTTCATTCTCCTTCCACAACTCGCAGTACTCTCTCGATCCTTAGAGAGAAAAAACTGTATCAGCATGCTGCAGATTCGCTCGTTCATGTTGCTGCCCAGTTGTTTATTGACCCAGCTCCAGCTGTGAAAGCTGTCCCCTCATTTGGCCTAACTTATAGATTCATAATTTGTCTCTTACTCTCACTCCAGCTAACAGTTTTCACATAATTTTCAGCATCATGCTTCTAGTAAGAAAGAGCTATGTTGTACCGACATTCGTTCTTATTTCCGCTACCTACTTCCTTTTCTCGACCTTGCCGCCAGGTGCGCAAGTTTCCTACACCAAGCAAACCTCAGCAGACCACATAGTCGAATACGCGAAGGATGACAACCGTATACGTTGGTCCAAACACAAAGAGCAGTATCCGATTGCCGATTACATCTCGCTACCGACATCCTCTCCCTCTGAGATTCCTCAAGTTCAGTACGATTTTCCTCCTGAGTGGTGGTTTAGTCGCATATGGCGGGAAAGAAAACGGAACGCAGTGAAGGAGGCATTCAAACATGCGTGGAGTGGATACAAGAACAATGCCTGGTTAAAGGACGAACTGTCACCTCTAAGCGGTGGATACAGAACTTCGTTTGCCGGATGGGCAGCAACCTTAGTTGACTCCCTCGATTCACTCATCATCATGGGCCTTATGGATGAGTTTGAGGAAGCGTTGCAAGCGCTCGAGGAGATTGATTTTTCGACCACCGAATCACTACAAATTAATGTGTTCGAGACCAATATCAGATATCTTGGAGGTCTCCTTGGGGCCTACGATCTAACAAATGGAACATATCCCATTCTGTTGAAGAAGGCGACTGAGATCGCCGATTTCCTCTATGGCTCTTTTGATACGCGCAATAGAATGCCACAATCACGGTGGGAGTGGACGAGGTGAGCTTTCAATATGGTTCTCAAACGACGGCGGCCGTTGTGCTAACTGCTCTAGATCGGCAGCAGGCTTAGATATTCGGCCAAGCGGCAACACTATCCTTGCGGAACTTGGTTCATTTAACCTCGAATTCACGCGAATGTCCCAGCTGACCGGAGACCCCAAATATTTCGATGCCATCCAACGAATTTCAGACAACCTAGAAGCGGCCCAGAAGGAAACCCAGGTTCCCGGTCTATGGCCAATGATGGTGGACGCCCAGAGCTTACGGTTCATCGACACTCGTTTCACTGTAGGAGGAATGGCGGATTCGACATATGAATACCTCCCGAAGGAACATATGCTACTGCAAGCGCGGACGCCACAATACCAGCGAATGTACGAGTCAGCAATTGAATCGATAAAAAAGCATTTGCTCTTTCGGCCCATGACTCGAGACGGAAGGGATATCCTGTTTTCAGGAAATGTCAATGCCGTATCAAAGTATAGCCAGAAAAAGATAGAGCCACAAGCTGAACATCTCAAGTGTTTCCTTGGAGGAACAGTGGGCATCGGAGCCAAAGTGTTTAATCGCCCCAAGGAACTGGCGATTGCTCAAAAATTGACTGATGGCTGTATCTGGGCTTACGATATTATGCCGACAGGAATAATGCCAGAGATCTTGTATCTCAGCCCCTGTGAAGATAACCGAAACTGCCAATGGGACGACAAAAAGTGGTACCGTGACATCCGGAGCCGACCTCCCAAACATGCCAATATAGCGGACACCGACGCAGCCGCCAAGGCTCTTATTGACAAGTTCAAACTCCCCCCTGGTGTTATTGAAATTGCTGACTCGCGCTACATGCTAAGGTGAGTTGGCCAGGAAGCGCACTAATGGACCCGCTAACGCCTATGGCAGGCCTGAAGCCATCGAATCTGTCTTCGTCATGTACCGCATAACGGGAGATCAAAAGTACCAAGACGCCGCATGGCGCATGTTCAAGAACATTGACAGGGTCACTCGTTCCAAATACGGACATGCGGCGATTACCGATGTGCGGCTAACCAAACCTGCTCAGTTGGATTACATGGAGAGCTTTTGGTTAGCGGAAACGCTAAAGTACTTCTACCTAATTTTCTCCGAGCCTGATCTCATCAGCCTGGATGAGTATGTGCTGTAAGTGTCCACCCTGGGACTGTCTGCAGTGTTTACTAGATTGTTGGAACTAATGGTAGAATAGGAATACCGAGGCACATCCATTCAGGCGTCCGTCGTGATAGATAACCACTGATTTATTTCTTGACACGGTTGACTAGCGATTGCAGTTCAGTAGAGGCGTTGTTGGAATATACCCGCAGCTACAGAGTCCTTCTTTTATTTGATATATTTACACTGATCGTGACTCCCACATGGCAGCGGGTCCTGCTCATAGCTTGAACAAATGAAAGTCTTTCGAACATAGATTGCTTACAGACCTGCGCACATAACGCCATTGTGCATGAGACAGAAATCAAGACCTTTGCCTGTCGGCATATTGATCCCAGTATTTGGACTCATCGCCCGGCCGCGAACTCCCATTTGTGTCCATTTGTGTCCCCTCCGTCATACTCGACGGTATACTGGACATCCTTCCGAATAATCATCTTGGTACTTTCATCACTACCCATGGTTCCGGCACTCGCTCCGCTCCGCTGCTCGACCAACTCGATCTCATCATCCGCGATAACCTTTGTATCATGTGCCCTAGGCCTTTTCGTCGCGCCGAAATCTGTCTCCAACACGCCATATGCGACGGCCTTGTTCCCTGTCCCTCTAGACCCTGACGCCAAGTTTGAGTTGGTATACTTCGAATTCCCAGATTTCTGTTTCGACGCATCCAGGCTGCTTCCTAGTGTTGAGTCGCCGGCTGTACCGTAGTTTGTGCTCACGGCGGCCATGAAGGGCCGAAGGCAGAAGACGCTGCAGGCTATGAGGGAGAAGTGGAGTTCGACTTGGGCCCAGATGATGGCGTTGACGAGGTCGAGGGTTGGGTTTTCGGAGCGGATATCTCGTTGGAGGTAGTGGATGTGGAGGACGGCGAAGACGACCATTCTTGGAGCGGCTATTAGAGCTCCGTACCCTGGGAGTAAAAAGGATAGAATGTGGGGTGGTTGTACTCACGGGAGGCGGAAGAAGAACGCAGAGGCGATGGTGATCTTGCGTTTCAAGGGCATCTGGAGACCGGCGAGAAGAAGGACAGCGAGGCCGGAGAGAATAATCTCTGTTGCGATGTCAAGGGCCACAATGAACTGCCACCTTGCTATCTGGATGGCATTAGGATTTCCCATCCGCAGTTACTGAACGGGCCAAATAAAAATCAGGCAACGTACCTCATCCTTACAATGTTTCCCTCCTCCCTGCCAGGGACGATTGAAGCCGCAATTGATTGTAAGAATGAAAATAGCAGGGATCACCCATAAGGTACACAGGGCCAGTGTACCCCAGGATAGGAGGTTGTGTAGTCTCTGCGGAGTGAGACGTAGATAGATTCCCACGACGCAGCATTTTGTAGTATACAGAGTGATGAGGTAGAGGATATCGCTGACTCCGAGGAGCTTTGTGTTTCAAGTTAGTTGGAAGATCCTGTTAGAGGGCTTCTTGGGGGGAAAGTTAGTAGCAAGGACTCACCCTCTGGATTTTGTCCACCTGATTGTTCATGAGCAGAACGATCGCCGTGCCCAGTCCTTCCGAGCACGCGCCAAACACCAACGATGCTTGGATGACAGCAATGGCCTGGCAGGTTGATATCAGCTATCCTTCGGTCTTGCTCTTCCCCAAACCGATAATGTAAACATACTGTTGCTCCCAGAAAAACCCAATCATCGCTCCCAAACGGCGGGTTCAAGGCGAGCCGCACATAGAGTCGAATAAGGAAGCTGACAATCGAGAGAACCAGGCATAATGCAACGGTGATGATAATCCAGGCGCCATGGTGTTGATCATCTACCACCTGGAAAGGCGGCGACTGCCCTGGGAGAACGGTAGGGCCTGGCATGACCGTCTGGCAAGCAACGAAGGCATAGAGAAGCAAAAGGAAGGAGTGTGGATTATATTGCGGCTATGTGCAGAGGTGGAAATAGCGTGGTCAGTCTACTGCGATATTTTCTTTTGTAGTATATTTCCTTCTTTTTAGCCCTTTCTTCCTGGCTAAAACCAAGGGCTGGAAAGCGACAGGGTCCGCAGAGTGCATGATCATGGCTCGCACCCGTCTGTCTGGATGGCGCCAGGGAAAACAATATTGTGGCTGTCCTGGATAAACCAGCATAATTTTAGGGTTCGCGAATCACCAGAGTCTCCGAAATCTGGACAACGGATGGAGCTCCGGAAGCACTAAAAGGCAATTCCGCCCCCATCCTTCGCGCCTCCACCTCGACGGGCTCGGCCTATAGCCGGCCGATCACCACCAGAGATCAGCCAAAGACCTGCCTGTTCTGGACCAAGGCTGTGATAAAGTGCAAGGATCCGGTTCCCGAGCTTCGAACTGTGTGCACGATGTGAACGAAGCACGTTCCCCACTCGATACAGTCCGTACGCCGTAGCCGCAAAACGACAAGTTTCCAGGATACTGAGCTAACCTCCAGTCTCGCATCGCGCCGTCACCATCCTGGATAAGCCCGAAATCAAACGGCCGCTCGGCGAATATCTGGCGAGCAGGGATCACAAAAGGGGGGCTTCTGCACTGTCTGGTGATACGTGTAGTGGCACGGGGTGCAGAAGGTGCGTCTTCTCGCCTGAAGACTGCCCATCTCATCATCGAGGTTACACAGCATATGGAGTACATTGTTCAATAGGAAAAACAAGTTGATCGCTGTTCCGACTCGAGCCAACGTGGGGGACGACGGAATAACCAGTCGAGTTTTCGATTGATTGCACCGTGACACGTCGTCTTACTCGCCGTCTCGGCAACAGGCAAATCTCGCTGACACTTCCAAGATAACCGGGAAAACGCATGATATGATCCACGAATCCACTCACAATGGAGACCCCGACTCCTGATAAAGTTCATGATTTGATATTCCGTTGTACTTTATGAGTGGCGCACCGATGCCCCGTTTTCAATATACTTGCGCAAGCCTCAAGCGAGGCCAAAAAGTGGCCAAAGAACTCAAACACACGCCGTCGTCGGAAGGCTCACCATTCGTGGTAAAGCCCACGCTCGGGAGCATTGAGCTAGACCTTTCCCCTTGGCTAGGCAGGGGAGGAATCCTCCTTGAGGAGCTGCTTTTCTCGAACATTTTTTACATTTCCACATGGCAAGGTTTCTCTTCCTTGCTTCTTTTCGCCCGACACTCACTCCGCAGCTATTGTGTCTTGACACTCTTTGATCCCGTCAAGAAGCGTTCCAATTGCTACTGGAAACCAGTCAATCTTTGTTGGTATCTGTCTGCTGGACTCATTGTAATCTTCAAACCCTCCGATAACCGTCGTGATTGCCCTCTACCACCTTGGCATCATGGACACGATTGAGAGAGCCCCCGGGGTGAAAACTGCTGCCGATGTCTCTGTTGGTTACGCAGCGGACCCTGAGTACAGACCCAAGGGACTCGTGGCCCCAAAGTACATGGGTACAGTGGCGGATCAATATGACATGAGTACTATGGGTCGAGTCCAAGTTCTACGCGTGAGTTTATTGTGTCTGGGGGTTCTTTGTCTGCAAATATTAACTTTGACGATCAGCGGAACTTCAGATTTATATCGATCCTTGGTTTCGCATGCACGCTGATCTGCACGTGGGAAGTCGTCTTGACGTATGTATTCATAGCCATGTGGTACAAATGCCTTTCTCAACTAACCATTCAAACTCCATAGTCTGCTGGCTAGTGCACTCACCGATGGAGGTACTGCTGGTCTGATTTGGGGGTTTGTCATTGTCTCTGCCGGCTTCTCCCTTGTCTTTGCTAGTATAGCAGAGATTGCTTCTATGTAAGTACCCTTGCTTTCTTAGTATAAACATCCCATTAACTAGGTTAGGTCACCAACAGCTGGCGGGCAATACCACTGGGTGTCCGAATTCTCTCCTCGTCGCTACCAAAAGTTCTTGAGCTACATCACTGGTACGGCCAATGTTTGCCTCTTAGGCGTATTCCTGCTAACAAGGATAGGGTGGCTTACGGCTATCGGATGGCAATGTGCCATCGTGTCGATCGCCATGTTGGCAGGAACAATTATCCAAGGTCTTATTGTCCTCAACGATGTCAATTACGTCTTTGAGGCATGGCATGGCACCCTCCTCGTGATAGCCATCACCACCTTCTCAATCCTCTTCAATACGTTCCTGGCCAAGAACCTTCCAATGGTGGAGGCTCTAATTCTTATCATTCACGTGGTTGGACTCTTCGCTATCATCATCCCGCTCTGGGTGCTTGCTCCCCGCAACAACGCAAAAGCCGTCTTCACCGAATTCAACAACGGCGGTGGATGGAACAGCGCCGGAACTGCAACACTAGTGGGGTTTTCGACTACTATCACTAGTATGATCGGCTATGATTGCAGCGTTCACATGTGTTCGTGTCCCTGAAATTCATTTGATAGCCTTGTCTAACGTGTGTTGATAGGTGAAGAAATCAAGGACGCCTCCCGGACCCTTCCCAAGGCGATGATGTCCGCCGTCGGGGTCAATGCATGCCTAGGATTTATCATGGTCATTACGATCTGCTTCACACTTGGTGATGTTGAAAGCGTCCTTGAAACTCCCACTGGGTTTCCATTCATCCAGATTTTCTACAATACGACGCAGAGCTACGCTGCCACGAACACTATGACAGCAATTCTGGTGATTACATTGACAGCGAGCACTATCACAGAAGTAGCAACCGCTTCTCGCCAGCTCTGGTCCTTTGCGCGAGACAAGGGGCTTCCGTTCTCGTCATTTTTCGCCTATGTATGTCACCGCTTAGACCCGATTGTTCCACACTAACCCTAACTCTTTAGGTCACTCCCGGATGGAACATTCCCCTGAACTCGGTCATGGTATCTCTCGCCGTAACGGTCCTTCTCTCTCTGATTAATATCGGTTCATCCGTCGCCCTGACAGCCATCGTCTCCTTGACCATTACATCCCTAATGTCGGCCTACATTCTCTCCATTGGATGCATTCTCATCAAGCGTTTCCGAGGCGAGCCCCTTCCAGCTCGACGATGGTCACTCGGCAAGTTCGGAATGGCCATCAACTTGGCCTCCATGGCGTTCCTCCTTCCGATCTTCGTGTTCGCTTTCTTCCCGCTTACTTCGACTGTGGACAAAACAACCATGAACTGGAGTGTTGTCATGTACGTTGGTCTGGTTACACTGGCTTCTTTGTACTACGTTGTCCGGGGACGACACCACTTTGTCGCGCCTGTTGCGCTCATCAAGCGTGACGCCGTTCCTATGGCCGCTGGCGCTCGTTCCTAGTTCAGCAGGGGGATGTGTTCGAAGTGTAAGTTATATGGTTAATTGTTTTTCGCGCGCGGTGTAGGAGAAAAACTTGGATTAAAAAGGGAGGCAATTGTATAGATGAGTAGTAGTATATATAGTATATCCAATCAGTTACAAATCCTGGTCCAATTCCGTTTACAAACCCAAAGCCGGAACCTAAACCGGTTACGCCGGCATATTGACAGTGGCTCTTCTCTCCCGCCAAAAAGAACCCCCGTGAGCATGGAATAAATGAATACAAATTATTGGTACATTCGCTTCGCAAAAAGCAAAACCCACTAGGCGACGATCGTCACTAATGAATACTGCAGATTCCCATTTTTGGTCCACAGGATTCTTTTCCTTTGTTTAGCTCCAGAATTCAGTGGTCGTTTCAAGCACTGAATGGTTGTGCTGGAGCTGGATTTTGGGTTTGCGATACATGTTTGATGAGATGTATGTATCTCATGCTGCCAGTGTTCCTCGAAAATGATAAACGGCGAATTTCTTTGTTCTGTCATGTGGGGAAATTTAAGCGCTCACATCTAACTAGCAGGCGCAGTCTGAAGCAAAGAAGGGAAAATCTTGTGATCCCATTCTGGTGTTGCACAACTTCTTCAGCTAGGTTCAGCCTCCCGATGGATACCCTCTCCCAAAACTGTCCAGGTGCTGTGGAGTTTTGACCCGACGATGGTGGATATACCACAAGACTCGGACCCATTTTCCGGTGGTTTTCATAGTCGATTGGTACAAATTGCCGCCAGGTACCCCTCTTCATGATCTCCTCTGATCTGCACTCGGGTGAAAGAGGGATCCTCAGATATACTGATGATGCGAATTGCCATGTCAAAACATAGGTTTAGCGGAAAGGAGTAGCTACACTCGAGTCAAAGAAGCACTGGGGCATCTGAGGAATTAGATTATATATATTTGTGCTTTCTTGGACTTTGGGCATGGGGGGCGATGGAGTTTAGGCCAAGTGCCAAAAATCATCAGAAGCCGCTGACAGGCCAAGAGGTCTTTTGAGTTAAAAGGAACGTGTTCGAAAGTACGTTAGCTTGGTGCCTTGAACTCTTGGAGCTGTTGGTGAGTATATGTATGCAGTGTGAGTTCGGTGACCTCGGCGGCCCCCGAGGAGCTGGTAACGGCGCCGATACACAAAGTGGGAAAGTCACGCCGTTTTTAAGATCAGATAAAGGATGTGGGGTTATTGGCCAGACGATACTAGATGTAGTACTAGCAAGATCGATTCGAAACTCGAGAGTCGAGAGACAACGTGAACGGAGAAGTGACTCAAGACTCTCGAGCCGGAGCAGCGCCGCCAGATAAGCTCAAGTGCTCGTATGTTTGATAGAGCGCAGCCTCCACCAGTAGCATCATGCGGCTTGCAATGTGTTTTAGAGTTGCCCCCGAATTCGATAGAGAGTTGGAGACCTGGAGGGCTTTAGTCTATCCCGACCTCGTGGGACAGTACTGGCCCCATCATGGATGTGGAGATGCAATCATGTACATCCCGTCAGCAAGACGATAGACGATGACCTCACACTCACGTAATTATCTGCCGTTTTCGGGCAACGTCCTTGCTGGTGTCGTCTTTGGCCCAAGGCAAGAGTCGATTGTCCAACATCGACGTCGCAGCCCAGGCCTGGTAATGTTCTTCCCGTGTATGCTGCGGGAATCCCTTTCTGATTGATAGATATGCTGCATGGCTGGGGCGGCGGCCGACATCGGATGCCCCACATGGTCGCTCTCTCCGCTTCGTCTCGGGACCCCCTGTCCACTTCTGAAGAGGCAACCGTGAGGAGAAAGACAAACGTGCAGATGATTCTAAGTGCCCGGTATATGGCTCTTGCCAATGGATATACTCGGAACTGAAAGCAGGGGTAACTCGAACGGTCAATAAGGAGAACCGAGACATTTGCGGCAAAATATTCCCGCAAAATAACATCTGACCGTAAAATTACCGAAGCGAGTTATCTGATCCGCCATGACACACATCAAAGGGGGTCACGTGTGACACATGCTCCTTTCCAGAAGCTAAAAAGTCGATTGGAGATGAAAACGCCCAACCTCCTACAGAGTATCTACATGACAGAGCGCGAAATATCCCATTTAGATATATTACGTCCACTATTCTCCCATAGTAATAAAGAACCACAGCCTCGGGCGAAAGGGGGCATTAGCCGAGGAGGGATCGCAACCCTAGACGCGCAATGGATGAAGCGGGACTCATCAGATTAGATCAGTAACCATACTGTAATTCAATAATCGGCTGCCGCTGCCAGGCGACATTCCGCTGTGCATCAGACCACCATGACGAAAGGGGGTTTATTTTTGTACATCCCCCTGAAAATACTCGTATGACCTGCCAATATCATGCTCCCATCGAAAATAGACGGCTTGTAGGATCCTTCCTAGACTAGGACTCGGAAATCCGTGATCGAGAAGTGCGATACAGGCTGAACCGTTGGAGGAGGGAGATATCGGAGAAAGCCGCCGTCTTCTCCACGGAGTCGTTCATGAGAGTTCCTATCCCGAAGACTAATGGGTAACGGCCGAGGAGAAAAAGAGATTATTATCTTTAAATTATTAGTGGCATCTCAGTCCTTGTTAGACATTGATATTATTTTCCAGCAACAGTTATCTCTGGCGTTTGTTGAAGTCTCCGAGTTCTGCTTTCGGCACCTGGCATCGGCGGAAAAAATACATGGTATGCGCTGGTAATGACGTGAAGTGGCGAGCCGCAGCCAGCTATCCTCAGAACCTTCGACTCCTTATCAGATGCTCGCCAAATTACACAACATCGCCAGCTCCAGTCGACTTTTGAAACCGACCGCAAATCTACCCTCAAAGAAGCAAGGGATTGAAGGACTAGAAGCCCCTAAAGCTCTAAACGTTACGCCCTCGTTTCCTAGCGTCGCGGAACCAGTCTCCCGGTACCGGTTTGCCCCAGCCGACAAGACTTTCCGCCTCATCCCACCCCATCCACTCTCATTACCGCAACATTCACCCTCTGGGATCCCGTCACGACTCCTATTCAACATCTGTCCTACGCTCTGACGGCTTGCTGTGGTGTGCACATGCCGAGAATCTAGCCTCTTGACTCCTTTTCTCAACCGGTTATTCTCAATTATCCTTCTACTCTTATAAAACCCCCCACCAGATTAGCTCTTTTCACACAGTTACCGAATTCTCAGCTTCTCGCTGTTGACGAGCGCTCAGCGCGTATCACTCTTTCGGCTTGATTATTCGTCGGTTTATGTTCGCAATGGGTTAGTTGTCCTCACTTTTAGGCACTACGTGGAAGTCGAAGCGTCAATGGCTAATATATACCTTAGGGCACGCAGTGGTACCCCAGACAGCGCTGTCGCCGCGAACTGCGGCCTCAAGGCCGACATATACTCACCGTGGAGAGTCTGGAAACGTCCCCGTATCATCGACCTCCCACCCAGATAACCCCGTCCCAGAAGAACCTCGAGTCCGCTCGCTGTCGGTTACCACGACGAGTTTCGGCAGCCCCTCGCTTTCGTCCCAAGAAACAGAGATCACAGATTTCGATTCACAATCGCCCTCGACACCACCCACAGAACCCTCAGACCTGGAAGATGAGAAACAAACAGAGGATGGTTCAGGGCGTCGCCGGCGAGCCTCCACCGTTCTCATTTCACAGGGCCCTGATGATATGAGGCGCGTGCTGGAGAGCGTAGGAGCGGGAGGGACACAGAAGCTTCAGCCCATGTGCTGCGGTGGTGGATGCTGCCGCCTTCAACCGTTAAACCGAATCGAGGGACCTATTTCTCTGATCAATCCCGTCACGCCGCCAGACAACAAGGCGTTCCAGAGCTTGAAGCTGAACGTCGATCTCCTCACACTAGACAGCCCACTAACCAACATTGCCCCCTTGCCACCAAAGACAGTATCCTTTTCGGCAATTCCTGCCTCCGCGTTGGACACAAACTTTGGGCCCGCCGACCATCCTCCTCCTTTTGTTAAACCTCACCCTCCATACGACGTATACCGAGCCCCCATTTATCATGCACGGGAACTCACACAGCCCGGCGCCGAGAAAAGGACATACCACTTTGATATTGATGTAACGGATTATCCTGCGGAAAGTGGAAACGTTGACTTCGTCGTGGGCGGTGCGATTGGCGTGTGCCCTATGAATAAAGAGGAAGAGGTAAACGATGTTTTCAACGCGTTGGGTATTCCCAAGGCCGTCCGTGACAAGAAGATTCTTGTACGCACATCCAGTGGCCGCTGGCCAACCATCTGGGGCAAGGACGAAGCTCGGGAGTTGATCACAACCCGACGAGAATTGCTGAGCTGGTGCTCCGACATTCAGAGTTATGCCCCAACCAAGGGGTTGTTCCGGTTGCTCGCCGAGTACGCCAGCGACCCGAGCGAAAAGAAGATCTTGATGTTCCTCTCAGCTGCTCAGGGCCAAGGCGCCTTTTGCGATCTCCGCACCAGCTCCCACATCACTGTCGCCCAGTTACTCCACGCCTTCCCCTCCTCTCAACCTCCTCTAGATCACCTCCTATCTGCTCTCAACCAACTCATGCCCCGCTTTTATTCCCTCTCCCAAGACCCTCTTATCTCGTGCAAGAGAAAAGGCACACAGTCTCGCCGCCTCGTTGAAATCGCCGTGACAGTAGCCGAGTCTGACGACTGGAAGGGTGGGCACCGCACAGGTGTCGGATCGGGCTACATGGAGCGTCTTGCTCAGCGCGCCATTCAGGCTCAAAACCAGGGCGGCGAGCCTGGAGACCTTGGTCTGCACGTTCCTATGTTTCGAGGCCTGATGGCGAACCCCCTCGCTAAGCGATTTGCCTCGGACGGTCCCATGCTGCTCATTGGCGCTGGTGTTGGTATCGCTCCATTCCGTGGATTCGTACAGCGCCGATTGCAGTCTGCAAACTGTGCGAACAAGGTCTGGGTGTTGCAGGGAGTACGCGATTCGTTGCTCGACGAGCTATATCGAGGCGAGTGGGGCGTGGAGGAGGACAAGGTGCGCAAGGTCGTTCAAAGCCGGCGCGGCGAGAGCAAATACGTCCAGGAAGAAGTCCGCAACCAAGCGGATCTAGTTTGGTTCGTAATTAACTCTCTCGATGGACGTGTGTTTGTCTGCGGAAGCGGCAAGGGCATGGGCGAGGGCGTTGAAGCGGCGTTGGTGGACGTTGCGATGGCCAAGGGGAACCTGAACAGAGAAGAAGCCGAGCTTTTCTGGGCAAACAAGAAGGAGGCTGGGCAGTATATCGCGGTAAGTTTTAAGAATCATTAAGAAAAAAAACTGGATGAGAAGCTGACAGCGAAGCAGGAAACGTGGTAAGACGGCAAATGTATGATAGATGGTTTCTTGGTCTCGAGGTCGGGCTCGGGGTCGGGCTCAGCGGAGATATTAAATCCGAGCTGCCCTGGACTTATTCCCGAGCTTTCGGGAAAAGCATCAACTTCGAGTTTAGCGATTTTTGTTCTCCGATGCTGGATTTTGTCGGACTGCTTTTGATAAATTGTTTTAGATGGCACGGATAAGTATATTGCTTGGGATTTACATACAGGAGTATATAGGCGCATCAATCGGACTTGTTAATATCGATCTCAAATCAGAAGTCCTTCGTAGAGTCAATCAAACATGCGTTAGCCTTACACTGATAGCAGTCAGACACTGCTTGTAATAGAAGTAAGCTGCAATCATTTTAGATATCAGGTGTGCCCTTCTAGGTTTAATGGCCGGGCACAACGTGTATCAGTTGAATCAGCCCACGGGTATTCAGTTTGATGATACCTCATTTCAACGTCGACCTTTGAAGGTCATTGATGCAATCTCCCGGCTAAATCAGCAACTATAATAAGTGCTAGGTTTCGTATTGGGAATCAAAATTCATGATATCCAGTCACAGAGAGCAGTAGGGGAACAAGTGAAAAAGTACCAAGTACCTAGGTAGACGTAGTGCTTGTCTATTGGAACATCATAGATAATTGCGAGTGTAGCAATTGTTTTTCTTTACAATTCTAGAGCTGGACTAAAGGTGTAAATCTTGAGCTACAACGTAAACGACAGGGTCAGGGTTGCGAAATCGTCTGTAGCAGCAAGTCAATACCCCAACGTATTGATGCGGGATGTTGAAGTGTATAACACAAGATGTGGGCTTCAGCTGTTGTCTTCACCCTCAACACCGTCAATCTCTTCAAATGTGTTGAGCACCATTTCACTTCTTCTTGATCATTGCATGTCTCTCAGTTCGTGGTAGGTATCATCCAGACCCTAGCCTTCGATAGGTTTTATACCCGTCTGCTTGTCAACAGCTGGATTGCTCACCTACCAGGAGGGGATAACACATGGTGATGTCCTGTGTTGAGCACCCCCACTACAACATCGTTTCTGCGATTTTCATACCCAACATAGGTTTGTTCCGTTATCCACACTCACGGTCGACGCCTCAAGAGACTGAGCTGACTCGCCTCTTGTTACCACCGGGTAAAGGGCGTGCTGCGTTAAGACACCATTTAACCACCCCAAAGATATCCCTGCTCTTCATCCATCCTTGAAGGTATGAATCCTCCTTCTGATAATCATCATCTGATACCAGTGACTGACCTACCTACGTGTCCTACTTCAGGAATCACACAAACCAACAATGCCTTCGAATAAGAAGAAGCCGACCACTGAGCCCTCCCCCCTCTCCTCCACCGCAATAGCAGCCTTCCAAACCTCCTGGCCAATCTACCACTCGCAATGCCACCCGCTCATTGATCCCCTTCTCCGCTACATAACCGACTTCTTCCCGCTGAGCCTCAACCGCCCATTCTCCTGGTTCTACGCCGACACCCCGCACCGCCGCCGCCTGCTCAACGCTCTCATCTACAGACTGCAAACGGGTCTCCGCGAGAGCAAGACCTGCGCGTTCCGATTCGATAATGACTGGGACCACGATGTCTTTGTGCATGTGCTCGCGTGGTGGTTCAACGACCCTGCTGCGGTGGAGGTGCGTGAAGTTGTGGAGAAAGGAGTCCATGCGGGGAAGGTCGATGTGGAGGTCTTTGATAACGGGGTGAGCTATAAACCTCAAAGGGTTACCCACTGTTTTGAGCGAGCGTCTCCTCAGTTTCCGATCCCCGGCGTGCCGATGAAGATGGTGGATTATTTGCCCGGGTCGTTCTATGAGGAGGTGGGTGGGGGTGCGAGGAAGGAGTTTCTGAAGGCGAATAGAAAAAGGGGAAGGCTTAGTCGACGGAGAGAGTTGGAACTAGAGGCGATGGACACGATGGAGTTTATCGGTATGCTCAAGGCCATGGAGTTTGATTGGGAGGATCTCGAAGAACTGCTGGACTGTGACGAGTGAGCGAGAGATCTTGATCTAGTCCTTGCTATAGGTGATGAATGGTGCATTTAAACAAGAGACTGGTGGAGAGTAAGTACTGCTTTCAGAGTAAGTGATTCCAACACAGTACCTACCTATGTCTTTGGCTCTTTGACGCTGAATTGCATCTTTCAGAGAGACAAACTGTCCTTTGGCTAGGCTCAATGATAACATTCGTCTCCACAAAGCTCTGGATCTTAATTTCTGGAAGTTATCGGGTCTTGTAATAATAGAGGGTCTTCCAAATGATAATGGTCGATGTCTATATTATACCCGGCCAAAAATAGCATAATTGAAATGAAAGCAGCCCTGTATTATCCCTATGAAAAGGGAAGGAGCGACAGGATCATACCTAATGATAGGAAAATAGGAAGGAGCGAGGTCGAGACCAAACTGGCAGGCACTCGGCGAACTGAACGTCTTCCATCTCTCCTTCCTCCAAGACTGCTGGTAATGCGACCTGAATGAGGAAAGACCAAACGATCGCAGGCAAAAATGGCAGGCACGCAGTGGAGCATATCCCGGGTCGCTCCTTCTGAAAACTAAAGTTCTCTCGACCGACTGTCATAGCAAATATCCATCGGACCTGGATCGCACCGACCCGTCGTCCCGCAGTCGGCTTTCGGCTGTCACTTCCCCGCGATTTGCAAAGGCGATCAACAGCCCGTACCAAAATGAATAAATGGCAAAAAGCCAATCAAAATGCATCAACCGCGAGTCGAACGCGGGTCCCAACCTTGGGAAGGTTGAATCATAACCGTTAGACCATTGATCCCTTGTTGTGGTGGTAGTACGAGCTAAGTTGATTGATGAGGGGTAGAAGTGGAGGCTAGCCTGTGACTTGGAGTAGGTGGCGGCGCCGCTCTAGGGCTTTTTTGCGATCGTGGCTCGCAAGGTGACGGGGTCTCAAATATGAGTGCGCTGGCTTCTATGCCTCGCTTCGGATATTCCTTTTGGAATATGTATGCGATGATTGTATACCTATTTGGGTTATCACGGATTTGGGCAGATGGAACGATTTAGTAGGAGTAGTAGTGTACTATATCACAGCAAACCTTAAGTATAGTCTTCGCCGTGCATCAATCTCAAAATCATATGTACCCTATCATCTATGTCTGGCAGTGTTGCATTGCCGGGCCGTTATGCCGCCAATAGATCTCGCATTCCTCTTTGTTATGAGCTCATCCGGGTGACGTGCACTCTCAATTATCGAGGCATACCGTCATTGCCGCTCGCCTGGCTGTTGCAGCAGACGCGAATGCCGAAATCGACGAGCCCGATTCGCCGGAAAGGGTAGCCAGGACGTGCAGATGCCACACTGAAACCATGGGACCAGCCACAGCCATTTTGGTGCAGCCGCATATGTGGAGTTGGGCTCGTTTCCCGGTTTTGGGGGGCGGCTGGCATGCTAGGGGGTTGTGCGGGCAATGGCAGTGAGGCAGGTCGTTTTGGACGGTTGGTAGTAGTCTGCTGGACTTTGGAGAGTTTGAGCGGGCTGAGCGGTAAACTATATCCAACGTCCGTAAGCAGCACGTACCACTCTGTCTATAGTGTCAGCCCTAAACTAGCAGAGTGCTACTCCTGGTCCACGGGGGTGGTACCTAGGTACAGACAAGAGTGCCTCAATACCGGGACGAACCCTCCAATCGGAGGGCATTGAACCTTCTCCCGCGTCCGCCAACAGACCCTGGCAGCAATAGCAACAGTAACAACATAACAGAGCTCCCCCTTGCTTCAAGGGTGACATCGAGGATCGCGATCGGCATGCATTGGCACCAGCCCTCGATTAGCCCACAGTGGCTGGTTCATCCATCTGGGTTCAGGCACGAAGAAAACCCAGGGCTAACAACCCGCCCACTATCCCTTGCTTGATGCAGAGATCAACTGCACGTTCAGGCCCTCAGTTGTGCTACACTATTCACCGTTACCGTTAGACTTGCCGAATAGCAGGTAAATAGTATACTGATCCTTCAGCGGTGATGCACTATCCGACCTGTCATGGTGACACAAAACTCTAACCACATCGAGTCAAGGTTGCGAGTTGAGAAGGCGGGGGCAGACGCCTCAAAAAAATGACACCAAAAGAAGACAAAGAAGGCCCTGTGCTTCATGCACGAGGGATGGGAGAGAAATAAGATTTGCGGGACCTTGGAAATTGCATGATTGCTCGAGTTGCTGGCATGTGGATGTGGATAAGTGAGCGGCCTTGGGTGGCACGGACTGGTTTTGAGCTTCGCTTCGAAAGAATTGCAAATAAAGACCTTGGGATAATAATACGTATGCCTAAAATGATCGACTCGGCATGTCGATCTGGCGATCTCGCGTCTCGTGTTCAAGCTTTGACTCTGCGAGCTCTATCTGAACAAAGAACCTGCCCCAAGCTCGGACGTCAGGGCCATGTGAAAGACAGCTGGAGTCGGCAGTTGGGCAGACCGACAGATCTCTATCACCGAGCTAGTACACCCATCTGACTCAACTCCTGTTCCCAACTCCACAGATCTCAAAACATCAGCGGAGAACCGTTGACTTGAAATCCGTACCTTACTTTTAAGTTTTCCTCCACTAGTACCAAGTGCACAAAAAGCTTCACCGCAAGTCTATTGCGGTGTTAGTGGAGCGCCAGTCCATGCCTGAGCACGGTCGACTCTACATGCATGCCAACACCACGCTTCTCTAGTATTAGGACCGCAGTCATTATGATGCTCAATTGCCATGACATTTGCAAATGTTGTAGTCTAGGACATGGTCACATAATCCATACTGGTACTGTACATAGAACATAGTTGCTCGCAACTGTAATGAATAACAAAGAATACCCAAACACCTTTCATGCATCGGCAATTATTTAGAAACTTGAGAGACTCTCCCAGTAATATGCTGTAATGCGCTGAAACCTGTTGACCCATGCAAAGCGCAAAAACTCGATCTGAAAACAAGCAGGGTATCAAAGAGTGCGTCTCTCGGCTGTAGAAGTGATATGGAAGGAAATTCAGAGAAAAAAAGAGAGGGGGAAGAGAGAGATCGTGTCTATCCTGCTGGGCCCCGTAAATCGTAATGTAGGTATGTATGTAGGTGCATGTCCCTTGCGGTGCGGTTCTAGAAAGGTTGAGCTGGCCGTATAATCCGAGTTCCTATTCCACCATGTTTCCTTCCAGTTGATTGGTCAGAGTCTCCGGTGAGGTGATGACTCGGAAGGTGTTTGCTCCATATCACTTAGAGGAGACTGTCGTTGCGGGTCCAGCTCACTCCCGTTGCGCATCTGATTCCGCAAGGCAGGCAGTTGGCGTCTCCGCGCATTGATGAACCAATTACTGATCTAAGCGCCAATTAACATCACGCGTAGTCATCCAGAATCATAGAAAGCTTACCTGACTGATTGTAAGACCTGTACGACTCATGAACATTTGCTTATCCTCCTCGCTAGGGTAAGGATGATCAAGATGCTCATGAAACCAGGCTCGGAGAGTGTCGGTGACAGGCTTTGGCAGGTTGCCACGCCTGCGCTTGTTCTTGGGATCAATAGGGTCTCCCAAAATCCCAAAGTTCGACTGCGGCGCGTGTGACAGTGCGTGCGAAGGGGCATGTTCCGGATCGCTTTGGTAAGCCATATGTTGATAAGGATATCCCATCTGAGGGTGCATAGGCGCGGTTCCATACGCGTCACCCCTTCTGTCCATCGGGCCAGTCAACGAAGCTGAAGTGTATCCATGAGGCCCGACAGACCTGGCGGCGAGCTCCGGTCGTGAAAGGTCCCTGGATTCCGTATAGACGCCCATTCCGCGCTCAGGATATGACTGCAAATCGCGGATTGGTGGAAGCATGGGGCTCGGGCGTGAAGTGTACCGGGGGGCCGCATCAGTGGCGCTTGGAACGTGCGCAGGGTTTCTTGGGTGAGGATCGGAGGCCCTTCCTAAGTAATCCCTGTGATCGAATGGCGTCTTAGAGGACGATGCATATGGAGGGCGGAAATTATTCGTCACATCGTGAGATGATGTCGGACGTTCGCGCGGTTGCCGAGAGGTGTAGTATGAAGTCGACTCAATCTCCTCGTGTAGGTGAGGCGGCAGCAGCTGCGAATGCGACGTCAGTATGTTTACTTCTTTTTTTCTCTTGCTTTCCGCCCCGTCCGGTTCACTCGTTGGGCTGACGGTCAGCGCTAAAAGATGGGGGTGTGTTGATTCCCTCCTACCTCGCGAAAAGACGGTAGCGCCTGGTTGTCAGCTGGAAGTCCGCTTGCATATGAGATGGCCATGTTTTGAGAACCCCCACTCCGGTCACGGTACTGGGACATAGACGACGGACACCGTAGCAACGAAAAGACAAGCCCGAATTTGTGGAACTAGGCCGGTGCAGTGTTGTGTTTGGCGTTGTTTGGTGCTAAGGTTGGAAGAGGATTCCACACAGAAGCCGTCCCGCGGCGTGTAGTACACAGAGTCAGCGTTGCCGTCCCACCCTGGAGGTATTATTAAATAGTAGTTGTTCGGCGTGCAGGAGACGAGTGATAGGGAGTCGCGATGGAGTAGTGTTGCTGAAGGAGAAGTATGAGGCGGATGGGAGGCGGATTAGAGGGTGGGGGAAGGTAGATTTAAAGAGGATAGAGGGAAAGAAGGGGCAGTATAAGGCACGAATAATGAGGAAGGGGATGTGGAGGAGGAGAGAGTAATAACCAGAATATCGTGAAGCAGGAGCTGAGTTTAAAAGTACCTGAGTCGAATCGAATTGACATTTGCCTGGCTTGATGACGATGATGGAGCAAGCTGAGTCCAACCAGGGAAAGGTTATGCAAGGAAATGGTCTCTTTCCGTTCCTTTTCTTTTCACAAATACAAGCAATCCTGCGCGGCGATTTGACTACATTATTCTTGCCTCTGCAAGTTCCACTTCTTTCTTGCCAGTTTCCATTCCTCTTCTCCTTCTACAGAGTGCTCTCCAGAGCCTGCAGAGCGCTGTCTAGAGTATTCAGGTATGACATGCAAGGGAAAAAAAAAAAAAAAAAAAGAGAGAGGGAAGATTGAGATTTGAAATTAGCAAGAGATTTTTGGAACGCTAAGACTCAATGCTCCCAAGACCGTCATCCGGACCCCGTAACTGAGCAGCAACCAGATCCATAATATTTAGCCTGCTGGAGAGTCCATTCTTGGAACACTTGCGAGCAGAAGGAACAGGGGGGGAGATCCGAGAGGGACAACCGACGATCGTACTAGTAAGTAGTGCGCAGTGGAGACTGTAGCCACAAGCTCCATTTATTCCCAAATGCTGTCAACAAGCGGGTGAGGGGAAACATTCATTTTCTTTTTTTTTCCCTTTTTTTCTCAGCCAAAAAAAAAGTGAGGGGAATCCTGCCTGAATGAGGATTATTTGATCATTATTAAAGTGAGTTTGATGAATCGGTTCCTTCCATCTGGGACGCCCGCGGTACCTTAAAGTTGCCCTTGACAGTCGCGCCAAGGCATCTTTACCTTCGCAAGTCATGGGACGGGGAGGCGATCTCAGGCGTCGCTGCAGGCCAGATGAACTGTTCATCGGGACAGACCTGTACAACATCCGCGCTGTCGATGGTCCTAACCGCGTCGCAGCAATAATGTCGTGTTCGACGCCCAGAGGGTTTCGCAGCAAGGTGCTGACCGAGGAACCATGGCTGCCACATTCTTCTGTTCGTCTCTTTTCTTTTTCGCCCGTCCGTTTTGGGAACCATGCATCGACAACTGTGGCTCCAGCTCGGACTTTTCTTGCACTGAAGAAACCCTTGTGACTGCATCTTGTTTCTTTTCCCTTTGCTAGCCCTCCTCGCCCTCAGCCTAGATTCGCCCCCAGCAGACGACAAAACAAAGCTGAAACTCTCGTCTTCTTTCTCAGACTCCCAGCGGGCGGCACTGTTGAATTCCGGAACCAAGCTAATATTCTTCTGGGACTGGCCCCCAGTCAACGACGCGACGAGCCAAGCTTGTCATCTAGTCAGCTCTTAATAATCCCTAACCCCCCTGGTCTCGAATGAGCTACTATTTCAAGGTTCCCAGTAATCCTGCGACATACCCCATATGGACTGTTCTATTCAAAACTTTTTTTCGCCACCCGACGGAGTCAGCCCCATCCAGGCCTTGTGGATTGTTAATTGTGTACGGAGTATGTATATCTGGAAGCCTCCCTGCGTTTAATCCAGATGAAAAGATCATGTTTTCCGCATGAATGGGTCGGAAACTGAAACACCAGTGGCCCTAGAAAGGTCGTACAAGGCAGCTGTATAGTTGTGCGATAGAAGGCACCTGTCGAGTGTCAATGTGCTTGCCAGAGCGGGGCTGCTGCTGGCAGGAGTATTTGAATTCCGGGTTGATGTTTCCAAGCGAATCAGGTCAAAGGTTAGGAGCGAGAATTGCAACAAGAAGCAAAGGGTCCAAACAAAGGCAGGGAGGGTGAGGCAGATCAGCGGCTTTGGGGTCCACGCCTCCACTTGTCGAAGTGAGAACATATCACTGCACACTTGCAAGCTTGAAGCCACAGAAATCATTCTGGCAGCAGACGGCGGCTGCAGAGGGAACTCCTCTTTTCACACTTGCAGCAGATTCCAATAATGAGAGCGCCGGCTCTCGAGTCCCGGGTGTGGATTCGAAAGACGGCAATGGCGCTGAAGCCGCTGCAAGGTGGCAGGTATCTATTATTCGTGAGATCCCCATCTTTGCCTAGGGGCTAGTCATTCATCATCGATCTTCGGGGCTCTGCTTCGAGGAAATGAAGGAGGCAAATCTCACTGAAGGAGGAGCTGGTTAGGTTGGTCTCGGATCTGGGGCCAAACTCGAGAAAATGAAATGGATTCCCAGGACGGGCGAATCCCGATCGTCTCCTCTCTCCACATCTCCTTGACATTGAATATGTGCCTCGCTTCTAAGGCTGCTGCATACTGCACGCCGGCGAGACAGTCCGGGAATCCTGTACACTTACTAGACCGTCTAGGAAAGATCCACGTCACTCCCTGCAGCTAAACAGTCTTCTTTAAGGCTTCGAGTCAAGGTTCGGAGAAATACTACAGAAATGCTCTAGCCTCTGGGACAGCGAGTCGGTCGGGACGGCGAGAGTCCGACGTGGGGTATAGTGGTAGTTGGTAGTACGTAGTAGAAGCCTTTTCTAGATACGTACAACGACGGCCGAAAATTTTGACTGTTCCACCCTGAGGCTGGCAGGTCGAAAAAGGCAACGACCGCGATAAGGCAAGACAGGCCAGTCCAGGACTCCAGGACCATTGGTGGGTTTTCAATCATATAACATGCAAGATCCATTTGCCCATGCATATGACATCTCAGCTTGTCAGCGAGGAGGCGGTGGCTGCTGGAAGAGAACTGTTAAACAACGGGCACTGTGGGAACAAAGTGCTGGTTCTCAATTGCTGCGCCTTGGGGACGACAGGGAGAGAAAACAGGGAAACGGAAATCGGAGAGTCGGATCCAGAAGGTGCATCACGAATTGGTTTTGGATGGCAGTGGATGGGGCGGTCAAGTGAATCATGAAAGAGAATCAGTGACACTCCTCCGGGGACTCGGGGTTGAGAATCTGGTTCCAAAGGCCGGGTCTGACTGAATTGACCCCAAACTTTGAGATCCAGCTTGTTACAAAGCATAACGAAGGAGCCACGAGCATGACAGCCCGGCCGAGTGTTCAATAACATGGCGGCGTCGAGCGCTATCTGATAGCGGCTTTGCGACGACCACGAGGGATCCCCAGAGTGGATCGTGTTGGCATTTCGCTCGACAAGTTCAAGGATCATAATAATTTCAGAAAGTCACAAGAATTTCATGATTATTTCGAGCGTGGCTGCGATCATGACTCGATCGAGGCGATGGCACGCTCCACTCTGTGGGACGATCGATAGCGGCCCATCACAGCCTCCAGCCTTCCGATGGGCCGGCTGCTTGGATCTCGACGATTTCTTGGACCTCCAACGCGGAGTTCGGACTCCTACAACAACAATAACGCCAGACAAGGTTCAAAGAGAACAAAGACTGTCCGGAGCGCTCCGTCCACTTTCTGCTCTCCGAAAACCTTCGCAAGTCTGGCCGATGCTACCAGCCTCTGGTCTCGTATCTTTGGGAGCGCCATAATTGGAAATCGAACCGCGTCGTTACCGGCGGTGGATGATGGCAGACAGAAGGATCAAACTTTGTTTTTGGAGAATTCAACGAATTCTTCGCTCCAGCAAAGCCGGCATTGGCATCCTTGATGGCCTCTCGCGTGCCCGCTAAACGAGACAAATCCTCGTGGCCCCATGATCCGCACCAAGTGATTCGCCCGCGTACCCAGCCTAATTTTTTTGACAGACTCCATTGAGCCACCCTCCTGTCACTGGGGACGAACCACTCTGCTCTCTGGTAGCCAATCTCCCGACCCAGGGCGCTGGACCGATCTCAGCTCCGAGCCACAAAGATGAAGTGGCGAGTTCTCCTCTCAAGGGCAAGATCGAGCGCGTATCGGTGCGTACTCAAGGCCACTTTCTTCATATGACGATTAACGATGGTAGGATTGGCGTTTAGCGCCCTTAGCCTCAGTTACCCACAGCGTGCGCCGAAATCACAGACTCTCCATCCTCGGATAGCACCTCCGTGCGCTCAAGAAATGGCGACAGGGGAACCCACTACTGTAACATTATTGCATCCGACTTTCAAGCCACCGGGGGATGACGTTCTGGTCTGACACGTCCTGACACTTCCCTGACAGGCTGTCACTGACACTGACAGGGGTGTGCGGGATACCCCCATCAGGCCGGTCCTGTCATTTGACTGCCCCTTTGCTTTTTCTTGACCTCCGCTCCTCGATTTTGGGGGGAAATATCGCCAGAATGAAGAATCCAGATGGCAGAGATAGCCTTTTGCCAGATCCCAGATCGTGCAGAGTGCAGGGATGCAGCCAGGGCGGCGATCGATGCCGAAGTGCTGCAGCAAATCACGGCGGGCGCCGGCCTGTCTTTTTTTTCACAACAAATGCTGAGAGAAGCCTAAGCAAACCTTGTCCCAGGGGTTCGTCTGAATTGGCCAATTTCTGGTCTCTCTGCCACCACTTATTGGCTAGCCCTCTGCAGATCTCGCCTGCCTCGGTCTTTGAGCAAGCTTGCGACTTCCACATCGGGCGCACTACTGCGAACTGCTGCAAGCCTGCACCATCGTGACTCTGACTCAAGCTCTTGTCGGATGCAGCCCGTAATTTGTCATTCCTATCATTCTTCTGCTGCAGTGCCAGCCCCAGCGCCCGTTGTCCAATCTCCCCTTCTGGTGATGCTCCGGACTTACATCGAGGACTCTGAAAGCCACGGTATTGAGGCGCTGACATCATTGGTCCTCCCCAGCAGAAGGATCAATCTTAGCCTCCCAACCACGAGTTTCGATTGCTTGACAGATTAATGCTCAAATTAAATTCTCCGAGGTTTTGCCCGCTTTAGCTGTCCACGTCTCTTTCCTGAACGAGACTGGCTCCTCAATAGTTTGGCGTTCTATTTGCATTGCATCCCTAGCTCCACGACCCAACGCCAGCCAACCAGATGGGAAACCAGCGGGCTTACCCCCGCTTGACCAGAACAATGGATGATGGCAGCTGTGGATTGCATGTCTTGAAATTATCTGACAGATATCGAAAAATAGATGAATCATCATGCAGTCCCAGCCAGATTCCTTGTTTTCAGAGCCCCCTTGAAGAACGGAGAGACTCCGTCGGCATGCGCACGGATGATCGACGGCCGATAATTTACCCTGCAGCAGTTCATCTTCGGTTCTGGGTGGGCTCAGAATTCGAACCTGGAGCTCGGGTCCGTCCACTTTCCTAGAACAGATATGACGGCCGTTGTCGAGTTCTTCACAGAAGTAATAGTCTTGTTGTGGCTTCTCGGTTCTCCAAGCTCGGCATAGTAGTGGCACATTATTGGATCCTAAAGGGGTGCGCCGGTAGAGAGGGCCACGTTGTTCCAGGAAACCAGGGCATCACTCAAGTTCGAGAAAGTTCTTGGGAGCAATTATTTCATCGGCATTTGAGTCTCACCGTCCCTCAGCAGCGGCGGATTGTGCACCTTCCTGTTTGGGCATACTTGGCCTGACCCGTTGTTTGTCCTTGAGCTTCGCACTTGGCGTTCCACGGATGCTCCCTTGGATCCTCATGTTACCAGAGTTCCCTTCCGACAACCATCCCTTCCGGTCTTTTCTCGAACGTAGGCCTCCCTGGATCGATCCTGGCCAACTCCGTGATATTTCTTTGGCCTCCTAGCATACGGAGATGAAGTGACAGGAACTTCCATTTGGAAAGATATGGAAATCTCGTTTGTGTTGATAGACACAAAGATCATCAGTGATGAAGAACGACGACTGAGATTTGAGCCGCAACGACCACAGCCACGTGTTTTGATTCAGGGTAATAATGGTGCGAGACTACCCGTTGATTTTGACTGTGGGTGTCTAAAAAGTGACTTCTAGAATTCATCATGGGGCTCGTACAAGGGAGTCTCCCTCAAGTTTTAACCACGTCTGGGTCACCTCAACGGTGTCCAGTTTGTCCCTGCAGCTAGTTTGACCTCGCCTGCTCGTTTCCCAACCAGCCTACTCCAGAATTCTGCCGTGCCATCCGGGACGAGTTCCTCCACCTCCAGCGATACCAGAGCATCAACAATCCACTCCTGACACCTCCTCTTCCCGTCGCGAGGCGCGGCTTCTGCTCGGATTATGCTCACGACTCGCCGTCGTTGATCTGCCGTTAGATCGACTATTTTGGCCATGCCTTCGGCCTGCATGGTAGCTAGATCTATGCCTTCGCGAGCGTCAAACTGATACCATAATCGCTCCAAATCGATCACTTGCACATGGAGAAGGTCGCCGAATGAAGCGCCGGACTCGCGGATCGCAAAGCCCCAATGAGATCGACTTTTGGCGCTCAGGCCGGGCCCGCATACTTCGATCAAGAGCTCATAAGCCATGGTAGAATGATGCTGTTGGCGAGTATTCTAACGTCTCGGCGTTAGACTGAGACGAGCGGCCTCTCTGCCGGCCGGGTGGGTATCTTTAGGACTGACCTTATGAGCGATAGTGCTCAGTAAAACTGCAGCGACCGGATGGTGGTCTTTGGTGTTCAGATCTGTAAAGCGACGATCCCCGCGTCTAGTGCCGACACGTGCTTTCTTTCGAGCTCATACGCGGGGTCCATGACTATTTGAAATAGGCACCTTCATTGACATTGAATGCGCTGGCGCTAAATAAGCGCCACGCCTTCGACAGTAGATTTGAGCGCGAGAGCTCATTGGACAGCGACATCCCATTTTTAATAATAGTATTCGGTTGGATTCGGAAAATATCGAAAATCAAATTCTGGCTTGGACACAAGAAACAGAAGGGTTTGCTGACGGTGCATTACCAAAGCTTTGTCCCTGTCTTTATCACAAATAGATACACAAGTCTCAAGTGTTGAAGATATATATTAGTGCCTGGACCAAAACAACAAACGCACGAATAGTATCTTAGGAAATACCTCCGATGTCCTCAACGATGTCCAAGATCATAAACCTATTCTCTCACTGGCAAATCCCACTTCCCTCCAGACCCGCGTTCGGATACAGGACACGGGGTAAACCACCTTTCATAGGTACAGGCACAGACCCGTCCGAGTCTACAGTGAGACTCGTGCACGAGTAGATCTCTGTCAACTCAAGACCTGCCTCGTATCCCGTGTTCGGAAGAGAGAGGGTGTATGAAGATCCGTCGGCGCCGGCATTGGTGAGGACGGTGATGATTTGCGTCCCGTCGTAGCCCTTGCGCATGGCGATGGTCGAGTCGTCTTGGTAGATGGGCCAATTCTATCGCCGAGATGAAGTTATTATGAGCCCGTCACTGGTGTTGTTTCTGATTTGAAAGAAAAAAAGTTGCTGTGCAAAGGTCGGGCGGCCTACCATATAAGTCAGGTACCCCTCGTCCTGCCCGATGGCATGCGTACGGATGGCGTTTGATGCCGCGACGAGCTTGTATAGCTCACTCTCGGTCGAATAGCCCGAGAGCCAGGTCACTTCGCGATTGTAAGGGTCGCTGCCGCCGGAATAGTGCTGCTCCTGGCCGGCGTAGATCATGGGGATCCCGTCGGAGAGGATGAGAAAGGCGGCGACGTTTTTGGCGAGGGACATATCGTTGGTGTACCTAATTTACTCAACACGTGTTTTTGATTGGGTATAAGGAGAATGCTTACGATGCGAATCGGGGGTTATCGTGGTTTTCAATGAAGTTGCCGAGCAGGGTTGAGTCGGCGCACGTGTACTTGACCGTTTCAATCATGTTATAGAGATCGCTTATGCTGCCCGATGGCGATTTGAAAGCCCTTAGAAGCGGGTAGTAGCTTTTTTTTTGACAGTTAGCAGGATGCCTAACAGCGAAAGAAGGGGGGAAGAGGGTACATCGGGTAGTTGAGCACGCCGTCGAGGTGATTTTGGTACGGGCAGGTGTATTCTGGGTCGCCATCGAAGATTTCGCCAACGCAGTAGACGCCAGCTGCGTCGTTGAAGCCGTCCCAGAATTCCTTCTGGACGTGCTTTGCGGTATCAACGCGGAGGCCGTCGACTGTTCGATGTGAGCTTGCAGAATTGACGAAGAGGAGGGCGTCTTACTGGTGTAGTTTAATACCAAGGATTCAATCCAGTCATACCAGTAATCTTGAACGTCGGTCTGGGTGGTGTCGAGATCAGGAAGCGGGACTGAGTTGTCACCAAGCCAGCATGCCTCAACCTGTGCCTGGTCCTCATAGTTCTGGATGAAGCAGGGCGAGTGGAAGTACTTCTGTGAGTTGAACGGGCTGAAGACGCTATAATCGACAGAGTCAGGAGCTCCGTTGTAGCCCTACATGACGGTCAGCTGCGCGTCGCGTAGGCATAGAGTTCAGTGTCACCCACCATATGGTTAGCAACCACATCGACCATCAAATACATGCCTCGGTCATGCAGAGCGTCGGCGAGAGCCTTGAGGTCGGCCTCCGTTCCGTAGTTGGAGTTGAGGGCGTATCTGGTGCCGGTGAGTTTCCATCCTCCTCTGAAAACGAAGAAGACCTACATGTCCTGCTGCCAGTAACCATGGTAGGCTTGTCCGAATGGACTGTATTGCTCAAGCTGAGCAGTCACAGGTGTTATCCAGATCGCCGTGAATCCCATCCCCTGGATATAGTCCAGCTGTTCTCGTAAGTCTTGGTCCAGTAGGAACGAACGGATGCCATCTACCTGGTTGATAATCCCCCTCCATGTGCCACCGCAGTATTGCTACACTCGTTAGCGCCGCGTCAATTGATTGTTGGAATGATTGCGAAGGCTTACCCTGACGCTGGTATCGCACTCAGCAGTTGTCGAATTGTCTGTACGGGCGAACCGATCGGTGAGTAAAAAGTATACAGACTGCGAGCGCCATTGCGCAGGAGTGGCCGCAAGGGCGGCGGCCGCGAGGGAGAGAAGAAAGGCCGATTTCATCCTGGTCTGAGCCCTGCTCCGGCATCTGGCATGGCTGGGCCATGACGCCGGTATTTGTATCCATTTCTCTTCAGGCCTGATTCTGCATGCTGCGATTAACCTCCAGTGATTGCCGACTCTGGCCTCTGTTGCCTGTCGGAGTGGCCGACGCCGTATGCGGAGATTGTCAGGGGTGGGCTGTGGATCAGCAGGAGATCCTTGCAGAGCGATCAACCAATGCTCATTGGCCTTGTCAGTAGGGGGTATGAATCGTGGCAGCGATTGCTCCAAATGCCGTTGCATTCTACATAAAGAGTACCACTGATGCCACTGGCGGACTACTTGATTAAACGAATCTCAGCCCAGCCATTCACACCCCAGATCACTGCCATCCTCCATCACCACCTGAGTGTCCAATCTGGCCCCCAAGCTCCGTCTGCAAATCTCTCCAGCCCCGTTACAAACAGGACCTGCGACACAGCGTCATAGCGAGCTGGCACCTGCTGTCCGTCCAGAGTTACTGATGACGGCTCGTTAGGGACACCTAAAATGGTTACATTTGCCAAGGGATTGGTTTCCTTCCAATCGCCTCTCGCCGAGACGCTTAGCCGCGAACCAGACACTTTGAAATCTACTTCAAGCGTGGCGGGAGGGCTGATACTCTCTCCATCATCGAGGTACAGCTGTCCCGACGCTGTACCATCAACGCTCAGAGCCGCCAACAAGGCCCAGGGTGTCTGACGAGCATTCCTGACGGTCAATGCTACTCCTTGCATAGGAAGGACGCTACCTCCCCGAATATAGACTGGAATATGGCCTAAAGGAGCCGCAATTGTCATGTTCACTCCGGGCGCTGCGTCGACTGCGGTCTGCGTATACCAGTCGTACCAAACCTGGCCTTGCACTACGCCAGGGAAAACACCGCGAACAGTATCGACGTGGGGCTCGAGAACCGGAACAACCATGATTGACGGTCCAACAAGGAATTGAGTGTCCACAGCCGCTAAAGCTGGCTCACTCGGAAATTCCCAGGCAAGTGCTCGCAACACGGTGGAACCATCAGTATGCGCATTGTTCATCAAAGTGTAGAAGTACGGTAATAAGGCGTATCGAATGTTCATTGCCGTCTTGGTTGCATCAATCACCGACGCCCAGCGGTATGGTTCCTGAGAGATCGCCCCAATCTGGTTGTGATTCCGATAGAAACTGAAGAACGCGCTCAACTGCATCCAGCGGTTACAAAGTTCCTCATCGGTATTGCCACTAAACCCGCATGTGTCGACTCCAAACATGGGTATACCGAAGAGAGAGAACTGCAGAGCTTGGGAGATCGAGAAGTACATAGACCACCATCTGGAATGGTTGTCACCACCCCAGTGACCTGCCCATCTCCCAGATCCTGCAAAAGTCGAGCGGGCGATAATAAACGGACGTTTCTCGGGGTGGATTTGCCTCAACCCCTGGTAGGTCGCACGTATGCCCATGTGCCCGTAGAGGCTGTGGACATCATATTCCTCATAACCATCTACGTGCGTCGCGTTTGGCGAAACAGCATGAACAGCAAGATCATGGCCAGCGTGGACATGATTAATCACATACGGTGGATGGTTGACATTGCGGACCCCGGGCGTGGGTGTTGTACGCAGGTATGAGGTGGTGGTAGACGGTGTTGGGCTCTCTGTTGCCGACGCCTGGCTGACGGATGCTGCAGAAGCGGAAGCTGCTTCGGTTGCGTTGCTCACTTCGAACCCCTCGGGGTACTCGTACACTCTGTTTTGCGGACTCCCAGGTAATTCAAAGGGCGGATGAACAGGATTCAATGCTCGGTATTCAGACCCACAACTTCCCACACAGAAAGACGAGACTTCGCCCATGTCATACCAGACTCCGTCGAAGTCCACATTCTCATGCCAGAGCACAAGTTCGTTGGCCCAAAAATCAGCCGCCTTCGGATGATGCCAGTCTGGGTAGACAGTATACCCAGGCCAGACCGCTCCCACGTAAAGGCTGCCGTCTGGGTTTTTGATGTAGAGGTCGTCCGCAGCTCCTCGAGTGTAGGTATCATACCTGCTAGCGAATCAGCTAAACCCCAAGGATTTATGGCTATGCGTGAAAGGGACTTACACATCAGAAGCATCCTCTGGGTTTGGGATGTATAGAGCCGCGTCAACAATGGGCACGAAGTGACGCCCACCTGTGTGGAGTTGGTCAAGGAAGACTTTTGTGTCATTGTATGAAAATCGGCGCTGGTCATTAGTAAAGTCTCGGTAACCATGCATATAGTCTATGTCGGCCCTGAGTAAACGTCAGTCAGGGTAACTACGATCTATGATAGACATCCAATGAGGTACGTACCACAGGTATTCCAGAGGGATTTCAAATTTCTCAAAGTTTGCAAGCACATCCGCAAATTCCGACCAGTTATTGTATCCCCAGCGACACTGATGGAAGCCGAGAGAATGGTACGGAACCATGGCTGGAAGACTGCATCAGATTGTCTTGTTAGCATAAGAACGAGATCATGAACGAGGTAATACCAAACGGGAAGACAAGGGAGCAGTACCCAACTGTGCTGCGTTGATACTGCTTCGTGACGTCTAAAGCAGTTGGACCGGAGTAGAAAGTGAGGTCAATACTTCCTCCTATCGTTCGCCAAGTCAAGCCCCGTGGGTTCATAACCACCTCCTGGCCATGAGCATTCCTCAGGAACACCCCATGTGAATAAGATCTATACTCTTGTGTAGAATTAGCCTCACTGACTTTGGCATAGGTATGCTCGCCAGTCAGTTCATCGACTATATGGTATCGTGTGTCGAGATAGAATGCATGGTGTCCGTAGATATTCCTAAAGAACATGCGACAGATTAGCTTCAACTTTTGACCCAAACAGATAGCAGGCATGACGTATGAAAACACACCAATCAATTGGATCGCCAATGTCTGCCGCATAGGTAGTAAGGGTAGCGTTTCTTAGGAGTCGCAGTTGATTGATGCGCTCCCCCAGCCCGTACAGGTTATATTCCTCTGGTAAAGAGGTCACGAACTCGATAAACTGATCCTCAAATACTAGCACCGAGCCTGCAGTGTCGAAAAGTACCTCACCTGTAGCTCTGCGGGCCACCTGGAAGTTGAAACTGGGCTCGTTTGACCTAAATACAGCCTGTTAGTCACTCTTGACCAGAATAGTCTGTACCTCTCAAGGAAAGGGCAGAGGACCATGTCACCGAAAAGTCGCTCGAATCGGAGGAACCGGGAACCGCGGTTGGGCGGGGTACCAATTCCTCTGGGAGTATAAACCACGACGAATTCGAAGCATCCACATAGGTAGGCAGAATTTGTATATTCAAGCGGTCGGTGTCCTGGAATTGCACCTACGAAAAGCATTCTTAGTCCGGCGATTATGCAGATACACATTTGTTGAACCACATCATGGAGGGCATACTTCAAGCGTCAATGACCCGACATCTGTCCCATAGACATTGCAGGGTTCTCCAGCCAGCTCCAAGCTCGCAGTGAAGCCGCTGGAAGTGCGGAGCACATTGGACGTTTTATATCCGGGACAGACGGACTGTACATTCACGGCTTCCGGGTCGTCGATGTTGGCGATAAGTGTGGCCCCAACATCAATCAAACGAACATTCGCATCAGCGGTTTCCTGATTCCATTGGGCCGCTGTAGTCACGGCCGCGTCTGCTGGCAGGGGTCGTAAGGGATCCTGGAGAATCTGAGCCGCCCCAAAAGCCACGGCTAGAAGCGTTGCCCCAGTGGAAAAGTGGGTGAAGCCGGCCATATCGGGACGAAAAGAGGTCCACAAATCCAATCGTATATAGGTTTACCAACAATCGACAATTATGGCCTGGGCCTTCTATTTATCTTGTGAAAGTGTTTGTATCAACAAACAAGTCATCTGCCCTTTCATTAACGCTGTGGCACCTCCCTAGGGATGGAAGGCTGAAAGCACTAAAGATTATCCGTCGAGTCTTTGAGACGCAAGGGGAACCTCGTCTGAGAGACTCACTGCAGTAGCATGGGATGTTTGGGGCCTGATGCGGGGTGAGGGGGCCGAGGCAGGTCTGGGCTCCGCACCACAAACATTCATGCGAAGAGGGACGATCCTCTGATGATGATTGGCCACTTCTCCGATAAAAGACCGCTGAAGCAAACATAAAGACTCAAGTGGTACTCCATAATGGTGGCCAAATCAATGGAAGTGCTAGAAATGAATGCATGGAGATGACCTGAGAATGTATTCACTAATCTGCTGATGACGACGGAGGCCGGTCAAGGCAAGCGCCAAGCGGAGAAGAGACTGAGGACTAATCACATGACCAGACGGCTCCTTCCATGACACTCAAACCCAGAGCCCAGTCACCTCCGGTGCTACTAACCTTGAAAAGTTACCGGTGAAGCCGATCCCGGATTGAACGAGAATCAAATCCAATTTCCTCAGTTTGGTCACAAATGAAACTCCAATCTGTTGATTGTTGCACTGTCTCCGACGCCTGCTATCTCATCCACTTCGGCTTCACCAACGCGAGCTCGGTGTTCAGAGGTGAGTCCCATACGTTGTGAAGTTATGGCTTGTCTGAGCAAGCAGGCCGGTCTGCTGGACCTCGAAGTTCGCCGTCAGTATTGCGGAGAACTAACATTCTCCATAGAGCCGCGACTCCGCGAGCGGAGTAGATACGCGACTGGCGCCTGCGGCCTGCAGGCTGCAGGCCATAGTCAACCAAAGCACACTAACAGACCAGAGCAAAGTGGCCTTGAAGATCCGGGATTGGTTCGCAGCAACTATCTCCATCGGATTTCCTGCCTCGTTGGAGTCTGCTGTCCTTCGGCTTCCCGATATGCAATCCTTCCAAGCGACGACCTCCTCTCAATCCTCCAGGATTGTGGTCCAAACTACTTACTTCCTTAGGAGCATACCACCCCCGCCGAGTCGCAGCCACTCACACGGCAGGATTCCTGTAGCCGATGTCAACGGCTCTTGGATGGTTGCGGCTAGCAGCCCTGATGCAGGGGAAGACTTCCAGAAAATAACGCATTCTCTTAAGAAGCGTCATCCCGGGCAAGATCCTTGGATCCAGGAACTCTGCACTCCGGTGGTTCGCTCGGGCCCCTTTACACTCACTTCGCTCGTCGACCGGGCGCGCGAGTCGCCAGAGCTTCTTCGGTCCGGCATGTAAGATTCGTCAAGCTAGACTAACTCAAATGAGCATTAGGTCTGCCGTTAAGCCATGGCTAGTAATGAGCATATGAAGACTCGAAAGTCGAAAGAAACAGACGATGGTGTAACGCGGGGCCTGGGAACTGACTGTAGCTGCAGACAGCGGAGTTTAGTGCGACTCCATACAGAACAACTCCTTTATCTTTGGCCTCATCCCCGCCTCGGCTTCCCCAGATTTTTCCAATTTTGCCGTTTCCTCTTCTTGGTGCCTCTAGCATTCATGACTCTTGTTGTTCTGTCTCACCATGGGCTCCTTGGATTAGGAATCTCTCCGCAACTGACTAGCAACCGCCTTCCACTCCGTCGATCCGGCTGTCTTGGGAAACATGGATTCGGGCTCGCCCTCCCCGAAGCAAAAGGCCTTCAAACAGGCCTGCGATCATTGTAGGAGGAGAAAAATCAAGTGTGACAGGGTAATTTCTGTCCTGAGCCTTTCTTGCTATGTGACAAATCTGACTCCTCAAGATGCTGCCGTGTGACAAGTGCCAGCGACTGCTTCTCTCATGCTCTTACAAAGACCTTCTCAGGCGGAAAGGCCCCAAGTTTCGAACGATCTTTCCCCTGGCTCCCATCCACCCATTAGCGGCGCGACAGGGACAGCTCCTTCAGTGCGACCCGCAGCAATACTCTACAGACCGAGGATGGCTCACCGATACGAAAAGCTACAACTCCCCGCCCTTCACGGTGGAAGAGCCTCAATATCTAGCCCCAGATCTCCCAGACTCGTTTAGCCGGCTGCCACCCCCCGAACTCGTCTCTTCCCCCGGTTCCACAAATTCTTATTCCGACTCGCCTGCAGGGGCCACGCTGCCTTGTCCGCGCATTTTGACTCCTCCTGTGCTTCTTGCCCACGTTAACGTCTACTTGAAGTACATGTTTCCCATTATGCCTGTAGTCCGAAGGGAAGAACTTCAACAGGACTGCCACCACCCACAACGCTTGTCTCCACAACGATACGCCTTTCTAGCCTGTCTTTGCGCAGCAACACATATCCAGCTGAAGTTAGACGGAACAACTTCCGTATCTGACACCTCTCACATGCACACAGGCGTTGATGGGAGCTCATTGATGTCGGGGGAAGAGCTTCTTACAGAGGCCGTGCGCGCAAGAAAAGAATGTGATCCGATCGAAGACATGAATGTGGAAAGTCTTTTAACCTCATTCTTTCTCTTTGCGGCCTACGGCAATCTGGATCGCCAGGATTATGCATGGTTTTACCTGTGCCAGGCGACTTCAATGATATTCACGCTAGGGCTTCATCGCGAGTCGACGTACTCCGAGATGACCAGAGACGAAGCAGAGGACAGGCGAAGGATTTTTTGGCTATTATTTATCACCGAAAGGTAGAAAACTGGCTGGAACTGCTATCGCTCCCTTTTGATAGACTGATTATGCTGACATCACTTCAGGGGTTACGCCTTGCAGCAGGCCAAGCCGGTGATGCTCCGCAACTCCATCCACAAACCGCAGGTTCTCTGCTCCGACGACCCTATCCTCGCCTACGGTTTTATCAACCTGATTGGTATCTTTGAGAATCTCAGTCCGACCCTGTATGATTGGGTTTCGGCAGGAGGAAAGAGGCACGAATCGCTGGAAATGCCGCCTACATCTGCCATTCAAACCAGCCTCAGCAAGCCGATATCCCTTGATGGTGTTTTGGAAATCCAAAGGATCGACATCCTAATCACTCAACAATGGCTACAGGCAATGATGTGGAAGCTCTCCATCACTCGCGCTTCGCAGCCGGGCTCTAGGAATGAGACTGTCCTACCATTTCATCTCCCAGTGTTAGTGGGCAAGGCAGCCATGTCCGTCTTAGCAGACGCGTCTGCGAGCGCTATAGATGCGCACGGGATTGGTATGGAGCAAAAACTATTCGACCTCGGAGTATCCGTAGCAGACGTATCCCGCTCCCTCTCAACAACGGCCTCCCATAGCCTGGCAGAGTCCATCATCGAGCCGCGCGAATTACTGTGGGGCATCCTCAGCACGCTCTCCCGAATTCGGGGCTCCCAATCCTACCTCTTCCCATCGCTCCTCGAGCGCTCAAAGGCCGTTCTAGGCTTCGATTTTTCACTGACCATGGGCAATTACCTTCCTCCGCTCCCTCCCTCCATCTCATCTGAACACGCCCCGTCATGGGCTGCATCAGAAGACTCCCATCCAAGGGCGGCCAGCAATACATGGGACGTTGTCTCTCTGGCTGATGACCTTGGTGATAGCGCTGACACTGTGGAGTCGGTGTCTGGAATGCTGCCGCCGACGTCTATACCTGCGGACCTTACCTTCCAACCCCGGAGCCTGTTGCCATAATGCAATCTTCTTTACTTCTGTTATGATTCATTGTTACTGCTATATATGCATATACGCATACTGTGATGACATGCTGATATATGACAGATGATCTGCCCGCTCCAGATCTCTATCTCTTTCCTGAAGTGCACATATAATGAGGATCCCTTGGGATATAGGATTTACCGGCGTTTTCATGTACCTAGTTTCTTCTCATCCCACCTCTTTCAGTTCCGTTGATATTGACATGATTATCCGAAACGAACGACATATGATACCATAAACTCCCGATTCATATCTACTCGCACCACAAATACACTAGAACAATTAAACGGCTTGAAGCACATTATATTAGCATGTTCATCTGGTACACTAGAAACACCAATTTGCAATACGCCATGTCTTGGTAGATGAATATCAAAGGGGATTCGACACCCCTCAAAGATCGGACAAGTTCACTACATAGTGGATTCATACCCTTTCCCGGAAGTGGAATGATGCTTCTCCTCATGGACCAGAACAGAATCTACACACCTTACGCGTGTTTCAACCACTTGACCAGTTGGGATTAGAATCATATCCTAGTCACTTCCGGAGTATACAAACGCCACCTGGGCTCATAATGATAACGTATTAATCGATATCCTGCACCAGCGAAAGCCACATTTTGCTCCCCTCTTGCCTTCTCACTTCGTTTGTCATGCTATTCCAATTCCCAATCCGATGAGGCCTACGGCTTCATGGGTCGGCCAGCTGTGTTAAAGAGACTTCTCAAAGGTCGAAAGTGTAGAAGTATCGTTGATTAGCTAACTATCTGCCGAAAGAATAAGGAGGCTCTCAATAGTAGCCAGAAGCTTGAGTGGCACGCCAATCAGGAGGTGAACGGAGACCATTGCGCTCAAGTATCGACCGCCCTGTGCAGTTAACTAGCGGTGGACATAAATATACAGGAGAATCAGAAAGGATGATGAGATAGTAAATGTGGTATCATCAAGACGTAGGATCGAAACTCATTATCTAAGGGGGTGCCGTGGAAAAAGAACTCTCGTGGGAGTTGCGAAAGTCTGTAGTCTATAGATGGTTCCCAGTATGCAAGATCTGTGGCGTGCGTTATGTGGCGGTTTGGTCGCAAACAGTGGTATCGACAGAAGTAGAAAGGGTATTAAAAATAGATCGAAAGTTTGGCACGCTGAATGTAAAGCACTATTGCTTTCGCCAGATCAATTCCATGATCTGGTCGCCCTTGTCCGAATCGCGATGGACATACCACTGTCGAACACTGTCCTCGTCGACTACCGAGTCCACCATGAGATAGGCAATCTTGCCCTCGTCCTTTTCACGGAGGGGACCAAGTTCATGCATGAAGGCTTCGCGGGAAGCGTGGTGGTCGCCATCCCAGGTGAGCTCCATTGATGTGTCTTCAGTGCTGATCTCCGTGCTATATTTTGATATTGAAAAGCCGTTGGTCAAGGTCCAACCGTCCGCAAACCGCCACTTTCCGAGCAGACAGGTCTCGCCACAGATTTCGCTGACCTTGCTCAGTTTTGCCATGTCGGCATGGAACCAGGACTTCCAGTGATGCACCGACAGAGGCAGAGGCCTGATAGCCTCAAAGAATCCAGTGGCGTCGCCTCTAAAGTCGAGCTGTCGCAATCGATGGTCGATAGTTAGGTGTGCGTTTGAATATTGGTAAACGCAGAGCGAGATTCTTCGATCGCCTGTGTACTCTGATTGTTGGCAGGCCTCAAAGACTTCGGGTTTGCTCAACTGCTCAACGAGAGGGCGGGACAAGAAGACGCCGGCGCCTCCAAATCCCATGAGCCCAAACAGACCGATCTGTGCAACACTTTCTGATACCCCGCCAACGTACATCTGTTGTGTATGGTCGTACTTTTCGAAGGCTTCGATCAAAGCCGACATGGAAGGGAAGAAAGTATCGTCATCGATGATACAAGACCATCGTGTCTCTTCGCGCAAGTTCTCAGCCAAATGCGATATCAGGCCAAAATACCGTGTTTGATATTCGTCGTCGGATTCTGTCACGAACAGATTGACCCCAAGTTTTTCAGCCTTGGCTAGGACTTCAGGTATCCGCTCATCCGGCTCGACCAATGCGAATATGCGGGTTCGTGTGTGGCCTGCCCAGTGGACAAAAGCATCCAAAGATTCGCTCAGCCTGTCAACTTTTGTGGCGACGCCGAAATCGAAGTGCGAGGCATCAACATGTACGGGAGGCGGCGACACTTCCAGCGAAATCGAGGTCGGAATTGAGCAGTCGTCCTGTAAAATCCCCGAATAATTGCGGTCTTTTGCGCGAATAAACTCCCTGTCGAACAGGGGGGTATCGAGAGTTTGGATTAAGGGCACCTTGCCAGAGGACGGCACCGCTGCTACTTCCCGTCGGACATACTGGGAGACCTTCTTGATACCGAGTCGCTCTAAGATGTCAAATTCGGGTTCGCAACCAACATGGGCAGTAATTGTGATGTTCTCTGATGCAATAGCTTGGACGATCTTCTGCTTCTGTTCACTCGCATGATGGGTAAGGTGCGGGCCGACGAAGACGAAGAATGTTCCCACCACGCAGGCGGCGGCGATAAAGCGAGCGACCTTCTTCTTTGATACCCAGGAGGAGTTTATCGGGGACCGATCCCGGAGGCTGAATTTTGTGGACATAGCTTTGAGAAAAGGAATCGTATCGAGGTTGAGGGTTAAAATGCGACAATAAATGCGGCACTAGCGCACTCGCATCGCGATCAGTCAACGCGCTCAATTCGCAACGGTGCTTGGTGAAGATGGGGTGCGGAGGGTGAAAGAATTTCAAGTAGGTAATGACGGGCGAGAGGAGAGATATTCTAACTATTATGCAAAGAAATACGACATCGTAATTATTAAGAGCGAGGGACAAGAAGGCTAAAGTAGATGAAGAGGGAGTCGGTTGGGGGGCCAAAGACAAAAAGAGACCCAGAGGGACCTGCCCGCCGAGAGTCCAGACTACGAATTAGACGTGATGCGAGCCAGAGGGATAGGGGGGGTTCCATGGACATGATCCACTCGATGGAGTACTTTGTGTTGCTTTTCCCTGGGCTGGGATTTTCCCGACCTTTCGAGCCGCGCGTAAGACTCTTAATCCTCGCCTATAGGCTATCTGAGTTTTTGACACCACTGGTCCAGCTGCCGGTTTCTCCCATATTACTATTTTCCGGTGCTGTCACCGCAGACCCTCATCAGCCTTACTCGACCAAGCCTTCGTGCAACCCTCCAAATCAAGAGTGACCCCAGGCAAGACGAGGTTGGCTCTTGACGATGACGCGTATTGGGCGTAGATCCTGTCGGAGGTCGGCTGGTCGCGATCCACCCCCTCTTGGCAAAGTGAACAGATGCCACAAAATCACGACCATCTGATGCTGCTGTTCAAGAGTGCGGTCTATCTATATCTTAGATTGGGATTATCTTGTGTTCAGCCTTATTCTTTACATTGCGTCTGCCAGTACGATACGACTCCATGTGGCCCTTAGACGAAGCCCTGGTACTTGTAGAGGTGTCTTCGACAGGCAAGTGGTCACACGCCTGAGAAGCTTGGGGACTGCAAGCACATGAGCGACGGTCCGGGCTTTGCTGTTCTATTATTATTATTGTTGGTGAGCTGGGGTTATCTTGCGCTTGGCCGTTCCTGGGAACCAGAGGGCCGCCTTCTCTTTTACCAAGGATAAATTGATATGGCGAAAAGAGATCGGGAAGTTGATAAGAGATCTGAACACACATACGTAGCAGCTACATCATTTTGGAACCTTGTCCTGGTGCACCGTGCTGGTCTCCCCGCACGATAGGGTCGTCGCGTCCTGGATGATGATCCTTTGGACGCGAGTCGAAGTTGTATAGGCCTTGATCTGATAAAAATTGCGCAATCGCAGCCCCTCTGTCTGAGCTTACCTAGGTATGTACTGGTCTGACAGGACTTCTTCCAATCAAGCAGTTTTGGTGCCATCCAATGACCCATGGAATGCTTAGACTCGGGAAGGTTGGTAGGTAAATGACGATTGCGGATATGAGCATCCATTGGGACGCCTCGACACCTTAAGGGCCAGGTACCATTGCTAAGGTTCCAAGAAGGTTCCTGATGACACCTTCCGAACCCGTCGAGAATAGTTACTTGGCGGCTGCTGTCTTAGTCAGCCTTCAAAGATCTACGGGAGCGCTCAGACACCTTCTGCGCGGCGCTCCCAATCGGGAAATATGAAGCCCGCACTGCACAATCGGAGTTGAACAAGAACCCGGCCCAACAACCACAAACAACATCATAACTAGAGTACATGGGACTATCGGCACTCAGAAATTTCTGTCCTTAGTGCCCGATCTTGGGCGACGACCTCTTCCCCTTGACCCTCCACAGCTGGCTTTCACGCCACCAGAGCAACTCGAAACCACGATGTCCACTCAGTCCTTGAGCTCGCTGCTCCAAAGAGCGTCCATTGACGACCACGAAGAAGTCCTGCGCTCGTGTGATGCCGCCTTAGCCAAGTCTAGCTCCGATCTTCAAGCGCAGCATGTCAAAGTCGTCGCTTTGCTAAAACTCGACCGTTACGAGGATTGTCTACGTGTTTTCGAGGATGGCGGGGATAACCTGAAGAAAAGGGCTGCTCTGGAATACGGTTATGCTCTTTACAAATCCGGTCAACCTGAGGAAGCTATCGACGTAGTTTCTGACTTGGTGAATGACCGCGGCGCACGTCACTTGGAAGCACAGGCTGTATGTTTTCCGTCTATGCTTTTTACCTTGCTCTCTCATGGAATTGGCATTAACATCTTATAGAGTTACAGGGCCGAGAAATTTCGTCGCACAGCCGAACTGTACGGAGAACTCGCTCGTGATCCTGCATCAGTTTCCAGCGAGGAGCACGACTTGCGAATCAATTCCTGGGCCACGGATGCCCAACTGCAATGGAAAGGCCACCCCGAGTTAGTGCGACACACCAGACCAACAAGGGATGATTTGGAAGCGTTCGAGACCGTTTACAATGCCGCCTGTCTAAGCATTGCGAAAGGGGAGTTTGACCAGGCGGGAATGCTGTTGAAGCGTGCCAAAGGTTCGTATCAGCTACATATGTTGAAAAAAAGGTGTCGGAGCTGATTGCTATTACAGAACTATGCCGTACTTCTGAAGACCTCACACCAGAGGATAGAGATGCCGAACTACTTCCGATTGCTGTGCAACAGCTTTATGTTCTGATATGTCAAGGAAAGTCTGGGGAGGCCGAGTCCATCCTAGAAGAGATTTCCATACAGGAGTGAGCCAATCCCTACCTTTTTTGTTAGTTTTATCTCTAACTAACGCTATGGTAGAATTCCCGAATTATCTACGAGAAGAATCGGTCAGAACAATGTGGCCATTGCTCGCGGAACCGTGGCAAACCCTTACGCATTATATAAGACCCTTCACGAAATCCCCAATTCCACTGACAACGACAAGCTGTTCAACTATCAGAATACTATTATAACAGGAAATCTGCACGCAGTGGATCTTCTTGTTCATAAATACGATGGTATCATCCGATCCACATCGAAGGCCCTCTCTTCAGCGCCGTATCCGTCTACGGAAGCGGCCACAAATCTTCTGTCAGTTTACAACGTTGCAGCGCATGCCAAGGGTGAGACCGGGACGTCGGCACTCAAAGCAATTCTCTCGGCAGTAGATCGGCGACCGAAAGACCTTGGCTTGGTTCTCACTGCCGTACAACTCTACGTGAGTCTGGGCAATACCACCTCTGCAATAGCCACGCTGGAGAAGTCACTTCAACTCCTTGAAGAGTCTATTTCCGAGCAAGACAAGGAAACACGTTTCAACCCGGGCCTTCTAAGCGTTCTTATTGCCCTATACAAACGTGAAGGCCGGAGAACTCAGATCAGAGCTGAAATGGCAAAGGCCGCAGTGTTTTGGAAAGAACAGGCCACTCATCCAACGTCATTGCTCCGTGCAGCCGGGGCGTCTCTACTGCACTCCACGCTTGCATCTGACTCTGCCCAGGCTGCAGATCTGTTCAAGTCTCTGTACCAAAATACTCCGGATGACCTGTTTGCTGTTGCTGGATATGTGGCGTCTCACGCAGCCATTGATTACTCTCAGGTTGAAGCGCAGGCTAAATACCTCCCTCCGGTTGAGGACCTGATTTCCGATATCGACGTCGCGTCACTTGAGGCGGCAGGTGTCTCGCCTTCTTCATCCACCGCCGCCGCCACCGCCGCAGCTATCGCAGGAGCGAGGAAGCGGACGGCGGACAACAAGGAACGTACGGTGAAGCGAATCCGAAAGTCTCGCCTGCCCAAGGACTACGACCCGAGCAAGGCAGCCGACCCAGAGCGCTGGCTCCCGCTCCGTGACCGTTCGACATATCGACCAAGGGGCCGAAAGGGCAAGCAGCGGGCTGCTGAACGGACACAGGGTGGAGTTGTTACGGATAGATCCGAAGAGACCACACCGTCTGGGGCTCAACAGCAGAAACCCCAAGGTGGAGGAGCTAGTTCGAAGAAAAAGAAGAAGGGAAAGCGGTAGAAAAATAATACGTGCTGGGTACATTTACCGATCGTTACGATAGGGAAAAGCGAATCTAGCAAATAGATTTCTGGTTCTTGTACTTTCTTTAACGAGGGATGACACAGTCGACGCCGAAACTTTGTGTTGTACAGTATCCAAATAGGACTGTGTTGAACCAGAATCGACACAAGCAAGAGTAACAATAAAGCATCTCTATCCAAACGGACCGCTATGGTGCTCTCATGACGGCTAACCAAGTGGAGTCCGACTTGTCCCACACTGCCGATCATACTGCTCAAATATAGTCTGGAACAGCTTTATATCATCGAGCGAGTCTCTCGCCGTCGTTCTCGCCGTTTTCCCTTCGACCAGGTATGCGTACAGTGCCTTGAGCTCTTCCTGATATGTCTCTTCCCACGTACTCACAGTCTCAGTCTGCATCAGTCCGCCACGCTCATCGGCCTGCTCGACAACCACGCGTACAGGCTGACCCCGCGCATAGGGCAGGTCATAATGGATGGTCACGGTCTTGGTTTGGCTGTACACCGCCAGCTGAGCGTCGCAACGTGGGACACAGTCTGTTCCAGTCTCGTACATCAAGGTGAATGGGTGTGGATGAGCACCTTCGACAACACCACCGTTGTAGTGGAAAAGCGCCGAGTAGAACGGCTCATTCACGGAGATATTCGAGATTGCATCCGGGTATCCCAGTGTATCCCGCATGAGCCCAAGATCGTGGCATCCTAGCGAGGCAAGGAACCGGCTTAGCGCCATTCGCTCTTGACTTGGTTGCTCGTCCTTCCCAAACACTTCCTCCAACAGCCCTCTTAGGCGCTTCGTCCTGTCCTCTCCTGGTTCTTTGATGAATGGCGGCCCCCGACCTTCACCTTCGATGGCCCCAGCACCGACCCTCGCTTTCGTCGCCGTATGCGCAGCATGCGGGCCCGCGATCATCCGACACCGCGCATAGTGAATCCTCTCCAGCGATCTTACCTCCTTCTTGAAGACATCCTCGAAGCACGGTGCATACCGCCTAGCCGAAGCAACAAAGACCCTCGCTCCATTCGGCGCATCCTTCTCCGCCTCGATTATCCTTCTCGCGGAGGGGATGCTCAGGCTCACTGGCGTTTCGACCATTACATGCTTACCGGCCTGGAGGGCGGCGATAGTGTAGAGCTCGTGGTACTCATTTGGCATAAAATTCAGGATCAGATTGATGTCGGGGTCTGAGAGGATGGTGTCTGGATTTTTGGTGGTGCTCTTGGTGGCTGTGCCATTTGCGGTGACGGGAACGGCGGGTTCTTGAGACTGCGTGGAGAAGTAGACGGCGCTTATACTGAAGAGCGTTGGAAGGGCGTGCAGGGCTGGAAGGTAGATTGTTTGGATTGGATGGCTTCCGGTTGCCAAGATGCCCACGCGCAGTGGCGGGTTTTCCATCATGTTGATGTTGTAAAGCTGCTGGTGGAATATTTAGGGGGTGGTTGCAGCTTCTGAAGATAACTGTAGATGAAAGAGAGAGAGGTCATCGAGAAGAAGGGGATCTAAGCTCCGGGGAGATGGGATCTCTTCTCATTAGTGTTTTTTTCTTGCTTTGATCCAGTGGAACGGTAAACGTAGATGTTGAAGCAAGGGATGGGAATCGCCGCTGCGCTCTGGGTGAGTCGGTAAGTTCAAAAGTAACTTTGCAAAGCAAGCATGATTCATATTCAACTCTTTAGCTCGCAGTATGCGCACGCATGACATCAGAGTCATCTGCTGATAATGCTTTCGAGTACTATAGGATGCCAAATCCTTTTGCTTTTTGAGATGCTTTGGGAGCTTACTCCGTATGGAGCGGCGGAGTGTCGGGAAGAGGGCCGATCAAGGTGCAAGGTAGGTACTCCGTACTTTCGGGAGGAAAAGAAATGGACCGCCTTGGTTTGATGTCATCAAGCTCCATAGCCTGTGCAACAGTTGGGACGAGTCAGCCTTAACCCGATCCCTGAACTGTGGCTGTGACATGCTTAGCTTTAACGCGAGCTGAAGCCTGAGGCAGTGCAGCCATGGGCTGAGCGGGTCATAGAACTCATATACTGTGTACTCCGTAGAACAAGAGGAAGAATTGAATGGCTCCCGAGTGGGCCTTGAGCTGTTCCTGAACGACTGTCTGGATCCGCAGCTGAAGCACCTTCATCATTCTTAACATCATCAATCATCGTCATTATTTGCCATCGTACCTCTCCCCTCCTTCAAGTTTCTCTCTCTCTCTACAACTACAAAGTGAGATTATCCCAGCCACAATCATGGGTGTAAGTCTGCCTTTTTCGCCATCGCACCTGAGTATATCAGCTGTTGCTGCCCCGCGTGTCTACCCCGCTGCTTCCTTTAATCATCGCAGTCGGAAGCTCCTGTTTTCTTCAAGAAATCGAGAGACCAGAGCTCGGGGGGGAAACAAACAACAGAAAACTTACTGACGGCTGCACTTTTGCATCATCGACCGTTTAGTTTGCCTCCAAGATCGCCAACGCCCAGATGAACAACCCCAACTCCGGCGTCTATGGGGGAGCTGCTCCTGCCGGATACACGGGCGGCCCTCCTCCTGCTGGTGGTGGCTCTGCTGGTGGACAGGTAAGTCGAAACTCACCAGGCAGAACTTTGATGCCTTGCTGCGCTGCCCCTCTTTGGCTCCAGTTTTTCCAGCTCTGCAGCTAATGATCACGATTACGTTCCCGACAGCAGACTCAACAGCAACAGCCGCCTTCACAACAGCAGCAGCAGTCCCAGTATCAGGCTTATCCTGGCGGCTCGGTAGGCTAGAATTTTTCTTCCTCGTTGGTTTTGTTTCTTTCAACTTCTCATCCAAGTCTGGTTTCCTGCTTTCGTGTTGGTTGGCCCATTACGCGCGTTATCACATTCGCCCTCCTTGGATATTATTCATCCGTTGCCCCTCAATCATCTGGTGGTCATTGTCTGATCCGCTCCTCCACCAACTTTCGTCATCCATCTTTCTGCCTGCTCCTTCGAGTCGTTTGCTGTAATCATGTCTCGACCGTATTCTGGTCAAGGCTATGCTCCTCCGCCGCCTTCTCAGCTGCGCCCGGGACAGTCTCCGTCGCCTTATCCAGCCTCCCCGCAGCAACAGCAGCAGCAGCAGTACCAGGCGTATCCTCCTGTCCCTGCAAACAAGCCCCCTCCATCACCCTCTTACTCGGGACCGCCTCCCCAGGCATTTTCTCCGGCACCTTATTTACCGCACACACCGCAGCCGCAGTCTTATTCTCCGGCGCCTTACGGAGGAGCTCCGCCCTATAGGCAGGGCCCTCAACAAAATTATGCGCAAACCCCGCCCCCTCCTCAGCCTTACGGAGCAGCGCCCGGACCACAATATCCCCCACAACCGCAGCCTCATGTATAGATTGACCCAGACACTCGTGCTTTTTTGATCGATTTTTTGTTTTGTTTTGTTTCTTACACGTTGCGCTGTCGATGCCGAATTTGATGGGAGATTGCTAATAACTCACTTGCTAATTTTTAGGCTGGCGGCTACCCTCCTCAGAATGCTCCCTACCCTGGTGGCTATCCCCCTCAGAATTCGCCCTACCCTGGCGCCCCCCCACGTGCACCGCAAGGACCTCCTCCAAGCCAATATGGGCCTCCCGGCGGCGGCGCAGGCGCTGCTGGACCTGCAACCCCTCAGCAACTCGACGCCTATCGCCAGCTTCTGATCGCCACCATTCAAGAAAAGAATCTCCAGAATTTCTACCCGCCCGCTAAGTTGGACAGACTGGTGCAAGGACTCGCCAGGGATGGACCTTCCAAGATCAACAGGATCGTGAACGAATTCTCTCTGCCTATCGAGATCGCCATGGATGTCATCAAGCTTTCGCTTTACGACATTGTCCTCTACGTCGACGACAGCGGCTCAATCGAGTTTGAGGAGAAAGGGGTGAGAAAGGAACAACTGAAGCAGATTATTGGAATCGTTGCGACTATCGCATCCACCTTCGATGAGGATGGTATCAACGTCCGCTTTATGAACAACGAACTTTCTCGCAACGGAATTCGTAGCGTCGGCGAAGTGGAGCAACTTATTGCTAGCGTTCGCTTCTCTGGTATGACGCCTCTGGGAACTGGTTTGAAGAACAAGGTGCTTGACCCTTTGATCGTGGGCCCAGCAAGAGCGAATCAGCTGCAGAAACCTGTTCTCGTCATCACCATCACCGACGGACAGCCTGCCGGAGAGCCCCTTGACAGTGTCGCTCAGGGTATTCGCTACGCCGTTGATGAGGTTGGTCGAAGCCAGTACGGACGTGGTGCAGTTGCGTTCCAGTTCTCGCAGGTCGGAAATGACACCAAGGCTCGCGACTTCCTGGGCAGTCTCGATAACGACCCGAGCATCGGAGGTTTCATTGACTGCACATCCAGTAAGTAACCCTTTTCTTACAAACTGTGGAAAGTGAAATAACAATCGTTAGACTTTGAGGTCGAACAGGACGAGATGTCGCGTGCTAGCCCTCCTGTTCACCTGACCCGCGAACTTTGGTGCGCCAAGCTCATGCTCGGTTCGATCGACGCCTCGTACGATACCAAGGACGAGAAGGGCAGCCGTCCAAGTGGTGCGCCTTCTGGACCCCCTCCTCCAGGCCAATACGGTGGATACGGCCAGCCAGGAGGATATCCCGGTCAGCCTCCCTCTGGACCTCCTCCAGGCCAGTACGGTGGATACCCTAATCAACCTCCCGCCCCTGGCTACGGATCACCTGCTCCCTACAATCAAGGACAGCAGCAGTACGGCCAGCAACAATATCCCCCGAGTAGTCAAGCACCAGGAGGATATGGCCAGCAGCCCCCCGCTCCCAACTATGGAGGATCACCCGCCCCCTACAACCAAGGCCAGCAGCAATATGGCCAGCAACAATATCCCCCCAGTAGCCAAGCACCGGGAGGTTACGGCCAGCAGCCTCCTTATGGCCAGCAACAATATCCCCCTTCCGGACGGTACTGAGCTCCGAGAGCTCCATGTTCTCAAATTCATATTCCTCGTCACCTACGTTGAAGGAATGGCGGATTAGTATGGATTTCTAGCTAGGGAATTCGCGCAAATAGGAAATCCAAAGAAGTTGTCGTGTTTAACGAGGAGCCAAGTTAGTAACTTAATCAGAACTTGTAAAACGGCCTCTGCCATTTCAGTCCCTAATCAGCCAGGCGTAGGAAACTCAGCTATTTCGGCCAAGGGCGGGCGCAATGCGATTAAACCCCCCGATGCGAATACCATTGAAGGCCGCTTCCTCATATAGCGCTTAGAATAGGAATGACGGCCTTGAACTCTTGCTACTCGAAGCGATATCCTGTAGTACAACTTTAATCACGAGTTCTTGGACTTCAGCCAGGCTCACTGTTACGGGTAGTGCATAGAACAAGTAGAAAATATCAGGGGCACCGTCCGAGAGGAGCAAAGGACAAGTCCATTCCTCAGGTGCGAAGCAGACTGAAGAAATCTTGAGGCTCTTGGTGACCAAATAGTACAAGAAACTAGATACTGAAAAGCATAAAGTTCCAGTGGATAACGTAATCAACCTAACCGGGAGGCAACCTTATTTATCTGCTATTCCAGACCAAGGCTTTCGAGCACCCAAAGCTTAGACTAACCAGACCACATGAGGCACCCTACTACTGAAGGCCCTCGGGTTGTCACAGAAACTATCTTTGAGTCATGTAACACTGCCATCTAGACATTCAGGTCACTTGGGACGACAGTATTAAAACCCATACATCAACTAATCTTGATAAGACTGGCAACATCACGATAGTATCTGAATGGTTTATTCTTGAATACGCAAGTCATTATTGATAATAGGGCCTATGCGATATCAAGGATTGGCGAAGGATAGAAGAAATTACCCAGTGGAGAGAGTAGAGAGTAGCCTTGTATATATTTCGACGCGAAGGAACTAAGCAAGCAATTATTGCTGGGTCACGTCCCTTTACCATAGAACGGGATGCTGGCCCTTATGAATTTGCTAAATACTAGAATGGCAGTGCTTGATAGAGGTACTACTGTAACATCATAACTCTCCTGTGCAGACAATATCACTTTCTATCAGCGGCTATTGGCGAGCGTGAGCTTGACCCTACGCCGCTTTGAGGGCTAAAGTCGGCAGGAGTACAGACATGAGGGCATGCATGAACTGCAACCAGATAGATAAGTTCTTCATTCGCTAGGTGTAGAAATGTGCGTCTTGGATCTCGTACAGAGCTAGATGTGGTGACTGGCTAACCCCGGAACAAGTGAGATAATAAAACAGCAATAAGAGTGCAGAGAGAAAGACCGGGCGAGAGACAGTGCTGGATAGTCCAGACGATCGATTGGAGGAAAGGGGTCGATGCCTCGGGGTAGTCATGGACCAAAGTATGCCTCCTGATAAAGCTACTAAAGCTATTATGAGCAGTTCTAGATCAGCATCATAAACTTGAACGGTTCGATCTGATTAGCTCCAGCATTAGCTCGACTCTGCGTCCCTAAGTATCCTCCTCGTTAGGAATGCCAAATGGCTATGCTGTAGAAACAAGCCAGTTTGACTTATCCGGCACAGGTTGAAGATAGAATCAATCAGTGTGTATCTGCCATTCTTCCCTCCATACGATAAAAACCTCATGGGCGTCGCATTACAGGCGAAAAAAATTACTGAGGGATCTGGTTGGGGGAAGTGCTGAGACCAGTGGTCAGGCCTTCCTGAATGAGCTCAAAAGTGATGCTATAAAAACGACATTTTGTTTAGTATTGGAGCATTCTGTGCCGGCTCCAAGATGCCCTCTCATAGATGCGCGAATGGATCCATTTGGCCCAGTTCCCATAATTCTTACAGACACAAAAGCGAGGATAATCAGTGGCCTGAACAAGCGTTATCGGTGGGTTCTGAGGACTTGGTAAGCTCATCAGGCGATATTTTCTGGCCGTCTCCTGTGAATGGCACGTTCTCTGATACTCCGTCTTCTTCAAGTGGTGGAGTGGAACGGGGCGGGCAGGAAAAAGCACGCTAGGCTATCCAAATTCATGACGGTTTTTGCGATGCAATGAGAATGCTTCAAGAAATTAAACAAGCAAATAGTCTTCAGGATTTCAGGGAGTGTGGTAACTGGTTCGAGGGGCGCGAGACACCAGTGAGACGACAAGACGCCGGTGGCAATTTAGCGTTGACCTTGAGAAGAACGGCCAAGACTGCGACGCCCCGCTCGCCACCTTCTCCATGAGACCATATCATGGAGTGTGGTTACCGCAGTGAGAATTTGACACGCGAAGGGTGGTTGTACAGAGTCCTTTTTATTCTGGGAGGATGTAGTAGGCGAACAAGATTGAGAGATTGATAGGGTGTGGAAAACGGAGGCCAGACCCTCGAGGCTGTGCAGAGGCAACGCTTCCATGGCCCATTGATAGTGAGCTTAATTATAGCATCTAATTTTGCCGACCGGCTGAGAGGCCTGCAAGCTTGCGACTTCAGCAGTCCGCGTAACCTAGGTAGCAATGTGATACTCCGGAGTAGATACCAGAACTCTAGAGTGAGAAATGTGCAGAAACTTAGAAATACTTTTTTTTTCTGGAGGTCAACCGTCAACGGTTGTGGTCTGGAAGACTCTTCGAAGTTGGAAGAGGCTCCACTTGAATCTCCAACTGACGCTGTTTCTCCACGCGGCTTCTCTGTGGTTGACCCTCGAACTGGGCTGCGCCAACCGAACTTGAAACTGGGGTTTACGTTGCCCTTCCAGACTGTGCCTCTTCAACAATCTTCTCCATTCATCCTTCACTCTTTGTTGAATTTCGTTATTGCTGTACTTTGGTTATACTCTCGTTGCTGTCGTTGCTGTCGGGATTATTGCAGCTACCACCGATCGGCCTACTGATTGCGGACTCTGAGCTGTTTTCGGCCTCGGTCTCTCCGACTTTTTTTACACTTCGCCCTGTGCCTGATTTTGCTGCAAACGTGGACCCTGCAACAGACTACAGCTTTCGCTCTTTGCTTTTCCCCTTCCGTGGCTTTTGTTTATATTTGGCCAGATACCTTTTCCTTCCTTCCTCTTTCATCTTTTTTCCACTCTTTCGCATACGCATACGCTATTGTCGGAGCCTGAAGGATGAGCGCCACTTTTTGCTCAACGTCATAACCCCCCGCCGATCAGCCCTTGCTGCCTCCGATTATTTTGTTTACATTGAGCTGCGCAGGATAGCTTTGACGGAGGGCCGGAGTCATATTTGTTATTGTCGCGCTCTTACTGAGCTGTTCCTTGGCCATGACTCAGCCAAACAGATCTCCAGATTTGAATCGGAATTCCGATCAGCCGACCATGCATGGAAACCAACATTCCTCCCCTGATAATACACCCTCCGAAAATACGTCACGACCGCCGCAACCCTCCAGAAGCCATTCCCTGCACACAAGCACTCCAGGACGGACGTCGCTCTCGCCCTCCCGGACATTGTCTGATTCTGGAAGGAGGCTCTCTCAGCAACATGTCCGCTTCTCAACCGACTTGGACCGTCCCACAGAGGACGACAGACAAACCTCGGGGGATCGGCGACCGGGCTCCAGAGGACTTTCGATAAATACGAGCATCCCAGATACCCAGGGTTCATCACCCGGCACCTCTCCCAATGCAGGTCGCGCACCGCAACCTTCCCTTTCGCCGCGCTCCGCTTTGTCTCCCACATCACCACAGAGTCCTGATACCATTGGCCGCTCGCGTTCCAGGAACCGTGGCTATTCACTACGTCGTACCATCTTCACAAAGACCATCGAATCGCAATCGACTCCTTCATCGCCAGTCGAATTGACACATATCACGACTACGGACCCCGAGATTGTGGAGCAGGAGGAAGCGCCTAGCGCCGCCGAACCTAGTGAAGATGAAAAGAGTCAAACGATAGTTGCGCAAAAGTCTACATCACAACAAGGTTCATTGGAGGATGGCCTTGCCACATATTATTCTGATCAGACTGATCTCAAAGAGGGCAGGAACCTTTCTACCCCTTTGCCTCATGAGGGGTGGCGTAAACGAACAACGGCCTTGACTACATTGAAATCCCGCGTGGCGGAAATTCTGGAGACCATTCGAAAAACCATTCTCCGGATTCAAACCATCCCTCCCAGCAAAAATGGCCGTCATATTGATCTTGATCCCACTCGAACGGAGATTCTGATTGATGAGAGAACAGGGAAGCCCTACGTGGAAAATTGGATTCGGTCCAGTCGGTACAGTCTATGGAGCTTCTTTCCTCGTCAATTCTTCGCGCAATTTACGAAGCTAGCCAATTTCTACTTTCTCGTCATTGCGATTCTGCAAATGATTCCTGGGTTGAGTACAACGGGTACCTTCACCACGCTAGTCCCGCTTCTCATTTTCGTCGGCATCTCCATGGGCAAAGAAGGGTTCGACGACTGGCGTCGCTACCGCTTGGATAAAGAAGAGAATAACCGTTTCGCGTCAGTACTACGCCCTGGCTCGAATGTTCTTTCTCGCTCTATTTCTGGCGACAGCGCATCAACCTCGAGCGGACAACAAGACTGGGATTCAGTCAAGTGGAGTGACATCAAGGTTGCTGATGTTATAAGATTGGAACGTGATCAGCCAATACCTGCCGATATGGTCTTACTTCATGCGGATGGACCCAACGGAGTGGCCTACGTTGAAACTATGGCTCTAGATGGCGAGACAAACCTCAAAACTAAGCAACCCTGCCAACCTGTGGCCAAAGTGTGCGGAACCGTGGAAGGTGTTTGCAGCAGCTCGATACATTTTGCCGTGGAGGATCCGAATCTCGATCTTTACAAATTTGACGGGAATGTAACGGTTGCTGCTGGAGAAAAGACGCCCTTGACGAACAACGAAGTCCTGTACCGTGGCAGTGTGCTTAGAAACACCGAGCGAGCCATGGGAATGGTCATCTACACGGGTGAGGAGTGCAAAATTCGCATGAACGCGAACAAGAACCCTCGAATCAAAATGCCTTCCCTACAAGCAAAGGTCAACCGTGTTGTCTTACTCATTGTGTTTCTAGTGGTCATACTCGCGGGAGCCTGTACTATCGCCTACAGATACTGGTCAAGAGATGTGGAAAGCCGCGCTTGGTATCTGGAGGAAGCGAACGTTAGCTACGGGCCTATCTTTACTTCGTTCCTGATCATGTTTAACACGATGATTCCAATTTCGCTCTACGTGAGTATGGAAATCGTCAAGGTGGTACAGATGCTCATGCTGAACGCCGACATTGACATGTACGACCCCGAATCTGACACACCACTGGAGGCGCGGACATCTACTATCAACGAGGAACTGGGCCAAGTCAGCTACATATTCTCTGACAAGACCGGAACTTTGACGAACAACTCTATGCGGTTTCGCAAGATGAGCGTTGCCGGGACTGCGTGGTTCCACGACTTTGATCTTGTTGATGAAGCTGCTCAGGAAGGGGATCGTGAGAAGCTGATTCACAAGAAGCGAAGCGTCAAGGGCAAAAAAGTCGCAAACCGCCAGTCAAATGTATCCGAGGTGCGCAGGTCCCTCGCCATCTCGACGTACGAAGCGCGCAAGGATGCAGTACCGGCACGAAACAGTCGAACCACCGATCTGCTCAGGTACATTCAACGCAAGCCATATACTGTTTTTGCCCGCAAAGCAAAAATGTTTATCCTGGCCATGGCAGTCTGCCACACCTGTCTGCCGGAGGAGGATGAATTCGGTAACACCACCTTCCAGGCCGCATCGCCGGACGAGCTCGCGCTTGTCACGGCCGCGCACGAGCTAGGCTATCTTGTCCACGACAGGCAGCCAAATACAATAACAATTCGGACGTTTCCCAACGGGACGGAAGAGTCCCCCGTGGATGAGACATATGAAATTCTTGATATCATCGAGTTTTCCAGTGCTCGGAAACGCATGTCCGTCGTGGTACGGATGCCTGACCGACGAATCTGCTTGTTCTGCAAAGGCGCTGACAGCGTGCTCATGCGGCTGTTGAAGCGTGCCGCGCTTGCCCAAGAAAAAGTGAACGAAATCGAGCGCCGGGCCAGCAAGCGCAAAGCTGCTGGAGCGAGTGAGGTCATGAGGCGAAATAGCGAGTATCGGAGTCGGAAGGATAGCGGAGTCCGGAACAGTTTAAGTCGACCGAGCATGACGCATCGCCGCTCTAGTGTCTCTGGAAAGAACGTATCTGCCTTGAGAGAAAGCATCGATGTCTGGCTTCGTGATAGAGAGACCGACGGTGGTCTTTTACACAGAAATAGCGAGGCTGAGTACTATAGCCCCCGCCCGTCTGCCCAGTTAGGGCGGCAATCCACGGCCTTGTCTGACTCAGGAAGTTCCCTTCACGAAGCTGAAGACGAGGATTTGGTGGACGAGGCCCTGGTTGTTGACGAAGCCGCTGTTTTTGAGCGCTGCTTCCAGCACTTGAACGATTTCGCAACGGAAGGACTGCGGACGCTGTTGTATGCCCACCGTTTCTTGGACGATGCTACGTATCAGGAGTGGAAACTCGCATATCAAGAAGCGTGCACAAGCCTCATTGACCGACAGGAACGAATCGAGAAGGTCGGTCAACAGATTGAGGAACAGCTCGAATTGACTGGCGCTACGGCGATTGAGGATAAGCTTCAGAAAGGTGTCCCCGAGGCGATTGACAAGCTCCGCCGCGCAAACATCAAGCTATGGATGCTGACTGGAGATAAACGCGAGACCGCGATCAACGTCGGACACTCTTGCCGCTTGGTGAAGGACTACTCTACTCTCGTCATTCTCGATCAGGAACTGGGTAATGTCGAACAGTCGATCGCGAAATTGACCACGGACATTACGAACAAGACAGTGGCACACTCTGTTGTAGTGGTCGATGGCCAAACGCTCTCAATGATCGAAGGTGACCAAAATCTGCGCGCACACTTCTTCAGACTTACCATCCTCGTTGATTCGGTAATTTGCTGCCGTGCCAGCCCCAAACAAAAGGCTTTCCTCGTCAAATCAATCCGCCGGCAAGTCAAAGACTCTGTTACACTCGCAATTGGCGATGGTGCCAATGACATTGCGATGATCCAGGAAGCCCACGTTGGTATCGGCATTACTGGTAAAGAAGGTCTTCAGGCAGCGCGTATTTCCGACTACTCGATTGCTCAATTCAGGTTCCTGCTGAAGCTTCTCCTTGTACACGGCCGCTGGAACTATATGCGAGCGTGCAAGTACACCCTAGGGACGTTCTGGAAAGAAATCCTGTTCTATCTCACTCAAGCCCTATACCAGCGCTGGAATGGATACACTGGCACGAGTTTGTACGAACCATGGAGCTTGAGTATGTTTAATACTTTGTTCACATCATTGGCCGTTATCTTCTTGGGCATTTTCACCAAGGATCTCTCGGCCTCTACCCTCCTTGCGGTTCCAGAACTCTACACCAAAGGTCAGCGACACGAAGGCTTCAACATTAAGCTCTACCTGGCCTGGACATTCATGGGCACCTGCGAAGCGATGCTAGTCTACTTCATCATGTACAGCCTCTTTGGAAACATTCTCTTCACTACGAGTGGAGCAAACGACATCTTCTCCGCCGGTCTCCTCACCTACTCAGCCTGCGTTGTCATCATCAATGCTAAACTCCAAGCGCTTGAAGTCCATAACAAGACCTACCTTTCCCTGGCGGTGTTTATCATCTCCGTTGGTGGATGGTTCTGTTGGAACATGATCCTGTCAAAGCAGTATGACTTCAAATCTGGTGACGGCATTTACCACGTGCCTTCCAACTTCATCTTCCATTCTGGGCATGACCTTGCCTTTTGGGTTGTTCTCCTCGTAACCGTTGCTGCCGTGCTTATTTTTGAGATCGCGGTTAGCTCAGTCCGCGCCAACCTTTTCCCAACGGATGTCGATGTTTTCCAGGAGTATGAAAAGGATCTGGATATTCGCAAACGCTTTGAGGAAGCTGCCGCCTCAGAACTCCAGCAGGGGTGGGACCACGGGAAAAAGAAATCCAGCTTCGAGATTGCCCGCGAGGAAGCTGAGATGGAAGCCAGAGAGAAACAAGTTCAAGAACTGCTGGCCAGGCCGCGAGTTATGAATGGGAAAAATGACTCGTCGAGCCCCGTGTACGTCGAGTCGACCTCCGTATCAGCCCTGGGCGAATCGAGCCGTGAGCAGGTCGCCCTATCAGATGCGGAAATTGCCAAAAATAACGACCAGAACAATAACACTGCTCCTCGACGTTCCGTAGAGATCCACGAGCTGTTCTCGAAAGGGTTTGGAGCGATTCGAAAGGGCCACCTGAAGTAGCCTCCGTTCTACGCGTCTCTTTTCTTCTTCTTTCCTTGTATAGTCATTGTTGATGGATTGATTGTGTCATTGATTGACTGATGTTCTTTCTGAACTTGATGGCGTTGAACTATACCCCGGTGTCGACTTGCCACTCCTTAGCCTGTTGATATTGATGTGCTTTTATGTTTGCGATTGTGTATAGTGACGCTGGAGGACTCGTTGTTATACCCACTCTGATCATGCGTATACAGACAAGACTTATGTTCATCCCACTCCTGGTTTTTGTAGAGTGCTCTATTAGATCTGAAATGTCTCCGAAAGCCGTTGCGCAAGATGTACTACTGGTTGACGACATGAACGTAGCTTACCAATACTACCTTGGCGGCCGGAGTTATCTCAACTCGAGAACAATGTTCCGCACTTGATACGAATCAGGAGCTGAGATACAGCAGCGTTGGTCTCCTGCATGTAGACTATCCGAGGATGCCTACCCTTGTCGAGACTATGTGGTGAGATTATAGTCGAAGAAGGGGGTACCTGCACTCGTCAATACGGTCGTCACTAAAATCACAAGGTGCTAATTGATGAGGGCCATGGTCCATGAGGCGCAAAGTTAGCTAACCCAGACAAAGCAATTGGTAAGAAAGCCGATCCTTGATCAGAAAGATCGTCCGGGATTAGTATATGAGCGGTAAGCCAGATCATCGATGAGACGATGCTCCGCAGCGAGTGTCAAGTCTCAAGCTAAACATCAAGCACCGCCTTGAGATGCGATGCAGGATCTCTCTTCGGTGACTTGATTCGAGAACTGACTCGCGCCAAGCCGTTATCCTGGCTAGCTGTTTTACGTTGATTACAGAGAAGAAGAAGGCCTGAGCCTAAGATCGCGATATTCAGACTGTATCGTGTCTGCTCCACCTCGTCCTCAGATGCTGGCTCCGTAGTTAATATCGAAGCGCAACGAACTGGTTTGATCCGGCGATCTGGGTTTGCATGGAGATGATCGATCGGCCTAAAGTCCAACGTCTGCCCAGAAAGCCGGATAGTCCCGTCTACCAAGTGAGACACTGAGACAATTGATGCTCGCTCGACGCGACTGTGCTCAGAGTTGGAGTAGTATTTCGTATCGGCCGACTCCGTCGTAATGAGAGCGTATTGGAGAAGCGCAGCTGTTCCTGTTCCTTGCAGCTCGTGATGCAGGTCGCCTTTGTCGGCTGCTGACCTCAGCTGCTATGGCCAATGGCACGAGGGGATCAAAGCACGGATCAGCGGTGGGCGAGTGTTTCAGGCTAACCGCCCAGGGTAGGTCAGATTCATGCTCGCCTTGCTGGGAGACAGTGCCTTGCCGATTCGCCCGCCCAGCTTGGAAAGAAATGGGCACGCCACTGTGAAGCACGAACACGATCCTCAATAATTATTGACAGTGCGTGCGCGTACCTTGCCGACTCGTTGTCGGAGGGCCTCCGTGGAGGATGCGTTGACAGTTGCTTCAACAACGCGAGTCTCGTAACGACTCACGAGTTTAACGACCAACGCCCCTCTCCACCCCTGGCGCTGTCAGTTCCCAAGCCCTCAGGCACTGAGCCAATAAGAGGCCGGTCGGTGCGGGTACCTGGATTCATGCTTGCCAAAACATCGGCTCGGGCGGAGTTTGCGAACAGAAAAAAAAGGCAAAAAATCAAGAATAGAACAGCGGCCGACAGGTCGCGACCGTCAGGTTCCGTGGAATTGATTCCAACTCAAGCGTGGTTCCTCCCTCGCTCCCACCCTAGTGTCCTTTTGGCGCTCCATGCGCGTGCTGGAATCTGGGATGTGACGAGGTCGAGGCTGCTTTAGAACCAGGCAGCGTGGAATCGTTTCCTCTGCCCCTGGCGTGCCGAACTTCCACCTCGCATTTCTTGCAGTCCCTTAACTTTGCTCGGCAAAATTCTGGATCACGTATGTGTCACCCACGTCCTGAAACCCGCTTGGAACAAGTCTAGGTCACGCTGCTGTTTCCTGGCTGACTGGTCGCTGCGGAGGTGATAGTTTCCCGGTAGTGGGTGGATATTATTGACTCCATTGCTTGATCAGGAAGCTGGCTCGAGCGGAAGACATGCGTCGTCTCGGGCCTTTAGGCGAGATTTGACAGAGTAATAATATGTCGGCCGTTGGAGGCTTGAAGGCTGAAGCAGACCAGGTAGGTGAGGTTTGAGCGCCCCAGCCATCCGATCATCCGACGAACTGGTTGGTGGATGGCTGCAACCAGACATGGATGATACCAGTAGAACAGGCTTGATGTCTTAGCACTGGAGACTATGTTCCAGGATTCCTTATGGACGTTAGGTCCCTGGCTCCGAATAGGAATGGCCGGGAATAATAGCGCCTTCGGGATTGTTGAATGGTGGTTGGATGCGAGACCTCATCGGGCAGCACACTGAGTAAGGAGATGCAGCCAGCTGGACGCAGGGGCCAGAACCGTATCATTGGCTGCTGGATGGTGTTGTTCTCTCGTGGCTGCACACCGAATGATGAGAGCATCCAGTGAGTATCTGCTACGGTCTCCAAGCCGCATTGGACCTGAGATCATGAGCAGGACAGACACTGTGCCTCTTCTTCTCCGGAGTCCAGAGAAACGATTCGGGAAACTGAAAGCCTCCACGTTCTGGTTTGGGCCAACAGAGAGAGGAACAGTGTCAGAGCTGTACGGTACGTACGGTACGGCGCTAGTCTCCACCAGGACTAGCATAGTTCTCCAACTAGGCCTATTCTGGCTCCCCATCTCCTGACTCCATGACCTTGCACCACAGCACCACCACAGATGCTGTGCCTGGACTCTGGCCTGGCTGACTCTCCCTCCTCCACTCTGTCGCTTCTCTCCTCCTTTCCTCTCCGTCCATTTCCCTTCCCCAACCCATCTTTTCCATCAGTGCTTGCTTTCCTTCCTTTTCATATTCATTCATTTACTCCATTCTTTCTTTTACATTCGCTCTCTTGTCTCGACCGTTCCACTCTTTTACGGTCGATTCTCCCCACTCTTTTCGCGTACCCCAGGCCGGTGTGATCACTCTTTTGTTGTCCCTCACCACCTCATCCGGACCACTCGGACAGATATATTCAGCTTGTCGTAGAATCGCATTGACGCGCTGTTGATCTCACCCCTACTCGGATAGCCCTGCTACGCTCGTGAAGAGTCTCATTTCTCTTCGTCTCTAAAAGCTGCCTTGGTCAGCATCTTCGTTCCACACTTTTTTATATATTCCACGCCTCTGCGACGCGCTCTTACCCTGTCAGCTTTGCGTCTGGGTTGTAACACTCCCCGGCCAAGGCGCATCCATTCCTTTACTTGCACACTAGCTCTCCAAGCGCTTGACGCTGCTGGAGAACCTTCCGGCAATCCATCCAACTAGCTTGACTGTCGGCTGGATCGTCATCTCAACTCTTTCCCTATATCGACCACCACGAACTGGGTCAGATCTCCTTTGCTACTACTTCTCCTCTTCGCTCAATCCCTGCAAACATGTCTTCGACAGACACACCCGACCCGTCGACCGTGTCGACTTCTACAACGGCAACTGTCCGCACAACCACCTCGCCCTCATCGGCTGCCTCCACTCCCTCTCCCTCCACTTCCAGTGCAACGACCGCTCCATCCACATCAGGCGCCCGTCGCCCGCAGCGCAAGAGCACGCTCACTCAGCAACAAAAGAACAACAAACGTCAGCGCGCGACGCAGGACCAGCTGGTAACCCTTGAGATGGAATTCAACAAGAACCCCACCCCTACAGCTGCCACACGAGAAAGGATTGCGCAGGAGATCAATATGACTGAGCGCTCCGTTCAAATCTGGTTTCAGAATAGGTTCGTACTTGACCTCTCATTGTTTCGTATCGCGCTAACAGCTACCCGCAGACGCGCGAAAATCAAGATGCTTGCAAAGAAGAGCATTGAGACCGGTGAAGGTTGCGATTCTATTCCCGAGTCAATGCGCCAGTACCTAGCCATGCAGTTCGACCCCAGCAAACCTGGTGCGCGTGACCCTTTTGGCCGGACTAGTGGATATGGAGCCAATGGCGCATACCCCAATGAGCCAACTCCCTCTGGCAAAGTTGGTAGGTACACACTCTCATCTATGGATGAAACCTTGATGCTGATTATCAAAGTAATTCACCATTTCACTTGCCGATCCCTCACCATTGGAAGCTGGAGGCGCATTGGACAGAATGCCATGGATTTGGTTGTCTTCTATTCGCCGGAGAAGGCCTGCATGACCTATTACATCAACAATGATTCTGCTGGTTACAAGATCGAGTACCCCTTTGCCTACATCAAGAACATCACGCTGGAGTCCGGTGACCAAGGCCCGCAGCCCAACGGTGCTCCCACACGACCTACCGGTCTCGTCATTGAGCTCAACAGACCACCTCTCTTTTACATGGATTCCTCAAACTCCGGCGGCTTCTATCAGTGTGGCGATTTCACGGAGGATCAGCAGGCCAGTTCTATTATGGTACATCGTCTCGGAGGGCACCCCAAGGTTCTGAGTGTTCAACTAGCGAAGCTGGTCTCATTGGAATCGTTCCAAAACCGCCTTGCGTACAGCAATTTTGCAGCTAACGTACCAATGTCCCCGCCTTTCATCCAACGCCCAGCATCGCAGCCGAACCATTTTGCTCCCGCGTTCATGGGCATGTATGCAGAGAATCCCGCTGTGATGAATCTTCAGGCCGCCCGTGGGCATAAGCGACAAAGAAGCCGCTCCGTTCCTGTGGCTGTCGATTTCTCTGCACTGGGAGCGCCGATGACACCGTTCAGCATGCCACACCCTCCGCCGCAGTTCAACCAGCCGGACGCAAGTATTTATGCGCCGATACCACAGTCAACCCACTCACTAGCTACCAACCTTCGCATCGATACTTCTTCAGGTTATGGCTTTGACCCCCGTGCGCACCCTATGTCGGCGACAACGACTGCCTCCCCATCTGAGTTTGCCAGCCCGGCACTCTTTTCGTCTGGTGGCCAGGGAGAGTCGACTCCAGTAGCCAGTATGGGGAACCAATTCACTCTGCCTTTCGTTTCGCCCGCTGTGGATTCCAGCGTTGCCACTCAGGCAGCCTCCCCGTACTCGAATGTGAGCCACGTTGACCCAATGATCGCCAACCATTCCCCTCCTCTGACAAACATGTCCCACACACCACAGGACATGTATGGTATGGGAACTGAGCACCAGACAAGCTATGCAGAGGATGGTATGTCCATGGGTGGGATGTTCAAGCATATGAACTATTCGGTGCCTACATCGATGGGTCTCGAGAGTAATGCTTTTGAGATGCCAATGCATAGCATGTCTGGCCACACATCGCCAGGCATTCAGGGTGACTATCAAAGCCTGACGCTGGAAAACGTTGATCCAAATGTTCTAACACCCGGTTCCTGACAAGTCCCGAGAGTCGTTAACGTTTGATTCTGCCCTCTTCTTGATACATGGTATCTGACTCTGCCTGGTGGATTGTCGTTCCTGGAAAACGGGACAACCAAAAGGCTTCACGTCCTGGTGACTTGTTTCATAAGCATCACTTCCAGCCACATTCACAAGGCGGCTCGCTACTTGCTGACGCTTCTTCGTTATTTATCGAAGAAGGGTATATGTCTCTTTTTTTCGATATATGCTCCCAGCATTCTTGCCTTTTGTTCTTCTTGTATTAACACCTTTCTACCCCGCGGCTGGTCCTTAGCGATTTTTCAAAGCCATCTGTTTCTGTTGGCATTTCTTTCTCACTTCTCATCTGCCCTTGCCCTTTTTCATTCTTATTTTCTTCTTTGCGCCTTCTTCATTTTTCATTTTTCATTTTTTTTTTTTTTTTCATATACCTGGTCGGGGCATTTTAACGCGGTTATGCCAGAAAGTCGCACTAAGATGGTGATTCCCTTTTTGCTTGGTTTCAGGGTCGGCGGGATAGGAAATGTTTGCATATTCCCTTTGTGATGGTTTGTGTTTTGAGTCCTGGAGTTTTCAGTTTCTGATCTCTGCATTGAACTTTTCATTTGGCTTTGGTGATAAAGCTCGCTTTCTAGGAGTTGAAATATTCTCCTGCGGCGATGGAAGTTAGTAGAGTTACAATCTACAGGATTCACCCACGTCTTTTATTCTAAACGACTCCTAAGGGGTATCTTATATGTCTACTGTTTTGGGTCATTAAAGCCCCTCGGCGGAGGTGCCTTCAAGCCCTTTGACTCCCTCAAATAGCGCTCAACCCAAACCTCCATCTTTTCTAACGTGTTCCGCTTTCCCTTTGTTATTTCCTCTCCAACCCCATCCTTACACCAAACACTCCACGCCCCTATCTCTGACGCCATGAGCACATCCGTCCCTAATCGATCCCCAACTACAGCAATCTCATCCGCGCGCTGCACGACCCCCCGCTCGCGGAACCAATCTAGCACCTCCTTTCCACAAAACGGCTTCTTTTCAACAGCAACACCTTGCTTATCACTCTCCGGTAATTGAAAAACCGGAATTCGCAACCCAGCAAGCCGTTCCTCAATCTCGACCGCTTCGTCCTCGTACCGTGGATGACTACCCGCACGGTTCGAGACAATAAGTATTGAATCGGGCGCGGTGTTGATGTTGAACGGAGAGGTCGGGGAATTGCGTAGATCGTGCAGCTTCGAATAGATTTTCGAGGGGAATGAGCTTGTTTTCGCGGGACAGAGCGTGTTGTCCTTGTCGAGAATGAGGGCGCGAATTGTAATGTTGGCCTTGCTTTCGCCCTCTTTCCCCTGGGCAGGATATGTTGTTTGAAGCGCTGCGCCGATGTTCTCGGGGAGATGTGTGAATGTTGAGATGGTGAGATGAGGGAGGAATTTGGAGGGGGTTGAGAGGAGCGTTTGTACAGCGAGGTTGAAGGCGCGGAGATTGGTATTCGGAGGATTCATTTTGTATTGCACGAGCCGCAGATACTACCCTGGCATGCCGTTGTCGAGTCGCGTGAGGGATGCAGTGTCGTTCGGAGGTTGAGATGGCGGTGGAATCTCCAGAACCATAAAAGTCTTGGCAAAAACTCCAACTCAGACCAAATCCTCCGCCGACACCAAACTCCGCGCCAATCTCAGCTGCATCTCCCCTCGCTTTTTGGATTGCGGCCTACCGAGCTCAGCTTATTCACTCTCTTCACCTTTGTCGCTTTTCTCTTTGCGCAATCTCATAAACCACCAAAATGGGCAAGCTGACCAGCACAATCGGTATCCCGATCAAGCTTTTGAATGAAGCGCAGGTGTGTCTTCTACCGTCTTTAGCTCCTGGTCACGGCCTTATGTTTTCGAGGAGTATTAACACACCGTCAGGGCCATGTCGTCACCCTAGAAATCACCTCCGGCGTCGTCTACCGTGGGAAACTACTTGAAGGTGCGTTACCTTCCGCTCGACCTCTCAGAACCGAGTAGCTAACCAGACCCAGCGGAGGACAACATGAACGTCCAGTTGAAAGATATCACTGTCACAGCGCGCGATGGCCGCGTCTCCCATCTCGACCAGGTCTACATCCGTGGAAGCCACGTTCGGTTCTTCATTGTCCCTGATATGCTTCGGTGCGTCTCACCATTCCCACCTTTTTTTCAGCTATTTTTGTCGGTGCGGCCCAGAATCTAACCACTCTTTGCTAATAGGAATGCTCCCATGTTCCGCTCACGGGGCCAGCGCGGCAGAGGTGTTGGTCTTGCCCGTGGTAAGGCGACGGTGCAGAGGGCTCGGGGGCAGAGACGGGGGTAGTCGCAGGTTGGGGCAGGACAGGACAAGATAAGACTTTCCGAAGGGGTTTACTGGCGTTACGACTTTGCCTTTTTCTTCTGTTTGCAATGGAATGGACTCTGGTATAATGAGTGAAGGGTAAAACTAAATACTCGAATAAAATGGATTGAAAGGGCCAAAGAGCCGGGTTTGAGATTGGTATTTGTATGAAAGTATAGTACATTTTCCGATTTTGAAGCATATAGCAGCAAAGGTATCTTTGAAAACCGCAACCTTATGTTTCGTACTCTTAGAGAAAAAGTCGAGCAACCGGCATTCTTCCCACAGGTCATTTGGCTCCGAAGCTCCAGCTTTGCTTCTCCGCCACCTCCGCACAAACCACCATCTCCAATTACAACTCGACTCTTCATTCACAACCACTTTTGCTTCTCAATAATCTTCAAAGCCTCCTTAAACATGACATCAGAAACGCGAGAAGAAGCCGAATCCTTGAAATCCAAGGCCAAGGGGAAAGACATCCGCAACCCACGCCGCCTCCTCATCCTCTCCCCCTCCCACACCAACCTCACCGACTCACCGATTCCTTCCCTCCTACAGACACTCACTGGACACGCTGCCAACCCACCCACAGAATCGCAGAGCTTCGCCGGATACACTACACACCCGCCGCTTCGAATCGATAACCGTTATTATACAGCCGAAGTCCCGATCTGGGTTGACGAGATACCGACTTCCACCTCGACCGCGGCACCTTCTTCTACATCTGCGACGGGAGGACCAGAGTCTACAAAGGCCAACCCGAGTGCAAAATCGGAAATAGAAACCTCCGAAGGAGGAAAAGAGGGAGAAGAGCCGCCTTCCCAATGGGCTAGGGAGTTCTCGAGCGAAGAGGCGCAGGTTGTCCGGGATGCGATTGGGGCTGTTATGATATGTATTCGGAATCCCACCCCGCCGCCTGTGGCGCCGAGTCTGGATGGTCAAGCGCCTTCGCTGGCAGCTGAGACGGTCGATGATCGCGACGACGTTCGCGCGCTCAAGTCGTTCATCAATGCCATTGGCACTGTGCGGGCGCTGATTGAGGAGGAGCGCGGGGAGATTGGCGCCGTACCGGGTCTTCTAGTCCTGGACGTGAAACGGGATCAGCAAAAGAAGAAGAAAACGGAGGCGCTAAAGGAGGATGATTTGGACCTTGGTGTGGGTGCGGAGCTCGAGGATGGGTTCGATGATCCCTTCTCAGTTGGTTGGTGGGAGGATCAGCTTGTTGAAATGGGGCTCGTGGGGCTCGAGGTAATCGAGTGGGATTCTAGCCGGCCCGAAAAGGAGGAGGAGCGGAATAAGTATGGAGGTACGACTTTCTATATTGTCTGTGGAGGCGCGGTGCTAACGTGGGCAGAGCTCCAAGGTATGCGCCGGATAAAGGAGGTGCTCGAGACGCATGAGTGGGTTGGAAGTGAAGAGGCAAACGCAGGTCTTCCGGATGATGACGATGATCTAGAGCGAGAGCTTCTAGGCTTAGATGAAGGCGAAGGGTTCAATCTAGAGGTCAATGAGCTGGAACGGGAGATGGTAGGACTGAAATTTGCGATTGGGCGAGGTGGTGAGGGCGATGAGGATGATGAGGGAGACGAGGAGCTCAGAGTTGACGCTGTCGAAGCGCTGCTGATGCGCATGAGAGCTATCAAAGGTAAAACTTCCCTGGGTCTTCTCTAAGCATTCTGGGTTTGTTGTATACTAATAACAAACCCAGATATGAGTGATGAACTACCAGCCGAGGACCGGAAACGGTTCGCGGCCAATGCTGTACGGGATATCATGAAGGAAATCTAGCATTTGTCTTCTGATCTCGAAAAGTCTTACTCCGTACCGCTGTGCGGTCGACGTAGATCTTATACCCAACCTATCCATAGATATACATATACATACAATCATCCATTCCTTTTCAATCCACTCTATTGGTCTTTCTTGGCCTTGGAAGACTTGCGTCTCTGCCGGATCATATGCGTGTACAGCATGTACGAACCTAATGATATTAGTCAAGTCCCACGAAAGCTCACATTAGAAACATACCAGGCACATAGATACCCAGAACAACCACGATGAACCACCAGTACACCGGGTGCAGCTGCTCGGCATTCGGCAGCGCCCTCACGGACAAGATACACTCGCTGCTGATCCCAATAGGGTAGAGCACGTAAAACAGATTGTATCTCATCCACTGCCACCACGAGGGCACAGTCTCAATCCCTCCATTCACCTGCATGACAAAGAACCCATACCGGACACACTCTGTCACTCCCCACGCCAGCAAGCATCCAAGGTACGCGTACTCGCCAATGTTGTCCGAGCCGATGATGTTCTCATTGAAAGGGTAAAGGACACCCCAGACGAGGAAGATGCGACTCGCGACCTGCAGCGCGGTGGTGAAGAGCGGCGCGCGCACGAATCCGATGAGACTGTGGAGGATTTCGAGAAGGGCTAGTGACTGCGTGACTTGGAGCAAGGGCGTGTAGGTTTCGGCAAAGATGGCGGGAACATCGAATCCCAGGCTGTTCTCGATGGCCTGGTTGATGAGCAGGCGGAGCGTACGGAATGTCAGTGTTGACCAGAGGAAAAAGTTGACGGCATTGTAGGCCAGGAGGTATTGTCGGACGATGCCTGATTGCGCGGGTTTGGGCTTGGAGGCCGTGGATTGCGTGGTGGATACCATTGGGGCGAGAGGTCGCGACCGGTTGTTCGTTTGGGTGTTTGATGAGGAGGACGGAATGACCCAGGGTGTCAAGGTTATAAAGGAGGTGCCCGGGAGTTGAGTGTTGAGAAATTTAAACACGTGGGTGTCTTGGGGGCTTGGCGTTGAATTGCCCTATTGTTGAGGCTGCCCACTGCAATGTCGGCGCTCAAGGATAAGGTTGCGGGGTTGCGTTTCACGGCAGCAGGTAGTTAGGTAGTTGTAAGTATGTCGCGAGGCTAGAAAATTTTGAAGCCAGACTCCCTTGAGTTCGTTGAGTAGATTCTCCCTCGGTATACTCCGCCAAGCTCCAGCCCTGTCGCGTTAATGCGGCTGCCATTGGCTCGGCCTTCACTTCCGGCGGTCTCGATAGGCAAATACCTCGGGTGTCAGTGCCCAGTAAATATTTACAGCTACACCATGGACCATACGTTACGAGTACGAAGTATACTTGTTTGCTTCGGGGTACATTCTTGCGACATGCGACAGACCTCTGATTCCAACCTATCAGCCCCATCTAATCATGACTTGCAGAATTGGCGATGAACCGGATGAGCAAGACGACCCACTGTTTTCTGTTGAATAGACCCCAAATCCAGGGCCAATGGATGATATGCGTAATCCGATTTGATGTGTCTCATGAGTGGCTTCTAAGAGCATCCGTGCATGATGCGAACTAATTCTGGAACGTTTGGCCGATTGGTCTTGAGAGACAACGCGAGAGGCTCGAAACCTTAGGATGCTCGCTGATCTGGGAAGCCGTATAGACTGCACTCAAGAGGTGAGGATGTTTGTTCGTTCCTTACAAAGCACAATGTCTCAAATACGGTGGTGTGGCTCAATATTTCAGGATAGGCTGCGGCTTCGGTGCATTGTCCAGGAGATACTCGAGTGTAGTAAGCCCAGAGTAGAACGAGGCGTTACCTCTTGCTCTTAGAGCCGACAGAAATGTGTTCTAGGCCTATGGTTACCGAATCAGAATGGCAGGCTGGATTTCTTTTGAGCCATGAATCTGAAACATGTTATCAGTAGCAGGAAGGGCAAGCTTCATTGTTAGTCTTCTCCATTCGGCAGGGCGGGTGATGAGAATAGAGGAAGCACCATAAAAAGGTAGGTACCAGCTCAAGAACCAAACAAACTGTTGATTCAATCAAGAGCTGCCCATTTCTGGTGTCTGCTTTCGCCGCACGTCTTTTGCAATAATAATGATGCACAATGGGTCTTTTCTTGACTAGTAATACCGTACTTCGTGAGGGGCCAACTGTCGCAGCTGACCGAAGGGGCGGCAACTAAAATACTCCGTAATTTATCGACGGAGAGAGTTTATGCAGCCTGATGTCACTGCTCGGTGGAACTCCCCAGCCTCGAGTCCTCGAGTCCTCGAGTCCTTTCGATCACATTTGTCTCAGTATAGGCGGGATGAACTTCCGAGCCGACTAGCAGAAAGGGACACTGGAATGGTATGCTGCTTAGATATCAGGACACCGATGGATTAGAGGCAGCCAATGTTCTGAACTTCTAGGTTGATTCAGGTACTCGATTGAGGAAAAATGGCTTTGTCGAGGCCCAGCTCCGAGCTATATACGTACGGAGTAAGGCATGTTCAATTTCAGACCGATAAGGGCTTGGCCTGATACGTATCCCCCAAAACAGCCTCCCGCGAGACTTTCCGAGACCCCATCTGGACCCAGATATTGCAATAAGGTCAGCTAATCAGGTTAGACACGAGATTGTAACTTGGAGAACAGCAGAAGTCAAATTGGATAAGTGGAAGCAGTTTGGAAAACGGCCCAAGCTTTGGCGCACTTGGCAGTCCCTCTCATTTGTCAGCGGCAGCCACACATTGGCATTTTGGAAGTCCCACTATGATGTCACTAGCAGTGCAACCATATCTGATTGGGCAGGTCCATTATTGCAGTTCATGGGATGGATCGCTTCAAGTTCAACCCCACGAGGGTGGCCTGAAGACCCCAGCGTGCCGAGAGGAGATTCGACTGCATCAAAGATGCATCTCAAGTTGGAATATTGTCCACAGATTGCGAGGCAAAGAAGAGTGGGCTTTGACATCGTCTTTTATGCTTCAAAGACCCCGCATTATATCAGCGGGAGGGTATGACGAAATGACAGACGATAAATTTTTTCCCAGCCAACAGCATCTCCTAAAACGTGCGAGAAATGGACGGTCCCTAAGGGGCTAGAACTTTTGACGGTGATGCTGTGACGGTGTTTGTCGACAGGGTCCAGAATTTTAGCGAAAACGAGACATTTTTTTCCCGGGGGGCTGGGCTGCGCACAAGCGAGTCTGAGTGCAGTCACTCTTGCTTGGGGACGTTGATCAACCATGGGCAATGGGGTCATATCCCTGGAGCAAGAGTGCAAGCGATCAATGATGAAACACAGATGATGTTAGGAACCAGAAGGTTTCCACGTGTCCAGCGGTTAATACTTCGTCGTAGTCAACGCTCGAGGCCAAAGTCAGGTGGTGGTGCACAGGCTGGCGATGGTGGAGATCGACATCGTCGTGGGGATCGGCGCCAAACGACATCATACGTCAGTCCGGGTCCGATGATTTCAGCGTGCATTCAGCTCGGGGAACAAAAAAAGCTCCCCCTCGAGATACGTCGACTTCTGAACTCGGACTATATTATTAGACACAAGTAGTAGCGCCTTTTCTTTTTCTCTTCCCCCATTCTCTCTCGAGTCAACCCGCATGATAAGGCTTCTCGGGTTCCTTCTGACAGTTGCGCGATGATGCTGCCCTGGGATGACCTCACGCTACTCCACCATACCAGGCCAATCGTTCCCCTCTCCTGACGGTGGGCTCTCGGACAGCACGGCACGAAAGGAACGGTTTTCTCGAAGATAGATTCGAAGGCGAACTCCCTTGAGGGTGCAGCCTGAAACATGACTGACATGTCGTGAGGATGATCGCGGATCCATGGATTGGATCTCCGAGAAGCAGGGCATGATGAATGTCGAGGAGGCTGACCACCGGAATCCGATGACGCCAGAGAGTAGCGGCGCTCAAGATGTGACCCGCTCTCGTTTTTCTTCAAATAAATTGTTTAGACGCAGTCAAATGGCAAACTGCCAGTGCCAGCGGGTGGGCTCCAAATGTTGGGTCTGTGTAAAATGTAAATCTCACGATAGCAGTTCCTCGTACAGTAACATCCGAAGCGATTGAACTGTTTATCGAAAGTCCGCCAGCCCACTTGGCTCCTCTTCTTCCTCTCCTCCCCGTCCATATTTTTTCTGGTTCCTCCCAACCTCGCAGAAAGGGGGGAAACGGTAAAATCTGGCAGCGAAAATTAAGACCTCCCTCCCGCACAGTCACCCCATCGTCACCTTCACTCTTCCCTTCGTCCTCTCTTCTCCTGGCGGTCCTCCTTCTATTGGCCCCTGCCACACCGTGATTCTCCTCCTCCATCTCCTATACAGCTTAGCTGCTGTCTTTTATTCTCCCCCTCTCTCCTCACAACTCCTCCCCAATCTTAATCCCACTGCGCTTCCGCTTCCCGCTATCAGATTTGCAACGATATACCCAGCCTACTTGACCCCAAGCGTTTTCGTCCAAGGCTGCATCCAGGTGGGAGCTCTTTTTCCTCATCTTTGATTACATACCCACCCCTCCTCCTCACTCTCTGCCGGTTTGTCCTTCTCACTTTTTCCACCCTGCATGCTGGCACCCTCCCCATAACTGGATCGCCGTGGCCTTCTGTATCTTCTCTTCAGCCATTATTCCTGGCCCGCCCTTCCGCCTCGCCAGACCACCACTTCATCTCCATTATTCCTTGACGCCCCACCACAACACCACACAGACACTTCTCTCTTGCCCTCCCGATCCCTCCCCTCAGCCCAGCTCCTCTCTTCTGGCTACTCTTCTGGCTGCTGCCGTTCTTCCCAGCTATACCTGAGGTGAATCCTACTCCCTACAAACTAACCCGTGTATAATCCGCTTGTACCCCGAGTCTCTTCTCGCGCATCCGTGATGGCTTCCCTCGTAATAACCTTATTGCGTAGGGCAGGCAACGTGTATATCGCCCCGGGTTTGAGTTGTTGTAATGTCGCCATAAAGTTCGTGGATCAGCAAACTGACATGTCTTTGAACCAGCAGACTCGCTCAGTGTAATCACATTATTCAGTGTCCACTGAGTGATTTTTTACCGTCTGGATTATCTGGGATACAGTGGCTTTTTTTGCCCCGCTTTCCAGGCCTGAACATACAACCGAGACATAAACTTGGCGGTTGTCGTTGCGCAGTTCTTGTTTCTTTGAACATATCATCACATTACCATAATCATGGCGCCAACCGAGACCACCACCAAAGCCAAGGAGGAGCCTGTGCGTTCTCCCAACCCCCATCGCTTGCCTTTCCATTCACTCGGAGCTGACCTCGGGGTAGCCCAAGCCCACCAAGCCCACCAAGCCCAGAACTCTTGCGGACATGGCAGACAGCATCGACCAAGAAACATTTAATCAGATCCTCGAAATGGACGAGGAAGGTGAACATGATTTCAGCCAGGGCATTGTATACGGCTTTTTCGAACAGGCCGAAACTACATTTGAGAAGATGGAGAAAGCTTTGTGAGATTTGACTCCCCGTCACTCATTATCCGACAAACGCAATGCTAATAACGATTGATGCAGGGATGATAAGCAACTGAAAGAGCTTTCGTCTTTGGGGCACTTCCTCAAAGGCTCCTCAGCAACTATCGGACTTACCAAGGTCAAGGATGCGTGTGAGAAGATCCAGCACTATGGAGCAGGAAAGGACGAGACAGGCAACACTGACGAGCCTGACGAAAAGGTCTCCCTTGACAAAATCAAGAAGACCATCGAGACGGCGAAGAAGGATTACAAGGAAGTAGAAGCTTTTCTGCGGGAATACTTTGGTGATGAGGCGGAGCTGGCATCCTCTTCCTAGGCTTGAGAGAGTTTGAATGAACTGGATATACCATGATTATACCACCACAGGGCGGCGCCACCCACACCCACGCTCTTGCACGCCCTCGCGCATACTCCTTTTTTCCCACCACGGACAATGAGATTCGAGATACCGAGGAATGGTTGATATCTCCAGAAAAAGCAACGGCAGCACAAGAAGATAGCCATCCAGGCGTGTCTCTCACTTTCACTGGGCAGTGCTGTTTCAGCGGCTGCTCGATAGATTTGTATGAATCAAGGAGTTTGCCAATGCTTTTGAGGTAGATGTTAGGTCCTGTCTAGCTTCCCACCCGCGGCAAGCGTCTTATGAGCCGTGATAAGTCTCATACACAGTGCCTTGTGACGTTCTGGGGGTAAGCATCAGACAGAAGTAGTCGAGACTGGCATTAACACGATGATGAATTTTGACCGTAATGACAGTACCTTCTCACACATAGTCAGAGATGGCATGATTGTTGAGCTCGTTTTACTGAACAATCTCAGACACAGCAATTCGGCTTTGCTGGTGGGACGGGAGGAGGAGACATGACCAGACGAGGGAGGTTCGGTTAAGTACTGTGCAACTCTCGCCTCACCTCGTCCACAACCTGCACTCTCAACCACCAGGTAGTTCTCCATTGGATGCCTCGTCTCTTCCCAAGACGGATTCGCTCAAGCTCTCCAACCTTGAAGTACCATCCTCCATCCTCTTTCTTCATTTTCCATCAAACGAGCTCTCCCTCGGACCTTTTTCTCCTCGAACTCATCAACGGCCTAGCCATAACAGGGATATTCCGAATTCAACCAGAGTGTTTGTTCTCCATCCGAAGAAAAGCACGACGCCGATGGAGGGACGGGCAGAGACCTCGTCGTCCGCTAGCACTCCCAGTCCGTGCGGGATGCTGAGGGTCGCACAGCAGCCGCTTTAGCGGGAGGCGATCGACAGGGAGCTTCCGAGGAGTTTGCTGGCAAGTTGCGACAACACATGAGGAAGATGGCTTTTTTACGGGTTCGATCGGCCGGAATTGATAGGATTGACTGTTTTGAGGAGCAGTGTGATGTGTTTAGAAAAGGTTCGTGCGTTGGGGCCTGGGAGAAAATTACAGACGAAGGATGCTCTTGAAAGAGCTCGCGGATGAGGCCTTCGGATGGCTACAGATTGTCAACAGCTTTCTTACCTCGAACACCCCTCCTCTCCTCCACCTCCCCCAGCTGATTACACTTCTCTTTCTTTTCTTCTTGAGCAGCCCTAATTGAGACCCGCAGTCAATCCACTGATTGTCCACATCGTCGCAGGGAAGGACAGCAACGGCGCTGCATGCATGCATCCCAGTCACAAACGCAACAAGCTTCCCCCTCCCGCCCCTCGAGTGCGAAATGATCCATACTGGGCATGCGTCGGCACCCTTGAAACACCATACCTAATTGCCAATACGACTGCATACATATCCCCGTCTGCGAGACAGACAGAAAGACAGTCCAAAAAAAGTTCATGGAGCGGCTCGTTGGCAGGATCAGTCCACTCTCTCCTTTTTTTTCTTTGCTGGCTGCATTCGAGGCCGTTTGTGCGACGTTTCTTGCCTTCTTTAGGAAATACTCACCGTCCCAGGCCATGTCTTTGGCTGATCGTGTGTCCCTGATCTTTCAGTGTGGTGTGGTATTTAAGTTTGGCGATGGCTTTCCTCTTAACTCAGCTAATGTTGCCATCTTGACCTTCCACAACAGCCTCCCCATAGTACTGGATATCCGCGGCATTCATTAGAGGCGCAATATACCCTCCTCACCACCTCGACAGAAATGCCGTCGGTAGGCCCTCGTGCCTCAAAGGAGGAGTTCATGCAAGCACTAGGGCTCAGCTCCCATGACCCCCAACATGAGCAATTCTACAGAGCAATGCGAGTATGTGCAACACGCCACCCTCCTTCTCTCCGTTGTATCCTCTCCTTCTCAGTTGAAGCTGGGAATGAGATGCATGAAATCCCCTTCTTGTCTTGGCGATTAAAAAATGAATCTAGGACGAAACCATCGCCGTATACAACCGCTTAAACGAAGACCCTTCTAACCTCCTCGACACCGTCGCCGCCGATCCATCCACTAAACCCCCTTATTTCTGGCACCACATCAAACCCGAGCGACAACAATGGGCCGTCCGAGAGATTGCGCAGAATGCGGGGCCCCGGACGCGGCCGCTATTTGCCCGCGGCGAAGTCAGCGGCGAGTACGGTCCAAACTGGGTAGCCGGATGGTTGCTGTACAGTGTGTTTCGGTCGAGGGATGTGCGCAACAACCGTAACCGAAGAAAGGGAGAGGATTCAGGTACGTTTCCTCACTTGATCTCTTATACTTGTATCAGCCGTCTAATATGATAATCTTGCAGGACAAGCGTCTCGACAGTCGAAGCAGAACGATACCGGCCAGCCGAAGAAGGAATACTACGATCCGGTGCGGAACGGTTAATGGATTATGGACGATGGATGATCGAAATCAAGTGACGTCTGCTTTGGAGGAGAGCATAGCGTGGGCAGTGCAATGACTCGATGTTCTTATCTTTCTTTATCTTACTTCATCTTCGTCTCCTTCATCTTCCCCTTATTTGCCCCTTTCTTCTTCTCCATCTTCTCCTCCTCCTCCTCCTACTTCTTCTTCTTCTTCTTTCTAGAATGCAAGCGCAATTGGAGTTGGATTAGTATTTGTGCGAGAGCCAAAAGCTGTTGTTCTTGAGCTGCATATAGGCCCCGGAGTTCTATCAATACTGAGTAGTACTATCAATAGTAACTAACGTGGAACGATCAAAGGGCTCCTGATAGTTTGGTACCTGCTCCGATTTCGGCAGGTGCACTTCATTGCCCATATAGGAGGCTACGGAGGCTACGGCCACAAACATGCATAGGGACACAAGAGGCAAGAGCGACCAGGAGTTATGTCGAACACGGCAGGCACCACGCATGTCCTCCGCGACGATAGAGATCCAGTCTCATTCGCTCCTTCCCCGCTTAAGTACTATTGTAACCTACTAGATCGCGAAGCATACAATCTCCATTGAGATTTAAACCATAACTTTCTCCGACGCTATTAAAACGTTACCTGATCCTGATAAAATATGTTATCGCCATCAATCGTGTTGTACAGCTTTCACTTGGTTTAGCTTCATCAACCGTAGACCTAAGAAGAAGATGGGTGTAACAAGGAGAAGGAGAAGGGAGTGATCTAAAAGATGTTGTTGATGACACGAACAGAAACGAGCGGATAGTAAGATAGCTAGGTACTTGTTATGGAGCGCTCAGCATTTCAGATAGTCCGGTAGAGCTGGGCAAGCATCTAAATAGTAAAGTACTCCGCATGTCGGGTCGGCGTGGTATCTGGAATCCTCGGCTCTGTCTCCGATTCTCCCCAGCTCGGCCTTCTATAACTGCGTAACTGATTGGGAACCTCGAGGCGTTCGGCAAGGGGCTTGGAGGGGTCGTTGGCGCTGATCGTGAAAAAATCTTGAGGATCTCGCTCGCCTTGATACGCCCGTTTAGGATTCCGCGAAGATTCACATGATCCACTTTCTCCAGTTGGTCATATACACAGTCCCAACAGTGCGTCTGTTCATCCTTTATCCAGTCAGCAACGGCATCCGTGTGTACTGCAATAACCGTCTGGTCAATCCCGTATTGCTTGTCAACGAACAAGTATGGTGGGCAGCAATGGCCCTCCTCTCCCAGCTCACAGAACATCTCCCAAATGTCTCCAATCGTCCCGACAGGAGCACTAGCATTGCCGCCACGCCAGGGTATTACTTTCTTCGAGATCTCATCAGTATCCGACTTCGAATTGTAGGTTTTCAATTTGTTCTTTGGTGAGGTCATTTGTCAGACAGAATAACGAGAAGCATTTTGCCCAGCGCAGCCAGAGGAGTTGCATTCCTTGACAGTAGCAAAGCAGCTGTAGTCGGCATAGAATTTTCACATCGGCCGCATTGACCGAATCGGGCACTTGGAGCTGTTGCTTTTTCACTGTACTCGTGAGCACTCTGGCTCCAAATGTCGAGCATTGGAAGCCCTGCGAGACATGAAGGATCAGACGTATCGAGTCAGGACCGAGTTTATTTCTCCATATAAAGTCGGTCTGACCGCTGCCGGGGTATACACTACCAGTGCGGTAATCTTCTAAACGTGGGTGCTCGGGTTCTCCATGAACTGTGGGCAGGCAAAAATGTACTCCGCAGCGGCGCGGGAACGATTTATGGAACTGCTTCATGAGCCGTTCCAGGTCAAGGCACGTTGCGGTATGGTTATAAAACCATGGAATCAGGTGCAAATGGGAATATTCCAGCTCATCACTGTCATCAAAGGTCTTCCTTTCTCTTGGTTTATCTCAACATTGAGCACTGATTCAGGGTGTGTGTCGCTCTCATTCGATCTATAACATTTATCAACCTGTCGATCAACTTCTGCTTGGATATGAGACTTTAGACGAACACGAATGTCCTCTGCCAAGGGACTTAGCAAGAGAACATACATCTTGCAGCAACTTGAATATGTTGGATTGTTGAACGCTCGTCCGCCTGTATCGTGCAGCAGGCCAGCGATCCGGTCTATTATCTCGAGCGGCAGAGGCGTCATCTGCAGTAAGGGTTTTCCTAACAAGAGTCTCTAGCTCCTCACGTCCCGTGATAGACACATCATTCGGTGTAAAGGCAGCACGACCGGGATTTGCCAGCTCAAGACCGTAATCTTCAGGGTGATTATTAATGCAGAGGGAAGGCTGATTGAGACCTTCACTAGTGGTCGACTGTGGTTTTGAGGGCGTTGGCCAGAACATAACGAGCACCACGGTCAGGCTCTCATCCTCGAACTCAAGCGATTCACCCCGAAGTTGACGCTTCGTCAGCTCATCAGCGATAATAAAGTTCTTCCATCCCATCCGCCGGGCGAGAACGGCAACCCCATAGATATTTGCCTTACTATCCTTGTAGTAACGCCGGAAGATGTATCTGTGCTGGTCGACGAAAGGCGGGAGAAGTGCAGACCTTGGTGGACGCCATATCTGGGTTGATGCTGCTGGTCCGCTTTCATCTCTATCTCCGATTGCTGTCTGGAGGGAGCTCTATAGGCGGGTTTCTACGGAGAAGCTCAGAGCTATCAGGGTGCTCGAGGAGCGTAGTCTACCCCCTCCTAGTACTCGCGGTAGACCGTACTTGGGAAGGCTTTCGGAGTTGAGTAGGAGCGGTGTCGTCATCTTGCATTATTTTGTATGGTAATGATGTATCAATGGCTTTTCGGTAATCGAAAAGGCTTGGTTCTAGAAGAACTTTTCGTGGTATTGCAAAGGGCAAAGGTGAAGCCGGAGAAGGTGAAGAGCGGGTGATTAAGAGAAAGGCGGGTGAGGCATGGGACAGAAGAAGTCTTGGAATGAACACCTAGGGCATGCGAGATAGTAGGATATTATTAGCAGCATTTAGATAAAAGAGCTTTGCTATAGATTCATAGACAGAGGAAAGTATAAGTACAGATAATATATACACTCTAAAACTGGTCTAACCATCAGTCATCTCGCTCCCGTTTACCGTCTGAATGCTCGTCTTTGTCATTCCTCTGGTTCCGCTCTTGCTTCAAGACCTCGATGACACGTTCGTCTTTCTCGTCCAGCTTCTCATCCCATTCAGTGTCGTAATCAGCCGAAATCGTCTTGATCTCCCGGCGCAGCGCATTCGCTTCATAGATCAGGTTCTCCCATAGCTGCAGGTCCACTCCTTTTAGTTGATACAGTTTCTTTTGGCGCGCATTGATCGTGAAGTCAAGCGCAGACCGGTACGATATCTCGCGATTGTGATAGAGGAACCAAAGGTAGCCTCCCATCAGGGTCGACAAACTGGCTAGGTACGTGATTGGTTCCATCGTGTCCCAACCCAAGTCCGTCTCGAATGTCAATTTATAGACAAGATACCACCAGGAAGCCAACACTCCGAATCCACCAAGAGCCACGCGCTGCGCGCCGCGGTGCGCCAGCTTGTCACACTCGTGTTTGATCTCTGCAATTGTGCGGATTCGGTCTGATATCTTTCGTAGCCGCATGCGAAGGAAATGTGTCCGTTCCTCGAACGAGGGAACCGTTATCCTGATCTGGTCGAGTCCAGCGGGTGCGCCCTCGATAGCCACAATAAATTCTCCTGCACGCGCAGCATCCCGAATAAAGTCGCCAATTTCTGTTGCATGCGACCATCGCACATATCGTTGATCTGTGCCTTCTCCATTGTTGGGCTGTGCCTGCCGGAGGGAGCTATACGTGTCGAGTTCTTCATTGGGTGGCCGAGTCTCTTCAGGATGGCCTTGCCCTTTGTCATCTGCGACGGCCACCTCCTCGACTTCCATTTCCTGGGACGGGTCAACAGAAGATTTCTTGCCCTTGCTGCGCGCTTTCCGTGGACGAATCGCATGTTCTTCAAACTGAAAGGCGATAAACGACACCCCTGGTCGTCTTTCGAATCCATCTTCCTCGATTGATGACAGCTCTGCTTGAATCAGTCGTTCCAGATACGATAACGGCTGTTGTGAGTGGACAAGTATAGCGATGGTTTCGACATCTAAATTGAAGTTAGAACTATCAAGCCTTGCCACTAACTTTCCAGGACTTACCACTAGGGTTATCAGTCGGTAATGGTATCAGAAGCTTGAGCAGCCTCGACGGGGTAGTCAACAGCTTGCCTGTTAATATATTAGCTTCCGAACAGCCAGCAGATGCTCTCGCATACATACCCTTTTCCGGCTCCTGGCCAAAACTATCCCTTGGATAGGTTTCGCGCCGCGGCTTACCCTCTCCCTCACCACGCCGCTCAGCCCCATTCTGCTCATATGGGCTACTCTTTCGGGTCGCCATCCACCTGTTGTGCTCAGAGGTCATCCGCTGTCGATACGGTACCTGATTCAATATCAAATGCGTATGCAGCCGTCCAAGCTCAGCGGGTGCACTCCCGCTCCTCATTACCTCAGATCGCACACCCCGCCTCCATTGTTGTAGCTCCGACAGCACATGTGTGAGACGCAATGCCCCATAAAGACCCCGTCCGCAAAACTGTAAAGCATGCGTATGAGGTATATTCCGTCTACCCATGCCCAGATCGCGTAGTATCATCGAAGCATAGCGGGTCCCTGAAGCCAGTTGCATCTCTCAACTCTGGAAGTACCTGGTGATCGGGAGCACGCGCGGAGAAGAGTGCGGGGAAGAAAATCGTCCGTAGTATCTTGCTAGTTGCTAGGATAAAGAGCAAGTCGCTGGAAGACAGATCCTATATGTTAGTGTCTCTCTGAAAATGATGTCGCTCCCTCAATTGAGGGTCAAATTGAGGAATTGGCCATGCGCCAGTTTGTTGTTCTGATGTGCCTTGTCTGGGGATGATTCAATCGGTGATGTCATGATGACTCAGCCACACGGATCGTGTCTTGAACCATGGTCAGAGAACACACAGTCAACAATACCGGGGTTCGCCTGAATGGTTGCCCTGAGGTGGATAATAATGGGTTTAAAGTACAAGTACTAGTAGCTTAGGCTCTTGGGGCTTAGTGGAGCTCGAATATTTAGAGTCGTGCTTTTTCCTGGCCAACACTATATATTTCCAATGGTACAACCAACAATTATTTAGTCAATAAAGGACTTGGAAGAACTCTAGGAATGTTCCTAGCAAAGTACCTGCTGATGAAGCTAGAAGATATCAAACTGTTTAATAGAAACAGAGGCAATTTCTGACACAATATCTCTTATATAAAAAATAGAGGCAGATCGCTGGCCACCACGACGCATAATCATGTGTACATTGGAATTCTGTCAGCCAGCAGACCAGATTCGTCTCTCCCTTTCCACAGTAAAGGAGATGATGCTGATAGTAATAACGGCTAAAGACAGGCAAGCAAATCTGGCAATCACAGTAAAGGAATGGGGTCATATCGATCTATAGGATATTCAGGTCATGTCGTCAATCATAATTCATCACAGGCGTGTCGTCTGCCGTCCAATTGCTCATCTCTCGCCCATCTCGCCAATTCAACCTCCCGTGTTCTCGCCGTTGTTCCCTGCGCGAGATGAATGCGTGGAAACTTGAATCGCTTACAAGTCCCGGCTGCTGAATGCAAGCGCCCTCGGCGGGCCAACCGATCGCCGGTCACGACCCAGTCGCCCGCCTTCGTAGCTCTCAGGGCTGCTTCCTCCGCTTCGGCTGCCCTCGCTCGTCGACATGTCACTGTCATCTGCGTAGCGGGATCTTCTTCCCTTGCCGATGGCTACGGGGATCCCCTGTACGATCCCGCCGTGGTCGTGGCCCGCCGGATACTTGCCATCATTGACGGAGAAGTTACGACAGATGAGATAGGCCCGCATGGCTGCATTTTCTTGAGCCAGGGTATCAGAATCGCAAACAATATCCGTCTGGTACTCGCGGTTGTTAACACGAACGATACAGGTGTATCCCGTAGTGCTGGCGTAAGATTCGTAGATCGGCTCCGGCCAGTGACGGCGTCGGCAGAGACCTGCACAATGGTTATTGGATACTGGACGTGGGACATTATTTTAGGCGTTCTGAATCCCAGCCTGAAACGCCAATGACAACAATTCTCCGAGATATCAACAAATCATACAAAAGAAAGATAAGATGGCCGCCCTTCATCTTATCCTAATGACGGTTTGCTGCTTTTCCGGGCTGTTGAAGACAACAAATTCGCAATTACAACAATCAACAACCCTCGTGGACGAGGCGCAAACGACGCGAGGGAGCCCAATAGGGACAGCACATCGGCAGCACGAAACTTGATGCAAAAAAAAAAAAAAAACAGGAGAACTACATACTCGCAAGGTACAGGACATAGTACATCCCGATCGAAGTGAGGTAGATGCCCAATAGATTGTGTGGCGTAAGACGAAGCTGGGTCAGTATTCGCTGCCTCCAATCTCTCGAGACTGCACAAAATTTCGGCAATCTATATTGAGTGTTGTTTGTTGATGCCCAACGGCCACGTTTCGCTGCAATAATCAAAGGTCCACGACAGGGAGTTCAATCGAAGAGGCTTAGGATAACTAAGATCAAGCAAAGAGACGGGAATCCACAAGAGATTTGAAGCTAACAACCCTAGGAAGGCAGTAGCACACCCTGCAAACGCGGGAGACGAGGGGAAAAAAAAGAAAAGGTAGGCGATTAATATCATGTTAGCTAGGTCTCTTGAGCTCAAATAAATCAGGTGGGGTCCATGAATTGGCGGGCAAGAGTAAATGGCAATACTGCAGTAAGAACAAAAAAAAAATGGAAGGCGAAAAGGCAAAAGAAAATAATAAACGGTATTGAAAAGCAACGGTTTTCGACCGGAGCAATGGGGTTGCTCCACCAAAGTCCGTGAACGCAGACGAAGAAGAGGAGGCCCAGTGTGGTCCTACATCGTAAAGTTCCCTAGCTTCAATCGACTTGTTGTCTTTCTGTTTGGAGTTGAAACCCTGATGTGCTGGCATAGCTTGTAGCCAGTGGTTCAGCATGAAAAGATCAGGATGTACCGACCCATCTGCCACGGTGTAATTCGCCGCTGATCTAGGCGGAGAAGATTGACATGGTGCTCAGGATTGCCTGGCCAAATCGGCCATCTCGGCCTTGTCCAATTCCTGCAGACGATTGCCGGGTCCCTTGGTGTCATCCTTGGATTTTTTTCCTTTTTCCCTGGGAGTGCAGAAAATGCTGAGGAAGAGAAGGATGCTTCGAATTGCGCAGAGCATATGAAAACAATGGAGTCGGTGTCCTAGCGGGATGGAAGCAGGAATCAAGCAATGCTTGCACAAAAGAGAATCAATTAGGATTAGCCCCTCGAGAGTCCGCTAATGCAGACAATGGTAACAATTCACAACGAGGGGTTGGCTCATGTCACGCAGAGAAGCCCTGGTTGAATTCCCCGGATATCCACCAATATTATGGGTGAATAATTATCTTGAGGAGTCAGCGCGATTTAATCATCAGTTTTTGCAAAGGGAACCGGCAGCAGGTCCCATTTATAGCTCGGGTCGTGCTCCGAGTAAGAGCCCTCTTTCTTGGAAGATTTGGATGACTTGTTCGACTTTCGACGGCCGGCGTACGATGTACGGAATCGATGGTGGTCATTGAATGGTAAGAATTTTAGACCGGGAAGAAGACGGGGACCAAGGAAAGGAGCAATGGCAACATTTCCGGACCGTAAGAACGCAAAAGAGCATTGACACTCGTGGCCCGACAATTCCTGGGTGGCACGAGAAGCTACAATGCAAAAAAACCGAAGGAGCTCTGAATTGCTAATCGGTGAACCAAGGTCAGATTGGCCCAGCCATGGCTCGTTATTGACGTTGACGGGCAGGCATTCAGATGCAATGATGAGTTGGCAGTTTCGCTTGCTTCGCGCGGCGGGGAACCCATGCCACCTTTCTACTCGAGGTGGAAAGGAGAAGGAAGATTTAAACCTTGCAGCGGCATTAGCATGATCCTTTCTCCTGCCCGTTGATATCCTGGGAATATCCAGTGCACCCTTAAGGAGACACGCCAACCTCTGTTCTGTCTTCAGCCTCGATTTCCCCTTTTGCTTTCGGGAGGGGCTGGCTGCGGCGAGTTGCAGTGCTCGAGTTTGAGTGAATTGTGGATGATACATATTCGCCTCTTGTGAATCAAATAGCGCCCGTGAGGATGACGTCCGCTGGCCTTCTCTAGAGGCTTTGTGCATGAGAACTAGGCCCGAGCCGGTAGGAAATTTGATGGAGTTTTAAAGAAAGACATGTGGGAAGGATGGGAGGCTGAACTGACTCGGCGGATCGGGAAAGTGACCTCGGAGAAACAGGGGAGGAGGAGGGAGGGGGGGGGGTGTAGGAAAAAAGAAAGGAATTGATGATGACCTCTGGTTGGTCCCTGACGGACATGACTGAGAACGCCCCCGAACTGACCTACTGGGAGCACATGACAGAACAGGGAAATCGATAATAGTAATATATAAGCGTATTTCTCTTCAAACTAACCATTTACTACCACTAGACTTGTTGCTCCTGTCGTTCGTGCCTTGCCGGTTGGCAGTACACGGACAGTGAGCGCTGGGAAATTTATGGTACTTGGTATCTGTTATAGAGAAGCCATGTGAACTGCCTGATGAACACAATCATCGTGCTTGATACGTGTGAATTGCTCATCTTATCTTAAGTGCTTCCTATCCTGAAATTCAAACATCTAGAGGCCTATTTTCACACCAAAGACGCATCCTCTCGGCACTGTTATGAGGTATAACATATAACGGGTGGAACGCTGCCAGACGGTCATTCTCGTCGAACACATTGACATCCGTACCATGGCCTTCCGGATTTCGAACGGGGACATATTTCCATGAAAATGCCGCGGAGAATTCTGCCTTGGAAGTAGCACTGACGTCCGTGTGGTAATGCCGATACTGCACTGAACTGAGGCCTGTGAGGGTGTAGCATGTATGGTACGAATCGGGATGTCTTCAATAATTAGTGAGCTTGCATGTACCTCGTATGAATATAGGAGTTTCGACCTACTTTCCAGGCTTGTCGCGGAGGCCTCCATTTGTTGCCTGACAACAACCAAGGATATATCTCGTCAGCCCTTCTCGACTATAGAGATTTCCGACAGCAGATTCCTTGTAGGACGCAGCTGTTTGAGTTCCGTCCAAGGCAGATTGGATCAGAGGCCAGCAGCTCCCAACCCAATGACTGTAGCACCCGTCCACCAGCTTATTGGTCCTCCCAGCGAAACCTCCTTCAGGTGCATATTGTCGAGCAGAAAGCCAAGAGAGAAGTAACGGAACGTCCATGCATCTGCTATGGTTAACATCCAGCGGATCAATAGGTATGTCAGCCGTCTTACTTGAGAACCGTAGCCTCAGGCTGGCCAAGGATGCATAGGCACGCCAATGCACAGAATGCGTAGGCGCCATGCGCTTCCGTACCGGGGCTGCCGGAAATCCCACCTTCAAACGTTTGGCCTAGAAACATTAGCTACCCCTAGTTTTTGAGCTGGCGGCCACATACATCGAGCTAGGTATTCCGGAAGGCCACTTGTAAAGGATTCTAGGCCATATTGTCGGGCTCTGGCCTCGGGGGGCAAATCAAGTGGCAAGTCCAAAAGAGAGATGATCACCATGGCGCAGTAGGCACCTCTAATTATGCATTTAGTAAATTGAGGCTGGTGCACAAGAACATTGAAAAGGAGAAAATACCTGACGTCTTCTTCCCCACCCTCACAGACTGTGATACCTCCATCTGGCTGCTTTAGCTTTCCCAGCCATCTCCACCTGGTTCAAAGTGAGTGTGTGTTAACTTTATCTTTGGAGCGAATACGGGACTTACATTGCTCCACGATCGATAAGATTCAATGCCTCATCGCCCCCAACCATAGCAAGAGAGAGCACCGCGGCATAGCTTGATGCACAGTGCGATATTTGGCCATGGCCTCCGCCAAACCCGCCTGCAGGGTTCTGCATCGGGGTAAACGTAGATATCGTACTAAGAAGTAAATTGGTTTAGATAGAGATTCGAACGAGATGTTCCAGGGTGGGGAGGGGGTTGTTCAAGCCAAGCCCCCCATACAACAGGGGATACCTGCAAGCAAGCGCGAAATTGGAAACCGAACCAGGCAATTGCTTACCGTTCACGATGTCTACTAACATCTTCTCCTAAGAGACTCAGACCAGCTAGTGCCCAATAGATCATCCAGGGGCGACTGGCATCCATTGCAACGAACCCCGAAGGGTAGTCTTCTAGGGAATCATACAGATAGCCAATATGCTTATCTCGTCTGAGCGGGGGAGCCCCCTGCTGGTTCAGAGGGCCCTTTTGACTGCCGTGAATGCCTTTGAGGAATGGTAGACACTTGTTTAGTGTTTCATCCTGCAGCTCAATTGTTTCTGTGATGAGAGTGTCCCTGAGCACCGGAGGCTCTGTAAAGAGAGCCGGAACAGCAGGATGTGGTGTGGCTTCGGCCATCCTGAGGGCTTGGCTTGACGACGGGTATTTGGAAGCGAGCACTGCAGACAAATTGCTACTGACCGGTTGCTGGGCCCTGATATATTTCGTTGCAAGCCTCTCTACCTGGGTAGTTTGACCGGATGATGGAAACCGAACCTTTCGACGCTTTTTCCCCGGCGCAGCAATGGTCACAGGCATGAACTTGAGGGAAAGAAGGGATAGATATAGACAGCGCTAGTCTGACAAGTTCTAAAAGGTTATTGCAGGAAGTGTTGTAGACGCCCGTAGCAATGGCATGTTCCGATTGTTCACTCCTGGCTGACAATTGTTGGAGAGACCATTGTTCTTTTCTGCCGATGAGTTGGGCCCCTCGGCCCAGGATGGCAGAGCCAGCCAACTGCGCAACAGACTGTCGTTGTCCCACTTTTTTCGATGCGCGAAGAGCATGAAAAATGCGGAGGAATTGGTATTCTGTTACCACGGATCAGTCCACCTAAATCTATTTGAGGCACGTAGATTCTTTTCTCGGTCCTGTCAGCGGCTTGAGGAGGGGCGACTCGGTGTTGCTCATCATGTTCTGCCGCCTGCCATAACCGCCCGAGAGTCCCGTGACAATAGGCTAAATGAGGCAATGATCGCTGCCATTTGGCTGGGCTTTTTTTTTTATATATTGAGACGGCGAGGTTCCGTTCACAAAGTCAGTTGCAGCCTGCAGGCGCCCCAGGCTGGTTATGAATGATCCCACAAAGATCGCCAGAAGATGGGCGAGGGTCATGGAGCAACCCATTCCAGGTTATTACTGTATTACTGTTCTCTGATTTCATGTTGAGATCTCGGAATAACTGGAAACAATTCCACGTCCATGGACGACGCCTTGAAGGGCGACAACGCCGAGCCTCCCCTCAGAAGACCCGCGTCTCCTCCCTCTGTATTATTCGCTGCTCACAGGCAACTAATGTGCAGCTGTGATGGCTTGCATAACCCAGTCAAGATTCAAAGTTAGTCGTACTCTTTATCACTGCTGATTATTATTCCAGAGTGCTTACACAGATAACTCAATGCCACCTTTCTACTGTCACAGCATCGCGAGTTGCCCACGACGCTGCGAGCAATTCCCAGAGCTTCCATTTGCAAATGGACCAAAGTACATGTATGAGGACAAAAGCGATTAACCGTGTTTTACAAGTTGTGCGATGGCTCCAAGCCACAGCTAGGTACATACTTTCCGAGTTAGAGTTAAGTGATCTCGATCAAAGGCACTACTACTGCTGGCTCTCGATCGTCAGGAATTCACTTGTCGAGCTCCTCATAGCATCAACTGCTGCAGAATGGCTTCATCAAACCAAAATTTTCGACCCTTCTTTCTCGGGCTTCAGTTCCATCCTTTCAAGATGTCCAAAGCTATCGGACGGAGGAGCTCCCGCCTTGCAGCTCGGCTGATAACAGGATATGATCTATCACTCGATCTCCGGATCTGTCTGAAGAGGAAGCCTCGCGGCCCTTGCGCCCCGAATACAAGCTGTCGAGAAGACCAAAGGGCATGGTGCTGGGTACATCATCACAACTGCGACACGGAAGATGGGAGAATGCTCCAAATACTCCGATGCACTGCTGCATACGGAGTACAGAGTCGCAAGCCGAAGAACTCTGGCCACGCAGTAGGACCAAATCGCTTATCGCCTTTGCTATCAGCCGCCTGCGCCTTCAAAGATCTTGTATTTTTCGCTTGGCCGCGTCAATAATATAGCCGAAACAAAGGTAAGTCGAGCACAGAAGATGTTGCTCTGATGCTGCACAGTAGCGCGGGAAAGAAGATTGGAGCTAGTGCACCGCCAGCCACCTTGTTGGCAACAGAAGCACATGTGTGCGGTGTTGATTGACCTCTGTTTTCGATTAGGCGTGTATAGGCCTGGGCATACATGCTATGTGCTTGACTACATACAGAGCTGGCGGAGAATTATGCGTTCCGTTGAATCGGGGGACATAAGAATAGCGAAGCATGGAGAAAAGGATGATACTCGCACAGTAGTAGTATCTACAAGTTGATTTTGATTTCCCCCGAGGAGGCAGCCCTGTCAGACTCACTGCTGCTTGACAATGGGCCGTGCTTCCAACAACCTTGTCCTTCCTCCTGTCAGCGACTGAGCGGGGTCATTCCGGGCCAGGTTTTCTCGTTCTACTCCGTACGTACTCCGTACCGGTATTGCCACGCTCTCGGATCGGCGGCCTGCACCAATGGTAGGCGCTCGAACCTCAACGATCTGAGGCCATGATTCCCACTGATCTTCCTCACCCGAGAGCGCGTCCCAAGTCTTCTCGCTCGGAAAGCCCGCACGGTGCCATGGAACAGGTGTTGACAACCCAATATTAGTTTCTTTGTTTGGAATAGCCTTGGCTGCTCTTGTTGAGAAGCGCACGCGATTTCAATTCGATGGCAGAATGCGAGGTGATGATGACGAGCAGAATCGAGTCGCGAGATTATGTTGCTTTGCCTTGTCAGCGGCTGGGAAGCGCCGTCCACCTGTGGGCATCAGTACAGACGACAGAGGATATCATCTCTGGCTAGACTGTTAGCTCGCCATGATTTTGCATTGTCACGGCTTCCCAGAGGACCCAGGCGAGACCCGCTAAGGACATCATGGGACTGGCCGCTCGCCTTAGTGGCTCATCATCAAGTTCATCATCCCATTATCCTTGCCACGACCATCTGGAATCTGTACGTAGCGAGGGGCACTAGCCTCCAACGGGCTTGGACTTGGAGCTCCAGTCCTCGGCCTCCATCGAGGGCGCAAAGTTTTGGCCAACAAAAGGCAATCGTGTGGCATTAAGATGGCCCCCACTTCGATAGCGATAACTCGACCTTCCTAGGATCCCCTAGCGTATCTCCGGCTCACGCACCTCCCGCTTCACCGCTGCTTTGCTCCCCACCGCTCTCTGCCCGCCATGGTCTCATCCTATCGTCCTGCCCTCTTCTTCTCTTTCGCACCCCCGGATTCTGGGCTTTCTGCTCACCCGAGAGAGCCTTTTCCTTGAGGCTTCCTGGTCATAACTCCATTCTGATCCCCTTTCCTCTCCTGTGCTACCTCTTTCCTCTGCCCGTCGCCATTATATTGCCATCTCTTTTAATTTCCACTTCTATTTCCCTCGATACTCGGGATATAGACGGCTGCGACGATGTCAAATGTCGAGTTGACCGGCGACGGTTTCATCGGTCTCGATTATGACTCGAGAAATTACATTCAGCCTCAGTCATGGCCAGTGGCGGTGGACCACCAGGCCTCCCAGCGGACTGACGGTTCGCGAGACATCTCACCCTTACAAACCAGCGGTCACGCTTTCGAACAGTCGGTAGCCCAGGATGCTAACCTCATCGTTGACTGGCAATTCCAACATCTACAACCCCACCTTCATTACTCTCAGGACGAGGCAACCGCCGCGCCCCAGTTCACGACTGCAAGCTATGGCATGACTATCCACTCTTCGCCCGTTGATCTCATGTCAGGGCCTCATGGTCAGATGAGCACGAGCCTGCTGGACGGTCCTTATTTGCCGCTCGCCGCACCCGTTGACATGGTATCATACCCTTACCAGGATCTCCAAACAGACCTTCTCGGGTTTCAACCTCACGGCCTTCCAAACATGTCATCATATACAGCTCCCCAAAGCATGATTGAGAGCAGCTCACCGACGGACACGTATCTGGAAGTCCGATCCCTCACCAGCTCCAGTAGCGACCATGGCTGGAGCATGATTGAACCGAGACACTCGCACGAGTTTTCTTTTCCGGACCAGGTCTTTATCAACCCGACCCAGACTCTCCACGATAGGAGCCTGTCGGAATCATCCTACTCGACCTCCTACGGTAGCTTTGTCGATGTATCCAACCCTGTCAACTCGCCTTGCTCGGAAACGAACTTCGAGTATAACAGTCCCGTGAACCGCCGTGTGTCCTTTGACCACATCTCTCATGGGTCACAATCACCCACCGCAGTTAGCCCCGCTGCCATTGTCCGACCAATTCAAGTGCCGGCCAAAAAGGATACTTCGCCGACTCGCTCTTCAGGCTCCCAGTCGTCCTCTTCACCGCCAAGCAGAAAGCCGTCTCGCAAGAGCCCGATAGCCGCCAGAACCGCAGAGACCAAGGTCCGGAAGCAGTCTCAGAACGGCAAGTCCGAGACCACTGAGAAGAAGGTTGGCAAGCGCAAGGGTCCTTTGAGACCGGATCAGCGAAAACAGGCTAGCGAAATACGAAAGATGAGAGCGTGCCTGCGCTGTAAATTTCTGAAGAAGACTGTAAGACTCCATCGAATCCATAACAAGTTTGAGCTCTGTGTATTCTGACCTCAACAGTGCGATAAGGGCGAGCCATGCGCTGGTTGCCAACCTTCGCATGCCAGGCTATGGCAGGTTCCTTGCACTCGTATCGACATCAAGGAGATAGGCTACTTCATGAAGGATTGGAAAGCCGATTATGAGCGACACATCACCCTTGGATTCTCCGTGGGAAATATTAAAGGCTTCTCAGAACACGAAAAGACTCTATTTATAACTCACGGCTACGGTCAGGTTCTTCCGATCAACGCCCGCGAAGTATACGTACACAATGAACAATGCTTTAGCATCGACTGGGTGGAAACGATGAACCGCGAACCTACCCAGTATGAAGTTGAGACCGCGAAACTGTCTGCTGGTATGGAGGGAATTTCGCATGCCATGTTGTCCGATTACCTAGACCGCCATATTGATGGAAACGGCACTTTTGAGAAGTTCATCGACGACTACTTTGAGGGCACGCCATTTTTGACGCAGATGCTCAAGACAGCATTCCGGTACTACTTCCGCACAAAGATGCCTGTCATTCGCAAAGCTTTGAAGCTCATTCTTGCCTACAATCTGACGCTCCATGTCACCATGGTCGAGGGCTTGGGCGAGGAGGACGGTTTCTTAGGAAAAATTCAAGATCAAACCAGCAAGTTCAAGGGGAAGACCATGGCACCTGTGATGATCAATTTCCAGATCAAGTGTGCTATGGCAAATATGTGGCGTGAACTGCAGAAAGATGTCTTGGAGGAGTTGTCCAGCCTCTATTCCAGCGTCTACAGTGGTGACAAACTGAAGAACTGGCCCACGATTTTCATTCTGGCGTCAATTCTTTTGGCAGTCTGGGAAGAAATGCAGTTTGACTGCCACTACCGCACGCCGGTGAGTACCCTACGAACGATTCCTGCTTACAGCTCTGACTGTGATAAGGATGCCGCTGCTGTTGACAAGTTCTGCACCGACATGGAGACTACTCCCGTCGGTGTCATTGTTGGCCTATTCCAGGCGATTTCTCAAAAATTGCCGGCGTTCTCCGACTGGGAAACGTCAAAGCACCACCATCTGCTCCAATCAAACCCCGATGTCTGCAACACTATGACCGAAGTTCGCCAGCATGTTGAGAAATTTGGTAAGATGCACCACCGCCCTGTAGCATCGTTTCCTTGAAACGTTCCCTGCTAATCCCTTGCAGAAAGTTACCTCCGTGGCCGCTCAGCGACCAAGTTCAACAGAAATGACTTTGACTGCCTATCGAACAAATTCGTTTCGAGACTTGTTATTCGAGCGAACTAGAACGATTATTGAAGCACATAGGTTACGGCTCGGCATTTAACGACACGCAAAAGTTGAATGAGATATGCCAGCATTTATGATTATGAGACTCGCAGTGAAGCTATTTAGCAATTCCGTCTGTCTACTTGCATTTGATTGTCTCGGTCTTCGTCAGCCTTTCAGCTATTTCCTTTTTCTACTTTGGGGACTGGTATTTCCCCAACCTCCTGACCAGCAAGTCCAAAGTTCCAGCCTCAAACACCTGTTTATGTATCCAAGCTATGCTCTCTTTTCTTCCCTTCAGTGATTGTACCTTCTCGCACAGTACTTACAGCAGCGATGATGAAGATCACGATGTCACGATATTATACGGTCACGAAAATATTCAACAGCGAATCATGGCGGCAACTGAGTTGTCGAGTTGTGCTGAAGCTAGCCCTCGCTTCATGATACTACTGTGTTTGCAATTGTGTACTTAATCTCTTACGTTCTGAATTCTTGCGTTAAGTAACGGATATTGGCCGCTCTCAGCGGGGGAGTTCCGAGAAAGCGCCGGGTGATGTTTATACCAAGCTATTTCAAGATTATACTACTCGCGTGAACTCAATGATGAAATTCAACTGCCCTTGGCTCTGATGTACTCAGTATCTTGAGCGAACTACGTTGCGTTAGCAACTCAATGACCGTTGGTAGCTCAAACTTGATTTTTGGTCATATTGACCTTTCCCCCTTGCATATCTTATGGAGACGAGGGGGTCACAGGCAATCCACGTGTATATCCGGAGGTGCGTCTCCATACGCTGTGGCATGGCTTGAGTACAAAGCACGCGGACCTTGATAGTCCTGTTGCTCTGAATCTGCAGGGAGACCAATATGGGACTTGATGAATTTGGCCATGGTGACTCGAGTCGGGCAACCTCTTTGGTTCCAAGCGGGTTGCGGAAAGCGGGGAAGCCAGCAAGCCAAACCGCATGCGACGATCACCTGATCCCCAGAAAGGCCGCTAGACCCATAGGCGCCTCGTTAGGAGTCTCACGGTGTCCACCTCCGGCCGATAAGGAGAACAACACACGTCATTCATCCTTCCCCGAGATTGTCGCAACTTTGCAAGGAAGCGGACAATGGCCATCAATATTCAAACGGGGTTGGCCAAGAACTGATGCAAGTTTAGTCAAGTCTCGGAAGCGAAACTTCATTTTTAGCAACTAAAGCCGAATCGACAGGGGGCACGGCCGACAACTGGTGGCGTCAGTGGCGGTGGACGGAGTTGGCCTCGACTGGACTTTCCCCGAGAATGATACCGAGCATGAGCTTTCAGATGAGGTGAGACCAGCCTTTTTCTTCATCAAGCGTTTGTCGATATTGCAGGATGCCCCCCAAATTGTCCTTCGTATTCTGTCGGAAAGAGGGCTGCGAGCCAAATCAGAGTGGCTAGTGGCAGTGCTTTGAGTCATCGGTGGCTGGAACCATATCTACAAGCAAGTTGCTCGTACGAATACTCCGTAGGCTTCACCATTCCTGAAGTGCCGTCGTAGATCAAGAGAAACTGAAGACAAGAAGAAAAAAACAGCCCTGCAATGCTTGGTTGACAGGTACGTGTCAAACTGGGGGCAAGGTTGGGGGACCTGCGCTCCCATCAAAGTACGGATAGTGAATGGCAGAAGGCGACGGAATGTGCTAGTAGCCACCAGAACCAAAGATCGCGAAGAAAACGCCCGGGTGCCTGCCGCTGAGAACGCCTTTTTGAGTCTTTGTAATGACATGGCTCTGCCAATCCGGCTTCAGCCTGGCTTGACATCACGTTATCGGCGAATTGCGCTGACCGACACTGACTAAGTTGCTTCGCCTCCCCTCCCTCTTCTCCCTCCCTCTCGGAAGGTACTTAAAGCGCTCCCTCTCCTTCTCTCTCGTGACTGACTTCCTTCCACCTCCACCTCTCACCCGTGAGACTTTCTACCTTCCACCGTTCTTCACCTATCTCGCTCTCTCTACATCCTCCACATCTCTGCACACTAGTTGATTTCTTATCGCCAGCATCATGCAGATCTTCGTCAAGACCCGTAAGTACTCTTGCCACGCCGATAACACCGGAGAAGTACCTAACACTTTCTCTCACTTGCAGTTACTGGCAAGACCATCACCCTTGAGGTCGAGTCCAGCGACACCATCGATAACGTCAAGACCAAGATTCAGGATAAGGAGGGCATTCCCCCTGATCAACAACGCCTGATCTTCGCCGGCAAACAGCTTGAGGACGGCCGTACCCTTTCCGACTACAACATTCAGAAAGAGTCTACCCTTCACCTCGTGCTTCGTCTGCGTGGTGGTATGCAGATCTGTAAGTTATCCTGGATTCGCCACTCGTTGGCCACCTTTTCCATTTCTTCGTAACACTAACAATTCTTATGTAGTTGTCAAGACTCTGACCGGCAAGACAATTACCCTTGAGGTTGAGTCTAGCGACACCATCGACAATGTGAAGACGAAGATCCAGGATAAGGAGGGTATTCCTCCCGACCAACAACGTCTGATCTTTGCCGGCAAGCAGCTCGAGGATGGCCGTACCCTGTCTGACTACAACATCCAGAAGGAATCCACCCTTCACCTCGTTCTCCGCCTCCGTGGTGGTATGCAAATCTTTGTCAAGACTCTTACAGGAAAGACCATCACCTTGGAGGTGGAGTCATCCGACACAATCGACAACGTAAAGACAAAGATTCAAGACAAGGAGGGTATCCCTCCGGATCAGCAGCGTCTCATTTTCGCTGGAAAGCAACTTGAAGATGGTCGCACACTCTCGGACTACAACATTCAGAAGGAATCCACGCTCCACCTTGTCCTCCGTCTGCGTGGTGGTATGCAGATTTTCGTCAAGACACTCACCGGAAAGACGATCACATTGGAGGTTGAGAGCTCCGACACCATTGATAACGTCAAGACTAAGATTCAAGATAAGGAAGGAATTCCCCCAGACCAGCAACGTCTCATTTTCGCTGGTAAGCAGTTGGAAGATGGACGTACGCTCTCCGACTACAACATCCAGAAGGAGAGCACGCTCCACTTGGTCCTCCGCCTTCGTGGTGGCAACTGACGACTTTCCTTGTTTTGAATTATATTACGGCTCATCTATGGGTTAACAGACCTGCGCGGCGTTGGATGGGTTATTCTTTTTTTGATGGTTAATCTGGGCATACCTTCTCATACCTTCTTTGCAACCTCATGTCACCTTGATGGTGTATAACGAACGATATTACTTCCCTTATCCTGAGTTCTAAATGAAACACACAGCCTGTTTCCGAGCTAAGCCAGGCATCTATCTTCCTTACACAAGTCAATCCGTAGTTCCAGGAGCAGTAGAGCGTAGCATTTGCCACGAATAAATTATCACGTGATTGACGCCACGGGCCGTTGTCTTGAGAAGCGGCATCTTTTGAAGACATAATTATAATTTGTGGTCTGTCAAAAACTGACAAGTTTCTGCAACATGAGTTATCGACCGGGATGCCCTCTTACTTCTACCATCTCGCGATCGATTTATTTTCACGGCCGCAGTCCGAACTCAACACCTTTGCCAAAGACCCATCGGTGATAACCTCGTTATCTTTCGACTCCGCTTGCGAGGCTCTCCTCCCCTTCCAAAAGCGCTCGTCAATCTCTACAGACCGCGATATTCGCCATCAGCTATACAAGAAACACCGATACTCCCCCGACTCTTCCAGTGAGATCCGCACCCGCTCCGCACCGAACCTTAGCCCCTCCTCCTCGCCCTCCGTATCGCCCTTCACCAAATCACGCATCAACGCATCCGAGCTAGAGAAGGACCTACGACTAGACAAGATCTTTATCGAGCGCATTGATATGGTACCTTCCGTTAGGGAGAATCCGGTCACGACGGGTATCGGGACCGATATCCTAGGAGGCCTCCGCACCAAGGGCCAGTACTTCCCACTCGACCAGAAAACTTCTGAGAGCGTCTGGGGAGTTGTACATTTATACCGGGATGCCCAAGAGACTCCGTATCTGGTCGCGGACGACTATCCCGCCGAGCTAAAAGGATCATCTGCCGCAGTTGTGAGGCGATCATATGCGGAACAGGAGCTTGGACGAGGTACCGGCAGCAGCAGCAAAGTGCGTCCACAGGGTGTTGAATCTTCTTTGCAGCCTGGGGAGGACTGCATGACGTTATGCGTACTTGCTGTGCCGTCCTACATGTCTGCCTCTGATTTCCTTGGGTTCGTAGGCGAGGCGACGATGGATGATGTCAGTCACTTTAGGATGATACGGACAGCGCGCGCGAATCGGTATATGGTTTTGATGAAATTTCGGAGTGGTAAAAAAGCGAGAAAATGGCAGAGGGACTGGAACGGGAAGATTTTCAATAGCATGGAGGTGAGTTTGCTCCTATACATTTCCGTCATGGTCTTACTAACTCTCAGGTCCTCCCAGCCTGAAACTTGCCATGTCGTATTTGTGAAGACCGTTGAGATACAAAGTGTCGACTCGGATTCTCAGGCTCACATGTTGGCGTCGCAGCAAACTTCACTACCCCCGCATACGACAGCTTCTCAGCCAGCAGCTATAGGTTCAGCCTCGCTCTCGACAAAACCTCTCGCTCCCCCAACGCCGTCCTTGATCGAGTTACCCACATGCCCTGTGTGCCTTGAGCGAATGGATGAAACTACCGGCTTGCTGACCATCATATGCCAGCACGTTTTTCACTGCACCTGTTTACAAAAGTGGAAAGGAAGCGGTTGCCCTGTCTGCCGTTATACTCAAGACGAATTCCGCAAACCGAGTCAAGGCCTCTCCTTTGGCGACAATGAACCTGCCGAGTGCAGCACCTGCCATTCGGATATCAACCTCTGGGTCTGCCTCATATGCGGCAATGTCGGGTGCGGGCGGTACGATAGCGCTCACGCATTCGCGCACTATAGTCAGACCTCACATGCCTTTGCTATGGACCTTTCTACACAACGTGTTTGGGATTACGTTGGAGACGCATATGTGCACCGAATCATTCAGAGCAAGACGGACGGGAAGCTTGTGGAGCTCCCCGCGGCAGACAACAGCGCCCTCGACCCACCCGACTGGGCCGACGCAGTCCCCCGTGAAAAGCTGGAGAATATGAGCGTCGAATACACGCATCTTCTAACCAGCCAGCTTGAGAGTCAGCGAGCGTACTTTGAAGGTATCCTCGAACGGGCTGTTGATAAAGCCTCGCAGGCCAGCGCAGCAGCGGCATCCGCCCAGGAAGCCGCAGATACTGCCACCGCCACCCTTCGCAGCGTCGAAGGTAACTACGATAAGCTATGCAACGAAACTGTACCCAACTTGGAACGTGATAAAGCACGAGCAGAGAAACGCGCGGAAAAGTTCGAGACGATGGCGCGCAAGATGGAGCGCGAGTGGCGCGAGGAGAAAACTATTAATGAGAGCTTGATGGAGCGGATCGAGCATCTCACGGCGGAAGTTGAGACTCTCAAGGCGGCAAATATTGATCTTACCGAGCAGAATCGGGACTTGACGTTTTTCATCAGCGGATCCGAGAAGCTGAAAGATCAGGGTGAAGAGGTTGTTCAGGGGACTGTTAGCGTTCCTGACCCTCCGAGCGGTTCGAAGAAGAAGGGAAAGGGGAGGAGGAAGTAAGCCTGAGAATGTGAATGCTCATTCCAACCCATCAGCTGCTCCTGCTACGGACAGCAACCCGATATCACTTCGGTCTCAATAAGTTCTGGCGCGGAAACGTGGAGTATGCTGCCCTTTCAAAGTAACTCTTTGATGGCCCCGTGCTAAACTTTCAAGCTTCGGTAGTGCATGTTTGCATAGGGCTTCGGCCCACATGATAATCATAAGCAGCTGAAGTAGTAAATTGGATCCATGCACCTATTGCTCGCTGGATAGTAGTACTGTTACAAAGTCTATTCATAAATTATAGTACATAAAGGCGTTGAGTTCCATGTCACAAGCTCATACCCCCTTTCTAATTGCCCAAAAGTAATTCCCCCAACTTTCTGAACCAGGCAAAAACTTCCAGCCTAGACCAGGAAAATACACCACGCCTTCGCACTTCCACCTCATCCCGTTCAGTGCCTCGCTTCCGCTCCTCATAATCGAACCTCGCTCTAGATCTGAGCACTGCATCAATCCTTCGCTAGCCCAGCGCTCCAGCTCATCCGGATTCACAAACTTCCTCCACTCGTGCGTACCCTTGGGTACCACACCGATCGGCCACGGCGCTTCGGCAATGACCTGATTTATCAGGAAAGAGGGCCACGTCCGAGCGATCGTCGACCCGACCAGCCAGCCACCCGGTTTAAGAAGGCGCAGACAGTCCGTTAAGAAGGAGAGTGGGGAAATCGAAGCGTTTGTGTCGATGTGCTCGATGACTTCAAAGAGTGTGATGATGTCAAAGCCATCTTCCCTCTTCACCAGTTCGCCTCCTGCACCGTCCAGGCATGAACTCGTACTCGTTGACGTTTGTGCGATAACGTCTTCAAGCGTACAGTTCACATAACGAAACCGTCCCGAGTCTAGGTGTGCCGAAACCTTGGGGTCCTTGCGCGCATGATCGCGCGCGATCTGGATAAGTGTCGAAGTGGGGTCAATAGCTGTTATTGACGCCGCGCGGGTCACTGTCTCTACGGCCGTTTCTGTCTTCAATTCAGGGAGCGGGATTGTGCGCGCTAGTGACTCAGCGAAGATGCCACCGCCGCAGCCAACGTCAAGGTAGTGTAGTGGGTTTGGGTTGGCTCCCGGAACCAACGTGTTTTCTGGGGGTGCGTCAAAGAGGCAGGAGGCGATGAAGTCATGGCGAAGGGGGTTCATAAGGTGGAGGACCCGCGAGGGGCCCATGGGGTCCCACCAGGAAGTTGCGAGAGAGGAAAAGTGGGAAACTTCGGAGGCGGAGACGGAGGATGTGGCGGAGGTTGAGTGACAGCGGCGGGGTAAAGGGCGAAGGAAGAGGGAGGCGGCGCGAAACGATGGTCTAAGGGGTGCCATTTTTCTTCAGGCTGGGAGCCGCGAAGGCCGGATTTTGGGGGTTTGAGGTTATTCCGGTGCGGAGACTGAATGTGAGCTTTGGTCGATTATGAGTGTATGGGGACCTATGATTGTTAGAAGTAGCTTCCATAAAAAGGTGTTCATGTAGAATTCGGGAGGAGAAGGAAGTACCATGGCCAATTGCGCGTGGTTTGGCGCTTTTTCAGCTTCGTTGTTGAATCCAAGACTGGAGGAGAAATTGGGACGATCTCCGAACCTCCGGTGATAGATGTAGAACAAACATGCCAAGACTTGTGGGCTGTATCATATCCCCCCTGACATCTTCAACTCTTCAAGATATCCCTGGTACAATGGACGATATTGTTGCAGAGCATTGGAGTTGAAGAACGTCTCCGCGAGATAATCGTCGAGATGAAGGATCGTCAAACGCAGAAGGACCGACCTGAAACAAGCTGATTGTATCAGAAGCTTGTCCGTCGGTCAGATCATCTGTCAGCACGTTTCATACCCAGACTACAAGCATCAAACCTTCGCGTTTACAGATGTCCTGAATACTCCGCGTGATGAGGCGATCCCAGTCGTTCCTCGGATGCGCAGACGGGAGGCCTGTGAGTGCCGAATTTATGAGTTCCGTGGATGATCGACGAGGACGAATCTCACTACTCAAACGAGCATTTCCTCTCGTATTTTGACTCTTCGACAAAAGCTCTCGAGACGGTTCTGACGGAAATCTCTTAAGCATATCCTGACCATGTCGAATGTGTGCGTAGCCGGCCGTCGTGGTCGCGGCACACCGGTACTATCGGCATGGGATATCTGCGCTACCCTGCTTACACTGGTTGTGTATGCACCGTTGTCAGTGCTCGCATCCTTATGTACCATAAATGAGTTCCGGTGGAATGGCATAACTGAGCAGATTAGCCATGATCTTCTTCTATGGTATGTGCACACCAACAGCCTAAACATGACAGATTGCTCAACTGTCGAAGCCTCGGTCGCTATCTACCAGTGTCCGTGATCCAGCGCGCAAGCGACAAGGACGCAAATATATTACAACAATCCCTCCGGTACTCCAACGCTCCGTTTCGGATCGCCCAGAGAGTGCAGAGGCTAGACTTTGCAGGATACTGGATTTACCGTGACCCGTCTATCGAAAATCGCCCTCAAGATGCAGACCTCGTTCTTTTCCACCTCCACGGTGGAGGCTATGTCATGGGTCACCCACTGGACAATGCACCTGAGCTACTCCTCATCGCAGAAACCCTATCGCGGCGGAACCACACAGTTGCTGTGTTTTCTCTGGAGTACACTCTTGTGCCCAACGCGCCATTACCGACACAGCTCAACCAGACTACAGCCGCATATGCCTGGCTTACGTGTGAGCTAAAAGTGGACAAATCCAAACTGTACCTCATCGGCGAATCAGCTGGTGGCCACCTGATAGTATCCTTTCTGGTGGCCCTATACCAGCGCAATCTACGTCATCCGCCAACCGCCCATCCCAAGCCCGGCGCAGCGTTCTTGATCAGCCCGTGGGTGAATCTAAATCCTTGCGGCCCAGACGCACAAGCACAAGATCGGAACCTTGACCCCCGCAGTACCGCATTCAAACAGGTGCTCGAGCGGTTCTCTGTATTAGTGCGCCACGATGTGCCCCTCGGACACTCAGAATTATACGGAAATTTTGCGCGCCCGGCCGCCGAGCGCGGTTCGTGGAAGGATATCCTGCCGAAGGAGACGTGGGTCTCTGCGGGTACAGCGGAGCCCTTATTCCGCTTCGATATAGAGGAGTTCGTGGAGTCTGCACGGCGCGATGGAGCCGAAGTACGGTTTGAGCTTGGGGAGGGGAAAGTGCATGTGTGGCAGTCTGTGGAAGCTCGAGAGCAGGAAAAGGATTTCCTGGCCCTGGAGCTGCGGGAAGATAAGATAGAGTTGATGCCTGGGTATCGACATATTGCGGAGCTGATATGTTCCTGCCTTGAAAGCGTAGCTGATTCTTCACCTTAGTTGATAATATGCAAGCCCCTGCGAGATAGCGCGTTGCTGGAAAATGATGTCGAGAACACGTATACTGTATACTTATGGCTACCAGTTATCCTCCTCACCGAGTTGCAAACTCTGGTCCAACTCGTCAGCCAGGAGTGGCTGTTCTCGGGCCCCGAACGGTGCCCTAGTGTGCTCCACACAGCCCCTAGATAGTAGTAGTGATTACTATTCATAGCTTGTGCTCCATCAGCAGATCGCTTCTACGTACCTTTCCAGAAGCATTCCTCTTTCATTTCATTCCGGTGTTAATAATGGTGTCAATGTTATTCCTGGAGCTCCAGTTGTTTCTTGTCCTCTGCTTGCGATCACTCGGATCAAAATAGGGATCGTCCTATGGGGTCGATGATGGTAATCCAAGGTTTGTACATCAATGATGTCGTTGAACTTGAGGACGTACTAGTACTTTTGCTCATTTGATATCCCTGACGGTTTCAATGTCACATGGTCCAGTAAATAGTGTGACAGCGAAAGTACATGCCTGACAGGTATTTTTGACTGCTTGTGATACCACATTATCCGTCTGGCGGTGTTCTCAGAGCAGAAGGAGGTGTGAAGTGGTTTGCACTACTCCGTAGCTAGTAAACAATCGGTACATTGCCGAGAGATAGTGGCCTGGTAGATCGGCTTGTACGCAAGATAATTGATATTATTTCCTCGAGATATACGCTACCAAGCGATTCTCTCGACTGGGCATGGCTTGCGAGACTAGGCCAGTAAAGAAGCGCAAGGAATTGTAGTAGGAAGTACGGAGTATGCAAGGCTGTGGAACGATTCTAAGCCAGGTCGAGCCAGAGAAAGGCTTCGAGAAGTTGCGTGGGGCCCGTTGAAACCTGGGGAGTCCTAGTGTAACTCCTTTTTAACCCTTTGCGACATGCGCACTACGGAGTCATTCATCACGATTCAGTTTGTCTCTCTGGCCATTGGAGGCCGACAAGCAGGCTGCAGCAAGTTACTCGGCTTGTAAGCCACGCATCAATCGAGATCCAGGGCCCCTGAATTTCTTTTTCCGATTTCAGGATGTCGGCGATAGTGTGGGGCGCGCGCTATCCTGGGAGGAATTATTAATGAAGCATGATCCATGCCACCATTTTGGTGAGTCTGAGACTGCCGGTGCCTAAAGCGTGGGACAGATCCTAGAACCATCAATTCACTTTATCACGGACCTCTGCAGCAGGAAGGGTTAGACCGGTTGACCACCTTTCCCAAAGTTGAGTGCTGCATGACTTCGGATGTGAAGAATAAAACCGAACGAGGGGCCAAAGGGGGTGAATCGAATTGCCGCAGTTGCAGCCAAAAAAATCCCGGGACAACCAACATCCCACGGACTTGTGCGTGCTGCAGTAACACCAGCGTGGCCATATTCTTGCTTGCAAGATAGGGCCTCTCCGGTCTGTCGCCCAATTGCCGCACTCACGGCTGGGGCCGGAGTGGCACAGTGCTCCCATGGATCTTTTCTAGAAGGTCTCTGGAAGGAAGTGGACTGGCTTAGCGTGCTGTACGAGTCTGTTAGTGACCTTAGCGTGGATGGAGGAGTCCAGGCTGGAATGTGCCTGTCCAATCCATTTCCTCAGCCGCGAAATGCCGTCACAAGCTCAAACCTCAAAGCCTCCCTGAAGTCGTTTTTCCTCAGGTCCGTTCACTAGCCGGTATAGTTGACGGACTAAGACCCGGCCGAGGCAGGGATGAGGCCCCTGTCCGATCAAGTCCCCTCCGTCTCTTGCAGGAAACACACTCCTCGTTCGTACCCCCTGACGGTCTGACGTAGGTCGCAACGATGGAGACTTCCCCATGCAGTCCAACGTGCCACGCGGTGCCCAGTTCCAAACTTTTCTAGAAGGAAATTAGCTTTGCGCCGTTGATTCTGTGCGAAGCTCGGCACCAAAAGGGGCATCTCCTCCTTTTATCCAACTCCCCATGCTTAGTCGTGATTGGTATGCCTCGTTCGGAATATGCCTCACCCAGGAGTGGACCGAGAAGGCCGAAAGGATTTCTGTCATGATGATGAGACTCCTTTCCACGTTGTGAGGCTGTTGCCGTTTTGAGGTGGAGACTCTGGAGAGAATGAGCGAGTCCACGCATGATTGCTTTTTCTTGACTCTAGAACCATTCGCAGGCCAGATACGGCGAAATCGACGTTTTGTTCGTTCAGGTAAATCGAATCAAGACCAGAGATGATCGGATGGTCTGGGATCCGGGTTTGATTGGGTTCGAAACGATCGCCTTGTCGCACGATGGGCAGGTTAATGCACTGCGCGCCACTCTTGAGGAAACAAGTGAAATGAGATTAAAAAGAGGCTTGCCTTGAGTTGCTGTGCTTCACAGGGTCATGCGTTCGTTGTCTGGATCGGAGCGTGGACTGTATCAGATCCATGTGGTCCTAGATGTTTGGCATCGAGATGAGATGAGGCTATTCAGGGTCTGCAGACAAGTATAGACGACGGCTGGGAGTTTCAAGAAACAAGAGGTCCATCCACAGCTCTCTTCAGATCGTCGAGGCTCCACTGGCGAGCTGGTAGAAGAAATCTGAATGTAAAATATGAAACCTTCCTCAATTTCCGCTATCTCGATGCTCTTGCTATTAATATTTCTATTTCTATACCTACAGCGCTGCATTCTTCCTCCTCGCCCTCCGCCTAAAAAACTTTCTTTTACCCTCGCGCCAAATCTGGCCCTGTGCATCTAAGCTGCTCCGTTTCTACTATACACGGTCTGTTTCTTCCCTTGAGTGCTACGAGTAGTAAGTCACGAGGTTGCCTGGCCCAGGCTCAGCCTGTATTTATGTTTGGGTCTTGTATTTACTCTTTTCGCAGCGCGCAGCTTCTGCGTCTCCTCTCCTCTTCTCCCCCCCTTCTCTCAGGCCCCTCGGCCGCGCCAGTCTCTCCGCCAAAGTCGCTCCCTTCGTCCAAATAATATTTCCCTGGTGAGTATGATACTTCTTGTTCCCTTCGCGCTTGTCCTCGTCGCACCTGCTCCCCCGGCTCGATGACGCACCTCTTCCGGTCGACACCTCATCAGATCCTCGGTACAACTTCATGGCATCGGTCGGGTTCGCTCGCAGAATGAATCCCCGCTCAGCCATAAGGGATTAGGCTGGCGTTTTCTCTTTCTCGTCAGGAAGAAAGAAACGCGGCAATTTTAGCTATCCTGCGCCTCCGCATCGCCATAAGAATCATACCACCGGTCCGAGGACACGGAATCACCGTCAAAGAGAAGGCACGAGTACGCTCTTCGAACACCCCGCTAACATTTCTATGACCTCCTTTACAGATCAATCAAGCAGACACTCTACTACTCAGAAGCGATCCGAGCAACCGTGCCTAATACCCGGACAAAGTCGACCTTATACCCGTGAAAAGCCGTCGTTGGTGTTTGGGCGCGTCGAAGCAGATTAATCTCTGGTCGACAAGCCGCGCGACTATCGAAGCTCTCATAGCGTCGCTTTGTACCATCCCAAGCCCTCTGTATCGCTGCTCGCGCCCGACGGTCCTTACAGCTATCCGCCAGCAAAAGGAAAAGGGTTTGAGACAGTGGCTGAGCTCTGTTGGGTGTATACGGCTGAGATTGACGTGTCCGCTCTAAATCTCGCCCTCCCAATCGAACACACACTGGCGACTCGATAAAAATCGTTTGGGCAGGAAAATCCCAAATTTCGAGTCGGGACCGACATATTGCCCGGACCTCCAAACGCCGCGCCGCTCTCGCATAGCCCGCTCTTGTATTGAACACCCTCGGTTGGTCTCACGTTCAGCTACGGGCGCAAAGGTTTTGGCAGCTTTTAAGGCGTCGCGTCCTGTGGTCGCCCTCCCTGCTGTACTTGTATCGCTCGAACGTGAGTAATCTCTTATACTTCGTCATATCTACTCCATAGGGTAGCAGAGAAATGCGCAGCTGCGCTTGGGTCTCTTATTTCTCGCTTCCCCTTTTATGCTCTTCGTAGCACCTTATCGCCGCTGAATGCCGAGAAAGGCCGAAACTTTGTTCTGACCATGTCTATAGGCTAGTTTCTGAAGCCAAGCGATTTCTGCTCTGTCTCTCTTTTGCTTCGCGTCAGGTTTTTCGCAAGCCCGTTCTGTCGCGTCCGGCACAACCGAAGAGGAACGCCCTGGAGTGTTCTTCGACTGCGCATCCTTCGGTATACTCTGGAATACCTTGCTGTTTTGTCCTAACCGTCGATCCTCAGCAAAGGCTGAGCCGGGTCATGGACATCACAACTATTCTAAACAGGAAAGGTTCTGTAGCCATGGTCGCGCCAGATGCTCAATTTGACCAGCAACAGTTTATACAAGCCTCGAATCTTGACAACTCTTCGCCCAGAATGAAACCCGAACCCGGCGCCTCCGAGGCCATCGATCAGCCAGTACTCTCTTATACTCCACATGCTCCGCTCAACCAGATGCCCAACATCAACCAGGACATGCGATATCAAGCGCAGCCACCCAACGCCCAGTTGCCTTTGTTGCAAAGTCCTTATGCCCCCGGAGGGTACGCGGGCACTCAAATACCCAACACCACGCCTCAAGGGCGACCGGACCCTCCTCCCAAGACCTTCCATTGTGGAACTTGCGGTAAAGGCTTCGCTCGGCGCAGTGATCTGGCCAGGCATGGTAAGATGTCCCGTTCGCTATTGTCGATGAGTATCTAATTTGATGCAGAGCGAATCCACTCCGGGATCCGGCCGCATGCCTGCGATTGGCCTGGCTGTGGGAAGCAGTTTATCCAACGGTCAGCTTTGACTGTACATTCGCGGGTACACACGGGTGAGAAGCCACACATGTGTGAGAGATGCGGCAAGGTATGATGATCGGGGTGTCCCAAGATCTTTGCGAATACTAACTGCCATAATCTTATACAGCCTTTCAGCGACTCATCTTCTTTGGCTAGGCACCGCAGGATTCATTCTGGCAAACGCCCTTACAAATGTCCTTATGCGAATTGCCAAAAGACATTCACTCGTCGCACAACCTTGACACGCCATCAAAATCATCACACGGGCACCATCGAAGAAGCCGCTGCGGAAACCGAGGCGAATCTCAGACAAAACAAGGAGAAAGGGAGAATGCCCGGAGATGGAATGTTCTCGGAGCATGGTTCAGTGCATTCAACGCCTTCCCCCTCTCATCACCCCATTTCGCCTGCTGGGGAACTGCCTCCTTTAAATATTCCCCGTTCTGCAGGTGAATACTATCTCGGCAATGGTTCTATTCCTCCCCATGTCAGAGGCGATTTTCAGCAGGCGAGCCCTCGGGCATCTCCCACCTCGACCTCTCCGTCTCTGTCCAGTTTCAGCAGTGCTCCGCTTCCGCGACCGTCTATGACATCCCATCCATCGGGCTATGGGCCACCTCAACCGCTTGAGCCGCCCGCCAACAAAGATCATCGACCGAATAGCGTGGGTGGAAGTCCTCATATGTCTAGCCTGGGCTGGGCATCACCTTCCCACACCAGCATACCATCTCCTGGTTCTGCACCCGACTTCGGTTATCCTGAGCCCAGTGGGCCACCGTACCCTGGATCCGTACCTCCGCACATGTATTTTCCGAATTCCACCATTCGGCGACCCGGGAGCACAGAACCAGAAAATTACGAAATGAAGCCAAAGCTTAGCGACAGTCCATGGTCCACACCCGTCTAAGCAGCTTCCTGACTTGCTAAGGCCAAGACTTCGAACGAAAACGTCAACTTCACATTGGCGCCTCGTGTGTGTGCGCTTTTTCTTTGCGCCCTAAGCCATCTGCCCTGGGTGTATCAACATATCTCCTTTGTTCTGATTTTCTCCCTTTGTTTCGTTTGTTTCTATCCCATATCTTGCATTCATACATCGTTTTGCTTATTTAGTACATCATCATATTAGCATCTCCCAGTGTCGGGTATCAACGCTGGAAAGGAGTCTGGCACTGGCTAGGGAAGGGTTATTATCGCCATATGGGGCGTTGTGATTGTTCATTTGTCTTATTTGTGGCCCTAATGTGCGATTATGACCGTGGAAACGAAACATTAGTAAAGTAGGATCGGATTTGCTTTTTGAGGGTTGGCTGGAATAGGACTGGGACTGGCACTGGGCACTGGGGGGTTTCAAGGAGGTAATCGCTTCACTTGTGGTTTGTTCTTTTTGTGTTTGCATGAGCCTGATGTTTTTCTTTCTTTTTCTTTGTGATTCTTTGACCTATTACCCTGTGTAAATGATTATTGCCATGTACTATAGATAACGCAAGGATTCTTAAATCCCGACTACCAATTAATGTATTGCTAAAGATTGTAAGACACCACAGGTACTCTTTGAGTTCAATGTTTCACAGACTCATATACAGTAGCAATTGGAACTAGCATATAATCGAATAGTATTCAGACAGCCCATTAGACAGACGCCAACCACCCGATACAAAAACATATACACGCAGGCAGCAAGCGCAGAATCCCTAGAACTCCTTAAACACTCAAATGTGAAACAGGCTCTAGAGGCACTTAGAATCTCGGATGCAAAAGAAGCCACAACTGTCTCTACCTGGGTAAGGCATGCGCCTTCCGTTTATGTCTAGTTTCCCAACCCAGACATGTTAGAGTTCACAACGTCCGGACAAGAACACGAAGGTAGAGCTGGGGAGGGATTGCCACGCAGAGCTCTAGTGATCACACCGGCGCCAAAACTAGTTGCGGAGGGACCTTTCCCAGCAGAGAGGAGGCCGAAGCGTAGGAAGACTTCGGATGTCGTAACAACGATCGAAATAAGGATTAGCACAATAATGATCCAGGTTTGGTCTGTATGTTGTTGCATTAGCCCGGGTTATGTTCTGAGCTTAGAGACGTATGAGACGTGGGTACATACGAGAAGTTTTGCTGTCTGCGATAGAGTCGGAGAGAATCTCGGCGAGGTCAAGGAAGACGCGGCATCGTTCGTTCAGGACTTGGATTCGGGGTTTGATTTCGAGGTATTCGCGGACGGCGATGTAGAGCGGGTAGAGGGTTGGTTCGCTTTCCCAGAAGAAGTTGGGGACGTCGAGGACGTTTGAGGCTGTGCTTATTAGTGCAATCACATCGGTGGGAGAGAGGGGGAACATACAAAGGTTAACTTCGACTCTGCTTTTGAATAGCTTGCCTAGAATTCTAAAGACCTCCTCTCTTTTAAGACCCAGTTTCCCGGTCATTGCGAGACGGCGCGGTACATCCTTTGCTTCTGCCATTTGGCGGGCCATGACTTCCTCAAAGAAGCAGAGTTTGGTGCTTTGCGCAATGCCGTGGCTGATTGCCAGCTTGATCATGTGGTCGCCGCTTCTTAGAGTGATCATATCATTGTAAACGCGTGGACGGGAGATTTCAGTAGAGTATTCAAAGTGGAACTCCTCGGTCTCAAAATCTTCCTCCTGCAAGGGCATTGTGGCCAGTGGTAGTGGTGAGCCCGTTGCTGACGAAGTCGCGAATGCTAGATCGGCGAGAATGTCCTTTTCCTGTTTCGCTGTAAAGTTCCAGAAAACTACCACTCCGTAGCTGAACACGAACATCTCCGCGACATTGTATGGGAGTCTGTTGGGTCCTGTTGAGCCGGGGGATAGAGTTCTCGAATGGTCATCATTGGCCGAGCCGTTATCCATGCCTATAGTCGAACCGTGCTCGTTCCGCGCTTGCTCATGATGGTCACCCGAGCGACTGCTGAAGAGCGAATGATCTTCTGGCTCAAGGTAGTCCTCATCGTGATCTCGCAACTCGTTCCGCTCTATCTCTTCATCCAGTAGAGATTTACCGCCCGGCTTCTTCACTACGGGACTACTCCGCAGTCTGTACCCATCATGCCCGGGTAGCAGCGGTAGATGATACGCCGTGTAGAGACAATCGTCGTAGAGCTTCGTTCTCCCGCCATGTCTTTCCTTGACAAACGAGGAAAGCGAAGTCATCTTGTAAGCCTGCGCCGTGCAATAAGCCGTAACGCGAGCTAGTTTCTCCGCACGACGCGCTTTGGGTAAACGCTCCGCATAGCTCTTTGCTCTCTCTGGCCCAAGAGCCCGGCGACGTAGTCTCTCCTCTTCAGCCAAGAGCGGAGCAAGATCATTATCAATGCCAAAATCGCCGCCCAATCGTTTCTTCTGCGCAAGCAGCGTGTGCCTCACGGCGTCCGGATCGATATTCTTCTCCTTCGCGACCCGTTGCACCAGCTCCTCGTCAACAGTCTCATCGCCGAATCCCAGTCCCTCCTCGTCCTCTTCTTCCTCGTCTTCCGGTGTTGTCCCTACTCCTTCCTCTGGGAGCAGCACCAGCTTCTGGCTGACCTTGGTCGTACGTGGAGGTAAATGGGGCTGAGCAGCCAACCGTCCAACTGCAGCTGCTGCAGTCGATGCATTCGCGCCGGTGCCTATGCCTCTATGCGCAGCTCCTCCGCCAGTGCCGATCAATCCGCCTGCTGCGGATGCGAGTCGCGATCTGGGTCGTAGCCGTGCAGTATCGGGTGGGTTTCTCTGTTGCATGGAGGGGACATCAGAGGCATACTGAAGCACATTATCAACTGTTATGAAGCGAGTAGCTGGAGATCGACGACGACGAGGCTGTGCGGACAAGTTCTGTTCGCGGGAGTCGGTCACCTAGAACCAAACTGATTAGTATCAGGGCCGGGTCAAACCTATAGATGTGTGTTAGACTTGAATACTTACCAGAACATGGGGGCTCCTCTGATTCGGGCCACGGCCCCTTGATGAGGAAGACATGGCGACTGTTATATTTTCCTTGGCTGTTTGTTGGTACCAATTCCCGGTATCGGGGAAGCTTCCAAGCGAAAAGCTAATCACGATCGCTTAAGAAGGAAATCTAGAAAGCGTTTGTCCAATTCAATCATGACATATCCGCACACTGAAAGCGTTGAGAAGGACTCGGCCCATGAAAGCTGTTCTCCTCGTCGACATCTCAGAAATTCGGCCCATGCCATCATCCATCAATTATCCCCAAAGCTCTCCACCTTTCCTACCGCCTACCATGCAAGAAGTACTCTCTCAAGCACAAGGCGGTAACTAGCGGCAGATAATGATGACGTGGGCGGGCCGTTTCTGCCCCTGAGTACACTACGTTACGGCAAATACCACTCAGACTGAGTGTTACACGAAAATGACTGGCACTGAAACAGGGCCGGCGACGGCGCCACGTGTGAGTGGGGCTCAGGGGACCCAATGCAGCTTAGCGGCAGTCAATGAGTCTTGAATAACCTTCAATAACTCGGGCTGGTCGATCTGGGGTAATTTACTCGGGTTAGCGATCGGAGAGCCGGTAGAGGCCGCGGCAGATATTCAGGATCGCCATTATTGCCAGCCCTTTCGCGGGGTATTTAATTATGCTTGCGCAGATGGGAGTTATTAAAGGAAGTGAAAGAATACTCCGAGGAACTCCCGCGAATCTTCTGTGATTGATTACTCAAGGGCCGCTCAGCGGCTAGTCAAAATAGTTAGCTGTCAGTGGAGACGATAGTACGATGTATCTTCAGTCCGCAAAATCAGCCACAGGAGGGGTAATTCGGAATCGATTGGATTGTGAGCTGCGCGGAGAGAACCTTGCACTTGAATCTAGTGCCTTTGAGGGGCACAAGTGTTCGGCTAACTGCGCGAGAAAAGGAACAACAAGAGAGGGCCGTGTTTAGGTTCAAGAACTCCGTTGTCTGATTTCCGAGACTTGGATTCCTTGCAGCTACCACAAGTCTCCTTGGCAATGATAATCTTCTCTATAGCCAAATCCATGCGCGTGGTTTGTGAGGTGGTATAGTTGACCTGGTATACAACAGGATGCAAAAGGAAGGAAAGGTCAAATGGAAAATGCCACGGGAGTAGCTTTGAATATCGCGCTATATATGCAATGCCGGAAAGGAAAAAGCTAAAAGCAATCGGAAAATTGGAATACAATGTGATGCAGTAAAATAAGCAATAGAACTGTGCTGTGGTAACCAATTCTGCTAAATGCCAACAGGGAAATAATGGTATGCCGGATATTAACCATGTTGAATCATTAGAGTCCGTCTCGGAGCCGTCGATGCTCGTCCCAGATTTCTTTTTTCATGCGTTGAAGTTGGGCATGCTGTCGATTTAACTTCTCCACGTCCGCACGTGGTGGGTCGGAATGGGCAGCCATGGCGTCGTACAGCGAACGATACTTTGCATAAAATCGCTTGAACTTTTGAGATTTGTCCCGCAGCTGTTGCGAAAGCAGTTCGCGACTAAGAGGCGGCGAAGCACTCCCCGTGCTGCCACTGGAAGTACTCACTGCCCGCCGCCGTTTGTGATCCAAGTTGCCATGAAGCCGTGCGACACTCTGTACTGAAGGCCGTTCCGCTTCCGCCTTTCGTTTCAGCGAATTTGTTGCCTCATTTGTCCTCACAACACCATTGGGCTTGATCGGTTGTTTAACGTTGGGCCGCTCGGTGCTGACACGCGGCCTCGACAACTGCGTAATTAGCGGGGAAGAAGACGATGAGCTAGACGAATTGTTTTGGCTCGATGAACGACTGCGGTTGTGTATGGTGGAAGGTCTGACTGAGGGAGATGTGACAGCGTTTGGTGGTTTCTGTGGAGAGTTAGGACCGGGTGGCAGGGACGATGGTGGCCTTTTCGTTGCGGAGGGTTTGTTGCTGGCTGCAACGTCTATCTTTGGCAGTGGAGTATCGGTTGGTTCGGTCTTCGGTGTCGGGGCATGCGAAGGCTCCTTCAGCGCTCGTGAATCGGAAGGCTTCGGTGACACTCGAGGTTTGCGCTGTGTCTGTTGGGAATGAGACTTTTCGGATGAAGAAGACACATCGGGCGGATCAGTGTCGTCGTCATCATCATCAGAGTCATGTACATATTCTGCAGATTTGAATTTGCTTTCCACTTTGGACGGCGCCTTTCTGTCCGACTTCTTGGTCACACGCCCAGTCAAAGTACTATTAGCGGTGGTCTTCCCCTTGACTGTGGGCCGCTTGGTGGAAGCATCTTTGTCGGTCCGCTTCTTCTGTGTGTTCATACCAGACTTTGGAGCGCCTGTCAAGTCGCCAGGCTTGGAAGAGACAGATTTGTCTGTTTCCTGGCTCGTTGTATAACCCTCTTTCCCAGTTTCGTCCGATACATGAATCCGGGGAGTTAAGGCTTTCTTTATCGGGCCTGTACGCAAGTCCAGCCGCGACAGGCACTTTCCCTTTCCACGCTCCTCTTTCGGGAGTAGGTTCTGCCATAACTTGTCCGTGCGGGAGATCCTCAATCGATCGAATGCAGAGATAGCATTCTCAATCGCTTCCTGCCTGTCTTCCTGAGACGGATAAGGAAACTTCCACACGTCCAGCTCCCTATAGACCTTGTCCCGAAGATCGAACTTTTCTGGATTGATTCTATTTTCGATTCCGTACTTTTGAGCAAGTGTTGCACAGTCTTCAATAGACGAGCGGGTCTGTCGGGAAAGAAACTTGGTGGAGACGGCACGGATGGCTAAGAGGTGAATAAAGGGAACTTTGAGGGCATCGAGACGAGCACGGTCTTTGTTCTGAGAGGGTGGAGCCGAGGTTGGTGTGAGAGGAGGCATTGGAATCGGCGAGCGAGCGACGCCCAGCATTGGACTCGACGAAACTGAGCGGTTAGAGCTCGATTTGTTCTTCAGCAATCTATCCTTCTCCAGCTCCACTTTGCTAGATGGCATGCGGGCAAGGAGAGCAGCCTGCTTGCCGGTGGTCGACCGGCTGTCACCTGCTCTAAGAGCTCTCACTTCCGCGATATCGGTGATAATGTGGGTTTTCTTGGATTCCTTCCCTCGTTCAAAGGCACTCAAGCTCTGCTCGAGGTTCGCCAAGGCTTGGTCGGTGGCCGCAGTTGCCTCCTGGGCTTTCTGGACCTCCAAAGTGTGACTTAAAACGCCAGTGAAGTATAGATTCTCACTATTGACAGAGTAGCTCGTGTAGATCTCAGATCGGTGCGGTTCGGAGGAGGAGTGGAAGTGATAGGACTTGTTAGAGCCGTAGAAAAGTGTTTGGGTCTTTCCAAGTCGAATCCGGGCTGGTTGATCAGCACGAAGGCTCTCAATCAGCTCGTCGAGAGTACTCTGAGCAAGATTCAACCGCAAGATCTGTGTTTGTTTGCCACTTATATCATCCCCGGGACTGTCTCTTTGTAGAGACAACCCGGCCTCGGGAACCTGGAGAGCAGGCATTATGCCCAGGATCGAAAGAGACGTAGGTATAATATGAGGAAAATCGACCGGTGAGGGAGAATTGAGGCAGGTAGAAGTTGTTTCGAGATCCGGAGCAAGGACGGGTAGCAGCGTGAGGACTGCAGGTCATCGGCCGAGTGCACGGATGGGCGAGTCCAGGCAGTACGCCATGTATCAAGCAATGGACAGTAGAGAGGGTGAAGAGAGGTTTGCAGATGAAAGGGCAACCGAAAACTGGGACACAGCAAGACCCATGGCAGACGGGTGGAAGCGAGAGTGAGGTGAACAGAAGGGCAAGAGAAGTGAGGAAAAAGGGCCGGAAGGGAGAGGGCGAGATGAGATGAGATGATGCCGAAGAAACCAGGATTGGGAAGCGTCACGGTAAGGCGGAGCGTGAGCAAAGTTAAGTGGGGAGCAGCGGTATTCTGGTTCTGGTACGTATTGTTCGGGGTTCCTTTTCCACGCCTGGCCTTGAAAGGCTCTCATGTAATAATCGGGAAAATAATAATAAATAAATACTTAATAATAAAGATAATTTAACCACGTTGATTCAGACTCCGACGAGAATTATTCCCAGTTCCCAGTTGCCCTGAATTAAATGATCAAATATGACCGTTTTCGCGAACCTGCAGATTCCGATGGCTGCCACTCCAATTCAACTGCCTCCGATACTAGTAATATCCCAGAGGAAAAGTTTGCCTGCTAGATACTCTTGGACCCCAGATACCTCTTGCTGCTTGTAAATCCAGTAACATCCGTACCTAGTCAGCAGAATTCTTCGGAAGAAAGCCAGAAAGGCGAGACGAATAATAATAGGAAGCAGAGATGATAGTCCGGCCACTAGTAAGAGGAACGGCGCGTCAAATGGAGTCCCAGTCGTGACCTCCGGAGTCAACCTTTGTAGAAGACTGCAGTCGCATGTCTATTCAGGTTCGGGTCCAGCGAACAACAATGGATCGATGACTCGGTTTATGCCTTTTTAAAGAGACTTTTCATGATCATCCTTTCTGTACAAGTCTCAGTTTGCTCTGTCCTTCAATAGAATGCCCTTCAAAGTCGAAAGTTCAAAGAGGTTGGAGTGATCTGTCACCTTAGTCAGTCACCCAAACTCTGGCCAGGCCCCGTACAGCCCCTGTAACAATTCCCAGACTGTACGGGCACCGTTCAGATGCCCCCACTCTGGCAATGAACTGTTCAACACCCAACCTTGAAAGGTATCTTTCAACCCGTGAAGGGAGCTCTAGCAGCGGTAGGTTCCCGACAGGGACTGCATCAAGATACCAAATTCATCAAAGCCTGGTCATTGGAGTTTGTCGCTCAAACGCCGGTACAGCAGATCTAAATGAGCCGTGAGGGGAAACAGGGTCCCAAAGTCAAAAAAAGTGATGATGGAATGATGCCTGAAGAACTTGGCTGCCAATATCTACTTCAACGAAAGTGTGTCGGAGCAACATCCGGGAGAACAGCCCGAGAGGGAAGGGATCTCTGGTATTACTACAGGCCATGTCGGTCATCCACATCGATGAATGCAGATGGAAATCAGATGGGCAAGGTGGTGGAAAGATCATGGCGCTGTGCGTGGTGTTTCAGCCCCAATGCCGTGGGCTTTTGGAACTGTGAGTCTCAAACGGCCAAAGCCTCCGTTGCTATGATCAGCATTCAGTGCACCTACTCCCAACCAATTGGCTCCCGTCAATTAGAACGCTATGGTTTTGCTCAGCCACGGTTTCTGGATGGTAATGGGAGCGTAGTGGCTATGGGATGGGTTTCTCCCTAAGTCAAGAGCAGGATGGGTTCCAAAGGCCTTCTTACGGGTTGCTCTGCAGACTCAAGGCATGATTTCAAGAGGTACGGAATACTCGCGGTCTCCATACTCCCCCACGTCCGGTGGGAAGACGAAAATGTTAAAAACATCCGAGACGATGAAATAACGATGAAACAATGAATCATCTGCATTCTCGAGCACTGGTGGTACACTTTGCTGGCTGTCCGGGCAGGTGAGTAGATGGTAGCAAAGAGAAATTTGCAATTACTTTCTTGGATCGCCCGTTGATTGTAGATCACCCGTCCAGGACCACTTTCTGCTGGGTAGTATTCTCAGATCACTTCTCTCAAAGGCTTCCAGTCAGGGACAGTCCAATGTGTGCAAGACCATCGGTAGACGAGCCCGATCGCCAGGTACTATGTGCTCAATCAGTTCCGTGCAGCCACAACGTCATATCAGATCGCTTCTGTGGAAATAACCCGGAATTGTCCAGCAGATATGTGCAAATATACAGAGTACGCCCGTATCAATCTTACAGTCGCGCGAGACGGCTGGACTAACTCCCTGTACTTTCGCCACTCCTCTGAGGGCCGACAGTCCCTAGCTCTCCTGATCCAATTGAGATGCCCGCATTGAATCGATGCCCATTCTTCAAGCGAAAAGATCGGTTAGATTGGTCTTTGACAATGATGATTGCCAGGGCAATGATAGGCGATGAATTCGATTGAGAGCTTCAGACTTGATGGGAGAATACTGAATAGCCAACCGTTGAAGCAATCCGTTCCAATTAAAAAAGTGAGGATCGCTCCACTTAAATCGATTGAGCGATAGGAATTCCTCACTTTTTTGACCGAGTTATCTAATTAGCAGAGCCCGAATATTTCCTGAAGATGTGTTGTTAACGAGCCTGTCTGACGGGCTCGCGCGCTAAGCACAGTGACGGATGGGTTTGCCCGGACAAGACTCGAGAGACAGTCTCAGACTCCATGCCACTGGTGACTGGAGGCACCGAAAATAACTCACGAGAGGGGTGCGTGGGTTCCAACTTCAGGCCAAAAAGCAAAAATGCGAGGCAGGGCCGCAAGGCGATGGGTAGGAGGGAAAACGAAAGGGGAGCTCAGCGGGGAATAATTGGTTCCCGGTTGCTTGGGAGAGGAGCAGATTTGGGGTTCGGGCCTCCCTACGATCCAGTTTTCCTGTCAGTTATGAAGGGATGGGAGGCGATTCATCATCTTTCCTGGAAGGCTGGATTCGGAGAGTCAAACCTGGCACTCCGCATCAGCCAAGCAAGGCAAAGGCTCATTTCGACATAGGCGTGGGAGGTCACTGAGCCGCGAGTGGTCCTCAAAACGATCCCAGTAGAACTCCGTCCACCCACATACATACTCCGTCCGTACGGAGTACGCAGTGGAGATCGCTGAGGATTGAGTACTACTCCGGAGTACGATTTCGCATCACAAGTATACCTCTCCCCCGGCTTGCAGACTTCCTCCCAACTACTCAACCTAATTACGATACGCAAAGTGGAAATGGAATGTTTTCAGGCTACAGCAGTTCAAGACCCGGGATCCAGGGATCGATAATCTCTTCCTGGGTACTCCGTCGGTACGTCGGGAGACCATTGTTCACGTGCCCTCATCGATGTGGATGCGGAGTGGCTGCTGCGTCGCCGTATGGTGCTTTTTTAATTCAATGGCCTGCGAGAAATGCTTCCATCTCCTATGTTAGACAAGCTCAGGGGCGCTGGCCTGAACTGAAATCCTCCTCTCCAAATGCAACTTTTCTGTCATACAGCGTCGTCCGAGTACTATGCCAACCCTGTTCAACGCCTGTGCTTCTCCTCCAAGCCTCCCCAAGGGCATGCCCAATTCAGCTTAATTACCGGCTATTATTAGCAGATGCTTACTTGTGGGATGAATTAGCTGCTTATTCATCCGACATCATTCACTCGTCCTGCTTCACTTAGCCGCCCATCGATCGAGTGGCTCACGCTTCAGCCCCAAGCCCCAAGCCCCAAGCCCCAAGCCCCAATCAGCACCACTGATGTGAGGGACTTCGACTCAGCTCCTGCGACATCCTTACAAAGGAAAAACCTGCAGCCCAGCGCATTGCATCGCTATCGGCGGCCTAAGAAGGCCTCGATACTACATCTTACGCTTACTCCTCACGAATGTAACGTTGGCCAACAACGTGCCAGCACATTCTCGTGCTTGTATCACGTTGAACTTGAACAGTCAAACGGTGAGTTCACCGCTCAGATATGGTGGTCCTCAATCATCAGAAGAAAGAAAGAAACCCAACAGCTTCATGCCCTTTGTATGTTCTTATTGGGGCTAGTATGGCCCTGATCTACATTACATGAGTCAAAGCACATGTCCATCTTAAGTACTCAACCGTCCGCCATGGTGCTGTGATACGCTATAGTACCCACCCTCCAACATCCCTGGTCTGTACTTACCTAGTACTTATATTTAGTACTCTGAAACACGGTAGTTCTCTCTCGCATGAGTCTATTGGTGTTCATACTTGGAATACTCGTTTCCTACAACAACTCTTAATTTCGTGTCCTGATTGATCCGTGGAAAACGAAGATCTTCACCCAAGGTCACCCAAGGTCTCAAGCCTCATTCCAACGCCCTCGTGATGACACACCTAAGCCACGACCCGGGCAAATCCTGCGCCTCACCTTGATCGCCCTGCGAGTTGAGCGTCCTTTCTGGGCGCGAGAGTACTACTCCCTAGGCTCCAGCTTTCGAATCAAGGTCATTGGGGACAGGTACGGAGGAAGTCCGTACTTATTCCAGAACAGGCCGTATGCGTAACCTCTTGGATTTACCAAGATTTCGATAGCTGCGGTAGTTTGAGTGAGCTGCCTTGTATGAAATGGTAGTAGACATGTGTAGAGCTGCAGTGCAAAGGTCCATAGTACGGTTGCAAGGATAGTTGTTTCAGCAGATTTTCTTCCTTGTCATGTTGTGAATTTGACTGCGTCATGGCTAGACTATCAAAAGCACGCGCCAGAGCACGGCTCCCGAGGGCAATACAGTGCCAAAAACTGGGGCGAGCTCCTGATACTGTACATGTGACTAAAATAGTACTGCGATTCATACCAAGTGTTAGTCTGTACTTGCAACTCCAGGAGTAACCACAAAAGCTCCTGGGAAAGCCAAGGTCTCCTTGAGGCAAAGCTCATTTCAAAACGCACCAGCCTAACATAACCGGTCATCCAATGTGAATTTTAAACGTGCCCCTAAATATGCTAATAGAACAAAACGGATATCAGTACAGAAAGCCTTCCCCGAGGCACATCAAAGTCCTAACCAATCTAGCCCTCTATTTTCTTGCTGATTTAACCAGTCACCTTGAAGATAGACTCAGCCAGGCGCTTGACGTTGCCGGTGGTGATACCGGCCACCGAGATACGGCCGTCCTTGGTGGCGTAGACAGAGTGCTGTCATGTATTAGGCAACTGCGAATCGAAGTACATGGTTATAGTAGAACATACCTCCTTGGCAAGGGCCTCCATCTGCTCGGGCTTGAGACCAGTGTAGGCGAACATGCCGATCTGCAATTGGTGTCAGTATTGTTTGGATGAAAAGTGCCAGCAATCCTACCTGGCTGGTGATGTGCGACCAGTCGTGCTTGCTGCCAAGGTCCTCCAGGTTCTTCTTGAGGAGGGCACGCATCTCAATGATGCGGTCGGCCATGCCCTTGACCTCACCGAGCCATTGCTCGTTCAGGGCGGGATCGTTCATGATGGTGGAAGCGACACGAGCACCGTGCACAGGAGGGTTGGAGTACATGGGACGGATGAGAATCTTGATCTGGGAGTCGACACGCTTCTTCTCCTCGGCCGACTCGCAGACAAGGGAGAAAGCACCGACACGTTCGCCGTAGAGACCCTGTATATCGGGTTAGGAGATGGACGACTACCGGAATCAATTTCCACGAGCTTACCATGTTCTTGGCGAAACTCTGGCACAGAGCAATGTTGTGGCCCTGCTCAACAAAGTGACGAGGAGCAAAGGCATCGCGATCGGCGCTGCCACTGGCGAAGCCCTGGTAGGCCATGTCAAAGAAAGCAAAGTGGCTCTTCTCCTTCACGACGTTGCTAATCTCGCGCCATTGGTCTTGGGTAGGGTCAACGCCGGTGGGGTTGTGAGCGCAAGCGTGGAGCAGGATGATGCTGTTGGAGGGAGCGGCCTTGAGGTCGGCAATCAGGCCCTCAAAGTCGAGACCAATGGTGTCCTTGTTGTAGTAACGGTACTTCTCGACTTCGAGTCCAGAGTCCTTGAAGACTGCATTGTGGTTGGCCCAGCTAGGGGTGGGCAGATAGATCTTCTTCGCGTGGGGATAGAAGCGCTGGAGGAAAGCACCGCCAATGCGCAGAGCGCCGGTACCAGAGATGGACTGGGTGATGACGAGGCGGTCCTCCTTCAGAACGGGAGAGTCGGATCCATAGGCGAGCTGGGCGGCAGCCTTGGTGAAAGAGGGGATACCAGTGATTCCGGCGTATTCCTTGTCGAAGCGCGATGCGACAACCTTGTCCTCCGCGGCGCGGACGGAAGGCAGAACATAAGGCTTGCCCTTGTCGTCACCTATCGGAGAAGACTATTTTTAGACAAGCGATAGAAGTTTTCGAGGGCGACAATCGGTAAAGGCACATGGGAAATCTTGAACAAGAGACAGATTCGGGGACCTTACGGTAAGCACCAACACCAAGGTTGATCTTCTCCTTGAAGGAATCGGCCTTGAAGGCCTCGGTGATACCAAGGATAGCATCCTAGCATCGTAGAAGCGACCATATCAGCAATTGCAACCCGGCGATAGGTCTATCTGGATAAGAATTGAGCTCACAGGAGGACCCTGGGGAACATTGGACCAGGTGGAAGCATATCTGGCACCTGCGATTACGGTGCGCACGCTAGCCTCACGGGACACAGCCTTGCGGCCGGCAACTCGAAGAGTAGAGAGCATTGTTGATAGAGGTGGATTGGCTCAATAATAGCTCAAAACTGGAAGGTACACAAATTTGGGGTAGATAGGATAAAGGAGGAAGAGCTGTCAGGACAAAAGGCCGAAAAAAAAATATCAAGGAATTGAGGAGCAGGCCGACCGGGATGCAAGGGAGCGATAAATAGCAATGAGTGATGGGGTGAGCCGAATCGGAGATGCTGCGTGTGTGTGTTTTCTTTGACTCATGTGAACTGCAATGGGCCGACCACGGATAAAATCGCTGTTGTGTTCACTGTTGCTGCTCTAGACTCGGACTGGACACACTGAGCAGGCTCATCCGATTGATACGGGAGTTCAATTCGACTGACAGCCTTCATATCAAGATAAAAGCATCATAGCTACAATGTCTCCTGTTTACAGAGTCTCACAAACCTCTCCACATCTCCGCTTGCGCATCTCCAGGTTTATGCTCGAACATTATTTTGGTCCCTCCAAGTTCTGGTCGCGCCATTCGCAGGCCCGCTCTCGGTGAACTCTTTCGACTCTCAAGGCCTTTCCCCTCACGCGATTTGGGGTAATTTCTCCAAAACAGCTTCTCGAATCTCAGGCGTCATCACGAATTTCGCCAGTGATTATCTCCTTCCCTTTGTTGCATTCCTGTTAGGGGAGTATTGTTGAGACAGTATCTGTTCACATCTGGTCCTGGACAACGCCAGACCTTTTTTTTTCCCGGATTTCTCTCGGTCCAATCTCGAACTCGGCACTTGCCGTTGCCTAGGTAGCTAGCTCACCTACATCGTAGCAATTTGTTCCCGAATCAGCGGTTAATTTCCCCCACACGCCAAGTCGCTAACAAGCTAGCTAGCTATGAAAATCAGGAGACCAGGCTGAGCTCCCGGTCTTCCCGGTCGGTGAGGGGATCCATACAGATCGAATCCTGCTCCGTGTTTGCCCGCACGGCGCACGCGCAGCAAGGGCAGCCTCTGTTTCGGGTTGGAGGTCTCGGGATCTCAAAGACTATAGATTGGTCAATAATTCCAGGCACGCGGGATCCTGCTCCAATACGACTGCGAGTTGATGCCGCGCAGTGATTGAGCAAGCCAGCTCCGAACGCATTCGAGGGTCTAGCTTGAGGCTTTCTGCAACGCTGGGCAAGCGAAACATGGGAGTGGCATAATCTAAGAACTAAAAGCAAGCCCACACTGGCTAATTGACTGCGGATACTGCTTCGTAGAAGGTCAAGCTGCCTGATCCAAGAACCTTGGAATTCTATCAATTCTCTTCGTAGAAACCGTCGGGTACACTCACTTCTCCTGCAACCTCTTCAAATGGCCCGTCCCAGCAATAATCGAGTCTGCAAACGCACTCCTCACCCCAGCCCTCTCCACAGCTAACAAGCCCTGCATTGTGCACCCCCTGGGCGATGAGATACTCTCCCTCAGCACTGCCGGATGGTGCCCATCCTTCAACATCTTAGCAAGACCGAGCAGGCACTGTGCTGTCATCTCAGACGCATCTGCCCGCCGCATTCCTTCCGCAACACACCCGTCTAAGATCCCATCAACGGCAACAGAAACCGTAGCCAGCGAAGCCATCAACATGGAGCCGCAATCGAACAACTCGCCGCCAATGACTTTGACCATCCCAATCTGCGAGAACATCCACTCAATCACCTTCACCTGACTCTGGAGAGCGGCATCGGGGAGCTCAATGACAGTCATGGACTCCCGCACGCTAGCAGCGACATTGGGGATTGCGCGCGCAACCATCGTCGTAGACTCCGTAGCCGAGCCCGACTGATTCTTTGCAATCCCCTCAACAAGGACACCGATTGTCTTTCCGGCGATAATACTAACAACTAGCTTTCCTGCCAGTGCATCACAGAGCCCTTTCTCGGCCAGGACCGCATCAACAAGGTACGGCTTGCAGCCGAGGATGACCACATCCGCCTGTGCAGCGGCGGTGGCATTGTCGCCGGCGACAAAGTCAAGCTGTATTTGTGATGAATGCCGGGCATACCGAGATTCAAGCTTGTCTGCAGATGCCTGGGACTTTGTGCACGCGACTATGCGGGTAAACGGGCTTTCTTTATTGTTGGTGGTGGATGTTGCGTCGAGGATTCCACAGAGAATTGCGGAGCCCATGTTGCCTAAAGAGAGGTTAGATGGCAGTAGGTTTGATGAGTGAGGTAGTGCTCGCCGCATCCGATAATTGCGAGGGTAAGATCGGAATCCATGTTGGTGTTTTGATTTAGTGTTATAGCGTGTGATAGAGGGGACGAGGGGTTGGAGTGACTCTATGACAGTGCGGTTGATCCCATTGGTATTGAGGTTGTGTAAGGTCTGCGGTCAGACTGATTGGCTCCGTATGTAAGAACATTACCCGCTAGATTATGGAGAGGAACTCGAAGCAACTGAAAGAGCACAAAGAAAGATGAAGCCAGATACTTGAAATCTGTACTTGCCAGTTGCTTTGGTTGTAAGCCATGACTAACGTCTCGGACGCTCCCCAGCATCTATCCGTTTTCAACCCCACCGTTAGTAGGATGGGCGGACAGAGCAGCTTGACGCTACTCGAACTTCGAAGACTACACCAAGCACTCGGCTGTCCACGTTCTAGAGCTGCATTCAAATGTAGAGGACAAACCTTACGCTCGGGCTCAAGTTCAAAGTTCACTGTTGTTTGCCAGAAGTTGACATCCATATTGTTCTGTACGGTGTCTAAAATGACTAGTCGTTTGAGGCTTTCCGTCGGGGAATAGGTATCTATGTATAATGTAACGCAGGTGGAAGGAAGAAATTTAGCCCAATCGCACACCAGCTTGTCGGTTCTTCCGCGCTGTCGCACCCATGGCATTGTTCATTCCCGTATGCTGACTGCTGTCCAATGCACTCATTGCCTCGCGCTTCTTCTCTTCTTCAATCTTCTTCAACCGTTTCTCAGTCTTCATCTTACCGCTGCCCTTGCCGTGGAACTGATGGCTCAGGTGCTTGAACGCCTCCTTCTGGTTCATTTGACGGCCAAACTCATCAATGTACTTGAGCTGAACGTCAGGCTTGTACTCTTTGTTGAAAACCTCTGCCATCTGGCGCGCATCCTGCTGGTCTCGCTGTTTGTTTTCCCAGCGGGCGTACTCCTCTCTTTCGCGGGCAGACATGCGGTCAAGCTTTCCTGAAGCTCGATCACGCTCACGTTGCTGGCGAGCACGTCGTTCCGCCTCTGTTTCAAGGCGGCTTTTGTCGGAGATGAACTTCTGGCGATCACGAAGAAGTGAGTTGTGCTCTGCAGCGTCTGTAGATTTTACAAGACCGCGCTTCTTGAGCATACCCAGGGTAGCACCAAGACCCTGGGACAAGGTAGATTCCTCCTCCAATCCAGTACCACTGATGGGCGCGTTGGTCTGGGATTCCTCGCGTTTGATGCGCTCCCTGAGTTCATCCTCGTCCTCAATGTCGTTATAGGACCTTTCCATACCCACGTCGCCGCCGTCTGCTTGTTCTTCGCTCAGCTCTTCTGTTTGCGCTCGCAAGCCTTCTGCTGGTGTACTGGTGCGGCGCTCTCGTGGCTCGGGAAGTACCGGTTTCTGTAGATTGGAAATAAATTCAGATGTCTCGTCGATGACTAGCCCGGGCTCTTCCTCGTCTGGCGATTCAACATCCATTGGAGTCTGCGAGTCTTCCTCCCGAAGCTGCCGTGCGATATCCTCTGGGCGAGCTTTCTGTCGCTTTTTCAGGGCGGCACGCCGTTGACGGGTTAGAAGGGCTTGTAAATCATCGTCGTCCACAAACGAGACGTTTTCGTCTTGTATCCTGCGGGGTGCAGGTACTGGTGCGCCATCCACGACATCGACATCCATGGCGGCGCCGTTCGGCGTGTCAGCGGATTCAGTAGGCGGAAAGATATCGTCATCATCGAGGCCAGATCTCTTCTTGGTGGTCTTGGCCTTCTTCTTCTTCGGCTTCTTGATCTTGATTTCGCTCAAATCCATGTAATCGGACACCGGGGTATCGGCCTCAAAATCAAGACTGATGACATTTCGTTTCAGTTTATCCGAGACCTCCTGCCGCCGCGCCTCTTGTTCCTCCACAGTAGATCCACGGGCATCAAGTGTAAACCGCTTTCGCTTCTTGCCATCAATTTCCTCGTCGTATTGTGCAAGAATGCTGGTATTCTCTTCGGTAGGGTCATAAACTGGTTTCCCTTTCTTCGACTCCAATCTCTCTGCGAGTTTTTCCTTTTCTCGTAAGTCAAGATTTTCTAGTTCGTCTCCCTCCTCCTCATTTTCATCCACTGTCGTATCTTTGAGTGTGAGTATGTGCTCCTCTCCACCCCCAAACTCCCCGATTTCGTGCCCGACCTTGATACCAGCAAGGTCAGATGCCGAGTACTCCGCCACACGCTGGCGCTCCTCCAGCTCCTCTGCCAATTTGCGCGCTCGCTCCTTCTCAATCTTCTTTTGCCGCTTTTTCGTCTGTAGCAACCACGTCTTGGTATCTACGTCCGCATCCGCACCCTCTCCCAGAGTTGTTCCTTGGAGTTTTGCGTTTCTTTGTGCTTGCTCGCGCGCCTTTTTGATCGCAGCGTTCCTTGCCTCGCGCCTCTTCTTTGACTCGGCCTCATCTTGGAGCTTTTTCCAATTGTCTCCGGCCAGCGCCTCGCGGGACTCGAGTGTGCTCGCTGGTTCTTCGTCGGATGAGTCGTCGTTGGACTCTTTGAATGACGGGCCGGTGGCGTCGGCTCCGGGTACTGGCAAAGGCTTCAGCCCCAGGGCCACGCGAATCTTGTTGTTTTGCTCAATGGAAATGGCGTCCGTCATACTGCCGATTAAATCGATAAAACGACGAAACGAACGGTACCGAGAGGAAGGTGGTTGTGAGCTTTCGTTGATCGATAACACTCGTTGAATCAAGAGACGGCTGTCCAGGCCGCTCATTACATAAGCTCATTTCTCGGCAAGGTTTAGCGTGTCCACAGCTTAGCGCTGCCTTAGCGTGAGCTATAAAAATGCCGTAATTTTTGTGCCGAAATTTTCTTCTTTTTCTTTTCTCTCAACAGAACACAAACGGATCTGTGTTCGGCGATCCTGGTCGTGAGAGCGTCTTTCCCTTTGGGAATCTCGTCTTTTTGCGTATCGGTTGATTGCTGGACAGTTCGACGACCACGGAGGCACTACTTTTCTTACATTTGGTGTCAACATTTTCCGGTCGACAGATCTCAGATCAAATGTTGGCATGGGGTGTTCACTCTGGTCTTGAGCTCCCTTTTGTTTTCGGACGATTGGTGAGCTCGGCTGGAGAGCCTTGTGTCAACGGCGTCATATTCCTGTTCCCTTTACCGATCATGGCCGTCGGCTGATGAGGTTAGGGATAAACCATGACTGGCCAACATCACTTATTTAGCACATAGCTGTTTTGCTTAGGTCTACGGGTCGTAGCGCCGGCAATCGCGTTGTCCATCTTTTGCGAGTAATCTTAAGTGCGCTGTATCTCATGGTAGAAGGGTATATACAAAACTCAGCCGTCCCAGCCGAAAACACCTTGAAGCTTTCTAGAGAGAAATAGCACCGCAGGATGAGACGCGGAGCACAGAAGCTATCAAAGAAGCTTCAGATGGCCCGTCACCGTATCAACAACACTCTTTGGCCCTAAGATGCCGAGCACCGTCCTGCTTCCACTGGCGATCTGTGTGCGTCCAGCATCCTGGATCACTCGAGCGCAGAGTCCGAGACTCATGGCTTGCGCCTGTAACAGTTGTAATTCTTCTTCCGACTTTATCTGCAGCGCAATCTTCGCTTGACCTTGTGATTCCCAGCGGCGCAGAATGGCAGAGTTGGTGGTGTGCGAGACAAGATATTTGTAGCAGGCGAGGGTGGCATGCGAGCACTGAGCAGCGATTTTCCCTATACATGTTGATACGATTTTAGCCCTCTCTTCCTTGCGCATGGAGGCGGTACTCTGGAATCGCCAAGGGTATTCCCGACAGCTGGGAAGCAAGAACAAGAGTGTAACAAATACCTTTCGTCATTCCCAAATCCGTCCGAACAACAAGCACTAACTTGATCTCCTCTGTGTTTCCCTCGAAATCGGCCAGTTCGCCTCCATCGCCTTCTTCCTCGCTATCCTCCTCCTCCTCATCGTCACCTTCTTCCTCCGACGATCCCCGGTGAACTTTCACATTGTAGCTATTCGGCCAACCCTCCTTTTCCTTTGAAGAAAAGAGTCCCAGTGATGCCCCTTGGCCGATGAAGTAACCGGTGATTCCGGCGATGATGGCTGTGGCGACGACATATGTCGTTGTCGAAGGCGGGATGCGATCAAGATCAGACATTTCTTGGTGGTGAAAGGGCTGTGGGAGTTGTATGATCAAAGTTTGACGAGATTTGCGGAGAAGGGTATATTTTGGGAATGGGTTCTCCACATACTCGTGTTCCACGCTCCGGGAAGCTTTTCTTTCTTTTACCATATACAGTACGTCTCAAATTGGTATCCGGTCATGAAGGTCCTCGTACTGAGTAGTAAACTAATGATCAATGGTATTGGCCGCCGGGATTCTCCAGAATGAGGCGATCTGTCTTGATATTGCATGAAGAAGACAAATAGATGGACATCACGTGCCGCAAGGTTTGTTTACAGTTTGAGGGCGTTCGTCGTATCAGTGCTTGGCGACAAGCTATCAGCCTCACAGCGAAAAAAAGGAGAAGATGACTTGACAGGCAAAATAGGCTGCCGCCCATCAGCGGGGTAACCTCAAGAGTCAAAGTGAGCGCCCGCTGTCGTTTCGCGTTTGCAAAGAATCGGGAGCTCCAGACGGCACCACATTGGATACTTACACTACGTTGTACTCTGAGAGGTTGCAGAGAAATGATCGTCCATTTCCCAGTGGAGATTCTCTCCATCATTTTCAAGCAGGTGGCTCATGGCCTGACCTCAAAGAAACAATTCCAGGATGCGCACAGGCTTCGGCTGGTTTCCACAACTGTACAGGCGATTGTCGAGCCCATCCTGTATAGAAGCGTCGATACAGAGGATGACGGCAGGGTAGAGCAGGTATTCTGGTCAATGATGCGCCAACCGAGACTGGCACGTCTGGTGAAGCGGGTTGACTTGACAGATGAGTGCACGGAGCGAAATCATATCGACTCGGAAGATGAGGAAGAAGAAGACGAAGGCTGCGGAAAGGGGGAAGAAGGGAAGGAAAGACAAGGGCGGCCAGAATCCAACTCTGATGAATCCCAGCGCCTCTCTCAATCTGACGACGACTCGAAATCCCGGCATTTGAGCGCTGCCGTTGAGATATTCAAGAGCAAGTTTCAAGCCCACGGAGAGAGAATCCGCTCCTTAGAGAGCCACTGGGTACGCAAACTCCTGAAGTCAAGACTAGACGCCATTCAATGGGCGCTCTTAGTCCAACTATCAAATCTTACCTCCCTCAGGCTCAAGATCAACAGAGGGAAGCTCGCGCAGATGGCCATTCTCCTCCATCTTCCACGGCTTGAGAACTTCGACTTTACCGTCGCTGTCGGAGGCGAAGGGGTTTGGTCCGGAGAAGTTTCCTCAGAAGGTATACTGGAGAGCATTATATCCAGCACGAACCGGCTGAAGTCTCTGAGGTTTGAGAACATAGATGGATCCTGCTATTCACCAAAACAGCACGACGCCGAAGAACTGAAGGAAATCCTCGATCGACACGCGGAGACCCTTGAGAACCTTGACATTGTCTGTGGAATGGACGACGAAGGGGATTGGCGCATGCCGCAAGAATGTGTTGATATTAATGGGTGTTTTGGGTCTATGAAGCATTTCACCCAACTTGCGAATCTCTCAATCCAGCTCGAACTTCTATTGGGAAGGCCTGCCGGCAATCAACATCGCCTCAAGGATGTCCTTCCTCCGAATTTATGCCAGCTCACCTTACTCACGTTGGCCGACTACTATGGCGACGAACACGACATGGTTTGGAAAAACGAACACTACGTCCCACACCTTGAGGAATTGGCGAGAGCGGCTGAGGATGATCAAAGTTTTACTTCATTGGACGAAGTGCGTATGCATTTGACACGCAAAGATCGGTTCAACCCGTATAGAGCTGGGAAATATGAAGAAGGCGTACTAGGCCAGTCTCGGATTAATTTCAGGTGGTCCTGAGGTCCTCTTACCGTTAGGGTGCGCATCTATAATGGACCCCCTGAAAATCAGTTCAAAAAATCAACGTTACTTGAAAAATAAGAAACGCTCTGTTATCTCTTTACTAAAACATTCTTTTTTTGAAAATCCCCAAAATAATACCATGAAGATCACAGGATGGAGGTATAACCAAAAGTCCCAGTATGGCTCGGCTATCAGATCAAAGGTACAAGTGATGCCATATATACATCCTTGATTATGGTATTTCGGAAAGAAGTAAGCCTCATTGAGCAGATATGTTTATCCAGTGCGGCCAGCGGGAGCACCGGGATTGAGGCGACGACTCCTGAGACAAGAATTAGCTGGAGTCAACAAGTGCACCTAGAAAACTCACATCATCGTTCGGCTGGCCATGCTGATGACAATCATGAAGAGCCAGCTAGGGACGATTCCGAAGCCGTAGATGACGTAGCCTAGGGGAACAAGCAGGCCGTATTGAGCAAGCCAGCCGTCTGTAGGGTGGAATGCACCTTCATAGGCGGGCTTGTCCTCGTAGATCTTCTCGGAATGAATTTTGTAGATACTCTCGGGGGTCACGGTGGTCGAGTTCACATAGACGATGTGTAGAGGGGTGGAGGGACGCTCCTCAGCTTGAGCTTGAGGTACCTTGAAGTACCAAACCGAAGGAGCGCCAGCAGACCAGGCGGAGCAGAGAAGCTGGTTGGATTCGCAATCGAGGTATCCAAGGTTGGGCGAAGTCGGATCGGCGGCGAAAAGGAGGACAGATTCCTGATATCAAGAGATTAGGCGATACAGGTCTCAAGTTTCAACTGCCCCTTTTCAATAGATGAACTCACATTGAACGACTTCTCGGCCTTGCCACAGCGACCAAAGCAAGTCTTGTTCCCGCCGGTGACGAAAACCAACCAGTCTTGGGCGGTTGTTGCGGGTTCTAGAAGTGACACCCAGTTGCTTGCGTTGAAAGGGGTAACGGTCTTTTCTTGGATAACCCTCTTCGGGGCCTCGACCACCTTTTCAGCGACAGGAACGACAGGGGTCGCGGTTGGCAGATAGGACTTGGCCTTATTGAACCAGCCTTGAACGCGGTCCGCAAGAGGAACCTGCTCTTGGGCCGCAGCCAGCGCTGGGACGAGAACGAGAAGCGGGATGAAGCGCATGATGCTGGCGATGAGGAAACGCGCCTTGATCAGTAGATGCTTGCAAACCAGATGATTTTGATGTACAATACAAACCTGGGACTAACTGTAAAAGATACAGGCGCACTCTGGATGATGGAGCGGTTGAAACGACCTAAGTGCAGACAGCAGGCAGGTTCCGAACAACGGGGAGCTGGAGTTGTTGTCCAAACGAAGAGCCACGACTGACGGGCTGCGCGCGATCAGCTGGCCTAAACTCTAAATGGCAGTTCCCTGACTTGCAGCTTCGGAAGCGGGGAACTGGCCTGGAGCCTAGAAATCCAGCTCTTGACTTACTTCAACTGGAGCAATCCTCGTTCCCTGGAAGATAGCAAAGAAAAAGCAAAGTTGATTTTGAGATTAGATTCGATCTGTTATCTCTGCGTGTCAAGTACGGTCATCAAGAGCGGACTGTGGTCTCACAGGACAGCATTCCAACTCCAACGTGATTACTGTGATGGATTATGTCATCGTATTTACTGTCCATCGGTTTCTCCCCAGGCGGCTGCTCTTCATCCCCTTTGATCAGTTCAGCTCCCACGAACTTGCTAACTAGGTTGTTGCAGAGGCTATGGAGGATGACGAGCCTACTACTAACCGCGTTGCTAGAAGCCCACTAAGCTTACGAATACTATGTAGTGGCTCTTTCCTGGACTATGGCTCCTTCCCTGGAGCCTGGAGTATACAGGACGTCTAGTTAGTCTGGGAGGAATGGCAATGACCGAGTTTGATCCCTACATCTTCTACCTACTTACCGACGCGATACCTGGTTCGGGAGACGTCCTCTTATCCCAGTGCAGTTGTACGGCCTATCAATTCCCCAGCTATTGCTTGATATCGCTTCGCATCTATTATGAAGCACGCGCAGAGACCCGGAAGGTTCTCCTGGAACCTCACAACGCTGGCACTGATCATCGCTTGGCTGCCATGTCACAGCCTTGGAGCTGTTGTGAGAAGAGGGGTGAGCTATGACTTCGGTTAGTCCTTGCTCATAATAGTTTCGCAATCTCCATGAGATGATCGGTGATTCTGAATAATCCACTCCTGCTTGTTTAGGTACGAGCATAAGGAACAACTTTACCTCGAACCAAACGACTACATCACTTGCGGCCACAGCCTCTAATCGGGTCTCCTCCGGCGACTTCCCAGTGTGTACCGATCTCAAAGGCCCGTTTGTGCCATTCTGCCTTCCAGAAGACGGTGCCGATGTCTTGGTCGACACAACATATTATGTGACCTGGAATGCTGATTTCTACCCCTTGAATGCAACCATCACGATTGAACTGCGATATTCCGACTCCCATGAAGGTTCCTCGGCGTTCACTTCTGAGAAGACCGATAATAGCTACGGATATATCCCGCTTCACATGCGGAGGGACTGGCTTCAGGGCAAGTCGAATAACACGTTGACGCTTTACATCATCGAGCTTGATTCTACTCTCGATCGCAGAGCAAGCGCACGGCAAGGTCCAACGATCACACTTCGTCCGAAACCGGTGAAGCACTATAAACCATCACCGCCGGCGCGATTCAATAAACAGGCAGTATACATTGGTGTACCAGTGAGCATCGTTGTTGTGGGTATTGTTGTGATTGCTTTAGTCTGTTCAATGCGAAGGACCAGGGAAGCGATAGCCAACATATTCCCGAACCCCGGCAGAAGAGGGTACGGCATTGGGAGGTCCAGGACACAGCGCTTGAGGGGCGACGGCAGAGAAAGTAGTGATTCTAATGAATCCGCATCTTCTAAGAGGTACCCAACAGACCTTGAGACAGGGCTGCTTGACGGAACGGGGTCGGAGAGATATAATCATGACCATGAGCGTGGCGCCAGCTATCCGTTCAGACGGGATGTTTCGAGATTGAAGAGCTGGGTTGGTTGAGCGCTGTTGTTTATCCTTTTCCTTTCCCCCATGACGTTCCCGAAAAGAGCGCCGATGTATTCTTTGATAGACAGTGAGTCATTATCATGGCAACGTGTACTAAACAGTAGATTCGATACAGGACATGCGCCAATATCATGTATTTTATACTTCGCGTCAGTCCAAGATGTTGAACTTGGTCCCTGGTAATATGGCTCAATCGTCTTTCCACAATACCGGACCTTACCCGACGCCATTGGAATATTTCCGAGATTGACCAACAAGAAAGAAGCGATTTAATACGGTGTAGTAGTGTAGATACGGAGTCGTCCAGGACGTAAGAACTCCACTTTAGAGATGTGACGTATTTGGACTCGGTAGTGGTCAAGTCCTAGCTGCGACTCTCTTCTGAGCGCCTCCTGTTGCTGTCTCAGATTATCCTGGAGATGCGGCGATGGACTGCTTTACTAATAGTACTTTAGCACCCGAGCGTTGATTATCAATTGCGGGCTTTCTAGACACTGGACGGTGAACTGATTCGATATTTTTGGTACAGCCGGTAGCCCCTCATCCTCGATTCGAGTCCTGCCGATGTCGGGCGGGGGGTTGCCTCTTCGAACTCTGGTCGGCAATACGAATAACAACAGGGGAACTACATATAAAGAGACGTCTCGTTGTATGCAAGGGTACAGACAAGAGCTTCCAGTTGAACTGATCCAAGTTATCAACTGAATAATAGCTCTGCCTGCTGTTATTGAGAGTGGCGAATGATACTCGAAAACGGTTTTAGCCCAAAAGTACGAAGAGTATCTACTACTACCTAGGAGATGGACAAACCGATTTCAGTCTTCGATCCAATGGGTTAAGGTACCTCGAAGTCGATCGCACAAGGTTCGTCCAAGGGCTAGGCACCCGACGAATTGAAATATAGTAACTCGTGACAACGCGTCTTGCTTCAATGGTCGACAAGACCGGGGAAAGTTGGCTGGATGGCAGTGGCACTCAGTAGTGACGAGCGAATACAGGGTTCCCCACAAATGACTGGAGGAGTGGAAAATTTCAAAAGACTGCGGTGCTCGGCGGGCGAAATTTTTCTTCCTTGCCGCTCATGAAGGAGTCATCCTCACCTGTGAGTTCATTGGAGATCGCCCGTCTGCTCAAACTCCACCCACTTTTCTTCCCTCCCAGGCCTATGACTCTTTTCCTTAACTTCTCCTCAAGAGCATATAAACAGCTGAATTGCCCCTTGATCGACGAACGGTAATTCATCTTCTCTTTACCTTTCTTCTCTTCGCCGACCAACCCTGTATCTGACCTGCGATATAGTTCTACCCCTCTCAAATTTTATCAGATCTCCAAACCTTCCCCCGCTATCCGACTCACACCATGAGCCCCGGTGCAGGCAACGAGCCCAATGGGCAAACAAATGGTACATTCTGGAGGATATAGTGTTGGTCGTTCTTGAAACAATCCGAAACTAAGTCTTATTCCTAGGATCCCACCCCGGCTTCACTGCTATCCAGACCCGCCAGAACCCTCACCCTTCCCGCAACCCTTACGGTCACAACGTCGGCGTTACGGACTTCCTGAGCAATGTTTCCCGCTTCAAGATCATTGAGAGTACCCTCCGTGAGGGTGAGCAGTTTGCCAACGCTTTCTTCGACACCGAGAAGAAGATTCAGATCGCCAAGGCATTGGACGATTTCGGTGTGGACTACGTAAGTCATGCGGAGATCACTTCAATCTCTACCTCGCTTACTGACAGTCATTTGCTGTAGATTGAGCTTACGAGTCCCTGCGCTTCCGAGCAATCGAGGCTCGACTGCGAGGCCATCTGCAAGCTCGGCTTGAAGGCCAAGGTGCGTTCTTTACTCTCCACCTCGCACTTCATCTCTAACAGCTTGAATAGATTCTTACACACATCCGTTGCCATATGGACGACGCTCGGGTCGCCGTCGAGACCGGTGTCGATGGAGTGTTAGTTGACCCTTACCTTTGCCGTGCCTTGGATGTAGATTCTAACAGGAGATTCTAGTGACGTTGTTATTGGAACGTCATCTTACCTCCGTGAGCACTCTCACGGTAAGGACATGACCTATATTAAGAACGCCGCCATTGAAGTCATCGAGTTCGTCAAGTCCAAGGGCATTGAGATCCGATTCTCCAGCGAGGACTCTTTCCGTTCCGACCTCGTTGACCTGCTCTCCATTTACTCCGCTGTCGATCAAGTTGGTGTCAACCGTGTTGGTATTGCCGACACTGTTGGCTGCGCTTCGCCTCGCCAAGTATACGAGCTTGTCCGTGTGCTGAGAGGTGTCGTGAGCTGTGATATTGAAACGCACTTCCACAACGATACTGGCTGCGCTATCGCTAACGCCTACTGCGCTCTGGAAGCCGGTGCCACTCACATCGATACCTCTGTCCTTGGTATTGGTGAGCGAAATGGTATCACCCCTCTGGGTGGTCTCATGGCTCGCATGATGGTTGCCGACCCCGCCTACGTCAAGGGCAAGTACAAGCTGGAGAAGCTGAAGGACATTGAGGATCTTGTGGCCGAGGCTGTTGAGGTCAACATCCCCTTCAACAACTACATCACTGGTTTCTGCGCCTTCACCCACAAGGCTGGTATCCACGCCAAGGCCATCCTGAACAACCCAAGCACCTACGAGATCATTAACCCCGCTGACTTCGGAATGTCGAGATACGTCCACTTTGCGTCCCGTCTGACGGGCTGGAACGCCATCAAGTCGCGTGCACAGCAGCTCAATATCCATATGAGCGATGATCAGTACAAGGAGTGCACAGCCAAGATCAAGGCCCTTGCCGACATCCGACCTATTGCCATTGATGATGCCGACAGCATTATTCGCGCTTTCCACCGTAACCTTAACTCGGGAGAGAACAAGCCCCTTCTTGACTTGACCGCCGACGAGCACGCTCAATTCCTCGCCAAGGAAAAGGAGCTCGCCGCCCAAGGCAATGCTGCGGCCCTATAGAGGACGCCTACCGCACTGCCTCCGAAACATACTATGCATCACACTGTGCTAGCGCCATTCCGATTGGAAATAGGTGACAGTGTTTGTTTTCTAGAGCTTTGATCATATTCCCCGAGCGACTCTCACGAAGAGAGGCGTGGATTTCTTTCTGTCTTGTCATGATTTGGTGTTCATTTATGTGGTCTGGGATATTTTACGTTATTAGGGTCTTCTAAAAGTGCTATTTGCCCCTGCAAGATAGGCGATGGGAAAGAGTTGGCTGGTGTTTTGCAGGCATTGGTCCATTAGACTGGACTCTTGTATATAAGCAGGCCTTCGTGGTGACAAAGGTGTCACGAATGAGACGTGATGTACAAAGACAAAGAAATCATCAATTGCAGGGTAGTAACCTAGAGTTACCCTCTGTACTTGGTAGTGATCTGTCCAAAAATCCTGATAGAAGACTTCATCATAGTATGGATCAGACGTCACCGGTCTGGCCCCTGCACGGGCTTTCCTAATCCAAACGAGGTGGCATGTGGAACCTACAGCCGAGGCAAAACGACCGCTCATCATTTGGCGCTTGGAATTGAAGTCCATCGTCTTTCCAAACTTGGAGTGACAGGTGCTCAAGAAACTGAGTTAAGTTCCGAGAAAACGAGGCTTGCATTCGGCCGTTATTCCGCGAGCTTTTCGTCCTGGACTTCCGACCTCCGCCTCCGCACTTCTTCCTACGTCCTATCCTTAGCCTCGACGCTTGCTCTGTCGACAACTATTCTTTTACTCTTTCCATTTCGTGTGCAGGGAGGATTAGTCGGATATTACGGGAGGAAAATGGCATCTTCCGTCTTACCCGTCGCCTTGCAGAATAAACTGCTTGGCTATGGCAGAGCCCCCAGCGCCCAGCTGGCAATCTTGAATCTTGACCTGTAAGTGGAGGATCATCTTCCGCTCTGATGCACTAGGTGTATGCCTATCTGACGTTTGTTGTGCGTGAATTAGCCTTCGAAATATCGTGTTTATCTTATTCTTATTCCGCTACGTTCGAAAGACATATTATTCTCTTCGGGGCTACGGCCTCGTCGGCAGCGCCCGCAATGTTTTACTAGCGATTCGCTTATTCTTCTATACCGTCTTCCTCCGATTCCCCGGTGTTCGTGGACAGGTCGACAAGCAGGTCTCGACGGCGATTGAGGGCCTGGAAACGAAGCTTGTCGCAAGCGGACCCGGGGTCACACGGTACCTTACACTTCCCAAAGAAGGATGGACTGCCGAACAGGTTCGTGCTGAGCTCGATAAGCTCGTGAACATGGAACATACTAGGTGGGAGGATGGTCGAGTTAGTGGTGCTGTGTACCATGGTGGAAAGGACCTGCTCAAGGTTCAGGCTGAGGCCTTTGAACAGTTTGGTGTCGCCAACCCTATCCATCCTGACGTTTTCCCTGGTGTTCGCAAGATGGAGGCGGAGGTTGTCGCGATGGTAATTGATTTCCCCAAAAGAACCAAATCCCGCATGCGGTAACTTATTGACCTTGTACAGGTCCTCTCAATGTTTCACGGCCCTTCAGATGGCGCCGGTGTCACGACCAGTGGTGGCACCGAGTCAATTCTCATGGCTTGCTTGGCAGCACGCAATAAGGGGCGCGCTGAAAGAGCCATCACGGAACCCGAGATGTAAGTCCACATTCCATGTGCAGCTTATATTTTGCTGACCAGCACGAAGGATTATTCCGGATACTGCTCATGCCGCATTCATCAAGGCCTCGAATTACTTTGGTATCAAGCTGCACCGCGTCCCCTGCCCTGCTCCAGAACACAAGGTGGATATTGCTGCCGTGCGTCGACTAATCAACCCCAACACTGTCCTCCTTGTTGGCTCGGCACCCAACTTCCCGCACGGTATCGTCGATGATATCCCGGCTCTATCACGGCTCGCGACCTTTTACAAGATTCCCCTCCACGTTGACTGCTGCTTGGGCTCGTTTGTCATCGCGCACCTGAAGAAGGCCGGTTTCCCATCGCCTTACGAAGAGGAGGGTGGCTTCGACTTTGCTCAACCAGGCGTCACCAGCATCAGTGTCGACACACATAAGTATGGATTTGCGCCCAAGGGTAATTCGGTTCTTTTGTACCGAAACAAGGCCTACCGCAGTCATCAGTATTTCATATACCCCGACTGGTCTGGCGGTGTCTATGCTTCCCCATCGGTTGCTGGGTCACGCCCCGGTGCGTTGATCGCTGGATGCTGGGCCAGTCTCATGAGTGTAGGTGAGAATGGATATATCAAGAGCTGCCTTGATATTGTCAATGCGGCGAAGAAGTTTGAGTCGGCCATCAACGAGGATTCGCGCTTATCGGGAAACCTTCAGATCGTAGGTCAACCTATGGTCAGTGTCATAGCTTTCGAAAGCAAGAACGACGCCGTCGATATCTACGACATTGCAGATGATCTGTCTGCAAAAGGTTGGCATCTCAATGCCCTGCAATCACCACCCGCTATGCATGTTGCCTTCACCATTCCCACGGCTGCTGCTGTCGACGCACTCATCTCGGACGTTGCTGAGGTCGTTGAGAAGGAACTGGTGAAAGCAGAAGAACGTAAACGACAAGGAAAAGCATATGTCATCAAGCGTGGCGATACATCTGCTCTCTACGGCGTGGCCGGAAGCATACCCGATAAGAGCATCGTCAGCCGCCTTGCGGAAGGGTTCCTCGACACTTTATACAAAGCTTAGAATCTCTTGAAACTCTTGCCTGAGCGGTTTGTCTTGTTAATATGCATTCTAGAGGGTTTGTCTTTCGTAGGCAGCCTTGTGATTCTCTCGACATAAGGGACATGGTGTTTGGTGTTAACGGTCTTATTGATATCCTGCAGCCTCATTGGCTCTGACTGACAATATTATTCATTTCTTTTTAACTTGCTGTTCGATGAGACTAGGTTCGATGAGACTAGTATGATGCGTCTTTAGAATTGAGGGTTCCCTTCAACCAAAAATAACAAGCCAGTAGTAGAAGTATAGTACAATAATAGCGTAACATCGCTCAATGCAATCACAGCAACCAACGCGCTGTCTTCCAACCACCGAGAAACAAGCCAGTCACGCATGCATGGCCTCTCGATCCACCAATCCGTCAAATCATAGGTGATCTCAAGCCCGACTCCAGATGTAAACCAATTCCAACTTAAATATACACACGCAAAGAAGAAACAGAAAGTGAGGATCTCTTGAAATTAGGAGAGCTCGAGAAGAGGCAGATGACTTTCGTCCCATCTAGGTCCGTTCACTCGCCGCCGTCCGCTCAATGTAGTATCCTGGGTCCGGCTTTCGCTCCAAATGCACCTCTTGTTTCGTCAACGCCCGATCAACCTCTTGAACATCAACAAGCTCCTTCACTTTCATAATCTGACCGGCTACCGATTGCGAGACAGGGTAGAAGACTGTGGCCATGCGCTTCTTCAGTCCGAGAGCTTTCAGGACGTTTGTTGTTCGTCGGGGAAGACCGATTGCGGATCGCATAAGTGTAATACGGAAATAGCTCATTTTGAAGGCTGGGTCTGTCTAGATAGAGAAGACGGTGGCGGGAATGGATCGCTGCAGGTATGGTTCGCAAACGGAGTTGGTTCTCGGGGAGATTGTTCAGTTGTAGAGTTGTGGAGGATTTTCTATATCACTGGGGACAGACGGAGTGCCAGGTGCTATACGTCGGCACCAATTGACTGAGGTCAACGATTTTTGTGAATCAACAGACTGTCTGTAACGCGGAAGCCTCGGTGATTGTTGACCATACGCTGCTCGGAAATTTTGACTTTCCGTATACAGTCGTGCCCGGGCGGAGAGTCACGTGCTGAGCGATTCTGCCGGGGTGGGATGGAGACACAAAGCTCTAGCTCTCTCTTCGCATCTCGATCAACGATGATCGCCTGAAATTGCCTGAGGGGAACTACTATGGCTACGCAGATATGATGGCAGATTTACAATTCTGATTTCTGCTAATTCACGATACATCAAAATGGCACGAGTGGGCGAATCCGACAGAGCGGTGGCCATGCCCCGGCTGGACGACCTCCTCCGGCACCCAGAGGACCTGGACAAGATCGTGGGATTGAAAGCCGAATACACACGCAAAAAAGCAGCCGTTGACGCCCAGCTCCGAGAAGGCCTTCGTGATCAACTGGCAAACGTACAACGCAGCCTTAGCGCCCTTACCGAAGGCCAGCGCCAAGTATCCAAGACGAGAGATGAGCTCCAAGGCATCGACCGGCTATGCGCCGAATCCCAGGACAGCGTCGACGACTTCTCGCAGATCGACCAGCTCGCGAAGGTGCAGCGCAACTTTGAAGCGACCTTGGCGATGAAAAAAGGACTGGAAAACTTTAGCGCGGATCTGGCGGAGGTTGAGAATCTTCTTAGGAAGGATGATGAGGATCTAGAGGATCAGCCGAATCTCCTGCGCGCCCATATGCAGATTTCTCGGTTGCGAGACTTTCGCGATGAGGCGATGGATCAGATTCGCAGGGCGCAGGACCCAAGCAGCGAGGATACTTTGGCAGATTATTTCCAGGGTCTGGATAATGTCATTGATTGGTTCGATGATCACCTGGGGACGCTGTGTATGAACCTCATTCCTCTTGTGCAGACTGATAATTCCAGCATGGTGGTCAGACTTGCAGTGGTCGTGATGAATGAGGAGAAGAATGACGAGACCGTCAGAGCGTTGCAGGAGGCGCAGAAAGACCATCAGGATTTGGCTGGGCGATTTAAATCTATGAACGTGGGCCCTAAGACGGTGAGGGGGTACAAAGAGAAGTTCCTGAAGGCAATTGAGCTCTACGCTCAGAATCAATTCGAGACTACTCAGGAGGAGTTTATGAACGACCCAGATGGCCTCGAAAAGAGCTTCCGGTGGTTCTTCAACGATCTTTTTACAGTTCAGCAAGGCATGCAGTCGCTTATGCCAAAAAAGTGGAAGATTTACAAGACTTATACTGACATCTACCATCGCATGATGCATGACCGCCTTATTGAGATGGTCAATGATCCTGGGTTACCATCGGACAACTTGCTTGCGATTCTGCAATGGAGAGAGAAGTATTACAAGAAGATGAATAAACTCGGCTGGAAAGCGACAGATCTTGGGTTCGACATACTGGATAACCGCGAACCTGATCTCATCCGACGTTGGCAGAGCGTCATTATCAATGCTGTTGAAGAATGGATGAACACAATCACAGAAACGGACAGGAAAGCACTTACAGAGCGAATACCCGATTCCCTCGATACCAACGCCGAAGGCTACTTCCGTACTCGAACCCTCCCAGATATGTGGCGAATGCTCCATGAGCAGGTTACTGCGTCTAGCTCCTCTTCCCGGTCGGACCTGTTGGAAGGCATTATGGACGCAATGTTCCGTCTGTTAAAGGCCCGTCAGGTTGCTTGGCAGACTCTCATCGAGGAGGAATGTGCTATGTACAAGGCTCCCGGTGGCGACCAGCTCGACGGGTTACAGCTGCTGCAAGACTGGCTGGTCGCTGTGGCCAACGACCAGATTGCTTGCATTGACGACAATGACGAGACCGGCCAGTTCGGATATCTGACTCGGTTCCGCCGTGATATTGAGCAGTACGTCGACCCGAAGTACATGGCCTCGCGCGCGATCCCAGAACTAGACGCCCTTCGTGATGGCTATGTCGACCTAAGCACATTCTGCCTCGCACAACTTGTGGAGGTCATCTTCGCGGTTGACCTGCGCACCACCATTCCCGATTTCTTCACCCAGAAGTGGTACGGGGATTACGCTGTGAAGCGGATAACATCCACCTTCGACGACTACATGACAGATTACTCCCCCGTGCTTCATCCCTCACTTACAGATATCCTCATCGAGGAACTCTCCGACGAATTGCTTGTCAAGTATCTGTCATCTGTTCGCAATAAGGGTGTCAAGTTCCGTCGACACACGGATCCGTACACCGACAAGTTCAAGGACGACGTTCTCACGGTTTTCGCCTTCTTCCAGAAATATCCGGACTCCTTTGCAGGCACAATCAAGCAGAAGTGGCGACTCGTTGACTGGCTTGTCCGCCTTCTTGAGGCAGAAAAGGGACCTCCTGTGGTTACTGTATATGAGGACTTTAAGAATGAATACTGGGATTTGCAGCTCTCATGGGTTGAGACAGTGCTGAGGACCAGAGACGATTTCGAGCGCAGCATGGTAAGTGCTGTCAAGGCCAGGGCAGCAGAGCTGTCCGTTGAGCGCGGAATGGAGACTCTCATGAGTCGAATACGGTGATCTTGCTTTGGTTGCGTGTAATTAGCAAGGCGTTTGGAGTTATAGATCGATGTATAAGTTACAGGCTACTAGTCGTTAATGGACGCCTTACTTGCAAGATACCACTCACACTACCTTCCTACCCTTCTAGCAATTGCCTCTACCAGGGGTCAGGCTTCGCTCCGCAACGGCAGCGTACTTCTCCTTCAGCCTAGCATTCATCCCATTCTCATCCGCATCAGGATCAAGCTTTTTCGCGCCCATTTCACAGATGCAGACACTTTCGATGGGGAGGTTCCTCGCCCAGATGAACGGGTAGCTTGGGTAGGTGTCGTCCGACGTTGGTGGAGCAGACGCACCCTCATCTTCCGAGTGGCTTTCGGCACCGTCCCTGTCCGTATAGTTATCACCACTAGTAGTGACAGCACTGGACCGCGCGACCGTCCTGTCGCTATCTAGATAAAAATTCCTATAGTGGAATACAATATCCCTCGCGTCAAAAGTATACTGGCTTGGCCGCCGGCCCTTTCCGTGACCGCCTGTGTTGCGCTTTCTCCCACGAATGTATATTGTGTTCGCGATTGTCGCATGCAAGAGAAGCGAGCGAGGCTTCGTTGCGCTTCCCCTTTGGTACTCCTTCTGCATGAAGCCAGCTTCCTGGAATTTCTCCCTGAGCGCTTCACAGAACGGATAGAGTCTGGAGGTGGGGTCCACGGGGGCGGCGTGTAGGATTGTTGCGGAGCGTGCGCGGGGAAGCGCATGTAGAGATTCTAACGAGATGACAAACGGTTCGGGCGAAGTTGACCCGCACTGGGAGTGTTCATCAATTGACGATTTTATGAGAACTTCAGCAGTATTAGTCGCGCTGTCTATGGGCGTTCCGTTCGTGGTGGTCGCCTCCGGTAACTTCTTTTGCGCAGCAATCTCTCCCGCCGCGCGCAATAGGCTAGGTAGATCTAGAGATTGGAAGAATTCGAGCGCCTCGTTGAGTCGCTCCGGCGTCGGGAGGCTCATTACTCCCAGTGTAAGATGGAGAGTACCAACAGGACGAATAGCATCGTCTGGGATAAGCGGACGTGGCTGTTGATAGCGGCGCTGCTGTTCTGTTAGGTCCGATCTTGCAGGAGCTTGTGGGATTGAAGCTTTAAAGGCAGCTAATGAGCACTCGAGCTGCGGGAGAGAAACGTCGTTGACAAGCGGGAGGCATAGAAAATGGGTCAAGGGCGGTCGCTTTGGTTTAGTATCCGCAGACATGGTGCGAGAATGGTATGCGCGGAAGGGTATGAGAGGCCTCGAAGGCAGGATATGTCTCATTCTTGATGAGCTGAAGCATGGAAGACGTGGAGAGCTCGGCTTCTACAAGCACGGAAGCTCAAGCTTGGCGCGATCGTCTCTCGCTCGATGATTTAATAGATTTTAGCGTCCCGCCGCCGTCTGATGCCATCCTCTTCTCCGCTTTTCCTCCCCTCAAGCTTCCCTTTTCTTTCACTCCCATTATACTTCCAAGATCGATTCCAGATCTGTCTAAAGTATCCATTACAACAGACCTTGTTTGACTATCGCACGGAAATGCTCTCCCGCCGCACACCCCGAGCCCTCGTCTCCTCGCCCTCGGCTTTTCTTCGCGTCAGTCGAGGAGCAGCCCCGGCGAGCTCATCCCCTCGCTTCCAGTCGCCCTCGAAGCATTCAGTTCAGCCTTCATCCTGCCGCCAGGGTTTTCATTCCACCCCTGCGATTCGAAAGGGAATCTTCCCGGACTCCGCCGACCCTCCCTCCCCGCACCCGCAATCGAGCAATCCCGGCGGAGCTGCGTCGCACGTCTCCGAACCCTCCGCTTTGACAGACCAGCAGTTTCACGAGTACTCCGAGCATTACCTCAACGTCCTCCTATCTGAGATCGAAAAAGTCCAGGAGGATGGACACGATATTGAAGCTGAGTATAGCGTTAGTCTTTCCCTCTTTATCCCTCGTCCTACGACTGGGCCAGACTAGATAGCCAGAACATACACTAACTGGGCTTATCACCAGGCTGGCGTCCTCAATATTTCCGTCCCCGGCGTCGGAACCTATGTTCTTAACAAGCAGCCACCCAACAAGCAGATCTGGCTCAGTTCGCCGATCTCCGGGCCGAAGCGGTACGATTGGGTTGTTGAAGGGGACCAGATGCACGAGAAGCAGGACACACGGCCATTCGTTAATGGACAGTGGATTTGCCTTAGGGATGATTCAAATTTGACGGATTTGTTGAATGGGGAGTTGGGGTTGAGTATCCCCGAGGATGTCTATAGTGCGGTTGATGAGTGATGATACTGTTTATGAAGTAGGACAAGGATGCGAGCTTGTATCAGTCGAGAATCAATTTTGGTATTAGGGGATGGTGTAGGATAAGGCTGGGGTCTGGAACTTGATTGATTCAGTTTTCAATTACGTAGTAGTAACTACTCGGGCGCTTTTTAAATGCTTGCAGTTGTGGGTGTACTTAGTCGATGCATGCTCTTGCCTGCGTCCATCGACATAGCCGCTTCACTTTCCTGAAACCCAACTCGTCGGCTTTCCTGTGCTGTTTGATATAGCATCGGTTCCGGAGGTTGTTCGCAAATCTGACTCGTTTGCCCACCATAACTCGCTTTCTCATCATGAAGGTGTTCGTGAATCGAGGTAATATACGGTCGCGCACAGACCTTGGTATGCTGATAGAGGTGTACTTTCAGATGTAGAAAGTAATGAAGCCACAAGACAGCCGCGTCGGCGGAGTGCGCTAAGCATGGACCTCAACCTATGTGTTGCCCATCCCGGATGTCGTGGACGAAGGATCGTGTAGCCCACCCCTCCCAACTCCCCCTCAAGAAGCCGCAGGGCGACCACGACCAGATTCGGAGCCTTGAAGATTATGCCCCATCCATGTTCGAGGATCCTTCATGCGCTGACCGAGACTGTTGATGCCTGTTGGTTGGTGCCCTTAGGCAAATCAGACTGGGATTGTTAGATCGCCACTTTCATACACGGAAAAACCGAGGATAGACGTACCACATCGAAGATGACCCGAATCATCAAGCTGCAGCTCGGACAGACGGCAATCTCCTCGCCGTCACGAAGGTCATCGATCGCGATTTCGAAGCGGTCGCCACATGGACACGGGTAGTGGTAGATTTGCAGGTTTGGGTCGAACGTCATGTCTTCGATTTCAATCTCATCGTAGATAGAGAGCGCTTCGTCCGCCATTTTGTTTCATATATAAGTTGCGGAAGAACAGCGGTTCTGTGGCGTTCAAGAGAAATCTGGAGATGCGGAAGTCTCGCTCCAAAAACTTATTTAGGTGGGGAGAGGGGTCAGGTGACGTTCTTCTGGGTTATCATTGGACAGGTGCGGCATCAGGAAACTTTTATCCTTGCAATAATCGTTGGATCTCCATGTTCACATCCTCCATCTCCCTGATTAGAGAGCCATAGCGACGCGCAATTTCTGCAATGAGCCCAGAATCCCCAGAGCGCCTGCTGAGGGTTGAATTCGCATCCTCGGATGCCTTCAGCTCATTCAAAGCCAGTTCCCGCCTTTCTTCCAGTCTCACCCTTATGTCCCGCAGATGTCGATGGTACTGAGTAAGTGCAGCGCTGACTTCGGTCGTGTGAATGGTAGCAAGGATTTCTAGCCTTATCACCCTACCGAAGTAATTCCTATTAGCCAAGTTTCATTGGAGCAAATCGCAACACATACTTCAACTTGCCCTCAACGCCATGGGCAACCGTATGTAGATGTTCGGCTCTGGCTTTCGTTGCGCGGGCCAGTGAGCCATGTTTTGTGCGCTCTAGCAGGGTCACCGTCCGCTCTAGTACAGCTGCGCGCATAACAAGGACCTCTGCCGCTGCTGCTGCCATCTGAGTTCGAGCCGCGGGGAGCGTCGCAAACTGTAATTGGCGTAGGGCTTGCATTCTTTCGCCTAGTTGAGGTGACAAGGGACTCAGTCGCCCGGCTTCCATCCGCACACTAGGCCGTTGGGTGCTCCCAGCCGCATTTGCGAGCGCTCGTAGGTCCTGCACATCCGAACAAAGAGCTCGCGCAAAGGCCGGAATCAGTATGGGTAACTTGGAATAGAACTTGTTGATATCCGGCGCTATCAGAGAATGCACATCTGGGCCATCTCGCTGGTCGTTAAGTAGTTCGAGATTGCTCGGCGAGGACTCGAGATATAAGCTGACGATAGCAAGAGGCTCACGACACTAGTATTGAAGCGATGGACGCTAGATAAGCTGTATGACCAAATAAATGTATTGGAAAGCAGAAGTCGCCTACATCATCAGGCAAATTGCTGTCAGGGTCGAAAGCTAGTTGTTGGAGTGTGTGCTTCTTGATCTTTTTTTTCGCGCTGCGCAGCTGACAACTTCTCAATTCCTGCGGCTCGCGCGTCAGAATAGTTCTCTCAATATCCCGTCTCAGCTTCAGACACAATACGCAGACAACCGTACACTTAGAACTTCCTTCCGAGCCGGATGCGCATCAAGGGCACGCGTGGAGCCATCTGGGTTGAGCAATGCGGTCGTCAGGTGTTGATAAAGGCGCTGGAACTGCGGATTATTCGCCAATACTGTCGGGTCACAAGGGGGTATCATGGTTGATGGTTGTAACTACGCATCCACAAAATGGTTGATAGTAAACATGCGGCCAGTTGGGGTGGGGATGACAATGGGGACCCCGTGACTTCTGGGTGCCTCAGGTTATGTGACACCTACTCTAGTAATCTACATGAGAACGTGGGCCTGGACGTAGATAAAAATACAAGGTTAATTTTCTGGCTTCCGTTTCCACATTCTTCTCGTAATAATCATACATGCTCCTCGGCGCTTTCGTCCAGCGGTGATGGAAAGCGCAACAGATCCCCAAGTCGAATCCGGCCCCCCACGCCTTCGGCAAAGACAAATTTGTTGTTGCAAGTCAGTGAAATCCACGGCTGAAATAGAATCCCTGCCAAACACCACTTTGCATGAGAGTACCGTGAACGCAAATCCAGAAAATGACTGAAAAGCCCAAACCCCCGACGAAACGCTGAAGCAAAGGAAACGCTTATGTACAACAAAGTTCAACGCCTGATATGTGCATCAGGCCTAGAGGGTTATGGAAAGGCCATACGCCGTGGTAAATAGAGGGTCGATTGAATCCGGGAACACCATGCTTGCCAGGCGTTTTAGGGGCTTCTGAATCTCGGAGACGGAGGTGTAAGACGACCTGAAAAGCAGGACCGAACAGGAGGCTCGAAATAAAACAAGGAAGCAGAACGGTGACCTGGAGACCAGACACGTCTCCAAGCATAGTGGTAGTAGTAGCCTACTCCTCTTCACTTTCCTCTGAGTCATCTTCCGAGTCATCACTGCTTTCATTTGCTTCAACTGAAGCTACTGGATCGGGAGAACGGCCACTACCTCCCCCTTGGAAGCGGGACAGGTTGCTTTCGAGCATGTTGATCTGCGCTTCCTGCTCGTACTTGCTCATGGGCTTATTTTTCTTCGGTTTTGGTGGCGCGGCATTTTGAGCGACAGGTGTAGAAACTTCCTCGTCGTCGACAATATGAGGTGCGTTTTTTTTCACAAACTTGAGTAGCATCAAAAGGACTTCGTTGGGCAGCTCGTCAATGTCGAGCTCGATCTCGGTCTCTTGCGTACCCTGCGTATATAAAAGTCAGCGTCATGCACTTATAGGAACAAAGAGAAGCAGACAAAAAAAGCTTACCTTGAGAGACGGCACGTTACTCTGAATTATCTTAAGCGCTTCCTGCATCTTCTTATCAGGAAGGCTGCTAATGCCGTTCGAGATGATTTGTTTCTCATGGTACGTGACCCAGCGCTGCTTCTCCGGTTTAGCTGATTTGGAGCTGCTTTTCTTGTCCTTTTTGCCAATAATTGTTGACACGCCGCCCTTCTTGCTATCCTTCTTCTTGGACTTCGATTTCTTCGAGATAGGCGGGGTTTTCTTCTTCTTCTGGGTCATCGCCTCTAGTTGTTGGGACATCTCGGCGATTTGCTTCTTCAACCTATTAATTGCCTCTTCCTCCTCATCGTCACTAGGCTCCTCGTCTTCATCACTCTCGTCAGAGGATGATTCCGCACTATGCTGCTCCGGGTGAGGTTCATGAACAGCCAGATAGCGGTCCTTTTGTGACCACTTGGAATTGAAGACCTCTTCAAACTTTTCACCAGCCACGTAGGTGGGATCGCCCTTAAGATTGAATTTGAAGCAGTTCTTGACAATCTGCCGCAAGTCGGCCTCAAATTCCTTGGCGTTCTCATACTGACCAGTATTCAGCTTGGTCTGGACAGTGGTAAGATCCATGGGTTTCTTGATAATGCTGTGGTATGTCGGGATGTTCAAGGCGACCGGGTCAACAGGATAATAAAAAGGGGCAGCACAGAGATAGTGCTTAGGCTTGTTTAGTTCATCCATAACTTCCTGGCAGAATTTAAGTTCCCACTGATACTTCTTCTTTTTCGGCTTCGTCGAATAAGGAAGATCGCGTTTGGGAGGGTGGATGGAGCGCTTGGGTCGGCCATCTGCATTAGTCGAATCCCGTCGGATAAGAGGCAACCCTTCGGGACCTAGTGCGAAGGTCGTGGCCTGGGGCGATTCACCACTCGTGCGCGGCACAGGTTGACCGATGGAGGTTCGGGGTTCCCGACGAGCTGCGGAAGTTTTGGCGGTAACCTTCTTAGGCTTCTTCTCCTCCATTTCGTCAGGCTTGGGTAAGTTCACCATCTGTTTTTGAAATGTGGCCTTGAGCTTTTCACCCTCGATACTGACGATATGTTCAGGGCCATTGAATGTCACAGCGTTCTGGACCATGAGATGGACATCATTGGCAACACCCTGGGGATCTCTGTAGACATTGTTTTTCAGTTTCTGTTCGACAGTACCAAGGTCCATTGGATGTTTGATGATTGTCGGATAATGAGGAATGTTCATCTTGATGGGGTCGACAGGCTCTTTATAGAAACGTGCATCGTGCATGCGCTTTAGGCTTTGAATCGACTTGAGGAGGAACTTGTGCTGAATCTTGGTTATTGTGCTATGGCCATTGATGCCAGCGTCAGGTCGGCGTTCCGCGGTTGGCGTTGGTAAGTCCGGAACCTTGAAATCAGCCGGCCCTTCTGTATCAATTTTCGTACGCTTGGCAGACGGTTCGTCGTTTGGCTCTTCGTCACGCTCCCTTGAGAGTTTTGGAGGTGAAGCCGCGGGCGCGTCTCGCATCTCCTGGTCGCCTCCAACAGAGGGTTGTGAAGCAGGAGCGGCTGGGGTAATATCCGCATGCGGCATGCCGGTGGAAGGATGATGAGGAAGCTCAGCCTTCACAGCGTTGGTAGTGTTAGGTGGTTGCGCAAAGGTTCCGCTGTCAGACCGTATGGGTGACGTGGGCGTGCCCTTAGGGCTAGTGCCGTCTATTCCAGCACCGTTGATCGGCTCAGACTTATCTTCAACTCGTCCTGGTTTGACCTCGGAGTTCATGGTAGAAGGCTTATCTTGTGGTGTGTTGTTTTCTGTGGCGGAAGGTGCGGGCGACTTCGGAGGGGATGTAGCTGTCACGACTCCATTTTGCTGATCGGAAGAATGAGCATTTACAGCCGCTCCCTTGGAGTCTTGTCCAAAAGCTCCGCCTCGGTTGGTTGGTGGTGTCGCTTTGGAATCGGTTACCACCCTACAATTCTCAGTCAGCAGGTCGCACCTCGAATGCGGCAGGGAAGGCGATACGTACCCTGTGCGATCCATGGAGGAAGAATCTCCATTTGGCGACGGCGGTAGTTGAGGCTTCTCTCCCTTTAAGACAGAGGGTGCCTCGGGAGGCGGCGTCGCCATGAGGTTGTAAGTATAGCTTTAGGCCCTCCTGTCGAAAGGAAGAGGGCGCAATACGAAGATCTAACGGGTGGCGAGGCGGGTAGTAGAAGCTGGTCCCAGCTATCAGGGGGAGTTTAGAGAACGACAGCAACAGATATCAACTGGATGAGTAAAGTGCGCTATCAGACTATATCGATTCGAAGCAGCGGCGGATAGAAAAGAACACCCGATTAGATGACAGAAGACGCTAGAAGAGTCGCTGACCTGGCAGTCACAGAGGTAGCGACGCGACGGGGTTGAAGGGAGATACAGAGTAGAAAAGACGGAGAGATGAGCGCAAGCCGGAGTGGAGAATGCGACAGGAAGGAGGAATTTATATTGCCAAGCCGGTAGTCACGTGAAGTGATGTATGACTCAGCGTGGCCAGAAAGGGGAAGGTGCGAGTGAGAGCGATAAGAGCTAGGGAGGAGCAACCGAGTTGCACGTGCCAGGCTCAGTGAGTCAGTGGGGGCGAGAGAACCTAAGAGAAGGATAAAGGAACAAGGTCTCCAATTCCTTGTCTTATTTCCCCTTTCGAAAAAGAAAAGAAAGAAAGAAAAGGAGACGGAACTTGTCGGATGCTGTGGCTGGGGTGTGAATCTTTGCGACGCGAAATGGAACGCGCTAAGTCATGAGATAAGAGCAGAGCTTCTGGAAGAAGGAACCAGGAGGCGGTGTGAGAGGATCGAGAGAATCGTTTGGAGCAGACAGGGATTGATTGGAAGGCGGTCAGGGGAGAAAAGACGGGTAAAAAGGAATTCCGCAGCAGCTCCAGAAACAGAGACAGAGAAAATCAGCCTGGGTGGGAGAATCCTTAAGTACGACCGGCGCGTCGCGCTGTTGAAAAACTCCATCAGCGCCGCTAGTCCCAATTATTCTAGCTCAAGCCATTCAGCAGCTCATGATTGGCTGCGAGGTGACGCGTTCTATAGGTTGTCTGACTCTATTGGCTGTAGCCTTCCACCTCAGTGGATCCTTCGTACCAGATTCCCCTTTGTCGGAAACGCCTGAAAAACACGCAAAAAAAAAAAAAGGGACGCTCAAGCTCAAAGCAGGATTCACAATCATAACATCATCGCCCAAAATCTTCGCCATGGCATTCTGCCAAGGGATCAGTTTTCTGGAGCAAAGGCAGTGCATCACACGAACAATGTTTGTGACACTGATTTGGGAGATATCGATTTGACACCCCCGAATCGACAACATTAGGCAGTCATGGTGGCCCGGATTGCATAGCAGTCAGATTGTTGATGCGTTTGGCCGCGAAGCATGAAGATACTCCTGTAGTTACCTGGGAGGAGGCGGTATGTCCATGCGCCTGATCTGCTGACCTTCAAAACCCCAGGGCCCAGCCCTAAGCCCTTTTTGCAGCTTCGGGGAGATCTAGGGACTATTATTATATGAGACGCTCCGACGGGAAAGTTGAGAGCAGCTGGGAAAAAAGGTAGATGCCCGTCAGACCGTTCAAAGAAAAGTGCAGCCTCTAGTAGAGTAAACAACCAAGTTTCTGTTCTGAAGTTCAACTACTCGTCACCTGCGTAGCAAACGCCAACGTTGATTCGCAGACAGTCAATATCACATGAACAGGACCTGCTTATCTACAGGCACGTTGTAGCAAGTGAGCTGGAAACAAAAGCTCATCATAGTCCAGGGCATGGAGAATCTGAGACAACAAGCTGAGGAGTGAGGGTAGATGTATACTGCTGTGCAGCACGCACTTGCAGCCTGTCTTCGGTCAACGCCAAGAAGAGCATCAGTGATTAGACAAGACGATTCCAGCCTTCTGGACTAGTCCATAACAGGCAAAGCGCATTTCCCGACCAAAGACTCTACAGAACTTTTTTTCTTTTCTGCTGCAAAGAGAAAGACCGACTGCCAGCACTTGACAACCAGGTGTCGCCTCTAGTCGAAATTACGGCTAGATCTTGATCGCACAGGCTGGCGCCATTATTCACTTGGCTTGTACTCTTTATCGCCGACGACATAATCGAAGATGGGCAAGAGATCATCCCAGAAGCCAGCTTCAAAAACTTCCTCGACTGCGGCGCTCGCAGTTGCCGACTTTACGAACACAGGGAATAAGTCCTCGATATTGAAGGCGTCTTTTGCTCCCTCTGACTATCAATTGGCCTTGTTCGCATCCGTCATTCAGGGCCTCGATGGCCAGAACCTTCGCATTCACGATACCAATACCGGCCGGTTACAATGTGAGCATGGACTAGGCCCGAAGGAGAGCGTCACATCGCTGGACTGGGGCTACTATGCTGGTCGGAAGGAACAGTCAAAGAAGAAGAGAAAGCGCCAATCCGACGTCAATGGCGGGAATGATGGACTAGACCAAGGCGACGTAGTAGTCGCCTTCGGCACCAACACCTCCAACATCCGCATGTACTCGCCTTCTGAAGATAAGATTATCGGAAGCCTCACGGGAGGGCATACTGGAGGTGTCAAGGACTTCAAGTTCACAGCCGATCGACCCCAGGAGGGCTGGAGTGTTGGTGGAGACAACAAGTTGATCCAGTGGGATTTAGTTACTGGACAACGGACGAGGTGAGATCCTTCTAATTGTTGAAACAACCATCAAGCTGACGAATATTTCAAGAGTGATAAACCTCCCCACTTCGTCCGCATTTTCTACACTTTCCCGCCCGCTTTCCTCAGAAGTTCCCATCTGCGCCTCCCAGACACCGTACATCTTTAGCGCCGATGAATCACCCATCACATTCCCCGCGATGCGAAACCCTATACAGACCATTATAACCTCCTCAACAAAATCCGTCTCGGATGGACTGTTTTTAGCCTCGGACAATGATCGCTATATTAATGTTTTCGACCCTCAAACCAAGCAACTCGCAATGAACCTTGTCACAGACAGGGAAGTCAGCTCTCTGGCGCTATTCACAAAGGCAGACGCGGTCTCCAGTACAGTGCTAGAGAAACAAGCTCTTGCAGCCGTCACTCAAGATGGGACAGTAGAGTTGTTTGCACGACCATTCGTCAAACCCCGAGACACCAAGGGCTCCAATAGCTTGAAGGCTAAATCTATGCAATTGACCAGGAGGGCGGAGACGTCCATCAAGATCACCAAGTCAGACTCTTCGAATGATTTAGTCCCGGTTGTTTCGGTCTCGTTCCAAGGTCCCGACTTACTTGTCGCGTGGACGCATGGAGGCATCGTACCGCTATTTGAGCGAGTAAGGTGGCTCAACGAGGAAACAGAGGAGTTAGCATTTACTGGTGTGAAGACTATCGTGAAGACCAAGTCTAGTTCTATCCTCCAATCGGCAACGACAAACGGAACGAAGAACGCGAACGAAAGTCACGTCAATGAGAACAAGGTAGTCGTTGAGCAAGGGAATCTGGCGGATGATGACATCGACATGGAGGACTCTAAGGAGGATGCGGTATCTGTGGACGATGGTGAAGTGGATTCAGATGATGACGACGAGCCGAAGCAACAGAAATCAACCGGTTCCCGGGAGGCGGAAAGCGACGTCGAAATGGATAACGCAGCAGAGCCAGATGAGGATGAGGATGAAGAAGAAGAAGAAGAAGAAGCAGGAGAGCCCACATTCGGAGAGCTCATGAGGGCACACGCCGCCGAGGAGATTGATGTCGAAGCCGAACTTGAGGACGATGTCCACACCAGGTCTCTTATTCCCGGAAAACCCATCACAACTGTCCAGCAGATCCCGTCCGGTGTTTCCCTCTCTACGGTACTTTCACAGTCTCTAAAGACAAACGACAACGATATGCTAGAGGCTTGCTTCCACACAGGTGATGCTGGCACCATTCGAACCACGATTCAGCGTCTTGAGTCCCCGCTGGCCGCAACACTTCTTCAGAGACTAGCAGAGCGCCTTTCCGCTCGCCCCGGCCGATATGGTCATCTCCTTGTCTGGGTGCAGTGGACGTGTATCGCCCATGGTGGAGCTCTTGCCGGTAACAAGGATCTCCTCAAGCAAATGTCTACCCTGTTCAAGGTGATGGAGCAGCGCTCCTCTACCCTTCCTTCTCTTCTTTTGCTTAAGGGCAAGCTTGATATGTTGGATGCTCAGCTCGGACTACGACAGTCCATGCGTGAGAGCGCGGACAATATGGATAGCGAAGACGAGGAAAATATCATCTACGTTGAAGGATACGATGACAACGACGATGAGGACAGCGACGCAGACGCAACCAAGAACATTGACACCCCTCGGACCCGGGCCATCCGCGACCAAATCGATATCTCCATGATTGACGAAGACGAGGAAGGAAGCGAAGACGATGGTGAGGAAGACGAGGATGAAGATGGGGAAGTCGACAACATTCTCGACGTTGAAGCAGAGGAATCCGCCGGCTCTTCAGATGCCGAGGAATCACTCGACGAGGATGAGGATGAGGATGAGGACGATGACGCCGATAGTGCTGCGTCCATGGGTGATTTCATTGCTGATACAGAGGACGAGTCAGAGGCGGAGGACCTTTCACGGCCTCCTCCCAAGAAGGCCAGGTTAAGTCAGGGAGGTGGGAAAGGGAAGAACAAGGCCGGGTCAGGAAGGAAATAGACTACTAACCTAGATTTATACCCTGTTCTTTTCTTGCGCACAGCACTTTGGGGTATCTTGTTTCCCCTGTTTTCTCAAGTGTTTTTAAATGCGTGTGCACAAAAGTATAAAAGGAAGGCATAGTATTTGCTTATATCTCGTTCCTTCTGATTATCTGTCTGTCTTATATTTGGTCTTTAGTCAGGGAGAAGGCCTTATTATTCGGCTGCTCTAGTCCTTGTGTCTACTTCATATTCTTGCATCTACATGGGCTGGTTCTGTATCTGTACACCACGAATAAATGTTTTTTTTTGTAACACCGGTAGAGCTACGGTCATACATATTGGTTGGCTGGAATGTTAACTTGTGTTCAAGGTATGCAAGATCTTGGAGGGAGTCGCCTGCTGAGGCAACTGTACTCGACACAAATCATAGGCAGGCAAGAGCCTTCTAAGGATAGGTTGCCGGCTGATATACATCTCCAATGACAACGAATAATAATATTCTAAGCATGTAGTAGCGTGAAGGGGTTCTCAAAGATCACCTTGCCACGCAATCAGCGAATTATCTCGCGCCCCGGGTTTTCGAGCCCTTCAAGCCCTTCAAGTATCTCACTTCCCCCGTAGGGGCCTGACGCTGAGGACTTGTGCTTCTTAGAGCCGCTCCACACCTCGTGGAACTTGACGCTCTGGTCACTAGACGCGACAATGATACATCCTTCTTCCACAGTCCTTGAACACCACAAACCACCCTCTTTGGCTCGAGGACGCACAAGCACTCGCCCGATTAGACATCGAGATGTCCCGTCCCGGCCTCGCCTCGTTAAACTACCGTGGGATTGCGGGATTGAACTTGAAGAGTCTTCCGAAATATCTAGCCCGTCGTGCAGATAAGTTGGAGGTCGTCCGGGATAGCTAACGGCGCAAAGTGCACGACCACAATCAACGACAGTGTCATTAGCTGGTCTATCCCAGCTAGTCCCATGGGGTCCCCACGGTATCGCTGCTATTTGCTCACAGCTTGGCCATGAAAAGACCGCAATCCGGAATGGATGTTCAGGTTGTGCGAAACCAAAAGTAGCAACGAGTTCTCGCCGTGTCTTGCTCCAGATGAGACTAGTAACCTGCGCATATACATTAATAGTAGCGAGGCAGGCACCTGAAGGAGTATGAAAAAAATGAATAGCCCGGTCGTTAGATCCTCCTCCAGTAGCAAGTAAAGACGGCTGCCAGGGTGCAAAGGCGATAGCCTTAACCGCTGCGGAATGAATCAATCTATGCTTTTGGCGGTTCGATGGAACAAAAACAGTTCGGTCACCACCTGAGATGACAGATCCAGTATGGGTCAAGACAGAAGGGAGAGAAGATGATAGTGACCTAGTCCGTGAAGTGGTCCAGGTCGGAAGCAGGTTGCTTAAAAGATTGCGCTGGTTAAAGATCCGCCGGCTAGCATTGGCAGCGAAGCACGAGAATGAATTCGGGCAACTCATTCCTTCCGGGTGACAATTCTGGTGCGGCAAGCAGGCTCTAGAAGAAACACCTAACTCTCGTGCAGGGATGGTGTCAGAAAGTTCAAAGAGGAGACATGCGTTGTCGTTTCCGCCAGTGGCCAAATATGCTCCGTCTGGTGACCAGGCTATACCACAAATCTGTTGAGTATGCGCCGAGATTTTGGCAAGTAAGGTCACTCTTCCATTACAGCCGAGGCGATCTCTCGCTTCGTCGTGCGGCCACTCAACAGAGTAATACCAAATATTCCCGAGATCGTCACCTACGGCGAGATCTTCTGCGTCAACCTCGATGTCCTCAAACAGTTCCGATAGTCGTCGTGACTTGGCCTGCTTAAATGCAACACACGTAATCGTACTTGAGTGGCTGATCTCGAAACGCACTTCGGAATCGAAAGTGCTCCATAAGCTTAACATCCCAGATTTCCTGCCCACCGCCAAAATACTCCTGCCTCCATTCTCGGAGGAGAACGACAAGGACGTCACATAATTAGAAGTGTCATGTTCGCCCAGGGGTGGATGCTGCACGCCGAATGCCTCCGACCATAGGTAGACCCGGTGACCGAGGCCAACAGCGAGAGTTCCAGCAATCGGGGAATACGCCAACGTGGAGCAGTAAAAGTCGTCACGCAGGAGGGGGGCGTCCAACGTTCGAAATGGAAGACTTGGGACTATGGTGTCTTTGTCCTTTCTGGAGATTGCAGCTTCCCCTATGTGCAATTTGGCCAGTCAGCTCCAACCGAGAGTGTTGGTTTGGTTCTGGAAGACAAAGGATCACTCGTAGTGGTCTTACTATTGCGCCAATTATATGGCTCAGTGGCTTATATGGCTATGGTATATATCAAGCAGACGACGGACACTGGAGAGCGTCGTTGCGCCAGAGACGAGAGGAAGCGTTGCACTTACGTTGTCCGCGCTCTACCCTCCTCCAAGCATTGTCCTTCCAAACCAGGGGAGAAAGCTGTTCAAAATCCGGAGAAGAAGGACTTAGTATAGGGTCAAGCGCTGACAGTGGGTTGGAGTTATTAAGAACCCTCGCTGCCGGGTCGATATCCAATGCAAGTGCGATTCTTGATTCGTATGTCACGCGATCCTCTGCTGAAGAACGAACCTGGGGCAAAAACTTTGCGGCGTACATAGGGGCAGTCGTCCCGCTCGCGAGGAGCCCCCGAGGACCGTCTAGAGACACTGTTGACCTTCTCCCTAGTGCAGCTGAGGTACCACCAACGGCCCAGATTGCTCCATTACTCACTCGCCTTGTTCCAGCCCCAGCAGAGACTACCCTTCCGGATACTGTTGAGTCATTGACCAGATGAGGACCGTAGTGGGGGCTCAGGACACGACTAGCCCTCGTTGCACTCTTCGATCTTCGAGTTTTCCTCGGAGTGAAGGGGTCTTCTCTGGGGGAGCGGCGGCGGAACAGCCTCTCTTCGGGGGACAGATCTTGGGGGTCTTTCCCGACTCTATACGGAGTAGATGGAGGATCAAGGGTATCCCTTAATGAAATAAACCTGTCTGGTGAATTCGGGCTCCGTGATTTGCGCCGCGCGCCTATAGGTCGCCGACAGTCTCGAACCCTCCCACGACCCCGGCCAGGAGGGTCTTGCAGGTCAACTGGGAGAGGATCTATAGTCGTAGGACCAATCAAGTACTGGCAGCCTTGGGGCTCTATTTTCCCGACGGTAGCAATCGATTCAACCATTCCTGTAGATTCGTGTTCCGTAGACTCCGACATCGAGGGCAGAGTTGGGAATTAAATATGCTCAACGGTGTAACCTCACAGCCCGGTAAGCGAAAATTCAGCCAGCGCTGCCAATTTAGTTATTTTTGACTTACTTTGTGCTCCAGTCCAGCAACTAGTCCAGGAGGAAGAATTGATGCCAACACAAAGGGCGGCTAATATGTACTTTGGTCAACAATATATTGGGGTAAAATGAATGGACGGTAAACTCCATAATCAAAGCCTTTGACCACCAGACATGAAACGGGCGCTCAGGCTTCTGATACTCGAGCGATGAATGAGAGGAAGAAAAGAGAGATGGTGAAGTGCACCTTGTATCTGCAATCCTTTGGCCTCAACACTGATGCACGTGACCGTCTTGATTGGGAAGCTGCTTTGTCTGAGCCGCTCTGGAGCTTCCAACCTGCAACCTTCGTCGGCAAAAGTTAAAGTCTTTCGAGCAGTACTTTTAGCCTGAGAGAAACTACTGGCAAAGAAGGCCAGAGTCTAGCAGTAGACTGGGAAAGCATTTATCTGCGACATGGCCAGTGTAATAGCCCCCTCCAAGTCGTCAGAGTCGACTATGGTTAACAATGGCTCGGCAGCATGGCATTCCCCGCCACAGCTCTCTCGAGGCGACCGGAGAAGCTCGTCAAGAGGAGCTGCGCAAGATTGAAAAATATCGTGACCTAGAACATACTGTTCGGGACGAGGTAGATCGAAGACGAGGTCGACACTTGCTTTGACTTGCTAATCAAGCGGAGCAGATTGCGGGAAACCGATATACGCCTGAGACGTTTCAAAAGATATCCGAGTTACTGAAGAAGAATCCCGAGTACTACACCGTTTGGAACTACCGCCGCAAAGTGATTCGGCATGAATTCTCTCAAATAGCCGCTGAAGAATCAAACGAGGCGGGCGTGGACAGAATAGCCAGTCTTATCAAGACAGATTTGCAGTTTCTGATTCCCCTCCTGCGCAGCTTTCCCAAGTGCTACTGGATTTGGAACTATCGCTTATGGCTTCTCGACGAAGCCAAACGTCTCCTTCCCAGAGCTGTCGCCCGCAAGGTGTGGCAGGAAGAACTTGGACTGGTAGGAAAGATGCTTAGTCTGGACAGCCGCAATTTCCACGGTTGGGGCTACCGACGGTTTGTGGTGGAAACTCTCGAGACTCTCGCATCGGAAGAGGAAGGTGAGAAGAGTTTGGCCCAGACGGAATTTGAATACGCAAAAAAGATGATCGGCACCAACCTCTCGAACTTCTCTGCCTGGCACTACCGCACCAAACTCATCCAGCGGCTACTGAGTGAGAAATCAGCCAGTGATGAAGAGCGAAAGCAAATGCTCAATGGTGGTACGTAATCCCCTTTACCCATCCTTCAGAAAAACATGTGGTATGAGGAGAGAAAAAAAAAATTAACAATGGCATTGACACGGACTCTCTGATAGAGCTGGATCTCATTCATCGTGCGTTGTGTGACCCATATGACCAATCACTGTGGTTCTACCACCAGAACCTGATGTGTATCTTTGATCCAGTAAAGTCAAGCCGGACAATGGCCCCAAACTTGACAAAGGCTGAGCGGCTAGAATATCTCCGACGGGAAATCGAAGAAATCCAGGAAATGTTGGATGGAGCTGAGGATTGCAAATATCTGTACCAGGCGCTCATAGATTGCACGCTGCTAGCAGCTAGGGTGGAAGGGACAACTCCCGAGGGGGATCAAAAGCAGCGAGTATTGGACTGGTTATCGGAGCTCAAGCAGCAAGACCCGCTAAGGGCTGGTCGGTGGCTAGAGCTGGAGCAATCGCTTAGCGGCTAAGAATCCCATCCCTTGTTGGGACTTGTTTAGGTAAATAGAGAGACAGCATTTCCATGCTAAATATTCTGTTTCTTCATACGATGTGACAAGGAGTAGGTAAAATCTATCCCATAGTTGTTTGAGACAGAATGCTGGGCATAATTGATTGAAGACAGATATAAACAAACAGCAGAAAAGGCGGAGGGGAGAGCTGACGCACATACTCCGCGCCGCAGCGCAGGGGAACACAAGTTACAACTGCGCCACCAGCTGGACGGTATCTCTGGAGAGACACAGCAGTTAGTTACGTTAGAGTAACCGCGCGCCAAACAATTGGAAAGCGGTGCAAGACACAAGGTCTCTTGGAGGGGGTGGATGCCAAGCTTTCCCCAGCCAGTGCCAACTGCTAATACCACTACGGAGTACTAAGGAGGGCTTCGCTATTTCTGCGACCAACTCCCCTGTTCTGCATTGTTGCTTCGTGCTCCATTTTTCGTTGTTTCAGAATTCCTACTACTTTCTCTGCCGAGAGCAATTCGATCGGGAGCTGGAATTCCACCCCAACTCTCCTCACGTCCTCCCATTCCGTCCAACAACCTCTCGAACCACTTCTTTCCCTCTCGTTGGTGTGTTCTTGGCTTGCTCCTTTCACAAGCTCCTCGACTATGGAGTAGTCGGTCCCCGACAGCATTGCTTGTTCTCCGTACCTTCAGCCCGATTTGAAATCTATAGTGCACTCACCCCATCATTTGGCCCTGGTGGTCAGCCATAAACATGTCTTCTGGAGTAGCGGATAGCAGAGATTACGAAGGGGTGAGTGAGGCGAGACCCTTCCGCTCACTTTGAAGGTGCTCACAGGACTTACAATTTCTGTTTTTTCTAGGACTCCTTTCATGACTCGTCAGAAGTCCCAACTGTGAACAATAACCTCACGGTTTCCATCCCTCAAAGCGCTTCGACGCGGTCGTTGACAGCCAGCCCCCCAAGTGGATCTATCTCGACACCACAATTCACCGATTCCCCCCAGCTTCCAGGATCTTTGGATGAAGACAACAGAAACGACGAAGCCTACGAGACTGGAACAGACGGACAGTCTGAAGCAGAGGCAACTCCCCGCAGACAAAAGCTACCAAAGTCTCCTTTGTTGACGGCACATCGGCTATCCACCACATCCCTTGACGACGTGAATCTAACTAGCAACAACAAAGATGATGGACCTCTTGGTAGCTCGGATACCCAGATGAACTCACCTCCTCCACTGCCGTCCAGAGACTCTAACTCAACACAAGGCTCACGCTTCCAGGGCTTGTCCGGGAGCCTCCCTTCTGTTCCATGGGCACCTCCGCCGCAAAATAAAAACCCACCATCTGCCGCTCCTCCCCCTCCTCCAACTCGAAAGATTAGCAGCCCTTTCGCTTGGCTTTCAAGGGCTTCAACGGGAAGCAAAGAATCTACGGCTCCTCCGCAGACGGGACGACGAGACACCGCTGCTTCCATCTCAACGATTGGTAGCAATCCCGAAATCGCTGGCCGATTGCAGGATGCGGAACTCGATGGCTCGAGTGTGGGATCTCGGCGGCCTCATCGAAATAGCCTAAAAGATCAATTCAAACTGCTCCGGATGCGCGAGGAAGGGGTTATTCCAGAACCCGACGGAGCGAGTATTACCTCGGGACGCGCAAGTATCAGCCATTCTGCCACAAGCCCTCCGCCCAGCATTCCAGAGGAAGGAGAGAATGGTACAATAACTGCGCCACCACTGTCACCCGAAACTTCACCATCTGTTGCTTCCGCGACGGTCAATCCAAATCTCGCACCGGGAACGGTATCCGGCTTCTCGACATCTGCGACCGACGCAGCCACTCCCGTGGATTGGGAGTTATGGCAGCAGCTCGTGAACAATGGCCTACAGGCCCTAAAGGGAGCGAATTCAGAGGAATTGAATGCTGCTATCAAAAGAGGAATACCGCAAACCATACGAGGTGTCATTTGGCAAATTCTAGCTGATAGTAGAGACCAAGATTTGGAGGACGTTTACAGAGAACTGGTTGCACGAGGTACAGACAAGGAAAAGCCGCGGGCTAACGGCATCGTCAATGGAACTGGGGAAAAAGACTCGGTAGCGTCATCTTCACGCTCTTCTATTCGCTCGGAGCGTTCCTTCTCGGTAGCGCCTTCCAACAATAGCTCTTCTCCAAGCCCATCGCAGGAGGTCGACCCAGAGAAGCTTGCAAAAGAACAGGCGGCAAATGAGTCGGCTCGAAAGAAGAAGGCGAAGGAAGACGCTGCTACGCTTCAAAAGCTTGAAAAATCTATTCGCCGAGACCTGGGCGCTCGTACAAGCTACTCCCGATACTTTGTTTCCCAGGGCAATCAGGAAGGCCTTTTCGGACTTTGCAAGGCCTACGCTCTATATGATGAGCCTGTGGGGTATGCCCAAGGGATGAATTTTATTGTCATGCCCTTGCTTTTCAATGTAAGCACCACTGCATCATCCTCATTGAATGCTCTCACTGCGCTGGGCTAATCCTTCTGTCTTCTATGTAGATGGATGAAGCCGAGGCTTTCACACTGATGGTAAAGTTGATGAAGCAATACGGGCTTCGGGAAATGTTTGTTCAGGACATGCCCGGTTTGCACCGCAGCTTGTATCTATTTGAGCGCCTACTCGAGGATCTCGAACCTGCCCTATACTGCCACTTGCGGCGACGAGGGGTCCAGCCTCAACTATACGCTACCCAGTGGTTCTTGACTCTCTTCGCCTATCGATTCCCTCTACAACTTGTTCTTCGCATTTACGACCTGATTTTCGAGGAAGGGCTGGAGAGCACACTATTGAAGTTTGCCCTTGCTATTATGCGGCGGAACGTGGACGCTCTCCTGGCCATGAAGGACATGACACCGTTAACAACGTTTTTGAAGGAACGACTGTTCGACGTATATATCGATAAACAACCCACTCCGTCATCGATACTCGAGTCGGGATTCTTTGGATCATCAGGAGCTGCAGACAAGGAAATTTACCGGGCTGACATCATGGTTCATGACGCCTGTGCTATCCCTCTCGAACCCGAGATAATCAAAGCGTATACGGCCGAATGGGAGGAGAAAGTACGGACGGAGAAAGAGCGTGAAACGGAGCTCAACGGGCTGAGGCATACTGTGTCAGTACAGAGCGCTCGGATTCGACAACTGGAAGAGCAAGCAGAAACGTCTGACAAGGAGCATGTCCAACTTGCCTCTGAAGTCGTTCATTTGAAAGTGGAGAACGAGGAGCTTTCCGATATGAACGATGCACTGAAGATGCAAGTCAGCGAGCTCAAAATTGTAGTGGACAAACAGCCCGCTGAGGTTGAACAGAAGCTCCAAACGGAAATGGATCGCATCATGAAGCGCAATCTTGAGGTTCAAAACGAAAATCGGGCCCTCCAGGAACAAATGGCGGAGATGGAGAAGGAGCTTGTAGGTGCCAAGCTCAATTATGCTGAGGTAAGACCGTCCTTGTATGTGCTAAATTTGATAATTTGTGCTAATTCGCGGCGTCACAGATTCACGAGCAATACGAGAACCTCAAGCAGAAGTGGAGTGACCTTCGCAAGGCTCTTGACTAGAGGTTGTGTACATTCTATCTTATACTTCTTGCCCCGCCGGTACCTTTTGGACCTCCCCTAGTTGTGTACATTTTCCCGGCTGCTATGAGGAGGGATATTGGTTTATGGTACTCCTGGATGAGACCACAGAAACTAACTGTATCATGTTCATGTTTGATATCCTATTTGACCCGCGCATAAGGTAACGGCCCCAGTCTAGTTATGACGCAGCGTGTCATGAACGCCATGTATCTTTCCACGTCCTATTTTCTTTTCCCTTGCGGCACGAAACTTTGTAATAACGCTGTGTACATCATAACCAGAGCCTTTTCACTTATATCAAGCCCTCAAATGCCCCTCTATACCCGAATGAAATCGTATTGAACAATTGGACAACCAGACACTCAGAGAACACTTTCATAATAACTCGTCAAAACATCCTCCTTGACAGGCCCCGCAACCGCCTTCAACGCCTTGTGTGCCTCGCACTCCGTATCGTAGTACTTCATATCCTCGAGCGACGCAAATGTCGTCTTCACTGAGAGGTTGAAGCCCTTGTTGCGGGGGTCTGGAAATGAAGGACCAGCCGCAGCGGCGAGAATGTATGGTTTGCCGTCCTAGTAACAAGAAAAGACAGTTAGTCACAGTGAATCGCTTTGACGGACGGGGGGGTATCTACCTTGACGGCGGTCTTCGCGAGAACCTTGTATTGCTCGAGGACGCGGTCTCTGGCAGCCTCGTCGGGGATTTTGAAGAGGGTTATGCGTTCGATGGGAGCCATTGCAGAGCGAGTAGTTGTGAAGGTGGCGGCGTAAATTGGGAATGGCAGAATGCGTGGTGATCTTGGGCAGCTCGGAAGTAGTAGGTGGGGAGGAGGATGTATAGGTATGCCGCAGGGACTCTTTATACTAGAAGATAGAGGGGTATTGAGATAAGATGTCGTGCGGGGTAGAAGATATCGAACGCACATATTATTAATATGGGTTTACTCTTCTCCGCCAGCAAAAGAGCGCTGTGAGTACCCCAAGCTCGACTTCCAGGTGTCTCACTGGAACTGTTCCGATGGCCCGTCGGAAGGCGGGTATCATCGGATGTTGAGACGGACGCAATTGCGCTGAATCTGAGAGTAAGGGAGTTACTATAGATACGGTAACCTGCAATAGTCTATGTTCGTTTCATCCGATCGTTTATCAAGGTGGTCATCGTGTGATTTCTTGCTCTATACAATATGGCATATGGTGATCAATTTGAGAGTGCGGAATCAATATCAGGAATCGGGCTTATTCCGTCCCAGGTATTTCTTCTCTCAGAGGGCGGAATACCGCCTTGAGCCGTGCCCGTCTACGGAGTACAAATATCCGCCGGCCTGTGTTCAATAAGAACTAACGCTGTTCATCTTAGAGACCTCATGAAAGTCCTGTCTCATACCGTCGATGTTGCGCGGATCGAGAGACACTGCCTCAAAATAGAGCCCAGACTCCGCTGTATGCCTCAATTGCCTCAGATATTGTTCGACTGGCAGTGCGATGTCCCTCGTAAACCGTTCGCCCAAGATGGAGGAACCTAGGCTTGAGCGGAGCGAAGGGGCACATCATGTAAGGTGCAAGTTTGGAAAAGCCGACATAAACAATGCCTTATCTGTTTAGATCTTCTTCCGAAGTTGTTGTATGTAGGACTTCGTCCGTCGCGAGATAATATCGCAACAGCAATACTCGACGTAATCCCACACGACGCGATTAAGCATCGTTAACCGGCTCCGGCCGATTCTTGAAAATAAGCTTATACTTGACGATCTCGGCTATCTCCAGCTCCTCGTCGGTGTCCTCCACACCCGAGTCCTTCTGTCGCCGCTGAATAATCGCGAGCGGCTTTGGCAGCTTCTTCACTTCTCCCGTCATCCGCTGATATTTTCCGACATATAAATAAGCCCGCTTCATCCACCTGGTATCATCTGTCGGGGCTTGGGTAGAGTAGTCTGGGAACATGAGCTTGCCGATTGGAGTTTCGTACGTGGCAGAGAAAGTGTCTAACTCGGGGGGCTTGGTGGGTTCGTCTTCAGGTTGCAGGGCGTCTTGTGCGGGAAGATTGATTGTGCCTTGCAGTTCGAGAAGTGCGAGGCCCGACGGCGTTTGGAGGATGTCGGGGAGAGGATTGTGTGTCTCGTTGCGTGGTGCGGACGGGCGGGGATGGAGAGGGATAGAGGGCATGTTGTGGGGTGAATGTTGGGTTAAAAGACACAGATTTAACCCTGTTAATCCAAAGTGAGTCCGATCGCTTTCAGTTGTTCGCGAACTTGAAATTCAAAGTCCTTGGCTGGCGAAGATAATGATTGCGGAGGTGTTTCGGAGTCTCGACGTCGCGCGCATCGCGAAATCCATCAGTGCGTCTCCACATACACGTTTATCTTGGCGATCACTGAGAGAAGTAAGAACACAAGCAAATACCTCCGGAAGCGCGCATAGACATTTTATATGTCATTTCTAGTAGGTAGTCTAGATTTGGTATAGTGCTCCTACTCAGATTCCGCAGATAATGTGTGGTCACCTCTGCCTATCAGCATTACATACACAAGTATACCCTCGCTAGTGTTGTATGATGGATATAACCCCTTCAGCCTCCGCAATGCAAACAGTAATGATGTTTCCAAGTTTTCGTGCGATCGCCTAGAGATTGCTTTAATGGCCCAAGTAGATGGTATTAAGCATGCTGTCTTGCGTCCTGCGAGAACACCGTCTTGCTCGGATCGTGAGCTGTAATGGCAGCTGCACGTTTGACAGGAGGTAGATATCTTGCCATAAAGTTGCCCAAGGCCGCGTCACCCTGGCTCCATAGTTGGCCATGGTTCAAGCGGTACCGTTGGGCGTCATCAATATGCCCTCGGCTGTTGTGACCTGAAGGGGTATTCAGCGCATGGGCGTCCAAGGAACCCTCATTGTCCATGCAAGCTCGCAGGTGGGGCATCTCTTTGGCAGCGTTTCGGCCCACTGTAGAGTAGGACCGAGAGAACAAAGGAAAGCAAACCGTTGGATATGAATGCTATCAGGTAGCACTCTCGCGGTAGCAGGCATTTTCGAGGTTGACCAGGCCCCTTATAGCCTCACTGACAACCTCGTCGTCTGTCGCTCCAACAGAGCCATGCATCTTGCCGTACCTTAAGTCACTCAGGTCGCCAACAGTGGAGTTGAGCTCTGATAACAAAGCTGCTGCCTCCTCGTCCACGGCAGCTATTTCGTGCTCGACACTATCACAGGCGGTCTCCATGGCCGACAAGAGACTCGACACAGAATGGACTTGATCAGAGGAAGCAGACGTCGGACTAAACAGCTGAACATCCATATCCATCTCTCGTCGGTCATTCGGGCCAGCGCCGTCAATACCTGTTTTCGCGACAGATTTCCGCAGTTCAGCTTTTTGACTTTCGCCTTGGCGGACTTCTCTGTCGATATTCTCATTGACTATGTCCATGTCTTGCTCCCGAAGCTGTTGTAGCTCGCGATAAAGGACTCTGATATGAGGGTGAGTCCTCAGACGTTTGGGAAACAGCTCGGTAAACTGTTTCAATGAGATGATTGTTGGTAGAGACGCCGCAGCCAACAGAAAATTAGCAAGTATGGAGGGTTCTGAGGGCGCCATATTGTTTCTCAGGTTCAATAGGCCCCAGTAAATGACAATAGTAACTGTGACAAGGCGATGTCGTGAGTGGATGGAAGACTGAGACAGGCAAGGCCAATATAGCGATGAGAATTTGCTAATACAAGAAGCAGAGAATAAAAGTAATGATGAAGATGGCAATAGGACAATAATGACCATATGGTTGATTACTTGAAATGAAAGGCGGGAAGAAAGAATGAGAATGAGACAGACAGAGCGGCGCAAAATGCGCGACTTTCCCGTTTTGTAGCACGCGTTAAGTAGTTCTTCCGCCTCCTCTCTCCGTCTTCCTTCCACCATTCTCCTCTGCCAACACCTACTCTGGAACAACTTACTCCGGAACCTTTTGACTACGCAGCTTTTCTGTTGACAGGTGATTGTTGAAATCATTATTGCTCTAATTGAGCCTTCTTCGGTTTGCTTCTCGACAGCCTCAAGACTTGCCATTGGTTATCAAACCTGAGGAACTACAGAAAGTCCAGCCCTCTTGTGGTAGAGAGAACTCACTGTCAGCCTGAGCTCGTGACTTCATTGGAGGTAACGGGCTGAATACGCGCTTTGGCAACTTCTGGCGTTCTCAAATACGTCCTGGCTTGGTTCCAGACCACACCTCCTCGAGACTGAGCAGTCAATTGTCTCGCACTCAGTGAGATTAGCTGTTTTGACAAATTGTATCACGACTTTACGGTGTGGCGCTGTGACCCTGCAACTTTTCAGCGTGCTTGACTTCCCCTACAGGGGCTTGCATCTTCATTTTCAAGCGCCTGTGTGAATCTACATTGCCAGCAAAATGGCACCCGCGGGCCAAACGACTTATCAGAAAGACGAGAGAGTGCTCTGCTTTCATCATGAGATTCTCTATGAGGCGAAAATTCTCGATTTAAGGCACACTGAACCCGATGATCGAAAAAGTCCATACGAATATCTGGTCCATTATAAGGGCTGGAAGAACACGTACGTATTATTCATCAGTTTTCCTGGCCGCCTTCCGAGTCTACGTGCAATTCTGTGTTTGTGATGTCTGGCCACGGGGAATTGTCGGGCTCTGACGCCCCTGACTTGTCCCGCGTGACAGTTCGCCTCACTCCGTTGGGACGAGGTGGGCATCAAGTGCCAAGTTTACAGGATGATATTGACTTTTCTTCAAACCAGATGGGATGACTGGGTGCCCCAAGATCGCCTTCGTAAATTTACGGAGGAGAATAGGGAATTAGCAACGACGCTCCGCAGGGAGGCTGAGGCCGCACTCCGTCAGAAAACCACCAAAACCCCTGCCAAAAAGAGGGGAGGTTCCGATCGCAGCTCTGCGCGTGGGAGTGAAGAAAGACAAACATCCGTACCCGGCCGTGGTACGAAGAGAGCGAGAGATAATGACGTAGAAAAGGTATGCTAATAACACTCCTGTCGCTAAGTGAAGGGACTCTGAAGCCACCGTTGCACACCGCGCGCCATACAATGTCGAATCCGGAGCTAACCCAGTGTTCAGGAGGAAACTTTCTACACTCGACCGTCAGTGAGAATTGTGATGCCAGATAACCTCAAGTCGCTCCTTGTGGATGACTGGGAAAATGTCACCAAGAACCAGCAGGTTGTGGCATTGCCAGCCAAGAGCTCGGTTAATCAGATCCTAGACGACTATCTAAAAGAGGAGAAGCCGAAACGTACAGGCTCAGCAGACCTAGATGTCCTAGAAGAAGTGATTATGGGCGTGCGAGAGTACTTTGACAAATCACTCGACAAGATTCTTCTATATAGGTTTGAGCGTGAGCAGTATCGCGTCCTGCGGAAGAGGTGGGAGGCTGGGTCTGGCGAGTTCGCAGACAAAGGTCCGCTTGATATCTACGGTGCAGAGCACTTGACGCGTCTTTTTGGTGAGTTCTTCTGGATTTTAGGCCCAAACACATCGTCTCTAATCAAGTCGTAGCCACGATGCCCGAGCTCATCGCACAAACGAATATGGACCTTCAATCTACCAACAGACTTCGTGAAGAGTTATCAAAATTCACGATTTGGCTGAGCAAGAACTCAAACAACTATTTCGCCACAAGGTACATGACTGCGAGTAACGAATACGTCGAGAAATCTCGTGGTGTCCCGAACCCGACACCAGGTACCGCTACGTCGCGCCTGGTGTAAAGCGCATATTACTGCTCTATTTTCTTTCGCTTCTTTTCTACCATTAATTCTTTTATAGCTGAGGCAGCAGGGATAGAAACTGTCTGCGTGTATTTCTCGGATGTTTCTCCTCACCCATTATATCAAAACAGGCGGGCTTTAGGGGATTGCAAAATGGAACAGAGTTTCCGCGAATTTTCTAGCGCGGAAGCGAAAATTGAAAGAAGGGTATATTCACATTTTATAGTCCGAGTTCCAATCAATTAAGATCATCAGGGCATATACAGGTAATAGACCCAGCAGCCATACTTTGTCAGACGTCGAGGTGACCAAAACTATGCCACCAGCTGCGTAGCATCATCAACAGCACACCTCGCCGCCCGCTTCAACTCCGTCTTCCAGTCCGCCTCGCGATACCTCGTCCATGCGCTCAAGCCCTCGGGAGGCTGAATGCTCAACGTATCGTATCCCTGCTTGATGATGCGATGGACTTCGCGCGGACCAAGATTCTTCTTCTGTGCCGCTGGTATCGGAACGGGTGTCTGGGCGTCGCCCTCTGACTTGGTCTCTGCATCTGTACCCGGATTGAAAAGAAGAGCATAGAAGTGCGTAGAGACGGAGATGAGGGTTTCAACGGCAGCCACGTGGATGTCCTTGTTTGAGTCGGCGGTTTTGGAGAGGCTAGATGATGCGGCGGATGGTTTGAGGGAGTAGACGTCGCGGAACTTGGCGATGATGGGCCCTGTTTCGACGAGTTTGTAGAAGAGATCGTCGTAGGAGGCGGGGTCGGGGAGAAAGGTGTCCCCTGCGGATACGCAGAATGCGACGAGGTCCACTAGGGAGGTGGCTAGAGTTGTTATGTACGGGCTGCTGGTTAGGTCAGAGGCGTAGGTGGTCAAGAAGCGCAAAAGGGAGAGCAGGTTGCGCCATAGTTCCGACCAGTGGTAGGCGAGTCGAATTCTGTTCATGGATAGGTAGGTGAGGATGCGGAGGAAGATTGCGATTGTATGGCTGACAGGCGCAGATTAGGTTTGACGAGCCTGAGACGACTAACAGATTACTGTGAGGACATACCTGTAGAGTTGAACGTCGAGACGACGTCTCAGATTGTGTGAGATGGCATCGATCAAAATGTCAAATACGGCAGTCGCAAGCACACGATTTCCTGCCACGAGAGGCAAATAAGGTTGCCTTTGCCTACAAAGGCGGACCTTTCTTTTGCTTTCATCGCTGCACAGAAGCTTGCATGAAGTCGAGTCCTCGGAGAGAATACGTAAAGTGAAGAGGTTAAGCTCAGCGTAATATGCAACACGCGGAGAGCGGTACGCGTGGTGCGTGAGGTAGGAGGTCAGGGACAGAAAGCTGGAAAACGGAGACTCCTCGGTGTCCTTTGCCGGCGCGGAATTGATCAGATGGTAGCCAAAAAGCTTGTTTGCATTTGTGAAGTCGTATGTGGCGAGGAGGATGGCTGCCTGCTGTGCTGGTCTGGTTCTGTCAGCGGAAGAAAATCGAGTCATAGGAAGGCCGATTGTGACTTACAGAGCCGCAAACATCTCCTTCGCTTCTTCAGGCGAGGGAGGCGCTGGCCTTTCCCGTTTGGAAGGAGATAGCACGCCCAATCCAAAATATATCAGAGTCCCGATCAGGGTCCAGCCCTCAGGGGAGTCGTCTTGTACAGCTACATAGCCGTTTCTCAAGGCACCACAGGAGATAGCAACTCCTTTAACAATCTTTTCAATGCTCGACTCGTTGACAAAGTCATCAAGTCGTAGTTGATATGGATTCTGAAGCTCAAACTTGTTGTAGTTGGCCAGAAGGCCCAGGAGGAGAAATGGTTCAAAGACTTGCATTGGTGATTCCGATTCATGCACAAGCTATAGTCTGGTCAATCTCCACATCCAAGTGATAGAACGCCTGCACGACAGGGAGACATACCTTCATGATTGAAGGGAACAAATCTCGATGAGTAAAGTATGACACCAGACTGGTCTTGTATGCTCCACTGGTCATGGCAATGGCTGTTCGAATCGCCTTGAACCGAATGTTCACTAGAGTATCGTTAACGTGTGGCCGATAACACCAGAACTTTCTCGACAGTTACTTACTGCTGCTGCCACTACGGATGATGCCATCCAGGACAGCGACAAAATTGGAAATGACCTGATCAACCTTATCGAGACCAGCCAGAACGGCGATGACGTCGGAACTGGGGTTGGTATACTTCTTCTTCAGAATGCAGGCCAGAAAGGCTGTCAATGTCTAGCTCCTGTCAGATGCCGAAGACGTCTAAATTGCAATATGGCACTTACCTCGAGGGCATATGCATCGACGGGGGCAGACCCGGAGGCAGCCTCGCGGATTGCGCGAGTGAAGAGCAGCTGGGTTTGAGTCTTAAACGACTCAGTCACAGCGCAAGACTAGCAGTAAGGGGTATGCACGGTCAAGACACACCTGAAGATTAAGCGTTTCATCGGGACTGAGAGCCTCGAGAATAGTATTGAGCTGGGCTCGATCAGGCGGCAATAGGAAGAATTCCCTCCAAAACCCTTCTGATGGGTCAACATATTCGGAATTCTATGTGGAGATTAGTACAGGAGTCTTCGACTAGCACCTCAGCAGCAAGAAGTTGGTACTTGAAATAAGTTCTCATATAGTTGCACAATCTTAGGCTTGAATGTTTCGGGTCTACTTTGCTGCGTTAAGGGGGAGTCCATTGTGCTAGACATGGGCCACAGCCGGCATTGCAGAGTTGAGCGGACACAGAAACAAAGAGATGAATAGAGAATAGCCTAAGGTCTTTCAACCATGCTACAGCCAAGTTGATGGTTCTGGATAGATAACAGCCTCGTACATGTTCCAGGAACGGCCACATGCGACCTGCTTGGGCCAGCACAAGAGCACCAGCCTCATATGTGGCTCAAATTCAAGCCACATCTTCAATCCCCCTCAATTAGGCTGGTGTGGGCTTTGGTGCCTTAGGCAGACACTGAATTATTAATACTCCGTCGGAATCACTGACGTCGCCAGGCTTCCCGGCAAGCCGCAAAGCTGCGGAGCTCCTGGAAGCCATTATCAATGGGTAATTGACAATATTGAATACAGGACCTGATGACCGTTTGGTTTGTAAGAATGATCGAGAGTTCAGCTTTGCAGCGATCAGGAGATGCAAAGTGGCGCCATAGTTAATGTGTAGAAACGCCTTTACGGTGATTGGTGCACTCGGGTACTCTGCTTTGGCGCTGTCCCCGTTTTAACCGATCCGCCGCCGACTCAGACTGCTCAGACCTCAAGTTTTCCGCCTACAAAATACACCTCCGAGTCACCTTTGAGCCACCTCGTCTTCCCCCCATCGGCATTATCTCTTCAAACCACATGAACTTCCAATAGACCTTTATTTACAATATAGACTTACCCGACTCATCCCCTTCAATTCACATCATGTCGCTCTGCAGACCGGCAACGCATTCGCCTGTGACATCATCTGCCATGCTTCGATGTGTGCAGCAGTCGTCCTGCTTGCGCCTCGCACCAAAGCATCGATTGTTCTCCTCATATGGCAACGCCTACAGATCATCAAAGCGTGATATGCAGACCGCCACCGCGTATCGACCACACACATTACCATCTGCTTTCCCAATACTACCAAGCCCTGGAGCCAAAGACTCACCCATCGCCGCCGATTTTCTGAACCCCCGTGAACCCATCCAGCACCGCCAAGAAACACAAAACAGCTCTACAATAACGAGCGAAGGCGAAGCTCGACAGCCAAAGCCCGTTGAGTCTACGCCAGCCACGTCCAAGGCTCCCGAGAAGCCTCGCAGAAAGCTCCGCCCCCGCAAGGCGGCAATGAAGTTAACTCCTGTTGCGATTGAACAGCTCCGCAGACTTCTATCCCAACCCGATCCAAAGTTAATTCGTGTTGGTGTTAAGAACCGCGGCTGTTCCGGTCTCGCCTACCACCTCGAATATGTTGAGAAGCCAGGCACATTTGACGAGGTCGTTGAACAAGATGGGGTCAAGGTCTTGATTGATAGCAAGGCGTTGTTCAGCATAATCGGCAGTGAAATGGACTGGCAGGAAGACAAGCTAAGTGCAAGATTTGTTTTTCGCAACCCAAATATCAGTAAGGCTTCCTGATTTCTGTCGTCTGATGATTCAAATGCTAACGCACTCAATAGAGGAAGAATGCGGCTGTGGCGAATCGTTCATGGTTTAGCTTCTTGATACATCCTCTTTCTTTTCGGTTTCTTTGCCTTGCGATATGGCTCTACGAGTCTCGTCATCGGTGCATTAGACGGCGTTCTTTCGTTTGGCTGCTTGGGGCAAGCCACTTATGATTCCCGGTGGAACTTTTCCCACCATTTGTACAACTATTTTAGCCGTGCTAACCCAGAAAGTGCATCACGCAACGACTACTTCACTTCTTTATGTGTTGGCCAGCGACATATCACTGCCCTATGATGACTAGAGTGAGGATCATCCTAGCCCGTACCTAGTCTAAGAGATATCCTGCCACTTCATCAATGTATATAGAGAGTTACAGAGATTAATAAACGTCCTTCACATGATATCGCACCGCTGCATCTGTCGGCGCTTCTTCGTCGTAAGCGATGCTTGGCAGCCGCCTGTAGGACCTCTGGGACCCCATCACCAGTCCATTGAGAACATTCGGCATTGATAGCCTGGATATATCTGGCAATCTCTCCAAGTAACAGGCACCTGTTTCATAGATTTAAGGTGCTCCTTCAGGCGTGAGCCGTTTCGGAGATCTTTGTTGCACCCAACTAGAAGTATAGGAACTCGTGGATAGAGCGAGAAAGCATGCTGCGTCCACTGTAGTGAGAAGATAATTAAATATAGCCTCGGCGTAATACAACATAGTACGAATAGCCACTTTTAAGCCATAACTGACAGAACCATACGTAACATACCTTTTCCTTCACGCTCTCAAGTGAGTCGGGCCCGTCGATGGCAAAGCTAAGCAGGATAATGTGGACTACACTAGGGGAAAGTCGTCTTCTTGGTTCGATGTATTCAGCATCTGGTTGCTCGTCCCAGAGATCTAAAACAACATGCTCCCGCTGACAAGGACACGCACAGTTTCCCCGTCAAACCGGGGCTTTTGGCTCAATCTCGGTCCCTCGAACAGGTTCCTTTTTCGATTGTCTCGAGGAGGCTGCGGGGTGGGACGGCTAGATTCCCAAAAATGAGGAGACTACGAGCCGTCACTTGAGTGTTGGGAGGCTCAATGATAATAATAACAGTGAAAACTTAAGACCAACTGTTTCAAGAGAAGACCTGGATTGTTTGCGTTGTTGTTTGTCTTTGTCAACTTGAGACGAGATATCACGTGCGGCTATACTGGGATCATTGTCAAGGCAACACACACCGCAACCTGATCTCGAATTCACACACGGACCACTCCATGCTCTTCACAATTCCGCAATCCAGTGACGAAACACAGATCCGAATGAACGATGTCAAGCGCATCGAGCATTCTAAGCCGCGACCCTCGTGCCATGGAGAATGACCCTCTCCTGATCATAGTCCGATTCTCGGCTTCAATACCAGATCTCCGTCTCGACATCGAATCCCCTGAAACCACCACATCCGCCGGACTCAAACAAGCAATCCGCGCACGCCTCCCATCTAGTCTATCATCGCACCGTCTCCGCTTGATCTACGCTGGCCGTGGTCTCGAAGACACCACACCCCTCGCTCTCTCATTAAAGTTACCTCCCCCCCCAACACGATTCTCCCGATCAACAATAGACACACTTGAGAACCATGGAGACGGCGACAAGACCGGTAAAAAAGATAAAGGGAAACTGCCCGTCCGCGAGCCGCCCCGGCTATACGTCCACTGCTCGATCGGCGACATCGTCCTGAGCGCCGCTGATCTCGCCACCGAAGCCGCCGCTGCCTCAACGCTTCACGAAGGGCAAGATTCACAGACTGAGGCGGGGAACCTACGGAATGCGCAGCGCCATGATCAGTCCTCTACGGCACCCGCTCCGCGCGGCTTCGACCGCCTCCTCTCAGCGGGATTCACAGCAGCCGAAGTTGCTGCCCTTAGGTCGCAGTTTATGGCAATTCAGTCGGTTTCGCGCACTCCTGACACGATGCCTAGTGGGGCGGAGCTGCGCGAACTCGAGGATAGGTGGATGGATGAGGGGACGTCGGCGATGGCGGCGGGAGCGGTTGGTGGCGCCGAGGGAGTCGTGTTTACGGATGACGATGGTGGATTTGGAACCGGGTCGCGGGGTGCGATTGACGATATGCTCTGGGGTGCCGTTATGGGCTTTTTCTGGCCCGTCGGTTGTGCGATGTGGCTGCGGAGGGAAGAAGGTGTCTGGAGCTGGCGGAAAGGGTTGGCGGTGTTTGTGGGCGTGGTGGTCAATATTGCATTTGGCGCGATGAGGATTATGAACTGATGTTGGCGGATATACCTTCGAGGTCTGGGACTTTCGGATCTTTTACGTTTTTCTGAGTGATGACTTGACGATGCCTATGATACCCATTTCATTACTTATTTATACTGAGCTAGAAGGTTTGCGAGATGTGGGGGTGGGAATCAATAATTCATTTGAGAATGAAGATGATTAGTACAGCTATAAACGTAAAATCATAAAGGCTGGAGTTTGCTATCATACAGCGTTACGCAATTATCGTGAGAAACTCTTAACTAAGATGGAGGCGATGCATATCCCGATTTCAACGCCCGCTCGAAACCGACGCTCAACTGAACTTGCTGTAGATCACAGCAAAAATCAACAAAATCAAAACAGTGATTATGGCAATCGTGATTAACCGATTCGTAGCCATCCTAAATAAGACCGTGTTAGATATCGAAATCGAACAGTCTGCAAAAGGTCGTGATATGCAAATGGAGGACAGGGCGACAGTACCTACGGGCCATGCCTCTCAGGGTCTTGATGCTGGTGTCCACATGTCCCTCGCTTGCCTGCAGTCTACCGTGCGCGTGCTGGATAGTCTCCCGTTGCATGTTCAGATCAGCCAAGGTGTTCCGGCCAATGTCTTCGGTTTCCAGCGCAATCCGTTGACTCTCCTGCAATCGCGCAGAGCTACGCTCTAGGCGATCGGTTCCGGACAGAAGCTGTTGTCTCTGTTCCAGATGCTCATCCTGAGGATCGTCGGTGTAGCGGTCACCGAAAAGCGCCTTTCGGTCATCAGATAGAGATTTAAGCTTCCGCTTTGCCTCGTCGACGTCTGTCGAGTAGTTGCGAAAGCGAATGTTGATCTTTGACCGAGCCTCGAGTGGGATATTCTGCTTCTCTAGGCGCATTTGGTCCAACTGCGGCGATGTTAGTTCACTTGTAAGTTCCGGACGTGTGGCATGAATGAGAAAGGTAGATGCATCTGACTTACCAGCTCTGTTGCCTCTTCAAGGGCTCGCTCCGCTTGTCTGATAGCCGAGTTTCGTTGCTCTCCGCTCAGCTCCGTAATCTGGTCAAGCTTCTGGTTTAGGTCGGCTTGGACGAGGTTCAGCTCCGTTTCGTAGCTGCTGAACATCTCAGAGCCGGCATCACTGTCTAGAGGGTTCGACATTGTGCTGTATGTCAATCGGTATACGTCTGGTTATGGTGAGGTCAGGAGGAGACAATAAACTGGTGGAGGCTGGTATTGAGGCCGCCGCGGCTCAAGGACGACTATTGTTCAACGAATGCACCGCTCAGCGTCGAAATATCGCGAGATTATACGTCGAAAATCTAAGAGAGGCGTGGAAATGTAAAGCGACACAAATGAGGATGAACAAGACAATGATGGTAATTGAATGATGGAGGCCTGCGACTCCTCATTGATGCAAAGTCACTGCCACGTGATCGCCGAGACATTTGATCTGGTCTGGGAAGCTTCATTCTTGCCTGGGCCCTTCCCTCCATAGGCTATCGATAGGCAAAACTCTGGATCACCGTTATCTAGGGAGGCGCTACTATCTTTAAAGTTGTTATTATGACTTTGTCGCGGAATAAATCCGATCTCCATGAAGACGAGGATGACTGAGGTCTGGTGAGCAATGGCCCGAAGTCACTGCAAGCCTCATTAACCGCCTCGTCCTGATTCATTCAACGGGTTATTTATCCACTCCATCTGCAAGGTCTGCTGTATGACATTAACGCACCAACAATTCGCTTCCCGAGAGGCCTTGCGTACTGCTCTGAAGTCCACCCCGACGGGAATGATATAACTTTAGGCCTCGTCGTCATCTGACACGGTCATCCTCTCCGACATTGCATACATTACTAGTCCAGAGCCCAACATTACTGTCGTCAATGGCTTGTGCGGCCGCACTTCCCTGACTTTCTTTTCTCGTTTAGCTTTTGAATCTGTCTCTTCAATATCTTCTATCTTGACACTTGCCGTCTCTGCTCCAGGTGAGCAGAAGGGCAGCATTCGTTCTACTTGTTCTTTGGGCTATCTTGTCTTCGTTATTGGATCTACTTCTTGGATGACCGGAGATGTTTGCCACGACCCGCACTTTCAATGGAACCTTCTGAACCCCGCAAAATCGCCATTGTAGGTGGCGGCCTCACAGGAATCACCTCTTTCTGGGCCCTACAGAGCTCCTGTCATGATGTTCACTTATTCGAAGCCTCGGCGGCACTGGGTGGGCATATGAAGTCTTGGCTGTTTGAGAGTCGTGGCAACCAAGTCCAAGTTGATCAAGAGTTGCCAACGTTTAACCCCGAGGCTTGTCGTCCGTATTGCTCTTACCTATTTGCCCTTGGTTGAACTAACTGCCATGCACAGCCAACCTTGTTTCACTATTGTACCACCTGGGGATACCTACAACAGCGGTACCTTTCTCATTCGGCGTATTAGACGATACTTCCATCTTCAAGTGGCATATAAGTATCGTGAAAAGTATTCTTCTTAGCCCACAGATACTGTGCAAGCTGAAGACTTACCGGCTCCTACTCGATGTCGTCAGCCTGAGGTATCTTGGTGCGGACGTTCTGGCCCACCCGGCTACTGAGCTTGCGAGTGCTCAAGATTTGGCGGATATCTACCTGGCGGAAAAAAGCTACTCTAACAATTTTCGAGACCGATATCTTACCCCATTGCTTTCGATGCTCTGGCGAACAAATGCTGGAAGATATCTGCCGCATATCCCCATCAAGGCACTGGCTCGATCTCTGAATGACCATCAAATCCTATCCACATGCGAAACAGTACCAAAATGGCGACGGATTGATCCTGGAGTTAGGTACCTGATAGAAGCCATGATCAAACATCTACCCCATGAAAAGCTCCATCTTCGGACAAAGGTGCAAGAGGTAATTCGACGTCCCAAGGCCCAATATGACCTTGTTACATCCGGCGGTAAACAGTCACATTTCGAGGATTTCGATCATATCATCTTTACAGTGGATGGACCTGAAATACTTCAACTTTTAGGTTCTAAAGTGAATGCCGAGGAGAGAGATATCCTCCGGGGCCTCGGTGTCGCAAGAAACATTGCAATTCTACATTCAGACAAGCCTGTGAGCAGTCCCTATCTCTACAGAGCGTACAACGGCTAAAATATCGCTAGTCAACCAGCGACAGTGCCGTACCTGGTCACAATTATATTATGGCATCTCGCAATTTCCGAGGACCAGAGTTCAGTCCTCCCATGTCTTGCCTAAGATACGATATCAACATCCTTCAAGATGTTCCAATTTCGCGATTTGGTGATGTACTCATAACGCTGAACCCGCTCTCACCGCCTCACCCTAGCTTTGTGCAGGGAGTGTGGGAGTTTACTGAACCTGAACCAACCGCTGAATCGCTTGGCGCACAGTCGCGCCTCCCCTCGATCCAGAATACACGAGGTCTAAGCTACGGCTTCTGCTGGACAGGCCGCGGCCTCCTGGAGGACGCGATTACTTCTGGCCTGAGAATGGCCGTTGAGGATCTCGGTGCCACTATCCCGTTCAACATCGCTTTTCACTCGGAGCCCCTAGCTTCAACTGACTATTCAAAGCAGCGTCCCGGGATCAGAGTCCATCTTATTAAGACTGTACTGCAGGCGATTCGTCTCTTGGTTGTTGTATTGGAGATTTTATTGTTATTGCTGCGTCGTGTTCACACACCCGCATCCAAGATTAGGGCTCGTCTGAGTTTCTTCAGGATCTTGAGATCCCCTTAATCCTTTTCCTTGAGCAACCTCAGCGAATAAAGAATGATATTAGGTAACGGTGAGATTGAATAGAACCACCCAATTGTCATCAACGGTAACAGTGTTGACGAGGAAAAGTCGAGAATCGCCTTTCCAGTACATAAACCCAAACAACAATAAAACATCGTGTACAATATTATTTAGTTATTACAGGTCTTCTCTGTTTTATCATTGAATTGCGTGAAACTCCCACCCTGCTTTGCAAAACTAGACCGACATCTCTAGTGACGCCATCTTAGACGAATGTACCAATCTCAAGCAGATCTAAAGGAACTTCTCGCTATCCTGGCTCACAATTGCAGCGCTCCTCTTCGCATCTAGGAAAAGATCCTCGCATTCTGTGACGTCGGCCTCCTCAATACCACCCGGTCGCCCATTAACCCGCGCAAGAATGCTGGCTGGCGTCAGTAACTGCAAGGCATACCGTAGGCTGACCTTGCTGCCATGGTCTGCGACCTTGTCAAGCGCGGGATCCGTGATGTTGAGGCCTTCTGTCTTGGCGCGTAGGCGAATGATGGTCTTGATTTCGTCGGGCGAGTATGGGTGGGTAGGTATAATGAGGAGACGAGCAAGGAGGTCTGGAGGGATACCATGAGCGGCGGCAATATCGTCAGTGCCGCGAATGACTGTGTGGCCGCGATTTGAGGCAAGAATGACGATGGGGGATATCGTAGATTCGAGGGCTCGGTTCAGGTATGTGAAGCATTCAATATCGAGCATGTGAACCTACAGATAACATGTCAGCCACAAGAGAATAAAAGAAATGGACGAACGGCGAACTTAGGTCAGACGAACCTCGTCAATGAAGAGGACACCAGGAACTAGCTCTGCGACGCCCTGGTCAATGTAACGATTCACTACTTTGTTGATCTCTTGGCGTAGCTTATCCGTGATTTCGGTCTTCTTGGGCTTCATAAGTTGTCCCATCATGCTCATAACATCTTGTCCACCTTGCGGCCGGGCATTAGCGATATCCAGGTCGTGTAGTGTCACGTCCTGAACTATTTCCTTCTTTTTGTGGACCTCACCCTTCGGAACCGGGACGTATTCTTCGGCCTCGAGGTCAAACTCGGTCGCGTACGCGTCGGACCGTCCTACTCGCTTGCAGGCTCCGGTGTTGGCTTCAATGTAGATGACATCTCCAACAGTGACCCGCTCCTTTTGAATAGCTTCGTAGATACTGGGATCGAGGCGTAGCTTCTTCGTTCCCTTGGCGGACTTCAACCCAATGATTAGATGGCTAATCGTGCGGCCATAGCCGCCAAGGGGGTTCTCGGCTTCCTGAGGTGTAAGCTCGGTAACTTCGCCTTCGTATACCTCTTTCGTTTCCCGGACACGGAGACCTACACCGTTATGTTAGTCGCGTAACTGATTCTCAAGGCGCATCCAGACGCCTCATACCAATTGCTCTTCTAAAGTTCTCCATGAGGGCTTCTGTTTTCTTGACTTCGGCAGAATAAATCTCACTGCTAACGATGGGGCAGAAGGGAACCTTTGTCCCTAGTTCCTGGGAAACGGCGAGGGCCAGGGCCGTCTTTCCAGTTCCTGGGCCACCCGCAAGAAGAACCGCTCGCCCGGCCATTTTCTTCGCTTTGATCAAATCCACAACGACACCGCAAGCCTGCAGAAGAAAGCGCATTAGCAGACCCGCGCAATTACTTGCGCGCTGAAGCAAACGAATAGAGACAAGAAAGCATCAGGTGAAAGAGATCAAAATTTACACACCTCTCGAGCTGCTGCCTGACCGACCCAACCATCACTCGAGATCTCCGAGGTGCCATCTGGGCGTAGCCCGAGACCTTTGATATGTGTGTGGGCAGCTGTCCTGTTTTCGCGCGAATTGCCCTTGACTTCGCTGATCTGAACCATGGTGAAGGAGGGGGCGTGGCCCTAATTGTGAAGCGCACGGACGGGGGCAAGTTATAAGAACAGTTGAATGAGCGAAGTTCGCCGGATTGATTGAGTGGAAGAATTGGACCTGTTGATAATGGAAGGTAGAGAGGCGGATAGGTGCTTCTGGAGCAGCTCTGCGGAAATCGTTCAATATTATGCCAAGGCGGTGAGTTCGCTCCAAAGTCTGCCATCTCCAGTTTCCAGCCAGGGCAGCCTACAGCTACCATTCGCAACCCCAAGACGACGCCCGGCGCCTCCCAGCTGGAAATTCCACTCTATTCTATCATTAAATGGTCCAATCTGACTCGAATAAAGCGAATTACGGACCTGTTTACCCTCGCCACAATGCTTCGTCGTCCCTTCTTCCTCTTCGCGGCGTTTCAAAGTCTGTCTTTGACGGCTTCAAAGCGAGCATTTTCTACCACACAGCCGGCACAGAAGATTAAACCGCTACCGGACCATATACCTCCATATCCATACAAACCCAATTACACGTACCGACAATCCAACACGGGTCTCTATGGTGGCGCAACGATTCAGTACGGAAACAAGATTTCTCAGGGCCGAAACGAAGGCAAAACGCGACGATTCTGGAAGCCCAACGTTAGGCGGAAGAAGCTGTATAGCAAGGCGCTTGACGAACATCTTTACGTCAAGGTCACACGGAAAGCCATACGAACGATTCAGAAGGCAGGAAGCCTTGACCAGTACGTGCTAGGGGATAGTCCGGGGCGGGTCAAGGCGTTGGGCCTTTACGGATGGAAACTCCGATATCGAGTGATGCAGACCGAGCGAATCCAAAAGAAGCTTAATACGGAGAGAGAGCGCCTAGGACTGCCTGAGCGACCCTCATTCAACGAGTGGCTGCAAACGAACCAGGCCGCAATTAGGAAATCTGCGGAAAAACAAAGCAACATCCGGCAGAAGACGAAGCCAACCTACAACCCAAAGAACTACTAGACTCAGCTTACGGCACTGTACTTGGTGGATAGCAATCGGCTAGTTCCTTGTATTCTAATCTGTTGATTGTGGGGAGGAGACTCTTGAGTCCCTGTGCATTTTCCCCTTGGGTACCTCGTTCCATTTGCCTCCTCGGTGTATTTATACTCTCAGAATTGTATTATCCTCTCTCACAAAGCCACTCAATTTTCGCGTACTATTGCAGAGGGTGCTCAGGGTGCTTCCTGAAACATTCGTGGATACAATGCTCGGTGCGACGATGATCCATCCATTTCGCTGGGGTTGTCCGCATCCGGGAGCTCCATAGATCGTCAAGCCCTTGGGCTCACCCTCAATCTTCCTGGATACTCCCTCGACAGTATGGGATAATCCATAGATGTCCTAGCCAACATGCAATTCGCCCTTCCTCCTCGGAAAGGCAATGTGGTTGCGCCTTACTCGCGCTCCCCGTTTTTCACCTACCAGCGTCGCAAACAGCTAAAAGCACTTGGGATCCTGAGTCTCGCGCTGATCGCCATCTTTTTCCTCTTGTCGCAACTCTTCTACTCCAGCACAGGCACAGCAGCAGCCCCAATAGGGGCTGCGAGTTTCGTTATTGTGACAGTTTTCGACCGAACTCTATACAGCGACACCTATCTACAAAAGATTGTCAAGAACAGGGAGGACTACGCTCAGCGACATGGTATGTGGTGCAGATAATTCCAGGCGCAACGAAAACGCTAGCTAACAATTATGCCAACCCCATCACACAGGCTATACCAACTTCTTCGCGAATCTCTCCGACTACGACTCCTACATAGGGTCTGCCCCGCGGAGCTGGGGTATCGTCCCCGCGGTCCGACATGCAATAGCAGCCCATCCCTCCTCTACCTACTTCTTCCACTTGGACCCGCATGCCCTTTTCATGGACCCCAGCAAACCGCTCGAGAGCCACCTCCTAGGCAAACACCGACTCGAGACTCTAATGCGCCGGGATGTCCCCGTTGTCCCCCCTGATAGCATAATCAAGACCTTTGCGCATCTCCGCCCTGAGGATATAGACCTCATAGTCACCACTGATGCGGAGGACTTGAATATAGGGAGCTTCATACTCCGGCAGGGCGACTTTGCGCGCTTCTTTCTTGACACTTGGTTTGATCCGTTGTATCGGAGCTATAACTTTGCGAAGGCAGAAACTCACACCTTGGTGCGCATTTGCTTGGATCTCCGTCTAGTTATACTTCAGCTAATTGTCCCAGGAACATATTGTTCAATGGCATCCCACAGTTCTAGCTCGACTAGCACTAATTCCTCAACGAGCCATCAATGCATATAGCAAGGATTCACCCGGCGCTGGGATTGATGGTACTTACAAAGATGGTGACCTGATTATCCGATTCTTTGGATGCGATAGCGATGCGAAGCGGGATTGTGAAAGCGAGCTAGACCCTTATTACAAAGTGTGGACGAAAAGGGTGAAAGTTGAGTGATTGCGTCAAAGTGCTCAAGGGAGCCTGGTTTACAATGTTTTGTCTTGCCTATGTTGATACTAGCTTACACAATCTCTGTTGGGTTAGAAGGCAGAAGATTGGTGTTTGAGGGGTTTCTCTTCAATTTATGGGAGGTTCTGTCAGTTGACCTATACGGTGATACTCATTATATATATCAGCGAAATGCATTTGAGCAATCCGAGTAATAAAAGACCCAGGGCAGCTGGTGAAGGCGAATCGACAGTTCCGAAGTACGCTGTATCCAGTTTCGGCGAGTTTGTTTCCGATACATCATACCCATAGCCCTTTACCAAGACAAGGCCCCATGTCTTACTTTCGTAGTAGACTGGCTTAGATCAGGCCCGGGAGCATGACAAACCTCTTGCGCTTGTACTTGTCGCCGAACTCCTTGCGGTACCGCCGCTCCTTCTTCTGGGCCCAGAGAACCATCTGTCCAGCCGCCACAACGATGAATAGCAGAACGCTCCAGCTGAAGCCACTGACCAGGTAGATACCGACCCATGCGACAATCTCAAAGAAGTAGTTGGGGCAGGTCACAGCGCTGAAACCAAGCCCAGTCGGGATACCGCGCTCGGTAGTTCCTGGACGGCGAAGATCCCGCAGCACCAAATGGGTGTTGAAGTTTGCGATTTCTCCGAACACGAAGAGGGCAAGACCAGTGTAGAGCAAAACGGGGCTTATCTGGTTCACGGCTGCGGCAGAGTCAGGCCGGAAGACCCAGTAAGCAATGTTGCAGCCGGCAAGAACCCAGTAGTGGCCACTATTTTTGACGATGTTGCGGGCAGGCATTGTGGCATTGCTAAAACGGTGGACGAAAAGGGTTTCATATTCACGCTTGACAAAGTGGGCTGTGAGAAGCGCGCAAACGAGCAGTTGAAGGTCGCTGGGATCGGGGATGGAGTCGAAATTGAAATAGATGTATGGTCGAAGAGGGTAAAGGACAAGAGCAGGGATTAGAAGTGGGCCGAGGTACTCAATAATGAACACAGTGCGCCATGCGATCTGGGGACCTACACGCAAAATGTATCAGTAAATTGTCCGATATGTCGCAGTGCGGACATACCCAAGTCCTTGACATGGACGACGGCCTTTTCACCAAGTCCAGCTCCCGCAATGGTGCTTTCGTTAGAGTTTGGGACCACAGTTCGGTCGGTTGCTTTGGTGATCCTCAGACGATGGATGGAATAGCCCGAGGCTTTCGCTAGGGAGTCGTAAAGTTCCTTGGTTGGAGCATCAGGGGCAATCTGAACTTCCTTGGGAAGCTTTCTAATGGGTTTCCCTACGCAATCCGGGATTCATTAGCGAAAGTGTGAGGGTGGAGGTAAATGAGGGAGCTGCTCACCCCGTCCTTGGACAGCAAGACTAATTGCTGAAGGAGCCATTGGAGCCGAGATTGCCGTTCACACGAAGACTAAGTTCTCCAGTCTAGAGCTAGCCAGCAAGACGCAATTGAGAGGTGTATCTCAATATCGCGAGTTTCTTGTAGTGGAGTTGATTAGTTTACTGTTTTCGAGCTTAACAAATTCGATTGTCCTCGGTCCATGCTCACGTGATGGTCGGTCATCCGTGGGTTTCCATCTCAGCATCTGTGAAAGCATGCTTTCGGCACTTGGCCACCCATCCATGGAGGAACCTTGAAACTCGTTATTCTTGTCGTAAAATGTCTCGACTTGATCAAGTATAATCCTGGATCAGTGAAGCTACGGTTCAGCTCTCCAGAATGACATGGGGGCCTGGGCCTGGTCCAGAGTACTATGTTAATTTCTCAGCCCCCAGCTTTCAAGAAGAAGTTGGTAAGCAATTCTTTACCTCTGAAAAAAGGAGGAGAAACGAAGACGATCAATAGCATTAGGAGGTGAGATGAAATGGTGGGGAGTGGCAACTTGGCATGCCATGGCCGTTGCTCGCTTATCACGCTGGCCTTTCAAGTATCTACAATACCTTGGTACTACTAGCCTGAAAAGTTTTCGGATCACAAACAACTGATTGAAGTCTCCCGGGAGTTGTTACTCTTATTCTAGTTGACTACATATACACCCCTACAAGTCTAACTAGGTTAGACTATGCCCTGTGTAGTTATCTTTACAAGTCTAGAGCCTTTACTCCTTGATACCTTTGAATACACCTCAAAGCACTTTAAACCTAGTAAAGTGTCGTTGGTAAGGAATGGTTACTACTGCAGCTGGGTCGGCGGCCTTCTTTCTTTTGTTTGTCTGCTTGACGAAGGGCTACGACACAGTCCCATCATCCTGTCATGTTGCACGGCAGTGTTCTCACTGGTTGACTGTCCTCAAGACAAGTTCGTCCTTCGCTCTGGAATTATGTGGGCTCAGCAGCAGCTCAGCTGCCTCGTCGCATCACTAGATTGCATCGCGCCTAGCCTTCATGATGGTGCGCGGCCTGGACCGAATCCTGCAGGCGGGAGACGAATTGACAGCTTCGAAAACGTCAGCGCGCGGGTCAGCGGGGAAGCCTCTAAACAACACTAACGCTCGGCCATGCCTTAGGAGCCTTTTACTTCCACTCACAATCCCTGCTGTCAAGTCGTTGTCCGGCGAGGCCGCGAGGTGGCTTTGCAACCTTCCGAGCTTCAGCCGCACCCGATGCGGCCACTCGCTCAAAAATGCCTGAAAGATCCTGCTCACACAGGCTGGTATAAAATCAGCCTTCTGTCCGGAGGCTGCTTACCTGACTTTATTTTCTCTCGACTTGCACAATCGGCCTTCCCTAGCCCCAAATCCTATTCCCTTGTTCAATTATATATTATCTAGTGTAAGTGCCCCCAAGACAATCAACTGGAGCATTCTTACTCAACAAGACTGCAATATTCATGCTACAACTGATACTGGCAGGCAAACAGGATATTTAATCTGTATATACGCTTGTTCTTGTGTATATAGCAGTTCTTGGTTATTTGTTCACGATGGCCGATAAAACGCACACCAACAAAACTATACTGGGCGGCCTCGGTCAGTCCATCTCCCAGTTGGAAAACGTTGTCTCTGCATCGTTACGGCCACTACCCACAGAAACTGGTAACGGTACCTACATTGCCGAATCCACTGAGACAGGTCTCGTTGCCGGCCTTGTTCAAGACATGGCCACTGTGGACGTCGGCGACATTCGTACCCTCGTCGAGGTCATCAAGAATTCCGCTACTGGAGAGCCCGTAGACGACAAGAGCTACGTCATGGAGAGGACGATACAGGTAGTCTATGCGGCCGCCTTGAGAAGACGTGGTAGAGACTCGTGGCTAATCAACTTGGATCATCTAGCTAGCTGCTGGTTTGCCTGCGACATCGCGAAATGGGGCAGAATTGACCAAGTCCTTTCTAAAGATGCTTTGGGACGACCTAGAGCATCCACCAATCTCGTAAGCAGTACATCCTTCAACGCTTTGGACGAATCTCTGATAGAAACAGCTATCTTGGCGCTGATTCGATGTACCGCAAGGCTGACGGGTCTGGCAATGTAAGTGAGCCTCCCAACCCTATCTGGCCTGCATTCTGATACTGGACCTTTAGAATCATTTCTGGCCTAAACTAGGGGCTGCTGGCTCTCCCTATGCAAGGTCTGTCAGACCAAAGACATTGAAATCCCCCTCTTTGCCGGATCCGGAGGTCATATTCGACAGCATTCTCCGCCGGAAAGAGTACAAGGAGCATCCGAACAAGATCTCAAGTGTCTTATTCTATCTTGCGTCAATTATCATACACGGTTAGATACATATGTTAAGCGGGCAAACTGTTTACTAATGACCATAAAGATCTCTTCCAAACGGATTCTAAGGATGGGACTACGAGTTTGACCTCCTCCTACTTGGACCTGTCGCCTTTATATGGTAACAACCAAGATGAACAAGACAGTGTCCGCCTCTTCGAGGCAGGCCGATTAAAACCAGACTGTTTTGCGACCAAACGTGTACTCGGATTCCCACCCGGAGTAGGGGTGCTCCTAATAATGTTTTCCAGATTTCACAATCACGTGGCGGAAAACCTGGCAGCCATCAATGAAGGAGGGAGGTTCACTAAACCAGACGACGAGGCTGACGAGGCTAAGAAGGCGAAATACGACAATGACCTCTTCCAGACCGCCAGGCTGGTCACCTGTGGTCTCTATGTCAACATCATACTAAAGGACTACGTAAGAACAATCCTCAATATCCAGAGAACCGGAAGTCTGTGGAGTCTTGATCCAAGGATGGAAATGCAGGATGGACTTCTCGGCGAAGGAGCAGCGTTGGCGACAGGCAACCAGGTTTCGGCCGAGGTGAGATTTCAAGACCAATGAGCTCGAGGCGCAAACTAATCCGTGGGCCAAAGTTTGCATGCTGCTACCGGTGGCACGCCTCGATATCCAAAAGAGACGAGCTGTGGACAGAATCGTTCCATCGTGAGATTATGCCGGGGGTTGACCCAGAAACTTTGTCACTGAAGGATTTCACTGCTGGGCTGGGTCGTTGGCAGGCGGGTCTTCCAAAGAACCCAGAAGAGCGCCCATTTGCAGGGTTACAGCGTCAGCCGGATGGAACATTCAATGATGGTGAATTGGCCAATCTGTGGAAATTGTCCGTCGAGGACTGTGCTGGCGCATTTGGGGCCTTGCATGTCCCACCAATCTTCAGGACTATCGAAGCCCTAGGAATTATGCAGGCTCGACGGTGGAACCTGGGAACACTTAACGAGCTCCGAGCCTACTTCCACCTCAAACCCCATAAGACTTTTGAGGATATCAACTCTGACCCATACATTGCTGATCAGTTGAAGCGACTGTACGATCACCCCGATCTTGTCGAAATCTACCCTGGTATAATTGTTGAAGACGCAAAGGAGCCCATGACTCCTGGAAGCGGCCTCTGCGTCAATTATACTATATCGAGGGCAATTCTTTCAGACGCCGTCGCGTTGGTGCGCGGTGACCGCTTCTACACAGTTGATTATACACCCAAGCACCTGACCAATTGGGCATTCAGCGAGATCCAGCCTAGTGACTCTGTCGACCAGGGCCATCTTTTCTATAAGTTGGTTCTCCGCGCATTTCCCAACCACTTCGCGGGCAACTCGATTTATGCCCACTTCCCGCTGGTCATTCCCTCGGAGAATGAGAAGATCCTGAAGAACCTTGGAATTGCCGAAAAATACAGCTGGAGCGTCCCAAAGCTCATTGCTCAACCCCGGTTTATCGACTCTCATGCCGCTTGCATGTCCATCCTCCGCAACCCTAACTTCATGATATCCGGAGACATCCCACCCAATGCTGCATCGCGCAAGATGATGGAATCTGCCTTGTACCGTGATAACTGGGAAGATGAAGTGAAGAAGTTCTATGAGCAGATAACTCTGAGACTTCTTCATCAAAAATCCTATCAGCTTGCGGGTGTCTATCAAGTTGATATTGTCCGAGATCTGATAAACCCAGCCGTCACCAACTTTGTCTCCAGCATATTTTCTCTCCCACTGAAGACCGAATCAAACCCCAGAGGCGTTTTTACCGAGGTGGAGCTATACAAGATTATGACACTTATCTTCACGGCCACTTTCTACGATGTTGATGTCTCAAAATCGTTCGAATTGCGCCAGACCGCCCGCGCTGTAACCCAGGAATTGGGCCAGCTGATCATGACCAATGTTGAGAAACTTGGAAAGTCTGGCTTCATCGCCAGCCTAGTGAACCGTCTCCATCGTCACGATGTGTTGTCCGAATATGGAACTCACATTATTCAAAAACTCCTGGAGAGCGGTCTAAAACCGGCTGAGATTGTTTGGACCCATATTCTTCCAACGGCTAGTGGAATGGTCGCAACTCAGGCCCGGATTCTAAGTCAATGCCTGGACTACTATCTCGGGGAAGGGGCCGTTCATCTTCCGGAGATCAACCGCCTAGCCAAAGAGGACACTCTGGAAGCCGATGAGCTACTCACACGGTAGTAAGTATTTTTACACCCTATTCCTGGGAAGGTCTATAAATACTGACTATTACAGCTTCATGGAGGGTGCTCGTCTAGGATCCTCAGTTGCTCTTCCCCGAGTGGCTGCACAGGCAATAGTCATCGAGGACTACGCTGAGAAGATCAAGATCAAGGCCGGCCAGGAAGTTATGTGCAATCTGGTGAGTCAAGTCCGTTCACAATTGCGTATCTACTAAATATGTACTAGGCCTCCGCATGCAAGGATTCCTCTGCCTTCCCCGAACCAGATAAAGTCAAACTAGACCGTGATATGAGTCTCTATGCTCACTTCGGGGTTGGCGCACACGAGTGCCTTGCTGCTGAGCTGTGCAAGATAGGACTGACTTCAATGTTCAAGGTAATCGGACGATTGGACAACCTACGCCGTGCTCGGGGACCTCAAGGCCACCTAAAGAGAATTTCTGGGCCCGGTGGAGTTCCAAAGTACATGAACGAGGACCAGACTGGCTTCTCGCCGATTCCTACAACCATGAAACTTAGGTGGGACGGTCCTCTGCCCGTGTTAACGGATGATTGAGGATGGGGAATAGGGAGTGCATGGATATTTGTGATATAAGGAATGTGCCTTTTTATGATCAGGAACGTCTGCGGCATGTCAATCTTCTAGTTTTATTACTTGGGGCTCGTTGACTCTGGAGAATACATGTTGTTATATTTATTGGTTTAGTATTATCTTTATGCTTCTGTGTTGCCATGAGCTCGAACTAGTCCTAAGCGCGTCCATGACATGGCGGGACAGCCACTGTATATTACTAGAATCGCGGCCCGTGGATTCATAGTTCTGGGTGTATCACATTGATGGGGGTGAGCGAGGCTGGCTCCGCCCCACCTTACCATCATCTTCTAAAGACGTATGGTCACGTAACTTGACGGACCGTTGAACTATCCTAACCTAGTCGTCGAACTCTAAATCACGGTCTGGGGGCACAAAAGATCGACTAGTATGCGCGTCACCCTAATTCAACATGAGAGTTCATTCCAGGCAAAGCAAAACAGGTACCCTAGGTACGCTGGTGTCACAAATCATCGTGCTATCAACGCAGCGAGGCATGGAGAGAGAGACAGGACAAGTGGGCCGAGTTTCAAGAAGCAAGTTGGATGAACGGAAGTCAACAAAGGAAACAGAGGGAAATGGGAGAGCCAATTAGGGCTAATATAGGAGTGGGAAGGAAGGCTTGTATTACGCATAGCTTTGTGTACTGAAGCTTCATTCTTGCAGCCTGCGAACTTATCAGTTGCTGTCGATACTGGGTCTTTCTATAACACCGACTGAGAAGCGGAGTTTGGACATGTCTTGAGGTGAGAGCTGTCCAAGGGAAACGACAACGTGCTCCGAATTCTAATCGTCTGGTGACATCCAGTGGACACGGAGTTAGGTAGATTTCACAGTCCAATTCAGTAATGGTCCTGGCCTCACATTGCCATTGTCCTTGCCCCGACATCCTGAGGAATTAGGGATCTTGCAGAAGTGCCGAAAATTCCGTTAAGCTAAAGGAAGTACCACGAGTAAAAGTTCGCTCTAGAAATATGCTAGCGTGGGGAAGATGCTATCCAGGTAGCTGAACATGGTTGCTCAAGGTCGAAGGGATGGTTGATCAAACTGTCAGTGGTGTGAATTAACGTTGTATACCCGAGGAGCACAGACCAGGTCAGCTGACCACCCTCCCAGGCACAGTACCATCTGTTACCGTATTTTTAGGAGTCAGCCCGAAATCTGCTCCCTCAATTGGTTTCTGTTGGTACTCTGTACAGCAGAGCTTCACATCATCACCAGGCAGCTCAATCATCACAATCTTTGCTCCTGCCCTTCACTACTAGATTCATTCCCCTCCAAACCTCCTATCCTCTTCAACCCGACAAACCACCTCTTTCATTTCTCGAACTCTCAATCATCACAACTGCAAGCTTGGGCATTACCTCAGGATCGGCGACCTGCACTCGCTTTTCCAGTTCTGCCAGCGGGCACCTCTGTTACTGACTAACCAGCCCAGTCCGAATTAACTTGTATCATCAGCGCAAGAAAGAAGCGGCCTGACAGATCTTCACCTTCCCACCTTCGTCTCTCTCCCTCATACACTCTCACTTTCTCCTTCACTGACCGATCCACGGTACTCCGTCGAAGCGAGTCGAAGCGATTTCCCAACTTTCCGTCCCGCTTAAAAAACGTCATTGGGGAAAAGATTCTCTCGCTCCTCACCTCTCCACCTCGGGCTACCAGACTTCTTTTACTTCATCCTCTCTAGGAGGCATTCTCCTGGACTCTTTGGCCTCCCTAATGATTGCCTGATTGTTCAACCGTAGTCATCATGGGCCGAATCAAGAAGGTCGCGGGGCAGAAACATGAGGCTACTCTTGTAAGTTCATCCACTCGCCTTCCAAGGTACACCACACTGATAACTATCTTCCACAGTCTCCATTTCTCGCGGATTTCATAGCTCGTGCGACGACCGTCTCGTTTCCAGAGCTTCCCTCACACCTGCGCACATTCCCTCGCATTTGGTCCTGGGTTCGGGGAGACCTGTACAACTGGATTCCTGTTCTAAATAAGTTTGATGGTTTACTGGCATCCGTGATCGCGAAATACGGACTCAACGATGGCCCTCAGACAATTCCCTTTGATCAACGTTACCTCGTGGAATGCTATACAATTGAAGATCCCAAGCTAGACTCGCGGGACATTCAGACTAAGCTTGCCGCTCTGGGCTATGGACCGGATGGGGACCGGGAACTCCTGGAAGCCGTGCTCGATTTCTCGAGGCTTCTTCTAGAAAAATGCGGCAACCGGAGCTTGTATAATAGCAGTGAACGCTTGGGGGAGTTGCTCAACACCACCTCGCTCAGCCTTTTGCAATCCACGCTTCGTTTGTCACTTTCGTTGGCACAGAGGTATCACTCACGCCATCGAGGTAGCTCTCACCTTCAACAGAGCTTGTTGGCGACCCATTACAACATTGACCTTGAGAAGTTGCAGAAGATTGCAGCCCCTTTTTCCCGCCCTGCTCCTCACGGACGATTAGTTTCCTCTCCGCTTAGCATCAAAAACAAGGACAAATCGGCGCAGACTAAACATGATGCCAATGATCTGACTTCTCTTGCTCGAGAGACAGATGGCTGGGATGATTGGGGCCATGTCAACTTGCTGTACTACCCGTCTGGGGCTGATGACCACCAGAAGCACGCCTCCGAGAGCGGGCCAGGGGCGCCTCATGCGTACGCTCCCTCCACGCCCACACCTCTGCGTCGAAGTCACCCTACCACTACTCCAAGGACCGCCCGTATCCCCCCGACTGAGGAATCTCCCGCTTCTGTCGTCAATACACCTAGTGGGGGACCGGACGAACCACCGCCGGGTGGAAAGACTTTAGAGATCTCGAATTCCAAAATCTCTTCCACGTCGACTGAAGAAATCATATTGTCTAATTCGGAAGAGGTCCCTGAAGAACTGAAATACGAGTTACTGAATCGAGTTCGCACAGCAAAGGGGCTGGTAACCTCCCAGTCGACCAGAGAACAGATACTTGCCATAAGGATTCTTGCGATCACGAACCTGGCCTATATCTATCCAGAGCCCCTCTTTCAGCAGAAAATTCTTCAGTATGATATGGAGCTGCCAAAACGTCTTCAAATCACTTATCAATTGGGTGAACTAGTACATCTCGGTGCAAGTGGGGATCTTTCAGTCTCACGAACTGTTCAGACCTTCGCCATCCAGGCTCTTGACGGTCTTGCGAAGCACAAAGCGCGGGCCATTGATGTCTGCGCGGCTCTAAGCGTCAATGTGAATCATGGAGTTCTAATGTTTTTGACCCGAAAAGCCGTCAATGAACTGAGCAGCGAGAGCAATGGAAATGATGATGGTAGTGAGGATGAATGGCGGGATGCTCTGTTAGCCCTCCTGCGAACCCTCCCCGGGTCAAGCACGAGAACACCAGAGACCCTTGTAGCTGCTGGACTGATCCCCATGTTTGTGGATGTCCTCAACCTCCGCACCGACAGAGCTCGCCGTGTCTACTCCCGGGTTATGGAATTTCTAGACAGCTTTGTGCTTGCAGTTCGTGATGCTTTCGGAATACTGACTAATGCTAAGGGGTTTGATGCAATTTCAGACTTAATTGAATTTGAGGCTAAATCATCCTTTGAGAATGTGTCTCGAGGAGCGGGGATCCCCAACTACTACAAGACACCCTCTATCGATTACCAGATCCCCTATTTTCAACAACAGACGCTCCGCTGGTTGTTTCGTTTTGTCAACCACATCATGCAACACAATGGTGGTGGATTCGACCGAGTGCTTCGGAACCTGATTGACTCACCGCAGTTGTTGACGTCCTTGCGCCTCGTCATTGAGAATGCCTCCATTTTCGGCTCCCATGTGTGGAGCAACGCGGTGAACATTTTGAGCAGCTTCATTCACAATGAGCCCACGAGTTATGCAGTCATCGCCGAAGCTGGTCTGAGTAAAAGCTTCTTGGAGGCCATTACTCTTATCAGTCTCAAAGCACCGGAGCCGGTAGCAGCTGAGGGCAGGCCTATCGAATCCTTAGCATCTGAAACAGGCGAACCTGCCATCGCACCGGACACAACCGCTGGCTTGCCGGCGGGCGATGGAAAGAAGCCCAGGGATTATACCGTTGCAAGGTCGAAGGATGCTCGCTTGGCTCCCGGTATTATGGCCGCTACGGAAGCGCTGTCGTGCATTCCTTCAGCTTTCGGCGCAATCTGCCTTAATGGGTCTGGGTTGGAACTATTCCAGTCGTCGCACGCTTTGGAAAGCTTCTTTGAGATATTTGAGAATCCTGCGCATATAAAATGTCTTATCAAGGACGACACAAACCTTGTTCGGTCTTTGGGCAGCACGTTCGATGAACTAGTGCGTCACCACCCCGCCTTGAAATCCTCCATCATGACTGCGGTTATGGTGATGGTGGCACGCGTGGGATTTTTGTGCAGGACGAAAGCTTGGTCGTATGGGATGGGCGCCAAATTATGGAAAGAAGATTCGCGAGGGAAGCAGATACTTTCAGGGGAGTCATGGCAGTTAATGAAGGCCATCGGTTTCGACGCCACCGGATCTGGCTCATCTAATGATACTGCTGCTTACGGTGTCCCGAGCATTAACACTGAGGCAACACTTCCGAGCGGGGGAAAGCTGTACATGGGAAACGTGGATGAGCTTCTTCCGCCCCATGACGTCCAACTTGACCCTAAGGATGAGGACCAAGATGGGCTAACCACGACGGACTATCTATTTCCCGTATTGCGGTTCCTTGGGGCTTTCTTCGAGAACCAGTCCAACTGCACGTACTTCATCGAGTCTGGTGGTGTCGAGTTCATTCTGGATCTTGCCACTTTGCAAAGCCTTCCATTTGATTTTCACAATACCGAAGCCAACCAGGAATTAACAGTACTCGTCCACATGCTCGCGGAAACCAAACCTCATTTGGTTATACCGTCTCTAGTATCTCGCGTTGAGCGGACGATCGATATGCTAGAAGATTTCTGGAACTCATCCTCTGAGCAGGGATTCTTCACTTCCTTGATGCAGCTGGAAAAGGAAGACCAAGGGGCCGGTACCGCGACGGTGGACGAATCGGTTAGAAGTCCTGCAAGCAGAGGAACTTTCTTTGCGAAACATATGGTATCTGCCTTGATACTCTTGGATCTCCTTCGTGAAGCCTTCTCCTTGCCTCTGTACCAGTCTAGGCCGACTCAGCAAACTTCTGCCTTCGCCCAAGTCAACCTGGCAGATCGGTATACTTCGCTTGTAAGAAAGCTAGGTAGCCTGCATGCGGCCTGCGTCTGGGAGGAAATTTTACTTGAAAAGAATATTCCAGATACTTGGGATCAGGCGACCAAGGTTCAGCCACCTGCGTCCGAGAGGCCGATTGATGGTTCAGGGCTTTTGACAGAGGGTGTCTCTAACTTACTTACACCCGAACCTCGACAAGATGGGCCATCAAGTGCGAGCCCTGCAAACCCAGCGACTCCCCAGCCGCCAAATGACAATCCTGCGAAAGTCCCTGAAGCTAGTGTGGCATTTAAGAATGTGCAAGTGCTTCGCTACCTTCTTAGCTCTTTGCCCTCCTCCATAACAGGATTCCTGCATAATTTGGGATTCTGCCTAATCGGAAAGCGACGGATCGACGCCTATCAAAAACAAAATGCGACTCTAGTAGCCGATGTTATCGCTGGGACTGTCCTTGAACAATTGCAGTTTAGACTCGCAAATTCGAGTACTAGTCCCAAGCTCAAATTTGCCTACCTTATTGTCATTCTGTCTTCATTCTCCCATTTGATATTTGAAGGTAAATTACCATTCTTTCAAGCATGTTTTCTTAATATTGCAGGAACTAACATGCCTTGTTCTAGCGACGTCAGATCGCCATGGCTCTCATTACCTTTCACTCGTGCTGTTTGCCTTCAAAAGGAACGATGGACTGAAGGTTCTCAAAGATGTTTGTGATCTCTTTGTGCGCGAGGTCAATGCCCTGACACCACCGGACTCGGTACCCGACACTGAAAGCGATGTATCTGCAAGGTTAACGTCCGCTTACGGCGGTATCAAGATCATTCTTAGCTTCTTTGCTGAACTCGCTTCCGGCAAGAGCATTGCCGAGTCCGTTCAAACTCAAGCCATGACGAGTACTGAACGTGGTCGGCCCGATTATTTCCAGGCTGGCCAGTTCCTCGTAGACCTTCGCATGGAGATCCTACCCTTTGCACGCGACATGTGGAATTCTGATTTTGCGACCCAATCTACCAGCTCTGTGGTCAAATGCCTAGTTGATATCTTACGATCATCACTCGAGGGTGAACACGAAACCGGAGCCGCTCGTCGCTCTGATTCACAACCGATACTGGCGGATGTACCGAGGAAAGCATTCCCCATTAACAGAGACCGGGTTACTTCACTGGAGGAGAAAGGGTACGAAAGTTCGCTTGTTCGGGAAGCATTGTATCGTTGCAACAATGTCCATGTTTCTGCGGAGGAATATTGCAGAGCGCAAAGCTACCTGCGAGCCCCTGTACGGATACCACCCCAGGCAAGCGATATTGAGTCGGCTCGTTCCAGTACGACATCTGCGGCTGATGGGGCGGAAGATCCTCCCGGAATAAATCCTCCGCCTTTTGATACTACTAATCCTTTCTTCGATCCCCAACATCTTTCCATGATCTTCAGCCGGGCAGCAGAGGACAGTCACAACTCTGATCAAGGGCAAGGCATGCCAGAGGAGATAACGCGAGCCTTGACTCACATTCTGAGCCAAGGACATGCGGATGACGACCACGATGATGGCCCAGCTAGCAACCCGCCAGAGTCCAGCATTGCTCGGGCAGGCAACTCGACAGATTCTTCGGAGCAACGTCCTGAGCAGCAATCTACAATACGCCGTGAACTGATCACGGTTGAGGATCTGGATGCTGAAAGGGAGCAAGTGCGTTCAAATCTGATTGAACGGTGCTTAGATGTGTTAAACGAGCACCACGATGTCTCTTTCGAATTGTCAGACCTGATTGCGTCCGCCATTAAGAAACATCCCGAGCCAGAGAATTTTCGAAGGGAAGTTGGAGAACTGCTCGTTCAATCATTGGTTTCTTTGCAGATGGAAAACTTTCACTCTGCTGGCAAGAAGGTTGCCGCCTACGCTCATCTTCTGGCGCTGGTAGTCCAAGACAGGGATATGTACAACGCCACATTAATGGAGCTGAAGGAATGCTTTGCAACATTCCTTCAATTCATCTCAGTCCCCACTGAGAAGACGGCAGACGAGTCCTTCCCCTGGGTGGGACACGTTCTCCTTGTGTTAGAGAAACTGCTATCTGACGACGCTCAACCGCCTCAAATACGCTGGACCTTCCCCGATGCCGACAACCCAGCCGGAGAAAATGACGGGCCCGCCCAATTGGAAGAACCCCTCGTGTCCAATGACGAGAAAATGCAACTGTTCGAAGCTTTGATCGAGGTTCTTCCTCGAATTGGAAAGGATGACACTTTGGCTCTGTCAGTTTGCCGAATCTTGGTTATCCTTACGAGAATTCGCAGTATCGCCTCTCGGTTGGGAGAGAAGCGAAATCTGCAGCGCTTATTTGTCATGGTCAAGCAACTGTCGAGCTCTACAAACGAGAAACTACAGGGCGCTTTCATGCTGATTTTAAGGCATATTATCGAAGATGACGATACCGTGCGACAAATAATGAGGAGTGAGATCGTTGCTCATTTTGAGTCGAAGTCGAGTCGTCAGGTGGATACTACAAATTATGTGCGCGCAATGTACCATCTTGTGCTCAGGTCGCCAGAGTTATTCGTGGAAATCTCGAACGAAAAGATCAAACTGCCACGATACGAGAGCCGCCAGCGCCCTCAGGTTCTCGTTCTCAAGCCGGAGAATAAACCTGGATTGGATCCTGCCACGAACCAAGCCGCTGAAGGTACGCAGAATGCTAGCGAGAAGCCCGGAAACTCTCAGGAGGGCAAGGACAAGGGCAAGACTGCGGAATTGAAAGCGCCTATTGTCGAGAACCCAGATGGGGTCGTCCACTATCTCCTTTCCGAGCTCCTGTCGTACAAGGATGTTGATGATAAGGAGCCATCGGTGGAGAATCCCGACACCTCCGCGCCTGATCAGTTGGAGACTCAGACCGATGTAGAGATGTCGACCGATGAACCGGCCCCATCCGTCTCTAGTACAGAAATCCAAGGCTCGCGAAATTCCAAGAAGCAAGAGAAGCCTGCCTTCCAAGCCGACGATCATCCGATCTACATTTATCGATGCTTCCTGCTCCAGTGCCTCACCGAACTTCTTTCGTCCTACAACCAGACGAAGGTCGAATTCATCAATTTCTCACGCAAAGCGGATCCTTTAACGATGACTCCGTCTAAACCCCGTTCTGGCATCTTGAACTATCTCCTCAATGTCCTTGTGCCAGTTGGTACAATGGATCATGATGAATCTGTCGCGTTCAAGAAGCGCAGTAATACATCCGCTTGGACTATGCGTGTCTTGGTTGCTCTTTGCACGAAGACGGGAGAATTCGGTGGCCATGGAAGGCGACGCAACGGCCAGTCTCCTAATGAAGATGATGAGCCCGAGCTGGCTTTTGTGCGGAGATTTGTCTTGGAACACGCCTTGAGAGCATACAAGGAGGCAAATGCTTCTAGCGAAGCTTTGGATGTCAAGTATTCCCGACTGATGTCGCTCGCCGACCTATTCGACAAAATGCTCAGCGGATATGCTTTCGTTTCTGGGGACACCGCATTCCCATCTTCCACGAAACAACTTGCGAAGACGATGTTTGAGAAGAATTTCATCTCTGCGCTCACAGCATCGGTGTCTGAGATTGACTTGAATTTCCCCGCGTCCAAACGGGTTATCAAGTACATTCTACGCCCCCTGAACAAGCTTACGCAGACCGCTGTGATTTTAAGCGAAACCTCGGATATTTCCTTGATTGGCGAATCAGAAGAGGATGAAATTTCATCTGCAACCTCCGTCTCAGATTTAGATGACGATCGTGAGGAGACTCCTGATCTTTTCCGACACTCTACACTGGGCATGTTGGAGCCACGCCACGAAGAGGAGACCAGTTCTGAGGGGTCGGAGGAGGATGATGATGAAATGTACGATGATGAGTATGGAGAAGAAATGGACTATGAAGAAGATATGCCAGAAGATGACGGCGAAGTCGTTAGCGACGAAGAAGACGACATGGGTCCCATTGAAGGTCTCCCTGGTGATTCTGGAATGGACATTGAGGTCGTTATTGACGATGAGGATGATGACGAGGATGACGAAGATGATGATGAAGATGACGAGGACGATGATCAGTCCGACATGGACGACGACATTCTCGCTGGTGAGATCACAGGTGACCGGGACAACGAGAGTCTGGACGAAGGGGACGACGATGAGTGGGTGAGTGAAGACATGTCCGACGATGATGACGAGGCGGACATCATGAATCAGCTGGAGGATGAATTAGCCGATATCAGACAGTCTGGCCAACGTGATGATGGCCAGCGCCTTGATGACATTTTCCGTGCCTTGAATGAGGCGGCGGGTGGTGTTTTTTTTTTTTTTTTTGTCTTCTTTTGAGATCTACACGATGACATTGTCGATGATGATTTGGATGAGAATGATGGTTTGTGCCTTCCCTCGACGATTATGAGGAGGTCGTTATTGACGTTATCTCAGAAGATGAAGAAATCGATGAGCTTGAAGAAGAGCTTGAGGACGCCGACGAAGACCAAGGCTCCTACCACGGCTTTGATGACGACGAAGATCTTATTGACCCCTGGGGTTGGGATGGCGACGAGCCTCCATTGCCTCGCGGTCATCACCACCATCATCGGTTCCGTGGTCATAACCCAGCTTGGGCAGCGGTTGCCGGTATTATGCCCAATCGACACGGTATTGTTCCGATTCAACCGTATCGTCTACACCGGACGCAAATGCCTCCTCGTGGCGCCGACGACGGAACCAACCCTCTTCTAGTCCGAACTGATCGCGGGCCCGAGTCATCCGGACCGCGTCGTGGAGCTGGTAACGAAGCCTTTACTGATTGGGTACACGGTATGGAGCCGGTCTCAACTGGACGTTATCTCCCTATGGATAGCCCAGTAAGCTTCATGCATGCTATCATGCAAGCCATCGGCCAGGGTGGACCAGGCTTGGGCGTCATCAGTCGCCCTGACGGCATCCATGTTCACCTTGATAGAAATACTATTCTGCCAAACCGCATCCAGGGCATCCAGGATATTTTCGGGTTGGGCAGAACCCAGGCTCCCCCACCACGGACTCGAGACGATCCTTCTCAGGCAGTTAGTTTTGCCTTGGCAACAACTAGAAGCCGCTGGCAAGAAGAATCTCGTATCCTCTTCAACAGCGGTTATCTTGAAAAGACCCAGCGCGTCCTCAACTCGCTACTTAAGATTCTCGTACCCCCGGCTATCGAGGAGAATAAGCAGCGGGAAGAAGAGCGTAAACGCCAAGAGGCGGAACGTGCAGAGCGTGAACGTCAGGAACGCCTAGCCAAGGAAGAGGAAGAGAAAGAGCGGAAACGTAAGGAGGAGGAGGAGGAGGAGGAGGAGGAGGAGGAGGAGGAGGAGGAAAGTGCTCGCCAGCAACAGGAAAGAGAACAACAGCAGGAGGTCGAGCGCCAGGCGTCAGACGTCGTTCCGGAACCAATGGATGATGTACAGCAAACTAACACGGCTGCTGAAGCAAGCGCCACAACACAGCAGAGTCAGCCTGAACCTGGTCCATCTGAGCCAGCTCAGCGGGTACATACAACCATAAGGGGCCGCCAGCTCGATATCACGGGCATGGAGATCGATCCGGAATATCTTGAAGCACTACCTGAAGAGTTACGGGAGGAAGTTATCATGCAGCAACTGGCGGAACAACGGTCCCAGGCAGCGGCCGCTGGCGAAGAGCCTAGTGAAATTAACCCTGAATTCCTCGAAGCACTGCCTGCTGAGATACGCGAAGAGCTTCTCCAGCAGGAAGCAGCCGACCGCCGCCGCAGAGAACGTGAAAGTGCCCGCAGGCAAACAGGAACTGGTGGTACTCCTGCGCATGCTGAAGAGATGGACCCGGCCAGCTTCCTCGCGACTCTCGACCCAAATCTACGGCAAGCCGTCCTCGCTGACCAGACCGAAGACATTCTCGCAAGTCTTGGCCCTGAATTTGTTACAGAAGCCCGTGCGATTCCTGGGACGAGAGGGAGACTTGCTCAATTTGGCGATATCTCACGCATGGATCATCGCCACAGACCAAATCAAGCGAATGACCAAGAACCCAAGAAACAGCAACGACGTCAGATTGTTCAGATGCTAGACAAAGCTGGGGTCGCAACGTTACTTCGCTTGATGTTCATGCCCCTCCAAGGAAATGCGCGCCATCAGCTTAATGACATCCTTCATAACGTTTGCGAGAACCGCCAAAACCGGATTGAAGTCATCAGCCTACTTCTTTCTGTCTTGCAGGATGGGAGCACTGACGTGTCTGCGATCGAAAGGAGTTTCGCTCAGCTCTCGCTTCGTGCCAAACCTTCGGCCGTACAGAAAACTCCACAGTCTGTCAAGCGAAGCCTAAGCTTCCAGTCGTCGTCAAACGTCAGCAATGAAGTGACTCCGATAATGGTTGTACAGCAATGTCTGGGGACACTCTCATTTCTGTCCCAGTATAATCCCCACATTGCGTGGTTCTTCTTAACGGAGCACGATCCGGCGTCCGCCCTGAAGCTGAAATCATTCCGCAAGGGAAAGGGCAAGGAGAACAAAGCCAACAAATTTGCAATCAACGCTTTGCTCTCATTGCTAGACCGAAAATTGATCCTGGAAAGCCCCAGCTGCATGGAGCAACTATCTAGCTTACTTGCCAATATCACTCAGCCCCTAACTCTACTGCTTCGCCGTGAGAAAGAAAAACAAGCGGAGGAAGACAAAGGCAAACAGCCTGAGCGTGCCGAGGGCGAGCAGCCAAGCCAGCCTCAGCAAACACAACCTACCGAAACAACGGAAGTTATAGAACCTGCGGTGGACACGAATATGGTTGACGCGCCCCCGGCTACTGAAAGTGCAGACTCACAAGGTGCAGCAGCAATGGACCAGCCTCAAGAGAACCCCTCAACAGACGCCAAGGCAGAGAACGTAAAGGGTGAAGATGAGAAACATAAGAGGCGGACGATCGAGCCTCCTGTAATCCCCGACTTCAACTTCAAATTGGTTGTCCACGTTCTTGCAGCGCGCGAGTGCAACGGAAAGATCTTCAGGGACACTCTTTCGACTATCAACAACCTGTCTGCTGTTCCTGGCGCTCGGGACATCATTGGAAATGAGCTTGTCAATCAGGCTCAGACTTTGAGCACGACGATTCTTCTCGATCTGGATGAGTTGATTTCGCACATTCATGAAGCCCAAACTGGAACAGATATGCAGGGATTGGCACTCGCAAAGTTTTCTCCAGCCAGCTCCGATCAGGCCAAGCTGCTTCGTGTGCTAACAGCGCTTGACTATCTCTTTGATCCGAATCGTGCAGACAAGGCCAAGGGGACTGATTCTGATGGCACAGTAAGAGGGGATGTCCTCCAGACGTTGTATGAGAGTTCAACTTTTGGGCCCTTGTGGACCAGACTCAGCGAATGTTTGACCCTCGTTCGTCAGAAGGAGAACATGATGAACGTGGCGACAATTCTTCTACCTTTGGTCGAAGCTTTGATGGTCGTTTGCAAGAACACCACTCTCAAAGACACGTCTGTTGTTCGCAATAGCCGGGAACTGTCCGTGTCAAGCACATCTGGCGACGCAGGCCTGAGCATGGAAAGTCTTTTCTTCAAGTTTACGGAAGAACACCGCAAGATCTTGAACGAACTGGTCCGGCAAAACCCACGCCTGATGAGTGGAACATTCTCACTACTGGTCAAGAACCCTAAGGTCTTGGAATTTGACAATAAGCGAAACTACTTCACTCGCCGACTCCATTCCCGCGGTGCTGAGCCGCGTCACCCCCATCCTCCCCTTCAACTGGCCGTGAGGAGAGATCAGGTCTTCCTGGACTCCTTCAAGTCCTTGTATTTCAAGAATGCCGACGAATTGAAATACGGAAAACTGAACGTTCGTTTCCATGGAGAAGAGGGTGTTGATGCCGGCGGCGTTACGAGGGAATGGTTCCAAGTCCTCGCTCGTGGCATGTTCAATCCAGATTACGCACTCTTCATCCCAGTCGCGGCCGACAGGACCACCTTCCACCCCAACAGATTGAGTGGCGTCAACCCTGAGCATCTGATGTTCTTCAAGTTCATCGGGCGTATTATTGGTAAAGCCCTGTACGAGGGACGCGTGCTTGACTGCCATTTCAGTCGAGCAGTCTACAAATGTATCCTCGGCCGAAACGTGTCCATCAAGGACATGGAGACCCTTGATCTGGACTACTACAAGTCACTTCTCTGGATGCTCGAGAACGACATTACGGACATCATTACAGAGACTTTCGCCGTTGAGACAGATGACTTTGGGGAGAAGCAGGTCATTGACTTGATCGAAAATGGGCGAAACATCCCGGTGACTCAAGAGAACAAGGAAGAATACGTGCAGAAGGTGGTAGATTACCGCCTGGTCGTCTCCGTTCGGGAGCAGTTGGACAACTTCCTCATAGGTATAGTCAAACTCGAACTTTCTCCATATTTTGTAACTGTTTTAACATCATACCTCAGGGTTTCACGAGATTATCCCACCGGAGTTGATCTCTATCTTTAATGAGCAGGAGCTGGAGTTGTTGATTTCCGGTCTCCCTGAGATTGAAGTGGATGACTGGAAGGCGAACACAGAGTACCACAACTACTCTGCTTCGTCCCCTCAAATCCAGTGGTTCTGGCGAGCCGTACGCTCATTCGATAAAGAAGAACGCGCCAAATTGCTGCAGTTTGTCACCGGCACCAGTAAAGTGCCTCTCAATGGCTTCAAGGAGCTCGAGGGCATGAATGGTGTCAGCAGATTCAACATCCACCGTGACTACGGAAACAAGGATCGCTTGCCAAGTTCGCACACATGTTTTAACCGTAAGTGTGATCCCCGCATTAGTCTTTTAGCCTCAACAACGGGCGTGATTGCTAACCCTCATAATTAGAACTTGATCTCCCCGAATACGATAGCTACGAAACTTTGCGGCAGCGCTTGTACATTGCCATGACCACGGGTAGTGAATATTTCGGGTTCGCATAAATTCGGTGACCATATTGTGGAAACAGTTCCTCCACTTCTATGTCTCCGCTATTCTTGCAACGATTCTCCATTTCTCGTTGTAAGCTCCAGCATTGGCGGCGTTCAAACCCATTTGTCATCTTTGATTTTCATGTATGTATTAATTCGTTAATTGGCCATGGGGGAGGAATGTGAGCTGTTCCCGACGGGCTAGTCGAAGTGCAGGTTGACAGGCCCGGAGGCGCAATGGCATTCTTCTTTCTATTTCATGTATTCCAGCAAATCTTCATGCGAAATCCAGAGTGTTGCGCAAAACTTGGTTATCAAACTAATCGACATTCGTACCTGAGCATAGAATATGCCTTTGACTGTAGTGGATTTGCGCGGATGGATGCCTTGCTGCCTGGAAGTGTAGCGGGGTCACGGGAGTCCGAATGGAAGAAAAGTCAGGTGCCGGGCAGCGGGGAAATTCTTTGGGTTTTTCGGAGGTCATCCAGGCTCTTTTCTGGCCAGAGTCTCTCCGGTTCTTTGCTACTTCTATACGCTTGCCTATACCCAAGCCTTGCGAATCATTTAGAACACCTTTTTTTTCTCGTGAACCTCGCAGTCGCCGCCTATTTCTCTATTCCGCTCTCCACTCTTCCCCTCAGTCATAAGCTACAATGGCGACGAATTCTATCAAGCTTTTGACTGGTAACAGTCATCCCGAGCTGGCAAATCTGGTTGCAGATAGGTATATCATCAAATATTGCTATACAAAAGCATACATACTATACCTATTTGCTAGACTAACTTGGCAATCTTGGTTTTCTAGGCTCGGCATCGAATTGACCAAGATCATGGTTCTCCAGTACTCAAACCAGGAAACGAGCGTGACGATAGGAGAGAGTGTGCGAGATGAGGACGGTATGAGCTCCTTGCCGGGCCTCTCTTAGTTCTAAGACTTGTTTTCGGGCAATTGAAAGTTGACTGGCGTGCTTGTCCGTCGGTTATAGTATTCATTCTGCAATCGACCCGGCCGAACGACATCAACGACGGATTGATGGAGCTGCTGATTATGATCAATGCTTGCAAGACTGCCTCCGCGAGACGTATCACAGCTGTCATTCCGAACTTCCCATATGCTCGTCAGGACAAGAAGGACAAGAGTCGTGCACCGATCACCGCTAAACTCATGGCCAACATGCTACAGACAGCCGGCTGCAACCATGTCATTACTATGGACCTCCACGCCAGTCAGATCCAGGGCTTCTTCAACGTCCCCGTCGACAACCTGTATGCTGAGCCTAGCATGCTCAAGTGGATCCGGGAGAATCTTGATGTCAGCAACTGTGTGATTGTCAGCCCTGACGCCGGTGGTGCGAAGCGGTAAGTAGAGATATCCTACCATGCTACTCTTTAGAACTGTATGTTAATCGCTAGAGTACAGTGCTACCGCCATCGCTGATCGATTGGACCTACAATTTGCGCTGATCCACAAGGAACGCCCGCGCCCGAACGAGGTCTCGCGCATGGTCCTCGTTGGCAGTGTGAAAGACAAGGTCGCGATTATCGTCGATGATATGGCTGACACTTGCGGTACTCTCGTCAAAGCGGCGGATACAGTGATGCAACATGGAGCGAAGGAAGTCAACGCCATTGTTGTTCACGGCATTCTCTCTGGCAAGGCCATCGATAATGTTAACAACAGCTGTCTGAAGCGCATCGTTGTCACCAACACTGTTCCCCATCAAGAGAAGAAGGAGCAATGCGACAAGATCGAGACGATCGATATCAGCCCGACGCTCGCCGAGGCTTGTCGCCGCACCCATAACGGTGAATCCGTCAGCTTCCTGTTTTCCCACACAGTCGCTTAAATTTCCAATCCCGTGTCTGGAGTTTCTACGTATCTTGAGCATGGTACGGGGAGTTGTAATGATCATTTTTCTTTTCTATTATGAAGTATGAATGAAAGCAAAGCTTTAGATGATCTCTTCTTCATGTTTTACACTGGGAGATTAGGTCAAAAAGTTGATGGCGCTGGTTGTCTTTGAATGCATCTCTGTACGTATACCTCAATTGTGCTCCCAATTTCCTCTTCTTTTTTTCCCTCTTTTTGGCATGCTCATGAAGTCATGATATTCTTATTGAATGGTACTACGGCATTGTTAAGTTTCCGCTGCTATCCACAATATCAACAACTTAAAACTTGAGTACTACGCTGATTGTTGCACCATTTTGAGTATGAATCATTATTAGTAGGTATGTCATTTGAGATGAAACTATGCGCTCTTGGGGCCGTAAAGTCACCCTTGTTGCGAATCGTTCCTGCCAAGTGGTCAAAGAATCTACAGATAGTAAGAATAACCTTGAAGTCCGCAGATTTCGAAAGTTGACCAGTCACCGTATTCACATTTGGAACAAAAAGCGAAACGTTTCGATCTAAATATAAACAAAAGGTTGAAAATAGAGGGAACAGTCATCGAGAAACAGGGGAATCATGAGAGGAAAGTGCATTTTGAATTTATCTTTTACCATCATGGAAAGAGAAACGAGATCTTCAATAGATCGGCACGACTGGTATCCTCCATTGCTGCCCCCAGCCTTCGAGGCTCTCAGCAAACTGAAGACTCTCTCTTCACTCCCAATGAAGAGGCTCCGCGTGCTGTCCTATTTTCTTTTCTTACAAAAAAAAGGGTGAGGTAGAGGAAGATGATGACCGTCGTGTCTTGAGATTCTGTTTCTTTTTTGCCTTTCCTTTCCCTAGCCATAACAGAGAGACGTACGTAACCCGACCATTAGAAACCCCTCAGAGAAAGAAAAACAACCAAAACACCCTCTACTTCCTCATGGAGGAAGCCCTCCGCTTGCGGAGCTCATCCTTCTTGGCCTTCTCTTCGTGGACACGGGTGGCGAGGAGCTTGGCGTAGTCGTTACTGAGTGCGAGTTAGAACACTTGTCTCCAATAGAACTGATATCATATAGAAACGGGGGAGCTTACGCAGCCTCGCGGGCAGTCTCAGCGCGGCGGCGCTTGAGCGCAATCCTGTGACGCTTGCGCTGGAGACGCTGGGGGGTCACCAGACGCTGGATCTTGGGGGCCTTGGTGTAGTCCTTCTTGCCCTCCTTGGCGGTGACGGTGCGGCGGATAACGAACTTGCGGACGTCATCCTTCTTGTCGAGACCGAAGAAGCGGCGGATCTTAGTGGCACGCTTGGGTCCGAGTCTCTTGGGAACGATGGTGTCGGTCAGGCCGGGGAGCTCGCCCTCACCCTGCTTGACGATGCTGAGAGCCAAGACAGCAAGGTCCTGACCGGTAATGGCACCGCGGACACTCTTGCGCTTGCGCTCACCGGTACGGCGGGGACGGTAGCAGCTGTGGCCATCGGCGAGAAGGAGGCGAGTACGGGTGGGGAGGAGAACTGGAGAGTTGGTAAGTTTCTTGTTGATGCGACATTCGCGGTCGTCTGCCGGTTTGCGGTTATTACATACCACCCTGCTTCATGGGGAAACCTATAGACCAAAAATGTCATGTTAGCCTTCAAACCTCATCAAAAACTTTGAGCAATTCCCCTCCGAAGCACATGTGTTGTTCCAAATATGGATCCAAAGCCCATTGACATAACCAAATTCAAACCCCAGATCGAGAGTCCTTCCATACCTTGCTTGTCGTTACCACCAGTTATCTTGAACAGGTAACCCTTGAATTCATCGCCGAGAGAGTCGCCGGGGACCTAATAACCAAAGACGCCGCAATCAGCCATTCGTTCTCATTCATTGTGCCTAATCTCCTCTCATTTTTGATCTTTGCATTCTTGTTCTCGCGGAGGACGTGTATGTGGAAACCGGGGATGGAGGGACTCGACTGACTTCGGCGCCCATGCGCTTCTCCATGAAAGGACGAAGCTTGCGGTCATCGTCGATTTCGACGATCTTCTGGGACCCATTGGCCGGGTAGGAAATGTTGAGCTTCATCTTGACGGTGATGCGCGGTCAAGACGGAGGGCGCGGGATTGTCGACGGTCGAAGAGGTGCGTTCGGTCGGACAAGCAAAGGACGATGGGGATTTTTGTGTCGGGTTTCCTTTTGGTGTAGCGAGATTTCGGTCTGTGGGCGGCTGACTCAGCGACTAGCCCAACCCGGGTTAGACCCCTCGGTAGGGCTCTTAGTCAGTCGACACCCCAGGCATCGTCGCTCGACGATCTTGACAGGGGCCAAGAGGAGAGCTTTTGTGGCGTCAGCACAGTCAGGTATCGTCTGGATGCTGTACAGTATGTGGTTGCGTCGATAGCGCTGTCTCTGGAGACACTCATTCCTTGGGCCTTTTGGCAGAACACATGGAAAGCCCGCTACGTATAAGGAACCTAGAAACGTGTTCCTGGAACCGCCTCCTATCGCTGACGCAATGCACTAACGTTGCTCGTCCAGTTCTTCTCCAGAAAGTCAGTTCTGACTATTAACCTTGCAAGAACTCTTTCTCCCCTTTTCTCCCTTCTCACCCAATTCCTGGGCGAGATATGAATATCTGCCCCCCCCACTGCCGCCATCCGTTTGATTGCATCGCTCTTCTATCTTTACCCCAAGGCACTACCTCTTCCCCTATCGTTTTCTCCTTGTTTCCCCTCCATTGATCCGTCGGATTCCGCTCTCCGTTCCTCACGCGACACTTGATATTTGATATAAGCCAACTCCGTCGCTCAAAACTTTGGCCTCTTTTCGACCTTTCTTCCCGAAACCGACACTTCTGGTGTCGCCGCATTACCTGGTTTGCCAACGTCAGCCGTCTATCAGCCATCTGCGGTCAAGTAACGGCGACAAAGAAAGCTCGCGGATCCCCAATCCTTAGGCGCCGAGCCTGCTCAGCGCGCATAGACGGCTCTTTGTATACGTGCTTTGTTTGTGGAATACGCGCCCAAAATGAGGCTTGCTAGCAGGTTTCACATCGTCTGCGCCTTTGCGGCGTTCAGCATCATACTTTCTGCCTTGTTCCTCGGCTCCCAGCGTTTCTACTACCGCCGAGTTGGCGGGGCGATTGAGCCAATCGTGGATTTCCAGGCGACAGCATCGTTTGATCGCAGGTTGGTCGTTTTTGGTGACACCTGGAGCGACAACAATGCCAAAGAAGCCCTGGGTGGCAATGTTTGGACCGACCACCTTTGCTCTTCTGTGAGTCTTGGCCGCACCACCCGCATTGGTCAACTCAGAAGCCGTGCTGACTGTGTTGTATCTAGTTCTCATGTCATCATGAGAATCTTGCGCAGACCGCTAAGTCCTTGAGAGGAAGCTATATCGGCTCTGTCGTCGATAATGAGGAGCTTTCTAGCACCTTTCTCAGTCTATACAAGTCTCCTTTAGCTGACTTCAAAGCCCAAGTACAACAGTGGCTGGGCACTGAGACAAAGGTTGTCCAGAAACTGGACGATGCGGCAGTTCATTCTCGCCGCAATCGTACTATTGTAGTGGTTTCGTTTGGGGTCTGGGACCTGTGGAATTTGATCGAAAAGGACTACGATACCGCAAGCAAGTCGATTGACCGTAGCGTTGAGGTTATCATGGAGCAGTTTGACCTCCTGTCTCAGAGCTGGGGCACGGATGACCTCAAAGTCATCCTAACACTGGCTCCGGATGTGACTTTCCTTCCGGCCTTTCGCCCGCTCGGGGATAAGCATGTTTCCCAGTACAAAAATACCGTCAAACTGGTCCAGCGTTGGAATGGCAAGCTACGGGACGCAGCACAACAATGGGGGAAAGGGACTATTTACCTATTTGACACAGAGTCTTTTCTCACCGACCTTATCCGAGACCGGCAGCTCTATGCCGCAGGCCTTGAAGAAGCCAATGGATTGGGGAAAAATCAAGATCCTGGCTGGGAGAACGTTGAAAGCGCCTGTGTTGAAAGCAGTCCACAGTGGGTGGTAACATCGGAGAACAAGCGATGCAAGAGCCCGGAGAAATATCTCTTTTGGTAAGAAATAAGCATTCTTTGTCAGTCAGCAAGCGGAATTGACGTGATTTAGGAACGATATGCATCTCGGGCCATCAGCCCACCGACTCATGGGCACGGAAGTCTTCCATGGCATTGAGGAGATGTGGCTACGGTAATTGACAGTAAATTGCACAGGTACCGACGTGACAGTAAGCGATGGCTATGAGAGGGGATCATGACCACATCCTGCGAAGAGACCCTTTAAAGAAGAGGACTGGGTTCCGAAACGACTCAGAGCGAGCGAACAAGCAGGACGGATTTTCCCGTCTCCAAATGACCGGGCCTCAAAGCCGGTTCCAGCTCCTACTGCTACCGAGCGATTAAGTTTTAGACAAGGTGTTCACCCAAAAGTTGGAAGTAGACGCGCGCGCTGATTACCCGCTACAACGAGCAAGGGTCGAGCGCGGATCTCGCAGGGTGGCATTTGACCTAACGGCTAAAAGCGCTCAGGAGCGTCTAGATAGGGTCGCCACTCGCGTGGGGACTGTAACGCGATGATGAAAAGCAGGCGGAGTTGTCCTGGAATGTTACTAGAAATGGAATTCCAAATTCGTCCCAGTAGCGTCACAGGGCAACATGAACAAACGTCGCAAGTCTGAACCCTGTAGGCTGCAGGCCCAGTGGGGGTAGGATCTAGGATCTGCCATTTTCTTTGTTCGCTCATTCTTTGCTTCTTTCTTTGTTTCTCGGAGATCTGTTGGTGACGGCGCAGATGATGGTTGGAGGATGCATAATAGACAGCACTAAGTCGCTTGGAAAGGCGCTACTGTCAGTCACTGGCTGAAAATCACACCAAAATTGAAGCTCTCCTGCCACGTCCTGTAAAAGTGGATGTGAGAAGCCGAAGTTATTGGATGGTTGGTCCCCTGTCGCACGCCGCATGCGGGAGAGAGAACAAAGAACGACAACAATAATCACTCTTGACCCAGACTCCAGAGTCCTCTAGACTTGCCAGGAAGTTAGGCATTCTGGATCTGCCACTCAGGCACTGCTACCTACCACCTCGCGACCAAGCTGCCAGACAATCGAAATGTGCCATTTCCGCTCGCCTGCCAACTTTTGCGGCACAGCAGGTCCAACAGAGGGGACAAAGAACCCAACAAGGCCAACACTCTCCAGGGCCGGCGTCAGGTCAGCGTCAGGGTTCGGTGTGGGCTCAGTGGAGAGACCCCAGACGAAGGCTTAAAAGATGCTGAGTCCCTTCTCTAGGGTAACAAAGGACTTGAACCCAAATTGTCTCTCCCTGGTTGGCTCCGTGCTCCGTTTGAGTATACGGCCTAGAGCTGCTGGGCGTTGTCAAAGAAAGACAAAAAGAAAAATCGCGAATCGGATCAATCTGACCTGATTATTTTATTTCTATAATTATTATTCTTCCCATAATAATTATAATTATTGTGAGCGTCCAAGCACAAGGCTGGCCACTGTCCACTGTCAATCCGCCAGCGTTATACATATCGCGTTTCTTTCTTCTTTCTTCTTCTGCTCCCTGGTTGCTTGTTTCTTTCTTCCTAATCCTCTTCGCCCCCCTCACTTCGTTTTCTTTCATTGCTTCTCGCCCGTTGCCTCTTCCATTCATCTCCGCCTTCTCCTCCTCTTTGGCTTTCTTAATAAATGTCTTACGATCGAGTTCTCCCCAAGCCTGTTGCTCTGCATTATGATTCACCCCAAGTCTCTCTATCACGGCCAACCAGCAATCTACTCGAACACAAGATCATGAACGACGATATTGTCATGGCCGAGCATCGGCCGGAGCCTGTTCCTACTCCCTCTTATCGTTACTCAGAGAATCTGCCCAAGGTCAACCTGCTGTCGCTCCATCGGTCCAGAGTTGGCGGGAACCAGGCGCCTCCTTCGCTCCCAGCTCCCCTCAAAGCTCCCAGACCAACCGCTGCTCTGACATCCAAGTCCATCCCATATCGAGACCAGTCTTCAGTGTCCGAGCGTTCATCGTCGTCCAGCCCAGTGAAGTCGGCAGCTCCCACCGGCTCTGTAGACGCAGCCACCCAGTTCTGTCTATGTCAACCGGACCCAAAGATTCCTCGACCACGTAATGGTAGGTTCTTCTTCCAAGAGTGAGAGTTGTGAGCAACTTGCTGACTCTTGTTCACCCTTTAGCTTTCATTCTCTACCGCCAGCATTATCAGGCAGCGGTGGTAGCCCAGAACCCAGGTTTGGCTAACCCGGAGATCTCCAAGATCATTGGGGAGCAATGGAGAAAGCTCCCGCAGGCAACCAAGGATGAATGGAAGAACCTTGCAGAGGTAATTGCAAACCAGGCTGCAGGAGTTCTGCATTGTTGCTCGCCATGCTAATGAGGCCGTTCTAGGAAGAAAAAGCAAGGCATCAACAACAGTACCCCGAGTACCGGTATCAGCCCCGCCGTTATGGTCGCGATGGGAGTTCGAGAACCCTAAGCTCAGGAATCAGTCATAACCCGCCGGGTTCAACCATCTGCAACCGATGTGGCGGCCGTATCATGAATCCACCCACATCCCCAGGCACTACGTTTAGCGGCTCGATGTCGAGTGGGAGACATTCAGATGCGTCATTGCCGAGAGGTTACAGTTCTGACCAAGGTCAAAGGCCAATGAAGCCTGGAAGCCATGGAGAACCGCGATCCTCTCGGCAGCGTCAGTGGGATGAGAACGGACCCCAATCGCCTGACTCGAAACGACGACGAACCAACCCTCATCTGCCATACAGAACAGAATACCATCGTGATAGGAGTCCCACGGGCACCCCTTACTCCATACCGTCACACGCATCCAGGTCAGACAGTATAAACGCACGAGGGTTTGCCCAGACAATGCAAGCACAACGGGGACTTCGTCCAGTGAAAGAACATCCAGGCCCGGACCCCAGCCTAAAGCTTCCGCCTTTGCAAACTTCAGCCTCTGTGGCAGAGTCCATCACACCTGTCTCTGCTTACCCGCAGGAAGGTATGAGTGCAGAGGCGGCGATAAAGAGCATCCCCTTCCTGAGTAGGATCAAGCTTCTGGCTAAGATAGCACCACCTTTACCTTTTACTTTCCGTGAAGGGGACTCGAGACGCCGGGGCCCTGTGATCGCAGTTGATGGGCAAGACGCAACATTGGTGAAGACTATAACGGAATATCTAAGCCACGCTTTGAGTAAAGAAGGGAAGTTCTACACCCGCATTTTTGAAGGCCCCAATAGTCAACCTGTCCGAGAAAACAGCGCAGAACCGGAGGAGATGAACGAAGGTGCCGTCGAGTATATCAAACTCATCTCGGCATGGCATCACATATCGGACGAAGTAAAAAGCTTCGTCAAGTCGGAAGCTCCGCGTCGGTCATCGGAACCAAACTCGGGGACTAGCCAGAAAGGCTCCCCAGGCGTCTCGCCCCGAACTATCATTCACAAAACGACGGATATGCACATCAGCTCGCCGCCAGCTTCAAGCGAGACTGGATCGGAGGCCGCATCATCGCCTACGGAGACCAGTGGCGCCGGTCCATTGCCTGTGGCGCTCATTCCACAATACCAGCTCACGACCGCGGACGCTTATGCCTGTATAGTCCCAATCGGTGATGAGTTCAAGCCTTTGGATCACTGGCAGTGGATGGCATCTCTTTGGCGTGCCAACGTTGGACCTGACATCACGGTTTACGTACGAGAGTGTGATGCACAAGAGATGAGGCAGGTTGGCGGAAACCCTGTGGAGATCCGTCTGCAGGACTCGAGAACGGTCATAATCCGGAGACTCGTTAATGGTCCTAAGGAACTGGAAGAGAAGCTTCTAAGGCGTGTGGGATTCGAGATTGAGGACTATCTTACTCAATAGGTTACTCTTCTTTAAGGCTTTTTGCTTTGGCATTGTTTCGTGTTTCCGGTACCATTTGGCAAGTTGGGGCTTTTGAAGGGTAGGGTTATTTATCTGAACTTATAGTTTCATTTGGCGGACTGGAGGTTTTCTGGATATTTTGCATACTGAGGATCATTTGAAAATCTTCACCCTTTTGAGGCGCCAAGTTAGTCCTATGTTATCGGTTATTATAATGATGTTTGCCAACAGACAGTAGTCATTGAAGTTGCCACCAGCTAGTAACTTTTTTACTTGTCCTTCAAATTCTTCTGGCGCTGACAGATGCCTGAGGCGAAACTCCCACAGCCAATGGGACCCAACTAGGGAAAGCGTATAGCGGTACGATGTCCCAACCAATGACAACGATTGGTTGCAAGAGTGCCCCAGGAACATATCTCATAATCTCTCGTCTCGACCCATCTCATCATTTCTGATATATTACAGAAGAACGAGCCTGAAAGCTTTTATAGATATGCTTTTGGATTCTATAGGCGGCGGGAGGCCTCTTGCTCTCCCCTCTCGGGCCTCAGAGGACCCCTTCCATTGCAAGGTGTGTTGCGCCCTCTCATTCGATTCCGCCTCAGCCTTGCGAAGAGGTTGTTTGCCCCAGGTTTCGCGAAGTTGGCATATGATCTAGTCCTCACTCTGAACACAAACTTATACCTTATGTGCAGGGTAGTAACACTACCAAGCCCGGGCCCCCTGAGGGCCCCACTGAGATGACGGCCCAGCAACACCTGGGCTTAGTATCTCTGCCTAACACATCATATAGCAGCACCAACTCTATCGCTACGCCTGCAACTTCAGTGGCTCCAGAGTCTTTACAGGGCACACCCAAGTCAGAGAGGGAGATGTTGCTTGAGAACTTGGATTCGTTTATCGCTGTTGGTGTTCTGGAGAAGTCTAACCATGCAACCACGAGTTCTACTGCGTTCCCACACGCTGAAATCGCCAGTTTGGAGAAGAACAACTGGATTCGAACAACAACCCATCGAGATGGGCAGTATTTGCACCTCTCCTATGTACGAGTCTATGTTCTGCCGGACGATGTTGGGCAGACGCATGTGCATCGGAAAAGTCCGGCGCTAAGAAGGGCTCTGCGAAATATCATGTCGAAAGTCGATCCTTCGCCTGAAGCTTGGAGAGGTGGTGCCCGATTGGGGGAGAAAATCAAGGCCATCTCGCTTGAGAGTGCAGAAGACGAGTCACTGTGGTACATATTCAACACCCTGGAAAATCCATCACCGAGGGTGGAGATGATCAAAGACCCTTTCGCGAAGCACGCGATCGTTGATTTACTTTCGGCATGCTCCGCTGAGGAGAACCGCAATGATGCGCCACAAACATACAGTGGTATTTTGGGCCTGAAAACTCCTCTATATCCTTATCAGCGCCGATCCGCGGCCACCATGATTCAACGAGAAGTCCAACCGCATCAAATGCTCGATCCGCGCCTGCAGCCATGCACAAGTCCCACAGGTCAGGAATATTACTATGACCGAGAGAAGGGCGATATTGTCCGGGACAAGAGACTATATTCGGAGGCCTGTGGGGGTATTCTCGCGGAGACTATGGGTTGCGGAAAGACGTTGATTTGTCTGGCTGTGATTCTGGCTACAAGCGGCCACTTCCCGCAAATTCCTTTGGAGTACCAAACAATGCATAACCCGGTACGATCCCGGACTGGAAGCCTTCTGGATATGGCTGCGGCGGCGGCTGGTCGGCTTTCGCTGCCATGGAAAGGTCATTTTGACTCTTTGAGGAAGATTGGGGAGCACTATGACGAATGTCTCAAGGCATGCGAGGCCAACCGCGGTGCCTATACCATTCCCCCGGTACCAGGGAGACATACTGGCCGCCAGAGCGCGGAGTATCCTCGGCAAGCCGAAATGCATGTTCGTCTTTGTTCAGGGACATTGATTATTGTACCGCCCAATCTACTTGATCACTGGGTTAGCGAGATCTCCACCCACACGCATGGGCTTAAGGTCCTGGTCCTGCGTTGCAATACGGACACTCTTCCGGCGGTCGAAGATCTGCTGACATATGATATCGTTCTTTTTTCAAGAAGTCGGTTTGAGAAAGAGGCTGGTGGCCACAGCAATGGAGGGTGGGACCGTCGCAAGAAAGCCTCGCCTTTAACCAAGGTGCATTGGCTGCGAGTCGTCGTCGACGAGGGACACAATGTGGCTGGCCACGGGCACCAGACGACTATGGCACACCTTCTCGATCGGCTCCATATTGAAAGACGCTGGGTAGTATCTGGAACACCATCAAGCGGGCTATACGGAGTGGAGGTTAGCCTGGCGTCTCAGGAAACACACACAGACGATACCGACCTGACTGAAGCGACCACAGCTGCTCTACGCGGACGAAAGAAGACTAGCAAGACTATTGGCCACGAGATGAAAGACCTCGATAACCTGCGCCAAATCGTAGCCGGATTCCTGGGCGTCAAGCCCTGGGCCAACCCGCAAAACAATGATCCCGCAAAATGGGCAACGTATATTAAACCCAAGGGCACCGACGGTCAACGACGAAAGGCTCCATCTCTGCGAGCTACATTACAAAGCTTAGTTGTGCGACATCGCCTAGATGTTATCCACAGTGAAATTCCTCTACCCCGGCTGCATAACAAGGTGGTTCATCTGGAACCGACATTTCACGACAAGCTGAGTTTGAACTTGTTCATCTTCATCTTAGCCGTAAATGCCATTACATCAGAGAGGCAAGACCAGGATTACATGTTCCATACGCGCAATAGAAAGCATCTAACTCGCGTGATCAACAATCTACGTCAAGCTGGATTTTGGTGGGCGGGTTCGGATTTTGAGTTGCAAGGAACTGTCGATGTTGCGACAAAGTATCTCGAATGCAACAGAGAGAAGATGACCGAAAGCGACATTGAGATACTTACACAAGGCATTCATGTTGCTCAGACGGCATTAGGGTCTGTCAGCTGGAATTCATTCAAGAAAATGCACGAGCTAGGTGTTTTTGTCGCAGGGTTCCCTCCTGAGGCTCGGAACTTCTGGGCGTTGGATCCGGCACAGGCTCATCGTGAGCCTCTTCTACTTGGGATTTCCCAAGCTCGTCTCGCTCAGCAGTTCGTCACGAAGCACCTGCAAGCATGCGATCCAGCTGAAGGCCTGGCGGGTGCAGGTATCAAGATCCGCCATGAGCTATCAAACCGCGATGGCTTTGATACTTCGACAGCTGCACCGCAAAAGACAACACCTGAAAGCCCTGTCAAGCGCAAGTCAGCTAAGCAAACTTTTGATAGAGGAATTTTTAGGGAGCTTCCATTCGATTCGCCGCTAATGGGAACCAAGCTAATAGCTACCGCGTCCGCAAAGCTCACATACCTGCTGGACCAGGTCCAGGAGCACCACAAGGCGGAGAAGATTATCATCTTTTACGATAATAATAATTCGGCGTATTGGATAGCAGAAGGCATGGAACTGCTTGGTATTGATTTTCGTATCTATGCCAACACTTTAAAGCCAGCTCTGCGTGAAGAGTACCTCACTCTGTTTCGAGAATCCCAACAAGTTCGCGTCCTCTTGATGGATCTCCGACAAGCGTCGCACGGTCTACATATTGCTCATGCCTCTCGAGTTTACATCGTCAATCCCATCTGGCAGCCGAACGTTGAAAGCCAAGCCATCAAACGTGCTCACCGGATTGGCCAAACGCGTCCTGTCTTCGTGGAAACGCTTGTCCTACAAGACACACTTGAGGACAGGATCCTCCGCCGCCGCAAGGCAATGTCTGATACCGAGATCCAGAACGACCTCTTGGACGACAGCACAATGAGCTCGATCATCCAGCACGAGCAGTTCATCCCGATGCCGTGCTGCGAAGACTCGGCATCCCTCGCTTTCCTCCGCCACCCAACAGGCTTCTTCGACCGACATCGCCTCCCGATTCCGGACAGCGCGGAGGTTGAGATTACACTCCCGCAGACTCCCACAACTCCGGTCAAGCGCAAGCGCAGCGGTGAATCGTCGCATCGTGGTGTTGGGTTCGGATCTAGTGCTGGCTCTCCGAAGAGAAAGCGGTCGCCTTCACAGCTGCAGTTCCGTGATGTTCATGGGATTATCATGGAATCTCCTAAACGAACTGTATCGCCTGCTTGATTGAATACTCCTCCGCGCTCGGCGTGAGAGGTGAGGGCTTGGTCTAATGTACTTGGTGTCTATCTGGATAAATGTAGCATAATGCAAGGTGAATAGTCCTGTCATTGTCTGGTAGAACTAGACGACTCTGGTGGGAGGTCCTCGAAGGAAGGCACGTTGCTTGGTCGGAGTTAGACGCGCGATGGCGGATTTATTTATTCTCAGGCTTCTAACTTCGATAGTCTACTACACCAAGGTTTCCCCAGCGTGCCCTAACATAGGCATGAATCTAACTCGCGACAACTTCCAGAGGGAGAAGGCGGGTTTCTGAGATGAGCGATTTGTTGAGATGGAGTAATAGTACCTGTTTTGGATCTGGAACGAGTCTCTTGCATTAGAATAATCCATCATCGTGCACTCTACGAAAAATCTTGTATACTCTATTTCGTAGAGATACATTATGTATACCCCACCAAAAACGGCTATATAAATCTCCGGACACACACAAAATGACATCACATGATAGGAACATCCCACCATCCCACCAACATCAACCAATCAAGCTACACAACCGAATGGTACACTTTGGACTACGTCCTCGGAAGTAAGCTGCGGAAACTTTCCAGGAAAATTGGAGAGGAAGAAGAGAGATAGAGCGGAAGCCATGGGAAGAACCTCCATAATCGCCCTCTCGGGCCCCTCATCAAGCGGGAAAACGACGCTCGCGCGACTCCTCCAGCGCATTTTTGCCCATCTCGATATGAAGAGTGAGAGAGGACAAGCACAAGCATCACCTATATCGACATTCATAATCCATGAAGATGATTTCTACCATCCTGACGACAAGTACCTCTCCCCCATCCACTACGCCGTCAAATATATAACTGACGAAATGCAGGATCCCCTACACGACCACAAAATCCGGCCAGCGCATCCAAGACTGGGACTGCGTCGAGGCCCTTGACATAAACTTCCTCTCTGCCTCTCTGCGCTACGTCCACGAGCACGGACATCTCCCACCCCGGCTGAAGTCCAAGGAGGACCTCAACGACGTCTCACCTGATTCCGGTGTCGATGATGCGCTCATCGAGGAGTTAAAAGATGCTGTTAGGGGTCGACTCTCTGGTCTGGGTCTCCCGAAAGAGGCAGAGGGAGATGGGAAGTGGACCCTGGCGATTCTTGAGGGGTTTTTGCTCTTTGCGCCGCCGGTTTCTGATGCTCGAGGGAAGCACCCGCTTCGACCCGTGCACGACCAGATAGACGTTCATCTCTTCCTGCCAGCACCGTACGACCTCGTCAAGATGCGGAGGGAGAAGAGGAGCGGGTATGTGACCATCGGCCCTGCGCCGACGCCGGACCTACCTCAGCGGTCTTCGGTCTCTGATGTGGGCAGGGAGGAGGATGAAGGCGAGCTGGATCTGGACGCAGAGGATGATCGGCCGTCACAAAACTTCTGGACGGATCCCCCTGGTTATGTAGATGATATTGTGTGGCCACGGTATGTGAGGGACCATGCGTGGTTGCTGTTGGCTGAGGATGAAGTAGCGAAACCGGGGCTACTGGATTCAATTAAGGGTGACGACGAGCTGGTCAGGATGGCTGGGCAGGGTGTTACCCTGAGGACGGATGCTGGTGTTACTGTTGCCCCAGGACAGGGATCGCTGCCGATGGCGGAGCTGTTGAAGTGGGCTGTTGAGGAGGTCTTGAACCATTTTCAACAGAGCAGTAGCAGAGTTCAGTAACTGAGAGTTTCTGGAAGTAGCTATTCATAGAACGTTTAGAATCAATATCGTGACATCTAGCGCCTCTGGCCTTCCATAAAATACATGTAACACCTGTTTTCTTTACTCAATAGGACCTGACCAACCAAGCCAATAGTCAATTCTATCCCTGATCGAGTTCGGAGACTCTTCGTGCGCACCGCTTTCAGCGTTTATATCCCCGCTCTGTTCACCATACTCTCTTTCGGTTTCCAGAGGCATTTCGGACTGAACGGAACCGACATCAACAGCCCCATGCTGGCCCAACATGCTTAGCATATCTAGGCCGGCGATGCTTTCACCATCAGCCGTATTATCGAGGCCGTGCTCAGCCTTTCCCAATGTGTCGAGTTGCGAGATCTGGGTTGCTGAATCGGCGGCTTCCAGGCCAACTTGGGCTACCGGGGGAGCCTGTCCGGGGCAAAGGTAGATAGGTTTGACCGGCGATAAAGCCCTAGTTCCCAGAAAAGTCAGACAAAGTAATCCGACGAGAGCCCATTTGAGGAACTGTCGGGGGTCCTGAGCAAAGTGAACAAGCTGCAGCTGAACTGCCCTTTCCACCAGGGATAATAATTGTCCTATTGAAACAGTCCTCACAGACGACGAGTCCTCAAATTGGTCCTTAACATCTTCGATGGCGAGCTCAGCATGGCCATCGCCTTGGGTCGGTTCATTTCGATGTGCGAATCCACCCCGACGGGCCCGAGCTTCGAAAAAGAAGTAGGTAGACTTGCTTAGCATCTCCATTAGATTGTGTCGGAGGAAATCTCTAGTGCGCTCACGCGACACTGGCGATGCTGAGTATATCCGGGGAACCCAGTATGCAGCCTCTCGACCCGTACCACTCGATACCCAGGTCAGACAAAGCTTCTCCAAGTCCTTGGGAGAGCAGGTAACATGAATATAGGCGACTCCAGTCTCGGCATATTCGTTAGCTAGTATATGAATCTTCTTTAGCCCACCTTTCCGCGGGCTAAGATCACAGTGGTAAGAACCTTCGGGGCCGCCATCCACATAGAGGAGGATGGAGCACCTGTCGGTCCAGAAACAGCGGTTATGCAGCTTAACCGAGAACATTACGTTGAACCTCAATTCGAACTTCTCCCGATCACCTTGGTGGCTAGCTGTCGTCTTGACCACACTGTGAGCTGCGACTTCTTGATCCACAGTAAAGTCTGTAACATCACCACCATATCTTCTGTCACACCTGCGCATGGGAATCACAAGATTACCAGAGTTGACGAACTGTGCGATGAAACAATTCTCCACTAGTTTGGCCCTCTTCACATTCAAAGTCCGAAGCTCTAGGCCATGACGAGAGGGCATAAGAAACAGGAAGAATCCACTCTTGCCATTCCCGGTTCTCGGAAGCCCGGGGATCATCAGATCACTCCATCCTTGTTCGTTTGGGAACGGGATATAGAAAGATACAGTGATAGTGACCTTGAATGTTGCTGGCTGCACTTTCTCGGAGTTATTGAGGATAATGAGCCCATCAACAAGTTTCACCTCTGGTTGATCGGACAGCTTAGCTTCGTTACTCTCCACGTGGTCATGAGAGTAGGTCGGGTCTTCCAAAGAACGTGGCGCAAATTGTGATTCGGGATGCTCGCTGCATGATTCCGGCTCCTCAAGAACGGGCTCTAACTTACTAGCTGGCGAGGATGGCGGATGCTGCTCACGAGAGCGCCCCAATTCAGTCGTGGCAGCAAAATCCGCGTTGTTGGACATCCGTACAACTTCCGTTATGGGGTCTGCAACAGCAGCAGTTTGCCCTACAACATTGTTATGAGAAACAGCTTGATCCCGCAATATTGCCGTACGTGCTATAGAAGCTATCGACATGGAAGACCTCAAGGGCGAATTTTCTGGGGTGAATGTCGGCTTAGGAATCTTGCTAGGCTTCCGAGAGGTCTTCTCTTCATGTGCCAACATTCCAGGCAATATCAGCTTATCCGAAGCCGTCACTCCACCTGCTGGTTTGATAGGACGGGTAGGACTAGCGTTCTCCTTGCGGACAAGCAAGCCTGATCTTCTCGGACTCGTGGGGCAGGCAATGGTTATTTCGCAAGGTTTTTCTGCCGTAGTTGACATGGCTGGACTAGTTTGGCGACTGTTGCGGGGTGTGATCTCCCTCAGTACTCCACCAATTTCGTCCTCGTTGTCAGAATCAGGGAGCTCAGCATCTGTAGCGCTTCTCTTCCGGGATGTAGTCGAAGGTCCCGATCCTGGTAGGCGACAAGGTGGCCTAGGAGAGCAAACTGCAGAGGCGGGACTTCCAAGTGTGGACTCTGTGTCGGGCATGCGGTCATGCTGAGGATTCTTATGGTCCTCCAAAGACTCGTCGTCATCTTTACGAATCGAACTGGCCTCAGAGACGTAAACACTCTCTGCAGAATCCTCAACAGAAGGGCGCACGCCAATCTCTTTTTCACACTCGACGATCAGGGGAGAGAATCCAAACAGAGGACTCTGGGGAGTATCATCCTCTTCCTGATTATCCATCTGATTCTCGAACTCCCGCGAAAGGCAATCTGCAAAAGCATTCTTGAGGTAGATGTCGTTGTCTCGCACGTTCAAAAGCTGTAATCGCGTATTGGGAACACATTTCACCTGCATCGGCAACAGTCTCAGAATGAGAGCTAAAACCTTGAGTGTGGAAGATCGATCCCACTTACCTCAAGGGTGATTCTAAGATTGGCTAGTTCTTCATATTCTCCGCTCCATGTGCAACGGACCTCCAGGTCGTCGAATTCAGGCGAATCTGGGACGAATGACTGGTTGCGGTTGTTTGAGATTGTGGCCATGATGCATTGGGAATGAAGGTGGTCTTTTACTATGGTGAACAATGCTGACTGCGTAACAAAGAATCAAAGCCCACGATCAAGGTAGGATGCTGTCCAGAAAGAGGGGCAATGACTGTGTTGATTGATACCCGGGGGTGATAGAAATCAGGGTCAGGCAATAAGGCCGCCACATCTTGTGTTATTCAGGCAGGAACAATCAAATCCGGCTTGGGGTGCTGCTGGCCCGGGGAAGTCACCATCAATTTTCCTCCTGGCCCAATTGAAACAGAACTTCAAATAAAGATCTGTCAATAGGAAAGATGCGACTAGAGAGTATCGGCCTTTGTTGTATCAGACCACAGTATGTTGTTAGCAGTAGAAGCCAGTCCATTGCATGTCTAGCAGCAAATGCACTGCACTTGTGGCAGAGTAAATATATACAAAGAATTGAACCATTACCTTTGTCCCTTGAGAGCGGAGTCAAAAGAGAAGCGAAGCCCATATAAAACAGCTAGTCCGACCTGTTGTTTGCACAGTTGCCCTTTTTGTTCCCACTGGCGCCGTGTATCCCCGTAAAGCATCCCATCCGTTACCATGAAGCGTAGTAAGACCCAGACACCTAACCCGCAGTCTATCCAAAGCACACAAAAGCGAAGGGCAAGAACGAGGTAAGCACAGGGCATTATGAGAATAAGAAAAGACCATCAAATAATGAGAAAGAAAAGTATTGATGCGAGGTAATGGTCCTTAACGGGGGGTTCCATTTGCTGAGCCTGGATGGTCAAACCCTGTCTGGCCTGGTGTGACACCATATCGATCGGCTTCACTCGGTGCGAGAGGCTGAGATGGCAGTATGGGCGTAGCTGCCTGGGGCGATGGTTCGAAATATCCTCTCGCCGATGTGCCGTTCGTCCCCTGCGGGTAATTGCGTCCTTGTTGCAGGGGTGGAAGAACTGTAGAGCTACCGGTGTAGTGGGGTCGAGGATATCCTTGTTGCATCATTGCTCGTGTCGACTCTGGAGTCTGCTCAAGGGTATTTATTCAGTCAGCTACATGTCTCCCAGAAACGCGACTTTTAAAACAGCTCATACAGGTGTACCCGGTTGATTCACCATGCCTAAAGATTGCATAGTCGCTTGCTGACTAGACCGGCTTTGAGCACCCGGATCTTGGATCTGGGAGACTTGAGTAGATGATGGAAGCCCGTACGACATCTGAGCAAGTGTAAGTAAATGGCTATAGACCATCCTGAACCCCGGAATAGCCATCATCCCGAAAGCTGTAGGGATCTTGATCTGGGTGAGTCCACGGGGCCTGAGTTTGACGAACCGCATAGTCGGGCACTCCAGTGTGTCCAGTAGGATATCCTGGCATCATAGGAGTCGGATAGCTTCCCGGTTGACCATACATGGCCGCAGTTTGGGGGTATGCCTCTATCTGACGCATCCGCCCTTCCGGTTCATAAACGTTTCTAGTACCAAAATCGACCGATGTTCGCTGACGCTTCACAGGTCCATAGTACGCGTAGTCACGATTCGGTGCCTGGTACGTAGGGTAGTTACTTGCAGGAATCTGCATAGAGGAGCGTTCGGGAGAGCGTGGGAGAGCCTGAGGGAATTCTTCTGGCCGTGGCGCTTGTCGCTTACTACAATGCTTTCGTTAGCCTGGTCTCTTGAATGGTCGAAAGCCAACAGTCACTCATGGCTCACTCACATTATAGTTCGCGGCTCCTTGCGGATCCTGAGCTTCACACCCTGGTCCGCAAACGATCTGGAGAGGAAAGTCGACTCGGCCATTCCGGGGAAGCTCTTCGGTGGCGAAACTTCGTTGTGTTAGCGCCTGAACGAGGATTCTCCTTGAGTGACAGATCTTACCGGTGAACCGATCCGAAATGATTGACTTCAAGTACACAACCTCAGTTCTGGCACAGCAAGGTCAGTACTAGACTCTACACCCGAGTCCGGGCGCAATTTTGAGAACCACCCACTTTCGCATCTCAAAGAGCGTGAATTTCAGCCGGAAATCTCCTTCAACTTTAACAGACAGGTCTCCCCATACGAAAAAGCCGCCGTCTATAAGGACAGTCAGCGCGCTAGCAATGTCCTCGAGGAGAAATGGCCAATTACCGGTGTTATCCACATCCTTTAGTCGATGCAGCGACGAGACCAAGGTTCCAGTGAGGTTAGTGGACGGTAAGCCTGGAGCTGGAGCATCATCCTGCGCATCGTAGAGACTACAGCACATGAAGAAATACGGGCTCTGCAGATAATGCCTAGTACCACCCGAATTTTTAGCAAACACAAGCCTCAAGGAGAAAGCGATCAAAATTCCGCCACTTACTGAGCAAGATAGGTCCCTTCCTCCCTCACCCTGATCTGCACAATCGGCGGCGGGTCAACGGGTTTGCGTTCTGCAAAATAGATTCAAGCTCCGGATCAGCTTTTGCTCTTCTTTTCAGATGCGCGCCGTTCTAGAAAACGACCTCACGTACCTTTCTCCTTCCCGCCGGCCACACGCGCCCGGGTGGGCTGCTGGCGGACGATCAAGTCAAAGTCATCACTGCGAAGCAACACCGTCAGCGTCGCAAGCCTCAAAACTAGCGAGATTTGAATGAAATTCAGCCCTCGACACAAGGAACTGGGGACAGACCTCTGAGAAGGGGGAGGAAGGGTAGGATCCGGGTAATTCGCCGCACTCATCAAGGCGAGCTCTGCAGAAGAGGACTAGGTAAAGAGCCAAAGGATCCGGACAAGGGGATATCCGTCAGTACGAGAACCGTGAACCAAAGCTGAGTTGAACCGGGGCTCCTCTGGGAGAGGTAGTAAGACGGATGGTAAGACAAAGATAGGCTCGAGACAACTTCGTAGAAAAGTGGAAGAGAGAGGAAGGAAGCTAATCCCTGGGACCCAAGAAGAAGAGCTCGCGGTCAAGCTTGGGGACAGATACCGTAGTGGGGGGAGAATTTGGAGGGGACAATTAAAGATGGGCACAACGGTAGTATGATTTCCGGAGCCAGTCAAGCTCAGGCGGCACTTGTGGAGCGATAGTGAAAATTGACAAGCTGCAGCCCTCCGGATTGAGCGTGAGTTTGCGTATAGTTGATGTACCGCAAGCGGCGACGGTAGTTTTGATGGGGGTTGATGGTGTCGTCAGAACGCAAGCGGCAGGCGCGAGTGCAGCCGAAGACAGTCGCAGTGGCAGCACCAGAGCCAGAACTCAGCACCGGTTCCAGACAAACCTTAACACAACCAGCGGAGGAACGTCAATTTCACCACCAATTTTGAAGTTCTGCTGCTTTGCCTCCCGTTTTCTTGCTTAAATTCCCTTATTCTCGTGATTATGGAGCTTTTCCTTTCTTTCTCCGCGATGGAACCTTTTTCTCTTTCCCAGCACGTCTCGCAAAATGCTCTCAAGTCAGAGTGGAAAAGAAGGAAAAATGCAAAAATTGTTGTAAACTGGAGCTTTCCCGACCGTGTATTTCGGGCTATCCAATAGTACGTAGTAACAATTTTTCAGAGTCGGCAAATCGGATGAAAACGAGGTAAAAGGCCCAGCGCCAGTCCAGTCAAGAGTCAGAACTCAAAGCAGGCATGGATAGGCCACCAACTGTAATGGAAGAGGTGGCGGAACACACGGCCACACGGCGATAAGACAGTAGCTGAATGATGGGTCTTGGTCTGGAAGTCGCCTCCGAGTCTCTGACGCACAGATCAAATTCCGACGAGTCAAACACAAGGCATAATAATAAGAATCAAATAATCGGCAAAGTAATAATATTCGCGGTGGTGGAAAAAGGTTTTGGAAAGCCGGGCTTTACTAAGATCAGACGACAGCTGAGCCAGGCAAATAATGTTGGGTGGAGCTGTACCAAAGTAAGTACTCTGATGCTGTCCTGTCGCCTGGTGCTCTCGTCGACCACGGTTCTGTAGGCGGGCTAAGGTGAGTATAAGTCTTGACGATCCGACACGAACCGCTGTACCATGGAGATGATGCGCACATTGGCAGGTCCCGGAAGATCCTGGGGGGCACCAGTACAATTAAGTCGGATTTCAGTTCGGCGACCTGCGCAAGTCTCAAAGTCTACCCTTTGCCTATGCAGATCGCCTGACGACCGATCGAGCTAAGCACAAAATCCACCGCGTTTGCGACAAACCAGGACTGGCTTCCCCAAGCACACCCCAGTCCACAGACGTAACAAGTGGCTTTGAGTGCAGCAAGATGGAGCCGGCTATGCAGGTGATCAGACCCGTTTACTGCGCGCCACGCAGGGTCTCCAGCCCTCCCCGTGACTCCGGGTCAATGGGTGGTTTCAGTGCGCGGACCTAGCATTCCAGTCAGTCAAACACGATCGATAATTCAAGGTCCTGTCTCCGCGTTCCTTGGTTGGGGCATTCGTACTTACCTCAACTCTTAATGTACTTCATGCGCTGGGAGGTCATTCGTAGATACGTACTAGTACCTACCTATCCTCTCAGTTAGCAAGACCTGCCAACGTTGTTATCGATTGAATCGAGCAATTAACAAGGCTAACATAGCCGAGTCTTTGTCCTGCACGAGAAGTACGAACCTTATTTCTATTGGCCCCAGTTGATCCAGCGTCCCCGAGTTCCTAAACAAAGAACGACCCAAGGGAGAAAGAACGGGTGAAAGCGCGGGAGCACCAGGGCTCAAAGCCCTCGAAAGAACCGCTGATACTTTCTAGAGGATTCCTGCGCTCTTTTATTCCTTTTTGTTGACACTGCTCAAGAGCTGATGAACGAAATATCGTGAGATACTCTGATCTCCAATGAGCTCGGACCAAGAGTTGAGAGCCCGCACGCCCTTACTCTTCCCGCCGTCAATCGTAACTCGACTGCAACTCTTTGCGAACGCGAATTCCCGCGGGTTCTCCTTCGAGTATCATGAAATGATATCTTTCGATCAATGGAAAACGTCCCAGCCCACCCTATTGTCGAGAATCTCCGAGTCCCTCCTTTTGCGATAACTCCTTCGTTGATGAATGCCGGTTCACAGACAATATCGCAACCGCGTAATGTTGGCAAGGACAAGAGAATGAGAAAAGACGAATGAATAAAATGGAAGACCAGACGTCCAGGAACAAGGCTCAGTCGCGAGAAAGTCTGGGAACGGGCCTCTTTTGAGTGCAGCGCGAAGAGTCAGCTTGCGACTCAAGCTGGGTGCGCTTCCTGCGGCCGAGGAATCGAAGTACGGCGGATGCATCACATTGCCTATACCTTAACGCGCAAGCCGCAGAGATCTGCCGTTCAGACAGGAATAGAAGTGATCGCTTGAGTCGATGATTCGACGTCAGTGGGCTGCGCGCCCTAATCAGCCCTGAAAACGAATCGGCGAGACGGATCGAGCTGGTTCATGGATTGCAGCAGCAGCCAAAGACAAGGCTGCACGCTCGTCGTTCGGGATATGATCATCGATGCAGGAGTCCCTTCCTGGTCTTTGTCGATGCTCTGCGCATGAGAGCCAACTAGCCTTACCTAGAGTGGTATGTGGTGGTCATCTTGAATGCAGTACGCTCTCCCATGCATAACCCGAAGGTAATCGAATCACACCGGGGAAGAGCGCGGCTGAAGATTACACAAGGTTTTGTTTTGTTTTTGCGTCTCCATCGACATTTAACCGTTTCCGTTGGGCCGCGCAGATGAAGGACGAATCTTGGCTCCTAACAGGTGGCAGCTGCATCTAGCCGCATCTGAAGGCTTGCGACAGTCCTCTTTCTCCGGGCCCATCTAGCTTGATCCAACATCAAGAGATTTAGTTTCCGCCGGCGCAGCTTGATATCGCTGAGCGATGCTCTACCATCAGCCGACAATAATAATTCATTCATAAGATCAAGTCGTCGATCTTAGTAGCGCGGGCAAGACCAACAGGGCGCGGAGGGAGACTCATATCAGAAAGTTCTGACAACTCGGATGGCCACGCAAGGATGCAACGGACCAATGAAACTCAACTCTCAAGGGTCTAGTTCCATTTCCTGCAAAAAGGTGCGAACCCCATTCTACCCCTCCTTTCCCTCTCTATCAAAAGCACAAGAAAAGAGAACGGGGAGGGCGAAAAGTTGGAATCGATCAGTCGAAAAAGAAAAGAACCTTGACGTCCGTGTCATCGTCATTTGCCATTAGTTCTCCGCCTAGCTCATGCGCCTCTTATCGGGATGGCTCGACCTTAGCGAAGAGACTCTCCGGGGTTTGGATCAATCTCAGGGAATAATAGTCCTGGACTCGCTGCAGAAAGCTGCCAGAGAATCATCTGCCGCAATTAGAGTATGTAAGTTGGTGGTGAGCGAGATGTTTTGATGGGGCATCATCGTGTACGAGTTATGCCACGTTTTGGTGGAGTCGTCGCATGATCTTGTCAGGCACAAGAACGCAAGAAAAAGGAAAAAAGAAGAGAAAATAGAGGGCGAGAACCATCTGCTGATCGACAGCCGCCAGCGTTGTACATAAGGAGGACAATGCGCAGTCCACTCTCCTGTCAGGATCGAGCTAATTTGCGCCAAACTGACGCTGAGACCAGAGTGTGTGCCACTGTGCGGGCTCACCAACTCCTCCATGCTTGTCCGTACAGCCGATGGCCGGGTTGAGAGGCGATGAAGGGCGTGGTAACCAGCCGCCGCAGACAGGGCCGTAGACCCGTAAATCAAGATTGTCCGGATTATGAATGATCTTGCGGTGTCCTTACTTCAATGCCTATTTTTATGGTGGACAGTCGGAGATGGCATTGATAGTACGGAGTAAAAACGAGCTGGAGCTGTGTGCGGGTCAGAAGAGCTGCACAATGAAGTGTTTGCGCGACTAGTGGCTGCCTTTTTTCTTTCATATTATTACCAGCCCACGGGCCACGACAAACAAAGCCACTGCAAGAACAAACCCAAATTCTCCTCAGACCTGGGAGCGATCTGCCGGGCATCTCCATCCTGAACCAGATTTGCATGGGCGCTTAATTTACGGTTCCGTTATGCTTATTCTAGGTCTCGGGTTCGGTTCCAAACTTCCTTTCCCTGCACCATCCGTTCGTGAAACAACGCTCAGTCAACATGGGAAACGGGACTTTCGCAAAGGACGTTAATCCAGATCGGCTGGGATTGACATATCATATACCAAGGCATGGCGCATGGCGGCCTGCTTCCGCAGTGTCACAATTTTTGATGTGAAATGCAGCTTGTTCTTCATCGAGAATAGCCCAGCAGCGTGGGGTCCAAAAGACGCCGCCATGATCCATCCATGAGAAACGAACCAAACGGACCATTCCACAATCATCGACTTCTTAGAGATAAGCTGAAGAGGGTGTTGAACCTTTCAGTCCCATATTGAATTGCGATCTGGATTGATTTAACATTTAACTTCAATTGCGTCGAAGACTGTAGCGAGTATTTCGAGTCCTTGGCCCCGGGGCACTGCCAATTCTCCCTCTACGCAGTGGTACTCCGCATCAGTGTACAGTACACTTGCGCGATGGTTCATCAGCGATGCAAGACGCAAAATCTCGATGAGCACACCACGATGGCACCTGATAGGTAGCTCTCGGAGCCGTGGCCTTCTAGCCGCATGACCTCTACCGAGATCTGCCTGTCTATGCATTTCCTGGATTTCGCGTCTGCAACTCGTTGGGTAGCTCCGGCTTGAAGGCTTGGAAATTAACTGTACTTTCGCATGCAGATGGCTCGGATGTGAACCCGGATCTAGCAAGGATCAAGATGATAGATCGATTCCTTCTCGAATAAGAAATCTCTGTCCTTGGCAAACAGTAGCTTGGCGATTGCTGAGTCGCGAGACACAGCCTCACGGGGAATCGCTCTGGGGTTCCTTTCACTTTGACTCCACATACATAGTAAAGTGTGTGAGCACCAATAACCCGCACTTACCGCTTGTCACAAGTGAGACGTGCTTATAGATCGCAATGTTTCTTCTCGAAATATCCCCGAATGTTTGACGGAGATGCCCGACCTTGGAGCCTCCGGCCGAGTGTTTGACTTAAGATGTTCGCTTCTCAAGGAAATGCGGTGTCATATGCATCTTTTTCTATAATCAATCCAGCCTGTACTAATGTACTATCAAGCTTACGTTGGACAAGATAACGAAAATACTTTATGCATCGGGAGTCCACGTACGAAAGTCAGTGGCCCATTAAAAATGGCAAGGTCTATGAACAGCAGAGATTGAAAAAAATATAGATACAACAAGTACACGCTCTCGAATATCAATAATCATACATGGCCACACATACTCAGGAAAAGCTGCTGTCGCTTATCGGTGAGATCTCTCTTTCCGCGGCACAGCACTCACTCCAAGCGGCAGACGAAGAAACTTCTCCATCAGCAGCGCCGAAGCAACACTCACATTGAGACTATCAACTCGCGCCGGATCTGATGTGACCCCTACCCCTGGAATGAGTCTGGATCCAGGGATGCTGACGATAGAGTCCGCCTGCGATCGGATATGATTACTTAGCCCCGAGCCTTCGTTGCCCATCATGATCACACAGGGAGAATGACCAATCAACTCATTATGGTCATTTGATGGCTGATCTATAAAGGATGACCCTGCATTAGGGGCGTCGGCGGCGTAGAACCGCCATCCGTTTGCCTTAGACCGCTGAATAAAGTCGACCTCATTCTTGACGTCGAGTAGAGTCATGTTCTCGGCTGCGCCGGCGGAGGATTTTATCGTTACAGGAGACAGAGGTGCCGAGTTTCGTCCAGCGAATACAACAGCGTCAACTCCCAAGTAGTATGCGGAACGAATGATTGCTCCGAGGTTGCCAGGATCAACAATCCCATCGAGCATGAGGATGACTGGGTGCCTTCGTTGTTGTTGTACAAGAGAATGGTTGATGGTAATGCGGTCGTTCGTGCCATTGACCAAGGCTTCTTCTCGAGTCTGTGGTGCAAGTTCCAGTTGAAAAGTGTCGTCTTCGGAATTGACTGCCTTGAGAGCTTGGATTGGACTTCGTGGAAGGGGTGAGGCTTCGAGGACACAGCCGTTGTGAGGCCTACCTGCGCTCATCTTGTCGAGTATGCGGTCCCACTCAGCGAAGGCCATCTTGACCTTGACATTCTTCGAAAGAGCGAGTTTGCGGAGTGTCACCTTGGCAGGACTCAGTTCCTCGTCAGCAGTCTGGTACATATAGAGCTTGTATAGTTGTCGCCGGTTACAGCGCAGGGCGGCCTCGACAGCTGCTGTTCCGTAAATGAACTCTGACGCCGGGGTAGTGTAGGGTATCGTGTCTGGAATCTTGACATGTTCTCTGACTCGTTCGGGCTTTTGATCAGTGGACTTGTGAAGCGCTGCCGCCTCAGCGCGTCCTGGGCGACCCTGACGCTGAGAGTTGGACACAGAATCATAAGTCGGCGAAGAGCGTCTTGGTGAATAGCGGCCCTTATCCGTAGCCAAATCATCGCGCGAGTTTAAGGACCGTGTTATACTTGTAAATCGCTGGTGCTCGCGGGGTAAGGCGCGAAAGTTGCCTGTCCGAATGAACTCATCCTCGTCGAACTCGACCTCCGGGGCTCTGCTTCGATACCCTTTTCCTGTCGTGGGTTCCCGTGGTGTGAATGGTCTTCTTTCGGTTTTAAGGTGATCACCACTATCGTTCCAGGGAGTCTCGGTCTCTCCTGTTCTTTGAGGCCTGCGTGTCCGGCGATCGACACGAGAACGAAGCGAGACGGGTTGCGTCCTTTCAGCCGCAGGTTGATTACGGTTATTGTCGAGCCCACTTCGTGAATCCCTCACGTCCCGATGTCTTCGAGGGCTGCGACCACTTTCTGAATCGGATAGGGCATATGATTTCTTTCCAAATCGTGGACGATCACGACTGTCGTTGGTCGAAGTCCGGGGGCTGTCTAGCCGTTGAGATCTGCGAATTCCTCGACCGATGGCGGAATTGAGTGAGGCATATCTGATGAAACTTCGACCAGTAGATGAACAGAGGGGAAGCCGCAGCGATGACTTAAGCGTCAGTAATGAGGTTTGGAAAGACATCGCTTACTCTCTCCTGCCTCTCGGTCTGTAAGCCAAAACAGCTTTGCCGATTTTATTTTCTGCTATCGCTGATAAGATAAGGCTCCGCGTTATTGTTCCTCCGTGAGGCCGAAGTCGCGTCTTTCGCGTCCACCGATCACCGAAATATTACGCTTCTGGGATATCGAGGAGCAGGAAGATGCTGGTTCACCTCCGAGGTCGTCACTCCTTGTTCTTTGCTCTTTCTCTCCTTCTGTTTCAGTTCAAACGCTCTTCACGTCCATTGACCGCGTTTCATTCTTTCTCTCACTACACTTCCATTTCGCCTCGTGAGCGATAACAGCCAACAGCGCCAGTGCAAGATGGAGAGTTTCGCACTCTCAGCTAGCGCTGGGAATTGGGCGGATGGGTTCAACTTGGACCTCAAAAAAGACAAGAATTTGCTTGAGATTAATGGGCCGGTGATGACGGGTGTTGAGGTTCCTGTTATTCCCAATCCCGAGGAATATGAGTATCTCCCCGGACATTTCAACGTTCGGTACGTCATTCAGGAAGTGTCTTCGGATATAAGTCCAGAGCCTGCATATCTAGTCAAGCTTGAAAGTCGTGAGATTGCCACGGTAAGTAAATAACAACTTTACTGTTAATTGATCACAGCTCACCGCGCACTCTATTACTAGATGTCCTCTTCGCAACTCCAGACGCTCGAAAATGGTGTCGATGCACTATCAACCTTTCAGAACTCGCGCATCTCATATCGAAAACCTTCCACCGAACCAGAATCTAAGAGCGAGGAGGAAGAAGAAGAAGAAGATGAGGAAAGCATCACTTCAGATTCTCGATTGAATGCCAGGCAACCATCAAGGCGGGCGAAGAAACTCAAATTCACAAAATTCTTCGGTGTCATCAGTAGCGATGACGAAGCAGGGCACAAATCAGATTCATCCGACGATATTTTAATCTCGTCCCGGGCAAGGCGGCGCGGGCTTCGAGATCGCCCACGGTACAGAAAAACTCTAGACAGCGATTCTGATAGCAGTGCACGCCAGGGAACCAGGTTCTCAACGAGACATCGAAAACCCATACGGCACAATCTACGTGAGGTCTATGAGGACGATATTTCAGAGTACGAAGCGGTACTGTCAAAACACCAGAAATACGTCGGTGCTAAGGAGACATTCGAAAAGATTCCCTCAAGTGATCCCTTCCGTCAGCGGCACAGGAGCATTTGCGAAGTATGTAACGTCAAGGGTGATAGCTCTGACAAAGGACTTCTTGTTTTCTGTCAGGGCTGTACTGATGCCTACCACCAAGCCTGTCTAGGTCCCAGAACAGCTCGGGAACATCTCGTTACTAAAGTAGCGACGGATAAGTTCATTCTTCAGTGTCGTCGTTGCCTAGGGTCCGCTCACCTAAAAGACCCACAATTCCCTCATCAAGGTTACTGTACCATATGCAATAAGAAGGGAGACATGTCTGAGCCACTGAGAAAACGCCTCACGTCCAAACAAGAACAACAATTGCGACAGGAGAACGGTGGAGAAGATCCCATTACCACAGTTGGTTCGTATCTTGTCAACAATCGGGATAACCTGCTTTTTCGTTGCACTAGTTGCCACAGACCTTTCCATTTCGATCATCTACCGAGTACATCTTCATGGAAGTGTTATGACTGCCTCTCGCTACCAGGAGAGGTTGGTGCCATGGTCGCCTGGCGCCCCATGGATACTGCCTCTGCGAAACCATCCAAGGCCTCTGAATCTGAGAGGGAATATCTCATCAAATGGAAGGAGAAGTCGTATTCTCACTGTACTTGGATGCCTGGTAGTTGGGTTTGGGGTTACGTGAATCATGCTATGCGACGTGCGTTCCTGCGATCGGATAAGAGCCAGATACCACGCATGACTACAGAGGAAGCCATTCCGGGCGACTACCTACGGGTAGATATCATCTTTGACGTCAAGTATTCTGAAGACCAAGACGACCTTCATGTGTTTGGGGAAGACTACGAGGCCGATCTTGAGCGGTTGGATGACGTCGCCCAGGCATTTGTGAAATTCAAAGGCCTTCCTTATGAAGACGCTGTATGGGAAGTTCCTCCAGACCGCAATGATACGGAGAGTTGGAACGACTTCAAGGCTGCGTACGCCGATTTTGCGAAGAGGTCCTACATTGGAACGCCAAACCAAAGTTCTCTTCGAAAGCATCTTGCAAACGTCAGGAAACAAAAGTTCAGGTCAAAGGACACTCAGCCAAAGATCATGACCGGTGGCGAAATAATGGATTACCAGCGAGATGGCCTGAATTGGCTCTACTATAAGTGGTTCAAACAACAAAACGCCATTCTCGCCGATGAGATGGGTCTCGGGAAAACTATCCAAGTGATTGGTTTACTTGCTACTTTGATACAAGACCATAAATGCTGGCCGTTCCTTATTGTTGTACCAAACTCCACGTGCCCTAACTGGAGGAAAGAAATCAAGACATGGGTCCCCTCTCTTCGTGCGGTCACCTATTACGGATCAGCCCAAGCTCGACGATTAGCCCAAGACAACGAAATGTTCATCAGAGGAGACCCAGATCTTCGGTGCCATGTTGTCATCACATCCTATGAAACAATGGTTGATGACACTTCCCGAAGGGTTCTGTCCAAAATACCTTGGGCTGGTCTGATCGTCGACGAAGGGCAGCGGCTAAAGAGCGACAAAAGTCAGCTCTATGAAGGATTATCGAAAATGAAGTTCCCATTTAAAGTCTTGATGACCGGCACGCCCTTACAGAATAACACGAAAGAACTGTTCAACCTTCTCCAATTCTGTGACCAGAGCAAAAATGCAGAAGAGCTGGAGGAGAAGTATGGCACATTGTCGAAGGAAAATATACCCGAGCTTCATGAACTAATTAGACCTTTCTTCCTGCGTCGCACCAAAGCTCAGGTCTTGACTTTCCTCCCTCCGGTGGCGCAGATCATAGTTCCCGTCACAATGTCTGTTCTTCAAAAGAAACTGTACAAGTCCATCCTTGCCAAAAATCCTCAGCTTATCAAAGCCATATTCCAGAGGGACGACTCGGACGAACCTTTGAGACAGACGGAAAAGCACAGTTTGAACAACATCTTGATGCAATTGCGAAAGTGTCTATGTCACCCTTTTATTTACAGCAAAGCCATTGAAGAGCGAACCACCGACCCCGATGTAACCCACCGGAATCTAGTGGATGCTGCTGGAAAACTTCAACTATTGGAGCTAATGCTACCCAAGCTGCAAAACCGTGGCCATCGAGTTCTAGTCTTCAGTCAATTTCTTGAGAACCTGGATGTCATGGAGGATTTTCTCGACGGGCTTGGTCTTCCGCACCGACGCCTCGACGGAAGGATGAGCTCTCTGGAGAAGCAAAAGATGATCGACGACTATAACGCTGAAAATTCACCTTACTTCGCTTTTCTCCTTTCTACCAGATCAGGAGGAGTGGGTATCAACCTTGCTACTGCCGACACTGTTATCATCATGGACCCCGATTTCAACCCGCACCAAGATATGCAGGCGCTCTCTCGCGCTCATCGTATCGGGCAGAAGAACAAGGTTCTGGTCTTTCAGCTTATGGTTCGTGGGAGCGCCGAGGAGAAGATTATGCAAATAGGCAAGAAGAAGATGGTACTCGACCATGTAATTATCGACCGAATGACCGCTGAAGACGATGATGGGCAAGACCTGGAGTCAATTCTTCGTCATGGCGCTCAGGCTTTGTTTGAGAATGATGACTCGAAAGATGTTATCTATACATCCGAATCTGTCGACAAGCTACTTGATCGCAGTCAGACTGAGCAAGCCACTACTCCGAATGACAACACCCATAACTCTGGATTCAGCTTTGCGCGAGTCTGGGCGAACGATGATGAAAGCATGGATGATCAGCTTCACGTCACGGAAGATGATCCAACGATGAATACTAAGACTTGGGAAAAGATCCTCCAGGCGCGCGAACGGGCTGCTGCAGAGGAAGCAAGGAAAAAGGCAGAAAATCTCGGTCGCGGAAAACGGAAGAGAACCACCGTGAACTATGCCACGGAGGTAAACCCATCGCCCTCCAAGCCCCGTGGCAGCCGCGAAGCGGAAAGCGATGCCGATTTCGACCTTGACGGGGATGGTCCTGCGCCCAACTCTGACTACAGCATGGAAAACGCATTTGACGATTTTGAACGTCCTAATAATGGACCCAAAGGTACCATATCCCTGGCTGCAAACCTCTGTACAAAACTGATTTCGATTACAGTTCAATCGTTCAAGCGCGTTATACCCGAGCTACATATTCCTCCTCCGATGCCTGTACCGAATGGCGTAGGTATGGATGGCCATGTCGATCGTAACGTTGACCGTAACGACGATCCTTGCTTGGTTTGTGGTCGTATCCACCCCGTCGGATCTTGCCAACTGAAGAGAGCTGGCGTAGAGCATTGCGGTCTCTGCGGCCTGGCGCATTATGGACATGCCCGCACATGCCCGCACCTGAGATCGGATGTCTACGTCTCAAGGATGATAGAAGCATTGAAACAGAGCACGGAAGACCGCCACCTTGTTGCTTTAGCGAAGAAATACTGCTACGGAATCAAAGGTGACCTCGCACAACGCGAGAAACGAAAGTCCAGCAAAGCTACAAATACTGATCGTTCAAACACGGCTGCCACACAACCCGTGGTAGACTTGACGGGGCGTCCAGCAAATGGACACGGGCAGTCGAACCCTGCTCAACCCGCTGCCTTGAACGACATCAAGATGTATAATGCCTTGAGCAGCTATTTGTCTAAGAGGAAATGATTTTCTTTGTTATATGAAACGGCTGCTACACGGCGTGCTTTTCTTGGGTGGTGATCTCAGCCCAAAGGCTTTTCTTCAGCGGGCATTATGGAGCTTAATGGGATTCGTCCTTATGTGTTTATTTAGCAATATTTTTCTAATTGGCAGAATTCATCGAGGGGCGGTCGGAGGCATATATATATGGGCTCAGTCACAAGTAGGTGGTAGGCTTAACGAACTAGTAAGCAAGCCGCGTCTGATTCTCCAATATTTATTCCCGAACTTCACTCCAAGCTTTCCGCTTCTTCCCAATGCCCCGTCAAATGTTCAGCTTTGGCAAGACGTCTATACACTCCCCAACCCACTTACATGCACTGAATGGCTGAGACTTCCTGTGGACGGCGCTTAAAGAGAGCAAAGGAACTTGACTGCTAAGGATGGAACATCCCCCCAGCCACATTAGCATTGGGCACAAGGTATGTCTCAGTGCCTCAATTGCTGGGTAAGGTGCTGCAGTACTAACGACGTCTACTCGGGATTTTCTTCATTGTGCAACCTTTTGCTAGTTGAATCGGCCATCGATTGTTCGAGAAGCGAACAGGCATTTCCCCGGCCCCTGGACAGACGAGCCAAATGAGAACAACGCTCGAAAGCCGGCTTTCCAGAAAATGGGTAGGTACGCGGAACAAAAGAAACCCTCCAGGCAAGCAGCAGAGAGAACTGTAAAGGAAATGAGAAAGCGCTGCAGCCATCCGCGGGGGTTGGTTGTACTGACCAGCTAACCAAACCATCGACAAACACTGACAGCATTGAGTGGATCAGTTATCTTCTCTTTCTGGGATCCCTCTGCTTTGTTTTTTTTTTTTTCTGTTTGACGACCCTGTGATGAAATATCTGGGTGAAATATCTGGGTTTCCCGGAGCTCCCTTGTATTCTGCCTTTCTTCCCCTTTGATTCTTTTCACCACCATGGATTCTCTGTTATAGAGGATGGCTGCAAGAAGTGCCGATCCGATTATATATACCTCTCGCTTCCTGGAGCCTGTTGCTAGTGGAAAGAAGCAGTGCAACCCCTCGCATCCCCAGTGTTGGTCTCCCCATTCCAGTGGCAGTGAATTTCAACTGCGCCTATATGCGCGAATATCTAGATATCTTTGCCCTGCTTTGACGAAACTGGATTTATCATTGTGCGAAAGATTTTTAATTTCATGAAGTCTCTGTCTCTGTCTTCTTCTTCACTGTTCCTCTTACCTTCCCTTCCTCTTCTTCTTCTGCTCTTCCCCTCGTTCGCTCGCATCCTTCCCCTCCCCCACCACCAACACTACCCCTCAAGCACCACTTACCATAACACCAATATAGTCTTTCTTCATTTTCCTGCAAGGGAGCTGTCGTTTAGCATCTGCTAGACTTGCCAAGTCAACATGTCTTCTTTGCCCCGTCCTCAGTTCTTCTGCACCCGCCCCAATGGCGCCCTGACGCCTCTCATTGCAGTTGACGAACTCCCAGCTCACATCACTATTCGCGGTGCGCCGCGTGTCTTGTCTCCCAACGAAACACAGGGCATGACGAGCTTGGGATCAGTGAGTCCGCGTGGCCAGGCTTATACTGTTGAAGGTACTGCACTGCCTGCGAGCCGTCTCCCATCTACCAGCGGCACCAGCCAGCGCTCCCGAAACCACGACATACAGTCTTCACTCATGCGGGTTCTAGCCGATGAAAACATACCTACAAGCCAGCGCATAGCGCTTCAAAACCTGCTTCAGCAGAACTCGTCTCAGAGCTGGCAGGCGAACAATCCTTCGAGTCCAGGGTGGCTGGTTTCTAACACTGGCGGTAGTCCTGGCAGTGGAAGCGGCCGACAGGTGAGTAACACTCGCCGGGGCGTACGATGGTGTCTCGAGATCGTTAACTCTCCTTTAGAACCCCAACTATCGTAACATCAAGAAGGAATACTGTTCCTACTGGATACGTCATGGCGAGTGTGACTATCAGCAACAGGGTGAGTACGCAAACGAACATCCAGCCGCGCACATGTGCTAATCCTACTTTGTACGATAGGATGTCTTTACAAGCATGAGATGCCTCTTGACCGCTCGATGCTTGAGAAACTTGGCCTCCGCGATATACCTCGCTGGTATCGTGAGAAATATAACGTAGCGAGTCTCCTGCCAAGCGGACATGGACATCCCCGCCCTCACACTGCGAATAGTCAGCCCTGGAAAGAGGACACCGGTTTCAAAACAATCCAGTATCCTCTGCATTTGGGAATCAATGGAGCAGCAGAGTCTTCCGATCTTGAAAAGAGCAACAAGCAGGCACCTGTAGCTCACGCCCCTGCCCAGCAGCAACACCAGCAGATGGCCATGCTACCTGGAGCTTCTCAAATTGCTTACCGCTCTATGAGTTCTCCCACTGCGCCGGTTACTCAGACCGAAACCCCCAAGTCTTCGCCTGGTCAGCTTGGTTTGGGCACTAAGAAGATCGACATCCTTGCCTTTGATCATCCAGACTATATGCCAGGTAACAACTTGCTCTACCGTCCCTCCAATGAGAACAGAATCGATGCTTCCCAGTCGGATGTGCAAGTCGAGGATCTCGTTCGTAACCTCCAGTCTCTCGGATATACCCCGGCATCCGCAAGCACAGACTACCATGCGAGCCCTTTCGATGCTACCGTGGGCTCTGGCCGCTCCACGAAGACACAGAGATCCCGCCGCTTGTACCAGCCCCGTTCCCAGGACCCCATGGCCCAATTCGGCCCCGAGCTGGTCAGTCCAGACTCTCTGCATGCGTTCCAGAGCCAGACCGTGGCATCGTCTAGTAGTGCTTCTGTGACCTCCAAGACCGCCAGCTCGCAGCTCGCAAGCCCTGTGGCAGACGCTGGTCATGGCACTACTACCTCTGAGCCTCCTACTCGGGGTGTCTCTCCGATCTACTTGTCCCCTGGCCATAGCCCTAACATCTTCCGTGGCCGTGGCAAGGATAAGGCTAACAGAAGAGCACTCGGTGCTATTGGTCAGAAGAAATGCTACAAAAAGAAATCCGCTGAATCTTCCGAGGACGACCTTTTCTTCCACGGAGGGAACTAAGAAACACAACCCTCACCTACGAAACCACCACACCTCACGAAGCCGACTAAAATAGACTCTTTCTACATAAGCGAGCGGTCGAGTTCTCCGTCACTATTTTTTCTTCCTCTTTCAGCGACACATCTACGGCTACTATTCAGAAAAAAAAAACACCATTTTACACTCAGCCTACGATGTGACATGATACAGCGCGATGCAATGCAATGACCAGTCCCTCGCTTAAATATACCTGCAACCTTGCCCTATACGGAGGGATGCCGTATATGACTCGGTGAATGCGGGTGGTACACAGAATCAACTTGGAGACGAGATACAGCGACGGCGCGACGAATCCTGCACTTCCTCCTTCAGGATGTGGAAGCTGCCACTACTGACGTTCGAACGAGAAGAATGATACACGCATGCATGTGCTTGGGACAGTGCAACGGCACAACAGGCCGCCATCTAACTAGCCAAGGTTGGAATATCTCCATTCAGCATCTACATGTTTCGGATTCTGTTTTGTTCCCTTTTCTTTAATTAATTACACGTGGTGGCTATGTAATAGTTTCGCTATATGTGGCGCTCTCAATGTTCTCTCTCTCTCCCCTTGTCCTTTTCATGCGTTTTGCTTCGTTTTCTTTTCTACGTGGATATGAATGTGTACTATACTGGGTATTTTCTTTCCTTTTATACTATGTTGCTGGGATGGCTCAAAGGTGACGGGTGAGAAAAAGAAACCTGTTTAAAAAAAAAAAAGGGAAAACGAGATCGGTTGTGGAGACGAAGATGAATGTTTATGGAATTTTAGGTCAATTTTCGAGAATGGAACAGACGTTCACCAAACGGGGTTATTTCATTAACACACCATGCCTGATGGCTAGGATGATCATAAGTGCATGCTATTGTATAGAAACAGGAAGTATGTAAGAAGCGTGAAAATAGTAGTATAGTACATTGACATGAAAGTAATTCTAAGCGACCTTGCAAAATATGCGCCAACCAGAGCTCAACAAGATCCAAGAGATTGTACAACGTCTGACAGCTTTCGGGTGATTCCATAATTCTCCTAGTAAATCTTCCGTTTCGAACCCAGCTTCGAAGTACTCAACCTCACGGCAACCTTCTCCCGCTCCTCAGCTGCTTTCAACCTCAACGCAGGGTTCAAGGCCGGCAAAACCTTCGTAGCCTCTGTAATGACTGATTTCCCATCCACAGTAACTTGTCTTTCATGCGCCAAGCGGATTCGTTCCGCGCGCGTAGCCGCGAGTTGTTTCTTTCGCGTTTCGGTCATAATCCACGACTCCGGGAACGTAACCTTTGGTTTGGGCTTGTGGTGGCGAAGGTCGAGGGGAATGTCGGTGAATGAATCACCCTCTTTAGCTTCCTTGAGCAGGGTACCAACGAGATCGCCTAGGTAGCGCTTGTTCTGGGCGCGAGTCGCGAATTTCTCGCAGGACATGCGAACAATATCTGTGTCTGGGTTGAATCGCGGGCCGACGATTTTGAGGAAAGTCTGGCGTTGCTCCTCGGAGAGATAAGTGGGTACAAGATCGCGGCTACTCAGCTCGACAACGACCTTATTTTCAGCGGGGTGAGATTCACCGAGATATGTGGTGTAACGGAAGCGGAGAATGTGGGTTTGAGGAGGGAGGGTGAAGGGTTGAGCGAGTTCTAGTGCATGACAAAGGAGATTAGCTTGACAACTAGGCATCAGTTACTGATTATGCGGCGCGTACTGCTCAAGAATGGCATATCCCAGGCAGTAATCCGGGCGTATTCTCTCATTTCGCGGTGGAGCTCGAGTTCCGCATGGGCTGGGGTGGTGATTTCGTCGTCACGGACCACCTCGCCAGTATCATCGACGATACCGAACTCATCATCTTCGTCTTCCGTCCAGAAGCCACGCGGTTTCCCTCGCAGAGTTTCCTCGAAGCGCTGAGGGAACTCCCTCTCCAAATGGTTCACCTCCTTGTCAATCTCCGCAAACATCTTCGCTCGCTTTGCGGGATCGTTGTATTCCGCAACCATCTTGGCGTTGTCGACATCGAACTTCGCACGGTCCTCAGCAGACAGCATATCGTACAGCGATCGCTCCTCTTGGGTCAATTGGTCGGGGGAATACTCTGGTGCTGCCGGCAACTCCTCAGGACGAGGTTCTCGCGGAGGGCGTGGGATTGCGGGATCATCTGGCGGCGCAAGAATCGGTGTTGTAGAAGAGAATGAGCGGCAATTAAGAGCGATTAAGCTTCTCCGGGGCACTAGCCCTGCCGAGCGGCCCAGATACCGTGCCAACGAGGCCATTGCGAGAGGAATTGATGGGGTTTGAGACTGGTGCTGTTAGTTCGGAGATGTTTTTTCGCGGTAGTTGTAATGGGCTTGGCGGCGCTAGTCTTCATTGGGACCCTCAGGCCTCTCCTCCTCTCTGCCAAATACACCCTCGATGCTCGCCGAGGAGACCCTGGATCTATGGGGTTCTTATTTTGGATGGTTTGAATTCGCCGAAAGTACGCATTCCTGGGAATGTGCTGGATACCGTCACGATATATTTTGTGATGAGCTGTGAAGCCACGTCCCCCAGGATGGCCCACAAACCCACCAAGCTATGCTTCGTGACAGTCGGAGCCACTGCTTCGTTCCATCTTCTGCTGGAGTCGCTGCTGGATCCGGCCTTTATGAAAGCCCTGCACCGGTATAGCTACACGCATCTTCTTATCCAGTATGGCAAGGATGGACAGGCCCTCTTCGACGAGTTCACCGCGAAGCGGCCCTTTGGCCATCCCGATCTTCATGGGATCGCGCTGGATGGCTTTGACTTTAAACAGACAGGCCTAGACTTTGAAATGCGTCTCGCCAAAGCTAAACCCTCAGAAAATCGAAGCAGTGGGCTTGTCATTAGCCACGCAGGTACTTATCTAACCCTTTCCCAGCGTTTGAGGCGGCAACTGATTAGTACTTAAGGGTCGGGGAGCATTCTTGCGGTGTTGCGATTTGGTGTCCCTCTTGTCGTCGTACCTAATCCAACTCTCCAGGATAACCACCAGGAAGAGCTTGCCGACGTTTTACAGCAAGAAGGCTACGCCGTGTGGGGCAGTTACAAGTATGATCACCTCTGCGTCTATCTTTCAGTTTACCTCAGTCGCTGATTGTGTGAGCAGAGAACTGGCATCCGCACTCGAGCGCGCCGAGACTCTGCGGACTCGGATGCTCACTTGGCCGCCGGTACACGGTGCAAACCGCAAACAGAGTCTGGAAGGTGTGATCTCTGAGGAGATGGGTTACCTGGACTGAATATCGTTTGCGCTGTCGATGACCATGAACTGGCAGGAACGTATATTTCCTTGGGCTTGGTGTTGTAGGGATCTCATGTTTATCGACTGCATTTTAGTAGAGAATCTCAAACCCCAGCGAAAGGGGATGCTAGATGATGGTTGTCGTTGTATACGGCATGTAGAAAGTGGCCCAAGCTTCTTTTATTTGGTTGGTTTGCAGCCAACGCGTAAAGTGACAACTCCTGTTCCCTGTCAAGCGACCCCCAATCCACCCTTTTTCTTCTCCTTCTTTGCTGTATCGAGCATTGAGGTGCATAGAAGCTACTTATTTCTCATAATTTACGAGTTCCGAGTCAACCTCTTCCGGGCTGTGAGGCCGCCGCCCGCATAAACAAAGCCGCGCTCCGCCAAAATACCCCCGACTCTCTGGACCACCGAACCGAACCTCCCACGCACCCACCCCCGCAATGGCTGAGGGCAACCTTCACAACGTTCCTATTGTCATTGACAATGGCAGCGGTACTATTCGAGCCGGGTTCGCTGGCGAGGAGGTTCCATCATGCTTCTTTCCATCCTTCGTCGGCCGGCCAAAACACCCGCGGGTCATGGCCGGCGGTCTGGAAGGAGACGTCTTCATCGGACAGCGAGCACAAGAATTGCGCGGCCTGCTCAAAATCAGATACCCGCTAGAGCATGGCATTGTTACAGATTGGGACGACATGGAGAAAATCTGGCACTATGTCTACGAGAATGAGCTCAAGTCGCTCCCCGAAGATCACCCTGTCCTCCTGACCGAACCACCACTCAACCCGCGCAAGAACCGCGATATCGCTGCCCAAATCATGTTCGAGACCTTTAATGTCCCGGCTCTGTACACATCTATCCAGGCGGTGTTGTCGCTTTACGCTTCCGGGCGGACGACTGGGGTGGTTTTAGATTCAGGAGATGGAGTCTCACATGCGGTTCCCGTGTTTGAGGGTTTCGCGATTCCCAACAGTATTCGGAGAATAGATGTGGCGGGACGAGATGTTACGGAACAGCTACAGCTGCTGTTACGGAAGACCGGGAATGTGCTTCATACCAGTGCGGAAAAGGAGGTGGTGCGGATGATCAAGGAGAAAGTGTGCTATGTTTCGTTGGACCCGAAGCGGGAAGAGAAGGACTGGGCGAACAATTACCACAAGTCGGATTCGAAGTTTGCGGACTACGTCTTGCCAGACGGACACAAGATCAAGGTATGGTCTTTCTACCTGGAAGATAGAAGGCAAACTGACACTCTGTAGGTGGGACAAGAACGGTTCCGTGCTCCTGAGATCCTCTTCGACCCTGAACTTATCGGCCTCGAATACCCCGGTGTCCACCAGATTGTCCAGGACGCTATTATACGAACGGATCTGGACCTGCGGAAATCGCTGTACCTCAATATCGTTCTCTCCGGTGGTTCGACACTATGCAAGAACTTCCCTGATCGACTGATGCGCGAGATTAAGCGATTGGCCGTGGAAGACATGAAGATTCGTATATCTGCTCCTGCGGAGCGAAAATACACAACATGGATTGGTGGTGGAATTCTCGCTGGATTGAGCACATTCCGAAAGGTAGAATCTCTGTTCAAAGTTACTAGGCTTTTACTGACTTTCTGCAGATGTGGGTTAGCGCAGACGAGTGGCACGAAGACCCGGAAATCATTCATCGGAAGTTCGCATAGTCGACAGCTGCATAATCACGACTCATTTTCAAGCGCGTCTGACACTTAACTGAGAGCCTCGCTGGTTCTCTTTGTCATAGGGTGCAGCATTGGATCAGCCACAACTACATGCAACTCCTAACCTCAAGTACTCCAGCCCGAAGAACGAAACATTTGGCTTTATTTCGACCACGAATTGCAGCCGCATTGATACCCAATCTCTTTCCAGATTCTCAAGGTCCTCTTCATCTTCTCAACCTCAACAACACCATTACACCCGTCAATAGAAGCTTCTCCCGCCACAGCTCACCATCTGCACATGCAATGCAACAATGCAACATGCATGCATACAACAAATAGCCATTCTGTGCATTAATCTTGGTCTGATTGTACCAACAAACTCGCCTACTGCACGCCTTCTGGGCAGATGGTGCTAGATCTTCTCATAAAGACAACTACCCGTCTTACATCTATCTTTACCCTCTTCAATTTGTGTAATAGCTGCAGCGTCGGAATCGATAGACCTCGTATCTAAGAATCTACATGTAAATAATGGAATCCCACTCGGAATAGAACTGAAACCGTCGATCTTTATATCACCCTTACCTTACCTAGGTCATGGCCAAGTGGTTGTCTTGAAAGCCTCCCCGAAAGGCAGCTTTCCACGACCCATATGTCAAGCTCTTTCGCGCACGTACCCCAGTTTGCCATGTCCTCCCCTTCAGCTCATCCCCCAATAATCAACGTTAGTCCTTTCATCCCATCCACATATCAACTTCGTATATCACGCCCCGACCCCTTACACCTCCACACCCTACGAAGTATATACGAAAGAACAACGTCTGGAAAACAACTCATCCCACACGCCAAAAAGCCGCCCATATCCAGAGCGTGAAGACTCAGTTCAAAGTCCAACTATCAAGCCCCTCTTACCGCCATGGGTCATACTACGTATACTCCCTACGCGGAGTATCCATAGTGCTCAGCCAGATTGAAGGCCAATTTGGCTTAGAAGGCCAGGCAGATGGGCAGGAGGGCTCGTAGCGCGGTACCTGGGTACTTACTCTAGATATACTTTGTATGGTAAATGGGATGGTAAATGAGATGTATGGTGACTTAGGGCTGCGATGCCGCGATTCTGCTGGCATTTGTTGAAGTTCTATTTTTATACCTGAGTTACCACTCACGTGGGTCAACACGTCTCCATCACGATCAGAGGAAGAAAAAATATGAAACAAAATAAATAAATAAGAAAAGAATTTGAATTTTTTTATTTTTTTTTTAAAAAAAAAAAATCCAGGAAGAAGGAATTATATTATTGCTCTGACATGACGTTTACCAGCAGTTTCTACGAAGTACTTCCTTCCCTCGAATGGCGTGCGCGGGAAGACAACAAACCCTGATCCGATCCAGACTCCATTTTTCTCGAATCGTCAGAGCCCAGGCTGAGAATTGAAATGCTACTGTCGCAATTATGATTTGTAACAAGGCAGAGGCGATTGCTCTCAAGGTCATGCGCTACCCAAGACTTTTTGCCCTGCTTTCTTTGCTTTTTCTTGAGGCTGCGTGAATGCGATTCAGTTGATCGTCAAGTGGCGTCATTCTAGGAAATTTTTATACATAGCAAGTATTGATCAACATCTTCAGACGGCAAGGAACAGCAATATTTTGTTAATGCTACTTTATACAGAACACATCTTTTGAGTAGGTTGACACAAGTTTGTTTGTGATACAAGAGTATGCTAACTAAGTACATTGGGTGGAATGGCGACCTCAAGATGCCAGTGTTGACTCCGTCTTCGCTAGAGTAATAGTAGAATGCAGTGGTGTTCACCGGATAAGCCGGATGACCAGAAACAAAGAAGAAAAGGTCCAGGAACTGGGGTATCATATATTGGGAGTGGTTTGTGGGTAGAGATGGGTCGAAGAAAAGTGTGAGGTGTCCGTAGAAGCGAATGATTAAAGATATAGAATGCGATGGTGGTAGGAGATGAGGATTGACAAAGAATTGAGAGAGAGACGGAATCAATAACTTTTTTGGTGGTCGTAAATCGTATAGTCGTGAGTGTTGAAGCCAAAGCAACCGCTGAAAATGCGCCAGGAAAAGGACATCGCTGAAAGAACCGAAGTCAAGGCAGGAACCGAGATGAGAGGAAAGAATGTTGAGTCTTCCTATGCCATGCCCTTGATCTTCTCCCAGCCCTTTTCCAGGCCACGGCGAGCCATGTCACGCGCGCGGTCGCTGGTGGAGGAGATGTTGCTCTTGGCAGAGGTCTCGCTGCTGGCAGAGAACTTTCGGCTCAGGGAGCTCTCGTTGTCGTTGTCGCGGTGGATCATGTTTCCGGCGCCACCACGGCCAACGTGGTAGACGGGGGCAGCACGGCGCATTTCACGCTCGAGTTCCTCATCGAAGCTGAAGATGGCACGCTCGCTGCTGCTGTGGACGTTCCCGGCACCGCCGCGGCCGGAGGTGAAGGTGGTAGGAGTGCGCGAGTCCAGGCGAGTCAGAGATGCTGGACCCGTGGCGGTGCGCGAGTCGGTAGTCTTGGTGTTCTTCAAGCTGATGATGTTGCCTGCGCCTCCGCGAGCCGTGTGCAGAGCAGGACGGCTGGTATGGGGGACGGATGGATGAGGTTCGATGACGCGGTAATTGATGAGCGGCATGGCGACGGTTTAGTATAGTAGTAGTGTAGATGGATGCAAGAGGCTTTCGCTGAGACGACGATGTGCGAAAATGCAGAAAGACAAGTCAAGACAGGTGAAGACAAATCAGTCAAAATCTTTGCGAGTGAGTCTTTGTTGTGTCTACTGGGAAGTGAACCAAACAATGCGGCGGGGGCAGCAAGTTTTATACCTGGATGTCGACTGGGTCTGCGAGAGGCGGTTCCGGGGAAAGCATGGCCAAGGAGGGCACGCAATCCCCCTGGGCGCATGATGAGTGGCAGACTCCCTGGCCAGGCACCGTCGACGGTCACACGCAGTGCCCGCAGTGGAGTGGCTCATCATCAATGCCACCAGCAAATTTTCCATCGAAGATCCATCTGGAATCGCAGACTGACGATGCTCGAGGGCCGCTGTACTCGTATCGTACTGTTACCGCCGTTCCTGTCGCTGACAAAAGCAGCAGCAGGCTCAGCAGCCCATTGCAACCTGGCATGTGGTGCGACCATTGGCTGGACACAGCTACAGTGGGGCAATGTTGAAAAGAAACATCGCTGCTTTAGACATCATCTGACCCGCAGCGTGCCACTCAGGACTGTGGCCAAACGTAACCAGAAACCGGCCCTGCGCCCAATCAAAGGAGCGGTCGGCGCACATTGCCGACTGGTGGTGGTTTCGTGAGGGTAATGGAAATCTCTGTTTGGCTCCTACTGAGAGCAACCGATGATGATGATTTCTGGGCGTGTCGTTTTATTGAACACACTACAGGCTTGGTCCGCGATCAAGGGAGGCACGTTCGTCGACTCCTGGAGGTGATCAAGTCAATCATCTCAATACTCCGAGAACAACTCCGAGTCCAGGCTTCGTGTCCTTTGCGAACTGTATAGTTGTAGATCTGGAATGCGGCGCTTACAACCGATTGCCGCTGAGCCTGAACAATGACTCGAAGAAGAAAAGAAAAAATTTCTCCCCGCATGATCCAGTCGAGGCAAGTACGATTGCATCATCACCGGCCGTGCCTTCCGTCGGTTCAGCCGCCGAGGGAACATTGGCATCGCCATTTGGCGCCATCTCCTGGCCAGGTGAGGGAATTTCTGTCTGCTCTGGAAGTTGAAACATCCACACAGGCCTGCAGCAGACTGGAGTCACGAGTGGACAAGGCGAGGAATGCTGGTTGCTTGGCAGGAGATCATTATTGTTCCTTTGATTTCTGCTCTCAAAGGGTTTTTCACACCGGCTTTTCCTTGGCAAGAACCCCTCAATTGATCATCATATCCTTGTGTTTTGCAGGGGCACCGTGTCAAGAGTCGGTGTCCAGTCTATACGCTGTAAAGCCAAAGCTGCATATATTAAGTAATGGATACAACTGCAATGGGGACCTGGGTGGGAGGAAGCGCTGGATGAGCTGCAGCAGGTTGCGCAAACAGCAGGGATAATTTACCCCAGATCTGCCAGGGCTGGGCCAGCCGAATTAGGAACCCTGGACGATGCTTGCGAAGGAAAGTTAGTCATAATTGGCCCACAGAGTGGACTTGCTGAAAATTTTTCATCCCCACAATAAACTCGAGCCGGCCGTCGCTGGCCGAGCACGCTGACTCGTGATGACTTGTTGATTTCTCAGAGGTTGCTGGTTTCGTGGAGCGCGTCATGAGGTCCTAACATTGTCCTCCGCTAATGATTAAGCCTGAGAGTCGCAGAGTCACCGACGGTTCGAAACTTTGGGCTGAAAACACGCGCAAGGGTGAGCGAGTCCGTGACTGTCGCCGAGGGAAACTTCCCCTTCCCCCGGATTTTCGCCCCAGAAATTCTCCTCAGGTCACAGGTGTGACCTGGCATGACGCAGTCTCTCCAAGACTCCAACTCGAACTCCAAATTTCCACCTCCTCTTTTCCTTTCTTCGGCTTGCTAAGTTGCCCAATTGCCCTCCGTCCAAGCGAAGTCATCTGACTGCGGGGTCAAGGTACCTGAACTGGTGATGAGGGGTTCCTTGTGAACATCACCCCTGATCTCCTCGTGGCAAATTATCGCTCCTACAACTCTGGAGGAGGTCCCCAGCCGCGAAGACGGCATTTTTAAACCGAGACCCTTATTCCACATCCATTCGATGGCCCGTAACGTGCCTCTGGTTTTACCAACGTCAAATAGATACTATGGCGCCTCAATCTTCGTTGTGTCGCCGATGTCGATGAGGACTTGCATACTAGTATTTCACTCTAGAGAGATAAATTTAGGCGTCTAGATAAGATCCTTGCTTCCGCGCCAGCTGCCGTCATACCCCGCTGCGAATGCAACAGAGTATCGGTCGGATCTCAAGAAGAAATGCTAAGGCTTGGCTCTCTCAACTTGATAGTTTAACAGCCCACCCCGACACCTCCTATACACTCCAGACTGATGCATATACTACTCGTTGAGGACAAGTCAGAGCTCCCTTTCCGTGGGCTTTCGCGCCTCTAAGAGCTTCTATAGGAAACCACTCCGTTTTTGAGACAGAACTGATAGATATCATACAGTAAAGTCAACGTCATACTCACAACGAGACTATTAGAGTGCTTCAACTGCACCGTCTCCTCGTTTCCTTGGGGTTCAGATGCCCTCGCATACCTCGCCGATCAGAAGAATCCGCGTCCACATCTGATACTCATAAAGGTCGGTGGATTTTTCCTCCACCCTCTCCGGATATTGCCTATACTCTGGAAGGCAAGGCCATCGACAGTCTGACAGCCATTCAACATAGGCCTCTCACCAGGAAACCCCAAAGGGCCATGAGACGGCTCGCATACTCCGCACTCAAGCGCCATTCATTTATGATGCCCTTTTGCAGCTTACCCCTATAATCGGCACAATTGTCCCAGGGCCCGGGCTTAGTCCATATCCTGGAAACCACACATTTATGAATGCTTGCCCAGGCCCGTGAAAAAGAACGCTGTACATTGGGTCTTGATTACATGGGCCAGGAGAGACCCTTTGGCGCTCAAGACAAAACTCTAGAAGCTCGTGGAGAGAGCTTTGAGTCATACATATCAATACCTTTTACTTTTGGCATGATCATAATCAGATGATGTATGATTAACTAGAATAGATCCAGACGAAGTTGGCGAACTATATGTCACAATTTGACACCTTGTAGCCTGAGGCGCCGACTCACTATTCTGCCATCAGTCACCGCTCTGTGATAGCATCGCATCGAATCTCTCTGTGCCTTTTGCCTTGTGCGACCTTTTTCGTACAGCCAGTCAACAGATCAGCTTGGAAAGATTCGCATCGACAATCTACGCTAGCTCCAACTGTTATCCTTGCAAGCGATATCTTCTCGTGCTCTCAATACACGTCTGTTCGCTACAAAGACTTGAGTGCACCCGCTGCGCTCGAAAGATTCGCCATGCCAAAATATAGGTGTTCCACTGGCCCTCTGAGATAGTTCTCTGCTAACCATTGAAGCACTCTTCTGTAGGTTACGGTCTCCCTGTACCACATATCATTCCAGTTGGACCGCGTGTTCGCGCACACGATTCCTCCGCAATTCGACAGAAACCTGCTCCGAAACACATACGGTACTGATACTGCGTTTGATATATAGGCGACTACTGCGATGTCTACCTTACGCATGACTCAATGAGTGTGCGCAAGGCACACAACTCAGGAAGGAACCACCTGAGGAACGTCGTTGAATACTACCAACGTATGGGAGCCGCGCCTACACCCACATCGCATTGAGTTGAGATTGCTCACAACTGCCAGAAATCGGACAGGAAAAGGCACAATCAGTCATTGACTCAATCACGTCCTCATACGCCGCCGAAGGACAGGCCGTTCCCAATCCCGCAATGGCTCCTCCGGGTGCCTATCCGCCTTTCGGGTTCCCAGGTCCGTTCCGTAACCTCTCTTCAACAGCAGCAGCATCGCATTCACGGCGCAAAACTAATCTTCAACCAGGCCAATTCCCCCCTCCTCCGTTCGCAATGCCTCCCGGTCCGGGCGGTGCACCTGCCATGCCACCACGTACGTCTCCTCTCTCCAACCAAACCTCAAATACAGCTCTCAGTTTTCACTAACAACCCTTTAGCCCCCGGGGCCCGCGGTCTTCCCTTCCCTCCTCCCTTCCCTCCAACCTCTGGCGCCGGCGCCCCAAGCGGCCTTCCACCCCTTCCCAATATGCCCAATATGCCTAATCTGCCCAACATGCCAAACATGGGCCCGCCCGGTTCCGGCCCTCGCCCAGGCCAAGGCTTCCCCCCGCCACCAGGCGGACTCCCATTCCCGCCCCCGAACTTCCAAGGCGGCGGCGGTGCGCCGGGTTTCCCGCCTATGCCTATTCCAGGTCAGGGTCCTGCTGGGTTTAGTCCCAGTCCTGGTCCGGGGTTGCCTGGTCCGCCCCCCGGACAAGGGCCTGATGGGTATGGGCCTCCTGGGTCGATGGCTGGGCCGCCACCTGGGCTGGGTGAGCGGTGATGTCGTACCTTTTTTCGTCCCGTCATTGCTTTTTCTGTGGCTGGGTTATGTGTCTTTTATCTCATTCTGGCGTATCACGGACATTTCTTTCTGTTGACTTTTATGAAACTGGGAAACATTCTTTTTGGTGTAATATATTAGAGACCTGCCTGAGTCTTGTCTATGACAAATTCGAGACTCTGAACAGGGGTTAGGACTCACTACCCGCAGAATACGACCATCTACAATACTATTACTGGTGAAATTGGAAGACATGAAGGATTGATGCCTACGCCGTGTGACGCAGCTATAGCATTATGGTGTCTTCCATAGCTAAAAACACAATAGCAAAGGCAGGGGCATCGGATAAACCCTGCCGGAAATATAGCACATAGTCCGCAAACCCAAGTCCTGATCTCCAGATCCAATGCTTCAGAACGCCAGATATAAATAATGAGCAAGAAATGAAAAGGAAGAGATAAGGAAAACCGGTGCGAGGTTGTGAGTGTGTGAGAGAGCAAAGAGGTTTTGGGAAAAGGGAAAAGAGTTGAGTCCAGTATATCACAGTATACGCAAGTGGGTAATGTCAGGTAGAAAATAAGGCATGTTGGACGAATAAAGCGCACAGAGTACGGAAGAATCGAAGGAATAAAGCACGGGTCGAGCGGTTAGTTCGTTCCCGTACTCGGCCATAACTTCATCTCTTAAGCAAAGCTGAAAAGCAATCATAGGTAGAAAAACAAAACAAGCTCTTTTAGTGGTCATAACCTGCCCCCCTTTGCCATGGGCTTTGATTGTTTTGGGTTCGGTATGAACCCTGGAATGGAGAAGAGGTAAAGCTTCGCGGCACTGGCGAATGTGACCGTTGAATTGCGTCCGAGCCAGGAGCACCACGGGGGCTCTGATCACTAGGAAATAAAGGCAGAGAGGGATCCACCGGAGAGTGTGGCGGTTGGTTAGCCGTCGGATTTGGACTGGGTTCGAGATTTTGGCGACTAACGCTAGCGCCGTTGCCACTGGAGAAAGAGCCGTTCTCGTCGTCGAAAGGGTTCGCCTTGTAAGGAGAGGTCTTCATGTCACCGCGCGCGGTGGCACCTAGGGCGTCCAACTCAGTGGTCAACTGAGTCTGTGACTTGATGAACGAACCACGGTCGTCCCTCATGGGTTGATAACGTGTGTCGGGGTTCTTGGAAACAATGGCATAGACGGAAGCAATGAGCACCAGAATCAAGAGCACAAGCGCCGCGGCGGCGTTGATGACGAAGAAGACAACGCCCATGACACCAGTTACCAATCCGGGCTGGTTGAAAACGTTGGAGAAGAAAAGGAGGAAAATGGCATTCAGGAAGTTGACAGCGGCAATCGTGATGTTGTAAATGTTGGTCTTCTTGTCCATCCAAGGTCGCAAAACGCTGACGGCGATCAAGAAGGCCGCCTCAATAATGACGTATGCAACAGTCTGGACGACAGGGGCCGGCTGGCTGAGACCGATGAACATGCCTTTGACGAAAAGATAACCCAATACTGGAATCACGAAGTAGTATGCAGTTGCGCGGTACTGGACGTAGAGGAAACCCCACTTATTCAAGCACGTCGGATCGGAGTAAAGGATGTAGGCAGGGTTCTTGTGCAAAGCAATCGAGCGCTTCGCCAGACTGATGACTTTGAATGAAGCCCAGCCTAAAGCGGCTAGAAGAGATATGAGCATTATCACAGCGAGTACCACCTCGGCGGGAGAGTCAACTCGAGTGAACTCCCACAAACAAAGAATGCACATTTGAGGGAAACCGATCAGGGTCAATCGGAACAGAATACCACGGGCGACGACCCTCCATCCGTTGCGGAAGTCCTGAAACTTGTCGCTCTTCATCTTCCCATGCTTGGCAAGAAGTTCACATCCAGCCTTGAAGAGCACAACAAGAAGCATCACCAACGCCACGAAAACGACGAAGAAGATAAAACCGGTTAAGAAAATATTGGTTTCTTCGATCCCGGCGACGAATCCGACACGCTCAATTCCACGGACTTCTTGGCTTTCGGAAGTGGCTCGTTCAGACTCGGTGCCATCACGTTTGGAGAATACTTCCACAGATCTTCCAACTAGGCCGACAGCAGTGTCAATCACAGGATCAAGAGACCGTTTCCTGCGCTTGAGTACTTCGACGGAAACCGTGGATAACTCGGAAAGAAGTGTCGTGGCGGTACCGCCTGTTGATCGCTGATACCACGTACAAATGTCCTGCAGAAATCCCACGCGGATAATGCCCATACTCCATTGAAAGTTCTGAGTCCATGACTGGACAATGGGCGGCATATGAATTGAAGTCATTCCAATCATTGCCTGGGATTGCATAAATGAGAAGAACGACAGAGCATTGGCAGCAACATGAGCGGCGGTATTCGAGTGTCCAAGTCCGGAGGTAATAGCAGATGCAGTAAGACCAAGACCAGCGATGATAGCGGTGGCCCAACCGACTCCCTTTTGGTAAACAGTCTTACCGTTCGAAAGACTGGCCTCCAAGCATGTAATACTCTCGTGAGTCTCAGTGGAGTTGATATAGATACGGACAGAAGCATCAAGATCCGGAACAGTATACGCGATACCTATATGAGCTTGTTAGTGTCATACATTAGCTTCAAACTGCTACCTAATAAGCGTACCTGGGATCTGGTCGTTGACATCATCTGGAAGTTCAAGAGGAATGTCGCGGACATCGATAGGGCCGGTGTTCATAGGGCATAGACCCTCCAAGTCCATATCACAAGGATTGAAGGTTTGTCTCAGGGCTGTATAACCGTAGGCATCAAGGACGATCGTGGCCTCGACAAATCCAGTAATGCCGGAAACTCCATCGAAACCGATAACCAGGGAATTATTATTAGGCGTGTATTTGACATGGAAGTAGGTGGCCGTAAAATTGGTGCTGTCTTGACAGAGGTTGAGGGCGTTGGACTCGATAAGTCGCTCAGCGGTCACAAGAGGTGAGTTGAGCAGAGTGCCCAGGAGATAAAGTAGAACCGGGAATAGCCGCATGTTGGCGGTTCTGTGTCCAGTCACACACCAATGGTTTCAATCAAAGAGGACACAGGCCGATAGAAGAAGCCCTGGAGCGGAGAGTCGTGGAAGAATGTAGGGTGGTACTGGGAAGAAACTTGAGCTTGGCAACGCCGGATGCGGAAGGCCTTGGGAACTGGGTTCTTGTATGTCCGTGATGTGGGTCGCTCGTAAGCTCCGAAGTCTAAAGCCTGATGCTGGTGAATATAGTGTTGGGGAAAGTCGCCGTTGCGATTGGCAATTCACAACGTCATCGATCACGCTACGGAAACGAGAGAAAAGCCGGCTAGTGGGTGTGAGCGATAACGAAAGATGTCAACAGGGCGGGAGTAGGTGGTAGTAGCGAATGTCGAAAGAACAAAGAGTTATAGAGGAGCGAAAGTCGAGGGGTTGGAAAGCTGACGGAGTAGCGAACGTGGCGGCGACACACAGTATGGCCGAAGATGAGGAGGTTGGATGGAAGGGCGTCTCCTAACTTGACCGGGGACTCCGCTGTGACCTTTGAAGTCGGAGAGCGAGAACGAGGAGAGCACGAAAAGAAAGAAACCAAAGAGGGGGGAAAAGAAAGAGAAAAAGATGACGGAGGATGGAATTCAGTCCCAGTAGCGGCAGAGATGGTTCTTCAGGGGATCTCGTCCTGGTTGGAGGAGAGACGGTCGGGAATGCAGTTGAAACGCTCTGGAATGGGAAATGTGAACGGGGAAGGGGCTGAGTCAGCACGCGTCTCTGAAATAATGGTGGACGGTGGACTCGATGGGCGCCAATCAATGGGCGCTGTGATGGAGACTGAGAGGAAATAACCTCCTGGGGGACGAGTGTTGCCGGTTTCTTGTTTCTTGAAAAAGAGAAGACAATGAAGGTTGACTGCAACTTTGCGGCCGTCGACGGAAGGGGGGCAGATTATCCAAGAGTCTTGTCTTCTTGTCGCCTCTCTCAGCGTCTTGACCTTCTTCTCAGGTTTTCAAGTCGTCAAAATGACAGTCGCCAATGGTCACCAATGGTGCACGCGCGGCCTCAGGGGATTCTGGATCTAGCCTTCCAGGCCCCCCGATTGCGGATGATTCTCATACGCTTAATCCACTGGATCAGTCTATGGTTTGTTCCCACTGATAGGCGACGCAGATTCCCTTTAAAACTCGCATAATTAACATCCAGCCGATTGCGACAAGCGGCCGTGCGGATGATGCTATCAATCTGATTCTCTGCTTCGTTGGCGCCCAAAAATCTTTTCTTGCCAAGTTCCTCTGTTCCATGGCTATCTGAGCCTCCATAAAGCCCACTCTCCCATGGTTATTGTTCTGCCTATTTTTCGCGCGAGTCGATGCCATGTCTCAAGTTGCTATTAATAGGCTAGTAATGCTTCTGGCACTGAAACCCTGTGGCGGAAAACGTCCAGGCGCGGGTGTTTTGACTCTCTATCGCCCTCCCGAGCTGTTCTAAGGCTGACAGGTTACTGCAGTCTCACAAGCGACTTGAATGAGCTGGCTGGACCTCACATTCTCGCAGAACCAATTGACCACTTGAAGTCTCAACAGAAATCCAATTAAAGATTCCCCTCTCCCCTTTCTGCCGTCGGCTTAGCGCCCAGTCTCTTGTGAGGTGATTATTTCGCGCCGACTCTGCACAGCCCCCTCCTGAATGAACTCTGAAGTCCGTACGAGTACGACTGAAAGCACCGTTCTTGGTCAGCATGACATCCATAATTGCATTTCTCACGACTTTATATCCCCAAAGAGCGGCAAGCTAGCTTCTTGAAAAGCGCCACGGTTGACCCTTTTGAATCCCTGTCTCATACTGATGATCTGATCTCAATGAGATCTGTGACTGTATCAGATGCCCTTCTCCGCACGTGGAAGTGACAGCTGATGCTGGCCGAGGGCGTGCATCTAACACCCCGAAGTTAACTCCAGTTCGCATAGAATTGAGATCGTCGAGGATAAACCTCGCCGTCCGAAGTTGTCTCAGCTCTGCGAACACGGCCTCTTGTTTCAGATTGCAGATCATCATCGATGCATGCAGTGGAAGCTTAGAATCAACAGCGGATCTTTTCATCGTCCCAGAACTGAGTGTCTTGCCAGGGCTGAGCGCAGCATCTTTAGACTTCTCATAGATAAGTTACAGGGCCATTGTTCTTCCTCACTTCCCGAGGTTCCGACAGCCACGCACCCCTCAAATGTCAAAACAGCCTCGATTCTTCAAGGCTTGTGCGAATCTTAGCAGCAGCGCAGCCAAGTAGTTGTTCCTCTTTGGACCATCATCCTCGAAATCAACGAGGTGCATGTCACTCGAACATCGGGCGTTGACAGCTGCGGCCATTCTTAGAAGTTTGCTCTTTGTACCCCGGTATAATGGATAGACCTACTGCCTCAGAAACCCAAGTCTCTCTCAAGCCTTCAGTGATAGATTCCGAAATACAACGTTGTATACTCGGCTTTCAAACAGATTTTACTCTCTAACTGCATCCTACTCCGTACGACATACTTTCGACGTGCTTTCCAGGTTTCAACTTAGTCACTTCTTTAGAAAGCTCCGATTTCCATGCTTCCATGCATCATGTCATCATTATCATGCTCTGACATTGCACCGGTGCGGTGGGACTTGCCAGTGGGACTTGCGGCAGGAAGATTTGGATCAACACGAGAAGTGCTGCAGATCCAGCTTCTTCAACCACAGATTTCGTGGGACTGTGGAGGAACGACTTTCAAGTTTAGACTTTGGTGCTCTCACACTCATCCTGTCAAGACGTCTTGCATACTCCCAGTTCGAGGTTCGAACCTTCGATCGTCGATGTCTTAACATTTATAGCTATGATCGCAGGTTCAACACGTCAACCATACATACGGAGTAAGAATATGAGGTCAGCATTGACGTGCTCGTCTGGCAGATTGATGTTCAACAGACACGCAATCACTCATCCTCAACAGAGAAGGCTCCCTTATCTAGTTGCTCTGATTCCCAGGGCAAAGGAGCAATCCCTGCTGGTTCAGAGGTTCAACTTTGTGATCTTACCAGACCCCACTTTTAAGCTACGGAGTACCACATTTCTCCGGAGTACGCTGTACACTTCAAGGTTGTACTCTGTAAATAACCATCAGGATGAACCATCACAATCGATTCAGAAAGCAAGCCTGGGGTAGGGCAGGTTCATTCAACTCGTATGTATATCCTTTAGTAGCCTTCATATGTAGCAGCTTAGTTGGGAATCGCTGGCTATGCACCCACTTTACTAAATCGATATATCTATATATCTATATATATATATACGTTGTGAGCGATATCTTCAGAGTTCTGATAGTTATGGGTCAAGAAGAATTACGGAGTAAGGGAAAAGGAAGAGAAGGCCCAAACTGGGGAACAGGGCCCCAAGCAAGGGCACTTACATATGTCAGTGATAACAACAAAAAAAAAATGATGGACTTCCTCTTAATGCCTTAGGCATTTAGGGGAAACCCGCGCCTTCCTGTATCTTATCACCACGTGATGCGGAGACTGACAAAAAACTAGCGCCTTAGACAAAAAAAAAAAATTCTAGTTCCCGCAGGCTCAAAATCTCCAATTATTCGTCAACCACGTTCAAGATACGGCCCTCAACCTTCTATAGGCAAGATGCCGGCCGCCGTTGACACTGCAAAATCGATCTCGAAGAAGCGCAAGAGAAAGCACGGTGGAAACGCCCGCGAAGCGACTGAGAACGGCGATGTCTCCTCACCAAAGCCGGCTGCCAAAAGCGAAGCCGTGACCGAGACAACGAAGAAAAAGGATCTCAAGCTGGCTGAGAAAGCTATAAAAGAGGAGGCGCAGAAGAAGCGGAAGGTGAGCCACTCGCCTAGCGATGAGGGGAGCGGTGATGAGGAGGAGGAGAAGGAGGAGGAACCGACAGCTGCCCCGGAGGAGAAGGACGACGATGATGAAGATGTTGAAGAGGTAGAGGATAAAGTGCCAGATCTTCCTTCCATGGACGCGGTTAGCCTGCCGCAGCCAGACGGTGGCCCGAAGAAGTTTACGGAGCTGAATCTGTCCGAGAAAACGCTTCAGGGTATCAAGGAGATGGGATTCGAGACTATGACTGAGATTCAGCAACGGACGATTCCTCCCCTCCTTGCCGGCCGGGATGTTCTTGGTGCTGCGAAGACCGGATCGGGAAAGACGTTGGCATTTTTGATTCCCGCCATCGAGATGCTCAGTGCTCTGCGCTTCAAGCCTAGAAATGGTATGACTGTGGTTGTCCCTGTGCTTTCAATGTCTCCTACTAAGCTAGATCTTTAATAGGTACTGGTGTCCTTGTGGTGTCTCCTACGCGCGAACTAGCACTTCAGATCTTCGGCGTGGCCAGGGAACTCCTCACAGCGCACAGCCAGACATACGGTATTGTCATCGGAGGCGCAAACCGACGAGCAGAAGCTGAGAAGCTCGCAAAGGGTGTTAACCTCCTCATCGCCACTCCTGGTCGTTTGCTCGATCACCTCCAGAATACTCCCGGCTTTGTTTTCAAGAACCTGAAGACTCTCGTTATCGACGAGGCGGATAGAATCCTGGAAGTCGGTTTTGAGGACGAAATGCGCCAGATTGTGAAGATCCTACCATCCGAAGAGAGACAGACCATGTTGTTCTCTGCGACCCAGACCACCAAGGTTGAGGATCTGGCTCGCATATCGCTCCGGCCTGGACCCCTGTATATCAATGTGGACCATAGGAAAGAGCACAGCACGGTGTCCGGCTTGGAGCAGGGCTATGTTATCTGTGAGGCTGATAAGCGATTCTTGTTGCTCTTCTCTTTCTTGAAGCGCAACCTCAAGAAGAAGATTATCGTGTTTTTCTCCAGCTGCAACTGTGTGAAGTATCACGCCGAACTGCTCAACTATATCGACCTGCCAGTTCTAGACCTCCATGGGAAGCAGAAACAGCAGAAGCGGACAAACACTTTCTTCGAATTCTGCAATGCCAAGCAAGGAGTCCTGATCTGTACAGATGTTGCCGCACGAGGCTTGGATGTGCGTCTCTCCATTTCTCCATTGAATTCATAACCGATCTGACTGTTCCTAGATTCCTGCCGTCGATTGGATTATTCAGTTTGACCCCCCGGATGACACCAGAGACTACATTCACCGTGTTGGACGTACCGCGCGTGGTGCCAACGGCAAGGGCCGCAGTCTGATGTTCTTGCAGCCGTCCGAAGTCGGGTTTCTGAAGTACCTGAAAGAAGCCCGTGTACCGGTCGTGGAATTTGACTTCCCAGCCAAGAAGATTGTCAACGTACAATCTCAGCTTGAGAAGTTGATTAGCCAGAACTATTACTTGAACAAGGTAAGCTTGATCTCGTTTTCGGCGGATTCAGGCACTGCTAATAATATCACTTCACAGTCTGCAAAAGACGGCTATCGCTCCTACCTCCAAGCCTACGCCTCCCACTCCCTGCGCTCCGTCTTTGACGTCCACAAACTCGACCTCGTCAAAGTGGCCAGAAGTTTCGGTTTCACAGCGCCACCGCGCATCGATATTCAGCTTGGCTCCAGCCTAAGCCGAGACAAGAAACAGCAGCAACAGGGACGACGTAATTACGGCAGCCAACCGAAGGGGCTGAAGTTTAAAAGAAAGCACGAGGATGATTAGTTAATTCTGCACAAAAAGGGACGAGCACATATTTTTTTTACCAGGTTTGCGCATAAGGTCCGGAGTTCACTATGCTTGAGTTTTAGTATCCATAGCTCTGCTTTATATATTGCTGAGATATCAGTTCATCTTTAAAAGTTTGAACCTTACTAGTACTCATGATCTTTCCACACTGTCCAGTGGCTCTTACGCCACCTTCTCGGTCTACGGTATATTCGATGGCCATGCAAGGAAAGAGCAACTGAGGGCCGCTACCTAGTATGTATGAAATTACGGAAAAGGGCGACCGTAGGCTCTTTCCTGAAATGTCGCCGTATAGTTATAGAGCACACCCCACCAGACTCGATGTACACCGGGAATCTCCACGACGATAACTCTGCCTAGGTACCAAGTCACTGGTGGGCGCATCGAGCCATCAGATAATTACCAGCTCACCTACAGTCATCGAGCAGGGCCACTGTTTATGGTTGGCTGTCCAAGGCTGCCTACTTTCTCTAGTGCTGTTCCTTTGTGATGATCGAGTTCATCGAATACGTTTGGTTGAACGTGCCTTGCAAGTGGAGGGGAGACTCAAGACTCAAGAGGAGGAGCACATGTGGCGACCGAGCGGGCTGCCCCTTTATGCATGGCAACCTCGTGGCAATGTGTCGGCTGGGGGGATGCGTGTCTTTCACGCAGATTAACAGAATGTAATCTGTACTTCAGTTTGCTATAGTGCGGGCGGTCATATACCTCATGGCACATTGCAAAGCTGGGTCCACTGCACGACATACAGCAATAACATCTGGTTGCAAAGCCTCAAGGCCTCCTCTTCGCGGCCTTCGAGTCGGTTGAGCATGAAAAATGAGAAAATTCGCAGCATATGCCAACATCAAAATCATGATAAGCCCTTTCATCTGGGCTGGTCACGGAGCGGCTCAGCTATTGACAGACATGGTTATGAGGTAACCTTAAGTGGGTCGGTTCCACGGTTCGCAGGCGGGTGTTGATTCTCCATCTCAACCTCACAGGGACGAGACAAAAGAACGGGTGGCTGGTGAGATCTTGAGAAGGTGGTGGCTGGAGTCGCGGGATACCCTGGGTTGAGTTTTTCTCTCGCTGTCTCTTCCCGGAGGGGGTCCAAAGAGAGTGAGTTGCATTCTCGTGTGTGATAACTCGGCAGCAGCAGCCAGAAATATCCCTGCCAATCACCAGCTTCACGCAGGCAAAAAGTTGACTTTGGAGGATGTGATGTGATGGATGAGTTGGCAACAGGATCGCCAATGGATGGTCGTCCGGGAGACCCACGGTGAACCGACTACCACCGATTCAGTTTAGCAACTGCTGGACAGTGCCATGCCATGGCACACACTGTACGGAACATTACTGATGTACATGTACGACTTGGCCGTCTTGACCGATTCGTTTGAAGGTTTCATGGACGGAGCAGAACCGCGCCGTGTTTCACTGTTTTGCGGGAGCCGGCTCACATATAATGGAAGCCGCATTTCTCCTCTCTGCGTGAGGAGTCGTGTGGTTTGAAGGAACCCTCGGGCTCCTTACAGTCTCATTGACGATGGATTTAGAAAATGGCTGGGCGAGCGCTGTTGCTGGGTAGCAATCCTCGACGGGGAGAGATAAGCCATTGAGAAGACCACTCCAAGGACAGGAGAGCAAGTGCTGTGGCGGCAATGGTACCCGAAACTCCTGTTGCTCCAGAGGATCCAGAGAGGACAGCGATGCTTCTGATCCACGTCTGAAGCATGGCTGTTCGCCTTGCGTGCCGTAATCTCCAATTGAGCCTTAGTGATGAGAAGGGATAGTCCATGGGTGTCTATTTAGCATGCTAGTATCATCCCAGCAGTGTTCTGACGGTAAACATCCGCTCGCTGAAATACAGAGACCGAGTATAGAAGGCTGGATCCGGATTCCAACGAAGGCTGCGTTTGCCCGCCGTAAGGACAAAACCCAGGAAAGCGCTGAATTTTCCAATCAATCAGAGCCGGGGTTCTGATATTTATTATGGCCATTTGCCAGCCCAGCGCATCGCTCGATTGCTGGTCGGTCGAACGACTTTTTGCGCCCCCAGCCTTCTCTTTTTCTCGGCCGCCCAGATCCTTCTTCTGATCGCTTCGTCTTCATCGTTCTTCGCCTTGTTCGCTGTTCAATTCGTTTCTAATTCCCATTTCTATTTTCTCCCCCTGCTGGTTGTGCTCCAGGCCCCTTTTTCGCCCCTGTGCAGCGACTTTATCTTGCGTGGATGTTGTTGGGATTATGAGCGGCTGAACTTTCCCTCCATCCATCGTCCAGCAAGCCTCCATTCACCTCCTCCCTCACTCCTCCATCTCTCTTCCGATCAGCTGCTTCTCGCTCCCTTTTCTGGCTCCTGCATTCCGTCCTACCCCTCTCCCTCAGTGACCTTCCTGCGCTGGTACGCTTGACTTTCCTTTCTTCCTTAAAATTGACGGCCTCTCAGCCTCACATTCCTTACCTCCCCACACCCCGCCTCTAAGGCTCTACCGCTCTCCCCATTCCTCTCAGCCTGACCAACTTTTCGCCCTGAAGACTGCACGTCCATTCAGTCCGATCTGTAGTAACACTTCATCTGTTAACATCGGGGCTCAGGTCACCCCTCCACCCTCCCCTGTTCCTATCCCAGTCCCAATCTCTACCCGCTGCCCTTCCTTCAAACCCCAGGCCTACCCCCTCACTTTGGGACGGAGAGAGAAAAGAAGTGTTATATCTTCCGAAAAGGACAAGGAAAAGCCAGCAGACTATGGGCTACTTGGCTGCCTGAAAGAACCTATACAAGAGATACCTCTCCCACTTTCTGCTCCGTCATGGGAGTCAGCACCCGAAGGCCGATCCTGCCAGCCCCCACAGAATCCATTGTCGACACCGTTGGCAGCAGCGTTACTGGCACTGACTTGGGAACTGACATATCTCGCCGCACAGACAAGACATCGTACTCGATTCCCGACGACGGGAGTCCCGTCACAATTCCCACCCGACGGAAACACCGCTCCCGCGGGGAGGATTCCAAACTGTCCCGCTCAGGGCACCACTCCCAGACCTCCCTGCTCATCGAGTACTTCGAGGGCGGGAAGGGAGGGTCTGGCGCTATAGTCTCCCGCCCCAGTGTTCGGGTCAGGGTTACCCCGTCATCGGGGAAGAAGTCCAAAGAGCCGAGTGTTCACATCACCGACTCGAGCGGGAATCGGAGACCCTCGTACTCGCGCCGCATTTCTTTCGGCTCCCCGTCAAAACAGAAATCAGGTGGCGAGGCTGCTGGCGATGACCTAAGTTATACCTCTTCCGCAGATGAAAACCAACATTCCGGACCGGTGGAGATCGAACTTTTGAATCGCGAGCAGGGCAGCGAGCTGTCTGCTGTATCTCGCGACCGCCGATACCTGCCGACTTCGGAGGTCTCGTCTATGCCTGCGGATAGCATGCTTGACGCTCCATCATCCGGCTTACGCCGCAAACGCAGCCAAAGTCTAGAGAGGGAATTTGAAGAGCCCGATCAGAAAGGTTTTCTCAAAACACCAAGCCGACAGAGAAGTCGCAGTCTGAGTACGGAGAGAATCGCCCAACGCGCCGCTGAGAAAGTCAGTAACTACTCTCGCGAGGCCTCAAGCAAACGCCGGTCGGAAAAGAACCGGGGAATCGACTACCAGGAAGTAGACATCAAATCTCCCCGCCGCCGAGGCTATACGAAAGACGACGACATGGCCAGTCCCGAGTCTAGTCTGCTTAGCGCGTCCGCTGTTTCGTCACACCGTCGCTCTGGTGACCAGTATTCCTTCCGATCCAACACATCCAAATCTTCCTTGAACAATCCAAAGCTTCTCGAGACTGTAGAAGATGCCATTCGAAGGCTGATTCTGCCAGAACTCAAGGAGCTCAAGAAGGATCAAAAAGTGATTTCCAATACGTCAAAGTTCGAGCGCGACTTGAACACGCCGTACTCATCAACAAGCTCCCCATCCGGTGAAGGACTAGTACGGCGGCTTTCGAAACATGCCAGTGCACCAAATGTTCGGAAGCCTAAGGTTGTTCTCAACAAAGACAGCCAAGATGAAGGGATACTCCTTGCTGGTGACTCGGTTTCGTCTCAAAAGGAGCGTAGGGCTAGCCGGGACAGCGAGATGACCTCGGAGACGGGCTATGTCAAAGGTCTTCGACCAGAGTTGACTGAGCAAGATAAGGTTCGCCGCCAAAGAAGCAAAGGGCTACGCGACGCCGAAAAAGCTGCCATTGTCGGTAGCCGTTTGACCGCTGCCAACCTCCATCACCATGAGTCAAATTCGAGTTTAGACAAGTACGAGGGCCGTCGTGATAGCGAACCTAAAGGTATCAACGAGACGGAACTGGTGTTCAAGAGGCACAATGTGGCTCCTATGCCCCTCCGAAGCGCCATCGAATCCGATCTGATGACCAGAGACTCGATTCTCTCAGACCAAACACTGGAACCCGAGACTCCGGCCGAAGATGTGATGCGATCATCCCCTGCACACACACCAGTTCGCAGTCCCCTCAGTTCACGCCATGACCTAGGACTAAAACACAGTAACATGTCCAGCCACAACTTGTCTATCCACAGCGCCTCCGATCGGGATTGGACTCATTCGCCTACCGGCGAAGCAGCAGCTGGCGCTATCGCAGCAGCGGCAGCAGCTAACCTGCTGGATTCTCCCTCTGCTCATCGCGATCTTGATTATGGTGACCATCTGAGCGTCAGGCGCGCCCTTAGCCCCATTCAGAGTGTGGCCAGCAACCAGAGCGAGTCTCACGTTAGGCAAGGTTCCACTCAGCATGTTCCGCAAGAGTTCTCTGGAGATGAAAAGGACATGGAGCCTCGTCTCTCGATCGAATCGCTCTCTTCGGCCCCTAGCACGAGCCTTGCAAGATCTAAGCGGCCGGGAGGCATCAGCGCTGAAAGCCAGGACGAAATTCTCCGAAACCAGCAAACAGCCGGCCCGGAGCTTGGCTACGAGGGCTCATCTATCTTGTCTCCGCAGACAGCAGGAGATAAACACTGGGTAGAGGAATCCGAAGAAGAGGAGGATCCCTACCGGTACTCCGTGGCGGAAACCGCCAGTACCGACGCCAAACATATGACCAACTACACCGATGACAGCGAAATTGACTTTGTCGAAAAGGCAAACCAAGGTCGTCCGGTTGCGGAGGGCATTGGTATCAATCCTCAATTTGTCCATCCGTCAGCCGTTGAGTCAGCGGTGGCTTCAGTCCTTGATCCGTCAATCTTAGACACGAAGTCAAATCAGTCCGGTGGAAGTTATTCGCATTCTACCAACACGTTTGTGCAGCATGAAGGTGGCAGCACGAGATCTTTGGGACAACCAAACGAAGTAGCTCAGACGTCTCGGCGCGGCAGTCCTTTAAAGCAACGACAAGATGCCTCGAGTCCTGACGCTACCTCCTTTCCTAGGCGCATGGGAGTCACATCGCCACCACAGAGCGTCACGCAGTCTTTAGACGATCTTACTGACCCCGTTCAAATGTTTGCTGGCAAGCACCGCGAGGGTGAAAGTCCTGCTCTTCATGAGCGCGAATTGAGCCCGGAAACCGAGTCAGAAATCAATACGAATCCGTCTATCATTCAAGGTCCGATCGGAGGCGTTGCCCCTGATACTGCCTGGCCTTATAACCCCTCATCAGCGAAGGGTCAATCCCCTCTCTTTGACAATACCGCTGCTGTCGCTGCCACCGGTGCAGGTCTCGGCCTGGCTGCCGGACAATCGGGGTATGAGCATGATTACTACCCAGAAGATGAGTACAACGCTGGCACATACGATGACCAGCAATACGCAAACGAGCATCCGTACAGCACACCACCAGGCGCCAAAGACGAAGGTTACGTGTCGGCAGCTAATCCACTCTCTCCAAGTCCCCAGCAAGCTAGCAAGGGCTTTGGGGGCATTGACGCCAATGGGCTTGGTCTGTTTGCTAGCCCAACCGGAGGTGAGGACGAATTCGGGACATCACATCAACGACACTTTAGCGGTTACTCCCATGGGGTCGAATCTCCTCTCTATGACAGTGCAACAGGACGAGGTATCGAGCGAATCCAGTCTAAAGATATCGTCGCACTCATGGATCATGTGAGTTTCATGTACAGCAGGTCTTGAAAACCTTCACTAACAGGTCACAGCTTACCGTTCGAGACGCTCAGCGAAATGCACGAGATACAGAGATCCTGGTGACTCTTGTTCGAAGTGCCGCTGAAATGCGCAACTCTTTCGAGGAGATGAAGAAGTTTATCGCCCAACAAGATGGCATGCTACTGGAGGCCAACGACCGACAGCACGAGCGAACTTACAAAGCTATAGGTGGCCCTCGCCCACTACCCGTAAGTGGCAGTAAGAGCACTCGGCAGGCTTCCCTGGACGATGCCGAAGATTTGCCTGCGAAGCGAAAGAACCTGTTCAAGCGTGCGCTCAAGGGCTTAAGCCTCAAATCCTCGAACGACTTGACCAGAATTGAAGAAATGCTTGAACAGCTTCTGGATGAAATGGAGGCTCTGCGTAGCAGTCAGAATGACGTGCTTCGTAGCGGCAACCGAGGCCCAGCCAGCATCGATCTTGATGGCTATGAGCCTGAGGGCATTGCCGGCACCTCTTCCCCTGGGGATCAGTCCGGTTATCTTTCCAATTCCTCCCGAGCGGCGCCCGAAACGCGAGCGACTGGACAACGGAGAGACATCGACACCCGTGTCAGCACGGTTCACGAAGCTGACGAGGATGGGGAAATCGACGAACGGGGAGAATTTCTGAGCCCGCAGCTGCCATTACAGGAAACTGGAGACACACAACAGGCGAGGGCCGGATCCGTACCCCTTTCAACACCCCCACGAACTGCGGCTGCATCGGCCGCCCTCAGTCATAGCAATGAGACAACCCCAAAGACGAACGACAAGTCACGGAAGCACAAATCCAGCAGCTCGTCATTCTTTCCCAAGATTTCTCGTTGGTCAAAGACCACAGCATCTTCCATGGGTGACAATATCCGCAACAGCATGCAACCCGGTCGCAAAGAGCGGGTGTCGTTTGACACGTCACGATCCGGATCTGATCTCGGAAATGCCGCCTATAAGACGACAGATTACTATGATCCCCAGGGTGATGACAGGATCCGCTCGAACTTGACCCTCGATGAGGGGCTTCAGCACCAGGAGAACAGGCCTCCATCTCCGTTGGTTCCATCTCAGGTCTCCGAAGCGCCTAAATACAGGGCGCATCGGGACAGCCTCGACATGCAGCATCCTCAGCCTCGCCAGGGTCCTACTGGGCGCTATCAATCTCAGCTGGAGTCTCAGGCACAAATATACGGGGCGCCTGCCAATCACTCAGATCAATGGGGTTCCAACCCTAGCTTCTCTGCTCTGAATGGGAACCGAAGATTCAGCGGTGGAAGCCGTCTCTCTCCGATCTCTGATGCAGGCTACTCTGACTCTAGTTCGCGAACTGGGCGACAGGGGCCTCCGAGGCCACCGAAGATCAAGGATGACGGACCTTTGTTTCCAGAAAGGCCGCCAAAGATCAAGGAGGAAGAACAGTCTTATTCGGACCGGGTTGCTTCACGGGTAAGTTCCAAGCATTGCAATCTTTATATCATCCATTGCTAACTCGTTGCCATACAGAGCTCTGCTATGAAGTCTCCCCGTAGCACACCGCCTCCTCGAAAGCCTACTGGACCCCGTCCTTTGAACTCTGGCAGTCAGTACAACAGCCCTAGCATGCGACGGAAGAACTACCGGGACAGCCCGGAGCAAGTTGACGACGAGCACGACTACTAATAAGCGAGTTTGACACTCGTTCTATTTCTCTTTAATATCACGACTTGATGAGCAGCACTGTTTCTCTTGGTTCCATTCCATGTCCATGACCTTGGCGTCTTGCATATTTTCTTCACATACATTTGTCCATGAAGCGGCGGAACGAGGATGTGTAACTTTTGTGTTTGCCATTTTCACAACCATGTACCTAGCGATTCCCTTCTCTCTGCATATTTCTGTTTTTAATCATGTGTCAGATGGCAAAAGCACTGCTCGTACAAAGGATTTACTAGTATTTAGACCTCGAACAATCTCACGAGTCCTTCAACCTCCACTTTTGAACACCTCCATAATCCATTCTTTAATCTAATGCGGGGTAAGCTGTATCGTATTTACTGCGGGGTCTCCGTCTCGGACTCCCCTTATCCATCTTGAATTCTCCATAAACCATCGTCATTCCACTCAACTTTCGAATAGCCATATCGCCACCAGGGTTCTCAAAATGACAGACCTTCTAGATCTCGCCATCTGCTCAACCTGCGGGACACAATTCACGACTCCTTCGAACCCCACTTCCTGCAAGATCTGCGACGACCCACGACAATACGTTCCACCAACAGGGTCAGTATCTCAGCCAACAGCCCCATCTATCTAACCGCCCCCGAAAATAAAAGATAACCAAAGAAGTAAATAAAGAGCATTGGAACTAATATGCCCGACAGTCAGTCCTGGACTACACTGCGCACACTCCGCGACTCCCAGAACCCCTCATACACCAACGTCTTCACTCCCGACCCGATTCACAAAGACGCTCTGATCTCCATTCACACTGAGCCAAAGCAGGCGATCGGGCAGAGGGCGTTCCTGTGTCGGACGAATTTAGAGCGACCTTCGGGTTCGGGGACGTTTAACCTCTTGTGGGACTGTATCACGTACATTGACGACGAGACGATTGCCCGGGTCAAAGAGCTCGGTGGAATCGATGCGATCGTCATCTCGCATCCACACTACTATACCACACATTTGCTCTGGGCTAAGATATTTGATTGCCCTGTCTATTTGTCCGCTGAAGATGAGGAATGGGTGGTTATCCGTGGGGAGAAGCAGGTGTTCTTTACGGGAGGAGAGTTGTGCTTCACCGGAGCAAAGGCTTGGGGTAATAAGGCAGTAGGGAGCGAGAAGAGAGAAGGGGAGGCTGAGCTGGTAGTTATCAAGACGGGTGGACATTTCCCTGGTAGTACGGTGCTTTGGTGGAAGGAGCTGAGGACATTGTTGATTGCGGATACGATTGCGGTTGTGCCCAGCGCGAGGTACTGGGTCGATAGGCTGCCCGGGACAGCGTCGTTTACCTTCATGTGGTCGTATCCTAATATGGTATGTTGACTGACTCCCCATATACTACTTTGAGCTGACAATAGTAGATTCCACTGTCTGCCGATGATGTGCATATTATCTGGAACGCGGTGAAGCATACTGATTTTGAGGTAACTCGAGGAGCGTTTACCGGAATGGATACGGATGCCGACAGCAAGAAGCGCTTCTTGGATAGTGCCAAGATCTTTGTCAAGGCTATGGGGTATCTTGATCATGCAATTCATCAGGAAGAATGTCTTTGATACAGCAGGCTATGAATTGTGGTGTACAGAATGAAGCCATTGGATAATCATGGCTCCACGAGACTGGTAATGATGGCACAGCGCAGACGAGACAAGATTGATTACAGGTCAGAAAATGGTCGCACCGAGGTCCTCACTGAAGGAATGCGTGAGTGATGTTTTGCCGTTGCCAGGGAACTATACTCCAGTCCTTCACTAATCGGGAACTCGCCTGGAAAACTATCGGCGGATTTCAGATGGCGATGCTCATTGATATGTTCGTTGGGATGTTCGCTGATCTCGAGCGCTGAGCGATCAATGCGAGAACTCTCTGCGACCAAGGAGTCAATCGACCAGGGCTGGCTGACGAAGCTGAACTGCGGTTCCTTCTCTGAGACGATCTTTTTATACTGAGCAGCCGGAACCACCTTGCACTGTCGGGGACCCGATGAGACCGATTGAACATTACTCACGGAGAGACTCCTTCCTATCGATGAGTAGATCGAGTCGCTAACGCGCGCTGGGTGGGGTGAAGAGAGCTCGGGGGACTCTTTCCCATTTTCGGCGCCGGTTCCACAACCCATCCTATTGTCCACATTCCCATCTACTACCGCCGTTGCGCCTGTGTCTTGACCAAACAGACCGCCATGCTTCGGCCTGGCCGTAGAAGAGCTGGGCGAGACACGTAAATATCTCTCGTCGCCCTGTGAGATCTGTTTCGTAGGTGTGTGCGCCTCTAATATTTCAGACGGGCTGAGATTCGACTGGCCGAGAGCTCGCGGCGTAAGACTCTCTGAAATTTTCTCAAATTCGTCCTTGGTCATGGCATTAACGATGTATGCAATGCGCTGCTCTCTGCGGCCGATAGCACGGCGAAGATTTGGGTTTGGTCCTGAGTTGGATCTGCCTATTCGCAGGATGGCTGTCGTAGTCTGGAGAAACTTGAGTTCAACGACAGCTTTCATAAGGGAGAGGGTGTTTCCGAGATGGACGTTACGACTGATTGGATCATGATCGTCTTCGCCATGTGGGAGGTCGGGGTCATGCTCAGAGACCAGGTCCAGGCTTAGATGGGAGTAGTCGGTCATAGTGGCCGAAGTGAAGATGAGCTATAAGCCATGAGGGGGTTCAAGTTCATCCTGAAAGGTGGATGAAAAGAAAAGAGATGAGGGAAAATCGCCAGTAGCGGATGGCAATGGCGGGTTCAGCGAGGAAGGAGCCAGTGCCACCGGCTGATTGTATACTTGCTGGAAGATGGCAGGTGCCGCATGTCTCCATCTTATCTCCACTCCCAGTCATCCCATCTTCCATCTCCCCACCTCCACCCATAAATACTCTCCTTCCTCTTGCCTCCCTTCGGATTCACCGCGGCATCGCACGTAGATTGCGCTTTCATAAGCTGGACACTAGAGCACCCTTTAATGCGTCCTCACGCCTCATGGCCTCCCTCCAAGATTACACCTTCCGCCAACGGCGCTTCGCACCTCTTAGCCAGGGCAATCGCGAATCATCCGATGCGCCTAAATTGAAGGGTATCGTTTTTGACGTTGATGGAACATTATGGTGTGCTCTCCAATATTCCACCACAAGTGCATTGTCACTAACTTTTGTCAGTCTTCCGCAAAATTACATGTTTGGTGAAATGCGGTACGCCCACTTCCTCAGCCAACTAGCCGAAGATAATCGCTAAACCCAAGCAGTGCAGCGCTGGGGATCAGTAAATCAGTCGACATTCTGCATCACATCCGTAGACTCCCTACAGCCGAGGAGCAGCTCGAGGCCAGCAACAAGATCAAGGCCATTGAGCACGAGGCGATGCAGCACCAGGAGCCGCAGCCGGGACTGGTAGAACTAATGGAGTATCTGCAGGAGAGAGGAATCAAAAGGGCGTTATGTACAAGGAATTTTGAGTATGTTATTCATTTCTTCCTGCTTGCAGAAGCCGGAAACAGAATGATTCAATGCGGCGGCTGATGGTTTAGAACGCCTGTTACGAATCTCCTCCAGAACCACCTTCCCACTCATGTCTTTATGCCTATCATCACCAGGGAGACCCCAGGTCTGCTCCCAAAGCCTGATCCAGCAGGTATCTTGCATATCGCCCATGAATGGGGTCTCGGAAATCGGGGTGACAACCTAATCATGGTATTTAGCCCCGAAATTGAGCCGCTTCCCATCCTTCGCAATCCTTGAGTGCCTAGAGACTTATACTGCCGTTCTAGGTCGGTGATAGCATTGATGATATGACCGCCGGTCACACTGCCGGAGCAGCTACGGTGCTGCTGCTCAACGATCATAACGGTCACCTGAAGGAGCACATGCACACAGACTTGTGTATTGAAAAGTTGAACGAGCTCATCGATATACTGGAGAATGGATTCACCGGTAACAAATGTAGAGCCGAGTTCTCTGCGACTGATGGGGAGGCTTGAGCGCAGACCCAATGATAGATAACTGGAGAATATGATCTCGATAGACATCTGAACACGAAATCTTGCAATTCTGGTGGTTACAGCCGGTGTCACGGAAACTGTACAGCATATCTACCAGCTGCCGTAAGTCAAGGTTCACCTGGAATCTTAGGTCGATACTCAAGACATCGATGATCTGAACGGATTGACGCTGTTTTCACCGGCCTGCAAGGAATTAGTATCACGACTTTTTTAATCATCACAGCCGATATTTGTCCCAGGCCTTCTTAGCCGCACTAGGCATAGGCCGGTAAGATGAGTCTCCTCCACCTCGGTGACCTCCACCGCGTCCACGTCCATTCCCACGACCACCACCTCGACCTGGGCGGGGAGGAGGCGGCCGCCCCTGGCCACGAGGCGGAGACCTTGGCGGCCCCGGCTGCCAACCTCCTCTTCCCCTCCCAGGCCTCCTGTCCCGACCAGGGGACATCGATCGCTGACGAGGATTATAATTCCTCGAATATGCGTCCTCTCGGTCTCGGTAATCCCTAGCTGGCGGCGGCGGAGGGGGTCCCGGATTCCTATTCTTCCCGGCACTACCACCGATCCGAATGTTGATATTCCCTCTATTCGCATTACGGTTCCCGCCGATTGGCCCCTTTTTGCCGACGCGAGACATCATATCGTCGCTTTCGGGAGATGGGGAACGTGCCTGGTCGGCTCGCCCTCGAATCTTCAAGCCTTGCTGGCGGCCTGATGGTATGCTGGGTCCGCCGCCGCGTTGAGGGCCAACGACAGAGTTGATATTTGTGATGATCTCCGGGTCAATTCCGCGAAGCGTGAACGTTGTCGAGCTGGTGAATGGCCTGGTCGGAGTGGGGCAGTCACCTATTAAATGGTGGCTGCTGAGGCAGTTGGCGCAGGAGATGGAGACCAGGACCGGCTGAGCGGTTGTGTCTGGACGCGGAAGTTGCCAAAGGTAGCCACAGTCGAGTTCGGTGTGTTCTTGAGATCCGCACAAGTCACAGGGAGTTTCGTTTGCTGAGCTCTTTAAAGCGGAGGGACACTGTTTCTGATCGTGGCCGCGTTCGCGACATCGCTGGCATCGGCGCCATCGAGGGCAAAGGGTGCTTTGATGTTTGTTCCAAGCGCCGCAGTGAACACACTGCCGAGAGGTTAGTTGGTGTCTGTTTGATGGGAATTCAAGGATCCGAGGGTCAGGCATACCTCCTTCGTAGGACAGACTTCGGCGAGATGGCCCTCCCGCAAGCACTCTATGCATGTAATAGGTAACTGCAGGTTGACGTCGTTGATATCTCGATCATAAAACATAGTCCGAGCTTGTGTTTCCAGGTCCTCGCGATCGAGATCAGCAAGAATAAGAGGCGCGGCGGGGTACTTTTGCGAGAAGCGAGCAAAGGCATCTTCTTTTGCGCCATCCCCAGATCCATTTTGAATGCTGCGAATGCTATTATCTTTAGCAGGGTTGTTTAGGACGGGAAGAGCCTCCGGATCGTAACCATCACCGTTGATAGAAAGAGTCTCGGGATCGTAACCGTCTGCGCTATCATCGTCGGAAATCGAGATCGCATCGTCCTTGAATTGGCCCTGGTTCCTCGAAATCATTGCATTGACTGGATCATAGTCGTCATCGTCATCGTCGGAAATCGAGATCACACCATTCTGATCCCGATCCTGGCCTCTTGAACTGATGGTGTTCAGCATGATGGAGTCGTCGGCCTCTGAATCCAGTGACTCGGAGTCATCCGAGTCGTCAGAGATAATGGGTTTTGAGGATGCAGAGGCTTCCTTGTCTTCGTCGACTTCGCCCTCTTCCGGGCTGAGCGCCTGAGTGTTACTCTCGCCTTCCGCGACCGAAGCGCCCTCCCCCCTTTCCCTTTTTCTTTCTCCGTCAGATGAAACAGACGCATTTTGCTTATGGTTCGCTGTGATTGCAGAAGCAGGCTCTGTACTCGTTCTCGCGCTTTGTCGTTGCCGACTCCGCAACGAGGTTCTAATCACACTCTTCCCCGTTTTATTCCAGTTCGGCGCCGGTGCACTTCCCATATTGGCGTTCGCATTTGGTCTCGTGTTCTCCTTCTCACTAGCACTATCGCTATCGCTTTCGCTTTCGCTCCCACTCTCGCTACTCCCGCTACTACTACTCTCACTGGCAGACGAGGAGTCGTCGCTGGCGGAGTGTGAATCCGCCGCAGAAGCTTCCACAGGTGACGTGACCGGGTCAACGTCTAGCGAGTTTGCACTGAAGGTCGCGCCGCGCGGAACAAAGTCTTGCACATCGTCAGTCGGTGTTTTCCGACTTCGTCTTTGTCGTTTGCTTGGAGGTTCGCGCGAGGTGTGTCGGGAGGAGTGCGCGCTCGAGTTTGCGGTGGAGCGGGTACGTTGGGCGCCTAGAGAGGCGATTCGAGAGTCCTGGTCATCGGATGGTGCGTCAGACATGCTTTGGACGCTGTGACGTGGGATACAGGGAAGGACGTTGCGAGGGTTATCTATCAGGCACAAGGAATAATTTGTTGGCAGTGGAGAGGCTTGGCTTTGCCGCGAATGAAAATTTACGGAGCGACGGAAAGACCAGTTGTGCTGCATTCACATACCAAAATTAGAACTGATCAAGGGGGCAGATGATGTCCCAAATTCGAATTGAGATTCATTGAAATAGATAGAGTGGCTAAAATCGATATATACTAGGGGTATCTCATGAGATGATAAGAGATCAATCAAAATCAACGTCGCCGAACAACTCCTACTACAATCAAAACTCCTTGGCCAACTTCTACCTTCCAACCTTCGCGCGCCAACATCTTCCCAACCGCTGGTCCAAGACGTGAGGTGCCATCGTGACTGTGCCGGCCCATACCTGTGATGATGCGATAGCCACCTTGTGCGGCTTCTCGATCGCTACCTCTCATATACTTGGAATCACCGAGTGAATCCCACCACTGTCCTACGCGGGAGCTGGTGATGCGCACGGCGTCTTGGACTGAGACCCCGTGGAGATCAAGGCTGTTCCAGGACGACTGAGAATTAACCAACGCATCGGCAGCGGCTGCAGCATCTCTCTTCGCCCGTTCGAGATGGTCGCGGCCTAGAGATGAATAGTATGCAGCGGCGCCTCCCATCAGCCGGTCTGATTTCCCTCGTTTATAGGCTGCCGACGCCTTTGTGAGTGCTTCTGCGCCAGCAGCATAATGATACCCTGCGGAAGCAGTCACTTGTTCGTATTTAGGGGAATATCGTGACCCAGCGCCCCGCCCTCTGGAAACTTCTTCATCAATATCGAGCGGCGGCGGTGAGGTTGTGATTTTGATCAGATCAGCCACTGACGGCGGTGATGGTGTTGCTACTAGTGCCGCTGCCAATTCGTGCGCTGCTGAAATGGAGTTTCTTGTTATGACCAGTAAACCCGCGAGGAGTTCTGGGGTCATGGCCGGAAATTCTTGTGTCAATTCAGCAACTTGTGTGACCATAACCGGGTGATCACTGATGGCATTTTCATCTTTCGGTCCATTTGCGACTGCCAACGCCCGAATGGCAGCAGACAAGGAAGCTCCATTGGCGTGGTAGGTCGAGGTGACTGTTTCTCTCTTGAGGATGGGAGAAGTCCGAGAACAAATAAAGTCAACGTCTTTTTGCGCAGCATCCCACTTGTTCAGGGACCCGCTCGTCTCTGACAACGGAAGCTCATGATCGGGGCTGACTGGCGATGTTGCGTTCCGGCTGCTCTTATTTTTTCCCTTGCGCCTGCGGCTCTTCTTTCGACCAATCTCATCATTCTCAAAGCCATCTACGCCTTTAGGTAAGGACAGTTTTATGCCATCTTCCGTAGTAGGCTCTTCATCGAAGAATGCAAGATTGAGAAGAACATCCATTGACCGCTCAACGTCACCGTTCGATTTCCTTAGCGCATGTTGAATCGAGAAGCGCTCCGTGGACGGGAACATCTCCGAGAGATAAAACACTTTGTCTTCTTCCGAAGCCCCGGAAAGCGAAAGCGCCCCGTCGGGTCCGATAATGTACGACAAACATGACGACCGGCTCTTGTCGCTTAGACTCAAAGCGGAGAATTCACTTGTGGCATCGGTGGTTCCGCGCGAGCGAATGTCAGCCTGGGAGAGACTCGGATCCGAGTCGAGGCCGCTGCTAGAGTTCAAACCGCTTGTTCCCGAGGGGTCGAATGGCAGGTCTTCCTGTTCCCATGCGGACAATCTGAGGGCATCGAGAGTTTCGTGAAGCTGTTGAAGCTGAGTTGCATTTGTAAGGTCGTAGTCGGACACGATGGCCGTGAACAACGGGGGGTCGAGTGGTGGGCAGTAAGTTTTTTCCAGTTCCTGGCCAGTGTAAGAGGACGAATAAGTAAGGTGTTCAGAGGAATTCAATTCCAATTCCCGCCTGTTTCTGACCACAGGCTACAGGCTATTGGGACAGAGATGAAGGAGCACTGACTTGAAACGCATCTTCACTACTATCATCCATCTTCAGAGTCGCTGGCGGTCCGGTGCAAGTATTTCGAGATCTTATTGTGCATGCCTTGGAAATAGATGTTCTGTATTATTTTGAAGGGGAAGGAGAGATATCCTGGAGAGGTTGTTGTGTTCAAGTTTAAAAGCGGGGGAGAAAACGAGTCATTTTCAGATGACATAAGAGAGCTCTACAACCCTTCTCCTAGAGAGTTTAAACTTGGGACTTCTACGGTGTACAACACTTTTTCCCCAAATGCAAATACATCATTTGTGGCTATACTTCTTGGAGAAACTATAACTATCGTCCAATAGTCATGCTTACATCAGATACTCCATGGTAACGCCAGATCAACAATGACCCCTCAATCAACAACAACAACAACAACAACAACAACAAAAAAGACCTCGGAAAGCCACCAACGGACCAGTCGCGGGCAAGACAAAGATTTTGACGACAGAGGGCGATAGACCATGTACGGATGAAAGGACATTCAGGACATGAGTTCGGTCTCCTCTTCCTGACCAATCTCTTCCTCCTCCATCAAAAGCCCCGGAGATTCGCCGCTCTCCTCGGTGCTGAGCTGCTCCCAAGGAATGTTCTCGAGCGCGGAAAGAAAACCTCCAGGCAGTTCGCCGCACCTATCAAGGAAAGGAAACCGAGATATTCCGCTAGTCGAATCCGAGAGCTCGCTTGGGAAGTCGCTTGGGAAGGGAAGGACTGGTTCGAGCCCTGGTCCGGCACTCTCTCCCGGGAAGGGAAGAATGGGGAACGGGAATATGCCCCGCGGGTTTCTGGTTGGGGCCGTGAGGGCGGCGCCGCAAAGGCCGATAAAGACGGTAGCGTATTGAAGCATCATGGTGAAGGACAGTGACGAGGACTCTTCTGGCGAGAAAGAGAAAGCAATGCACAAGGAGTTGGTCAGGCACTGGACTTGAGCAAGATCAGGTTTGAAGAAGGAGGTGGCTGGTAGTTCTGAGAGAGAAATCACTGCTGTTTAAATGCCCAATGTCAGGACCCAGGTGAAGCTTGTGAAGGTTGCTGGTGTGGCATCCTCGTCTGACGGTCAAGAAACAAGCATACGCAATCCCTGTTGTGCATTCTGACACTGTATCTGACTGCCAGGTACAGACGAGACATGGAGGAGACACCCCGTCTCAGTTCACCAGCTTCATGAGGCAAATGTTTGCTGCGGGTGCTCGCAAAGCCCAAGCACATCTCGCGCAGAAGGCACATATTGATATGCAGTGTAATGATTTGAGACTCGCTTTACGAGTGTTGTAGGTCCCTGGCCTAACATCTTCGGGGGGTCAAGCGATGTTGATACTTCCCGCCAACGCCAGGATACGTGCGTTATCCATCTTGTTGATATGGCCGGTTCAGGGCCACATTCGACTTCTTGAATTTGGCCCATAGCAGGTCGGAAACTGATTACGGGACCCCAATAAACTCCAACCTTACACAATATCAGTGTTCATTTGGCCGTTGGGAAGCACAAGTACCGAGTCACCCCAGAGCTCCACAGGGTAACTGCTCCACCTGTTGTGACCCAGGTACTTGCATTGGTAGTACCATGCGCACGGCAATGGGAGGCCTTCCTGCCCCTTGATGGCATACGTGAAGCTAGTAGACTAGTAGCTTCGTTTCAGTTCAAGCCAAGACGAGGCAGGACATCCCCTATATCCCCTTTATCAGACGAAGAATGAGAACGTTTCTCTGGAGTCGTACTGGCTGCACGGCACATGAACTGGCAATCGAACTCAGGCTTGTAGCTAGACTCTTTCCTCTGTGTAAGGGCATAGCAGGCAATAGCCACTGTCCTGCTCGGACATAGGGAGCGATTGTCAAATGTTGTATAGTTTGGCAGTTTTCGGCGGATACAGCGATGACCTAGGCTGGGTATGTGTCAGACGCGAAAATGATATTGATGGCGTGGAATAAATACTGGTGGCCTGCACGAGAGATTTTTGGTCTGATCGATATGTCTCAAGCACCTGCTGGAAAGGAAACTGATCTTCGTCGGGCTCCGAGAGGATGAACCCATATAGCAAGACCGGCACGGAGCCCATCATGTGGTGATTCGTCTGTAACTTGACAAAGCTCAAGTTGAGAAGGGGGTTCTCTCACACCTGCTCACCCCATAGCCTTTTTTCTGTGAGCGAAAAGGGTTGAAAATGGTCGACGATTGCGGATGGTTTTTGACTATGACCAGGATCTCGTCAGAGTGTCAGCACTCACAACCGAGTGATCAAAACTCCTCAACCCTTTCAGGAGACGAGGCGTAGAGACCCTTCGGTCTATTGAGAACAAACAAAATAGAGAAGCGAGGGGGAAGACACAATGGCTGGGTTTCCTCCTATTGGAATCCCGTCCGCGTCACAACTGACCTATCTCGTATTCAGCTTGTGCCGGCCGCATGAGAGGTCCAACTTGAGCTGCGAACCATCAATAGTGCCTGCGGAAGGCTCCGCTGACCTGACAACGTCTACAAAGCCTACAGACCTCGAAGAACCGCTGTTCCTCCTTCCAGGTTGCGAATCCGATGTATCAGACGTCAGATGTCTTGAATAATTCCCAGTTGCTGAGGTCATATTGTATAGCCTGCGGGCCCCTCGCATGAATGGAAACCGTCGACCGTTTATTCTGTTTATACGGTGTGGAAAATATCTATATAAGGCATTGGTCTCTCTATGACTTTTACTGTTGCATCCAAGGAAATTCCCCATCTCCTCCCACACCAAACCAACCAGGTCCAGATCCAACCATCCAACCAAGCACAATGCGTGTCTTCGCGCTTCTCGTGGCTTTTGCAGTCTCTGCACTGTGTACGTTTCCATATCCTCCTATACTACACAATACTAACCGTGACTACCCAGCTCTCACAATTACCTCTCCCTCCGCCAACGACAAAGTCGACTTCAGCAAGCCCTACACTATCAAATGGACAACCGTCCCGTACGTCTTTCCCAGTTAATTACCATCACCCCCTCCCCTTCGCAAGAGACCAACTAACTAGGAAAACCACAGCTCCGACCCGCAAAACTTCACCATCACCCTGGTCAACGCAAATGGCCGCAACGTCAGCAAGGACCTCACCACCCGCGCCGAGTCCGACAAGAACGAGTACCGCGTTGAGCGTGTCTGGGACATCCCTGTTGCGTACGTTGCCTTCTCTCTGTTCTATATTTTCTCTCATCCAAGTCTAATACCAACCCGGGACGAGCAGAAACAACTACCAAATCAACTTCCGCTCCACAGCCCGCGAGAACATGGGCATCCTCGCCCAATCGCCCATGTTCAACGTCACGCGTGTTGCAGATGGGCCGGAGGAGACTCGTTAGTGCCCCCTGCCATTCCTATTCTTGAATATGCCTCTTGGTTTGCGTTGAAGACATGCTGGTTCTAATGTGGTTGCAGAAACATCTACTGCCACTGCCACCGCGACAGAGTCCGAATCTACCCCGACGGAGACAAATGCCGCTGGAAAGGTCGTTTACGGTGCTCCTGGTGCTGTAGCTGGCGTCATGGGGCTGCTCGCTTTAGCTTTGTAGATTGGTACCATGGGGACGAGCAGCTGAATCGAAGGTCCGTGGATGGGGCATTTCAAGGGAGGTATCTTAGCAATTGGCTGTTTTAATGAAGGATAATACGTGACGCATGAGAAAGATATGGGTATGCGTTAATGTATGGATTATGGCGCTTGCAGATATACTAATTGAATGTTCGGAATTATGCAAAGAGGCTATTATTGGATTCGTCATGAGTAAAGCGAGCAGTCTGATTCGATTACAGAATTTGTAATCGACTTTAGAAAAGGAAAGAGATATTCAAGGATAGGTAGGATGAGGTAAAGGAAACATGTCAAGTGAGAAGTTTTTGAAAAGACAAGATCCGCCGAGATGAACAAAGATTGACCGATATTTCCGAATATGTACGCAGCTCGACAGCCATTTTGAGAAAGTAATATATATATAAAGGCGCAAACGAACCGAAGGGGTATTGGACAGAAAAGAAGAATTATCGCACAAGAAGTGCCGTCGTGGATGACGGCTGGAATCGGAAAGTATTCCCATGTAGGAATGCAATAGGGTCGTAAAAAGCTGAGCAGACCGATGTGAAATCAAGCAGCCACAATAGGCTACCTGTGGTGTAGGATAAGGAAATGTCGTCAGGACGTTTTACGACGCTCAAAGACAGGTCATCACCAAAGGGCATGGATATTTCGTGATCGAATCGGTAGAAAGGATGAAACTCGAAGATGGCGCAAGCTTCGGAAGAAACACAATCATTTAGGCTTCAACCTTCTTCCGCCGAATGAAAAGACGACGCGAGAAACTCGATTCCTTCGGTGGTGGAGCGCGAGGAGTAGGGGGTTCGGGTGGTCCAGTGTTACGGAGGAAGTCAGCTAGTGCACTGGTCTCTGTCTGTCGCTCTGTGACCGCGGCGAGGCCGTATGAGGCACCTGTACGGCGTTCCGCGCCAACCTTGGTCGTGTAATTTGACGATCCTATGGAGTGCTGATCAGGCTGGTATCGCAGAGAATTCTTAGAAGACTTTAGTGAGGGGGTCTTCTCCGATGAGCTGCTGCGAAGCAGTCGAGCCTTCATCCCTGACGCGCCTCCGAGGCCGCCCGTCACCGCTTTGGAAGGGGGATTGCTCAGGGCGACCGGCTGGGTCTGAGGTTCCGCTTGAGGAGGAGGTACATTGCGTAGAAAGTCTATCAAGCTTTCCTCCTCGCGCTTCGGCTTCGGCTCCTCTAGCATCACCTCAAACTCGTCATCGTCCCAATCAATGGCATAGGGGTCTGGTACACGACGTTGAGTCCGCTTAGGACGGGGATCTTCATCATTGGGTCTAGCAGAAGAGCTCGGCTGCACCTTTGGAGGGCCTGCGCGGACGCCTGCCCCATTTGCTGACTCGAGCAGACCGGTGCGGGAACTAACAGAGATCTGTGACTTGGTTGCGATCGACTCTCCCTGAGTGCTGGTGACTGAGGGAGTACCCTGCTCATAGTTGAGATCATCCGAATCCATTGTGCTGCGGAAAGGCGCCACAGTGCGCGGGATGCGGCGGGCACCCACAGTTGGTGGACCTTCACGAATAAAATCGATCAAGTCAGATGTTACTTCACCTTTGGGAACTGCAGCCGGTCGAGCCTGCAGTCTGGGTCCGCGTGCTGACATTCTTGAGACAGAGCTGTCGGCTCGAGAAGGTCTCTTCGACAACTCCGTGGCATCAGAGAACCTACGATCAGGCGCAGACTTGATAGTAGCTGAGGGACTAGTAGCTGTGGGGCTACTGGGCCCGGAATTTCTGATAAACTGTGCAAAGTCGGAGCTCGACTCAAGGCTGGGTCTCGCGTCACGAGGTTGTGGAGCTTTCGTTTTTTGTCTGTTTGGTATCGAAACTGCATGAATTGGCGAGTGTTTGGGCACGTCAATGGCTCTGGACTTGGGCGAAGGTTGCGCATCTGATGTGACCCTTCGGGGAACCATAGCCTTGGTATTTGACTGATTTGGCGAATTTGGTGCGTCGTCCGGGCCATTGCTCTTCAAGAAGTCCGCCAACTCTGCCGTGTGTGATCTCTGCGCTTTCCATTTCGGCACATCGGGGAACTATCAACAATTAGCTACAAGAGATCACGGTTGCAATTGGTCAAACCTACATCCATCTCTCGAACGCTCCTCGGGGTCAGAGTATAGTGGAGCGTTTCTTCGCTGCGGATCAATTCATCCAGGCCGGTGGTATCGTCATACGGACCTCCTCCAGCGGTGGCAGATGCCCTGCTCGTTTCGGAAGAACTACGAAGACGTAGAGGAGCCGGCTCGGCTGGTCGGCTAATCAGGCCCTTCAGTTTAGTTGAAACTTGAGACGTGGTTGAACCGGCAGTCATTGGGCGCTTTTCTCGGTGGCTACCGAAGCTGCCAGATCTGCGCGGTTTGGTAAGAGTGGTTGTCTGAATCGACGGGGCGGCGGAAGTCGAGGGCCTTGTTGAAATACGCTGCACTGCAGCACGTTCTGTCATCGAGCTTGAGACAGATGACGTCGGGGAACGATGGTTACCATTCGTCAAGACCAGAGGACTGGGACGATGATATGTCCGTGAATAGTTGGAGCGTACGCTATCACCGGAGTTCGAAGCAGGCCTCGATCCTCGGACGCTTTCCAGCGATGGGCGGACTTCACGAACTGGAGTAGGAGGGAGACTCGCACTCAACCCTGAGGAAGAACTGCGGACAGGAACAGGATGCACCGAAGTGGATACATCGTCACTTTGTTTTTCTGTCGGATACACGACAGCAGCCGTCGCCACTAAATCGGTCGAAAAGGGTGCAGAGGTGATTGAACGCTGGTCTTTGGTAACATCCTTGCTCGGCTTGCGCTTTGGCCGCTGCACGGATGTCAAGCTTGGCTTCTCTACCATCCCTTGCCCTTCAATAACTTCAGTGTCGTTTTCAATAAAGAATGTTGATGGTGCCTGCGGACCGCTGGGGACTAGATCAGTCACAATTTCAGTGGGTTCTCTGGTCGTCTCCTGAGCGGTGTTTCTGATCCGGTTCTCAGCAAGGCTATTCGAATCGGGTGTTTGCAATGGCCAATCTTGTTTCTCTACTTCATGTGAAGCCCCCGCTGTTGCCGGACGAGCTTCAACCTTCTGAGCATCGAAGGTCTCTTGTTCATCCTTTCCCGCCTTTTCCGTCTCCTCACGCTCCTCGTACATGGTCTCTAGACGGCGCCGCTCTTCGGAAGCTGTGGGGGAGGGTCGGCGAGATGCTTGATCAGGCTGTGGGACTTTCTCCTGAACGTCTGGGGGGTAAGGAGCGCTGGGCAAGGATCGGGACCGGGTATGGCGGGTGGCAGATGAGCTGCGCGCAACAGGAGTTGCAGGCGAACTTGCGCGCGAGGTTGGTGTTCTTGGGGATTGCAAAGTGAGAACCATCAGACTGTGGGGGCGGACTTTGTGAGCGATCACGGCTTGCATGGTCTGAATATCGCCGCCCTCCATATCCGGCGAAAGGTCCGGATCCTCAAGTTCTTGGACATCATTTTCATCCACAGGCAAGGGAACGGATGCTGGGTCAACGATGGTCTTCTCCTCAACGAGAGTTGAAATTTGGCTTTGGGCGTCATCGGCAACGGAAAAGCTGCTTTTTCTACTATGCAAAATAGGGCCAATAGTGCCACGTCGCCGTATTGAGTCTCGCGATGTCATCCGAGAAAGATTCGGCGTACGTGTACGCTTCCTCCATGTTCGCCATAGCCGTCCAAGTGTTGGGTTCAGTGCTAGTTTCTCCATATCCAGCTCTTCCACTACCAAGTGATTCATACTGCCCCTTTCTTTCTCAAGTTCTTCGTTTTCGTCACACTCAGACACTAATCTGGGTGACAGCCGAGACCGAGCTGTCTCTCCGGCAATCACAAGGGCTTGTTCTCCAATATGCTCGATGATGGAAGTTAGAAAGATGGCTGCGGCAGGAGTGATATTTCCGATATGGTTGGTGAACCGCCGCGGTGCGCCTTCATCGTCCGCCAGGCCTTCCTGAGAAATGTATTCTTCCTCGTCATCTTCTTCCATATCACCAAGGCGCGTGTATACCATGCATCGCAAGCGGGTCAATTTCCAAGTGCGAACTAAGTCGAATTCACCGTTCGGTGTCTGGCCACCTCGAAACTCAATCTGCTCGTCCTCCGGCTCTCCGAGATACTCGCTTAGTTCCTCGTCCGCGACAGAAACCACTTCTTTTGCTAGCCGGGGCTTCAGCACATCGGCGACAGCAGGTCGGATCGAAGCCAATTGCGTCGATTTGGCAGATGCGAGGATATTGAAAAGAAGGTGATCGAGGAATCCATTGAGGGCAGACAAGGCCTCAGCTGTGACGAGGGCACCGGAGTCGTCATCGTCATCGGCCAAGAAATCGGCAGCATTGAACTCCTGGTCGGTAGTAATAATTTGAGATGCGGATGAGGGCGCGATAAAGGATGGCGGCGGATTCACAGATGGAGGGGCGAAAAGATGAATGCGGGAGAGTTGCGAGTCGCTCGAAATACTAGTGCTGCAGGAGCGAGAGCGCGAGCGCGAGAGCGTCCTCGCCAACTCAGACTCTTGTCCTCTGGTGTGCTGCATCTTGTCTGTTGCCAGTCACATACGAGGCATGAAGCGGAGGACTTGTCGAGCCCTTTAAAGTGATTTCTTTCAATAAATTAGCCAATGTTGAGTCGCCTAAGGCGGATTCGCCTCGATGAAACCAAAGAAGTTCCCCTCCAACTGCCTGCAGTCTTTCCCGCGACCTAGGTGGAGGTTGATTGCTTTTGTTGATAAACTGCTATTTTCGCGGTTCATTCCAGCAATCAACCGTTTGACCAGAAGACACAAAAAGAGGAGGATCGGGATACACCCTTTGGCGAGTATTTGCTCCAGGATTTCCTTTTATATTCTTCTTCTCGAATGAAGGCGCTGGCAGCTGGGAAAAAGAAAAGAAGGAGGCGGAGAGGGAACGCAGGGTAAGCGTGAGATGGGGAGTGGCTCTTTGAACGTACTCTGTGTAACAGATCAATCAATCAGCAGCGACCGTCGTTCATTTCGTCCGAAGGTGGTGGCAAAAGGGATAAAGGAAAACGAGTGTTGCGAGATAAAGAAGACGGGAAAGAGGGGGATGAAAGAGAGAGGACGAAGCCGCAGATATTCAGGAGAGTGGTAGTCTGGGCCGCTGGCAGCTTCCCGCGATGGTTTGACACTGGCTGCTTGGACTTGATCTGATGGATTCTTCTGCTGCTCCCTCTGGATTGCTGCTTCGTCTGGTAGAAAAGTGGTCCGCACCGAAAGGTACCCGCACCAGGCTAGAGATTAGTCTTGCAGAATCAGGAGACAGTGGAGCAGACGCTGGCGTACCCTTTGGCTGGACCAGCAAATAAGACGGCTGCTTCAGTGGAGTGTCTACCCTTCTTCTTGTTCTGCGCCCACGGGCTGCCTGCTTGCCGTCCTGCCAGCAGGCCCAGCACGAGGCCCTGCGGAAATATTCGCTGTGATCGCCATGTTCATCCAATACTGCTTTGCGCTCAGAGTTCCATGACTCTGGTCCTACGGAGCCTGAATTTCAATAGTCATCCCGCACTATTACCCCCAGGCCGCTGCTGTTGGGTAAGAGAAAGTTGAAACCCCTCCCTCCTGGTCAGTGTTCCATCTGGCGTCCTCGGGTTGCTGGGATGATGGATCTGAAGTCTGAGCCATCAAAAAGGCCACTGGCCACTGGGCACAGCTGAAAAGTCCCCGATTGATTGTCCAACCCAGGACCCAATTGTCCTGGTCCCACCTGGGCAAACCCCCAACTTCCCATGCACCAAGCCTTTTGCACTTTACCCCTTCAGGTAAAAAAAAAGAATGTCAGAAGAACCTTCGACGCTCGGAAAGGGGTAGGCTTCGCCCCGAAGTCTGGAGAAGACAACTGAAACGACACCATTGAACGACATGCAGTTTTGCTTTTGTTATCTTTGCCGGCAGAACCCAAATTATCATCCTGCTCTGGAGTCCTCAGTCTTGAGACCGACTGGCTGGCTCTGCTCAAAAATCGACAGCGCGCACTGCCAATTTTCAGGATCGACCTCCATTCCTCCATTCTTGACCCGCGAGTCTGGTAACTCCCAATCAATATCCTGCCAGTCTGCCACATTGGCCACTCACAGCATGCTATCTAGGTGATAATGTGATGGTTCTGAAAGTGAAAAAAACGCACAAGCATAGCCAAGGCATGAAGAATTTCCAACGTTTTCCTCCCACGCTCTGGCCCGACTCGATAACTCAAAATAGGACCTGACAGATCTAACAGTCTTGCATAATCGCCCCATACCAAGTACAATACTACAAACTACAAACCTGCCTCGCCTTCTCTGCCTTGCTGGATATCCGATACAGTAGGATCCTTTTCAGTCGGCTCCAGCATCTCGGACAGCACATGATTCGCCTGTCAAAGCTCATTGGAAAACACCAAGTTCCAAGAATACATCCACGGGTAGTTTCCACGCGGCTTTGAAGCTCGACCCATCACCGCGCCTTCCACACTGCTTCTACGCACTCATCCTCCGAAAGGGCAGAGTCAGTTGCCAGCCACCCCCAGCTCACCAGCCAATCGTTCTGTGTTTTGCAGCAATCGATTAGCCGTATTAGCCAAGAATATCGCTAGAGAACCATGGATGCAACTGTGGTTCGCGCGATTCATTCTTCGTAGATTAGTTGCCAGGCTAAAGGAGATGGCCAGAGTTTATCGGCCAAGGTCAGATCGCGCGGCGTAATCGATTGGTCTTAGCTGGTTCCAGTCGCGTTTGATGCGGGATTAGTCTGAGACAACGATGCTACTATTGTTTTAAGGCTCATATTGCGCAGAAGTCCGTATCTTCATCCGAGAACACGAACAATCGAACGACGAAAGCCAGGAATTCGCAGGCGAAACTTCGGGGCAAACATATGCCTATCGGCGATTCGTAGTTGCGCCCACAGTTCTCCAACGGCCGTCGATCTTATCGGAACTATGGATGTCCAGAGTACCGAATGGCTTTGCGGCAGTTTTCGAGCTTCCAAGTAACGAGCCCAGTCATGACTCGGGGCCGTTTGAAAGCCTCGGACTGTAAATTGTCCATTTCGCTCACAACAAATCCCGTAGCTTGAAGAGCGCCATGAGTACCGAAGATCACAATGCCGCCTCCAAAGTCCGAACTTTCGAGACGACACCTAACATGCTTCCCCGCGTAAGGTTCGTCATCTGCGCCGCGCATACTTCAACCGCTCAAACGGTCAAAGCCGGGTACACAGCGGACCGGGCATCAATATCAGATACTGCGAGGTATCAACTGCGTACATTGGATCTCGAACGTCTATTTACTATCATGCTCAGTCCTGGTGTTGTTCCAAATACCTAAAATCTTGGCCGTGTTGGATCCTGTCAAATCCGCGCAGGAGCGCAAAAGTACATGTTTCAAATGTGATCTATCAATCAACCGTTGGCAGGCAACCTTGAGGTTTCAGCGTCGAACTTGGTGGGCGAGTCATGGTTCGACTTCCCGCAGCTTCTGATGTCAACAAGGCTCGTCGTCTGAGGCGAGTTGGCGAGGGGTGGGATCTACAGGGCTTACAACGTGGAGCTCAGACCTTGCGGCGAGAGACTCGCAACCAGGGAAAGTTGTAGGATTTGAGGGAGCGAGCGTGAGGATAGTTGTATAAACTGGTGTGAGTACTTTTTGTATTCTATCGCTAAAATTGAAACAGAACATTCAGATCCCGCTTATATGCACTTTTCGTCTCGTGGCTGTTCGTAAAACGTCGAATATGGTTGTCAAGAATGACTTCATCCATGATGCTGGAGCTTGTCACTCCGTGGATCATCGCGATTGAAGGCGTAGAATTTCCAATTTTCAAGTGCATAGACCACGCCACTGGCAAAAAAACTCAATTCATCGGGGCCAATTTCAAGATCGTCGCTCGTAAGTCGCTTGGAGAGTAGATGCTCGATCTTATCGAACATAGTCTGCCCGGATGCCGCGCGCTCCTTCTTGCCGTCGAGGCCGCTGAGGCCGGCGAGTTCATCAAATTCCTCCCTAACGACAATGTTGCGGAAAGTCCCGATAACATGGTTAAGAACTGTATCCAAGTACACCCCGTTTGCCGTGTGCAAATCTAGAAATGGCGATTGCACGCGACCTGACTTGAAATCGGTGACCTGGGAACGGAGACGCATTTTGTATGTGGAGTCCGCGATGCCATTCATGCCGTTCATGTAGGCCACAAAGAGTCGTTTATCAAGGTCGAGAATGTCGCTAGTGTGCTCAGGAAGTTGCTCGATGGAATCAGAAACGGCTTCGTGATTGGTGTCGTCGACGTTGCTGGTTTCTGTCCCACTATAAGTTTCCTCGTGAGACTTGTTCGGATAGGACGATGCGCGTGCGAGTGCCATCATCTCGTGACAGGTCATTCCGGTATCGATGTTTTCTTCTTCATATTCTGGTGGCTCAATATAGTGCACGTTGGAGTCGAAGCGCACCATGGACTCAAAGGATATAAATGAACCGTCAAAAGATTCGACATCATCAATACAGAACTCGGACATAACCTCTGAGGTGTCATCCCAATCGGGAAAATCGCAAATGTCTCCGTCGGTTTCTTCGAAAATGTGGTCATTATTGAATCCGGAGTCATCTGACGCATAACCCGACTCTGACTCTTCATCCTCTTCGATTTCAGCATAAGGCCTCTTCAAGATTGGCTTCAATAACGGGCGTATAGAAGTGGCGGTGGGTGTCAATGCGGTGTCATTGGCAGGTTTGTTTGAAGTTGCAGACATATCGTCTGAAGAATAGCAGCTATCTCGAGATATCGAAACTTCGAGATGGGAAAATGTCGACGAAAGCGATTCCCATGATTTTTTGCTCATGTTCTGGAAGCTCATTTTGTCGGTTCTTAAACTGATTTGGCTCGCACTTTCGGTTTGAGAGTCGGCTGACAGGGTTTTTTGAGTACCGAGTTGTAGATTGTCTCGGAAGCAGATATCCAGCTCTGCTGCCAGATATGACTCTCAGAGTCGAGCTTGCGTTTGTTTCGGTGAGATATCGGTGTAGAAATTTAGATGTGAAAGATTTATGGCTTCGAAGGCCTCCCAATAGCTTTGTAGGAGTCCATGACGGATGCAGGCGGGAGTTCCCACTTACTGAGGGAGACAAGGGCGTCCGTCGACGCGAATAAACGCGGAGTACATGTTGATATCGCGGATCGGGGTTTGGTTCTTGGTGTAATGAAAATCTTTGGTTTCTTCCAGTGAGGTGAGCAGGTTGCTGAGATGCTTTTTAAGAATAGAGTTGTTTGTGAAGGACTCCTTGACGATATACATATAGGCTGCGGGTCGTTCGATTTCGAGCACGAGAAGAGAGGGCGAGATAAACGCGTTCTATATTTTTGGGTTGCGGTTACCTGCACGGTAGCAAGGACAAACGTGAGGTCCGAGATCTCGTTGCAAGTGATGTAATCGTATGGTGGGCAAAGGAGGGGGATGGCTCAGAAATCGTGCCCACTTTTTGTGGGATGTTGGAGACGCGGCGGAGAGAGGCGCTGGAATCAGCGCGATCTGTTTAGCAAGAGTTGAAAATTGAGGTGCTTGACCGGACGGTAGGATATTGCTGAGGGAAAAGCACGTAAGATAGTGCTGGTGAAGAGAAAGAAGAGAAAAAGGAAGAGGATCCTCTGGTACCTTCAAGGAGGCTGTGAGATTTCCGTCATCAATGGGCACTGTCGCCCCCGGGGCTGCCCGGCTTTGGGTGTCCCAGAAGGATCTAGCGCTACACCACGTGATTCTCTTCTTTCTCGGTCGAATCAGAGCAACCCCATCTGCTTCACTGGTTGGACGATATTAACCTCGGAAGATTCATCACTACAGGTTTGGCTTTCTGATGGTCAATACAGATTTCAAGACTGAAAATGCTCGCAGTGTGTGTTACTGACAGGCTACAGGTAGGCGCCGTTCTGAGTCTGTCTATTGAATCACACCCCCACGCCATAGGCACATGCCCCCTTGAGCAGCAACGAATCTATGCATCCATTCGAGAAGTATGGATAACAAGTCATCAATCTCTTCAAAATTTTGACCATCACTTGGGAGATTTCTTGGTTTGCTTCAAAGAATCCCCCGCCGTGTTATTTTTACCAACAAATGCACCCATACAGACGAGTATGCCAATGCCACTTGATGGCTTTTACTACAAAAGCGCCATTCTTGGAGATAAGACTGGACTCTTTGTGAACTTAGCGCTTTGACAATTGCTCTTGTCTCGGCACTTGACCTGGCTTTGTTTGTCTAGAATGGCTCCTTGACGCAATGAGTCTGTTTTTACTATCCACCTTCATGCTCTGTGGGAGCATGGCAAAAGAATCCCCTGTTCATCAGGGCGCAGCACACGAAGCGTGACTGAAAATAACTATAAGTGCACTATCTACCTGTAAGCCAATAGCAAGGCTTCCTACGGTCGGGCTCACTGCATGAAAGACGGGCTAAGAGGCAGAGAACAAAGAAGATATCTGTGCAACTCTTCTTTGAGTTCAGGCCCCTGCAAACTCATTTCACAGCCCTCCCATGTGCCAAAGAAGACACAATACTGCTCGAAACTGGAGTCTTTGATCCGAAGCACTTAGCACTGGAATCAAAGAGGCTGAATGCGAAGAGGCGAAATTGCAGATATTCAACTCTCTCCACAATACGGCAACAGGGATAATAATAGATGCCCAATTTGAAGCACATTATCTCCAACAGGTTCAGATCGTCAAATATCCTACCCTTGTGCACTGCCAAGGACACATATTCTTTATCATCCAGCATACCAGAGAGGTCTATTGCGAGCATGGTTTCCGGGGGCGCGCATTCCTCCCAGCCCCGACAGAATCCACCAAGCTTTATCAGCCTCACTGGATTAGACATGCGGAAGAGAAAAGTAATGGCGCCACTGACTGGGGTTCAATGAACAGGGATACTGGTGGGGAGACTCTGGCGGAGATCAGTGTGGTCACAGTTGCTACTTTTATCCCGCTGACTCTTGGATGGAGACTCGGCATCCATCATGACGCTTATATTCGCGGTGCCACTACCACTATCGGGATTGTGCCTCGACAATCTGAACAAAAACTGTCCGTCTGAGCCGATTGATCTACGCCTACCCGCCTGGCCCGCCTGCACCTGGATCGGTTCCAATTGCATAGGATTACTCATTCTCGTTTCTCAACGTGCCTCTCTTGGTCTAGGACCTGCCTTTTGCTTGTCGGCGGATGCCCATTTGCTCCGCTTCTGGTATAGTGAGTGTTGCATTCCGGCGGGTGGCCATTAAGGAATCGAGTCCAACCATTCAGTAACCAGTGGATGAGGTTCGCAGAACTTGATCAGCCACCACTTTCCTGTCATTCATGATTGGCTGTTGACTTGCCATTGGAATCCACGGTTCTTTCACCCTGCATCGATTGGCATACGGCGGGCGATATCAACACCCCGCCAGGCTACTAGTGCGCATTCCTGTGCCATCTTTAGAAGGCCAGGAATGCGAAGGGAATCCAGAGGCTGGCAAGAGTCGTGACAATTCAAATAGCACCTTTATTCTGTTGTTTGTTTGCTTTGTCTTCTTTGCACCTTCTGCAGTGTTTTCTTTGATTGTCAATCGGCCAAACAGTTCCTACGCTGCATTCCTTCTGGACCCTTTGCCATACTTGCGCTGCTGCGGATCGCCGGCTCCCTTTCCCGAGATTTCCCTCTGGACCAGACTTTACTCCCGCAGTCCTATCACCAATCATATTCGTGTCACTTCCCAGACCGCTGGGTCAAGTCTTTGGCAGCCTCCTCTTGGCCGCAAACGGAAGGCGATCTCCCGCAGACAAGATGTTTGCTCAACCATTTGATCATTCATTTAATGATCTGTTTAATCAGTACGTCAATATGGATTCATCGAGTACGGACAGCAACAAAGATGTTTCGTTTCCCAGCGATTTCGACCAAATGTTCCCACTCGACTCATTATCAAACGACTGTGGCGACCAATCTCCGCTCATCTCCAGTACACAGCAGACTCAAGCGCACCACTGGGGCAGAGACGCTTGCTATCTGTCCGGAAATGCGACTTGCTCTACGGGGCACGAGAACGCCGTCTTTCAGGAGGAAAGTGTTCAGCCTTCATCTCTCTTAGATCTCGGCATTGATCTTGAGGCGCCCTCCACTCAACACCCTCCTATTTCTGCTATTTCTGAAACCCGCACTCCTTCAACCCCGCCCACAACTCCTAGCCGCAAGGTCAAAGCAAGCCTATTGACACCCAAGACTATCCGCCGTCACCGAGATTCTAATGATCGCCGTGGTCTCGTGCGCAAACAGAGCTTCTCCCCCAACTTGATGCGGTCCTCGCAGGTTCAAAAAAGTACCTGTAGAATGGCATATCCGGAGGCTTGGGCTCAGCGACTCCAGAACTTTGCCATTCGCAATTCAAATGAGTGTCTACCACTATCACCGCCTCCATCTGACATTCTTGTTCAACAAGAGAACATCTCCACGAAACAGACGCCTGCACAAATCAATCCCTCCGTGGCAGAGATGCCCCAGCAATTCGAGTCCGGCTACTTCACCCACTCTCCTGCTATTCCCATGCCTTCGTCTTCTACTAGTATCATGCAAAATCAGCCGCAGAGATATTTGAACCGGTCCAATACATCTGCTTTAACGCCAAGTCCCCCTACCGCAGACGACATCTTCTCCTCCCCCCACTCCTCAGATCCTCAATCGATGTCTTCCTGGAATTCCGACTCTCTTAGTGCACAAACATTTCACTTTACGCCTGAACTTCAAAGCCATGAAGCCCAGGCATGGTGGTCCCCTATGCCCTCTGAGGCGGCACAACGCCAGGCTTCATACCAACAAATGATCGCATCTCCGGCCCCGCAGCGACCGATCCAGGCATCTTCGAACAATGATCTCCTACAGGGAGGCCTCATGATACAATTAGATCCTACACCGTTCGATATATCTTCGTCTTTTCCTTCGTCCACCATCCCATCAACCAGCCACTCTCGAGACAGCCAATCCTACAACCATAGCGCAGCACCTCAGAAATATATTGACTCCGCTTCCTTTACTACACCGAATATCCATAACGGGTCACGTTCACCATCCCTATCTCCAAAGACAGGTGCGTCGGCAAAGAATGGCTCGATCGTCGGCAATTCGATGAACATGAAGACGGCCTCGCGTCGCCCCCATCCTCGGAAACTGTCGGGTCAGTCAACGGGCACCCCGAAACCTCTCAAGGGACCCTACAGCCAATCTAGCAGCCCAAGAGGGGCCAATAAATCAGTCGCTGTGTCTTTTGTCAATTTCACCGCCCAAGACAGCCAGAAGATCTTGACGGGGGTTGCTCCAAGTGGCAGCTCCAAGACAAAGGCTAGACGGGAGCAGGAAGCCCGCGAGCGACGTCGCAAAATGAGCGAAGCTGCACTGAATGCGGTGCGAAAAGCTGGTGGTGATGTTGAAGCTCTAGAAGCTGTTTTCTGCTGATAAAAAAAGCTCTCTGTATCATCTACCCAAGCATTGAAATCTGCCTGCCTTTGATTGATTGCATTTTCTTGTTGTTCTTGACTCCGCACTTTAGCAGTGGTCGTTTCGGCGCAAAGACATTTTTCCATTGGCGACATTTGGGTATCGGGGTTTGGAAAGACTTTAGATCTCATAATTATATAATAACTGTATAATCCAAAATAATTTCCTGACAAAGTCAGCAGCTATGGTACTTCATAAATGATCATGCGTGGAATGAGGGAGTTTTGAGGCCTTCGTAGGGCCCTATATTCTATGTGTTTGTACAGGTCTATCATATAGTACATGATGCGCCCCTAGCTATCTCGGCGTCTTTGTGTTTCCTGTGCTTTTCACCATTTCTTCCGCTTTCTTTGGTTGTGCAAAAAGAGCAAGTGTAAACCAGCGCTCATTCAGCATCCAGCATACCCGAAGAACAACCCGACACAAGCGCGATTAGTCACTACTCAGATCGTCCACTCGCAATGCTCACCTCTTAGAAGGCGTGGGTGTCCAAGACTCGGGTTGCCACTTTTTCCCAGGTACATCTTTCGGCCTGAAGAAAGGGTCTTCTTTGGCAATCGACGCTCCGGCGCTGCCTGACGCTCCGGCGCTGCTTGGCGCTTTTGTCCGAGACGCATCGGCGCCTGGCGCATGTCTCCCAGCTTCCGCTCCGGCATTCAATGTCGTGTCGCTTGTCCGGGTTGCAGGTCCTGGCTGCTGTGCCCCAGGCGCATCTAATTGTGATTGTTCTGTCTCCCATTTCTTCCGTTGCATTTCAGCCAGTAATAGGATTCTTTCTCGTCTCTGAATATCATCTTGTAGTTCCTTGATCGAGGGAGGCTCTGGTCGCACATATCGAAGCCATTGGTGCCATTGAGCTGTCGCGCGGTGGGTCAGACCTACTAGCAAGCGAAAATTGAGGAAGGCACAGACTCACGGCTCAGTTCGAGGTCGCTATAGTGAGTTCTGGGGCGAGGTTTGACTATTCGTCGAAAGCGCCCTGAGTTCAATGTATCCTTGAATTCCCAGAATGTATTCCCAGAGAGATCGTGGCCTAGTAGGCAGCTTTATTAGACGTGCCCTGGTGTGAAGGTGAGACGGACGAGTCTCGAACGAACATACCAACGAGAAAGGATCTTCGCCAGGGCAATCGAAGGCTTTTCCACTTGAACCAGAGACTGTTAATCGGACTCATCTGTTTGTAATAAAGGAAAGAGCCTATTAAATTGGAGGAGTTGTGTTTGGCAATCTATATGGATGCTCAGCACTGGAGGAGGTTCGCGAAAGTGGAATTTCTGGACTGCGCCGCAAAGGGGCACGTCATCGCTTACCCATACTCATACCATACCGTAAATAACGAGCCCAACGGACATTCCGCCGTTCTACTTCGACGATTTTCTTCTCCTCTCTCTCGAGCAACATTTCTCTATCTTGAAGAGCTCCCTTTTTCACGTTTTTCGACCGACTTGCCTCTATACTTTTGCTTGACCTGCGTCGGGCGTCGTTCACTCAATCCTGACACTGTTACTTCACTCCGAGTCCCAGCCGCCCTTGTCAACAAAGCCCCGACTATACCCCTCCCTTTTAATCCTCGATACAGCCACCTGTTGTTCTCCGGTTCTATTCTTTTTATGCGCAAACAATACTGATCGATCCCATCACTCAATCGTTGCAAATGGCCTCGGTCACATCCTTGGATAAGGACTTGCGCAACCTGCGCCTCTCCCGCTATACCCCGCAAGCTGCCGCCGAAGTCCGTTCGTGGATAGAAGAAGTTCTGCGCGAGAGGCTACCAAGTGGTGATCTCCTGGATGTTCTCAAAGATGGTGTCGCGCTCTGCAGGTAAACCGAAATCCTGCGTCCCTAGATCGGTTTGTTATGCGCCCATGCTAACATCCAGTGATTATAGGCTTCTCAACCTTGCGGTTTCTCCTGGAGTCAAGTTCAAGCAGTCATCAATGCCTTTCGTGCAGATGGAAAACATATCGCATTTTCTTCGCGCTTGCCAGCTGCCTCCCCTCAGCCTCCCGCCTCACGACGTCTTCCTTACAGTCGATCTTTACGAAGCCAAGGATCCCGCTCAAGTTCTCCAGTGTATCTCGGCTTTCAGTCGAAGAGCGAATGCCATTCAGCCGGGCAAATTCCCTCGTGCGATTGGCGTCCAATCTAAAGGTGGAACCTTGAGTCCGTCCTTGACCGGCTCCAGCCAAGGTCCGCATACTCCGACCAGATCCCTCGGACTGGGTGATGCCAACTCTAGCCCCTCTGGCCGCTCAAGCCCTGCAAAGTCCCCTCCGGCATTCAGCAGCTGGAGTAGGAGAACTGATGAGCATGTAACACAACCAGCCTGGAATATCCATCAATACGGCTACATGGGCGGTGCTAGCCAAGGAAACCAAGGTGTCGCATTTGGCGCTCGCCGACAAATCACTACCGCTTCTCCCCACGTGCCTAGTATAACCGAGAAGGAGAACCGCCGGCGCGAAGAAGAGGAGAGGCTTCGGCGAGATCGGGAAGAAGCCGAACGAGTTCAGCAACTAGAACGCGAAGCGGACGAAGCACGATCTAAACAGGAAGAAGAGCGCCGATGGGCGGAAGAGACTACCCGCTTGAGAGAAAAAGAACGGAGAGACGCTGAGGAAGAGCGAAGACGATGGAACGAAGAACAGCGACGGTGGGCAGAGGAGGAGCAGCAACGCCAGCGCGAGGAGAAGGAGGCAGAAGAGAGGCTTGAAAAGGAAAGACTGCGCCGACGAGAAGCCAACGACTCCCGCCTGAACGGCCAGTTCCTCAGTCAGTACCGAGCCAGTCAGCCCGCACCTGCACAGCCCCCGCCGAGCGAATCGCAGGAAAGGCAGCGCATCAAACAGTTAGAGCGAGAGCTAGAGCTTGCAAAGGAAAGGGAGCGCGAGTATGAACAGGAACGTCAAACACTGAAAGAGAAAGAGAGCAAGCCCACCGAGACCAGAAACCGTCCAGTCCCAGTGCCGCCCAAGCCAAGCTATGACCTATCGTCGCTCGAGCAGGAACGACGTCTCCAACGTGGTGAATGGCAGAAGCATCAAGATAACGAGCCAGTGTCCGAAGTAGAGACGCCACCACCAATGCCACCTCGACCCCTCCCTGACCCTACCGCCGTCCACTCACCGAAACCTCAGGCATCTGAAAGTCGAGTCGACCGTTTCTTATCAGCAAACCCCGCTCCAGTGGCACCAAAGCCCGCCGCTCATCGCCCACAAGACTTCACCACTACAGCAGAAGTCGACGCGGAGAACAGTCGCCGGTTGGCTTCACAGCAAAAGACCCGCGCAGGAGGATGGGCCTCTAAGTCGCTCTTGGAGCGCGAGATGGAGCGCGAGCGCGAACGTCAAAGGGAGTGGGAAGAGAATCAGAAGCAGACCCAGGAGGCTGCGACGAGGGGCGCCAATGACCCGTCACTCACCACGGGGCCTGGAGGTGCCTGGGACGTACACCAGTACGGCTATATGGGCGGGGATAGCCAAAACAGAGGCGGGCCTGGGCTAGGCGTTGGAGGCGCACGGCGCCAGATTATCGGCCCTCGGCCGCCACGGTAAATGCTGGCCTTGCGCGTTCCACTTGTTCTTGTTTCATTCGTTTGGAGATTGAGTTAATCCCATGCACATACTCCCCATCCTGCGACGTATTGTTACCATTACCCTCCCAGATTCCTGTCCGTTCTCTCCCCTCAGTTTCAGATTCCGAGTACCATAAACCTTCTGTAAATGAGCGTTTTCTTTCTGGTCACAATTTTCGTAAATATTCTATCCCGAAAGTACTGCGCACAAGCATGGGTATCTATAAACACTGGGCATACATGACATGAGCATCACCTTTGTATGCAGCACAAAACAATGAAACGCCAAATTCGCAGTAATTGAAAAAGCGAAAGGAAGGTAAAATATATCCTTCTGCAGCACTTAAGACCCCGAAGAAGCCGAATCTCCCGTAATGACCTCGTCCACTAGAAACCTCAACCGCTCCGCGCTCTCACACAGCCAGCTCCACTCCATGTCTTCGGACATTCTAGCAAGCTGATTCTTCCTGGTCTCGTACTGTGCCTTTTCAGCACGCCGGATAATACCTGTCTGCATAAGCCGCTTTGTGTCGTCCGTGACAACAAGGAGGTTGTCATCGGCTAGCAGGATAATGAGGGCTTCGAGCGTGATCGACATCTTTGCATTATCGGAAAGACTTGATGTCGCCGTGGCGTAGGGTAGAAAGCACAATTCGAGCTTGGCCTGGTCAAGGTACGCTTTCTCGGATTGTGGCGCGGCGGTTTCGCGGAGGCGGAAGAGGAGGAGTTCGCAGAGGGTTGTTTGCGCGGCCGGGGTGAAGTGCGGGAGGGCGAACGGGGAGACGAAAGACTGGTATATAGGGAGAGGAAGGGGGCGGATGAATTCGACGTAGAGGTGGTAGAGATCTTGGAGCTCCATTAGGTGATTGGGGAGAGCTTCAGAGACGGTAGAAAGGAGCTGGAGAAGGCGTTGGCGGAGGGCGAGGGAGGCGGTGTCGCCGAGGGCGGCAGTTGGGAGTATTGGATTTGGTAGAGAGTCGATGTTCGACTTGGATTTGTCCGCAGCTGATTTTCTGGTTGCTCCTCTGGACCTGCGAGGGCGTTTGGATTCACGGTCCCCTGTAGATGATGACGTATCGTAGTCGGAGGAGAGGTAAAAGTCGGCGTATTCATCTGCTTCAATATCGACAGCAGCCTCTCTTTTCTTATTTTCCTTTTCTTTTGGAGTTTTCTTCCGCGAAAGCTTCACTTCGTTGTGAAACACTTCGCGGAATTCGTTCACGAAGTGGGTTGTTCCATCGGCGAAAATCGAGCGCAGGATGCGACGATTGCGGCCGAACCCAGCCATGGAGTTATTGATATACTGAACTATCAAGCTGCCCTCCAATCCTTCTCCATCTTTGGTTGTTTTAGAAGGCTCATTTTCCTTTCTTCGTAACCGTTCACTCCAGTCGTCCTCGAGGATCTCGCACATAAACTCAAGCCAGACACGCCATCGCTCCCAACGAGCCGGGTGCAGAACAGAGCAATTGAAAGCCCAGCCGACAGCATGCCAGAAGTCCTCCGCACGCGACCAGACTGAGGCGGACTGTGCAAGATCGATATCAATATCGCGGTCGAGGTTCAGAGGTTTTCGCCGTTCGCTGAAGGCTGAATCATCTGCATGGCGGCGGCCACCATGGCGCGAGGTTTCAAAGTGCGTGAATAGAAAGGCAGTATTAAATTGTGCGTTGAAAGGACCAACAAGACTGTTCACTAAACGTAGCAGACGCAGAGATACATTGGGTGCCTCTTCCTCCTCGGTGGTCTTAGGGCGGGCCGTCGTGGAGGGGTGAACGAGGAATGTGGCGGCGAGGGCTAGATGTTGCGGAGACGGAATATATGTGGGCGTTGACGCGTTGTGGTGGACGCTCAGGGAGTCCAGCAGCAGACTGAGCGCTTGGGTATCTGGTTGACAGTTAAATTAGTATAGAGCGACACGAGACCGCGACGCGTAGGAGGGGCACAAACGGAGCTTTTCCTCAAAGAAAATAGCCACATGCTGGACAAGCTCAAACGGGAGGGGCTTGGCGGGGTGATAGAGAGGCAGAGACGCCTCTTCAACCGGAACGGCCATGGAAGGGTTGAAGATGAAGAACAACTGGATTGTATGTGGGACGCCAGGGAAATGTCCCAAGTTATAGAATGGGTAATTTTTAGCAATATATTGCAAAATCTCTTGAGTTTGAGCATATATTAAGGTGCTATAGTGTAGTGGTTATCATAGTTCGTTGTGGCCGAACTGACCTGGGTTCGATTCCCAGTAGCGCCAAATCCTTCTTATGTTGCTATTATATCTTTTTGTTTTTATCTAATATTTCTAATCGTTGCGAAACGGCTGTAGCTGGGCCGTTTCAGGTCTGTTTTGGCATCTTTGTCTGCTAACCTAATTCTCTTTTATTTACCTTTCACCCTTTACTCCCTTTTTTCTCACCGGTCCGCCATCAAAAGTTGTCAGCAAGTACCCCTTCATTCAATCAGATCGTGGTGAGACTGCGGAGCAAGACTGCAGAGTGGTTGCATGATGCAGGTCAGCCTGTGATACACTAATGGACAGCGCATACACACGTATAGTCAATCATTATAAGCAGCATTGGAAGTCATCCTGAAAAGAATATTGGGATATCTGCCTAGTGGAATATGTCGCCTTTATAAGCCCCCGCTCAAACACCTTCTATCCCCAAATTTTTTTTGTACCGTCTTGTCCTTTGATTTCGTGTGGTATCGCCAGGAGTAGTTGCCTATTCTTAGACCAATGCTGCCTGTTTTGTCTGGAGACAAAAGCCTCCCGGCCCGAGTCATAACAAAGAGAATGACTTCACGCAAATTCGCACACAGTATTGCTCCCAAACAGGTCATAGGTATTAGAGGTATGGCAAGAGTGCGTGGATAGTAAAGTGAGGGAATAAAAACAGAATGAGAAGGGTACGGAACGGAAATGTGGTAAGAGCAAGATGTGTGTAAGAGAGCAAAAGAAAGAAACATTAGGAAAGAGTTTTTTAGAAAAAAACCCCATCTGCTACTCTTCAGGTATATCAGAAAAAAGACCTATTCGCAATCGGTGTGACTGTCATACATGTTAGCCAATCTCGAGCCGCGGCTGTCAGATCCGGGTCAGGGAAAACGTACAAAGGGTAATTTAGGAATGACCACTCCCAATGTAGCTAGGAAATTGATGGTGAAATACGTCAAGTCGTAGTGGGTATAATGTGTGCTGAGAAGGAAGAGACAGATTGGCACGCAGAGGAGGAACTTCTTCGCCGGGGTATACTGGTCGCCGTTGTCGATTTGCTCCCACATGTTGAGATTATCGTAGGCACCGGCGTTGAACTCAAAGGGAATGCCTCGCACCCAATGGAACATGAGAAACGAACCGAACATATAGCTGATGTTGGTAAGAGTCCATGATGTCTCCTGCGAAACGCCGGGAATGATGTCGTAGAAGATCTTCAGAGCCGCAATCAATACGAAGTGGATGGTCCAGGCACCTGTAGTTGAAGCGTAAATTGTCAGTATTATGATCATCCCTTTCAGAGAGCGAGTAGAGAAAAAAGCCCAATATCAATGCATCAACAGCCCACGCAGGTAACTCACCCTTCGCATTCACCCAGTTTGCATTCAGGTTCGGGAGGGCGGCCTGATCGCTGGTGTGCTCGATGGACTCGGCAGGCTCCTGATAAATGATACTGCTCGATCTTCTCCGCCTGCCAGCCTTGCTCTGAGACATGTTGTGGTCCGGTGCCAGGCGGTGCGGCCCTGTGTCAACCTCCGGTGGGAAGGAGATGGCACGGGGCATTAATAGAGAAGACACTTTGGCGGTATTGATGGGAGGAATCGGGTGGCACGAAGAGGGAGCGGGTGAGAAAAGAAGAAAGAAAAAAACAAAAAGTTTCAAAAAGGACCGGGGATGACGAAGTAGCAGGTCGTGGACAGTCGAATGATAATTAATGATACCTCGCAAGCAGCAACAGCAAGCAACGAGTAACAGTGGCGGCACGGAGGGAAATGGACATGTTCCGACCGATCGGCTGGTCACGGGATGGCAACTCGATATGGAGGTTGTTGCACTTTTGACTTCGAGCTCTTCTATCCGAATTTCAGAACAGGTAGGTTTGAGATCTTTGCTGAAGGTTGAAAAGTCTCTATTGCTGTCCAGAAGAGATAACCGCACCAGCCGATTTCGCTCAAGATGAAAAGGAGGAGGGATCATATAGACGTGTCTAATAATAGCCACCAAGATTGAATGCGAAGGCGAAACTTGATGGACGGAGGTGCGAGGTGTTCTAGGCCCAGCCAAATCAATATTATTGAGGAACCTCGTGCTTTTCGAGAAATATCCAACGAATCCACTTAGACTTATCTTCTGCAGCTGTTAAGGGCCAGCTCAGAGATCACGAACCTATCCTTTTATTTAGGAAGAGCTACCTTGTGCGCCAGGCCTCGAGTTTATATATAGCTGCCCATATAGCGTGGCCTTCCGCCCATCAGACTGGCATCTCACTCTCAATAACTTGTCCTTATCTTTTCCACAGCAACGTACCTATCTGACCAACCATGATGGCTTTGGATTGGACAAAATCTCCGCATACGTATACGTACAGTCAAAAGAGGCCTCATCGGGATGACGTAAATTGCGGCCAACATTCCCAGAACAAAACACTGTGAACACCAAGGCGATTCGATCGATCTCTAGATTTGCACTTTGCGCTCAACCACCTTGTTCCAGAACCTCTTCCCTTACATCACTTTTGATAGCATAATCTAAGCTAGAAAGAAGCTCCGACGAACACTTCCTCGATGCGCCTCCTCGAATCATCCCTCCGCATCATCACATCACCCCTCACCCGGTTCCCCGCCACCGCCGCCGGTCCTCAGCTCGTCCCTCACCCACCAGCTATAAGAACAGTCCTCAAATCCGCCCCAGCCATCCCGTTCCTAAGCTCCTTCTTCAGTTCGAGTGCGAAATCTGATAAACAACGCGGAATGGCCCCGCCCCCGGATAACAGGAGTGAAGATGAGTGGCGCGCTGTGTTGAGTCCTGGCATGTTAACTCTCACGACAGGGCTGTTGGTCGCTCAAGTCCCGAAATCCAATGCTAACGATGATGTAGAACAATTCCGCATTCTCCGCCAAAAAGGAACCGAGCGGCCCGGTACAGGCGAATACGACTCCCATTACCCCTCCGAAGGCGTATACGCCTGCGCTGGCTGCAGCGCACCCTTATACAAGGCGACTCACAAGTTCAAATCGGGCTGCGGATGGCCGGCGTACTTTGATTCCATCCCCGGGGCGGTCGCGCGACATGTGGATAGCTCGTTTGGCATGGAAAGGACGGAGATTACCTGTACGAACTGCGGGGGGCACTTGGGGCATGTCTTCAAGGGAGAGGGGTATCCGACTCCGACGGACGAGCGGCATTGTGTGAATAGTATCAGTTTGAAGTTTACGGAGGGAGATGGAGAGAGCACGAAGGCCAAGGCTTGATGGTGATTATAGTATGTTATGAGTTGTTTATAGCTGACGGAGTATATATCTACACTGGTTGCGGCTGGCTTCCATACGAAATAATGCGGACCATATGTCGTCGCTCTCCAGCCTTGAAATCGGGGACTGCGGAATGAGCGACGGTTCTCTGTAACAAGTATCAGCTTGGAGCCATTGATCCGGACAAGGAGCTGCGCCTACCTGATCCCAAACAACAACCGTCCCCTTCTCCCACGACACTCGGCATGAAAAGTCCAGTGATCGGATATGATCGTGGAGAAATCCTAGCAGCAAATTGGACTCACTTGGCTTGTACCCAACGACTTGCCGAGCAATAGTAGGATTGACGAACAGTACCGGCTCATTCGTTACTGGATGGGAAATTACAAGCGGGTGCTCCGTCTTGACAGCTTCCTTGAGGGCTCGCTCTTGGCCTACCCTGGAAACCTCTCCCACACTAGCACTCGTATGGAGAAGCTTCAATTTGTGAAGACCCTCACGAAACTTTGGTGAGAGAGCGTTGTATGCTGCTGTTAACGAGGTGAACGCTGTGTCGCCTCCGCCTGATGCGGGAATTTCGAGTACCCAGAAGAAGGTAACGCCGGGCGTGTTGGGAGTGAAAGTCTGATCAACGTGCCATAGATCATAGCTGGTTCGTGAGCCCAAGAGATCTCTCAGATTTCCTCTGCGAAAATTATTAGCACAGATTCATCATAAGTGCAGGGCCTCACTTACACCTTCTCATCTGCATACACCACTTGAAACTCTGACCCAGTGCCTTTGGGATAGCCCATAGTCGGGTGCTAGAAATGTGGTTAACTGCGAAGGCTACTGTTGCCTGATAATTGCGCTGTACCTTGTGCAGAGGGCCGAAGTGTTTGGCGATGCCCAGTTGCTTTTCTGGCCCAACGTCGGCAAAGTCTTGATCCCTCTACGCAACATTGATGAGCTGACATGCACTACTTGAAAATGACAAGTACTCACAAAGACAAGGACACCGCGTTGGGCGGCTAGAAGCGCTACCTGGTCCAGCCCGTCCTGTGTGAGGTGGCTAAGTTGAAGATTGCGAATCTCAGTTCCAACCCGCGGAGTGATATTTTTCAAAACTGCCTTGGAATCGAGAAACCCAGGCAGCTGGGGATCTGCTCGCAATCCAGGTTCATTAGCGTCAAAAGCCGGCACATCGAGCGTGGGCGTAAAGCCCTCAGGCCTCACGGGCATGTAGGCGGGGTACAACGGTTCGGTAGCCATGGCAAGGGGGCTTGCTTGGACGATCTGGGATGCAGCTCCTCATTAATGGGAACGAGTTAATCAAGTATATAATATATAAACGCCACTGCTTGCCAAGACCTCTGCTCTGAAGCTTCCACTATCAGGCAGGGCATCGTGCAATAGATGGTCTCATCCCGGCCAAGGAAGGCGTCACCATCGCTCTGCATCAGTCCACACTTATTCAGGATTTTTTTGTCGGCTGAGCTCCGGCGAAATCCCTGTAGCTCTACTGCAATACGAGGCAGAGCGGCTCATCACTCTACATGTTCTCAGTCCGGTTGTCTCGAAGATCGTTGTCGAAGTCTTGGAGAACTTAAGTTTACCGTCACAGTTCATCGCAAGCACGCAATCTATGCCATCCCGAAAGTCAGCAACGAAGATAACCGCATTGAAATGGATATAAAACTTTCTGTTTCCTGTCTCTGGAGCTTTGATTGTCTCAGTCCGATCGACTTTTGAACAGTCACCAAGACTTTTCCTGTGCAAGATACAAATATGAGATTCACGAGGATATCGAAATGGCTCGGGGAAGATCCGGAGCGGACGCTTGTCCTCAAGCTTGACCTTCTGTTACTCTTCTGGGCGTTTGTGGCCGGCTTGACAAAGGTGAGACCGTGGTTCTACTCATTATGTCGTCTGAAGCCCTAACTCAGTCTCGTAGGACATGGATCAATCAGCAACGACCCAAGCATACGTTTCAGGAATGAAAGAAGCATTATCGCTGTACGGCAACGAGCTCGTTGAGTTTACTACATATTTCTCTATTGGATACGCCCTCGCAATTGTTCCTTCACAGATGATCCAGACTCTCATCCGGCCGTCAATATTCCTCCCTTTCTGTGAGGTTGTGTGGGGACTTTTGACACTTACGTGCGTGCGATTTTCATATACTAAGGATATTTGCTAACATTGAGTTAGCACATATGCTGCAAAAAACTCCCAGACTATCTATGCCATTCGGTTTTTCCTGGGTATCTTTGAATCAGTAATATTACCGATATGATGCTACTTCTCACTGCTGATGGACATAGACATCCTGGCCTGGACTAGTTGCTCTCATCTTCAACTGGTGTAAGTACTCAGAGCTTTGGAGATTTGAATTGATCTAATGATAAAGACACTCCTGCCGAGCTTGGAAAAAGACTGGCCATATTCGGTGTCAGTGGTGTTGCCGGCAACATGTTCCTTGGTATTTTGCAGGCAGCTCTCTATAGGAATTTAAATGGGGCGGCAGGTCTCGAGGGTTGGCAATGGTTATTCATTGTTAGGTACATATTTGACCCCTGAGCTCCGACATCAGCTAACTGTGGTACAGCGGCTGCATTACCGTGTTCTGGGGGCTCATTGGTTTCTTGATAATCCCGGACTCGCCCGCTATTACACGAGCCCTGTGGTTGACACACGCTGAACGTCGCCTGGCCGTCGCCCGCATGAAGAAGAACAACACGGAGACGTCGAAGATCATCAACTACAGGCGACTTTTTAGGAAAGCTAAGCTCATCGCCACGAGTCCTCTTGCATACCTTTATATGGCGGCATATCTCCAATTTGCTTGGAGCCAGAGGGCCAACAGCTACTTTTTGTTGTATCTCAAGGCAAGCTAAACCCGTGAAGCAAAGGATCTTCGTCGACCTGACTCTTGACTAGGGGCTTGAAAAGGCAGATGGACAACCGCTCTACAGGTTTGGACGATAACATTCAAGCCAAATATACCATAAACTAAGACATTCCAGCACGTATACCGTCAATCTGATTCCACTAGGCGGATACGCCCTATCAATTGTGTGTACGATTCTACTAAATGCCCTCAGCGACTGGAAACATTGGCGCCTGCAGGTTGCGATTGCCCCAGCAGTATGTCGCTTGACCCTCCTCTTTAATACCACTGCGTTAACTGACAACTTGATCTTGAAGGTCGTCCAGATACTTTCGTGTGGTGTCCTTTCAGGATGGCCTGATTCAACGCCCGCGATTCTCACATTCTATTTTTTGACATTCTCCACAGCTGCCTGGGGGTATGTTAGACCTGAGATAGTGACATGGATTTGAACTAATACATATCTCAAGCTACTCCCTCCTTGCATGGTTGGGAGAGATACTTCGGAAAGAACCAGAAGCCCGTTCGCTTCTTGTCGGTGCTTCTGTCACCCTTGTTTGTAAGTTTTCAAGTCCTAAGCCATGAGCTCATACGGGAGTTGATACCTGACAGACGTTGGACATGCCACTATACCTCTTCGCGCTTGGCGAACATCTGATAGTCCGCGCTATCCGATGGGGTTCCCGCTCGCCACAGCCTTTGCAGGTGGCAGCATTCTGGCAATGCTGGGAATGTACTATTACATCAAACGGTATACTGACTCATTAAAGCTTATCTTGATGTGCGTGGACTGGTTGTGCTAATCGTCATTATAAAGAAATACGTCCATCCTGGACCAGGGTCTCGAACCCGAATTCTCGCCAGCCGCCGACCATGCCAAGCCGAAGAGTGACAGTGAAAGCGTAAAGAAGGACAAGGCACTTGATAGCGTGTCTGAAGTACGGGTGTGAGACACGAAGGCTCGAGATTATCAATAGTTGATTGCGCACTCGTATAAGTACTCGAGGAAGTCAACTAGGTGCCAATCACCCTCTACTGGCGCTACAGCCTCTATAGAGTCAAATCAATTAAATTCCACCATATAGCTTTCTGAAGAGGCTGACAGTATTCAGCTGGGTAGATATGTCAGACGGCCTCAGAAAGATACAAAGCCGGGCCCGGAGACTTCTATGCAAGGTGAATGGCTACGTCAAATAGGCTTCTGGCACTCTTATCAAGTGTGATAATATTAAATTCCGTCTCATCTGCCCGTATAGATCGAAGGTTGGTCGTATACTAGGGTTATGCACATGCGGCCGCACGGGACCCACTAAAAATGTCATGCACATGCGGCCGCATCTATACTCCATCAGTAATCTCCAATGACGCTCAAGGACGACGAAGCTCGCGACGTGGAACGGGATACTGTCTGAATCCTGCTCATATGACAAATATCCAGAGGTCTGATTTCTAAACGCAAGTTTCGGGAGCTGGTCAAGAAAACCCACAGAAGTATAAAGCACTCTATGCTGCTCTGCCCTTTCGCAATAATGTACTCAACACATCAGAACACCCTACAAACACCAGAAAAAGCAGACAATATGGCTTCCACTTCGGACCTCCCGGTGCCTACTGGCTCAACTGTCGACGTCTCAGTTATCCTCGCTGGCTTGGTGACGTATCCAGCAAGCATGGTCATCAAAGAGCCTCTCCCTGGACACGAAATCCTGCCGGGGACCCCTTGCTACAGCTTCCTGATCGAGAACAGGGCAATGAACAAGAAAATTCTGTTCGATCTCGGGCTTGTTAAGGCATGGAGAACGAAGCTTCCTCCTGTGGGTGAGTAGATTCCACTTTTGTGAAATGACCCCGAGAGTCTGACAAAAAATGGTTGTCTAGTCCTTAACCAAATAGCATCCGTCAACGGAGAGCTCACCATCGAGAAGGACGTGGCCGATCATCTCCGTGAGGCCAATGTCCCTCTTGAATCGATTGACGGTATTATATGGTCCCATCACCACATGGACCATGTCGGAGATGCGTCGCTTTTCCCTTCGTCCACGTCGCTGATAGTCGGACCGGGGTTCAAGAGTAACAAAATGACCTTCCCTGGTTATCCGAAGAACCCGGATGCCATCGTCTCGGATGATGCATATCAGGGGCGTGATATCATTGAGCTTGACTTTTCCAATGTTCCCCTGGAGATTGGTGGCTTTCCGGCGCTCGATTATTTCGGCGACGGAAGCTTCTTCCTTCTCTACACAAAGGGCCATAGTAAGTCTTATGGCTAAGTGGCAGATTGCTTCCACACACCTGAAACTGACTGCTTTAGCGCATGACCACCTTAGTGCCCTTGCTCGAACCTCCGAGGACAAGTTTGTCTTTCTCGGAGGTGATATTGCCCATCACGCTGCAGAGTTTCGTCCATCGCCGCAGCAGCCACTTCCGGACGAGATCCACCCGTCGCCGCTAGACAACAATCCATTTGACCCCCAGCTTCCGGCGCTATCTGTATGTCCTGGTAGCGTCATCGAGAAGCTCTATCCGAGAAAGGAAACGCATCCAGATTATAGGGTTACTCCCTTTTACGAACCGAATCCATTGATGAGTGCATCCCAGCCAGACGCCCTGGCTGCGATTGAGAAGTTGCAGACTTTTGATGCATCTGCGAAAGTCTTTGTGATCATCGCGCATGATGTAGACCTGAAGGATTTGCTTCCTTACTTCCCGAGAAAGATCAACGACTGGGATACGGCACGGTATGAACAGGCCGTAAGATGGAGGTTCTTGAAGGATTTTCTCCAGACTGTGGCATGACTTGACTCAGGAATTGGTCAACCCGGCGGTCATACCAATTATCTCAATTGAGCGAGTCATGTTAAGCAGATCAGACGAGGGCGGGGTCTTCGTTTAGACGTTCGAGATATCGCCCTGCCACTGTTAGCGACGACTATGAAATGATTTTGCAGAGCCATACTCCCAGCGAGCCATCTCTGGCTGAAATGAGTCAACATATTCTTGAGTGTAGCTATGGCCTCCAGGGCGTTCACATTCTGTAAAGCTTTCGGCTCGGATGTCAGGGCCGAAGCGGCTGTATATATCGAGCTTAGAGCAAATATCGGAAGACGTTCAAAATCCAGATTAGATGGGTTCTGTTCGAGGAAACGAGAGCGATCTAGAATATCTCCGACAGCTGCCTCAAAGGTCGACTTGCTTGATTTGGCGCACTGTTCCTTGTCGTGTACCTCAAGATGACACCAAAGGATCAATGAAGCACTGGAGCGAAGAGATGGATATAGAATTAGCGTCAGGTGCTCCGGATCTGGACTGAACAAACCTTACGCTATGAATTAAGCCTACTTACCTTTCACATAAAGCAACTGATGGGTTGTAGATTTCATCTTCGCTTGGTCCCATTTCCTTGAGTAGTGCCTTGAAAGATCTTAACGTTGAAACAATTTGCATTGCCTCTGTTGTATTGAATTCATCCTGGGGTGTGGGGTCGTGCATGTGCGCCTGCACCTGTTCGAGGATTCGTGATGCATGAAGAAGCATTGAGAACGGACATGACATGGTAGTGAACCCCTCCTGTACTCACAGTTGCTAGGCGTCAGCATGCTCAGTCAAGTCCAGTCTCAGTATCTTACCTTGTCTGAGCTAGTATCGATTTGAGGGGAAGCCATGACACGAAACTCAGAGCCACGTTTGCACATGCCCAAGGCGACATATCTATAGGCTGATAATCAGACCAAGTATAAGAGCATCAATAACGACTTCGAATGTAATCCACGTACCGGTCCATGATTATAACTCCCCACCAGACCCGCTTTTCCTCCTCTGATTTGCGCTGCTGTTCAGGTGAAGTATGAGAAGGGTTTGGTCTATCGGTATCAAGTCCGAGGGCCACAGCCGCACGTAATGTCGATCCCATGGTCATATATGCAGACTGAGGCTTACCGTGCCCTGATTCAAACAAGGTAATAAGCAGCCGAACTTGGATCAGTTCGAGTGATATTGGGCCAATGGAATCAAAGAGCCCGATGAACCCTTTGATGGAAGTATAGATAGCGAGAACCTGACTTGAAAGCTCTATATCGTCAGGGCGAGCATTAACCAGAAACATACTCAGCGACAGGAGAAGAAATTCTGGTCTTTGTAAGTCCCACGGACTTGACAATTGCTTGTAGTACAGGCTTGGATCAAGTATGGGGAACCACAGGTGGACAGAACTGAAATAGATAGAGGCCTCATGCAAGGCTCTCGCGTCATTTCCAATCACAGTGATAAATTGCGCGCGTATAATCTCAAAAACATCTTGGAATGTAATGCTACGGCTTGGATCAGGTAGCAGCCCAGTTGGTCCGAGAGCCGGCTGCGTGGATGAGACCACTATCTTCTCTAGCGGCTCATAGTGACAGGTCCGACCGAGTCTACGAGAAGCTTAGTGGAAACCCTGAGAACAAGCAACACGCTTACCATTTACCTCTTGCACAGTGAGCAGGAAGGCAGTAGCTTATCACACTTTCTCTTTCTCCTTTTACATTGGAGACAGACCAGGTCTGCATAGTTTGTACGTGGCATTGACTCTGTATTATCGATAAAATATGTGGCGCAAAATGATCTGAGATAATAAATTGAAAGACACTGTAGAGAGAACTTGAGAATCAGAGTCTCGCGTCCACCGAGAAGGGCAACAAGAAGCATTTATCACGTGATGCAACTCCTCTCGGGCAGCAGCTCTTTGTGCCTCAGGCTGCCTGCTCCCGACACCGCATCCGAACCGCCACTTGTGAATTAATCTCCAGGTTGTTCCATTATCCATCCACTTCCCTGCTCTCGGTCACTTCTCCGTCTGTCTCCTCTTCCTTCTTCTCCCCCGATTCTTTCTCCAATCCTTACAGCAGATTGGCACACGTCGAACGGCCATGTCTCGCCGTCCCAACGCGGCCCAGGCGGCCCAGAACCAGCAGACTATCAAAGCACTGCTGAAACTAGAGACCAACAAGACATGCGCCGATTGTAAACGCAATAAGCGTGAGTGTGGCCTTTCCCTCAGTGTTCCAATCGCTACTCTGCGATCAATCGCTAACTGTGTTTTATCTAGATCCACGATGGGCTTCTTGGAATCTCGGCATCTTTATCTGCATTCGTTGTTCGGGCATTCATAGGGGCATGGGCACCCATATCAGCCGGGTGAAATCTGTGGATCTCGATGCGTGGACCGATGAGCAGCTTCAAAGTGTAGTGAGATGGGGCAACGCCAGGGCGAACAAGTTCGTATTCACCGCGGAATTGAGGAAGGGAGGGTCACAAACTGACCTGTGGTGATAGATACTGGGAAGCGAAGCTAGCACCCGGCCACGTCCCTTCAGATGCGTGAGTTGACTCGATACCCCACGTTCGAGTCATTCCGGACCGACTCGCTAATACATGGGGATGGCGGTAGAAAAATCGAGAACTTTATCAGGACTAAATATGAATCCAAACGCTGGGTTATGGATGGTGGAATTCCCGACCCCGCAACGCTGGATACTGGTGATGACGATGTCGTGAGTTTCGCTTAATTACACTTATCCTCCATGGATGGCTTGAGTTCTAACCCACTCTTGCGTCCGTTAGCCTCTGGCCGTCGTTCAGGAGAAGGCCAAAATCGAGCGCTCTGCTTCGCAAAGGGTGGCGCCCGCCGCTCAGCCAGCAGTACATCGCCCACAAGCCTCTATTGATCTCTTCGCGGACGACGACATCTCTCCCCCGGTCCGTCCTAGCACCACCGAGCCCTCAATCCGGGCCCCTCCCAAGCAGCCACAGTCCGCCCAGAAAACAGCCGCTCGACCTGGAGACTCGTTGCTCGGCCTAGACTTCTTTGGCAGTGCGGCTCCGGCGGCGACTAATCGCCCTGCCAGCGTCGCCTCCACGCCGGCGGGCGGAATGTCAAGGCCGGACCTCAAGCAGTCTATCCTTTCCCTTTATTCCAAGCCCCCGCCTGCCCCAGTACACCATGAGCGCACATCATCCTTTGGGGATCTGGCCTCCCCAGCCCCTCCTCAGTCGACCTCCTCCTCTAATATGGGCGGGTTGACTGACGCCTTTAGCGGGTTGAGCTTCCCGACATCTCCTCCTGTCCAGCAGAAGCAAACCGAGAAACCCTCGCCATTCGCAGGATTAACAAGCTTTGCAAACACCAAATCAGCCCCGGCAGCTCCCAAGGTGACGTCGCCGACCCCTTCCTCAGGTAGCGCAGGTGGTGGTGGTGGTGGTTTGTTCGACAGCCTCACGTCCCCCACATTCCCTCCCGCGAAACCGCAGTCCCGCACCACCTCGGTCTCGTCAAACGGACACGATTTTGGTGGTTTCTCTAGCTTCCAGTCACCCCCTCCGCAGCCAAAGCCCAACCCCCCCTCGTCTTCACTCTCCAACGACCTTTTTGGATTCTCGTCACCTCCGCTTTCTACGTCCTCGATCTCTCCACCCCCTGTGCGAGCGCCACCAACAACAACTTCTCCCCAGCAGGAGCTAAAGTCAGCCTTCAATCTCAGCAGCCCCGCCCCCCACTCAGCTGGGGCACCCAAGACAGTTAGCCCACCTTCCATCCCTGGCCTCAGCGCTGCGACACTTGATCCATGGGGTGCAAATGCGTGGAGCACCCCGGAACCCCCAGCACCCGCCGCGGCCCCTCTCGCTCCCCAGCCATCCTCCACCATGAAGCTCCCTGACACATTGACCGCGAACGACATTGGCGCTGGCTGGGGTGCTCCGGCAGCATCCACCAAACCCCCAGCACCAACTGTCGCGGAAGACGAAGACTTTGGTGGCTGGGCTAGCGCCGCCCCGATCTCCACGAACACGACCACGACCACGAGTACTTCTAATGCGAATGCTTCATCTAAACCAGCAGGCAACTTTGGGGGAGCTGATGATTTGTTCTCTAATGTCTGGGAGTAGTTTAGTTTCAGGCTCGTTCTCTCATTCGAACGTCCTATGATTACATATCTTTTGTGTCTACTGCAGCTTATGCCATATTATATTCACCACGAATTTGTATATAATGTGGTCTTTGTGTCTTTAGACTCTAGCGCTAGCTCGCAAGTATTCACATGTAATATTTAACTCTATCTAGTAGAAGCTGTGTCTCTCATAGAAATTTAGAAGATCATTCTGGTTTGGATGTTTTATATCATGAAGTGGCCGATTCCACAAATCATACCATCGTCGACTAAAAAGTAGTACAGGAAAAGGGCTCTTCTGCAGTTTAGAGCCTCAGGTGGGCAACAAGAAAGAAACGTAGAGAAGGATATTAAAACCGAAATAGTGTAAGAGCAGGTTTTTTTTCTTCATCGGGGACAACATACGTTAATCCCTAATCAACCCCTTCAGGCTAGAATACTCTTCCACGGGGGAGATGACAGTTTCCTGCGATACTATCGTTGTGACCTTGATGTCCCTCGGTGCAACGGCCGCATTCTCATTCTCGGATTTGGGGCCAAATGTGCTCAGATTGTAGTTTGTTGGCTGGTCCTTTCCGGCGGCGACGGAGGCATGGAAGCCAGTGATGTTTGCGCTGCGGCTCCGTGGGCCTTGGTTGTAGGGCCTTGAGGTGTTGTTGCTTCTGCCGGTGGAGAAGAACCTGGGAATGAGCCTGGAGATAAAGGCGCGAGTAGCCGGAAGACAGGCACAGATGATGGCGACATTACATTCGACTGCAGACCAGGTAGCCGCTCCTACATTATCAACTGAATAATGTTAACCCTGGGTCAACTGCAAGATGCTTGAGGTGTACTCACATGTTGTGTCTTTTGAATCAGAAACAACTAGAAGACTTTGTAGGCGGAGGATACTTGTGACAAGAACGCTGTAGACTAGTCAGTTGATGATGGAACCAGCCAAGACAGCAGCAGCTTACAATGCGCCAAGAGCGAAGACGCCCATGAGGGCTAGCTTCTGCCGTGAAGGTAGTTGGAGCTTTTTGAGAACGGGCATAGGAAATATTAGAAGGAGGATATCAGTGAAGATGTGGATAGCCGAATTGGAGAACCATAGGGCTTTCTTATCCAGACAGAAACCGTCCAGACTATCGTCCCAGAATTTGGCCACTGGGACGCAATTGAGCCATGCGCTGACGAATGTCCAAGTCCCCCAAACACCGAGGAAACCGAGTAAAAAGTAGCAAGCCAAGCGCATGCGCGGTGTCGAGAACACACGTTTGTACTGTAGGAGGATCGATGCTTTCGTGGTGATAAGGCTGGCTTGATAGATGGGAACTGAAGCCCAAAAGCACTGAGCAGGGAGATATAGTCAGCAATAGAGGCTATAAAATATGTCACCATTCTTGAGGGCTCCCATACAATCATTTGCTTTCTCAGAGTATCCGGAGGTATTTGGTCATAATGCTCGCCCATGAGATACGCCGTTTCTAGCAAGGGAGGAGACATGTTAGCAAAGGCTTTGGTTGCAGTTGTTAGCCTTTAATACTAGGGGACGCACCGCCGACAAAAAGACCAAGAAAAGCCCAGCTGAAAGACTTGGTAAGGTTAGTAGATAAATTATGGTCTGAAAGAGTTTAGGAGAACTTACGAGGGATACCAGGATCGTCCAGTCATCAGCACCCAGCTGTTTCACCATGTATGCTCGGGTGTAGATGCGGACTGCTGCGAGGAAGGTGGCCAGGCAGGTAAAGACGCCGCTGACGGCTAGAGCCTGTCGACCGCGAGGTACACCGATGGCCATTATAGCACGGGCCTCATTGGGGTAACTCTAACGTTGCAAGACTGAGATCGAAAATATTAATGAAGGGTAAGGACCGTGCCGTAAAGCTTGCGATAATTGAAACGAGTGGCTCGAGTATATAACCCGTCATGAATTTCCAGTGTGTAAGTCAAGGTATTCTCATTTTTCGCGACTTTTCCTACCTCAAGTCGGAGGAACACAAGAGAAACAAGCACGAACTCCGAGGAAGAGGATTGGAAGGAGATATAAAAGATTGGCTAGCCTTCGTATCTGCTAATCCAGAACTCCGGACGGCCGATTAGCTCGGCCTATCCCCATGGTCTTCGAATAGAAGAGGGCTATTGGATCATAAGTATCACTGATGCTGTCTTTTAGGCCCAGAACAGCCACGTGAGTTCCGAATTGGACTCATCGTATGCAGGTCTTGCCTCGTGGAAGAGTCTTAGACTTGAGCTTCATTCCTTGAGAGTCGATTGGTCGTCAGGCATAATTTTGGCTGTTGCTGTATCCTGCCAGCGACGACTCCAGAAACATCAACCACTGGAGTTCAACTAGCGTTAATTTGCCTTCATGTTGAGCCCACTTGTAGTCCACTCCGAATGTGGAGCTATACGCCCTCAGCCAGTCGAATCTCCAAATGGGAGCGGAGCAAGCCTGGCTAGACCATCATTGAATAATGAGAACAAGATAGCTGATGATCTTGGTGTCTGTGAGCAAGACTAGTATGGAATTCAGGCCCGTAGCATTCTCCGTGCGGCGTAATCCTTAATCAGTAATCACTAGGGCCAGGTCTGTCCGTCTTTTCGGTACAGTTGAGCGATCCGCGTCCCCGGGGTGGCTTGCATCGGGCAAAGCGTGATCTGTGTTATTGGAGTATGAATTGTTACTGAATGGAGTATCCTTTGGGACTCTGGATAGGTTAATGAGACTGATCTCACCGATTCTCAGATGGCCGAAGAGGCTCGACAGGACAGCAGTGTGAACTGCTTGATCAACGCAGTCAGGCACATGCTTATGTACAGTCATGCAAATTGGTCACATTCGGTGGAGAGTGGTCCCTGAAATCCAATAGGTCCTGCGCTAAAATCCGGACAACCATGGTACTGCAGAAGGATGACAGGGCATGACAGTTGACTGTAGCGGTCTGAATGTTGATTCCAGTCGTGTCTTTATAGATTCTTTTCATATCCTGCAAGATCTGATACCAAGTGTTCGTAGGCTCAAAACATTCAGATCCTTGAAGAAATGCCTTTTCATACTCCGGTCTTCACAAAGGATGAATAAGATTTTGATAGTCGTTTAGCGCGCACCGGCTTGAGGGGAGGATCGGAGAAATGCTCGACTAGAATTCCTGCTTTTGCTGATAGTGTGGATGTTAGCGCCGCTAAAAAAGATTGATTAAGCGAGTACATGGAACCCACTCAGAGACCTTGGATTGGAACCAGCCTTGATGTTCCGCATGACAAGCGGTGTCGATCCAGCAGCAATTCGTGATTCTGCAGTCAAGCACACTCCGAAGAAGGCTGCAGGCGACGGGAAGAACCTTGGAAGTTCCGACAATGACTTGTTCTTCCCCGACTATTCCGGCTTTGAAATGGGAAGCCGACCGCTCATTGGCTGGATTATATCCAGCCAGGCGAATATTAATGGCAATGTGTTGGAACGGGGAAATTGTGCAGCATTACTGTACTACGTAGTAGCATCGCATCCCATAGTTGTTGATCGCCCGGAGGTGAAGAGGCAAAGGAGAAATGTCGGGAAATCTGGTGGAGGACTAGATCATACGGCAGGAGCAAGCCTTGAATTGAAGCATGGTAAGTAGCCGACTTTTCAAGTTACCATACCTTTTTATTCTTCTTCTACAACGCTACAACGCGAGGACAATAACGCTACATTAGTTTCCTCCCATCAATGCGGCACGCGGCGCATTGATAGGTTGTGATGTTGTCATCCAGCCTCCGTCGTCCATACTACACGTGGAATCAAGATCGCCACAAGCCGAGATTCCAAGACTTTGCGGTTCTGGTCCTCAATTGGGTGGACTCGACTCTGGAGTCTCAGTCGGGCCACCGGCTGTATGCGTTGCATAGTATTCCCTATCTTGCCCTAGCGATCGACCACCTGCGCTAACGATGTGCTGTGAGTGACTACGCATATCGAGCCTCACAAAGCTCTCAGACTCGTGTTACACAAGCGTGCTGTATGCATAACTCGAACGACCGAGTCATCAACTGATCATCCTGATGGCGTCTCGACTTTCTTCGACCAGTGCACGATACAGAGACTCCCATTAATCTCAGCGGCTCTCTTGTGTAGCGAAGATCGCGGAGATGCCATGTGCTCTCGTACACCACAGAGACGGAAAGCATGATCGCCGCAGGGTTTATCAGCTGCCATGGCTCATGTTGGGACTCTGAAACGACCATCGAAACTCAAAAGCGTTACTAGGGCCTAGCGCTGCACTATCTATATTACTACTACAACAATGTATCCGCTGCTGGGACGGAATGTTCGACCGCCAATCCCACTGCAAATGGATAATGAAAACACGCCACGAGGGTAGAGGTCACTAGAAGTATGGCCCAGTATACTATCTATTGGGCTGGTTCAACTCGACGGTCCATGTGTCATTGATATGGCTGTATGCCGCCGATGAAGATAGGACCTCGAAGGTACCACCCACCGGAACCGGCACGATGACCCCATATCTCCACAGCTATGACAAGGATTTAGCTTCAAGAGGTCAGTTTGACCGAATGTTTAACAGAGTGTAGCCGCCCCATCGACACATTCTTTATGGTACAATCATCAAGAATACAAGAGCGCAAGATGGATTATAAGAAGGTAAAAAAAAAGGGAAAGCAAAAATAACAAGCCGAGCTCCATTCTACCCCGTTGCCCAGACGCCACGTCGATGAAAAGTAAATGGATCGAGACATCATAAACCGAAGGCCATCAAGAATCTTTTATGAGTAAGAAGAAAGTCGAAAGTGATAGAGAGATGGGGTTGAAACTCCAGGGTATTTGTACAGAAGAAACAACGGAGAGAGGAAAATGTTTCGGTACCAGCTTGGCGGTTTGAACACGGTTTGTTGTCCCTTCAGTAGTATTCTTCCTTCTCTAGTATCATGATCAACTCGGTGAGTTCCTTGCGGAGTGACCGATTTCGGTCCCAAACTTCGATGATTTTTGGTCGATGGCTAAGAAAAGAAGCTTTCTTCCAGGAGAGTCCATTGAAATTCGGAGCGATTCCATTCGGAAGATTCCTGGCGAGATTTCGCAGAACAAGGGCAGCCTTGTACGCGACACCGACGGGCTCCCCTCGCTCACTGACGGGTGTATCCATATAGAACCACTTGCGCACAATGCGCTCTTGAAGCACAGCACGCTTCGACGTAGGCGGTTCGGCATCTTCAGGCCGGTCTTCCGGAAGATGAGAGGCGACATGGCCTGCTACCATTGCGGTATTCGCACTAGGGCCAGAAGAGCGAAATTTGGTGCAGTTGTCCCAGAGACAGGTGTGCACAGGTGATTCTGCGGCTTCCAAGTTGTATTCTCCCACTGTCTCGGTTGCTTTGAGGTTCATGTGATCTGAATAGACGTGATTACGGAGGTCCGTCGGTGTGGCGAAAGCGCGTTGGCAGGGTTTTGCCTCCTGCCATTTGCAGTAGATGTAAGGGAAGCCTTGAAATGTATATGCGACTTCCAAAGGTCGAATTCCCTTGATGATGAATCTCGTTGAAGATCCAGGCCCGTTTATCACTTGGGCCTGAGCATTTGTAAACGTGGTGCTGACATTCTTGATGAACTCTGCGGCGGGAAGGACACCACCACCGGGAACTCGAGGGTCAGCAAAACGACTTTGGTATGCCTGCCACAGAGCGATTTGAGTAATCTCGCACTCTGCATCTTCAACAAAACAGCAACGTAACCAGCGCGAGCTACGCTCAGGTTCCGACAATTCTAGCAGGTCCTTCAGCAGTTCCTGGGGCACACGTGGTATGTCGGTGGGAGGCGGTGCTACTTTCTCCTCCTGCAAGACGGTTTCCTTCTTGCTTGGTCGGCCCTCGTGCGTCAAAAGTGCAATCATCCGTGGAATGAAGATTGTCCGGAAATTGAAAACCTCCAGCATGTGCTCAATATTCTCGCGGGAGAGGGAGTATTGATACCAAAAGTCAAGAGCGCCGCTCAGAATGTCCTTGTCCAAGTCCATTAAAGTGAGAAAGTATAGCTGTTGTAACGTTTCTTCTGGTATGCGCTCCATTGCTCGATTCGCTTCGGGTTCGTCTAGTTCAGTAGAGAAGTGAGTGAGAGCCCAGAGTGCACGAACCACATGGGCGCGGTCCGGTGAGTCAAGGCAGTTTAGTAGTGAAATCCAGAGCGGGTCTTCAGGATCGGTTCTCATGAACCTGGTCACTTCCTCCGCGATATCCAAGGCATCATTTTTCAGTTCATTCAATCTCGGTTGATTGGGAATGTTGAGCATGATTACCAGGAAGTCTCTTAGAAGACCACTGGCGTAGCGCGATGCATAGATGGCATTGTCCTTCAATAGCACCATGTTTCTCAATATAAGGGTAGCTTCCTTGATATTTCGAAGCCGATGGTTGAATTCGTACGTCTCCAGCGAATCATCAGGTAAAATAACTGGTATCTTTCTGATCCTCTCTAATATGTCGCGCGTGCCGTGAAGGGCGTTAAGAACATTGACGCGATCTGTAATTTGTTGGAAGTTGTAGTGAAGCTCCCACTTTACCCCGGTACAGAGGATTGAGACTTCTATGGCTTTTTCCATCAAGTTCTCTGCCAATAGCGGGAAGCCTTCGAATTTGAATTTGTCTCCACGTTGATTTGAGATTTGCACGAGATGATACAAAGCAAAGTCGACTTCGTCTGCGATCCCAGATTGCAGGCCATAGTGCGCACGTTTGTAGATATGGTCGGCTAAAGGGGATGTTAGCGTCCTCTGGTGCTAAAATCAAGATACTGCTCGGACAAATAGGTCCTGGGATTCTAAAGAAGATATGTTGACGTACACTTCGGGACCTCCACAAATCTAAGCGGAAAGTACGGGTCATAGAAGTCTGCTTGCTTCGCTACCTTCACCTTTTCGGACAGACCACTAAACAGACTGGGCCGATTCCCCGGTGTCCAGACCTCACGCGTCGACATAGGGACTCTGTGCTCCTTACCTTCCCAGGTCTGGGTTGAGATATGAGGGTTCTCCGAGTGCGGGGGTGACATTGAATGCGGGAGAGCAGATGACGGCTGTGGAGATTGATTCGCACTGATATGAGCACGCCGTACTGGCGCGGTGTCGGGGATGAAAGGTTGGTTGACTTTTGGCTGTTGCCGCAGTCCCTCTATGAACAGCGATGAGTAAGTAACGAAACAAAACGAATCGAGAATCAGAGCTCACGTCGTAGGGATGTGCGAGGGGTTTGAGCACTCATTTTGGGCTCGTCCTGAGTTTCCTTCAGGATCCCACAATTGTCACCCTCTTTGAATCGAGTCGTGAAAGGCAACCTCCACCTTGTCGCGTCGATCTTGCGATTTCGAAAAGGTCAATAGTAGCTTGGTCAGTTGTTGCACTGGCGGTGATCCTTGGTTGACTGAACGCGATGGTCCCAAGGGCGAATTATCGATGGCCGCCCTGCAATGGCACGCGTAGGCGTTGCCAAGGTGTTTCGCCCCTCTCGTCCTTTTGGCGCCTCTGTCGTGGTCACTTCGGGGCGTACAGCGCGTTTATCACGTTGCGAAGTGCTGCTGTGTCTATCGGGATTGTTCAGGTATTTCGGGGATGGTTGAGCGAGCTCGGCGCGGTCTAAAGCTGTCGCAAGTCGAAGACGATGGTTGCAACCCGGGAGAGGGAATCACAGGATAAAATCAGGGAGGGTCACGGGCGCGAATAATAAGGATCGTTAGCGACAGTAACAGTTGCAGCTTGAACGGTAATTCTTGGGTTGTGGGCAACCAGCTTTTGATCCTGCGATCGAACCGTCCTGGCGTCTTCCAAAAAGTCCGCACTGGTAGACGCTCTACTTGGACTGAGCCTAAGGCATATCCCGGATTATATGAAGTTCCGTACTCCGTTCCCGACATACTTGTTGCTGCCTGAGGCATAAGGGCAATGATATTATTCCGTAAATGGCAATCGGTACGAACTATTAGGAAATCGAGGGTCATACATACTTTAAGTCGTGGAGGATAAGACATTGAGTACCTATTAACAATCGTAAATCTCATCGACGTACGTAAGTGATAGAGAATATACATCATGATGCATACGTCCGTTGCCGAAACACTGAGCGCTCATCAGATGTCACCTGCCCGAAGCTTCCAAGTTCAATCGGTGGGGGCTGAACTCCTGCCGACCTTCCTCGAGAACCATCCTAACCGCATCAAGTGATCTCAGCTGGATAGATCTACTAAAGCCATCAAGCTACCCTCATGAGTCAGTTTCGCATCTCTGAACGGTCTCAGGACTCGATCACACTGGGTCGCTTCCAGCTCGCCAAGTTCTCCTATGCTATAAACTCTAAGACTAACAAAGGACCATTTTCCTGGAGCCATGTCTACGGAGACAGTGAGCTCGTTGGGGTATTCAGAAGAGATGTTACGCCATCACCTGAGAAAATCATGTTCAAAATCACTGGCAAGGATTCCACACTCGTACGTGCTGGCTCACTCAATTATATGGAATCCGCTAAATCAATCAATAGGAGGAAATAAACCTGACGGAACTAGCAAAAGAACTTGAGAATCAATTACAGGGCAATGCGAAACCATCAACAGTTTCACTTGTCGTGAGGCGGCCTTGCCTTGCCGTCAAGTATCCATTGAGCAGTGACCGTGTGCGTATTATATATATATATATGGAAGCGATTATATATCTAATACGGTACAGGCCTACCGGTTCCAGATCATGTTTTCATCTGACCGTGACTACTCTGCAGCCCTCAGCATTCTAAGTGAAATGAAATGCTTGTTCTTCGAGATGAACGCTACCCCAGGACGCCAGGGCAGCAGGCTGGGTTCATCACATCTCAGCTTTAGAAATGGTCCATCATGTTCACCTGATAACTTCACGCCTAGTATCAGAATGGCTCACTCTATTGTGCCAAATCCTGGGAGAAACACCATCTCGGACCGCTCGCTGGCATGTTCGTCTGCCGGTTCTGCTACTCTCGCGGGTAGCAGCCGCGGTTTCGATACACTAGATAGTAAGGACGAGCCGCATAATGCGACATCTCCGAGTCCAGTAGCGACAGAAAGGACTAAGCCACTTCTTAATGAGAGTGAAGAGCCGTTATTCAGACCATTGAAGGGTATAGCCCATCGCGACGTTGAAGACGTCGACCTACCCCCAAAGAGAACTCTTCCTTGGGAGGGACAAGCCCCCAGAAAAGCACGAAAGACGGAGAAACCAGCGAGCCCTATGCCTTCCAAGGCATCTCGTACCGGTAAGACAGATCTTTTTCTTATATCAGGTACAGACATTGGACCGTACTAAGCAGCCATACAAGGAATACGTGGTCCCAAATCATCCCCTAGGGCAACAAAGTCCCAATGCGGACCTCCAAGACGACAGGCCACACCACCAGCTCCATCGGCGTCTATAAGGGAGCCTACCACCCGAGCAATGTCAGCCAGCGTAGGAACCCAGACCACCATCGAGTCACCGAACGCCTCCGACTCCACTGCCGCTGCTTTAACCCAGTTCCTATCTTATCCGCCTAGCGAGAGAGATGCGAAGCTCGAAGAGACGTTCTGTAGCCTGCTCAACGATAACGCATTCATGCAGCTTTGCATAGCTGTAGAGGGAGCTTGGACACGGGTTGCTGTTGGGAAGTAGACGGCACCAACAGTACGAGTCATGGACGTAGAGTCTACACATTACGGGACTGTATTTGATGCAACTGCCGTTCTCTTGATTTGCTATATAGATAATGGTTGATTTCGTGGCATGCCTATGTTGCAACTTGCTTAACATTCATCATTCATGTTCTAATGGGGCTATTTTCTTTTTTGTGATTGATTACGATGAGTATACGGAGCTGAGTAAAAGAAAGAGAACAAGGAGTATTATAACTTAGATTTGAGAGCCTAACAAATACAAAGTGTATCCTGGTGCGATCACCAGAGGAATAGATGCCTGTCCGCATAGCTCTACCACTGTTAGAATACAGAAGAAACACGCAATAACCACCTAACCCCTAAGAAACAACAAATTCTTCGCATTACAGCGCGTTGAGCGCAGAAAATTTGCGGAGTCAGATCAAGACACGTCAAGCTAATCAACTGACAAGCGGGTAAAACTTAGCGAGGCCGACGATAGATCAAGCCGGAAAATACGTTGAGATATCCCTCCTTTGTAAGGAGAGTAAAGTCAACAGCGATGCGGCCCTGTGGTGGCAGGGCGGATGCAAGGTTCTGTCCGCTTGTTATCTCATCAACCGGAGGAATTGACGATGGGGGTGGAGGCGACGCATTTGCGGCAACTGATCCCTCGGCGCCCACGGCGAGATCCGCGAGGTGCTGCAGAGAGCGCTGTTCGTTTGGTCCTACAACAGGCGGCGCTGAAGAGCCAACTTTGCCCAAGCTGGGATCGTGGAATTGAGATTCCTGTGACTTGGTGCGTCGCCATTCGAGGAAAAGGCGAATCTTAGCATCCCAGCTCTCAGTGTGGAAGATGTCACCAAACTCTGAGGGCCCTATAGCCCGTTTCTCCCGCTGATCGAGAATCTCTTCTACCTTTGCAAGCGATTCCCAGCATTCGTTGGCGTACTCCGGTAGAACCGACGCTTCGAGAAGAGTCATCGTTGCCAGAGCCAAACTGTGGATATCAAAAGGGGTCGTCTGACGCGATTGCGCGCTGGCCTTGTACAATTCGTTGACGACCTCTTCGGCACTGTACACAATCTCGTATGGGCTGTGAACAAAGATGTGTCGCTTGATCAGTAACCGAGTAGTCCAATAAAGTTGGTTCTGCAAGCTTTCAACAAAGCCCCTAGATTGGCCGTTTAAGTCAGCCTCAGGTGTTCTATGAAAATCGTCGATTCCAGACAGGCGCTCAAGGGACGCTGCCAAGTTTGCGCCAACCACGCGTCCGATCCCAGTGTTAGTCTGGCAAACGTTATGCTCGGTCGCTGCTAGGGTCACCATTTCACTCAAGAACGAGGAGTATGCTGTGAGCACTACATTAGTCTTAATAGATTGGTAATGGGGGTGGATGCGCTTGACATACAGGCGATCCCAGCGGTCACCCCGCCCAATACTCTTTCATCTTCGCGCCCACCTATGTCAGAGGTTCCAAGGATGCCAGTGTCAGCGACACTGATGGCGTACCATCGCGTTAAGATAATCAAAGATACCCAATTTCTCCTGGCGAGGTTCGCTTCTGAGTCGATGTCAGGATCCGAGGAGCGCTTAGACTTCAACTGCCCAAGGCTCTTCACTAAATCCGAGCCGAGCTTCGTTGCAGACTGGAGCAGCGTATGCTTCGGTATGCCGTCTTTTAGAACAAAGTTATCAGGCCCGCGCGAGTCGCAATCAAGGATCATAAGGAGCATGCTTTGGAGCCATATCAGATTCACACCTGTTGATCGGACCAGGGCCGGCTGCCGAGTGTAGTAGAGAAGAAGATCTTGCGCATTATCGTAAGATGTAACTCTTTCGAAGGTACCGGTAACCCGATCAATGTTGACGCGTGTCAAGGTGTATAGACTGTACAGAAAGATTTCCTGCACTTCACGAGTGCATTGATGCAGTTGTGCTAGGAGACGGTCTTTTGAGTTTGGTAAGACGGGAAGGATAGGGTGGACCTTCTCATAATACCTGGATTCTGTTAGAAGACAATGAATTTGACAAGATCAGAGATAAACTTACGCATTAAGAGCTCCTTCATCTACCATCAAAGGGGTCATGTCTTCATCTTGCTTCGGCATATCGGGAATCTCTAGCCCGGTGGGAAGTTCGCCCTCATTACCTGACCAGAAAAGATTCCCAGGCTTTGGCGCCGAACCGGTGATAACGGCAGGGTTGAACGGGTCCGTAGGATTTTCGCCCGCATCTACCACGGTCAGAGGGTAGTTCCGTAAGAAAAGGCATTAAATACTCACCGAATGCATTCTGGGTACGCGACGTGAACGGAGGTTGTGTAATTGATGAGCTTGGTAGCCCATCAAAAACAGAGTATGTCCTCTTGCGACCGATCCCACCCGCATCCATAGGCGACGAGAAGTCTTGATACGCTCTCGGAGAAGGCGCGTCGTTCATCGGTTGGTAAGGCATATCCGGATGAACCATAGCAGGCTGCATCTGGCTCTCGAGGGTGTGCAAGCGCTCCGCAAGTTCTTTGATATATCTATTGTCGCCTTGTGAGCTGAGCAATAGCGTAGAGAAAATCCCTGGTCTTACCCTTTACTCGGACCACGCTTCATAGGAACACGGCTGAATTGGCAAACGACTCCGAGACGGCGACAGTTCGAGCAGGTTTCGACTCCAGATTCGGAACTGGCATCGCAACGAACCTATCGAGGCCATCACATTAGATCTTGTACGGTTTGTCGCGTCGAGGCATGAAAACAAAACAATCCGATCAAGTACCTTCTTGCGCCGACACTCATCACAAGCTCGCGAAATCTTCGTCCTTTTCCTTCTAGCGCTCTGGTCCCCATAGCTCAGGTCGTGATTTGGGTCAACGCCCACCTGCTGACTCGGCGGAAATGGAAGCATGTGCTGCTGCTGGTGCTGGTCCGGTGAGGACGGGCGACCCATGTCGGCGCCACCAGCATTGGACGATCCCAAAACCATCGATTGGCCGTGGTGAACCCCATTGCTCGAGCCGTCATTAATGCCGGGCCCAGAAGTTTCGCGCGAAAGTTCGGCGGACAAAAGTTCGTCGGTTGTCAACTGACGGTTTGTGTAGTACTGCATGGTGCCCTGGCCTATTTGCGCCGCGTTGGGGGATGGATAGGAGGGGGCCGGAGGCATATCGGAGTGCTCGCGGGAATTCATAGTAGCTGAAGGTAATAGAAGGCGTGGAATTGATGGTGGTCGATGGTGGAGCGAAGCTCCGAATGATGGTGAGAAACCAGAGGGAGTTGCAGGACGAAGAAAACGCGAGTGCCAGCAGGCAAGGTTTTACTACAGGCTAAATTTTACTTGGGCGGGGGCTTTTTGAAGGGGCTAGCGCCGAGTGCTCTCGGCGTAGAAAGTAGGACACAGCAAACATGGTCGCGCGACTTGATGCAGAATTGTCGACGGTCTCTAAATCTGTCGACGTCTTGCGGTCGATGATATAGTTTACATCTTGGGGCTGATCGCGCCGACCGAGGCCCGGCTTTTTGTTTCTGCGTCCAGCGAGACGGATTAATACTATTTCCCTACTACGGCCCAGAGAACCTCAAAAAGATCGGAGAAGAGGCGGTTTGGATCTCTGGTGGGCCTTCTTCGAAGATGTCCGATAATTCGAGATGGAATTGTCCATGTTTGTTCGACTCTGATGGCTCGCTGCTTTGCATGTGAGGCGATTGACGCAAATCACATTCCTCAGTATAAATGTTGCGTCAACCTCACCTGGCGATGGCCTTTTCCCCCGGCAATCTATTATAGGAAAGAACAACATGAACCATATATCAAGAGCATTTAAATTGCATATTCGATATATCAACTAGCTATCCGTTGTTTTGTTGGTCTTTTGTGGCGGATATTTCGCGCCATATATGTGTAGCACAACAGGTTGAGTTTGCCAGCTACCCTGTGCGAGGCTTGATAGCGAAAGCATGACATGAAAAGCGCATATGTAAAGGTTCAGCATACTATACGTACCTGGAATTTATGCAAATCGCTATCAAGGCGCCGGAATACCTTAGCCAGAGCAATGTGTGGCATCTTTTTCTTGTTGGTAGACTCGGCCATGAGCCGAGAATGCTTCACACCAACAAGCAAAGTGCTGAGTAGGACAAGCTCTGCCTCATGTGCCCCGAGTAAGAGCCGCTGTTGCTTGAGAGAGGTCGGATGATTTTCTTACATAGAAATCAAGGAAGCTTGCTGATCTCCCAGTCGGACTGCGACCTACCGGCAGCACCAGGCACCACATGAGTGGAAGGGAAGACTGCAGTCGCAGTCAGCCCCAACGCAGCAGACACGGCATTGGGCGAGGACACACTGGTGCAACGACAACACTGTGATCGTTGAGACTGTCAGCTAGTTTCTGGGGGACGAATGAATCATATTAAGCACTCAGTGTCAGTGCTGGGGTATGATTGTATAGTTGTACTGCTTGTAGATTGTTTTGCCCCGAAAGTATCGGTGAAACGGCGCCCTTTCTGCAGCCTTCTTGCATTGGGTTTTCAACGAGTTGGCCAAGATTCACTATCACAGGTTGAAATCGCCGGAGACGGTATCTTTCGAGTGGGACTGTCTGGGGAAGGAAGCACTTGTATCGGCGACGAAGATCCCCCGGATGTTCCAACAAGGGTAGTTCTTGCTAATTTGCAGGTCCTTAATACTGCAGGACTCTCTAGACACAGTAATCAATTATCCTCCGTCGCTCATGGTCTGAACGAGTAATAGGGTCGAACATATGACCCCGTGAAGAAATTGCTGACCTGACCTTTATCAGTGGCTGGTAGGAAGCGACTTTGGGAGGGTGCCTTTGTAGGATGGAAGAGTCCGTTCGCAAGTTGAACGAGGGAGAACGGGACCGGGGTTGGAGTTCGTATGATCGAGATAACCCGAGGAAACCCGACTTGACTCCTGAAAAGTCTCGGATTGGTGGATGTTCGGTCTGCCCCATGACCGGCGGTCGAGAGTCGGCTCAAAAGCTGCAGACGCCCTAAAGCAGTGACGCCATCCTGCAGTGCCTTTTTACCACTAAGGGTGATTCGAGTCCGAAGAAGATCAGAAACCAAGTCTGACGAATGATTGATGATGTAAAAAATTTCCACTCTCTCGAGTGATAGGCTTCTTGCGACTGTTTTGGCGATCAGGAGCAGGGCAAGTGATCTCCTCTATGGGCGAAGAAGGAAATTGAAGGACTTTGCCAGTTTGGTCGATCTGCGCGGGATGGTATCATGAAGAAAACCCCCATTTACTAGTAGAACTAGTAAGTTCAGGATGATACATGTTATTCCAGTACCAGAACGCCGCACTAGTTGTATACGAGGACAAACTCTTTCTGGAGAATGTTGCATTCCTGTGTCGAGATGAAATAAGCAGGTCCAGGGCGAGCTGAGCCCGAGGTTTCCCTTGCACGATACAAGGCCCTGTTTGATGTCATCAGCACGGATTGACTGGCCAGAATTGCAGGATCGGTCTGCATGGAAGATCGAAACGCATTCTAGAAGGTTGTTTGGTAGGGATGTGGCGAGATTGACACAGCAAGAATTACTGATGGTGGCCTGAGCACGGTTACACTAGGCAAAACACTCATCGATCAGAGCAAAAGGCTGTCGAAACAATGACCATATTCCCTTATCTCTCAAACCAGCCGTGTGCGCCTGCGGTCACCGGCCCGGTTTGCCCCAGAGTCGAAGACCCATAAGTGAGTTCCAACGGTCCGACCCAGGTTTACACGAAGCCCAAGGAGGAAGTGCCGCCACTTGCAAGTGGTTCCCTGGATCGTGAGCCCTAAAACAAAGGCACTCGGAATAATAAGCCCAATTCCTCGAGGTACGTATAGGTGGAAAATCGAGATTTTCCTTCGACTTGCCCAGCACAGCCCAGAATGGAGAAAGAGCCCATGCGCCGTCGGGAGTTTTGCCTTGTCCTGCTGCTATCCGTAATGTTATCGTAATACTGTTGTCCTATATTAAGACCTAGTGCCGATCTAGGGGCGCTTGAGAGGTAACCGATCTCAGCGAGGGTGTTCTTCGAGGCAGAGCCTGACACCGCACAGGGGCGTAGAGTCAGTACAAGGAAGACACGGTCAAAGTCGGTGTACCTGATTGAGATGATGTGTGGATATGGTTCAGACTTCAGAGCAGCACGACCCATAATTTCGATAAACAGCTTGGAGTGGAGGCTGCACACTTGGAAATACGACGTACGCCTACGTACCGATCAGCGCTTTGATACAGGACTTAACCCAGCAAGATTCGCAGCATGGAGGCGTCAGAGGCTAGTATTGTCAAGAAACCTTTTGCACGGCGCAGCACAGCGGCCAGAGGCGCGGCCCCTCGAACCAGACCAAAAGTGAACCAAACTGAAGCGACCGAGCGACTACTTCTCCCCCATCTCCCGCCTTTCCTTTTCGCCTTTCCACTCCTCTCTTCTTTTCACAGGGTTTCAACGGCAACTCTGCCTCCATATTGATCGTTTCTTTCTTTTTTCTTGGCCGCCACAGCCGGTACTTGGTGTCCTGTCTCACGGCCGGCGCCAAACGGTGCGTAGGCTTTGGCCCCTTCGATACAATTGACCTTTCCTTCTTTCGTTGCACCTGGTGTAGCCTGCTTGGCTTTTTCGATTCTTCCCCCAGACCGACTGTCCCTCCCGTTCCTGGTACCTGGGTCGACCTCGCGCTTCCAACGCAATTGCACCCCCACCAGAGCTTGAGCACTAGTCTTCGACCACCAGTCGCGATCTGGCCCTTTTACAGGTTAAACGGCGTTCTGTGATCTGGTTGGTGCATTGGGATACTCGTTCAAGATACCCTGCTTTCTTGGAGTTCTAGACGGACCGCACTTACTATACCCTCAATCCTTGCCTCGAAGGCCTTTCGATTTTTACCTTTTCAAGGAGCTTCCCTGCTGGGATTGCTTCTGTCGCACAAAAGAAAAACGATTAAATAAGATTTCTCCAAAAGTCAGCTCAAGAGAACAAGGCTATTCTGCCATACCTGTTCTCTTCGACCTTCAGATTCCTCAACCCCTACTTTTCTCTCATACCATCGCGAATCATCGCATGTTCCCACGTCAGTAACCGCGGCGATGCTTATTGATGGCGAGAAGTGGGCTTGTGAAGCTTGCGTCCGGGGTCACCGTGTCAGCAGCTGTCACCACAGTGGTAAGTCGCTGGTTATCGCACTTTGAGAACCGGAACTGGCTAACGCGACTCATCTAGACCGCCCCCTGACCCATATCAACAAAAAAGGCCGTCCAGTCTCTCAGTGCCCTCACTGCCGCGGCCTACGCAAGTCACGGACAACCCACACAAAGTGCGAGTGTGGTGACAAGAAGAAGAACAGCCACAAAAATGATCTAGATCCTCATTCTACAGAGAAGCGGGATCTGAAGCGTGAGCATGATAGAAACGGCACCTTGATTCATTGTTTCTGATATAAATATTACAGACGGTCCCAAATGTGGCTGCACTCATGGACAGCGCTGTACCTGTGCGCTGAAGAAGGAACACCATCTAGATACCGTCCCGGAAACTAGCGTCGCGCCGCCACCAGCTGCACCTCCGTCGGAGCCGCCTAGAAAACCCCAATTGACGTCGACCAAGTCAGAGAGCACTCTTACCATATTTCGCGACGGCCACCATAAGCCTGCCCACAAGCATAATGACATGGCTCACAAATGCGGCCTGCCTTACACGATCCCTCGTTCTCACACTATTCATGCCTCCTCTGATGCCGCTCGTCGATCGATGGATCATTTACCCCTGACACAAACCTCGTTTATGGGCGAACAAATTGGCAACCAACCATTACAAGAACAGCCGCGCGGTATCTACGGGCTTCATCGTCGTGTCAAATCCGAACATGGGTCTCCAGAAAACGCTCCCATTGCTCCCTCAGGAGATGTTCCGGCATCTGTCCCTCCACTCGACCTCTCGTCGCTTTTCCCCAACTCGCAGCCGCTGGAAGATCCCATTGATAGCGGTGTTCCGCCCTCAATTCCCATGTCCATGCCGAAGACCTCTCTAGATCCAATCGCGACTTCTTCTGGGCTTCCTTTTGGTCTACCGACATATTCTACCTTCCCGAACACAAACACCTCGCCTGTAAACGGCCTGCAATATCAAGATCCGTTCAAGGAACCATTCTTCACGTCTCCCGACACTGACTTGTCCTTTTGTTCCGCCGGGTTCAATGCTACCGCCGTCGACTGGTCGGGAATTCCGCTTTCATCGGCGATGCCGACTACCAACACGCAGCCCCCATCTTATGCAAGCTTCGACTATAATTCCATGGGTCCCGGGATTCCTGCGCCGTCTTCTTCTGGGGATATTTCAGAACTGGATGAATTCGCACCGCTTCCACATTTAGGGGGCGCAGGCAACGACTTGCATGACCTCAACAGTGTGAGCGAAGGCTCGGATATTGACCATTTCCGTGTTAGCTCTGCGTCTTCGTTTATTGGTCTTCCGCAAGCGCAGTTACTTTCGTCCAACAACCTAGATTCAATCTCCGTTGATGAGTTCCTCAAGTCCGCGAATGAATCAACCGCCATCCTAGAGCAACAGTTGCAGGCCAGTATTGGCATGGAACAAAAACTTCTTGCGTCCCAGGATATATATGCCATGCCAGATGGCCAAGTCTTTGAGAAAGCAATGGTCAATCCAGGAGTTAATTTGCCGATGACAACAGCGGCGGCAGAGTCTCTTTGGCCTACCACGCTTTTTGATCCGAATTCTGCGCCTTTGGATGAGAACAACTTCTTTCCCTCTCCGTGGGTACAATAGCACCACGGGACCGAGGTTTTACCTCTGCAGTCTACGGTATATCCCTCGCGCTTTACCACCACCTCTACACTGTCTGAGTGACAACACCAAGAAGTCTTCACGACCTTGATGAGAGATGATGATAGATGCCTGATTTTTGCCTTGTGTTCAATTTAGCCCAATCTGAGTGACGTCATACTATAAGACTCAATCGATATAAAGCTGATATGCTACCTTATTTCCTTGGTTTCCCCGTGTCAAGTTGACTTCCTGTATAGCCTGTTTTCCAGCACTTCTGTCCAAAGATTTGGTCCAAACTTCGTGTCTTGCATGGAATGCTGCATTGTACATAGAGCCTGGAGATTATGTCACCATAGACTTCCTTTTCTTGTGTCTTTTTAGTTGATGAATGACTAGAAACATGCGTCGCAACTTGCATAATCATTACTCATAATTACTTCTCCGAGCCGGATCTGCAACTGTAGCGGTGTGACAACAGAATCCAGCGGTGAGGGCTGAGTTACGAAATGTAGTAAGAAGTAGCGCGGCGCGCTGTAAAGTCATTCACCTGAACTTGCTGGTTGAGATGCTGAACCTTGTCCATCACCCATGCAAGGGATGCAAGACAAGCTTCGAACGATCCAAGGCTTGTCAAGACTTGGCATTTTTGATCCAAATTTTGATTATTATTTTTTTTTTTGGCAAGTTTCTCAAGTTTCGTTGCATCAAGTTTCAACTTGATGGCACTTCTATTGGTCCGAATTGTGAGCTCAAATTCGATGCGCTAGGCACTGGCTAATTATTCTTACCACTATCGCCCAGTCGAGTAAGCTTCCCGAGTCCCTCCCAGATTGATTACGCGGTCATGGGTCAATTCGTGCCAGCAGTTTCCGGCTTTCCGAATGGATGAATGAATGGTGAATACCTGAAACACGGTTGGTTCATGCAGTTGGGTATATACAAGGAGCAAAGATGTAAAGTCATGTCCATCAACTAATGCGTTTAGCACGCTCCAAAATACGGCATCCATGCCGATCTATATAGCGAAAATGATGCAATTGTGACAAAGGCCTCGGACGACCTTCTAATCACTTCTCTATTTGTATTTCGCCATGAACTCAGAATGGAACTTGACGATGCGTTCCACCCAGTCGGTGCCAGGCGCCAGGAATGTGGTACGGAAATGAAGAGTGTTTTCCTTTTGGCCGAAGCCAGAGCCAGGGACGACGCAGACACCAGTGGCATCGAGAAGACGAAGGCAGTAGAACTCGTCCGCGGCGCGGTTTTCAGCGGCAGCAGCTTCAATCGCCTTGGGAGGCAGCGTAATGGTGGGGAAGAGGTACATCGCGCCCTAAAGCACCACAATTAGCCAATGGTTCGGAAATCAAGCAAGGGAAAGAGAGGTATGTACCTGGGGCTCCTGGCACTCAACGCCTTCCATACGCTGGAAGGCCTCATACAGGGCAAGGGCGCGCTTGTGCAGCCCCTCTCGAATGCCGCTGTACTCTTTCTGGTACAGTTCGTGGCTTGGCTCGCCCTCCTTGGGCGGGTTGACCATCAGCTCGACAAGACATTGTCCAGTGACCGGAGGACAGAGCATGATGCTAATGAACTTGTAGACCTGGGCCGCAACCAAGGGGTCGAATCCAACCAGCTCAAAGTATCCTCCACGGTGACCGCATTCACCAACCATACCCTTGGAAACACTGTGGAGAGAGACCAGCTCTACGTTGTCGTACTTTGTGGGCGCCTCTCGCTGCAGCTCGCGCAGCCTCTTCTTGAAAGATGTGAACTCCCCGACGAAGACGTTTGTTTGGTATACCTCGTCCGCAATGACCACCAACTTCTCCTCCGCAGCGATGTCAAGAACACTCTTGATGTCCTCGGGGCTCAGAGAAGCGCCAGTAGGGTTTCCAGGGTTGATGACCACGACCGCGCGGACGTCGGTACCGGCAGCCTTGGCCTGTTCCAAAGACTTCTTGATGGTGTTGATGTCGGTTCCCCAAGCCTTTTGTTCCTCCAGGTGGTAAGGAACGCATTGCGCATTCAAAAGAGACAAGGTAGCCGTGTACAGAGGGTATTGAGGAATCGGGACAAGGACGCCGGCACTGGGGCCATTGCAGATGACATTGAGCAGGGTGTTGACACCAGACGAAGCACCACCGGTAAGGAAGATGGACTGCGGGTCGGCAGAGAATCCATCACGCCCCTCAATGAACTTGGCCACACTCTCACGGATAAGAGGGACACCTTGACTGTGACTGTAGGCACCCACGCTCTGGACTTCAGCAAGAAGCTTCTCCGCCCGCTCTATAACATCATCCTGGTAGCCAAAAGTCGTGCGGAGGGTGTCCTTGTTGTTCAACAGCAGAGGGTTTTCGAGGAGACTGAGGACTTGACGGAAGAAGGTGATTGGCTTTTGATCGAGCTGCTGGGGGTTGCCAATGTTGGCGAAGATGACACTGTCAAATGGTAATGACTTGTCTCCCTGGGCCAATTTCACGCGGTATTCCTCCGCTTTGACGGCGAGTTCACCACGAACGGCATACTTGGCGGCCTTGACGTTGGAGTTGATGTTGTCCACATTCAGGCAACGAATAGCCGCCGTCGACAGTGCACGCTGGGATTCAGTAGGGAGTACTGTTCGGGTAGCCATTGTCGAATCTAAAGTAGAATTATGGCGGGGTTAGTAGTCGAATTGGAGGTGGGGTGGGAATATGTGGTTGAGTCCGGCCACGCAGTAGTTGGTCGAGTGGTGCCATATATAGTCCAACAGCACGGTGACTCAGAAGAGGTAAAACAGGCTGATCTTAAATCACTCATGGAGGATGTCACGAGGTGTGGACTCTGCCCAGACCACAGATCTGATGAACGGAGACGCCAGGAAGGTGGAGGGGAGATGGTCTTCCTCGGGGGTTCCCGAGCAGCAAACTTACCCGACAGCACCTTCGACCTTCCCGCGGCTAACGCTCCTCCAAAGAACGTACGAGGCTGAGAAATTCGCGCGATCTGAACACTATACGGCCGGAAAATCCCTGCGCGCCACAGCGGTGTCCGCATCTGGGTTGCAATCCTTCGCAAAGCCATGCTGAGTTGAATGGCGCTTTTCCGTGAGGCTTCAGCAACGAGGTATTGACAGCCAATCGGACAATCGGTCCTTCTCCGCCGTGGGGGTAAACGCGGGGATTTGAAGGACAATTGGCTGGGCGAGGAGGAATCGGACAACTGAGCGCTGTCTCGCTGGCGATCCAAGACAGGGAAAAGCAGCAACTTACCCTGAGGGTGGGAAACGCGAAATTTGGAGGCGATTTGTAAGGGGCGGCCGATTATCGGTGCTGACTCAGCCATGGTTCCTGACCCAAGTTGAGCACATCTTGACTCCTCGAAACACCCATCACGGTGAAGTCAGACGGTGAGATCAAGCGGTGTCTTCTCGCAGTGGTATGATACGTCAAATTTCAGAAGAGCACAGCTCTGGAGCGCTCACCGGCCATGTCGACAGTGGATGGTGCTGTCCAATACGGAGTGGTCCACCCCCACGTGAGGCCCGGCTCTTCCCGAACAACGGCCTGCCACTTCCGTGGATGCTCGGTTTGGACGGAGGACATAGCTTCAGACATGAATGATTAACATCATACTTTGACTAAGCTGATGATAGGTTGTCGATGCCATTGGCCGCTATCTGTCCATGACTCCCTGTAACATCTTGAACTGTAGCCGAAGAAGAACGCTCAGCTCAAGCTACGGTAAAGACTCCTTGGTGAGAACAAGGACATAATAATACTACCTAGTCGGAATCGACAACTGAATAAACGCCCTAAATATGTATGGTAACGTAGTGGGCTCCCAAGGAGCCACCGAGTGACGCCAGATGGGCGCGCTTACGAAGTGGTTATCGGCGCACACTTTTAGATATCTATACGGAGGACCGCCGCTTTGTTGATAGATCAGGAGATGCAGGCACGTATATCTTTCAGCTGTTATAAGGTATTGTATGATACAGCAGCCTCCGAACTTGTTATTTGCTCTAGTCAACTAAGACAAATTGTATGTATGGACCGGAAATCTGCTCAAATGGCGAGGCCCCCAATGCGCTATGGATCAGACGACGCCGTAATGCACCTTGCCTTGTCCCATCCATCGATGGTCCGACGACTGGCTACCTAACTTCGCTCGCTTCCCCGCAGGCGAACCGCTTGTCCATACTTCTGCAGCTTTGTGATCAGAGCATCACCGTGTTTCACAGCATCGGCGTACTGCTTGTTCTTGTCATCCGGTCGGTTCGTCTCGATAATACCATTGACCCGGTCAATGGTGCATGCGATTCGGTTACTGGCAATGAATTTGGCAAGATCCCTGTAGTTGTTAGTTTTCTCTGCTTAGCACCCTTGGTGGACTGTCAAGCTTACCGATCCAAATAGTCCACCGTCACACCAAAGTCGTTAGCCATGCTGTTTAGCCCTACCACGCGGTAACTCTGGAGGAGTTGTTGGTAGGCCCTCAACCTCATCTCACGCACAAACCAGGCACGGTGTTCGTACAAGTATCGGTCTTGCGTCAAGAAATTGTCCTCTACGGCGGCGAGAGCGAGGAAGAACGTCCGGTAATTCCCATTGTACAGGCTACCGACTAGGTTGGAGAGAGGTGTAAAGTCAATGGGCGTCTCGACTTCCGCCTGGATGCCAGCGTTGCCACTAAAGGCAGTCAGATTGACGATTGTGGTGGTTGCAGCTGGGGCAGAGGCATCCTTCATCTCTTCATCTTGAGCACCGGGGCCAGATGATATCTCGCCGGTAAGCGCCGCCAAACGGTCTTCGCCCGAGCCGAGAATAGCCTTGATTTCGGGTGCGTCCACAACCTTGGCCTTGAAATCAACACGCTTCAAGGACAATGAGCCCGCAAGTACTGCATAGATGACAAGGGCAGAGTAGCTGCATAGCTCATAGCTCGTAAACGTAGACAGACTGTCAAGCAGTAGCGGGGCAGCGGCGCTGTAGGACCGAACGGTGAGCAAATGCAAGCCCTTGTATGCCTTGAGGCGGTTTCTTCTATCCCAGTCACCACCACTCTCGATAAGTGTATCCGCCCTCTCAATGTTCTTCTTGACGTATAAGGTGTCACCGAAGAAGAGCCCGATTCGAATCATGGCGAGGACGAGGTCTATCTTCGATCCGAGGAATGTCGTTTTCTCCAGGAGAGTTTCATGCGACTCGATTGCTTTATCCTACGGAGAGTCGATGTCAGCACATCGATTGGTCATTCGCTCGAGGTCGTTTGCTCGGGGTAGCTCGGTTTAGACGTACCTTATCTCCAACCCGCGCCCAGAATTCAGCACGTTTTCCTCGCGCGGCCTGCACTTCGGTTTCGCCAGCAGCTTCCTCTGCCTCGTCTTCTTCCTTCTGGAAACCTTCCAGCTCCTTTCGATTATCCTCAACGAGTGATTGATACAAATCTTCATCCCACGGGAATTCAATCTTTTGTGATAGTCTCCGCGACGCCAGGGTGCTGAGCGGTTTGCCGGCACTCGATGACCGTGGTTGGGGAACACCTTCAGCGGAGTGGTTCAGGACGCCTTCGACGGGGTGGGCAAGATGTCGATAAAAGGGCGCCATCTTTCGCTCCACTATGGCCTCTTGAAGATTCTTTAGCGAAGTCTGTCGTACCGTCTGAGGACATGCTGGATTAGAGAGGTTGAAGACATGTTGGGCGAGAAGGAGGTCGGGGTATTTGATGTACTGAGGATCGGACCCCATGATGACGGCCGACAAACGAGAAAATCAAGGACAGTGCAGTTGGCTGTGAGTCAAGATGGTTCACGAATGAATGATAATACGAGATTGTGAGGGGCGTAGTAGGTGGTGTGGATGAGCTTGTGCGCGAGACAAATACATCACGTCCATCCGTCGATGTGGCAGGTAGCTGACGGAAGCTCAGCTGGCCAATTGTTTTTCCAGGTCCGAGTCCGCCCTCCGCTTGTTCATCCCGATCAACCTTACAACCACTTTCGATTCCATCTATGAGTATGGAGGCCAGCGTTCACTTTACAACCATAAGCCATTCCATATGCGCTCTAGGGCACTACAACAATTGATTACCAGCTGAGTGACATTGGTTTTCTCCAGGACTCCTCCGTTGTCACTCCCAAGTCCAGCGCATTCGATATCACAAAGCCCAAAAAGGAACCTGGAAACCATCGGATTTTCCCTGTCGGTGGCCTGTCGGTGGCCTGTCGGTGGCCTGTCAGTGGGCAATAATATGGATGATTGTTCATTCCTCAAGGCTGGCAGGAGTCTAGATTCCTCGCATTGTGCTGCAACAGACCTCCGAAGCGCGGCGGGTGTGACCCGAAAAGACGTTTTTCTGAGATGCTCTTCGCTTGCTCTCTGACTGACATATATTCCTATGTCCGATTGCGATATAGTGTGAGCTGAGTGCAGTAGCAGCTAGGTAGCTGTTTTGAATTCCTATATAGCTTCCCTGACAACTCCTTTCTCGCGGTGAGGTGGTCGCACTTCACACTTGGGAATATTCATCGAATTAATGGGCGCAGTAATACTGTCGGAGGATGATCGATGAAAGGCATGGCTATTTTCAATGGAACCTTAAAACGCAGCTACATGCAACTGGGCGTGATAACCGATCAGCCACCGAAAATATGCCAGCGGCGATGTAGCCCCATCATGACTGTTCGCCAGTGACGAGAAGCTGACTCTATTCGTTCATGCTGACACGAATTGAGCCTACTCAACGCTGAAAAGGCTACAGCAACACAGTCTGATAATCTGGGAGGAGCAGTCTCCAGAAGAAGGATGGCGAGAGAGACCAAACGCACGGGGGGAAGTTTCGGAAATCGTCAGAATGTGTAAGCCGAGGTTCATGGGCCGACACTCCAGTTGCTAGCTGCCGCGCGATCCCCGGCGAGTTCATTTACCGATCCATTTCCCTCCTTCCCCTCCCCCATCTTTTCCCCATCCCATTTATTCCTTCTCTGTGGAGCCTACCATATCTTTGAGCGCTCTACGTCCCTCGAACTCTGCCAACTGGTCCGCTATCGACTAGGATCTTTTACCTCGTATTCACGACTCACGGCTTTCGGCCTTCATTTGCCGACCTCGGAGACAAGTGAGAGATAACCAAAATGGTCGCAGACGCTCTGGTTTATCACCCGGCGCTGGCGCACTACCTGCGCTTCGTTGCTACCACAGGTATGTATCGAGCTTCCTATACTCCTCTGCTTGCTCTTTGCTCTTATTCCGGACCACCAGAAGGGTGCTGAAAGGAGCAAAGACGGTCGAATCGTCTCAAGTGCGGTCGCATTCTGATATCCTTTCATAGTCGGCCGTGATAAAATCCTCCGTACCCTGCAATACTTCTCTCGCTTCTACGCTTGGTATCTGTATCGCACGAACCAGCCCCAGACCGCCATCGCCCCGTATAATGCGATCAAGAAGCAGTTTGGAACGACGCGAAAGATTTTGAGAATCGGCAAGTTCGTTGAGCACCTCAAAGCTGCTGCTCTTGCAGCCGATAACAAGGGTCCCATCGACCCCGTCCTCCGATACCTAGCTATTGGTCGCCAACTCGGCTATGCTGGTTATCTCTCTCTTGACACAATCACCGTCATTGATACAATTGGCGTCCGTAAGCTCGCCAGCGCCAAGCGCTTACAAGACTCTGCATACCGCTCCTGGATGTCTGGCTTGGTCTGCAGCGCGCTTGCAGGTGCTTACACTCTTTGGAGACTGAACGAGAAGAAGAAGACCCTAGATCTGAAGGAGGGAGAAGGTGTCGTGGAGGCGAAGAAGCTTGAGAAGTACGTTTCGAGTGTCTTAATACACGGCCCGCCCTGGAAGCTAACAAACATATCAGGGAGAGTGCCGCCGCCCGTATTCAGCTGATTTCCGACCTCTGCGACCTGACAGTCCCGGTCTCCGCCCTTGGCTTCGCGTCCCTCGACGATGGGCTGGTCGGCATCGCTGGTACCGTGAGCAGTTTGATTGGTGTCTGGAGCCAATGGCGCAAGACCGCCTAGTAGGCACTCAACACACGATACTCCTGAATTCAAGAAGACCGCCATTCGACCACCATCAAATACGTACCATGCTTTCGTGCGCAGCTAAGTCGGTGTAAGTACAAGGATATACGCTGTGTTGGAGGTGTCCTCGTCCAAAAGCGTTTCTGGTGCACAGATGGAAGGCCTAAGATATGGTTGTTCCGAGCATGGAGGTAGAAGGATGCCGTGGACTTGGCAATTGATTCCCCGTCAGTTTACAGTCATTCTGGAATGACCCGACTCAATCTCTCTATGGGTATATATGTACTTTAGATGTGATTTCGTTTGCTTTTTCAAATCAAACAACGTTTACGTTTGCTCCCCGTGTTCTTCGGCTTCCAGGCCGTTGCCAGCTTCTGGGCTGCTGCTGATTTGTTAACGCATGTCAAACTTATCTGGGGCCTGAGGCACCACCCGTCGATCATGATCCACCTTAGTATCTCAATGACGGGCTCGCAGATCCCGACAACTTGAAGCTGCACTTGATCCAAACACGACGTACACAATACCACCAACTATGCCCCTCCTTATCAATGGACTATATACGTCGAGCTGATGTTTCTAATCTAGGCTTTGCCGTAGATCCAACGTTTCAATGTTGTTTGACGTGTTCACGACACAGCTTCCCCTGACAAAATCGAGAAAAGCAAATCTGAAATGATCCTCAATTATGGACCCTGGGCCGTATATGGCGTCGTGTACATAACTGGTTGACAGATTTGACCTAGCCGCCACATTCCTTCTTTATTGCATATAGCGTGCTTCTGTCCTGGCGCCACCAGCTATAAAATAACATCTTGAACTGGGAGATCAGCAGGAATGCTCTCAAACACGAGGATCGCGAACTCCTCGCGCACTCTTCTGCTATTGCGGTCCAATCATAGCCGCCTTTGGAAATAATACCTTTTTGAGGCCTCTCATGCTATGCATTGATCCCTGCTTATCACCTCAAGACAAGCTCTGTCAGTGTCTCGACTCTGCCAGTGGCTGGGCCTGCCTGCAAGGGTGCATATCTCGACCCACTCTGGATTGACGCGCTCGACGGCGGCTGTATGTGTCAGATAAGCATCAAGGGGGTCGAATAAGACACTGCAGACTGCCGCTCATGATGCGTGGCCCCTTTGTCACGCAGACTGGTGACATTCTATTGCCATGAGAGCACCCTTCTTCTGTGATATGGCATCCTTAACTTGCATGACACTTTCACCCGCTATCGACATACTAGACTATTAACTGACATTCCTTCTACGTTATTTTGTTCAAGCCATCGAGCTATTTAGGCTGGTATCAGGAGCCTCTACCAGCTCCTTTTGTCCCCTCTACGTCTGCGCAGCTGTGGCTTCGTGAGACCCTATATTCTTTCAGCGATATGCTGCATCCAATCCTCGATCTCAGCAATCTTAATGTCATACTTGTAGTATCAAGTGAGTGTACTTCTTTGTTCTCTACGGTTTCTCATTCTTGCCTAGCTGACAATCGTGCTCTAACATAGGCTTCTTCGCTTTGTTTGTCGGCTTTATATCGCTGAAACTCAAGCAAAGATGGTATCTGGGTGAAGCCTGTATGCCTGTCTGTCAAACGTTCTAGCATCCTCCCGCTCACAATCTTCTTAGTACCTGCGCTAGCTATAGGTGGTATATTTGGGCCCTCTGTCGCGAACCTTTTGAGGGTGCCCCATCCGGGAAATGACGAAAGCGAGAACCCGGAAAGTGAAATTACTTATGTATGGGAATACATTTTCTCATAAAACCCCGAGGCTGACAAACACCAGGCATTGGCGCGGCTTGTGATTGGTATTCAACTGGTGAAAGTAGGGTATGAGTTGCCCAAGAAATACCTGAAGCGCCGACTCAAGGAAATGACAATCTGTTTACTGCCATTGATGGCAATTGCGTGGATCTCGACGTCCGCATGTATTATGCTTATGATACCTCGGATATCTTTTGTATGCTTATCCTCAATATTTATACTTCGCAGTGCTGATGTCTATCCCCTGGCCACAGCTATCATCTGTTATTATAGGATCTTGCGTTACATGTACCGATCCGATTTTATCTCAAGCAATCGCCAAGGGTCCTTTTGCTGATAACTACGTTCGACGAAATCTCCGGGAATTCATATCCTCCGAGGCAGGGGGTAATGATGGCTTCGGATTTCCATTTCTATTGCTCGGCGTATCACTTCTTCGCTATGCCGAAACTCCAGCAAACGCTATTATTCTGGAAGAGTTCGATCTTGCCAGAGGTGGTCCAGATCTCCTGGGTGCAACTGATGTTGGACGCTTTGGAGGGGGTGTGGGTACTGCACTAAAACATTGGTTCGTCGAAGGCTTCCTCTACATGATTATACTGGGAACTGCGTACGGGGTCATTATTGGAACTGCATGCCGGAAAGTTCTCAACATGTCGTCTAAGAGGTAAATGCTCTCAGCTCCTTTTCTTAAGGCTTAAGCTAAATGTGGGTAGGAAATGGATTGACCCTGGATCCTTCACTCTAGTCCCTGCAGTTCTGGGGATGTTCATAGTCGGCTCATGCGGATGTTTCGGCTCTGACGAAACACTCGCTTGCTTTACAGCAGGTAGCATGTTGAACTGGGATGGTCTGTACAACACAGAGCTTCAACTGCGGCACGACTCATTCAATTCGTCACTCGAAACCCTGCTGAACTACGGGATATTCCTATATCTCGGGGCAGTCATGCCCTGGAAAGAGTTCCAGATGCCGGGGACGACTGGCATAAGTGTTGCTCGCCTTTTAGGGCTGGGGGTGCTAATACTACTCTTTCGACGCATTCCGGCAATCATGGTTGGTTACCGGTTCATGCCCCGAATTTGCGGCAATTGGAAGGAAGCTTTATTCATGGGGTACTTTGGGCCTATTGGTATGTATACACCTGAATCGACCTTGCGCTGGGTATGCTGACTTCTCAAGGCGCCGGAGCAGTTGCGTATGTGGAATACGCCCGACGCTTGTTTCCTGACCGTGGGGAAAGCGACAGAGAAATCAACAACTTGACTACTGCTATGAGGCCAGGTATGCTAGTCAGATTCTATGCAGAGCTTATTTTTCTGACTATCACTGCAGTCGTCTACTGGCTAGTTTTGTTTTCAGTCATCGTGCATGGCCTGTCTGTACCCATACTTTACGTATTCTACAGAGTCTTGAGAGTTCCCAAAATCTACGACCACCCTGTGGAAGTACTTATTCTATCCGAGAATGAGCCCCTACCAAACAATAGCGTGGTTGACCCGCAGCGGCACTCTGTGTTAGTTCACAACCGCTTCTCAGAGCCGAGCGGTCTAAACATCCATTCCGACGAGGAGAAAGAACAGGACGAGCAGCGAGAATCTACAGAGCGAATACGATCACGGAGCGAGCGGAGTTCGGTGTCACACAGCTTAGGAATGCCGCTGTCTCACGAATCCACTCAGCGCTCGAGCCGGGAAGTGGATGCGACGGATATTGTGTGATGAACTAGGAGGATCTACGCAAACTTCCACTCAAAAGACAAAAGGCATATCATTCAACTCTCATCAGCCTATTTCAAGGACCAACAGTACAGGAAACGATTCCATCTGCACTCGCAAAAGTTTCATCCAGCGAAACACGTAACACTTCAAGACACTTGATCTCAGTCTCTGTTGTACGATTTAGACGGGGCAAGACTATGACAGTCGGTCAGCTACAAGGCACGCCGTTAAAGGACAGTCTGGGGAGGCGTACGCTGCCACAGGAGTCGCATTTCTTGGACTCGCCTTCGATGTTGGCGCCGCAAGAGGGGCAAGCGTTGTGGCCGGCCATTTCTCTTATCGTCTTGGTTTATCTGCTTGTTTGCGATAAAATATAGCGGGGTGAGGATATCCTGTCAAGAAGGACCGTGAGCTTGGCCAACCGCGCAACAAAGTAAGAGAAGGAACCAGGCATACCTTGAATCTCGACTGAGCGACTCCCTGAAGTGGTCTGAGATGAAATCAAGAAGATGGTTGAAACTGAAAAAGTCAAAGAAGCGATCGTTGTCTGTTGTTACCCCGCCGTCGCCTTTTGAAGCCCCGCTTCGTCCGGTGGTGAATGATTGGTTGCGACGGAGTGGGATGTCCTCAGGTGAACAGTCACACGCAGAATGACACGCATCATGGCATTTCTACACGGAGCTATTGGCTGATAACGGTCTCCTCTTATGGCGATCGAATCCCGCCATTCCGGTCGATGTGGTTGGAGGCATACTGGACTTGAACGTCGAGGGTTACAGCGTCATGGGCGGTCTTCATGTGAAGGTGGCTCTGTTGGAAGATTCTCTATAGAAACATCATGCAACAGCGGCTTTGGGACTTGTCATGAAGCTATTTATGGGCTCTCAACATTGTCTGTTGTAGTATGGTACTCAGCCTTGAAGACTGCCGACTGGGCGAACCGAGCGGTGCGCCGGTGCGGACCGCAATCTTAAACACGTCCATTCCACCATATCATATCTTTCGGCCTTGGGCTTGAAAGGCGAGTCTGGTAGCAATCTGTCAATGCCTGCGTCTGTGAATAGACAGCGAATATACTAGTTCATGGGATGGTACTAGTAGCATTCTGATATGCATATCCGTGATAGTTTCCAAGTTGGAGGTATTGGGGCCGCAAGGCTTCAAGTGCATCCCGAAGATCAAATGCTTGGTAACATGATATTCCTGCATCGAACTGGGCAACAAGGCTTCAGAAGGCTGGAATGAAGAAGTCGATAGAGCATGAGGGTATACTCACTCAAGATCACTATATATATGGCGCGAGGTTTCATCTATCAAAATCCTTCATCCTATGACGTTATATACTGCCAACTATTTTTCAAGGTCTAGCAACAAAGCAGGCTAAAGCCCTTTACGTTCACCATTTGTAGGTTCAGGGGGCACGCCGGGATATAGGGCGATGCCGCTTGTTAGGTTAATACTGAGCGCGGTGACCGTCCTGAGAGGCAGTAAGACGTCTTGTGGCACCAACAGTAATGTTGACAGGAACACCAGCTGTTCAATAAAACGACCTATATTGGTACCCTCACCTTGTCCTATACGGAAATAGGTCGAGGATGGATAGTATCTTTGCTTCTAGCGATACACAGTATACTTATCAGTAGTTCACAAACATCATTCTCCACCTAGGAAGACAACACTTGCGTTTTCCAGTCCACTCTAGCATTATCTCACCAGTATATTTCTCCCACCACATACTACCACTTGTAGTAGAACATAAGTACAGACCTTCAGCTCAACAAGGACCGATCTCGGAACCATTCGCCATCGCAATTTAACCGAAGTGCGACAGGGTTATAATATTAGCCTACTCCGTACTTACTCCAGGAATCTCTGCGTGCACAGCCTGCCCAATATTATCGTCCGGACGTCTGCTTCGGAGTACGTAGTCCAGGCAGAACTTGGCGGGCGCTGGAGAAATCCACGGGTTGCAGCAGATAGAGTTGGGGTCGGGAGGATATGATATCAGCGTGCAATGCTATTGGGTGGACGATGTTTATCTTTGCGGCCTAAGGCGTGTTTTTCCGAACCCAGATGCGACCTGAGCTTTGAGACTCTGAACTTCGTGCTTGATGAGCGGAATGAGGTGCCTAACCTGAGCATCGTTGGAGTTGTTCAGAAATGAATCTTGTGGCTGCCGGCGTTGAAGGTAGTACATAGTAGATAGCTGTGGCTTGGGTTGGTGCCCAAGGGCAAGGCTAAAAAATGAAGGCTGCTATTTGACGGTTCGAGCTGCATCTTGCAGCAAGGTATTAGGCATGTCTTTCCGATGGCTTTCTTCGAGCATATTTCTCGAATTGTGGTGAAGAAAAGCAGAAACAGCAGTTTAATAAGGAGTCGAGAAGAGCTTGTGGAAATAGCTGTGTGGTCAGTTCTACGCCATATTTTGAGGTGTTGGCTTTGTGCGGGTCATGTTGTTGTGTGCTTGTTGAAAAACATCCGCTGAGCGAAACTCGAAAACCTGACAGAAAATGCCAACATTCTTGGTCAGGCTTGCAAGGCAGCCTGCACGACAGATTGCTCACTCTACTATGAGGCATTTAAATCATTTTCATGGCTATTGCTGCGGCTCCTAAAAAATTGATCCTTTTGAAGTTCACGATGGTTCCTAAATCTTCCGGATTTGGAACCCCTGCATACCCACCCGCCACTGAGACCAGGGCCTAGTCCCAGCCCTAGTGTCTCTGCACAGCCCAGGGGGACTAATCTGAGAAGAAGTAAGGCTGGTTTGCACATGAATAATACATGATATCTTCCTATCCTCCCCGATTTGTGGATCGGCAAATAATCCACCCTTGAGAGGCCCTTCCGCTGATGTTTTGTCTCATCAGGTTTGTTTCCGTGAGTGTGAGGTATTTGTGGAATCGTCCCTGATGAACGCCACAATGGTTAGACGCGGCTGAGATGTGTTGCTCTCCTAGGAAAAGACGGTCAGTAGGAGGAAGGAGTCAGGTACCCTTTCGAGGTCTTGGTGATCTGGACAAGCCTAGGTCCGGGGAAAGGCCCGCGTGGTCCAGGCTCGACGGATGCGGGGAACACCAGCCCTTCAGGGATAGGGGAGCTCGATGCGAGGACCTCCAGCTGGAGACGACAACGCCGACGGCGTGACCTCTATCTCGATGCGCTGGCCCCTGACAAAATGGAAGCAAGTGGCTGTTGATGCTCCTTGACCTCCTCTGGACGTGCTTGGCCACGTGAAGCAAATGATCGGTCAAGCAATCTGAAGCGAGCTGTGGCGCCTGACCGTCAAAACCCACAACAGAAACTGGAGTTACTGGAGCTTCCTTCGAGCTGGAACAGTCTGAATTACCAAATACTCTCGTCATGTGCTCCCTTTGAGCGTTGCTGGGAAAGGGGCTCGGTCACGGGGAGAGTAACAAGCTGCTCTCGCCTCGAACCTGCAACGGTCTGGTCTCTTCTATTTCGCCACAAGTAGGAGAGCATGAATTTGAGCTTCCGATCCCAGCAACAATTTATTGACACACGGCAATAACTTCTGCCCATGAGTGCGCGTTCAGTGGCGTCGGATTGGCAATCAGCCATGAATTGTAATGTGATTGGCCGTAGGGCGGCTTGCCTCGGGAGTACTGTTAGTCATCGGCACAGTGGGGGCTGGAACGACCCGAAACTCAACCCGGCCTAAGTTTCGTCATTCGGATGCAGTTTTTCGCGTCGTGCATGCTTTTGAGGGATTTGTTTGTGACAGGTCTCCTTGCTCCGGCAGTAAAGATGAGAAAAAAAATACTGCATGTAGGGTGTTTTGAGCGTGTCGCGGTGGTCCGGCGAGCTGTAGATGAACCGTTGGAATGCCGTTTCCAGCACTACCAGGACGGGTATAGGCTCGATTCCTTAGCCGAAAACTGTGTCTCCCCGCAAATTCGGTTCTTAGCCTCCAGCCCAGCTTCTACTTTTACTGGACGACCTTTGACGATTGTGTCTATTCGACGTCATTAGTCCTTGTTCCCTTGGCCCGCCGCGGCTGGCCTTGGAACTCGTGGAGGACTCGTGATGAACTTCCAGTAGAGATTCACATTGCCAGGCGAATTTACTTTTGGATTGTGTCATGGTTCCGCGAATGGACAGGATGAACGGGGAACTGTCGTTTTCAGCAACTTCTCTGCGGTCCTGCGGCAGTCATAAAGCAGCTAGGTTTTTCTACTTTTCTTCCTCCTGCACCATCCTCAGCTGAGGCATTTAGTGGACTTTTTTCCGACACGAGCTATCTTTTTGATAACACCTCATCCCGAATTCTTGATTTCCTCCATTCTTGTTGGTGCAGCTTCCGGAACCACTTCGTGTCCACATCTGGGGTTCGGGTCAACTCGGATTGCCGTGAGAGCCATTTGTCGCCTCAACTCGGCCTCAGCCCCGACATCACCCGTGAAACTGTGGAGAAGCCTCACGGAGAAGGGGACTGAAACAGCTCTGGGCGCCTATACTGCTGTGATCATGGGTCCTGGTGCAAACATTCATATACCCCCGGAGGCCCCCTCGTCTCCAGGTCCTCTCTACTCAGATTTCTTCCAACAGCAGATTGCAAAGCAACGAAACAACAACTATCACTCGACTTCACTAAGAAACATGGTTGCTACATCTGTGAATCGTACTGCCCTGCACCCTGGTGGTGTTCAGTATGCCTCTCCTTGTTCCTGCCCCTTGTGCCTCGCTGCCTCGACCTTGCCGTTCTGTCGCACGATAACTTGCCTGCCCTATACTTCCATGACCTATACTAACCTGACTGTCTAGGCCTGGCAAGGGTCACACTGAGCTTGAAGAAGAACTTCATGAACATGCCCACATTGACTACGAGCGCGTTGCTATTGTAAGTCTACTCTGACAGACCCAGTGTCGAACCATAAGCACTGACCTCTCCCAAGATCGCCAACCCTTCTGTCGCTGCCCTCTATGAAGATGCTCTTGTATACGAAACCGGTACTGCTATCACATCAAGCGGTGCCCTCACAGCCTACTCTGGCGCCAAAACTGGGCGCTCACCTTCAGATAAGCGTGTTGTCAAGGAGGAGTCCTCGGAAAACGAGGTCTGGTGGGGACCTGTCAACAAGCCCATGACTCCTGAAGTAAGTCACAAGCTTTTGCTAAGTCCTTTCCCCTTGCATGCCTGCCTCTCTGCGTTCAATGCATGGGTCTTCCGTGACATTTGCGCAAGGGCGTCTTCAAACATGATAAATGCCGCATGAGGGATTTCTCTCTGTGCACCATCGGTTCTGCATCACTCTGTTCTCCCATCCTTTTTACTCGATCGTCGGTGTCGTGGGTCTTCTGTGGGCCTGGCCTTGCATGGACCTTGCAGCACATCATGCATGTGACGTCATATTTAGGGCTGGCATACTAACTGAGACCTTCAGGTTTGGCGTATCAACCGCGAGCGTGCTGTCGACTACCTCAACACCCGAAACCGCATTTACGTTATCGATGGCTTCGCTGGCTGGGATGAGCGTTACCGTATCAGCGTCCGTGTCGTCTGCGCGCGTGCTTACCATGCTCTCTTCATGCGAAACATGCTTATCCGCCCCTCCGCCGAAGAACTCCAGCACTTCCACCCCGACTATGTTATCTACAACGCCGGCTCTTTCCCCGCCAACCGCTTCACAGAGGGTATGACTTCTGCCACATCAGTCGCCATCAACTTTGCCGAGAAGGAGATGGTCATCCTGGGTACCGAGTATGCCGGAGAGATGAAGAAGGGTGTCTTCACCATCCTCTTCTACGAGATGCCCGTCAAGCACAACGTCCTTACTCTACACTCTTCCGCCAACGAGGGACAGAACGGCGATGTCACAGTTTTCTTTGGCCTGTCCGGAACCGGCAAGACCACTCTCTCTGCTGACCCTAAGCGTGCTCTGATCGGTGATGACGAGCACTGCTGGACTGACCGTGGTGTCTTCAACATTGAAGGTGGTTGCTACGCCAAATGCATTGGCCTCTCCGCTGAGAAGGAACCCGATATCTTCAACGCCATCCGCTTCGGATCTGTCCTTGAGAACGTCGTCTTCGACCCCATCAGCCGTGTTGTTAACTACGACGACTCCACTCTCACGGAAAACACTCGCTGCGCCTACCCCATTGAGTACATTGAGAACGCCAAGATTCCCTGCTTGTCCGACAACCACCCCACCAACATTATCCTCCTTACCTGCGACGCCCGTGGTGTTCTCCCCCCGATCTCCAAGCTCACCACTGAGCAGACCATGTTCCACTTCATCTCCGGTTACACCTCCAAGATGGCCGGTACCGAGGACGGTGTTACGGAACCCCAGGCCACCTTCTCCTCGTGCTTCGCTCAGCCCTTCCTTGCCCTGCACCCCATGCGCTACGCCCGCATGCTGGCAGACAAGATCTCGCAGCACAAGGCTAATGCGTGGCTCCTCAACACCGGTTGGGTTGGCGCTGGCGCCACCACCGGTGGCAAGCGTTGCCCTCTGAAGTACACCCGTGCCATCCTCGACGCCATCCACAGCGGCGAGCTCGCTCAGGCTCAGTACGAGACCTACGACGTCTTCAACCTCCACGTCCCCACAAGCTGCCCTGGTGTTCCTGATGAGCTGCTGAACCCCAAGAACAGCTGGACCGCCACAACGAGCTTCTCAGACGAGGTTAACAAGCTCGCCAAGCTGTTCAACGAGAACTTCGAAAAGTACGCTGACCAAGCTACCAAGGAGGTCATCGAGGCTGGTCCTATTGTCTCGCAATAGACGATCAAAAAATCGCTTTTTCTCTCTGTTTCTCTATTTCCTTTACTCATGTTTCTTATGATTTCCCCATTTTCCGGTTCATATTTCTCTTTCTTTTTTTCATATCTTGCATGGCGTGCTACGTTTTCTCAAATAATTTGGGTCTGAGTTTGCTCTCGCGAGAGGGCCGGGAATCATGTAACTTGGCAATTGCCTTTTGGGCTCCAGTGATGTGTGAAGATGGCCGCAATGGTCAGTAGAGGTTAGATAATCCATGGCTATTCCCGAACTGTTGTGCTTTGTAATATGTATGATTCCTTATCCTCTAATCGCATCGACTAGAGAACGTTTAGTTTGTTGTAGTGTAGTGCGGCTTTCTAGTCTGCCATGTTGATTGCCTTAATATTCCAACTTATGCTCAAGCGCAATAATTAATGGTAATATTCCTTGAATAGATGGTAAGCAGTTCAGTAATGTTTAGGTTCCTGCAAGTCATCTGCACTGACTCGAGCCACTCGACGCCTGGAGGGATCCAGCTTGAAGACTCACTTTAGCAGCTCATATCTAGCGCTAAGACCAAGGTAGCAGGTATTCCATCTCAATCTCACAAAATCATCCCACTCTAATGGTCATGCAACAACATCATCCAATCCAATTTCTAACCACCGTGAGACTACTAAGACAGCAAGAACAGGGAGGAGAAGAAAAAATGGGGAAAGACATCATGATACCTCCCTTGCGGACTGGTATACTACGATGAATCCAGTCTAGCCTCGACAACGTGAACCAGCGAAAATCGGCTGTTTGCATTCTCCTCACCCCAGCGACACCACAGCCACAGGCCAGGAAAAGGCCTCCGGCACCTCTACCGAGATTCCGCCCGGGTCCTCTGCCACTCCCGCCCTTCCACCCGGGCTTGTCCCGAGCGCTTCTGACATATGAGTCCTGAGGTACCACGTACTATCCGATATCTTGTGCCGCGGTGCGATGGGTTTGCCGGGAGTTTCCCGCGGGGTACTACTACTTGCTACATCTATTGCGTAGTCCTATTTTGTTGAGATTTGTGGAGAGAGGTGGAATTCATGGTGAGATGCAAACTTACAGGACCTCTCAATTGTTGAGTTCCCGCTTTTGTAGTACGTACTAGTTCGTAGTATACCCGCGGTTGTAGGCACTACGGAGAATATCTCGTCCGGACCCATGGCGGAACACCATGACGGAACGTGGCAGGCTTTTCCGTCCGTCCATGAGGGCTACAGAGAATGATTTGCGCAGCGGCTGTCTTTTTGAGTTCTTCAGACCAACTGTCGATGATCTGAGGATATTTGGAAGTGCCGATTTCGGCGGGAAATCGGAGGCGGAGCACTGTCTCCCATAGGGTATGGCAGGATGTGGTTAGTATGAGTTGCATGAGGTGTTGAGGTGTTGGGTTAGATTGATATTGAGGTTGCAGCTCTCTCGCTGACAGGGTAGGACGAGAGGGTGGTCCGTGTCAAATAGGGTGATGAGGCATTTAGATACGCGCCTTGATGGCTCGTCTCATTGTCTTAAGGACACGTTATATGAGAGTGATGCGCTGTGACAGCACTTTGGGCAGCAGCAATGCCTCGATAGCCCAACCGCCGATGAAGCATACCGGGGACGGTATCCGAAGGACGGAGGAATGTCCATTAACATGAACATGCTCTGTGTTCACTGGTGGGATGGCGCTATTGACCAGGAACGGGGAAAAGGGACAGCGGGAACTAGAAGAATAGCCGACCTGGACCGCGATGCGGCGAATCGATGGGCCTGGAAGACGGTACTCCGGAGAAGGCTAATCAGGAGCTGGCTGATTCTCAGCAGTCCCAGCGTGCGACTGCAGGTTCAGGAATCAGGTTCCATCTATCCTCGGATAGTCGGGCGGACGTCGGGACGGTAACTTGTTACTCTTCCACTGTGAATGGCTGTAAATTTCATGGATTTGAAGGTACCGTCAAAGAATAACCAGTCTGCTTCAAAGATAGTAAGTTAGCTGATACTAGATGAAGAATACTAGCCTTGGCTGTATAGTCTTGTGGCGGTGTTGTGGTGGTGATGGTAACCCGAGCATCGGGAAGAGTCTACGGGTTCCCGGGCCTTCATGTCGGCCAGATGGGGCTAGCTCGGTAATCTACAGTACCGAGCTCTTACCGAATAAGTTACCATCTCAATGACGTCGACTCCGAGTCGTTCATTTTATCCATTTCAATGGGAGAAAATGGTAATGAGGTAATCTCGATCTGTGCTAGCTCTTCGTGGCTGAGACTACATAATAAATGGAGAAAATAAGCAACAGAAGCAGAAACCCTCCTCGGTAAACGCCTGGAAAAAGAAACAGCAGATACAGCTAATGCACGGCGACAGCTTGGACAGCATCCCCGCATCCCCATCCAGTGCCACAATCTTCATCCACTTTGGCACAGCTCAGTGGGGTCATTTTCCAGCGAAGACCGCAGCTTTGTTCAAGCTAGTAGAATCAAGTGTAACGCGGTAATAGTCATTCTGAGCGGCTACTATTAGCTGGAAAATGAAATCATGCGGCCCCATCGGCGTAAATGATGGCGTACTTATACTAGGCCACCCTCCTGGCTCAGCTTCGGAACTGGTTATCGGTTCTTGCAAGGATATCACCAGGATACTGCCGGAGTTATAAGAAGCTGCCCGTGCTCTGCGTTGCTTCAGTACTCGTGGTACTTTACTACTGAGAATCAGAAGCCATTGATAGGCCCCCGCATCAGAGCGTCAATCATCTGACAGAGCGATCCCGGTTACAGAACAGCTTCTCGTCTCCTGTTCATTCAGTGTTGCCAACCTTGGAACAGCTAGTCTCCAGATCCTAATCTCTCCTCTTTCCGGAGCAGTTCCTGGCCACTGGACCTTCCTCTCCCGGTTCTCTCCAGGCCAGAAAGTTATACTTCGCTGTAACGTTCCGACACCTTCCCCTCACTCAATCTATTCCCGACGTCATTTCTGTCACACGAGCCACTCTTGCCTTGGCTACAACTACTTGTGAACTAACCGCTGCTCCCCCTCTAGTTTCGCTTTCCTTTTTCCTCCTCCGCTACATAACGCCGGTCAGTGGATGGTCATTCTCTCTTTTCCTTGATCCTCTTTGCACTCGCACAGCCGCCTTTCTTTCGTGGCATAAATCCTCACCCACGCATCTTCATATCGGCTGCTAATACTGCTTCAGAGCTGGTGGGAATCGTGCTTCCTAGTCGATATGGCTTCAACTACCAAAGAATCGACCCAACCCGCGGTGGATTTCTTACACCACCCCTATACTCGTGCCGCTCTTCCCTTCGTTAATGGTGGCTTAGCTGGTATGACGGCTACCATCGTCATTCAGCCAATCGACATGATCAAGGTGCGCTTACAACTCGCCGGCGAGGGTGTGCGCACTGGTCCTCGTCCGTCCGCCTTTGGTATTGCCCGCGATATCGTCGCGTCAGGAAAGGTTCTCGACCTTTACACCGGTCTCTCTGCAGGCCTGCTACGCCAGGCAGTTTATACAACCGCTCGGCTTGGGTTCTTTGACACGTTCATGAAGTCGCTGGGCGCAAGAGCCGAAGCCTCAAACCGAAAAGTTACATTCGCAGAGCGAGCGGGTGCCGGCCTAACGGCTGGTGGAATTGCGGCGATGATCGGTAATCCGGCAGATCTTGCACTCGTTAGAATGCAATCAGATGGCCTCAAGCCACCCGAGGCGCGGGCGAACTATCGTTCTGTCATCGATGCCTTGTTCCGCATCTCCAGAGTCGAGGGTGTTACAGCCCTTTGGGCTGGTGCTTTCCCGACCGTCGTGCGTGCCATGTCCCTCAACCTCGGCCAACTGGCCTTCTTCGCCGAGTCAAAAGCCCAGTTGAAGACCCGGACGAACCTTTCGGCTCAAAACCAGACCTTTGCCGCCTCAGCGATCGCGGGATTCTTCGCTAGTTTCCTCTCGCTCCCCTTCGACTTTGTCAAGACTCGCCTGCAAAAGCAACAAAGGGACCCCACCACAGGAAAATTACCCTACAAGGGTATGTTTGACTGTGCTCGAAAAGTGGTTCAAGAAGAAGGCTGGTTGAGGTTTTACCGCGGCTTCGGCACATACTATGTGCGGATCGCCCCTCATGCGTTAGTCTCCCCACTCTGTGCATACTTTGTTTTTCCTTGTTGCTTATCGCTGACCCACCGCTCCACTTCTAGTATGGTCACTCTTATCGTCGCGGATTATCTCAACCTCATCACGAAATAAACGCAGCCAGATAAAAACTCCGCGCGGTGGCCCTACAGCTGGCCGGAGCGCATTGCTTTTTCCGCGTCCCGTTTTCGTGGTCTCGCTCTCATGTCTGCGATGGAAATGACCTTCGTATTTTTAACACGACCCGCTCGTCTTTTTCGAGTATTCACCAGGTGGAAAATGCAACACTCCTAACTTTGACGTGCCGTCACGTCTGAAATGGAGGTAATCAATGGCTCCGAGATCTTTCGAGAATATGCCCGACTACCCATTTTCTCGCCTGATGCGCGCGTCTTGGGCGATTCCCATACTAAACGAGTTTTTCGACTGCCTTGAACAGCGAGTCTTCGCTCTCCTCTCAGAGCTCATCACCATGGCAAATTTGCCTTATTATTCTATTACACAATTCCCGTGTCGCATTTCATAATTTGAGCCCGGTGTACTTGATGGAGTTCCCAGTGTCTCGTTCTGAGTATCAGTCCCCCTGATTGACTGCGCTAACCAGATTCCCTGTTTGTTTCCAATATTTGTTTCTTTATTTCCTTATTTATTAGTTATACCCAAGGCACTTTTACAGCCTCCCAATAAGCTGTACTCGCACCCGCACGATGTGCTCAGTGGTAGTCGAGCTCTAAAATGAATCACCTTAAACAAACCGTCCGAAGCACTGATTAGCGATTGAAGGGAGCTAGCTTAAGTTCACTGAGTGCAGGAAATCGGACAATTGGCGCATCCTTTTGTTGTGCAAAAGCAATCTGGAGTAACCTTATCTTTGAATCTGCATTGGCGGTTGAGTCCTCAACAGATCGTGCTGCCGGATACAGGGTAAACAGGGTCATGAAAGCGCCGATCCGGTCTCAACATTGTGCGCAGGTTGTTTTCAAGCGGCATACCGACTGATATTTGGCCTTCTTTTCTGGGTTGACTGTGGAGCCTATGTAGTACGTGAAAGCAATGCTACCCAATGAGTACATCACTCCGAGCCTCCGTTCGAATCCGCCTCGGAGTTGGAGTCCTCCTCCGTCTCAGTCCCAGACGCAGCAGCAGCACTTTGTTCCTGCTCCTCGTCCTCGTCCTCATTGTCATCCTGCTCTTCATCATCATGCTCGATCTCGGTCATTCCCCTTGACATCGCGCGCTCCTGCTTAATCCGGACCTGATCAACATCCACTCTATTTCCACGCCCGTCACCTCTGGAGGAATCTTCATCGTCACTCCCAAGCATAATTCCACTTTGCCGGCCTCTGCGCCTTTCCGAGAACCCCAGCTCGTCATCCTCCTCCTCCTCGCGTACCCGTCTCAACGCCGCCTCAGCACGGCGTACCCGCCTTAGCAAGGCCAGGTCCTCGCGTAGATCATTTGCAGTCAGGACCTCTGAGCACACGGGGCATTTCACGGCCCGGGCGCGGCGAGGCCGACCACCGGATCCCGACTCCGCGGGTGCCGGAATGGTCATGCCACTGCGCAAGATCATGTCTGTTATCGCGGCGCGCTCGAAGCTATGAGGGCATTTTGTGCTTGTGACTGGGTCCTTGAAGAGGAGGAGAGTGAGAGGGCATTTGAGAGATATACGCTCGCGCTCGATGGCGAGGTCGTCGGAGTCGGTGGAAGCGTTGCGCTGGCGTTGCTGGCGGGTGTTGCGGCGGGTCAGGGCTGAGGAAGAGTTCCGGCGTTTCGCGGAGCGGGCATTGGGGTCTTCGAGGTGGCTGAACCAGGTTGATGCGTGCGGGACAGGTGGTGGGTCGTCGCCTGGGTGTTTGGCCTCGTGGATTATGCGGTAGAAGCCAATGTAGCTGTTGTTCTCGGAGTAGCTGTGTAGGGAGACTGTGTTAGATTCTGTCTTGGGTAGGAGAGCCTTTATAGGGACGTACCGTTCTGTCAAGGAGAGATCTTCCCATTTCTCTTGGTCCTTTGCCATCCTCTCCTCGAGCTTTCGAGTCAAAGAATGCCCGTCGGCGCCCTCTTCAGCCTCAGGTGTAGCCTCATACAGCTCCCCTTCGTCCTCCTCCGCTTCTTCCTCAGCAGAGCCAGCGCGCCTTGTCCGTCGCCGACGCTGCCTCGGTCTCTGAGTGCCTCCATTCGCAGCAGCATTGGCTTCGGCCTCCCTCTGCAGCCCATTCAAAGCCACCCCAAGAGCATCAATCTTGACCTCTGAATCAATTGCCTTGCGCATACTCCCATCCAACTTCTCCGTGACACCCCTAACTTTCTCCTCAAACTCCTTCAACCTGGCAATGTCCTCCTCGTGCCCACCATCTGCATCCCCACCGTCAACATCCATACGGTCTTTCCCTTCATTCCCTTTCGTATCTCCATCCCCTGCCTCCGTCATAGACCGACTGACATCTCTCTCCCTTTCCTTCTCCCTCTTTCTCTTCAACCGTACCGTTGCATCCGTCAGCCGCTCGTTGACCTCCCCAGCGGACTCGGTCAGTTTTAGCTCGGCATGTTGCACATGCGTCTTGAGTTGTCGGAGGGCTTGGGAACGGAGGAGCGTGACGAGCGCCGTGCGGCCGACTTCTGCGAGGGGCCCAACGGGCGCTTGGTAGGCTGGGAGGGGAGGGGTTCGTGCTCGGTCTTCGCGGTGTCGTGGGTTGGCTGTGTCTCTGGCGCGGTTGCGGTCTCGGTCTCGATCTCGAGGACGTGCTGCCCGTGATGGGCCGGGGGTTGAGAGCATGATTCTAGTATACTTGATCGCCGGATATATATGTGTGATTGGAGATGTTGTATTCTGTACTCCGTAGTGGAAGGCTTCTTTGATGAAGAGAAGAGCGCTCGACTCTCTTTGACCCCATCAATTGTTGTTCCACAGGCGCGACGCGATAGCGCTAGACTATTTCGGGAAATTTAATCTTGCCGGATTTGGTACTTCGGTGCCTGATATACTAGGCTTCAAAAGTCTTTGTTGAAGTGTCAAATGGACACTCTTCTCTTTCTCTACGCTAGCTAGGCCTTGAGATCAAGGTTATAGATCATGTCCTGTTGTTTCTTTCGTGGTAATGTTACTGAGATATAAATGGTGTATAATACAAATTATGGGTAGGTGCGAATGGAAAAGCGGAGGGATGTAACCAACGCAGAGCCTCCTAGACTTTATAGAAGCAGAATGCATGGTAGAAACCTGTCCAATCAGCGCGGCACCCAAATGGTCAATGGGAAGAGTACTTACTTGCTGCCTCCTTCTCCTCGTCCGTCATCAATAGTTCTCCAGTAGCTCTATCACGAACTCCCATCCGCTCGCTCAAGGGACCTAATTCCGAGTCATCCTTCTCGTCCCTCCATACTTCCAGGAACGGCTTGCGGTACTGGAGCTCAAGGTTATAATCTTCGGTCAATCTGCAAGTACCGTTAGAGGCATGAGCGTATTTCTCCGCAATAGGTAGGCACTTACGCTCGGAAAGCCTCCCAAGGCACAACATACTCGGGAATTTCCTCGACCGCTTCCTGCATAAAGTAGCTATACTTCCACCCGAAAGGGGGCCGGAAAACTCCATCTTCGGGAGTGGACGCCGGAAATCGAACGCGGTAAATGGAATTTCCCCATTCGAGCTTCTTATCGTCGTCTTCAACTTCGCCGTCTTCGGGCTCTGCATCGTCCGGTTTCGCTATCGCCGCGCGTTCCTTGCGTTTCTTGTGATATGCCGCGACCTGCGCACTGATGATATCCGAGTTCGGGCAGACTCCAAGGAAGCGACCACCTTTCTTCAAACATCCGGCCACATTGCGCAGCATTTGCCTTGCTTTCTCTTCGCTTTCAAAGGCGTAGTGGATGGTAAACATGGACGCGACGACATCAAACCCACCACCGCCCCATCGCGAAGCCATGACAGAACCACCAGGTCCAACGTTGGCTTCGATGCCCACTTGCTGTACAATTGGAACATCTCCCAGCCATTCACCGAAACAATCTTTGGCCGCAAATTCCGCATGGAATAGGGGGCCACGGCGCTGACGAGGACCCCGCCCACTCCTCATTTGGTTGTAGCGATCACGCGCTTGTTCGACAGAGATATCGGCCGGGTCAAGGCCAACATAGAGATCAATAGGTTGAGGGGCAAGCTGCCATTTACCCAAGTCGCCGCCTTTACCACAGCCCAAGTCGATCACTAGTAGTCGTTTCTCCTCCGAGGGCGGCGGCGCACCATTGGCCCAGTCTTTGGAATCAACATTTCGAGCGACAAACTCTTCATCAGGGGAAAATTTCTGAATAAGGGTGCTCTTCACCCAATTGTTGAAAGTCCGCAGGCCCTTTATTTTGCTTTCGGTTTTCCTCCACTCCCTGCCGCGCTGGGGCACGGCGTTGTAATGCTGCCGAACAATATCGGTCACGCCCCGAGACTGAGAGTACCGCATGGCATTCTCTTCTTCGGCGCGCGCCCTTTCTTCTTGTCTTCTGCGAATGGTTTCAGGATCCACAAGGCCCATTCGCGCACCGCCACCGGGTCGCTTCCGCTGCCGTACTTCGGGTGACGGTGAACGCCGAGGTGGGGAGGACGGCGATCTATTTGACGATTCATTCCGGCTTCTAGAGGAAGCATGATTGTCAGCGTCGCGTCGTGAATAAACGGAGGGTGGCGCTGGGCCAGCCCTTCGCAGCTTCTGGTGCCGCTCTTGAAGCCTCTTGCGTTTAGAACTCGAGCGATCTGCGGGCGCCGTTGACCTATCTTCTTCCTCCGGTAGTTTCCTCTTTTTGTCAATGGGCGAGCCACTTCGGTCGTTGGCAGCCGCTGCTGGAGAGTCGTCGCGACCTCGATTTTTCTCCGGTGAAGTATCGACAGGTCTGGGCCTTCCCGAAGTAGGCGGTGAGCCCATGGTTGCGGAGACAGGATATGCCTTGATCTTTTCTTCCAGACGAGGCGGTAGTTGGTCGACTTCTTGTTCGGTTGTTTGAGTGCGTGGTGGTTCGCCTGGTAAGGTGGATGGTTGTGGTGGTTCCGACGGAGAGGCTGGATCTCGGTTCTGTAACTCCGGGTTTGCTGTTAAGTGGGGATCGTTGGGGAGCTATCGAAAATGCCCAGAAGAAGGGAGATTAGCGGAGGTATCTTCCTGGAATATAAATTAAGCGTCAATTGGCCTTAAAGTGACTGGTCAATTCACTTCAACAGCAGCGCATTGGAGTCACTTTGTCTTTTTGTCTTCCCAGCATTTGAGCTTTTCCTTGGAAAATAGAGATTCCCAGACGAGCGACTCACTGGCAGGACAAAGAACGTACCGGGGGAGGGAGTTTCTGGCGCTGGGCACTCGCTAGAAGCTCGTTTGGATGCGAGACAGGCGGAGGTCCAGGTTCATCGGTGCGTTGCTGTTGGAGGTGATGGTCCTCCCAGGTGTCCCGTGCGGCGTCGTACATGGCGCCTCCACTCACTCGTCGCTGAGGCTGTTGTTCGTCGGCCATGGTGAATGATAGTCCATACCGTGGGTATATAGAGGCAATGGAGGCAGAAAGGGAGAGAATTCACAGTGACAACGCGATGACTGGACGGGCAGTGTTACTTTGTTGGTTCAGCGTCAGGATCAACCACGTTTGCCCTTTCCGCATCCGGCAGTCGATCAGCCAGCCTTGAAGGTATGTATCTACTACGTATGCTCCATGACTGAGAATCATTTCATTTGCACCTAAGTCTGTGTCTATTCCTTGGCTCTTGCTTTGAATATCAGATAAAACGACGGAATCCGGGCGACGAAGCAATCCTGCGGTCCAGTAGCACCTATCCTCTCCAATGATTCTGGCTCATCTCCTGGTGGAAACTCAAGATCGAAATTCTTGACTATCGTCGCCAGCAGCAGCCTCAATTCCATAATGGAAAACGGCTTACCAACACACGAGTATGGCCCTATAGAGAACGGCACGAATGCTTCTCTGCGAATGATCAAATCCGGACGACTGGACCATCGCTTCGGGATCCTGAAAATTACGGGGATCTGGGGCCAGATCCAGAGTAGCTCCTTGGTATATGTTTTGAACCTAATGTATCTCTTGGATAGCTTAGCACGATGCACCGTGTAAAAATGCACTGAAACAGTGCTGCGTGGAGGTATATAAGTTTCTGCAATAATTGTTCCTTGTGAGCCTGTCTCTCGCGGTAAACCGCTAGGCGTCGGGGAGCAAAGACGCAAGCTTTCGTTGACACACCCTTCTAGGTATTGGCAGCTGAGTAGTGCTGAGTGAGACAGGGGTTTTCCAACGCCAACTGCGGCATCGATCTCTCTGCGCAATTCCTTGAGGATAGCGGTATTTTTTGCCAGAAAGAATTGAGCACAGCCAAGAGTAGTCGCAGTGGTGTCACTTCCCGCGACGACCGCAAGCTCGGTATTGTAGACAAGGTCCTGATCAGTGCCTTTCCCAGCATGGCTGGAATCAGACAGTGAGTCCTGGATAAGATAACTGAAGAGATCGTGAGAAAGATCTCCCTGCTACGTGTTACGGTTCGCGGTTCAGGTCCTCGCAACGAACACTTCTTGTCTGCTCTACGTACCTTTTTCCTTTCCTCAATGTACGTGTATACCACGCCATCAGACTCGCGGTTTGACGCTCGAGAATGGGTAGATTGCGAGCCAGGATAATGACCCAAGGGGCCCTGAGCAGCAGACGCGCAATGGGCGCGGATTCCCTCACCTGGTCCAACACTTCGTGTGGAGTGCCATGCAGCCATATTGAATGATTTCCCTGAAACAAGTATGCCCATCGAATCACACGTGAAACGAGATAGAAGGTTCGTGACATCTAATGCCATTTTCCTCTGATACAAGACCAGATCAAGGAATGACTGACAATGCTCGAGGACGTGTGGCTCGTACCCTGCTAGCGCTTTGTTTACGTTAGCTGAACGATTCATGACCTCTTGTTGTTAGAAGAGTGTAAGTGCAAACCTCTTGAAGCGCACGATCCCACAGCCGTCTCCTCTTCGAATGATAAGCCTTGTTTCTTGTCATATGGAGCGATTGATGCGGATAACTCACATCCTAAAAGGGGCCCTTGGTGCACTTTGTATGAATGTCGTGAATCTCTTTTATGGCCCCGGGGTTGTTGATCGAGAATTCGTTGGGTTCTAGTGGGTAGGACTGTGAGCGAAAAGAAGAAGGGATGGGAAAGGGGTTGCCCACTGCAAGACACATACTGATTCGTACGAAATCACCGTACTCGCTGTGGAGATGGTTAACGCGAAGATGCCATTGCGCCTTGATGTCAGCATCGGGGGCGGCCTAAATAGAGCTGAGACGTGCTCTCCGAGGGCCTGGAAAACGACCCAGTGCATGGAGAGAGTATCGGTAAGTGAGCATGGACAAGCAGAGCCCCGAATCGAAGCTGAGCAGCGAGGCTGCTGCTGGAGGAGGTAAGACCAGTCAACGAGGAAGGTTGCAAGGCCAAATCCGAGCACAGGCGCTGCGAAGAAGACATGGAACAGGGTCACTGCATGCCGGTCCCAGTCATCCTTGATAAAATACCCAGATGAGCAGAAACCCCAGCAGAAAATGCAAGTAGACAGGCGGTCAAAGAGTAGGTCTTCTTCAGGAATGCCTCCAGGAGGAAATGTTACACGGAGGACGAAGTTCTATATGTGATCCCCAATCCCGCGTCTGTACAGGGGCTGTAGCTTTCGTCGTTTATGCATGAGGCTCAAAGCCAATGGACAGTTCCCGTTCTGTCTTAACCCCTTCAAGTTCGATTTGTGATATCAACCCCTGGAGCTTTCGGCGACCTCGGGGAGCTGACTCAAACCATGCTGGATCTTTTATCTTCAAGAGGGAGAGCCTTGCATCGGCTAGAATCCTGTAGACCGTACTGCTATGCGTGACAATAAGTGGCACAACATGTACGCAATGAGATGATTGTCGGAGGCCAAGGGAAGGGGTTCGCTTTGTTGGTATTCGTACCCTAGGTATCTCGACGTGTTTGCTAGTTTCAGGTTAGGGCTATGCATCTCGGCGGGTAGTGACAGCAAAACTAATAATTGTTTTATCCAGTAGTGTAAGCGTTGGCTACTGACGACGACGACAAGGAACCATTCCACTGGTAAGAACTCTTAACAGAAAACAATGTCCTCCTTGAGCATGGGCAAGACCAGAAAGCGACACGAGGCCTGAAAGGCAAACAATGTATGCCACCCGCATTCTATGCACTTCGCACCAAGCCATCACAAGCCAAATCGAGGGAAATGGCCGAGACTTTTGTTTTTATCGCAGCAGCCCCAACTGCATGACGCTCAGGACGTCTAAGCCCTACCGCCAATAATAGGCAATGTCTCACTTCTTCTGACTTTTCAGGTTCATCTTCTCATCACGCCCCCATATGTCCAGCCAGTCTTTGACAGGGACACTGGAAGATTTCAGCTCAGCAAAACAGGTATTGCGGACACTCTCGCTTTGGATCACCTCAAGTGCTTTTCGGATGTTACGAGGTGAGCCGCATTCCAAGGCTCTGACCACCCACTCCCCGCCTGGAGCTTCAAGTGCAAGGACTATAGGATATGAAAACTCGCGGTTTCGAAGATCTTCTGCAAGGGCCCCCTTTGCCTTTGCGTATTCGGACGAGTAAACGTTCTTGAAGTCGTTCTGGAGCTGCGTACACCATCTGTTCGTAGAGAAGACCATTAGCAAACGATTCTAAATCACAACCGGTGTCCATACGCGACAATAGTCAAGGTTCGATCCTTGGATTTATCCTCCAGGGCCAATTGGCCCATAAGCCGGAATAAAGCCCCTGTCTTCAGGGACGCCATCTCTCGGTATGCCGCCATCCGCTCCTCGGCACTGGTAGGGAACGCATTGAGGCCATCTCGTCGCCAAATCAGGGAGAGATCCTGACCGTGCAATATTTCTTCAAGACACTGGAGGAGAAACGGCGCCAGTTTTGGGAAACGGGTTACCGTCTCGTTCAAGATCTGCGTCACGCGGTAGTATGCCCTATTTGCCGTCTCGGATGGGCCATAGATCCTATGGGCGGCTGGCTTGCCCTTTCGAAAGTCACTGTTGTCAGAAATCTACCCATCAAAAGGCAAATTAGTATTACGCTTTTCTCGAAAGGAGAGTTGATACCGGTAAAGAGCGACTCACATCGTCTACTAGCATCAGGCACAAGTGGATAACGTCCATAACTTCAAGAATCCACTGGTACTTGGGCGGGTCTTCATTTTTGAGGTTTGGAGATATTTTATGTAGGAAGGGAGCCCAGTGGTATTTCCCATAAATTTGGCGAAGATAACTGTAGGGGCATTCAAGCGAGGTTATAGTTTGCGGTTGCTTTGGGCCAATCATCATGGCCTTCTTCGAGGACGGCCATAGAGGTGGCAGCCGATCATAGAACATGTAGAACGCGACGGGCACAACACCAGCGGTTAGAACCAGGGAAAGTGGTATAGAGTGTAGACTCGGCAGCCCAGACATGATAATTCTAGCGCAAGTGTGCTGTAAGTAATGAATCAGAAGATATCGGGATGGCTTGCTGCAGAATATGGAGCCTTAACTTGCTATATATGCCAGCCGAAGCAAAAAGGGAATAAATCGTCTAGTATTGAATAGACAGCTTGTCACGACTGGAAATCGAAGTCTCCTCGCGGAGTTACACTGCTCTTCAGTTACCATCGTGAGTAATTTGACTTATGGCGGGATTGAAGGGCATCCCAGTCATAAATTGAATCGCCAACCCCAACTGTTTTAGACCATCGGGATGGACAGAACTTCTTTTGAGCCGGGAGATACCGCAATAACTGAAGCCCAGCAAGCGTTCGTTTCCAAAGGGACAGCCTCGCACCACACTTATCCTTGGTTGGGGGAATATTGTGACACAATGTTCATACGAGAAGATATACGTCTAGAAGGAGACGAGACGGGAATAGAACATGATGATGTCGGTCAGTAAATAGCAGTGGTCTGCCATAGTGCCAGGTAGTGTCTCTCTGTATCAAGGTCTGTCGTGTATGAAAGCAACCTATGGCCATTTTCGAAGAGCTCAACCCGCCACCCCCAGAGTTCGCATGAGGCTCAGTTGCCATAAATGAGTAGAATGCGGGCATCGACTCTCTTTCGATGTATAACAGGACCAAATGGGCTGTTGGCCTCCTGATGGTTGACCTGCGACTAGGATGGGCCATCCACTGTATTGTCATGGCTACATTTCCAGCCAATGGCTAGGGTGAGCAAGCTTGTGAATATCCTCGTCAAGCCGTCATGCATACGCCAATCCAGGCCGCTCCAATGAGTGCTACCCCCATCAAGAGGCATGGTCAGTTGATGTTTCCGGCCACGAAATCGCTTTGAGTCGGGAATATGTTTCCCAGTTACCCAGATAGAGCAAGCTTGAGATTAGCTTTGATTACATACGTTAGCTTCTAAGCCGCAATCATAGCCAGGGAGCATTCGTACACTCTTTTATATGTTTACAACATCCCCCAGTATTGCTAAAGTCGCCATCAAGTATGGGGACTAGGCTGTTGAGGTTTATTGATTCGGCAGTTCCGTAGGGCTTGCTACCCTTTGGTAGGTCTATTGCCTGCCAGGCCTTCTCGGGGGTAGGTAGGCCAACTGCACAGGGGGTTGGTGTTGGCACCCTCTTTTAAATTTACCTATGGAAACAGCTTTAGCGCATCAAGCACGAAGATGCATTGAAGGGGCTCGAGCATAAGCATAGATAATAGGCGACTGGCGTCCGTACGGGTGAGGAAAGGTAAGTTGCGTAGCACAGCGACTAGTTGAGAACTGCGAACTGGACGAACAGGTGTTGAGGCCCTGAATCATGCACATCCATTGATTCCCAGGAGCGAAAAGTGGTTTTTTAGGGTAGCACAATGTGCTCCTGTTGTCCTGTGTGTATGACCAGGGGTTGATTGGCAACTCGCCATCTCACGCTGGTATGTCTCACAACGGGCAGGTGGCATAAATTTTGGTATGTGGCTTTGGTAGGGCCTCAGGGTAACATGGGATTAGGAGGTTCTTGAGCCAACTGCCGTCGTCATCTTAGGCGGGTTGGTCTGTGATACCAGGAATGTTTTAAATGTTTGCTGACCTGTAGGAGAACAGTGCTTCCTGGCTTGACAGAAGGCTTTTTGCTGAGCCAGCAATAGCGGGCGGAACTGAGAGGTAAAAGCCAGCTGCCTGTCGGATCAATGCTCGATCGGAAAGCAGGCAATCCATCCTTTTGGAGTACAGGACAACTTCCGAGCAAGCGGCCTTGGGGGAGCTTACATGCTTCGCGAGCAATGTAGAGCAAGGAGTTATCATGGATTTCTCAAATTTCAGAGTCATAATCGTCGGGGGTTCCGTCGGAGGCCTGACGCTTGCACATTGCCTTTATCGCGCAGGCATAGACTATGTCGTTTTGGAAAAGAGTGATCAAATAGCCCCCGAGATAGGCGCATCGATCGGAATTATGCCTAATGGAGCACGGGTCCTAGCACAGCTCGGGCTCTTCGAAGAGATAAAGAACCATATCAAGCCATTGAGCACTGCCCATATTACTTTCCCAGATGGATTCGCTGTTGAAAGCAGGTATCCACAGGTCCTCCACACAAGGTTGGTTGCATGGCAGCTCCGCTCGAATCTGCGCAAAGCGCTTGCTAACCTTTGCATCTTCACTATGATTAGATTCGGTTATCCGCTGGCGTTCTTGAGGAGACGAGAGTTCTTGGCAATCACCTACAACGCTCACCCAGATAAGACAAAGATCCTCACTGGAAAAGATGTGGTCGAGCTGAAGGGACTCTCTGATGGAGTCTGTGCAGTTACAAGTGATGGCAGCGTGTACGAGGGTAATATTATCGTGGGCGCCGATGGCGTTCATAGCCGAGTCCGGTCTGAGATCTGGCGATGGGCCGACAAGGAATTTCCCGGGTCTCTCTCAGCCACAGAAAGGAACAGTAAGTATCCACTGCCGAGTCCTATAGCTTTCGTGAGCAGAGAAATACTCGAGTTTATCAACACTCCCTCTGATGGCGTCCCTAGGTATGACAGTCGAATATGTCTGTGTCTTCGGAATCTCATCGGGACTTGTGAGTCTTGAAGCCGGCGCACAAATCAATGCTCTCTTGGATAAAGCCGCGATAATGGCGGTTCATGGTAAAGATGGCTGTGTCTTCTGGTTCCTCTTCAAGAAGCTCGACCGAAAGCACGTCTACCCAGCTGTGCCTCGGTTCTCACACGAGGACGCCGCGGAACTCTGCAACAAAATGCAGGATGTGCACATGTATAAGGGGCTGCGCTTTGGCGACATCTGGAAGAACAGCGAAGTCGTCTCCATGACGGCGCTAGAAGAGGGACTGTTCAAGACCTGGTTCTATGATCGGATGGTGTTGGTTGGGGATAGTGCTCACAAGGTAAGTGTTGCTTGCACATTCGGGAAGAAGTTCACCGCAACCGACACTGCTATGTTAGATGACCCCAAACTTCGGTCAAGGAGCAAACACTGCTATCGAAGACGCTGCCGCTCTTGCTTCGCTGCTTCAGCGTCTAGTCTCCAAGACTGGCTCTGGGAAACCTTCGCTAGCGCAAATCCGCGATACGCTCAAGGAATATCAACATGCACGATACCGGCGGGTACGACGTGTCTATAATGATTCATGGACCATTTGCCGGTTCCATGCTCGAGACAACATCGTCTATGGACTTATCGGCCGGTATTACACTCCATACGCTACAAACCTGCCGGCCGATCTGGCTTCGAAAGCGTTTGCCGACGGAGATGTTTTGAGGTTCCTACCTGCACCAGCATGCCCAGGAACAGGCTGGGAGACATATAGTAGTAAGAGGGGAGGTAGAGCTTTATCGTATGCGGTATTATTCGTTTTGATTGCAGTGATAGTTCAAAAGGTTTTCTGAGCCACGCCACACTCTTGAACAAGTCCGATAGATGATGAAGACCTCGAAATTCAAAGATGAAACAACGGGTATATGTACTGATTGCTGTTGATGTAGCAAGCGACGGTGATAGTGGGCGCTAACGAAATCATGAGCCAGTGCTTGTTGATATGCTTAAAAAATGCCGAATAAGACCTTGAGGGCCAAACCTGAACACCGTGCTGTAAATAGGCTCCTAGGAAACGAAAGAACATGACGATGGAGTTATTGGGCTGTGGAGGGTTTTCTCTTGGGGGATTTGACGTTCAAGACTTGTCTCATGCGCCGGATTTTGGACCACCACTCCCGATCTTTAGCCTTCTTGATATCGTCGTTGACCTCATTGAACACTGGGCCATCGTCCATAGAGGGAGCTTCGGAGCCGGCGCGGCTACCCATTGGAGTGCTTGATCGAGTCTGCCGCAAGTGCTTTACTTTGACCGCCTGCGCCAAGGCTTCCCATCCACTCTGCAATGCACCCGTCTTCTCAGACGACTTTCCTGTGCCGCTTTGTGTTTTAGCATTAATCCATGGGCAGTATTCCATGTGTTCAGTGGCAACATCTAACAAGTCGTTGGAAGACACTTCTTCCCCCTCCTTTGGCTTGTAAATCCAAAGCCCCAGACGTCGGAAGCATGCCCCGCAGGAAATCAAACCTGGTGTCCCCCCAACAGTATCCCAGCCGAAGAATGCAAGCACAAAAGCTGTCTCATTGAATGGGCCAGCTTGTACGGTGGGTTGCGATTCACTTTCCGAACTGTTTTCCGATGAGGTCCGCTGTGTTTCTGTTGCTTCTGGTTGTAAACGAGGATCTGGTAAAGTGGCCATTAAAGATCCGGCATCGAAGCTTTCTGGTGCCTGCAGCAAACCAGGGTCGGGGAGTTGATCGGCCATCTTCAGTAAGCGTGTATACCGTGCTCGAAGACCGGATATCGCGGTATCCGGATTCGTCAGTTGCAGTCGATGAATCGTAGCTGAGTAGCGTCAGTAAAACTGGCATCCTTGAGATCATCTAACGGCCGAAACGAACCATCGCAGCCCTTGTTCCGCCACGGGCAACTCTCGCCATGCCCTTGAACTATAAGGTTCGCGTATTCCTGCTCAAGTTTTGTGCCTGACCCTAGTAAGCTTTGGGCCTTCGGTAAGCTAAGGAGGGTTTCACTTACGGACTTCCTTTCTTTCCTGTATTTTTTCACCGTCATACCCGTCTAGCTCGTCAAGTTCATCGGGGATCTTGACAACAACAGACCCCCCGCAGCCCCCCACACACGTAACACGCTCAACATCTGTGCATATCCAGCCGCGCTTGGCCCATTCGACTTCGTTCACTCTGGGTGGTTTTGGGGACCATCGATCTACCCGGCGGAACGTTTCTAATCGCTCAAGGAAACGGTCGCGATCCCAAGGGACAAAGGTTGGCCGAGTTTGCGATGATACAGAGGAAGCTCGAGAGGTAGTTCGCGCAATCTTGAGTATGTCTTTTCGCACCGAAGCAAGAATCCCGTCGTCCCGGCCGTCCAGGCGTGCCCTTTTTGCTAACGGAGCATGGTCGGGAGTTGTCGCGGCGTTCGGGGTGGTTGGGTTGGGTGACTCGGAGTTTGAAGGTTTGGTTAAGGATTCTAGCACTCGATGAAATTTGCGCTTTTTCGTTTCAAGGGCATAGGACATCTTCTGAGGCGCAGCGGCGGCTTTAGGCTTGGGATGCTAGAGCTTCCGTGATGCAGCATTGAACTGGGAACCCGAGAACATCACCTGCACTGCTGGAGAGGCTAGGCTAAAGTGGGATATGTCCTGCCTCAGGTGTCAATATATTTTGGGCACTCAATTCATCATAAAGACATGGAACTGAGATTGTAAGGTGTGTAAAATATTGCTAACGAATCAAGGTAAAAAAAAAATCTTCCCAAGGTATAAACACCGCCATTCCGGTCGGTCATCGACTATCTTGAGCCCCCAAAATATCTACAATCGTATGATTAGTTCGAGCTTGAAATTAAGGGCTCTGATTGGCTCTAGCCCGGGTGAAGTTCCGAGGGCCCGTCGCGATGGAGAGTCGAGAGCGACATTTGATGATTTTCTCTTTCACGGCGTAAACTCCCTTCGCCGTTGCAATCATGGCGACTCTGGCGAATTCTATGTCCCATCTCCGGCGACTCGCACCCCGATTGTCGAAAGAATTGTTCACTTGCCGACAGTGCCTTGTGCGATCTCAAAATTATGCGACCAAAGCGACTCTCCGCACACCTTCCATCCCCGTCCCCCGAACACACAGCAGGATCAATTCGACTACCATAAGCGATAGGGCCAGAAAGGCTTTTACGAGATGCTCCTCAAGTGCTGTGGCCGCCAATGGCACGAGCTCACAGACTTCCGGATCAAGTTTCCCCAAAGTTACCGACAAGACCGTGGCATATTGGTTACTAGGCAGCGCAGCAAGCGTTTTCGGTATCGTGGTCTTTGGAGGCCTCACTAGACTGACAGAGTCGGGGTACGTCATGCTCGAAAAAGACTTTTAGGGAGATGCTGACCGAGACAAAAAGATTGAGCATCACCGAATGGCGCCCCGTTACCGGATCTCTTCCTCCTATGAACGCTGAAGATTGGGAATCTGAATTCTCAAAATACCGTGCCTCTCCTGAGTTCCAGCTCTTGAACCCGAACATGACCCTCTCCGAGTTCAAATCAATCTACTACATGGAATGGATTCACCGTCTCTGGGGTCGATTTGTTGGATTGTCCTTCGTCCTACCAGCCGTCTACTTCGTCGCGAGAAAAAAGGTCAGCAAGCCAATGGCTCTCCGATTGGCTGGTATTGCAGGCTTGATTGGATTTCAGGGCTTTATTGGTTGGTGGATGGTAAAGTCCGGGCTGAAGGATGATCTCTTCGCTCCCGGCAGCCATCCCCGTGTTAGTCAATATCGCTTGACGGCGCATCTTGGTGCCGCCTTCGCGTGCTATGTTGCGATGCTTTGGAACGGTCTTGCTATCCTGCGATCCCATCGTCTTTTGTCTGACCCGGAAGCTGGGTCCAATCTTCTCCGTTCCCTTCAGGATCCGAAGCTCAAGCTTTTCCGCCGCTCCGTTGCTGGTCTTGCCCTCCTGGTTTTCGTGACTGCCATGTCTGGTGGTCTTGTTGCTGGTCTGGATGCTGGACTTATCTATAACGAGTTCCCGTTCATGGGGAACGGACTTGCCCCGCCCATGGAAGAACTTTTTGATGCGAGATATTCAAGACACGAGGACCGCTCTGACCTTTGGTGGAGAAACATGCTAGAGAACCCCTCGACAGTGCAGTTGGACCACCGTATCCTGGCTATGACAACTTTCACATCTATTATGGCTCTCTGGGCCTACACCCGCCGGTCCCCTAATATGAAGCGATTCTTGCCGCCCGCTGCGAGGAAAGGAGTCCACGGTGTCGTCGCCTTCGCCTGGGTCCAGGTCGGACTTGGCCTATCCACTCTCCTGTACCTTGTACCTCTCCCTCTGGCTTCAGCACACCAAGCAGGAAGCTTGGCTCTTCTGACTTGGGTTCTTGTGCTTGGCAGCCGGGTCTGGCACCCTTCAAGGACCGCAAAGCTCCTGCAACAGGCGGCTAAAGCTCAGGGCCGCGCTGTGTCGAATACGGCCCGTCATCCTCCTCACAAGCTATAGAGTCGATATACGTGGTTTCATTTAGGAGGTCTAAGTGACCCCGTTGTATTATTACGGACATCTCTGCTACCTACTAATAGTAGTACTATATCCCTGTACATTATTCCAATATACCTACTGTTCATACACTCATCCTTCGAATGAAGCCGCTGTGTCTGCTAACCTCTGAGTGGAAGGTACCTTCGATAGTTCCTTCTCTTGCCTTATTCCGTCTAAATCCTTTTCAACCGGCAGACACTAAGTTTCTAGTCACACTTTGGGCGAGTATCGCCCATCACAACTGTATCTTCAAGGCCAAGTTTAGTTTACAGTGAGCGAACAGTGTCAGTAGACCATGCGCTACTAGGATATATAATCTACTCTGCTATTGCTCTAGGCCGTTACAACCACACTCGGGCTGGGATACAATGAGTCATGCAAACCAGGGAACAGTTCTCCAAGACAAGGTTATGAATCAGTGAGAGCGGAAAAACAACGCCAGTATGCGTTCCGAGAGAGGTTTTTGAGATCAAAGTATGCTAGAAATTTGTGCAAGCGCGAAACAAAAGGCCCTGCGAACCATTAGATACATAATAAACACAACCTCCTCGCCTTCCTCCACAGCAACTTGATGGTAGATGAAAAGCTGGACTATCTACTGGGGCGCTCGTTATTATCACACTTGGTCTTGTTCTTTGCTAAGAGACCATCGGTTGGTTCAGCGGTATTGTCATCATTCTCATCGTCATAATCGTGACTGTCATCTCTGTCGGTAGTTTCACCATCATCGTCAGCCTCATACCTAGTGTCATTATGGATCTTCTCATGGTCATCATCATCCGTGAGACAAACCCCATCGTTGAAACTCGCTGAAGCGCTCTTGGCCTCTTCCAATGCGTATCCAACGGAATCTTCAGTGCCATCACCATAGAGTTCCGGAATCTCAGTGTTTAGAGCCTCCAACGCAAGGGCGTACAGGCATTTAGCGCCAGCGAGAATATGCTTGCGGTCACTGTTATACTCGTCGCAACTACTGTTGGCAGAACTCGTTTCGGTACCGGAGCTGGGGGTGCTAGTAGCAGGAGAGCCGGGCTCTACATGGTGCTGGGGAGGAGGGGTTTCCGGCCTCACTGGTTCTTGTTGAAGTGTAACTGGGGGTTCCCTTTGACTTCTACCCCCCTGCTTATGCTGTCTTCGGTCCTTGGGGTCGGGTATTAAATGATTCTCATCTGGACACTTGTGAACACAGTCACGGTTCTCGACTTTATAAGAGCATCCCTGGTCCGGGGAACACTGGCTGTGGCATGTCTGCCACCAGCATTTAGTGCAGCGGCGCATAGTGTGGTTCCTATTTTTCGCAGTGCAAACGTCGCACGCGGCGGTAGATGCTTTTAGTCGTATCGAAGGTGGTGGGGTGAGTTGAGGTGGATTAGGCGCTGGGCTGGAGGGGGAGCTGTTGTCGCCGGAGCTGGTACTCTGCGTATCAGACATACTATTGTGGATGAGGCTTTGGCCGCTATAGGAGGGCTTTGGTGCAAGATAGAAGGAGAGCTGGTGGTATCTGAATATGTAGACTGGCCTCCTGAGACAGCCAAATAGGGAACAGAACAGTGAAGCGAAGCCAAAAGTGGTAAGGGGGAAACGTGAATGAGAGAAAAACAAATGGTGGGAAATATTCATCACTAGTAAATCCTTGCAGATGAAGACTTCTTGTTCAACTTGTGCCCAGCTTGTCCTTTCAGGAGTCAACAACCCTACATGGACGATTGAGGATGCTTTGATGTTTCCAGATCCTTCAATCCACGCAAAGAGCAGCACTTGCAGAGCATCTTTAGAAGATAACATCAATCTATTGATTCGCTCTCAGCTTTTATTAAAATGGTATTTACCATTTCTGTAAATGGCCATGTGAAGAGACTAGAGCTAAGAGGATAAACATATAAGACCAAAAGTCTCTCATCGTGCTGGAAAAACATGCCCCAAGGGAGAGCGGTCTCACCATTATCTTACAAACTAATGACCACATAGCATTAATCACTGCTGACTGCGCTATGGGTCTTACTTCATGTTCCTATCCCCAGCCTGGGAAGGCGACTGTAGGCCTGCAGTCAAGAGAGCAATCGTAATACAAAAGTGTATATGTCTTGTGATATTTAAGCTCATGAAACTTCTTTTCGTAGACCAATTCCATATAGTCACGTAACATTCATCAACAGTTCTTGTCTTGTTTGAACTGGAGTTCTAATATCTATTTGTGGGCTGATCGAGACAATTTCGTTAGCTTTTTGCTCATATTCCATCGGAATAACATGAAAAAGGTATGGCTTCAGTAAGGCGGAGACTTACGAATTCCCTCCTCAGGCATAGGCTCAATACCAGCAACCTCGGCAGCAGACTTGCCTTCGGCAGCGGTCTTATCCTCCTTCATGAACGGGAAGGCCAGGACCTCCTTAATGCTGTAGTTGTCCGTCAAGAACATGACCAGGCGGTCAATACCCATACCCCAACCACCGGTGGGGGGCAGACCATATTCCAAGCTGGTACAGAAGTTCTCGTCAATGAGCTGGGCCTCGTCGTCACCCTGGTCTTTCTGGCGGGCCTGCTCCTCGAAGCGGAGACGCTGGTCGAAGGGGTCGTTCAACTCGGTGTAGGCGTTGGCAATTTCCTTCTTGCAGACGAAAGCCTCGAAACGCTCGCAGAGACCGACGTTCTGGCGGTGATACTTGGCCAGAGGCGACATCATCTGCGGGTGGCCCATAATGAAGGTGGGGTTGACACAGGTCTCTTCAATGAATTCGCCAACGAGCTTATCGAGCATACGGGCGTTTGTGAGAGGTGGCGTGCATTCGACGCCGGTCTTCTTGAGAACCTTCTTGAGGAACTCGCCAGTCTCAGCGGTGTGCAGTTGGTCACCAGGGGGGAACTTCTCGCCAGTGGCTTCTTCCAGGGCGGGGATCATCTCCACGCGCCTCCACGGAGCCTTCCAGTTGACGTTGTATACCTCTCCGCTCTGTGTGTGGAACGTGGTCTCGTAGCCGCCAGTGATGTGCTTAACGAGACCAGAAACGAGCTCCTCAGTCAAGTCCATAACGTCGTACATATCAGCATAAGCCCAGTAGAACTCGCAGGTTGTGAATTCGGGGTTGTGAGTCAAGTCAATGCCCTCATTTCTGAATTGACGGCCGACTTCATATACACGCTCGAGACCACCGACGATGAGCATCTTCAGATACAGTTCGGGAGCGATACGCATGAACAGGTTCATGTCCAATTCGTTGTGGTGAGTCACGAAAGGCTTGGCTGTAGCACCACCAGCAATCGCGTTCATCATGGGTGTTTCCACCTCAACGAAGTCGCGGTTGTCCAGGAAGTTGCGGAGGTATGTGACAATCTTGGAGCGAGTAACAAGGACATTGCGAGACTTGTCGTTCATGATCAAGTCGAGGTACCGCTGGCGGAAACGCTGCTCCTTATCCTGGAAACCGTAGTGCTCGGAGGGGATGGCGTGAAGGCAGGGGGCGAGAAGAACAACCTCTGTTGCAAAGATGGACAGCTCACCGTCTGGGCGGTTCTTGGGGTTACTGCGGCCAGGGAAACCGACGATACCGATAACATCACCTCTCCGAAGGTGTTCGTGCTGAGCATCGAACGAAACCTCGCCGGTGGCATTCTGAGCCTGGCAAACCACCTGCACCTTGACGCCCTCGGCGCGGATATCGTAAAAGATCAATTTGGCGCCGGACGAGCGCTTGGTAAAAATTCTACCGGCGATTCGAACTGTAGTACCAGGCTTCTGTTCGCCCTTCTCGAGACTCTCGTAGTCCTTGAGGTACTTGCGGAGGTCATCGGTGACCTGGAACTTGTGAGGATAGGGGTCGGGCTGCTTGGTCTCTCGAAGCTTGTTGATCCTGTTGCTACGGATCTCGAAATATTGCTAGAGAAGGTAAAACGACCTGATCAGTATGTTGAAGCATGAGAAAAGCTACGAAGGAGCACTCACGTTAGGGGTCAGGTTCGCTTCCTCCTCTTCGGCGGAGACCTTCTTGGATGCCGGCTTGGGTGGAGCAGCAGCAGCCTTCTCCTTCTTCTTAGCATCTCTCTCACGGGCCTTCTGACGCTTCTTCAATTCGGTCTTCGAGACCTTCTCGCCGGTGACTTCATCAAGAAAGAGGTTGGCCATGGAAGCCTCGGCCTCCTGGACGGGATTGGAATCGGCCATGGTGGAGATATAGCTTGTCCGACGCTTCTTTACTCCTATTGTGAGAGTAAAAACAATGAAAGCGGCGTCAGCCGTGGATAAGGTGAATGACTCAAAAATTGTAGGAGGGGAAAGACAAGAAAGCCGCGCCAAAGATTTTTGGGCGGGAGAGGTTATGGCGGGGTGACTGTCATTGGGTGCTGCGAACCACCCCGGCTGCGACCAAGCCAAGTGTGCCCTGCCATTTTTCTAATTCAATAATGGATGACTTGACTATCTCCCTCCAAACGACCCTTTCCTAGGGATTGTCTCCATTTCATGTACATTCAATATCCTGCATTCGCACCTCGCAAAAGGCTAATGACCACATTAAGAAACGAGAAAGGGCTTAGGGCACGGGCAGAGAAGTGGGGTACTTCTGGCTGCCGATAACGAAACCCCGCCATCAAGAAGCCTCCCAGTCCAACATCGCTCAAGAGAAACAAACATTGACTTGACAAGAAGTCATAACCTCATTACTTATCGGGCGGCTGCAACTTAACCTCGAACCCAAAGTCTAACTCGTTGGCCGGCTCATGTGTGACTTTCTCTGCCTCCAACCACTGCTGTGCCTTCATTATCTTCTCCTTCTGTTTTTTCAGGTACTCGCGGCGTCTCTGGCGCTCTGCGTCCTCCGACATCAGTTCGTGGCACCTGTTCACCGCTGAGAAGTGATCATGTTAGAGCCAAGGCTGTCAAGTCGAGGCGAGGGACATACCATTTAGATCGTAGATCCCTAGTCCTTTCTCAATTTCTTCCACCAGATTCTCGCGACATTTGAAAAAGAGCTTCGTGTGGACGCTCTGGGCGACAGCATCAACAAATCTAGAACTAGCCACCTCATAGTATCCACGAGTTGTCTAAACAGAGTCAGCAGCTGATCCATATGCATCACAGGCTGTCACGTTACCGCCATCATCTTTACTTCCAAAGTGAAAATGTCCACGCCGAGTTCTTTAACACCAAGTTTCTTCATTTCTGTCGCTCTTCGAGGGTCTCCTCTTTGGTACCTCTGCTGCAGATCCAAGTAATGATTCGCTCTAGCCTCAAAACGACGCCTCACGAAAAGGTCATTCGCTGCATTAGTCTCCTGATCAAGGGCCGATTTCGCCATCGTGAAAGGTCTCTGATGCTCTATGCTGAATATCTCATCAACATGGACAACATGCTCATCTCGGAGCTTCTTCAAGTAGCTTTCAATAATCCGTCTGAGCTCCCGGTAGAGCTCCGTTTGAAGATACTGAACGAAGACTTCCTTCAACTCCCACAGGAGTGTTTCTTTTACGAGCCGATGGCTGGCATTGATAAAGACCATCATCGGGTCCCTCCAGTGCTCGACACTCATTCGGTTCATGGAATCGATTGCTTTGGGGTTAATCTGTTGGGGAATCCCAGCGCTGGCGGACTCCTTGTTGATGTCCCTGATTTCCTCCCAAGTGAACTCCTTCACTGAAGTCGCAAATTTATCAAAGTGTGTAGTGAGGTATCCTGTTGCCTTCTTGGTCGGTCTACCTCGAGGGCTACCAGTAGACTCTTCTCCGTCCATTTTTGGTTTCTTCGGAGTTTGGATCTCAGTAAGCTCACATTCAGAGTCGTCGTTGCGGCCATTGGAGATAGATTCCTTGTCCAATTCCGATAGTAGCCTTACAGTTGGACGTGTTCTGGAAAGAGACCGCTTGAAGTCTTCGGCAATGTTGGTCCAGAGCTTTTGAAGGGGGTACTCTCTAGAGCCGCCCTCGATTTGGCACCTGATTCGATCTTTTAGAGTGTGAAGTTTGCCGCAGAGTATATATGGCACATTTGCAGACGGAGGCGCCGGAAGCGTCGAAAGCTCATTGTCAATACGAGTAGCCTTCTCATTGATTTTGTCAATGATGCCTGGAAGACATCCCTGAATTTGTAGGAAGAGAAGGTTCGACAACGCAGATTGTAGATTTCGGGTGCCGAATCTCTCATGGTATGAGGCGAGATCAGTCGACCATGGAGCGATCCTGAAGAACTCATCTTCTTCCTGGCGAGCCACCGAGTGCTCGACAGAGGGATCCGGATTATTCCTCACGACATAATAACCATGCCCAAGGGAGAACTTGTCGCCTTCCAGAATCTCGACCCACTGACTGTAAGACTCACCAATCTGAACACGGTCAGGCTTAGTGAGAACCCCTAATGTTCTCTTCTTTGCTCCACGGATATCTCGCATTATCCGAGCAGCGGAGGAGTTCATTACGTCGTCCGTCATGGTAATGGTAAGAAGAACAATGCAGCTCTCTTGGGAAATGTACTCCTTCACCAGGTTCTCAACAAGGTTGACGAGGTACCGCTCTTCATCAAACTCAGCTTGGTTGATGACACCTGGGAGGTCGTAAAATGAAAGACTAGGAAATCTAGGAGCAGAGATGTCCAGTCTTACAATATTTGGGGAGAACTTCACCTGGCAATGTGAAGGGTCAGTTTCGTTGTTCTCACCAGGAACATAGCTCGCTGATGGGCTTCCAGGATTGAGGATCGCCAGTTGCGCCCACTTGATGACGTCCTCGATTTTTCCTTTTTCGGTGATCGTGGTAAACAACTCGTCTTCTTGATCTTGAGGATGCCAAGGGCCAAGAGGTTCTGATTTCTTGGGCTTGCTGATTCTTCGAGAGGCGTCAAACATATACTTTCTGGACAAGTATACGCGACAAGTCCAGGGCTGATCAGGTTCGCTGTTCGACAGGTTGATCTCCATTGGGCATCTCGTACATGTACCAGCGCTCCTGGGCACCTTTATCTCACTCATCCCCTCGATAAGTGAGCTCTTGCCGGTACTTTGGTCTCCAATGACGCAGATCTTTGGAAGGGTGATCTGCGAGTCCTCTATGCCGATGTGCCGCAGATCCTGAATCTTCCGCACAAGGACCGTCATGCTCTGCGCGAGGTTGTTAATCGAGTCAGAAGGCCCCGACTCAGGATTTGCGCCCTCCATCGTTGGCGACGCACTCTTCACTGTCGCTACGTAAATGTAATGTTAGCCCTCTCTCCCCAGTAAAGCAAATCACACACAAAGACAAAGACTTATCCATACCTATGTCAGATGCAGGGTCTATCTCGTTCGGCTCTGTTTTGACTGGCATTTGTAAAAGTAATGTGGTTGTCACGAATGCCAAGTTGAAAGAGGCCTATCGTAGCATAGTGGAGAGTTGTATCAGGAAGAAGACTTCAAGCTGACTCAGGTGGGAAAGAAGAAGGAGGACTGAGAGAAAGCCTAGTGTTACCAAAAGGCAGAGACTCAGGTAGGCTGCTACTGTTGCCTGGGCCAACAGTGAGAGTGAGGTGAATACAAGGGGAAGCGAAACTGAGGGAATCCAGAAAATTGAACTTGATTGCCTAAGTGAGACCAAGGAAAGAGAAAAATTTAGAGCACCACAAAGCTGGGCACAAGAGAACGCACAAGAGAACGCACAAGAGAACGCACAAGAGAACGCACAAGAGAACGCACAAGAGAATGCGCAAGAGAAAGAGGAATGTCTAGTGACCGTAGAAATGTCTTATCGAGTCTGGTTTCAAGCCCATCTCCAGTCGGTTGTCTGTGTTGCTTAACAAGGTGACGAAGCAGAAACTGCTGCAGGGGTCTTTAATCCTCTCATCGAGATTATTGCAAATCAGTGAGATACCACTAACACCATATAGATATGCTACTGTTGAAACAATCTTGTTGGATGCTACATTGAGGAGGAATTGGTGCGTCGAGAGGATACCAATGTAGGCATCGTTTACCTATGGTAGGTACGATCACCATTGCCATATTCAACCAGTTCACTTCGTTAAATTTGACTGTAACCCGCCGCCAGAGAAGTATCAGACTCTCATTGTTAATTTAGACATTGAGAGCCGACTCACCTTTCCAACGGGACCGTCTTAGATTCGGCCTGCTTGTCTGCGCTCGGAGTCTATTTGTTCAAGATGTTGGAGAACTGCGCTGCCAATGTGCCGACGCACCTAGTGGGCCTATCCTTCATATAGAAATCTTTGAACATATAACAAGTTTCTATCAGACATTATGAATCTGATAAGATCAAGATTCCCACTCTAGGGGATGTCAGTAAAGCAACCTGCCTATTGATACCGTTTCCGAACAACTGGCGACGGTGCAAGTTCAGGTTCGCCAAGCTTGTCAACGTGAAGATCTTTCGCCGCGGACGGTGTAGGTTTGCTGGCAATGTAACGCAGGGACTGTCATCGGAACTGGTGTAGTAGTTCAAGCTTCCAACTTTAGTTCGGGGCCCAGGCGAGGAGCTGCTTTGAGACTCTGTTGAGTTAGGTTCCGCTAATTTACCGAGTCTCAAGCGCATAATATACCTATATATGAACGAGAAGAGCCCATCCCGTTGATTTCTTCTCCAAAAATCATTATTACAGAACACATCTTGCCGCGAGGCTGCATGAGAGTTGAGGGTTCCTGAATTTGGATCTAGAGCTTGGGCTGGTGGATCTTTGGGTGATCAACTGACTTGCGGGCAACCAACATTAAGTCACTCTCCTCAGTCAACCTCCTTTCTCCCCTGAATCTCCCTCTAGGACACCTCTGCTTTCTAATTAATCTGCAGAGCTACGTGTAAACTACACTACCTTTCCCCTCTCTGCTCTTCAATTGCTATCTTCCTCATATCCGTTCTGCCATTCGATCCATCACCCCCTCATCCGGCCACAATGCTTCAGGTGCCCGTGCGGGAACACACCAACGTGGCCTCCACTAAGGCTGTAATCCTGGTAAGTGCTGCTGTACCTCTCGAACACTGCAGCTATCATGTTCCTTGCGTCTGCTAACCATGGAGATTACTAGGTGGGCGGCCCTTCTAGGGGAACCCGCTTCAGGCCTTTGTCGCTCGATGTTCCCAAGGTTGGTCGCTACCCAATTCACCTCCGACCGCGCAAATCAGTTGACGACGATGCTTCCTACAGCCTCTTTTTGAAGTCGCCGGGCATCCAATTATCCACCATTGCCTCAAGGCCCTTGCGAAAATCCCCGATATCCACGAAGTCATCCTGATTGGCTACTACGATGAGACCGTCTTCCGTGACTTCATCAAAGATGCTTCGAAGGAGTTCCCCCAATTTCGCATCCTGTACCTCCGTGAATACACAGCGCTGGGCACTGCCGGCGGTCTCTACCATTTCCGTGATCCTATCCTCAAGGGCAAGCCGGAGCGCATTTTCGTCCTCAATGCCGACGTCTGCTGCTCCTTCCCGCTCGGCGAAATGCTGAGGCTGTTTGAGGATAAAGATGCGGAGGCCGTCATTCTAGGAACTCGTGTTCACAATGATGCGGCTTCAAACTTTGGGTGCATTGTGTCCGACTCCCACACCAAGCGTGTCCTTCACTACGTCGAGAAGCCTGAATCGCACATTTCCAACCTCATCAACTGCGGTGTATACCTCTTCGCAACCGAGTGTATCTTCCCCTCCATTCGAAGCACAATCAAACGCCGGACGACCCGCCCTCGCCTACTGTCATATCCCTCCTCCGACAACCTAGAGTCTTCGTTCGTTGCTGCCGACGATGAATCAGAACAGACCGAGGTCCTGCGGTTAGAGCAAGATATCCTCTCCGACCTTGCTGACAGCAACCGCTTCTTCGTCCATGAGACGAAAGACTTCTGGCGCCAGATCAAGACTGCCGGTTCCGCGGTCCCGGCCAACGCTCTCTACCTGCAGAAGGCTTTCCAAGCGCAATCCGACGAACTTTCTGCTCCTTCTGCTACTATCGTTCCCCCGGTCTATATCCACCCTTCCGCCAGCGTAGATCCGACAGCCAAACTCGGACCCAACGTCTCCATTGGACCCCGAGTCGTTGTGGGTGCAGGTGCGCGTGTCAAGGACTCCATCGTGCTCGAGGACGCCGAAATCAAGCATGATGCATGCGTCATGCATGCTATCATCGGGTGGAGCAGTCGCGTGGGGGCCTGGGCTCGTGTTGAGGGCACACCAATCCCGATGGGCAGCCATTCCACCAGCATCATCAAGAACGGCATAAAGGTCCAGAGCATCACCATTCTCGGTAAGGAATGTGGTGTCGGTGACGAAGTGCGAGTCCAGAACTGCGTTTGCTTGCCGTACAAGGAGCTCAAACGCGTAAGTGATCCCGCTACCCCAGTGCCCTGCAAATGCTAATATGAGTATAGGACGTTGCCAACGAAGTTATCATGTAGGGTGTTTCAGCGTACCCCTGACCACCTTGATCTATATTAATACTACCAATAACGGCATTTCCATCGCATTATTTAGACTATAATATCCCATAATATTGCATAACAAGGACCACCCAGGAACCACAGCAAACTAAAGCCTCTTGTTTGGCAAAGTTGACGGTTTACCTGGAGCCGTCCGTCATCACCCACAAAATTTGCATCAAGCACATGAACGACAATCTCAAGTGCAACACCATGCACGTTGGATCATGACTTAGAATTAACGAACGAGGTACTGTAACATTTTTTTCGGATGCGCCTCCAAAAACCAATCATAACATTCGTATCCAATAGAGCCACACTACCTATACGCCAAAGGATCATATGCCGTCTGCTCATTATGATGCCCATACCCATACCCCGGGTTGTCATAAACACTCGACCTCCCTCTAGAATGCCGCTGCTGCCCTGGCTGATCCGAGTACCCCTCCAGCGCCGTACTGCTATTATACGGCGGCGGCTGATGCAGCGGCCTCGTCTCCCCGATATCCTCCTCAGATCGGCCCCTCATATGCCCGGCGCCTCCATAACCACCGGAAACAAGCGGCGACCGATCGTCCTCCGCGACTCCCGCATTCGGATGCGGGAACGAGCCCGAGAGAACACTGCTGTCCCGGGCATGGCCGGCCTTGTACTCAGCTAGGTTGTGGCCCTCCGCAGCCATGGGATCGTACTCTCCAAGCCGAGTTGTGCGTCGGTACGCGAAGATGTCAAGGCCGATCGAGGCGATTAGGAGGGCGGTGCCGATGATTGTGAATGTGAAGAGGGCCTTGAAGATCCGGCAGACTGTTATCCCCGTTGACGTGCCCCAGTATGTGGAATTACATGTTGTGAGGATTGTGTGGGAGAGGGACCAAGAGAGGAGGACGAGGGCGATGGCCCAGATAATGAAGACGATGGTGTTTGTTATGAGCGAGAGGCGCGGGGAGAGGCCGTAGCAGCAGTGGAGGATTGTGGTGAGGGTGAGGTTTAGTAGGGATAGGAAGGCGGCAATAATGAGCTGTTGACGAGTTAGTTTCCGGCTGCCTAATGTATACAATGAGAGTTGGCTTACGACGAGGAACGCCCATGGAAGCCTGTGGTCGGCATTGTGTAGTTGTACAGCAAAGGCAGCGAGGATGATTCCGACGATGATCGAGGAGGCAAACAAGAAGAAGCGGACGAGGTGGAATGGCAGCGCCGGGTATTCTGAGGGTTTGACGGACTTGCGACGCATTGTTGCTGGGATGGGTTGATGATTGTTGACAGAGAGGGCAGGGCGATAGATGTAAATAGTCGAGGACGCCGATCACTGGACCATTTGGTAGACACTTTGGGCGGCGGCGTAGCGAAGAGCAAGCCCGACCGTAACCAGGAACTCCGTAAACAGAAAAGTTGATTCTTGAACCAGCAACAAGAAGTTGGAGTTGAAGAAATGTCAACACACGTCAGGGCTGCCCCATCAGCCCAGATCCGTCTATTTTAAGCTGTCATGGCAAAGCCTCTGTTAGCCTCATTTCACCCATGGAAACCGCTCCACCGTCCACGAATCACTCTGACGATCGCTACCGTGGGTTCGTATTGAGAAACTCAATGTTCACAACTCCATTTTTCGATGAGAATGGCTTTGGCACATCATACATCGTACGCTCTTAGTCGCCTCTGAGAGTCTTCAAGAAGTTGGTTATAAGTCATCAAATGCCGTTCAAATCCTGCGAACAATCGTTGATAGAATCGACGCTAACGAGGGCCGATAGGCAGGGCGGCTCGTGGAAGTTTCCCCCCACCTTTCAGACACAGTCACACACCAGCTAAAGAGTCCAGATCTCGCATCCACTTCCATCTGACATCGTCACTCTTCTACGTACTTGTCTCACATTCACAGCCATGGCAGCCATCCTCACAACCTCCGTCCCGTGGCATGATGGCGAAGACAAGATGCACCAGTTGCTCCGGGTGCCCTACCAGGACAACCCCACTGTTCCGTTCCTGACCCGTCCAGCGGCGCTGCTGATGAAGCAGTCCCCTCTACTCGCCATCGGGGCTCTTGATCAGGAAGGAAGACCTTGGGCTTCAGTTTGGGGCGGCGAGGAAGGCTTTGCTACAGCAACCTCTCATTCTAGATTCGACATCAGAACTCCTGTCGGGAGAACGTACGATCCCATTGTTGAGAGTTTACTCCTCAACTCTACAGGAAATAGCGGCAAAGTGATGGCTTTCCTAGCTGTCGATCTAGAAACTCGCCGGAGGGTGAAACTGTTTGGAAAATTAGACACCGGGTCACTAGATATTCCGGACGAAGATGAGCGCATTCGCGCCGGCATCGCAAACCTCACTGTTCACGTTGATGGTAGTCTCGGTAAGGTCCTTCTTTCAAAAGACAACTTGATCCGCGCTAACGCTCACGCAGGTAACTGTCCCAAGTACCTCAATGCGAAACGCATTGTCCCCGCCTCTCCAGAGCCGAAGCTGATCTCAGAAACCCCTCAGCTACATCCTAGCGCCATTGACATGCTAAACCGTGCAGATACCTTGTTCATCTCCTCTTCTCACGGAGGAGAGGATATGGATACGAACATTCGCGGAGGACCTCCTGGGTTTGCTCGGGTCATCTCTAATCAGCCCAGTGGCGCGGTGTTTGTATACCCTGAGTATTCTGGAAATCGTCTCTATCAAACTCTGGGGAACCTCCAAACTACTCCTTCAGCAGGATTTGTCTTCCCAGACTTCGATACAGGCAATGCTCTATTCGCCACTGGCACTACAGAGATTCTTGTCGGCAAAGATGCGTCTGCTGTTCTCCCTCGCTCTAACATTGTGGTCAGAGTAACCGTCACAGCGGCTCGGTTTGTGGAGAAAGCTCTGTCGTTTCGAGGCATTCCTGGGAAGCCGTCACCATACAATCCCAGCGTCCGATACCTTACATCAGAAAGAGCCTCGGCGGCAGGCTTGGGTAACCGCGAGTCAACGGTCACTGCAACATTGATCGGAAAGGAACTGATAACCCCATCAATTAGCAGATTTCGCTTTCGCATTTCAGATCTGAAAGAAGCCGGATCGTGGACCCCAGGACAATATGTAACGTTCTCTTTCTATGACGAACTGGACATGGGCTACAGCCATATGAGAGATGACGATCCGTCAAGCATCAACGATGACTACGTCCGTACATTCACAGTCTCATCGAGCCCAGGTCATCTCTTGCCTGATGGAGAGTTTGAGATAACGGCTCGAAAGCACGGAAATGTGACTAGCTCGCTCTTTCGCACAAGTGAAAGAGCTGGTTTGGAAGTGCCTTTGAAAGGCTTCGGGGGAGACTTCCAACTAACCCAACAAACCAGCGATATACTGCCGTTCATAGCAGGTGGTATCGGTATTACGCCAGTTTTAGCGCACCTTCCTGTGATTGATGTCAGCCGATTGCACCTCTTCTGGTCGATTTCGCTCAAAGATATCGGACTGGTTCTGGATACTTTCAAACGATTCCCAAAGCTGCCTGGTTCCACAACCGTATTTGTCACTGGGGTTGACCATCGAAGTCAACAGAGCAACGCTGAACTAGAGAACGTCGCGTCATTCGGAGCACAAGTACAACGCCGGAGAATGGAAGCGCAAGATCTCGACCTCTCATTAGCAGAAGTTTGGTACTTCTGCGGCAGCCCTATGTTGAAGGTACCGGTGTTTAGTTGGCTGGCCAGTAAAAAAGTAGTATATGAAGACTTCGATTACTGAAATAAGATTCACCTGTTGATTTTCCACTCATTCTGGCCACTTTATAGCTCTGAATCACGATTTATAATTCTGTACCTGTTTATCTGCTAGGTCAGTCGCCGACTCGTTGGAATCGGGACCTCGTCACAGTCTCGGGTGCCGAAAACGCGTCAGGGCCTGCTACCTTCCCGCAAAGCTCAAGCTCTGGCTCTTCCCCAAGAGATAAATCTCTCCTCAGACCTCAATCTTTGAAATTTCGTCCTGTGGCTTATCTTTAAACATTATCTTCAGTCAAAAATCCATTAACTCACAACCAGAGAGGTCCAGACAGGACACTCCTGCAACCATGTCGACCTACGAAGGCAAGTAACTGAACCCCTCATCCCCTCCCTCACCCCGACTAACAAGCTCCGTCCAAACAGTCGAACACAACACGACTGACCCCTCAAACCCCGCCCAACCGTCTCGCAGTCGCCGCCCAGACCTCTCCACCTTTTTCGCAACCCTCTCCGAAGTCTCCTCCGATGAGAATCGCTCCCGGCGCGGCGCCGTCCCTCCTCCGGGAGACATAAGCGCCCTGTACTACTCCCTCGCCGAGGGGCTGACTGCTATGCGTCTCCAAGGCAGTGGCTCCTACTATAGTCCGGATATCAATGGGATTCGTGAACAACTGGCGAACCAATTGAATAACCCCATATTGCCAGAAGCAGATAACAGGTCGACTGAACATGGTGATGATCTCCTTCAGGAAATGATCCAAATTCTGTTGCAGCGTGCGGATAGACCGCCAAAGGAGGTGGAGGGGGTATCGGAGGAGTTTTGTGATGGTGGGAGCCTCCCTTTTCCTTTCTTCCTGCGTGGTACTTCTCGCCGGCATCGCGCATGCTAATAATACTTGGACGAAATAGGACTCGATCGTGTCCCGCGCTCCTCGCTGAAGCCCTCCCAGTCATGTCCGATCTGCAGCAACCCATTTCTAGACGACAAATATCCGCTCGTTGTGCGGTTACCGTGTCACCCGACGCATTTGTTTGATTTGGAGTGTGTAAGGCCGTGGCTGCGGTTGCGGGGGACGTGTCCGCTTGACCGAACGGACTTTGCGGAGCAGTTGAGGGAGAAGGCGGAAGCAAGGAAGAAGGCTGTGGAGGAGGATGACGAGGAGGAGTGGGATGGGATGTACGGTTGATTTCGGTTCTGGTTTATCAGCTATCTATAGCGGGAGTTCCAGGTTGAGCGGGATCTTATCCCAAGCTACGGTATGGTGGTTGATTGCATTGTCCAACATTACGAGTATGATCTCGCATATTGTATTTTATGTGATGGGTATATACGAATTCACTACCATGCAGTTACTCTGGTCAATCCCTTTCGGGTGCGGGTGGGCCTTCTCGTGGTCGAAGAGCCAGCTTGCCCGTCTTATCAATTACAGCTTCAAGGCCTCTCTGCTCCAACATCCCGTTGTCATCCCTTACTTCTCGAGCCTCGAGCTCCTCGATAAGTTTCTGGTTTTCGCGGTTACCCTCGAGCAAGAACTTGAGACACATCACAGCATGCTCCTTGATATACGGGTTGTGCGCATCAAAGTTGGTGCACGACAAAATTGTCTCGACACCACCGTGCTTCCGGATCTGGTCTTGCACTTCGGGGCACTTCCACACAAGAGACGAAAGGACAAGCACGACGAGCTTTTTCAAGTTGCGCCACTCGAATTCAGAAGGGTCCTCGGTGATGGGTGGCGACTCAGGTCTTGACACGGTGCCACCCTCAGTCGGGTCTGGTTCGCTAGGGTCGTATGGTCGTTCGACGGCGATAGGACCGGGGCTTGAGCTCTCTTGTTGGTCTTGGGATGGGCTGTTGCGTCCAAGGTTGAGTTGGCTAAGCTGGCCCTTTGGAATGCTCGTTTCGAGCTCCTTGATCAATGTCACTAGGTCGTAGACAATCTCCCATTTGACTAGGAGGTTCTTCCAGTCGTTGTTCTCTGTCAGAACCGCGAAAAATTCTAGGAATTGGTAAACACCCTCGTATACACGTTCCATATCCCATAAGTTCAGAGGAAAGTCCTCGGGAAGTGCTCGTCCAGCTCGGATCTGGCCCTGGAGATAGATTAGGGCGCATGTCTCGGGAATGATGTTGCCGCGAAAGATTGTGAACATGTAGCGAACTGTGAGAACGTCGACTCGGGAAAGTGGTCCTGGGCTCTTCGCTGCGTTGGCCTGGCCCGAACCCGAACCAGTGACTGAAGCGGGGGAGTACTTGGCTCTGAAGATATGTGTGAGGATTTTTACTACGACGGCCTGTGCTGGGGAGATGATATCCTTAGGCTGGCCGAAGTCCGAGTAAGCGTGAGACATGAGTCCGTTCTTCAGGACTGCATCCATGATTTGAACCATCATCTTAAAGTAGAGCTCGTCGTCAGGGAGATCCCATGCAGCGATAAATATCAGAAGCTCCCGCAATAGATTCCGGCCTGTCTCCTGTGTGAGAAGAACGTGGCATCTGAGAGCTTGCATGTTTCGCGATCCAGTCCTTTCGCCGCCTTTCAGACCAAAGCTGTCGACAATACCAGCCTGGATAATCATAGGCAAGGCTTCAATTTCGGCAGGGCCCAGCACGAGGGGAATATCGGTCAGCAAGCCGCGCTGCTGGTCACCGGGACGCCCACGATAATCGTCATCGTCCTCATCGTCGTCTTCCTCCTCTTCGTCCACGCTCCCATCAGCAACTGCTTCAAGGCTCCGCGAGTCGTCGTCGCCAACAGTTCCTGCGTCGCCTGCATCATAGTCATGTTCTCCACCATCACCGAGCTGCGAGCTCTCCTGCAGCCGTGCCATTAACTCGTCCTTTGCTTCCTGAAGAGTCTCGGCTGCCGATTGAGCCGATCTTGGCATGCTTGTGTCTTCCTCCGCGAAAGGAGCATCACCCGCAGCGAATGCGCCGTATTCGTTAAGGTCTGGAAGATCCGACCAGCAAATGCGCGGAAATCCTGCGGTCGGACTGCGGTCGATTGTAAGGATCGCCTTCTTCCGAGGAGGTTCATCGTCCGGAAGCGCAGGTGGAAGATCCTTTGCTCTATCCTGAAGGTCGGACCACCCATCCACTTTAGCACCCAGGATGGCGGTAAGAGCAGCACGGATCTCTTTGACCTGATCCGGGTCTTTTCCCATTTCCTGAATCGCCGTCAAATCACGGCCCAAAAGCTTCTCCATGTGGTCTTTGATGTTTGCGAGTAATAGCATGGCCGCTTCCTCCTTGATAGTCGCGGGTTCGCGGGGAAAATTGGATATCGTCTCGAGCAGAAGATCCTCGGCGGTCTGATCATAGAGCGCTCGAATAGGAGGATTGACTATCCTTTCACCAGTCTTGACTACCGGTGCTAATCCCTCCGGCTGGCTGCTGGCCTGATCGAGCGGTTCCTTGGGCTGAATGATGTTGGAATCTCCAGTGGAGTGGTACCCGAAAAGGTCCAACCAAAGAACCATCTTGCGCTGTTCATTGTGCATAATAAAGTTATGCAAGAATTGAAGACATGTAATCAGAAGCCGCTTGTAGAGATTGACCACTTTTTGCCAGCGTTCCTCGTTTCTCGCGTTTGTCTCTCCGTCGAAGCCCCGCGCTGTAACACGAACACAAGTGTCTACCAAAGCCAAAACTCTTTGATCGAACCCTTTCTCGGCAGCCATATTCTGTGCCTTTTTCGTTGTCGCTAACAAATTCCGGGCGATTGTGCAAAGGTCATTGAGACGTTCGATATCCTTGACAAGCGAAAAGTAATTATAGGCTATGAGGTTGGAGGAGGAGTGTTCGTAGTTCGCAGCCGGCGGGCATTTCCAGATGAATGACTGAGACTCGAGGACGGGGATTGCTTTCGTAAATACATCGGTGAGGCCTTGCCAGATGTCCGGGGACAGTCCCAGGCCATGTCTAGAGAGGCAAAAGTGTTAGATACCGCATGAACGAACCGGAAATAAGCGGCGAGCTGCTAGAGTTACCTAACGTCGCTCTCTTGGTGTGTCTTGTACAAGATCTGCTTTCCAGCAGAGAGCATGTGGTCCAAACGTTTGTCGTCAATCATGCCCCGCGTTTCGTAGTGGCTCAGTGTTCCCATCAAAATCACCTTCAGCATGAGCTCCGCGGGGGTGCATTTTGGCTTCACTTCTGTCGGAGATCGGTCCGCCATGTCGGCGGTGGCTTGGGCGCCGGGAAGCACAAGCTGCTCGAAGCCGAGATCAAATCGGTTACGGAAGTAAGTCAGGAACAAAGACCATCAAAGAGTAAGGCGGGATTTGGTGGGACAGAAGAAATCGAAATGTGTTGAAGAGGTAAATTTTTCCGGCTCCGAGAAGATCGCCCCGATTACTCTATGGATCAAGTCTCGTGATTCGCAGGCACACCAAACTATATATTCAGTCATTGTCATTTTTGTTTTTATCTTTAAACTTTGTATAAACTGCGCAGCTAACAAAACCTCTGTACTAGCTACATGAATCACGCCTTGCAGGAATCTTGAAGACATGGCGCAGATTATTCCAGAAGCCCAGATCGTAAATGTTATCGATCTCCTTCATGCTTTGGACCTGGACGAACCTCGGATCAATGGCAGCATCCGGGTTACGCGGTTGGAGAACCTCGTTTGAGCCTTTTTCGACTCGATGTCCCTTCTTCGGCGGCTCTCCGTCTGTAAATACAAGGACTTGATCACTAGTCACCGGCCAAGAACTCGTGCTTTGCGGGAAAGCAAGGAGAGGGGAGTCGGACCTGTTGCGTATCAACTTGAAGGCAATCCCATCGGCCACGTCATCCTTCCAGTCGGACCATTTAGCACTTTCGTTGGTCGTCATGCCGGCCCAGATGAGGTAAATGTGATAGACAAGGAAGGCAAAGGCCAACGGAGCAGTCATAAACATTAGCATCGTGACTCCTCCAACCCGAGCATCCGCCGCCACAACCGTTGCGCAAATATTGAAGAAAGTAGTCCAGCTTTGTTTTCTCAGGCGAACTGGGTGAGTCCGTGGTATAAGCCTGTCGTAAGTTTGGGACAATATAGTGTACCCAAGAAAAGAGCCGTAAGCGAGCATAACGCTCAAAGAGAGCAACAGGGATAGAAAGTATTGGTAGTTGTTGAGACCGACACAGTTCGTGAGCCATATGCAATGGTGATCGTGCCGAGCAATGCAACCCTTGCAATAGCTGCAATGTTTACTCCTCGCTGGTTTGAGGAAGTCACATGTCGTGCAGCGGTGTCCAGGCTGAAATATGACCTTGTCATAAGGGTAGCGCTTCATCTCCTGGTCGTGGTTCTCTGGGGTAATGAATGACTTGGTGATAACACTGAGATATAGGAAGATGTACGGGAAAGCTACAGCGACTGGGATGCAAGCTCGATCGACCACGGAGACCCGCGGCCAAGCACTCGGAACAAATATGACTTCGCCGATAATCAGAAGCGACGTAAAGAATATCTTCGAGAAGTGTCAATAGCAATACAAGAGAGGGTAGTGTGTTCAACTGACAAGCACGAGAGGGTGATTCTCATAGAATACATAGCTACCAGCCCTACTCCAGCAGCTCAAGACGCGTCCACCGAAAAGGCGAGAATCAATAAACAATATTCCATTGGGGATATGTATCCAGACGATCCTATGGAGGAGGCCAATCGGTGTTTTCCTGCTTTGATCAGTCGCAATGACATCTTATCAATGCTATCCCCATACCGAAAGAATGGTAGTCTTCCAAAGAGGACAACAAAGACAAAGGCTGAGAATCCTAGGATCGCAATCGCGATGGTCCGGAGAAGTCCCATGGCTCTGAAGATGAAGACCCTAGAAGGTCAAAGCAGGCCGTTTTGTCGAGCTATTTCGCGGGCATAGTCTTCAAAGTGCTCGGAGCCGTGAGTCTGTAAGATCGATTCGAGAATACAGTCGAGAGAGTGATGAATCCTCATCTCGTGAATCCCCGCTAATCACAAGGCACGTGACATTGTGAATTATCTGGATGGCCGCACAGGAGGTTGGCTTTCGACTGAAATTTCAGATAGCTTGCGCAGATTTTGATAGTCACGATTGTTCTTGCTGCGCAAATCCCGCTCTACGGGGAGTTCTGTTTATGCTCAAAGTTCAAATGTTAGCAACCTTGCACGCGTGACCACGTGATTTGACCTGGTCAACGGACGCGCCCAAACCAAACCCCAGGCGATATCTTCTTAGAAAGTCGTATGCAAATTTCAAATCTACGGTGAAGAAATGGCGTCAAATCAAGCTGAAGAACATGAGGGTGGTGAGACAGCAGCAAACGGGCAGGGCCACCTTTTCAAGGGGATGTCATTTTGGCTATCCCATAATGTCCCTCAGAGGAGTAGATTCAAGGAGCTCATACAGGTGAAACCTTGAATTCATCGCTCTCTTGCATCTCACTAACACACTTTAAGCAAAACGGTGGTTTCGTAAGGCTGCAGGAAAAGGATGCGGATGTTCTAATCGTGGATCACAAGAAAAAGAATTTGCCACCAAATGTGTAAGAACAACCTCCTTGTCATCTATTACGTGGAGAATACGTATGACTGACTACATCTAGTTACTCTTATCAGTTCATTGAGAAATCGATTCAAAACGGCGTACTACAGGATCTGGAGAACTACAAGGCTGGGCCATCCTCACACCGGCCTGTAGGGGCTACCAATATCCCAACTAAAGGTCACAGATTAGCCTATACCCTAGAGGATGACCAGATTCTCTGGGACTACATGCAGCCTTTTGAGAGGAACTCCACTGCCGGCATTCAAGGAAACAAGCTCTACCAAGATTTAGCCGCAAAGGTATCTACTCCCTTCCTGGCATGGGGTTTCCTTCACTAATATCTGGCCTAGCATCCGCGACATACGTACCAATCATGGCGTGATAGGTACATCAAAAGAGTTCGAGGGCGTCCACGGCCCGGTGATATGGTAGAGCCAACCCGTAGTCGTGCTGAGAACGAGGAAGTCCGCAGAGAAGCTGGCTCTCGTGCATCGTCAACACGTCTAGACGATACGGTCAACAGGAGGAGCGGCACACCACAACAGACACAGGAGAAGAAGAGAAAACGAAGTCCAGGACCAACCACAACAAATCAACACACATACAACGGCACAATCAGCGCACAGAAGTCAGAACCATCACTGCAAAGAAACCCCCAGATACGGGTACCCTCTGAGCCACTTGCTCAGAGAGAAACCTCACGCCACGAAACACCGTCTGATCCCAAGAAGGCAAAGACCACAGCCCAGCCAAGCACAAAAGAGGCTGAACCGCCACTGCCAACCGGAACAGACGGCACTGGTATTAATGATCTCTTCCTCGAACTACCTTTCTTTGAGCCAGAATCAGAACCCGAAGAAGAAGCCCCAGAACAGGACATCGATACATGGATTGAGGATCGCCTGCGTCGCGGGAAGGGGGACGAAGGACAGATTATTGAAGCTCTACAGTGCACAAGTATGGACCCCGAATTGGCCGACACTGTATTAGAGTCCTTGGTTGCCGGGAGGGGCATTCCTGCTGATATGCGTGGAGTATGGACAGCTCATGATGACAGCTGTATTGATGCACAGGACAGCCGAGAGGTTCAGCATGTTCTAGAGAAGCATGGCTCGGATCTATTCGATACTAGGTGGAAGTATCTCGGTCTTGCAAGGGCTAATTAACATGATGACTTTATAAACTTCAGTCGAAAAAGGATTGCTGCTAAGTACATCAGCGCCGAAAGTCGTAATACCAGACCCGCGGAAAATAGCACTCAAGGAAATAACACCTAGATGACCGTGGTATGAACAGGCCCATGCGCTCTCCTCAGTTTTCGGAATCCATATTGCTCTGGCTTTGCAAGTGGGGTTGTTTTTGTGGGTCTCAACACCAGTATAAGAAAACCCATGACATCTGTAACCAAGAACCTATCATACAATCCGAAAGAATTGAGTCGAATAATTCCCTTGAATCCAACTCCAACCTCCGCCATTTCTGTGAGATTGACATTAGGCCGGATTAAGGGTGGCCTGATCCTCTTTAGATGAGGATGAGATTCAGGCCTAGTATGCCAACAAATTTCAGTTGGTGCCGAGGTGAATAGAATGCGCGATTACGAATCTTTGAAGACCCTAGTGAATGTTAGACAAGTTGAGGATATCGATGGACATAGAGAAACTCACAGATGTTGTTCGTAAAATTTGAGCATCTTGCTCGAGGTTAGCATTGGTCAAACGAGGCATGGGATACACTCACTTTGCGGGGGCATTTTTCATAACACATTTCGATAGAGACCTTGGATTTCTTGTCATTGTTCCAGTGCAAGAATGCTACCAGCCCATCACGTTCGCGAACAATGGTATCCACTGCCTTGACCTCGTTCTCCCAGCTCTTTGACTTCGGTACCCAGTCGGGCACTTGACTGTCTTTCTCTTTCTCTTTGTCCTCAATGGCATCAGTTTCGGTGTCCGCTCGCGACCTTCTGCGCTTTCGGGGCTCCAGCTTCTCGAGGGTTGATTTCGGTGGCCGTCCCATAGACTTGCGCTTCTTGGGCTCTGGTTTCTCCGGTCGTCCTCCGAGACCCTTGAAGTACTCATCAAGCACATCCTTTGCGCCTTCGCTGATATGAATTAGTAAAGAGATAGAAAGGACGAGGAAATGGAAATAACTTACAGCAGGTTCTCCTCCGGTTCCAGCGTCTGGTCTTTGGGGTCACTGTATCCTTGCCATTTCACTCGGAGCATGAGGGTGCCCTGTCGCATAGTCAGCTCAAGATGCGTCGCATAACAAAGGAGAATATGCGCACGTCAGATTTGAAGTTATGTCCCACGATCTTCTCGACAACGTACCTGGTCCGGTCAGCACTCATCAATCGCCAGTCAGTTTGGCGACGACTCACACATCCTCTTCCTCGTCATCGCCCTCCTCATCTACATCCTCAACCTCCTCATAAGGAATAGATTCGCCAGTTGACGATTCGTCATCAGACAAGTCGGCCACGGGGGCTGTTTGCGACAGTCAGCAAAACGCGAAGCTCGCGGCAAAAGCCAATGGATCACTCACGCGGCATTGTTCGTGACGAGACGAAGTTGAACAATCGTGAAAACAGTTTGACGGTGAGCTAATGATCTGCGATGAGACCGATTGACTTCATAAGTCGGACGGATCCTCACCTCTAAGTGTATGGAGCAAAAGTCTCGGAGAGAGATATCATGTTGGCAGCCAGATTGTTGAGTCGCGCATTCAATGCGCGTAGGGGAAAAACGCGCTAAGCCGGATATGGGAAGCAGCTACTAGCCCCGAATTGGACATCTCCAGAATTTCTGAAAAGAGCCCATTGAAGTCGTCCAGGCAGATCACAATTCTGAATTATCGCTCCCACCTCACCTCTGCAACTTGCTTGGGAGGTATTTGCTCTTTGGTCCTATCCTGATTTACTCGGATCTTTCTTAAGTTTTGATTTTCCCCTTCTGCCAAGTGGCAGCCTGTCAAGATGGCGATGCGTGCGTCCCCGATACCCCTCACCCAGACAATGTGCTAATCTCCTATCTCTACTTTAGAGCTTGATCTTTCTCAAGGTTCGAATATCTGGCTTCAAATATAATCGTCCGGTAATCAGTCACTAACGATCTGAAAAGCTTCTGTAATGAAAGATGAGCAGGGTCGTCCCTTCATCATTGTTCGAGAGTACGCCGCGGAGCCCAAATTCTACCCTCCGGCAAGAATTTGCTGACATTTCCGCTCGAATAGTCAGGGAAAGAAGAAGAGACAACACGGAACGGAAGCTGTGAAATCACACATTGTGGCCGCTAAGACTGTCGCCAGCATCGTGAAGACTTCTTTGGTACGGACGCCGCCAGCCCAAACCTCCCCAGGACAAAAGCTCAGAGAACATATAGGGTCCCCGTGGTCTCGATAAAATCCTCATTTCCCCCGACGGCGATATCACTGTCACCAACGATGGCGCGACTATTCTCGGACAGGTTCGTTTCTGCTCAATTTACAACCGCAGTCTTCGCCGGTTTCTAATATGTTCTGCTATCAGATGGAGATTACGAACAACGTGGCCAAACTTCTCGTCGAGCTCTCAAAATCCCAAGATGAAGAAATCGGTGATGGAACAACCGGTGTTGTCGTTCTAGCTGCGGCCATGCTCGAACAGGCGTCGGAACTCATCGACAAGGGCATCCATCCTATTAGAATTGCGGACGGTTACGACGCAGCCTGCGAAATCGCTGTAGCGCAGCTCGACAAGATCAGTGACGAAATCAAATTCACAAAGGACAATACTGAGAATCTGCTGAAGGTTGCAAAGACTAGCTTGGGAAGCAAGATGTAAGAGCATTCACAGAACCCAGCTCAGCATGATACTGATTCTCCGACAGTGTTTCCAAGTCACACGACCAGTTTGCTCAGATAGCCGTCGATGCTGTACTCTCGGTTGCGGACCTTGAACGAAAGGATGTCGATTTCGAATTGATCAAGGTGGACGGAAAGGTCGGAGGAGCGCTCGAGGATTCGCTCCTCGTCAAGGGTGTTATTGTCGATAAGGATTTCTCTCATCCCCAGATGCCCGACGAGGTCACGGACGCGAAGCTGGCCATCCTGACCTGTCCGTTCGAGCCCCCAAAGCCCAAGACAAAGCACAAGCTCGACATCACTTCGGTCGAGGAATTCAAGCGCCTGCAAGACTACGAGAAGGAGAAGTTCACAGAGATGATCCAGCATCTCAAAGATTCTGGAGCCAACCTGGTGATTTGCCAGTGGGGTTTCGATGACGAGGCCAACCATCTCCTACTACAGAACAAGCTTCCTGCGGTTCGCTGGGTCGGTGGACCCGAAATCGAATTGATTGCCATCGCAACCAACGGTCGTATCGTTCCTCGATTCGAGGATCTCAGCGCTGACAAACTCGGAACTGCTGGTCGGGTGCGCGAGATGACCTTCGGTACCACGCGAGAGAAGATGCTTGTCATTGAAGAGTGCGCCAACAGCCGCGCTGTGACTATCTTTGTGCGAGGTAGCAACAAGATGGTGAGTAGTTACGGTGCAGCTAGTGGGTATTCTCGCGATACTAACGTATTCCCAGATCATTGATGAGGCCAAGCGCTCACTGCACGATGCCATTTGCGTTGTCCGTAACCTGGTTCGCGATAACCGTGTCGTGTACGGTGGAGGAGCTGCGGAGATTGCCTGCTCTATTGCTGTAGAGGACGCTGCTGTCAAGGTTCGTGATAACATCCCAAGTCTTATCTATTGATTATTCTCCGGCTCACAGGGTCTTCAATGCAGAGTCCCGGAATCGAGCAATATGCCATGCGCGCATTCGCCGATGCATTGGATGCAGTGCCACTGGCACTTTCCGAGAACTCAGGCTTGAGCCCGATTGAGACACTGGCTGCCATAAAGTCGCGTCAAGTGAAGGAGAACAACTCTCGACTGGGCGTCGACTGTATGCTGACTGGCAATAACGGTACGTATCATCCCTGAAACGACGGATGCTGGTATTGACGAGTCTACAGATATGAGAGAGCACTTTGTCATCGATCCATTGATTGGAAAGCGCCAACAATTGCTGCTGGCAACTCAGCTCTGCCGTATGGTGCTCAAGGTAGGCCCCATCCCCTGTTTACTTTTTTCGCAAAAGCTCACTCGAAACAGATTAACAACGTCATCATCTCCGGCGATGACCAGCAAGAGTTCTAAGTTTCTTGTATAGGATATTTCCCCATGACCTAAAATGCGACGTGCTTTAGCATAATAATCTAATTAGACCATGCTATGAGACAAAATGCGCAAGTACATAGAGCTGCCGATGCAATGAAAGAAATGAACCACACGATGCTTCCAGTCCTATCATCAGACAGGACCGCCTGCCTTTACAGCTTCGGCTCGTAGGTTCTACACGCACCTGTCACTACTGTAGTCCGCAGCTATGATGGCGTCTACTATCCCTCGGTAAGAATTCCGCCAGAGTCCCTGATCACAGAAAAGGCTTCGAGGTACGATGTGCGAGTTCAGTCATACGACTCGTCCTTCCGGAAAGACATGCATACGCCAAAATAGTCCTCTACACAACATACGGACAGAAGGAATACAGTCGGGTATTGTTGGAATCCCATCAAGATCAAATGACATCAAGATCTGTACTCTGGTAACCCTGTCAAAGCTGTCAACCCCCGGAAAGTAGTCCAATTCCCATATGCCGAGGCCGAGGCACAACGGCACGAACCTAGTCGACCTCCCTCAGGGCCTGGACTGGACGGGAGTCCCTGGGAAATGAATGGCAATCAAACACACGAACTATGGGGAACCACGGGGCAGGCCACGGGAAAGGGCAGGGAGATTTCGGAACCTGGAACTTAGAAGGTTTGAAGGAACCTTGGGCTTGGTCGAGATTGACAAGGGGAGGCGTATCCGCTCATCAAGACGGAGGATCGTCCGTATGCGTACAAACGGAGGACCTGGAGCCAGTGTTCTTAGTTTAATGAAGGTTTGGACGGTCAGGGAGTGTGACGGGGCGGGCCGATTGGGGTGATCAGAGCGAGGTCTCCGTTGCCTAACTTGTCGCTTTTTCCTCGCCTGAGGTGAGCCGTTGTTGTTGAGAGCCATGTGAGTCAGGGGCAGACTGTGTTCAGCCCCGTTGATTAAGGACGGCGAGGGTGCGAGTTGACGTACACAAAGTTCGAAAACAGGTGCCGGCTCCCAGTCCCGCGGGCCTCGTGGGTCGTGGAGTCGTGGGGAAGAACTGGAACATGCGAGGCGTGAGAGTGAGACTGAGACCGCGACTGCGACTGCGACTGCGACTGCGCCAGTGTGGCGGGTTGACTCGATCATCTGTCCATTTTGACAACTCACATCTCGCACAGAGAGGAAAACAGCGATTGCCAACTCACTTGTCGAGTTACGAAAGACTCAAGACGTCTCGGTCTGGCAATGCTGACGTCCAGATGACCGCTGATATGCATTTCCCCCCAGCCATGTGGGACAGCTCAAAGAACACGGAAATAGCAACGTCGGCGCCGCTCGCGCGATCCAAACATGCAAAACCCCCCTTCTAGGCCCTCCAGTGGCTTCCCTCTGATATCATTTTGGAGGAGACCCTCCCCTGTCAAGGCTCAAGGCTGTCCACACCCCAGGCTGTTCCCGGCCTCTCTTCTTCCCTGTCTCGCATCCTCGAGCCACCCACCTGCGCCTAATCATCGCCGGCAAAAGTCATCATGTAACGTCAGTATCTCTGGCGCCGGAGAGCATCGCCTGAAAGACGCCCATCCATCCATCACATGGTCGCTAGCCTCATTGACGTGGCTCGAATCTGTTCGCGATAGATTCCGTCTCGCGGAAACGCTGGGCTTCTCGTGACGGCTGCTCAAAGCCTCAAACAGAGCGAGATCGAAGGCTGCTTGCAGTTTCTTTTCCCTGGTGACTGTGGCTGTCGCAGTCTGCTCCTCCTCTGCAGGTTGGCTGACTGACTTGCCCATGCTGACTCAAATCTTCTATACCGCTACTTTGATCTTCATGGACAAGAAGCAGCGCTCCATCACACGACGCCGTGATCTCGTTTGCTGTTGAAAGATTCCATACATGAGATCTCCATTTCTAGTTATTTTTTCAAGTTGTATCGGCTCCAAAAGTACGATCTAACACGATTCAGCAACTACATCCTTCTTGACTGGCAATCTTCACTCTGTCCCTGACAGGCGGAACCCACAATTACTCTGGACACAAATATCGGCTCTCTTCACGGCACTCATTATTTAATGATCAACTCCTTATTTGTCCAGCTTTTGAACCTTTGCTCACAATTCCAGATCCCTCTGACCAATGATCAATCACATCTCTCCCAAATTACAAAACTAATCATACTCAGGGTCAACATTTATGTACTTCTCAGCAAGTCAAGTCTCGACATTACTCGCCTGGCAAGGTGCGATGAAATGTCACACGGGGCGTACCACATCTCTAAAATCAAGAGCGCTGTCGCTTGCTTGACTCGATGTATAGCTCCCAAGAGGGAAATCGTCGTCATGGGACCCGTGTGATCTTGGTGCCTGATTTGCCTAGCCCGTCAGATCTTCAAATCCTTCCCTTCGATCGGGGCTCTGGTGTGGTGTTTGTTTCAGGTAAACGCGGTTGAGGAGTCTTTATGCCGAGATGTGTACTTGCTTTTCTACTCTGGTTCTGACAGTTTGGCGGCTTGTTAGTCTGATTGATTGTCTCTGGCTGTCGCTTGGGCTTGCTTGACTGAGCTTTAGGGACGTGTCTTCGTATCTACTATTGGTCGCAGGCGCGCCTCGAATCGCATCCAGGCTGTCTTGACAGAATACATAGTCAGTGCCCAGGCGTCGATGAGCAACTCGATCAAGTCAGCGCTTGCACGAAGCTTTAGAAAATAGAATCAACAGTGGCAGTGTCAGGGCAGCCCTGCCTGCACAGGGCAGCAACCAAGGCGTCTCTTCAACGAATCTAACTTCCCACATGACGAACCCTTGGCTGGCTTTGTCCCTGTCAGCCACTTCGTATAGTTCTGCAGACTGGCATTGATTTGCCAACGGCGCACTCAGCCAAGTGGGTTGAATAATTAAAATCGTGCCCCGAGTTAAACGCTGAAAATCGAGGCGCTCCTCGTAAATAGGAGTAAACTGCACTTCGGCCCCCTCCGACTCCGAGATCCCGTCGCAAAAGCAACCATACCTCTCAGAATCTCAAATGCGGTACGTTTTTATGAGTAAGAGAAAGCTCTTTGCTTTTGGACACAAGTCACCTCCAAGTACGCTCTTAAAGACATTGGTAAGACAGGACACTCTTGAGAATATTGGGTGGGGAGGTGAGATGTGTAAAGTACGATACGTAGTGTGTTCTCCTCGTTTAATCTATCCAGTGTCCCGTAGCAAACATCCAGAAGTACGCAGCGTCTAAAGCATGCCGGATGGGGGTGTATGCATCATTGCATCCCCGGGATGATCGACTGGTTCGAGAACAACGCGTTATAAGTACATCATGTTATTTTGTACATGTGGTGGGTACAGGTACATATCTTTCAATGGTGGGGAAGATATATTTGTTCACGATCCATCAATAAGCCTGGGATCCTAGACGAATAGTCCCTATCCTAACCAGAAATATAATCAGCAGTTCGGGCTACTGTATAAGTTCTTCACTGGGATAAATATCATTATGGCAATCCAGGGTTAGAAACCAGAGACAAGCTCGTTTCAGAGACTCAAAACAACCAGGCTCAAAACGAGGTGGTCGCTCGGGTCTATTTGCCTGTCGTGTAAGGATCAACAAGCGTCAGCTTTCTATTATCCTGCCCTGTGCTTGTGTATCTCCTCTGTTTGACTTCAAAGTTCAAGTCCCTCGTAACATCTCCCTGCCTCGAGTTCAAGTTCCCAGATTGCTGCACGATATACTTTGACTGACGACGACGGGAACCGCATGCGCGAAACAATAAAGCTTGTTCTCACCATATATAATACTGCGATTGCGCCTGTGCGAGAGCAGGGCGCATACTTATTGGGTCGGGTATCCCCGCGGGTTTATTGTCGCAAGGACATGTCGGACCGACATGGCATGTACGTCCGAGGAGGGAGGTAGACAGGAACGAAAACAAGGCAAGGAAAAAAGCCTGTGCTCTCAAAACCATGCGGTGTGTGCGATGCGGGCGGTGCTTTTCTTCGACCCGGCCCCAGGGATGGCAATGGCAAAAGCGCGGGTTACATACCAGCGAGGGCATGATATGGGCGTCAGTAGGCAGGCATTGTTTTGAAAAGTATCCGTGACTCCAGAGATGACGGTCAATGGACGACGGGTGCTTCTCCAGATCCCTAAAGTCGATCCGCATCAACCCTTGCATGATGATTTGCCGGTACCTCAAACGCCGTTCCCCGGGGAGGACAGGCGACCCTTCCGACCTGTTCTGTAACTGTAGATCATCGATGGGTGAACTGTCGGATTTCCAATCCATCAATTTGCTATCCACAACTACCGTTTTCCCTGCCACCTGCTCACCTTTTGGGGATGGCATTGTATCCTATCCAGGCGTCATACAGGTACATGGCGAAAAGTACCCAAATTTACCATTCAGCTTCTGGGGGCACGGCGAGGGAAGATCGATTGAATGTACGGAGTAGGAAACAGATCTTCTTCCTCGTTCTTTGTGTGTAAGTACAGTGCAGAAGGAAAGGTCTGGAACATCTGGAAGCTGCCTCAATTTTCGAGTTCGGATGACTGGTGACTCGAAGGAGAGATCCTCTGAAGGTTTTGGCCCTGGCATCCCTTTGTTCCAACGGCGGAATGGAAATGAAGATGATCTGCGATTGATATCCGTGCGCAATACATTTCTGAGGCATGCAGGAAGAATTTTAAGCTGTGTATCTCAGGTACCGATCCAGGCAGTTGTAGGGCTGGCTGGGCTGATCCCTACATACATACCTTCGATCCTTCTTTTTTGCCAATGTTTCACCGACTGAATCAGGGAGTTATGAGAGGAGTGAAAGGCACGCCTCGTTGAGGAGGTACGGCGGACTTGAAGGGGTTGAATTCGGAAAGGTATACCTCTGCACAGACAAGCACCCATTAGTCGGCTAGCATGTTGTGTTCAGCGTACAGCATCACTAGTCGGGATGCTTGGGTCGGTTTGCACATTCTACCCACGATTTAGAACAGGGCATCATGTTGCATCAGCTTGACCGCCATGGAAAACCTGGCTCGCTCAACCTGTTCTATATATTTTGTGCGCTCCTGCCTCATTATTCGAGCAGATGCGGAACAACGTAGGTAATGCCAGTGTTGCGAGCGAGTTGCAACATGCCATGCTGGATTGTCCGCGTCAGCTCCGGCAAGGCGACAACAGCACCTGCTTGACCCTTCATTTCTCTGGTTGCGATGACTGCCTCAAGTAGGCATCTCTGAGTCCTGACTTTCCCAGCAAGTGGATTCGAAAGTGGCGCACGATCGCAGACTAACAATGCCGCGGGCGGATCGACAGCACATCATGTGACGGCACGGGGCCTGTCCTTGTGACTTGTTCGCTTTCGCCACTCAGCCTGGAGTCTCCAGCAACCCCACGTTGGCTGAGAGTCAGTCACGTCCCCACGGCACGATAACGCTGGCTGACTTGCCGATGATTCTGCTCGTCTGTCCCGCTCCACGCTCCTTTCGGACGCCGACGCTCGAATTCAGAATAGCTTTAGCCATGGCACCATTCTCAACTTCCAGTGACGACGCCTGTCCCAGCCGTTGCGCCTCGGCAACTTTTCTCCACTGCCCTCATTGAGCCCCGGCTGAGGGGCACCTTGTTTCACCTTGAGGATCCTCTGCTGTCTTGTCGTTCATTTTGCTGTCAGTCGTGACTGTGTTCCGGTAGGTTATCCTTGTAGTACATCCAGGCTAGAGCCATGGGGGCCATGCTTCGGCAATGAAACCTCGGATGCTGATCATGAGCTAAATTCATCACAAACCATACTCTGCTTTGAACGACCTCCAATCGCTTGCTGTCAGCTCGGTAGGCGCGTACGCGGTACGAGCGTCTCTGGCGCAAGAGATCAGAAGACAACCGGAATTGATGCCCTCGCTCGGGGTATTTTCTCGCCGCCAGGAAGCCTCCGGAGGAAGGAAAAGCGCCACTCCGTGTCAAGTATACTTGGTCCAGTGCCCGTGATGAGCTTGTCTACAAGCAGCGTCCACGAGCTTCGAGCTTTCCTCCGCAGTAGACCCGTGGCCTTTCGATGGGAGTCCCTGCAGGGGCCCACGATATCCTCGAGTCTCTCCAAAAGATGGGTATGCAGCGACGTGGCTCTCCATCCCGGTGGGACAGACGGGTGGCAGCAAGGTGCGCAGCTGAACATTTTTGGTGCTCGCCAGCATCCCGCCCCAGTTCGGCGGTGGATAAATGCTCCTTATAGGTACAATGAACTCACTTCGTTGGCCGGACGCTTCAAGTTTTTGCCTGCTGATAGTGGTGTATTATGTGCATTAGATGCATGGTGTCGCGCATGAGAAACTTCGAGTGACCCTGATAGTACAGCCTGTCTTCAAACTCATTTTGAATTCTAGAAGCGGTGATTAGTTGTTTTATTGGTTGTGTACGTCTTGGGATCGGAGTACACAATTTAGCCAGTGAAGCGATATCCTGGTTGTACTCTGGAAGGAAAGACGGAAAAATTGAATAAATGAAATTAGATGGTGATTGTGAACAACCTTGCAGCCACATGCCATGACCAGATGGCTGGTTGCAAGGCTTAGATTCCTTTCGGCTCATTAGCAACCGAGAGCACCCATGTTCGCTCTCCCTGTCACAGACCCGTGATTAAACATTTGGGCCATCCACGGCCTGGAACGGAGAAGATTCAAAATAGAGAAGAACGATGAGCCGTCATTGACTCGGTTTTGCCTCTTTCCCCAGAATTCAAAGGGCGAATCTCACCACTCCCCATCATGTGTCCCGAGGGGATCTGGGTCCTGATGGGGAATATCCCCATCATCTGATTGAATCTGATTGGCATTTTGAATCTGGGGTTACTCGACGCTGACATCCGCGGCAAATATCAAAAATGCCACGAGTTTCAAAATCGTGAAATGACCGAACCACTTTTCTGGGGAAAGACTGGCCAAGGAAAAGACTACACACACCCCCCGTGACAAGAAGGACGAGGCGGCTCAATCTGAGGTAGAAGCTGCTCCGACTCGCCTGCGACCTGTACGAGGGAGCTCCTCAGCTAGCTACCGATTTGTAGACAGCTTGTACACGCACATTGTCACTCGATATGATGACCGGGCAGGGTGGTCGATTACTGGTGACAGCTGGCAGCGCCGGCCGCCTTGTGATCTCCTGCTGATGGGCGGAATGGCTTGTTGTGATACTCTCCTGTCTTGTCGGAAGAGCCCCTTCACTTTTGGCCCTTTGCGGACAATGCAGGGACGCAATGGGGCTGCTCTACGATGCCATTGTCTCGAGAGTCGAGTGCGATCGGAAACGATCGATTTGATATCCTTTGACGCCACTCATGTCCGCATGATCTGCAGATACAGTAGCTGGAGAAATGGAGCCTCCACGAGCGTGTCTTGTCGATGTTGTATACTGTATTGTATGATCGATACTGATACTGTGTTCCACTGCTCGCGGCACCTCCCTGGAGGCGCACTTTGCGCTCTCGAAGAGCTATCGGTATAATTTTACGTACTTGGCCAGCTCTTCGATCGGAAAGGCCGCCCGCTTCCCCTGGGATGTGATGGCCCATTCCAACGGGTAAAAGCAGTCGCGCGTATCGGGAAGATCGCTGCTCATGGCCCCTTCAGCCGCGGGATGGATAAAATGGGTGCATTGACAGGTCAAGCCTCTCGAGCACCAAAGCACCAGAGAAGAATCAGCCCCTCCTTTTCAGGGCGGAAGAGAGATGGATCAACTGGACAAAACTGAACCCGTTTTCAACGCGAAAATATAGAGCAAGGCGGAAAAAGAAAAGAAATGGATCCTCAAAGACCTAGACTCCATCTTCCTCAAAGCTCAGAGTATCGCCTGCATACTTCCAAAGGAGCCCGTGGCGAAAGCAGACCTGGAGAATCGCATCGCTGATTCGGTTTAATTAGTCGCGTACCTCGTCAGCAGGACGGAGGGGTTTTGGCCGCCTGAAGAGCAAGCCCGTCCAGTTATACTTTCGTGTTGCTTCTCGGTCGTCCGTTTGGATGAAGGACTGTTTCCCCGACAGATTTGGAATACTCCGGCCACAGTCAATGAAGAAGAAAGGAATAATCCCTCATATCGCACAAGATAGATAACTCGGCAAGGAATCGACAGCGGCTCCAGTGCAAAGTGATAGAACCAGATGCAACAGCCACTTGCCTGCCAATCATTGCGGATCCATTTTTTTTTCTAGCAGTCAAGTGACCTAGCCACCGACTATTCTCAGAGGTGAAATCGTCCGCTGCGCAATTGCTCGACTAGTGAGCATGGATGGGGCTTAGTCATTGCGAAGCTGGTCACAGGGCAGATGATCTCTGCTGAACACTGTCTAGAACCTTTCTCCTCTTTGATGACATGCGATGTTTGGGGGTCCCTCAACCATCAAATGTCAACAACAGAGTGGTTCTTCGGATAAATTCACACAATTAAAGGGGGAAACCTGGGGAGTCAATATAATACCTTAATCTCAACACTTTCGGGAATCAAGCTGAAATGCTTGTCCCTGGAATTGGGTTCTATCTCCGGAGTAGAGACGCCGTTATTCACCGGGGCAAGGCCATCACCTCCTTCAGTCCGACTCCAAGTCCAGTACTTTTTGTCTTCCTGGCAGTGGGGACCGGAAACAATTGGTGGTAAAATACCTCTGGTACTGACGGCGTATAGGATACCAACCGACCCACGGGGATACTCCGGGAGTAACACAGGACAGTCCCAGACTGAAAAAAGAAAATCCAGAAAAATCCCAAATAATAAAAAATTAATAAATCATAAGAATAAAAAAATTAACCTTAACACGGGCCAGAGGCGCGGCTATGTGGGATTTCCTTTACTTACCGCCCATCCTTCCCCCCCATCGCCCTTGAACCTCTCCCTCGGTACCGTTTTTCGGACTTTTTACTGTGCTGTGTGGCCACCCCAGGCCAGTCATCCCCTTCACTGTGTTTTTCTCCCCTTGTACTGTTACAGACTTACATACGGCCCTCTCCCCCCATATCATCTCCACCGATCCATCGACCTTGGTCTATCTTCTTCTTTTTTCCTCCTTCCTTGGGATCCACCACGCCTCGCTATTACTACTCATCTTCTCCCCATATTCCTCCTGGACTCTTTCCTCCTCCCGCCGGCGACTTCGCGTCCTCACCTTCCCTAACCCGTCCACCACCGCCCACGTTACCTAAACCGGCCATCCTCAGACCACCACTCCGCGAACATCATTCCTCGCCATAGCCAGTTTTTTTCTCGCTTTCGGCATCCTTTGGTCCGTTCGCAGACAGTGCTCCGGACACTGAAAATCTTGAATCCTCCCTGACATTCGTTCCACGCAAGAATTGATCTTTAGGGACGGCTGCTTCTACAGAGCAGCTGAGGTGCCACTTGCAGCTTAATTCGTCGTGGGCTGCACACTTCCGGCTTTGACATCACTAGATCTTCGACTTGTGCCGGACGAACATACTAAGGGAACAATTTCTTTGCAAGACTCTCGCGCCGTACGACCACGCTCGGGGGAGACGGCGACCCCGTACCTACCTACCTATCTACGAAGACGAATCTGGATCTCGCACTACAGAATAGCAGTTGTGGCGACTACAAGATGCCTTCGCGTTTATCAACCCCCGTCCTGACAGTGGACACTGCGAAGATTCACAAGGTGGATACCGCAAACACACAGAGCCTCCACGGGATGTGGATGGGTAAGTCAATATCTCGGATGATAACATTCTGGGCAACAACTAATCAATTACTCAGTCTTCTCAAAGTGCGCCGATTTCATGGAAGAGGGACGTCGGTTAGAAAACCTTAGCTGGAGACTCTGGACTCGTGAGACCTTTTGCGTGGAACCTGAAAGCTCGAGCGACACCTCTGTTCTGCCACTGCTGCGTTCAGAAGCCGCGGACCTGCCAGAACTTTCCGCCAGTGTTGAATCAGCAGCTTCAGATCAGGCCGAGCGGATAGAAAAACACATTAAGCGTCCCAAGGCCCTCGACTATAAGCCCGCCGTTGTGCGCGAAGACTCGCTCTACAGCCTTGGCCGGGCAAAAGAGAAGCACCTCACATCATTAGACCTAGAGCGCATGGTGCTCAACATCAAGGAGAAGAAGAGCTTGGAACCTATTACTCCTATGGTAACACTCGCCCAGCCCATCGTTGACATTACACCTCAACCTTCGACCCCTACGCCTACTCCTCCCTCCAACACCACCCTCAGACGCGAACCCTCATATCCTCCTCTCAACGACCGACAGAACCACTCTACGGAATCCTGCTCGACAACTGCTCCTGAGTGCAATGACAGCGATGCTGCTAATATGACTCTGAATGCATCCGACACCAGTGTTTCTTCCTCCGGTATCATTCCCACCAAGCCTGAATTGATCAAGTCTCCCAGTATTGTCCGAGGTTTTTCTCCGTCCCATATTTCGTCTTCATACCGGTCGCAACCCCGCCTTTCGAGTGACTCTGGAACAACGAAAATGCAGGTGCCCAGCAAGCTGTCGCCTTTGAAGAAGAGGGGCAACATGTTCACACTAGGAGGCTCTTCCGGAGATGACGAGGACAGTTCCTTTGAGGACCGCATGATACATGCTCCGCGTCAAAGTTCCCTCACAGATCAGTTGGGAAGACCTGGCAGCAATTTGAACCCGAACAACAGGATGACTTCGTTTAAAGAGCAGGTCAAGTCAATAAAAGATCGCCGGAGGGACACTCATGAGGATGCGATTGAGACGGATGACGAAATTTCTGAAAGTGCGATTGAGGACGACGAGGACTCGGATTGGGAAGACTCGGTTACTGAGAGCGGTCGCTCCAGTGTTGAAGAGAAAGAAATGTTCCAACGCGTCGACTCGCGACCGAACCTGGTCTCCCGCCGCTCCCTCCTCACGATGATGATGCACCAGCCCCTTAGAATGCAAGGGAATGCTTCTCGCTCCACCCCCGCTCTGCAACGCTCGCGTCTGACTTCGCCCAACGGACCTTCAATTCCGGCATCGCCGCCTGATGATGACGACGAGGAGAGTCTGACAATGAAAGGCCCTGATGTTCCTCGCTCGAAGCCGATTATCATGAAGCCCGCCCCTCAGTCTGTCGCCCATTCCCCTCGCACCACACGCCGAAACATGTTGGCTACTGAGTTGACCGAGTCTCTTCGTCGCCACCTTCTTTGGGAGCGGCAGCAAAAGAGCGCGACAGCAAACGCATTTAAGCGTAGACATACCGCTCACGACATGGCAAATCTGAAAGAGTATCCTAAGCCCGGAGGTCAACAACAAGGCCCGGCGCCCGCTTCGGACTATGATAAGGATGTGGCCAAGACCGGTTCATTCAATCACTACACAGATTTCGGACCCTGGGAGTACCACGCGAAGGGATGGTAGTCTGTTTTCCATCCCAGATCTTTTGACGATTTGATGCCCTTTTCAACGCGTCTCATTCTTCAAACCACCCCTTTTTTGACTATGATACCCGATTTTGACAAATCTCCTTCCTTCACGCTTGCAGACATGCTGCTTATCATCCTTGTGACACGTACAATCACGACTGCATTGCATTTTGGGCGCACCTACGGATTATATGGCTGTTATTTCTGACTTGGTCTCACTTTCGGGTCGCTTATTTCTCGATTTTGTGTTCAGTTCCAGGTTTCCTCGCTTCTCGTATCCATGGCGATATTGCATGGTGTGGCTGTCTGCTTTTTCCGCATACTACTCCTACTACTACTACACGCTTGGCTCACCACTAGGTAGCCCGGGATAATCTTGTTGTACAGACGGTTTCCTTCTATTCGATACTGATACAGGGGTACACGGTTGATATGGTCACATGGGGTTTCCTTTCTTTCTTTTACTGTGATAAAAGAGGCGGAGGCTTATGGAGTCATCATTGCGACTTAGCGCTGTTACTCTGCTCAAGAAGCAGCAGGGAAGCGACCTCTTATCTGTGTCTTTGTTCAATGTAAAAAGATACCACGGTGTTTCTTCTCTTTCCAGTTCTACCTTTGCATGGCGGTGCGCTTGTCATGTATGCTATTGAATAACTATCGGTCAGACCCAAAAAAAGTCACAAGAACTTGGAATACAGCCTGCAGTGCACGCCCATAATACCTTATCCTACAGATCTAGCCACGCATCTGACGCATGGACACGTAAGAACCGGGCCAGTGCGCAAGGACTCGAAGAGTCCTTTGAGACACGCGCCTTGCGTGCTCCAGGATCTTCGGATTCTTCGAGATCTAGAACCGCGCGTTGATCCTTTACATGCACCAAAACTCGCCTCTTTGTTCAACTCAGAGCTTACGGAGTACGGAGCTGACTCTCTCACATGCCCTTTCACTTGGATACAGAATAAAAACAAAAACAAGAAGCCACCACGGAACCTCATTCAAAGAACCTCGAAACCCAAGGAAAAAGTACCACCCAAACATACACCAGCATCTAATATAATAACCTTTCGAGGCGTCCGCAATCCTCAAGTAAATCTCAAGTAATGCGATACATACGCACGCCCCTCGAGCCACCACCGACGTCGTCGCCCGGGGCGAACCGCGCGAGCGAACACTGGCACTGGTTCCTCCCTATGTTTTCAGACGCGAAGGGATCTTGGGTTAATCGGGAGAATGTTGCTGGCGTTCTGATGCGTTTCCTCGTGGAAATGACCTCGTTATGAGGTTGGAGTGAAGTTACCGCAGCGTCGGGCCAGGGGAGACATTGTTGAGAAGGGTGTGAGGGGTTGGAATTGGTGTGCTAGGTAATGGTTATATCATAGGGATGTTGTGTATGTTCACGGGGTGACTCCCGTGTGTCGTCCCTGACTGGTGATGCTACGACTCAGACTCACCTCAGCAGTCTCTTTCTTTCTCTATAGTATGGGGTAGGATGAGCTGGAGCTTGTAACGCTGTTACCACTGCAGCCTATTAATAGTGAGAGTCAATCTCGGAATCTAGTTAGCGAAGTTGAGAACAAGGAAGAGAGACTGCGATCGACAGGACTAGAAGCTCATGTCCGTCATGACCAACTATGCTGTATCTATTGAGTATTCAGCTTCTTCAATCTTTATGTATGTATGACATCGGAACGCAGGAGAAAGCGCCTGTCAGTGATCATATGCGGGGTCCTGGTCGTTCGAACTTCGAAACTTCGCCTTCGCAGCAGAAGAAGCTTTTTGTATTCACGGAATCTTCGCTCAGCTTGCCCGATTTCGGTTTTCGTACTCTTTTACGCCCCATGGAATTGCTGTGGACAAAGACTCGGAGAAGGAGGCTGTTTTCGAAAAGTATCACGAGGCATGCTTGCGATGACGTAGTGGTTCCTTCTCCTGTTACTACCTTGATACACCAAGTTGTCTCCTCCGCAAAGCAGAGTTTGCCCATAGAATGGGATTCCCACAATGGAAAGAAACTCTACTTGGCTTAAACCTTCAAGCACTCCTTTCACGGTGTCTTGGTGCTTACACAGAATCCCCCGCGAAAAAAGCGAGAATTCCCCGAGTCGAATCACGAAAACACCCCCACGTCGCCGACTCGCCGACTCGCCAACTCCCATAATTTCCCTTCGTTCCTTCTGTTCTCCAACGTTCCAAGAGGATTTGACGAGAGGAACGAAGGAACCAATCCCTTCACCGAGAAAAGAATTACATCACGAGGGAAGCAGATTGTTCCTGAAATTCCCGAGTCAAGCTCTGGACCGCTCGATGATGAAAATCTCGGTGACCCCCAAATCGGGAAACTTTCCTCGACGGCAGTTGATGTGCGGGGTGCAGGGCTCCGACTCTGCCCGAGAACGTGTTAGGATTTTCACAACTCTTCAGCTGTGCTGCTGTGGCTGGTGAGATTCCGCGTGAGTCCAGAAGGAGTGGATTGCCAATGACAGGGGGAATTCGCTGTGAGTCGATGGGGAAGGCAGAAAAATGGGTCTGGCGATGAAATATAAATGTAACTGTGGGCGGGTCGACGAGGTGTGTAGCCCTACCAATTGCCGGAGAGGGATATCGGGATTGCACTGTCTCATTGGGCAAGGGACTGACTGTATGGAGTGCGGATATTACAGAGAAAACCGGGTCGCTGTTATACAATGACCGCGTATCCTTGTGACAAAAAAGTCAATTTGACTGTCACTGACACTGTCCCCAGACCCAGAGGCAGAGATCTGATAGCTGGTATGGATGGATCTTCGTCCTCTTGAGTTTTCTCGATGCCCCGAACCTGTCATTTATAGCAAGTCTGACTCAAAGCTCGCGTGGCAAATGTCTTGATCAGTATTGAGATCAATGCAAAACTGCTGTGATGTACCTGCATCGTCAGCGGTGGTCTTCAAACTTGGTTCAAGCCTCGTTCTTCCATGCATAAACCTCAGAACGACCGGCCTCCCGATTTGTCACTGCGCTGGGTCTCGGCTTGCCGAAGTTGACTTGGGGCCACATGAATCGCACGAGTTCACTATTCCGTACTTTACCATCTTTATTTTTCTCCTTGGTCTCAATTCAAGTTTCAGCTTTCAGCTGCTTGCCTCCAATTGATAGGAAATCGCGTGGCGCAGCCTTCAAATGGGTTGGCTGAGCAGTGGTGAGCAGTGGTGAGCACAAACCCAATCTCCCCTTCAACTCAATCCTCTTCGTGTGGCCCCCGGAGTGACGCCAAGCAAAACTTTGTCGGACCATGTGTCGGAAATGTTCCGCGCTGGACGACAATCATTCGAGAGGGATTGGGTTCAGAGAGTTTGTTTACAGCCATCGATCGGAATCAGATGTAGCCTTAAAAATGGTCTTAAGTCTGGGGTGATATGCGCCCAAAGTCACAACGTCGTCGTCATGATGTCTCGAGACGAGGCATATATCTTCGCCTTCGCGGACAATTCCGAGTGGCTTATACCTGATACGGTAAACCCAGGGCGAAGACGAGATCCTCTGGGCTTGGCCAGCAACCAGGCTGATACCAGTCGACTTTGAGTTCTGCAGGCCGGGCACAGGCTCTTTCGTCTGATGATGGTCGGAAGTCGCAGAGAGCTTCCGGAGGTATAATCCTGAGGCACGGAGTATACTCAGTCACTCTCACAGTGACAGTGACACCAAATCAAGGAATCTAGAGCCAAAGGCATGATTCGACATGGGAGAAACTTTCTGGGACCATTGATGCGCAAATCTTCTGCATGGCATGATAGGTTGAGACTGGTTTGCTTCCCTTTGAGCCTGGAGTTTAGATACTAGTACGGAGTAGTACTCTCGAGCCTGAGGCTCTAGAGAATAGAGAGATGATGAATGACCGGACACAACACTGCACGCACACAAATACAGCCTGATGGTGAAGAGCCTGAGAGTGGAGTTGTCAGAATAAAATACCGAGCCAGCGACCAGCTGATCTCGATTCTCGACCTCTAGGAACTGCAATCAGCTAGTGGCCGTCGCCCATTCGCAAGAAAGACGGTGAAAAAAAAAAATTTATTCACTTTGATGCCCAATATTTTGCGGTGGATTACGCCGCAAGTGTTGGTTCCGGGCCGGGATTGAGGGGTGCCACTAATTCGCGCAGTAGTAACCTGGGGGCTGCATGTTCTGTCAAGTCACCTGCAGAGTTCCTTCACTCTCAACTCTGAGGTCGTAGAGCATATGCGCAAGCTTCAATGTCGTAAAACGCCAGATTGTCCTCCTGGTCGTCGCGCAAGTTCGCAACCCCGGAAAAGGAACCAGTTTGTCAAAAATTCCGGGGCCCCAAGGATCCTCCGCATCGATTTTGGAACCGTTGAGGATCACGGAGTCCTTTCGTCCGGTTAGCTTTGGCTAGGTTATGTACCGGGTTCCAAATGTGGCATGATGGAAGAATGGAAGAATGGAAGAACCTCCGAATCTCAAGCGAATCAAAGTTTGGCCCAATCTAGTGTCTTCCCGTCGCGGAAGTGCGGAGGATGGCCGCGTCGGTTGGGAGAATGATTCTGCCGGGGTTGACGGAAAAATTGGAGAATTGCCCGAATCCGATAGGGGGATTTCTCCATCCATCGTGACCTGAGAAAGAAGAATGTTTGTCTTGTGATTGGTTGAATCTCCAAGGTACCATGCCCATTGAACGCTGGGTTTGTTTGATTTGCGTGTGACAAATACAAACAACATCTGCTCATGATTGACTGACAATTCAACCGTCCTAGAAGAACGCTTGCAAATTCAAAGAGTCGAGGCGGGCACCTTTTTCGCTCCTCAGCCGCTCTGGTAGGTTGTACTAACTCCTGTCAAAAATCGGGGATGAATGCATCCTTTGATTCGCGGTTGATCACGTGGTAAGCTCTTGCCAAAATCATCCTCCCCACATCAATGTTTATCAGTCTTGGTGCTCAGACCTTGAGATCTCGAAAGCTTTGGATTAATGTCTGCACTTCAATTAGCTAGCCAAGCGAATCGGAGGCCATGCGATCGGTGCCGTCAGCGGAAATCTCGCTGTGTGCGCGAGCCCGGCCAGCAAAAGTGCGTCCGCTGCGTTCTGCATCGACATGAATGCACATATCTTCAAGGCCCGGTTCCGCGTAAACGGCCAGATAGGCCGCCGTCGCCTGGTCGAGTGGAGGACTCTAACCTAAAGTACGAAAGCATGTACTCTAAGTGTGGAGTAAAGCGCTAATGGATATCGTAGTGCTCTATCTCCCAGCCCTCCAGCTGGTCAGGCTGCATCTGATGCCGCCAGCCCATCCCGTTTACTTGGTACCTTGGGCTTAGAGCCGCACCTGCACTCCACATACATTGGGCCTGCAAGCTACCATGAGCCCACGCTACTCGATTTGAAATCGGCTAGTGCCCCTGTCAACCAGGACTCCGGACACCCTCGACGGGTGAACCAGTCTTCGGCATTTCTCACTCTCCCAGATAAGACCTCAGCATCCGAGACACAGCGCATATCTGATCTCGATCAAATAGAGGCAAGCATCCAGCCATTTGGCCCGGCGTTGGTGAAGGTTTACTTCCAAATCGTCCACCCGCTGTTTCCGATTCTAGACAAGGGCGTGTTCCTGGAAAAGTATGCACGTTCGTACCGCGAATTCTCACCTCCTCTTCTAGCTGCCGTCTATTTGGTTGCCCTAGATTGGAGGCTATTTGATCGGGCCCTCACAAAGGCGACTCGTGTCCCAGACACTGCGCTGCTCGAAGACTTAGCCATGCGAGCTATGAATGATGACATGAAACGTGCAAAACTCTCCACTCTGCAAGCCGGCTTGCTACTTCTACAAAGAGTCCGTTATACTTCAAGCGCACTCCCTGCTCAGCTCTTATCCTTGGGGCAAACACTGGGTATTCATGTCGATTGCAGTGACTGGACTGTTCCAGAATGGGAGAAGAGCCTCCGACGACGCCTTGCATGGGCCCTCTACAAGCATGACAAATGGGGTGCTATCGTACATGGCCGTCCCTCCTTGATCCCTGTTCAAATCGATAACAGTGACTTCAGCGACTGGGATGTCGGCCCCTGTACCTTTGCAGACTTCCCAGAAGCTGCTGAGAACGACGAGGAAGACGTGGAAGGAATCGTTGATGCCAGCTTAGGCCGCGCCGCATTTATACAGCTTATTGAACTGACCAAAATCTTCAGCGAAATCGTGGCAACTTTTTGCTCCGTGAGCGCCACAAAAAAGGGCGGGCTACTCTCCCGCATCGGCACGAATGGAACAATGGCTCTTGCAAAGCCGCTTGTGATGAAATTGCGAGAGTGGTACAGCTCCCTTCCAGATAACCTCCAGCTTGGGACTACGTATTCTCATAGACTTTCGACAAACGGTCCGTTGCACCTCGCGCACATGGCCGCTGAACTCACCATCCACCGTGCCTTGCTTCGTACTCTGTCAGCAGATACACCACCGGCGTTGCGCGCAACGGTCCGCACAGCGGCTCGCGCACGCCTTGCATCGGCGATGAGACTGATCGAGTCTCTCCAACCCGAGCATACACAGTCTTTCTGGGGCTTCGCTGCCGCATCTCAGGTGGCGATGATTGGATCTTTTGCTGGTCTGCTCTGGGCTACTAGTGCAGAGGCGGACGAGGCCCTCGAGTTCGTTAACCAACTGGAAAAGCTTCGTTGGGCGTTGCAGATGCGCGCATCAGCTGCCCCGTTTCTTCACGAAGCATTACGTATGCTTGACGATGAAGTTGGCGACCTAGCGATTCTCAGGACAGCGACTTCTGACCATCTGTTAGCCTGGGACTGAAATGAATACCGTCTACCCATATAACTTATTACCCACCTTCCTTATAGGGTACGCTGTCTCGATACACCAAGTTCGACACGAAATTCCAAACCTGACGTCTTTACTCGATGGGCAATTTCATGTCATCACATTCGTAAGACTACTAACGACCAATCTACCATTCTCACACATCGCTTGATGGTCGGCTTTATTGCTGGATGATAGCTATATCATCGCTTGGACCGACAATATCTCCCTGTTCAACCAACAGCTTCACACACTTCCCGCTAACCGGCGTGCCTATCTTTACCTCCATCTTGTTTGACTCGACCCAGATCTATTGTCATGTTAATTATGGTAATATGTTGGAAAGGATGAACATACCAATGTATCGCCTGCTTCAACTCGGTCCCCCTCCTTAACGGCACACCTAAAGCACCTTCCAGGAAATGGAGCCTTCACTCTTTCTCCTGAAGTTTTCTCAAATTTTCCTCGAGCCTCAAGAGAAGTGCTGTTGGCCTGATACGGCTTTAACAGCTCCTGCAGAAAGTCTGCCTTCTGCACCGCTGCCGATCGCTCCGTGCGGACTGCTGTGATGCTCTCACTGTTCTGACTCAGCCATCGTTCGTACTGGTCGAGATCCAGCTCCGTATGCGTGAATTTGATAAGCTCGTTCGCAGTCCCTTTCTCCTCCGCCGCATTGAGGTCTGCCTCTGCGACAGGGTAAAAAGTGATTTGGTCCAAGAGGGAGAACAACCAAGGAGCTTTCGAATCGGACATGCCGTGGAGTTTTCCTTCGCGGTACTCGTCCCAGATTGGAACCGTACGGCCAACGAGTTGGTATCCGCCTGGTGAATCTGTAGCATATATGCAGAGATACTGGCCTGCAACGCCCACTGCACCACGAGGTGTGAATGACCGCGATGGATTGTACTTTGTTCCAAACAGTCGGTGTCGAGGATCCAGAGGCACCGCACAAGGAGAGCCTTGGTAGACGTCGCCGAGGCCCAAAACAAGGAACGTGGCCGCATATAGGTTCTCTCCGACCTGGGCAGGAGTAGCAAGACCATTCAGCTGCTGCAGGAACTCGACATTGCTCGGGAGATACGGCGCTGATGAGCGGATGGTCGAGGCATATCGAGCGATAGCTTTGCGGCTTTTTTCGTCGTCGAACACCAAAGGCATGTGTACGATTCGAGATGGAAGTTGCGAGCGGAGTTGAGTTCCTAGACTGACCTCGTGTGCCACAAGTGCATCCAGCACTCGGGACAAAGAGAATTGTGGTCTAAGCTGAACATGGATGCTTCTGACGCCTGGCGTAAGTTCCTGGACATCGGGAATAGGATTCTCGCGATGCTGCTCAATAAAACTGAGAATGTGGAATGTTTGGCGTAAAGAAAAGTTGTCCTGTTCTCCAAAGTCAAGCAGCAGAGCTCGGTCCCCTGCTTGCTGGCACACAATGCGGCGGCCACCTTCCAGTATCTCCTTCACAATTGAGCTTTCGATGCTAGGGGTCTTTTCTGTTGGCGCATAATGACTAGACAGCGGTGCTAAGCTCTCGACCGACTGTGCCAACTCCCTCGAGAAAGCTTGTGCTGATTCGAGTGAGATTGGTCGAAGGTAAAGACGGTCTCCAGGAAGCATTTGCCCAAACTTCCACATTTCGGCCTCGGCGACTGTTGCAAAGACGACGAAACCGCCTAGACTTGGCCCATCTGCTGTCAAAACCACAGCCTCATCACCGGTGAAGCTGATCCCGCCCACGGGATAAGGACTGTCGTGGATGTTGGAAGGATGCAGTCCTGCGTCACCTCCAGTCTGGCGTGCCCATTCTGCTCTTGGGCCACTGAGACGAACTCCTATCCGGTTGCTGTTGTAATGTACTGTCCATTCTCCAGTAAACAGCTTCAGCAGGCCGTCCTGAGTAAAGTGAGTTGGGCTCCCGTGTGGGCCTGGGACAACTCCCACTGTCCATTCTCGCGACGACTTCGTCGGCAAAGGAAGCGTCGGGGCGCGACACGCCCTGTCAACTTTGGTGTCCTGTGTGACAGGAAACACCGGAAGTAGGTCGCCAACACGAAGGTTACGGCCATTGTGCCCACCAAGATGTCCGGTCACAAATGTTGACCGGCTTCCCATGACAAGTGGTGTCTGAATTCCTCCGCTGATCGCAACATAGGTACGTGCACCGTTTGTAGCTGCTCCAAGAGCAAGGCGCTGCCCGGAACGAAGTGATATGGGCTGGCCCATCTTAACTTCTTGCTCGTCCACGAATAGAGGCGCTTCGGCTCCAACGACTGCAACAACACTTGGGCAATGGAACAGCAAGGTTGGTCCTTGGATTGAGCACTCGAGGCCCGCAGCATTGGGGTCGTTACCAACCAAGCGATTCGCCAGCCGGAACGAATAATTGTCCATTGGCCCTGACGGTGGCACGCCGATATGCCAATACCCTTCACGGCCGGGGAAATCCTGAATGGCAATCTGGGATCCCGCATCGATAACTTCAACGACATTGGCCTCGTAAGGGAAGGTATCCAACGACTTGGTTGTGAAATTCCCTAACTGGAATGCTTCCGAATCAATGATCTGCTTCAGGTATGCCACGTTCGTTTCTACCCCGGTGATGGTCGTTTTGGACAACGCGTCGGACATCTGCCGTACCGCCGACGGACGGTCAGGTGCATGAACTATCAATTTTGCCAGAAGCGGGTCATACGACGATGACAGCTGCTGGCCTGCCTTGACCCATGTGTCGACTCGGACATTGTCTGGAAACTCGACAGTCGTCAGCTTACCCGAGGACGGGCGAAACTCCTGCAGAGGACTCTCGGCGTAGACTCGCACTTCAATTGCCGCGCCGTTAACCGTAATCTCATTGCGCTGTTCGGGAAAGAGGCTTGCACAGTCTTGCATGGCTATGTTGACCATACACTGGACCAGGTCGAGGCCAGTTCCTGCTTCTGTCACCGGATGCTCCACCTGCAAGCGAGTATTCATCTCGAGGAAGTATGCTTGCTTGCTGTCGATGTCGAAGATGAACTCCACGGTGCCGACGTTGCGATACTTGAGCGAAGCTGCCAGTGCAACGGCAGCATTGCGCATTATCTGTCGGGCTTCGACTGGTGCAAAGGCTGCCGGTGTTTCTTCGACCACCTTCTGATTCCGCCGCTGCATTGAACAGTCCCTCTCTCCAGCACAGACGACCCGACCGCTGCCGTCCCCGAGCACCTGTACCTCAATATGCCTCGCGTGTTCGATAAAATGCTCGATAAAAACACCATCGTGTCCAAAATTCGCTTGACCTAGCCGACGAACACCGTCAAAGGCTTCCCGGAGCGCATTCGCATCGTCGCATCGGTAAAGGCCGATTCCGCCTCCGCCTGCAGTGCTCTTCACCATCACAGGATACCCGATTCTGTCGGCCTCTTCCAGAGCAGAATCCACAGTGGAAACCAAACCTTTCGTGCCAGGAACAACTGGAACTCCCGCTGCGATGGCGATCTCTCTTGCACGATGCTTCAGACCCAACTCGCGCATCTGCTGTGGCGTCGGGCCGATCCAAGTTAAACCTGCTTCCTCCACGGCCGCCGCAAAATCTGCGTTTTCCGCTAGGAAACCATACCCCGGGATCACAGCATCCGCTTCCGACTGGCAGGCCAGATCCAGAATCTGACGGGCGTTCAAGTAGGTGTCCGCTACCGTGTTTCCCGCCAATGGAAGAGCAATGTCAGCTGTTGTCACATGCGGAGAGCGTGCATCGGCTTCGGAGTATATAGAGATAGCTTGTATCTTCATATCATGGAGCGTGCGAATAATACGCGAGGCAATCTCTCCTCGATTAGTCACCAGAACTTTTTGAATACGCTTTCTCTTCGCACCCTCAGCTGACGGCGTTGTTGAGGATGCTGAGCCTTTTAGCGATTGGGTGTATGCGCGCCAGCCACCGAACGATGTAATATCAGTAGCTCCAACAAGGCCTTCTGGCTCGCAGATAAACCCATGCACCCATTGCCCGTCTTGCAGCTCGATCGATCCAATTCCCAGTGGTGCCTTGACCGTCTCTATAAAACTTCCGAACTGCGAGCGTGGCAAATTCCAAACTTCAACCTCAATAGCTCCGCCGCCGCTTGCTACCCGTTTCAGACCCGGCTTCAAAACGGCTGATTGCGAATCGAGCTTATAGAGCTGATAGCAGGGAGCTGTCATAGTGGGCTCAGCGAGAATCGCACCTCGCACAACCAGGTCTTTGTTGAGTGGGAAACCTGATAAATGTGCCCCCACCACTGCCAGCTTCATCGAGTCGTTGGTGACAGTTTGACAGGTCAATATATCCTGATATTCGACAGCTGTTGCCCCCAATCGACGAGGCGCACCCGATAGCCATCTTCGACTGAGGTCAAGCAGTCGCGGCTCCTCCCAGGTTCTGGCGATTAGGGTGATACCGAACGGCAGGCCATCCTCTCTCCAGCCGGCAGGAATAGCGATTGCCGACCAGTCCATGAAGTTGACGAAATTGGTGTATGTGCCTAGTTGAGCATTCTCCTTGATGGGCTCCTTTGCAAGCTCCGCAATGGTGGGAAACGTGGGAGTGGTCGGCACAAAGATCGCATCGAATTGCTTGAACAGGGCAGCGATGGTACGGGAAAGCTCTTGCCGGCGGTACTCTTGCGCAAACAGATCCGCGGCAGTGAAGTTCTTTGCTTTCATAATGATTTGACGGACCACTGGATCCATTACCTCGGCGGGAGCAGCGGCGATGAACTGTTCAATGGCCGCATACCGCTCGGCAACCCAAGGCCCTTCGTAGAGGAAGCTGGCGAGGGTGAAGAGTGGCGTAAAGTCCATCGGTTCGAGCTGCCATCCGAGTGCTCGAGCCTTTGACAATGCACCTTCATAGGCCGTGGCTTGCTCGGCCTTACCAAACCACTCAGGGTTGGCGCAAATGGCAAGCACTGGTTTCTGTGGGCTGATTCCACGCGGCACACCTCCCGCGATTGGATTAGATCGAGCTCTGGAATATGCGTCTTCAGTGTCAAGCCCCTCTGCCACGCTCAGAACGAGCTCGGCATCCTCAATGGTCAGAGCGAAGATCGACACACAGTCCAGTGTCCTGCACGCGGGAAGCACGCCCTTGGTGCTCAAAGCACCCCTGGTGGGCTTGAGCCCTACCACATTGTTCAGTCCAGCCGGTACGCGTCCGGAACCAGCTGTATCTGTTCCTAGAGAGAAGGGCACGAGTCCCTGGCTGACGACAACGCCACTCCCTGAACTGCTTCCGCCGCTCACTCTTTGTGGGTCAAAGGCGTTTCCCACGGCGCCGTATGGTGAGCGTGTTCCGACAAGGCCCGTGGCGAACTGGTCTAGGTTCGTTTTGCCGATAACAATCGCGCCTTGTTGCTTGAGGCGAGCTACCACTGTTGCGTCTGTAGCGGCTGAGTCGGTAGCGAATGCCGGGCATGCGGCGGTTGACCGGAAACCATTTGCGTCGATATTGTCTTTGGCGGCGAATGGGACGCCGAAAAGAGGAAGATCATGGCCCTGGGATTTAAGATGCTGTATGCGGCTCCATTCGTCAGTGATCTGGGCTGCGGATGCTAGGGATATCCACGCATTTGATTGTATGTTTTGTATTCGGTCGAGGAGGGTGAGGAGGTGGACCGGCTCAGTTGCGTTTTCTTGTAGCTTCCGCCATTGAGAGATTGTGAGCGGGTGCTCTGCCATGTTCGAGGCAAGAGCGATGGGCTACTTTCTCTGTGGTTTTGGAGAAAGAACGATTTCAGTAGCATTCCTGAAGCTGCCATATCGCCCGTATTAGTATCAGCAGTGATATCTTCCATCAATCTATGTATCATTTGCATTGAAAATGGCCGTGTCCATTCTCTATCTTCGCGAGGCCCCCGCCGACAATTCGGGCCGCTCGTTCTTATCGGCGCCCGCCCCGCTGCCCCCGATGCACGCCGCAAGAGTCCAACAGGGGAATTGGTGATATTCACGTCTAATCATCCTTCTCAAGTGCGATTTCCGGAGAGATCGGTATGGGGAAGTGGAGATCGCCGTTGTATACATCTAGATATGCGCCAGAATGATCTAGTCCTAGCGAACATACAACAGCCAACGTCGAGACCGACACTAAACTCACCAAACACAACCCACATCATCTGAATCATCTGCCGTTGCAGCACGAGCGCGACAGGGTACAGAAAGGTTTCTCCGACAGCCCGCCCCGGTATTCAAGGCGGCTGTCATGTTCTGTCCCATTACACCGGCTTACATACGGTACTTCCCTCAGGGTACTTTGTGCCTCGTGCATCGGAGGTGCCGTGAAGGAGGGTGGGCAGGGTGGAAGATAAGGATTAGCAATGCAGCTCGATGAGGGCCGAGATCGATGTCATTCCTGGGAAATTTTTCCATGCGGTGAGCTAAGGTACTTCTCGCATCGTTTTCGCCTATACGAGGCGAGATGAGATAGCTAGGCTAGCCCTGGAGAGAGAGAGGTGAGTGTGAGTGATTCTCCGTGCGCACGTGGACTTCTGTCCGGATCGTCCTCATCGAAGGATCGAAGGATCGATGAGTGATGATCGATGATTGTGATTGTGATCCAGGCTGAATCTTCGCAAGTAAGAGATGAGGGAATCCGGGATTCGCGTTGTCGATCTTGCGTTGGGGGAGTCACCGGATCGGTGCGTTGGCAGATGCCAGAGCGGACATCTATGCTTAGTAGAGGGTACTATGACTTCCATTTTCCTGCTCTCTTTACGCGATTTATTGTTCGAAGTTATTGCACATGGCTGCTACGGTATCGCAGAGGAGAATTTGATATCATTTTGATGTCATTGTCCGACATATTCCTTTTGCATGGGAATGGTAGTTTTCCCTGTTCCTGATTCTGCTGGGTCATCTGCTCCGGCCTTCGATGCAACAGTGCTTTGTAAAGTAGGGTACTGAGTTGGCATTGCTCAGCCTCAACCTTGACTTGCTTTAGTTCTATGCAGTCTGATACAGACTGACAGACCCGTACTTCGTGGAAGGGTCATTGATACTCTGCCCGTGCTCGCACGAACGTATCAGCCGTGTTGGGATTAGCCGTTGCCGATGATATAGGATCAATAAGAGATTTCTATTATTAGTCTTATTATTACAAATTTTCCGAACCCTTCACGAGCCAGGTTAAGCTTGGCTACGAGCTCTCGGGAAAGCGCCGCTCCCATCCAATAATAGCCGGCTGCATAGCTCCAGAGAACATGGATGAGTAGTCCGTCTCTGGAACTCCCTTCCTCCCATCGACATTGTGCATCTTCAAATTGCGCACCATGGTTGCAATGATAACGCCGAGGTTGACGAATGCGAATTTCTCCCCAATGCACCTGTGGCGGCCTCCGCCGAAAGGCAGATAAGGGCTGTTCGTGCCCTTTGATACAGCGCCGTATCCGTAGTCGACTAGTTCTCCATTGTCTTCTTCTTTTTCGATCTGCTGGTTCTCCCAACGGTGCGGATCCCATACGTTGGCGTTGGGGAAGAACTCTTCGCTCTGCGCGGTCACGCCCGGAGAGGCGAGGAGGATGTGGCTCGGTGGGATAACGTACGGCGTGCCAGGGACTGGCATCGGGTTCTTGACCTTGCGGAGGATGGAGTGAATGGACATGTGCATTCGGAGTGTTTCCTTGATGACGGCCTTCTGGAGTGGAAGGAGATCGAGGTCTTTGTACTGCAGGGGTTCGAAGGTACCCGTGCGAGGGTCATATTTGAGGTTATTGACCTGCTCCTGGTAGAGTTCTTCGAGAATTTTTGGTTCTGAAGCAAGCCGTAGTACGATCCAGGCACTAGACGCTGATGAAGAGTGCTGGCCGGCCATCAAAAGGGTAATCATCATGTGGGCAATTTCCTTGTCTGGCACGGGCGTACTGTCCTTGTATGTGCAATGCATCAGGTTCCAGATCATATCCGAGGATTCCTTGCCGGGATTCTTGCGCCGTTTTTTGATAATGTCCATGTACACTTCCCGCATCCGAGCATGAGCGGCATCGCGCTTGCGGTTCTGCGGTATCGGAGCGCGCGGCATGACAAAGTTGATTGGAATGAATCCCTTTTCAAGGTCGTGGTAGAGATCGGCAAAGTCCGCTGTTAGCCTCTTGCGAACTTCCTCGCCTTGTAGTGCGATACTAGCGGTGAAGATTGTAAGCTCGGCCATGGCAGCAGGAACATCTAGTCTGCCCGAACTTCCCTTGAAACGAGGAGAGGTCTTGAGATAGTCGAGGGTCTCTTTCTCAATCAATTCAACGTAGGACTCGAGGGCACTTTGAGTGAGGCCGAATTTGATGAATTTCTTCTGCTCCATGAACTTGGAATTGGGACAATCGTAGACGACGTCGGATCCAAACACAGGAATGGTGAGCGGCCCGTATATTTCCTCTGCATTCACGTCCTTGAGCTTTCCGTTGAGGATGAAGTCGTTGCCCTTGATGCCTAGGTATACCGTGGTTTTCCTTCCGAGCATCACGAAAGTGAAGATGTCACCGTACTAAGTAAGACTTTGTTAGATTGGCTCGGGTATGATGGATGTACTATGCACCTTTTCCCTGTTTGTGAAGAAGAATTTGTACGGGTCCATTCCATACGTGACGGTGCTTCCCAGCCACGGGATCCAGTGAAAGACCGTAGGGGGTTCATTCTTGTTGCGGAAGAGAAGCTGGCGAGTCACATTCAACACGATCAGGGCTAGGAAGGCTCCCAAGGCGTATAAGCTGACCACGATAGGAGACAACATCTTGATGGCTGGTCAATGGCTCATGGGGACGAGACGAGAAAGTGGAAAAGGGAGCAAGACATAAGTAATCCGGCCATGGTGATTGAAGGGGCCCCTAGCTTGGGTCCAGCGAGTATTCACTGCCGCCTAGTCCAAGCTTCCAGTCGTCAGGTGTTTCACGCCACTGCAACTGTTGTTGCTCTCGAAGAATGGAGTTCTTGGCATCACCGGGAGCTGCTCTTCCGGGTCGAACCATTGCAACTGTCCACTAGGAACAGCGGTATTGGAAGACGTAGGCTGTACATAAGTTGGGGCCAGCCTTTGGAAAGCTCAGAGAATAGAGTTCTTAACGATTGAGGATCGTCTCCTTGAATCTGGCCTTTTCCGCGTTCCCTGAGTCCCATCATCAAGGCGATCGTGTTTAGGGAAGAGTGATTCCATCTCAACTCTGATTTTGAGTGCAAATATCTCAGAGGAAACAAGCGTGGCTCGTCAGGCCCACATCAGCTGACAAAAGGTGGATAGGCAATAATGGTCGCTGGAAGATTGCAAGTGGAAGAAGAATAATTGATGCCTGAGGAAATAACCTGGGTGGATCCATGATCTCGGTGTGCTGTGGGCCCGATATGGCTTAGCGCGGGCTGGCGATTCCAAGAAACACCAAGAAACACCAAGAAATGCAATTGGGGAACTCGAGTCACTCTCCAGTCATTGCCACTGCTCATCGTGACTCACCTTGACTCACCAGACACCCAGTCGGAAATATATGTAAATCTCGATTCGGACGTGTCTGCCGCTATTCAAAGAATATCATCATATTACCTAAGCGATCCAGAACGCCAACTTCATCTTCCAAACTTCTCCATACCCTTGAAACTTTGTACTCTACTTTAGCTCCCGTCCCATTAAATTGGTTACGATTATGGCTGGTGGTACGATCTTAACTTCAAGGAACAACGCAGGCCATCGGCCCATCTCCCAGATTGAAAGGTCGGATCCCAGAGAGTTCCAGCTCAATCAGCTCAGGCGGCGTTTCCGTATAACAGAGAGCGCCGATGAATCGGGAACCACGCTATCCTTCGGGATGGCTCCTTCGGATCCAGATTTCCCTTTTGAACTACAGAGCTTACAATGCACTTTGCACGTCCCCTCGACTTATCCCGCGCGCGGGAGGCCTTCTCTGAAGGTGGCCAACCCCGAAATGGGAGCCGACTTTCAAGAGAACATCTCGAGAGGATTTGACGATATCGTTGATAGCTCGATACGGATGGGTGGGCGTGAAACCCTACTCAACTGGATAAACACACTGGACCGACATCTTGAGCGCTTGCTGACGACTATTGAGAGAGGACCGACGCTCAAATTTGTCCCAAACGCTGGCAGAAGGGAGGAGAATGTTGGCCGGGATATAGTTGACGACCTGAAATCATTGGCAGTTTCTCAAACTCCTGTACGGAAACCAGAGCCTAGAGCTCCACCGGTTGTCCAGGCGCGCCCCGTGTATACGGCAGAGGAAAAGTCTCAGGCAGAGAAGCGGAGGGCAGTCGAAACAAAGCAACTCGAAGCACGCCTTGGGAGATTGCCGCTATTTCAAAAAGCGAGAGATGGTCTGTCATTCGTCATACCCATTCAGCCCGCCAAATCTGACCGTCTTCCCATTTCCATACGACCTGTCAAGACCGTCAAACTTTCTGTACCCCAGCTGTATCCCCTCGAACACAGCTCTATTGAGTTGCAAGGGGTTTTGGGCACGGAGGCCGCTGCCGTTGAAGCAGGATTTTCGCAGTGGCTAAATGACCACCTACAGCTGAATTTGGTTTCCCAGGTCAACTACCTGGCAAGCAACATGCACAACTTTGTAAAAACTTTGGTTGAAGCTCCTGAGCCCAAGGAGCCGGAGCCCGAAATGCCAACTCGAGAGCCTGAGCCGCCCGTGGAACAGAGGTCCTCAATTGACGAAGATAAACCTCATCTTCATGTCATTCAACGACCTCCAGAGTGGACTGTTCGCGAAGGAGGAAGCGGTAGCGAAGAGACAGATATCACCACGACAGAAGATGAATACTCGGACGACGAGGAAGATGGCGGTGCGCCGGTTCCTGCTATGTCAGAGCCTACTACTGAACATGGCGTGGCTTTGTCATTCCCGTTTTTGGAGCTCTACGGTATTGAGTTGCTGGAACTCGTTGGCCTTTACATTACAGTCAAGTGTGATAGGTGCAAGGAGCCATTGGATGTCAGGAACATTCCTCAGACCAAAGACAGCAGTGGTGCCCTTTCTCCCAAGGTCGAAACCTGCAAGAAATGCTCAAACTGCATGAGTCTAGGTATTTGCTCTTTTCCCTCCGGAGCTGAGGATATTTCCTAATTGCAATAGGGTTTCGCCGGTTGTTCATGCACCCGAATGCCAACCGAGCGGGATACTTGGACTTGGATGGTTGTACAGTTGTTGACCTTCTCCCAAGGTAAGTGTAAACACCACGATTATATCGGAAAGTACTCACACTATGACAGTGGGTTTAGCCCTACGTGTGCGGAATGCTCAACCTCGTTTCCTGGACCTGGTGTGGTTGCGGTTCGTGGAGAGAGCGCTATGGCAAACTGCCGCCAATGTCATCGTAAAATGGGTTCGTACTGTGCTTCCCAGCCAGAGCTCAGTGATTAACGTTCCAAAGTGTTCAAAGTTCCAGAGGTGAAATTTCTCAAAGTGGGATCTGCAGCATGTGAGTACTACCTAGCGAAGCATGTGCAGGGTCAACTCTGATGTACAACTTCAGTTTCGTCGCGTGATCGTGCACCAACTCGGCGAAAGGTAAGGCTCTCCGCCCGTGTTGCTAAACACAAGTTAATCATGAATAGCCAAAGGAGGTCCTCGGTATTGTGGCGGGTCAGGAACTACCTCGTCGCGGTCGATGCATGCATTACAGCAAAAGCTATCGTTGGTTCAGGTATATCGTCCTTCCGTTCCTTTTTTCTGCAATGCTGACACTTCTACAGGTTTAGTTGCTGTTCTAAAGTCTATCCTTGTGACAAGTACGTATCATTGTGTCTATCAAGTTCTCATCGAACCTAACATATGTCTATCAGGTGCCACGATGCGGACACAGACCATCCAAACGAGCACGCAAATCGCATGATCTGGTAAGCGCCTCATCTTCCTTTTTCCTATAACTACTAATCTGTACAGCGGCTTCTGCTCTCGAGAACAAATCTACCGACCAGAGAATTGTGGTATCTGTCGCGCATACCTTATTGGCAAAGCAGGAAGCGGCTTCTGGGAAGGAGGGAAAGGGACCAGAAACAAGACGCTGATGAGTAGGAAAGGTATACTGGTTCAGCTATTGCTTGTGGAATGTGCGCTAATGAGATCAGACCCCCGGAAGTATAAGCGACGTCCGGGAACAACACCTGGTGGCGCAAGCTCGTCGAAGAAGAAATAATGCTCAGACGCCTATGGAGCTTGAGTTGTGAACATATCTAAACTTAGATAGGGCACAATCAAGAATACAAATTCCTACAGGAATTATTGAGCGTAATGTTGAAACCTATTTGCAAAACTAACGGATATCAGTAACGAGTACATGCTAGTAATGACTTATCCAGAAGCAAAGACATTTAAACAAGATTGCCTCGCAAAGCCTGTTCCCTCTCAATAGCCTCAAACAGAGATTTGAAGTTTCCAGCACCGAACCCACTGAAGTTGTGCCGCTGGATAATTTCAATGAACACCGTCGGCCGGTCCATAAGGTGCTTCGTGAAGAGCTGCAGCAGATACCCATTCTCATCGAAGTCAATCAAGATATCCAAGGAGCGAATTGTCTCAAAGTCCTCATGCAGCTTGAGCCCCGCCTTCTTCAGCCGGATTTTGATGTCTTCATAGTACGTGTCAGGGACTTTGATGAAGTCGACACCGCGGGCTTTTAGGTTCGTGATGTCGCGGATGATGTCGTCGGTTAGGAGGGCGATGTGCTGCACGCCTGCACCGTTGTAGAAGTCGACATACTCTTCGATCTGCGACTGCTTCTTGCCCTTGGCGGGCTCGTTGATGGGCATTTTCACTATGTCATTGGGTGAGGCCATGACGATACTCTTTAGGGCGGAGAATTCACTGTGTTCGTTAGCAGTGGGCGATTCACAGATGTTTGTTAGGGCTACATACGTGCAGATCTGCTTATCGTCTACGGACCAGAAGCGGTGGAAGCCGAGAGCCTTCTCATAGCTGGAACAAGTTAGTCCTCATTCTCGTCAGTTTTTGATGATGGGTGACTTACTACTCGCAAATCTTATCCATCTCATCCCAGTCCTGGTTCCCAACACAGTGATCAATCCGGTTCAGGCGTACATCAGGCAACAACGCGGCAACGGGATCCTCATTCCCACTCTCAACCCGATACCCTGGCAAGAAGACGCCCCGGTACCCCGACTTCTCAACAAGCGTGTGCGTCGTCTGTCCATACGTCTGAATCGTCGCAGTGACAACCCTCCCATCCGCGTCCTCTACCACCTTCGGCTCCTTAACAGCCTTGGCCCCGTTCGCAACCGCAGCACCATACACGGCCTCAACAGAGTCGACTTCGAACGCAACATCCTTGACTGCGTCGCCGTGCTGCTCAAGGTGGTGATGAATCTCCGTGAGGAGTTCTTGCTCCTCTGGGGAGAAGCGGTCGATCTGGTCTAGCGAGCGGAGAGGGGAGGTGAGGACGAAGGTGATGCTTCCGTTGCGGATGACATGCGAGCAGATTGCGCGAGAGTTTGTCTCGAGGCCGCGGTAGGCGACGCGCTTGAAGCCCATGCGGGTGATGTAGTAGGAGGCTGCTTGTTTCGCATTGCCGACGTACCAGTGGACGTGGTCGTAGCCGCGGTAGCTGGCGATGGAGGAGGGGAGGGACGTAGAAGAGGGCGGACTAGATGAGATAGCTGAAGGCGCCATTGCGTGCTTTGTGGTTTTTGGGCTGAGATATCTAAGAGGAGATAGATATTGTTTTGGTGGTGCTTAGATGAAGTATACCCAGTTTGGGGAGGATATGACCAGCGTTATAAACCTGCCCAGCACTTCAAATAAGACGTAAGCGAGATAGACTTGTCCATGATACGCCACAACCATATCAGCTCCGACCCATTATTCATGGTGAATAAGTGACGATGCTACGCTGGTTTGGAAACATCCGGGCCGGCTGGAGTCGGAGTTTCGGGAATCTCAAAACACCCGCCTCTGCCCGGAAGACTAAATATCCAAACTATCCGTCAGGCGGACATTCAGCGTTTGATCAATATCAATGAAACTTCGCCAGAATATCTGTCCCGGAATTCTATCTTATCATAGCAGCAATTATACTCATTTTTGATACAAGATACTACTGCGAAAATGTCCGCCGCAGCATCATTCACCCCCTCCAAACCCTCTCTAACGACCAACGACTCCGCCGTCCTCCAGGCCCTCTTCGACGCGGAGTCCTCACCATCCTCCGCAGTCAACATTGACTCGACTCTTCCAGCGCTCCCCGCACACCTTAACATCCCAGCCAAAGAGCACAGCTTCCTCCAGTCGCGTGAGCGAGAGATAATCTCAACCCTAGCCTCTCAGTCAACACCAACCCGCGAAACACTTGAATCAGCGATCAGCGAGCTCTCTACACTCATCACATCGCATCCAACATACCCATCTGCTTACGCGAACCGCGCTCAGGCGGTACGCATGTTAATAGAGGTCCCGGCTCCCGCTTCCACCACCGAAACTGCAGAAACAGAAGCAGAAATTCTTTTCAACAACACCAACGAACAGCACCTCACAACTCTCTTCTCCGACCTTGGGACAGCAATCTCCCTCGCCACACCGCGCTCTCCCGCAGACCCGGTCTCCTCGCTACAAGCAAGACTGCTAGCTGATACACACACTCACCGCGCGTATTTGCTCCTGAAGATCTCGCGACGGCTCAAGAACGCAGGCGACAATGAGGATGCCGGCGTACCGGCTCGACTAAAGGAGCTAGGACCGGAGGGACTTGAGGAAATGGCTAGTAGGGATTTCTTTTTTGGAGGACGTTATGGGAATAAAGTTGCGCAGCAGATGGCGGTACAGACGAATCCATATGCAAAGATGTGTGGGGCCATTGTAAAGGAGGCGATGAGGAAGGAGATTGAGGGGGATATATGAAGGTCCGAGCCGTAAATAAATGAAATGAGGTGCTACTTTTATCTTTACGTGTATAGGAGCTTGTACTATGAGTGTAATAAGCTTGTGCACACAGGCATAGAGTTGAGCCTTGGAATGCTCGCTGCGCGCAGCGATTCTATAGTTCATCATACTCAATTAAGCCTGCATTGTCAGACGATCAAGATCAAATAATGAATCATAAATTTGTTCCTAGCGAGTCTGGTATATAGCTAATAATAGATACACTGCTGATAATATTCAATATCTACGCTTTGTTCGGGTTCTTAAAGTGCCTCTTCAGCGGCTGCCAGCTGTGCTCGTTGTACTCTTCCTGGACCTTCTGGCAAGTCTTCAATCCCCACTCCGAGACACCAACCATGAGACAACTAAACCAGGTTAGTAACTGCAACACAATATGGATTATGCAATCATACCTTTCAAACATGAACGCCATGCTACCATCGCCAACCTTAGCCGGCTTCAAGTCCGCATTGCTTGCCCCCTCGAACGCATCCGAGTCCGGTCCATGCGCACTCATGATGTTGTGCAGACTCGCACCAGCGGGCTGGAAGCCGCCTCCAGTCTTCGCGTCGTAGTTGCCTGTGATCAGGCCCATAAACTCGGACATTGTGTTGCGGTGGTACCACGGGGGACGGAAGGTCTTTTCCGCAACCAACCAGCGGGGTGGGAAGATGACAAAATCAGCAATGGCGGTGCCCACGTGGTCGGATGGGCCAGTGAGGACGGTGTAGATTGATGGGTCGGGATGGTCGAATGAAACGGACCCAATGGTGTTGAAGCGCCCCAAGTCATACTTGTACGGGTAGTAGTTGCCGTGCCATGCCACGACGTCGAAGGGGGTATGCTTCTGCCGTGCGGAGAAAAGGTGGTTATTGAACTTGCTGTACAGGCGGTACTCGGAGGGTTCCTCCTCGTCGTCAAAGGAGGCTACTGGTGCTTGAAAGTCGCGTGCGTTGGCAAGGCCATTAGACCCAATTGGCCCAAGCTCAGGGAGCTGAAAGTGGCCCTGGTATAGCTCGCAGATGTACCCTCTCACAGGGCCATCAGGTAGCGTGACACGGTATCTGTCTTGTCAGCTTCATGTGTAGTCCAAACAAGGTCGCAGTATTACGTACCTTACACCACGAGGGATTACACAAATCTCATTGGGACGGACCACAAGGCGACCAAGCTCCGTTTGGATGTCCAACACGCCGTGCTGGGCCACAATCAGGAAGTCGCCGTCCGCGGAATAGAAAGCCTCCTTTCCCATGTCCTTGCCGACGGCATACAGCAGGATTCCCAAGCCCTGTTTCATGGTTGGGTCGCCGGAGCCAGCCACAAGGTGTAGTCCGTGAACCCAGTCGACAGACTTATCCAAGTCGAATGGGTCCCAGCGAAGCTGATTGGGAATGTGATGGAGCTTGTGGGCATCTGTCGTCATGCGCGTGTGGTAGGAGTCGGTGTCCTCTTCGACAAAATTCTCGTGTGCTGCAGCGGGAAGAATGCGGTAGACCCATGTTTGTCTGTTTTCGTGTCGAGGAGCAGTAAAGGCTGTTCCGGAGAGTTTCTCCGCGTACAGGCCGTAGGGCGCTTTCTGGGGAGAATTGTGTCCGACAGGGAGGGCGCCTTCGATAGCTTCGGATCTGCAGGGGTTAGCTTCGCTGCTGCGATTTTGGAACTCGGAACATACTCGTGGTAGGAATCGAATCCGTTCTGATAGTTGTAGGGATCCTTGAATGAGAATTTGGTGACAGGCATCTTGACGTTGACTGTTTGGTGTTTGCTGGAGGTTCCGTCGAACGATGGCGTCAGAACTCGCTCTATATACTAAGCGCACAACTGAGGACTCCTAGAACTTGAGGATCAGTCCACCGGCTGGGATTCGGGAATCCGCAGCAGGAAGCTGGACGACAATTACGTCTTAGCCGTGAGGGGCGACGGAAATTGAGGGACAGGAACAACCGGGGATAAGCGGGGAAGTAGCGGAAACCATCCGCCCACGGAATCTTGGTCAGAGGGTCAATTCCCGTGTTGAAGCGGCTTTTAATTCTGTTTTATCCTCTCTCGTGGTGTTTCTCGCACTTTGACATACTCTCATCATCGACTACTCTCCCCTTCTTCATCACAATGGCTTCTTGGCTACAGATCCCAAAGAACTCGCCCTTCTCCCTCGCAAACATCCCGTTCGGCATCATTTCCTCGTCGAAATTCACGTCGCGAGTCCCTGCAATTGCCATCGGAGACTATGCATTGAACTTGAACGCATTCGCATCATCAGGCGGCTTCTCTCAGCTCCCAGCTATTCAGGCCCATCTCGATGTCTTCAACCAGCCCACTCTGAATGCGTTCGCAGCTCTTGGCCGGTCAGTGCACCGCCAGGTTCGAGAATACATCCAGAAGGTCCTCGGTGCAGACACACCATTCCCTCAGCTCCTCAAGGACAATGCTTCTCTCCAGAAGGAAGCTCTTCTCCCTCTGTCTGAAGTGACAACCCACCTTCCTATGCAGATTGGCGACTATACGGACTTTTACGCTGGTCTGAACCACGCCTATAACATTGGTGTTCTCTTCCGCGGGCCCGACAATGCTCTACAGCCCAACTACAAGCATCTGCCCGTTGCCTACCACGGCCGTGCATCATCCGTGGTTCCTTCCGGCACTCCCATCCACCGTCCCCAAGGCCAGATCCTAGCCAACCCCGCGGCGGACCCTAAAGTGCCAATATTTTCCCCGTGCAAGAGGCTGGACATTGAGCTGGAACTGGCCTTCTTCGTTTCACAGCCCAACGAGCTGGGCAAGCCGGTACATATCAACAATGCTGAAGACCACATCTTCGGGGTCGTCCTCATGAACGACTGGTCCGCGCGTGACATCCAAGCATGGGAGTACGTTCCCCTCGGTCCGTTCAATGCAAAGAACTTCGGTACAACAATCACCCCTTGGGTTGTTCTCATCGATGCCCTCGAGCCTTTCCGCACCACCGGCATTGAGCCTGGAAACAGAGACTCTCTTCTCCCTTACCTACGTGAGAAGCGTGCTGAGAATGCATATGATATCCCGCTCGAGGTTGAAGTCACAAACGCCGGCGGCAAGCCTACTGTGATCTCTCACAGTAACGCGAAGAACCTTCTATACTCATTCCCCCAGATGCTGGCTCACCACACCATCACCGGCTGCAACCTGAACACGGGTGATCTCCTGGGAAGTGGTACAATTTCTGGCAAGGATAAGCAAACCGAGGGCAGTTTCCTCGAGCAGACTAATGGAAAGACGCCTATCAAGCTTGCAGATGGTTCTGAGCGGTTCTTCTTGGAAGATGGGGATACTGTGATTCTGCGTGGTGCGGCAGGGACGGAAGGAAACTATGTTGGTTTCGGTGATTGCGTGGGAACAATCCTGCCTGCTGTCAAGCTTGACTTTTAATTTATTTATGGTATATGATAACTATGACCAGCCATGAAAAATAGATATCTGAGTATAGCCCCGCCTCCTCTTCTTATCTCTATTGAGCCAATTGCTTTTCTTTAATCTCACAACGGTTATGTATGGTGACTCTCGGTGCCAATCATCGTTGTCCGCCGTATAACTGTTTGGGCTTGGGTTAATCAGACATGATATGACTGTTTTCTGATTCCGGGTGGACATGCAGCACTAGCTCGGAATAATCCACCTCACTCACACGAGAGGCAAAGGCCCTTCTCACAATAAAAAGGCCCAAAGTCCACCCCGACTAAGCCTTAAACTCATCCGGCGTATCTCCCTGCGTCGTCCAATGTCCCTCCCTAACAGTGGCCTCTCTCTCCAGTGCCTCTGCAACCCTCTTGATAGTAGGGAACTTCGCTAAATCAACACCAACGCGCTCGGCGCCCCAAACTGCCGGAATCAGGCACACATCCGCCATGGAAATCGTATCCCCGACACTAAAGATCCCCGCGGAACCCTCCGCAATTGCCTCGTACGCCGCAAACCCATCCTCAATGAGATCCTTCGACCATGCCGCGCGATCAACGCCGAAGGGCGCGACGCGTTTGAGAATTCGAAGGTTCGTCACTGGTTGTACGTCGCAGGATATTATGGAGGAGAGGGTACGGACGATAGCGCGCTCTTCTGGGTTGGAGGTTGGTGGGAGGAGAGATGCGCCTTGAGTTGGGAAGGTCTCTTCAATATATTCAAGGGCTGCGAGAGATTGAGTGATTGTTACTGTCTTTGTTGTGGACCCGGTCTCTGTGCTCGGGAACTCGAGGATCAGTGTGGGGACTGTGGCGGAGGGGTTCACGGCTTTGTTTTCAGGGCCGGTTTGTTCGCCCTTGAGCAGGTTGATGTGGACGGAAGTGTATGGAAGGGATTTGAGCGCGAGGGCGATGCGCAGGCGGGCGGAGCACGAGGAGCGGAAGTAGGTGTAGAGAGTTACTCTGGGGCTCGGGGTAGGAGTCATCTTGACTAGTTCAGTGTTCGTTTAGCACTTGTGGATGCAGACGATTACGTGCTCGAGGTACTGCAGCTGTTATGAGTGACGGCGGAGGTGTGGCGGAATGTGTTCCGCGATTCATGGATGTCCAAAATATCCGCTCCCGCGGTTTTCCGTGCTTACAGGAATAGCGTCTCTCTGCCAAGGAAGGTTTGGATCATCTTTTCTGGGCACATGTAGCGGCTGATTAAGAGTTGTGGGCATGATAAGCTTATGCAGTAAAGCTCCAGCAAACAGTAGTTTCTTGGCTGCTCTGTAGCTGTCCAACGTCGGTTGTGGAGATCGATATAGGTTTTGTTTTATCTCAATCAATCATATATGAAAAAGCGCTCCCCTTCTAATATAAAGATGGCCCCGATGGACACTCACACTAGGCAGTCATTGTTGTATGCGAGTCCATTGATATTACCTAGGCACAAGGTGTACGGGCTGATTTCTTGGAAGCATCCCCATTATCTCGTCATGTGTCTTGATACAGCTGTTTCTCCCTCAAACGCCGGCTTTGGGTCGGGACTAGCGTTGCCTGAGGTGGCAGGACACTGAACATCACAAACTCGGCGAGCAGTAGACGTATGTTGTGAAAAGATGTGCTTGTTCTGGCGCCCGAAATCGGCTAACCTAGGCATGCTAGGCATGTTATGTATGCCTGTTCCTATTCAGACGGCCAGCTGCTTTAGCTACACTCGGTAGCCAAACATCAGTAGCTGGTTGACATGCTCGCCTATTGCATTTCATCAAAGCCCAGTGATAGGGGATGCCGTGCATCTGCACTTACCTTTGCTGGTGGTTCTAAGAGGGGACGGGTGGTCGTCCAGGTCCGAGACTATTCAATGCGAGACCTAGCTCGCCCACGCATCCAAGGGGAAGCACTACAATGGTATCCAGCCATTGAGCTCCGCATCAGCCGAAAAAAAAAAGCGATATCATATCGCTGGTTGGGTTCATTCTGTCGTGAATTCATGATCATGAAGCCGTAGCAGACAAAAAAAGCGCCAAATCATAATCCGTCCCTGACAAGATGAAGCTCTTGGTTCATCTTGGTTCATCTTGTCATTCTTCCAATATCCCCACCAGTTCATCCAAACAGCTTTGTACTCCATTGGAACTCGCCATCCATCCCCCAGTCAACCTCTGCAGGTGTGGGTTTATTGTCTGCATCGTTGAAGTGTATCCCCGTATTGTAGATCTTGCGCAATTTCACGTCTGCATCCAGTGCTTTGAGTTGAAGAGCTCTTGTGTCGAGAACAAAGTCGGGCTCGCCGAACGGTGCTTCGATGCAAAGTTCGCGGAGCCGGGGAAATCGAGCGCGACGGTGCAGCAGTCGGCAGCAATCGTCAATCAAAAATTGCATCTGTCTTCTTGTGCTGTGCCCAGTAATTCTCAAAACTTCCAACGATTTTGGCAAGCGATTATGAAGGGGGTTGCTGATGGTCTTTTCCTCCTCACTTCTCGAACCGTAAAACTCGAACGGATCAAAGTCTTCCGGGTCGTGTACAATATAGCCAACAGCGACGTAAAGATGCGTTAGCGCGGAGAATTGAGAGAAATCCAATGGGTGGATCTCTCCTTCGTGATGGATGTAAATGCCGGAGTCGAAGGCCAGGGTGACGTTCTCCAGCGTGTTCCGAAGGGGATGAAGAGCTTTGAGAATGGAATTTGCGGGGAGTCTCACGTGAACTCGTGGGTCCCAATCGCGATGGAATATGAAAGTTCGTACCGATCGACACCTCTTAATGATTGTTTGCAGGCTGTAAAGGTCGATGCTGCAGTGTCGGAGCTCCAGGTGTATGATTGGTGACTCCTGAGTTGCGCCGTCACCTTCCAAGTCCGCTGCCTCGTCTTCACCTCCACCATCCCAGCCGTCCCGTCTGATTGGCCCCCAATTGCTGCCGAAGAAATGGGTCAGCGCGGGCATCTGAAAAAATGGTAGTATTTCAGAGGTGTTGCCACATGGCGATTCGGAGTTGACTTTGAGCTGGGTCAAGTTTCTCAGGATAAGGGGCGAGGGCGACGAGTCTACCTTTTTATCAGTTTTGGGCAACATGTGCCAGATGAACGTTGGGTCGGATGACCAGTTGGACTCCAATCTGGATAACTCTGGAAGGAATACAAAAACAAGAGCAATGAGGGCGTCCAGGCTGGGGTCGAGTTCTTGCAGCTCAGAGCACCAGTGGTGTTTGTGCGTATCCACAAGCGGGAGCCGGCGAACCACGGTCATCAGTTTATACATGTCGAGCCTGTCCGGGCGGCCAAGTATGTTACCTGCCATCATCCGCTCCACTAGCTCTTTGCGGCGACGGGAGAGCGACTGATGCGACACCCAATACAGCGCGTTCAGCTCCAGCGACCGTACACACTGGGCAAGATAAGGCCTGGAGAACACGGACATGATAAATCGTCGCACCTTGTTGGTATTAGCGGGCAAAAACCATCCATCAAGTGCAGAAGAAAAGCTACCTTGCGCGATTCATCCGCGTGGTCCAAATCCAGAGTAACGTGCGAATAGAGGATAGGGGTCGCGATGCGGTTGAGTCTCTTGCTGAGCGTGGCAAGACGGGCTAGGCTGTCTCCGTCGCCTGAGAAATGGGTCAAGAAGATGTGGTGGATGATGTCCTCAGGCAGGTCGGCAAACAACATGCTCTTTAGGGGGGTGGCAAACTCCCAGTCTCGCGCACAAGGCAGCGTCCTCTCTGGCAATGTCTCGATATTTGCCTCTCGAAAGAAAAACTTCCTCAATGGGCGCAGGGGGGCAACTGATAAATACTGCAATCTAGAAATTCTTTCGGGTTGGAGGCCAGGCCCACGGCCGAGCCTTTGGGCCAGACCTGCTGATCTAGCTGCTTTTTTCTTCTCCCAAGCGTTTGAACTTGATGCGGAATTCCTAACCATCCAATGGCCCGGGGCTGAAGGGATCTTTATCTTCTCATGTGATACTGAAAGCAGAAAGACTCGGCCGGGGGTAAGGTTATAAGCTATCGGCGCCGAGGGAACTCCATCGCTCGGACCCGGGAGCCAGATCGACCCCATTTTAAGCATATGACTTGCTGGCGTATCTGACGGGCTCCACTTGTCTGCGATCACTCCAATGAACTGCCCGTGGTACGCTGAGATTGCTCCCCTGTCTCTACCTCTGGAACCGCTTTGAATATCGCTCCGGTCACCGTTCCTGGAAATTAGACCAACTGAATGATACCTAGGTACGGTTCATCTATCTGACTTTGGTACGTGGAAACTACATCCGAAGACTCTGGTTGTTGGTGTGTTGTTCACTGCTGATTTGCATCTTCAGCCACCATTTTTTGATGGGATTACACTAGCTAGATAAAGTTAGCCATGTCTGCACTCTGTGGAGTGGGTTCGTCAAATCTATGAGTCCCTGGCGATCACTCCTACTTCAATCGGGCTGGTTCGTCCACTGTGGCGCTCCAGGTGACGACATAGCACGGGGTGTCTGGGCAACGCATGGTCATTTGCGGCTCTGAGCTCGAGCAGCGTGGTAAACCCTTGTCCAAGAGCACGTGGTGATACGCCTCTTACCCTCGTTGGCGCATGAACGACTGCTGTGGGTACTGGGGGGCTCTGGAGTTGCTGTATGTCGTACGCCCTGAGTCGTTAATGTTGGATTGGCTCCGGGAATACAGCGCTGGGGGTTCTGGGATGCGCTCTCTAGCAAAGTATTGTGATAGTGTTTCGTTCACCCGTTCTTTCAGCCGCTGGATTTGCGTAACTGCTCGTTCATTCCTGGTGGCCGCCAAGCAATCTAGCCTGTGGCAATGGCAGAGGCTCAAGACATCCATTGAACGGTGCCTCGTGAGCTTGGCCGGACTCGTATAGGCTCTAGTAGTGGTACGTTAGATGTATCTATGTATACTATCTTTGTTATCGTGATTGACATAGCCCGTCTAATCCAAACGTACCCCGGGTTCAGCAGCTAAGTTGGCTACATATATACAGCTTAATGCTAGCGAAATCCATGAAGCGTTTCAACCACGTTGCGGTCAAGCTTCTCGAGATGAAACTCGGAAAGAGATACTTAACGGACTGTTGTTTATCATTAGCTGGGAATTCCACCTGTATGCTCCATGTAATACAAGGTACAAAAGAACCTCAATACTATTCATTGCCTAGGCAGAGCTGCAGCTTGTTGGGCTATAAAGCAAAATAGTAAGAATTTTAACAATCAAGTGGCAAGGTGGCCGAGCGGTCTAAGGCGCGCGGTTAAGGTTTCCAATTCGGATCCTTCTTCTTGTTTACAAGTTTCCGCGTCATTAATTTGGCGTGGGTTCGAATCCCACCCTTGTCAATTCTTTTTTTCTCCTTTTTTTTTGTTATTTTCACATCTTAGGCCCAAATATCGATTGATTGTTCTTTGTTTTACTGTTTTATCCCACCTCCCTCCTTTTCCCTTTTCCATCATCACCTTTAAAGCAAGGTCTAAACAACAACAAGAATGTCTCTACCATCACCCGGCATCTGAATAATGTCTGGTATGGGCTTGGCCTAATGAAAACCCAAAAAGCCGCCGGATATTTTCGGGTAGTTGCGGCCCTCCGGCTGTTTCCCGCCTTCAGAAAACCTCCACCAACAACCATCAGCTCGGGCCACATATCCGTCACGGGTGAATCTGAATGGCATGATTGCTGGTTCTATTATCTAAGCAACCCTCTGTTACATTCGCGGCTAGACAGATGGAAGTCCGAAGACCCTCACGAGCCGGGAATTCGTCCGATCGAACGTACAAACGCACCTACAAGGCTTGCATTCCGTGTCGCCAGCGGAAGGCTAAATGCGACCTTGGTGAACTTCCCGATGGGTCGCCTATGGGGCCGCCCTGCGCAAAGTGCCGCAGGGAGCAAAGGCAATGTGTGTTCAGTGAGACCAGAGCGTGGGAGAGAAAGAAGAAGCGAGGTGAGTCGCCCTGTGACGGTCCGGCATGCTTTCCCCCCCGCAATTGACCGGCCTTACAAGCAGGGTCCCAAGACGATGCTGTCTCACCCCCACCAGGCATTCGCCGAAGGTTGTCGAGTGGTGCTGGGCTGGATGACGAGGAGCTGCAAGCTCGACGACGGGACCCGACGGCGGCCAACCAAAGCCCCAGGGACGGCACTCCAACAGCCCACCGACCATATACAACAAAAGACCGCCACACCCGCCAACAGTCGACGTCAACGTTGGACAACTCAATGATGCGTACGGTTGTATCAAGTGGGAACGACGCACTCAATATTCTCTTTGAGGCTGCAGCAGCCCAGAGCCAGGAAGCAGGATTAAACGAACAGGCAGAACATTCAAGAGGTACATCGAGCCATGCACCTTGCGGAGAAAGCGGCAGAAGCCCTTTCGGTCAAATGCAATCAATAGTGTCACCCAACAGTCTCGCTAGGGCGATTCGTCCCATTGAGTTATCCCATGCAGCAAACGATGTGCTCAGTATCTGGGAATCTTGTCGATTCGTGATGATGGGATGGTTCACTTCTAGAGAAGCTGTGACCCTAATTGACCTGTAAGTGTCGCTGCCTGGGGGTTCTGTGCCGAAGCTCACATCAACAACAGATTTTTCAAAAACATGTCTTCACTTTCACCGATATTGACCCATTTCTATGCGGATCACAGACAGCATCGCGAACTTATCACCTGCGACCCCGTTCTTTGTTGTACAATATTGATGCTTTCCTCGCGGTATCATATCTTACCTGGTCCAGGCGGCGAGTCAAGAAATTTCTTCATTCACCACCGCCTCTGGCAGCACTGCCAACAGCTGGTTACACGACTCATATTTGGACAGGAGAGGGCCTCAAACTCGAAGCTACGCAGGATTGGCACAATCGAAGCCCTTCTGCTGATGTCTGAGTGGCATCCTCGGTCTCTCCACTTCCCCCCCGAGAGTGATGGGTGGGACTCTGATCTAATCATAAAACCTCCAGAACACCAAGGGGAGGACAGATCGTCTAAAAACCGATTCCTGGAAGATATGCTCGAGCCAGCTAGAAGATCAGACCAGATGTCCTGGATGCTCCTCGGAGCAGCTTTATCTCTTTCCCACGAGTTAGGCATTTTCGAAACCGACAACGAAAAACGGAGCTGGTCATCCGGGTATGAAGGATTTATTCCCAGCGATCAAATCAAACTCCGTCGGCAACGAGTGCAGAGGCTCCTCTACGTCTATATCAACCAGTTAGCTTGGCGAATAGGATGTGTTTCGCTTATGCCACAAAACTTGAACCATGCTATTCTAAGCCGGCAGACATCCAAAGACCTGAAGCAGTATAGCGTGCAGTGGTTAGAATTCATGGATTCATGGATCGATCTAACAAAGCTGGCAAAGTCTGTGACTGACATGTTCTTTCCCTCGGTTGAGTTTGCCAGACAGCAGTTACATAACGGGCGATATATTGACCTCTTGGACCACTTTCGTCCGTTGCTACTGAAGTGGAAGGAAGAGCATCTGCGCCCTGAGGGTACGTACTATATCGCGTGCAATCGTACACCGCTAACCGCTCCAAAGCACTCCAGAGACAGTTCTATGATACTCTATTTATTGAATACTACTTCGTCCGAGCATATACCCATTCAATTGGAATGCAGGCGGTGGTGGAGCGTGTGCTCGCGGATAGTGAGCCGAGCATTGGAGAAATCCGCGGAGCAAATATAGACCCCGTGGACTATGAGTATATACAAGAAGTGATAGAAGGGTGTTGTCAGATCTTGCAGAAAGTGACCGAACTAGGTGAAACTGGGGCTTTGCAGTTCTCGCCTGTTCGTATCTTCCTTCGGATCACAAGCTCTGCTATATTCTTGATGAAAGCTCTAAGCCTAGGAGCGCGACAGGCCAAACTGCGCGAATCTCTAGAAATCCTAGAGCGCTGTATACAAGCTTTGAAGTCTAGTGCGTTAGATGACATCCATTTGAGCACTCGATATGCGTCTCTCCTGGAAACCCACGTCTCACGCCTGCGACGAAATCTGCTCGCTTCATCCAAGGCAGTGAGGACCAGCCATGGGTGTACTACGCGTTCTTCAATGGCCCCTCTGAACACCGACACTGAAGGCAGTACCCCAACAATGGACGTCCCAGCTCCTCAACCGATACCCGATTTAGGCTTTGTTACGTCGTTCAACGATCTGGCCGCCGACGACTGGCTTTCTTTACCCTTCGACCCCTCCATGGCCCCATTTGGAATTAGTGACGGGGGCCAATTTCCAGCGTATGAAGGTGGTGCGTTGAACTTTATCTGGAATTTGCCTTCTTGATGCCGTCCTAGCTAGAATATCCACCCCCTGACACACCACTACTAAGGCTTACGCTCACTTTTACCTCATCGCTGATCTGCATTCTTTTTTTTTTTTGTCGAAAACTTCCATAAAAAGGCCATATGTCAAACGCCTCTGACCCACGACAATCGGAGCTGGATGACGAAATCCTTGCACTCATCCAGCAAGTGGAGGAAATCGAGCTCTATCGTGGCAACCAAGAAGGGGTAGGCCGGCTCGATAAGCCACCCGACAATGAACTCGCTGTCTTGGTATTCCTTGATGAGGTCAATTCGGCGCTTGGATTAGCATCTTCTCGAAAGCCCGCCCAGAAAGCTACTTATGCTACTCGCTTAAACTTTGGGCATGTAAGAATGGAGCCAGGCGGTGGTCCGGACAAGGCGGGTGAATATGTGCTAGCAACGAAGGAACCCAGCGCCCACGATAGAGATGGCACCGAACGAAAAGGCAAAGCTGAACCCTCGATGACCTATACAGGACGGTGGGAAGACAACCGGGAGCGTGATGGACCGCGATTTATCGGTACTGCCGAGAAAAAATCAAGACGGCAACAGTACCATGAAGTGGAGCGGCATCCAATTGAGGCAATATACTATCAGCGGGGTCAATTGTCGCAGCACCAGTTCGAGCCAAGCCCACCTATAGTTTCTGACGAAGCGTCCAGGCGACCCGCTGGAAAAATACCGTCACAGGGCCAATTGAGGCCGCACCAGTTCGATCCAACTCCAGCTAGACCTATTCACGAAGGGCTCGGACAATGGGATGACCCAGTACAGCTGCAGGGGCAATTCAGGACGCATCATCTCGAGCCAGCTCGACCTAGACATATTGACGAAGCGTTCGGACGACCGGGTGGAACAATACCGCCACAGGGCCAATTGATGCCGCAAGACTTCGGGTTAACTCCAACTAGACGTACTGGCTTTGAGCAAATGCTCGACCCAATACAGCTACGTGAGCAACGCAGGGCACATCAACTTGAGTCGACACCAGCTAGATATAACCACGAAGCGCTTGACCGGGCGGCTCTTCTATCAAGGCGACATCTTACTCTAGCGGGAGGAGTTATCGAGTATAGTCAAATGGAAGCAACAGGGTCAGATCACGACGATTGCATTGCTTGTTACTCCAGCGATCTGCATCCGAGTGATATGCGTCGCCTAGGATGCGGGCATAGTTACTGCTTCGAATGCCTCAAGAGGCTTTTCGCAAGTTCTGTGAAAACTGAATCACTATTTCCCCCAAGATGCTGCAGGATACCAATCCCATTGCTCGTTGTTGAGGCAAAAATGTCCCAACATGAGATAGCCAGATGCAAGATGGCAGAAGTTGAATTTGGAACACCATGGCCAGACAGGACATATTGCAGTAACAGGAACTGCAACAGCTTTATACCGCGGTCGAACATCACCAAAACCCAAGCACGATGTTCCTCTTGCAAGACCACCACATGCACCAAATGCAAGAATGGCTACCACTCGAGGGAAAGTTGCAGCCCAGACTCGGATCTCCAGGAGACACTCGAGCTTAGTGCTAGAGAAGGTTGGAAACGCTGTGCATCGTGCGGGTCCATGGTTGAACGCATTGAAGGTTGTTTACATATGACGTACGTATTTCCTTCCTTGCACTTGTCGCCTTGGCTTTTGGGGTTGTTACTGATATGGGTGCCTCCAACAGCTGCCGGTGCAAAGCCCAGTTCTGCTACAACTGCGGTGGAAAATGGAGAGCTTGTCAATGTGAGAGGGAACAAGCATTATTTCGGTATCTTTGACTCGGAGAGGACATGGGACGAGCTCTATCTAATACTTAATTGTTAAGTGGCAAACTTGAATAAGTTGCCAGTGTGAGATAGCTGTACCGCATTTGTTGAAGAGGTTGAACAAGCAGGCCTGGATAGTACAGCCCTGAATTCAGATAGCAAATTATACTTTGTATGATCTTAAATAGCAAATTGTACCCTGTTTATTCCGAGATCCCTTTGTTTTGCAGATTTTAAAAAAGAATTCCTGTTAGTCCCGAGTGCTTCTGATTTCCGCAGACCAGGTCCAATGGCGAGCCTGAGGCAAAGGGATTTTTCGGGAGATAGCCATCACGTGATCTACCAAGTCACGCTCGGGCGAAAAAAGCCTTCAAAAGTTAAAAAGAAGATGCGAACTGTCAGTCCCATCGCACCCCAGTTCTGACCCTCGTCAACCCCACGTTGTATAATTCCTCTCGCGATACATTGCTTTCCGCGTCACTCCTCAGGCGTTTCCGACTCGATAGACTTCTTTCGCATCTCCCTTCCTGGCTTGACCCAGTTGAGACTATTTCGCCTCTGGTGACGTCCATCTGATCTGAGCAGTTGAGCTGGACAAAGCTGCTGTTGGAACCCCGTTGCAATCAATTCGCTTCTCCCCCGACCGCATATCTAAATCACATTCGACATGGATCACTCGAGAGACCCTTGCCCTTGGGTTGCCTTGAGCGACTTTGGTGGTGCATTTTGCATGGGTGTACGTCTTTGTCCCGGTGTACAATAGTGTCTCGGTATTTCGAAAATCGGAACTGACAAACTCGCTATCTAATAGGCCATTGGTGGTGCTGTATGGCACGGCGTTAAGGGATTCCGAAACAGCCCCTACGGAGAGCGACGGATAGGAGCCATCACAGCTATCAAGGCCCGCGCGCCCGTTCTTGGTGGTAACTTTGGTGTATGGGGTGGTCTTTTCTCAACATATGATTGCGCGATCAAGGGTATCCGAAAGAAGGAGGATCCTTATAATGCTAGTATGTTCTTCCGTCATGACCCGTTTTGTCGACGAGGATGGACTAACCGGATATATTCAGTCATTGCCGGTTTCTTCACCGGTGGCTCTCTGGCTATTCGTGGTGGTGTCAAGGCTGCTAGGAACTCCGCCATTATGTGCGCTGTTTTCCTAGCCGTCATTGAAGGTGTCGGTATTGGGTTCCAGAGGATGATGGCCGATAACACAAAACTTGAGGTAAGCTTGCAACTCCACAAATCCTTGGTTCTCGGTCTCACGTTTTATTTCTCTAGCTTCCCCCGGCCCCCCAAGATAAGGCCGTTGCCTAAACGATTGAATCACCTCACCCTTCCCTTCGAGACCTCCGATTTTCCGCGCTCAGCTGTATGCCCATAAACGTTACTGCTACATTATACTATATCTCTTCTCCGGTGTTAGGTCTGGGTTATCTTTATCAGGATGCATGGTATAGAGGTCATTTCCCGCGACGCGAGCTTCTATTCCCACTCTCAACTATTGCCTTAAAGAACTGGTTTTCACCGGCGATTTCTTTTGGATTTACAGCCCTGCTTGCATGTTGCTTTTCTGGGAGGCGAAAAAGAGGTTTCTGCTGCAGATCCTGGGGTTGGCGACCGGGGGCATGTCTCCAGTATGTTTTTCTAATTTCTTGTACATTACTATATGTCAATACCAGGATTAATGCGATACTCGGGTCATCTCTGTACTTGCTTCGAAATCCGAAGCTCGTGTGTTTCTGGGGCCGGGCCGGGGTTGGAGGGTCGATTTGCCGCTGACAGCATGACAGTCTAGGTAGCTTATCCGCATCCGGACGATTGTCCACATCGCCCCCCACCCTTTCACCGAGTCGATAAAACACCAAACATAATAAACAATAAACCCCGATGCCGTCCGAACCACTCTTCAAACCAACCCTAATTATCCACGGCGGTGCAGGCGCCATTCACCGCTCCGCACTCCCTCCAGACCTCTACGCGAGATACCATGCCTCCCTCCTCTCCTACCTCCGCTCGACGAAACACTTCCTCGAAAATGGCGCGACCGCCCTCGACGCCGCTGTTCACGCCGTATCCCTCATGGAAGACGACGAGCTCTTCAACTGCGGCCGCGGGAGCGTGTTTACTTCGGCGGGTACGATAGAAATGGAGGCTTCTTTGATGGTAACCTCCGTTGTACCTTCACGGGACGTGACAAATGAGAGCGCAGGCCTGAAGCGTGGTGCAGGCGTTATCGGGATCAAGAATGTGCGGCATCCGATACGGTTAGCGAGGGAGTTACTGCGTCGGACGGGGCAGGATGCGAACGGGAACCCCGTGGACACTGACGGCGGAGGAGGGAGTATGCATTCGCAGCTTGCAGGCCCATATGTCGAGGGCCTTGCCCGGGAATGGGGTCTCGAGTTCAAGCCCGATGAGTGGTTCTGGACAAAGCAGAGGTGGGAGGAGCATCGGCGCGGACTCGGCAAGGATAAAATTGATTCACATTCGGCATCCGAGGCGGATGGGGGACATACATTTCCCAGCCAAGGGACGGTTGGATGTGTCTGTCTCGATCAGTGGGGTGACCTGGCCGTTGCGACTAGTACAGGTGGGTTGACGAACAAGTTTCCCGGTCGCGTGGGCGACACACCGACGCTGGGCGCAGGGTTCTGGGCCGAGGCTTGGGATGTAGACGTTGGCGATGCAATTTCTCCTCCGTCTCTTGGGCTTGTTAGAGGGATGCGGTATGTACCGCCCAAGGGGCTAATCGCGATGCCTCCGACGGGGTCAAAGTCAGTATGGGATATGACACTTGCAGATTGCTTGCCTGGGTCATTGTCTTTCCTAAGAGCAACATTTGAACCGTCTGATATCGAGTCGAATACATCGCTGCTCTCTCACCAACTTTACAATGACCAGAAACCGAGCATTTCGCGCAGGAAACGGCGAGCCGTGGCCGTCTCCGGGACAGGCAATGGAGATTCCTTCCTCCGTACTGCCGCTGCCCGGACAGCATGCGCGATGGCACGGTTCTCTGGAGACACCGTTGGCCTCGCTGATGCCGTCTCTGCCGTCGCGGGTGCTGATGGAGAGCTCCAGCGGTCGGCGGGCAGGAGATGGAACAAGACGAGTGAGGGTATGGGCGGTATCATTGGCATCGAAGCTGAGTTCGATGACGAGGACACGGCTTCATCCTCGGTCTTGCGGAGTGGTAAGGTCGTTTTCGACTTCAATTGCGGCGGAATGTATCGGGCGTACATTGAGGATGTGGATGGGGAGGAGATAGAGAGGGTCATGGTTTTCAAGGAGCCGTACAGTAGTGACATATAGAGTCCATCTGGCCTCAAATAAACTATACACAATAGACGATTTATCACATCCTAACACTTGAGTGGTCACAGACCCTTCAATCTCGTCACTCGTTATAAGTTATAACTTGGAACAGGACGACCGTTGTCTTATCCGGGGTATCAAACCTCAAATTCTCATCGGGCCCATTAACCCTCCCCATATGCCCATTCGACACAGGATTATTTGTCCTGTTCTTCTTGTTTTGCCTGCTCGAGGATCGGACTCTTGAAAACAGCAGAATAAGTGCCGTGCGTTCATGTGGCTTTGTCGGACCATCCGTAACAAGTGGGGATAGATTAGAGTGGCGAACTAGCTCATACAGTGTCCAGCTGAAACGGGCCACCTGAGAAGACGCAGCTCAGGGAAGTCAGTTGTGATTCAAAGATCCTGCTTCTGTCTAATATCATCTAATTTGGAATATGTTGGATATGCGGTGCTGGCAGCCGTGCCCGCGCGTCGGGGGTGTGGGGAATCTGGAGATCGCGCGCAAGACCCACCCACCACCCACGAGACAAGAGATATCTGGACTAGTCTATTCTGAAATAGTACTAGCTCCAAGGTTTCGTGTAAAAAGGCAGAGGGTCGCCTGAGCTTGGGGTTTTCCATCGCTGTCAAACGATAGAGGAGTCGACACCTAAGGTTCTAAGGTTCAAAATGGAGATCCTTGTTTTGAATGGAGGTCGTTTCGCTGAGGTCAGGTTGCCTCTAGTCAGCCAAGATGGTCTATTTGTGGAAAGTTGCCATTCTTTTCTCGATTCATGATGACATAGCCCTAAATCATACAGTCCGGCACAAGCTCAATGTGGATCTCCAGATTGGGGCAGTGAACACGCGCCTCCCCCCCACATCAACAAAGCCATTTGAGCTACTTATGTAACTCTATTCGTATTACACTGATTCAGATATGACTAGATAGTAGGTCCGGCAGGCAGAATTGGGGTAGCATGGCCCAAGCCGCGAAGCCATTGCTCTCGGCCTTCATGAATGCTGAATGCCCGTGCTGGGACATTTTAGGCGGAAACAATGTCAAGCTCCCCAAATATGCCGTTCTGTGCTATGGTGATAGAATGGCTGTTATATATCCTTCCATGGCCTAATATGTAGACTTACCTTCGCCCTGGAAACCGGAAAACCGCCCAGCAGTACCAGCCCAGAAGAATCCTATCGAGTGCTTTAAACAAGCGACATAGAGCAAGAGACTGAAAGGAAGAGCAATAGCAGTATACCCCCTTAAATCCACGCGGTTGCACTCATAAAAAACTGCCGCTATGCCCCAGACACTATATTGACCAGCCAAAACGCAAGCCGCGCGATGAACATCATCTTCAACTTCGTCGGCCGAACCTCTGCCGGGGTCGACAAATTCAGCTGCCCAACTGCCATACTAAATACAAGGCGCCAGGCCATGGCGAGTGCCACCTACGTGAATCGGATGCGCGACTGCATGGTCCACATGGTTAGGATGCCGATTAGCAGGAGCGGCGCTGTTATCGCAAACATGCCCTAGATGTAGTTTGCGCAGGCAAAAGTATGGCGTGTAGATGAGCCTGGTAAGAAGGGTGCCAAAGAAGGAGAGGCCCAGGGCAAAGGAAGGGGGTAGATAATTATGGTGTCAAGCCTGAGTTGTTCAAAGGAGTAGGAGGAGTTATCTGCTAATATTGATAGCTATTTTATTAGTACTAGCTTTAAATTAAACAACAGCTAAAAGGCATGGTATACAAGCAAAGACGCCCCGAAGCATATTCTATTCAGAAATGCAAGGCAGGTAATCTCTATACATCAGTACTTACGACTGGCAGTAGTACCAGTATGTAGTACCGCGCGGAAATCTCCTCAAGGTTATCATTCGTAATGATAGCCGCCAATGTCTTGCTTAGATCTATATCCCCAGACATGCGCTGGAGGCGGACAAGTGAAGCCAGCACCAAATCCAGGCGTCCTGACAGACTTCGAGTCAGGAATTAGGCATGCAAACCAGATAAGCAGGATGTGAAAGACAGGCCATGTCCAGCCCAAAAGTGATTCAAGATTAACATTTATCTACGTGTGAGGAGAGACCATGGGAAATGCCATCTGCGAGAAATGGAAGGTCAATACTCCTCCTCGATTACGCCGGCTGGTTTTGATCTTTGATATGCTCCATCTAAAGGACTTTAAGACTAGCTTAACTGGAATTCAGAGATAGCTAATTTATCTGTTGGAATTTTCGATGTATTGTCCATAAGGTTAGGCCTTATCACAGGAATAAAAGTCCTAATTCTGTATTTAATCATCTGCAGCATTCAATATTCAAGTTCAACAAGTGGTGATTCCAACTTCCTAGATCCCAGAGACAAAAATTGCAGCTACTAGAATACATCAACCAAACATGCTATGATTTGACATATTAATATTGCCTTCCACGGTCTTTAACAGCGAGCCACTCAGGTACCCACGTTCTCTTGATGTTGAATATCCTCACTACCATCTTTCTTGGTCATCTCGATGGCAGGGTCAGTGGTAGCACCGACGCCGTTCTTTCGGATGATCTCCTCTTCCTTGATTCTATATCTTTCCGGCCTCTTGCGTGAGATGGCCTCCTTGTCGCGGAAGACTAAGAGAGGGGGATCAGTCCGGTAATACTCGTCTATATCTTCAAGGGTTCGTCCTGCAGTCTCCGGATAAAAGAAATATACTGCAGGCACCATTGCTGCATTGAGAGCAATCCAGACAATATAGAAGCGCCAGCCTAGGTTTTGAATTCCAATAGGTGTGATTTCCACAGCCATAAAATTCAAAATCCAGTTTGTTGCAGCTCCAAGTGCAGCACCCTTCGTTCGCATGGTGAGGGAGTTGATTTCTGTAGGGTATACTAGAGAAGAAGTTAGAGATAATCTCCAAGAAGAAAGGTTGTAAATGGGATACTCACACCATGGGATACCCTGCATACCAATTCCGAAGAAGACGTAGTACAAGAAGAAGAATGCCACAGAGGCGGATGCAACTTGCTGGGAATTGGGATATCCCGGCAGCTCGTTATACCGAAGGAGTGAAGTGATAATGATATAGCAAAAGCATTGCACCATTGCTCCAAAGATCAGAGTATTTCGTCGACCCCATTTGTCGACTTGGCGAATACCGAGAAGGGCCCAGAGAAGGTACTGAACTCTGTTACATGCGGCCAAAAGGCGTGCAAGATCCGGACTTAACCCAACCAAAGTTGCTAACACAGTTGGCATGTAGTTGTTGAAAGGAGAGCTCATATTCTAGATCATTCTGTTGTCCTTTCAGTACCTTCTCGCTTAACCACGATAAGATGTCTCTTTATTACCTCTGGATATAAATATCTGTATCTTAGCGTGGTCACTCCTTTTTATTATCATCCATCTCTGTTAATTACAGCTACTCAGAATATATTCTATCTCCTTACGTTCTACAGTAGTAGCTCATAACATTAATGCCAGCGAGCTGCTGCATTGATTGTGCTCCCATTCCTGGAAATAGGCGACGGATCGTCTTGGTGCCGGATTTGTTCGAACCCCGACCCCGGGAGAGATCGCCCCAGCTCATTCCATTGGTACGTTCGTACTCGACAGAGTATTTGATGCTCTGCATTTTGGATAGAACGAATGCGTCGGTTGTGGTCTTGTCCTCGATATCAGATAGAATCTTCAACGCTTCTTCATCTCGATCCTTTGTAATAAGCCATCTGGATAGACAATATAGGTTAGTGACCAGTTGTAACGCAGACGTCAGGTAGAGGTATCCTTACCACGGAGACTCTGGAAGCCAAGGGATAACGAGGTAGATCATAATGATGAAGACCAGCTGGAAGGCAAGAGGAAACCGCCATGACACGGGACCGTTGGCAAAAGCAAGGCCATAGTTGAGCCAATTAGAGATACGAAAAACCAACAAGCAAAAGAGCATTTTGTAGAATGACGAGCTTTCCTTTCAACCGGGCAGGGGCAGTCTCAGTCTGCCAGACAGCTAATGTTGAAGAGCTGATTCCATTGCCAATACCAGAGACAATCGGTGCAACCATCATATAAGGAACGCCGTAGGAGCTAGTCTGGAGCACTGCTCCAATGGTCATGATGAAGATTCCGAGAAGAACAGACTTCTTGCGTCCTAATTTTCCTCCGATCCAAGTTGCTAGAACTGCTCCCAAGAAACAGCCGACATTGTAGATGGCGGTCACTGTACTGAGAAGCTCGGTCTTTTCGGGGCCTTCCAGGTCATGAACGCGAAGGTAATCCGGGGAGATAACGCGCCACCAAAGACACCCTACATTGTATTAGCACAACATTAGCCGAGACCATCGTCAAGCAATGACTTACCTGGTCGTAGCCATAGAGAGCCATATCGGCACCTCCACTGCTGCATGGTTCTATCTCCGGAATGTGCCATGCTTTCAGCGTACCCCACGGGGATGGACAAAAATTCGCACAGTTGGGACGATAATGGATAGAACGGAGTCCGAATTCACCCAATCAATCTTTAGAATCTAAGCAAAGCGACATTTTACGACCGAGACGATACAGAGAAAAGTATCGCTGTTCCCACGAGACGAGGACAGCCTAACGATGTTGCGGTTGATTGGATAGTTCCTGACTCGTGGAGATGAAACCTGAGCCGGTGTTGGGCTCGGTTCTCCAACATTCCAGGGAGGACTCCGTGAGCAGTACTGGAGAAGCCCTGTCGTCACCGTAGTCTGACAGCTATGTGCATGTTTCGAGGCACTGAAGCGCTAGGTCCCCTTCTTTGATCGGCATTGTCTCGGATAAAGGGCTTGGAGGAGCCCAAATGGAAACCAGAATTTTCCAAATCCAAATCCTCCTTGCTGAGTAAACTGCGACAAAAACACGTACTACCACGATGGATGTCTTCAACCTTCCGAATCAAATGAAAGCTCTTGCTTGGTATGTTAACATGAGTTTGGGCAGAAGGCGAACGCAGTCTGAATTGAGCTGACTACGCAGAGTACGCGGAAGCTAGGAAACCGCGAGTAGTTGAGAAGCCTCGGCCGGAGGTCCGAGAAAATGACCTGCTGGTATTTCTTCACGGTCCCAGAAAACAATCTCCATAAAACTGACCAGCCGTGTATGAATATAGATAAGAGTGAAAGCCTGCGGCGTATGCGGAACCGACTTACATATCCACGACGGAGAGTTCGGAGCTCAGGTTAAAAACACCGTCGCTATAAGTGACTTACAGCTGACGGCTATAGTTCCCAGTAGTTCCGGGTCATGAAACAGTCGGTGTGGTGGCCGCATTAGGATCTAAGGTCTTGCAAGGGCTTTGTAGTTGGTGATCGCGTGGTGGCAGACAACTCGGAACTGTGTGGAGAATGCTTTTACTGTCGCCGTGGAAAGGAACTTTTCTGCGAGAAGTTCGTTGCACGCGGCGTGACTGTCGATGGTGGCTTTGCCGAATACGCCGTATACCCAGCTAAGAGAGTCTTCCCTTTCAAGGGCATCTCAGATGTAGACGAAACGCTGATTGAGCCTGCGCCTGTGCGGCGCAAGGAATCGACAAGATTGCACCTCATATGGGATCTAAGGTGAAATGAACAAGTTCCCTGCGGCGATTGACTACCTCGGTTAGTTCCCCCTATACCCTTCCTGTATTAATCAGTGACTGACCCCTACAATCAGCGACGGGCAAGGTTCGTGTTACTGGCATTATCAACCAGACGTTCAAAGTCGAGCAGTGGGAGGAGTGTCTGGAGGCGATGAGGACGAAGAAAGTGATCAAGGCAGCGATTGTTTTCGATTAGACCAAAGTTACGCGTAAAGGAGAATATATAATTCATCGGGTGCTTGTTGAGCGAAAAGTGACACTACTCAAGTGCCCCAGACGAACTAGTGCATCTGCCCCTCTAGGACAAGCTTGCCTGCTTCCATGTTCCCCAATGTTCTCTACCACCAAGTCCTTCTTCTTCAGTGGTGCTATACCAGGGTATAATAAGGTGCTCTGGGTTATTTCAGAACCCACCATTCCGAATTGAAGCTACCAGTTCCGCTATCAACCGAAGAAAATGACTACAGTCCACGATTTTTGGCCTAGAACTGGAGTTTGCGAGCTAGATTTAACTCCTACTGGCTCGTAATAGAATCAACCAATCACTAATGATGACATACATAATGGCCGCGGCATGCCAAGGGCTTGAGAGTGCTCTTTAGCCATGGTAGAGCCGTGCCTGCATCAGCTCTGCCTTGTTAAGACGCTCGTTGGCCCCAGAAATAGGCTATATAGATATATATCCAACAGATAACGAGATCTCGATGGCAATATGAACCGTCACTTCCATGTGTGATCTGACACACAGCTCAAACTTTGAACCAGCGCTTCGATCCGGTGAGACACAGTCGGTCCGGAATCATCACCACGAAACACTTGACTACCGATTTTTCAGTAGAATGCTTGCGTATGTTCCTGTCCCACTCTGTTCCTCATGGGATTCGAACGTCCTCCACATCTGCTTCAACTCACTGCCAAATGAGTGAACAGGCCACCCAGTTCGTTGACGACACGACTCCAGGAGCTCTAGTACGCAGTCGCGAGATCGACTGTCTTGTGTGAACGTTCCCGCTATAAATAAACATTGGGAAGATATTAGGCTCGATGCATCATCTTTCAACGCCATGGCAATTCCACAAATGATCTCCACACATTGCCGAATGCTCGTTTGCCGCTCCAGGAATTGATCTATCCCGTAGAGACAAGGCTCATGTGAGGCAATCAGAATATGTGCAACACAGTGTAGTTGCACAGCAACAGCAAATGCAGGAGTCCTAATCCAGATGGGACGGAAGGGCGCCTTGGTGCTGACTGTCGTGGGCAATGGAGTGAACTCGACCGTTAGATGGCTCCACCATTCGTCTAGCATATTGCGCAAATGCTTCGCCCTGTCAATCCTTGCCTGCAGATTGATTTCTGCAAGAAGGCTCTCCTCCCGTGAGCAGTAGTTTATGACCTTTGCAAGGACAAACATAGAGCGAGACGCAAGCTCCGCTGGAGAGAGAGACGCGTATGTCTTTTTAGGGACCCAAAACGTTAATGTCTTGCGCCTCTCTCGATATGCCGCCCAAACATCTTGGCAGAGCCACGCCCACCAAACTGCACTTTTAAGTCCACCAGAATCTCCATGGATCACCTGAGAACGCTGGATCAGGAAGACACCTTCCAAGTGCCGCTGCCAGTCTTGACTCGAGTCATCCAGCATCTCATATGTTGAAATAATGAGTGTGGTTGCTAGAAGTTCCAAACTAGTTTTATAGCTGGAATATTGCATAGCTTTTTGCACGTAGTGTAGGGTCTGGTAGTAGTACTGGAGTGCCGCTTCGCGATGGGTTTGGTGGTCAGGTGTCGGCCCTTCTGGATTGAGCGCTATATGACGAGAAGAGAGGGCTAGAATGGCGTTCAGGAGCCCGGCATTGCGCATCGCAAGATGAGGAACGAAGGTGGAGAATTTGTTTGTCGGGTCGAAGAGATCAATCTACACTTAGTGGTTAGAAATGTGAAGAAACGAACTATACAAGAGCCATACCCAGGGGCTAATACGCTGCACAAAGTTCTCAAAGAGAGAATACTCCCGCGGAAGAAGCTGAATCGGCTCTTGCGCTTGCCATAACGTCTCCTCAGAGGATGAACCCACAGGCGAGTCAACCGGATGCGTATCCACGTCACGAAGGTTGTGATCTACAATCCTAGTTGCGCGCTGTAGAGGCGTGATTTGCGATACATCCGTACCTTCAAGTCGCTCCAAAGAGCTAATGTCTGGATAGTCTGCGCCTGGAACTTGGGGACTCTCTCTGATAGCATCATTCGCAAGCAGGTCGAACCACCTTACGGTGGCGGTATTAACCGTTAACCTAGGAGATCCTATAGAGCTTGTGACGGAATGTGGTATATCAGGGGAATAGTGTGTGGCAAGGGCATTGCCAATATTATGCGGGGATGTGGTATGATCAATGGCTACAATGGCGGCAAGTTGGTCGAGCGGATGTAACGGAGAATGGCCATTGCCCTGAGGCCGCGAGGAGATAGTTGAAATTTGCGGTTCATGCGGCGAAAGTACCCCAGGCGACTGGTGGGGGCCTGCTCCTGTAAATGATGAAGGATCAAAGGGAACGGATGGATGTGTTCTAGTCGCGGGGCGTTGCTTTCCGCCATGCTCCTCCACAGGTCCTTCAGGGGGTTCTGCAGGAGAATTCTGTAGAGGCTCTTCAGACGGCTCAATACGGCTGCGAAGGTCGGATAGCTGCGAGTAAACGCATTGCCGGCTGACCTTGAGGCAGGGACCACAGGCTGGCTTGACTTCGTCGCATTTCAGGTGCCGCTTGCGACCAGTTGCACTACAATTATTCGTCAGTAATTATTCAAGATGAAGTTTCAAGTAGCGCTGCGATTAAACAGAGTTCAAGCAAGCAGCAACCAACGCGAAACCAAAATCGGCAGGGAGCACTGCGAGCAGGTAGCCGAGAAACATACATACCAGCCAGTTGTCGTGCGCAGACCGCGTCCACGGGATTTTCGATTGCGAGATAGTCGAACAGGCGTGGAAGTATCATTGACCATCCTGGTAATCTGAAGTCGCGAATCGACGAGTGATGGTCATTGCGATCGTGTGCGAGTGCTGCCGTCTCGAGGTAGTGGAGAAGAGAGGAAAGGGTTTTCTGCCTGAGGCCTGAATCTGGGGCGTTTCCTCGGTTGGACCCCAAAATTCGCCTCCGATACTTGCGAAGCCTAATTGAGAGCCTGAGGCACAAATTATTTCCACCATGGATAAAATCCGTGCTTTGAGGTTCAACATGGAATTTGGAACTGGAGGGGTACAAGGTGGCCATCGAGGTGCTTGCGAGTTCAATCATCGTTTGCTAGCGAGGCCATTTGATTGCATGCTCGCCTGCGCACATGGGCACCCTGGGCCACGAGCTGGTACTTCCTAGATTGGTCTAGCCCTCGCAGAAACCTGAAGTCAACTTTCAGCCTGAGGTCTCTTGACGAGTGGTTGAACGTAGCTACATATTGAACTTGACTGTCCAAGTGTTTTTTGATTAATGAACCTGTCAACTACTCAAAGACGTGGCATAACCTGGACACCCCTGGCTAGATGCCAAGGAGTGCCCCTTTGACAGCGCCTTTCAAGCTCGCTTTCCACAGCCGACTCTCATTCAACAGAAACATTTCTCCATTCCTCCCAAAGCAAAAGTTCGCAACGCCTCCTTCGACCAAAATCCGCCCAAGAAGTTCTCCCCCAGGCGACCAGACATTGACTCCGTCTCCGCAGCCACTATAGACATTTCCTTTCAAATCCGTCTTGATCCCGTCGGGTATTGCGCTGTCGGCCATAGCGAATAAGCGGCGATTCGTGAGGAATGGTTGACCATGGTATAACACGACGTCGAATGCATAGCTGGTTATCTGTTAGCTTTCACGATTTCCGAGAAACTGTGACAGGTTGGATGGAGCTCTTAGGCTCCAAATCTTACATTGATGATGGTCTGGTGTCATCGCTCGTTCCATCTCCATGGATCCAATCTGTGTCGGTTACATAGACAACCTTCTCATCTGGCGAGAAACAGATGCCATTCGGTCTCCCAAACCCATCCGCCATAGCGCGAATGCTCCCGTCAACTGGATTGAATCGATAGACCTGATTCGGGAGCCTAGGCGCAGGTCGATACCCCTGCTCATACCCATAAATTGGGTCGGTGAACCAGATGGTGCCATCGCTGTGGACAATAACATCGTTGACGGAGTTGAACGGCCGGCCGTGGAAATCGCTTTTCAGGAGTGTCGTCGAATATGGAGGCGTGATGGACATATGATACAGTCCGCTTGGCGCATCCATTGACCCCTGCGCGCAGACGATAATACCATCCTTGTAGTTGACTCCGCCATTGGCCATTGGAATCGGGACCGAGATTTCCTCACATGTTACCGGACTTGAAGCGCTGGGCTTGTCGAGGTGGACTCTGCTGATTTGGACTCGTTGCCCGGCGACTGCGTCATGGATGCGATTGCTCGTTATGAAGAGTTCATTGCGGGAGGCAATGAATATACCCGCTTCGTGAGCGAACGGATATGAATCATTCTCGGCTAGAAGTTCCAGAGTCGGCCCTTCACCGAGCATTGCGCGAAACGCGTCATTGTGGACAACGAATGGGCCGGAGGATGACATGGTGTCGGCTGATGACCGAACAACAATGTACATTTGAGGGGCAGTTTATATCCCGACTCCCCGGAGGTCGTCACTCGGGTCGCCCGTATCGGTACATGTGGGTCAGCGCCCCAAAGCGACGATTCGCCTTGATCAAGGCACCTCCAATGTGTGGGGCACGGGAATCTGGGAAAATCGCAGGTCTTCCGTGAGAACTGTACCCCGTCTCGCGGCACAGTGGCCCCAGCAAATTTCGCGCAAACTCGGTCGGAGAGCAGCATCATACATATTCAGCACGATGGCCCTGGCTGAGAAAAAAAACTGCGCCTATTACTGAAGCAGCAACCGACAATAAAACACCATGGCTGACTGGAAAGAAACAAACACCCATATCCGCATCCTCCGCGATGCCGAAGCGGGCGGGTACGGCGTGGTCGCGGTAATCGCATACAACATCGAGCAAGTCTACGGATTCATCGAAGCCGCCAAAGTCGCGCGATCTCCTCTCATCATCCAATTCTTCCCATGGGCTATTCAGACCTTCGATGGTATGCTCGTGCGGGCAGCCGCTGAAGCCGCTAAGAACGCTGGCGTTCCCATTTCCATTCATCTCGACCATTGCCAGTCGGAAGAACTTCTCCAGAAGGCAGCAGAGCTGCCATTCGACAGCATCATGGTCGACATGTCACATTACGAGAAGGAGGAGAATATTCGCAAAACAGCCCACTGGGTGCGGCATTGCAACGAGAGGCATATCGCCACGGAAGCTGAGCCGGGCCGCATCGAAGGTGGAGAGGATGGAGTCATGGATACCGCGGGATTAAAAGCTTGTATGACGACGCCAGAGGAGGTCGATGAGTTTGTTGCGACGGGAGTGGACACTCTAGCTCCCGCGTTTGGCAACGTTCATGGTGAATATGGCCCACAGGGACCTCAGTTGGATTTTGAAAGGTACGGACCCGCAGAAAGTTTCAACTGCTCGTTTCTGACATGACACAGACTCGAGAAGATCCGATCATACGCGAACCGCAGAGTGCGTATCGCGGTACACGGGACGAATGGGTTTCCGCCTGAGTTGGTAAAACGTTGTATTGCAGCCGGGGCAAGCAAGGTCAATGTCAACAGACTGGTGCTTGATGACTACTACGACCATCTCTACGCAAGCGCCGGGAAGATGCCTCATACAAAGCTGATTGAGGAGGGGATAGAAAAGGTCGTTAACTTGACGGTCAAATGGTTGGAAATCGTTGGTTCAGCAGGGAAAGCTTGAAGGGCTACAGCAGCCCTTTTACGGCTGCACAGCAGGGTTGTTCATCCATTCGCAAACTAGAAATAGAACTTTCAGCGTCATGATTTTAGGGTCTGTTCAGTTCATGATAGGGAGGCCGATTCATCAACTGACTGCTTTTGGCAGGCACGACTAGCAACTCTGGGGACCTAATGGGTCAGTCCTTCCAGAAACCGCAACCCCGCCAGGTCGTGCCTTCCTTCCGTCCGAATTTAATCCATATATGAGGAAAGAGCCATCCTCAACCACACCTTCCTCGCCTGTTGCTCGTACACAAGGCAAGAGCGACCCGCGAGCCGTTACTTCCTCGCTTGGAGACATATGTATAACGGAAGGAGCGATCGACTGCTCGGCGGGGGATGCCTTCCTTGTCAGCACAACTCGATGTTGAGGAAAGAGCTACCCCAGCGCCGTTCCTTCCTCTCCTGGTTACTTAAGTATAAGAGGAAGGAACGACCAGTTACGCGCTCCTTCCTCAGATATTCAGCCTATAAGAGGAAAGAGCTACCCTTATCGTACTTTTCTTTTGTGCCACTGACCGAGTATAGAAGGAAGGAACAAGTGCCCTTCCTGTCAACATCTTTCACGTCCCTTACTACGAGCTATCAATCGCCCTTGCCTAACCCAGTCGCACATTCTACACTAAGCGCATGCCCACAAGCGGACAACGACGATGTATTTCTACTAGAATTACTGCAAGTTGCTAAACATTCCTCCATCAGCTAACAACCCTGACCCGTTGACATATCGGCTCATGTGTTCAGAGGCCAGGAACACCGCCGGCCCTGCTATATCTTCTGGATCTCCAATCCTTCCCAGCGGAATTCGTCCCTCGAGATATGCCTTCTTTGTCGGGTTCTTCATATCGTGGTCCGCCAGCTGCGTGTTGATTGTCCCTGGAAGTAGCGCGTTGCATCGGATATTATGTTTGCCCAACGAGATTGCCATCGATTGCATGAGCGATAATACCGCTGCTTTTGTCGGCATATAGTGTGTTTGTAGTCCACCTCCGACCAGCGCGCTCACTGATGATATGGCGATGATGGATCCTCCTTCGCCTTGTACGACCATTTGACGGGCAGCCGCTTGACAGGAATAAAATGCGCCTTGAACATTCACATCGAGACTCTGCTTTAGGAGGGCTGGCTCGATCCTGGCAGCTCAAGGTTAGCTTGCCGCTGTATTCCAAGGCATCGGAGTTGCTCACTCCAGGAATTCAGCCTGTTTGAAAACGCCTGCGTTCGCAACAAAGATGTGCAGCCTTCCCCATTGCTTCACAGCCGCCTGAACGAGGTTATGTCTGCGGGTCCGTGACGTCCCCAGCCAGTTCGAGGACTTGTCCCGCAAGGGAGCCGTTCTTGTGCAGTGCGTCTACCTCCGCCAAAAGGCTGTGGCGCAGGTGTTCATCCTTGGGTACACCCAGGTGGTTGATGGCGACGTTGCAGCCTTGCCTGATAAATTCGAGAGCAATTGCCCGGCCGATTCCAGTTGTCCCCCTTTGTCATTTCTCAGATTAGTTTTGTTCCAGATAACTTGGGCATACTATATAGTATTCAGGAACTTACCCTGTGATGGCGGCAGTTTTGCCCTTCAAGATGTTCCACCCTGGGAGTGTAGCCATGCTTAGTGAAACAGTGAGACCCGAGACTAACGGGCAAATGCAAATCCATCCTGTCTATCTTATTGTCGTCTGTCCTGGATGCTTTTTTTTGCGGAGCAATTCACTCCCCGCAGTGGGGTGAACACGGATGCCCGCGAGACGGTGAACACCCTCCATCATTTCCCCGATCCCCACCCGAGGCCTAACGTCAGCTCTGATTGGTCACCGCTCATGTCTGTACTCGTTTCGAGGGTAAAATATAGTACTACCTAGGTAGTATGCAATGCAAGTGTATCCCCTCGTCATCATGGATCGAGTCCTGCTGATCTCCAACAAGGTACATCAACAATTGATTGTTATAAGTAGTTCGTCTCTCACTTTTTTACTTTTGCTGGCCCCTCCAACATTCTCATCTGCAGATACCCCTTCAGCCCCTCATTCTCCTCCAAGATGTCTCAATCCACAGAACAGCCTCAAACTGAGCTCACGCTCGCCTCCAAAGTCATTGCCAGTACGCCCCTCCCCCGCTATTCCCCAGTTTTTGACAGCATTGAACAAAAATAACACTTCCCCGCAGTCACCGGTGCCAACCGCGGAATCGGCCTTGGTATCGCAGAGTCCTGCCTGGTCAACGGCGCCGCAGCAGTCTACTCAATCGACATCAGCGACAAGACAGGCGATGACTTTGCTGTGCTCTCCAAGCGTTTCCCCGGAAAGCTCCACGCCATCACAGCCAACGTCACAGAAGAAGAAACGATCATCGCGGCCATCGACAAGATCATTGCCGAGGCCGGAGGCTTACATGGTATGGTTGTGAACGCTGGCCGAACACACCACAAGGCCGCGCTCGATTTCACAAAGGATGAGATTACCACACTTTTCAACGTCAACCTCTTTGGGGCTTTCTTCACTGCTCGTGCTGCGGCAAAGGCGTTTATCAAGCAAGGGGTTAAGGGGAGTATCGTTTTCACGGCGAGTATGGCGTCTTACCGGCCGAACAAGGTACGTTTTCTCTCTTCTCATCTGCTCTTTGAGACCTACTAGTAGTATCTCTGTGGGATCGTGCTAACAGCGCGTTCTAGCGCGTCCCCTCAGCACCCTACGGCGCTTCCAAGGCTGGTATCCGCAACATGACACACACGCTCGCTATGGAATGGGCGCAGTACAACATCCGCGTAAACAGTGTTTCCCCCGGACTTGTTCAAACAGCAATGACATACTGGGTGCCTCAGCAGCCTGATTGGGAGCAGCAATTGAAGTACTACGGTGGTATGCCGAGACTGGCTGATACCCGGGAGCTTGGTGGAGCCTATGTCTACTTGTTGAGTGATGCTGCGAGCTACACGACCAGCATTGATATCCCTGTCAATGGAGTTATCGGAAGTAAGTTCTGGCTCTTTGATTTGAGAGTTTTGGGTGCTGACTTTGGTTGCAGTTTGTTAAGAGTGGATGTTGGGGACGCCGGGGCTTCCAATCGCGGCTATGACAACATGGTTGGTATTCCTGTAAAAGAATGAATAGACCAATTTACTTCGCTTTGCGATCACACTGATTATAGTAGCTCGTAATAACGGTATAAGTCTCCACATAAGCATCTGTTAATTATCATCCTGAACCCATTGTAGAGGCAGCTGAATTGTCTCAATATCGGCTGGGTAATCACCACCCCTCAAGAGGCGTAACCCTCGCAAGAACCCCATCCCAGGGCGAGATCGTCGCACTCCGCTTAAGCTTGAGCTCCGCATCCGGATTCTTCAACTCCATATGGAATCGTCCCACGGTGGCAGCGACAAGAGAAGCCAACTCGGCTTTGGCGAATCCCTGACCGATGCAGCTTCGCGGGCCGTGTAAGAAGGTAAGAAGGGCATAATTACTGGTCGCCCCGCCGGTATTGGCTTGCCCAGGAACAAGCCATCGCTCCGGGTCGAATTTGTCCGCGGTAGGTCCCCAGAAATCCTTGTGATGGTTGACGACCTCCGCAGAGATGATCAGCTGCACGCCCTTGGGGATCGGGGTTCCGGCGAGCGTAGTATCGTGCGTGGTATCGCGCATCGTCAGAGGTACAGAGGGGTGGAAGCGGAGGACTTCGTTGCAGAATGCATGGAGATACGGGAGTGAGTCCAAAGTGGCTGCTGTGATGGGCTCTGGGTTTTCGACTGAGATGGGAGGAAGATTGGCGCGGATTTCTTCGCGCAGTCGGGCTTGTACTTCGGGATGCTTGCAAAGAGCGTAGACGGCCCATTGTAGAGCGGTTGATGTAGTTTCGTGGCCTGCCGCTAGGAAGGTCATCATCTGATCGACGAGTTCCTCGTCGGTAAAGTTCCCGCTGTTGACCGCGACAGACAAAATGTCCTTTCCAGTCTCTGCTTGTGCTGGATTGTGCTTAATGGCCTCCTTTTGCTCGTTGATAAGCTGCTGTGCCACGCTCCGAACATAATTGCTACCTTCCAGTATATCACGGTTGCGCTCTACCGGTAGAGCTTGGATTGGCTTGACGTTGCCCATGACAAAGGCAATGACAAACAAAACCTGGAGCCAAACTGGGGCTTCCTTGAGCACTCGGTGATACTGTGCGGCTAGCTCATTCTTTGGGTCAGCGAGGGATCCAAAGTCTCGGTTCATGCCTGCGAGGCCAATGATATCTAGCGTGGCTCTACTCGCCCATGCCCTTATTTCGACGACATTATCTTCGCCACTTCCGCGGCCCTTTAGCTCGTTTTCGATACATTTGACCATTTCAACACTCTTACTCCAGAAAATCGGATAGAGGTCCTTGATATGGCGGTACGAGAAGGCAGGCATGAGGTTTTTCCGATGTCTCTATTGGAGGCTCAGCTCGGGGCCCTACGGAATCGAAGCATGAAAAAACTCACCTTGTGTTCAAGCCCCTCTACAAGCAGTATGCCAGATTTGCCCGCTATACGGCCCAAAGAGCGGCGCATCATTGCGGGCTTCTCAAACTCGTATGAATTCTGCACGAGCAGTTCGCTCAGCGCCTTTGGGCTGTACACTAGAATTCGTTCCATATTCCCAAACAGATAGTAACGGAGCAGCCCATTGTTCGGCACTGACTTGGTCCATTCAATCAGGTCTTCAAATGGCGTTTGGAGCAAGTATGTGCTTGCGTTGCCTGTGATCCATGATCGTTTCTGTGTCGAATGAGTAAAACTGACATATCACCCGAGAGAAAATGTGAGTAGCCTTGCACTTACGGGCGGCGTGGGAATGTGTTTGATGGGGGTTAAGTATTTTGGGTATAGAAAGGAGAGGTGGACTATACGAAATGCAGTCAAGGCTGAAGCGAGGATGAAAAAGGTAGAAAAGCTAGAAATAAAGAACGAGTATGCAGCGACGCCAACATAGATCATTCCCCAAGGTGTGCGAGCCATCTTGAGACGATAGACCTCGAGGCCAAGGGATGAGAAAGAAATGAGGCATAAGAAGACATTAAGAAAAGTGGTGAACGTCAACAAATATGGCAGCCAATGACCACGTGGGGAGATATCAAGAGGGCCGATTTATAGTAGCAGACTTGTGCTCAGAAAGGTGGGCGGGCCTGTGAGTCTGGAAATGACCAGCCAGACAGGCAGAAGTTTCATGACACACCCCCTTGCGAGCGGGCGCTGATGGCGTCGGTTTAGTGTGCTGTTCACGGGCGCTGATTGGCGTTGACTGCGACGACGGATGCGACCGAGCCAACAAATCTGAGACGGAGGATAAAGCAATTGGATCCTGCCAGACTCGGTGCCAGGTGCTCAACAAAAGCCCGTAGTACGGTAGTACGTTGCGAGGCTGTGCTTGGTTTAGCTGGAACGCTTGGTTTTGGTGGAGTTGCAGAGGATCGCTTTTTCTATTCCATTACAAAGATTGTCTAACACTGCCATACAAAACCCATAAATCGCGATAGGCCTTCCCCGAAGGCGCTTTTCAAAATCACATTCATTATTCATACCAATATTCTCGCATCTTACATCTTCTCACCAGCAGCCTGCTTCATCTGGCCGTACTTCTTCAGACGGATAGCAGACACACCAATGAAACCGGTGGTCTCGGCGGGCGAGAAGTCACCAATCTCGTCCATGCTGGACTCGGACATATCGTACAGCTTCTCGGTCTCGGAAGAACGACCAAGGATGATCATGTTGCCCTTGTAGGCGCGGCAGCGGACCTTGCCGTTGACGGACTTCTGGGAGGCAACAATGGACTGTTCGAGGAACTCGCGCTCGGGGGAGAAATAGAGACCGTTGTACAGAAGCTGGAGAAAAGATGATGAGTAAAAAGACGGCGGAACGATGTGAGGAAAGACAAACCTTAGAGTAGTTGACGGTGACAAACTGATCACGCAGAGCACGGACTTCACGGTCAAGAACAAGACCTTCCAGGTCACTATCACCGTTGTGTTAGCTTGTAACTATAATTAGTGATGTTGGTACATACATGTGAGCCGAGCGCAGGCAGGTAAGACCAGGGGTCTCGTAGCAGCCGCGAGACTTGATGCCGATGAAGCGGTTCTCGACAATGTCGATACGGCCGATACCGTTGCGGCGAGCAATGGCATTAGCAGTCAAAAAGAGGTCAACAGCATCGGTGGCGGTCTTCTGCTCGCCGTTCTCGGTGTACTCAAGCTTGACGGGAAGACCCTTCTCGAAGTGGACGGTGAAGTCCTCAGGCTGGTCAGGGGCGGAGAGAGGGTCAACAGTGAGCTTCCACATGTCGGCGGGAGGAGTGATATCGGGGTCCTCGAGAATACCAGCTTCATAGGAGCAGTGAGCTAGGTTCTCATCCATACTCCAGGGCTTGGACTTGGTGGAAGTGACGGGGATGTCCTTCTCGGCAGCATAGGCGAGGAGATCGTTACGGCCAGCAAAACGCTCGTAGAAGACGGGGTCACGCCAGGGAGCAATGACCTTGATGTCGGGCTGAAGGGCGTAAAAGGCGAGTTCGAAGCGGACCTGGTCGTTACCCTTTCCGGTGCAACCGTGGGAAACAGCGAAACATCCCTCCCTCTATTTTGCCCAATGATAAGCTTGTGCTCCAAGGTATAGCAGGGATATCAAGAAATACTAACGCGTGCGACGTCGATCTGGGCACGGGCGATCACCGGACGAGCCAGAGAGGTACCAAGAAGGTAGACATTCTCGTAAATGGCGTTGCAAGCAATAGCGGGGAAGCAGAGCTCCTCAACGAATTCCCCTATACGCCACAACGTTAAACAACGGTCTCTTTGGTTTTATAATCAAGGCTATTGTACGTACGGCGAAGGTCGACAATCTCGGCCTTGACGGCACCGAGCTTCAGGGCCTTTTCCTTGATGGCATCGAAATCCTCTAGGGCGGGGTGTTAGAACGAAAGTAGCGGTGGAGGACAATCGTCGTGAATTCTGTACCTTCTTGGCCAACGTTGGCAGCTGAGAGCTTGTTAGTACTGAAGCTGAAGCTGGACTTATCAATTGATCAGAAACTTACTGAAAGCGACGACTTCGTAACCCTCATCGATGAGCCATTTCACTGTGTGGTTTAGATTAGTTGGAGCACGTGGGGAAGTTGACAAAACAGGTGGAGGCTAACAGATGATGCTGGTGTCGAGACCACCGCTGAAGGCGACACAGATCTTTCCTTTGCCCATTTTGGATTCGATTGAAGCTGACAATTGAGTGAATTGGAGTAGTGATTGAGAAGAAAGATCAGGAGAAAGAGATGGGAGAGAAGAGGGTCCGAGGTCGGGAGATAGTTTTGAGTCACCCCAAAGAAAAAAAGTTTTGGCGGGATGCGGCCCACGGAGGAGACGCGCTACTCCGAATCATTGCTTTAGCGCCTTGGCACCGATAAGAGTCAATTAACGCAGCAGACTTGAGGCTCGAAGATACAAACAAGCTTGCATAAGATGGTTCCGAATCTTCAGGGAAAAGTCGTGCGTTCAGGAGTTCATTGCCGGGTTGACCCCTGGGATGCTGTACCTGGAGGGCGACTGGGGCAATGCTGCTTGAGACGAAGTAGTCCGCAAATCGCAAGATAAAACACAGGACATGACGTACTGTCACTACTGTACAGGGTTTGGTTTGCATCTCAATCATCCATTAACTATACTTTACAGAGGAATGTATTCTTTGTTTGGAGTGCTTGCCAAATATTTGTGTTTCGCCCTGTTAGAACACTGGATGTATTTCCAGCGCTGCCCTCTGACCCCGCGGGGTGAGCTCGAAATATCCAGAAGCCAATAGCTCCCCTACACACAAAAGCGAAAGACTAATCTAACAGCTGGCTGGCTCCGTGTCAAGGTCGCATTGAGAAGCGATATTTTGCATTTCGCATTTCGCAGCCAGATTCTATCCGGCGTCGCCGTTTTCATCTCGGCGGCAATTCCTGACATCACCATGATACTTGAGCGCCCCAGGAAACCCCTGATATTGGGCTACAGTTGATCAGGAATTGCACTTACAACAACTCGACAACCATCAGAAATGGCTTCCAACTCAGCTCCCAGTCTTGAGGTTAAACCCGCCTCTGGGGTCCCCTACTTCACCCCTGCTCAGGAACCTCCTGCGGGAACTGCAGCCGATCCGCAGTCGGACGGAGCGGCCATTCCTAAGCTCTTCCAGCCTCTTAAAGTGAGGAGCCTCACGTTGCACAACCGCATCGCAGTGCGTAACTCCTAGTTTCCTACCCCTGTCTAACACATTTGGTCCCGATCGAGGAACCACAGATACTTTTTAGAATTTATCGCTAACTCTTAACCGCGTTACCAGCTTTCGCCCCTATGCCAGTATTCTGCCGACGATGGCCACATGACGGACTGGCACATGGCCCATTTGGGAGGAATTGCTCAGCGAGGCCCTGGATTTCTCATGGTAGAGGCTACTGCTGCTGTGCCAGAAGGTCGAATCACCCCGCAAGATCTAGGTCTCTGGAAAGACTCCCAAATCGAGCCGTTGAAGCGTGTGATTGCGTTTGTTCACAGTCAGAGCCAGATTATCGGTGTCCAGATCGGTCATGCGGGGCGGAAAGCTAGCACCGTCCCCCCGTGGATATCATTTGGCGATACTGCTACCGAAGAACAGGGCGGATGGCCAAATGGTGTCAAAGGCCCGTCTGATATCGCATTCGCGGAGCGCTATCCCAAACCCAAGGCAATGACAAAACAGGATATTGAGGATCTCAAGGTCTCGTGGGTGGCTGCTGTTAAAAGAGCCTTGAGCGCTGGTGCTGACTTTATCGAAATTCACAATGCGCACGGCTATCTCCTCATGTCTTTCCTATCTCCTGCTGTCAATACCAGGACTGACGAATACGGCGGTAGCTTTGAGAACCGCATCCGGCTCACTCTTGAAATTGCAAGGCTGACAAGAGAGGCTGTGCCAGACCACCTTCCGGTCTTTATGCGCGTGTCTGGCACTGACTGGCTGGAGGAATCCCAGCCTGATCAGCCAAGCTGGAGGCTAGAGGACACGGTCAAATTGGCACAAATCCTTGCGGACAGTGGTACAATTGACCTGCTTGATATAAGCTCCGGTGGCACCCATTCCGCTCAGAAGATCCACGCCAAACCGGCGTTCCAAGCTCCATTTGCTGTCGCAGTGAAGAAAGCAGTTGGGGACAAGCTACTTGTTGGCACTGTGGGAATGATCGAAAATGCAAAGTTGGCAAATTCGTTGCTTGAGTCAGAGGGCCTAGACATTGTCCTGATAGGTCGTGGTTTCCAGAAGAATCCGGGTCTGGTGTGGGCATGGGCTGACGAGTTGGGCGTGGAAATCTCCATGGCGAACCAGATTCGATGGGGATTCTCGCATCGTGGTGGGGGCCCATACTTGAGGAAGAAGTCGGCCCACGGCGCCGGCAAGTAAGTATTAACTACAAATGTCTGGATCAAGATCATGCCAAAATTCGAACAGAATTGTTGCGTTATCTAGAGTACTTGCTCTTATTGAGTGAAACTTATGATTTGCACGAGCAGTCCAGTCAAGACAAGTCTATCATTAGTATGCAAAATAAAAGTTCTAGTTGATACACAATTGCCATGCGACTCAAACAATGAATATGTAACTACAGGTGATGTTGGTGATAAAAGTCTGAGTACGTGCTTGCTTGAAGCTCTTCAAGGTGTTAGTGCTTTGATTTTCAGCTATAACTCGACTCAACTTGAAGGAACTCACCTTCCCACGTTTGTACCGCTGCCTTCTCTGCATCCCATCCCCACAAGAACTCCTGTGTCTTTCGATCCGACCACTTGTCTGGATTTTCTCCTCCTGCCAACGAAGCCCGGAACTGTTCATCTCGTGCAAGCTGCTCCGGGCCGTCTGGAAGGTGCAGAGTGATGCGATTCAGCGAGCCAGACTGTTGAACAGTATTTGCGCGCTCTTGGCGAGATTTCTCGTATGCCTTGAGTGCCAAGGGTATTTCCTGCTTGGAGACGATTTTAGAGAGCACTATACCCAGAGCTGCTGCATCCTCGACTGCTTGAGCGGCACCTTGGGCGACGTATGGCCTGGCAAAAACTCGGGGTAAGTCTCAACTTCATCTCGTGTCTTCAGTATACAGAGGGTTTCTTACAGCATAGGATGGCAGGCGTCTCCGATCAGCGCCACAGAGCCCTTGATCCACGTCTTCAGCGGCGGATGCAGACACAACTTCCACTCTAGCACCTCATCATCCGGAACCAAGCCGATCAGCTTGGTGACTATCGGATCCCACCCCTCATAGTCATCTACCATTCGCTGTTTTGAACCTTTCGTGGTCCAAGACTCCTCGATTCCGTGCCGGTCAGGGTGAAGAAGGACAATATTGTACAGTTCGTGGTTCCGGACGGGATACGCGATCAAATGTCGTTCTGGACCAAGCCACCGTGTGGCTTCTGGTACTTCGATAAGCTTTTTCAACTCAGGGTCACTCTCCATCACACTCCTTGTCAGCATGATCCGATATGCAGCATCTCCGGTCGCCATAGGTTTGGAAGCATCTTCGCCTAGAAGGTGATCTCGAAGAGCTGATTTGATGCCATCAGCTGCAATGACAATATCGGCTCCGACAGCGGTGCCGTTAGCCAGTGTTACAGTGGTCGAGTCAAAATCAACATTTGTGACGTGCGAGTTCACGCGCAATTCAACATTCTCCAGCTCTAGTGCCTTCTCGACCAGCGCATTGTGGAGATCTGCGCGGTGGATGACCACTTGCTGGCCGAAGGTCTTATTCACAGGCATAGTACCCAAAAGGCTTCCGTCCTGCCATCTCCGTACGTGAATCCGCTCTAATGCGACGTCTTTGGCATGTATTAATGGCGATACGCCCCATCCTAGGCTTGTTAGAGTCTCACTGCCTTGGCAACCTCGACCAATACTTACTGTCGAAAAGTCTTAGCATATTCGGGGAGACCTGGATCCCAGCACCAACTTCCATAAGCTGATAGTCTGTTAGTGCCCTCGATCCCGGTGGGTCTGATATGAACACAGACCTTTGGTGCTGACTCTAGGATCGTGATGCGGTGTCCTCGTAAACCGAGCGTTAGAGCTGCGGCAATGCCACCAATCCCTACGCTTGTCAGATACTCTCTTCCAAGTCAGATAGACCATTCACTGGCCAGAGTCTCTAGTACATACCCGCGCTACAGTCATGAGGTTAGTGTTCATGCCCCAGAATTACGGTCATTCCTAAACCAATGCACTCACCCTACAATGACGACGTCCAAGGGTGTCTTAGCCTGCGTGATATCCATCGCGGCAGATCAATGTGATGTCGACTCTCCGGTTTTCTGAATTTGAGACGCGGCACTGGCTGTGATAAGAAGGATTTTGAGCTCCTCAGCAGCGAAAGTTGAGGTATATTTCTCTTTAATTGCACAATTTGGCCCGGCTATGGCTCGAGCCGGAGTATCTGGGGTAAGGGTAGGACAAGTGAACAGGATGGCCACCATCAAATATGGGGCGAAGAAGCTTGAAATTATATCCGGAATTGAGACCTCACCGTCCGCCCACTACGCCGAAGACGGTACCCACTTCATCGTGGAAACAGATATACCGGCACAATCACTGGTCAGTCAGTTCAGAGCTCATCCCATTGAGCGGAACGAACAGTGAGGGATAATGATGTTCATTCTTCATCTTCACCAGCCCTCTATGCGTGCAATGCAGCTCAATGGGGTTTGCCACAGCGCCAGCAGCAACTTTTCAAACCACTGAGGTTGGGAGATACGGCTAAAATTTTCCCTCACAAAACTCCTACCAGGAATCGATTTTGCGAACTCCAATCTTTGGTTCAACCAGCGGCACCGGACTAGAACGCCTCCTGGGACTGACTCGGCCAATTTTTATCGAATCATCGTTCTTCACATTATATTGCGGACCCGGACATTGAGTGCACTTTTTCGGCTTTTTCAGAGATTGCCATTTGCCGAGCACACCGTTGCCGTCTCCATATGGGACCCGCCACATCTCCTATCGGACAATACTCATTATTATTATTTTGCTTGACATTTGCTGACAACCACATCGAATTCAAGATTCCCGTTTGCGGCAATGACATGTTTGGTGCATTGCCGGATGGGCATTTTGCTTGGCTTGGTGAATCCGAATGATCACAGCAGCATAGCTCTCGCCTTCAACCCTTTACGGCAAGCTTTCCTGGCAAGCTTTCTTGAAGTCTAGATCCAGTGACTTATCAGGTACAAAAACAATTCCCGCGGAATTAAGCATGCTGGAACTTCAATATATGCGAACAGTCGAAGTGCTTAATAGTCGCTGAAATAGCATTAGAGGCTTTGCAGGGAGGACACCCGCCACGGTGCCACCATAGTCACAAGCTCGCTGTGACCCTTGCATATTGTCGCATCCCCCCCGGTCTCCCTAGTCCCAGGCTCTTAGCATCTCCACTTAGCCCCAAACCAGCCATACACAGTTGAGCTTCTCCTCCCCGAAGGCTTGCCTCTCGTAGGCGAGCCCCAGTTCCCCGGGACCACTGGCAACTGTACATACCTTATTCAACAGCTAATTTGGAGACACGATAGCGATAATGGAGACTCTGCTTTCTTAATGCTCTGGGTCAGAAGGTATAGCGAGCTAAATACAGAGATAATTCTCGTCTCAACATCACCTTAATCTTACTCTCAACACGCTGTGCGTATGGCCAACATGGAATACATGATGATCCCCAATCTTCAGGAACCAGAATCCAACCGGGGCAGCCCCACGATGCAGTGGAGGGACCGGCACCGACGGGATCGACAGAACTTGCGGTAGACGGGGCACCTTTTGCTTATAGTAGTCTCGAGTGCTGCATGCCTAGCCACCCTCAAATGCGGAGCCCGGCACTTAGGACTCAACTGCCAGTGCCGTGTGGGGGATGGCTCCCACAGCACGGAGTACCTTGACGCGCCTTCTGTGCCTTCTTCAGTATTGTTTCCTCGGCAAGTGCTAAATATCACACCCTACTTAATGATGGCCTGGCTAGACTCTACCTATGGATTGCTGAAAAAGAGAATGATCCGTATCGTTCAGCAACACAATATGGTACGTACTGTGCCTTAGGTATGGATGAAACCAACAATCTTTGTTATATAACACAGCATCTTTGGTCATATCCTGTTTTTTCGCTCCAAAAGCAGCTTTATTTCATGATAGAGGTCATGTCTAATACCGTCGCAGAATAACCTGGTGACTACAAGTTTACATCCTCTCACTCTCATCCTCCTTTAGATATTCTAATTGCTCCATCAACCTCCGATTCCCTTCTGTCAACTCTCCCAACCACTCCGCTGCCCGCATCAGCACCTCACTCTTTCTCCGCCGCTTCGGACAAACACCCGGCACAAGCGCACATATCTCGTCATACAGCTTGCTTTGCTGTGTCCGCCGATTCCGCTCAGAGAGGATATGCTGCAGCCTTCGCCTGGATGACGGCCTTGCACCGTCTCCCCGCTCCTCTCTGAAGCTCCTCCGCCTGCCACCGACATTATCAAGCTCCGGCTGGGCACGTTCTGCCTCCGTTGCATCTTGCGGCTCCTCAACTGAGAAATCGACCCAACTCATGTATAGCTCTGTCAAGTTATTCTCCATTGCGTCGTGCGTAGGTGTATCCGGATGTGGAGAGTATCCCTCAGGGCCGAAGGAAGGGTCGGAGCCCCATGATAGGGAGTGGGATGGTGGTTGCGGATCGTGAGTGGTTGGAGAGGGCGAGGTGAGACCGGGAGTATGTGTGTCGCGCTGGCTAGGTAGGATTTGGTGACTTGGTACGGCTGACTCTGGAGAGCTCACGTAGGCGAAGTCTACGGGGCTAGGGTCTGAAGGATGGAATACGTTGCGGCGAGGTCGTTTTGGTTCGGGTTGCAGGATTTGCGTGTCCTCGCTCGAAATTGATGCGTATCGATCTCGATATGGTTGGTGAAAACATGGAGGGTTAGGCAAAGATGGGGCATCTTGGTGAGTGTCTTTTTCTGTCAACCTCGGAACTGATCTGAAAAGGCTTGGGAGAACGCCATACTGAGGTCAAGATTTTGGGTCTCAAAAAATTGAAAGCCAAATGGTCCCTCTGTCTGTTGCGTTTGCAGATCCTCCCTCCGTTGAGGAGGAGGATTTGGAAGCCAATCAGAATTCATCTCGCTGATAATGGTTATGCAACTTTTCTTACTTCAATCGAGCCTAAGAAGGAGAGAATCACCCATATCGTGATAGGGAAAAGTGTACCCTGATAAATGGGGCAAAAAAAAGCACACCGAGTGCAATCTCGCCATGAGCGCATAGGCTGTGCCGAAGTATGACTGCCTTACAGGCTGTTTCAGGTCACTGATTTCACCACCTCAAGTCCAACGGTCGATTCGTACCTGCGCCACTTGGCTCTGGGGAATTGGGGCAGATCATAGAGGCTGCGGTTTTCCGAGGAACTTGCACGCCAGCATCGACCCGTTCGCCCATCGAGAGCCTCGACTCAGTGTTGCTATTCTAAGATAGAGGACTGGCCATTGTCTACATGGGGGAAAGGCTGCTCATGGTAGAAAGTTATTTTAAATGACAGGACACTGCTATGCCAGTTGGATTATTGTTGTGGGTCGGAGGTTCTAGGTTAGTCCTAGGTTAGTGCGTCTATGATAGTCTGAATTGCATGTGTTCCTCCCTCCCCACCAAAAGTACTATCGCCACGAATGAGGTCAGCGACTTGAATAGAAGGTAGACTCGAAGGTATATGTATCTGTATATAAGTAATATGTATCCGTTTATAGATTATGTACACCCATCAATCTATAATGTTCAGAAGGAGTGGTATCATTTCCAACGCCAAGAATGAATGAACGCCCAGCATGTTCAAAGATAAAAAAAATGGTTCTTGAGAAAGGAGTATAGAATGTATCATGCAAAAATGCGATTTGTGGATGCGTGAATCGAGCTGTCGTGAGATCATACTCTTTAGTTTGTTGTGTGATGTCAGAGACGGGTTCGTAAAGGGCATATGCGAGTATCGTGTCAGAAGCGAACAGGAAGTTGTGTATGTACAATGAATGAGAGATATGGTTAAACCCGGAACATTAATCGGAGTCGACTTGGCCGCTTCTTCTTGTCTTTGGATTTCTTGTCCTTCTCGGAATGTCGGGATTCGGCAGTGGACAAGACCTGTGATGCGGTTTTGGACGGAGCCCGCGAGGGAGCTTTAGATGAAGCCTTGGATGGAGCTTTTTTGCTTCGGGACGAGACGACTGATTCTGGTGCCCTCGTGTCCGCTCTCGAGGGCGCATGATGGGCCCGAGGAGCGCGCGAACGACGAGACCTCCGGGAAGACGCTCTTGACTCGTCGTCATCGAATTTAAATCGAGGGTCCCGGGAAAGTCGTGCAGTGGTGACATCAATACCGGACATCATTGCTGCCCGTGGGGTGATGAACTCGCCGTCCACAGAGGTTCCGGCACTCTCAGCCTCGGCGTCTGCAACACCACGGCGCCACATTTCCACGGAGCTGAGGCAGTCGGTGTTGAATTCTATCATCTCGTCCATGTGTGCCGAGTGCTCAACCGCCTCCACTTCCGCTCCTTTGTTGTTACTGGAAGACTGCATTTGCTTAACAATCTTGTAGCCGCCAAACATGACAATCGTGGCTGTGAGGCCGACACCGGCCGCAATCAGGAATTGGGGGCTGGCAAGTAAAGCCCAGACAGCGGGAGCGGCGGTTTTCAACATAGCGAGGGCAGAGGGTGCCATTTTGGTAGCGAGGTTGCTGATCTCTGCCAGGGTAAGTGCAACGGCCGCCATGGCGTCGGGGTTCTTTTGAAGATGACTGATGGTAGCTGTCGCAGTATGTTGCACACAATTGGCTTCTTCCAGCAACCATTGGGCTCGGGTCACCAAGCCACTTAGTTCAGGATCGTCAATTGTCTGCAACTGTTGGCCTCGCTGAGGGGATGGTTGCCTGGCTATGGCTGAGGGATGGAACTCGCCGTATGCCAAGTCCATATCTATATGGGCGTCGGACTTGGAGCGAGAGGTGGGAGGGCGACGATCTTCCGGTTGGCGCACAGCAATATCATGATGCGTATGGCGTCGGACCATCTCCCCTGGGGGTCCATAGATGGATTCTGCCCGGCCCCGAGGCGAAGAATGCAGGTCTTGCTCATAGACCGATCCGGCGCGAGAGCGATGGTGATGTCGATGACTGGATTGATGGTGCCGCGAGCGACTCCTTCGCGAGGAGGCTACCGATGGTGAGTCGTCAATTGTATAGTTCTGCAGAGCTTTTAATGCTTCTCTTTCTGCAATCTTTTCGGCAATTTTTGCATTGCGCTCGGATTGGACTTGGGCCTTGCGTTCGCGATAGGCATTTTTGGCTTGGTTGAAAACCCCAAACAGATGTTTACTCTGTTACCCAGCCTAGATTAGAATCGACATCTATAGCGCGGGTACGGAAAAGGACAAAGGTATCGGATACGCACCGTACTGACAACCTGCCCGGATTTATCGATCACCGCAATCGTCTCACCGAACGGAGGCATGTTGGACTAGACCTTTGTTGGGAGGGAAATAGCACGAGCCCAATGACCGCCACGAAAGCTCCCAGCGATCGGAACAGTCTGAATGACAATCAAATGACGAGGAGCATTGATGAATGATCGGCGATATAGGAAACGGAATTGTCGGACGAGCGGTGTAGAGCTGTTGAAGGGCTAGATGGATGGACAATGTCGGGATCCGGTGGAGAAAGATTGCGAACCCCCCTCAAGTAGCTACCCGCGTTTCGGTCTGGAGTCTGGACCTTGGATTGAAGTCCTGATAAGGCTGATTCGGGCGGCGGATAGACGGCGTATTAAATCGATCGAAGGACTTGGGAAAGTTGGTGCCTGGAGCCAAAGTTGTACACCAGAGCTGAGATCGGAGCTTATATGCGATTGAGAAGGGCGAATGCCGGAAAATTGAGAATGTGTATGGACAGTGACGACCGCGCCACTGCGGCGTTTCCGATAAAAAAGATACGGGAGAAAATGTAGTTTTTGCTTCTCGTGTTGAAGGGGGCTGGGGAAAATAAGGGAAACGAGTGGGCGACCCAGGCGCCTAAAAAGGCACGAAGCAACGAACAGGAGACAACTCTGGAGGAAGTGAGAGGGTGAGTGGTTGGGTGCCGATGAAGCTAAGAGCAAGGCAACAAAATGGTGCTCAGACTGCGCAAGAGCCCGTCTGAATGGCTGTCAAGTCCATAGCCGATCCGTGGGGATCGAGTGGTGAGTTGGCTTCCTCTGGTGCGTTCGTTGGAGTGAAGCAGCATCGTGGGATTGGCCGAGATTTCTTGGGTACCTCGTTAGGTACCTGGTGTCGGGTACTCAGCAGCGTTCAGAGATGACTTGGAGAGTTGACGAGTAGAGCCTGAAGCCGAGCCCGTACCTCTGTCGCATGTTGACGATGTGATCGCTCATGGTCAGATGGATCATGGATGAGGAGACGGGAAACAACAAAATGGCGGTGATGGCCAGTCTGTGATTGGTCAATCTACGCACCGCCACTGTGGCTGGTGGCAGTAAATGCCAGGTTACGCCTCTATATTTAACTTTTTGTTCTTGATGAAGGATCCATGACTCAGAGCTTGTTGAACGTGAACATCCTCTGTTGCATCTGGGGAGACCGTATGCTCTTCCGATTGCAAAGAAACCTCTCGACAGCAATGGAGCTCTGGCCTGCAGAGCAACCGGACCATGTTACACGCTTGGACGCCCAGCCGAGAGACAGTCGTCTGGCTGCAGCCTTCTTGGCCGGAAAAGTTCCTTGCGGATACCTTGCTTAAAGATCGATGGATAATTGACGTCGATTAAGACTGGCCCAATAGTATTTAGCTGCCGGTATCCCGTGCTGTCTCATGACCGAAGCTCAAGATAAGGGAACTTCAGCTATCCCACGCTCAGCACTGGCGATATCTGTCCGTCAACGCCCAACTTGTTTCCGCTGCCCGGTGAAGTATAACTCGCTGCACCTTGTCTCTGCTTCTATCGGATCTTTCAATGAGCCCGAGGAGAAGGATCCAGACGCCATGTCCCAGTTTGCTTCAGACGCCCTGTTGACCCGGCTACTTTGGGAGCCCAGGTCAGTGTACACTTCCCCCAACAAGTGGCGTAGAGGCAAAGATACATAAAAGCGAGTAGGATGCACAGAAGCGACGGTGGTTAACTCAATGCAGGAGGAAATGCTCCTGGAAGCATCCCGACCGAAGCAAAGGAGGTGAGTAAGTGGTTGAGGCCTGAGGTATTCTTTCCGCACCGCCACATCTCTTTCAGTCTGTGCTCATTCTTATCCCCGGCCAATTTTCCATGTCATCACCGTCAAGGGAGATCACGACATTCAGGGACAGGCAGCGGAATGATTACTGTTTGTCTATGTATAGATCAAATTTCCCTGCATTGATACGCCCCTGAAGCTTCTTGACTTTCTCCTGCCGCTGAGCGTGGGAAAAAAAACCACATGTCACGTGAACCGATTCGCTTTGTGACTGTTCCAACCTTTTCCTTCCCTGTCTCTTTCCAATTCCCTTGAATCCTCCAAATAATCAGACTCATTTTTTGAGAACTCAGGCTGAGACTGAGATGGACCATACAGGACTCGCCGAGTCTGATAGCCCGTCAGATATTGATGAGCAGACCAAAACGTGGGAGTCCGACCCTCGGTCCGTGACTGCACATCTGGCCAACAATGATGACGCAGATCATCAACCTTCGCAAATCGAATGTGGCATTGGTCATCGGGTGCAAGCCAGCCGGTCTGTACTGGCGCTGGTAGTAGATGAGGATTGTGTCTTTGCTGGTCTTCAAGGCGGAGATATAGTAGTATGTGGCTGGTTGACTTACTTAACCTTGAAGATTTATGCATATAACGAGAAGCTCATCATTGGCAGGCGTGGTCTCTTGAAAACTACGATCTTGTCCTATCCGTTCGTGCTCATCAAGAAAGTGTCCTGGACTTGTACCTTTCGGAAAGCGGCGATCTCCTCTTTTCGAGTGGAGGCGATTCTGTTGTCAACGTATGGACACTTACCAACTGTGCTGTCAATGTGATGTGCAGCCACTAACAAGACACAGGTCTGGTCCACGCGGACATTTGAGCGACTTTACTCTATTCATTCTCACCATGATGTTGGCGACCTCTTTGCTGTGGCGTACTCACCCCGCCTGAAAACTGTATACTGCGGTGCTCAGAATACCAGCATTCAGGTTAGTGGCCTCTCCCTGAAGATATCCCGCAATATCCGTATGACTTGACCTTACCCTGGGTAGTGGTGCAACCTGTCCCAAACGGGTGCGGCGTCTACCCAACACTCTGCCACCCAATTGTCCAAACGGACACACCGATTCTTCGACTCGCGAGGGCCTGATGGCACTCGTGCTCCTCGGTCAGATGCAAGCGCTGAAGATGGCCAAACCTTGGATCACGGTGGTCAGGTCCTCACCTTTAAGCGCGATCATCATAACTTGTTTTCTCACCATGGCTACGTTTACACGATGCTCCTTGTGCGAGGATTGCTCGAATCGTCTCCCAACGACGAAGTCCTCTTGACTGGCGCAGGTGATGGAGTTGTCAAACTCTGGCGTCTAGAGCAAGGGAAACCTGATGTAGCTCCAATCCAGATGGCAAAGTTACAGAACAATGATTCTGTACTTTCTGTTGCAGTTGACGGCTCATTCCTTTACTGTGGTCTCGCCGGAGGCGCCTTGAATATTTGGAATCTGGATTCCCACCAGCTTGTGAAGCGAATCACTGCGCATACTGGCGATCTCTGGGCAGTGGATATAATTCACGGCATGGCCGTGTGTGGAGATTCGAACGGAATTGTCAAGGTACGGCATCAATTTTCACCTCTAAAATACCGGCCGCTAGCTAACTCCTTCAAGAAGTTCAACTCACGTTTCGAAGAGGTCGGCAGCTGGACTGCTCATGAAGGCACCATGTTAGCTTCCGCTGCTGGCAAATTCAGAGATAGACATATCTATGCTACCGGAGGTAACGACAATACCGTGGGAATCTGGGATTTGACAGACGTTACTTCGACTGAGCTGCCCCCGATTAACAACGGTATGACTTGATTAGGTACCCAACGTGATTGGGAATGCATGTGCTGACGATATTACCAGATGAGATGGTGAGTTGCCTCGCAAAGCTCGTTGCTTTCAAAACCATATCCGCTAGTCCCAAGTTCGCCGGCGAGTGCAATCAAGGTGCAGCCTTTCTTCGCCGGCACTGTATCTATCTGGGAGCAAAGACAAAGCTTTTGACCACCGGGGAGGACACGAACCCTATCGTCTTTGCTCGCTTTAGTGCGACATCTCCCAACAAGGTCGACAAAACTCTCCTTTTCTATGGACATTACGACGTTGTTAGCGCGGATGCCAACCGGCAAAAGTGGAAAACAGACCCCTACCAGCTAACCTCTATGGACGGTTTCTTGTACGGCCGTGGTGTGTCTGATAACAAGGGCCCAATTCTCGCTGCTCTCTACGCTGCCGCAGATCTCGCCCGGCAGAAGAACCTCCAGTGCGACATTGTTTTTCTCATTGAGGGAGAGGAAGAGTCCGGCTCTCAAGGCTTCCATGAGACGGTCCGGAAACACAAGCAACAAATCGGGCCCGTCGACTGGATATTGCTGGCGAACAGCTATTGGTTGGATGATTACAATCCGTGTCTTACCTACGGGCAACGTGGTGTTGTCCACGCAAATCTGATCGTCACTAGCGACCACCCCGATCTTCACAGCGGTATCGACGGTAGTTCGCTGCTTGATGAGCCATTGAAGGACTTGACCATGCTGCTTGGTACTCTTCTTGGCCCTAAGGGAAAGATCAACCTCCCCGGTTTCCAAGACCTCGTGCTGCCATTGACGGACGCCGAGAGAGAGCGGTACGGTGCGATTGCAGAAATTCTGCTCAAACGACACCCCCAAATCAAGGACGGCGAAGCTTTGATTGACTCGCTCATGCACAGATGGCGCGAGCCATCCCTCACAATCCACTCTGTCGAAGTGCCAGGAAGCAGCAAAAGCACAACAACGACCATCTCCCGCAAAGCAAAAGCCAGTCTCTCAATCCGTCTCGTACCAAACCAACAAGCCGACGATATCGCTGCGGCCTTGACCCTCTACGCACAAGAACAATTCGACCGCCTCGAGTCACAGAACGACCTCACCGTCGAAATCACGGGGACATCGGACCCCTGGCTTGGCGACCCGGACAATGAGATCTTCGAAACCCTCGCCGAAGCCATCACAGCCGCCTGGGCACCCGACAACCGGAGCCAAAAACAGTTTCCGCCGCGCCCTGTCGCGGACCGCACGACTAGTCCTCTGGGTTCTAAGGAGGACCGCACGACGCTCCTTCGCCGCCAGGATTCCGAAGACAGTTTGGCTTCCCACATTGATCGGATCATCATGTCTACGACTACGTCCAAGACAACCACACACAAACGGTCTTCGCCTAGTATGACCGTGCCTACTTCGTCTACTCTGACCGGACAATCAGGCAAGCGCACCGCGAACTCCTCCGCGGCGTCATCGCCGCCTCCAGGCGTGTCCGTTCCATCCTCAACACCACCGCCAGAGACTACGCGAGAGAAAGTCGGAGTTCGACCTATTTATATTCGTGAGGGTGGTTCGATCCCGACGATTAGGTTCCTGGAGAAAGAGTTCTCGGCGCCGGCCGCTAACCTTCCCTGTGGACAGGCGAGTGACAATGCGCATTTGTACAATGAACGGTTGAGGGTGGAGAATTTGTATAAAAGTCGGGAGATTTTCAGCTATGTATTTTCACGGTTGCCGGAGAAGGCGTGATTTAGCGGAGCGAGTAGATTTCGGAACTTATGTGACTTAGTACCCTCTTTCCAGAGTCATGATTATTGTAGAGAATGAAGTACTATACTTCGCTAGAAAATTCAATCGCTAGAATAAACGTAGCCAAATAACCGCTATAACAATGTCTAGAATCGAGATGGAATTACAGTTGTTACAAGGATATGGATACACTTGTATACAATGTTATACGCCGCTCCGCTACCAGATGCGCTTCGCTGCCATCTCGTACCGTTGCACATGGTCTAAATGCAGATCTTCTCCGCGTGAAGTCTTGCCCTTTTGACCTTCTTTCTCTTTCAGTTTGCGCAGACCCTCCGGATCATCAAGATAGATCCATCGTCGGTGGTCCTCGTTGACCTCGACCGTGCCCCAGCCTCCGACGCGCCGGCTTCCTTCCACCGTATAGTCTCGGGCCCGCGGCGCTGCAGTACCATCCAGAGCGTTGGCAGTCGCTGAGGTCAATGGAGGCGTTGCAAGCTCCATCTCTCGTTGCTTCATCGATTTGTACCGGGAGCGTGCATAGACCAAAAGCACCATACCAAGAAGGAGCTTGAGAATCAGAAGCAGGACAAATGCGGTAAGAATGAGCACAACTGTGAAAATGTAGACTGATTGCGCAGGCGACGGAATTGCATTTGCCAGGAATCGTCGAAACCATGCTTCCGCATGGGCGGCTGTTATTGGGATAATTGTTCGAAGCCTGATCGGTGGCGATGGGACTGGACCCGCTGGTACGTAATGGCTATGTATTTTCGCAAGGGAGGTAGCCTCTACTGCGACAGATGAGGATGGTGACAAGGATGGAGAGTGAGGGATCAGTGCCGCTAGGAACATTTGATAGGTCTGCACGGAGACACGGAGGAAAAGACAGGAGAGTGGGATGATCGGAAGACCTAGACGGCGCATCAAGTTCTGATCACCAAAGGCGTTGGTGTAATAGTCTTTGGCGAGAGTATCCAAGAACCGTCCGTAAATCGCGGGCCTTGTGTTGTTGAATTTATTGATATATGCATGTTTGAGCCAGTCGACAAACATTTCCGAGCCGAGGACCACTAGGAACGGGCCGAGAACCTGCGCCAGCGCAGGTAGGAATGAGTTGACGTGACTGAAAGAAGCCATTAGAGATGACGGTACGAGGGTGAAAGCCTGAGGAAGAATCGAGGTAGATGTCCTCGGAGGAGTCATTGAAGGGGTGCTGTTTGTGACGGCTGCCACGCCGCTCACACTTGTGCTGAGTAGACTGCTACCGAGTTTAAAGGCCCCTGTCTCAACCATGTTTCGCGATGCAATAATGGTAAGCATAAGCCAAAGCTGGAACCGCTCCACAACATCTGCACAGGTGAGCTGGAACAAATTCTCTTTCTCGAACTTCTTGAACACCGACGACTTAATTTCGACGAATTGGTTGGATAGGAGTAGGGTAATCAACGCATTCGAGTACGAATTGACGGCCACGTTCAACGTCATAACCTGGTAGAACAAAGCAGTCGAGTGAATGACAGTATAGGCTAAGGCTAAGAGAAAGAGCCCAAAAGGCCGAAAGATTTTGCTGCGGCCATCCGGACGACGCTCCAAAGCCTCGCGTGAGAAGAGACACTCGAGGACATCTTGGCCGATAGCGGCGAAAAGACGATCACTGACTTCCAGCACGTTGTAAATAACGTACAGCTTGATTGCTGCCTGGCCACGAATCCAATGGTACATGCGACTGGCGTCAAAGTACATGAGAACCGTGCACGTAACAATCATCAGCAGACCTTTGAGAATGTCGGCTTTGTCATCAGGAAGTAGAGCCGAAGGAGTAGAGCGCTGTCTCCGATGGCGATGAGTATCCGAACGGTGCCGTCTACGTGACTCCGACGGTCTGGAAGACTTGGTGTCTCGTTCGGTTGAAGGATTTCCTGTTGTCGACTGTACAGAAGGGGCACGATTCCGCCGCCGCCACACTCGCCCAATCCCTTTCGCGATAAAATCGGCCAAATACCGGGCCTCAGTGGCGAGGTTCAGAGCCCAGGACTCCAGCAGGATATAGACAGCTTTAATGAACCGGAGAGGAAGAATGGTAAAGGAATAAAGCCATGCGTCCAAGCACGCCAAGATGCCAAACCATAGGACTCGCTCTAATGCAGGAGGCAGCACTAAAAAATTCATGAGACGTTCCAGCTTAACACGAGCCGACTCATACGGGAAGTCGCTCATTGCAGTTCGGTGGATATATAGTGGAGATGGGCGCCCAGACGCAAGCTCCAGTTGCAAATAAGTTGGTATGGAAAGTGGTGGTAAGGGAATGCTCTGTAGCGACGGAGATGGCAGAGCCGGTTCAGCCATTGGCGTGGAAGGGCTTCGGAAGCCCTTTGGTTCGGCTTCACGGCTGACAGATGGACGGTCTTGTTTGGGACGAGAGGTCCACGTTTGGGCGAGGCGCTCACTATTACTCCCCGAGAACGTTTGTTTCCGTACTGACTGGGGCGTCGATACAGCGCGAGCCACGTGCGGACGACTTCGAGCGGAAGGCGATTTCAAACCCAAGCCATTTAGCCCCTCAGAATTGGGTAGATGGCTAATGGGGACTGCTTTGGAAGTCTCATCCGAGGGAAGCTGCGTTTCACCAGTTGCAAGTGCCGGAAAGTCCGACTCGATCGGCGGGAGCAACGGCGACGGTCCATTAGAGACCCTTCGTCCTTGATCAGAATCTGGAGATGCAGCACGATATGGTATCGACTCGGGAGCAGATGTGAGCTCCTGTATCTTGGCTGGCGACAGCTTGAGGACCCGGTCGCGGTCCGATTCCTGGTTCTTAGCGGGCGATGGGTCCCGAGCCAGTCGATGAAGAGCAGCAGTAGCCTCGGAACCCTGCAAAACATTCCTGAGCGAGGTACGATGAAGCGCACGAGGCTCTAAGCCAGAGCCGGAGACCGAATCTTCTTCAGAGTGTTCAAACACCAGACCGAAAGCCTTATCTGGTACTACCGACATACGGCCACTCTTCGAATCCTCCCCAGGTTCTCGGCGGTCACGGCCGCTGCTTCCAACCCCAGTCCCAGCTGGAACTCCATTTCCAGTTTGCATTCCATTCTTCTCAGAGTTTTGACTTATCGTTTCAGGCACGGGATAAGGCGTTGCGGGTTGCGCGAGGGCCTGGTGGACTCCTCTCGGGGGAGCTCGATCCGACGAGTTGGAGGCTTGCGTGTCGGGTAATCCGTTCACATCGGGCATCGTGACCGTTTTATCGATTCAGATAGAGGAAGCAAGTGACTTGCAAAGCATGATATGCCAGGTAGCCGTTCTACCTGAAGAGAACACTTGTCGGTGAGATGGCGTTCATCTGGCGCAGGAGATCGAGGGTAATTTCGCAGTGCGGAGAGTGCGGGTATCACGAGCACATTGGGGCATTATATGAGATTGCAGCGTCTCTCAAGGGTTCGTCAACCAGGAATCAAGGCTTCAGGGAGAGAGAGAAAAATATTCTAAGCGTGGGAAAAGGTTGGGGTCCCTGAATCAACGTCTCCAACTGGGAGCGAAGGCGGTCAGCAGACGCCTTTTGGAGATAGTGGCGGTTGGCCCGGTTATCTACTGGACTACGTATGTATATTGGTGTGGTATTTGGAGTTTATGTTGAGCTGTATTTAACAACATGAGTAGTATTCAAAGAAGGTATCTATCATCGATGGCTCAAGGGTCCGGCTTGGCTCTCGTCGACACTAAATGCATCCAAAATTTCCAATGATTAAACAGGGGTATACTAAAAGCGTTCCAGACACTGATTCCTTCGTAAATCACAGAGATACAGCCAGCTTTTCAAGAAAGTTTCGTTAACACATGAATTCCGGCGAGTTCCGGCGTTCTTCCAAGGTGATAAGTCCTGGCACCGCCATACGCGATTCTGAAAAGCTAGTAGTAGTCTGGGCGACGGGGTTGTGGTTGAGGGGTGTATGTGCGGGGAGTATACGCCTGCCTGGAAGCTGAGCCTCCGCCATACTCGCTAACGGCATCAAAATAGTCTGATTCAGATGACGTGATGGGGGTGTTGGTTGCCGGAGCATTGTACGCTGAATACCCTCCCTGTGTTTGCGGGGGACCCCGTGAATTAACAGGAGAAAAGGTCCTCATAGAGCGCTCTTCGTTCGAGTACGCCGGTGAAATGCGGGTCATTTGAGATCCCGGTGTGAAAGATCGAGCAGGATAGGTAGACTGCGGCGATGGACGAGAGTTCGTGTGAGTAGAAGGGGGGTAGGTGCGCATAGGACCGTTTTCGCTCGTGGGTACGGCGGCGCTAGGCGTCATGTTTCGTAGGTACGAATCAACCGGCGAAGCGCAAGGACGGAAAGAATCGCCAGGCTGGGGGCCGTCGTAGCCCTCAGGGTTATACGGATCATGTCGTTCCATTCGACCCGGTGATCCAGCCGCAGAGCCCATGCGAAAAGGGGGTGCGCGAGCATTAGAAGGCGTGGGGGTGAAATTAGGACGCGACATGGGTGTTTGGGAGCGCCCTGTAATCATGGAGGCAGTATCCGGAAGAGGGGGAACTGGAGGGGCGGGAGACGTTTGCCGGTCGAGTGGACTATAAGCTGAAACTGCAGAAGCCCCAGATATCGACATGGCATCGGTATAGGCAGAGTTCTGCGTGACCGTACGGTTCAGAGGTGGTTTGCCTGAGAATGTCGCTACAGTGGGAAGGGTAGGCTCACGCTCTGAAGGAGCAGCAGTTCCAGGACGCGATGGGTACGCCGGGAGGGTAGCCAAGGTTGTTTGGGTAGTGGTTCGAGAAAGGGTCGAGACAATAGGTGTCTTATCGTCATCTCCAAACACCGGGAGTGTGGGCTTCCGATCGATTCCCAGCGTCGGATTTGTTGCAGTACGATCTTGTAAGGCGACACCTTTTGCCAGGGCCTTGTTAACTTTCGTCCTCACGATCCGCTTCAGTCGGGTATTGATCTTCCGGCGGCAGTATGCCTTCAACGTGCCGTCTTCCGCTGGGATGTGATGAAATAGAAAGAGGAGGTAAAGGATGATGGCGACAATCAGCTTGATGACCGATAATACCCAAATGACGACCGTGAAGAGCATGCCTGCCAGGACTAACGCGCGGAGGTTGTTCTCTTCGGCGAGAATCTTGACGTTGTCGAAGAATTGTAGGATCCCCGCCTTGTCTTCCTCAACGGCATTTTCTCCCCCAGGAAGCAAGTCCATTCGCATCACAGAATAGAGCGTGATTGCATTGACGACCTGACGGGGTCCATCGGCGAACACAGTGTTCATCCAACTCTCAAAGGCAAAGTACGAAAACAACGCGACATACTCAGCCCCCTTTCTGTTCTTCGTGAGCTCACCAAAGACAAGAAATCTCCTCCATCCTCGACCGTGTTGACCAATACGAATACTTTGGACACGGGCAGCCAAAGAGTCCAAATAGCTTTGAGCGACACTGCCGGAACGAATCGCCCGGATAGCATGGAGCCATCTCCAAGCCAGAAGCGCAAAAGATACAAAAATACAAGCAGCGAAAATCCAGCGTGAATATCTGAAAGGGATTGCAGGTTCGATTTGTCCTGCCCATCGAGAAAAGGCGAGAAGGGTCACTGCCGTGAATGTGTCGACCGCATATACAGCAATAGATATGAGTAGGAGAACAAATAGAAAGAAGTAGGAGAATGGCGATAGACAAGACTCCGACTTGAAGTCATCGAGGTTCTAGAAGGCAGCGCACGTTAGTGATTTCATGCAGAGACCAAGAGATCCCCAAGCGTACCATATAATCCCATTGTTCCTCCAAGGCTACAGGAGCGTTTTTTTCGCGGTCGCCGCAGCAGGACATCCTGCATCAAGGTCTGGCCCTGCCAGAAACGTGACAGTGAACAAATTGCGGTCGCGACAGAACGAGGGGATAGATCACTTGACTTCGTCGGTCCAGCCGGGGCGAAGTCAGGATCACAACACAAGTAGTGCAAAGAGCGAAGGGCGTCCGGTGCAATGGACTCAGGGCTGTGTTTTATCACGACTAAGACGATACTCTAAATAAAGCAGAAATGAGTGAATACTGGAGAAGAGCGGTTGCAGTCCTCAACGGCGCATCGTAACTGTTAAGCGCTGATGCTAAGGTTTCACGAAGGCGATCAGAAACCAGTCAAGCATCAGATGCGCGCCATGCTCTGAAGGCCACTTAGCCGGTCTCACAGAGAATGACGCTCAACCTGCAACTTGCTGTTGTTGTGGAATGTTGATGGCGAGTGGGCGTTTCGCCAAGTAATAGGGGAAGGTCGGCGGCGGGCGCGTATGGATTTCGCAACCGAGGAGATCCCGAGTGGGGAGAGACAATCGCTGAGGATCTGAAACACGAGGGGAATGAGTGGACCCTCGGGACAATTCGATTATAATTGAACGAGCGACAAAAGTTGCGGTGCGAAAAGACCAACGGATTACCTGGAAGAAACGAACGGCTTGGAGTTAGGGAAAGTTGTCAGAGAGAAAAAGAGAAGGGGCTGACCTGAGGACTGAGGAAACTCTGGGCTGAAACGAATCCAGGGGCATCCATCTCAAAAGAGTGTCTGTTCAGTGTTGGTGGACTAAATCACTAGCCAGGGACTACATGGACTAGCACAACCACGGTTCACCTGTCATTGCATGATGATTGGCAGGGGGCTGTTGGAGGCACTCGGAAGAGTCGGAGAACATGCAGTATCTTGTTTCTCTTCTTATGCATCTTGAGAGGGCCAGATCCGAATTTCGGATAATTCTAAAATAATGGTTTAAAATTGAGCATACATCCTCTACTCATACATGTGAGAGGCGAGACCTCATATACTCCAGCTTGGAGCCCCCCGAGGCCGACCAGGACCTTCCATATTAGGCTTAGTCAATAATTTCTCCTGTCAGATCCAGTGATCCACAAATAACAGCCTTGCAAGGCTGGTCCGCCCTGCAAGACATTGATATCGATCTTCAACGAGACCGCAACAAAGAACCGCGAAGAAGCACCCCTGCCACCGCAAACACACTTGCCGCAGTCAAGAGTAGGGATCCATTGCTCAAATACGACTCCTCCCGTACCCGGCCTATATGCGTCATCTTTCTCGCCCTGGCATTATTCTTAGCCGAGCCTTCCACCAAATAATCAGACCAGCGGACTTGCGAGAGATTGCGTTGATAGTCGACGACAGTTGATGACCAGTTATTCGTGATCTTGCCTTCTTCGGTCTTATACCAGCTGCTGCACTTAGGGTCCGCGAAGCTCCCTGTCGCAAGCACCTGCTGCAGTTCACGGTTGTACCTTTTCAGCGCGTCAGGGTTTGGCTTTATCGCTAAGCTCTGTCCTTGTCTGCGAGCCCGGAGAACCTCGCCAACGAGTGCGTTCAGATATCGAGACTGTGCTTCAATCATGAGAATGATAGAGTTGTGACCTGTTTTTTGTCAACTCTGATCCTCGAGGAGACACTGTCTATTACTCACCCAGATTAGTATTCGGCCCGTAAAACATTCCGAAATTTGGCAGGTCTTCCACAGTGACCCCATGATAGGCAGATGCGCCATCCTTCCATATATCAGACAGTGGCCGACCTTTGGAGCCATAAATCTGAATGGGGTACATGAATTCCACCGTCTTGAACCCAGTCGCCAAAATAATGAAATCATACTCCTGCAAGATGCCGTCTTCTACCTCGATTCCCGTCTCTGTGATGCGCGAAATTCGGCGCGTCTCCAGATCTACATTCTCCCGAGCAAGCGCTGGATAAATGTCATCAGAAATGATCAGCCGCTTACAACCAGGGGCGTAGTTGGGTGTGAGCTTTTCCCATAGTTCTGGTTTGTTAGCCAGCTGTGTCCGCAAACCCTCAAAGCACCAGTCGCGGATTTGCTTCGCAAAATTTGACTCCGAATCGCTCACAGCAGCATAAAAGCTCTCGCGGAAATCCATGGCCAGAGAACGCTTTCGCATACGCAAGGGAGGGACATACGTCAACAGGGCCTGTTGCAAGGGTGATACAGCCGCGTCAAGTCGAGGCATGACCCAGTTTGGAGTTCTCTGGTAAACTGTCAAATGAGACGCAACCTTCGCTACCTCTGGAACAATTTGAGCGGACGTCGCGCCTATCAAAGCTCTCAGCAGGATGTCCGGTTGGCACTTTGAGAGGAGAGAACAAACCATTTCCAATGATTGCAATTCGCTTATTCTCGAAATTATACGTCCAATCCCATCGTGCCGAATGCATCATTCTCCCCTGGAAGTCCCTGAGTCCAGGAATATCCGGCTCGCGAGGGACGTTCAACTGCCCAACCGCAGACGCAAGAAAATCCGAGTTGAGGACATAGGAGCTTGCGAACTGGCTATCCTTGTCACCAGAGACTTCCACGTTGATTTTCCACTTCATCTCCTCGTCGTCCCATCGCGCCTGTTTGACCTCCGAGTTGAAGCGGATGTACTTGTACAGCCCGTACTTTTCGGCCACCTGAGTGAGATATTTCTAGGTGGCAACCGTGAGTCCCGTGTCACAAGTCTGTGATTTTCCAGGTTTCCTACCAAAAGCTCTTCTTGACCAGGATACTCGCGGGACCATTTGGGGTTTTGCTCAAACGAATAGCTATATAATATGCTTGCCACTAGCATTGAACAAGACGTCGTCAGTTCTATGACACTAGGAGAGGCAAAATAGTTTACCAACCATCACAGCAGCATCCAGGGTACTTATTATCGTGCCATGTCCCACCCACGCCGCTACTCTTTTCCAGGATGACGAAGTTGTGGCAGTTATTGCGCTTGATGAGATCGATGGCCATGCACATTCCTATAGCTGTTAATTTGGAATAGTGCATGATAGGAAGTCTCCGCCGCGCACCAGATATCCCAGCGCCAATAATGACAACAGTCGCGCTGGTGTATGTTTTGTTGCCCACACGGGCATCAGCCCGCAATTGATCCGCCATTGTATCTTCGGGTCTATTCGTAACGGCAAAAGAAGAAGTAGGTCACGGCCTTTGTATATAACCGGCCCAACATAGATGGCATGTCCAGGGACCCAGAGGATTCCTACTGGAAAGCATCGAGGACTAAGTACCAGCGCCAGCCAGCTCCCATATTTCGGCAACGCGCATCCATCACCTCGGGTATATATTACGCCCCCGCAGATCAGCGCGAGAAGGTTTGTCTCTGCAGCAGAGCTTCCTATGATCGCCACCGAGGAATCTAGGTGAAGTGCGGGGAAATCCGAGGTGTTCTTGTTGCGGGGAACTTTCCCACGGCTCCTTCAAAGGCCCCTTTTCGAGGAGCTTCACCTCTCTAAAACCTCTCTAGAGTATATATCTAGAGTGAGCTGTACCATATGTCTTCAAACATTCAGGTCACTTGGCCAATTCAGATCGACTTTCGTAGCCCAAGTTCGACCATTTGTTAGTTGCCGCAACTTACCTCCCTAAATTATGCCCGTAGTAGGCTGTTTCAAGCTCTCGTGTTTGCCACATATTGTAGTCAGTCATATCGGAAGGTTTACCGGTATAGCCAAGCCATCAATTCTCTCATTGATCCTCCTAGTTTGCGAAACCCTCCCTTAGTCTCTTAGATTTGGAACGAGCGACATCATAAAACTCCCATGGGGTCTCGGATTGTCATTCCTGAAGCCAATAATTCATACTTCACGGGGAATCTGATGGCCTCAAACTCAAAGTTGCGTGGTGTCAATCTGATCTGCTATCAGGCACAGTGCAATTTGGCTCGCTTGTCAGCACCCAAATGTTCCTATCCCAACACATGCCAGGTGCGAAGATCGTGGCTGACGCCTAATGCGCGTACCTGCATAATCCAGCTGTAGCTTTCCATCCCAGCTCCAATAATCCGGAGCGACAACGTCATGACATACAAAAATGTAGAAGATAACACCTTGCTCTAGAAATGGTTTCGAATCTGGAATCCCATCGTAGTCTCACTCCTCCCCGCAAAGCTCGCAGTCAATGCTGCCATGAATCCATATATTTCGTCAATCTGATTGCCGGACTAGCATACCTGAATTCTATAATTTGACCGGGCATGTATCCTCCGAAGCAAGTGGGCAAACCCGGAGAAGACTCTGGGGCATTCATGAAATCCGTCTGCTTTAAAGACCCAAATTTCGAGGCGCTATCTGGGTACACATGCATTCTTTGACGGTTATCCGAATCAGCCGAACAGAGAACGCTATTTGGAATAAGCGCTTAGCATCCTGCCCAGGATGCAATGCTGCACGGCACTCCCTCATCAACGTCTTACGGACGGCATCCCCGCCTCCCGACTCAGACCTCGTCTCTGGTTTCGTGTTCCTCTAACACTTTCAATCTACATACCGTTGGTCAGAGACTAGAGTTTCCCGACACGCCTGAGCTTGAACGAGCTACAACGAAGCAGGTGTTGTTTGGACTGGTAGCCGACGTACGACACACCTGTGGATTGTCACAGCATGGAAAAAGGAGGATAAACTTACAAAGGGACTCTCTCTGAGAGGGAACATGCGCTTCGATACTACGAGTCTGATCATCATGAGGTAGGAGAAGTCGTGTCAGAGTCATGACGAGAGTGCACAGAGGCAACTTGAGGCTTTACTTTCTACTTGATCGGTGTTTGCTATCAAGATTCATGACCAAAAACAAGTATGCTTCAACTAAAGTACATTTTGCTTGCTCCTAAGCCGTAGGTAAACTTATCATACATCGAACAGAGTCTCGTGTATCTCACTTCTGTTCACCTCGTCTCCATTTCTGTTGCAGAACTCTTCGAACAACTGCTTGGTTGACCGATCTACCTTCCCCTACCCCTACGGAGACCAGGAGTCGCCCGCATCTGTGATGCAGAGATTCGAAGCTTTTGAAGCTCCTCTTCCAGCTCACGCGTCTTTCTTCCCCAGCGAACTTGGTCCTCCGCCCTGTCCCTTTTCTCATTCTCTAGCGCTCCACGCAGCTCTCTGATCTGCTGCTCCAAGGCTGCATCGTTGGGCGTCCCGCTCCCCGCGACCTTGGACTGGTTAAGCTGCTGCTGGAGATTGTTGATATGGGCCTGCTGTTCCACAATCGTCAATTTGCTCTGCTCGAGTGCGGTGGCAACCGATCCAGGGTTTGTCATCTGCCTCTTCGGAATCACTTGCCCCGTGCCAGCCTTCTCCAATTTGCTCAGACGATGCTGGAGGACTTCGGCGGTTCGTTCAGCGCTAACGGCTCGGTCGTGGCTCTGCTGAGCGTCTTGCATGACAACACCCATCTTGGTCCGCAGCTCATGGATCTCGGTTTCTTGCTCCAGCAGCTTTGCAGTACATTGCTCAAGCTTGGTCTCGGAGACTTGCAGCTTGGAGGCTTCCTGATCGGCAGGTGCCTTCTCCTGCTTGGCGAGCTGCTGCTCGAGAGCCTTGACTTTCTCCCCTGCCTTGCATGCCTGTTCTTGACTCCGTTGGGCATCCCGCATGGCCATGCCAATCTTGTTCTGGAAATCAACAATTTCTGCCTGTAGCGCTTCCACTCGGCCGCGTTCATGCTTAATGGTCATTTCGTAGGCGGGTCGAATGTCTTGTATGGTCTGCTGATGGCGTGCCTCTGTTGCCTTTGTTTCCTCGAGTATTTGATTGGCGTTCTCGAGGGCATCGCGAGCCTGATCTCTGTCGAAGAGTATCTCGAACTGATCGATTTCGAGACAACTGATCTGATCATGCTTCTCCTGGAGCGTGTCCAAGGCATTCTTCAGACGCTCGGACATCTCATTCTGAGCCGCTTTCAACGACTCGTGCTCAAGAGTGATGGTGATGTTCTGGGACGTAAGCTCCGTGTTCTCATGAACCAGTTTCTGCATATCGGCGTCCTTTTGGAGGAATTGATCGCGGAGTTGCTGCTCGACCGCCGATGCATTTTCAAGTGAGGTATACATAGCAGTAACCTGGCTCTGGTAGCTCTGAAGATCGGCTCGAAGCGCTTCGACTTCATGTGGTATGCTATCGCATACGTTAATCGCCTGTACAGCCAATTGCTGTTCGAGTGTAACGATTTTGTTCCTCAACTCGACCTTGACATTGGCTTCGCTCTCCGCATTTTTGATGCACTCGTTCAGTTCTTCCTCCAGCTGAGCGGCCTTCCTTGCAAGGGTTGCCCTGGCTTCTGCTTCATGCTGCGAATGAGTCTCCTTCTGACTCAGCTGTTGGGAGAGGTGAGCAACTTTATCGTTGAGGTAGTGGAGCTTAGCATCCACCTCACTATCGAAGTTTCTTTCGCATTCGGTGAGCTGTTCCTCCAGGTGCGAGACTTCAAGATTGAGGTTTTTGATGACTTCGGCATCAAGCTCGGAGGCCTTCGTCTTCTTGGCCAATTCTTGTTCAAGTCTTGCAATTGTGCCGGTGAGATCCTTAGCCCTAACGTCGACCTCGCGCTCGAACTCCCTGATTTTCTCAGCCAGCTGTTCCTCGATCTCGACAAGCTTCTTCGTAAGATCCTGGACCTTTGACTCAGTATCGAGTTCGGAAAGCCTTGTCTTCTCGTTCAGTTGTTCTTGAAGGGTCCCCGCCCTGGCTTTGAACACATTCATGGATTCAATTGCCTGCTCACATTCCCTCGTCTTCTCCGCCAAGTGTTTCTCAAGTCCGGTAGCTTTGTCCTCGGAAGTTCTGAGCTTGGTCGCGGTTTCGTTTTTGAGTCTCCTCTCGAGTGCAATCACCGTGTTGTGGAGTTCCTTGGCTTCAGCTTCGACCTCTTTCTTGAAATCAGCTGCCATGTCGAGTTGTCTTTCATTCTCTTCCAGTCGTTCCTCAAGTTGTTTGACTGTGATCAAAAGAATTTCTGTGTTGGCGTCGACCTGGTCCTTCAATCGAATCGCTTTCTCGGCCTCTCTTCCCTTCTCATGCAATTTCTCTTCAAGATCTTGGATCCTGGCCGTTAAAGCCTCGGCTTTGGCGTCGACTTCGTTATTTGAGAGCCTTGCCCGTCGGCGAGCCACGTCAAGTTCACGGTTCTTCCGGGCGAGTTGCTTTCGGAGGGTTAAATTACCGTCGCAGAGCCGCTCGTTTCTGCCTTGCAGTTCATTGCGTATAGCAGATTCCGTGGCCAATTCTCTCCGGACTTGGTCTGTTGCTTGGTTTGCTGCCTCCAGCGCTGTGGTTTGCTCGGCGAGCTGGACTCTTTGCTGCCGTATTGTGTCTTCGAGCTTGATGATAGTGGCCAGTCTTTCTGTCCCTATCCTGGAAGGAGAATTTGTCGGAGATTCTGCGCTTATGCTGCTGGTTTTGGTGGGAGTGGCTGTAGGGTGGTCGTGAGGTTTTTGGAAGGTGAGAGCTCCCACGAGGGTTGTTTTCAAGAACCAGAGTGAAACAGAAACAGAGAGGCAGATAGTAACGATAGCGAAAGCCTCAAGATGCTGAACTTCTTTGGACATATCAAACCGATTCGCGGAATGCTGAGCGACCATGTCTTTGAGGTAGTGCTTGAGGACGATGATGTATGGCAACACACCGGAAATGACGAGAGAGTGGAAGGTCTGACAGTAAATTATGGTAATGGCGAGGCGAAGGAGTGTCGTTTCGGGTTTGTTAAATGGAAAATACCATTCAACGACTGCAGTCATGAATCTCCCGGGTAAACTTTCGAAGCCTTTGGTCACCAATGCTTTCGCTATGGCGTGATAAATATTGCTTAGATCGCTGCATGACCTTGCGCTTGCAATGCGTTTTAGGAGCCATGTTGCTTCGTCGACGGTGGATCGGACGCAGATGATGATATGTGTTAGGGTGAAGATGATCAAAGAAGACAGGCATTCCCAGTGGGAAGCAGCGAGTGTAGCGAGGATAACGAATGCAAAAGCAAGAGATCCAGCTAACATAAGATCTGAGTATGCAATTATAGCCCAGATTCCGGTCAAAGGTTCGGCCTCGACCTCCCCGTATAAAAACAGCTCCTCCGCCACGGTTGCCATTTAGAATGGCTCCGCTTTTGGAGTACTGGTGGAAATGAAAGATAGGATTAAAGACGCTGAGATAATAGACTGTTTGTGGTATGAGCGTCAAAGACACTGAAGGCTGAAATCAATGAAGATGATGGTGATTCGAGAGGTTGTGTTGGAAAAGGTTGTGGGACACGAGATGTGTTAGAGAGGAAGAAGAGATTACTCGGGAGAGAGGAAGAAGAACACAGAATTGTAATCTCGAGCAAACAGTAACACAAGTGGAAGAAGTGAATGAGGGAAAAAAAAGTCTTAGTGGGATGGAGGCCTGTTGCGCGCAGGACCAATTTGAGTGAATATGCGTCCTTGAGAAACTGAAGGGAAGACTCAGTTAAGCGCAAGGCCACAACATGATTAGCCAGCCAAAATTGCCCTGCAAAAGAGTGAAAACATCATGCCACTACAAGGTCTCAAGCTTTTCATGGCCTACCAAGCGTCTTGCTTGTGTTATTACTTCTAGAAAGGGTGGTCAAGCCGGCGTTGAGGCAAAGTAGGGTTCCCAGACCCGCTTTCGAGACTTTTTGGCCAAGCTTTCGAGTATAGTGTGTGATTGAGCAAAAGATAGAAATAGCGCTATCATGATTTTCTAACAATATTTCTTGGGGAGAGGGTCATGTAATCCCTCAAGAGGGTGGAGTTTGCTGTTCACCAACATCATGTAGACCAAAGGGCACCAAACTGGAAGGAGCAGAAACTACAAAATCAAACCAGCGACGTATAGACTCAGCCATTCCAAAGGTCACACAGTCATGACAAGTAACTCGAGTGAGTCACAAATGCTTTCCTCGTGGAAATTCATATCCATAATCATGGGTCAGCGTTGGACGTGATGATGCGCGCTTATTGCGTGGAAGTGCTGCGCTACCATACTTGTATTGATCCTGAGCCTGCATTTGAGACGAAGTACTTCATGTTGAGTTATCTTATTGCATGCCAAAGTCTTGAGGCCTGGAAATCTGTTGAAACGACTTGCGAAGATCTATAAACTGCAGGTGGACCTGAAGAGGTAAGGTTATGGTAGGTATGGACTAGAATGAGTGGGATGTAGTTGGTGGTGCCGGGGCGCACGGGGATGCTGCCTGGGTGCCTCAGGCAAGAACCTCCTTTTTTTTTTTGACTTCTGTTATTACGGAGCATCTATGACTCTTCGAGAACCCCAGACAATCGATTTCAGTATCAATCAACAGGTAGCAAATTGAGCTCCAATTGACCATAACAGATCAAGCCAGACGCCCACCATATCTTGCCTGAAGTCATCCTTGCAGCTTGCCTCGCCCTCTCAATCTCGGCGCCGGGCACTCACGTCATTCGCCCGTTCCCTCGTGCTGCATAATTACGCCACTAGTTTAGCTCCAGCTTCTTGGCACCAAGACTCCGAGAGCTCCAGATTCCAGAAGAATGTCCCTCTAGCCCCATTTCCTTCCTTATTTCACACTTCTTCTTTCCTTTCCCTTTTCCCCTCTCATCGGTGATGGCCATATCTGCCAATCGCTCCTTGGCCATACGGCCCATCGCCCTTGGCTTGGGCAAACTGTTTATGCTTTCTCTCTCTCACCTTTCCTTCGTTTCTGCTGCTCCCGCATCTCATTTCCTTTCTCGCCGCGGTCACACCGAAGCCGAACCGCATCCGCTACCGGCGGACGATGCCAGCCTATGGCTATATCTAGGAGTTGCTGCGGCCCTTGTGCTGACTGGAGGCGCCTTCGCCGGCCTGACAATTGCTCTGATGGGTCAGGTATGTGCTTCCGATCTTGCTTGCTTTTCCCCCTGGAATTCCGCACTAATTTTATTCTTATCGATAACCACAGGATGAGGTATACCTACAAGTGATCCAAACGTCAGGCGATAGTCCCTCCGAACGGAAGAATGCTGCCAGTGTTCTGCGTCTTCTAAAGCGCGGAAAGCATTGGGTTCTTGTCACGCTTCTTCTGAGCAATGTTATCACCAACGAGACGCTTCCTATTATCCTTGATCGTTCCCTCGGCGGCGGGTGGCCAGCTGTGCTCGGCAGTACAGTCTTGATTGGTAATGACGAACCTTTCAGTGCTATTGAACGCCTGCTAATTTGCTTTTTCCTGAACTACCTAGTTATCTTCGGCGAAATCGTTCCTCAGTCAATATGTGTCCGTTACGGTCTCCCTATCGGTGCTTGGATGGCTCCCTGTGTCCTGGCCTTGATGTATATCATGGCTCCTGTTGCTTGGCCGGTTGCGAAATTGCTCGACAGACTGCTTGGTGAGGATCACGGGACGATATACAAGAAAGCGGGGTTGAAGACTCTTGTGACTCTCCACAAGACCTTGGGAGAGGCAGGCGAACAACTTAATTCCGATGAGGTCACAATCATCAGTGCGGTGCTTGATCTCAAAGAGAAGTCCGTTGGTAGCATCATGACTCCAATGGATGATGTTTTTACCATGTCGGCCGATACCATTTTGGATGAGCCAACCATGGATCTCATCCTCTCTCAAGGCTATTCCCGAATCCCGATTCACGCTCCCGAAAACCCGAGAAACTTCATCGGCATGCTCCTAGTCAAGATGCTGATTACTTACGACCCGGAGGACTGTAAACCGGTGCGGGATTTTGCCTTGGCAACCCTACCTGAAACACGGCCCGAAACGAGCTGTTTGGATATCGTGAACTTCTTCCAGGAGGGGAAGTCGCATATGGTTATGGTTTCGGAATATCCTGGTGAGGATCGTGGCGCTCTGGGTGTGGTGACTCTGGAAGATGTGATTGAGGAGCTTATCGGCGAGTACGTGACTCCAGTGGGAACCGTTGGGATTGGAAAACTAATGTCTTTGGTACAGGGAAATCATTGATGAGTCGGATGTTTTTGTGGATGTTCACAAGGCGATCCGGCGTATGGCCCCTGCACCTTATTCCCGCGTTCCTAAGGGCCGGTTCGTAGAAGAACCCCCTACTCTTCCCACGCCAGGCCCTTTGGTGGATGTGGGCACCAACTCTCCAGCTATAACCGGCCATACTATCACCCGGCGTCGAAGCTCTATAGAAGCTCCTCTTCCTCGCTTCCAACTTCGCCGATCCATGGGAGATGACGCTGGGGATGCTACTATCACGCGCCTTGGGGCAACTGATGAGATCCGCGAGCACCTGAAACATTTAGGTCCCTCGAACTTGGCCAGCAGACCTCGCCAAACGCGGTACCAAAACGTGAAAATCAAGCGCGGTACATCTCCTTCCCGCTCAGGACAGACGGACATCGACTCCATGGTGGAATCTCACACTAGACGCCACTCATCGGGATTCCCTGCTGCATTTGATACGACTCCAGTGACAACGTCCGGATTTAACCCACGAGATGGTGCACATGCTCTACGAATGGGCAACACTAATCTACAGTCTCCGGACTCCGGTTTCAGAAACGGTGCGCATGTGTCAATACCCGAGCCAGTCCGTGAGGAGCAAGATAGCGCTCCCCGCTCTGCTGGTAGTTGGCGGGCCAAATCCGCAGAGTCGCTCTCGCCCGACGACCTTCCCGGCAGCTACATTCATCGTGGGCCTGTACGCAGTGGCAGCATTACGGAACACATAGTCGACGTGAATGGAATTCGAAAAGTCGTCCTTCACACAACCAGCAGCAACAGCTCCTCGGAAGGAGAGGGCCCTAATTTCCCAGTCCGACAGGGAAGTGAGGTTATCGATCTTAACGAAACAGACGAGGACCACACAGACCGATCTAAGAAGAAACGCCGTCGCCGGAGACACAAATCCGGATCAAAACACAAAATTGACGGCAATAATCGGGACGAGGCAACCCCCTTACTACCTTAACCCGAGCCCTTTCTACCCTCTGCCGGTCAGAAACTATAATTTCGTTCCAGCGCTACATTCATTGTCCGAGTATCTTGACCAACGCACTAATGGACATTGTCCGGTTTGACTTCTAACCAGGTGCTTTTTTGTTGACTGTATGTTGACCGTACACATTTTATCATTATATATTTTACTAGCCCCAGCTTAGAGGTGGCGACTCTTTTCCTTTCTATTCACAATTGAGATATAGGCGAATCAGGCCTAACACTTCTGAGAAATGCATATGTGGAATCTTTTAATCAATATATGGTGTCACGTAAAAAGGTACTATGTAGCCACGACATCGGCACTGAAGGTGAAAACATAAGTACTACAGTCGGCATACTTTGAAGCTATATACGAACGAATCTAGTCTCGCCGACGCTGATGTAGTCACCACTACGGATTCGAAGGAGAAAAGAAAGGGAAAGAAAATCATCAATTCATCAAGAATCGCGTGAGAACGCATATGCAATGCAGCTTTTACCATACCACTCCAAACCCACACCATGCAGGAAACATGCGGGAGAACTATTGCAGAAGGGGATCCTAGAAAAATGATTAGCTGAAGTCACGAGGAACGGAAGCAGATGCCTTACCCTGAAGTGCTTTTGGTTGTTCGCTGCCCGGTTGACACGAGCCGTATACCGCTGTTCTTGACGAATAGCCCTCGTCCGGTCCTTGCGTTCTCCCTCCAGGACAGTCCGTTTCTGAGTATCCGCCACACCAATCATACCAGTACCGCCGTTGGCACGTGTAACAAGGGCGCGGTTGGCATTGCGGCCGCGGGGCTTCTCTTCCTCTTCGATCTCGCCATTCGCAATTGCAAGCTGTCGCTCAACCCGTTCCTGTACACTAGGGTAGCTGTGTAAGTTCTGGCGATAGTAGCGGTTAAGGGAGCGGTGGCCAGCTGTGCGGCCGGAGGGGAGATGGAGTTCGTATTCTGTTCTGTAGACTGCGGGGGCGTTCTTTCCGAATGATTCGTCTTCGTCGTCAACGGAGGAGGCGTCTGTTTCCCAGCCGTCCTCGTCGCCGTCAGAGCCTGAGACCTTGACGCCACCGTCGGCCATTTCCTCGTCCTCATCGTCGTTTTCGTCGTCAGAGTAGGTGCTTCGGAAGTCGTAGAATTGACCTATTTCGATCTGCTCATCTTCAGTCTCGAAGGCGATCATGCAGTGGCTCTTGTCCTTCATGTGTGTACGGATGGCCTCTGGGGTGTTTCGAATAGAGTGGCAGTAGATACACTCGCTGTTCTCGTTGATCTTCCGCCAGAGGTAGTGGATGAGGCCCTTCAGATCTGAGAGGTAGGATCGTTCGGGGATGAACAGGCCGTGGCTCTTGAACATGTGGTCTGTGTTTTCTTCGACGTTGGCTGACTCGTTATTGCAGAATAGACAATTGGTTGACGAATCCAAATCGGCATCAACTAGCTCTTCATCCTCATCCTCTTCCTTGATTGTCGCCTCCTTGAGTCCCTCGGTAACCGTAGCCACACTGGCTTCGCCATCACGAGACTTGTTGATCGGCTCTCCAAGCGAGAAGGTCGAGCTCATCACGGACGACGAATCATCTGCATTCTCTCTGGCCAGCCGGGCCTCGCGGGCCTTGTGTTTTGAGCTCTTAACATGGTTCTGGTACGAGTTTTCGCTGTAAAACGACTTCTGGCATGCGAGACAGGTTTTCTCAAACGACGCCTTGGCGGCGGCCGCGGTGGAGGTGGCTTTGGCTGCGAGAACCTTGTCGTTGAATGTTTCTTGGGAAACAGGAGGGAGGGAGGCAACACGGCGCTTCATGTTATACAGACTAGAAAAACAATATGATCAGCACTTTTGTCGTCCAGAGGGGGGTTTGCCAGTTTTGGGCTTCCTACTGCCAATCTGTGCGCATGTGGTCGCGCTGGCCATCGCTGCTGCGGAAGGCAACAAGGCAGGTGTTGCAAGTGTAGGGTAGGTTGGCCGACATGGTTTTGAATAATCCGATTCTTTCGATGCAGTTGTGGAAGAGATATCGCCTTATCAGGTGAAGCGGGGTGTGCGCACAGGCGAGGAAAAAAAATATCGACTCCCTCGGCGAAGGACGTTCAACAACAGATGGCGACCAGCGAGGATATCAGGAAGGGGACCGATTTCTGTAAGGTTCTATGGACGACTCCTAGCCTTTGAAATAGGATAGTCGCCACAAAAAGTAAGAGAATCTAGAGTCATTTGTTGCTCACTGTGAATCGATGATCAATAAGCAACTTCCGCACAAATTTCCCGCTTTACCGCTTTAGGACAGTATGACGTTCGCCCCTCATTTCTGTGCTAAACCACACATGGGATAGCGGCGAACCAGCCCTGAAAAGCACCTCCAGAGTATAGGTACCAATCTTGATCTACTACTACACGTTTGTGAGTACGGACAAAGACATTGGCACCAAGGGAGAAATCGATCAATGGGCAGCTTTTTTCGCAGACAACGGTTGCATGAAAAAAACCTCCCTGCGCTGGTTCGAGCCATTGGAGGTGGCTGAATCTCTTTGATGGGAGTAGGGTACGAACATGTCTCATAGCTACCCCTGTCAAAGCGAGCACAAAGGAGCTCTACCCGGCATATAAAGGCTTCAGAATGTGCATCCCATGTGGGTGTCACCTCCATCTAGCGGAATCTAGTTCTAGCCATGTCAAGTATCACTATCAGATGGCTTACTGCCGACGTAGCACGGATCTTGGACGAAGCAGCAGTCTCCAATGTTCTCTTTGGCTGGATGGCTGTGAGCCTGATCGGAAACGATTTCGGATTTCAGGTACGCGACTCTTTTCCTCTCCGACTTTTGATATTTCGTACACTAACATATCAGTAGGAGATCGACTTTGTTGTTCCTGATAGCAAGCTCCAGACGGCTAGTGGTGCACTGATGAGGGCCGGATTTTCCCTTTGCACCATCTATAACTGCAGTGAACAGGAGCCATGTCGCAACAAGAACACTAGCAACCATGACGAAATAAAGGCGAAAAATCGGCATCACCCTGTCGCTGCTTGTCATTTCCACATCATGAAGCCTGGTCAAGCTTTGGTTTCGTTGCATAGGGAATCCAAACTCCTCTGGTGGCTACCGCATCATACCGCGAGTGACGACCACCTTTGGCTTTCGACTGATTCCCGACTGTATCTTGGTACCTGCCCCTGGCCAAAATTCTATCCGATCAAGCTTCTGAACCCAAAATGGCTATTCAAGGCTGTTCTGAGTCTGCTTTGCAGGGACGGTGGCCAACCTCAGACCGGCTGGGAAATGTGGTATTCGATGGCCCAGTGTTTCGTAGAGTTGGAGAAGCTTGCTGCTCAAAAGGGCATCCCATATTTCCAGCCAGAGTTGAAGCCTGCTTGTGACATTTTGTCTGTCCCTGGGCGTGTGCCTGAATATGCTGTGCTGTTGTTGCGCCAACTGTGTGATCAGACCTCACTGGAACGGAGCCGGGCAGAAACAATTATTTTTGTGCTTAGAGGAAAGATACCCTAGGAAAATATCAATTCGCAATGAAAACAAAAGGTTAGAGCCTTGTTGTCCAAAGACCAGCGGACTATTGTAGCTCCGTAAACCAATGTCGTCACGGGATTTAGCGGCTCTCGGCGTATGAGCAACGGCGCGCTCATCAATCATCGCAAGCGGATCGGTGTGAGGCGCTGCTGATAGCCCATACCTAACCAAGCGACATCGTTAACCACTCTCTTATTACCTTTACCTCACTTATATCCTACGTCGCAAACAACAACCATCTCCCACTCTATCCACCTCTCTCCCTGTAGCTGAGTGATGCTACCGCAGGCAGAAATATGACCAGGCTCCGCGGACCTTCCGCGAGTTCATATGAGGGTTCGCGTGGTGGCATCGAGCGGTCGCAGTGCCACAGGTCCAAACTACCCCCAGGCGCACCGGATATCATCTCACAGTCTACCGTTGATGTTTCAGACCCTGCGCAAGTCCTGTTGTGGTATCGCGATGAACGTCGCCGACAGTTTAACCTGCTCGTCAGAAAGTGTGTACACACTTCCGTCCGAACCGCATCTGGATAAGAACTAATGTCGCGACAACTTCTCAGATACAAGAACCAACTCCTCTACGGGTGTCAAGACCCCAATTGCCAGACGCCGACATGTGCCAGCTACCGACGGAGAGTGACCGAAGGGCCCTACCGCCGTTACACCGATTTGAGCGCCCGAACACTGGCTTGCTACCTAGCGAGCTTAGACAACGCGGAAAGTGGACTATGTCGCCATTCACCCCGTTTGAACTCTGAACTATCTGCCCAAGACTCGCACCGCCGGTCGAAACGTCGAACCCGTGCTCCTTCAACGCAAAGTCCGACGCGCGATCGCTCGGACTACAATGCAGCCACAAGTAAATCAAACAGAGCCGCCCCGCAACCCGATAATATACTGGAAGCCAATACAAGACGGCGGCATTTGGAAGACGATGTTGTACTCAGTAAACAATCGGTCACGCTGCCGGAGCCTGCAAGCTCGCCGGTTCAACGCCTGAAAGATCCAAAGTCCTTCACCCAGAACCTGTTTGATACCCTTTCGTTGCGAATGATCGAATGGCTACCTCTCCGTCGCTCTCCTGGCTCATTTGATCTGGACCAGTCCCGTACATATCTTCGTGAACCCCCTCGTTCTCCGAATTCGGATACCTGTCAAGCGCACATGGACTCGGATAAGGAGCAACCCCAGTACAAACAATGCCCTTACCAACCCGATGTATCTGGCGGACCGCATACCCCATCATCGCGCAGTGCGAGCCAAACAACGGCTGTGGAATTAAAGCTACCAAATCAACAGTTCAAGCGGGTGTCCCTCACCGACACAGAGCTGCGGAGATCAAACTCGAAATCAAGTCTAGACGACAAGCAGTTGCCTGAATTGAAGCCGGCTAGGAAGCTCTCGGTCAGCACACAAGCCAATGCAAACGTTGACGAATTTGTGAACGTGTCTTCACCACCAGCACTCAAGCACCGACCCCAGAAACATCGTGGAAGGGCGGTTGATGCGAACAATACCCGCCTGCATGAGCAGAAAAAGAAAGAGCGACGAGTCTCTTGGGACGGCTCCAAATTCTTGAATGATATGCAGTCATACCATAATCATAACAACACTGCAGTCATTGATAACCAAGTCACTCCAAATGATCGGCCATCCAATGACCGCCGACGACGACGCGATAACCCACTCGTGGCGTATGATGCAAAGGCAATTCAATCACTTAGTCACCTAAATGATGAGATCATTGATGGCTTGAAGCAAATGCTGATCCTTTCTGACGAGGAGGCTGAAAGGTGGAAAGAGGAGCTTGCGCTTATGGAATACAACGGCAGTTTTGAGGACTCTGAATGGCGGTTTGCAACATCTCGCCAACGTACAGTTTTCACGTTCATCACCCAAAGCGTCTTCTATGCTCTAGGAAGCGCCCGGCACCTTGTGCGCTCATTCCGGGAAAGGACTCGCCCAACCGACGATACAGATGCTTCGTCTAAGCTCGATCTCGAGCTATTGGAACCGGCCTTGCGCAAGCTCTTCGCTATTTGCCCTAAAGACATTGTCTTCCACAGCCTATGGAATGCTCTGGACGCATTGTTTGTTCCTCCTAGAGAATTATCAACATCTGGGCGGCTTTCGCGGCGTTCTTCTTATAACTCCAATCCCACCACTTCAGCTTCCGCGCCGGTACCTATCCGTCGTACGTCCGATGCCTTCGCCAATGAGTACGTCACCGACGCAAACGCTGCAGATATTGCAATCGTGGCATTGTTTGCCTTGGCTAAGTCTCTGCCTGAAATCGACAACACTACGTGGAGTTGCATGGTGCTGATGCGGTCTACCGGAAATGTAGCTATGAGTGCCGTCATGGAAATGTTTCGCTTGAGGGACGCTCAACTGGTCGTTGAAGCTACGGATGTTTTGGAGCACGAGCTGGCGCTTCGATTAGTTGATCGCCTGGTTCGCGCCATCACTGCGCGATTAGCTTTCCATGAGATATCAAAGGCTCGGTACGGTTACACCCAAGAGTCGACGAAACGCAAGAACAATGTTCTAGATACCCTTGTCGAACTTCTGGGTCAGCATCACGACCTTACTATAAGATCCCTGGGAAATGAGGATACGAACCCACGCGCTCCTAGCGTTCCAGCGGTTATTACTGAGTGGCTCCGGACTCTTCTGTTGAAGAGTTGGGACGGAAATCCGGAAATGTCCAGAAGCAGCTCCGAGGGAGGAGCTGTGCAGATACTCTCCGTCCTATTCAAAGAACGAAACAAACTCGGCCTCACTGCAGAAAACTTCCATACCCCTTTCCTCTCTGAGCGGCTGGATCCGCTAGAGATGCCGGTACAGTGGATGGCGCGGGTGCCCAGCAACAAGACCTTACATCTTCTCTCCTACTCCTTTCTGTTTCCCCCATCCGCCCTCGTCATCTACTTTCGTGCTCTTAATTACTCTGCCATGTCCAGACATTACGAAGCAGCCATGACCACTACGAGGCATGTGACGCAAACCGCTTTTAACAACATTGAAATCTCAGATGATGTCGGTCTCCTTGCTCGGATGAAGATATCAATGACCACTTACTTGGTGCTTGTCATCCGTCGAGACAATATCCTCACAGATGCCCTCAATCAGCTCTGGAGACGCGAAAGGCGGGAGCTCATGCGTCCGCTCAAGGTTCAGATGGGTATGGAGGAAGGAGAAGAGGGGCTTGATCATGGAGGTGTTCAACAAGAATTCTTCCGCCTGTTTATGGCAGAGGCTCTGGACCCCGCATACGGCATGTTCACGACGGATAGCCGCACTCGTATCTCCTGGTTCCAGCCCTGCTCGTGGGAACCGCTTTACAAATTTGAACTTCTCGGGCTGTTGATGTCGCTTGCCGTCTACAACGGTCTCACCCTTCCTGTGAATCTCCCCACTGCTTTTTATCGAAAGCTTCTTGGTTTAAAGGTCAAGTATTTGGAGCATATCCGGGATGGGTGGCCAGAACTCACAAAAGGCTTAGAAGAACTTCTAGGTTGGAGCGAAGGTGATGTCGGGGACATTTTCCTGAGGACATATGAATTTGGCTTTGAAGCATTTGGCCGGGTTGAGACGGTCGATATGGAAAAGGTTGATCGAGACGCTCCGTGGCCTCTTTCGTCCACCGGTCGAAGCTCCGGCGGCCGTTCTGTGAGGTATTCCCCATCTTGGTCTGACGTGCGGCGCTATACCGACCAGGCAAACCTCAGTCCGCCCTCGTCCATGGCAGCCGAAACCGCCGATTCGCAAGATGAGGCTACCAAGTCGGTGGCCGGCCCGGTGCCCTTGCCCTCGCCCACGCCACCAGCTGAGGAAGCTTCTCTGGTGACGAACGAGAATCGAAGTCGGTTTGTGAAGGATTACATTTTCTGGTTGACCGATAAATCCATTCGACCGCAATTCGAGGCCTTTGCACGAGGCTTCTATACCTGCCTTGATCGATCATCTCTTTCCATCTTTACTCCGGAGGCGCTGAAGACCGTGGTCGAGGGCATCCAGGAGATTGACGTTGCGCAGTTGGAACGGCACGCTCGCTACGAAGGAGGCTTTGGTCCCAGCCACCGCGTGATTCGAGACTTTTGGAGCATTGTTCATGAGTTTTCCGCTGAGAAGAAGGCGCATCTGCTGGAGTTTGTCACTGCCAGTGACCGAGTACCAGTCAATGGGATCGCAAGCATCATGTTTGTAATTCAGAAGAACGGAGTGGGGGATGCTGTAAGCATTGCGTAATCCGACTGAACGAGCGAACGTTGCTAACTTTGTTTCTAGCGTCTTCCAACGAGTTTGACCTGCTTTGGCCGTCTCCTCTTACCTGAATACTCTTCCAGGAGCGTTATGGAAGAAAAGCTCGGCAAGGCGTTGGAGAACGCGCAAGGGTTTGGCGTTGCTTAAGGGCAGGGTTTCTGGACAGGAAAGGTTTCGGCGTTACTATATTCTCCGTTGTATATATCTGCTTTTGGTCCTGCACTGTAGACTACATCCTCAGGAGTATACTCGACATAGCATATTATAGCTCTGCATCGCCTAAGGTACCCAGCCCGATGCAGGAATCCGATCTATATGCCAAGATCCAATGTCGTTGGCAGCCTCTGGGGGACCCCATTTTTTCTCTCCACCAACCGAAGTCTCCAGTTTGGCCCACGGTCACCCGGTGAGCCACTGCGCCGCCTGGCTGTCCTCTCGGTTTTCATTCTTCTTCCCTGTTCGTGTTGACTCATCTCGCTCTCTAAGTTGACCAATTTCTTTGGCGCTTTTCTTCCTTCTCTTCTCCCCTTTTCCCCTTCCCTCCGTTCCTTAGGTCACTCGAATCTCGAGGCATTATCATCGTCACTCTCTGCCCCGCTACCCCGCCTTCTCTCTTTAAATATGCCGCCCATCATCCACTGCGTCCGCCACGCTCAGGTATGTCGCCATACTTCAAAACATCATTTTCCCCTCCAGAAATCAAACCAATTGACCGTTACTCTGCTCAGGGCCTTCACAACCTCTGCACTGAAAACCACGTCATCCCCGATCCCCTCCTCACTGATCTCGGAAATACGCAATGCGAAAAACTAAGAGACAGCTTCCCCCGTCATGATAAAATCGACCTTGTCGTTGCCTCGCCGCTTCGCCGAACCATGTACACGGCCCTGCAGAGCTTCGAGCCCGTCTTTAAAGCCAACCCGAACATGAAATTGATCTTGCTGCCGGATATCCAGGAGACGAGTGATGTTCCTTGCGATACGGGTACCGATCCGGCGCTGCTACAAAAAGAGATTGATGAGAAGGGACTGCCTGTTGATGCTAGCCTAGTACATGACGGGTGGAATGACAAGGTACTATCACTGTCCGCGTTGAAGCTTCTTGCCACTCAGCCTTTTGCTAACGTCTGGTTAATCCACAGACCAGCGGCCGCTACGCACCCACTAACCACGCGATTGGAAACCGTGCGCGCGATGCCCGACGCTGGCTAAAGGCCCGACCGGAGAAAGAGATTGTCATGGTTTCGCATGGCGGTGTTTTACACTACTTTTCTGAGGATTGGGAAGACAGCAGCCAATACCAGGGTTCGTGCTCCTGCACCAGCTTTATATTAGGCGTTCTACTGGCGTTATGCTAACCATCATTGTTTCCAGGAACCGGCTGGCTAAACACGGAATACCGCACATACACCTTCTCAGACAAGATCGATCTTGACGACTTAGAAGGCAACAAGCTCAACGAGGACAACGCTACATTAGTGGAGACTATCGAATCGCGCACTCGCCGCGGGAAAGAAGGGCCCATGGCTGATCGTGAGCAGCAAAAAGTCTACTATAGACAAGGCGTGCAGGGCTGGGATGACCAAGGACTGCAGCTTAGCACAGCCGATCGGGAGGCTGCCAAGGTACCACAGGGGAAGGAGGTAGATGGTGTGAGAGTATAGATTGCTAGACTGGCTAGATTTAGTCGATACAAAGAGTGATTTGGACATAGAGCACGATAGAACTGGGTTTTGCAGATTGCAACAAATGAAAACATCATGTGGTTCTGAACAAAGAACATAGCTTTAGGACAAGCTTCCCAGGCGTATATGACAATGGGGAGATTAAACAGGTGTTATTTTTCTTTGAGATTCATTGTCGTTTAAAGGCTCTGCAGGGGAGGACAAAGACTTGATAATACCCATTCTTCACCTCTGAAAAGAGGTACAGCGAATTCCAAGCTTTTTAGACAAAGGGCTCTCACCGTTAGAACCTAAATAGCAAAGGCTCATGGCCCTCTTGTTTCAACCTGCCTATAAAATGACCGAGTTCCCCCAGCGGAATTACAACCATCAATCAGCGCAACAGTACAATTCAGATTCTCTTTTTCTTTGTATACAGGTGAGCCACTATACTTCTCTTGCTAACAGCTTTCCTAGACATCGCATTTTGGTATATACCCCGAACGAGGTCTGGAGGCCTCATGCTTCAAGTCCATATCAGGTACGTTCCCTTCCAGTATGAGAGTGCTGATGTGTATAGGATGATCATAGTCTTCCTTTTATTACAGGTACATGGCACTCTTTTTATACTTACTGACGAGTTTAGACATTCCTATTAACAGAAATCTCCAATACTGTGTTCGGAGGAATCATAGGTGAGTGCCCTAACTGAACAAACTACTGACGCCTATAGAATGATGGGTCACTTTGGCTTAATTATCATCGACAATCACAGGCACGTCTCCTTCCAGACCTGGTTAACTTATATAGGACGAACGAGGGGCCAACCTAGGTGTTCGAGACACAAATGCTCGTGAGGTAAGTCTCTTCATCACTTATCTGGATACTAACTCACGAATGCAAGATATAATGGACGGACAGCCTCTTCAAATCAAGGTAGACTTACCGTTATCATGACCCCAAAGTCCACAGGTACGTGTCCACCCTCAACTACGCTGACGGATATAGGACGAGGAACCACGAATAGTGCATATACGGATCGCTATTGCGGAGAACAAGCTAAGTCCACCTCTAGAATATTTTTAGTAAGAGTACTGGCTAATATCAAGCAGATAATTGGTGTAAAGTGATTGAATATCTGCTAACTTGGAGCACATAGTAGGAACTTGCTTACCACGGCGAAGAGTATACTACTATTGACCGAAACCAGTCTATACTGGATTTTGGGTGCTAAGTACTCCATTTTATCCATTTCATTCTAAATCATAAACTAACTCGCGGAGTAGCTCGTATTTCCTTGGATCAACATCTACTACATTGGAAGCGAACCTACAAAGGCTAGGTAAGTAATCCATCATCCATCGTGGGGGCTGATTGTTATTCATCAGGGACTTAGCGATTGAATGGATTGAGCTGCGAAAGCTCGAGGTATAGGAATATCTATGAGGACATTACATCTCCGGGTACTTTCCTGCTATCGGTCTTTTGTATCTGTACTAGTATACATTACCAAGGGATATATATAAATACCATGGATTCGTAACAGTAAACACAACGCAACCGAATTGCACCAGAAGAGAAATCTCGATAGCAGTCATGCTATATGATATTCCCAGAAATACACTAGCAGAGACGCTGTAAGATTTGCAATTCGAGTTGAGGTACGGACGCGCAAGGCTCATGATGATCTATACCGACTGGGCAGCTCAAGTTCTGCCTGGCAAGGAATTGTCGTAACATTTAGTACTGAATTCTAGGCAGCGATTGAATCACACTCTGGTAAGGGGAGTGGGACAATGCTCTATGAAGTTTCGCGTGCGCTGATTACGGAACGCAAGCGTCTAGTTTCATGATCGACCGAGTAGATGCTCAGGGCAAGGACCAGACGAAACCTTAGGAAACGAGCAAATGCTCCTAGGTAGCGTGCTAGGATATGCCCAAGGCAATACCTTTTCGAACAGTGTCACTCCGAAATCCCAAGAGTAAGGCTTTCCCTAAAAGATATGTCGAGGGTGCCCAAGGCTGGATGTGGCTGCTCTAGGAAAGACCCTGCGCGCAAGGCAAAGAAAGCGGCGCAGCGGTTGCTGGAGTATAAAGCCCGCGATTAGTTCAATTCAGAGTCTTTCACCTCGACACATGCCAGAAATCCCTCATCTACAAGTATTGGTCACTTCGTAAATTAAATTGCTGCAATGTATCCGTGGAAACGAAGCTACTTGCGCTGTAGCTGTTGAAGCTTAGCGCCAGGGTCCCGCAAGCTAGCACAGATTTGCGCTCATGATGATGAGGCCCGGGGGATTCGAGGCAGATTGCATTGCGATGATCCGATTTGCTGGGGGGCTGAGCTAAGGCACCAGAGTTTCGCCCGAAGAAACGAGCTCGATGATTCGTAATTGAGACGAGGGAAGTTGTTTAATGAATGAAATGTTTAATGAATGAAATGTTTGGCAGCGCTTTCTCTGTTGCCTGCGAACTATTTTTGGGTTCCGAAAAGAGGGGCGCAGTCGCTGCCTCAGGCAGAATACCCCATACGGCGGCTTTGTAACTCTCACAATGAGACGCACCTTTAAACTCTTTCATTCCGCCAGCCGGATACTTTTCATGTCTAATCCAATGGCATCTTGGAGAACATCAGCTTGAGCCGGCAGTCACAACACAGAATGCTCGACGAGAACCTTCCCAGTAAGTTTCTTTAGCCTCAATAGTCGTATGCAGCAACCTGTGCGGAGAGCTCGACTAATCATAGCAGCATTTTACCTCAAGCCAGGGAGCAAGGATACACCTCACCTTTCGCAAATATACCTCCTCCAGTACGGAAACGAGCCCGACCCAGTTTATTCCTGCCACTACCCTGACCCTTCCTCCCCCGAATCTAAGAACCGCTATGCCGCCGCACTCTACGACCCTTACGTTCCCGACGTCGTCTATGGCGAGGTTCTGATCATCCCTGAATGGACTCAACCGACACTCTCGGCGGACGCTATCCGCCAAAATGGTGGCGTTCCGCCACCCCCGGAGCCGATCCTCCCAAACAAATTCACCATCCAGCTTTACAACCCTGACCAACAGATCGTGGTGAGCTACAAGCCGAAGACATGGAATAGCCCGCCCTCCTGGTCGTTTGAGATGCCACAACACAGCTTCCGTGAGCCTACCGGATCGTCTCTCGATCGCGTTCAGCTCGACCCGGCTGTCGCAGGCACAACCCCCAAGTTGCGCTTCACCTGGAAGAGGGACAGCAAGCTGTCCAAGGATCTCACGTGTCTACTCCGCGGCAAGACCTCCGCCATTCCCGAAACCAAGACCAAGAGCAAGGAACCGGACATTACTGTCTCGATGTTCAAGGCGCTGCGCGAACTGACGCTGTACGAGCCGAACCTATACCGTGTTGAAATGGAGGATTTCAAGGGTCTAGAGCTTGTTCTCTTGCTGGGAGCAATGACTATCCGCGACGTCTATTTCGCTCCCCCCAAGGAAGCGTTCCGTATCTCGAGACAGAACTCTGCAACTGCTTCACCAACTTCCAACTCCCCCATCGCTCCTAGTCCAACGTCGAACAGGCTGCCTGCCGGCTCGGGACCCCTGATGACTGATATCCCTCCCGCTCCACAACCACAACCGGTCCGGAGCCCGCAACTTACAAGGCAGCATGAACAACTTAGGAGGGAGGAAGAACGACGGATACGGAAAATGCTGGATGAGGAAGAAAAGGCGCGCCAGAAGCGTCAAGCCGAGGTTGACAAAGAGACCCGGCGGCTACAGAAGCTGTATGGTGACGAGGAAAAGCAAGTTCGACTGCAGACACCGTCTTTGCCACCACGACCATCCATACAGGAGCCTCCAAGACCAGCTCCACGATACTACGATTATAACCAAGGTCCGCCTCCAGTCTCACATGGCGGATCGAGACCCTATATGCAACTCCCTGGCCAAATGTCGACGATGAGCTTGTTGTCTCCACCACGACCACAGTCGACAGCGAACCAGGGGCTGCAGAATAAGCGCAGCAGTTTCTTTGGACTCCGACGAGTTTCGGAAGAAGGAAAATTGACGAAAAAGCGCAGTTCCATGTTTTGATCCCACGTCGATTCGCGTTATTTGCCCATATTTTTATTTACAGTATCCAGTTTCGCAGATACCCAGGAGTTTTGGTGTTGTTTTAACACAAGCATAGCATGCATACATTCATGACAAACCTAGAATGTGAATATAGAATGAAACTATAAAATCCAGCAGCCAAAGTCCTCAGAAGTAGTCTGCGTCACTATAGTAGCCTCCCTTCCACGCCCTCAAGGGTGATATTTACGGGGAGAATGTTTCCATCCTCATCAAACTCCATACGGTCGATACATACAACCCGATGATCTCGCGCAGTGTCGTTGAAGAACCGGCGGTGATAGACAATATAATAATCATCACCGTCGGGAGTAAAGACGCTGTGATGGCCAGTGCCATAACCCACCGCGTCATTTCCAGAGAGGACCTTGGTAGGAGTGCTCGAGAATGGGCCGGTGGGGGACGGACCGGTGACATAGCTAACGCCGTATGAACTATCACCCCAGCTGTACCTGATCAGTCTTTGGTTGCACAAATGGATCGATAGGAACCGAAAGTTTATACACATGAAAAAAACTTACCCGCCGACACTGTACATAAAATAGAATATACCATTCTTCTTGAGCATCCACGGCCCCTCTACATAATCTGGAGGAGTGATCTCCAAATAATCACCCTTCAAACTTACCATATCATCGTTGAGCTCGACGACGATTGCATGACTCCACCCGCCATAGTAGAGCCACACGCGGCCGTCATCCTCATCCTGGAACAGCTGCGCATCGATCGCCTCTGCACCAAAGACAGTCTCCGGCACGAGCGGTTTCGCGATAGCATCGACGAAGGGGCCATCGGGACGGCCCGTGATCGACTTCGCCACACCAATGCCTGCCCCGTCGCCCGCAGAGAAGTACATGAAGTAGTCGTACTCTGAGCCATCGTCGAGAACATTAGAGTTCATGGAGCGGCGACGACGTGCCACGGAAGGGGCCCAGGCGGCCCGGTTTGTGGACCATGGAATCTCCGAAATGTTTAAGATAGAGTTATGTTTGGTCCAGGTAAGGAGATCTGTAGACGAGAAAGCGTCAAAGAAGGTCTGTTCCTCGTAGGCCGCTGAGTAAGTTGGGTATATCCAGTATTTTGAGTCAAAGATTCGTGCTTCAGGATCGGCGTACCAGCCTTCAAATACCGGGTTTCCTGAAAGAAGGTCATTGTTGTTGTCCTCGCTGGAGAGGGGAGCCTGATCGAGGCCCGTCACGACGGGGAGAAGGAGAAGGATCGACTGCAGAATGCGACCCATGTTTGCAGTGCTGATGATGTGAGCTGGAGTGAGCCTCGTACTTTAGAAAGGTGAGGAATGAGCGCGTGCCCGAGTCTCGAGAGGGGTTGTTGGGGTTGCCCAGCTGGGCGACGATCACCCCCGGCCTCCTTGCTGCTGCATGTGCGACCTGAACCTGCATAACGCATCATCTTCCAAGATGATGGCTGTCAGGGCTTTCTCCTCCCATGAGTCCTGCTTATGTCCCTCCGACGAATGTCTATCGCGCTTTTCCATCTAAAATTATCCTCATGGGATGGTCGTCTCCGCGAGATGCCCCGGGCTAATAAAAAGTCACGAGAATACGAGATGGCATCCAGCTCCAAAGTATGACGATTGATCTCGACTCGTGAAACTCCACCCACGCTATTGAAACACGAGCCTCAACTAGATGGCTCTCACTCGGATGCGTTTGATCTCCCCAGTGCAGAAATTAAAATAGAACATCCGAACGCGCTAGCCGGGCCTAGGGATTTAGCACCCTCGTGTCCTGGCGAGCTTGATGCATTCCGATCGCCTCACGCCTTGGATTTACCTGATCCCGTTCGTATCCTTCTTGACTTCATATCTCTCTTGCCCAGCGGCTTCATCTTTGATAAGGTGCGGATGAACGCTGTGGGGGCCAAATTCTGCCGGCAGAGCGCCCTTTTCCGTTCGGATGGATTCGATCCTCTCTCTAATCTCCAAAAATAACAGTACCGAGGGTCGTGGAGATGGCAATGACAGCACTCGGCGGTCATGGACGACGCCCGAGATCCTGAAAGGCTCAATATCATTTTCCAATTCGCTGAATTAGTGCTGTCACTCGGGCTGGACCTACTGAACGCTTTTGCTGGACGCTCGCCCTGGAGAGAGTAAAAACCCCTCCAACGCTCATGTCAATCGCCGGCTCGAGATCAATTTCCTTTCCCAGTTCATCTCCTATATCTATTCCTCGGGCTTTTCTGCGCCGATCCCCGTGCGATTCGAGCCTCAGCAAAGAATCCGCCTTCAAGGATATGTCCAGTTGGCTGGACAATGGTTGGCGTTCCTCATAGCACTGGTTGCTCCCGCTGCCGTGAGCGACGCATCAGGGTGCGTCCAGTCTGACCTCCCGTGGTGCCACTGTCCTCTAATCCTGACTTTCCCCAGTGTGATAAAGTCAAGCCAGAGTGCTCACAATGCCGAAGATACGGTCAACCATGCCCAGGATACCGGCGCACTTTCCGCTTTCAGGATGAAGGCCCAGGCCTTGAACGCCGACATCTATCGTCCGCTAGCCGCGCCTGCAGACAGTCGGCCACAAGCTCCGAATCCCCTGTCGCAGATGCTGCGCAGACACTTCGCAATAATGTGCTTGCCATGATGCGCAAACATGCTTCTATGGGCGAAGACTACGTCAACACTGGCTCTCCGGCGCGCATGCTACTCGAGAAGCAGCACATTGAATGCTTTATCGATTTGATTCGCACTGCCTTTCCAACCATGTATTACCACAATCGATTTCGTACGCCCAACGGACTTGACTTTCCGTCCTTTGTGATCGACCATATCGGGTCTTACGAGTTTCTAGATGCCGCCGTTGCGTGTCTTAGCTCCGTTTATCTCGCTTACCTGTCGCAAGACTCCGATCTTCTCAAAACCAGCCGACAGATGTACGCGCAGACGCTTGATGAGGTTGCGCAAGCACTACAGACTTCCAACACAGTGTCAGACGAGGCTCTGTCAGACGCCATGCTGTGCACGATGATGATGCTTAGCGTCTACGAAATGTACGCGCAGACAAGCAGCGACGCATGGGTCGTACACGCGGACGGTGTCAGACGGCTGATGTACAGCCGCGGAGCCGAAGCCCATGTTCAGGGGTTGTTACGCTCCTTCTACATCTCCTACCGCGGCTTCTTGATCGCCACCGCAGTATATAAAGGGAAACCGTGTTTTCTAGACGAGGAAGACTGGTTACAGCTCTCGCTTCAGATTGGGGTTGAAGACTCCCGCATGCCCTCTGAGTGGTCCTCGTCCACACATTCAATCGAGCTGGTGTTTGTAGAGATAGTCAAGTGTCCCCGCTATCTTAGCGAGGCACTCGAACTAGCCTACCTCTACCCTTCTCCCTCAGTGACAGCTGCAATCCCGGAACTGATGAACCGCATCCAAGCCACCAGCAACAGTTTGAGCGAAGCGGTCTCGATCCTCCAAGCCAGCATGGAGCATGATCAACGCTTGCACCGTGGCCCCCCGCAGGAAGATATGATGGAGAGCGGCCCTTCTCGGATTATTCAGGGGGCAGAGCATACCCTTGCCATCCTAGCAGATCTGCTAGACAGGCTAGCAAGGGCGGCGGCGCAACCCCAAGGCAGCACTGCGCTTTCTTTCAGAGTGGTATCAGAACTGGACCGCGGTCCTCCTGTCGCATCGAGTGACCGGATCGATTTGATCGCCGTTACTTGGCTGGATCGCATAGCTTCTGGCTTGGGGATGATTGGCACTGCAATTGTTCAAGACTAAGGTCTTGTTTCACCAGCATTGTTATAGCGTTGTCATGTTCTTGGTTTTGGAGTTTTGAATTGTTTTTGTCTGGATCAAGTATATATAGAAGTTTCACCTCACTCATGCTCAGTTCATCTCGTGATAAGCTACAATGGGTTCAGTATTCCAAAGACTGCTCTAATAGACTTCTGAGCTCATCCTTCTCAGCTTCCAACTCGCTGTTGAGGTTAGGCGCGAGCATCAGAACTCGCCTTTGGGGAAGTGTCCCTTCAACCAGAGACTCAATGTCTCCTGACTTGAAGCCCAGGTTCTTCAGACCTAGAGGCTGGTCACCGAGATCGTAAAGGAACTTGGACAACGCTTCGCCTAGTACCTCGCCGGCACTCTCCCGCTTGACAGTTGAAATATCCACGCCAAAGGCCTCTGCAGCGGCCAAGTGGCGATCTGGGTTAGAGGCCGCTGTGAATCGAAAAACTGCGGGGGCAGTCACCGCGACGGAGACACCATGTGGGATGATGGGGTGTTCAACGTCATAGCCGGCGTGCTTGTAGCCTGGGTTCTGGCTGGAGATCGGGTATGACATGCCGTGGCAGAGGTGGACACCTGCGTTTCCGAAGCCAACACCGGCCAAGGTAGCGGCGAGGAGCATTTGCGACTGCGCCTCGAAGTCTTCGGGATCCTTGACTGCGCGAGGCAGGTATTTGACTGTGCTGCGGAGGGCTTGGAGGGAGAAGATATCGGAGATGGGGTTTGCGCCCTGGTATGCGGGGCGGTTGATGGGGTTTGTGGGGCGCGGAGTGCGCTCGTTGTAGGGGATTGCGGTCCAGGATTCGAGCGAGTGGCAGAGGACGTCAAGACCCGAGGAAGCGTGCACGGCCGAGGGCATGGTCCGTGTGTTGAGTGGATCGCAGATGCCTAGTGTGGGCTTGAGGTTGCGGTGGGCAATGCCAGTTTTGGCGCCCTTGGAGACGAGGTCGAAGATGGCGGTGCCAGTTGTTTCTGAGCCTGTGCCTGCTGTTGTGGGGACGGCGACGAGGGGGAGCAAGGGCCTTGTGACGGGGAGGCCCTTGCCGAGGGGGGCGTTTACGAAGTCAAGAAAATCAGCTTCGGGGAATACGGTGTAGAGATTCATGAGCTTTGCGGTGTCAATTACCGAACCGCCACCTGGGAAGATTAGCAAAGTACAGGGTACAAACGGCATGAACTGATACATACCGACGGCGAGGAAGGCATCTGGGTTATAAGGTTTGGCAAATGCGATCGCTTCTTTGACTCTGCCCGTATGTTAGAAACAAGGTTCTAATGGTTGCGGGGTAATGTGGCGCTCCTACGATGAATCTTTCGGTTCTATCCTGACTTTATCAAAGACAGTAAACTCAATGCCTTCGCGAGTCAACCCTTCAACGGCCTGCTTCATCGCGTCCAACTTGGCGACATTTGTATCCGTAACAACACAGACACGCTTCGCCTTCATGTTTGCAAAGTCCATACCGACTTCCTTGGTAGCACCGGGACCAAATCGGATACTGGACGCGGCCATCTCGAAGGCATACTCTTTCTCGCGGGAAGGATCCGGAGGGGTGGCCATATGCCGTCGGACATGATCGGCTAGATTGGGAGTCCGAGGATGGTGGTGGTGATGGTTGGGATTCGAGTGGCAGGGACATGAAGGAGGATGTGTGTATTGAACGGTGCGCAGCAGGCTACGGGCTCTGCTGGCTGCCGAAGCGGGGACGCGGATTGCTGGAACCATTGTGCGCGGGGGCGGAAGATGTAGGATTCAGGGGAGAGGAAGGAGGGGAAATTGTCTGGGGAAGGATGACTTATAAGAAGAGTGTTCCGAGGAAGAGAAGGGGTTACTCCGAATTGGAGAAGCCGTGGGGGGTAATGAGGTTGAGCAAAGAGCAGTCGTGGAACCAGCCATTTCCATCATCGGATCCGACACCCAAAAATGAGGAAATGCGGGGGAATCTCCCAGCAACTCGGGGAGATGGCCGAGTTCCTGCACCGAGGCTGTCCGCGACTCCGTGGCAGTCGAAGAATCTTGCCAAGCTTCGTTCAAACTACGTTGTAATCTTAGTCGCTTCTACAGATAATAGTGATTAGCCTTAGGATACAGTTCCCGAAAATAACCTACAAGATCGATTAAGGAGCGTTTCATCTGGCGAATCTCTGCATGGATCGGTGGTTTGGTATCGACGGAATGCCGAGGTACAATCTTCCTTCCATGGAGCACGATAAATCATCTTCTCAACTTATTCGAACATCTGGAAATTCCCAAGAGAACTAAGTTACTGAAGATTGAAGTCACAGGCGCGAGAGAACGTTGCTAAAGCAAGCATTCTGAGTGGAAGCTTCTCCTGCAGGCGCGGGCGCCTTAACAGACCCGCTTGCCTCAGGCACTTCGGCTCACTTCAGCGGCTGAGGCTCAGCCTCACTTCCTACCCCTCTCCTGTCGTCCCTATCCTAGACATTTTGAGCGCTTTTTGTATCTGCTCATTTCAATCCTTTGGTATACTGTTTCTTTCCTCTTGATAGTGCATTTATTCGTCCTAAACCATCAAAATGGCCCGAACGCATCCCAGCTCCTTCCAACAATTGGAAAAGGTACGCAACCGCAACCGGAGCAATAAGCAAACCAGTGCTGGAGCTAACATGGATTTCAGCTTGGAGAAGGAACCTATGCCACAGTATATCTCGTCCCACTCATCCTCCGAGCTCCGATATCTAACTCATCCACCCTTCCCAGGTCTACAAGGGCCGCAATTGTCAGACAGGGGAGATGGTGGCGTTGAAGGAGATCCATCTCGACTCTGAAGAAGGGACGCCCTCGACTGCGATTCGTGAAATATCTTTGATGAAGGAGTTACACCATGACAATATCCTATCGCTCTACGATGTCATTCACACTGAGAACAAATTGATGTTGGTCTTCGAGTACATGGATCAGGATCTAAAGAAGTATCAGGAAACTCATGGCAACCACGGTCAGCTAGAGCCAAACGTCGTCAAGTCCTTTTCCTTTCAACTTCTGCGGGGAATCGCATTCTGCCATGATAATCGGATCCTCCATCGCGACCTCAAACCCCAGAATCTGCTTATCAACTCTAAAGGCCAGCTTAAACTCGCGGACTTTGGCCTTGCCCGCGCGTTCGGCATTCCAGTTAACACCTTCTCCAATGAGGTGGTGACACTTTGGTATCGCGCCCCGGACGTGCTTCTCGGCAGCCGTACTTACAACACCAGCATCGATATCTGGTCAGTTGGATGTATAATCGCGGAAATGTTCACTGGCCGCGCGCTCTTCCCCGGTACTACGAATGAGGATCAACTTCAGAGGATCTTCCGTGTCATGGGAACACCAACCGAACGCATTTGGCCCGGAGTCTCACAATTTCCGGAATACAAAAGCAATTTCCCAATCTATGTCACTCAAGATCTCCGCCATGTTGTACCTCGAATTGATCCATTAGGGCTTGACCTATTGAGCCGTATGTTGCGTCTCCAACCGGACCTACGTATCAGCGCCACAGAAGCACTACGACATCCTTGGTTCGATGATCTTCCGGGGGCTAGGACTGTGTCATAGTGAATCGTGTCGTGACCACGTTTAACTGCACAATTTGACAGTCGAATTTGAAATTTACGTGGTGCTATACTCTTGCTTCTCACATGATATGAGAGATGTTTCACCGAAGCGTGTTTAATCGCGTCTCATCTGTGTCCAAGATAAAAAGCAGGCATCGATGAATGCGCCCATGGTGGGAAAGTCATTTTGCGGCCTGAGAGAGCAGATTGCTTCTGAAATACCACAAGGAAGTAAAGGGGAAGCGCCCAATGGACGAGCTATGGGAGTCTACCGAAGCACCCCCGAGTTACAGGGTGAACAGACCTTCACAAGAACCACTATGAGGGCGAGAGTCCTTGTCAGTATTTGACTCGGAGGACTGCCGTCGAGTCTTTTCTTTCGGCAAATCGACGCATCTTACAAATTGATCGGTGTGCTACGATGACTCGATCCATCCTTCAACAGGGAGCCTCAGTCATGGGGTTGACATGCTAATCAACCTTGATACCAAGCTTTCGTGGCATACTAAATTATCATTTGCATTATTCTGGGCATTGTTCTGCGTATACCCTCCCAGTTCTATATACAAGCCATGTTTTGGTTCATGTTGGATTATGAATATATTATATAGGCATATATCATCACAGGTCATATACATCTCAACTCAAGGTGTCAAACAGGCGAACGCCCCATGTGATCTCTCGTATATACACGCGGAATGTCCCCAGATCCTGGATGCTTCAGTATAATGCCCTGCTGTTCATGGCTGGAGTGCACTTCAAGGTCAATGTCTTCGACCTCATCAACCGCACGCGCACGATCACCGAGCCGATGCGAGCCCGGCCCTCCATGGAGCAGTATGTCTCCCCGTCTAACCTGCTTCCGGAACCAATACGCTCTGAGTCGATCGAGAGCTGTCTTGAAGTCATCGAGAATAACCGTATCGCATAAACATTTGAATATGAATGACAGCTGTGTCTGTCAGCTAAGTTTCTTGGTCGTTTAGGGGGGTTATGCCCGTACCTTCCAGAACGGCTGGACTCCCGAAGGTAGCGAGGCACTATTAAAGGCGCCGAGAACACTACATTCGTCGACGATGACAAAGGCGAGGGACAGACACATTGAGGCGAGCATGATTCCGAACCGGGGACTCACATAGACGAGCTCGGTGATGCCGAAGTTGTACTCGCGCTTGATCGTGTAGAAAAGGGAGCAGGTGGTCAGCACCCACCATGGGTCACTGTACATAGTACTTAGGGTTACTGTTTTATAAGGAAAGCCACGAGCGAAGGATAGAAACGTACCGAAACAACGGCTCCAGAGGTCGAGTAGTCAAGAAGATCTTATTGATATTGTTAAAGTATGTAAAGTTGGCGTAGATTTCGACAACCCAGTACGGCTGCGCCAAACAGACCGTGATGATGTATATGCGAGATACCCTCTTCGAGAAGAAGGGCCGGTTCTTCATCCACGCGATGACGTTGTGAAGACTCCAAGAGACATTCAGCCCAATAGCGCTGACAGAGAGGTGCCAGCCGTAGATGGGTTCTTTGGAGAAGATCCATGTGCCGTGGGCCACGGCCAGGAGGAGCTACAGAACGATGTTTCACGTCAGCCCACGTCGATTAGGAGAGATTTATAGAGGTTATATACCTCTGCGAGAATCAACTTATGGAGAAGAATGTGCTTTTTCATATTGGCGACCGTGACCGCAGCCATCACCAGGAGACTGCCGACCATTAACCCTTGACCCCAGGCTTCGAGGACCAGGCTGTCGGGGTCGGTGGGACGAGTGATTCGATCATCGGATGCAGGCATTCTCGAACACGTGGGTTTGGTACGACCATGGATGATGGTCTACCACGAGCGGGAAAAGAAGGTTGATGTGGGATGACTGGGATGGGGAAAACTGGGGAAGGGATTGCCGGGGCGGGCTGTCGTCGGCATATATAAGTTGTTAAAAGCTTGATATCCCTCCACTTGAAGTGGAGACTTGCAAACGAGATCGTAAGAGCATAGGAGTCTAGAAACTCTCTTTCTTTTGGGGACATCGGGCGACATCCATCGTTCAGGAACTAGGGCCGCGGGGAAGTACCCAAAAGCCCTGTGTACCACATGCTTATTCGCTTCTGCCCTCCATGTCAGCCTTAGCGTGAACTCTCGAATGGGGCTTTTCATTCTGGTCCAGCTGTCAGAGCTCCTATGTGGAACTGGGGGATTTCTGGGGTGTGTGGGGGAATATCTCTGGGGGCCAGTGCACGAGTTGACGCAGGGCCAGCGTTCTGGCACGTAAACGAAGGCGACCATCGGACCACAGCTTTTCAACGATGAACTTGACCCAAGCAGGGAAGTAATTCTGTGGGCTCCACGCAGGGGTAGGAAAATTGAGCGAATATTCTGACGAGGTATAACGCTCCACGCATGTAGCGCCGGGGCAAGCAGCCAATCTCGTGCGGGGGAAATTTCCGATCCACAAGCACTAGTCGCGACAGACTAGGGTAGTAGTAGCGAGATACCACCTTGCCATTACCAATGGAAAACCCGTTCGGCTTTCAATCCTGTGCCTTTCAGAGCGTCAGGAGATTCTGGTAGGTCAACACCAAATCATTATGATGCTTGGTTGATTGTGATTTGGTCATTGGGAGAGAGAAATAACCCTGACAGTAGAGAGGTTTGGATTGACTTTCCGACGATATTGCATCTAATAAGACTAGCTGGGAGCTGGTGAAAAGCCACCAAGCTATAGTAGAAGTAGAAGGAATGGCCTTGCAGCAAGTTTTCTCGAATTCCTCATTATTCTTCCTGTCTGCTGCTCGCCAACCCCAGCAGCATATGGTTGACCAGAGGGCATGGCATGGCAGAACTCACTTTATCGCGTTCTCCTCTGTTTGCACGTTGGGTTTCGCACCCTGTTGGTTCTCTGCCCCAAAGACACCTTGCATTTCCTCCAATGAGACCTTCAGTGTCTGTTTCACACAGTTAGCAAGTGCTTATTTCCTCAAGGTTGTATGTGCCAGGTCAAGAAACGTACCTCCTTCAGGAATACAAACGAGTACACCACGATTGCATAATTGAAAATAGCAAACATCAGGAACATCCTCCATCCGATATTCTCAATCGCATGTGGCGTGATCTGTGACATCATGAAGTTGAACAGCCACTGCGATGCTGCCCCAACTGTCACGCCCACCTCGCGCAATCGACTGGAAAATATTTCGCCGACGTACAACCATGGCAAAGCACCCCACGACATGTTGAAGCTAAACGCCTCGGCATACACCATGATTATCATGGCAATTCCTGCCGGCGTCGCTCCCGAATTGTCTCCATCAGACTTTGTAGGATGAGTTGCTAGGACACACGCAATGATTAGCATGAACGAGCCCATTGCAAAGGCTCCGGCCATGAAGGGCACCCTTCTTCCAATTCTGTCGATGACAAACAACTGGAATATGCTGACACCCACGACCTTTACCACGCCAAAGAAGCCTGTCACTAATTTGGCAGAGCTACCGGCGCCGACAGCGGAGAAGATCTGAGTAGCGTAGTATGCGAGGGACGTATTTCCGCTGAGCTGCGCTGACAGCTGAATTGTGACAGCAATAAACAGCCGATATCGGTTTGCCGGTAGGAGCAACTCGCGCCAGGTGAAGCTGTCCTTAACACGAGCTTCCTCCTCGATACCCGCCAGGATCTCATCGAATTCCTGTTGCAATTCCGGAGTTTCTTCTCCGCCTCGGACCCATTTCAACGACTCCCACGCTTGGTCTCTCTTACCCTTAATCGCAAGCCATCGCGCGCTCTCCTTGACAGTGGACATTCCCAACAGCAATAGAGTGGATGGCAGGAGCTGCAAGCCCAAGGCAATCTGCCATTGTTTGGATTCCGACGGCTGGGTCTCAGCGACGGCAAAAGTGACCCAGTACGCTATCATCACACCCAAGGCAAAGAACAATTGGAAGCATGCCCCGAGTCGACCGCGCATCTCCTTCGGAGCCATCTCAGCAGAATACATCGGTATAAGCACGGTAGCAGCACCAATACCGACGCCAGCGATGACTCTACCGGTATAGAATGTGGCAAGGGTGTGGGCATTGATGACTTGTAGGATCGTTCCAACGGTGAATACCAAGGCACTAATAATCAGGCCAGACCGACGACCGAAACGAGACGCAATTGGAGTGGTGAGGAAGCAGCCGAAGAAAGCACCGGCCTGGAGAATAGAGACGGCATTGGAGTTCACCGTGGTTTTCGACGACTGAGAGTATCGAAAGTCTCTCTGAAATGATTCAAGGGTGAGGACTCCGCCTGTGGATGATATTAGTGGCAGAGTTCTGTCTCGAGCGATATCCGAACATACTGATGACGCCTGTGTCAAAGGCAAAGGCAAATGATCCCATACAACTGGCCGACGCCAGGTAAATGGCCCGAAAGAGTCCAAGCTTTCGACCCATCGCTACCACTCTTTGTGGCTATCGCTTGCAAGACGGAAAGAAGAAGTTTGTTGAGGTTCGGAGCTGAGGGTAGATGGTAGGTTATATACGTGAGATCACGACATAAAGGGCGAGCAAGTGATCATCTAGCACGAGGTGGTACCAGAGCTAGTAGTCCCCCAAATGACGGCTTGTCCGTCGTCTGGTTATGACCGGTGTCCCTGGGGGTACCGGATTGCGGCTCCGTCTACACCAAATTCGGCGCGAGCTTCCCCGCAGTATGTCAATATGTGCAGATGCCCTCCCCTTGCTGCCACAAAGTTGCAGCAGGTTCATGTCATCCATATACAAGACGGACTCGGTTTTGTTTTGAGTCGTCCTACTCTTCCGTCCTGTTCACATCGCCTTGTCAGAGTAATAGAGTGCACACGGTTCTCCCAGGGCACGTAATGTGGAGTCATTATTTTGCAATTCAGACTTCAGGATCAGATCCTTTGATAGTGGCGGTTTGTCCGGGCAATGAGTAACTCAGAGTTATGAGTACCATCTCGAGGCTCGTCGCTTACATGCTTTTCAAGAGCTGTTGCAGTCGACGTCAGTGTCCTAAAAAGTTATGTAAGCGGTCGGCAAACTATCCCAAAACAGATTAGCATATACATTTGGTTGCCTAGCGTGGATCAGATATCGAGAACAACACTCACGTGAGACACAAAGTAGGCGTGCATTTCAGGAATACTAATGAATTTTTAGTGTTCGCCGACATACTGTGGATGGTCACATCCTGAGCTCTGAGTCTCCTTTCCCGATGTCGCAGGAGCTTGGTTGTGGATAGTGGGCCTGTCTCGCTCTCGGCGGTTCCTGAACCCCGGAAATGATGATCGCAACGAGATTCGGGTCGACTGAGTCGCTGACTGGTCTCAAACCATGTGGGATATAGTGTCATGGACTTAAGGTCGGTATATGAACTTCGCGAAGACCTTCGTCGAAGAGCCTAGGAATTGAAGCAAATGAATATCCTCATCGATCGACACCGTCCCATTGTCGTAGCGAAGGCCAGCCAGCGGTGCTCCATGAATTGCGCGTCCGATTGACGATGGGCCTGGCGATCGTCTCCAGCCAGGGCGGTATGAGCGATTCTGCCCGCGGCATCTTCAGTTTCACCCTCATCCTGACAGAACGATCTTCATTCATTTTTGATCCGAGATCGCTAGACTGCTTCGCCCTCTGGGTTATTATTCTTTTCTGGTTTCCCTTTGCTCTTTGCGGACGCGAGTTATTCTGTTGATCGGTGTACCGTCCTAACTTCCACTTTACCTTCGTTCTTTGTTCCTGTATCTACTCCAGTTTAATATACCCCGGTCTTTCACTATTTCTCCCACTCCTTTTCTTACTTGATATACAACGTATATACGCTTTCATGATTGAATAGATAACCTCGGACATTACGAGATGGCCCGCCGCTTTCTCTCTGTCTGCAGCACCCTGCTGCTATCCGCCCAAACCCTCGCTGACGACACATGGCCATTTATGACCCTACAAACCGCGCCGTTTCTCCCACCTCAAGTCTCAGTAACGAAGAGCGGACCCACGGATCCCGGATATATTTTTGTTGGTCCGCGAGGGAATCAAGAACAGGGCATTGCCGCGCTTATATATGACGAAGAAGCCAACTTGGTTTATCAGGGACCGCAAGAAGTGACGGCAAATTTCAAGGTACAGAAGCTCTTCAACGAAGATGTAATAACCTTCTGGGCTGGAGATATGACGACCCTGGGCTTCGGGTATGGCGCCGTGCATATACTGGACAATACCTACCGCGAAATATATACGGTCAAACTCCAGCAGGACTTTGTTTCCCCGGATAATCAGCCAAGGGACTCGTTCATCGATCTTCATGAGAGTCGCGTGACAAATCGCAACACTCTTCTAGTGACGGCGTATAACGTGACCCAGCGCGATTTGACGCCAATTGGCGGGCGTCCGGATGACTTTATGCTTGATGCGATGTTCTTCGAGATCGACATCGCAACCAACGAGATTGTATACTCTTGGAGCGCTCTCGATCACCTTGATAAAATCCCTCTTGAAGAATCAAAACAACACTGGGCCGAGGATGTTGGCGCTCAAGAGAAACCTTATGATGCCTACCATATTAACTCGGTGGAACATATGGATGACGGATACATAATATCCCTCCGGCATTATTGGTCTGGCTATTTCGTTCACAACAATGGTTCCGTTCTCTGGCAACTGAGTGTAAGTTTGGTTGTACCATTATCACGTGGTTAGGGTTATGCTAATGCGATGATAGGGCGAGAAAGGTGCTGGTGATTTTGCGATCGATGACCTTGCGGAGTTCTCCTGGCAGCATGATATCCGCATATATAACGAGACCGATGAAAGCTTCGTGATGAACTTATTCAACAACGCGAATACTCCCACAGACGAGGTGGCGGCAACGACAGGGCTAAGCTTTGAAGTTGATAAGATCAACCAGAGTGTTAAAACGCTGCGAGTTCTCAACGACACCGACGATGTAATTCATAGTGTTAGCCAAGGGAGCTATCAACTCCTTAGCGAAGAGACGTCGCATGTCGTCTTGGGCTACGGCTCTATCGCTCGCGTCAAAGAATTCGACGCTAACAACAACGAGGTCCTCACAGTAAAATTCGGCGACGACAACGCCGTCGCGTCATACCGTGGCTACAAGTGCCAATGGAAGGCTACCCCCTTCTGGAAGCCCGCCCTTATTGTGCAACGTACGGGCCCAGACTCTATCCGGATCTACATGAGCTGGAACGGAGCTACGGAGTACGACAACTGGGCCATCTACTCCTCACAGTATTCCGACGGGTCTGACCATACATTTGAAGCTCTTGTGCAGCGGAACGGCTTCGAAGCTACCATTGAGCTACACGGGCTACCTAGCGGGTTCCTACAAGTAGTCGCTCGAAAGGGTGATATACCTTTAGGGACATCAGATGTTGCGCCACTTTAAATCGGAAGGAAAAGTCGCCGGTTGTGCCTTTCCCAAGTTATTACCATGTGGTACGGGCAACAGGTACCTCTGGAGGGATCCGTCCGAACCGTCGGCCTGTGAGCTGTACATTATAGACTTCTTTCTTGTCTAACGCGAAGGATCCTGGAGATAGATACGTTGATTAGATATGAGAATAGATTGCGCTTGTTGACATCACTTAGTTCTCAGAGGCCGGGTTAGCCGATGTGTCCGAGACTAGGTCCCGCCAGGCCGCCATTGCTCATCGACTGGGGCCATGTCGCGACCACGGGCACTTCCATTGCCAGTCGTCGTCTTGACACGGAATATTAAATTTGATACGAAGCTTAGCCTTCATCGGCAGTCGCTTGCGTATCCCTTTGGAGTTAGCTTGCATCAAAGCTTCAACTATGTGGTGATTCCTGGCTTGGCTTTCGAAATCTTCTAGACCACCATGCTGTTCTTCTCCATCGGTTGCTCACCTCAGGGACAATTATGAAAGCCGGTCAGATTGGTTGCCTCTCAATTTCCAGACTATTCATCGTCGCACCTTGTCCTACTCAATATGCACTGCACTATCCCGACCACGCCAGGAGAACGCCTGGAGCAGTTCATGCAGGGACATCTCTGTGCTACCGGCAATCTTGCTGTTCCTCATGGTTGCTTGTTGAGGCCTCGGACCGGATGAGCGGTTTTACTTGTGTGACATTATATTGCCGGGGTCTCCTTGGTGCCGAGAGCTGTTTCTGGGTCTAGCAGTGTAAGTTGAGCTGTATCGAGCGATGTGTAGCCTGGTACAAAGTCTTCCAGCTTGCGCTGGTGGACTTGCTTGACCGGTTCGCTATCACGGATGTACTACCTTTCCTCCCGATGGGAAGTTGTTCGTAGCTGTCGGAAGCGGGTGTAAGTGGAACGTGTTTAGGGTGGCCTGGGTTTGAATCAGCAAAAAGGGGGGAAATGTGAAGGGATGAGCAAATGAACAAGTATAAAGAAGCAGTTGATGTCCTTGAATTTGGACGATACTGGAACAGACCAAGCAAGACAAGTTTCAGCGTGGGAAACATCTACAACTACCTTCACAACAAGCACTCCGCCCTAAAGCAAGAAAAAACCACTCCATTCCAATCAACCAAAATGCATTTCAACCTCACCAACTTCCTCACCATTACCTCAGCCCTCGCCGCCCCCTTCGGCATCGGCGCCAACAACCGCCACCACCCCGCCAAAATGACCGAGTTGAAGACCATGCAGATGGCTCCCAACGAGACCGCCCTCGGCCACGCCGTCGTGTCCAACCGCTGCAACATCCCCATCTTCCTCTGGTCCGTTGGTGAGAACATCAGCCAGCAGAACACGGTCCAGCCGAACCACACCTACTCCGAGCTGTTCAGACGCGACCCCAAGACCGGCGGCATTGCGATCAAGATCACCACCGTCAGAGACGGGCTCTACACCAGTGCTCCGCAGACCGTGTTTGCGTACAACCTCGTTGAGAATCTCGTCTGGTATGATCTGTCCGATGTCTTTGGTGATCCGTTCATGGGCGAATTCGTGAGCCTCTTGCCTTCCGAGCCCGCCATTCGCTGGGAGGAGGGCGTTCCGCCCCGTGGAAGTCAGGTTCGGATGCTGGATGCAACGACTGATTTGATTCTCACGGTCTGCTAAACGGATGCGTCTTATGACTGCCGACGTAGCGGTTGGAGTGAGATTGGTTGCAGGTCTGGAGGATGAACCCGGAGGTCGAGAGTAGGAGACGGATGCAGTGTTATATGTGAAGACGATAGGTAGCGGTTGCTAAGTAGCTGCGAATGACAATCACTTCGCCTGAATCTTGCTCTCATCGGATAGTCCAAAAGTCCATTGTCCATGAGTCGGTATAAACAAACGCGCAACCGTAGCACGCCCGCGGGTCTTCATTCCGTGGGGATAACCATTTTGCATTGTAATCCCGATTCTAGAATTTCTAGTGACTTCCGGAGGCTATCTTTCTTGAAGAACATGTAACAGCCGCTGTTGTTCCTTCACATCCCACACTGTGCCTGAAGACTTGGGGTAGGCCCATAGCTTTGACATTGAGCATCAGACTCCACCATCAAGCACCTGGATTTGTCACGGACCTTACTGTGGATGTATAGCGGTTTACATCGTTCCACCATCATGCAAGAGTGGGAACTCGGGGACCTAGTTACCTAGACCTCCTCTAGCGCGCGGTAACCACTGGGGCTTCAGAGAGCCAGGAAGACGGTCATATATCAGGTTCGGATTGGCATCCAGTTCGATTCGATATCTTAGTAGTGAAAATTCTTCGAGCCAGTTGACGGATTTTGCCTCTACCAAAGGGTAGACCTGCGCAATTGCATCGGTACCAGCAGCTGTAACAAACTCCTGGAACTCGGTAGCGTCTTCGACTGGCTCAATGCAATCTTCGGCGAGAACGACCCTAAAACATCCCCCGAGACGATCAAAGGCCACTATATAGCCGGTCTTTTCAAGCTCATTTGCATCGCCGTCATCGCCATCAGACGATGGCTTTGGCCTCCTGAAAAGGTAGCCAAGCTTCATCAGGGGTAGCGAATGTTGCAGGAAGAACTCATTATCTGGTGCGGCAACCCTGATCAACCCCAGATCTTGAGCCAGCTCAGTTTCCTTGCCGTCCATACTCTCGGCTGGACATGTTTCGGAAAAGTCAACTGGTGCACGCTGAGGTGCCCAGTAGAACTCGACATCTGGGGCATCCCAGGTCGGAATATAGAGACGAACTAAATCTCCTTCATAATCATCCAGTAAGTCCGCGATCTTGCTGAGATCAGCCGCGAATCTAGAACAACCAAGGGCCTTTATTTCTGCAACCAAGCGTTCGTTGCTCTCATATCCGGGACTATCACCGTCCATGGTAAGGATGGGTTGCTCACTAGCAACAATCTCGGGAGGGCCAGAAAGCCCAATGTGGCGTTCCTTACGGGCCTGCCATTTGATTCCAAGCCTATCCTCAACGCGCATCAGTTGATCTTCAAGGATTTTCGGTTGGTCACTGTCTTTGACAAGCGAAAGTATATCTCCGCAAATAGCGTCATGTTGGAGAATGTCGTGCAAGCCTTGGAAATTCACAAGATATGGTAGCGAGTTACCGGCGCGTTTGGATAATTCTTTCAAAGCTGTAAGAGCAGCAGACACCTTGCCGGCATTCGCCAGTGCTAGGGCGTACTGGTATGCCGAGGCAAAATGCCAAGTAGACGAGCTTGAAGTCGTCCCTTCCAGATGCTCATCCCATAGTTCCTGGTGAAGAGTGCCATCTCGGATCTGAACCAGCAGCGCCATATAAGCACCAATTTCCTTGGAAGCCTTTTTTCTGCCCGTCCAGCAAAGTATATCATGCAGACCCGGACTTTCTTTGATCAGGCTGCGCATGTGGCTTACGTCCCGATCTGGATGCTGAAAGGATATGACCCGAAACGAGAACTGTAGGGACCTCACTAAGCTCATACTTTGTTTAAGGTTCAAATTCTCGCGAGTGACGCTGAGGTAGCCGCGTAGGTGATGCTCTAGAGCTGGTTCGCAGAAGGCAAGAGAGGCGTATTGCATCCCGAGAACATGAAGCTGCGAGAGAGTCTGAGGACCAGATTGATTTACCCTTATCTCAAGCATGTTTATGAAAGAAAGTATCTCTCCGAGAGAGCTGAATCGCTGGACTTGCTTGAGGGCAAGAGAAAGATCATCAAACCCATCTGTGAGAAGGAAACTGGCGGTCTTGTCGTGCACATCCTGCTCGATAATACGCTGTATATCACGGATATTTTGCACATGCTTCAGTTGGAAAGTGGTGTTCTCAGGGGAAGATATGCTTTTCGCTGTTCGGTGATTCCATAGTGGTATGGGGATAGCGCTCGTCTCCCATTCCTCTATAAAGCTGTTTCTCAAAAGCTGTTCTATATTCGAGTTTGAGTTCTCCCCATATCGAGGCCGCAGAGTCCTAGTTAGGGCAAACCTCAGGAAATCGGTCTGGACTGGCCCGAGTTTACTGTGGGCCTCAGGGGACGATGTTGAGAAATCAGTGGACTCCGATAAGCGGCGGAGTCGCTGGCTCTGTAGGACGTGGCATACTAATTTCTTGCCCGCTCTGCTTGATGGCCGACTCGGTCGACAGAGTAGAGTCATAGCCATCAGCATGAGATATCGATAGAAAATCATACACGGAGCGACCCTGGCGACGAAATCAACGCGGGCGTGTTGTTTGTCCTTCTCCGCACCTGAATCACGTGACCATCTATACTCCGATCCACAGCAAATGGCGGTGATCTTGGCGGTCAGGCCGTGCTCAGTGCGAACTTGCTTCATCATTTGGTCACCTTTGAAAATCCCAATCAAGCTGATTCAACCCGAATTCAACCACTCGACTTATAACCTACACGTACATCGCTATTGTGTACTTATACCTGTCAGAGACTTACGGCCCTTGAAAATAGCCATGTCCGCCGAGCAAGAGACGACTATGGAATCGGCCCTGGAGACCGAGAAGCCGGAGCAGTCAACAACATCGCAAACTGGTCCAAACAGTAAGGAGGACAATGCATCCTCGAGAGCTCGCGAAAGACAGGAGCGATTCAAGGCTCTTCAAGCACGCGCGGTGAGTCTCGTCGTGAGCATCCTTTCCCCCTCAATTACTGACTCCTCGGCAGAAATCCGCGACAGAGCGTAACCTAAAGGAAACGGCAGCAGAGACCCAGAGACTTGCGACAGATCCTGCTCTTCTTTCATCATTATCCCGCAAGCATGCCTTTGCCTCGCACAATCTACTGAAAGCCGACACGGAGGCCGCTGGAGAAGACTTCGAACGCAAACGCGCATGGGACTGGACAGTTGACGAGTCTGAGAAGTGGGACCGACGGATGGAGAAAAAGCAGCGCCACCGGGACGACGTCGCCTTTCAGGACTACACACAAGACGCGAGAAAGGTTTACAAGCGGCAGCTGCGAGAATTACAACCCGACCTTGAAGGCTATGAGAAGGAGAAGATGGCGGCGATTGAAAAGGCTGCCGCTAGTGGTGATCTTGAGATTGTGGAAACCAACGATGGGGAGATGATTGCCGTGGATAAAAATGGAACGTTCTATTCCACAGCTGACACTGTCGGATTCACCGAAAGCAAGCCCGATCGCGCGGCTGTCGACAAATTAGTCGCAGATTTGAGGAAAGCGGAAGAGGTGCGACTCAAGAAACGAAGAGACCGCCGCGGAGGCGACGATGATGGAGACGTCACGTATATCAACGAGAAGAACAAGCAGTTCAACCAGAAGCTGGCTCGTTTCTACAACAAGGTTCGTGATTCGCCGTCCTTTATCATTATTCGGTCGGAGAAACTGATGGCCTTCTAGTACACCACAGAGATTCGTGATAGCTTTGAGCGAGGTACCATGATATGATATTATACATCTAATATACAGCCAGGGGCGCCGAATTGCGCCAGCAAAGCAGAATTCAGTGCCGATTTGATGTGTTGGGAGGCGTGTCCAACAAACCATCGTGAAGGACCGCTGTGAACTTGTGGCAACCATTCAAAGCATGCCCTTTCTCCACGCCTTTGTGGCCAATGTTTCGATCTTTCTGGGTCCGACCGGTCCGCTTATCGAGGGGTCTTCCAGTGCTTCGACCACAGCCTCACCTACCATGTCCACCTTGAACGGCTTGTCCACCATTGCTCCAAGAAAGTTCAGTCGACCGCCGATGAGATCATTAAACTGAGATCCCACGAAACCACCAAGGGCGATAGGCAGGGTGAATTTTCTGCTTGCGTCATACATGAAGGGCGGCCGCACAAAGACACTTCGCAGATCCGGAAGTTGGGACGCTATCGTCGTTTCTGCCTCTCGTTTGGTTGTTATGTACCTGCTCGGAAGGACCGGGGCGCCTGAGGAGGCGGAAATGTAGACGAAAGTCGCGACATGCTCGTTTGAGGACTCTTGCGCTAATGCGATAGCTATTCGATGGCGAGCCAACTGTTAGTGATCTATCTGTGACCCAAGCATATCGATACTTACCAGAGTCCCTGTTCATCAACTCATACGTAAATTGCCCATCCCTTTCCTGCGCCCTGAGCGCCTCCCCCTCCTTCCTCTGGAGGATATTCTGGCTTCCCAACTTGGATGAGCTGAACGCCCTTTGTAGTCCCGAGACGATCGGTTCCCGCCCTTGAACAACACCTTTGTAGTCGGCTTCGAGGAGGATACCCATGCTATGTACAACGGCTGTCGCATCCTTCAAGAAAGGCTTGTAGGATTCCGGTTTTAGGATATCCGCTTTTGCCCATTCCACGGATTTCGCCCATCCTGGTTGTTGGGAGGAGCTGGTGACGACATCCCATCGTGGTTCTCCGGATCGGCTGTTGCGAGAGTAAATAAATTGACATCAATTGATAGTTATATGGCCGGAAGAACGAACCTAAGAGACGTGACAGTCCAGCCTCTAGCAACAGCAGATTTGCAAATCCTCGACCCTGAAGAACAACCAAGCTGGTCAGCGCAAGTACCTGGCGGCGGAACGAGATTAAATACCGAGGAAGCCGTTCCCACCGGCCACAACAAGCTTTTTAGAGGCCATATCAAGAGAAAGCACTCAATGGATACAGTAGTGGGAAAATAAAAACCAGTTGAATAAGAAACTCTTGCGGTGACGGCTAGATAAATGTCATATTGCATCAATGTACAGTCTGGAATCCCAACGCTGGAACCCACTGCGGAATAAGCTCTGCCGGAGCTCTGGCACCACTCTTTTGCTCTTATCGTTATCGATCCGCCTTGTCACGTGCATTCTTTCGCGACAGGAGCAGAAAAGAACGACTGCGAGTCCATCTCTGACACGACTAACATTGATTCGTTTATCAAAAAACTTTCACGCCTGCTGCTTACAGCGGATCATCTGTCTAACTAGTCCATCGCTCCTCTTGATCGTAACGCCAGCATCATGCCGTCTGCCGCAGGTACCAAACGCGTCAGGGTGAGTGTCCATTACTGCCCTTGTGAGGGAAATGGTACTGACGTTTAAATCACCAGGGAGTCTCTATATTCAGACCATTTGGTATGCCCGCTATTTGACTCGAAACTGGTTATACGCGCGCGAAATCGACCGGCTCACTAACCCTCGTATCGCAGTTTTCGGCAGCGAAGCGCAACCATTTGACCCAGCAAAGAAACCACCACACGTACCCGCAGACCACACCCACCAATGGCGCGTATTCGTCAAGGGCGTCAACGGCGAAGACATCTCATACTGGCTCAAGAAAGTCCAATTCAAGCTCCACGAAACATACGCGCAGAACGTCCGAACGATCGAGCAGCCGCCCTTCGAAGTAACGGAGACCGGATGGGGTGAATTCGAGATTCAAATCAAACTCTACTTTATCCCGGAGTCGACGGAAAAACCACAGACCCTCTGGCATAGTCTGAAACTGCACCCGTACGGTCCAGATGCGGAGGGGAGGAAAGAGCGGAGGGAAGTTGTCATCAGTCAGAACTATGAGGAGGTTGTGTTCAATGAGCCTGTTGAGCAGTTCTACGAGCATCTTACTGGTGGGCCGGGGACGCCGCAGCCGCAGAAGGGCAAGGGTGGGAAGAATGCAAAGCAGGCACAGCAACAGCGCGGTGGAAGGACGGCTGAGATTCCGTATAATGAGACGGCAGAGAATCCCTACAGCCGGACGGGTGAAAACAAGGAACTGGATCGCTTGGCCGAGGCGAACAAGACTGTGGAGCAAATGATCAAGGAGGAAAAGGAACGACTCATTGAGCGTGAGAAGCGACTGGCAGAGCTGCGAGAGAGCGAGGGCATGCCGGTGCAAACAAACAAGAAGCGATAGAGAGCCGACCCTGCTGCTATGCACAATACCGGTACACTGGGCCATAGGGCAGAGTCAGACCGAGTTCGGTACTCCCATCCCTGCAGTGTTTCCCACAGTACTTCTCTACAGAGAATTCCGTGCCTTTGGTAAGCAGGGAGATTCCGCCCATCAGCCACACGAAACAGGAAAATCCAACCACTCTCGCGGCGCCCTCAAGTACGTGTTCGCCCCCAGAATATGCACAACCAAGGTTCTAGCAGCAATCTGAGCCTATTTGGCCCCGCTTGTATCCGAGCACGGCCGGCCTGTTACGCTCGTTTCTTAAGTCTCTCCCTGGTCTTGGAAGTCAGACAGGTGGGCTTGGTCATTTCTTATCTTGATATACCAACGGATAAACCAAGAAGCTTGTCGATTACAAATCTTGATCGTGATGGTGACGATCAACTCGAGTGCATGTTGAAATATATCCAACTAGTCTTAAGTGGAACAAACCTTGAACTATGAAAACCAATGCTTTATCTTCGCTAAATTACATAAAAGTTCATCACTATACAGTCATTCAGTCAGCATAGTTAGCTGCCGCCTTGGTGGCATCTCGTGTCTGTTTGAGGAATGGGATTAGATCTGTTCCACCAGTTCCGCTGACCCCCTCGGAGACATCCACATCCGAGCTCTTCATCTTATCACTGGTCGAAGAGGCCAAGTTCCACCGAATAGGTTCTTTCTCAGGGGGCGGCAGCTTTGAGGCCATGATGATGTACCTTGTCACGATCTGAATGTGCTTATCACGAAACACGCCCATTGCCATGACAGCGGCGTTGTATGCGTCTCGGACTGGGGAGTCGAGCTTGTGGCTCATTGCGAATGTGCGAATGTTAGAATTCCGAGTCAGCATCTCCAGGAAGCGGCGATGAGGGCCGGGCATGTAATTCCGCATCTCCTACATTGAACGATTAGAACTGGGCAGGATATGGTTCAATTGGCTATGCATACCTTGATGAATCCACCTTTGACAGGGGGCTGGGTCTTGGAGCGTTGGCCGGTTGGGTCTCCAGTAGCCGAATGTTCCACGCCGAGGAAGATATCGAGAGTTTGGATAAGAGAGCTCTGGGCGTTGCTGCCACCGCTGTGTTGACGCCACTCGCCCTTTCCTTCGCCAACGTCGTAGAAGAGACCGCTGGGTAGGCCAGCAGCGGCCATGTTCTTGCTGCCAGCAAGGTAGGGACGGAGCTGATGGAAGAAAACAGCGGGACGGCAATGCTCATACATGCGTTCGAGGATCGCGCCTATTTCCCGGATGCCTTCTCTCACCTGGATGAGGTTTCCTGTCACTCGCTGTTTGTCATCGGCAGTCACAGCGCGGATTGTGTCAAGCATAAGCTGGATCAGCTGTGCTCCCCTGGCCTCCATTGCGACGGAGATCATGAAGAACCATTGCTCGTCTTTCGTCCCGGTGAACGATAATGTCACGGATAAGTCATCAACGCAGGTAAGATCTGAGGTGGGAGATGAGGTTGCGAAGTTCCAGAGGTTGAGGGCGGCATAGGTGGCGCAGGGAGGTAGCTCTAGATGGCTAGATACCTCTAGGAACGGTATGGAGATTGCAGGAGGCAAGCTCTAAGGCAATGGGTTAATTGATACCGGATTGAAGCGTTGGGTTGAGTCAAAGACTTACATCCTTGGGCTGTTCACCACCCCAGACATAGGCATGTGTAAGGTAGGCGAGTATAACATATGCTCTCCTCCATTCTGATTCTGCTTGCAACTCGGAGGTCGATAAGACAGGGAGGCTGTCTACGGCCTGTCTGAGTTTGCCAGTCGCAATACTTGCAGTCAAGTCTCTGGCAGCAGCTTCCCACGGTGCGTAGTAAGGATCTTGCAAGGGCTGTAGAGGCGCTTCCGGCAGGAATCCGTTTCGAGAAGAAACCTCATACTGAGAGAGTGAGAAGTCAGGCGAGCTCAGCATTGTAACGAAGCTAAATATGCAGGACTGTATAGGAAGTAGTATAGGATATCAGGAAACTCTATCAGATGCAGAATCTTGGATGTTGGTAGAGGCAAATGTATATGCCGTTTGGTTCATTAAATAGATCAAACGTAATGGTGCCATTGTCCAACGGCGATTACGGAAGGAGCGGGCCCGGATGAGATTCGTTTTGATCTTATCAAGACATTATTTCTTGTCTCCAGTAAATATCAACAACCAACAATGCCTGGCAGGTGGAAACAGGTACCCGGCATACAACCAACCTATCATTATATCACCTTCAAGATCCGACCCCCAGACCGACTCGCATACCAATAGTGATAAATCCAAGAATGCCAATGATAGAGGACCTGTGCGATGACCATTCAGGATCACTTTCTCGCTGTGATTCGAATTGTTGCGGTGATGATAGGAAGGCTGGCGGGAACGGAAGAGCGATCCGGGCCAGGGCAGGGCAGGAGCGAGTGGGGGCGGATGGGTGATCCGGGCCCTCCCCTCAATCCATCACAGGAAGAAGCAAACTACCACGATTTGCTAATCCTTATCGGTTCTGCGGCCTCCCCCGCTATAAAGTGAGGAGAAGAGTATGTCTGCATTTCCAACCATGGTCCCCAGCTTCTTCGTGTTTTCCTTCGTCAATCACCTCAGCAAATCCGCCTTCCGTCCCTCGTCATGTCCAGCCACATCAACGGAGTGAAGCTTGTATTCCCAGAGAATGCGGCTACTAAAGAGTACGCTGCTTCTCTTGATGCAGCTGATCCTCTAGCTGCGTTCCGTGACAAGTTTATAATTCCTTCCAAGGCCAATATTGCCTCTAAGAAGCTGGCGAAGCCAAGTACGTCTCACGGCAGAATCCTCTGGGATATCGCCCGCTGACAATGCATTCTAGAGCTCTCAGATGAACCATGTATCTACTTCTGTGGTAACTCTCTTGGTATTCAGCCGAAGGCCACTTCAAAATACCTCGAAGCGCAGCTGGACACATGGTCATCGATCGGTGTGCACGGCCATTTCACTGACATCGAAGACTCCCCGCTCAGACAGTGGCAATTACTCCCTGCGCAAGCCGCTGAGTCGATGAGCAAGATTGTTGGAGCTCAGCCAAGCGAGGTTACAGCGATGGGGACGCTCACAGCAAACCTGCATCTCTTACTCGCAAGTTTCTACAAGCCAAGAGCCTCCAAGCACAAGATCTTGATGGACTGGAAAGCATTCCCCAGTGATCATGTAAGCATCTAGCTCTTAATACAGCAACGCACACTCTGCTGTTCATCAAGAGAGAAGCTAACCCGGTACGCAGTATGCTATCGAGTCTCATATCGCTTGGCACGACCTGGATCCAAAAACCTCCATGGTACTCATCGGACCTGATGAGGGGGAATACGAGGTCTCCACGGAGAAGATCCTATCCTGCATTGACCAGCACGCTGAAGATGCAGCTCTGCTCCTCCTCCCCGGTATCCAGTACTACACTGGACAGTTCTTTGAAATCAAGAAAATTACAGAGCACGCACAGGCCAAGGGTCTCGTGGTTGGATGGGACCTTGCCCATGCGTTTGGAAACGTTATTCTGCACCTTCATGACTGGAACGTGGACTTTGCAGTGTGGTGCACCTACAAATACGGAAACGCCGGACCCGGATCGATGGGTGGTCTCTTCGTCCACGAAAAACATGGGCGCGTCGACTACAGCCAGGGAGACGATGCTCCCCAATTTCGTCACAGGCTGGCGGGGTGGTACGGTGGGGACAGGTCAGTGAGATTCAAGATGGACAACAAGTACAAGCCAACCCCAGGAGCCGAGGGCTTTACTCTGTCAACACCATCAGCCATAGACCTCACCTGCCTCTGCGCGTCTCTTTCCATCTTCGATGAAACATCAATGGCTGAGATCCGCAAGAAATCCGTCCAATTGACCGCGTACCTCGAGTACCTGCTCCTGAGAAACACCACAGACGAAAACCGTCAGTTCCAAATCATCACCCCATCAAACCCTGAAGAAAGAGGGGCGCAGCTCAGTCTGCTTCTGAAGCCCGGTCTACTTCAGAAGGTTGCCCAAAAGTTGCACGAGGCAGCAATTGTTTGCGATAAGAGAGAACCCGGTGTTATCCGCGTCGCCCCTGTTCCTTTGTACAACACCTACTCTGAGGTGTGGTTGTTTGTGCAACAGCTCCGGGCTGCATTTGAAGAGTAAGCGTGATCTGTTGGTCCAAGGGCGGCGTAATCGTTTTTTAAACAAGGATAGAATGTCATATGTTTAGTTTTTCGCGCGGGAATCTCCAACCCCAGTTGTTAGGTCTCTTCATATCCGTAGCGGTTAAGGTCGATGGATAGTTCAACTCAAACATTAGATACCTTATCCAACGCAGTGATACGTGCGCAAGTTGTACCTGTAATGAGAGCTCCAGGGTCATCCGCTCCAATCAATGCTGTGTTTGTTGGTCAGTAACAGCGGCAGTAACAGTGAGGGGAAGTCTCAATCATTTTAGGGCTTAGGTCTGGTGGAACATGTCGTCAAGAAAAAAAAATTGCCAAAGCTGAGGAAACGATCAACACATTGAATCTCTAGCTTATATACAACGTCGAATTCTTTCACCCAACCAACTCATCACAAATTAGAGGTACACCGCCAATTGGCTCCGAGAAACTAGCTCGAATGATGCGAGTTATGGAATCCGCGTCGTATCTAGTCTAGTTCTTGCCGAACCAGGTCTTGTGGCCCTATTGACAAATGTAAGTATATAATCATCGGAAGCCATGAACTAGCTCGGTCCAGGCGTTGTGTTTGAACTGCATCCGAGAGAGTGTTCACGTACAAGAACCATGCGGCACATGGCATAGGTGGTGGCTAGTAAAGAGTCAGCTATATGCACCGAACTTGATATTATCCAGAATGGCATAAACTACTCACCAATGCCGAGACCGTATACGGAGATGAGGTAAGGGTACATGATGTAGCCGCTACGGGAGGTCTATAGAGTAATCGCCCGCGTTAGAACCGTGACATTATCGTATCATTGCAGAAGGGTTTGTGCGGGTGGACTGACCTTCCACCATTGGCGCTTGCCGTCGTGCTGCTGGAAGAGACGCTGGTAGTAGGGAACGCGGTTCTCACGGAAAACGAATCTATACAATGGTAGAAGGAATCGTTAGCGAAACCTGTGTCTCATGGGGTCGCATAGTGAAGCCGAAGCTCTGCCGAATTGAGCAAGGCATATCATTGGGACTGCCGGCTTCGGCAACCAATTGCAGCAGTCTGCGGGTGATTCAGAATATAGCAGTGACTGAGGTACGTACCCGGCGGCGCGAGAGACTGTAGGACGGAACATTCTGGCGGTATTGGGGTGCGATGAGGCAGGTTGCGAGGGGGATGAGCAGCAATGACGGGCGAGAATCGAACGATCAGTTGATGTCGAGAAGTGTGGACCCGAACGCAGCTTGATTTTCACGTGACTTCCCTCGATGTTCCGCCTTTCAGATACGAGCTCTTACCAATTCAATGCACGTGATATTCTTTGCATTTAGCATTGAATAAATTATTATTCGGAGCTGTCCCGAGAGTCCGCACTGAGCTAGCAGTCTATGCTCAATCCATTGTCGCTTTTCATGAAAACGGACTTCATTATTCCCGCGAAGCAGGATGGTTAGGTCTCCACCAAATCATTGTCATGCGACCGGCTCTTCTCCGATTCCTGAAGAGGCCATCAGCACTCTCAGTTATTGACTCCTTGATTTCGTCCCCATCCGGCATCGAACACTTGCGGTCCGGTCTTAGCGATACATGTACACGCTGTCAGGCATCGAGCTCAACGCAACAAACTGTTCAACATCCCGAGTCATGGCCGTCAAGCGATGATACTACAAAGCCTTCGAGCTTCCGCGTGCACGTCATTCGTTCAGCGCCGAATAGCCCAACGCGCGACAACAGACCTAGAACACCAGCCGGCTGGAACAAACTGGCACTACAGACGCAGAGATTGGACGACGAATCGGACGTTGGCGCTACTGACGGCCTTGGGACGCGCTTGGTGGACGATCCTCTCTACAAGAATGATTTTTCGCTGTGGCTGGAAGTACTCCGCTACCGAGAACGCCGTTATGGATACAAGGGAACGTTGGATGTCTGGAAGGGTTTAATGGCCCGAGTCCCTGGTGGCCTGGAACTCCCGGTGGACGGACAATACGCAGATGTTTTCTGGCAGAGCTTTGTGGATCTTGGCCTCAAACGGGAGACACTCTTGGTCGAAGTGACTGATTACGCTCTTGATCTATGGAAGAGAACGGGGAAACGATGGCCCAATCTTTACCAGAGCATAGTCGGTAGGTTCGTCCAGTGCGCGAAGAGGTCGCAAGCTCTCAAGTGGCATACAAAGCTTCAGGATCGGAATCTGACCGACCCGAGCGATCTCGTTGACTGTTTCCAGTCGGCATTCTCCGATTTCGCCAGTTCAGGTGAAGGTGTTTCTGGAGCCGCCACGGCCCCCGGACGACCTCTGGCCTGGCGACTATCTGCCTTTCGCGAAGTGTGCAGACATACAAATGGACACCGGATATACAGTCAGGTCATCTCCGCATTGATAGCAAAAGGCGAATTGACAGAGGCAATCCGAATGCATAAGTTTCTTGTCGAACGGGGTGACCATCCACAATCCCACGAGGAGCTGGAGCCGTTCCTCGAGCTCGCAAAAGATTTCAATTGTGCCGACGATTATGCAGAGCTTCGGAAGTATTATATCCACTTCAAGACGCAGCATACAACGAATGAGACAAAAATCTCGGATGTATCAATATCGGAGGATCAGTTTGCAGAACCGGATGCGAACGAATGGATCAAGGAGAAACCGTTCAACGATGAATTCGGTGCCCGAATTTTCGCCACGCAAGCCCTACGCTTCGATATGATCCTATCCGGTTTGAAGATGTTCAGTGTGCAAGCTATTGGGCCTCGATCCCTCCGAGAGATGGCCATAAGGGCCCGTGGTTGCCATGATCTGCATGAAAGGATTACCCGATTACAGCAAGAGGGCATTTCCATCGGAAACTCTATATTCGCACAACTTCTTAGTCGGTTGGCCAAGGAAAACCGCGAGATCTTGCTGTCCGATCTACTTCAGAGCGACCAGCATCCTGATATGCTCCAAGACGTGGACATGCAGGAAAGGCTATTAGTGTCTTACTATGAGGTTCGCGATTGGCGACAGTACAATCTCACTTCGGCTATTCTAAAGGAGCTACATGGTGAAGGCTCTCGAGAGCTGATGAATATCCATGCGCGCAAGCATCTTGCATGCGGAGAATTGGCGCTTGCCTCCAAAGTGATTGATGACATGCTTACCCAAGGCTTCAGCCCGACCCGTAAGACAACCGAATTCATGGCCACTCATATCCTTACTCCCCGAAGAGTAGGTGGTGGACCTGTTCGGCAAGGAGACCTCCACTTTGCTCAAGAGCTCGCTTTCGTTTTCCGTTTTCTCCAACGCATCGCCCAAGCAGACGCACATATCCCGCCCAAGCTCTGGGTCGAACTGCTCAAACGGCTCGGAATGACAGACAGTTGGAATGAGCTGCGCAAGTGCTGTCTCTGGCTGGCTCGCCATTATTCATCCTCTAGAACCTGGCTTTTGCCATGTGACCATCCGCCGCTAAACCAAGCTCACGGCGAGCAGATGCTGGAGACGATATTCACCGAAAAGATGCAGGATGCGATTGTCGCCTGGGGATTCATCATACAGCCTCCCAACAAGGTGCATACTTATACGATAACCGGGCCGGATGGCGAGCAACTTGCTCCTTTTGTCCGTGGGTTGATGCTTCTCCGTGAACTACAACAGACAGGTGTTCCGATCCGATTAAGCCGGGTCATTAAAGTCTGCGAGCAACGCTTGGTTATGCTCTATGGTCCCCCCAAGCTCTCGAATCGACCGAAAAACCGTCAGCTGCGACAAGAAAATCCCTACGTATTTGAACGGGTCGTTGCCGATCTCAACAGGGCATGGGGCAAGCCGCATTTGATCGATGAACAGGGCACGAGTCGCCTGTACAGGAAGATCAAAGCTATTGGTCCCGCGAGACCGACGTTGCTCGGTAACTAGTATAACTCCGAGAAAGATGTACGTTGTATAATAGCTAGAATATATAGATAATAATATCGGAGAGTCTGACGGTGTGTAATCCTTACGAACGCTCAAACAATGCCAAGAAAGCAGTGTCCCGGAAACCGATACCTGACAACTGTTTGGCTCCGCCACGAGAGGCTGGCGCGTCCCAAACGTCAGCACCAGCAGCCGATTAGTGTCCAAGAATAGCCCAGGACTCTGGAGTCTCAAAGACCTCAGTTCCTGTGGACCGCCAACCTCAATCTGAACACATGAGGCGCTCTCAGCCAACGACACCGAGTCTCAGACGAAAGTGACACCCAATAATGACTGGTCAGGCTCCACATAATATCTGCATCCAGATCGACAACCATCTCAGGTTTCTGAAAAATAAATCATGGAAATTCGAACGACGCTGCCTAGATTTCTTGGGCTTACTCCGTTCTTTTCCTCTTCTCCTGTCTCGGGACATCAAAAGTCGACCAAGGGAAGCCATTAATCGTCATTCGTGTTTGTATTCACGCAGATCAAGCATTCCGCAGTCATTCACTTGAACTATCGTCACTTTATTGTTACGCATCATCGTTGGACGGACCCTGAAACCCCCTTTCTCCCCAATTCGACTATCTCTATCTATCACCGCCATTCACCATCGCAAGATGCTAGGAGCCGGACTTCTAGCCCTTCTCCCTTTCGCAGCCGCCACATCTATCGCTCCCCGACAATCGAATTCATCGTCAACAGCATGCAATAACTCCCCAGATCTCTGCTCAAAATCCTACGGCGAAATCACCCATCTCGGGGCGCACGACAGTCCATTCTTGCGAGACGAGTCGACTGGCAACTCGCTGGCCGGGAATCAGTGAGTCCTGCACATGATCTCGAGATAGCCACAAGAACTCTGTCACTAACTTTTGCTGTGTTTTCTAGGTTCTACAATACCACCGTCCAACTCGACGCTGGCGTCCGCTTAGTATCAGCGCAAGTCCACGAAGACAATTCACAATGGCGCCTTTGTCATTCGAGCTGTGACCTCTTGGATGCTGGGCGATTGCGCACATGGTTAACAGAGATAAAGACATGGTTGGACTCGAATGCCAATGAAGGTACGGCTCCCCAAAGCTCTTTCAGCAACCCGCGATGAAATCCCCCATACTGAGTGCGTGATAGTGGTGACAGTTCTGCTGGTGAATTCGGACGGGGCAACCGCCTCAGACCTCCACTCTGAGTTCCAAGCCGCCGACATTGTCGACTACGCCTACAGCCCTACATCGACCTCCGCACCGTCCTCATGGCCAACCCTGCAAGAACTCATTGATGCCGGAACCCGCCTCATGGTATTTGTCGCGTCACTGAGCTCGGACAGCAGCAGCGTAGCACCATACCTCATGAACGAGTTTACCTACATCTTCGAGAACCCATACGACGTAACCTCACCATCGAATTACTCGTGTGAAGCCGACCGCCCTTCCAGGGTTCGCGGCGACAGCGCCTCAGCCATCTCGGCCAACATGCTCCCGCTCCAGAATCACTTCCTCTACCAAACTGTTCTCCTCGACTACCAGGCCCCCAACGAGAGCTATGTCGGTACAACCAATGCGCCATCTGGTGGTGAGGGGAACCTCGGTGATGCCGCGTCGACCTGCCAAACCGCCTGGGGTCGCCAGCCAGCGTTCATTCTTGTGGACTTCTTCGACCAAGGCCCTGCCATTGCGACGGTCGATAGTCTTAACGGTGTCACAAATGCTGTTGGTCGTACGAACGTTACTGCCGTTGAGGAGGAACAGGCGAGTTCTGCCTCGACCTATTCGAATGTGTTCAAGGGGCTGGTTGACCTTGTGCGCAGTGCCCAGGCCGGTGCAAACCCCAACATGGGTGAGTGGATCTGGGCTGGCGGCGACTGGGGTGAGATCCTTGGTGGGGGTATTCCTCTTTGAGCAAAGGCCGATAGGGTCCTTTTCGATCAGTTTGCTTGCTTTAATTCCTCCAAAATCTTCAGATTTCTTTTTCTTTTTCGTGGCTGGAAAAGCCCGATATTAGCGTTTGTTCTGATTGGATATACAGACGAGAGAGGGCATGGCTACGGAGTTATGGGATATCTCATGAGTTAGTTCATACTTGGAGTCGTTCTAGTTTGCCGACGAGGCTTCTGTGTCTATAAGCGATGAACTCTTCGTGTTAGTTCGCCAGTACAAAATCGACATGTTTTATTCTTTAGCAAAGAACAAGAAGGCTGTTTGTTCTGTTGCGTGTTTCTCGCGATCCGATACTCTTATTACGAGCAATTCCCATGACTCGGAAGGGCAAGCGGAACTCCTGATATTCCGGCTACTGCGCCAACAATTCCCGGACCTTGTTCACCTTGTCCTCGAACGACTGGACCTTGTCGGTTCTGTGGAATAGTATTTCAATTAGCCCGTGTTGCCGCCAAAATCACCGGGATCACACGGCATCTCATAGGTCAAGGCCACCATAGAGAGTTGAAAGGATTCAGGGTGGCAGGGTAGGGTAGGGCAGGGCGGAACGGACCTCGAGCCGACGCGGATATCAGTCTGGATCCTTACAATCCCCTGTTGATGCAATATCGTGTGGGCCTGACCAATGACCTGGTGCACTCTGTCCCAGGGGCCTTCTGTTCGATGCAAGCGGGACCAACAGCAAGGGTGAGATGTCAGCCACGGTCAAGCCTTGAGCAAACCAGATCAAAGTCTCGGATTAAGAGAGCAAAGGATAAGAAAGATGCGGCGCCGAGAAGGGACAGAGCGCAAGAGCGCAATTGATGGGTGGCACAGCTTCTTCAACAAGCATAATCACCGCAGAACTGAGGGGTAATTTCTGGGGCGACGACAAGGGGGCCTTGAGAGGTGCAGATAGATACAGGACTGGACAGATGAGGGTCGGATAGGACGTACCAAGTGTAGTTCCAGCCGAATGCATGACGTACTTCAAGCCGGATTTCTCAATGAGACGCTGGACATCTGCGATCTGCGCAGAGACAGAAGGGGACGCGGTTCCAATCTGTGTGCGCGGGCCTGTCAGTCGGACAGTATTGGACAGGGCGATGCAGTGATGCAGCTTTGCGCATGGTCTTGTGAAGAAACAGTGGGGAAATGCAGTGCACGATGACATTGACGGGACAGGGGAGGGATAGTGAGCCATGGGTGCCTCATCACACACGGGGCGAACCGCGGAGACCGGGGGTATGATGCATGTGCTCAAGAGATTGACCAGGGGAGCCAGAGAGAGGACAAGCAGCGGCACATACGGGGATCAGACAGAAGTCCGCCGTGCAATGGGAGGGTGTCGCGATCTGCGTTGAGGATGTGTCGGTGGAGGCCATTTCCAGAGAGGGACGGGTGCGTTGGAGAGAGGAGTCTGCCTGTCAGGTCTGGAAAGGGTCCACTGATATCTGTGTCGTGCGGCAGACGAAGTATTCTTGCTTTTTCTTCCCTTGCTTCTTTTTTCTCTGTCACTCTGTGTCCAATGACTCTATCGTTGGCCGTTGACGATGGATTGAGGAGCCTCGAGGAGGGGCTGGTGTGTCACGGCTGGAGGAGCCCCTCGTCGCGCCGCGGGGTTCTCGAAACAGTAGTTAATCTCAGGTCACAACAACTTTACGCGACAACAACAACTCAGGTGGTACAGGACTTGGAAGTCATTGTAACGAGTCGCCGATGCAAGTCGTAAACAGACGCATCAAATTGACATCTGGACGGGGGACAGAGCGCTGCCTACTGCTGCATGTGTCTTGATTTGACTCTGGTACGAGCCTGTCTGCCTTCTTCCACGATAGTTCTGTTGCCTTTCCCGTTGCGTGCTAGGCTGTAGACTAATGTCTTGACTCAATCTACGGTGGGAATTGGGAATCCTGGCAGAGATCGCCTTGGATAGGTTGAAGCCGCTGCAACATTATCGCTGCGAGACTCACGAGAACAGAAAGCGGGGGGAGGCGCAGTAGTCAAGCGACTAGAGATGATAATAATCAGCACCATCAGCTCGGATCTTACGAGATTGAACGTTAGACCTTGGCATTCGCAGTGTTCCACTGTCCCGGACTCTTATATCGGCCGGACAGTTAAAGTGAAAGTTTGGGACTGCTGTCTGACGACCGAATTCTGGTTCACACTTAATGGAGCTCTGTAACCTCTTGACTCACATCATCCACTTCGATCTCTTCTCGCTCTCCCCTCATCTCTCTCTCTTTTTCAAACCCTTCGAGTTGAAGTTCCAACCTCCTCTCGTTGATCGATTGTCCTTCTGGAAACAGCGGGACCCCTGCTTAGCCTGGGCCTGCCTCATCGCTGCAAATTTCGTGCATGGCTTCAGCCGATCTTCCTTTCTTCCGACATTCACCCTCACCTATGACTACATTCCTCAGGCCACCAACCAGCCTTCGACCTGACCGCTAGTTGCTTGAGTCTGCGCCGCCACTGATAGCCCCAAACTGCCGCAAGTGTCCGTGCCCAACGCCCTGAAATCCTGCGTTCAGCTGCCCTGTACATTCGTCGCGAAACTTCTGCCATACCTCATCCTACTCGGCTCCGAGCGAAGTTTCAGTTTGACAGAACCTGCCCTTATCCTTGTTTAACGACCCCGCATTTCGGTCTCCCGGTTTGACGGACAAGTGACACAAGTACAGCCGCCCTTTTCACCAACAGTGTCTTTGTCTCCGTTGCGAAATCAGTGCGCGCAATCCCATTGGCATCGCACTGACCCGTGAGAGTGATGCGCCACGCCTGCTGATACGGTCTAAATCCTGCACAAGACTGAATGCCTGGGTCGAGGACCCTCTACACTAAACGCAATCGGGTTGTCATTCCTCTTATCGCCCGGGGTCATTCCTCCCAAGCTAGAACCAGTCAAGCGGATCCTTGACCATATCTCAGCTGAGTAAGGCCCGCGCCAGAAATAACTATATTCCTACGAGCTTATTTCCGTGTTGTCTTGGTTCAATTGGCTGAGAGTGACGACTGCGACGAGGCACAGTGTTCAACTCGCAAAGGGGTGACGCCAAAGAAAAAAGCAAATCGCGGCGTGACCGCGCTTCCAGCCAGACGGAGCGCTAGTTTTCGCCCTTTCAGCAGAGGCTTATACCCTTCCGTGAGGCACAGTAGCCTTGAGTGCCCGCTGAGAGCCGTTTCCAATCTGTGCGCAAGACAGGCACTTAATTTTTTGCTTTTTTAAAGAAGCCCTACTCCTCCTGTCCTCCTGAACCGTCGCCTGAGCTCCCTCATACTATTTAACCAAACGCGTCGGTACCCGAAAGAAAAAAACTTCATTCCCCTTTATCACCCCATTTTTTACGCGCCCACTATCCTGAGTCGCCAGATATCTTGGATTGTAGGTGTTGTTACGAGAAGCAGATTGTTAACGTGGCCATGGTTCTTTCTGAAATCATTCAACCCAAAACAAATCATCAATCAAAGTCTTGACGGATGACGCAGCCAAAGTTGTTAGAGCTCCCCCTTGGGGCCCAGCTTGTCTACCTCGCTGAGGGCGGCGCGAATATTATTTATCGGATTGTGTTACCTGCCAGTTTACCGAAAAGCTCTAGGCTCGGTCCTTCTTCGCCGGTGGCGAATGATTCTTTCACAGTTCCCGCGGAGTTTAAAGGAAAGTTGCTGCGGCTTCGCAAGGATACACCAGCCGGTGTATCTTACCAGGAAATTGTCCGGAACTTCGACAAAAACATTCGTCCCTTATTCAAGCCAGAGGAATTAGTGGACCAGGAACTCCATTACCTACCTAAAGGTCTCGTCCAGCGCTGCAATGAGCAGTTGCGTGCAGCGGAGCTTACAGGAAAGCGGCCGAAACAGAGACGAGGTGTATTCCTCTCTGTAACAGAACCATTCGGCCTGTTGGTCACGGATATGACTTCCTATGGAAATCCCGGCACGGACGTCGCCGAATTGAAGCCGAAATGGCTTTTGCAGTCGCCGTCGGCTCCAACCGGAGCCCGAAAGTGTCGCACTTGCGCCCTCCGAGACATGAAGAACCACGACGCCCGCCGGGTGGGTGCAATGGAAACACGGTCATTCTGTCCTTTGGATCTGGTATCTGACAAGTTTGAACATGTGCTGCGCGCTACCAAATTTGTCAAGGGACAGAAAGATCACGCGCGGCTGGCGAGAGTACTTTACCGAAACCCTACACTGCTCAAACTTCTTGCTCACCAGAAGAACATGAAAGATGTTGGAAACTACGGTCCTTCTCCGAGTTCCCGAGACAAGTCTTTAGCCATGACTATTCGGGACTGCACGATGTTCATCAAGGTAGCCATTACCCATAGGGCATCTGGAATAGCGCGCGGCTGTACTAATTGGCTACAGATGCCTCGAAATGAGAAAGGCCGGGTTGAAATCCGACTGGGTGATTTAGATCTCAAGACCGCAAGCGGGGGCAAAGCACAGTACTGGCTAGACCTCGAGCATCGGCTGATCAACGATGGTTGGTACATGGGTGCCAAAGGCAACACCCTTCCATGCGACTGCTCTCTCCAAGGCTCGCGGGCCCAGTCACCTCCATCCATGTGAGACTTACGGCTCTTCTTTTCTGCACTTCGCACTCCTTGTGATCAGCAATCTAATGAGAACTACAGCTTATGTGCTGGAGTTGCTTTTAGTCTTCATGCTACGAAAGTTACTTGACGATGATGGACAAACACAACCATATTTCGGCGTTCACCATCATTCTCACTCATGGTTCAACGGCCCGTTTCGTCTTCATTTTGCGTTTTCGGTTGGCGCTCAGTTGGTTACGGTGTATGAGCGCGCGCTGGTTTCGGGCTACAGGGTGTTTTGGTTTGACTTTGTTCGGAATACCACATATCGGCTGCGATCTATACCCTATTGCTTGTTGGATTTTGGCATTCGCATTACAGGTTTACGATGGGAGGCTACATTGTTTAATTATTACATCGTATTGTTCGGGATTCACTGTCTGGTGTTGGGCTTGGAAGAAGGAATAACTCTATCGCGACGAACGAGCAATGCATCAAATATATAGTTCGGCGCTGTGAGCACGTCGCTAAGAGTTGCTTCCTAAGCATAACCGGGAGCTGACAAAAAGGTGACTAGGATGGCATTCTGGGTTAGCGTCGATCGCGGAATGTTTTCCAGCTTCCCAAATATATTTTCGAGAAGCTTTCCAGAAGCATTCTCCTGACGAGGCGTTTGTTTACACGCAATTGTGATAGAACGCTGTCGGAACTTCAGCCATGGCGTTGCCGCGCCTAACTTCTCGGCTCTTTTCGCCGATGCGGTCTTCATTATGCCGATTGACTCCTAGCATAAGCATAGCTGCAGCTCGGCCTTTCTCCTCATCATCCCCCGCCCTCAATCAGAACGCAGCTGTGGCTTCGAAAACCGACTCTCTTGTCGAATTGGCTAAAGCTCGACGCACCATCTATCAGCTGGGCAAAAACAGCCCTGTTCCCGACTCAAAGATTGAGGAACTCGTCAATGCTGCTATCTTGAATGTTCCCAGTGCCTTCAACACGCAGTCAACAAGGTTGCTTGTACTATTGCATCGCGATCACGAGTGTCTCTGGGATGTCGTCATTGGTGTCTTTCAAAACCTGGTCAAGACCGGTGCTATACCAGAACAAGTATGGCAACAGCAAACGCTCCCCAAGCTAGAAGGATTTAAGGCTGGGGTGGGCACTGTATGTTCTTCCCCTCACGCGACGCGACCCTTGGCATATAGATGTGGCGACGAACTGATTCGAGATGCATACACAGATCCTCTTCTATGAAGACCCGTCCCATATCAAGCCCTTCTCAGAGAAATTTTCTCTCTACAAGGATCAATTCCAGCCTTGGGCGGAGCATTCTAATGCTATGCATCAGTATTTCCGTATGTTTGGCCCCGCCTCCCTTATGTTTTCTTTTCCCTTCTTTTCTTTGTTGTTCGTTTGGTTGTGTTGCCAACGAGTGGTTGGGCTAACGCCGTCTTCCAGTTTGGACTGGACTCGAGTCCCTCGGCTTCGGTGCAAACCTGCAGCACTACAATCCCCTCATTGATGCTCCAGTAGCGAAGCAGTGGGATGTGCCTAGTAACTGGAGGCTACTCGCTCAGCTGGTATTCGGTAGCCCTGAAGGGAGCCCGGGGGAAAAGATCCAGAAACCCACCGAGGAGCGGGTCAAGATCTATGGGAAGCAATAACGGAGCATTTTAGAGACGATAGAGTTCAACTAGATTGCTAGAGAGATTTTCCGACGCGAGGTTCTTGGGACGCATCGTCGATCGCCATAAAAGGGCCGAATGCACCTTCCTTGACACCTCACAACGGCATCCCTACCCATGCTCCTTCCTCTACAATAAAATTCACCAGCCTTCAGGCTTTTCTTTCTCACTTTCTAAGCTTATATACGGTCCCCCATCCTCAGGCAAGTCCCTAGGTTGCTCTTGTCTGTGTCCTTCTAGTCTTATGGTTCATACTTATCCCATATCATCATGATGCTCCCTCGTCTTCCGCCTCTGGCGGCCCTTTTCTCCCTTGCCGCCGCAGCTTTTATCCCCGGAATTCAAGATTCGATCTCGACCTCAAACCTAACAGGGCGAACTGCCCCCTATGGCACCTATATCACGAATTGTTACGTCCCTGGAACCGTGGCGATCACCTTTGATGACGGACCCTATATGTACACAGAGGAACTCCTCGACCTGCTCTCGAGATACGGCGCAAAAGCTACCTTTTTTGTGAACGGCCACAATCTCTACGGCAATTACTGGCTTATCCAGCGCATTGTGAACGAGGGCCACCAACTGGCATCGCACACGTAAGTTCTAACCCTCCGTGCCTGCAGCCGACAACGCCCAACTACGACGTTGATCCCAGCGCTGACTGGGCCGTCTTGTTCACTTTCCAGGTATAACCATCCAGATCTCACTACCCTCGATGAGGCTTCAATGATCGACCAGATGACGCGGCTCGAGGCTCAGTTTATGGAGGCGGTTGGGGTGATTCCGACATACATGCGACCTCCGTACCTTGCAGTCAACGACCAAGTCCTTGGCGTGATGGCTGATCTCGGTTACCACGTTGTTGGCGCAAGCGTCGACACCAAGGACTACGAGAATGACCATCCGGATCTGATTGGACGCAGCGTGGAGAGATTCAATCGCGAACTGGACCAGGGAGGAACAATCGTCTTGGCGCATGATGTTCACGAACAGACGGTTCGCACGCTTTCGTCCATCATGTTAGACGAAGTCTTTGAACGGGGCTTACAGCGTAAGTGCCCTGTACACCCACACCTTGGCGCCTGACCAGTTCGCTAACGGTTCTGCAGCTACAACTGTCGGTGGTTGTCTTGGGGATTACGGGTGGTATCGCTAATTATAATCATCCTTTTGCCTCATTATTAGCCAGCGTTGCTTGATACTTGCATAATGATTAATTGATTGCTGTTCATCTTATCCCTGTGTAGCAGCCGTAGACTTTTTGGATACACAAGGTCTAGAACAAGTGGCGCGGTCTGTACATTCCAAAGAAGTTCTGATAATAGACTTTTCATGATATCGTATTGTTCTATCACAGGATGGCATTTTGGACGTCCAGCCTTGACTCAGCAGACGCCGGGATATATTTCCACACAGATAATTAAAGTATTTAGTCCTCATCCCAGTTGGGGTTGGGGCCAGGAGGCTTCGGCCCACCAGCCTGTCGAGCAACGATGATCTGGTCAACGCTAAGAACAGTCCGAGCAGCCTCACTAGCCAGACGGATAGCCCAGCTCTTGGAAGCGAGCAAGTCGAGAATACCCTCTTCCACGGCATCCAAGGTACCAGCAGCCGACGTCCCCTCAAGATCAACACCAGTGGTCCAGTAGGGCTCCTCCTCGTCTTCCCCAGAGCCACCCTCCTCTCCATCCTCCTCCTCGTCGTCGTCCCCGGATGACTCGGCGCCAGCGTTCGCGCGGTGGTGAGCGGTGTAAAGACGAGAGAGGACCTCGGTCGCGTCGAGACCCGCGGACTCGGCGAGGGTGCGCGGGACAACCTCGAACGCCTCGGCGTACTTGCGGATAGCATACTGAGGCAGACCGGGTGTCCTGTCTGCGAAGGCGGAGATGCGGTTGACGAGCTGGATCTCTGTGGCGCCGGCTCCCGGGACGAGGCGGGGGTCCTTGGTGATGGCCTTGACGGCGTTGACGCCGTCGTCGATGGCGCGCTCGACGTCATCGAGGTGGTTCTGGGTGGCGCCGCGGAGGACGATGGTCGAGGTGCGCGTGACGGCCGTGGAGTCTTCCTGGCGGAAGACGGTGACGCGGTCGCCGCCGATCTCGGTGGTCTCGACGACGTCGATGGATCCCATCTCATCGGGCATGGGAGCGCCGAGGCGAGCGAGGGGCGTAGCACCAACGACGCGGCAGAGTCGGCGGAGCTCGTACTTGGAGAGGATCTTGATCACGAGGATGTTGAAGCGGTTGAGGTAGTGGAGCGCGAGGTCGCCGACCGTGGCGCCCGCAACGACGACGCGAAGTCCGGAGTCGTAAAGCTCCTTGATGGCTAGTTCGAGGCGCTCTTCTTCACCCTTGGTGAAGTCGAGCATCTCCTGGGCGTTCTTCAGAAGGACTGTGCCCTTGGTTTCGGTCTGGGAGATGTCGATCGGGCAGCTGAAGACTCCGACCTTGGCCTTGCGGGCTTTCTTGACTGTGCCATCGGGTTCCCGGCCAAACACCATACCCTTGATCACGCGGGACTGCTCCAGGCTTCCGCCCATGATCTTGACGACGCGGACATTGTCGACGTTGAAGTTGACGGGGTTCTTGGGCAGGACGGCGAGGACAGCCTCTGCGACGAGGTCTGCGAGGAGCGCCTCGGCTCCGGATTGTTTGCTGGCAACTACCGTACGGAGGGCCTTGCTGAGCTCGGTCTGGGACCGGAGTTCCTGCAAGCGGTCGACTTGGAGGTCTAAAAACACACAAAGCAGTCAGATGCAGTCCGAGAAACGGCGATAGATCCAAAAAGAAAAAAAGTGTGTTCCGCGCCAACACCCCTAAAAAATAGCCCACTCACCTTCTAGTGTCTTAAGAGCAAAGTTCTGCGCCTTCTCGTATCCCTGAGTGATATCACTCGTCTTCAGACCTAGCCGAAGCAATTCCTCAGCCTTCTTCAAGAGCTCGCCCGCCAAAACGATGACCAGGTTGGTTCCGTCGCCCATCTCCGAATCCTGCTGTTGACTCGCCATGACCAGCAACTTGGCGGCCGGGTGCACCACTTCCAATTCACGCAGAATTGTAGCAGCATCTGAAGTGAGGATCATTTTTTGCAAGTGGTTGATGACGATCTTGTTGCGGCCGTAGGGACCAAGCGATGTTTGGACGGTCTGGGAGATCGCCTGGCAGGCTTCAATGTTGCGGATAACGGCGCCATCTTCCGCGTCATGGCTATAGTAGAAAATATCGTCAGCTCACGGTCTCTTTTCAAATATCTTTCCCTGCCGATTCCTGCCTACTGATACGATAGGATATTGCATGCGGGACAGTCCTGAGTGGGAATCGCTTACCTCTGATATCCAGGCTTGAAGAGACCCGCCTGGGAAGGTCCGGGCAAAGAAAGTGACATTGTGACGGTGAGTACTCCCTCCAAAATTCAATGGTTTGTGGACGGGGAAAACAAACGGGGAGGTGGAATACCGCAAATACCGCAACGCTGTCCTGAAGCTGGCCGCTCGGGGGATTTTTTGGAGGAGCTTCGAGACAGTCTGGCGGCAGGTGTTTGTTTGGTTTGCATCGCGAGGGGCTAGGACATTTCTCTTTTGGGACTCTGCACGATCCACCAAAGATCGAGTGGGCTTCAGATCACGTTTACAATTCATAGAAGGCTTATTCAAGAATGGAGTCTTGTATTCGCGAGTTATATTACAGGGGTCGTTGGGGCCTGCTTTGTCACACAGCCCACGCTACCAGGTAAAGTCATCGCGTGCCTGTCGGAATCCTGGCACTGCAGATCGAGGAGTTGTTAGGCCACGCGCTGGGTATAGTAATGTTCTACAAAGAGGGGGGTGAGCGAATCAGGGAAGAACTTACTATAGTTTCCGAGTGAGAAGCAGCCGCTGTCCTCATAGACAGCATGGGCCTTATCCAACCTGAAAGTCTAGTTAGTAACTGAGGTTGCCGATGCGTGCATAGTTCATACCATCCCTGGATAGCCTCCATGCGGTTATAACTCTAGTAACTGTTAGTCAATGTCCCAAGAGTATGGCATCTACTCCAGCCACTCACACTTGGGTGCGTCGACATGAATTGGGGAGGCGCCATCTGTTCTGCTTTGTGCATGCGTTCCCAGCTACCAAGGTCAGTGGTCCTCTAATAATTTCGAGACATTATTGAAAACATGGAGCCAGTCCAACGTACAGTCCAACGGCCGCTTCGGGGTTAAAGCAAGCTTTCGACATCATCACTAGGAAACATATTAGCAGCCTGTTCCGAGTTCGCGTATAAAGAAAAAGAAAGGCCATACTCAAGCCGATGTTGTCAGCTTCCGCCTGATTGAAGTTAGCCGTCATCCCAAAGTAGACAAGAATGGCACAAACCTACCTCTTGGACCCTAGAGTTTGGTAAGCTGTACATCAGATTGAGAAGTAAACCCGGTATCTGTCCGGAGACGTCGAAAAGAAAAGCTGTAAGGAATACAACTCCCATGGTAATGAAGTTATTGCTCATGCGCTCGGCATGGTGACGAGCTACCACATGCGCAATCTCGTGCCCAAGAACTGCTGCTAACCCATCCTCATCCTTGCAGATGGGCAGTATCCCAGTATATACGAAGACCTTTCCACTGAATTCTAACGTTAGCTCCGGGTCCGTAGTAAGCAGAGAGGCTTGAACTTGCCCTGGAAGGACGAATGCGTTCTTCATGTTATCATCGTGGATTACATGAACCTTCCAATCAGCATCATGGATTGGCGCTTGGGGAATCAGGCGCCGAAGAACACGGTTCACCATGATAGTGACTGGATGAGATTCTGGAAGTATGTGTCCCCGACTCTGCTGCAGCACCTCATGATAGCTCTCCTGTCCCATTTTGAGTTCTTGGTTGAGGGAAACGCAGTTGAATCGCCGCCGACCGGTCATCTAAATGAGTTATCTCAGCAAGCGCACATATGCGAAGATCAAAAGCTGCAGGGCAGACGCGCACGACCGCATGCATACCCTACCGCAGCACAGTACACACCTCGACTGTCTCGGTATTGTAGACGTAGAATCCTCCAACCACTCCGCCAATCATCACAAAATGAACCGGTTTTGCATTTCTCACGAGGCGCATCGCAATCGACTCTCCTTGAGCGCCATCGAATCGCCTATATCTGTTTCCATTGCTATAGTATCGTGGTCCGCGATTAGCAAAGGGTCGATGAGGGATATACCAGGTCGGTCGGGGGCGCGTGCGTGGGGTTAATTCTGGGATCTTCGGTGCCCATTTTCTCGGACTCGTGATCGAAAGGAATCGTGAGGAGCATTGCGGAGGAGATGGCAAGGTTTTGGGTGTTGAGATGAGAGGATGCGTACGAGTCGCGGCAGAGAGCCGGAAAGCTGGTGCTATTGGAAGACGGATCATTGTGGAAAGATTCGCATCTTAGGTACGTATAGAGAGTTATAGGTAAAGGTGGGCAAAGCGCATTAGAGGCGCTGTCGATTAGTTGATAGTATATTGTAGCCGTTGGTTCAAAAAGCCGTTGCGATCGTTGAGAGTGGAATATTCGCGTCCAGTCCAGCGCGGAGAAGTGACGGCATCGGGGTCGTTACCCGCAGCTCTTTCAGCCTCTCGCTATAGATAATCCGGCCCGATGACTCCGTTATTTCTAGACTCAAGAACAACAAAGAAGCTCAGGAAGATACATCAATATATTGAAGCATTAACTATCGAAGAAGTCGTCGAGTCAGGCAGACATGGCTAGTGTATTTTGTGCGACTCCTGAATCTTCTCACTCACGATCCAAACCCACCTGGACGGGTCCTGCGCTAACTTTCGAAGGTTCAGATGTATGCTAAGAGGCTTCGAGTTCCATGTGCACAAAAATAGAACTATAGTAGTGCTAGACTCTCCAGTAAGGCTGGCCGTTAAGGCTTGGTAGACCACCAACTCAAAACACGGCGGTTATTCACTGGTAGATCCAGCGTTAAATCAGCAGGGACCGTGCCAAGGCTGACTTGTATACAAGCTCAGCGGCAAAGGTGAGCTTTTGTTGGTCGACGAGCTAAGAAACCTGCAGGTGCTGCTAATCCGCTACATAGAAATGCCTAACACTAACTAGGTAGAAGATGAAACGAGATTCGAGAAGGCAAGCGTCCTATCGGTAGTTGTAAAGTGTGAACTATATATATCCTATGCAAGAACATTGAATGTGAGGTTCCTGCATCAAGCATTCGGGGCCACCAGTCCCTTCATGTTGGTTCGGCGGCTACAGGCTTTGGAGAGAGCTGGCTCGTAGACGAGCCCTCCGTTGGCACCGTGGTTGGTTCAACTTTGATTGCGTGGTTGGAAGCCTCTGTGTCGCCATTGTGGCCTTATAGATCGGGAGAAACGAGGCAACCCCGCTTCTTCCAAATGCGGCTAGTGCTGGATCCTTCTCTGAAGCGAACTCATGACATATCCGCTGATAAGGTGTTGGGCTGAAGAGGTTCCATGAGTCGTGTGAAAGTTACCCCGCACCCACAACTGCGCCGTCTTGGGAACAATTGCTATTGTTGAAGCAAACATCGGACGGTTGCGTGAGAGACACCGAAGACCATGCCACAGGCAAGTACATATTTCGCACGCTGTCACAATCTGAGCAGGACAAGTTTGCCTTCCAAGTCTTGAACCGAGTTGCACGAGTTTGATTTGCTGGACGGAGTAGCAAGCTGTGCGCAAATTGGCGCTAAATTTTAGGCTTTTCAGGGTCGTTGCGATAAACCTACGAGCTCTCTGACTGGCTGCCTTGGAGATAACAGCAAATGTCTCCGGAATATCCTTATAATTAGTGATGATTTAAATAGACGCCGTTTGAGCCTATGGGGTGAGCATGAGGAGATTGCGATTCTTCCCTGACGAGAGGTGAGTGTTGTGACATGACAGTCGAGGATGCAGAATCACCCGACTCGCGGGATTCTCCGCCTGTCCACTGCTGTCAAGTTAATTGACGCCGACCTGGAGTTAATTCTGGCTAATTTGGTGAACGCATCTAAGAATAAATCAAGGTAATCACCCCGTGCTAGACAAGAATGCGAGCAAAGCCGGGCGCGTAAACGTTACTAATTAAGTGCCCGGGAGACCGTGCGACAGCCAGGCTAACAGTGACAAATTTGCATGGCTGCGCCAATGGCACTTGCGGGATGGAATCTTGGCTTACAGGCGCTAGCTTAGCGCTGGATTTAGTGTCACTGGCTGGCAGCCTCCTGCACTTCATCACGCATCCTCCCACTATCATTCGACAACACCCCCGCAAAGCTTCTGCAAGCACACTCGCGTCGGCACACTTCTACGATCGTCGATTGGCCCATCCTTCACGATTCTCGAGATAGTGCTCCTCGACCTGCTGTCAGCGTGATCCCTGGTCGTCGGTTCCTTCTGCGCTCCCCGCGCTGCTCTGGTGTCGTCCCATGGGCCAGCTCACAAGCAACTTGGACGTTCAGGCGCATCCTGTGCCTCGCATTTGCCAGTTTCGGTAGAATTGGATTATCGCTTCGGAATTGGAACTGCGCTAAATGCATCCTGGACTTATTGCGCTTTGCTATTGGCTCCGACATCATCGAGGCTACGAGAATTTGTCACGCTTCTGCCGTGTGTCTGTGACTCTGTCTCCCTCAGTACCCTTCAGAGGGAAAAGTGAACACTGCCATTGTTCGTGCCTTTGGGGTATACCTCTTCCTGCTATACATCAAGGCGTGATTGCGTTGGCAGTGTGGAACACCCAGACCTATATCGCCGAATCGTGAAACCAAGAGCAATCATTTATCATGCCAACAGAGCTCGAAGGAACTCGTCGTGGCACAAGTCACCGGATAGCTCGGACACACGATATTTGCGATACATCCATGGCCAATCAATCCTCCAGCCGCCCAATATGGCAAGGAGTTAGATCCAATCATCCTGCATCGAACCCCCAGGGTGCATAGGCGCCGAAGTCGACGGTAGCCAAAAAGACTCCAAAATTATCCAAAATTAGCCTGGAAGTGTTGGGACTAACAAACTAACCTAAACTCACCGGTTCTCTAGCCTCTTTTCGCCTTCCCTGTCTATGCATGATTCCCTCCCCTGCTCAACACTAACTTAGTGGCAGCGGGCGATCTCCAATCATTTCCCCCACCAATCCCATCTCACCCTCCCACCACCCAATTTTCTCCTTCGGCTATCTGAGTTCCAAAATAGAAACACCATGGAGTTGGGCTCGAGCTTTAAAGGTTCCTCGATCCCACGAGCCAGCTTCCTTTGCGCCTCTCCGTTTCCGCAGCGTCGTCCCCAGTCGCCTCGTCCTTCGGCAATCGCGCCTTCCACTCCCTTGCGATACTTAATCAGATAGCAAAGGCTGCTGGTCCAGTCTTTCACCCTAATATTAGCGTCTACTATATCTGGCAAAGCAGCTCGACTGTCCATCACTGCTCATCCGGTCCTTATCGACTGCTTTCCGTGTCTTCCGTTCATAACAGACCCGACAATCAACCTGAAATAGTCACAATGCCGGCAGCTTCAAGAAAGAAGGTCAATGCCGCTGCTGCAAAGCGAGCAGCCGAATCACAATCGTCATCTGGCAGTGAAAGTACTCCAAAGCCTGAGACGGCCACCAAGTCCCACAAGCGGTCTCGCTCAGGTAAACCCTCTTATATCCGACTATGTGGTATCGCGAAGTTCTAATAAGCGCCCTCCCCATAGGTTGCTTTACATGCCGCCTTCGCCGAAAGAAATGTGATGAAAAGCACCCGTCATGTGGAGCCTGCAGTAACCTCTGCGTGAAATGCGAATACAAACGCCCAGTCTGGTGGGGGAATGCAGAGCAGCGAAAGCTTCAGAAGGAGCGGATCAAGAACAAAATTAAGCAGACCAAGATGAATGAGCGCAATGGATCTCTAACTCTAGGTAGCGCCTCCCCTCCTGCATTCATCTTCACGCTACATCTTCAAGCTAACGAGTTTGCGACAAATTATAGATCCCGCAACTCACGCGCGAAACATGGCAGCGGCTTCACCAACTTCTCCTGAGTTCGAATATGGCCGTCCATTAGCTGAGCCCACATACGATATGTTCGCATCTCATTTACCAACTCCTGCCTTGAGCCAAACTGTCTATAACCAGCCCTATCCCTATGAAGTTGATGTCAAAACAGAGCGACAGACATTTGTCAACGACATTCAGTTGCGGCATGATTCGATATCATCAACGTTCAGCACATTTGCGCCACCCCAGCTGAATGCGCCTCTTCCTACATTCCCCGGCGACGAGTGGTTTCATGATGAGTACTTCAGGACGCCCGCGCTCCCTGGAATCGACCCCGCTCTTTCCGAGCAAGTTGTTGCAGAGCCGTATAGTATGTTGCAGAATATCCCTGTCAGTGACCATGACCGACCGCTACTCGAGCACTTCATCCACAATGTCTTGCGCATGAGCTTCCCGGTTCTCGAGGCGCACCAACGCGGACATCTGCGTGCGCAGGAAATCCTTCAAGCTCTGGAAACAAACAGGTGCTATCTCCACTGCTGCCTTAGTGTTGCTGCCATCCACCTGAAGACAACGGAGGGAATTACCGGAGAACAGATCGATCACGACATCATGCGCAATCGGTTCGAAGCGATCTCGCAGCTATGCCAAGCTCTCGCCGAGGATTCTGAGCACCAAGAGATCTTGGATGCTACATTGGCCATGATCTTCTTCTACTGCTCTGTGGGTCCGGCTGACGATAATCTTCCCGATATTCCTTGGTTAGATCACTTTCAAGCAGCTGCGAACCTGGTGCAACGACTCGGTCTGACTACCACCGCGCCAAACCCATATGTGCTTCCCCCGTTTAGCATGACTTTGACCTCTTGGATCGATATTCTCGGTTCGACAATGTATCAACGGACACCTGAATTTGCTCACACCTACCGATCAAAACACCTGGGTGGAGTGTCTCTAGGGTTGCGGGAGCTCATGGGCTGCGAAGATCGCGTGATGTACCTTATCTCGGAAATCGCTTGCCTGGATGCGCTGAAGGCAGAAGGCAGAGTCGATGAAATGCAAGTCTGCTCCCATGTCTCGGCTCTTGGACAGCAGCTCGAGTTCACCGAGCCCGCCGACCAGATCATGGAGAGCCCCTTCTCCGCAACAACCGGCCTCATTCGCCCGGAGATCTTGACAAAGAACATGACTGCAGTTTTCCGGATCGCTGCCCGAATCTACCTTTGCAGCCTTGTCCCTGGTTTCGAGCCAAGTCAGCCCAGCAACCTCAACCTCGTTCAGGCGCTCGCAAACACCCTGCAATTCATTCCTTCGGGTCCCAACGGATACGACCGCTCGCTTGTTTGGCCGCTGTTCATTGCTGGAGTTTACTCGACACCAAGCAGCCAGTTCCGGACAGTCCTGGCTGAACGCGCTGCTACTCTTGGTGATCACGCTCATCTTGGCAGCTTTGGCCGGATGTACCGAGTACTTCACGAAGTATGGCGACTCACCGACGAACCCCTCGAGATCTGCATCAACACCGACGAGAGCACGTCTTCATCGTCCAAGACTACTAGCCCTGTGAAGGTTGAATTCCCTAGCTCCCCCAAGGAAGACCAGCCCAGCTGGCCGACGAAAGAAGGCAAGAAGCACCACTGGCGCGACATCATGCAGCAGAACGGCTGGAATTACCTTCTCCTCTAAGCTCGACAAGTTCGATGCAAAGCCACGTTTGCTTCTCAATGAGATTGAATCTCAAGCGTCGGGATGTCTCTTGACGAGACCTCGTACAAGCTGGCTTGTACCTGCGACCATTTTTGTGAAATTATGTTTTCAAATCTTCGAATAATCTACCATTCGTTATATACCCATTTCGTTTTGAATTCGTGGGTTTTCTTTTCTTTTCACTGCAGGCCAGGGAAGGACTGCCTCGAAGCCATCTGTCGAGGCGACGCTCCTTTTGGGGATCACTGCTGGGACACGTTCGAATCATCTTTCTCTCCACCGATGAACATGGGATCATGCGGTGTTATTGGTGCTTTTTTTGCTTGGATTGGGAGTGTGATGGAATTTTCATGGTTATGACACTAGTTCCAGCAACTGGGCTACGACCAACAGCTGGACTACTTATTCTTCCCTCTCATGGCTTCGGTGTCATTTTGGATTGGCTGGTCTACCCCTCCCCCCTACACTCGCTAGGTTGCGTGTTTGTATCTATCTATACCTGTGGTATCAGAACGGCGAATGGAGTATTTACGGCTAGACTCGATGAGCCTTCAATGGCACAGACACTCATAAGAATCATACCTGTGGTCCATACAATGCGTTTCTTTTCCTGCTCGACGTTGGCTCTCTGCAAAAGTGCCCGACCGATTAGCGCCACCATGCCTGCTGTTGGTGATTGAGCCTCTCGTCCGTGAAAAGATTGCACCAACACCAAGACCGCAATCCGTAACTGCTTCATCTTGCATGCCTAGTTTAGGCGGGCACAGACGCTAGACAATCGAATCTAGAGCAGCTTGAGGCATATCTGTCCTAGCGCGATGCAAGTAGATGTCGTGACTCCATAAGGCGGAAACAGATGCGGCCTTCGCGCCTTGCAAGGAAGTCTCAGCCGCTCAGAGGCTCGTTGCTCCATCAGTCCGACTGCTGCTGATTCTTTCGGTCTTCAGCCTTTGACGGTCCTTGATCATTCAAGCCGTTTTCCGTCTGGACGCTATTTCTTCTGCGATTGAATCTAAGCATGTTACCTACGACAAGTCTTAAATGATCCAATTGATGAGGCCAGACCCAGGGGTTTCTGATCACCGTCAACCCCTTCCTGTATCCTTGATTGTGTTTCGCAAGGCTTTCGAAGTCTCGCTGATGTGGATTACACGCATAGCTGCGGTGAAAAACTGAGTGTTGGCAAGCCGGCGATTCTGAGTTTTGCGAACTCGTTCGAGTCCTTCGGATGCTCTCCGCTGTCAGTGGGGTAAACGCCCATTACAGAGTACAGTATCAGCCATGCGTTTCCTGGTGGAGGGTAGGAGCGGGGGGCGCTCCGGGCAACTCAATCAATTCTGGCTTCCGATACGTGACGTATCTCGTGGGTTCGAGCGGCTGTTGGGAACAACGCATATGATATGACAAGGATTCGCTATGACTTGTGGGATGTGAGAGGAAAACAAGGAAATACATAGCTTACCGATGAGCTCCTCCGTCTCAGAGACGGTGTCGGACGGGGTATGGTGGGCGTCGTCGGCAAAAAACCGCTAGATCGCTTCGTTCTGAGGTAACTATGGCTATCCCGTCGTGTTGGTGTTGGTTGAATCCTGCATTTCAAAAAAAAAAAAAAAAAAAAAAAAAAATCCGTGGACGAGTCTGTTGGTGACTGATGAGAGGCTGCTGATGTTTATGCCAGTTTATGCCATGCAAGCACGAGTAGACGACCAGGTCCGCGGCGTCCGACAGGCCAATACATGCTACACAACGTTCTCACCAGTAGGAGGCAGATACCTGAATCATTCGAAACGGCATTTCCTAGATGTGTTCGCGTCACACTGTTGGACATAACAACAGAGGATTCGACCTCGTTCGTGCTTGTTGGATTGGCGTGCAACGTGAGTGGTCTCGTCCGCTGAGCTAAAGGATGGCGGGCTCTGAGGAATGGGGCTCGTGGGCGTTTACAAGACAACCATGTGTCGGCAAGGTCCAGAACCAGATAGGTGCAAAGGCAAAGCCGCACAACGAACCAACGGTGGCCGTGTCAGAGACACCGAGACACACATGCTTCGAACTGTGTATGTAGCAGCTAGCTGTACGAGACGATATGCAGGAAGATGCTTTGATAGGTGGCAGAGGTCGAGGACGCGCGCTGCAGAATTGAGCTGCTCTGCCAGGTGGGTACTTGCATGGCATCATAAAAGCGAATCCTTACGTCCAACGTGTGTTGAGGACGATCATTCGTGGATTGTGAGTCTGAAGAGGCGGGATGTAAGCGCTGAGCAAGATCGTAGCCGCCCGAGCAATTTACAGAGAGCGCGCAAACAGTAGCCCCATCTCTGCAGACAGAACCAAGCAGTGTGCTTGACCAGCCCCAACCGCCGGACTAGTAAAAGTATGGAAATAATGGACCCAACAGCGGCGCCGAAAGGAAGGCTCGGCATTCTAAGGTGCAACAGAGGGCCTGTTTTCCCAGCTGGCTAAGGGGGCCGCGCGCGCCAACAGACGGCCTACCAAGAGGGTCGAAGCATGTTTAGGGCCATGAGTGGCTGATTGGGGCGGAAGAAATTGAGCGTTTCTCAAGTGTGATATCTGAGGAAGTTTGCTGGAAGAAGGAAACGAAGCGAGATTGGCCTATGGGATGGTGTTTGGGAGCAAAGCGCGCGACAATCCGGAGGATTTAGTTCCAAGCTTATCGGCTCTGTTGGGTCGGAGCGCTCGCTCGGATATCTGTCAATCCCATCTGGTGAGACCCTTGGAAGGGGGTAACAGAGATTTAAGGTCCATGGAGCCCCGTTGAGATCATCTTTGCATTCTCCAGAGTCCAGAAGCGAGCTTTGTTCCTCTTCACCTCGTCTCCATCTGGTTGATGAGCCTCGCCTGTTATTGGCAAAGCAGAAGACAACACTTGCCTTACCCCTCCTCCAAGTGCTCTTAGTCGCATTCCTCGCAGCCATCCCCAGCAACTTCGCTCCGAAGACAGTCACTGTGCAGACCGGTGAGTCCTGACCCTTTTCCAATGGCGAAGCAAGGACGGAGGTGTTGCCAGTGTCAAGACAACTGCAACCGCGCACCTTCGAGCTAAGGGTGATGGCGCTAGCCACTTGCAGTCTAGCTCGTGACACTGACACGGGAAGCGTTGCAGCAGATCGGAAATCCTCTTGTATCGATACCGTACGGACCGGCGTGACCATACCAAAACGACTCCATTCGACTCTGAAGCGCCGACTGAAAGTGAAGTCACCAGCTCCAGCTGCAGATAAATAAATCGCCCTCCTCTTCCTCGCCCTTGCCCCTACGCGCCCTCTTCCCTCTCTCTTCCTCTGACCAGTGAGAGGTACAACGAAGAGACTGTCTGTCCATAAATCCATCTGCATCTTCGATCACTCTCTCTCATCTTGTCCTTCCCCTCTCACCCTTCGCTCCCCTCATTGCGTGGTTCATACCTCTATACTCTCTTTTCGCATACTTCCACGCCCGCTTGTATATCTTCACCAACACAGTCACACGTTGACTGTCCACCTTCGCTCGACTCACCTTTCCCGACTCTATTCGACCTCACTGTTCAAAATGCCCTCAATCAAGCCGGTCCTCCCTCCTCTAAAAACGCCCAACAACATCACCTTCCCCTCCGAGCTTCATGATGACTTGAGCTCCAACTCTAGCCGAAACGAAGACAGCTCGTCGACGCCTATAACCCCTCCTACTGCCTACACAGATTTCTTGAAGGCCTTCACACCTATCTTCTCAAGCCCGACGAGTGCCGAAGGGGTGGACTTTTCAAAGTACAAGTTCGAGGGACGCCCAGTTTATTCTCCGAGGTCACAGCCAGCAAGCGCAGTCAGTGGCTCATTCAACTTCAACGAGCCCGCAAGGTCTGCTACGACCTCACTTCCACCGCCGACTCCTTATGCGCCTCCCCATCCTCGACGGGAACTCAGCAACCTGCGGCGCCTGCGCATCCCGCCTGCGCTTAGGTACTCGCCAACCACGGCGGAGCCACCTAGGAGCGCAATGAGCGCTCGCTCACCATATTCGCCTGCGGACTGGCGACAACGCTACTTTGATGCACCACGGAGTGCACTCCCTCGAAGCTCTAGCTCGAATCATCACAAGATGAGCGTGCGACATGTCATAACACATACCATCACATACAAGACAACAGAGCTTGATGCCCCACCCAAGGGGAAGCGGAGGAAGCATAACCACGCCCGCGAAGAATCCAAGTGATTTGCTTTTTCCTTTTTTATCTGTTAATGGGTTGGTCTTGGGTTCTTGGGTACGGAGTACTGCTGTCGGTTCGGTGTTGGGGTTTCGGGGATTTCCTGTCATATTCAGCGCAATATCCAATCCTTCTATATCTTTCTTTTGTGAATATGGCCCACTCAGAAGTCGATAATAAATAGAAATACTTTTGGGCGCCCCTCAGCGCAACATCCAACATGCTTTTGCTTTCCTGGAAAATAAACCTGATTACCCGGCGTTGACATGGACTGTTGGCCCCTTCTCAACGGTGACTGGCTTGCCTGATATCAAGACCCAACTCTATTCCCCCTCCGCGGTCCCGTCGCAGTGGTATCGGGGAAAGCGGATTCTCCAACACGCATCCTTCGCTCCAACACCTCATTGAAAAAAACAGTGGAATTACACGAGATGCCAAATCAAAGTGTCCTGAGTATCGATTCCAACAACACTGTCTGACATATTCACATGCGGTTCTCCACCTCAGATCCAGAATCCACTGATCCAGATCCAGGCAACTCAATTCCCACTCTGAACTTCTTACTTAACCTTTAATTCTCGAAACCGGATATCCAACACCGTTGGGCATCATCTATCCTATCGGATGCTCCGGTCCATAGGTCATGGTACGTAAGTCCATACTACCTCATGGTCCCACACACACATGGGTGAGCTGACGCCGGGGCAGAGGCATATCCAATCCAGAACTTCAACGAACTCTCACCACTCAAAGACTCTCAGCTGCCGAGCGCACGAATGGCCGCCCGTCTGACTCTCTCAACTCTGTCATCCATGTTGAGATGGCTCCATCGCGAACAAAGAATCGGCGGTTCCGGGGAACCGGTACGCATGGGGATTGGGCCATTGGGGAGGCTGTGATTCGGAGCTGTTCGTATTAGGATGTTGTTGCGGACCTCAGGTCTTGGAAGTGTGGTAGTCATATGTTATGTTGGGAGTTGGAGTTGGATTAAACGCTACTAGTAAGGACTGGGAAGTGCGTTGGTGATTAAGGCGTCAGGCCACATGAACTACGCAGTTTGACCTCGGGGGTTAAGCATGGGAAGCTATTTCCGAGGTTCTTTGTCTTGACTGTTCAGTCTGCTGGGGGAGGGCCGTGTTTGACTCTGTTTGGGAGGGGAGCAACGACTGAGACAAGATCAACCGCCTATTACTAGTCCAAGTCGACTCGAGAGTGCCAGCGGCCGCTGGGCGATGGTGGAGAGCTCATCTATAGGGCGTATTTTACCAGGATACAGAAATACGCGTAACCCCAGAACGCCCGTACCAAACCGCCCCCAGGAAATAAACTTCGAGATCACCTTCTATCCTCCAACTTTCCTGTGTGCTGGAACCACCACTGTTGTGCCTGATGGCCCATCTACCCCGTTTAGCTTGATCTGGCAAAAACACTCCTTTCCCCCCAATCCTTTTCTTCCTTTGTTGCTGATCATTTCCCCTATTCACTGCTGCCCAGGAAACGACTATTCCTGCAGCCAGTGGCATAGCACGGTGGGAACAGCTGTTAGTATGAGGAGATCATTCGCGGACAAGGCGCGCTGCTTGGCAGGGTTGATCGGAGAGGAGTGTGCGTTTCAAGACGGTCGTTGGAAGATTACATGAGAGATTGGAAACGAGCAGCAGTTCTCCAGAATCAGCCCCTTAACTAAATTAAAAACGGTTTCGAGACCGGGGTGTGATTGATTCAGAGTGGTTGGGGATGGGAGATGGTGATGTGATAGGGGTGCGTAGGCTGTTTCAGCTTCTGGAAAACGAGGGCTTATCTTGTTATTTTTGGAAGAGGTGCCTCTGCGCTGGGCCGCCGGAGCGAGATCTGTTGGTATGAGCTTCAGGAACCGTACGTATCTAACCGTTTTGCTTAACCTTTCTTACAGCGACTTATACGGTTGTAATGCCACTCACTTTCCAGGCGACGAGACTCAAGACTCTTGCTGAGCTTGACCTGCGCAACTGAAGAAACAGATGAGCAATCACCCCCTCCATCGCCTGCAGCCTTGACAAGAAGAGAGGCGAGATCGACCAATGAGCAGTGATATCCAGGACAATGGGAATCGTGGCACCTGCAGTTAAGCGCCGGCGCTATTCCGCATTTGGCCGGAGGGCCCGCTGGTGTCTTGATGCACTTGATGCTGCTCGCCCTGGCGGCCAGTCTCTTGCTTTTGGTCCTGGAGGGCTGTTTCCTATTGGATGCTAGCGGAGGAGCAATGCATGGGATTGGCGTCGTCGTCTGGGAGGGGGTATGGAAGCTGGGCGCTAAAGGGTGCCAGTCAGGTCATCCTGCTTGTGTTTGACGCTCGACAGGATTTTCATTCTGTGTCTGTTTGTCTCTTGAGCAGTACTTTTGGATTCGTCGCGTTCGACTTATCCGGTGCTCTTCAAGAAATGGGCAGTCTATGGAATTCCCATCCGCAGGATGGGCCTTGAGAAGGACAGATGTTGGCTGAAAACAGCCGCCGGGCTGAGACTTTTGGCACTCACAAGCGTGAAGGATTCAGCAAGGTTTCATGCAAATGCACCTCATCACACTCGACCAACCCATCTTTGACGCCGTGATCCAACCCTTCTTGCCAGGCCCCTGCAAGGTCTCCAAGATCGTCCACCAGCCAGAACGCTCCTCGAGCCCATTTAACTTTCGTCCCTGTGATAGATGCACACCAAGTGACTATTGTCAGCTTCATGTAGTGTCCGACCTGTAATACATATTTATTCCGAAGGATAACTTTTGAGTCTCCTGCTATCCTGCTTGGGGAATAAACAATGGCCGTCTGACTGGATTCTGCCATAGATCGACAGTGCAGTTCAATACTCTTGTTCAAAGGTGGGGGTTTGCTCTGCACCCATGTGTCATTGAGTCGCCGACTCCGCATCCCAAGTCATACTGAGAAGAAGCCCCTCTGCTACGGACTCCGTGGACTGTCAGGTATGCGCCAGAGGATCTTGCCCATGATCCGCAGAAAAAATGGAGGGTAGAAGTCTCGAGGAGTGGTCTTGTCTGCTTGAGCGACGTGGGGTCTTCCTCCAAGCCAACCTGGGATCCGAGGCCCAGTAACGAGGCACAGATGATCGTCGCAGAGCGAACTCCCGTATGTGCCGAAGGTGCTTTGCATTGCCATTGTTGGCGGGCGACCTCGTTCCAACTTCCAATACGTCATTCGGCCAACCAGAAAAAAAATAAGTTCATCCCGAGTAAGCTGCACCTGCGTCATGTCAGAGGGCTAAAACAAAAGATTATTGGATGGACAAGAGAAGGGAGCAAGGAATTCCCCAGCCAATCACCTGGCATAGCTGATTGTTCGTCAATGTCTTGAATTTGTGCCCCCAGCCTGGCGGGAAGCAAGCCGAGACAGGCACTTGGACAATTTTCTTTCCATGGACTTGACCTGATTTGTTGATTTTTCTGATTCGGCGTTCAATCGTACCAAGAAACCCTCGAGTCGAAAGTGATACTGCCCGCTCCCACATGGACACAAACTGAGTCCGAGAAAGTGCTGTCGTTAGGTGGCCGCTAGACCAACGCGACAGCAGATAAGCAAGCACATGTTAGGCTGAATAACAAGAACTCGAGGGAGCCTTGCGAGGTATGCAGCAGCGCTGGCAGTCTTGAAAATGATCCGCAGCTGGCGGCAGTTAAGTGAAACAACCAGATGAGTTTTCAGGTTTCCCAGTGGGCTCGAATGATCGAATTGTGTGTGAGCTGGTCGAGACCGTGGCTGACGGTCAGCTGTCAACATCGTGGCGATTTAACCTCTCTCCCCATCCGTCGGCCGGGCAGACACTGTCGGACAGAAGAGCCTCAAAGGCCTCCTCTCTCAAATGATCCTCAAATCAATCTGACTGGTTCCATTCGCCACCGACGATAAGTCTTCTGGCAAGGTCGACTGGGATGACAGTCGCCTCGGCGGAGCCGTCTTTATCCGATTGTTTCACCGCCACAGTGGGCATTTCCCTGTGATGAGGCTTATTCTTTCATGTTCTCGTGTCGAAAGAGACCGCAAAAAGTCAGCACATTCCAGATGACTTGAAACCCTGGTGGTGATTCGCAAAGGTGCCTTGTGAAAGAGACCGGACTGGGGGGATATTTGTAGAAGAAAGAAACGGGGATGAGCGGTGCCAAGCACGGGTCTAAAATTAGCAGCGGCGGACCCCCCCTCAAATCGCTGAATCACAGCATTCTGAAAGTTCCATAAATAACAACAGCAGCGCGGATCCAAACTCAGATCCAGACGACGCAGAGAAGGCGTGGCTTCCCCGTGATTTCTCCTCCTCCGAGCCTCCAGTCTCCTTCCACGACTCTCCAACACTTCAGATGCATCATCAGCCCTCGCCTGCGCATTTTGGCCCTCTCTGAGTGCTCCCAAGGATTCCCCTCCCCTTCTGGCTTCTTTCCTATTCGAGAAAAGTTCCTTTTTTTTCCCTTCCCACCCCTGTTGCTCCAGCCTCTGGACCCCTCCTCTCAAGCCTCGTCATGTCTCATTCCCTACCGACGCCCTTTACCCCAGATAGCGAATTTGCTTCGCTTGAGACGCCTCGCGGTGGCAGCGGGAGTCTGTCTATCACAGCTCTCGCCCGCTTCGAGTTCGAGGCGGGCAAGGGGAACGATGGGACGAAGATCCTGATGATCGAATGGGAGGATGATGACCGGAGTAGGTCATCATTCCCGCGCGGTGGTTCCTGGAATGTGGAATGGGAGGGCAAGAAGGCTGTACTCCCCGCCGATGAAAAGACCAGCAACAACACACGCCGCCTGTACTTTTTACTCCCTCCGCATGTTACGATCCCTCCTGGAGTTACTCTCACCTACAACCCCCCCGCGTCGTCGACCACATCCTCCGATAAGCCGAACCCGATACAATTGAACCCGCTTCCTGCTATCTTTCCGCCGGAACTTGGGGCAGATGGCCGGTCCGCTGGCAAGAAGGGCGTTTTGCACACGATATGGGCGAAGAAGCGATTGCAGGTATTGGAGAAGGAGATCCACGAGGAATCATTGAGCAACGTCGAGGGAATTGCCCTTCATATGGCACTGCAAGAGAAGGAATGGATCGAGGACAATTTTGGCCTGGGGCCTGATGCGCACAAGCATTCTATCCAGAATCAGGATCCAAACTATCCCATGGGACCTGCAACGCCTGTGTCCCCGACTACTGGGGGAAAGCTCGGGGAGAAACTGAGGGGCCTCAGGCTGCAGACAAGCCAACGGGGGCTGGCTTCGTCAGAAGGTATTTTTTTTCACGCTCTGCATATATCGATGTCGCACATTGCTGACTACTATAGGAGCCCATTTGCTCTCTCCGCAATCCCCGGATGTGGCTGTCTCCTCATTCAATTCATTCCATAGCATTCAGCCGCCCGCCTCGAGGCCCGGGCCAACCTCACAACCCAGCGAGCCAGTGAAGGCGGTTGCGCACTATCCACCGGAGTCGATACAGGCCCAGCAGAATGTCAGCTTCAACACCGGCTTCGCGTCAATGGGCAGCGCTGCACGCACTTCCAGCGCAGATTCTGGCGAAGATCTGTTCGCCAAAGCACTGAGCCCACGATCGCCGGATCTCCCCAGGAGTCCATTCTCCTTTACTAGCCCGGAAACCCTGCACATGTGACCACGACCACGAAACCCTATTGATGTCTCTTACGTCTCCCAGCATTGTTCTCTCGTTTTATCTCTTTATATAGCCTCTGCCTAGGCACTGCATGATTCCCCCGACAGCATTTCCTGACATGACGAACCATGTTGACTAAATAAAATATCACCGAGTCGAAAGTCTCATGTACATAGATCTCAATCAAGTCGATATACCATACCCACCCCTGTTTTGGTTGCAAACCTACCCCTACCCTAACAACAATATACCATAACAATAGCCCTTGACTATCGCGTTCGAAACAGACCTAACTGCTCTTCTTCTTGTTCGAGCTCTTGCTTTTCGCACTACCCTCCCCCTTTGCCGCAAACGACTCATCCTCCTGCGCATCCTTCCGCTCAGCATACCACTGCCCCGCCTGCAAAACCAACACACCAACCAAAACCAACGCCAAGATCGTATTACTCGCAGAGAGAACTTTCAGACTATCCTCCCTCCCCAAGATCTGCTGCGCCTCCTCGGGCGTCGCGGCCAGCTCCGCCCCATAGACCCCATTGCTTGCGAGCCGCAGGCCCTTGACGATATTCGCAACGTAGATGGTGATCCCGCACGCGTAGAGGACGAGGCTCGCACCGTCGAAGAGCATGTTTGATTCGGAGGGCCGCCAGAGTTTCATGATGAGGCCCGCGAGGCCGAGGAAGATGACGATGTGCAGGATTCGGGGGATGAGCGGGGGCGAGGCGTGGATTAGGCGCAGGTGCGCTTCCAGGAGGTCATAGTGTGCGGAGGTGCTTGGGGTTGTGGACCAGAGGATTGGGTAGTCGTAGGGGAAGAGGGAGAAGATTATGCCGAGGAAGAAGCTTGTTGCTGGAGGGGGTTGTTAGCAGGTTTTCTTTTGCGTTTTCTTTTCATTGAGGGAGTGGGATGGTTGGTAATTAATTGGCGTTTTGGGGCTGAGTGGGTTGGAGCAAAGTGTTGTGTGTCCTGTACGGCTGAGAGAGAGGAGAGGTACGTACGGCAGACGATAAGGAAGGTCGCAAAGGGCCCATAGCGGAGCGTCATGGTGGAAGGTGAAGCGCTGGTAACCGGCTTCTATGTAGAAAGGGGGCGGGGAAGATGCGACAGCGAGGGAAATGGAGCAGAGGAGGAATTGAGGGATGGGAAGTGGAAAAGTGTCGCCTTGGATTCGACCGAAATGCCAAGCCTCATCGCGCCTTCTTCGGCTTTTCTCCAATCTTCACAGGGAGGATTGTCAGCGCCGTCTTCTCACTGCGAACTAGGGAAAACAGATCTCGACGTCGGAAAAATTATAGAATTAGCTGGTCGTTGTTAGACCTGCTTTAGCAATATATGGTCGTAATAATTCACTAAATAGAACAAATGTGGTATCTCCGCTTAATCCCAATCGCAATGCATAACAAGTCAATTCGACAGAGGCCAACCAGTTCATCATCCATCACCTTTGATATCGTGGCAATAGCTCGTCCCCATTTGCAGCCCCACCAACAAGCTGCTGGTCGCCATCCTCATCGTGGAAAACAGGTGCACTAGGTCCATCATCTGCATGTTCGCCATGTAAGCCATCCGGATCTTGCGGCGCACTCGCTTCCATTAGGAGCCGCTGACGCTCAAGCTCGTGCTTATCTTCTCCAGGTGCCGAAGGCCTATCAATGGGTGTTGTACTGCTTCCTGCAACCACGGTTTGTACTGACTCGGCAGACATCAGAGCAGGCGACATCCCGTTTACTCCGTTCACTCCTGGCGACGGGAGATGGTGATAGTCATTGATGTGATCATCTTCCGGAAGCACGGGCGCAGTCGGCATTGTAGCCTCCGCCGCTGACGATGGTCCAGCCTCTGGATCACCCGGCGGTTGACTGGGTAGGAGCGTCTGTTCCGCACGCCGTAACCGTTCTTTTTCATCCATGGGCTGATCAGACTCAGGACTCGGAAGCACGCCTCCATGGGCTTGATACTGTTGGTGTTGGTGCTGGTGCTGGTGCTGTTGCTGTTGCTGTTCCGGATACTCTGGCCATTGTAGCTGCTCCTGTCCAAATCCAGGGGTCTCCGGCAGCGGATACTCCGCGTCTGGAATATGGTGCTGGTCAGGGCCCCAGAATTCACCTTCTGGGTTATGTTCGGCTGGTTGTTGAATGTCGGAGCCCTCTGCAGCGGATGATGTGCGCCGAGCTTCACTCTTTCGTCGCTGAGAGTCTCGTGTCCCAATGACTACTTCAAAGGCGACGGCAACAACTCCCTTCTCACGACGAATCTGGTCCGTATCCAGAATATTGCCTCCCCAATTAGCCGTAACATCACCACCAGTGGTATCAGCCGCGTTCACTATCTTTCCACTGGAGGAAAAGTTGCGGCCAGAAGATACCAGGTTGAATCGAGGCAGAAATCTGTCGGGCGAGGTGAGTTTACCGCGGAGGTCAACGACAACCTCGACATAATACCGAAAATTGATCATACTGCCTGGCGTGCGTGTGATGGTTGGAAAAGCATCTTCAGGTATGCGAATCGAGGTCTTGATATCAGCAGTCAGCGTTGTCGGGTCCACGACAAGAGGCGCGAATGATTGCGTCAAGTCTTTTCGAAAGACACTGCTGGTACGAGTAGTGCCGATGGAGAGACCACCAAGGCCGGTTCGAGAACGGGGATAATAGTCTTCGTAACGCGGCTTCTTGCCATCCGCCGTGACTCCAACAGGGATCGCAGGGTGGAGGTCGATACGACCTTGTCGATAGAGGGTTATAATGATGCCATGCGCACTGCGCACTTGTTTTGAATGGCTGATCGTGATTTTTATGGGCAAGGTGTCACCAGGAAGCACGCCAGCGCGCAACACTTCAGCTTTGGCGGTAATGATTTTGTCAGAGACAGAAGGCGTGATGCTCCGGGCTTCACTATTACGCACACCGCTACTGGCGGTTGACCCTGGATCTGTGACGATCTGAAAGCTCTGGCTGCTAGTGCTGAGCCGGCTAGATGAGCTCACATTGCTGGGGGCCGGGCTGAGAGGAGGGCGGTGGTCTGAGGTGGCAGTTCCCCCATTCACCGAAAGTTCCATAGATCCTGATTCGGGCGCATCGGACGTCGCCGTCTTGGCTTTTCCTTTGGACTTTGAGCGTCGGGAAATAGGCTCAAGGGTAACTACCCGAGCCTTGGGAGCTGGAAAAGTAGAGATATCGATGTTTTCTAGTAAGTTGATTCGCCTTCGGCATGAAACGGTCGGGTTTATAGTTGTAGGTTTCGTTAGGGTGGATGTAAGCATATAGGAGATGGTCCCTCGTTCGAACTGGATATGACGTTAGCGACATTGGCGAGGCCAAGCCTGGTGGGGGGAAACTGAACATACCGTGATGCTGCTGGGAAGTGCATACGGAGGAAATGACATCTCAAAACGAAACTTGTAAATTCCTTCCTTGAGACGACCTTCTCCGCAGAGAACCACTTCATCTTCAAATAGTGTTGCGACACCGTTTCCCAGATACTCTGCGCCTCGACGCCCGCGTCCAGGACCCAGAGACCCAACATCCGGAGGAGTCTCGCCTGCTGGCACATTATTCTTGAACACCTTGACAATGCCATGCAAGGAGATCACCAAGTGCGTAATGCGAACAGGCCGAACAACAGTAAGCACCACTGTTCCCTTAATTACATCGCCGGGGAAGTAGGAGCGCCAGGGATCGTCAGGTTCGATATAGAAATCAGTAATACCACGATTCCGTTGGCCGAGCTGCGAGCGAAACTTGGACAGAATGGAAGTGCGATTCCGACCGACCGGCGAGGAAGAGGCTTGGGCGGGAAAGGGATTGACGGACATGACATAAGAGCACCTCGTCGTGTCCATACAAGAGCGGCGGGCCAGATAATATCACGATATCACGGATGAAGAGCCCAGAATGGTAGAGAAGGAGGACAATGGCGGGGAAAGGGAGGTCGAGTTTCGAAGCGACGGAGTGTCAGACTCGCCAGACGAGGCGTCCGTAGATTCAGCTGAATGACGAAAGTCCAAACAATGGCGTTTTTTCGACTCGAAACACGGCGAAGCAAGGGGTTCTCTGGGGGACGAGAAACGAGAGCGCGGAAGGGAGGAGGAATGGAGAGACGACAGCTCGAAATTCTCCGTTCCAACAATCCACCGACAGTCTGACCCGATCTGGCCGTCGGGCGCAAAACAGAAGTCGGACAACAGCCGCAGCACTGGAACGCGATATTGTGCTTCAGGACCTTGCTCTTGCGTAGCCTACGGCACTGTCTTGCCCAATGTGCGGATGGAGAATCGACGTCTGATGGTTTCACACAGCGACCAGGGAAAGAGGGGGCGGAGGAATGCACGCGGACGGCGAGGGAAGGCGTTTAGGAGATCAGGAGTCGAGACGACAGGTCGGCATCATTTCTCGCAAGATTCGACTGAAGAGAGATGAGAATGGCCGACACACGGCCCCGCTGGAAGTTGGAGAGGATTGATCCGGGGTCCGGTAGCGAAAGCCGGGGCGACGAAGCGGCGAGTAGGAGGGGGCGCTGGATTAGGAGAGAGGAAGGCGTCGGGAAGGGACGGAGGAACGCGAGGCCAGCAGGTCAGCGAGGGGCGTGGGAGTGGGAGCCAAAGACGAGAAGCTGGATGGGCGGCGCGAAGGAGAGAGAGGGACGCGAGGAGGAGGAGGGAGGATGAGAGTGAGAGAGCGAGGGAGAAGAAGGGCGTTCGCGATAAGCAGGCGGAGAAGGGAAAAAGGCCAACGGATTTCGCGTGGTGGCAGTCAAGCTTCTCTTGGGTCGAGCGTAGTTCGGGGCTCGGCGCCTCCACTTAAATCTCGAGATGCTTTCCGACGAGTCAAGCCTTTTGCTCCTTGCATTCAGGAGACGCTTTCTTGCGCTTTTATCACCGGAGATAATAATGCAATAATGTAATCGTGGCATGTTCTGACAGATACCTTGCAAGCAAGCCCCGTAGCATCGCTAGCTGTCACTAGTTCGCAGCGTCGAGTCTGACTCGTGCACTTGCTCTTAGTCCTCTCGCCTATTTCTCCTCAACTCGACCAGGCCAGCTCGCGCAATCCCTCCCCCTCCACGTACTCCTCCCCATAACACTCCCTTTGTACCGCCTGCACCACCTCGCGATCGCCGCTAGCGAGCTGTCTGACATATTCCTCCAGCACGTAGATATTATCCGTCCATTCCTGCGCCCGTTGGCGATACTCCCCGGCCTCGTCCCTCATGACCCCAACCCCTTTCCCTTCCCCGGTCGTAGAGACAGCCGTCCACTCATTTTGGAGCCGCTTAACCTCCTGATCAAGCGCCTTCTTCCTCTCCATCAGCTCCTCGGTCTCACCGTCCTCACCATCACCCTTGTCCCTGTCCAGCACCTTTCTGCGCACGCCCAAATCGGCTTTCGCTCGCTTGCAACTAGCCTGGACCCGCTCCACGTCCTTCCGGAGCTGACATAACTGCCTTTCCCGTTCCTTTTTCTCGTCCCCACCAAAACACCAGTACCAGTTGCCGCTGCCGATCTTCTCCACGCGGATCTTGCCATCGTCGGTGAGTTCCTGGATGTATTCCTTGACCTGGATGCCGTTGATCGAGGCCACAGAGGGGAGCGTCTTCTCGAGATCTTTGAGCGTGTGGCAGGTGCGTGTGGAGCGGAGGTGTGAGACGATTAAGCCTTGCTTGGCGGTCTTGGAAAGTTTGGGGGGCTGATTCGCTAGATGTGTCAGTTCTTGGTGATCATTGTGGAACCGGTTGTGTTTGAGATTGAATGTTGTTCTGACGTACCATAATGTTGGGCTATCATTCACAAGGATTGCGGCTTAATCAGAATGAAAGTACTATGCGAGTGACCAAAAGCTGATATGGCAGATTATAACGTGGAAGAGAACGTGAGTCGAATGAGAATGATGAAGGAGAGTCTGGAAAGAGGATGCGGAGTGGTCATCGAGATGCTGAGTCTTAGCCACCGAGTGGCCTTCCGGTCACTAGTTCCCCTGTTTCACAAAACTTTGCTCTTTTCTACCAGCATAATCAAAGTGAAAGCTTTCTGGATTCCCCGGGGCTTTTCTATACTTATATGCACTTCTTCTGACTGCAGCAACATATGGCTCTATGTCAGGCCAGAAAAGCCTCCTGACTCCTCTAGCAGCCATGAATGCAAACCATGGGTAATCTTTTGTGATCCATTCTGTTTCCTCGACTATAAACAAAACCATTCTAGGTTATCGATAAATCATTAATACACTCCATAGATAGTGTTGGTGCTTCGAGATAAGCGAACAGACAGGTAGCATGGACTCATGGCATGCAGCTTGTCGGGTTTCCGCTTAGCTCACTCAGCATATATCTGGTTAACTTGGTTTGATAGCAATAACTCGGGCCTGCAGAGATTTAACAAATTCACGAGCAGCAGGAAGTTGGCGCCATGCGTCTTCAACATTTGTAAGCGCCATATCTGCTTCTTCAATATTACCATGTAATAGTAACCAGGGGAACTGGGCCTGTCGTGGGAGAGCAGCAAGTCCCACAAGTGCTTGTTTCGCTCCTTCACAAGTTGATGTAACTAGCTGGCCGATTTGCTGACGAAGCTTCAGAATGACTACTGTATGGTTGTCGCTTTGAACGAGCCTTTTAGCTTTGACAATCACAGGGCTGAGTGGGATACCGGATCGTATATTATCCAGGACTTCTCTGGGAACCTTTGCGCCAACGGTTATTGTACTGCTTTGCAGCGCTTTAAAGTCAAGCAGTAGCTTGATCTTGAGCAACGTCAATGACACAAGCTGAGTTAGATCCGCCCACTTGTTCTTGGTGAACACCTCCACGTCCTCGAACACGTTCGCATCCTTGATATCCAGAAAGGGCAAATCCGTGTTCCCCCAGTCGTAGTCATCCTCGCCAACGAAGAACCACTTGATAAAGTCGTAGCACTCCTGATCCTTGTTCAGCCGAAGCATAATCCCAGGAACGAGCGAGCGAAGACCCATATTGTCACTCCGGCACAATCCTAGCATAGCCAGGAAATGAGCAAGTTGTTCCTCGACTCCCGTCCTTGTCCCCATATCCGCAAGAGCGTCAGCCCAGTCAAACCGCGCCCTCATGCAGTCGCGAGTTTCGTGCATCACCCAGAAGTGCCCGATTCCTTTCGAAGGCGTTGCCCCAACTAACGCCATCATCTGGAGTATTTCGAATCTTTACCTCTTCTCTTTCGCATTCCTTGCGTGCTCTTGAGACGTCTTTGCAGGCGATTTTGTGTGCGTCGCGGTGGGCTACCTGGTGTTCTTGGCCGCAGTAGAACATAGCTTTAAACCCCGTGCAGCGCACCAGGTTGCTCTATTTCCCGCATTGACCACATGAATAAACAAGCATAGAGGGCGGCATCTTGAGATAAGAGGGTGGATATAAGTTTCTAGCTTGGAAGGATGGTAATTGAGTTAAGATGGAGACTTAGGAGGGAGAGAGAATTGTCGTTTGTCCCATCTGAAAAGAAAGGTGCTCGGCATGCGAATTTATTACTATTTTCGGCATAAGCTCGTCTATCCAAAAGAGCCTGATTAGGATTAGATCGCTATATAAACAACCGCTCATTTTGCCAACATGCCTCACTCATCAACTCTCCTTATGTAGGGTATAAGTGTCATGGGAATGCTCTGGGATAGGGCAGTGATGAAGCGGGAAGCAGTACTCTCGGTATAAAGTTCTTCTACTACTAGCAGTAATTTAGTCGCCAAACCGATCTAGCCTCTCGCGTAATCTTCGCAAGTCTAACAAAACGCTATGAAACATCGATAGCCCCTAAGCAGGGAGCATCGGTCTATCTATTATTAGGCCTCGATTTGGGACATCAAGCCTTTTCTCCCCGAGACTCGGAAACAGTTTCCTCAACATGAATCACAGCCGCCAGCTCTCGTGCCTTCTCCGTGCCCCCGGCACCTCCAACCATTGCCGCATCGCCGTCAAAGTACTTCGCAATCTCTTCAAGAGGTGTGTTGCGCGTCTCAACGTAGAAGAACCAGACCACGGTCAGCTCGACGCCGAGCCATACGCAGTAGAAGATGTAGTACTTCCAGCCCAGGTTATCCAGTGCGATAGGGTTGACGTATTGGTTGAAGAAGACTGCAAAGCGTTAGAGAGAACAGGACTGAGACGGAATGAAACTCACGTGCAGCATCAACGCACAACCACATCACTGTCATACCCTTGGCGCGGAGACTGTACGGCAAGATCTCCACAGTGTATCCGATGAGCAGACCAGACCATGCAATGTTGTAAAAGAGGTAGTAAATGTAAATCATTGCAATCACAGAGTTTGCCGCCGCCCGGTTGCCCGCCTCATCATACCGAGCCGAGCAAATTGTCCATACGATGAATGCCACCAACATACCAGCTGTTGAAATGAGGAACAGCCTGCGGCGGCCAAGCTTGTCCACGAAGAAGCACATTGTCAAGGCAACAATGAAGTTCATGATCTGAAGACAGCCATTGATCAAGTTTTGTTCAACAGGGTCGGTGTATCCAATGTTGTCAAGGATCTTGACGATATAGTATGAGACAAGCCCGTTACCGGACCACTGCGAGAAGAGACCGGCAGATATAAGAATGATCATGCGGTGTCGGTTACCTTTCGTACGGATCAAATCAAGCCATGAATTGCTCTCAAATTCCTTCTCCAGCCTGATTGTCTCCCGGATCTCTTCCATTTGCAATTGAACAACCTCATCCTCTTGGTCCCCGTTTGCGTGGCAATCAGCCAGAACCTTGAGAGCTCTCTCGCTCTGGCCCTTGTAAACAAGGAAACGTGGAGACTCTGGAATGAACCAGATGAAGAATATCTGGATCAAAGATGGTACAGCCTGCGCAATAGTCGGGGCTCTCCAGGCCCAATTGTTCGTGATGTTGTTGGTACCGAATGTGAGCCATGCGGCAACAATGGCGCCCACATACCACGTTGCTACTTATATTAGCCTAGTTTCTTGACCTTATCAGAGAAGGACATACTGTTGTATATCGTCGTGAAGATCGCACGATGCTGAGTATGAACGAGCTCAGCGATCAACAGAGGCGATGCTCCTTGGGCAATGGCGACACCAAATCCAATGAAGAAACGACCGGCCAAAAACATTCCATAGTTGGCGCTGATGCTTTGAAGGACAACTCCCATTATCCTGCTGTAGGTTAGCGAGCCAAGTATCAATAAGGAGGGGAATCCGCCACACACATAATTGAACATCCGATTAGAATCCCCATCCGGCGGCCCAGCAAATCAGCTGTATAGGGCACAACAGGTAAGGCGGCAATTGAGCCAAGGGACAGAATAGCGCTGAGGATTCCAAGGAGTGATCCGCTGGGGTGGTTGAAGTGTTCCTGCCACGGTGCCAAGGTCTGCAGTCCGTTCATCATCGAACCATCATATCCGTTCGTGGCCTCTACAGTCAGCATATTATATAGTAATAGTAGAGCGCAGAACATACCGAGGTCAGGACAACAAACATGAGACAGATATAGGTTTTGCGCATGCTTGGATTTTTCCACCAGGTCACCCGAGGAAACTGTCTTCCACCAAGCTCGAAAGTGTCGGCACCCATGGTGAATATTTGACGGTTGACAAGTTTGAATGAAGATAAAAAATGCTGTCGAAATATTCAGAAAGCAGCCTTAAGAGATAGTGGGACAAAGGAAGGAGTCGAATGAGATTTGTATTCGAACATCAAGTTACTAAAAGAGCGACACGAGACGCTTATCCTACGTTTTCACCGGCTGAATGATTGACAGATCATACACCTAGAGGCCAATTCACGGCTAAATGAGATCTAGGCGAGTATTGGCCACGGAGAAGCCGTTCCTTTTGAGCGAGCCCCGTGGGGTGACCCTTTGTGCAAGTTACGGGAGTGGAGCGGCACAAGGTCAAGACCAGAAAATCTTCCTGATGAGCGCTGCTCCGGATGGGTTGCTTCAGGCTGCCAAGAGGAACCCTTGCAAGTGCGAGAAACCATCCCGGCACATGTCGCTTTCAGGCTAATTTGAAATGCCAGTGGCACCAATAATCAGGGTCTGCGATGATAACTTGGAGGGGCGAAGGTGGAGAATCTGGGGAACGGGAAGGCTCAAGAGTCTGGGCTTTCGGCATTGAGCCTCGGGGGGCTGGCAGCCAAGACTCTAGCTGCACTTGACAAATATCGTTGCAACGTAATCCGTAGAGCTTTTGGCTAGTCCGAAATGCGTTGGTTGGATTGTTGGGGTCGTTTGAATTTGCTCGAGACCCAAATGCCAACTTACCAAGCGGGAGTAGAGCAACTCGGATTCGGGTTAAGTTCCGAAACAAGGCAAATAATAGCCTGAGACCCCTGTCATGCGAGCGTCCCGGCTAAACCGAGAGGCAATTTGATACCGTATTCAACATAGTTACCATGTAAAATGCCGCGTGGCACTTGCGGTCCGACGCGCTTAGATGAATCGGTGCAACAGCGCGGCACAGCTGGGGCCTAAAACCTCCCTTGTACGGCTGAGCTGCCATCGGCACAAAGTCGGTTGAGTCTCGAGGCGCAGTAGTGCTATCCACCACCCGTGCCTCGGAAGATGTCGGCCTTACTCCCGAAAGTGGTTATTGTTTCATGGGCTCCTCAGCGCCTGGCTTCGGCTTCCGTGTCCACATCGGTAGTGGATGCCCGTCGGGTCAGCCTGCGTTTCTTCGACCGCTTGTTCCACCTTAGCACACTCTCCAGATCTTCGCCTGAGCTCGCATAAATGCTCATTGCACTATTAGACCGTTTGCGTCTCCTCCTGCCGACCGTGGAGGAAGTTTCGTCATCTGTCATATCCTCCCCTTCAACGAGCACCAAGTCACCAGTTTCGCCTAGAGACTCCTTTGCCAACTCTTCCAGTAATATACCCATAAACATCAATGACTTTCCGTTCATGCTGAAATAATCTGCTCTCCCGCTGCCCCTTGTTGCCTTATCGTAGAAATCTGAAGTATAGGCGTGGACTGATTCTAGGAGATCAGAGCTAGGAAGCGGACGGTCGGGTGGTAAGGACTCATGAGCAAAGTACCGATCGGTCTCCTCATAGCGCACGGGCATGCCCTTTCGGCGGAACAAAACCTCTTCTGGTGGGAGGGGACGGTTGCTGGAAGATGCCGTGTCACGGTATTGCGAAAAGTACGGTTTGTCGGGAATAAACCCGTGTGAGTTTATCCGGCCTAAAAGACAGCGTTAGCACGACTTTTGCCAGAATCGCTGGGTGGTGCGCCAACCAGCTACAGCATCATAGAGGTTCGCTCGTCGCTTGCGTCGGCTTTCCGATGCGCGATTCGGCTGCTTTTCCTCATTCTTGCGCTGGGAAGGCGAGAAAAAGGTGTCATTGCTCAAAGCAAGTGACTTTTCGGAAGACATATTGTGCGAATCTTTTCCATCGCCGAAGTTGAGACTTCACCTGGAAAGTTGGAATGGTTGTTGTCGGCGGCTTCATGAGGGAGAACTTGATGCACGTGCTACAGTATTACATAAGCTCGGAGAACCCGAATCGGGGAGGAGCGTTGGTTGTGATGTTTGTCGCGAGGAAGGTACGTTTATCAAATGTTCGAACGATCCCAATTGCCTATGAGTTCTATTGAAACTCGAACGATCTTTTGACATCCTTGTTCGCAATGAAGGCGAAGATCCCATTAGGTCCAATGTCATGCATCTTGTCTTTCAAGTCGGCCAATGCGTCGACCATCTGCTTCACAGTCATACCGTTTTGTCGGATTCTCTCAACAAATTGAGCAAACTCTTCCCCAAAGCGGTGTTGCTCCGGTGTCGACAGGACGAATCTCAGTGTTGGAACTCCTGCCAGTGTTGCTGCACACCACTGCAATGTGCACTTGACAGAGCGATTTCCACCAAACGTGCCGCATCCCCAAAGACCTGTGATTACATGGCTATACTCGCCACTGCGGAACCCGTTGTACGCCTTTAGGATCATGTCTCGAGACATACGCGAAAGAGGGTAAATGTCAGGAATGAGAGTCTCTCCTACGACAGGTAGGACATCCAACTCGAGTGCATCAATGAACAACATTGTCCGACCCCGCCATGATAAGTGTTCATGAGCCCCCATTCTTGGCTGTCGAAATATCTCGCCCAGCTTCGCATCACGCCCATACCCAACGATTGATACCATTGCCTCAGCACCTCTGCAGATCAGCACCTGGTGGTCCGAGAGCGGCGGCGCTAGAAGAACGGCCGGGTATGCCTCTGGTGAAATGCCCACATTCAATTCCTCCTGGGTACCTGACGGGCCGTATCCGATGCACTTGTTTGCGGAAATCACACATGCTCCATCGGGCAGTCCGAGCAGATTGGGTGCTGTCTGGGATTCTGCAAGGTTCACAATCTCAACGCGAGTTTTTGATAGCATGGCGCCTGACGCTTCCTTGCTCTGTAGTCTCTCTACATCTTGATCGGTCAATGACTGCATGGTAAATGTGATAGGCCACTCATCTGTCCCAAGGTCAAGAATCGACTTTTGCCCATCCACGGACTCGTGTATCCGTTCGAAATATGTGAACAGGGCCGTGAGATATGCTTCCACTGCGCCTTGGTGGACAGTGCTAGACATTGAATACCACGGGCGTAGGTCGACAAACGACTCCGTAGACCATGGATGAGGTGGCAGCGAACACAGAAATTGATGCACAACCAAGCAAGCAATCTGCTTCCGCGAGAATGCCACATCTGTGCCTGCAGGTGATAGTAAGGATGGCAGTGTTCCACCTGGGAAAAGATTTGGCATTTCGAGCGCCAAGTCCACGAGAACAGGCCATGTTTCGTCAAAGAAATTCGCAGATTCGTCGGTCATGCGTCGCGAAATGAAGTTTCGAAGCAAGCCAAAGTCCACATCTACTGCTGTCCCTCTGAGAGTAACCGCGATCGTCCCCAGGGCCTCGATAAGAGAGGCGGCATCCGTGACGGGCGCTGACTCGTTTCGAAGAATGGCTGTCAGGAGGTCCCAGAACGGCACTTCATATTCATCCGAATGGACCAGGTCGAACCTGTCTTGTCGGCGCACTTTGGCCGAAGAGGGAAGGATAAACTGATGTTCCATCATACCGATTGCGATTAATTCCGTGTCACTTCATGGAATTTCGGCAGCCTGACAGTGGATGCAAGATGGCGAGCCCGCACCTCGTATTGAGGAGCTAAGCGAAGCACTAGACATCAGCGTCTCTTGCTGCGCATCGTGCTATTTTCCGCTCAATGAAATAGCAAGGGCAGACTCTAAATTGAGAGGAACTTTCATGCGGGAGTAACTCGAACCTAGCGGGGCACATTATCTATAATGAGGCTGAAATGATCTCAACAGTTCCGAGGACAAGCTGGAGATCCGAGGAATTTACGGGAGATGAATCTATTCCAAGATAGGTATAGCTCACATTCGGCGCGTTTCTGCTAGAGTCGGATAGAATGCGGAGAAAAGAATCGCTCCGAAGATGACAAATGGCATGAGACTCAGCAATAATGAGCTGTCCCATCAGGATGACGTTACTGGGAAGTTGAGTCTCGAAAATGTTGACTATAAATCAGAGACAGCTTGGAAGATGTGCTACATCGTTTTCCAATCCTCGTCGAGACCTCATCCAGCAGCACCTCATTTACGGTAGTGCTTACGTCCATCAAGATTGATTCCGAAATGACTCTGAAATACCTCATTACTGGCGCCACCGGGGGCTTAGGGGAGCAAGTACTCAACTATTTTGTCGCACATGTTCCCGGCTCAGAGTTTGCCGCAGCGTCCTCCAACCCATCGAACAGAGCACGGTTTGAAGACCGTGGAATCGCCTTCCGCCATGTGAATTATGACGACCAACAGTCCCTTGATACAGGGCTATACGACGTGGAAAACCTTCTGTTTGTGAGCACCAATACTTTCGACAACGAGAGACGGGACAAGCAGCATCGCCAACTCGTAGATGCTGCGAAGAAGGCAGGAGTGAAACATGTACTTCCTTCACATCACTGATATAACAGCTCAGGAGCTAACATTCTCAGGTCTGGTATACTTCTCTCGCCTTTGGTGGGTTCTCAGACGACTCTAAGGCTGCTGTGCAGCAGGTCCACCTCATCACCGAACAACTTCTCAAAGAGTGAGTAACTTATATCATACTAGACCCAGAATCACTAACCATGGCAGGTCTGGTCTCACATATACATCCATCCGAGAAGGCGTATACACCGAAGCCTTTCCAGTCTTCCTAAACTGGTACCCCGACAGCACTACCGTGGCCCTCCCCGCCGACGGAGAAATAGCATTCACTCGGCGCGCGGAACTTGGTGAGGCGACCGCTCGCCTCATGATCAAGGGCGGGCACGAGAACGAGATTGTTCTCTTAACCTCGGAAGAAACTATCACTGCAAAGGAAGTAGTTGATGTCATCAATGAAACTACAGGTCGGCAGGTGAAGTTCAAGATTGTCTCACCGGAGGAGTACGCACGTGAGCACGGTGCGAATGACCAAGGTGGCAAGCCACAGGCATTCTTCGAAATGGTTGCGACGTGGTGGGCGGATATTGCAAATGGAGAGCTGCGCACGACGCATGGGCTGATGCGTGAGATTCTGGGGAGAGAACCGACAAAGCCGAGGGATGCGTTGAAGGCGCTGTTGACCGGAAATCGGGACTACACATGGCATCAGAACTACGTTCGTTGAAGGCGGTAGACTGTGTATGCAAAAGAGTGTCAACTTGTGCATGTCGAATCTCAGGATCCGGCTATACTACTGGTTCGAGGCAGGGCATGAAATACATGAAAGACTACCGAGCTACCGATTTATGGATTATCAATCACTAGCCGAACAATGTCATAAATTCCAGCAAGATCCCTTGGTCATGCCCGTACATCTGATTCGCACAGCAAGACGGCTTTACGCGGCTGTCAGATCTTCCAGAACAATGCGGGGAAGCTGATGAGCCGGACCTCGGCTGAGCATCCATCTTGAAGCTATTAATATGCCCTCACGGTCGTACAAAACGTGCAGGAACTGCATCAAACGCTCTACCAGAGAAACAGATACAAATTTATACCTCTCAAAATGCCCCGCGCCAAACCCTCAATCCCCACCTACGTCCTAGGTGTGGGAATGACCCAATTCCTCAAACCGCGACGCATCCGCGAATACCCCGAACTTGGCTACGAAGCAGGCGTGAAAGCAATGCAAGACGCCCGCATCACCTACGACGACGTCGAAGCCGGTGTTGCTTGCTACTGCTACGGCGACACGACTTCGGGCCAGCGCATCTTCTACCAATTCGGGCAGACCTCGATCCCGATCTATAACACGAATAATGCATGCGCGACGGGGTCGGCAGGGTTACATCTCGCGAGAACGATGGTGAAGAATGGCGGGGCCGACTGTGTACTTGTTATCGGGTTTGAGCAGATGAGGCCCGGGTCGATCAAGAGTGTTTGGGATGATCGACCCAGTGCGGTTGGGCCGTCGACGGCGTTGATGGAGAAGACGCACGGGAAGCATCAGAGTCCCAGGAATGCGCAGTACTTTGCGAATGCGGGAGTTGAGTATATGAAGAAGTACGAACCAGCCCTCTCTCACATTATGCTTGATCATCTCTAATGAACGAATAGATACGGCGCAAAAGCAGAAGACTTTGCCGAAATCGCCCGCGTCTCCCACGAGCATTCCCAGCGAAACCCATACTCTCAATTCCGAACTGCCTACACACTCCAGGAAATCCTTGACTCCCCCATGATCCACCCACCCTTGACAAAACTGCAATGCAGCCCTACAAGCGACGGCGCCGCAGCCGCCGTAGTCGTATCGCAGGACTTCCTCGACGCCCGTCCACATCTCAAGTCCCAAGCCATCCTCATCGCAGGCCAGCAGCTGCTGACTGATACCCCCTCTGTCTACTCCGGAAGCGCAATCGACCTCGTCGGCTGGGGCATGGCGCAGCGCGCAGCAAAGCAAGCCATGGCCGAAGCGGGCGTGACACCCAAGGACGTAACCGTCTGCGAACTACACGACTGCTTCTCCGCAAACGAACTGATCCTCCTCGACTGCCTCGGTTTCTCAGAACCAGGAAAAGCACACGAGCTCGTTCGTCGCGGAGACATCACCTACGGCGGCAAAGGGCCCGTGATCAACCCGTCCGGCGGACTAATCTCCAAGGGCCACCCGCTCGGCGCGACGGGACTGGCACAGTGCGCCGAACTCACCTGGCAGCTGCGCGGGTGGGCGAATAACCGGCTCGTCGAGAATACGTCGGTGGCGCTGCAGCATAATCTGGGTCTTGGGGGTGCGGTTGTCGTGACGGTTTATAAGCGGGCGGATGGGGGTGTGAACCCGAAGCTTTCTGATGAGGAGGTTATTCGGGCGTCGGGGGTTGGGTATAATCCTGCTACGGAGGCGAGGATTATCAGGCCGGCGGATGGGGAGCAGGTGCGCAGTCGGACGCGGTCGGATTATCCGTTGGAGGATACGGTGCAGAAGCTTACTGCGCGGATTTAGTCGAGGTGGAGCGTAACATTGTAGCGAGTCGTTCTGCTATTCAAACAGAGATAAACCCGTATTCAGTCCTACCCAGGGATATCAAATCGCATTGAGCAGTCACGAATACCACAGTACGTCTCTCAGCAAGATCTCCCCCTTCCTCCAGACTTCAAGCCATCTACTTCGCACAAGACATCGCAAAAGGCTCCCTCCCCGCCTCCATCTCGGTGACGACATGCTTCCGCCCGGCAGTCAGCGCCTTCTCATTAAAGAAAACCTTTTCGACTATCTCCTCAACCTCTGGGTATCCAGCAAGTATCGTCTTCATCTCCTCGCGCAGCGCGGGAACTTTCTCCGGATCGTACTTGGCCTCGTGATACTTGACGGACCAGGAGTGGTACTTCTCGCGCGTCTCTTCGTTGAGAGAGTTCTGAATATGCCAACGTTAGCTGCACTCATTCGTTCGGAATCCTCTGCAAATAGAGCAATATAGGAGAGGACAATATAAGAAAGATACGTACCGTACGCTCCTCGAGCTCAACAAGCGGAATCCACCACTTATTCTCCGGGTCGATATTGAACTCCGGGTGCTCCTCCTTCACCTTTGCCATGTTCCGCTCCCATTCGGCGAGCTTCGTCTGGGCCCATTCGCTGGGTTGGGTGCCGGTTTTGTGCACACTGTCGCTCATCTTGTATGTAAACTGCTTGAAATGTTTATGGGAATTTTGCGAATAGTTTCATCGCCTGGCGGTTGATAGACTATTGCTCGAGATAAATATTTTGAGCCGTTGGAGGCGGGGTTCAACTAGGATGGTCTTGGCCTCGTCATATAGGAGCTGTGACTCCGATTTCTGTTTTGTGTTGGTCACATATGCCATCTGATAGGGCAGATTGGAATCCGTCCAGTGAATCAAGTGTGCCTGACTCGAGCTTCAGGAGTGGTTGAGTTTTGCGCCGCAAGGTCCCTGCATCGTTGAACAGTCATCAGGAACCAGAGATCATGTTGGCCAACATCATGAGTTAACAAGACTCCATCCATCCAAGAAAAAAAAAAAATAAGAAAGGGTCAGTCAGCCACACTGTCCGCCATCGCGATGGACATAAAAGAGAGAGAGAAGAGCAACTCAGTAAATGTGGTGGTGGGTGGTTGGTTAGTGGTAGGAAAAAGAGGGAATAAAAAAAAAAAGAAACGACCAAGACGCGACTCGAACGCGCAATCTTTGCTGGCTTCCGCAACCGGAAAGCAACGCCTTACCATTAGGCCACTCGGCCGGTGATATCTGTTTGAAAATAGCTTTGCACTATATTCCACAAAACATTATACAAAAAAAAATTGCATTGCTATCGACCCAACCCTAGAAACTGATGTCTCGCGAAGGAACGACAAGAGTTCCCTCTGAAACAAGCACGCCGGTTCCCGAGATTTGAATCTTCAGCGAGTCTGTCTTCACATCTCTCCTCACTAGCAACCTCATCACACACTCTCGGCCCTTCTTCAATCCCTGCACAACCTGAACCTCCACATTGCCTTCACTCAAAGCGTGTACAAGACCATTCCCACATAGGAAGAAAGCCAGTGGGCCAGCAGCTGACCCCGTAGCAGGATCCTCCATACCCATTCCCGGACTGAAAAACCTAGCCTCCAGATTCAGAACGCCATCCGTTTCCCCGACGGGCGTAAAGGCGTATACTCCGCTGTTATGACTATTGGTTTTGGCGAGCTCGCGGGCTATAGCATCAGAGTTGGAAAAATCAATGCCGCTCAATGTTTCTTGATCTCGGATTGGGACGAGGAGGTGTCGTGCTGGCGAGGTTGTCACAACTTGTGGCTGCGCCATGGAGTTTGCGTTGTACTCGAACCCAATGTCGGATGAATCGATTCCTAATGCCTCAGCAAGTGTCGATTTATCCGGATGTCTTTCCAAAAGCTGTGGTGCCCCTTGACTCATAGTGATAAGGATCTCGCCCTGCGCTGACCAGGACACCTCAACTGGAAGAACAGAATCGCCCAACTCCTGGTGGAAGACAGTAGACTCTGTATCACGCAGCTCCGCCAACCTCGAATCAGCAATATGCCACCAGGCACCTAGAGAATTATGTCCAGCTCCGAAGACTTCCTCGCCATTCGGAAGGAATGAACGAAGCCGATAGGTTGAGCCTGGCTTTGTCGGAGGACATATAAACGTTGTCTCTGAGAGATTAAACTGTCGAGCTATCAACTGCATCTGGGCCTTTGTGAGTGTGAGCGAGTCTGTCGTATTGTCGACGACTGCGAGCGGGTTGCCTTGATACGGCACAGAGGAAAAGACATCGACAATGGAGTAGGGTAGGCGAGGCATCTTGCTTCAAGAGTATTTTGAAAAAAGTTGAGACACTGATTCGAGGCAGTGCAGCTGCCACTTATATACCCAGCTTGATCTCCTCTCGTCTTGCCGCATTCATGTCGTCATTGTTGATTGTTCAGCAGCTCTCGTGTCTGATGACAAACTTACACCATCTTCAATGGCAGCTCGTATTCGAGTTCGGCAGGCTTCCAGAAATGCCTATTCTGGAACGAGGCGTTGTTTAGCGTTGCTCGGCAAGGGTTTCATGTAACATGGCGTTTACACAACCAAGATTTCCTATATACTAGTAGCAATGGACTTTCATTCCGACGCTATCGCCTTTAAGAGAAGTCCAGAAAAGGGCGGGCTACTCTGACACCCGTGACGTCGTAGCGATGTCTGAACAAAGAAAGGAAAGAGCGGCCCCTGACTATGGGTCGTACCTGCCTTGGGAAGCCACCAGCCTCTGTTTACGACCCAACCGAGGAAGGAGCAATGAAAGGTCGAGAAGGGAAGGAAAGACCAACGCATCCTAGTGGATCGCACCTGCCTCTAGAATGGGCTGCGGGACATACTTTCCTACTTTAAAAGGTACGATGGGTACGGGCCCCGTTTTAGGGAAGCAATGACCTGGGGCAAAACTGATCTGCTGCCTCGTACTATGTACCCAGATGCATGCAGGTGTTGGAAACAACCATTCCACTTGATCTCTTCGGCTCATTTTATCCTTCTCGCCCGGTTTACTCTTATATCCGGACAGCACTGGCACTCTAACTTCTTGTGCAAATCTGTGTGTCCAAATGCCGTTCAGTATCCTGAATTTCGACCAGATTATTAGCCAATGAGTTGAGTGAGCACAAATGTGAGTACTAAGCCCGAGGACCCTGTCAGCACCATGCAGATGAGCTTATCTAGGGCCAAGTTAAGTCCGATGCGTTGGCTCTGGAGATATGCAAGACGAAGGCCCTAATTCCGTTAAGCCCGATAGCAGTATCAAGCTTTGAAGGTCAAATATGCATGCTACGACTTGGTATATCCTTTTCCGACCAATTTGTAACATTATTATCCTCCAAACCATCCGCATAGCACCTATTCTTCTACACGGACGACAGCATGTCCACCAAGAAGCCCTTGATCCTCATAACCGGTGCCAACCAAGGCATCGGCTTCGCAACAGCCCAAAACCTCGCCAGCACAGGCAGATACCACCTCCTCATCGGTGCACGCTCCCAAGAAAAAGCCGAGGGAGCAGTGAAACAGCTCTCACCACTCAGCTCCGCCTTAACCCCCTTGGTTATCGACGTCACCTCAGATGCCTCCATCGCCGCAGCAGCAAAGACCGTCTCCGACAGATTCGGCTCACTCGACATCCTCATCAACAACGCCGGAATCAGCACCTCCCCAGCCCACGCAAATCTAAGCCTCCGCGAGAACTTCCGCGCCGTCTTTGAAGTTAACGTCTTTGGCGTAGCCGTCGTCACAGACGCATTCCTGCCGCTTCTGCGTGCGTCTGCGTACCATGACCGGCGCATCGTGAATGTAACGAGTGGCCTCGGGCAGATTGGGATAACTCTCTCGCCGACATCCGAGTATAACGCAAAGAGCTGGGCACTGCCCATCTACCGCAGCAGCAAGTGTGCGCTGAACATGATCACTGCCGTCGACGCGGTTACGCTATCCGAGGAAGGGATCTCGGTTGTTTTGGCGGCGCCGGGGTATACGCGGACGAACTTTAGTGGGGGGAATGGAGTGAAGGAGGCGTCGCAGGCGGCGGTGCAGATTGTTCGTGCGGCGACGGAGGGGAATCCCAGGGAGTATTTTGGGAAGGTTGTAGACGAGGAGAATTTTCTGGAAGAGTTTGGCTGGTAGACATATACTTTACGGTGTGATCTGTATAATGTTGTCAGTTAGTTAGTATTCAGCAATTAAGTAAGCCGCATAACGGTATCTAACTAGTGGAAGAGATATTATCCCGGCTTGAGTCCGTAACTCCAGTTTCCTTCCTCAACATGTCATCCCCAGCAATCAAAAATGCACATCCTCTTTGTCGATGACAAGTATGTAACCAAACCAACTAGGTCTAGTCATTCCAGACCAACATCTAACACTATCAATGCAAAGTCGCGTCTGGCAAAAGATCGCCCTCCTCAAGCTCCCCAAAATAGGCTGCACGGTGGCCGTAGCCAGCGACGGCCAAGAGGCCCTCACCTACCTCTCCGCTCGACCAGAACACTGTCCGCGACCAGACTTGATCATGATGGATGCAAGTTACATTACCCCAGCCTACTCATCCACCATGACTATAAATCCTACCCATCACATACTAAACAGGTACAGATCGCAATGCCAACCCTCGACGGCCTGTCCGCGACACGCATCCTCCGCAGCGAAGCCCCTTTCACAACAGACCCCAAGATCCGCACAACGCCAATCATAGGGTTGTGCACGACGAGTCTCCGTGCAGACCACAGACGCTTCATCGAGCAGGGGATGGACGATATCATTGTGAAGCCGTGGAATCTCGAGCAGATTCAGCCGTTGTTGAGGTGGTGGGCGCAGAGGAGGGTTGCTGTTCCTGGGATGGCGCAAGGGCAGAAGTATGGACCTGGGTTTAGAGAAGGGTGGGGAGGGGAGTGGAGGGCGTTTAGGGGACCGAGATCGAGGATGTAGGGTTGGGCTTTGAATTCATGAGTGGTTAGGGTTGAAAAGAAGATCATGTGCATTGCGTGTATCTGCCATGGTTTATTCCGCGACTCGACAGACCTCATCTTTCTATACGTGTCTCCCCTTATCACAAGCAAGCGGACAAAAGGGTCTGCGGAGTACAGCCTTTCTTCCTAGTGATAGTCTAGAGTACTATGGGGGATGTGGGTCCCTCTGATGTAGAAAAAGATACGGCTAGTATATCGGTGGAATCAACGGTCAAATTCTGTTGGACCAGACTTGACTTCTCAGTACCCAAAATGCGTCCAACTACCGACAGAATGGGCCGTATGAAGATCAACAAGCTTAAATTAGAGTTGCAGCCTGTGGTTCGCCCAATGTGAGCCCCTTCCGAGGATACTTTCGGATGGATTTCCAGAACCATGGATCGAATTATTGTTCAAATGTTCCCCCGCACCTCCGCATTTTTGCCCTGTGGCCTACGGAGCTACCCGATACTGCGAGGTTGAGGCGAGGTTGCCTGCTTGAAACCAGTTCGTAGTGTGTCTCCGCGTCCCTATTCATCACCAACGCATCACCGCTGATCAGGCGCAAGGTGATCTCTATCGTTCTAGGAAGATGGAACTTACCGACAGTAATGCCGTGTACCCAGTCGCAAAGGAGATTGAGCGCAACCCGCATCCTCACCCAAGACGCGGCATCCATAAAAGCTCTTGTACCTCCTTCTAGCTAGCCCTAACCACTTGATCTCTACAGCAACTACTCCCTCTAAAGCAATCCCCCAGCAAGTTAAAGAATGTCCTCTGCCACCGAATCCGAGAAATACAACCTCAAAAACACCATCACAAACCCCGCGACCCCCTCACCCCCATCGGAGCCCCTGCACACCCAAGCCTCACACCACGACTATGCAACCACAAACCTCACTCACACAACAACCGCCTTCCAGCCGCCTTCCAGCCAGGCCTCTACCGCCCCCTAAAGAAGCTCGCCAACCCTGCACCACTGGGCCTCTGCGCATTCGGACTCACCGTGTTCATCCTCGGATGCATTGAGATAAAAGTGCGGGATATCACGCAGCCGAGCATCCTTGTTGCAAGTGCGTTCCCGTATGGCGGCTGATGAGTGTAGGGAAATGGCCATTGGCAACTCCTTTGGCGCAACCGTCCTCTCCTTGTACGGCGGGTTCTGGATCTCCGTTGGAATCGTCTTCACGCCGGGCGGGTTCAACATCATGGGTAGTCTCCAGGAGGCCGCAGGCGGGTTGAACAGCATGTTCTACGACTCTCTCGGTTTAATGCTTAGGGTACCCATCCCCGCTCTCCTCCCCACACAATCCAAACCGGCTAACCGATTTTCTTTTTTTCAATTCCCAAAAACAGGCCTGGTTCATATCTACAATCCCAATGACCCTCATCACCCTGAAATAAACCGTCGCCTTCTTCGCCGACCTTGCCCTGCTCCTTGACGCGCAAGGGATGCCGACCGCGGCGCTGACCAAATCGGGAGGCTTCTTTTCGAGACTCTGTGCGTTTCTCTTCTGGTATAATGCGTTTGCGGGACTCGCCGATCCGAGTAATAGTGGGTTTGTCCCACCTGTTGTGCATTTCCCGTGGTCGGAGCAGGGGAGGAAGGGGAGGGATAGGTCGAGGAGGGAGGATGCGGGGGAGGCGTGATTGCTAGTACTAGTTGGAAGGGACAGTATGTATAAGAGCAGAGAGCTGCGGATTATGCCTTGTATGTACTGGAAAGATTGTTGAAGAAGCGAAGACTTGCCATGTTTCTAGAACGAGGACACATTACATCACACATGGTCAAAGAAAATCACTGAGTTCATTACTTAACCTCGAAACAAAAAACGTGATTAGGCGTAAAATGAATGGAAACGGACCGCAGATCCGTCAAAAGCCAAGCCGTATACGGTACGTAGATCCTTCTGCCCAAGGTCCCACAGGACAACGACGCATCAACTCGGCCATAAGGAACGGATGCTGCAGAAACAGTCTACAACGCAAAGCCCAACAGCACAAAAACACCCGCAATCACCGAGACCACCCCAGCGACAGAAGCTCCCAGCCCCGGGGCACCACCCATAAACGCCACGGGCGTCGCCTCGGCCTTCTCATTCTCCTCCGCCGACGCCCCCGTCGGCATATGCAGGTGGCGAACGGACGACGACGACGCAACGGGGGTGCTGCTAGCGGCGACAACGACGGAGCCGTGCGCGCGCGGTGTCCCGCTGGGGACTTGCACGGGGATCACGGCGAAGGTCGAGGCTTGCTCCCTGATTGCGGCAGAGGTCGCGGGCGCGTGGTAGGCGCCCGTTGCTGTCGCGATGGCGGCGGAGGTCGGGGCGGCAACTTGGGAGCCGTGGTAGGCGTTGCCTGGTGCGGCGGGTGCGGGGTCGGAAGAGTCCTCGTTTGAGTCGGAGCTGGGGGACTGCGAGCTGCCCTTCTCCTCCCAGCTGCCCTGCGGGGAGTCGTTGTTGTTGTTGCTGCTGCTGCTGTCCTCCGTGTCACCACCGCTAGGCGACTGCGAGCTTTCCTCCCAGTTGTTCTGAGGGGAGTTGGAGTTGGAGTTGCTTTGCTCAGTACCCTCGGGTTTCTCGGTCTCATCCTTGGAGTTACCGCCGGACGGGGTTTGAGCGCCTGGAGTCTGGTGCCACGCCTCCTGCTGCTTCGGCTCCTTTTCCTCCTTCTCGGGCTCCTTTTCCTCCTTCTCGGGCTCCTTTTCCTCCTTCTCGGGCTCCTTCTCCTTCTCGGGCCCCTTCTCCTCCTCCTCGTGAGGGTCCGCGGCAGCAGTCTCAGTCTGGTAGGCAACCTGGGTACGAGTTCTCGTCACAGTGTGGACGACCTCATGCGCGTTTTCGCAGTCACAATCCTCAGGCTCCTCGTGAGCAGGAGCAGGAGGCTGGGGGTTCGAGTGCGAGGCAGGCTGAGGGGGTTTCTGCTCGTCCTTGTGCTCGCCCTTGTGCTCGTCCTTGTGATCATCCTTGTGATCATCCTTGTGCTCGTCGTCATGGTCGTTGTGATGCTCGCCGTGGCCCTCATAGTGCGGCGCCGGAGGCTTGATGACCTCGTGCGACTTGATCTTGACCGAGTGGTCGTCGTTGACATTCTCGTGCGTCTGGCTGGCGAAGCTGTTGACGGTGGCACCTGTGTACGCGTTCCCAATGTCCACACCGTGTGGTCCACCAATGACAGTCGCGTCGTCGTCGCCCAGGCGCTGCGCGCGCTTGTGTGGCTTCACGATAAAGGTCTTGTCGACGTCCACGGAGTGGTCGTCCTTGTAGGACGCGTCGAAGGAGCTGACGAAGCTGTTCAGCGTCGGGATATCAGCCGAGTTGCCGATATCGATGCCGTCGGGCCCGCCGATAACAGTGGGTTCCTCGCCGCGAGGTTCGTGCATCGGGTGGTGGAAACCCAGGGCCGGGTGCCCGTCATGATGAGGCTTCTCGATGATGGTGGTCTTGTCAATATCGACAGAGTGGTCATCCTTGTACTTTCCTGCGAAGGACGCGGAGAACTCGCTCACTGTTGGGATAAAGGCATCGCTGCCGACGTCGACGCCGTCAGGCCCACCAATGACAGAAGGCGCGCCCCGACGATCTTTGCCGCCCTTGTGGTCGTCCTTGTGGTCGTCCTTGTGGTCGTCCTTGTGGTCGTCCTCGTGGTCGTCCTCGTGGTCGCCCTTGTGGTCATCCTTGTGGTCATCCTTGTGGTCGCCTTTGTGGTCGCCCTTGTGGTGGTCTGGCTTCTCGATAATGGTCGTCTTGTCAATATCGACAGAGTGGTCATCTTTGTATTCGCCCTTGAAGGATGTGGAGAACTCGTTTACTGTAGGAATAAAGGCATCGTTGCCGACGTCAACGCCACCGGGCCCTTCAATGACAGAGGGCGTGCCCCGGCGATCCTTTCCACCCTTGATGATGGTGTTCTTGTCGACGTCAACGGAGTGGTCATCCTTGTAGGATTCCGAGACGGACGAGCTGAACTCGTTGAAGGTCGGGATGTCAGCGATGTTGCCAATATCAACCCCCGAGGGCCCTCCAATCACGGTAGGGTTGACGGGGATCTCGGGGAACTTGTCGTCGCCACGCTTGTGGTGGTCCTTGTCCCCGTGGTGGTCCTTGCCCTTGTGGTGGTCCTTGGCGGCCTTGATGATGGTAGTCTTGTCAATGTCAACGGAATGATCGTCCTTGTAGTGCTCGTCGACGCTTGACACGAAACTGTTGAGGGTGGGAATCTCCGCGCTGTTCCCGACGTCGACGCCGCCGGGGCCGCCAATGACTGTCGCACCAGGTGAGCCTGCAGTGCGCCTGTGGTGGTGGTGGTGGTCTTTGCCCTGCGGGTACACGTGCACCTCGTGCTCGAGCTCAAACGAGTGGTTGTCGGTGTAGTCCTCGGTCACAGACGTGCTGGCCGTATTCTCCTTCGGGACCGAACCATGGTTCCCGATATCAACTCCGCCGCTGCCGCCAATGACCTGGACCTGCGCGTGCGCGGTGGCGGCGAGGACGGCGAGAGGGATACCACTGTGTAAGCCCTTCATGGCGGTGGATGTGAAAGCGGATTAGTTGTGCTGTTGTTGTCTTGCTGAATAGGATAGATGGTAAATGAGTGACTCGGCCAGTGGCCAAACGAAAACAACGAGAAACAAATCAGAAATGTCGAACAGTCAGTCAGTCGCCTCTGAACACATCGCAGCAGCAGCAGCAATCGAGGCCGCCGCCGCAGCTTTTATCAAGGGCCGTACGCGACGGGCATTTTCTGCAGGCATGTCGACTCCGGGGCAACCTTATTGATGCAGGCATGGGAATGCAACAAGGAATGATGGAGCCTGGACACTGGTGATGAGACCGTGGCGGCCATAGCGTCGATCCTTGGAAGCTTGTCACTGGCAGGTTTACGTGTGAGCGCGACTCTGCTGAAACATTCTTGCGCGAACCGACCAAAGGGATGGGTATGCCCCTTGGAAGGGTTCATCCACAGTGGCAGCACTTAAGTCACAAGGGCGACAACAACCCAGGGGGCCAGTGACGTCTCCGATGCTCGAATCTACAAAGCCAGTTTCGCTGACTGTCCTGTTCTACTAATAAGTCTGATGTCACTGCATCGCATCTAAATGTACTGGGTACCGAGTTGTGTTATGTATCCCGTCATCGACATTCCCCCCTCATCGCCCTCACTAAAGAGGACCCAACGAAGAGGAAACTTCCTATCGAGGAGTTTTGCTCTCCAGAGCCGATCAACCCGTGGGTCGAAGGCAACACATCGCCGTGAAGAAGGCTGGACGATGGTCGTGGCAGGCTCTGTTGACTTTTTGATGAGGAAAGAAAAGAAAAAAAGAGAGAGGAAAGGAAAACAGAATTTGCCCGTATTTATTTCCATTCTGTGCGTCACGTGGCCGGGCCGGTGCTTTTCCGCTGTGACCCACAGTAACGGCGAGGCAGCGAGGGACGAAGGCTAAGGCAGAAAGTCCAGGCAGCAAGGCAGAAACACTAGCAGCTCTATACAACCCCAAACGCCGAATAATGTACACGAAGAACCACTCCGATCAACACGAATCAATCGCAAAAATCATCCAAACCTCTCCTGCTGATGATCCCCACTCCACACCCCGCCCCCAACCGCAGCCGTAATCCCCAACGCAATGGCGACCATGCTCCCCAGCACCACCACCGCAATCGCAATCTTGACCGCCATTCGCCTTTTGTTACTCAGTCCACTCAAACAGTCACAGTGCCGCTTCTCCTGCACCCACAGCTTCGACTCGCGCGTATTCCTCGTCTCGTCATCGTAGAGCCTCTGCCACGCGGGGGCACCGCCCTCGAGATCGTCAATCGGACTCGTCACCATCCCGACACTCCGCGACCGTTTCCGTTGCGAGGTGAGCCGGCTTAGTTTTGAGGAGGGCGTTGCGTGCCGGTAGAAGGGGGAGCAGGGCTTTGCGCCGATGTGCGGGTCGTAGTCTTCTATTGTGGTTGTTGTTGTTGTTGCTGATTGCGTGTGATGCTGTGTACGTTCGCAGGAGGTGATGATCGGATCGATGGCTTTTTCCTGGACGAGGGTAATAGTCATAGTCTCGATCTCTGCCTCTGCCTCTGCGACGGGTGGCAGTGAGGTGGAAAGGGGCGAGAGCGGCGAGTGTGTTTGTTTGGGCCTCCCCTCGCTCGGGGCATCAGGGTTCGGCGCAGCCATCGTGCCAGTGTGCGTCAACAGACAAGAATAAGACCACAATCCAAAAAGATCAATATCAAAAGCGCAAGCCCTCGTCGTTAAGTGTCCCAGACGCTAAGACCAAAGTCTGGCAGTGTTGTTCGGCCGGACATGGTGGCTTCCTTAAGCGGCCATTTGCCGCTGCATGCAGCTACAGTGTTGTCGGCGAATTTCCAGGGTTGGCATGGCAATTATCCCGCCTATGCAGTTGTCTCGGATTGGGGCTGTTCCAGAACTTCGATTTGCCTTTGGAAGGCTGTCTTACTTTTGGACTGGGTTTCTCGGTTGAGTCTGTTTGAGTGCTTTTCTTGGCTTGCGGTCACTTGGTGGATTATAACATGACAACTCTCCGTTTGATTAGAGATTATATTCTCCGCCTCGTTGGAACTGTTATAATGATCTACATGGACAATCTCCCAGGCTCCCGTTGGACAAGACTCCTAGTCCTAAACGCACCCGGACAGCACAGAGGTGAGGCCTGACTGCCGCGAGTACACCAAAACCAAATCAGCCCCAGAATATGTGCCATCGAACGCAATCATAAAGTCAAAACTCTGGCCCGATCTAGCTTTTGGAAAAAAAAACTGCCAGATCTAGATTGCTCGAGAGACGCCACCCAGTCGCCGCGAGTCTGGGGTATGAAGAATACTACCCATTTTTCAGGAGCCTCGCGCAAACACCGGGTGCAGCGCGGGCAGCTGGCAGCTGCGTCTGTTTTGTTTGTTTTCGTACGGACAGGCGGAGAAGAGAGAAATATTCACAGTGGCTTTGCATTCCTCGCAGGGAATTCGGGACCAAGGCAGGGATGGTGGGTGAATCAAGGGAGGAGCATGACAATGATCCTCGCCCCCTTGAGTAGCCAATGCGCGGTGTGGGGAATGCTGGATGCATGCGGATCCTCGAGACATCAGACCCTTGAAATGGATACTTCATGGTCTCCTGAGGTGTGGAGGGATTTATTTTCCGTCTTGTTGGCTTTCCAGAGAGATTATTGCGCTCGATGAGGACTGAGGGTCAGTCGTGGAAAGATGGCTCCTTGGGGTTGAAATTAGGGCTAAAGCTGCCTCGTACTGACATGCAGGTCTTCAATTAGGGCACGAGCTGGTCTGTTTGAACCAACTCTATCCCTTGACACTTTCTACCTACTTACATCCTATGTCTGAGATTCATCAAATACTATATTGGGGTATCACAGCATTATCGCATCACATAGAATTACACATCCATCCACATCCCCCCACCCCGTTCATAGAAATAATCCATTCACTCAACATCATCCCCCCAAAACTCCCTCAGATCCTCCACCCGCCACGCCGTCGCCCACCCAGTCTCGCGCTCAATGCGCGTCAGCGTCTCGATAATCGCCGCGTGCTCGGAATGGTGCGACATGACTTTGCCCGCGATCCAGAGTGGTTGTAGCGCGTTTGTCCAGCAGCCGCTGTGCTCGTAGTCAGTATACATGCGGCGAGCAATGATATGTAAAGGGAGAGGGCCTACTGGTGTGCGTTTGAGGCGGATATGGCGCAGATCTGGCGGGCGTGCCAGAGGACGGATTTCTATACAGTCAGTATAGTGATACAAGAATAGGAGAGGAGAGGAAAGGGTGGTGGTGAGACAAACCGGCCGACGAGCCAGCGAAAGCGTCTTCGGTTTCCGCTGCAGCAGGAGCAGCGAGCACGTGTGATATAGCTGATTCCCCGAAACTACAAGACCAGTCAGCGTCAGCGTCAGCGTCAACATCAGCATCAGCATCACCACCACCACCAAAACCAACTTGAGCATGGGAAACATACTAGCAGCCCCATTCGCATACAACACCGTCGGAAACGGCCTCTCCCTCCCCCAATCCGCCGCCGTCGCCGTCGATACGCTAAAAATCGACTTCATCTGGCTCGGCCGATTCTCATACCACTGCTCGACGGCGTCGAACAGGCAGCTCCAGCGCGCGACGTACGTCTCGCTGCTGTCGTCGGGGCTACCTGGGTATATTGATGTCGTCGCTGAAGATGACGTGCGGCGGAAGAGCACGCCGAGTGTTTGCGCGCACAGGTAGACGGTGTAGTTTGCGTATGTGTCGTGGTCGGACGCGAGGAAGAGGGATGTCGCGTCCGAAGGGTTCATGGTTGGGGGCAGCCAGTGGTAAATTGGGATGATGGTTTCTTCTTCGGAGATGAGGCCGCCGCAGACGTCTATTATCGATCAGTTAGATTGGCTCGTACTCTAAGAGGAGAGAGAAGAAGAAGAGGGGGTGTTGATGTACCCATGCGAGCAAAGCACCAGAAGAGAGCCTGCTCTTCTTTCCCGGAGAAGCCGTTGATCTCGGCGGCTTGGATGAGGTATGCGCAGCCATCCAGGTGGCGGCGCCATTCTTTCGGGTTACCTGGTTATTTTAGCAGCTATGCCTCTCTCGTTTATATTTATACCGAGGACGGTACACGTACAGCTCAACATCTCCAACACACAAAGAATGACACACGACGCAATCACAGGCGTCGACTTGCTCTCGAGCTCCGGAAGAAGCAAGTGGATAGCTTCTTGATATAACGAGAGACTCTCGGACTGCGACTTTTCGCCATGCTTCCGTTCCATTTGTCGAGCCGAGAGGGCGAGGATCGAGTACCGCAGGTGCGGCGCCGACTTGGCCATCTGCGGGAATGTCGAGGCGAAGTGTCGGTGGTTGTCGAACATGTCCAGCTATTTCGTTAGCTCATACATTCATCCTCTGCACATTTCGTGGAATTCTTTCTTACCCAAAGACATATCTCATTCAGGTAGTTCTGCCAGAGGATATTCTCCCGATCAGGCGACACCTCAAACCTCCCCGTCCTCGCCCTCGACTCACTCCGCCCCCTCTCTGGAACAGAAGTCGGCGTCGGCGAAGCAGGGCGACTCGGTATATCCGGGCGCGCCGTCCAAAGCTGCCGATTCCGCAGCGCCGTATGAAGAGCTTCATAGGCCGACCCCGGGAGGAAGACGTCGTTGGCCGGGTTATCCAGATCGGAGAAGACGCTGGAGTCCAAGAGGGGCGGCGTCATCCCCGGATAAGGATTAGAGAGGTTGCGTAGCGCAGTGAGCTCGTCGACGACGAACTCGGGTGAGGAGAGGTAGGGTTGGCTGGGGTCGTTGCTGCTGGCGAATTGGGTGGAGTTGGATGGGGAGGTTAGGTCTTCGACCATGGGCTCCGGGCTGGGGAATTGGTCTGGTCTGGGGATTGAGTTGGTGTCTGGGGTAGGAGATGGGGAGAGCGCTGGATATGGAGCTGGGTCTGCAACTGCCGGTGGTGACTGCGCTATAGCGACATCTGCTACCGGCGATTTGTGCCCTCGGTCCAGCGCATTGTTGGCCTCGTTCTTGCCCTCTTTCCTCCGCGACGGCTCAACAGTCAAGATCTATAAAGTCAGCCAAGCCCTTTGACCTTCAGCAATGCAGTTCACACCTTGAACTTTCCCTGCCGTTTCGACGGCCGACTGACAGGCTGGTTCATAGACGGATGCTCCGCCTCGAGCACCTTGATGTTCGAGTCGCGAAACGCGCCCAGCATTCGCCACTGGCATCGTTCTCCGCGACGTTTGCATCCGGTACAAGAAGGTTTTATCTCGTCGCCTGTTCATATAAATAAGCACTACTCGTACTCGTTACACTACTTGGAGAATATGAGTGACGTACATTTTCTCCGTCGCCGACTGCAATTCACACAGCCGGTGCGGGTGCGTTTGCGGGGGGGGATAACGGGGTGAGAGAAGCCCTCGGCGTCTGTAGGATTCATATCGATAAAAGATAAAAGATAAAAAAAAGAAAATAGACAATAGTTCGAAGAATAAAAAAAGTCCAATGCAGCACAGATGGATTCAGAACACGGGGAAATTTGGGGTCAAGGACAATTCCTTAAGAGGGGAAGGCGAGGCGGAGCATTACCCGATCGGGCACACATAAGCGCAGCCTCTCCACGGTTCGGGGTGGAGCACGCGGGCAAAGTCCGGCTCAGAAACATGGAAGAACATTTAGCAGTGTAAGAGAGGCAGCGATGACCACTCTCTTCCAAATCAATTCACTCCACATGCTGCACCTCGCGGTCCTCCACGTCTTTTTCCCGCAGTCTGTGCTCCGTGTCCCCCGCCACACCGAGCGACGAGTCCCAGTGCAGGCGCACTTTTTCGCCAGTGAAAAGGAGGTCGATTTGTTCGAGGGTGAGATTGCGGGTTTCTGGGTAGAGGAAGTAGATTATTGGGAGGAAGCAGAAGTTGAAGACTTTATATATTGTCAGCTGTGCCTGCCTGTTCCTGGGTGAGAATGGCAGCTTACCGGCAAAGTAGATGTATGTGCGGTATCCGATGTTGGAAATGCTGACTGGGGTGATTTCCACGACGAGGAAGGTGAAGATCCCTATTTTGTTAGAATTGCTTTTGTATCAAGATAGGGGAACGTACAGTTGGTTGCAGTCGCAAGGGCCGCAGTGCGGGTTCGGATGGCCAGGGGTGCGTATTCAGCGGGCACTACTCTGGTTAGTTTTGCCAGAGAAGAAATTCAAGGGCACATACGCAGCCATGGGATGGCAAGCAATCCAACCGCGAAGAAAAAGTTGAACAGGAAGAGCATCACTGTGGCCACAATACCAGCCGCGTGGCCGCCATCATAGACCGTTCCAGCGAGAATCGCCATGCACGCGCACTGTCCGGCAGCGGCAAAGAGCATGAGTGGGCGACGACCGAGTCTGCAAATTAGTCTTGACTTCCACTAGGATTTGATTAAGGAGGCATACCGATCAATAGCCCAGACAGGGACAAAGGTCGAGACAAAGTAAGCGACACCGTTGAATCCAGCCAAGAGCAGAGCCAGGTTATGCGACATGCCGACGGAATTCTCGAAGATGACAGTGTTGTACTATCACTGTTAAGACGTACTCGGAATAAAACTTGCAAGGACACATACATAGGTAATGAGGTTCACACCCGACAACTGCTGCATCATCTGCCCACCCATAGCCAGCAGAGTGCGAGTGCGGAAGCGCTGCGGTCCATCCTTCAGAAGCATCTTGAAGGATCCCGACTCGCTTGCCTGGCGCTCCTCGGCCATGGTCCGGGTGATTTCTGCCATTTCCATATTGATGACCGGGTCGTTCTCTTGGATCAGTCGGGCGTTGGGCTGGACGGACCAGAGGACTTTACGGGCCTCGCTGTGGCGGTCGTGGGCGATGAGCTGCTAATTAGTTTCCCATTATCCTGGTATGGTGTGTGGAACTCACCCAGCGAGGGGACTCGGGGAGGAAGATCACGCCGATAAAGGTGATGATGGCGAAGAGGACTTGTAGGGCGAGGGGGAAGCGGAATTGGGATTCGTTGTTCACGTAGCTCATGCCGTAGTCTATGCGGTTAAAAGGTTAGCAGGTGATGAGAAGGCAAGGATGTGAGATACGTACCAACCCAGTAGGCTGTCATGACACCAAAGATATTGATCACCAGCTCGATGGCAAGCTAGACAGGTTAGTTGAGATAAGTCATGATAAAGGTCGACAAACCCCTTTGCCACGGCTCGAGGCCTTGCTCAGTTCCGAGTGCCACACAGCTGCATCAATCAGTATAGAACCATAGATTGAGTCTTGGAAGACATACGGATAGTACTGGTGTTGAGACCGTTGCCAACACCAGCAACAATACGCCCAACGATCATCTGGGGAATGCCATAGGCAGTCGCCTGAAGAATGGCACCGACCGACAAAATCACACAGCCGGCGAGGATGCACCACCGTCTTCCGAGCCGCTCACCCAGCATCAAGGACATGATGGCACCAAAGAAGCAGCCCTACGTTTATAAGTAATGGCAGATCAGATGGATGAACGTGTACGAACAATCTCATAAATGGCAACCCTAACTGGTCAGCAAACTTCGACAAATAGATAAGGGGTTCTTACACTGTCCCCTGCAACGACGAACTCCCATTTCCATTCGCCGTGGTATCAATCTCAGGAAAAGTCCGCACAAAGGCCTCGCCGGTCAACAGACCCGACATGACACCCTGGTCATATCCGAAACTGCACAGTCAGCACGAACACCCTCTCAGGGGTACCCAGGCAGGATCGAACTCACAGCAAGAAACCACTGCCAGCAGTGGCCGTGATAGCCAGACTGAGTGGCTTTCCAACGAGAAAGGTCATTTTGAGTATGTCAATGAGTGAGCCAAGGAGACCGTATGAAGTGGACTCTGTGGAGATAAGTCCGGAGAGGCCACAGGAGAGACTTATATAGGGCCTAAGCCGGGAAAAACTCGGGACGCCGTCATCGGGACATCGACCCACGGGGTGACGGCGTGGCGGGGTTTAGCGGGAAAGTCTGGGGATTCTCGCTTGGACTCCTGTTCCTGTTCCTGAGACCGGGAAACCGATGACGATGGAATCTGGGGATTTTGCTCTGCATTATTCACTTCCCCAGCTCCCCGCAAGCCAAAATCACAAACTACGAATTCAACCCTTGTAAAAGCCATGTGCTCGATTCATTGCACATGACCTTCATCTCCAACTTCCAACTTCCAAGTTCCGGCAGCCACGAGCCTGTCTCGCGTTCCCGAAGCCCAGTGGAGCCACGCGGACAACCCCCGACCTGGGGATGCGCCAGAATTACCCGATGCGGCAATGTTAGACGCTGCCCGCAAGCCCTACGGCCCACTTGCCCCGACAAGAAATGTTAAGCACATCGGGATGCCGAACATGCAGCCGTTCACTCAGCTCCCTACTCGATGCGTAGAAATCGACCGATCCGATACCTGATTTCCCTAGTAGGTTATCCCTAAGCGCTCTTGTACAGTTCAGCATACCCCACGCGTCTCCAGGAGTAATATCTTATAAATTTGATAACCCCTCTCCTTCCCCTCTCTACCCCTCATACAAACATACAACCCATTATCCTTCCCTCCTCCCTCCGAAACAAAAAAGCAAAACTAAAACCGCCACAATGTCCCCCATTGTCCTCCCAGAACCAACCCCCGCCACCACCGCGGCCTCCCCCCTCTTCACCCTCTCCCGCCGCACAATCGCCATAACCGGCGGCGGGCGTGGACTCGGAATAACCCTTGCAGCCGCCGTCCTCGAAGCCGGCGGAGACGTCGCCTGCCTGGACCTGCTCCCAGCCCCCAGCGCCGAGGAATGGGTCCACATCCAGAAGCTCGCGGCCGCGCAGGGCCTGCAGGCGACGTACACGCAGTGCGATGTCACCGATGAGGTCGCGACGCAGGCGGCACTCGAGAATATTGCGGCGGTCGGCTTGGAGAGGGGGATGCCGCTGCGTGGAGCGATTACCTGTGCGGGGATTCAGCAGATGGTTCCGGCGCTGGAGTATCCGGTTGAGATGTGGAGGAAGATGCTGGATGTTAAGTGAGTTTCTCTATCTATCCCGGGCGTCTTGGCTTGGGATGGACGTTGTATAGCGCGGGATGAGTTGGCTGACTGTTTGTATAGTGTCGTTGGAACCTTCATCCCCGCAAAGCACTGCGCACGCATCTTCAAGGAGCAGGGGACACCTGGAAGCATTGTCATGATTGCGTCCATGTCCGGACAGATTGCGAACCGGGTATGCTTCGTCATCAATATCTCCTCAAGTATACACGATCGGCTAACGCCGACTCGAACAGGGCCTCACATGCACAGCCTATAACTCGTCCAAAGCCGCCGTCCACCAAATGTGCCGTTCCGTCGCCCAAGAATGGGGCCAGTACGGTATCCGCGTCAACACACTCTCTGCAGGCGTATGTCTTCCCTCCCTCACCCCTCTCAACCCCTTTATCCTTTTACCCAAGTGTACGTTCAAGTCTAACAATCATGCTACAGTACATCCGCACAGCGATGACAGACGCCCTCCTCGTCGCCAAGCCCGAAGTCGAAGAGACCTGGATGCGCGGCGCCCTGCTCAACAGACTCGGAGTCCCCGATGACTTCAAGGCCCCGACGGTGTACATGCTTGCGGATGGGAGTGGGTTCATGACGGGGGCGGATCTGCGGGTTGATGGCGGGCACTGTGCTTCGGCGTGATGGATGCGAGATGAATGAATTAATGATTAGAATAATAATAGACTTGTTTTGATTGATTATTGAAGAGGATTGTTGGATTGATATCCGACTCGTCTTATCAAACGTGTCAGGGTGTGGGGGATGAGGATCGGCCTTGGCCTCGTATTCAAGGTTCAGCTACAGAGTCACACATCCAGGACAATTCCAGGCTCCAAGTACGTCAGAAAGGCAGTAGTAAAGTAAAGAAGCAGGCGAGAGGCAAATACGAGGTCCCTTGACACTGAGCTCAATCCTTGAAAGACCCCGCGGCTGTGCTCAGTCCATTGTATCTCACGAGCCGCAGCAAACCCCAAGTCCCACAATGGCCTGGGCAGCTGACGCCGAGCCTCAAGGCTGGAACGCGCAGCAAATAACCTCCAGCTTCTCTAACCACTTCGAGGCCCGATCTTCTGCGCCTCAAAAACGTCATTCAGGGACTGGACGGCGCAGACCAGGGGGGTGCGTGCAAGCCACGGCGTTTTTCATCTCGGTGTGGCTCAACGCGGCTTGCGAGGTTATTTAGGGGGTCGCCGAACCCTTTCTCAACCTCGATCGTTTCCCGCGGCATTTCCATTCCCTCCTGGCGATACCCGTCGCTTGAGCCAGTATCATGAAGCGTCAAAATCGAGACGAAGCAGAGTACCAAACCACACCGTTGTACCCCATGGACGAAACCCAACCGCTAGCGCCACCCCCTGTGCCTCCATCGAACCGCAACAATTCCAGTAATGACACCCCACAACGCGAACTGGGCAACGGCCTCAAATTCATCATGTCGAAAGCCATCGACACCTCCGCAGATACAAGGCGACGATACAAACCGATCTATTGGGCGGTCATCCTCTCGTGGATATCCTCAGCGGTTATCCTGGGCCTCTGCGCGTTTCTCGTCGCGCGCGTGGGGCCCGGGTGGTTGCGTAGTGTGGCGATTGTTAACATGATACTTGTCAGTGTCCCTGTTTCTAGACCGGACCGCGAGCTGTGAACATGCTCGACGGGCGTAAAGGAATGTGTACAGAACAAAGAAACTAACAACCCCAGGCCGCATCCGGCACCCTCCTAACCCTAGGCCTGGACCTGCGCTTCCCCATCTCGCGATCCCAACCAGACCCGCGGCCATCGATCGCCTCGTACGTGTACATTCTCGCCAAGGGTCTTTTCTGGACGCTCGCTGCTGTGGCCATCATCGCGACAGCGACGACGGACGAACGGTCCGGGTCGAGTTTCACGAAACGACGGGGTGGCCGTGGTGATGTGGGCCCTGCGACGCCGGGCAGTATAGCGATGGGGGTTGGGTTTATGGATTGTTTGGTTGTGTATGTCTTCTCTTCCTTGTTCTTCTTCTTCTCGCTTTTTATGGGCTACTTGGTTTTTTTTTTTTTTTTTCCTTTTTCTTATAGAGTGGGGGCAAATCACTGACTTGACTCGTGTAGTGCGAGCACGCTTGTCTACTGGAAGTTCCCGGTCGTTGCGCTGGTGAAGCGGTACTCGGAACATGAGACAAGGAGGATGTATTCGTTGATGCTTGCGCCTGGTACTAGGGGTGGGGGGGAATGAGTGAGAAGATAGGGCGCAAGAGGATAATGTGATGAAGTGTATATTAATCATGCTGGCGATGTTTTATATCATGTACAAAGAGTGATGATCCATAAGTCGTAGATCGTACATTAATGCATAAGCGTGGGCAGTACTGGGTAGAAGAGTACCCCTTGCGGTCGGCGTATGGTCGATATACCATGGCCGTCTATTCTATTAAGTTTATCCGTCGACCGAAATGACACATTTGCACACTACCTGCACGTCTCGTCTAGATGCAGTGGAGCTCTCCACCTTCGTGGGTGTGGCAGTTCTAGTCCGGTTAGCGAGGTGTCATGTCATCAAGGTAGGTAGGGGAGGTAAGCAGGCAGGGTAGGCATCCAACTCACCTCAGGAATTTCCTCATCAGCAGCCTCATCCTCCTGCTCATCAGCTGGAGCCTCCTCCGTCTCCTCCGTCTGGTCATCAGCCAACTCCTCCTCTTCACCACCAACACACCCAACGCCAGGAACAACAATATCGTACGCATACACCTCGAGAGCAAAGTACTGCAGCGTCTCCGAGTCGTGCACGGCCTCGGTCCTGTTGCCCTCAGCGAGCTCGAGAACACCCTCGTAGCCGTCCGCGTAGTGCTCGACGAGCCCCTGGCCGATCGCGGGCATGTGGTAGAGACGGTGGAGCAGGTCGCCGGCCCAGAAGGTGTTGGTCTCGGACTCGGAGACGGTGTAGCCCAGGGCGCACATGGTGCTCAGGGAGCGACGGGTCTGGTAGCTCAGTTCGCAGATGACGGTTTCGTCCGTGGCGTTTTCGCCGCGCCAGTGGCCGCCCCAGCCTGTGAAGTCAGTACTTTTTTCTGTTTGAGGGTAGAAGGAGAAAGATCAGAGGGAAATAATCTCACCATCGAGCTCGCAGTTTCCATCGGGGTTGTCACAGCGGAAGAGGACGTGATCCGGGTTCCCGTTGATGATGATGTCGTAGGCGCCAATGGCGGTGATGGAGGGCCGGTCGCCAAAGTACTTGCGGTAGATGGCGCTCTCGTTGCCCCAGCGCAGGATGTGGGTCTTTGCGTGTGAGACGAGGTCCACTGTCTCCTGGAGCGCGGTGGCGAGCTGGCGCTGCTCGGTTGCATTGCAGCTGTGGTGGATGGGGAAGGGAGACTTGATGGGGTCCTCGAGGGGCCGAGGGGATTGGGCAGCGGGCAGGGCCGCAATGGGGGCGGCCAGGGCCAGAGCAAGAGTGAGGAACTGCATTTTGATGTGCGGTTGAGGTTCTTGATTGTTTGACTTTTGCTTGGAGTATATTCTCAGCCGTTAACCTGTCAAGTCTGCAAGGATATGCAGCCACGAGGCGGTTGACAGTATTTATACCGTGCTGCGGCTGCCATCCTCGCGAGTACCCTTGGAGAGCCCTAGACCTGCGATGCCTTGGATTACTCGTGCTCTTGACGTGGAAGCATGGCATCACCGGGCATCCCACGTTTTGCCAAGAAGCCAAGGGCGCGAGGGGACCCTGGGGACGGGCAGCTAAACTGGATCGCGGCGCATCTCCTTGGCGGGACCGCTTGGCATGTGTACCTTGGGAGTTAGTGAGGATGCGAAAATGCCACCCTCCCACTGGAAGACGCATCGGAAGACTTTTTTTTCAGCTGCCCATCTTCTGACACACTGATTCAGGCGACTTCCCACGCGAAGAGATACCTTGCGGACAGGGGCGTTAAATAGGACAACCGTCCGTTCGTGTTCGTGCCCGGGTAAAAGAGCTGCTCGACCGAGCGCAGACTTGACTTGTTGTTCTTCCCGCTGTCATCGTCGCCATGAAGATCTTTCTTCCCGTCCTGGCCGTTGCCGCCCTCGTGCGGGCCGCCGATATCACAGACTGCCACAAGCACGGCAACGATGTGTACTGCATCACAGAGTCTGGCGACGAGGTCCAGGTTCTCCTGGAGAACCCTCCCGCCGGAGATCCGCCCGAGTCGTACACCGACTGCCACTCTCACGGCGACACACAGTATGCACGCCGCTCATTCTGTCTTGACTCGACTGACCTGACGCATCTAGGTACTGCGTTGATGCCGATGGAAACGATGTCCAGATCTTGGCAGAGGGCGCCACAGTCGACGACTCCACCTCCACTGAGGAGACTGCGACCGAGTCTGAAGAGTCCACGGAAGAAGACAGCACCGAGGGGTTGAACTGCCACTTCCACGCCGGAGTCGAGTACGTCCCTCACCATTCTGCTTTGATCAAAGCTAACAGGACAGACACTGTGTCGGCGCCGGAGAATCAGAGAATGGCGGCAGCAGCAGCGGTAGCTCTGCTAATGCCTGCGGCCTGCGAGAGCGAGACTATGATATCCCTTTGCGTATCGGCACGCTGTTTGTCCTCCTCGTCACGAGCGCTATTGGTGTTTTCCTTCCGATGGCGCTCGTGAAACTTCCAAATTCAAAGGTCAACGCATGGGCCTTGACAATCGTCAAACAGTTTGGTACAGGTGTCATCTTATCCACCGGGTTTGTCCATGTAAGCCGTCCATACCCTCGCAAGGGGTGCCCTAGGCTAACCAGTCAGCTCTACACTCATGCGGACCTGATGTTCAGCAACGAGTGTCTCACCGGGGTCGAGTACGAGGCCACCACCTCCGCCATCGTCATGGCCGGGATCTTCCTCTCCTTCCTGACCGAATACATCGGCCACCGCTACATCATTGCCCGCGCCGCCCGCTCGGGGACCACCGCAGTCCACCAGCCGACCGAAAGCCCCGTCACCACCGAAACGGGCTCCGGCGTCTCCAAGACCGCGGCCGACGCACCGCAACCGCAGCAGCACGCCACCCTCGCCGCCTTTGGCCACCACCACGGCGGCGACCCGACGAACCCCAACACAAAGGTGTCCGTCCTCGTCATGGAAGCCGGAGTCATCTTCCACAGCATCCTCATCGGCCTGACCCTCGTCGTTGCCGGCGACTCCTTCTACAAGACCCTCCTCGTCGTCATCGTCTTCCACCAGTTCTTCGAGGGTCTCGCCCTCGGCGCCCGCATCGCCATGCTGCCGGGCCACATCTTCCCCAGCAAGGCCATCATGGCCGGTACATTTGCCGTCATCACGCCAATCGGTATGGCGATCGGCCTCGGCGTGATCAACTCGTTCAATGGGAACGATCGCTCGACGATCATCACCCTGGGCACGCTCGACGCGCTCTCAGCGGGTATTCTCATCTGGGTCGGGTTGGTCGACATGTGGGCGCGCGACTGGGTGATTGAGGGCGGCGACATGCTGAACGCGAAGATCGGACATGTTGCCGCGGGCGGTCTGTCTCTTATCTCCGGAATGGTCCTGATGAGTGTTTTGGGTAAATGGGCTTAATCACCCGCATTTTTTTAGACTGTACATAGCTGGTGGTGGTGTTGGTCGATGGACGCGTCGCGACCCGACCGGCGGGTCGGATCGCGTTTCTCTGCCATTCGGCACTCAAAGCTAGGCTTTGAGTTGGGTGACGTGGTCACGTTTTGTTCGAACATACTGGATGTGTACGATATTTGACCTTTGGTTGAGGTTGAGAGATTGGACGTCAGCTCCTCTCGCATAGATCACGATGAGGTGGTGGCGAGGAGGAGCTCGGCTCGCGGAGGTGGCCGTCAATAGATACATGAATGCACATGACATGATAATTCTACACTATACCGTTTACACATTTTACTAGGAGATATCAGTCCCAAAATCAACAATTCATTTGATTTCCATTCCGGTTTGATGTTCCTATCTTTCTTCTTGAATATAGCCGTCCGGACTCTATATATTGATCTCAGGGTGGTTGTTTGTAGCTAACGAGATATCCACTGGTCATGCCGCAGAACTTACGAGTCATTGTTACCGGCATATTGGATGGTTCTATAACCTTCATTACTAAGTGCTGTAAACACAGCACTTGACCTTGATTTCTTTTTCTTGGTGGGCGAGCATGAGGTGCAAACTCTGGGGTTCTTTGTGACATACTTTGACCAAATATATGAAGCGAATCCCAACTGGTGCATAGTCAGGGCACCTTTGCCTTGTGCATTGGGAAAGTGTAGTACGTTCAGATTATACGGAGTATCTACCCAAAGTCCAGCCCTGACTGATTCACTGGGGCTGAGACATGGATCCTTGATGACTGGAGTCTATACCTTCGCCCAGTCCAAACTCCTGCTTTTGAACCTTTTGTTACTTGTCACCAAGCGCAACGATCAACATGAGCCACAATCTCTGGAGCCGAGCTTTACCCAGTGCAAGCGCGTGCGCCTCGGCGAAACAAGAATTCCCATCCCAGAACGGCCTCATCGAGGTAGACGACTTGCAGTGGCTGCCGACGGCGCGGTTAGCAGATTGGATCTTGGGCGTGAGAGTTCATGAGTCCTCTGTCCTGAGGGCCATCGATGATCGAGCCTCAACGAGAGACGGGAAACTCGCACCCTAATGCTGGACTACCGCTGTGAAATAAATCCATGTCGATCGGCGAGGCCTTTTCCCAGGTGACCCAGGTCTCCTGTCCTGAAAGTATGATCGAATGACTCCCAAGCCGTCTCGTTGAGATTCCCAGTCCGCGGCCCGACCACTCACCATCACCATCATACATCACATCACATCACCAAAATGCCAGAAGCAAGTTCATTTGGCCGGGCCCACGAAGAACGGCTCGTGTCTGAAGATCACGAAGACTGCCGTGTCACCGTTGAGCCCTATCGCGTCTGCTGTCCGAGCGGTGCCTTTGCTCGCACGCATATAACATTGCCTGCTATCCGTCGTTATCGAACTGCACGGAAGCCCTGATGGCGAGACCGAGTTGCGCGAATAGTACCTGGGGTCTCTATATCAGCGGCGGCTATTTCTGCTGCGAACCCGGCACGTCAGGATATGCAAAGGGCGAGGTATGGAGCGATTGAGGTGCTCCTGGCTACGAGCTTTCTGAGGATGAGTATTCCTTCTGATTCAGTCTCCTGGCACAGATGCGCGATGCTATTAATGACAATCCTGTATCAACCCAACGTTAACGCGGCCTTGGTCTCAACTAGGGCACCAACACAAACATCACTTACCTCCTCGGCATCATCAACCCCGATCCAAACAAAGGAACGTTCAAGTAACCGATTTGATCCAAACACAGGCGTTATTGGCGGCGTTGCCGGCGCAGCTCTAACTCCAGCCTTGCTGTGGTTTTTCTTGCGCTCACGTCGGCAACGAGCACGCCAGAAAGCGCCGTTCCAATTACCGGGACTTTCGTGAAAGACCCGGATTCCCCGCCAGTCTATCATGTTGAGATGGGAGGCAATCGAGGCGCTGAGCTGGGTGGGGCTTATCGGATGGTGGCTGAATTGCCTGCGCAGTATGGGCGACGAGGTACCTATTTTGCGTTGGAAGCACATGGCTTACGGCATGACTGTTTAACATGCTAATTATTCAAAATGTTAAGAATCTCTTAGACACAATCACTTTTCCCCAAGAAGCCTTTGCCTAGGAGACGGAGCAATATGTGCGCAAAATCATCAAAGACCACGTGACAGTGATGCTGCATCTTTTGAGAGCTGTTTGTCCCCTTGATCATAACACTGGCAACACCTCTTTCTTCTCTTGCACCTTTGCTTTGTTAGTTCACAGCTCAGTCAGACTGTGTTTACTGCTTGTTGCCCCAAACAGGACCAGCCAGTCCCGTCGGGGTTGCTTGCCATACCCACGGTTTCACTCGAAGCATCTAAGCAGTCGAAACACGAGCCCGGGAAGCCAGTACCACTGGAAACCGGTAGCAAAGGTAAGTTGAATCTGCTGTCCTGATTCCGTCGAGTCCACATTGACCAGTCTTGCCTGGAACAAGGTCAACTCCACGCGTCCGAATCCGAGCCGAGATCACCACCAAAGTCGAATCGGCACAATGGTCAAGAAGGGAAAAGCCGCTCCTCAGAAGAGGAAGAGCCCTCCCCAAAAGGCCGAAGCTCCAGCTCGGAAGAAAGCTCGTACCCAGAAGGAAGAAGCTACCGCCGAGGAACGTGGTTCCAAGGAGGAAGAAGAAACCCCCTTCAAAGCTGCGGCAGTTCCTCATCAAAAGGAAGAAGCTCCCATCAGGGATGAAGGTCGTCGTTCCCAGAAGGAAGAGACTCCTAACGCGGCGCCACAGATGACAAGGAGGTCTTCTTCCCAGATGAACGAAGTCGCTCCCGCTCCCCAGCAGAAAGCCCGCATCCAGGAGGCTCCCCTCGAGGAACGTGGTTGTCAGAATGACGATATTCTCAAGGCCGCGGAAGCTCTTGAAGCTCTTCGCCAGATGAGAGCAGCCTTTCCAAGGGTCGAAGCCTCTCACCAGGTGAGAAATGTTCAGGCGCAAGAGGCTCTCCACGACAAGACTACTCAGATAGAACCTCGTGTCCAAACTAGCGGAGCACCCGGCGGCGAGAGAGGTAGCCTTCAAGTAGCAACCTTTAGAATCGCGAAAGCTCCTCCCAAGGCCGATGCCCCTCCCCAGAATGGACCTCGTACCCAGAAGGAAGCTCCCCGCGAGAAAGCTGGTCCTCGGGCAGAAACCTCCAAAGCGCCCGAGGCCCCGGGATCGTCTCACCAGGAGAAAGGAGCTCCCCCCGACAAAGTCGCTCTTAAGCAGGGAGAACCCGCCAAACTCCAAGCACCTTTGCGCGAAGAACGCTGCTGGGACTGGATACTAGTCTTCGGGAATGTCCACTACGCCGTGGACCGTTGCTCCTTTGTTGAATACCGTCCCCTTAGACGACACTGCACGAGCGCCGTGTGTGGACACCTTGTACTTGTCGCCGGCGTCGGAACAGTGGTGTTAAAACTCCCTTCAACTCCCAAGGAAGGAGCCCTCGTTCGCACTGTGACGCTGACCAACGTCCTTCACATTCCCAGCGCCCTCAGCAATGGATTCTCGCTCAGCGCGTGGTCCCAAGCCGGTGGATCTTTTGTCGGCAGAAAAGGAGTGTCCTGTGGGCGGGATAAGCAGAACCTCCCTTGTTGGTTCACCCAGAGGATTTGTGGCTTGGAGAAGCTAGTCTTGGATGGAAATCCGCAGGGAACGTCTCTTCTTGCTTCACATGGTCCGAGGCTTCTCGATTTATTCTTCACCGAGGAGCTTCTAAGGAAGATCAACAGCGAGGCTCCTTAGCGTTCGAGATTGGCACGGTGTTGCAAAGTCGGGAGCGAAGTTACTGGGTTGGTTGCAGGAGGACTGTCGTGCACCCGTCATCGTTTGGAAGGAGAAAACGGGTTGAAGCATTGCATCAAAAGTCCATCTCGCCATACAGCTGCGTGGGATCTATGATTGAACGAGTCACTCTCTCTGTGGATCTCAGAAACGTCATCTTGGACCACACTGCTGCGCTTACCGGAGCCTGAGTTGTTGGCCTGGCTGGATCGCTCTCATCGAAGGAATCAGGCTGGGTAGCTCTGTACTTGGTTGTTCTGTTGACTAGTTAGCAACTGTGATAGGAAACCTCGAGCCTCAATTCTATGAAAATGAAAATCCTAGTTCATTGCTCGCGTTTGCATTGGTGCTCGTCTGCATACAAACAAGAACCGGCCAGGATCCTAGTAGCTTTTGGGTCTATAGACAAGACAACAAGCGAAATAGATGCAAACCCAGCCTCCATCTGTATCTTCAATCAGTCCCCACTCGGCGGGTCTGCTACTCAATCCTATGGTCCAGCACTTCATGGCTGTGCCATCAACTCGTTTGCGACCTGTCTCTTCTTAACTGTATAAATTCTCTCAGGCAACCTCTCATCTCAAGCCGTCTCGCTCATTCTGAGGAGTACAGTGCCAATTCCTTCTCTTTTCATATGTAAATACTCAGCGCTATCGCTCGGAAGGTTACTGATCACATTCAACTCCCGGAATATCGACGCTTGTCTGGATAAAGGATGTCGGCGAGGTGGTAGGGAAGGTGACGCTCGATTCAGGGAGCGATAGGTACGGCCAGCCGTGGTGGTACGGAAGCCTTTTATTGGGTTATCGAGACTGGCTCCTGCTGGGAGTCCGCAGGGTGGGTCGTATTTGACTGAGAAGAGGCCGAAGATGCTTAGTTTGCATGTTCCTCTGGATTTCTATGACAAGCATCTGGGCGAGAACAAGACCGAGGGCATGGGCAAGTCCACTGAACGGAATCATTCACCAGGCATAGAGTGCGTTGATTCGGATGATGTGCATGTTCCAACTCGCGCATTTCGAGGACCCATGATAGTATCGTCGCCAGCTATTCTTGGGAAGATAGTTTCATGACAAGTCAGGGAGAGATTCTCCCTTTAGCTGACTGATTTCCATAATGAACCAGCGACAAGGGGATGTTTGCTTGTGGTAAAGAGGACCAGTTAACGAAGCAGAATCAGAGCCTTCCATACCATTTGTCTAGTATAGGTGAGCCATGGTTTCATAGCGGGGAGACATCCAGGGACCTCGGCTCAAGCTGAACTAGATAAACAGAGGTAGTACAGTAGTACATGGTAATCAAATATCTTGAGACTTCTTAACTGATAAGTCAGTCTAGTATTATGATCCGATTCCTCCAGTTATGATAGCCAGAGGAGTCATTCTTATTTTTTGAGTCAGAGTCTAGTACCACCAGTTCCCCGCTCGCGTCACGAACACTCCGACTTAAAAAGACCCGCTCCAACCATCTCCAAATCCCCAAAAACTCCATAAAAAAAAAACAATAACAACAATAATTCCTCTTCGAGGCATCGAACAAAATGCCCATCCAAGTCCGCTACGCAACCGAATCCCTCGCCTCAACCCTCGCCTCCATCAACATAGCCTCCTTCGCGGGGCAAGGCTTCATCGAAAGCGCATTCACCAACGTCGCCGATGACGCGATCTTCGAACTCAAGCGCAAGCGGTATCTCCAGAAACTCGCCCACCCTAAGACTCATGTCCTCGCCGCTGTAGACGAGGACTCTGGTGAAATCGTCGGGTGCGCGCGATGGGTTTTCCCCGGCGAAGAGGTCGGCAGCCAGCTGAGCAGCGAGGAAGCGGCGGCGGAGGCCGGGGCGGAACTGGCCTTGCCAGAGGGGACGAACCGCGGAATCTACGATGGGTTTTTCCAGGTGCTAAAGGAGAAGGGGGAGAAGTATTATCGGGAGGATGATATCGGTATGCAATCCCAACAGTTTTCTGGTTTTGCTTTTTCCCGCCCTTTTCTTTTCTTTTTGGTCCGGTCGATTGACCCCAGTGCAGTCCTCGAATTCCTCGCAACCCGCCCAGACCAACAGGGTCGCGGCGTCGGAAAGGCCCTCCTCCGCTGGGGCATGGACCTTGCCGACAAGCAGCAGCGGCGGATCTACCTCGAAGCGACGACGCCGGGGTTCCCGCTGTACGCAAAGATGGGGTGGAGGGCGCTGGAGGAGGCGGAGATCGACTACACGCAATGGGGAGGCGAGGGGAGGCAAGTGTTGACGCTGATGGCGCGCGATCCGCTCCCTTTCTCCTGATTCCTCGTCACCATCATCCGCCCGCCTGACTGATCATATGCCCGGCGCGGCCGCTGGAGCTGGTACCAATGAGTCGCGGGGTTCCGGCACCACCTGCCGGATCTGGTCTAATGTGAGGCCGGCGATCGATGCGTGGGGGAGGCGTCTTACATGAGGTTGTACAGTGATGCTCGGCCGCATAGAACTGCCAGGAGTGGTTAGCCGGGATAATGTGTACTGGAATATTAATAGGTAGCGATTCGATGAAGCGTAAATGTAAATAATCACTGATTCGAAGAACAACCATGGACATCCAGATCCTCCCGCTCACAAAGTCGGACATTCCGCAGGCCGTAGAATGCATCCAGACCGTCTTCGCGGATGACCCTTTCTTCCTTTACATGTTTGACCAAAACACCGTACGTCCCCCTCAACGTTCCCTCCTTCAAACCTAGAACTCAAAAGAAGTGGGTGTAGTACAATCCCGCCCGCAACGCAGCCTCCCTCTCCGCCCACTTCCTCCACGGCCTCTCCATCAACGCCCCCATCTACGTCGCCAAAGCCAAAACAACAACAAATCACCAAGCCCGGAATTCCGAATCCCGCATCCTCGGAATCTGCTGGTGGCACCCCCCAACCCCAACCACCACCGCAACCCCCCTAGCAACCCGCATCCAAGACTCCCTCCTGTCCCTCCGCCAACTCCTCGCCAACATCCGCTACGCCGGCCGCGGCGGACTGCACCTGCACCGCTACCGACAGTGGAAGTCGCTGCAATCGCAAACACATGCCCAGATCTGGGACGACGACCGCGGGTACTACTTCTGCAACGTGATTGCGGTGCGGTCTGAGCTGCGTGGGCGCGGCGTTGGGAGGCGGCTCGTTGAAGCTGTGACGCGAAGAGCGGATGAGGAGGGGATGCCGTGTTATCTGGAGAGTTCCAAGGGGATGCCGAATCTGGCGATTTACGAGAAGTTGGGGTTTCAGGGGGTCGGCGAGATTGAGTGTGTCGATGGGAAGGATATTTGTACGGTGTGTTTCCTACCCTCCTCTCTCTTTCTATCCTCTTCTCTTCTTGTGCGAAAGTCTTCTTCTGGGTATGCTAATTGCGCAGCTATACTGTATGATCCGCCCGCCGGCTACGAGTACGAGTAATGCGAAACGATGTTGATTAACGACTCGAGAGCCTGATTAGATAGGGTACATGAACAAAACTCCGTCCTCCGTGCTAGTTGCAGAAACGACGAGTCAGGATCTAGAGAACAGATCCAAGAGCAATGCAGGGCAGCGTAGCACCAATAAGATCCCCGTCCTGGTTTCGTTAGCTTGTACTCGCACCATTGTCTGATCGTAGGAATATAATGGAAACTCACGGCACTTCCGGGGCTGTTGGCGCAGCAGGCAATATTCTGCTTGCACTGCTGGTTGAGGATGTCCTCGACGCCAATTAGGACTGTCCCAAACTGTTAGCATACCATACCCAACCCACACATACTCATCATAGACAATAGCCTGTAGAACATGGAAAGCATAAACATACGCGAAAGATCAAGCTTCGAGCACTCGGTAAAAGCACCAAGCCCCTCCGCAGCAGAGCCCGCGCCGAGCAAGTTGCTCAGCAAACCAGCGGCAAGGCCATCAGCGACGACGGTGGTGTCGGCGCCGTACTTGGCCTTGTTGCAGCAGGAGAGCTGGGCCTGGTCGCCGCACTTGGAGCTACCTTCCTTGACGGTCATGCCGTCGGGCACGGGGAACTTGATGTCCTTTTGGGCGTCGCCGCGGTTGGGGAACGCGCTGGCGGCGGCGAAGAGGGTGAGCGCGGTGATGGCGGTTGTGAACTTCATCTTGATTGTCTGGGTTTCTGGGTTGAGGGGGTTGATAGAGAGAGCGTTATAGAGAAGGATCGAGTGAGTGAGGTCGAAGAAGAAAGAGACAATCGAGGATGGTGGCGCGAGATAAATGCCTGGGCTTGTTGTGGGCATTCCTACACAGGGCTGTAAACATCGCATATCAGAGACACTGATCGCTATGCTGTTTAATTGCCGTTTGCTGTCGCATCCCTTGGGTTCGCCGTGCCTTGCATTCCGGCGAGTCAACCGCCCGGCGATGAAGGAATGTCAACGGTCCTGATTAGTCGCGAAGGGGGGAGATCGTCTAGGGGAGTGATACATTAATTTCCGGTTTCTTCGAGTGCGATGGTCTGGTTGTGCAGAGTTTGCCCTAGCAAGGGACTGGGGTCAGTCTCTTGCGGCTTTGGGCCTTGAACTGGCTGTCCAAAAATGCCTGATGACGACGCATCCTTCTGTTAATAGCCGCTTGAAACGACCCGCCATCTTCGCGGCTAGATTGAAACACTCATCATGCTCTGCTTCAACAGGGAAGAAGAGGGTGGAGTCAAGTTTGACGCCTTAGGATACCTCAGGCACCGTCGAGCAATAGTTATTGTAGGACGACCAATTTTGCTGCCCAAGCACCTGGAGGAGAATGGAGGTTGAGACAGATAAATAACCAAGGGGGTAAAAAAAAGAAGAGAGATTGGAAAAAAAACAAAACATGCGCCCGATGGGGGGCTCGAACCCCCGACATTGCGGTGACCGACCAAGAAAGACGATAAAAGCCGCACGCTGCTACCGACTGAGCTAACCGGGCAAGCATTGAAAATTCAGCCATGCTGCGGTATTATAATCAAGAGCCCAAATTCAAAATAAAATTCCGAATCTCGGGCGCTATTTATCAATCTTGGGCTGTCTCTGCATTAACAACAAAGATCAGACATTTGAATGGGAGGACGTCTCAGTATCCATCTTATATAGGCAGGGCAAACCAGCTGATGAAGAATAAATTAATATTGTCATCGGAGGATATTTGTGTGTGTTCGCAAAGGAGCTTCGGATGAGGCTATGGAAAGGTAGTCAGTCACGTGGTTTGTCAACACAGTTGGAAAGACCAAAAATTTGACGCCCGATGGGGGGGTCGAACCCCCGACTTTGGGATAACCGGCAGAAGAAGGCGGTAAAAGTCCCACACTCTAAACCAACTGAGTTAATCGGGCAATTGTTGAAAAGTCGTCGCCCAAGCATGCTCCGATATCCCAGGCCTATTGGAACCGCCCACTGTTTTGTGCGAATACCCAAGCCCATTACTGAACGCGTCTAGGGCAGGGCTTAAAGCCATGTGCCCAACCAAGGCCCCAAAGGATAATTCACTGCAGCTATAATAAAGCGTCGACTCATGTCATATCTCTCTGATTCAAGTGTGCCCCAGATCCTTCCCTTACTTTCTGCCCGTCAATGTAGAACCAAACTCGTCGCAAACCACTCAACAGCCGCCCTCGGGCTGCAGTCGGCCCATTTGATATGTGATCTGGCTTTTACTTTTTGCGTAGTATGCTCTAGTCTAGGAGTTCTGTGCGATCTAGTAGATATGTAAATAAGTATGCCCCGTGTATTTCCTACAGCATCACGGGTTCCTTTAATCTGTCCGCATTTATATATTTACTGCCCGTATGACCATGACTTGTCCAGGGCCTCTTCAGGAATATTTTCCAGATAGCCATGCGTTCTATTCAAACTCTTATATACAAACATAAAGCTGTTACCTATGCCTCAAAGCGTCTGTATAGAGCAAACAAAGAGTAGACCGTAAGTCACTTGCAATCTGGTCTGTGAAAATGCGCAAGACAAGGACATGGCACATATATCTTCAACTATACCCTTTTTGACTTGGGAAAATTTCCTGCGGAATAAAGCATCTTCTCTAACAGTCGCCTTTTCAAGAGCCCCGCAGAATCTGTCTTGTAGTTTCCTTCACCTTTCCCCCTCAAGTTTTGCAGTCTCGCGTCATAACACACAGTTCAGAAAACCCGATCCGGCGACCTCACCTCTGCTTCCGGTATACCCTCACAATGTTTCGGTTATATGGAAATCTATTCCTCGAAAATCCAGAACAGCGCCTCGACGAGGGTCAGCTAGCCAGCTTGACCAAACTCATGGCAGCAATCCAGAGCTTGGAGAACCGCACGGCGATCGCGAGAGAGAAGGAATACAATCTAGAGGACAAATTTGACGAATTCAAAGCCAGGGAGACCCTAGCCTGGAGGGAGCTGGGGGTGGCAAGGCCACCGGCGTTCCTGATCCCACCCGCGGGATCGTTGGATGCGCCGGTGGCCTGCCACCTCCATAACCCGACATTCCACGTCGAGGATCCATACAAGGCCATCACGGAGGACCCCTCGAGCCCGACAATTTACCAGCTGAGTCAAGCTGGCTTCTCGTCGGGGAATTGTTTCCTGTTTGATCATGTCTCGAGACGGGATGAGACCGAGATCTACCTCTCCTTTTATCCCGACAAGGTCCGCCACATTCACGAGAACTTCGCCCTAGAGCTACGCCGGCAGATGAAGGCCGTCGTTGAGATTTGCTGGGGGAGGTCTGTTAGGAAGAGGATGCTCGAGTGCGTCGACCTTGTGCCCCTCCCCTTGTGGGGGGAGTACAAAGACGTGACTCTTCATCTGGAATACGAGAACGGCCAGTTCGTAAGATTTGTCGTTTTCGTATACCATCCCCAGTTCTTTTGTTATAGGACAACGTCTAGCGAAAGCGGTCGGAAGTGGCGTGGCCTGTACGGAAGACAACAGGATCTGCTTCTGACCGTGGCCGCAAGGCTAGGCGGGATTACATACCACACAGGGTTCTACGAGCATCAACACAATCCAGGTGTGTACGGCCGCCTTAGCGCCGAGCAAAGGGCAACCAAGGAGCACCTGATTGCTGAGGCATTGGCGCAACTGAGAATAGCGTCGCCGGAATTGTTCAAGGAGATGGATACTCGGCGAGCGAGCTGTACTTCTTGGGACGTACAAGAATACGCACCGGAGATTGAGAGAACGGTGGCACCGGTGACAGCCAATACCACTGCCCAGGGAGGCTTTCCAGAAGTGAGTACTTATCGCCTACCAACAGCAAGTTCAAAGATGCTAACCTCGGTATTAGGTCATCTCCTACGACACGGATATGCGGCGGCTCAACGACTCCTTTTCGGATCTTAACTTGGCACTCAGGACAGAGTGTTCTTTGCCCAGCACTATACCCACGGACCTAGCTCTTCAATACTCCGAGCTGACTTTGATATCCGAGTTTGATCTATCACCCGAAGCTTTAACAAGCTGGATTCAAAGCCAGGAAGGTCTGAAGATCCAGGGCAAGCCTATCGGCACGAATGATGAGCTTGTCCTATCCTTTAGACTGCTTCATCGGTTCGGAGAAGCCCAGATACCTGGCTCTGTGATCTTAATTGCGTACTCTGTCGCGGAGGCATATATTTATAATGTATGCAAGACCCGCAAGTCCTCCATTCAGGACCTGATTGGCCCGCCTACGGATCCCCATCGAAGAATAATGCACCTAAAATGCCGCAAATGCGCCAAAAGAGTCCACGACACTTGGTTTGCATATTATGCACGAAGAGACCCGGAGGTCTATGTTTGTCAGACCCTCGAGGCTGGCTGTGGGCGCCTGGAGTGCTCAGGCAGGACCGCTTTGATCCCTGCAAATCCCTGGCAGAAGCATATCATGGCTCGCAGAGGGGAGTTGGAAAATGCACCAAAGGACACTGGCGGAGCATGGGCGGGGTACATTATTCGATCAAGGACAGAATCGCAGGACCTCCCTGATGTCGTCAAGATAGCTTGCCTCGGCTGCAAACAAAACCAAGTTGAGACGACGCAGATAGATGCCCGGCCAAGGTGGACCATTGAAAGAATTCCGAGATACCTAGCTCCACGACGTCGATGCAGCGTCTGCAAGCAGCTGAAGTACTGGAGACCGGTGAGCCAAACAATAGCCATAATTGACACACCTACGATAGCACACATTTGGGGAAAGATGAAAAAGGAAGGCCTGGATCTCAATGAGTACCCTAGACTTCCCGGGCTGTTTTTCGCCAATATGCCCGTGGAAGACAAGATCAAGGCCTTTAAGAAAGCCAAAATGGACCGGAATAACAAGGGAACGGATTGATTATTGCTGCGACTCATTTAATCTGGAGAAACCACTGCACCCTAGTTATATCTACGCGATTCCAACTTCCCAATGAGAACCGAGTTTACTCCCTAAACTCCTTCACCCACAAGCTCACAGCCTTGTACTCGCTATTATGCGATCCATACCAGTAAATCGTCTTCTGCGGGTTGCTCCCGTAGCCATCGACGGCAAAGTAATCCTTGCCTGCATGGTCAAAGTACCCGTCGTCGGTGACGCCAAAGTCGTTGATGCTGGCGCCCTCGGGGACGGCGCCCGAGTGAGGGCGCGTCAGACCGACGGGGAGGACGTCCTTTTCTACGACGTAGAGGTTCTGCCAGCCTGTTGGGACGGAGTTCTTGGATGTGAAGGTTACGGCGCCGGTGTCGGGGGTTGAGTGGACTGGGTTTTGTTAGGAGACTACAGCTGTTTGGGGGATTTAGGAGGTCTTACAGATGGCGATTTCGTTGGAGGTGGTGTTGCCGCCGACGTAGAGGTACTCTGTGATGTGTTAGGTGGTTATGGCTCGATGTAGAGAGATCCAGAGCACTTACGGCCGTCAGTGAGGACCGTGTAGCCGCCATCAGCGACAAGGGTGAACGCCGAAGGAAGAGTAGCGGCAGAGACAGCGCTGGCAAAGGCCGCGATGGTGGCAAGAGAGAACTTCATTTTGCAGAGATGGATTGAGTGTAGTGAGTCGTTGACTTATTTCGATGTACCAAGACTGGATTTGAAGCCGCGTCCATCCTGGTTCTTATACCTTTCCCTCTCTCCCTCCAGGCTCCCCCCAGCACTTGAACCAGCGGTGTCGAATTGACGTCAAACTAAGACATGCATCAGCCGACGGTTGCCCGAGCCGTTTTGGTCTGGCCCACGGGTAATTTGCAATTGGCTTGAGTGCACCTAACCTGTCGATCACTTGAGGCAATTGATGGAGTTGTTCTCCACGCGGGCTTCTAATTCTGGTCGCGGACCCACACTACATGTGCCCATTTAGTAGTTGCCCCGAGGTTCCGTGGAAGTTGCCTTGGTAGAGCGAGCACATCATATGTAGCTACTACGGATTGCAGCTATTGCTTAGCAGAGGAAAATCTAATTATTTAGGTATCGGTATGCTAATGTATATCAATGAAATAGGGCTCCACGTTGAGCTCATTGCATAGAAAGATCTCACGATGTGGCAAGTATGATCGGACCTCCGATGGCTGGTATACGGTGTAGTATCTGAAATGGAGAAGAACAGTATGAATGAGTATGCATGGCTTGAAACGTGAAAGAGAGGCCACGCGTCCACGGTATCAACTACCCTCGCTTTAAAGAGCACATAGATCTTCACACTATCGGCACACTAACGACGGGTTAAAGGGGCTGATTGATCAAGTTCCATCTCCCATCAGCCCTGTTTGAGTTTTCGTTTCAATCCTTCTCCTTCCCACAAGGTCCCAAGGATGAGATAGAAGGGCGTTTTATGCCGAACGCTTCTGAAGCAGTCGAAACCCAACACGTTTATCTACCGGCCAGGGAGCGTTGCTCTGCACAATATTGATCCATCGATCATGACGATTGATTGAATAGAGTTTGTCGTGCCTTCTAGTATTCGTTCGCAGTGATGACCAAGAGTAGATGCATTCCTTTCTTGACGTTAGTTGTAAATGTCACTCCCTCGATATCGTCGTGATGCAAACTGTCTATTATAAATTCCAAAGATGTACAGAGTCTATCCTAAGACCTATAAAAATGAACAGCCTCAACGCCCGTCCATGTTTAAATCCCCAAAGCAGCAAAAATTATGCAAGCCATATCTCAACCTTGAGCAGCAACAGATCCGCTTGCCACCGCAGACCCCGATAACCCGCTATCAATCTGAAAACGAAGCACCTTATCCGCACCAAGCTCCGCGGACTTGAAGTATCGCTGACCCGAGTAACTAAAGCCACCAAGCCAGTTAGCAAACTATCACCATAAGCTCCAGGATAGAAGATCACAACACCATACCTCCAATGAATCAACCCGGCCGCAAGATCCCTACACCCCTGCGTAAACGCCGCAACGACAGCCTGAGAACTGGAACTGTGGCGTTCGCCGAGTCCGCGCTGTAGATTGCGTGCTGCGGTCTCCATGTCTGCCGCGTTGTCCTTGGCGTATTTGTAACTCTTCTGCATTGCTTCATTGATGGTGATGCCTTCGTTGAGCATGATTACCGGGACGAGGTTTTCGATTTGGCCGTCGGACTGTGAGCGTTGATTAGTATTGATTTGGTTGAGGGTGGAGTAGCGAGGCATGAATGCAGCTTACTAGTTCTTTTCTGAGGGAGATTATGTCGTTTGAGCTGTTTATCGACCATGTTAGCGGTGACCGAGATGAATCTGGAGGAGTGGAGGAGGCGTACATATGGACGAGATAGGAGGTGGATTTCCAGAGCGCCTTCATGCGGGCGTTCGATACATCAGCGGGGGTGATATCGACGCCGTAGACGAATCTGGCACGAGCATTAGACCTAGAAGACGTGTAATATTCGGAGGATAGTACAACGTACGGAATCGTCGCAATACCAGGGTAAATCCCCGCAGCATAGTCTCTCCGCGCCCAGTACGCTTCAAGGGAGGGAAGCTTTCCATCTGCGAAAAGCTCATTCGCGTCGCCGACCGCTTCCATGTATTCGAGCATGGTCTTTGAGAGAATCACTCGGGTGTCTAGTGGTTGTATTAGCGATCAAGTTACTTCATTGTGGCGTATGAGCATACCATGTGAGCAAACCTCGCGGATATGCCTGCCAACCTCCTCCCAACATACTAGTGTATTCTGTAGTTGAGATGGGTATACCGATAGATCTGGACATTCATGTTCCGGGAGAAGCTGATGTTGAATGTATTGAATGCTTGCTTGTCTGTAGTTGCTGATTTCAGAGTCGCTGCCCCCCTGTAAAGCACCGCAGTCGAAGACTTTTTCCAATTAGAAATGGGTTAGCTTCAAATAGAAGATCTGTGTATACTTACTATCGTCCCAGATATAGTACTATTCCTGTTAGTCCTTGATTTTATAAACAGGACACGGAGATTACGTACCCAAGCAAAGTACTTGGCAACAGTACACAACCGATCGAACGGCGCGTCTGCACAAAGTACAGCAGCAAAGACGCCAAACTCTGCTTTCTGGAGTTTTCGACATGTCACGGCGTCGTCGACCCAGCTGCCATGGACATTAGATAGGGAGTCAATGGCGGATTAAACCAGACATGGCGACTGACCGACGAATCCACGGATTCAGAACCTCATCTCTCGCCCGCTCATACTCGGGATGGATCTTGAAGTTCCATGAAGGAAGCAGTTTGGCCAGGTTAGGGACTGAGACTGTTTGTCCGTTCAATGAGCGCCAGATGGCGTCTTTGTTTGATTTCTCGATGGTGGAAGGCATATCGAATGATTGAAGAGGTTGAGCTGGCTGGGTTGTAAGTGGTTTCTTTTCACCCGGCGAAGCAGAATTGCTTTATATGCTCGAGCCATGCGATCTACTCCAACACTATAACAACACACTCGGCCGTACTCAGCTGAGGAATCATCAGCAAGCCGTCTAAGCCCCGATAGCGACACCCACTGCTCGGTACACCCCTCTAGCCTTCCAGAATAGGGCTGGCTGAAGTCCACGAACCATCGCCAGCCAGCCTCTAGGGCTAGCCTTGTCGGGCTCGCCGACCGTGCAGGGAACACGCCTATGCAGGCTTCCATTGGAGGCGCACGATGACGCTAAACGGCGCTCGTGCAGAATAATCTTCACACGCGAACCCCCGCCGGGACGTGCATGCATATCGCCTGGGTTCAGCCGTTGGCAAACCCTCCGATTGTGGTTTGTGGCTCGGACCCGATGGCGATCGACTAGCATCTCGTTGGACGAAGCGCTCGGGTATACATGCAGGTTTGCGGGAGTGGATCGTGGGCTGTCCAATTGATTCGCCTCGCACTATATGGATCGAATCGAATAGTGGCGTTTTTCGCTCAGCCACTTTTGCAGAGAAGTCGTCTGGAACTGATGGATTGTTCGATGGCGGCGACTCCGGATCGATTGAAGGAACGGGATCCCTTTGCTCTCTTTGTGGATTTGGTTTATCAGGCTTCTTCGACATGTAAGACGAGGTTTTCTGCCGGCATAGAATGATATCAATGAACCTGAAGGTGGACCATGCGATAATCGCACCTTCCATGTTCGACGAGTTCGCAGGTCGCTCCTTCCGCGCTTCAACAATGTCCTCCGAGGCAGGTGCGCGGAGGTATGCTGGGTTGCACCTTCCTCACGGTGTGGCGTTGCGGTTTTTTTTTTTTTTTTTTTTTTCTTGAGGAAGGAGCGACCGGGCCATCTATATCGTAGTTTCCCTATCTGGTCTCTTGGTGAATAGCTCCTTCCTCGTTTGAGTTCCTTCCCATTAGAGCGCTCTCATATGTCATTCAATCCGCTGCCACCCCCCCTCCGACATATCGCATACAGGAGTCCACAGGATACCGCTGACGTTAGCCCTAATGCCGTACCACCCACTCCAGATCCTGGGATTGACTTGTCGTTCTCCACACCGTTATTTCATGTGCCTTGCCAGGTCCACAGCGCGGTATGACTTTAGAGTATGTGCTCCGAGCACGGCTTGCATGATGACCACTCCGGACTTGACTCACGCCAGTGGGCAGATGCCGTATCCGCTAAGTTGGACTGGGTTAGAGTGTTTGTTGAATGTGGCTCCCATCGAGCACTGGGGCAGAACCTGAATGAGACCGGGGATCCCTGTTATAATTCCTTTTTAAGTAGTCAATCCGGCTCTTAATGATGTCATTCTACTGATAAAGCACGAAACAAGCACTGTAGGGGAATACTATGAATCCTGCAAACCATCACAACCAATGTTTTCTTTATCTTGCCCATGACTAGCATTTTAAAAGAGCATAATACGCAACTGCCACGTAGACTTTACCATTCTACTCAAGAATCCTTGCAGGTAAACCATCTTACTCGCGCAATCCCCCATTCTCCCGCTTAAAGTACGTAAACTGCGGCCCGACCTTTTCCAGCACCTTGATCTCCAGCGGCTTCAGGAATTTGGGCGTCATGATTTCGCGATACTTGGCGTAGTACGGCTTGTTGATCTGGTTCTGAGATATGAGGATTAGCTCGCTTAGATGAATCGAGGCTTGGGAGAGGGCGATGATGCATACCTTAACTAGCCATTCCTTTGATTCGGACCTGTATATAAGCAACGGGGCATAAGCGATGTTGTACACAACGTCAAGCGCCTAGGAGAGCAAAGTGAGGGAGAGGGAGCAACAAACCAGTTCTCAATCCAAGAAATCGCCCCCGGATCCTCGGGGGACTGATACACCTCGAAGAACGTACAGTGCGGCTCCGCGATGACCTTCTCGAAGACGGGGCCGAATAGTTCCCAGAACTGCGGGAGATCTTTGGGGTCCATGTACGCGGTCATCTGGACAGAGATGCCGTTGAAGGGGGGCATTGTGACTGGATATTTATATGTGGGGGCGAGTAAGGTTATTCTGGGAGTGATAGCGGCAGTAAGCGGTGCGCCAGGCAAGTTGGAATCCTGGGGAAACGCAGGCCAAGGCTTTATAGTCGACAGTGCCAAGTGCATAACGTTGGGTATGACATGCCTCTCGTTTAATCGTCTTGTCGTCGCGCCAAGGGACTGGAATCAGTATGGTTGCCAAGAGGTGATACGAAGAGCTCCCTAACATTCAGAGATGTGTTTCCGACAATACACGAAGCATGAGGGTTATCTTGGGTCTCAGCGTATGTTATCGTATCTAGTTAGAAGAACCAAGACCTTCCCAGATGCTAGATTACTTTTAAGAATATTGAGTAACAACTTCACTAGTCGACTAAAAAGGTGCCATGGCACCAGTCTAGTGGCCGATGTTGAATATAGCTCAGATTTCCGGCTGACATTGAGATGGTAGATTATGCCTAGAGGCAATTTCAAGTTGGTCCCGCATTGAAACAGCCCTATGTTCTCCTCGGCGCGGCATCGGCGGAGGTCGCAGAGGAAGAAGATCAAAATTGGCACCACTGAAACGGCGGGAAAGACGTGCTAGCCCGGATCATCGAATGACTGGGAGATCGCCCAAGTGATACTTATTGGGTTCTCGATAGCATTCCACCTGGTTGTTGGTGGTCAGTGAGTCTCGCGCAGCTCCAGCTACGATAGGAAGGAAAATGCCATGTAATAGGCATCACGTCAAGTCTAAGACAGCACGTAAGAGCTCGAACAGTCAAGTCACGACCTGGGAATTAAGAAAATAGGTAAGAAAAGTGCCCCAGAATCGTGGAACTCTTCCTTGCCAAGTTGCTTGCTACGAGCAAAGCGTTCTACCACTCAACGAGAGACATATTGTTGATTGTGTTCTTCCACTATAGCTTCTATCATGATGTATAGTATCGCCTTAGATGCCAATGAGTTTGCCTGAAAGAGACTAAAGAGGTGGCAGAACAAGGAGGTTCTCCCTTCCCATAGCTCTACCAAAATGTGTTGAAGGCAAGGACTGTATTCACCATCTTTGCAGAAAGATAGACAGAGCTCCAGAGCCAGGCCCATCTGTTAGTAATGGCATTCCCATTCCACCCCTCATCCAAAATTCCTCATTCAGAATCTCTAATCATAGGACCATCAATAATCACAGTTGTTGAAAGACCAACTGTTATATGGTATATATTCTCCCATTGTGGAGTCGGCACCATATGCGAGCAGGAGGTTTGCTATGCCAGTGCGATTCTGGCACCAAGCCGCCCTCAACGCAGAGCCATGAGACCCAGCAACAGCATTGACATCCGCACCCCAATCCAGCAGTAACTGCACCATATAAGCCCGCCCATTGTGGGCAGCTGTGTAGAGTGGGGTTCCCGACCCATTGTCCTGGTTGACATCTGCCCCGTTTTGTAAGAGAATGTTGGCTGCTTTGAGATTGCCGCACCTCGCCGCGGACTCCAAGACACTGTCGCCGTCACTGCCAGCAGCATTGAGGTCCGCACCGTGGTCGAGTAGGAGCTGTATTAGATGATTGTCACTCCTCGTTACGGCGACCTGGAGTATGGTTTCTGGCTGCCGGCCATTTAGGTTGGGATCAGCACCGTGGTCGAGTAAGAGGCGGACCATGTCACCGTTGCCTTCCCTGACAGCCACATAAAGTGCGGGTGGATAAGTAGGATACAGGTCCGGAGGCTCGTCGCTGTTGTGGAGGTCCGCGCCGTGGGCAAGGAGGATCTGGGCCACCGTGACATGCCCTCCCTGGACCGCCCCCCATAGTGGTCGCACGCCAGTACTGTCTCCGACATTCGCGTCGGCCCCGTACTTGAGGAAGCGCGTCGCAGTGGTCGGTTGGCCGTGTCTGGCAGCCCAGAATAGTCCGGAGCTACTATGATTGCGGATGTTGTTGCGGTACATGACGGGAGACACGGCGGGGTAGAATTCCTTGCTTGCTAGACTGAACGCGCGGAGGTCTTTATCGGACTCCAGATAGCTGGCGATCATGACGAGGATCTCGTTGGGGAGGGAGAGGAACGACATTTTTGCTCTGGTCTGATGGATAAGGGTCTCTGGAATCTGAAGGCGTTGGGCTGTTAATAGGCAAAGCTTGGGGAAAAGGTATTCTTTGCTTTCCAAGAACCATCTCAATTGGTGGAGAAGATGTTTTTCAATGAGATTGTGCAAAAGCTTTCTTGGGGGATTGTATTGGTTGCTTTGTTGTAGAGTAACACTGGCCGCCCGGCCAGGCTCCCTAATGATTTTTGCCCGTTGAGGGAATTGAGGGAATTGAGGGAATTTGAGCAATCTTCACCGATTGCCAAGGGTCAAAAATACACTCTCTGGACTCTGACTCGAAACAAAATATGTCTGCACTTCGGCAACGACGATCGCCTTTGCTGCGGCGTGGGATCGTGGTGTCGAGGGCACGCTTCGCTAATGTCCACTTGACTCCTAAGAGATATTAAACGTTAGAAGCAGGTCAAGGTCTTCGGGAAAAGGCAGAAACTTCAAGCAGAGAAAGCACCAGGTACGGGCAGATATTCTGGTAAGCCCTGCCGCTGGATTCTGTCAATTTTGGAACGGTGTCCACTGTACTAACACAAAGTAATGGCCAAAAAAATCCAGCCTTCCTGGTCTCCTGAGTGAATGCACACCCGACATGGCGACTGGAGACCGCACCGCAAGCTCTTGAATATCTCTGACCTCACAATATCGGTTCGTCTCGACCGTCGAAGGACAACGGGAAGGGCATTGTTGGCGGCATGGTGTTTGAAGACGGATGGACGTGTCGCGTTCGCTATGCGTGTCGAGATTCGCACTCGACAGATAGGGGGCAAGACTCGAGTCCAGACTTCAGACAAGTAAAGTAACCTGGAAGTCAGCACTCCTTGCTCCGCGGGCCACGAGAAATTCGCAATCGGGCATAACAAAGTGTATAAGGCTCACGAGGCGCATTTTCGGAGCGAAGGGCAGACCAGAAAAGACTCGCCGGGATAACCGGTATCGCAAGGCTCAATTTGGCGCGGACGTCAGTCTTGACGGTGTGGCCTGCCTTGCTGTTATGGCGAGGCGAGACTGGATCGCGCCTCAACGAAAGGCGGCTGGGGCCTCGGAGTCGATGGTTGGGCGTCACGCGACGAGAAGGTTTTCAGTCCGTCAAGGCATCTTTGCAATGGTTCGCATAGCCGTATTGTCTATGACGTACGGGGTTTCTGTCACAGATCTTTTCTGGTCTCCGAGCATCGTGCCTTTTGGGACTTCGCCGGCGGGTGCTCGGCGCTCGACGTATGCATGAAGCCTAGGTTCAGAAAGGAGTAATGAGGTCGCGAACTTAGAAAACTCTTCTCCGACAACGTGACCTTAAACAGGGCGAAAAGGGGAAACCGGGCGCGAATCCCTGTCAGCTGGGGTGCGGACCGTGCCCTCAGCGACTCTGTCGCGACTCGCAGCTCGCAAGGCGAGGAAGAGGCGGCAGAGCATAGCACTGTTGAACAGAGGCAAAGGCGTCAAAGCGGATGATGGAGCATCCCACTGCTAGAACTCAACGGGCCTTGGTCCAGGCAAGCGCGACTGTAGCCTGTTGGTCTCCGACCCTGCTTGTCGATCTTTCCAGATGAAAACACTCCTACAGGTCACAAAACGATGATAGGTCTCTACGCAGCTGATCATAAGCCGAGATTATTACGGAGCGTCGCCGTAAGCTCGCCGGCCTTTGATCATGTTTTCGGTCTAAGATGCTTGAGCCGTCGACCAAATCTGCTAGCAGCGGGAATGACCTTAGGCCATGGATAGCTCGAGCATCTACGCAAGGTTCGCCTAGATCCTACGGAATCCACTTACAAAAATTCATGATCTCGTCTTCGGTGTATATGTCTGAACAGCAAAGATGCCAATTTGCCTTGATGCAGGGGAAGCGGACATGCATATTTCGCAGCGGAACCAAGACGGAACAGTCTACGCGGCGCCTGACAGAGACCGAGTACCTGGCCTGGCCGGCCTTTGGCCTGCAGGTGGCCCAATGTAGAGTGCGAGGCGCGTCTGCAAAACTTACGGTGATACAATAGCCGCCGAAAATCCGAGCACGAGGTCAGTTGACCTGTCTGCAAATGTCGAGGTACTAAAAACTTCACGAAACGGTGCAATACTGTACCTGAGTATGTTATGACTCAGAAATAAGATTCTCACCTCCAGTCGATGGTGCCGGTGAGACTATTCATGGAGTCGGAAAACCGGAATTCAGTTTCGGATACCGCAAAAGCCAAAATTGAAGCTATCCGCATATTCCGTAAATTCCCAAGCATTCCAACCCGGGATTATGGTCGCCGATGCACGGTACCTTTGACGAATCTAATCCGATTGGCCTCGCTCGTTTTCTGTTACGCATCAGTCGGAAATTTCGAGTCGTTGACACAGCTCAGAGATTCACAGAGAGTCGGCCTGGGTTCGCGTAAAACCCAAACGATATCAGCCTGCGGCTCGTCCCGCACACGTTTGTTACGGCAATGCAGCAATGACTCGGTTCGTGGGAATTTATGATGCATCAGAAAGCCCACTTGGAGCGTACTCCGGAGTAGGAACATGCCGTCCAAAACAGGGAACGAGATGTCGAGGAAATTAACTCACGTCAATGGATCCCTGTGGGGCGGTTCGTGAGAAAGTAGGGCCAAATCGAAAACAAGCTATCAATCTAATTTGCAGATCGTGGAGCGTACTTGGCTAGCCGTGTTTCAGATTATCGCCATGGTCTTCTCGCTGCTTTTTCTGATGGTTGTTTTAGGAGAGTAATGTGCTCCGAGGCTAACGCTACCTGTGGAGGAGACACGCCGCAGGAACACAAACGGAAGAAGCTGTTAAATAGTGTTTTGCAGCTATGGGCAGACGAGACTACGATCACCGAGGGTTTCGCGGTGGCTGAGCGAGACTTTCTCGGCGCTCTAGGTGCGGAGGACCGAGAACGCTGAAGAAGAGCGCCGGTGCCCGAAGTGAGGCTGGGGTTCACCTTGAGAAGCACCCGAGCGCGATGGTTTGGGACAGGACGAAGCCTGGACCGGAGCGGAAGCCATTGAGATTGGAAAGGATTCTATTGCACGTCGTCGCAGAGACTATCCCCCGGGCGTCTGCCATGTCCTCACCCTTATTTTAGCAACAGGGTGAGGAGATTCTGAGATGATGGGCGGTTTCGATGATCTTCCGAAGGATTCCCTTCCCTTAATTTAACCTTGGGCGAAGCCGCCAAGGATCCATTAGCGAGATAGTATGCTCAGCAGGGGAAGGAATTAGGGCTCAAGCTTGGGCCTGGCCACACATGCAAGTCTAACCTCATGTCTTCACGAAACGTAAAACCTTGAGGCAGGTGAACCTGACGAGACTACAATACACAAAGAAAGTCTATTTCAGCAGCTGATTGACGTGCGCCACCAGCATTGTTCTGATTAGTTCATGTGTGAGGCTGGCTATGGACATGGCCCTCTGGCGGTGAAGCAAGGGGGAGGCCAGCCTTCTCCTAACAAAGTGACCTATTATCACTGTATTTTATGACTAAGAGATACAAGTCTCGCACCCGCTCTTAGCTCATCGAAGAGGCAACGCGGACCAATCCACCATCCTGCTCGATGAGAGCGCGCATCACCAGCTCAAGCCGATGAGTCAAGCGGGGCAGAGGAGGCACGCCAAGAAAGGGCACAAAGAAATCTGAAGGAGATCGTCAGTCCTCCATAGAAACCGAAGGGGTGGTGATTGGACGGAGAACCAGATAGCACCGCAGCTACCGACAGCTGTCAGCTGCTGTGGCAAGCTGATGGTGACATGCAGTCGACAGAAGAGGGAAACAGCCGAAGCCGTTCCTGGAAAGGGCCCTGGCAGCGAGCAGCTCGTTTTCCTGCTCGCTGCACGCAGCCCGAACGTTGGGAAGCTGCAAGCCATAGCAGTAATTTTGGGAATGGGACTTTTTTTTTCGGTCCTTTTTGCTGGCTCAAGTTGCGACGCGGTATTTTCGGCTCTGGTCTGACAGCAACGGCTGGCACAATGATACTGGGAATGGCAGTAAATCTCTGAGTCTTGTGTGCGAGGCGTTTCTCTCTTTGCTTTTTCTCCCTTCGCATCCGTATTGCCGTGGCGGGCATTAGGTTGTCTGCGGCGTGTGCTATGGGTCCTATTATCAAACTATCAATTACCGACGCGGGGACTCGCCTCGTGGCCAGCGGGGTAAATATCCTACAAAACAAAAGCACATCAACTTTTCGTTATATTACATGGTCTAACAAACGCAATAGTAGAAAGTGGGACAGCAGCAATTCCTCCCTGTGTATGAACCCCCGCCGGGCCTAGAGCCTGGTTCTATACCCGCGCCACACCTCTTCATGATCTCTACCATACGCCTCCTCCAAGAACCCGATAACCTCATTGGAAAATATCGGCTCCTCATAGTCGGTTTCGGTCTCGAATCTGTGTTTGACGTTGAGGATTTGCTTTTCGAACTCCTCGCCGTAAACGCCTGTATGTCCGCTGATCACATCGCAAATGATTTTCCTCTGCCTTCCGCTGAACCTTACTATTATCCTGTTAGCAAAGTCGTTTATGAGTATCTTGTGCATGGAGAACGGGTTGAGAGGCGTACGTTGCAGGAATCCGTCTTTAGTCACGGACACTAGCTCCGGGATATGGCTCATCCAGGTCATGCTCATGCTTGCACAGAGCTGCTTGGGCTATGAGTTTCGGGGCGGAGGGGGGCTGTTGCGAGGAAGATTGAGTGGTCTTGAGAAAGGAAGTGTTGATGATCCTAACGTAGACTGGGACTCCGACTGACATAAATAGTCCTCAGCTGAGAAAAACAAGCACGGAGGGGCACGCGATTTGAGAAAGGTACGCGTGCTTTCTTATGGCACCTACCCGTACTATCTCACAGAGGGGAAATCGCTTCCGTAAAGAGCGTTATTTCAGTCTTCAGGTCCAATCATACTTTGATCTTCTGGTATTGAACGGAGTTAGTGGCAGTCACAGGCCATACATCGCGTGTACTGAGAATCTCCGCTGTGGATTGTCTCTGCACGAGTATTTGTGACATGTAAAAAGTCGACCGGAATAGACTACTCTTGACTAATAGTACGAAAGAAAGGTTCCCTGGTCTCGATCTGCTACCACGTGGATGAGACTGCCTGAAGGACTCAGCATATGAAAGAATGGGCCTCGAACTAAAGCCCAGGCACCTGTCGGCGATTGAATACTTCGGGATCCGCAAGTTCTTGCGGCACAATCCCCACCATCGAGGCAGTATTAGGAAGCAAAGCAAAGCCTTGTCACAGTGGAGTTGGAAGGGAGTCATTGGCTTGTTCGAACTCTTCATGATTGGGATTCGGGACAATTGAAAGTTGGCGGAGTGGAGCACCCCTTGGAACGGCGCGACTACGCCGTTCTATTATCATTGTGGGATCCAGATTTTAAATCTCCTCAAGGTTTCTCGCAGGAATTAGCCGACCTTGGAGTCCTAAATCGCGTCCGGGCCACGATTGTGTTGAGTGAGGCTGCGGGTCGGGATTCCGACAGCGGCAACAGGAGACTCCTAGGCGATCTCAAAGAGCAGTGACGTAAATCGAGGTTCGTTTCGAAGCTCGGGTAATGCCTTTTTCAGTGATTGTGATGGAGAGCTCAGGTTTCGAAAGATGGGGGGAATATATGCTTTGCCGCAACAGCGGAGGCATATGGGATGCCTTGTAGAGAAGTCGTCTCTGCAACAAGTGAAAACCGGTTGGGATTGGTTAGTAGATGCACAGATAGTGGGTACGGAGAGAATGAACGAGCCTCTGATTCTTGGACGATCATTTGGTGGAAATTACAAGGTAAGATCCGTTGCCCCCCGTCTAAGCCAAAGGAGCGGTGACCGTCTCCCAGACAACTTTGACGAAGGTGCGCCCGAGCTCAAGGCTCATTTCTGGTGAGCTCGGCTTGACGTTTCTCCTGAAGGATCCTTCTCTCAGAAATGATCCTGACAGCCCAGAAAACACAACAATGACTGCCAGTGTTGTTTTGAAGTTGAGTTTGAACTCCACTCTGGCTCAATGTCATTGGCACTCGCGCCCCTCTGGGTTCGGGAATGTCGGTCAAATTAAGCTATCTTAGCCTGAGAGGCTCAAGTGCGGAAAAGAGTGTGGTTCTTGATCTATCTCATATTCTCACATTCTTACATTCTCTCAATCATGTCAAAGGCGAAGCGTGGCTGAATAACAACATAACTATAACTTTTTTCACCACCCTCACTGGTAAGTTGTTCAATCCGACCCTAGAACAGGCCTTTGATAACCTGGTTATAGTATTTAGGCCATCCTTGCGACTCCCATTTTCCCTTTTCTCCCCAGCTGCCCATCGCCTCCAGCCGCGCGAGAAAAAAAGCGTACCGAATTGCCCGATGCTTGTCCTTCTTCTCCTCGAACATTCTCCACAGCCCCTCTAGGTTCGCCAGATCCTCCGCGTTTAATGTCGTTTTTGGTGACGCCTTGCGGTAGAAGCGCTTCGTGTCCTCGTGCTGCAGCCATTTTAGGCTCTTTCTTATCTCTCTTTCCTTCGCCACGTCCGAGGGAGGCAGCAACATCCAAGCCCAGGTGCCCGGCGCGTCTACAAGATCACCAAGCCACAAGAAAGTATCTCTAACGGTTCGGATCTTGTATCTTTGAAGTTCCTCGGGCCCTTTTACTTCCATATCCTTTTCCAGGCTTGTTTGAACCCACGAGCCGCCAAGCATAACCTCAATCAGATATGTCGCGACGGTGACCGGGAGAGGCGCGAAACGCTCAGCATGTCCTTGTTCATCAAAACGTATTCTGGTAAGATATGTCTCCAGCTCGTCGAGTTCATGGAGACGCGGGCTCGTGATGATTTCCCAAACAGGTTGAAGATTGCCGATCAAGTTATGCGCGATGTTCTCGTTCATCATCCACCTTCTTACTCTCTGCTCAAGCTCAAACGGAAAGACCCACGACCGGTGTCGATGAGTCTCTTGCCCACTAAAGCCTTGATCCCCATTGTCGCGGCGGGTCGCGTCTGTCGCCTGCATGGTATGGATGGGGCAAGGCAACCTCGTGCGCGAAGTTCGAGATAACAAAATGCGGAGACAAAAAAAAATGCAGAACCAAACTCTAGGAAGAATATGGCTTTTACGGTTCGAGTCTATGAGCAGGAACGAGCGAAACGCGAACGAATTTATACCTTGTCTCGAGCATTGCGAGTTTCTGACGCTCAACACGCGATCTCCTATCGAGCCTTGCGGGAACCAGACGAACCAGCAGCGGCAAAAGCCTCCAGTTTTCATGGAGTGCTCCCTACAACTCCCATTTGCTCTAGTCTGCTCTTACGGTCTACAATTTGCAGGGGTTAGAAGCGAAGAGGTTGGATGAAGAAGGCACCTTTGCAGGATTCGAGCCTGTATCATTGGGCTCGCGAACATGCGGCACATGTCGACTGACTCGAGGAAGAGGCTGATTGCTTGCAGCCGGTATGAGTTGGCACCCGACGATACATGCATGCATTCTGGAGGGAGGTGATCCTCTTCCCCACGATCGGTGTCGAGTCCTAGCCCAGCAACATGAGTTTTGGAGCGGTGAATGCGGCATCCAATAATTTCAAACCAGCTGGCATCCAGGATCCCAAGGCTGAACATTGCATGCATTGCTGTCCGCGATATATTCCCTCCACGACCGCGCATCTTGTCAGCGCCCGACCAGTTGCGCCAGACCGCGATCCCCGGAGCAGAGGAATGGTTCGTGGCCATGAGACATCCAATACGCATCTTCTTCTGTTCTACAAAGGTGAGTCCCATTTCAACTTTTCTATGGCCAACAGACTGAGTGAGTGCGCCGTCCCAAGGAAGCACAAAGCCTTCGACTACTCCGTATTCCAGATATCTGACTTCTGTTCTCATCTCTATGCCTTCAACTCCGCGCAAGGAACCAGTCGCCCAATCGATCATGTTGGCACTATCGCCGACGAGATAGCAAACAATCCTCCACACCCGGTAGACCGCTCTTCCAAGTTCAACCACTGGGAACAACCGCATTATCATGGATGTTGGTCGCATTGTCGCAGCTTGAAATAATCCCTGCTCAGGCTGCCAATAACTTCGGGGCCACAGCGAACGCGAAGATGCAATGCAACCGTCTTAGCCGCAAAAATATCACAACCAGATAATCCGACCCCTCGCCCACCATCGCGTGAGATCATGCTCGCATACCTTCGGTTCACGCTGTGCTATCTCAAATTCAATGCACCGAACAAACCTTGATGAAAAACAAACCACGTCACTGCCCAATCTGAAAGGCGTTGTTATGACTGTCGTCGATGAGCGCCTAAGGGTGACTTTTGAGTGGTTGGACCGATGAGTCTTACCTGCCTCCAACTCTCCAGTTCCTCGGCGATATTAGATACCTGAGATAGCGGCAACGATCTCAGAGTGGAGAAGAATTTAGGTAGAGGGGCTCTCCGTCTTGGCCCTCGAACTACTACGCTAGACAATGACTACGCTTGGCGAATCTCTTAGAGAATCGCTCACGGAAAGTCAGATCATCGATGTAGTCGTTTTATGCTTTGCTGGGAAGTTCAAAGGTAAGAACTACTGACGACAGAGCCGCATTGTGATAGTAACGCCAAAACAAGAGCCAAAAGTACAATCTAGACTCGAAAAGTGGATCGTTTTCGACAGCTCAGTAACGCACGGAATCGAGAAATCGGACCAACCCGAGCGCCCTGCGTCGGCTGGGGAAGTGGTGCGAGAACTGCCGGCTTTGAGGCTTCGAGCACAACTGTCCAAACTCGAATGCTTCGCGTTTGCATAACTCTTCCTTGTTCTCTCTGTTTCGCCGAGCGCCGATCCGAAGCGCGACCCAAGAATAGAAACTTTCCACCGGGTTCCGCGCCGCAAATTCTGAGACACTATCACGTGCACCCGTGCCAGCGCAAAAGCAGCCGGCTCTATCCGATTGGATTGGACGTATCAGAGGCCAAGGTTGTGTGTCCGAGGTCATTCGGAGGCCCGGAGCTTTGACTCAATCAATGGCAGCAGATTCAGAGATTTCATCGCATGATGCAAAACAGCACACTCGGCCCGTAGATAGACGGCGCTTTTGAAACTATCGCAGATAGATTCTCATTCTCGTAGACGAAACAATATGGTATACTCGCTCAACAAACATCGCAATCGTTATACATTGCAAGACAGATCCAACCAAGATGCACTCCAGTATCGCACCCGTAAACGCCCATTCCCAAATACTCCAGTCAAGCAAAAGGCCTCTTTCCCGCGGTCCGACATTCCTCGTCGTTGTCGTCCAGCCGCTCAATCTAATACCTTGATGAATCGTCCGCGGTCACTATAGCCAAAGTCAGCTTCCTCCTCTCTCTCACCCATGGACCCCAGCGCAACGCAAAAACAGAAAAAGGCAACATACTCGCCGACTCCAAATCCCTCGGCATGGGCGTCTTCGACTCGCGATAGTTGTACCCCATGTTCTTCAACCGCACGGAACGCATGTACATCTGCTGCTCGCGTGGAAAGTCCTGCGTGCCTTGGGCCTCGGCCGGGTTGTACTGGCGGAAGAGCGCGGCGCCGAGGGTTACGGCGGCGAGACAGGCGACGATGACGATGACGATGACGGCGCCGTTGCTGAGGCCCATTTTCGATGGTTATTTTTGAGCGGGTTCTCGTTGGTGAGGTTGGTTTTGTAGTGAGTGAGTGGATGCTGTGTTGTATTTGTGTGAGGGTGAGATGAGAGAGTGTCTTGTGTGGTGTGTTGCAAGTGAGTGTGAGGGAGGCCGATGTGGCTGGCTCGAGTGGTTCAATGCATAATTCGCTGGGCTGGTGACGATGGAAATGGGATCCGATTTCAGACGGGCGATCGATTTATATATACCCAGTCAAGCTCTCCAAACGAACAGTGCGATCCGATCGCAGATATAGTAACAGTCGAGGCGAGAACAAGAATAAGAGTAAAAATAAGGTGGAGAGTCAGCTCAGGAACAAGAAGTAAAAAACGAGGCAGTGCAAGAGAGACAAGAGTCCAAAACCGGGTCAGCCGGATCTTAAGAACCGACCGCCAAAGCGAGTGAGGTGTATTTTTGTCATATTTTTTTCTTGACCAATTCCACGCGGCCCTGCAGCGATTCACCCTGTCGGATGGTGTTGGCTGGACCGTAAGACGGCCACGGACATGGATTCCTGGATGGAGGGGCCAAGCGCCTCATGGCGATTGGATCGTTGTGCCCTGTGCAAGTGGAGAGTCTTGCACTTTTGTTCCTGAATTTTGGGGCTGTGCTGCTGCACCTTTTCTTGGTTTGGCTTGAGCTTGCTTGGAACCTTCTCTCCCAGACCCGATTCCAGGCTTTCGTCGAGCGATGCTGCCAGCAGCGATTGCATAATGCGATCTTCGTGGTTTGGCGTCATCGGTTTGCGACTCGCCGCCTCTTTGGGCTGTTGGCCGCGGGCCGGAGCGACTTGTTCAAGTTAAGTTGCTGATCGGTCACGCCAAGTGGAGTGCGTCGACTTGCCAGCATCCACCGACTTTGAGATTCATCGCTGACATGGAGAATCAGAATCTCATCTCGGTTTGTCAAGCAGCAGAGCTCTCTCGATGAATAAATCGCTCAAGATTGGATCAACGCGTCCCACAATCCGCTCTCGAACCCCCTCGAGCTCTTACTCGGAGTCCGCGCGCAGCGCACCAGAAAGATTCGACAAACGATCCTCGGCGACCGAGCCTAGCGGCGTGCCGCCCACAATGGGATTGGCTGGCCAATGCAGTTGCGTTCTTGGAACCCTTGACATGACGTGGTCTGGTCTGGTGTTTGCTGTGATCCATGTGTTTGGCCCAGACGCCAGAGTTTCAGGCTGTTAGGCACCAGTTTATCAAGCTCCACTCACATCGGCGAAACTAGGTACTACTGTAAACATATCGAGAAGCGCCCAGACAAATTGAGCCTCAACGTCTACCAACTACCCGTGCACAACTGGTTGACAATGAAGATGCTTCAAAATAGTGTCAGAGCCATGCCTTTTCTCGAGGAACAACAGCCTATCGGTGGCCAAGGAACCCAACTCAGCTGCTGTGCCCAACTCACTTAACTCCTTGTGCTAGGAACAGTCCTATCTCCTTGTGAGGCATTATGAGACCATATCTCACAGAATAGCATAAAAGAGCGCTCTATCATTTTCTACAAATGGATGGAAACCTTCAATTCACTGTTCCTTTTTTTGCTTTCTTTCTTGGGCTCTCTCCGTTGATTCTGATCCCAGCGTTGCTCACGTGTTTACAATGTCGAGAGCATTTTCGACCACCGCCCAACAGCTCCGACCCGACCTTCTCTGCTCCTCCTTAATGTGTTCCTTCTCTGTCCCTTTTCTTTTCTACTTCAACTGATCTATTAATCTACAATACCAGGATTCTTTCTGGGCGCGTCTTCGTTGTGGCCAAGACGATCAGGAGATATCTTGCAGAACGAATCATCGGAATCATCCCCTTTTTTTTTGCAAGGAATTCCGCCGCAGCGACCGAACTCGATTCTTCTTATACTTGACGCGCTTGCTTTATATTCGTCTTGATGATTGGTTTGTGGTCATTGAACCGTACGATAACGCGGACTTTTCCCCTCCATGTCAAGCCAGTTCAATTGCCGCCGTCTCATTTAGCTTCTCCAGTTCCCCAGCACGAACTTGTCGATGAAGAGGCTTGTCCGGCTTACAACCCGAAATACGTTTACCCGGCCAAGCCAGGAGAGATACTTGCCAACCACTATCAACTATTGGTGAAGATTGGCTGGGGAACACGTTCAACCATATGGCTGGCGAAGGATATTAAAAGGTGGGCATTGGCCCTGTCATCCCCTCTGCAAATATAGCCAACATACTAACAGGCGGTTGATCAATAGATATATTTGGCAGTCCGACCGTTTTGTGGCGCTGAAAATAATAAATAACCGCAGCTCTCTCGATGCTTACCATGAGCGCGACATCGAAGAGCACATTTCCCGACAAAACCCGATACCCGCGGTCGTGGGATTATTCGAACCTGCCTGGATAGCTTTGAGGTGACAGGTCCAGATGGGAGCCATTTGTGCCTAGCATATGAGCCCATGCGGGAGCCCCTTTGGATTCTTCAGAAACGTTTCGTTGATCGAAGGCTCCCTCTCCCAATTGCAAAAGCATACCTTCTTATTCTTCTTGCGGGCCTTGACTATCTCCATTCAGAATGCAGGATTGTGCATACGGGCAAGTAACCTGTTTTTAGTTCCTCACTTAACGTCATCACTCCTTTTTTTGCATTACTGATACTCATTTCCTACCAGACTTGAAGCTCGACAATATTTTGATGACGTTCGAGAGCGAAGACATTCTCTCTAACTTTATCAAAGAGCAGACCACTAACCAGCCTATGCAGTACAAGACTGATCCGACGAGCGGACGTACCATTTACCGTTGTCACAATGATTTCGGGTCCCTCGATTGGAGAGAGCTTCGGAAAATGTTGCCTAAAATTGTTGACTTTGGGTTATCAACTCGCCTTGAGAGTGGTAGCCAGGGGCAAGTGAGGAACGAAACAGCTGGTTTTTATCCAATACAGCCGGACCAGTATCGTGCACCGGAAGTCATTCTTGGCTGCCCATGGAGTTTTAGCGCGGATATATGGAATATCGGAGTCCTGGTATGAATACCCACTTAGGACCGGCTAGCATTTGCTTCTGCTTCGCACGAGAACCCAAACAGACACCTTGGTTTCGTTTCCTCGTCACTTTCAACATCCATATAGACCTTACATAACTGACCATTCTGTGACAGGCGTGGAATATAATCGAGAACACCGACCTATTCCTCCATGTGCATGATAGCCAAGCCCATTACAATCCCAAGACACATTTAGCGGAAATGATTGCCCTATTTGGCCCTCCGCCAAAGGAGTTGCTAGCAAAGTCGGAAGCCATGGCAGGATTTAGTTGGTCTAAGCCTATTATGAATGAGACAGGTAGGCTCTGTAATAACGGGCGAGAGTATTTCAATGGGCCTTTAAGGAAAATGGTAAGCGAATGCCGTTCTCCGAATACCCTTCGCTTGGGAAGGCGAGTTTCTTTTTGACAATCTAATCCCCCAGCGGAAACTGGAGGATTCGATCCGTTCCTTGGAGCACAAGGAAAGACAGGCCTTCTTGTCCTTTGTATCCCTTGCGCTTGCCTGGAATCCGGAAGATAGGCAGACAGCCAGCGAGTTGATGGAACATCCGTTTCTGAATGGGTAAAATGAAGAGAAAAGCCATTCCGGATTGTCTTGAGCGTCCTGTTCCCCCCACAAGTGGGGAAACATGGGGGAACCGCAGTGAACTAGAATCAGGAACGACATGGTCCTGAGCGATTTGCCCACGAGGAACATTTTCTTGAGGCAATCCTGCCGACATGTCACAGCAATGCTAGTGACATCTCAAAAGATCGCGTGCTGGATCACAAGAGAGTAGAGCCCTACTCCACGACATGAAGCTGTCACCATATTCCCCTTCAACACCTGATTTAGTTGGATGCCTATGAAGCATCCTGATTTACATTCCTCCTCCGTATCTGAGAAGCTGGCCGGCTTCGCTGCGCCATGATGAAAAAAACGAAAACACTTTCCGCGGAAGCTACAACACAGTGATCTTTCTGCCTGATCCCACACGATTGAACGCTCTAGACAAGCATTATTCCTTCACCATGTCTTTCAAGTTGCTGATCATAAAGTAAAGTACTCCGCTATATGATACGGGTTAGAAAGCAGTAAGATTAGGACAGGCCAGTGGAAAAAGATAGCAGTGCCCTAATAATATATAGTGATACCTATCAGGCGGCTATCATCGAAGAGCCAGGTCTACCTCGATTTACAACTTCAACACCCGACACACGACACCTACTCGAGTTTTCGGTAAAAAAATGCTATATACAGCCATTGAATATACCCGTAACCGGGCCAGCCGGTTATTCGACGGTCGCACCGCCGCACCGTCTCACGTTGGCCAACCTGTAGACCTCGCCCATCCCTTACGACGACAAGGCGCTGATGATGGCGTTGTAGGCTTCCTTGGGCTGGTAGCTGCTGTCGTAGAGCAAGGGAGTGAGCTGGGAGCGCCACGAGTCCTATAAGTGCATGTGTTAGTCTTGTTGGAGTGCGAGGAATCGAGGGCACATACCTTGTCCGAGACACCCCAGACGGTGATGCCGACACACTTGGGCTGGTCCAGGCATGCGTTGAGCAGCTATAACTGTTAGCAATTGCGGGTTCAAGAAGAGGGCGGGCGGACTCACGTTCAGGTAGTCGGCCGACGCAGCCCCAGCGATATCGAGCTCAGTGATGGCGACCTCAGACACGCCGGAATCGGCAAGAGCATTGAGGGCAGCGGCGGCTTCGGTGCTGGACCAGTGGCTCTCGCTGTGAGGGTCAGTAAGTAAGTGATTTCACTCGAGATGGAGAATAAGGGACGCTACCTGTAGTGAGCTTGGGAGCCTGCAGGAACCAGTCAGCAAATCAACGCGAGCGATCCGAATACAGGTGTACTCACCAATTCCATCAATCGGCACCCCGGCAGCCAACCACTGCGAAACATGGCTGACCATCGCCTGCGTCTTGGCGTAGCTCGCAGAGTCCAGGCTAGGTATCCACATTAGCAACGCGGCCTCGAACATGCAGGTACCCAGGTACCACAGGTACTACGACAGATGCACGACGTACTTGTAATCGTTGATGTACAGCTTGGCATCGGGGTCCGCGGCGCGAGCGGCCTCGAATGCAATGCGGACAAAGTCCTCGCCGAGAACGTTGTAGAAGACGCTGTCGCGGAAGCTGCCGTCTTCGTTGAAGATTTCGTTGACGACGTCCTATACCATTATATGAGTTTCTGCCCGAATGAAATAGGTGAATTGCGTACCCAGTGGAAGATCTTGCCCTTGTAGTGGCCCACGACTTCGTTGATGTGGTTCACGATGACCTCCTCGAGGGTTGCGGCGTCGCTGATGGCCGAGACCCAGGATGGGAGCTGCGAGTGCCAGACTATTTACATCAGAAACGATCGAGTGGAGATGGACGGGCGACGTACCCAGCGTGTGGCCACGAACAAGCTTGCCATTTGTCTCGGCATAGTCGACCTGCAAGTGTGAGCGACATCGCAATACTCTCTCCGCGATAACCTACCAAGAAATCCGGCTGGTCAAAGTTGAAACTTCCCTGAGAGGCTGCAAATCGTCAATAATCACTCCCCAACCAACGAATCAAAGATATGGTTTACTCACGCTCAATCGCGTCCCACTTCATGCTATTCTCTGGAGTCAGCGTGCCAAACTGCGCCCGGACGATCGCCTCATTCTGGGTATTCTGCAGAAGAGCCTGGTCGGTGGCTGTACCGAAGTAGGTCTTGCCAGCAGCGACGAAGAGGCTGTTCAGAGTCGACGTCTGGCGACAGATGGCGCGCGAGTACGCGGCGGACGCGAACAGCGCGGTGCTGGCGAGGGACTTGATGAGGACCATTGCGATGCGATTTCGATAGTGGTATCGGTTGCGATTGTTGGAAGAAAAAGAGAGAAAAGAACAAAAGAGCGGACTGGTATTCACGACCTGCGATTGACGAACCGAAACAAACTCAACTCCAACACGGAGGCCATCGCCAGGTTTTATACCATCTGGAAACCATCACGCCGTGGGAGGCAGACCGACGCACTGGGCGTTTTAGGCTAATTGACTCTCTTCCCCATTCGGCGCGGACTGAAGCAATCATGTATCGAGAAACGATCGACACTGATTTTGCGAGGCAGGAGAATTTGTATGGGGTTGAGGCGTTTCAGCCAAGCATTGTTAATTTATCCAGGGTTTCCAGACTCGGTCTCGGAGGTTATGCCGCAGTGGAGCAGCGCCCATACTCCGTACTCCAGGCTGCATGGCGATGCCACAGCCGGCAGATTCTCTGCATCCCCGCATTTTCCCTTGTCTTTAGCCATTTCTTACTGTTCCTTCGGTCCGTGGTTATTCTGCCGCCGGGTTGATGCCTTTTTCAGCAGGGTCACTGTGGGTGTTTTGTCTACTGTGCCGAAGGGGGTCGTGTGGGGCTCGCGTCTTGGATTGATTGCGGCTGTCCCCCTACGTATTTTAGCCTAAGGAAGCTTTGAGATGGCTTGGAGCTTGCAATCGTGAAACTGGAATAGGAGTGAAGATGATGAATTACGAACATAGGCATGTTTCGTGCCCAGTGTCGGCTTGGGACTAACTGACCCTGGGACTTGTTCGGCAGATGCCCAATCGGTGGGGTTCCATCGCTGCTCTCCAGTAGGTATCTTGATACTTTATACATGGCGGACTAGCAGTGGCAGTGTACCGGAGCCACCGTGATGCTCGCCATCTCTTCAAGATGAAGACAACTCTATTTTCCATCCCTACTTCAAAACATACCGCACACCACCCCCCAACATAGCCTTGGCATACTGCTCATGCAACCACACCACGGGCGCCGGCATAAGCTTTTCTCTTGACACTCCAAGCCCTTGAAAAAAAAGCGACTTGAACGCAAACTCTACCATATTATTCTCCCGATCAATGCTCGCGCCAAGCTCCATCAGCGCATCGAGCGGACGCAGGCCCCGAACCGACGTCTTGCCTCCGCCGCGGATGAGTATGGAGCTGGCCGTTCGATCGATGACCTCGAAGTTGCCCGCGATGTCGGTCCCGACGCTGTATTGTGAGTGTAGGAGGTCGGGGCGTGTCCAGATTTGCGGTTTGGTCCCGTCTCGGTTCTCGATGAGGGAGAGGAGGATTCGGTGAGGGGCGAAGCCTATTCATTGTCGAGGCAAGATATTTGGTTAGGAACATAACTCTGCCTAAGCCATCGAGGATATGGCAATGAGCGGTCCTCCTTACCTATGCCCGCCCAGACTCCACCACAGAACCTCTCCAGCAACTTCTCCTGGTCCTCTAGAAGGCCTGGTTCGATTCGATGTAGGGGCACGCGTATGACGTGCAAGTCGTGTATCGTCGGATTGCCATTGGGGTTATATGCCGCATGGAACTGTGAGTGGAAGATCGTATCCGACGCTTGCATTGGTACAGTCTCGATACCATGCGTGAGGTAGACGAAGAATAGCCCCGTGCCAGCCACGCCTGTTGCCGCGGTGCCCCCGAGGATCTTCCATGGGATTGGCATTTCTCGGATCGTGGTCAATACACAGCGACTGAACCCAGAAACTCAGTAATTTGGGAGCTCGGAAAGACATTCGAGCTTCGTCTACAGTCTACCCGTGACTGGCTTCTACTTATGAAGAAAACGGGTCAACAAACTATGCCATTTTTGCTCACAAATCCCGAAGCCACCCGTCGACCCCCGATTATTAAGCGGCGAGCCCTCAGCCCTACCCACCTTTACGGGAAGAATACCGAGTACTCACTCAGCCCAGTGCTCGTCTACGATGCAGGTTTGATTGCGCCCTTGAATTTATCCTTCGGATCGTACTTCTTCCTCAGAGCTTGAAGTTTGTCCACATGCGCGCCCCAGAACTGTGACAAGGGTCAAATCCGAACATTCAACTGGGAGGCAGGTGAGCATTTCAACTTACCAGTTTTGGGTCAAGATATTCCTCATATCCATTTGGCAGGTAATTGATCTGAGCATCTTTACCTAGAATTTTCGACGGTAGCTCAATAGCCAGCTCTCTCACCAGCCTTTCCTTGTCCGGGCCAGCATCTGCAGGACACCCAGGGCCAAGAAGAAGGATATGCTTTGCGCCGGGAGGTCTAGGCCAGGCGACGCTGGTATTTGAGCCTGCTGGGTCTCGCTATAGGTATGACTGTTATTATGGTATGTTTAAGAGGTTGTGTTAGGTTAGGGAGCGTACTTACACAACACAGCACCTCAAAGATGAGATAGGTGCAGTCTGCAACCGACTCATCGATACCTTCTAGGTCCTCGAACCATTTGATCGCGCTGATGATGGTTTCTTTCGGAAGATCCTGGAGCACGAGGGGTACGAAAACCTGCTTCATCGTGCCTTTGGCGGTTTGGACCTTGTCTAGACGGCCATCAGCAATCCACACACAAACAAAGGTGGAACGGAACATCCAGACCTTGCAACTGGATCACACCGGCAAAAGTGGTAACCCTCGTCTGGTCAATTGCCCCAGGAATACTCAGAGCCCATCGGAAGCTCTCCCGGCCGTGCGCTTCGCCATTCGCATCATATGCATGGATAACCAGCATGTCCGAGTCGATGTTTCCCAGGGACGCGAGGAGCTTCTTCTTCATCACATAGAGGAACATGGTAATCTTGGGATCAGGCTCCCGAGCAAGAAACCCTGTAAGACCATCCGCGACTGTCTCAAGTTGACCCCTAGGAACAAGAATCGGGCCCGCCCATATATCCTGCGGATACGGGAAGACGCGGAGGATCACGCTGACGACAACTACACTTTTTGTTCAGTATACCAGAACATGGCTATACTCGTAAGAATGGAAGGCTGGAAAGGCTGCATACCACAAAACCCACCACCACCCCCTCTCAACGCCCAAAGCAACTCCGGCTCAGCCGAAGCCCAAACGACCGACCCATCATACTTGACCACTTTTGCATCGAGCATATTGTCCGGATCTGAGATGCATCCGTGCTCGTTTGACAGCCACGAGATCCCGCCCGTGACGACTGTTCCTGCTACGCCGACGGAGGGGGTTCGTGCGCCGACGACTGGCTAGTGTGTCAGACTCGGCTACGTCACAATAGACAGGTAGGAGTCTACCTATGTTGGTAGGCGAGTAGAGACGTACTTCCATACCCGGGCGCTTCCTCTTCCATCTTCCGATAAACATCCACCCACGTCTGTCCGGCACCGATAGTGGCTAATTCCGAGTGTGGATCGAAGTGGAAGTCGTCAAAGGCCGATGTATTCACCAACACGTCATTTGCAGACGTAGACCCAAAGCCATGCCCGTAGATCGCGAAATCGAGGGTTGTACTGTAGAGATAGGCGATGACATTGCTTAGGGTTCCCACGGAGGTTGGCCGGATTACGAGGCGTGGGGTCAGTTGTTTCTGGGCCGCCCATGTTTGGCTGTACGGTCGGTACTCTGGGGAGTCTGGGGCGAGGATTTCGTTGGCTTGGAGGAGGGACTCTAGGGTTTTGAGCTGGGTTTCGCGGGTCTCTGATTCGGCCATGGCGCGATATCTAATTTGAATATGGAAGGGCTGCTATATGTCAAGAAAGTATCTCCGAGTCCCTGGCGACAATGTGAGAATTGTCCGAAAGTCGAGTAAGACAAGCAGCGAAGATCGACTTTATCTATCGGGCCGCCCGGCACGGGAAGTCTGACCACCCACGGTCCACGAATCGTAGATTGTGGGGTCGGAACAAGGGTGAAAAGGCTATTTGCTGGTCAAGTATACCCTACCAAACCAATTGGCGATTCCCTTTGATAGCCGGTGTCCAAATCAACAGACTTCGGAAACGAGAGCACGATGGCCAGCCCTACCATGTAAGCAACCCCGTACTTTCACATCCCCTTCTACTCCTCGGTCTGAACATGATAGTTACCCTAGAATCCGCCCATAATATTGGTAAGATAGCCCTAACTGTACTGACGGTGTAATGGCTATTCACTGTTCCGTACGGGGTATACAGTGACTATATAGCAGATCTGCCGCCAGTTCTTATGATATAAGGCTGGTAGAGCGTTTACATAGCCAGTGCTTAAAGGAGGTTTTTGAATGGCGCCTGCGCTGGTACAAAAGTTATGAACGGGAGCGGAGGGGATTAATAACCGAGTATTGACTTATGGGGACGATTGAAGAAGGTTGAAAGTCTGTTTTCATTTAATATCCGAACGAGTGACTGGGTTAAATGTAGGAGAACCACCCGAAAGAATAGCTAAACCAGAAAGATGAAGTAGAGGTCTGCTCCGAGGATGCAATGACTGCAGTTTCTGCAAATATCACTGCGTCACGCGTGTCAGGTGGCCACCCGTAAGACACCATATGCTTATCAATCTCGATAAGACGACCTCTACCTACAAAAGCGAAGTGTATAGAGACTGGAAACATTGACTAGTTGCTGAATGCAGGTTCCTGGCCAGGGGCGGATGCCCAAGGCATGCATGAATGCCCTTTTGGGAGCTGTACGATACGACTCGAAGAAATATGACTCCGAGCGCTTCAGCACCGTGAATATATAGTTGGATCATTATGGCCAGACGTGAATGTGCCTGAAAAGAAACAAGGAGTGGCGCGGCGGAGGTCAAAGGGTCAATCGGAAGTTTATCAAGGAGCCCCAGCACCCATGGTTTCATGTTACAGAGCCCTCTTATATTTGCCTTTTCCGAGAAACTCTACGCCAGGTTAGAAGTTGGTTAACTAAGCAGTCCAATTCATCTATAACTCTTAAACAGAAACATATCCATGCTGCAAGGCAATGCTCAATGCTCACGCAACATGTTCAAACCCCATAAGTCGTCTTGACACGACCATTCTCCCTCTCCAAAAACTCCCCAAAGGTCCCCAATGGAATCCCCCAGGCGCGCACTTTCTCCATATCAACACAATCCACCATATCCCGCATCATCAACTGCCCTCCCAAAAACGGATTCCCGGGGATCTGAGCATCAATCTCCTCCTGCGACATGTAGTGGATCCTGACTTCCCTCCCCATAACTCTTCCAAGAGCCCGAACCAGCTCCTCAAACCCCATGAGCTCCGACGCAATCTCAAACTCCTGCCCGTTGAACCGCTGCGGCTCAAGAAACGCGGCTGTCGCAAACTTGCCAATGTCGTTTGGGTCGATCATGGGCAGGACCACGTCGGGCGTGAACGCAGTCGTAATCTCAGCCTTTTCGACCAGTCCCGCGTACATCATGCTTACGTGCGGGGCAAGCACATTGGTCATGAAGTTTCCGGGCCGGATGATGGTGTAGTACTTGAATCCCGCGGAGCGAACCGCCTCCTCGACCTGTTGCTTGCTGAGCAGGAGCTTGGTCACGAATCCGTCGGGGTTATAGTGCCGGCGACGCTCGGGGTGGTCGACGGAGAACCCACTCGCGTAGACGACATGTTCGACGCCAACCTCGCTGGCAACAGAGAGGAGGCGCTTGGCTTGGGAGAGCTCCTGGGTTATATCGGCGAGGTTGGGCATGAGGTTGATGAAGAGGCCCTTGCAGCCGCGCATTGCGGTGCGTAGGGAGTCCTTGTCGTTGAAGTCGCCTTGGAAGAGGGTGACGCCCGCTGCTTTGAGGGACTGGCTAGCGGCAGAGGAAGGGTTTCGGGCGATGGCGTGGGCTTTTAGGGTGGTGGTTTTGAGGATGTTGGTGGCCACGGCGCCGCCCTGGGTGCCGGTTGCGCCGCAGACGAAGATGGTTGTGGTGGACATTTTGGCAATTTTGTGGTGTAAAATGGTGTGAAAAGGAATGTTGTAGTAGTACGGTAACTGAAACTATGTAGTAGAAGGTGTTAAAGGAATAGATAGATCTTGTAGTAGATGTTGGTTGAGAGGTAGAGGACTGGATGGTCTCTCATAGCCAGGCACACATTGCCTTTATATACTTGTTTACCCTATTATATCCAGACTCAACACGACATGTCTGCGGAAGAAACTCAGCGGAGTTCCACCTTGTTGTAGGCAGCAATCCACTTCGGGTGTCGAATTGATCCTCCAGGTTCCTGATACTGGATACGCTGTGGAGGCCCTGGTGCTCGTATAGAGCGTAGTTTAGCCGTGATTCGCTGGCGGAATTCCGCCGGCCCCCACAGCTGCTGCGCCACTCGCGCTCTGTGCTCAAGCTGACTCGGAGGTCGTCAATTTGGACCATGTTTGCGCACCTCCGCAAACCACTGCATCCGCACCTCTCGAGCCCATCAAGCCATAATGAGCTCCTCTGTAGAACGGGACAACCCACCTCCACGGCGCAAGTCCTGCGAAGCGTGTAGAGCAGCGAAGCGCCGCTGCGACCTGGCCCTCCCGGCCTGTTTCCGCTGCACGCGACGAAATGTGGCCTGCGTGTACCCAGGCTTGCCAGCCCCGGACCTCATGCCGGAGCTGCTGGCCCTGTTTAATCAGCCCGACGTGCCTGAGCCCCGCATGACGCAGTTTACCCTCGGCACCACGCCCACATTCGATCCTGTCCTGCTTGAAACGCCCCCGCCGTCGATCCACCAACCCTCGCCTTCGCCTCTGGAGAATCGGCCACAGGAGAGCCCTATCTCGGTCACACACTCGCATAGCTTCGAGATAACGCATGTTCGGACCAGAGCTCATGCTCCGCTCTCTGAAATCATGGCCTCGCGGTTCCAGTATGCTCTCGATACGCTCAGCGACACCCCGCGGATGATGGTCGCCGAGAACCAGACGCCGTGGAGCCATCGAGAGCTATACAGTGATGGCATGCCAAAGGTCATGCAAGGTATGTGTCCCTTCTCTCTAGCTTAATCCTACTGACATTGTAGACGCCTACGCCTGCTGCGCCCTGTACATCACCAAAAACCCCATCAACGGCCCTGTCATCACCTCCCACATCCACACCCGCCACCAGGAACTCATCCTCACCCCCTTACCAACCTCAACCCCCGACCTTCTCGCCCACACACACGCCCTACTGATCTACCGCATCATGCACATCTTCGACCCCGACCTGCACAACGCCCTAACCACATCCCCCTTTGAGTGCCTCAGCATCTCCGCCCTCGAATCCGCCGCCGTCCTCCTCTTCAGCAGCACGCACTTCCCACCAGAGTCCGACCCATCAGACAGACTAATGAACAACACCCCGCTCCTCCCCTCCACCCTCGAATCAACCATGCACTTTTGGAAACTCTGGATCGTCGAAGAGTCCGCGCGCCGCACGATCCTCTTCACCTTTTACTTTCTCCAGATCGTGCGGCTTCTCCGCGGGGAGCGCAATCTGCACTGTGATGGGAAACTGGGGCTGCTGCACGCGTGGTACGCTTCTGCGTATCTGTGGGGGGCACAGTCGGCGCTGGACTTTGCGGTTGCGTGGGCGGAGCGCGAGCATTTTATTGTGCGGAATGTTAACTTTACAAAAGTGTTGAGTGAGGCGCAGCCCGGGGATGTGGATTGTTTTGGGAGGATGTTGCTGGTGACGAGTCAGGGGATGGAGAATATACGGGAGTGGTTTAGTGCGCGGGGGAGCATACTGTAACCTTTTTCGTCTTGATATGAGTTTGAGGCATAGTTCATGGAGTCTACGCGTGTCTGTTGAAGTAATAGTGTAGAAGTAGTCAGAATCTACACACGTATATGCTTACCTCACCGATTGTACATCTTGACACAAGCCCCAAGGGCAAGTGTGAACGGCTGACTGCTCCTCCCAAGCCCAACAACCACCCATCGCGCCTCGTGCTTCCGAAATTCTATCATTCCTTCCTCTTTCGAGGGCCTCCATCGCTCCTTCTCCGACCTGAACAGCTGTTCCATAAGCATGGCCTTGTTGTCGCGAAACCTTCTTAGAAGCCTGGTCTAACAGAAGCTGCTAGGCTTAAGCGCCTTAAGTTCGTAAGCGCGATGGACCATTCATTCCTTCCAGATTTGGAATATCGCCCATCGCACCTTCCATACTGTGGTTGGTACATGGTGCCTTCCTAAAACAGATTTCGTGCCCCGTGAGGAAGGTACAATGGCGGGACACAGGTCGCCCCTTCCGTATCTACATGACTGGATTAGAGCGCTGGTCATCGTCCTTTCCTAGAGGGTCGGTCTGACATGCTACCTTTCTCTCTTGCTTCTCGTGAGGCGGGTAGGCTGCATGACATATACACGAATGCAGATTACGTCTTTCCATCTCAGACGACTGTCATAGTACTGTAGTGTCTGTAGTACTACGAGCCTAAGAGTTTACGTTGCGCATGATCACGGGCTAGCAAGTTGCAGATGTTCATCAGGCAGATGGTCGAACCAACGGTACCAGTAGTCTGGATATACTGAGAACCAAATACCAGGTAGTCTAGCCCATAATAACCAGCCCGCCTCACTTATTCGTCGGCTCGGGCTCGTGTACTATCTCAGTCTTCCTCTCCGCTTCCTCTGCGCGACTCCCCTCCCGTCCCTCCCCCTTCCTCGACCTCCCACAACGGGAACAGCAACAAACCATAAACGTCGCAATAAGCCTCGTCGCCCTAGCTCCTATCAACAAATCCCTTCCTCATCCACGAAAGGCCCAAGGAAAAGAAAGACAAACGACTCACCCCAAAACAAACGCCATAGCCATCGGGACCCCGTCAATCTCTGCGAACCCATAGGGCCTCAAATCCGGTCCTCCCCCGGCATAATGGGTGAAAAGCACCGTCACGCCGCCGATGATCGCGAGGATCGCAACAATGATATCGAGCGCGATCGTCCACCTGGTCTCTGCTGGGCCCCGGAAGTAACTGAGGAGTGCGAGGGGGTCAAAGGGGAGCGCGAGCGCGGCCTGGGGGTTTATGGTATCAGATGAGAGATCTGTTGAATGGATGGATTGAGCACACGCACCGCAGATATGGCCACCGGGTATCGTCTTGCGCTGTCATGCGGCCCGAATTCCACGGCGACGTAGATGAAGATTACGAGCGTTGCTAGGGCGATCAGGAAGAGGAGGGTGCGGCAGATGATGTGTGCGTGGAGCAATTTACCTTTACGCCGACGAGGCCGCTGCTGTGGCCGAGGTGAGGAATCGTTCATGTTGTGGAGCGCGAGTGGCTCGTCCTCGCACGAGATCTAGAGATCCTCGAGCGCGAACGCCGGATACTAGGCGGTACCTAGTGAAGCGATGGATGTGAGGAACGTGGCATTCTACCTGGGGAAGACGCATTTATAGCGAGCTTGGCCAAGACATTCGAGGAGCTAACTAATGAAGGGAGTACGTACTCGTCACCAGGGTCTATAGTATGAACGTGGCAGTGCAAACTCAATTCCAAGGTGGCCTATAGGTAGGTCCATGAAGGGGTCAGAGCGCTGAATCCTCACATCAACGTCTGCATCTTTGATCCATAAACGAGTCCAGTATGTATTCACTAGTACCTAGGTGCCCAGGTATACAGGACGCTCATAACCCCAGCTCATAAACTCCTCAACCACGTCCTGCGGAAACCGTTCCTGAAACCGCTCCTCCCATGTCCCCGCCTCTTCTCTCCCCCCCTTCTCCCGCAAGAACCCAGCAATCTCATCGAATCTCAGTTTCATCGCGAGAAGCAGTGGCGCTCCCATGAAGCCATCCGGCACATTCTTCTCCCTCGAGCCCATACCTCGGTAGTATTCGACGTTGACATTTGCGCCGTGTTCCACGAGCAGGCGCACCAGGATCTCGTGTCCGCGACTCACGGCGGCAATCAGCGGCGGGACGAGATCGTCGGACACGCCGAGTGTGCATTCCCCGCCGTAGTGGCTGTTTAGTTCTGTCGAGTCATTCCATTCATGGTCTGGTTTCGCGCCGTTCTCGAGGAGGATTCTTGCGATTACACCGTCCGCCTGTTCCATGCTGAGCGTTAGGGCTCGCGTTCCGTGGATCCGGTGCGTGACCGGGGTAAGCAGGCGGACCATCTCCTCGTGGCGCTCCTGGACGGCAATGAGCAGCGGAGGCGTACGCCATCCGCCTGGGTAATCCGGGCTCGCCCCCTTATCCAGGAAGAGCCGTGCGAACGCAAGGTGACCCGTCCCTGCCGCCCAGCGAAGCGGAGTATCCAGCGAGCCGTCGCGGGAGGCATCAAAAGAAAAATCCAAGCCATAGCGATATTTGCGCAGGAGCAGCGGGACAAGGTGGAGATGCCCTCCGAGCAGGGCGCCCTCCAGCGCCCCCTTCATCCCAGCCTCGTCCGGCGGGTTTGAGTCGTCCGCCAGGAGGATCTCGACCATCTCCCGGCTCCCCTGCCGCGCGGCAATCTGGATCGGCCAGTCCCCGTAAACGTACCAGCCCGTATCCTGCCGTATGCCGCGACGGAGGAGCACGCGCACGACCTCGGCGTGGCCATGGGCTACAGCGGATGCGAGAACCCACAGTTTCTGCATGTCGGTCATGTGGATGTGGCATTTGAGATTGAGGAGAAAGTCTACGATCTCCGCGTGGCCGTGTTCGACGGCCGTGCACAGTGGGTGAGGTGGACCGGGGGTATCGGGGGGTAGTCCTTTGGCAAGCTGTTGCGGATGGATCTCTCCTAGCAGGAGCGCGCAGGGGACAGGAGGCACTTTTGCACCGTGGTCGAGCGACTTTTTCAATAGGTCGATGTCTCCATATGTGGCCGCCCAGTGGATGGCGTGCTGGGAGCCCTGCGCATCGTGCTGGTAGATGACATGATCGGCAAGGGCGTAGAAGCCACGGCTTGTGAGGGCTAGAGCGTGAAGTGCTTGGAGGGAGTCTATGGATGCGATGATGTGCACCAAGAGCTCGACCGGCAGATTGGGAAGAGACATTTGGAGAGAATGTGGAGGAAAGAAAGAGTCGAGACTCGATGAGGAGTCGAGAAAAGCTCCAGCCTATTAGTAGTACGGCTCAGCCTCAATCTACTCGCTAGTCGCGGTAGCGGGAGCCAAACTGCGGGGAGGAGACAGCCCGCGCACAAAGTACGTGAGAATCTGGAAGCCCAATTGATATTAAGAGACCTTTGGTCAGGCAAACTTGCCGTTTCGGCTGCTTCTCGCTCTCCAGGAACAGCTCTTTGTTGCTGCCCAAGTTGCTTGCATATCGACATGCACGAGCTGCAATGATCTGATCCCGAGAGCTCCGCTTGGCTCATTCACTGCATCACGCCTTGCAGATCAACCCTGAGCTGAGGAGTAACGGAGGAAAGTGGTTGATCTGCCGATGACATTGCCTTGGACAAGGAACAGTAGTAGGGTTGTCTAGAAATCAAGTCTGAGCGCCAAAGCCATACTAAAGACATGCTTTTTATTCGCGCCATGATTTGCTAGTATTGAGAGCAGATACATAGAAGAGTTTAAAGAATACTACAACCCACAGAAGCGGAGTTCTATGTCTCACTCAATCAAATACAGAAGTTATGCATATAGGAGAAAAGCCATATCAGGTAACAATTTCAAGAATAAGGAAAAAAGTTCTGCAAGAACCAGAACAAATAAACACAAACACGGCTGGTAAAAAAAAAAGAGCTATTGCTGGAGCCTGAGCGTCTAGGAAGACATGTTGACTGTGCCTGCGTTGAGGTAGGCCTAAGAGAAGAGGTTTAATCAGCCTCCAAGCTGCATCCCTTACAACTTTGAGTGGAAAGGATGGACGTACACGTTTGAGCTGCCAGCGACATACCTTCATGAAGAACTGAGTATATGAGAAGTATATAAAGTGGTTAGTGTCGGGAAGGCTGGTCCGCCAAAGAGACGTCTGGGTTTGGCCTTATAATCGGCCTCAGCGTGGTTGTGCTGGGAGTAGTCGGCCCCTCGGAGGGATCGAGCTTTGCCTTTTCAGAGTCATAGGTGGCGCCTGGGGCTGCGGTGGGCTCCAGTGGGGGAGAAGCAGAAGGAACAGACGTCGGAGGATATCGGCGCGCACTGGAACTGTCAGATGGGGATTTCGTAGGTATAAATTGAACATACCGAGGTGTCCACCAAGGGCCTTCCAAGTTTGGCTGGACGTTTGTAGCGCTTGTGCAGGTAGTAATCGGTCAATCTCAACCACAGATGTTACATAAGTATCAGTGCAGGCCGCCTGAGTTTCTTGCCCTAGGACAGACAATATATTGCACAGAAACAACGCCAGCAATGGATAGAGCATATTGAACAAAAAAAGAGTGAGTGGGATTGAAGAGATTGAAGATGATGGCTGAAGTGAGGGACAAGTGTTGGCTTATAAGCGCTGCTCTGAGCCTTGCGTTGCGTTGAAGAAGAACAGTGGCACCCATGGCCTCTTCTTTGTCAGATCTTCTTCCTCGGGCAAACCTCTTGTGTAACAGTGTAAGCCGCGTCGTGCATCAAACAAAACAGCCTGACGAATGATGATAAGTGTCGATAGATCCGAGCCTCCGAACCAAGCATGCCTAGGACCGGCCAACGAAGCCTTCTCAGAAGCCAAATGGCACACTGAAGGATCTGCTGAAACTGCAGAAATATGTCTGACGGCCCCCAATGTTTGGGGCAACGGATGCTCAACTTTGCTCTCTTCAAGTCAGCAAGATGGAAAACGCGGGCAACCACAACATTTACGCACAATTCTGGTTCCCATTATTTCTGGAATTACTGGCAATCGCTGTCTTTGTGCTGACAGCATGGACAGCCCGGACAACGCATTCCACCAAGGCGACGATTGCTGGGTGGAGAATCAGCTCCGCCTCAACTCTGGCCTTGCTAGGCATTGCCCAAGGCGTTCTATCCACAATACTCACCGCTGTGCTCTCCTTTTTGTTTGAAGTAATGCAATGGGCATTGATTAGACGCAAAGATGGCTTGGCATCCATCGCACTGCTTGGGATCTCTCCAACCACTGGGATTCTTGGATGTCTGAAAATCATCTTTAGTCGGCGATGCAAACTTTCTGACAGAATATGGCCCCTTTTTCGGTAATATCTAACGACTGCCTGGATCTCTGCTGTACAGGCTGACATTTTCTGCACAAGGCTGGCATCCACGGTGGCTCTATGGGTGTCGGGTGTCATTCTCTTTGGTAGGATACCAAGGTGACCTTGACCAACAAGTTGTCGCTAATCCTTCAATAGCCAATACTGAGATGGGGACGGCGTACGAGCCCGTATTCAACTACAATGCGACTGCTGGCGTGGGTCAATTCAACGGATCCTATGCTCGCGACTACATTGGAAACCTGCAGAATAATGCACCAGGATATCCGTACTCAATTGTTCCGTATTGGATTCAGGCAACTGTCAACGATCTTATCATCAGCCCCTTGCATTCGGTCGCTAGCAAGCCAGTACCTGTCGCCGCATGCGCTGCGCATGGCTCCAGCTGCGACTCTTATTTACTTCCAGGAGGGCTGCTGAGTTCAAGTCCGTGGCCTCCTACTGACCATCCATCAGCGACTGTCATCAGATTTTCCAATGCTCCATCAATACAATTCGACTTTTACAAAGAAACCGGCCAAGGCATCCAATTCAGGGATGGCGACTGCAGTATATATGGAAACCGAACCTCCTTGATCGGCATCAAGTTTTGCATCTCGGAGAGCCAGGCTTTTGAGGGCTCATTCAGTGCTGGTAGGAGAGTTCTCTACCTGTTTCTCATTCTTGCTTATGTATTTATTTAGGCCTCTACGTCTGTCCTGGTGGTGGATGGGACAATGCATGCCGTCTGGGGGATGCACAGTTCTATCCCAACCTTACAACAACCTTTTCGGTCTTTAGCCGCAGCTCTACTTTTGTTGCTGCCCGATCTAACATGAGTATTCTATCCGTGACCTCTTTAGGGTCACCCACTCAGAATCCCGCTCTTGACCTGGCGGGTTTCCGATTCGCGATAGACTGGATCCTCGATTACAGCGCTGCCAATATCCCCAGCCCAACCTCAATTGCAGAACAGTTCTTCGTCAGCCAAAGGCAACTCCAGAGTATCTTTTGGTCACCTGTAGTGGTCCAGCATTTCTACAGCATTATTGCTTTCCCCTTTTGGTCTTTCAACGCCAACAATTTCGGGAGCATGGAGGAATCGGGGACGGGGATCACGCCAAACCTCCCCGAGGAATTCTACGTTACGGCATCAGTCTCCGTGCCACACAGCAAGATTGTCATCAGCACGGCCATGTTTTCGATATTCCTCACCCTCCAGGTCATTCTTCATCTGTTCATCTGGGGTGTGTTTGCGTGGCTTTGCATCAAGCGTCCTCTTCTTCCTGCCATCACCTCTTACCCGCTTTTTGATTTCGCGTTCAAGACCACCTGTAAGCCCGTGAGGCTTAGGGAAACCCAACATTATTATCACCTATCTCCGCCAAGCACTTTACCGACTGGGAGACTAGGAGCGAGCGACGGAGATGTGCTGTCGATTCTGGAGAACTGCACGCATACTCTCCGCTCGGATGACGATCTCGTGCGTTTGGAGGATCAGAATCAGCAGAGGCTGGCGCCTGCCACTCCCCTGACCACCAGGTAGTCTGCCTTTTTTTTTTACCCCTTTTGGTTGATCCCATTTACACGTCGAATTCAATGGCCCGTCTGCTATCTCGGATGTAGAGGTGTACATCTATATCTTTAGTATAGGTTCATGGCTCAGCCATAGCCTGATCAACTACCTAGGTACATGCAGCCCCCGTAGTCTTAGATCAACATGCACCCATGACCCCTCAGCTATGAATAGCCTTGCTGACCTGCAGGGCGCATGCAGTGAATAATATGGATCGAGCGGAACTCTCGGAATCGGATCATGCGTAGCCTGCCTCTAATAAAAGCTCAAACAACATCGCGGTCAGAGCAACGATGCGCATGTAGCGTAACCACGCATTAGTGAGAACTGGTAGCATCTTAGCAAGAGGTCGTTCATAAATACTAATAGAATTGAAATCATATTCAACCAGATCCATCTAATCCCCCGATCTCGGAGATAAGTTCCGTCTGCAGGTCAAGGATATTTTTCAAGAGTTCATGACGCACTCACTGAGTTTTAAGAATAGAAGTAGCAAAGTAATATAGTTAGTGTAGCTTGGTCCATGATCCAACGCACCCCAGCCGGAGTTCCAACCTCTCCCAGGACCTAAAATTACAGTGCAAAAGATAAAACGCTTTGTTTAACAAAAGTACAACCATTTTCAGGACAGCAGGGAAAACCTGAAAGACAAGCGCAGGACAAAAATCCTTGCAGCATATTCCGCCTCGGAGATTCTCAAAAGATTCGAAGTCATTTATGACTCTGCTAATCAAATCATCGAATAATTAATCCATATTTCATACAAGGAATGCTTTTCATAACCCAATCCTTGACAGTGAACCCAGTTTCCCTGTAGTGAATGGATCCTAATCCAGTTGCGCGTTCTCAGGATCGTTTATAGCTTCTCGACGCTAGTTCCGAAGGTATGGATAGTGTCTGCCACATTTATACCAATGTCGCTTTCACAGGACAGTTAGTTAAACATATACCTAGGGTGGTGAACATGTAAAGAGGGGGTACGCACTCGACTACTCAGACGGACAAGTCTTCGCCTCGGAATATAAGCGATGATCTTGCTGAAGTGCTCATTGTGGTTCAGGATTCCGCTGTAGTAGAATGAGAAGGGGTTTCCTACTTTCTTCATGCATTTTATTAGCAGATTTTCCTTTCCGAACATATGGTTGCACGGCCCTAATCCGTTACGCGCGCGGTTTGTGTCGATTGAATCAGGGGGTTACGTTTGTTAGATAGCTCCTCGTGACTCTGTGGCACATACTGCATAAATATGAATACACTCCTCAAAGTACTAATAAGATATATTTTATTGCAATAAATATACACATAAATCACCGTAAAAGCACCATTGCAGCCCCCAAAACTATTGACCCAACCGCATTAAGCAGCACCCTTCCGGGAACCCCCCAACCCCCATCCCCACCGCGCAACGCAGCCGCCGCATTCGTCTCACTCGGATCTTCCTCCGCAGTGCTCCCCTCCGTATCCTCCCCAGAGTCTCCACTCCCCTCACCACTGCCACCAGCCAGATCCGTCGGCTTATGAAGCAGCACAAGCGGCTGAACAACCGCCTCGGCCACCAGCGACGGCACATCGCTCGCCGAATACGTCGTCGTCTCCGTCATCCACGAGATCAGGCCCGCGCTCATGCTCCACTGGACATCGGTCCTCGACATGCCGGCAACGGGGAAGTACGTCACGCACGCGGTCGAGATGCTGTAGTCTTGCAGCGAGGAGCGACAGCCGCCAATCAGATTGTTGTGGATTGTCATTGAGCTGCAGATGCCAGGAGATGATTAGTCCAACAATACAATATAGACCCGTTGTAAAAGGCGGGTAGGTATGAGGGGGACGACTCCTCACCTCGGACAACACATGACCGCCGTCTCACTCGGATCTAGCAGACTCGCCAGCGCATCCTTGTACGCAACCTGCGGCCCCGGAACCCCCGGGTCCGCCTCGTACGGAACCGTAAACAATCCCGCCCGCGAGACTGACGGCCCGTCCCCGGCGCGCCCTACAGCGCCAACCGTCTCCCAGCCCTCGGGACACGCCGGCGCAGGCGAGTATACGAGCGCGGCGTGGTAGCCGCCCAGGGTAGGTGTCGCGCTCGCTTCAGAGAGGACGGACGGCGCGTTTGGGTCCGTTGGTTCGGGGTAGCAGGTGAAGAGGCCGTTGTCGCACTGGGCGTAGAGGCCGACGAGGGGCCGGTCGAGAGAGAGGATGCCAACGAGGGGACCGTCGGTCTCGTAGATGAAGGCTTGTTTGGAGCAGGCGCTGGGAAGGGACCAGGGGGTTGTGAGCGGGCCCCAGTTTGTGGTTGCCCAGGAGAGGGTGGCGGTTGTGGTGGGCATTTTGACGGTGCTGGGGATGTTCGTGGGAGGACGAGGGCGTGTCTTGTGATGAAAGGTTGGGGATCTATGTAGCGCATTGATGGGGGAAAAGGGTTTTATGATTTATGCGCCACGAGGGCACAGATGATTGCCCGGCCTCGGGAGATTGGCGGGAAAACCGGGGGGTCGAAATGAGGCTAAGGGGGAACAAGAGGAACTAGAGGCTTAGGTTGCATTCCGCCCAGGCACATGCGGCTCGTTCCGATAAGATCAAGAGGGGAGATTTGGCATATAAAAAGGTAAACTATGATACAACAAAGTATAATACACGTGCAGTCTTCACTGGCAATTCGGAACATACCAACTGGATTCATCCCTTGGCATCTTTTCCGAGGCCATCACCTAAACCCCATACCGAAACTCGCGCACCTTCTTCTGGTAGTAAAACGAAGCCAGGCATCCCGCGCCTGCAAGCGCCAGAGGAATAGGCGCGCTCCACTTCGTCTTGATCGACCTGGCAATTCCAGACCCAAACAGAAGCAGGCTGTTGCCCAGGGCGAGCTCCGTGCCGTAGTCCTTGTTCTCTTTGATCAGGTAGCCTGTACGGGTTAGCCGGGTGCTGAATTGCATTAGAGTTTGGGTCTGTATTATTTACCAGCGAAAGCATATGATGCGCCGAGTCCCAGTCCTGCGATCAGAGATGGCCTGGAGCGCGTCTTGAGGTATCCGGCGACTCCGCCGGCAGAGACTGAGGAGTGTCATCAGCAACTAGCCACTATGGACGACAAGGCTCTAGAGCAATCACTTACGCAGAGCAGAAAGAGTGAAAGACGGATGTTCAGCCATGTTTATCGATGTTTTGAGGTGATGGGAGAGAATGGGAGATGTTTGCAGGTGGTCGCGAGTCGTCAACACCTGCTGAATCAGCCATGTGGTCTGACCATTTTAGCGCCCGCTTAATAAGCGCGCAATCTCCCCAATGGATGAGCCAATCAGCGTCTTGCCTTGTAAAATTGACCATGTATAGAATCAGGTCCAGTCCCAAGTCCAAAGCTTGTGGGAGCTGTTTGATCAGTTGAGGGGATGGAGCTCTAAAGTAGATCCAGACTTTACACTGAAACTTTCATGATCCTGGGATACTGTCTGTTTCTGCGCTAACCTATGAAAAGCTAGCCACATCGTATATATACCCAGGTGCCCAGTAACTACACCCCGCATCCGCTGCTGACTTGGCCGTATTCTCACCGACTTCTTCATCCAACAATATATAGAGACATTGAAATATCATCGAGTTCCTTCAGCCAAAGTTAGCCAACAAGAAATATCAAAGATGACACCGACTCTCGCCCCAACCCCAGCAATACTGGGCACATCAATGCTCGGCCTCGGCATCTACCGCATCCTCTCCCCGCGCCAAGCCTATACTCTCTTCGGCCTCCCCTTCCCACAACCTCCGCGCGATACCCCATCCCCGTTCATATACAACTGCGCCGGCCGAGACCTCACACTCGGAGCAGCATACCTCCTCTTGGGCGCCCAGAAGAACCGCGAGGGGTTGAGGGCACTTGTGCTTGCTACTGCGGTGCGCCTTGTTATTCGTATCTGGTATTGATGGTTTGTCTGGAAGGATATTGACAACGATATAGATTGCAGCGCACGCCGATGCACTCACTGTGTGGGTACATGGAGGGGGTGAGTATGGAGGGTGGAGAGGGAAATGGGTGGGCCATGCGCTTGGCGGCGTGCTGCTTGTTGCTGTAGCGTGCAAGGGGTGGGGGCTTTGAGTCAGGTTGGAGTTCTGGTTCGTTTTGCTATGCTTAGCTCTGGAGCAGGTACAGCCTACGCCTCTGCAGGGCGATTCTGCGTTGGGTGTCTCCAGAGATTGTTCGCGTTTTTGGGGACAACCGTGCGGACATTAATGGCGTGGCAAACGAGGGGGAACGCTGGTCGAGAATAGACGGATCAACCCCTCTCCGAAGAATAAGTTGTTTCTGTCAATCAGGGAAGATGCGCGTTGACTCGAGACACATGTACTTATCTGGATCTTCTCCGGCCATCGGCCTTGAGCTGACAGATCTGTGTACGGACTCACCATCATCATGATCGTTGTCAGTTAGGCAAGAATAGTATTTGATTGGAGTATTAAGCTTATAACCCCATGTCCTTCTTGAAGAATTCTAGTACCCGGGGAATCGAATGATCTCCGCCACGACATGATCTTGCAAGGCTAGCACATAAAGTGGCTGCCTTGCGGCGCAGGGAGGGAGTACACCACTACAGTAACCCCTGATTAACCATGCACCATGGCTTTGTCTGGCTCCACCAAGCAATCGCCAATAAGTGAATTGGTTCCTCGTAGGGTTGAGGTGGAGAACCATTTGTACCTGTCTACGAAATGCTTCAAAGAATACACTGAGATATTCCTCCCCTAGGTCAACTGTAGCTATCGTGAAAGGAAAGAGCGTATTAGGCTTCCCTGCGCCTATCATACCAAATGAGGCAACTACGTCCCTGGCCGCTGGGTCGCTCTTTCCTCACTTGGGGTATATATATCTCAGAAGGGCAGGGACGACCGACACACCTGCCATATCAAGCTCGGTCTCAGGGCCGCACCTTCCATCTTCGAATCACCATTTCAATGATGAAGGCACGACCCCGGCCAGATCGCACCTTCCTTATCTAGCTGCAGGGGCGTTTTCTCAAGAAGAGAAGGAGCGACCATGCGCGCCTTCCTTGTCAGAGTAGTTCATGCGTCGTTCCTTCCCTCTGCGTATCATGTACCGATAGGGCCGGTGCGGTGAATTGCACCTTCTTCAGATTCTGTAACTCGTGAAAGGCTGGTTGCTGGGGATCTGGGTAGCAACCCCCGCTCATTTGAAGCCGACCAGATCATAACAACAGCAAGAACAAGCCCGCGCCCTGGCTCCCAGGAGTGCCTGCCCTATTCAGCTAACCTCCCTCTCGCTAGAGATACTAGCCCAGTGAACCGGGTCTAATGACGCCCTTGGAATTGCCAAGCGCGGCGGACACTGGACGTGCGGGGTTCTGGACAGCTGCGCCTCAAAGGTTGATTCGGTAGAAGACATATAAGGATGCCAAAGCGGCCCTATTCGTTCAATCTTGTATCTTGTACATCGCATATAAGTCGAATCTGGGACAGCATGTCTGCGGGTTCGGAGGATGGGATCTAGCGAGGCTGGTATATCAAAATTCCGGAGCTAAGGTGCCTTTTTTACGAGAAGATTAAGGATTGGTGGTTCAAGTATGACCCTGATCGTGAGGAGGGCGTTGAGGCCACTGATGATAATCCGGAGCGGGCGAAATATTAAACGCTTCTTCGCCAGTCTTTTAGGGAGTTCTGCAGAGGCCACGAGGAGCAGCTGCGACTTATCACGAGTTGCGACTTTGTCATAACTGTGGCATCCTGCATGACCCGCATGCCGAATCTCGTCGCTGTCGCCATTGAAGATACCAAGGGCTAGAGGGCAGATGGTGGCAAGTGGGAGAAGCTTAAGGGTATGGACTACCTCGCCGAGGCCCTGCAGGACGCGCTCTCGTGGGAAGCCATCGAGGACATGCAGTACTCTGCGTACTACGGGTACGTCCTCCGGCGGGGAATTGCCGAGGACCTTCGACGGTTGGGGGTTCCCCAAAGCGAGGAGGAATTGTCGGAGCTTGCTAATGGTGTCCCACCATCGGCTGACACTCACCTCGTCCCCGCCCGGATTCTGACCGAATTGCCCATTGCCATGCATGGTGCCGGGGTCGTTCTTCGTGATGTATACATCGGAGCGTTCCCCACCAGAGAAGAGTTCTCGAGACTGTGTCCGGACAACGCGGACAAGGAGGAGGGGGAGGAGAAAGAGGAATTAATCTGGTCAAATCTCCAAGCAGCATATGGCCAGCTGCGCTCGGTCAGCTTCGGAGCAGAGCATGGCCAGCGGCATCCACGAGACGCGCATCCTCGGGCCTCGCAGAAGCTCTATTTTGATCACTACCTCGGTGCACTGCTCTGCGGGCCCCATCTGGAGTCTGTGCATATAAACCTTGAGGCATTTGGTCTCACCTACTTCCGCCGTCACCCTGTTGGTGAATTCCCGCTGGATAGCCAGCACAGGCTTGGGGGCGTTCTTAGCAAGGTCAGGTTGCCGCGGGTCCGGGATCTTCGGCTGAGCGGGATCTCAGCGACTGAAAGTGATCTCGGGCGCTTTTATGCGGGGATAGGTGGCGGAGTTAGGGATATTTATATGAATTCGATTCATTTGACCGAAGGCAGTTGGATGAGGACGTTGGATAGCCTGCGTGATCATGTGCAGTGCAGCACCTGTGAGACCCGTCCGACAATCAAGCTGGTGTCTCTGGCCGGGGGTGAGTATGAGGCGCTCAGGAAGAGGGTGGGCTCCAGGCTTCGTAAGCCCATGGAGGATCCCTCACAGGAGCTTTATAATGATGCGATGGATGAGCTGGTGACAGCGTACGTTTCTAGTGCTGAGGGCATAGAGAACCCTTTTGTGATGCCGAGTGAGGCTCTCGAAATGGTCTCGAGGTCCGGGCTTCGTGGCGAGCTGCCTGTTGTTTAGCACCCAATCTGTACAGGTATATTGAATAAACAAGCTCCGACGGAGTAGTAAGATCAACGCTAGAAATAACGCTACAACCTGACCCCCAGCCGTTCAAATCAAAGATCAGGCTCATTTTCATCCGGGAACGGTATACTATAACCAATCTCATTTTCGTAGCCTGCTGGAGGAGAAAACATCGTAGGCAAATCCGACCACTTCGTGTCATCCAGTGTAAACGTCGTCGACGGCCAGGTCCTGTACCCAACAGCAACCCCCACTGCTGCGAGCCTACTGGTGATAACTTCTACGTCGGGCGGACCAAGGAAGTCATCGCATTGAATTTCTTTTAGCTTCGGAAAACCGCCTTGGGCAATTGCCTCGGCGAGCCCGGAGAGGACTGGTATTTCTCTCTCTCGCGGCCGGTCAACATGGCACTCGTCAATCTCACCGGGGAGCTGCAGGAACCCGATATTCGGTGGGAGGAACTCTGGTAGGATTTTGACGTCTGCCAAGGGCAAAGTCTTAAACTCCTGCAGGTTAACGAGCAGCTTTTTCATTGCTGGAAAGTTACGAAAGCTCGGTATCGCCGTGGCCGGCTCATGAGTTCCGGGCCTCGGTCGTCCACGCAGCCTCAGGTCAAGGTGTACGGATTCGAGCGTCTCCCGGCTGTGATGCAGATACTCGACCGCATGGTGTAGGCGGAAGTTTTCCTCCGAACGATAGGTGCTGTACTGGTAGACCGCGGACTCGTAGGTGAAGCTGCGCAGACTCGTACACGAGGAAAGTAGGACTTCCAATCTGCTGCTAGGTGACCGGTCGAGAGTCATCCGGAGATACTTGAGATTGGCCAGGAATGGAGCGTAGGTCTTGGGCTGAACCACGTGGCACGCATGCAGATTGAGCGTTTCGAGGTGGAAGGCTACGTTGAAAAGCGCTCGCACGCAGTTCTCAAAGCTGAGCGAGTCGCTTTGTATCCAGCCGGTGCGCTGCGAGATGTCGAGTGTGCGCAGCGGGAGCTCTGTAACACCCGCCGCGGATAGTCGCGCAGCACGAACAATGTCATCATTATAGGGGGCAAGCTGGAAGCTGCACCGGTCGAGGTTTGGCAGTGCAGCGAGAAGAAGCGAGAGAAAATCGCCCGTTCTCGGTTTTCGCGGCTTTGCGACCCTTATCGAGGCTGCGAATGCCCGCAGCTCCAGGCAGGCTTCTTTGTCGGTGATGTACTCCCGCCGGCAAGAAGGGTTGAAACCTTCTCGAGGGTGGTCTGTCGCACCAAGCGATTCGAGGAGATACGGGTGGATGTAGACTCGCTTCACAAGCCCAGCAAGATCGCGTCGCTGTGCGACGGTCGTCATGAACGAGGTGAGTCGGCCGTCCCACGTGTAGTGATCCGAGCACCATGAGTCGCCGTACCCGAGGACAAATCATAATGTAAAACTGGTTGCGCTACGGAGCATAGGCGCTTGGAGGTCAAACAGACTGAGAATAACACATGGCGTTGGAGTACCACGACGGCTGGTCGGATTTTTGATCACCTTCTCGCAGGTATGCATGTGGTGGCTCTTTTGACGGCCTTTGGCTACAATGAATGCAAAAGTAGCCGAGGATCTGGTGCAAGACTTCGACTGGGAGGTTGTTCAAGGACATGCTTGTTGATGGTTGTTCAGGGGTGTGGTTGAATGAGGCTGAAAATGTTTTGTCTTGGCGGCTGGACGCGGTGGAAATAGCGCGGCGCCCGCCCCAAGCTTCGTGATTCCCATCATCGCAGTTGTCTTTCGGCTATAAACATAGTATGTTTCTTGAAGGCAATGGCTCTACCGCTTTCAAGCATACGATGAAGGAGACTCGGAGGATCTACGAGGAATTACCGGTTCTCGTGGCTCGGACCGATGCGGGTGGAGCGGCAGCCGCCTCGGTACCAGCATCTACATGTACGTCCGTCACTGAGCACCATCAATCTCCAATTCAGATGGCTATTTAACCAGCACCCGAACCCCCTTCCTCCGCTCTCTCGCAAACGGCAGGAAGAGGTCGTGGGCAAGCGTGACGTCCTCTCGTGTAGTCTCGAAGAGCTCCAAATCTAGCCCTCTGACAAGCTTCGGTAGAGCCAAGAGGATTTCCGATCGAGCGAGGCTATTTTCGTTAGAGCTGTATTGATGTCGAAGAAAGAGAACGTACTTGATGCCAATGCACTGACGTGATCCCTTCGTGAACGAGACGAGATATTTCTCGAGATGGCGGCGTTTCTCTGGTTCTGCCCAGCGCTCAGGGATGAAGTTGCGAGAATCCGGAAAGATGTCTTCGTTGTGGTGGATTAGCATGCTAGACATGCCGACCGGTGTCTGGTGAGGTTAGTGCTATGCAGAGCGAGGAAGGTTAGGATAGCGGCATACGCCTGCTGGAATGGTCCACTCGCGAAATTGAAGCTCACGGCCGGGGGCGATGCGCTGCAGTCTGGAGCTGACCCCGTATGAAAGTCTGGCTGATTAGTCTTTGTTTTTGCAAGTACTGGGAAATTTACCTGAGACCCTCGAGCATAACGCATATCTGCGACAATAAGTAAGTATTTTCCAAAGGTGGACAGGCACTCACCAGATACGGCATCTGCTCATACTCAACCAGAGTGGCTGTCCCATTCGGATCGAGTCGGTCCATCTCGCCTTTCAATTTGTTCATCTTCTCTGGGTTCTCGAGCAGGTAGTAAATAGTCCACGCTAACATCTTCGCGGTTGTCTCTCCGCCTGCCCCGATAAGGACTTGCACCTCCTGCGCCAAACGTGCAGGCGCCTTCTCCTCCGGGGGAAGATCGCTGTTCAAAACATCGTGAAAGAATGTCGGCTTGCTCAATCCACTCTTCACTTTTCCATACCCCTCGGACTTTTGCTCCTCCATGATTGACTGAACAACGTTGTTGCAGCGTTCCTGAAATTGGGCGACCAATCCCATGCCGGGGTAAACTTTAAAAAGCAGCCACGAAGGCATCGCAGCAAACACCTGCCCCAACCAGGGCCAGGTTCGAATATAGACCCCACTCTTTGCACTTCCAGCCAGTGTGTTGCTCCAATCGGGGATGAAATCCGGTTCGTCTAGGTAATTGTATCCAGATCCCATCGTATAATCAGAGACAACGTCGGTCGTAAAGCAAGTGAGTGCATGCTGCAGGTTCACCGGTGATCCCGTACCCTTGTACGCCTGCAGGCGATTGAAAAGCTTATCCACGAGCGTTTGGATAACGGGTTCTTGTTTGCGAACGCGCGCCATCGAAAAGTACGGGTTCATGTTCGAGCGCAGGAGGCGGTGGCGGTAATGGTCCACGGTCGAGGCCATCGATCCAGTGACGCCAAACTGCCTGGTGAAGTATTCATATTTGTTCCGTGGACTATCTCGCGAGTAAAGCACCTCGTAAAAATCGGGATCGTTGACATGAAGCTCATGGGGGCTAATGCGCACGATCGGCCCTGTGCTGGTAAGAACTCGGGCGCCTGCGCGTCTACCTGCAGGAGCGTACCGTATTTCTCATGCATATTCGCGATCTCAAACCCATATCGTCCCCAGCAAAACACATCGTAATAGGTCTCGTACCATAGTGTCGCGGCGGCAAGCTTGGGACCAGGGAATTTGGCCAGTGGTGAGAGCCAGAGCCGGTGGACGAGAAGGCAAAGCAAGGAGACGACTCCAAAAAAGAACAGCGCAGCCTCAAGCGATGGCATGACTCGCGAATGTGCCGGATGTGCAGCTATCACCTGGATAAAATGCCCGACAGGTTCTGCTCCCCACGGGAACTGCAGTTCCACTCATTGGGAGGCAGCCCCCAACAGTGCCTTATATAAGAGCAGCATCAGCGTATGCGTAATGGTAACCATCGTCCGAAGACTTGTCCTCAAGAAAGTACCATCCCACACAAACAGAAAGAACCCCGCGACCAACAGCTGTCCCGTCTTTTTTAGCTCCTCGGCCGGGAGCGACGGAGCGGGACTGACTGGCGTGCCCCAGCGGCTCCACCTCAATCTATCTAGTGAAACGGCGTGGCTCACGAACGAGTCGCGAACGACCTCGGAAGAGCACACTGCGTTGTCAGTCCAACTCTGGGCGCAGCGTCGGTTGTTACTTGAGCAGCAGGGCGGCACTAGCAACTGGCCCGTGGAGCCGGCTGATCCTTCGCGGGCAGGGGTGGTTCACCGTTGAATATAAGCGAACAGGATCCTGGCTTCCCCTCTTCAATTGGATCTGCCTGTTTTCTCTTCTGGAGCTGTCACATTTCTTGTTCACGGTTCACCATGGCCGAGCCCACCGACACTCAAACTCAAACTCAAATCCCCATCGTCCCAGAAGTAGCTAAGCCCTCCATACAATCATCCTTGCCAGCTAATCAGATCAATTCTAGGCGGATGACGATCTCTACAATGATGATTCGGATTATGGCAGCGCGTATGTGGTTGTTTTTGTTGATAAGATCTGAGCTGACCAAGTGCTGTAGATCCGATGGAAGCGCCACCACCTCGCTCGCCTCTAGCATCGTGAATTACCAGTAGGGCTTTCTTGATCTCTCGCTCATGCTCAAGGCTGATGATAGTCCAGATACGAGGTCCGTATCTGCTTCGTCCAGGTGATGAATATGGACAGTACTGACAATGAACAGAATGGACGACGATACCATGCGGCTCGACAGGGAGAGCATATTCTCGTAGGTCAGCTGAGCCCCAGATACGCAACTTTGCTGACGATGGACTTAGCCCAACGACGACCGAGAGCAGGAACGGCTCGATCTTGTATGTTGAACACGACTGATCCGCTTACGCATACTGAATCTTGGCGTAGCATCATCACATTTGCACCCTCGCCCAGTCTGGGTCGCTCTATCGCGCCCCTATCAAGCAGGGAATCGAAAAGATCCTTGACCTCGGAACGGGAACTGGAAACTGGGCGATTGACATGGCAGAGTATGACATGGACGCTGACCGGCGAGTTCTGTGCTAATTCATCGACTTATAACAGCCAATTTCCAGAGGCTATCGTGACAGGTTTGTTCCCCGCCCGCCGAGTTTGAAATAGCCATGCTAACATCGGAACTGTAGGGACTGATTTGAGTCCAATCCAGCCTGGATGGTGAGTTCCAATTTCGGCGTCTTACACCGGCTGCAGCCGCTGATTGGGTCTTAGGGTGCCTCCCAACTGTCGCTTCGAGATTGACGACTTTGAGCTTCCGTGGAACTGGAGCACGCCGTTCGACTATATTCATATGCGTGCCATTGAAGGATCAGTCGGTGATTATGACACTCTGTTCAAACAAGCCCACGACAACCTCACGCCTGGAGGGTGGTTCGAAATCTGCGACGACACAGTCGGGGTGTTTTCCGACGATGACACCATTGACAAAGCGCCCAACATGACCCGCTGGGTAGGGCTGCTGATTGAGGCAAGCCACAAATACGGCAAGCATATGAACGTGTGCAAGAACTATAAGCAGTGGTTGACCAACGCTGGCTTCAAGAATGTCCGAGAGGAGATCTATAAGATTCCATTCTCTCCCTGGCCCAAAGACCCGAAGCTCAAGGAGCTGGGGAGGTACCATCAAGTCAACATGCTCGAAGCCCTCGAGGCCTACTCGCTGGCTTTGATGACTCGGTTCCTTGGATGGTCAGTTGCCGATGTGCAGCTGCTGTTGGCTGGAGTGCGCAGGGAGTTACTGGACCGGAAGTTGCATATCTATTCCAAGATGTACGTGGTGTACGGACAGAGAGAGTAGTGACTGCCGAGTCACACTGACGAGTAACGCGTTATGTGCGATGAACTTGTTTCAAAACCCACTTAGCTTCAATATAATCTGGATAGCGCCCGAAAAATTTCGCTCTTGCGAGTCGCGCCGTCTGTTCCCGTCGCAGCCTAGAGCAGTTAGCGGGGAATTCGAGGATGAATGACGCAATAGCACCAGAGTAAACACCTCAGGGCATATAAGCGATATCGTCCGAGCAGTCGAGCTTCAACCACGGAATTCGCTGAAAGCCCAATTCAAGAGTAATGAAATCCCGATTGATACTGCATCAAATTCTGCCGAGCTAAGAGTCACGGTGGATGGGGTTCATCCGCGTGGTGTGAGAAGTTGAAAGGCTGAGATCCACTGCGAGGTCCGCCACTCTTCGGCTGTGAAGGCGCATTCGACCTCGCCGGTTCTCTTCCGAACCACAAACTTCTCCAAACTCCTTCTTTTCACAACTCCCCATCTTCCTCCTCCATGACTTCTTCACATTCTCTGCTTAGTCCTCTATTCCATCTATAGAGGTCTTCTTGCTGTTCACTCGTCGCTCTCGCGAATTCTCGCCGGTTGGTTGTGTCGCAACTTCGCCATGGGTCTCTCCAAGACCAACAGGATCATAATCCTGTTGGTGATTGACACCGCGTTTTTCCTGCTGGAACTGATCGCAGGTTCGTCTTATTACTGTCCTTTCTTTGTATCGTCCTAACACGCGCGTTGCTAGGTTATTCCGTCCACTCCCTTGCCCTCGTCGCCGACTCCTTTCATATGGTACGTCACGCCGATCCCTCCCCTCTGTACCCAACGCCTGACTTGATTTTAGCTTAACGATGTGATCTCTTTGATCGTTGGACTATGGGCTGTCAAGGTCGCCAACCGCGAAACGTCTTCCAAGATGTACACCTACGGGGTGAGTGTTCATCCCTTCTTTGCCCCTTGCCCGCCCTTGTTGCAAAGTCGACTAACACAGGGACTTTTAGTGGCAACGCGCCGAAACGCTCGGTGCGCTCGTCAACGGTGTATTCCTCGTCGCTCTTTGCTTGTCCATCTTCCTCGAAGCGATACAAAGATTGGTGGAACCGCAGGAGGTGAAGAACCCGAAACTGGTCTGCTTCGTGGGGTGCGCTGGACTGCTGTCGAACATTCTTGGTCTTGTCCTTTTCCATGACCATTCCCACGGCGGCCACGGCCATAGCCACGGCCACTCGCATGATATTGAGACCGCAGAAGAAGTTGATGCTGCGGAACATGGCCATAGTAATGTTGATCAAACGCGCGCCGAGCAGAGCACTGCTGTAAGTGTTGTTGTTACGTCCATTGTCGATCGCTTTCTGACAAGGTCACACAGGGCAACATCGCTGAACCTACAGCCACATACTCCCGACGCCGGGCCCTTGATAGCCAGCACCGCAGCGCGCGCCGATACAGCACCCCTACCCGTGGTTTGGAGGACATTGCCACTCACCCTGCTAGCATGAGACAAGATATTATCCTCGCCGCCAACAGAAATCAGTATCCCGATGATGACGAGAGCTTTGATTCGGATAGTGGACGGGTTGACCTTGGCCCCACGGAGCGCTCGACATTGCTGGGTAACAAGGATCGCGCTTCAAACTATACCGACGAAAACACTCCCACCCGCGACCGTCCTACTACAGCCATCAGAGACCCTCATGAGTCGCACAACCATGCGCAGCCCAAACCGAAGCACCAGAAGCATGGCCATGGCCACGATCTCAACATGCGGGGTGTCTTCTTGCACGTCATGGGTGATGCGTTGGGCAACATCGGTGTCATTCTTTCCGCGCTCGTCATCTGGTTGACCGATTATTCTTGGAGATTCTACGTGGACCCTGGTATCTCGCTCGTGATTACTGTCATCATTCTTCTCTCGGCGATCCCTCTCTGCAAGGCCGCTTCTCGGATTCTGCTGCAGGCAGTTCCCCATGGTGTGAGCATCGATCACATCAAGGAGGATATTGAACGTCTTCCTGGTGTTATCGGCTCCCACCATCTTCACGTCTGGCAACTGAGCGATACCAAGACCGTTGCTTCCATTCACATCCAAGTGGACACCGAGATCAAGGGTGAAGGCTCCGAGCGCTACATGCACCTTGCCAAGCAAGTAAGGCAGTGCCTGCACGCATATGGCATCCATTCATCCACCATCCAGCCGGAGTTTGTCCGCGACAGCGACACCGAAGATAACCATCCCCTATCCCAATCGCACGGGCGCAACACAAACCCCTCATCAGCCATCTCCAGCCGCACACCCAGCGTCCGCGACGGAGACCCTCAAGCGTGTCTGCTAGAGTGCGACGACGACTGCACAGGCAAGCACTGCTGCCCGAAGCCCGGTACTTAATCACTTCTACGTGCCTTGTTTCCTTTGTTATCTATACGCCTGTTTCATTCATAGGTGCCCCCTAAAAGCTCGTGTCTCTACCCTGTATTGTTTATACCCATCGCTCTTTCCAACTGGTGGCTTTCTGAAATTCCCGCCTTTACATGTTATATGTCTTGCCTTCATAGATACTGAGTTGCCAAGGGACCTAATGATACCTGCTAATGTACTATCACTGTGCGTTCTTTTTTTTTTCCCGTATAGTATTCATATAGAGCATGGCACCTAACGAACTGAGTAGGAAACTGACAACGTATATGAAGGTAATTTGGTTGTAGACGCACTCAGCAACTATGAGAATGGAGCATGATCGTCGGGTCTAGGCCGCACGTGATGTGGCCAGGTGTCGATCTCCAAAAGCTGAGCAGCACATCCCCTGGAAGATCAACATTATTCCAACCATCGCACATTGCACAAGACATAATGCTGTGAAACCGCGACTTACCGTACTTTTGCGATATTCTTTCTACCGTCGATGCCGTCCGCCTCCTGAGCATCGATCCACCGCAGAGCGACCGCAGCTTCAGCTCCCGATTCCAGCCTCCACGGAGCAATGCAGCAAGGACAATAAATCGCCTCACCACGACCCGGTCGACTAATAACCATGAGCTACTCGTACCTACCCACTACGAGCGCCAGTGCTTACCGTCCCGCCCGTCGTGATACCACTACCCCCTCCGGTGTGTTCAAAACCGTGCAGGAAGCCCTGCCGTCCTGGGCCACGCAAGGGATATCATCGGCCGCCCAGACGGCATCCAGCCGCTTGGAGAAGCTCAAGGATAGGAATGAATTAAAGGCTACGGTGTCGAGAGTAGTTAAATGGCTTTTTACGATCACGAATGCTCTCATACTGCTGTGGGTATGGACGCTGTGGCGGGGAGAACGAGGCGTGTTCCAGGAGAGTCTGCAGTCATGTGTTTGGGACTCGTGGGAGAAATGGGTGAGCTTCCATCGGATAATCTACAAGATAGCTGTACTAATATTGCGATGTCTAGCCAACGGATGCCAGGCCTCACCATGTTGCCTTCATCGCCGACCCCCAGCTCGTCGATCCTCACACCTACCCCGGCCGCCCGTGGCCGCTCTCGACACTGACAGTGAAGTTTACGGACCAATACATGCGCCGCTCATTCTCGTCAATACAGCAGACCCTCGACCCAGACTCGGTCTTATTTCTCGGTGACCTCTTCGATGGCGGGCGAGAATGGAGCACTCCGCACAGCAAGAGCCCGGAGGAGCGATGGCATAAATACAATGATGATTTCTGGAAGGCCGAGTTTCACCGCTTCGCCAAGATCTTCATAGATCCCTGGAACGGTCAGGAGACGCATTCGACGAGTCCGCGCGGGCGCCGACTGATTGGCAGTTTACCGGGGAACCACGATTTGGGATTCGGCTCGGGGGTCCAGATTCCGGTTCGCGATCGCTTTCAGAATTTCTTTGGGAAGGGGAATCGTGTTGACGTTATTGGGAACCATACGTTTGTATCTGTCGATACGGTCTCGCTGAGCGCCATGGATCAGCCGGACCCGAAGACTGGGAGTACAGGCGGCGGAGATGGCGCACGGCCAAATCAGGCGATCTGGCAGGAGCCGGAGGACTTTTTGAACGCGATGAATGTTCACCGGGGTCAAGCGGAGATGGACGAGCTGCGCTTTCTCGGGACACCTCAAAAGGGTCGGCTGTTCAAGCATGATGTTGTCCAACCCTCTCAGCCCGTAGTAGAGCGGAATCCCGAGCCGGAAATCATCGGGCTACCTGCTATCCTGCTGACACATGTTCCTTTGTTCCGGAAATCAGGTACCCCATGCGGCCCGCTGAGGGAGCGATATCCCCCCTCCTCGGAAGGCGTCCTTGAAGAGGACGAGCCGAACGCCATCAGGATCAGCGGCGGGTATCAGTACCAGAACGTACTGACAAAGACAATCTCCAACGAGATTGTCTCCAAAGTAGGCCCGAACCTAGTTCACGTCTACTCCGGCGACGACCACGATTACTGCGAGATCACCCATCGCGAGTTCAGCGGCTCGCCCAAGGAAATTACAGTAAAGAGCACGTCCTGGGCGATGGGGGTCCGAAAACCAGGTTTTCTCCTGACAAGTCTCTGGAACCCCATTGACCCTGTCACGGGGAAGTCCATCGACGACTCGGCCGCGCCCGGTGCTACCATCCAAAACTACCTCTGCCTGCTCCCTGACCAACTCTCGATATTCATACACTACGGGCTCATCCTAGGTCTGACGCTTATGATCCTCATCCTGAGAGCCGTCATCGTCTCTCTCCGCGCAACACCCCAATCCACACCCGACCCCGTGCTCCCCCTCACCGAAACCCGCGAACCCCGTACTCGCGGCCGAGCCGTCTCACACTCGTCCTCATCAAGCATACCGAACTCCTCTTTCATCAAACCAGGCGGCCTAGCCAGCCGCGCAACGAACAACAACCCCCGCTATTCGCCGCCTCAATCATACCCGTACAATGATGGTACATACCCCGGCCTAGATTACACCGATGAGACGGATACGTCAAAGTGGAGGCCCACTCACTCTGAGCGACGACGGCGCGGAGGAGACTCGCTCTTCGGCCGTGTCCGGTATGAGTTTGCGGTCTCGGTGAAGAAGGTTGCCCGCGTGGCGCTTGTGTGGTATTTCTTTTTGATTTGGCGGTGGTGATTTATTCTAGATGTTGGTTGTTGAGCGGGTGCATTTCTGTATATATAAATTAATTTTGTCTCCTTCACCACAGGGTTTCAAGTCCTCAACTGCTATCTGGCCTTGCGACATATCACCAGATCACTGTATTTGGTATACTTAGGCTAGATGTATCTTTTCGCAGACCCCAAGTTCTCTATCATTCCGGCTTGTTCGCATAACTCGACACCTTTGGTGCCGCCATTGACTGTACAGCACGGCATTTCTCTCGCCTGTCTGTTTCCACCTACCCAATGCTCGAATATGCAGAAAGTTGGATTATATGCTCCGCATTAGGATTACCGAGATCCAGTTTCCAGATGGCTACAAAAGTGATCCTGGCCTAAATCCACGTGTGTACTCAAGACCTTGACTATTCTATGGCAGATAATCAAGCGAGTAGATGGACACCATACTTACACGAAAGATGGCTCTTGCGTAGATTCATTTGACCAAGTGACATGCTCGAGGTCAATGGAACTGCTGGATGGAATCTCATTGACAAACCCGATATCACGCCGCGCGCCACTCGAACACCCGAAACCTGCAAGAGAGGAGGGCAAGGGAAATCGCTGTGCGAGAAGTAACAATGTTTAGTACCCCCTCGGGCACAGAACAAGCGTCTATAAAGCCCAGCTACGGTGCTGAATCTGGCCGCAAACACAAACAGTTTCCCGAGATAGCTCAGCAGGTAAGCAGATATCAAGTTGCAGAGCGCAATCAAGAGGCCGAAAATATCAAGATTAGTGACGCGGTCATCCTGGAATAGCAGCTTATCGCATATCCACTCGGTCCCGCTGTAATGGGCACTGGGCTTCCCAGGGTCTCTGGTCTCACCCTTGATACTGGCCATGAGATTGAGCGTGAACATGGGGATGGCATGTTTGTGGAAGATCAGAACCTTGAAACAAGCGGATCATGGCTGTCTTTTGCGACTGGGAACCTTTAAAGAGGAATCCGAAGTTCCGACCAGCGTCTTCTGGAAAGTCCACCATCCGGACGTAGCCGACAGCAATGACGACGGTGAGGAGGCCTTCCCAGATGAAGATCCATCACCAACCACTCTTTCCACCAACACCGTCCATTTGCTACTACCTATACGCGATGAGACCACCAAGCCCGCCGAAGATTAGACCACCGACGAAGAAGGAGGCCATGCGCTTGGCGAGCTCCTGGCACATGCTAATCACAAAGCTAGCCGAGGGGAAGTAGCTGCCATCGAGCAGTCCGAGGACCGCCCAGGGGCCAACTTGGTTCTTGTAGGTGTTGTAAAAACCAAGTCCGACGAAGACCAGGCCGAAGGATAGGGTGACGGCTGGTGGGAAGATGCGCGGGTCTAGCCTTCTGACCAGGACAGTCGCAACGGGCGTGGCGAGAACGTAGAACGGAAAGTATATCGATATAGCAAGTGTAGCGGTCTCCTTTATAATCGAGCTCCTGCTCCATGCCAGAAACGTAACATTTAATATTGGTTTAGACTTGTATAAATAAAGTCTAGGAACTGGAACAGACTCACACGAAAGATACATTTCCTCTGTCAAGCTGATTGGGAATATACATCCCGGATAGGAAAATATCCATTGCGTGAGATCCTCCAAGATCTATAGTTTTAGAGGGCGCCGCGTCACTATTTTCCCAGACCTAGAAACCCCATATCTAAAGACCACCAAATCTAATGCGCAAACCGAAAGTCCAACCTCTTGTTTCCCTCATCCTTTGTCGTCCGCAGATAATGATCCTTCTCCTCCGAACTCATCGCATTCCACTTCCGGTCGCGTGACTTGTTGCGCCAGATGTAGTACACCTTGATGAAGACTGTCATCACAATGTTCCACGCCACGATCCCGAGGAGGACTTTGTTTCCTCTGCGGTAGAAGGGTTTGTCGTCTTCGCGGTAGATCTATCCACGGATCTGGTTAGTGAACTGATACCTGGCGGTTTGCTGAAAAATGGGGTGGGAAGGAGTGAAGGAGTGGTATAACGGAGGATATGGCGGCTTACATTCGAGGCGATGATTGAACTCGCTTGGCAGATCATATTGTAGACCGCTGCGCCGACGGTTCGTGTCCGGACTGTACCGGCGTTTCGAGAGGTGAGACTCACTGAGATGCGTTAGCTCTCCGAGTCCAAAAGAAGCATCCAAATGACGACTAGGAAAACCTACCGTTGATCGAATGAATATAGGGAAACCCAATCAGCATGACCGTAACCGCATACCGGCTCCACGCACTCGCCGACGATGGCAGCAACTCGAGCGCCAAAAGCAGCGGGAGACACCAGAACGAGTAAAACAGGACAACGCCCATGCGGTTGTTGACGCGCTCAGAGAACCACGACCAGAAGACGAGTTGGATCAGGAAGAGAACATAGGCGGGGATCGTGAGGAGGTTTGTCTCAAAGGTGTCGAAGCCGAGACTCTTGAGGTTGAGAGTCAGGTATGCGGAGACGGGGTTTGTCGGGATGAGCAGGGTGAAACCGATGGCGTAGAGAGGCCAGAGGTCCCAGTCGGTTAGCGAGGCCCAGAGGAGCTTGAGGGTTAGGCCTTGGCGGTTGTGCATTCCTCCCTATGATAGATTAGTGCTCTCTGTGAGTGGTGGTATGGGGTTTGATGTGTGTACGCACCTTGCCCGGATCATCGCGCAGCACACGATTCACCATGATGACCTCCTCACGCTCCGAGAACCACCCATCCCTCCCGCGGAACCAACTCGCCGTCTGCGTGGGACTAGGAGGGAGGTAGAACCACGAAATCACACCGATAATCGCCGTCAGGGCTCCCTCCAGCGCAAACAACCACCTCCACCCTTCCCACCCTCCAATGTCCCTCATGTGCAAGATCCCAAACGCCAGAAACGCCGCAACGATAAACGTGAAATGCGACGAGCAGTAAAACAGCGCAACCCGCATCGGCAACTCGCGATTCGTGTAAAAGTACGAAAGATACAACAGCGCGTCCGGGATGAAGCCGCCCTCGACGAGTCCGAGTAATGCGCGCGTCGCGTAGAAGCTCTTCTGGCCGGTGATGAGGCACTGCAGGATTCCGATGACGCTCCAGGTGACCATCTGGATGGGGATCCAGACGTCAGGCCCGAGTTTCTTGGATACCATCTGCGAGGGGACTTCGGCAGAGAGGAAGCACAGGTAGAAGATCATCATGCCGTAGTTGTATTGGTTTGTGGAGAGGCCGAGGTCGTCGAGCATGCCGTCGCTTAGGGCTTGCGAGATGTTGCCGCGGTCGAGTTGCAGGGCGAAGAACATGAGGCAGACCCAGGAGCAGATTCTGTAGTCGAGCTTTATACCGTGTTAGGATCACTTCAATGTAGTGATACAGGAGCCGCTACTCACTCTTTTAACGAGCTTCTTCTCTTCACTCTCCGTCCACTCCGCAGAGGGATCATACCGATGTCTCCCTTCATACTCGGCTATGGGCTCATACAGCTCAACCGCACCGCCGCCAACATAGGCATCGCCTTCCTTGTAGCGCTGCTTAGACGGGAACGTGTCGGAGATGGACTCCTGCGACGCACTTTCGGACACAGTGGGGCTCGGTTTCTCCGCCATGATGACCTGCGCTCAGAGCAAGGGCAAGACAATTGTTTCTATTGCGCTGGTACATTGTATCAAGGTAGAAACATGTGTACCTTTTATCCTCGGTCGTGTCCTACGTGCAACTAGGTACAAATGGTGCAATATACAATTGCGTGCGATGAGGCAAGAGTGTGCCATACAAAGTGGCGTACATCTCCGCGGAGCTGGTGGTGAGGACGCGGACCATGTGGCCACGTTGTTGGATCTGGAGTTCCAGGTACACTGCACAAAATAGAATGATTGAGTTTGAGTTTCGACACTCGTGGTGACGATGGCCGCAATGCAGCATTCCATGGCCCTTCTACGGCCGGGGGCAAATAAAGGGTCTATACATTGTCGTCTTGCAGTGCTCGGGTAGTGGCCGAGGAATATCCCAACACTAAGCTGCGCGAGTGGGGGTACCAAGTCTACTCCGCGTAGCTTCTTACACTCAAGAAGGCATTGGCACGCTTATTCTCAAGTCCCCAGTGGCCACGCCCAGCCCTGATTAAAAAAGCAAAGACATAATCGCCGAACAACGTGTCGCATATCGGCGTTAAGACTATACAAGTACTGCCATCGGCGACTTCCCCCGCAAACCCTGGGGCGTAATGTTTCTTCTATTAGGTAAAAGATAACCCGCTTGGGGGTAGTTCGTCAAGATGTCGACAGGGGTCTCGAAGACGCCATACGTGGCGTTGGAATTTCTCGGCCGGGATCTTGATTCGCACTGCCTCACTTGACGGCTGAGTATCACGATTTCTAGCATCCTAATTGACAAACATATTGGCTTCAGCTACTCCCCTATTTCGCATTAGGGTACGTGATAGATTAGCTGTTATGCTCCGGAGTGGTGAAATCATGCTTAGTTCTGGGTCTTCTTAGGCAGGGTCGTGGATTCATCGCGGGCACTACGGGCGACTAGTCTAACCCCTCTTCCTTGTTGATCCTGCGTTTCAGCAACTGCGCGATGGGCGAATATGTAGCCTAATATAAATAGGTAATCGGATTCGATTGAGGTATTGTTTGTTTGACGTCATATGTCGAACGTCGACACTGACACTTTATCTTCTGTCAGGAACTCTTCGTTGAGATAGAGAAGTGCGTATACTCTACGCAGCATCATTTCTGGCTCTTATTTTCGACCGATAATATCATAGAAGTGATAATGCATGTCAAGTCCGTACTAAAGTCTTACAGATGTATGGATGGCTGATTGTCAAACAGCCGATGATAGACGATGGATTCTGCATGTGTGTAAGAAGGAAGAATCTAGCTGGGAGCGATGAAGTTATATAGAGAAAAGGGAACATGTGGTTGCTAGTCATAGAATAGAGGGACAGAATGCCTGACGGGCTCCTGTGCATATACATCAAAGGAGTAGAAAGCGAGGGATGCGCTGTCTTTTAGTAAATGCCCATGTCTATCATATATGCGAAATGGGGAGGAAAAAAGGGCAGATCGAGCTTACTCGCCCAAAACACCCTTCAACCAATATATATATATAAACGGAAAAGCAGGAGGAATGCCAATAAGAAAGATTGGAGTGCTATAAGAGTTAGGTATTCTATATATCTGGATATGCTCCGTATCTGTAGCCTTGTAGAATTGACCAAGATGTAGTAGACTTGTATATAGGATAGTATGTAGAGGCAAAGTAACCAAGCAAGCGCCACATGCTACTGTACTTCTATTTCCATTAGGAAGAGTCATGATAAGGTTTAGAAGGGAGGAAAGGTCCTACCGATAACATGAGCAAAAGCCTAAAAGTCAATGACCTACCTATATTGGTTGGGCTGACCACCCGTGTCCCGGGGCCATGCCCATATATATGAAGTGCGAAACCATCAAACACAGAGGAAATAGAGCTCTTAATCGTGCAAACCGCCTTCCTTGGTTCTGGTTCAATCGGAAGAACAAGGGCTATCACGATAATATGCCGCTGCGAGCGAGAACAGCCCCCTTGCCTGACAGCGTAGGACTGGCGAGCCGGGACTTTCATTTGCTCTTCAGTAATCTCACTTGCATGGCGCAATTAAACTTTGAGAGAACCCGAGATTTTATCGCCGGTTTTGACTTCAAGCAACGGGAATGAAACACGAAACGTGTTGACGTGCACGAGTCAAAGACTTGACTCGAGAGAAAGTCGATCTTGGTGGACGGAAATGAGACGCGTTGACGGGCGAAGCTTAACCCCCAGAACGGGCGCTGGATCGGCCACTGAGAAGCCCGGGATCGGGATCAAGAACGCGGGCTGGGCTAGCGTGGCTTATGAGCAACCAGGGGCGGGAAAATCGCGGCGAAAATCGAACTTTCGTTGAGTCTTCGGGTGGCAATTCTCTGCAGATCGGGATCTCCTGCGCCCGTCTTTTGACAGACAACATTTGGCAATTCTGACCATGTGGTCTGGAATCTGTCAACGGAGTCCAGCCTGTCACTCGCGGCGATAAACCGGGAAAAGCCGTCTGGTTCTAAAAATGGATTCTCCAGGTCATGCGGAAGAAGAGGAATGTTGCGACCGGACTCGGGGGCCAAACTGGCACACCTCGGCCGGCATCTTGTGCTCTTGGCTGGAGAATGTTGCCCGATCGGCGAAGATCGAGGCCGAGTGTGGGTGGGGTCCCTGGGGGGCTGCGTTTCAGGCGCCCCAAGGACGACCCGAAATGCCTCAATTTGTTGATAATGGATTTGGGAGGAACTTGGGACAATGGGAATTGTTCCAGTAAGATGCATGCCCAGCACATTCCTCTTGATCTACCGTGGTGATGAGTTGAGACGAGGATGGTGGCCGGAATGTTTGGTACTGCATTCATCACAGCTTCTGCTCAGCTTCGACTTGGTTCTCCCCCGCCCCCCTGGCTCGCTTGTGTCACCCCAGATTCGTCTGCGATCGGCTTTTCTTGCCCAATCGTGCGACCTGGAGACCCATCCCGCGATACGAGTCGGTCAACTTCCGTCTCTCTCTCGCGAGTATAGCCTCAATTCCCGACAAACATGGAACCGAGCGCCGTGGTTGTGAAAACGGTCCCGACCGAGTCGCCACGCAAGTCTGGAGGACTGCTCTCCGGTCGGCGCTGTTGAGGGGTTTTCGGGATTCGTCCCATGGTCGACATCTCCATAACCCCGGATCCTGTGAGACTAGACTATGCGCCTCCAGGCGAAAAGGGGAAACTAGTTGCACATCTCTGCCAAACAAGCCACGCTATCCATGATGTCTCTCATGCACCAAGTGGAGCTCGCACTGGTGAGAATTGCCTCCCAATCTCGTGTTCTGGCTCGCCGCTCACCGGTGGTTGATCCCGTCGGCCGATTGCAGTGGCACCTGCTGGTTTCAGCCATGGGTGGCTTCCCCGTCTGGGGCCCTTGACGCCGGACCTGGAGATGATCTGGACTCTTCCTCCGCATCCTCTCTCCCCGCCCAAAACACTACAAATAGCTCGCTGTGCCCCGGGACAATGATCGCTGCTGATCATTCCATTCCCCATCTTCTCAGCTTGTCTGCTCCCTGATCCTATTCTTCACCTGTATCATTGTTTGCATTACATACTTCCTTTCCCGTCGAGATGGGATTCATGCTCAAGAAACCAGACGATGCTGCGGGCTCAGCTGCCCCTGCCATCCTTATCGGCCTCTTCGTGGCCTTTGGTGGTGTGCTGTACGGGTAAGACATCTTGTCGTCCTCAGTGAACACGGACCATACTGATGAAGAACAATAGCTATGACACCGGCACTATTAGCGGCATCCTCGCCATGAAATACTGGCGCAGGCTTTTCTCAACCGGCTACGTCAATCCGGCCGATGGCATTCCCGATATAACCTCCACCGAGTCCTCGATGATCGTATCCATCCTGTCGGCTGGTACTTTCTTTGGAGCTCTCACCGCCGCTCCTGTGGCTGATTACTTTGGCCGTCGCATCGCGATGATCATTGACTCTGTTGTCTTTTGCTTTGGTGTCGTCCTGCAGACTGCAGCCACTGCCATCCCCTTGTTCGTTGCTGGCCGCTTCTTCGCCGGATTCGGCGTCGGTCTGCTTTCGGCAACGATCCCTCTATACCAGTCCGAGACTGCGCCGAAGTGGATTCGAGGTACCATTGTTGGCGCTTACCAGTTTGCAATCACTCTCGGTCTGCTGCTGGCTGCCATTGTCAACAATGCCACCAAGGACCGCAATGACACCGGCTCATACCGCATTCCTGTGGCTGTTCAGTTCGCATGGGCAATCATTCTGGTCGTCGGAATGATCATTCTTCCCGAAACTCCTCGCTTCCTCATCAAACAGGATAACCACGAGGCTGCTACAAAGGCGCTCGCTCGTCTTCGGCGTCTGGATGTGAACGATCCTGCCCTCGTGGAGGAGCTGGCGGAGATCCAGGCCAACCACGAGTACGAAATGAGCGTCGGCAAGGCCAGCTATCTGGAGATTCTACGTGGCTCTGTCGGCAAGCGACTTGCCACAGGATGCGCCGTTCAAGCGCTGCAGCAACTCGCAGGTGTTAACTTTATCTGTACGTGTTCCCGATTCGGACGTGCCCAATGCAGTTGTAACTAACAGATTGCAGTTTACTACGGAACTACATTCTTCGAGGACTCTGGAATCAAGAACGGCTTCGTCATTACTCTGATCACCAACATTGTCAACGTTGTCTCCACCCTACCCGGACTTTGGATGGTCGAGAAATGGGGTCGTCGACCGCTTCTCCTCTTTGGAGCGGTCGGAATGTGCGTCTCTCAGTTCGTCGTCGCCATCGTCGGCACAGCCGCCAACTCTGAGGTTGCCAACAAAGTCCTCATTGCATTCGTCTGTGTCTACATCTTCTTCTTTGCCTCGTCCTGGGGCCCGGTCGCATGGGTAGTGACCGGTGAGTTGTTCCCTCTCAAGGCTCGTGCCAAGTGTCTCTCCATTACGACCGCCTCGAACTGGCTTCTCAACTGGGCCATTGCCTATGCTACTCCGTACATGGTTGACTCTGGTCCTGGGAACGCCAACCTTCAGTCCAAAGTCTTCTTCATCTGGGGTGGCTGCTGCTTCATTGCAGGTGTTTTCACCTATTGCTGCATCTACGAGACCAAGGGTCTCACTCTCGAGCAAGTCGATGAGCTCTACGCCAAGGTGTCGGTTGCCTGGCGATCCAAGAACTTTGTACCGTCTGTGCACTTCACGGATGTGCGCGACATTTCCTCCTCCCGCAAGGGCAGCGGTCTGGCGGACTTGGAGGCGGACGCTCAAGCCAAGCAGGTCCTTGAGCATGTAGAGAAGGCGCAGGTTTAGAAGACCACTTTGATGACTTTTTGATGTTTTCTTAATTGGATATAGAGCGCAGGGTATATGATAGTGTTTTCCAAGCTTCAGAATTTTTATTGCCAAGTATATCTCGTAAACCCCTACTCTGATCAAGCCTATGATCGAGCCTCGATTCGTGTTCATGGCCTCAGGCAACAAACTACTAGCTGCAATCAGGCAGGAGCCAATCACACTGCTTTTGTGTGACATCAAAGCCCACTCCACACTCACCGCAACAGGCAGGGATCGCCCAGAGAGGCAATTCGATTGCGACGCTCCCCAGATTTCCTGCTTGACTCTTTTCCTCGTCATCGTTTTCCTGCTTTCGTTCCTTCTTGACTCTCTCGCTCTTTCTTCCCCTCTCTTTTCATTTTCAATTGTCTGTTTCCCGGCGTTTGGCAGCCACGGCGTTCGCGCAGTCACTCGGCAAATTCACATGATAATCCCTCCTGATCTCCCTCCACAGCGACATGACCTTTGGGCCTCTCGTCCTATGACTACTATTTCCTACCAACCATGTTAATATCGCCTAATCCCGCCCAAGATGCCGAAACCACCACAATCGAGTCCCTCTACGGGACAGCCCAGCTCCCGCTACGAACACCGGAGAAAGAACACTCGATAATGCCGCCGGAGATCGAAGCAGAAACACGCGTCGAGGCCGTCGTCGAGCCCGCGAAAGGGTCAGTGTCCCAAATACGTCAGATACAATGTCCGCCACTCGAAGAGGAGGACGAAGTAGCGGACGTAACTGACCGTCTTCTCAGCGATAGACGGGCTACACCGTCGCCGCCCGTTGCTTCGGCGTCGTCGCAGACGGCTGTGTTTACTGTACCGGAGCATCCTCTCTTTCCGCCGCTGCCGATTTACGATCATCCTCCGACGGTCCTCGAGATGGCGCGATGGCTCGGCATTCGATTCTGCTCGTTTATACTCTCGCTACTGTTCCTTCTGGTCGTTGTCGTTGGAGCTCTACTCAGTGGGATCTGGGTCCTCTTGCTGAGGGCGAAATACTATCTTCGGGGAAAAAGTCCACGGGAACAGCGAAAGTTCTATGCGGAGGAGCGAGCGCGGAAGATGGCGAGGCGGACTTCCTCGCGGAGATGGCAACTGCGGCAAGAGAAGAGGGAGGCTGATGAAGAAGGGCCCGAGGATTGTCCTCCCCTCGAAGGGGGCAAGGACAAGGTCACTGGCGATGTCGGATACTATGCGCGGAGAGTTGGACTGGATGTGGAGACGTTCAAGGTTCAGACTGAGGACGGCTTCGTCCTGACGCTCTGGCATGTGTACAACCCGCAGGAGTATACTCCTCTCCCGGCCAGCGAGCGAGAACATCGAGGTCCTCAGGTCTTCACCGGCCAGAAACGACTCCAAATGGCGGACAACGCCCGCCGCAAATACCCCGTCCTGTTGATGCATGGCCTGCTCCAAAACTCTGGCGCTTACTGCGCGAATGACGACGACAGTCTAGCCTTTTACCTCTGCAAATCCGGCTACGACGTCTGGCTCGGCAACAACCGCTGCGGCCTCGAGCCCGAACACACCAGCATGTCCCCCTCCGACCCCCGCATGTGGAGCTGGACAATCCAACACATGGGCGCCTTCGACCTCGCAGCCCTCATCTCCCGCGTTCTCTACGAAACAGGGTACCCGAAACTCGGTCTAATCTGCCACTCGCAGGGAACAGCCCAAACCTTCGTCGCCCTCGCCAAAGACCACCGCCCCGAATTGGGCAAGTACATCTCCGTCTTTTGCGCCCTCGCACCCGCCGTCTACGCGGGACCCCTAGTCGAATGCATCTACTTTCGCTTCATGCGCCTCATCCCACCAAGCGCCTTCCGCCTCGTCTTCGGCATCCACTCTTTCATCCCCTTCATGCTCACCGTCCGCCGCCACCTACACGCGCGCATCTACGGGAAACTGGGCTACACAGTCTTCTCGCACCTCTTCAACTGGTCCGACTCGCGCTGGGACGCCGCCCTCCGCGACCGCATGTTCCAGTTCGCGCCCGTGTACGTATCCGCCGAGACGATCCGCTGGTGGCTCGGCGCCGACGGGTTCGCGACACATACATGCATCCTGTCGACACGGGACGCCTGCATCGCGGAGATCGAAGAGGACGCGTGTATCCGCGTCCACCCGACAGAACCAGATCTCATACGCATAGACGCAGCGTGGTACGGACCCGACACGCCGCCATTCGCGCTGTGGATCGGCGGCTCCGACGAGCTTGTTGATGGGCGGAAACTGCTAAGGAGATTCGAGAGCGGGCGCGAGCCGCATGTGCGCCTTGCGCACGCAAAGGTTATTGAGGAGTATGAGCATCTCGATGTGCTTTGGGCGATGGATGCCGTTGAGCAGGTTGCGCGTGAGATACGACAGGTGGTTTGGACGACGGTGCCGGCTGAGGCGCGGGCTGTTAGTGTCGTCCCGCGCGGGGTGGAGTGAGACGACCCCTTTGTTGTGCTGTTTTTGAGATGCTATTTAGCGTGTTTGTTTGCTCCATGTATATGCTGCTATCTATAGAGTCCTGTATATAATGACCCCCGTATATACGAACCGCGATTACGACTTGTTATGCTTACTTTTTTGGGACCGGTTTCTGAGAAATAATCTGCCGTGCTATAGAGGAAAGGCTCTTCGGCAGGGTACAACAATGCCGAACAACTCCCTACCTTTTCCCTACAAGACGGAGAACAATGATGAGGAAGGAGCAAGTATTAGACAAGGCAGGAACGACCGAATGACCCTCTTGGTCGCGCCTTCCTCATCTTAAGATGGGTCGCTCGAAGGAAAGGGAAGGAGCGACTGACTCCCGGCTCTCGCACCTTCCCTATTGTATAACTTCTCTGGAAGAGGAAGGAGCGTCTATCGGCCAAGGCAGGAGCCATCGAGTGTGAGCCTCTTGGTCGCACCTTCCTCGATTTCGGGGCCAGTCCCTTGGGGAAGGGGGGGAGGGGGGAGAGAGGGGAAAAGGGAAGGAGCGACCGACGACCAACTGTCGTGCCTTCCGTATTCGGACACGTCGCTCGTTTAAAAGTGGAAGGAACGATATCTGACTTGAGTTGGCAGGTGCGACCGACGCGGTGTGTTGGTCGCTCCTTCCTGTGATGGTCATAAACAACACTTTTCCGGAGGAAAGAGCGGAAATCAATCGGCAGGCACGACCGAGGTGCCATGTCGGTCGTGCCTTCCTCATTTCCTTGGTATGTCCCGTACCGCGCGCGGAAGGTGCGACAGAGCGGCGTGCATCGTACCTTCCCTATTCATACACATTTGTAACAAAGGAAGGAGCGGATATCAAGGACGGAAGGCACGACCCAGTGGCCGTGCTGGTCGCGCCTTCCCCATTCTCCGGATAGCGTATTGATACAGCCGGGGAAGGAGCGACCGACTGCTAGAATTCGTACCTTCCTTATTCATACACGTTCAAGCAGGAAGAGCGACTGTGGAGTCTCGTACCTGACCCGTTAAGGGTGCGTTTGAGGGAACGGGCGGACCGATAGTCACCTCAAGTTTGCTGCTTTATATGAGAATCTCCGACGTTGGCTCCGCTGTCGATGCGGACGACTCTAGACTCTGTATCCTCGACGCATTGCATCACGATGCAGGACCATAAACGGCACTCGAGGAAGGCTCCCAGTTGTGGGTGAACGTCGTCCCAGGCCCCGTCTTGCAAGATGTATAGGTGGAGCAGGGAAACTGGCGAGAACGAGACTGATCACAGGTACTGCATTCGCTGACGCTGAGACTATGGCGGGCGTGATAGTGGTGTTGATTTGTTGCGCAAGGCTCCCCGCACGAGTCTACTCGTGACTAGGTTGCCAACGGGTAAATTAGTCTAAATCCCCATGATGCTTATCGTGAGAACGAAGGCGCATCGTGTCAGGGACACGGAGTGACAGACTAAAAGGCGTGGTTGTTTTGACGTCAAACCCTCGGACGATGCGTCTTTGGCGATTCTGGTATGGTTCGAGGCAGAACATTTCAAGTTTTGCTGCTCTGGCTCATGCTCGCTATTGCGGAAAAGCAATTCCTTTTATCGCTAGTGAGGATTAAGACTGAGGGTATGATTAAATTTCAGTAATTCGTTGAGGGACAGAGAAGCGGCGAAGACACAAATCTGTTGCCCGCGTCGGCGTCATCACTTGCTGCCTGGGTTTGGTTTGCGGACAACCTAGGGTTATCAGCATAACGGCAACCTGTGATGGATCAGTTTCAGCATTAGCCCCCTTATTTATACTCGAACTCGTAAAAGCTTGATCAGAAATGGGACTTGCGTTTCATTCTCAGACAATCCCGATCTCTCTGGAAAGGTCTTCTTCATTACCGGCGGTAGGTGTCTGACAAGGAACATTATTTTCGCCTTGGTGATATGTGCTGGTGTTGATTGGGATAGGAACTGCTGGACTCAGAGCCTCAACAGCCCTACAACTGGCCAGGCACAACGCCGCCAGGATCAATATCTCCGGGGAAACCCTCAGGCCGCGGACTCCGTCATCGAGCAGATACGATACACTCCGGTCTCCGAGACAGAGTCACGTTCATCAGATGCGACTTGATTTTACTATCCTCGGTCAAGGTTGCAACTGATTTCGTGAGCAAGGACTCCCGTTTGGATGCCCTGCTATGCAATGCGGGCATCACGGTGACAGACCCTGGCCTGACGAAGGATGGGTACGAGATATAATCCGGGACAAACCATCGCGGTCACGCGATGTTTATTGGTAATCTGGTAATCTCTTGCCTCTCCTCCAGAAGACTACCGACGACCGAGAATGCGGAGAAGATGCACATCGTAATCCTGACCTCCCTCGGCTTCAAGATGGCTCCCTACGGCATTCCCTTTGGCGAGCTGAAGACAAGGCAGGACAAGGGCTTCATGTGGTCGTGGTTCCGGGATGGGCAGAGCAAACTAGCGCGACGGTAGGCTGCCATCACGTCTGTCTCCGTCCACCCGGGGGTCGTGAGGACGGGGCTAGCGGAGGGGATGGGCGCTGTCAAGCGGTGCTTTGTGTATGTCACGAATCTGGGGAAGATGCTGGGCCCAAAAGAGGGGGCGTATAACTTGCTGTGGGCGACGACGACAAGCAAGGAAAAGGTTGCGAACGGGGCGTTCTATGAACCTGTTCGGAAGCTTGGCGGATTGGATGCGAGGGCGAAGGATGAGGGGATGGTGGGGGAGCTCTGGGAAGGACGCACAGAGTGCTTGACGAGTATGACAGCTGACCGGTTATGCCGTGCATAATTTCATGTTATTGACAGGGGATGTCTGCCGGATGTACCATTGTGATTCATGTGGCTTGAAAATTCGGCGGAGAACCTGGGGAATGAGGATCGACCAACAAGAGCCCACAAGGCCCCAAATTGGAGCCGGCTTATGGTGCAGAACTGTGATCGGGTCTTGTCTAGCGCCGGATTCCAGCAACGAGATTTTGTGTTTGGCTCGTGGCTTTCACATGGACCCCTGTCTTATAGCAATCCACGTTGGCCCTCGGCCTTTCTTTCGCAAAAGGCTGTGCTCTGTTTTTCGAGTCATTAATTCGCGTGTTATAGCGCGTATAGGCGCCGATGTTGTTGGAGTAGACCACTATCGGTCGACACGATCAGCAAAGTTCTTGCCATGAAAGCTCATAGGCAAAAGGTAAGTGTATCGTAGTGTGCTCCATACCGTGAAGAGTACAAAATGGAGCAGAATCGCCCAGCTTCTTGTTGCTCGATCTCCTGTGAATCCCCCAGCCCTAACCGCCCTCTCCGTCATGGCTGTCCTCCTCTACCAGCTCCTCCTCCTCCTGGTGCCGTTCCTTGCATCGGCCTTGCCGGCCGTGAATAATGAGAGAGATGGTCCCCTCACACCAGGCGAGGACCCTTTCTATCAACCGCCAGCTGGTTGGGAGACCAAGGCGCCCGGCGCGATTCTGCGACACCGGACTCCCCCATTCCCTGTCGCGGCGTTCGGCTTGGCCAAAGTCAATCTTGACGCCTCGCACCAGATCCTTTACCGCACGACTGATTCCTTTGGCGAACCTATTACCACTGTGACCACGGTCCTTGTCCCGCATAATGCAGACTACACAAAGGTGCTGTCGTACCAAGTTGCTCAGGATGCAGCAGATCCAAACTGTTCGCCATCGTTCGCGATCCAACAGTTCTCAGATGCAGGCGAGGCTTTGGCCCTTATTATGCCTCAGCTCGAATACCTGTTCATGAGCTCGGCATTGAATAAGGGCTGGGTTGTTATTATTCCCGACCATCTCGGGCCCAGGTCCGCATTCCTAGCCAACCATCTGTCGGGGCATGCGGTGTTGGATAACATCCGCGCTGCCTTGGCCTCCACCTCCTTCACTGGCATATCGAAGAAGGCCACCGTCTCAATGTGGGGATATTCCGGCGGTAGTCTTGCGAGTGGTTTCGCCGCTGAACTGCAACCTTCATACGCACCAGAACTGCGCATTGCAGGCGCGGCCCTTGGAGGAACTGTGCCCAAGATTCTGCCTGTTATCGAAGCCTCGAACGAAGGCATCTTCACAGGCCTTATTCCCGCAGGTATTCAGGGTCTTGCAAATGAGTATCCGTCAGCGGCTGCGCTCATTCGCGACAACATTGTCCCTGAGAAATGGGCAGATTTCAACAAGACCCAGGAGCTGTGTCTCACCGGTAACATCATCGAATACCTAGGCCACGATGTGTACACATACGTCAAGGATCCCAATATCTTCCGCGGACCTGTCGCAACCCAGCTGATGAACGAAAACGCAATGGGTCAAAACACCCCCAATATCCCACTCCTCATCTACAAGTCTGCCAACGACGAAATCAGTCCTGTCAAGGATACCGATGACCTGTACAACACGTATTGCTCCAACGGGGCGAATGTCGAATATGATCGCGATGTGTTGTCCGAACACGCGCTGCTTGCAATCACAGGCGCACCAGATGCGTTCCTTTGGCTCATCGATCGCATGAACGGTGTGCCGGTGAAGAAGGGATGTACGAAGAAGACGCGGCTGACAGGGCTTGCGGACCCGCGGGCGATTCTGGCCTTGGGTCTGGATATTGTGCGCTTCCTGTTGGGATTCTTGTTGTTGCCCGTCGGTCCAATTGCGCGGTAATAGTCTCTGTCCAAGCGCGCTATCGGTCGAATTGCGGATGCGAATGCGGATGCGAATGCGGATGCGGCTGGGGAAATGCTGCGATAGTAATGCCTAGGGATATAACACCGTAGGATAATAGTATACCTAATCAATTAGTTAATACTCAACTAAACGGCTCGAAGAACTCAAAAGATGACTTACTCGCTTTTCTGTAGCTCACTAGTCAAGATGGGATTCAAAAGGCCTTGTCTCAGAGTTGTTGCGGAGAAGGTGGAATTATCACCAGGCGCCATTGTTACCTGCCGTCGTTAGTGTTTTCCGGGGAGAAGTTGTTCAAAACGTGGCGGACAAGATGAGACATACCTTCTCTGGTACGGCCTTCGCTTGACACACTATCGACCTGCTCATGCGGGGGAAACGGTGTCAAATTCTGTGGGTGGTCAGTTGCTTGGCAGGTAGTTATAGATGGGAATGAAGCTTCTCGGCTGTTAAAGCGCTGCAGCAGGCACGTGGGCGCTACTTAGGTCTAGGGGGCAACACCAATCAGCATTAATAGGCAAATGGCAATCTGATTTCTCTTAAAAGCAGATTGAGGGCTCAAGATGCGTGTTAGCTAAAGGGCAAAAAAACAGTCATATTAGACGAAGGGGTGTTAGCGCTAGAGCCACGGTGCGTCGTAAATTTACATATTGCTGGATCTTGGTGTCTATGTATAACAGCACTAGCCCAGACGGCAAGGCAGTATTCCCAATAACTTGGCAACCGCCCTGATTTCTCCCAATCCAGCAGAACCACTCTCATTTCAGTGCGATCGTCGTATGCACCCCCGTCCGCCTTGCGCTGAATGATAATATTCTTCCTTTGAAAGTCTCCTTGGGTAAGGGTTCGAGAACAGGGCGTAAACTTGAGGAACGAGGATATCGGTATTGTTTCGGACGAATAGCATGTTATCGCCTTCTAGAAGGTTGACTCCGCCGCCAAACCTGGCAACGAAGCTGTGACCGACGCGGACAATTCTTCGTCATCCATATTCCAGAGAGATATCTGGAGACTCATCGATTTCACTTTCCGTTGGTAGAGGGCAAGGTATATCAGAGGCTGATAACTGAAGCCATTGTGGTAGATCACGGTTGGGAAGAGACACAGGAGGTCGAGGGTTTCAAGAGAAGCCTTGGATAATCTTCACTGTAACCATGTTTAGAGTTAGTGAATATCCATTCCAAGTTAGACAAAAGCCAGCTTATGGATCTCGCTGTCAACATACCTAAAATCTTCGGGAAGACGAAAAGCACATTATTGAATGCAAAGGTTACTGTTCAAAAATCCCTGCTGTCACTAAAGCATCAATAGTCTCCTGCGTCCATTCCTGACATCGTGGATCGGTTCTGCGGGATAAAGCCTTCGAGGCCCTTCAAACTGTTTCTTTGGAGGGAGAATCGCGTCGCAGATTGGTTGTATTCGGGAATAGTTTGCGGTAGAGACTCTGCCAATGTAGATTTTGCCTTGGTAGTCGATCCACTCCTCGGGCTTCTCGGCTGGTCTGTGTCCATGGGTCATGCCATTCTGGATGTTTCCAACAACCTGGAAGAGATGGCCGGACTGGTCATCGTTGACCTCGACAAAAATCGCATGGTGATCACGAGGCATGCCTACAGAGGCAACTCGGTAACAGTGTACGACATCTCTGCTTGATCCGTTTGCGAACATCGACAGAAATTGGAGAAGAGGAGGGGTTCTAGCTAGCGAACGGAAACAGAGGATCGACTATAACCCCGCGAGCAGCGTGTGATCAGTAGATCTGAGATTTCACACGATCGAGTTAAGCGGGCAAGGAGGAGAATATATAAAGGACGTGGGAGGGTGGTACGTGACACAATGAATTGCCAGTATCACTTCGACCTCAAGCGCATTGACCTAAAATGGTGTTTATGGTGAAGTCGATTCGGAGCCATGGAGCGCGCGAGACGTTTATAGAAGCCAAGGGGGATCGGCGTTAGAAAAGGGATCATCATCACTGGGGCTCAAGAGGTATCTCTCGATAAGCAGGCTGCCCCTCATCCCACCTTCCCGTCACCCCTCACTCCCAGTCACACCACAAACCATGTCTCTCCTTGATCTTCCCCGTGAAGTCCTTCTTCTGCTTCCTCCTTACCTAGAAAACATTGAGAACTTCAAGAACGCAGCCTCCTCCTGTCGAACTCTCCGCAATGTCTTTGCGAAAACGCTCCCGTCCACAATCCTCCGTCTCGCCGCCGCCTCTGCGCCAACTTTTTTCTCCCCGCATCCTCATTTTCTCGTCGCTGCCTCTGTTCGATCGGTCAGCGACTGGGCTCTAGGCCACGAAGACCGCACAAAACTGCTTCGCGACGCCTTCCGCGGCGGAATTTACAGTCTCTACAAGTTCTGCCTAGAACATGGCGGCCTCACCCTTGATCGCATCCGCGAAACCCACCTCGCCCGCTTCACCACGATAAACCCGCTCTCCGACAAATTAGACAAAATGGCAGGAAAGCAGTGGATGAGTACGCCCGAGTTCTGGGACGGCGGCGTGAGTGAACCCAACACTCTCTACACGGATGCCGACCGCGCAACCCTCCAGATCGTCATATATGGAGAGTTATTTGGACGAAGTATGAAGGCTTTCCTGAATCCTGCCGAGAGGCTGCCTAGTTTCGACATCCTCACCCGACAGGAGTACTTCATGTACTGTCTTCCCGACGACGAGTCGCCGTATGACCCCGACGGAGCGATGCAATTTTCCTATTACGAGGACCAGAGGGCACTTCGTCATATTTTGAAAAGCGGGCGATGGAGGCGGATGTGGGTGGGTGCAATTCGAAAATTCTTGGACCCTGAATTCACCGACGGAACAAGTGCCGATGAGGATTGGCGCAATAAACTGCTGAGAGATGCACTTCTGTTGCAGGGAATCCGGGGGTTTCAGCTTGTCACTTGTAAGCCTGATGATGTGCCAGAAGAGGCTGTAACCAAAGCTCGACAGGTGCGAGACCAGATTCTGGCGTTGAAAGAGCCTCCTCAGTCACAAACGTTTGGGAAACAAGGGACATCCCGTATTTCAGAGGCGCCCGATCCACAGAACGAGTTGAACGTCTCTTATCGGAAGCAGTGGTATTAGGAACAGTAACTTGAAATCGTCGAAGCGAGTCTGCGCGTTCCAGAACAGAGAAGGAACGGTGGTATATGCCTCTCAGGGAGCTTCAACCGTGGAAGCGGTGTCCACGTTTCAGTGTTTCACCACAAATGCAGCGTTCGCCGTTTTGTCTCCACGACTCAGTCAGATTGGATCTCTGCGGCCGCAGCCGAACCAGTCAGGCTGTCATTGCTCGAAGTCAAAATCAAGGAAACCAGCACACTATTTCCAAGTCTAGACCATTTCTGGGCGAGCCGCCCACGAATCAGGGGCCGCTCGTCCTCCTTCATGATTCGGATAATATCAGTTCCTGCTGTGATGGGCCCATCTAGATCCTGGCATCCTGCAGGTAATCAATCGCAATGCTGATTCTTGCTGAAAGATAATTTTTCCGTTCTTCTGGGGATTGTTAGCTTCGGCAGCCTCGGCCGACACCCAACAACGCCTCCAACTTCGGCGCCTTTCTTTTCATCATCCCCTTGCATCGCGTCGCTTGTTCGTCTCGACAAGGAATGCCTCCATAAATGAGCGGGAATTTGCGTCCGAATGCGCGTTCCTATTGCCGTGCAGCTAGGGCTGCTGGTGCTGTTCACTGCCCTCGCGGGGCTGGCGGCGCTTGCTATCGCGACAGTAAGCAGAGCTTTGCCAGTACCCCTTGCCATCTCAGCTCTAACCCGGATAGTGGATTAACAATTATAACTTTGTGGTCGATGTGAAGTATGCCCTCTTATTACACCTTATACTACTATCGAAACCTTCCTCCCACTAACACAAAGAAGATCCGAAAGCCTCCAACTCATCGCCACGATAAAATCCAGTCAGATCGCTTCCAACTTGGACCTACTCGAGACAACATGCCGAACCATCATCACCCGAATTTTAGTACAAAACGCGTTGCAGCGCTACTATGCAGGGAACACAAGTCAGTCAAATTGGGCGTCATCTGTTAACGATGTGCAATCAGCACTGGGGAGCCGGGGTTTCCTGAGCCTATACCAAGCGAGTATTTTCTCAAGAGAGGTCGAAACTGGCGAAGCCACTAGCAGACCACTTCTCAACGTGACGAGCGACGAAGTTCCTGAGATTACTCTTCCATATACCTATTCTAATGGTACCGCGGTCTTGTTGGGCGATGAGGGCCTTGGATACCCCCCTTCCCTCTACCCCAATCTGACAAAGGGAGAAAATTCGAGCGAGATTTATGCCTTTGGAGACGTGCCCGTGACGATAAACACACCACTACTTCTCGGACCCTTAGCGACAAATTCTTCCTTTTCACTCGTTTCTCTGACAATTCCAATCATCAACAATACGTCGGCTGCTGATATCCTTGGGTATATGACGTGAGTTACTGACTCCTGCAACTAACTGGCTGTTCGCTAAGTATATAGTGTCGTTGCGAGTGCGGCTAGCTTGCAAGAGGTGCTAAGCTCTCGTCAAGGGCTTGGAAGTTCTGGTCAAGTGTTCCTCCTATCCCCCGCACGGCCCGAAAACCGCTTTCCCGCCGGAGCGCAACCAGCCACTGCTACTTCTGCCCCGGATGTCGATGCCCTAGCTCAGCAAGAAGTGCGATATGTCTTCGAACCGACCCCGCTTCCAAGCCAGTCCAGCCGGCATAGCGAAGCTATTGCTGCTGGAGCGACCTTCCCACTACGTGACTATGACATTGCGCTGGAGGTCCTCACCAAGCCATACGAGTCGATCAACCGCTCGATAACCAGCCTATCGACACGGAATGAGAATGACCGTCACGTCGCAGTGGGTGCGATTCAGCAGCGAAGCGTGCTAGTGGAATGGGTGCTCATAGTCGAAGAAACACACTCAGAGGCTGTCGCTGCAATTACGCGGTTACGGAAGATCATATTGGCCTGTGTTTTTGGGACTGCTGGAGTCATCGCTCTCCTCATTCCACCCCTTGCTCACCTTGCAGTCGCGCCCATTCGAAGACTCCGCGAGGCCACGCGCCAGTCCGTCAACCCCTCCTCGGGACCGCCGCCGAGTCCGTCCCTCTCAACTGGGCTCGATCCTATCGAGGATACGATGCAGAACACCAATGAGAAGGTCGGTTTCTTCTCCTGGAGCCGACATCTCCGACGACATGGGAGCGGGTCAGCCAATACTCGTGGTCATGGCGATCTCGAGCCACATCAGTTTCAAATTCCCAGTCGGGTGAAAGAGCGTCGGCACATAGTCACCGACGAGCTCACGGAGTTGACGAGCACTTTCAACGAGATGTCCGATGAGCTCGTGATTCAGTATAATCGTTTGGAAGAGCGAGTAGCAGAGCGCACTCGTGAGCTGGAGAAAGCCAAGGTTGCGGCGGAAACGGCCAACGAAAGCAAAACACTTTTTATTGCAAACATTTCCCATGAGCTGAAGACGCCGTTAAATGGCATCCTTGGTATGTGCGCAGTGTGCATGGGCGAAGATGACCTCCCGAGGATCAAGAAGTCTCTTCAAACAGTATACAAGTCTGGTGATTTGCTACTGCATCTTCTGAACGATTTGTTGACCTTTAGCCGGAACCAAGTCGATCAGGCTATTCGGCTGGAGGAGAAGGAGTTCAAAATGTCGGATATACGATCACAGCTGGCAATTATTTTCCAGAATCAAGTTCAAGAGAAACAAATATCGTTCAGCATAAAATTCTGCGAGCCAGAAACTCCCCGTATTAGTGACACCCCGGAAGACGCAGCTCGAACGCCTGGACCTGTGCTGGGGCCTCCTGGAACCGGCCGACTGAAAGACATGGTGCTCTGGGGTGACCAGCACCGCATCTTACAGATCTTGATCAATCTGGTGGGCAACAGTCTCAAATTTACGCCGGAGGAAGGCACTGTCGCTGTCCGTATCAAATGTCTTGGAGAGGATCATCCGCGCCCGATCAGTTCACAGCCGGCCTCCCGACCTCTTTCGCGCTGGCGATCACGCGGTTCTTCGCGGGTAAGCTCAAGGCCTAGAGCCTCGGTCGAGAATCCACGGGATGGGGGAGATGAGAGTCCAGACTCGCCGCCTCCCAATGTACGCCATCTGGTTTTCCAATTCGAGGTTGAGGATACGGGACCTGGCATTCCAGGTCATCTGCAGCAGCGCGTTTTCGAGCCCTTTGTTCAGGGTGACCTTCGCTTAAATCGCAAATATGGTGGTACGGGACTCGGTCTGAGTATCTGTTCGCAACTTTCCAAGTTGATGGGTGGAAATATCTTGCTCGAAAGTGAGCAGGGCAGAGGAACGTTGTTTTCGGTGCGACTTCCGCTAGGGTTCGTTAAAGAGTCCGCGCCTAGCACGACCACCTCCAGCATCGCAGGATCAAGAACCTCCAGCGTATTTTCGCTAGATGAGTTGGCGACGGTTGCAAGAGCGCCGTCCAACCATAGCATTGCAGCCACTCACGACTCGAGCACGAATCTTTCCGAGAAGCAGGATACTCAACCACGGTTGGTCGGTCTAAGCCAGCCATTTTTTGCACCGCCTGTCCACCCTACCAACGATGACGAGCCGAGAAAAATTCGTGCTCTGGTGGCCGAGGATAATGTGGTGAATCAGGAAGTTGTCCTCAGGATGCTAGCCCTCGAAGAAGTCTACGATGTGACAGTGGTCAAAGATGGTCAGGAGGCCTATGACACGGTCAAGGCGAACATGGAGGAGGGCAAGGTGTTTGACTTGATTTTTATGGATATCCAGGTCAGACGCCCATCTCACCCTTGATTCAATTCGGCTTACTGACTTTTTTAGATGCCTAACCTGGACGGCATCCAGAGTACTCGTCTCATTCGACAGATGGGTTACTCCGCGCCAATTGTGGCGCTTAGTGCATTCTCGGAAGACAGTAATATCAAAGACTGCATGAACTCCGGAATGGACATGTTTATCAGGTATGTTACTGCTTCCATTGCTGCCTGTTCGGGGCTAACAGTCCGCCACAGCAAACCTATTCGACGACCCGCTCTGAAGCAGGTCCTGCGCAAGTTCACAACCATTCCTGAAGAGCCTGAGAAACCGCACACGTAACGTTTCTCATGTATCATACTTACTATAGTTTAAACTGCAATTTCCAAGGCAGAATTCAAACATCAAAAATGGCATTGTTCATTTCATCTGCAAGATCCAACTTGTAGTAGGTATCAATCATCATCATCATCATCATCATCATGCAATCATCGAACGAAAGTAGATATCAAGGCTTGTACGGCGGTGGAAGGTCTTCATCCTCCTCTTCAGTCTCACTGTCGTCACAGACACTGCTCTCCGTCTCAGATGCCAGGTCATGCATCCAGCCTTCCGGGTTCGTCTCGACCTTCTCTGGTAGCTCCAGCTTCTATGGAACATTAGCATCACTATCCCCGCAGACGAGAAACATGAAAGAAACATACCTTCCCATCCTTCGTGGCAGCAACGGCCCCCTCCCCAACACTACCGACCAACTTCCCATTCCTCCAAACCCCGTTCCTCAAAACCATCCCCGTAAAATCCGTATTCAGAATCACACAATCCGTAATGTCACAGTCCTTCAACCTCGACCTCTTCACCCGACTTTTAACAACCCGACTCTTCTCCAACGCCGACCGATAAACTGCGCTCTCCGCAACAACACTATCCCGCGCCTCGGACCTCGCCATGGCAGTCCCATCAGTAACTGTCGAATTCACCACCTGCACCCGCCTTACACTGGACACATTACTCATCGTCGAATTCGTCGCCTGCAGCGACCGCGCCGCGCGCACATTGTGCAGTGTGCTTCCGTCCATGTTGCACCGGCGCCCGGATGTGTTTGAGAGGGTGGAGTTGGTGACTACGCAGCGGCGCAGGGAGGTCGTGGCGCTGCCCTTTGTCGTTGGGCTTACGTCTGGCAGACGGGTGATAGTGACGGAGGTGAGAGTACAGCGGTGGATGCTGTCGGAGTGGGTGAGGTTTGAGATGACTGATGTGGAGATTTTGGAGCGCGTGATTGCGGGGGAAGAGTTCGGGAAGGTGGTGTTGGTGATGTCGTTTCGTTTGCCCATCTTGCTTCTACCCATGATCTTCTTACTTTCTGCTTGTGTATTAGAAGAGTCTTGTTTTCATCCTCTGACTTGGGGTTGGATACGGGTGGTTATACTGAGGGGAATGTTGCTGCCTGTGGGGGCAGTGCTGAATTTACAAGGGCATTGGCGTGCTGTTTAAGGGAAGCTAATAGGCGGATGCAGGAGATGAAAGCATTAGGCTGCTTTATTTGCGCTGAAGCAAGGCGAACATGGATTTCTTGATCTCGCTGAAGGGGTCAAGCAACAATATATCGCGACGATGCTTGGCTCTTTGCTTAGCTACAGAGTGGGCCATCAGCGTGAGATGACTTGTTGTGGAGCAAAATAGATAGAACCCTGAAGGCTGAAGTCTAGAGAGGCACAGCGGCTGCGCACGAGCTCCAGGCTGGAGCCCTCTGAGTTTGTTATATCATTCGTGGAACATGTTCTTTGTCAAGAGGATTCGCAGGCCTGTCGCCTCCTTCAACCTGGTGATTGGCACGTGATCCCAATTTCAGAATCCCGGAGCTAGGTTTCGCCGGGCCGGAGATATCGCGCACGTGACCACAAATCTGGAGCTGATATCACTATCATTTCAAGTCGCGACTGACAGACCGAATTGTAGCTCACGCATTCAACACAATGGCCGACTCAAACATCCAGTACGTCTCAAACCGCCCATACCGGACCACATCTAATAACAATTACAGAGCTCTTCTCCAGAAGCCTCGCTCAGAGTGCACGTAAGTTTCCTGTCCCCATTTCGCGCAACTGGCGGAGAACTAACCTGTGCTCTCCTTCTAGGGAATATGAAATCGCCCAGATCGTACGTGCTTCCTCCTTCCGAATATCTTGCCCCCGGGAAAACTGCTCGAATAGATGGATCGGACTAATGGCTTGCAGGAGGAATATGAGTTGAGCAACGGTCCCCTGTCGCTTCTCCAGACGGCCGTCAGGACAAACACCCAGGTCCTGATCAGTTTACGGTCGAATCGCAAACTGTGCGTCGCTCTCCTTTTAACTGATATCGATGTGTGGAATAAGTGCTTACAATGGAGATAGGCTCGCTCGTGTCAAGGCGTTTGACCGCCACAGCAACATGTATGTTTTCGTGCCCTGCTGTGCTTCTGGAATTCGATTACTGACTATTCGCTCAATAGGGTCCTCGAGAACGTCGTATGTCCTTCTGCCGAACTTCTGGCTAAACCAGACCGCTAACAATACCCAGAAAGAGATGTGGACGGAACCTCAGAAGGCCGGCAAGGGACGGCCAGTGAACAAGGATAGGTTCATTTCCAAGATGTACTGCTCACTCCTGTACCCGATTGCGAGCCCATACTGACGGTGGATGATCGTACAGGTTCCTACGAGGCGACAGCGTCATCCTTGTCCTTCTCAGTTAAAGCCCCGATCGTTGGCACCGGATACTAGTGCGGATACTTGGCATCTCTCCGCCGCCCGGAGTTCGGTTCTGCTTCGTCGTGTGATCCTTATAAGAATTCTTGCGTGGCAGGGGGAGAAAACAACGGATAGAGGAATGAATGCGCGATCGATCCTGCAGCCGACCTGACCGACGGTAATACAACAGATGATGAGTGCCAGACGACGAGAGCGGGATTTTCGATTCCCTTCCGAATCGAGGATTTTTTTTTTCTTTTGGAGTGGGCGGCGGCGATTGTCGCCTTGAACCATACAGCTGCTAGGTAGAAATGAAGACCTGGAAACACTTCGAATTGCTCGCTCAGCAGCAAGGTGCTCGGTGCAGCACCCTGTAAGACGCGTAGATGGCTTGATGTAGTGCAAGGCAGGAGGTTGATGTCTTCAACCTTTTGTCATCAGTAAGTTCGTCCACCATGATGATTTGCCTTGGCTCACTCCATGATTGAGACAGACACTACCGTTCCATCGGTTTATGCTTGGAAATTGGCCTAGAAGCATGTTGGAGTGCTGCAAACATCGTCGCCTCGGAAAGCAACCTCACAGTTTTCAAGAGCGCGTCAATATCCTCCGTCTCAGATGATCAACAGGCACAGAAAACTCCCACTTCTGCTTAGTTGACTTAAAGGGTCTCTAGTTGGCATGGATGGTTTGTGTCTGGTTCCCTGGGTTCATCACTGCTGTTTGTCAGGTTGAGGCTTGCAAGCGAACAGAGCACTCAATTGGCAAATACAAATCCATTCGCCATAATATGACGCTACAGGACCTGAAATACACTATCCAGGTGTACATCTGTGCCTGCTTATGCGTCTGGCTTGCCTTGAACTCTGCCGCAGAATGGATGCCGAGGCTCCAGATGTCCGCTCGAGTGGCTGATGTGAGCCACAAAGGACGGACCCAATCTCTGACAAGCCCAAGTCCGTGATTGGCCCGGGGCAATTGTAGCCCTACTGGACTACTACGTGGCGGATATGCTCGGACCGAAATCTCCACGATCTGCCGGACGACAATTACCCATTTCAGTGCTTTGCCCGACTTAGGGCTGCTCGGTTACTCTCGACTACAACCTTACAATATAGACAAGTCGCGGCTCAGAACACTAGGCTGCACTTGAATCGTTGGGGTTGATTGCCGAGGGATGGTCTGTGACGAGTCGGATACAGGGACAGAGTGCTCCGGGCTTGTGCGGGGATGAGGTGCATTATGCTTGATGTGCGTTGCCGAGACTCCGAAGTAGTATAGCACCGGATGCGTCGTCGCAATGCGAGTACGACGTCTCAGGTAGCCTCCTGATCGTCGTCGTGCAGTTGCGAATATGCTATGGAGCTGCAGACGAAAAGACCGACCGGGCCTTCTCGTGGCCCGGCAGTGAGCTAGTAGGCGAAAGACGAGTACCAGAAGGGAATATGGACATTGAATGCTTGGAGTGTTAGCGGTGGAGGAATCCTCACTGCAGCTCTGACCGCTCCAAGGACTATATGCATGCCTTCTACCGTGGTGTAAAATATACTCACGGATGAACGACCGGGACGAATCCCGCTGTGGATTTGTTGTCACGCCAGTGCGGCCATGATCACGATCCTCCCTCGATCCTTGATCAATCACGGACCTGCTGCTGCAGGGTCCCAGCCTCACCTCGTTTCACCGCGTTGTATACCGACCGGATGGTACAGCTTCTGGTAGGACGGCGTCTAATCCACCGACGCGAACCCAAGCGGACTGAACTGGCTTCTGGAAGCCTTGGGCAGGGCCCAGTGGACGTGACCCGCCGATCTGTGTCGCATATGCAGATGCACCTTATTGAGACGTCAACCTGAATGCCATCGTGCCATGCGCGCCCTTGTCAACATGCGATTCTGGCTGGTCGTATGACAACGGCCCGGGGTCGGGCCTCTTCTGCAAAGGCGTTACTTCGGTGTCCGAGATTTGCGCCAGAGATACTAATATGATTGAGATTTCCCTTCCTGCCTTGTTGAGAATGTCAGTCAGAAGCTGTTGAATGCTTTGAAGGGACACACGGGAAAGGTGCGAATCACAACAGCTCTGGTCCGGAAAGTGCCCCAAGCCCCAGCATAAAAACGCGAGTTTCAGGTTGATTGAGTCCTCCAACTCCGCTCAAATATCACGCCAAACATGATAATGAATCTCTTGATCCATCACTTGAAATATCGCGACCATGTTCAGACTGTGCAAGAAGTGAGTACGTGGTGCCCCTGTCGGTTCTAGGCTAAGGGCATCTGACTGGACAAGTCGCTATCGAGGCTATATGACCAGTCTTATACCTCTAGTCAGCAGCTGGCCTTGGCTTAGTCGTTACATTTACCCTTTTTATCGAGTGGAGCGCCGAATCAAGGCCAGCAATACGCTGTTCTTCGATGAGTTCTAAGTACTTCCCCAGAAAGGTCTAATTTATTTTCGGAAAAAAGGACCTCTGCGAAGGATCAAAATGCACTCTCTCTCCCGAGCTGTCTGTTGGCCACCGAGCTGGCGCGAGCAAGGATCGCGATCCTGCAATCGTTTAGAGTGGCCAAATTGGGCTCCGAGAACAGCACCTGCACCCATCGCCTTTTGGTCCATGCACCGTCCAGTGTTGGCAACAGGCGCAAGCTTGGTACCACGCCTTGCCCATTGGAATGGAATCAATAGGCCTGGTCGGTCTCAAGCGACCATAAAAGTGCTCAAGGTCAGCATTCTTCTTAGGCTGCGACTATCATCGACCACAACAAATCCGATTGGATGCTTGGCGGGAAGTGTCCGAGTTGGCTTCGACGCAGATAATCAACCTCTAAGCCTTGATCCGCCCCCCTCCCCACCAATGCTACCGTTCGATACCCGTTTTGTTCGTCAAGCTCCTCGATGGTTTCCTCACAAAGTAACCTTTTTGGCCCGCCAGTGCTGAAGACACTCGTAGCCAGTCAGAGCTAGAGATTCGCTCAGCTGCGGCTGAAGGGCGCCGTTTTTGGTCTGAAGAAAGTCCTGTGCAAGAGTTTGGCTGGGCCTGTTGGCTTCTCCTCGCTATTGCCAATGGATGATTCGTTTCTTTAGCCTGCGACCAACACACATCGGCACCAGCCATGCCGCAGGCTAAGGCGGAGCTCTGCCTGGGCCAGAAGGATTTGGACTCTGGAACTAAGCCTGCAATATCTGCGGAATCTCATCTGAACGGCCCCCACCTCGTGTTGGCGATGCTAATCTACTCGGGAGATTGTCGCGACATAAACGCCCAGCCTGGATGATATAAGATTAATCTATTGCGAGGCCTGCTTACACTATATCAGCATCTACTGCCCCTCACTGTTGGACAGACCCAACGTTAGTCCAACACTCACACACATACACCATGTTTGCCACGATATCATACAATAAGGGCGACTTGGGCGACGACGTATGGGTTATGCCCGCGAGCACGCATTATTTCGGCGAACGACGACAAGTACGGCTGGCTTGCATAGAGTGTCGCGCGAAAAAGGTCCATCTCAAAATCCATTACCGCCGAAAAAGCAGCCCGCTGATTTCAACAGGTCAAGTGCACTGGAGAAAAGACTGGCTGCGCCAGATGCAGCACCAACGGAACACATTGCGTATACCCGGCGCCGACGGAGCGAGGAAGTTCAGGGAGGAAGCGGACAAGCAGCAATACTTTGCCTCGATCGCACACCAGCAGTCCTTCGACCTCGTCTGCCTCGCGCAAACCACCCAGTATCAGTGAGCAGAGTAGCGGGACGACAACGCCTCACAGGATGGATCCCTGTCCCGACTTATGTCAGTCATCGGTGCCTACGGCCACGACATTTGGCGGAGGAAGTTCAACCCCTGTCGACTCGCTGCTGTCCTCGTCGCTTCCTTTACCATCGCTAGATCATCCATCATTCTTTCCAACCTTGACCGATCACGAGTTTTTCCATCTCGGCTCCGATGACCCATCTCTGAACATGCTTCGCCTCGATGAAAACTTTGGATACGGTACGTGTCACCTCAGCTCGTTTCTGAGGCTAAAAAAAAACCGACTGACGTTGTTAGGCCTCGATCAGCTTTGCACACCGTCCTTTCCGCCGCTGAACGAGCTGAACCTGTGCGTACCGCAGAGTCGGGGTTCGATGACACCGTCGCATCCGTACCCTTGCCCGTTACCAAGTACCTTTACCAACACGAAGAACATTCTATTCGACATCCAAGCCGAGCTCGGCGACACGCAGCAACCGTGCTCCTGCTCCGAAGCGGCAGTGCACATGCTGGAAGAGCTCGAGCTGAAGGACTACAACGACGCCGAACTAGCGGCAGATGTCGTGCTGAACAACCAAGAAGCCGCACTGGCAAAGTTCCACGCCTGGCTCGCGTGCGAACGCTGCCCCACACCGCGGGCGACCTCGATGCTCCTTGCACTGATTCTCGAGCGCCTCTCGCTGTATTTTGAAAAGGGTGTCGGTCACTACGCTCGTGTTTTGCAAGGGGCCGGCAGTCCAGAGAGCAGCGGCAGCAACAACAGCAGCCATGGCGGCGATCTTCACCAGCAGCTCCCGGCAGGCACGGGCGCTGTCGGCGAGTACTTGATCAAATCACGGCTGGAATATGGACAAGTGGTGCGCGTTTTACTCACTATACAAGCGCGGAAATTGGCGAGTGCGATCGCGACGCTCAAGCAGCGGAACATGCTGGACGGAATGCTGGCCGATACGGAGCGACGGACGAGAAGGATTATTAGCGAACTGGGGAGCTGGGAGGGTTGATTCAGGCACCTCGAGTTGACCCTTGCACACGGGACAGGGCTCCATAGAGTTTGAGGTTTGCAGGCCGTTTCGACCTGGGCGGCTATCACGAAGACATGCATGTAATTTACCATTATGACTAGATACTCCAGAGGGTAGAGCACCCATACAGACTAGACAGACAATTCACTCAGACAGCCAAGCACAAGCAGCAAGAGCGCACAAGTTAGACCTCGAAGACGATAACCCTTGACGCACTAACAACGCATCTCCTAAACTGTTGCTGTCTAGCCCTGACGAATCCACCCTGACCCACCCTGCACTTGGGCCCTTCCACTGTCCAGCCCCAGCCGCAGGATTCAGCACCCGTCCAATAATCAGCCCGCCATGGAGTCAACCCGCCGATGATAGGTGGATGGATATCGCCTATTCTGGCATAGGCTGTGGTTATTCTCCCGCTGATTTTCCCACAGCTCGTGATTCGATCGGGTCGCTGACGGGAGGAACTAACAAGACACGGACGGCTCTGTCGATCTTCGTTGGACGTACTATTACGACGATAACTCTCCGAGGACATGCTCTGTCTCAGGTTCCTCTGCGCCTCAAGGTTTCGTGTCTACTCCGCCCGCTCGTGTTCAAACTTTTGCAGTCCGTTTCGTGTGTATTTATAGAATCCTCACGACGGGTGCGGCGACGGTTACGGCTTCTCGGATAGGACACCGAGGCCGATGAAAGACGACGATCAGTCACAAGTGCCCACCCAGCCTTGGCCACGAAACCTTCGCAATCGTGGCTTTCAGCTATCAGGCCGAGCGTGGACCCGAGCACGAAATCGCCTCCCACCCACCTAGCCGGCGGTGACATTTCAGGCTTCCAGGCTTCCAATCCAGCCCCCAGCGTCCGTGCAGGCGATACGCCCAGAGTAGCCCTGTTCGAGTGTGCCGGTGATGCCACCGTGACAACCCCTCGAGTAAGCTGCAGAGAGCTGGTGCTTCTGAAGACGCTTGGGAGAGCGGGTGGCGCGCCACCGGGCGCTATCCGGATTCGCTACAGCGTATAATCCCGGTGATCTTGAGTGGGGAGGTTGGCAGTGCGAGTGATTGTGTGGGAGGGGATTGATTCGTGATTAACGACATGGGTACTGTGCGCAGGTTGAAAGCTGTAGCCTAAGGCTTGGAACACTGCCAATGTACTCTTTTCGCGACGGAGAAGATCCGCTAGTAAGTACTAATCATATCAGTGCGTCTGTAGATGGTTGGCTAGTGCGATTGGTTGGTGGAGGTGCAGGGGTAGTGGCAGGGGTAGGGACAGGGGTCCAGAATGGCTGATATCAGCCATTTTCTCTACAGCACTGCTCCAAAGTACACATTGTAGAACGTGTATAGGCTATCTGTCTAGATTACCTGCGTTAACTACTAATGCAAGATAGCACCGTTCGGAACCCGATACCAGGGTATGCAGTCGGGGTTTGGGATCCTCCGTTTCCCATGGTCGAATTGAGTGAGGGTTCTAGAAATGCATCGCTCTCGTTTGAGGAGACTCCTCGGCGCGACCCTCGCGGTGTCGATCGAGTTTGATTTGACAATCACATTCGACGATAGCTTGCGATCGCCTCGCGAAAAGTCGCAGTTCACCACCCCCCCCGCATACACGATATCGGCTGTGTACAGAAATACTCCACATCCCGATTTTCCGGGCTCCAGATAGCGATAGGCTAAGTGGCATATTACACCGAGCCCGACTGAACCAATGACAATGCCATACATCACATAGCAGAGCTCAAAGCTCAAAGCTGAGGTGAGATTGCTGCACGCCTGATGAAATCGCAATCGAGTGCAGTGGGCGGCGCATGACTCCCAGCTCCGCCTAGGGCTCCGTACCTTGTGTTGCTCCGAGCTCCGCACTACCTCCGGATCTCACCTCAGAGTCCGATGTGGGGTGGGGACCTTTGGAATTACTATTCACGATCTAGCCTCTTGATTTGTTACTGCGTGTTGGGATTATCCGCCTCGATGAGCGGTATCGGTGTTGTCACTTGTAGACAACGAAACGTTGTTGATTGATTCTGCAACTGGATTATGTCGAATCAAATCGTGTCCTACAAGACATACTGTTGGTTCTGCAGGGGGGCAGGTGCTCATGGAGGCGTGGGCCCGCGGCTGCGATGCTTTGGGTCCAAAAGCAGGGTCTAGAACCCTACTGAGGATAGTTCGTCAAGATACCAAGGTAGCGAAGATTCAATGTCTTTGTCTCCGTTCCCAACAGTGGTTAGCATACCCTGTTGCAAAATGAGTACATATCATTGGAGTTTGGATCCGCCTTCGCAAGATCCATGCAGGTGAGATAGATTACAGTAACCCACTTTAGCTTTTGCAACCTTCGGCAGGGAATAGATCCCAAGGTTCTTGGCTTTCCCCCTCGCTCGACCTTCCCTCAGATGCTCGCTAGCGGCTCACGCTTAATTTGGGTGATCGATGGGGATTTCCACCAATACCACGTGGATGCTGTGGTTGCTCGCGTGGGGCGATCACAGCTTTTGCTATGCTATGGCATCAGGTAGAGTTCGAGGGCCAGAGGTATACGTCGGAGGGTGTCTTCTTCTGGGCCTAGGTTGCCTGGATCTCGGGATTCGGGGCTCTTGCACTTTGTGTAGGGCTGCGTTGATCGATCGAAGTGGATTGATAGAACCGGTCCAGCCTATAGACCGTACCGTCTATGGACCCTGCAAGCAAAGCCCATCCATAATTATAGGCCATCCTTTCCCCGATAACCATGTCACCTACGCACATTCTTCATGCCTCCGTCCTTCTTCCAACAGACGATAAAAGAAGCAAGTACACTGCCTGATAAGCTGTATTTATTACAACTCGCCAGTTCGTTCCATCAAGTCGACCGATCCACCAATCAATAACCCGAATCGCCATCGAGAATTGGCTTGGCGATCTTCTCAGCAGACCTAAGGTTCCAAGGAACATGTCTGCAAGCCAATCAGCTTGCTGCGCTGTGCTTACATACCAGAATGCATATAACTCGCATATCCTCGAGCAGAGGCTGTCGAGCCTTGAGGCGGGAGGGTAGGCGGAGAATTTGATGGATTTTGCGTTGAAGGCGTACTTGAAGAGCGTTCGGAGAACCATGCGTTGATGTCGGTGATCAAGATGGATGGGAAGTTTAAGAGAGACATGATTTGCCATGTGAAAACCTTTAACTTTACAGGCCACGAGATGGTCAGTGGGGCGCTGTGCTAGGCGTGGTACCTGTTGAACAAGGGCCCGGAGAAGATGGTGAAGACCAGGGCGAAGCATGGGGCTGTTTTTAGAGTAGTGTTGAGGATGCGGTTGAGATTATCCAGAGTCGCCCGCATATTCCGAACTAGCTAGGGTACAGGCAAGCGGGTTTGAAGGAGGCGCTGAGATTGTTTCTGCTGCCTAGCACGGTTCCTGTAGAGAGTGCTAGGAACGCCCCCTCATATTGATACCGGTAACCCAACATGGCGTCTGAAAATACAACTTTCTAGTTAAAGAGCCCCAGCCCTAACCCGGCACACCCTTCCCAATATAAGGCTTTGCTGTCTCGCCCACAGCAATTGGCATGCATTGAAAGTCTCACATCTATCTCAAGGCAGTCGTTGCTCTCAACTGGTAATGGCTCCTCAGCCTCGTCAAGGGCCCAAAGGGCTCCTACCTTTCAATCAGCATCCTGGGATGATTTATACGCGTGTTTGGGATTATATTGTCCGACACTGCGTTAGTAGTCTCATTGCTGGAACTGCATACGTATGCATTGAATTTCAGTGGGTAGCTACTATTCATAAACTGCTGAGCTGTAGTCCACCGCTACCATGGCTGCTAACAGGGCTGAATGACGAAAATCAATTTTTGGACGCTGGTGTCGCGATGAATGTATATTTTGGGGTTTGATCTAGAGGTGAAAGAGCATAGCAGTGCTTTTTTCAAGAGACTATAACATCGTGAACCTGCTCATGGGTGATATTAAGACACGAGTAACGAGGCTCATTGAGACAGAGAAGTTGTGGAGGCTTAGCGGGGAGGTTGCTGGGGAGAAGTTTACATACTCTCACTTAGTCTTTATGAATGATGTTTATCCCCTTGGATATTGTATAATTCCATTCATTTTCTACTTCTTCCATAGCTTGTACAGAGCTATTAAACCAATGTTCTCTCCCCCTGATGGATTCGGGGAGATGAGCATCGACGAACAGAGACGAGCCATGAATACCTTTCGTCTAGAGGAGGCAAACCTTTACCATACAGCCGTGACAGGTATACACAATCACCAGCACATGGATGCGTTAAGAATGCCTTACCTTGGCTTGTAGTAGTATCTGCTTCGACAAAACGGGGTATCCCTGAGACGCGGACGTGATTAATCTGCGTGCTGCGTTGGTAGGGGCTACTTACCCCTTGGTATAAAGCAAGATCTCCTTGGCGCCTTGTCTAGTAGAGTTTAGTAATTGGGAACAGGAGGCTGCGCTGGATAAATTATAGCAGTGGAATAAGTCTAGGCAGCTATTAACCTGGGTTAGAGAGCACCTTGGTATTGATCTAGAAGGTGAGACTAAGCTAGAGAACTTCAAGAGGGCTGTACAGGGTATTCGGCAGTTCCGTGAGGAAATGGTTCAGCAGGCAGATGCAGGCTAGGAGGAGATTTGCTGGCGGAATTGGCCATATAAGGATGAGGGAGATGACAGCCAGGCTCCGTCTGTGGAACACTAGCCTTTTTGGATGATACCTTGTGATGAAGGCGAGACTGAAGACTGATTCTGTCTAGTAAATAGCTGAGAAATCTCCATGTTTAAATCTCCATGTTTAGATCTAGTAACTGTCCTCCTGCACTCTGCTCCCTTATCTCCACCAGACCCACCCCTTATTTCGAGCTATACTTGAAGCTCGTGTGATCTTCAGAGGCGAGATTCGTGGACGATATTGAAAGGGAAAACTCGAGATACCGATGGGCCCTCATCTACTGCCCGGATCAAACATGCATGACAGCATCTAGTAAACAGCGAAGTTGATTTCCTGGTCAAGACGCAAATGATATTTTCAATCAGACATACGGCCGCAACGTAAACCTAAACTTATTTGCCGCAGCCTCCAGAAGAGGACCATCCCGGGTGACATCCGTCGCAAGATCACGCAACTCAAGATGATAGCGGCGCAGCAGCAGAACGAGGTATAACTTGATAGTCAAAGGAGCAAATTTGAATCCCGGACAGCTTCTCGGTCCATACCCAAACGGCATAAACCTGCCCTCCAGGCTCTCGCCAGACTCTTTGATCTTCAGAAACCGTCCTGGGTTAAACTCCTTCGCATCTGCTCCCCAGAGAGCTTCGCTTGTGTGTAGGTGATAAATGGAAAAGTAGACGATGACTTCCGGCGGGATAGTAAACGTCTTACCCGTGGGAGTTGTCATGGTGAGATCCTTCATCGTTGCCCGTGCGGTGAGGTGGACAGGTGGATACAGGCGCAGGACCTCGTTAATGACTGCGTCGAGGACGGGCGTGTGAGATTGAAAGTCCTCAAAAGAGATACCTTCTACATCGCTAGACGGGCACAGCTCCTTCAATTCCTCATGCACTCTCCGGTACAAGTCCGGATTCCGACAGAGCTCCAGAATCACCCAGGGGATCACCTGGCGGAACCCCTGGACGCCACCGACGATATTGAAGCGCGCAATGTCAACAGCGAGGTCACTCAGCCCGCCGGGATTCGTAGCGTGTGTTTCAGGGGAGAGTTTCCAGAGGTAGCTGCTTGCAAGCCGGCCATTCGCAATCATCGAGTTCAATCTCTGCGTAAGCATTGTTTGGAATTGGCGCGTGATCTTGTAGTCTGGCGCCCGGCTATATCCCAGATGCTTGATAATCGACCAGATGGCATGTCTGAGGTTCGAAGCCGGGTTGCTAAACTGCTCAAACAGGGCGTCGATTGCGGGGATGATTTTCACAATCTCTGCCTGCCCTTCTTGCGCTCCGTAGAAGAGTTCGCCCCAGAGGTCGGCGGTATACAGCTCCACATACTGTCTTAGGCTCTTATCGTCATCAGCGCTGTATGAAGCACTCAGCCGTTTCACGTGTTTGTCTGCAAAGGGAAGTACAAAGTCGAATAATTCGGATAACGCTTGCGGGGTCGCATAGGCCGCGAGGATATGGCGCCTTGCCTCGCGCGACTTGCGACCGGTATAGGTGAATGGGGTGGCACCACCCAGTACACGATGGAATGTGGCAAAGGGGGTCCAGACACCTGGAGTTTCTCGCGCGGCAAGCTCGTCTGGCTTGGAGAGCAGGTCTTTGACAAGAGACAGGTCACTCAGCTGGACGACAATAGACGGACCGGCCCAGAAGTAGGCTACTCCATCTTTCCCGGCAATGGTGATGAGTTTGTCTACCATGTCTGGGATGCTCGACCAGAGGAAATTGAATAGGCAGCCGACGATTGGGAGGCCTGGAAGACAGGGTATGCCGGGGAGAGCATCACCTGTGATGAATCGTCGAATGGCGGAGAAATTTGCCGACACGACTATGGCAATGGTCAAGAAAATTATGACATAGAAATAGAATGAATAATGGAAGCCAGAGACACCCTCCATAATGGGAAGTGTAGATACGAAGTCCATCTTGGTGTTCGGGAAACGGTTCTCCGGCGTTGCCGAATATCAGCTGGAATATATACTTGGTAGGATTGATATGATCGTAAGAGTGTTAAACGGAACGGCCTTGGCCTAAATGCTTGCTCAAGAGAGCCTCGTCTCCGCAGAGTAGGAGAGGCAGCATTTATAGTCTAAAGGTGGTTAGATTGCTCAAGTTGAGATTAGTTGCGAGAAGTGCGAATTTGTCTGATTGACTAGTTCAAAGGGACACATCCCTGTCTTTCTCACCCTGAATCTGGGTTTGCGAAACGTAATCTGCTCCAACGAGGATGCAGAACTCGCCTATTGGCTCCGGATGGACAGGACACGAGTCTTCAGCCAAGTGTGTCGCGCATTAGCGGCGATACGTTGCAGTAGCCCATTGCAACACAAAGTGATTCACATACATGAATCACGCATGAACTGGCTAGCTAGACTACTGCTCTTGCGCACGTATCAAACCCCAGCGAATGACTGGATTGATAAACCCTACCTGATGCAACTCTAGACTCACGTGTAGACAGCAGCCCCTCAACTCGCCTGCACGCGATTCCGTTCCCAGTGCAAGGTGCATATGGTGTACATGTATTTCGCTGATCTACCGCCATCTAAGCACTGGCCTTGGCAACCCGCACTCTTGCCCGCTCGGCCGCAAGCCACCTAAGGTATAACAGGCCGCTTGACGTGGTGGAAAGGATGATCGCAATGGTCAGCGGACTTTAGCGAAATCTTATAACCATCCACGATGTGGTCTGTACGTCTAGCAATGCAAGTTCAGCCCAAAATTGCAGTGGTCACTACCCCACAGCTGAACCTGGGTCCGTAGGGTTCAGCTCGCGCGCCTCGAGGATATGCCCGGGCTTTGAGGAGAGGGGGTTGGCGTTGGACACCTTGATGTCCGGAATACACTTGTTAGCTGCCGAGGGCCGATCGCCCTCAGACGGTTTTAAGCGAGCACTCGGGGCACTTGAATTAATCGGCATGCATCAGACAAGCCCGCCAGCCATGGGAGAATGTGTCGTCCTGGTGCAGACTCGTTTGGGGTGAGGCGATGACCTGGTGGAGGATCGCCCGGCCAGAAGTACATCGCGGAAGGAAAAAAGAAAAAAGCCAAAAAAAGAGGAAAAGGGACAGGGGATCCGCCTTCCATATTGGCAGGACAGGACGTCGGGAGGGGACAATGATTTCCTAAGTAATCCTAGAGAAGATAGAACTCCAGATCTTCTCGAACAGATATGTACTATTAGGCAGCTATAATACAAACATGAGCTATATCTCCAGGAGGTTAGAAGCCATTTACACAGAGGCATCATTTGAAGACCTTGGGAAATCAACCTATTATCTGGGCTATATTCTCAAAATCCAACACCACCCAGGGGCCCTATACCCTTCCAAACCCCCAACAACCCCGACTACTCATCAATCTAGTCTACATAGATGGAAGGCAGTGCCAGCAAGGCCTCTAACACTATTAGTCACAAGTACCCATATTAAGGTCATGGGGAAGCACACTTGGCAGGCTGGCAAGAGGCCCACTCATGGACCTAGCAGCCAGCCGCTATAGGATCGTTGCCCGTCGGTCAGCAGGACCTGGAAAAGGTAAAGTCCCAGCAACGTGCAGTCACTCCGCGTGTGATATGGTATCAGGTATCATTCCTGTCCCCACAGGGCTCTCCTCTAGTCCAGGTCTAATTACGGCGGCTTTCCTACTTCCATGGCTTACACGGGGTGCGTCAGTGCTGTCATTGGTCTTGCACATATTTTCTCTTTAGAGCAGTGTGACAATCTCCTCATAACATCCCTTCAAGGCAGCTTGAAGAGCATTACCATAGTCGCCGCCTAGCGCGTTAATGCCTGCTCTATTGTCAAAGAGAGACCTAGCAGTTCCTTGATGGCCCACTGCGGAGGCAGCCTGGAGAGTATTACCATAATAATAATAATAGAGCTAGGGAGTCCAGAAAAAGTCTGGAGCGGTTATTAGTGTGCAGGCGGCTATCTAAAGCTCCATGTCCACATGAAGAAGCATCTGAGCTAGATAGCCATGGTTTCATAAGCTTACATTTGCCAATGCTTATCATTCACGGCTGGAGCAAGCGGGTCAGTCATGTGGACTCGGAGCTTATGGAATTAAAGAGCTATTTGGTTGACAGATTGTTCCCTAATAAAGTCTATCCACGAACTAAATATGCTGGGACAACTGAGGTGGATCACATAGATAGACATGCCTAGATGCATGTAATCACTTAAATCAATCAAGGCTAAGCTATTTGCTATGTTTCCACCTACTGTTATATCTTAAAGTCATCTCTATACTGTAGATATGCAATACTACGCGTTACTATACCCTACTAAGCTTGTTTTGTTCTAAGCTCTCGTGTGTCACATGAACAACAAATCTATTCGTAAGTTTGAGAGATAGGCCGCAGATTACGCGACGCAAATTCAGAGGGGGTCTCACTAGGCTCTTTGCTTACAATTCAAAGGTTCGCAACCGCCCCTGCAAGATGGATAAGAACGCGGTTTGATAACGCTGAGATAGGACCCGACCAGGGGACTAGCCCTTATCTTCTTACCTGACGACGGGATAAGCCAAGAAATTAAGCGGGTAGGGAGCTCAATTGTTTGTATTGCGCTGCTTGTCGTTGATACAGCTTCGCGAGTGAACTATGGGCAAGCGCCAAAGGATATGCCGCAGCCTTGATGCCGGCCTGGAAAGCGAACTCTAGCCGTGGCAGCGCAGAGCGAGCACGCAATTCTAGAATCAAGGTAAATTGTTCAGCTACGGCTCTGACAGGAGACTCTGTAGTAATCTAGTAGACGAGACATACCTTGCTGCAAATAACTTCCCTCGGAAATGAGCAAGAAGGCCTGCGCTTCGCCGGCTTGTTCCGGATTTGCCTTCCTCCGAATCACAGCCTTGCCAAGAAGATAGGAAGCTGTTGCATCGCCGTCATCCGCGAGACGTACAAGATCCTTCACGTCGCTATCTGAGATTGATGCTTCCGGGGTGGTCTTCTCAGTCTCAAGAATCTTGGATACTCGGTCTTTCACAGCTTCATTGTGACTAATCTGCGGGGAAAGTCCCATTCCCATAACGGAGAGAGTGATGATATCAAACAAGGAAAGTGCGACCCCAGCGGCGGTTGGTCGAAGATCGTACCTGGGGTTGCAGCAGGAGTCCACCACTTGCATCACTTGCTGGAGGATTCGATCATTCTGAACAGTATTGCTGGCATCTGTTCTCCATGGTAGTTCACCCTGTGCGACCTTGTTACGAATTAGGTCAGCCATCGAACCATCGGTTACCTCTTCCGAAGCGCCAAAGGGGAATGTTGCAGTGACACACTGCCAGATTAGGACTCCTAGACTGCGCCGCTTGTCAGTAGCTATTTCATTACCTCCGCTTTCAAGGGTGGTGGAGAGTCGACGTGTCAGAGCAGGCCCACTCCATACCTCCAGATATCCATGTAGACGCTATGTTGTTTGTTTGGTAGCCCCCGAAACTCCGATGCCTCATAACGGATATCATAGCATCCCCCACTCGTGTGCTCTTTGAACTAGAACTGGTCAGACACGACATCCAATGCTGTGGGCTAAATAGACATACCAGACGAGCCTGTTCTAAATCAGTCAAGTAAGGTGTAATCGAGTTGTTCTCAATACAAAGCAGCACCTTGGTGTCGGAGAGGCGTTTGACAAGTACCTCGACAGAGTGCAGGTACTCGACTGTCGTCGCAATCTGGTGCGCAATGGCCACTCTGTCCAGCACCGAAGCCGGAAGCTGAGTATCCCTAATCGCCTGCGCCAGCGTCTTTGACGTCCTCAGGTCTTTCACCACAGCCCACATTCGTCCCCGCCGCTGCGCAATCCCGTAGAATGGATGGACCAGCGTGTTGGCTGATATCCGAGCATAAATCAGCACATGGCGCGGGCCGGCCTGACCATAGTTCATAATGTTGTCCTGTATGGGTTCGCAGACCACATGAGTCTGGTCGCCGCTCGGCGAGGTCAGGATCCCGTGTAACTGCCCGCGGCCGTCAGCACCCGTGATCGAAAGGCAGATATCATCCTCTGGGAAATCGATCTTCAGTTCTGGTGAAGTTTGCCGATCTGCCACCTTCTTTAGATCATCGAGAATTCGGAGTTTATCCAGGATCGCTGCTAGATCAGTTTGCTGACGAGACTGATTCTCCCCCATCCTCGTTGCAAGTCCTAGCAAGTCGGAACGAGTGGACATCTATAGTGCAACAATATTTAGCCAACGTGAAACAACTGATCAATAGAACAAAGTTGAATCTCAGAACTGACAGTGGCCCCGGCCTGGACAATAGCAACCCAAGTCATCATTTCATTCAGGAGTTTCGGCAAACGGCGTCTCCACATGACCTCCCAAGCACGCTGCCCGAGGTTTGATTGTCCGCATTCAGCGACAAATCTCAAGACCTCTTGCAGGACCGTGTTCAGCTTTGAAGCCAAGGTCTGATCCAAGACATTTTGGTTCGCGTCAAGCCCTGCCTTCAATACGACGGCGATACTTTTCACCTGCGCGCATTCTGCAGGCAGCTGATGCACGTTTTGAGCTGACCGTATGATGAATACCAGAAGATGGATGGATGTTGCAGCAACATCAAACGCTGCGAGACCGAGCTCTGCTGACATTATTGATCGCGTTGTAGACGGGGAGTTGGTTCGATTAGAGTGTAGTGTAGCTCGGCCCAGGTTTGCTGAAGCTGAGGGGTAGAACCAGACTCAGCACTCTTGTAAGACTAAGCCAAACGCACAAAGCTTATTTGATAGTAGCCTAATAACAAGCCATGCTATACACCCAGGTTAGTCAGCATGTGACGTGGCATTGAGCAGGGATCATGAACTGTGGGGGTTGCAAGTCAGGAAGAGCCTGGTCAGCATTTCACCCGATCATTAGACGAGTTTCAACATGTTGGAGTGCTCTGTACGCCTTGGTGAATTCGAGCGGCGGCTTCTCGAGGAGGTCGAGGGTGCGCTTGACCATGACCATGTATTGGATATACCAACGGGAGAGGTTTTTGGGAAATGGAAGTGGTCGGTGCGGATCAAGGGCTATCTGGAAGAGTTCTTGAACACTGAGACCATCGAAAAGAATTACCAGGGTAACAGGAAAAAAGCATACGAAGCATTCATTCACAGTGTGACTCACTCGGAAGACGTTCAACAGAATGCAAAACGAGCGCAGGACTTCGAGAGAACGAATCAAGAATTCCTAAGCGAGTTTGAGGCGAGCGGTGTCGAGGCCATCGAGGCCAAACCACACCCAGACGACGCTTCGTTGTGGCTTTGCGTTGCGAGATTATACGCACTCGTCGGGCTAGAGTGGGAGTTCACGGATACAATCGCCAACCCAGACGGAACGTTTGATATATGGCAGTTGATACGCAAGTTCGTCATCAAGCAAATCTCACCGGGGAATAGTGAGAATGTGGATCACGTCCTAGTACGAGACATGTCCTTCCAGTCTGTATACAATGTGACTCGCCCAGAAGGTGATTTTCGCCCCTTGTCTATTACTCGAAAGACAACCAATTCGTCAGTGCAAGAGGTAAGCCGTCATGCCGATATCTCCCACACCTTTCTGATCAAAGCTTGAGTAGTGGCCCGAGGGCCAACCGCAAAAAGATGAAGAGGGAGAAATATCGGATGCCTTCCTGGTAGGTCTGAGTTGCTACAATGCTTCTGCCGTCGGTGTTAAAACTGTATCTGTCAATACTTAGAAATACCTCCTCCGGACACTAGGTGCAGAACGGAAGATCGAAGATCCACGCGGATATCTTCACTTCATACCGTGGGAAGAGTTGGACTGCACAGACGAGTCGCTGCTTCAAGAATCAGGCATCACTCTAGACATACCATTTCTTGAAGAAGAAGCAATCGAGGAGTGGGTTCTTTGGACACCTCCGCGCGAAGAAGGCTTTGCTTGGAATCATCATTTACACACAGAAGACGAAGTTTTCGAGTATAACATAACGAAGGGATGGCCGTTTCCGGATCACTTGAAGGGGAGTACTGTAATATTTGCTGTACGTCCCCTTGACGAAACAGACTTTGTTGTGGAACTTGAAGAGTATTGGGACACCTGGGTTAGTGTACACCCTGAACGTCCTCGAAACCGGTGCTGACCGGGGTGATGTAGAACGATTGTGCCATTACGCAGAAGACACCTGACGGCCCGATTCTCCTTCTCGAGACTATTCCGGGAATGCGCTTCCGTAGCCGCATCAAGCGGCAGGATAAGGTCGCCGCCCTGGGCTACTTTCGTCATCTCGTCGAAGTCCATGCCCAGGGTCGACCCACTGACTCGACAGCTCGAGATTTGCTAGGGTTGGAAGGAAGCGGCAACCCTTTGTTTGCACATTCCCTTCGTGTTATCCCAGGGGACCAGCTCTATGATATTACGTGGGACCAGCCGTTGGGGAGAGGCAAGAATGGAGCTGTCTATAGCGCCTTGTGGCGCAAACCGGCTGGATACCTTGCAACCACGGCGTCCGACGAGCAGCAGCAAGCGGTAGTGTTGAAAGATGTGGCCTCTCACAGTTCGGTTGCGAAATTGGTCAAGGAGGTAAGTTTCAGCGTCACTATCCCGTGATACGTCTCTTAGCTTTACCTAATAGATGATTGAGATGGCAGATTGATATCACCTTTGCAAGCCTAGGTGGCAGAGCCGTAGGATGTGTCCAGTTCCTAGGTGTTGCCACGGTACATCGCGGATTAGACAAGGACGATGGATCGCAGACCAGAGATGAGTTGTTTCTCGTCTTTGAGAAAGCAACCCAGGGAACTATCTTTGACTTCCTCTCCCGACAGCTCAAGGATGTCACATTCGTCCGATCATGGTATATCCTGATTGATGCCTTGACCTCTATCGCTGGTGGCATCTCTTCCCTTCACACGCATAGAGTTCTACACCGGCGAGTCCAGCTTGGCGCATATCATGAATACAACTCTCACTGACTCCATATAGAGACCTCCACATGAACAACATCTTAGTGACTGACCGTTTCTACCCCAATGACCCCGATTATCCTCACGGGTACGACTATTTAATCAGTGACCTCGGGGAAGGAAAAATCCTGGACGCCGCGCACGAGATACGAAGCCGGTTCGACTCTCGCGCAAGCTACGGAGCACTGGATTTCCGGGCGCCAGAAGTCAATGGCAGCTTTGGTTGGTCACCGAAAGCCGAAACCTTTTCCTTTGGTGTGATTGCTACCAAATTGATCGAATGCAGAGGGTATACCTGCTCTGCATCTCCTCCGCAGTTGATTGTTTCAAGGTGTTCGAATCTGTACAATATATCCTCAGACACAGATACACACAAACGGATCGGGGGTCATTTATTACCTACCGCGCTGAGAGACGCGATAGAGCCTTGCTTTTCACATGACCCAGCGGATCGACCATCGCTGAGGGATGTGGTTCGAATGCTCGAGGACGCGGGCTCACAGTTTTGGACAGATGGCGAATATAGCGAGGATAGCAAAGATGTGCACTGGACATACTGGGACTGGAAGGAGCCATTAAGAAGGGGGTTGAGTGGCAAAGGCAACCTGCCCCATCCTCGCAGTCAGGATGATCGTAGAGGATCGTATGACTCGCGAGTATCCGACGACTTTGGGGACCTTGACGATCTTCCCATGTTGGATGATTGGATGGATGACTGAATGTAAGTTTTCTCGAACGTATGGTAGGAGCGCCCTCTGGGCTTGGGCTCACCGAGCTGCCTCTCTAGATTCGTGAAAAGGCCTTGCCACCTTTCAACAAGCCTCTCCACTGTATGGCAGCGCAGGTGGAAATGTTATTAAACAATAGGAAAGAGAACACAGCTTAAATGTTTAATGATTACGTACCCGAAATACTTTGGTACCTAACATACCTGGTCAATGGACCAGAAAATCCCTTGAAGCTATTTTCACCTTTGCTTGTTACCTATCCGACTAGTAAATAGCTCATGGAAATTGCAGGCGAGGTGCATCGCTTAGATATAATTAAGATTAGGCAGGGGGAATATACTGTTTCTTTATCCTATCCTAATTTATAGTATTGCCCAAGTATGAAACCACTATAAAATAGCAGCCTTATTACCTCTACTCATCGCGTCAAAGAGATATTCAGGAGACCGCAGGAATGGACAGTCACCGACAAACAAAGGGGTCGGCAGATTACACGCCGGAGAGCAAATTCGATCTCATTTGGCACCGTCATCGTCGCTCTCGCTGCGTTTAGAGTCTGCTGCTGCAAGAGCCTGTCTGCCCAAAACCAACTCATCAACACAGGCACAAGCCCCAGAAAACAAAGGCAGAGACATAGCAACTCTTTTATTCAATGTTCCAATCCAACTGCCTGTGGCAGATCTGTCTTTGTCAGATTCGGGGTCTCCCAAACGAGACAGCTGTGGGCTGTGACATTTGCTGTGCATGAACCCAAAGTCAGAGTAAAAAGTCGGGTAAGTACAGAGGCCCCGTTCTATTGGTGATGATGGCCAATGAGCGACTGCGGAGACCGTGCGCCAGGCCAGCTTTGGTTAAGTGTGCGGCGATCAGCGAATCGGACGTAAGAATTGCACCGGCAGCCTTAATACCGGCGCTAGAGGGGTGGCTGACGCTATGCTCTGTATACAAATCCCTGATGCTGTAGCTCTCCATATTCTGTAGTAGAGTATTGCTCACATCACGTCAGGCGTTACTATTCATAGCATCGAGATTTCTACATTTGTACTTTACTGCCCGCCATGAACATCTGCAAGAAACCCATCTCGTTTCAGGCGGACCGCGACATCCCCCCGCTAGACGGCAAAGTCATCCTCGTGACAGGCGGGAACATCGGTCTGGGGAAGCAATGCGTCCTCGAATATGCAAAGCACAATCCGGCGAAGATCTACCTCGCTGCGAGAACCCCCTCCAAGGGGCAGGCTGCCCTCGAAGAGATCCAGCGGGCACTACCCAAAAAGGCAAACATCGTGCTCGTCGAACTCGACCTCGCCTCGTTCGACTCTGTGAAAAAGGCCGCGGCAAGAGTCCTCACCGAGTCTGAGAGACTGGATATCCTCATGTTGAATGCAGGGATCATGGCGACGCCCCCGGGCCTCACCAAGGACGGGTACGAGCTGCAGTTCGGGACAAATTACCTCGGCCACGCGCTCCTCGCGAAACTCCTCATCCCACTACTAGAAAAAACAGCGACTCTCCCCTCGGCCGATGTCCGCATCGTAACCCTCGCCTCGCACGGCCACATGTACGCCCCGAAACCGGACGGGATAAAGTACGACACCCTCCGCACGGACGCCGAGAGCCTGGGCGCCTACGGCCGGTACGGACAGAGCAAGCTGGCCGCCGTCCTGTGGGCGCGGCATGCAGCGAAACTATACCCGCAGTTCACGATCGCGTCTATTCATCCGGGGGTTGTGCGGACAAACCTGATGAACAATGCGACGGGGTCGCCGCTCATCGTTCGGATTCTTGGCAAGGTGGCGAATAGGGTTGTGGCACCGGTGGAGCAGGGGGTAAGGAATCAGCTCTGGGCGAGTGTTGCGGAGGGGGTGGTGAGTGGGGAGTATTATGAGCCTGTGGGTGTTGGGGGGACGGCGACGGAGTTGGGGAAGGATGACAAGCTTGCTGAGGGGCTGTGGAGGTGGACAGAGGAGGTGCTCAAGGGGTATGCTGTGTAGCTTATTTGTTTAGTTCGGTTGCGTACAGGCGGTGATTTGATGTCGTTTTTACCCTAGGCTACAACTACCGTACTGGTCCAGTGTCCTCTCAGGCAGGAGAACCCAAGTCTAGGCCAGATGATGAAGCATACTAGTTTATCTAAAGGATATTAGTAACAAGGAAATGCCAGTGCAAGGCTGAGTCTCTGGGTATTAATCCTAAGCTGTGTACGGAGCAGAGCACCAAATATTCCAAGTAGGATGTCCGACCTTGCTTATGCACTTAGGGCTGCGGCGACTATATCCCAGAGTCTTCGAATCGGTACGCCTGCATCGGGTGCACGATCAAACGGGCTGAATGGGTCCCTCTGTGTGAAGTATAGACAACAGGTAATAGAAAAGAAGGTCTTTATTACAGTCAACACTCAATCTCCGTCTCAAAGTGCCACACATTATATGTTGGCTGTAGTGAATAAAACAGTCAACGGGCGACCTAGAGACCCTGTCGTGCCAAAGAGTAACAAGGTTATGCTTAGGCCTGGGCTTGTTACGAAGTAGATAGATTTGCTTATTTTATTGAGTAGTGTAGCGTATGGGCCTACCCAGACTGTGATCATTACCTATATTGTCTCGTTCTGGTTATCCATATTATTAGCACCATACACGTCTGGCACTATGCACGATAGCATCAGCCCTCAATCTCTCCGCCCAAATGCTTAACCCGATGCAACTCCCTAACCCTCCCACAAACCTCCTGAACGGGCCCCTCAACAACCAACCCCGGCGCCACCTCCCGAATCCCCAGCGGCGCCACGGGCCCTAATGGGACCCCCCACTCCCTCCTCCACTGCACCAGCTGCTCCGTCGAAGCCGCATACACAATCCGCCCCATCCCCGCAAACGCATGCGCAGTCGCGCACATGGGACAGTGCTCGCCGGAGGTGTAGACTGTGCTCGCGGCGCACTCGGCGGGCGAGAGGGTTTTCTGCGCCCACTGCACGAGGCGGAGTTCTGGGTGGGCGGTTACGTCGTTTGTGGTGATGATCCGGTTGCGCTCTTCGTTTAGGATCGTACCGTTGGACGAGACGAGGATCGAGCCGAAGGGGGAGTCGCCGGCTACCAGGGCTTCGTTGGCGAGGGCTATACAGCGGTTGAGGTGGGTTATGTCGGTTTGGGAGACCATTTTTGTTTCTTCGTGGGTGGAATGCCAATGACAAGGTTGGTTGAATGGAGTTCAGCTATGGGCGTCAGAGGTGACTTGCCAGTTGCAAGATTGACCCCGCCAGACCCCGCAATCCCCTCGTATGCATTGCTACTGACAAATCAGGCGCGGACATCGGAGCTCTCCGCTATTTACGACGACAAGTCCGTTACAGCTGTAGCCAAGGGCTATGGTAGGAGATGAACAGTTATATGCATGCTGCAGGAACCCGACCCCGAGCAAGGTGTCCGGCAACGTTTGACTCGCAGGTGCTCCCACCCTGGTAGTCCTCCGTCATACCTTGACTCCGAGTCGATCCACGGCTTGCCCCGCGTCCACCCGCACCGGCCCGAAGAGCCAGGGACCAGATTCTTCCCATACCGTGACACGCATAGATGGACTGTATGCACCCCTCATCTGTTTTATCTTGATGTATCCTCAAAGCCTAGCGGAACCTCCAGTGATATAATGCTAGATTCCATTCATCTACTATATGGACGCTATGAGCGATTGTTTCTATACACCCACTTCCCTCACTTCGTGCGTCCGCTGTCTATAAACATTGCCCGTGCTCGACCCCTCTATGGCATGCCGCCTAAACCGTAGGATGAAATGCGCCAAGTGTCCAAGTTCTGTTCCTCGACGTGTCATTGTCACAGTATAATCTGCACACGATGCTTTTGCTACACTCGACGACAGTTGGGTATCGAGATATGCAGTCCGGCGCTTTGCATTGCCCCCGACGACTGGCAGCTGTCGGTTGGGCACATATGGCCATCAGTCCGATAGAAACCATCAAAAGCTTCTAGGACATCTAATTATCACTCCTAATAGTATTAATCGCAATGGCTGAGCGTAATCGTCCTTTCTGTCGCAACCCCCCCCCCCCCCCCTCACACGGATACTCGCGGCCCGAACACCAACAATTCCTCAACCATCCAAACAGAACGCTTCACAATCGCGACGCAAATGATGAAATCAAAAGATATCCTCCGACATCGGTCGCCTTAGTCCCTTCAAAAGACTGCCCCTCGTACGCAAGATCCGAGACAAAGCATAGCGTCCACGAAACGCAACCCTACTTACCAACCAAGCAGCCATCATGCCTCTCTCGACCCCGCCGCAAAAACACTACACAATCGCCCTCCTCCCGGGCGACGGCCTCGGCCCCCAGTTGTCCACATACGCCTCTCGAATCCTGACGCAAATCTCAGCCACGCGCCCACACCTCTCCTTCAGCATAACATCGCACCCCTTCGGCGGCGCAGCCCTATCAAGCGGACATGCAAGCCCCCTCCCCGAGGAAACCCTGCGCGCCGCACGCGAAAGCTCCGCAGCCCTCCTCTGCGGCTGCGGAGACCCAAAATACGGCCGCGAGCCGGAGAAGGGCCTGCTGCGGCTCCGCGAGGAGCTGGGCGTCTATGCGAATATCCGGCCCGTGGCGTTCCCGAGTACCCGTCTTGCAGAGGAATGCAGTTCGTTTCGGGCTGACAAGGTGCAGGGGTTGGATGTTACCTTTGTGCGGGATTTGACGGGGGGCGTTTACTATGGCGCCCGGCAAGAGGCAGATTCGGATGATGCAGGAGCAGCGGGCGAAGCATACGATACGACGGCATACACACGTTCTCAGATATCGCGGCTGGCGCGGTGGGCGGGCCACTACGCGAGTTCCTTCACCCCGCCGAAACCCGTACATTCAGTCGACAAGTGGAATGTCATGGCGACGTCGCGGCTGTGGAGGAAGACGGTAAGCGAGGTGTTTGAGGACGAGTTCCCGCGCGTCCCGCTGCGGCATGTCCTTGTCGATGAGGCGGCGATGGTTCTGTCCTCGAAACCGACGGAGCTGAATGGGATCGTGCTGACGGAGAATCTGTTTGGGGATATACTCTCCGACCAGGTTGGGGGGATTGTCGGGTCGCAGCAGGTTCTGGCGAGTGCGGCTGTTTCAACTTTCCCTGGGGAGACGGAGTGTGGGAAGCCGGGGATCTTTGAGCCGTTTGATTTGAAGAGTGAAAAGGTGTTGCGGAATCCGCTGGGGATCGTGCAGGCTGTTGGTCTGATGCTGGCGCTGGGGTTGGGGCTTGCGGCCGAGGCGGATGCGCTCAGCAAGGCGATCAGGCAGACTCTCGACCCCGTCGAGCTGATCGGCTCTGATGTGCGGACCGTTGATCTGGGCGGATCCGCAACGGCAGACGAGTTCATGGCAAAGCTCCTCGAGAACCTCGACCTGTACCTCGAAGCCGCCAACTCGGCCGACCTCGCCGCGGCTGCACTCCCATCGCCGACAGCCACCTCCATCTCCTCGCGGTCATTCGACCGCCGCCCCATGGGCATAATCGAGAAAATCATGACCCACGCCGGCGTCGGCCTCACGCGCCCAGACGTCCGCCCGGGCGAAATGATCTGCGTCAAAGTCGACTGGACCATCACCTCCGAGCTCCTCTGGGCCGGCATGGAGAAAACCTACGACCAAATGGGCCGGCCGCGGCCCTACCGCAACGACCGGCTCTGGCTCGCCGTCGACCACACCGTCGACCCGCGCACAAACCACCAGCTGCGGCAGCGGGGTCTCATTGCGAAAGCGGAGCGGTTCAGACGGGAAGCGAAGATTGTGGATTTCCTGCCTGCAAACACGAGTATCATGCACACGGATTTCACGCGGGATCGCGCGCAGCCGGGGCGGATTGTTGTCGGGAGTGACTCGCATACGTGCTCGGCGGGGAGTATGGGGGCGTTTGCCATTGGGTTTGGGGCCGCGGATGTGGTTATGCCCATGGTGACCGGGGAGACGTGGTTTCGGGTGCCGGAGGTGTGTCGGATTAATTTCGTGGGCAAGTTGCCATTCGGTGTCGGCGGGAAGGATGTCATTTTGCATATTCTTGGCCTGTTTAAGCGGAATACGATTGCGTTTCAGCGCGCGGTTGAGTATGGAGGTCCTGGGCTGAAGGAGTTGTCTATGGACGCGCGGTTCGCGATTGCGAATATGAATACCGAGTTTGGGGGCATGGGCGCGTGTTTCGAGGCGGATGAGAATACAGCGGATTGGATCGCGAGACGGCCTCATCCGCAACATCGCCGGGGTGGGTTGTATTTCCGCGCGGATCCTGGTGCCCAATACGTCGAGGAGAGGACGATCGATCTCTCCGAGGTTGGAGTCACCATGGCCCTCTACCCGAACCCCGACGACGTCGTGCCCGTCGCCGCAAAAGCCGGCATGAAGCTCGACGGATGCTTCATCGGCGCATGCACGACAACAGAAGAGGACCTCATCGTCGGCGCCCTCGTCCTAGAAGCCGGCCTCCGCGCAGGCCTCGTCCCGGTCGCGCACGGAAAACGTCGCGTCACGCCAGGCAGCCTAACCATAATCAAGAACCTCGAGCGTCACGGGCTCACCTCGATCTACCGACAGGCGGGCTTCGACATTGGCGCACCGGGGTGCTCATACTGCGTGGGGATCAACGACGTCGACGTCGCGGGCGAAGGCGAGGTCTGGCTGTCGTCGCAGAACCGCAATTTCCGGAACCGGATGGGCAAGGGGAGTTTTGGGAACATCACCTGTGCGGCGGCGGTTGCGGCGTCGAGTTTCAGTATGGAGGTTACGGATCCGCGGTGGTTGCTGGAGCGGTTGGATCGGAAGAGGTTTGATCGGTTGGTCAATACGTGGAAGGCGGCGGTCAAAATCACGCCGGAGATACATGAGCCGGAACCAGAGGCTGCGAGTGCGGCGCCTGCGATGGAGAGTATGCTTGATGGGATTCCAGTGGCCAAGTCGGCGAGGGTCGTCACGTCGAGGGTTCAGCGGTTTGCGGAGAATGTGGATACGTATGTTGTCCCTTTTCATTCCCAGTCTGAGACTAACATGTGTAGTGATGCGATTATTCCGGCCGAGTTTATGCCCGGCGTCGATAATGCGGATCTGGGGAGCCACTGCTTCCAGTACTTTCGTCCAGAGTTCAGAGAGAAAGCCATCAACGGGTCTCAGATCATGTATGTCTCAATACCATTGAGCATTGACCGCAGCTAACAATTACAGCGTTGCCGAGCACGGATTTGGCAGTGGGTCGTCGCGAGAGGACGCGGTGAGAGCACTTCTAGGGTCTGGTATACAAGCTGTGATTGCAAAGGGATTCGCCTTCATCTGTAAGCCTCTAGCATTTCCTACTTCCACTCAGTGTGGTATGCTAACAAAATAGACGAGCGAAACCAACTCAACATGGGCCTATTCAACATCAAACTGCAAGACCAAGAATTCTACGACAATGTCCAGGAAGACTCCATCCTCACCATCAACAAAGACACCAAGACCATCCAGATCGAAGGCTATGACAAGCTATTCACCTACGAGCAGTCGGAAATCGAACAACGGCTGCTCGACGCCGGGGGCGTGATGCCGCTATACACCGAGTTTGGCAACGCAGTCTTCCGCCAGCTGACGAAACCAAAGACAGTAAAGAGCACGACTGGGTCGAAGCGGCCGAGGGATATGACGTGGTAGCTTAAACTGTACATGTAGTAATGACCAGTAATATTCCTCACATTAGAAGGCAGTCCCACCCGTAACCCTAACCCAAACCAGGCCACGCCAACCCCGCATCTTATCATGACCGTGCCATCTTTTCTTCCCGCTTATATCCGTGTCTTCCCCAGATTTTCACTCTCAACACACCCTGCAGCTCAATCGCACCGGAAACAAGGCCAGCCATGGTCCCCGCGTCCGCTACAAGCCGCAACAATAGCGCTAATAGCACCTCCAATACACCCTCGTACAAACGCGGCTACGTCGCGTGCATCGGGTGCCGCACGCGCAAAGTCCGCTGCGTCCTCGGGTCCAAGCCGCCCTGCGCGAAATGCCAGCGCGAGCACCGCGAGTGCGTGTTTCAGAAGGGAGAGCGGACGGGGAGGAGGCGTGAGGCGCCAAAGTGGGCGAGGGCTCAAAGTCAGAGTCAGAGGGGTGGCAATTCGACTCCGACTCCGACGCGAGAGGATGAGCGGAGTGACGAGGCGCGATCGGAACGTAGCCGGCGCGAGTCAGTAGCCGAGCATCAAGACCGCAATCCAATTGACGACGGCAACGGCAACGGCACCGGGACTCTGGGGATCCATGGCGAGGCAGAGGACTCGCCGCTGACCGACCCGGTCATGTCCACCATCTTCACGCGGCCGAGTGATGCGCTGGATGTGCTTTTCGATGCGGCTCGGCCGGGGCCGGTGCAGGAGCCGCATGGAGGACCCTTTTCCGCCGACGGACCCTTTGGTGTGTCTAGTCTTGTTTCGGAGAGTGGCCTTGTCGCGGTCTCTGCGCTGTCGCAGCCGAGTGAGGATGTTCTTGATCTGTGGGACAAGTGTCGCTTCGTGCGGCAGGGCTGGTTTACAGGGCAAGAGGCAGTTACGTATCTCGATCTGTACGTTTTACCTGGTCTGTCATTCATTGGGGAGCCTACTAACTGTGTAGGCTGTATCGCTATCTCGCACCCCTTGCCCCCGTACTCACAGACGACTACCGAGATCACAGCAGCCACGTCCGCCTCGTCACCGAAGAGCCCATGCTCTGCTGCACGCTGCTGATGATCGCATCCCGCTACTTCATCCTCCCCGGCGCCGGCGGCGTCTCCCGAAGCCACTTCATCCACCAGCGACTCTGGCAGTACTGCGAGCTCCTGATCCGGCGGATCATGTTCGGACAGGAGAAGCACTCGACTGCAAAGACGCGCATCGTCGGCTCGATAGAAAGCCTCATCCTCATCTCCGACTGGCATCCGCGCTCTGTGCACTTTCCGCCGGATACCGAGGGTTGGGACGCGGAGTTGATCTCGCCTGCGTATGACCGGCGGAATCGAGTGCATACGAATGGCGATGTCCCGCTCATTCGCTGGCGTGAGGATGTGTTTGAGCCTGCAAGGCGCTCGGAGCGGATGTCGTGGATGTTTCTTGGTGCGGCAACGAGTTTGGCTTATGAGTTGGGCATCTTTGATAGTGCGGGTGCGAATAGTTCTCCGCTGAGCGCTCGTTGTCATCGGGCGGCTAGTCTTCTCTACATCTATGTGACGCAAATGGCTGTCAAAATGGGCTGTTCTTCATTGCTTCCGGAGAACATTGCAGTCCAAAATATGGACACGCACTGGACGGCGTCCATTCGCCTCTGGACGGACCTCACTAGGCTGATGAAGACGGCATCGGCCATGTTCTTCCAGTCAATGGCATCCACCAAGCAGCAGCTGGGGTCGGGTCAGTACCTCATTCTTCTGCAGCATTTTGCTCCCTCTCTAGACCGCTGGCATGAGCAATTTACAGCATCGTCAGGTACGCACCTCCTTTCCATCTACAAAGCATGACTAACTATGTAGACATCCCCCAAGCCCTCGGCTCCCTCATCCTGATCGAATACCACTACCTCCAAATCTGCACAAGCGCCCTTTCCATCCAAGCCGTCGTCGAACGCGCCGTCGCCCGTTCGTCAGCGCACCTCGGCGAAACCGAAGGCGTAGAATCCTGCATCCTCCCACAGGACCACACATTCATCCGCAACGTCGTCACAGGCAGCCGGAGTGTCCTCGAGATCGCAACCTCGATGGCTGCAGAGGGCCGTCTGCGATACGCACCGCTGCGTGCGCTTGTCTGTATAACATCTTCATCCATCTTCCTCCTCAAGGCGATTAGTCTCGGTGGGCGCCATGCAGACCTCCAGACTTCGCTTGATATTCTTGACAGATGTATCCTCGCGCTTAGATCGTCTGGTACAGACGACATGGACTTTTCGCTCCGCTACGCAACTCTGCTAGAAAAACACGTCGCTCGATTCCGCGCGAATTTCATCCTCCCTCACCAGCCCGCCCCCTTCAATACAGGCACAGGCGCTCTGCCGACACCTACCGTTTCTCAACGACATGACAACCCACTCTCAATAACCCCCGCAACCCCATACACCCATCCAAGCTCCACTAGTATGCTCTGGCCACAGCAACAATACCCATCCCTTGACCAAATGCCCGCCGCCGAAGACTGGTGGGCGCGCCCGTTTGACCCGAACATCGCGCCGTTTAGTACTCATGGCAATGCGGGGGAGGGAGTCTCGCTGGGACTGGAGCTGGATTCTTTGGACTTTTTGTGGAATTTGCCGATTGTTGATGGGGTGGATATGCAGACGTAGTAAGTAGTCATAGTCGTATAAGAATTAAACTACTGTAATGGAATTTTTGAATAAACTATGGTATGGTCGATATTTGTTAATGCCGCTCTGAGCCGAGATGTGCACGAAACCTGTCGATTACCTGAAAGACTCATGTATACGCTACCAATGGCTGCTCCGAGGGTATGCGCCTCGCCTAGCCTCGCCTCCGACGTCGGAGCACCTCAGATCTATAAAGTCCACTTTCATCAACACAAACATGACCCAGATATCATCAGATATTACTCCGTTGTTCTCTCTCATCAGCTGATACTACTAGTAACCTCACAACCAAAATGTCCAAATCAATCGTCAACAGAAACCCCTACCCCTTCGCCTTCACCACCGGCGGGCCCATCACAACCTCCTCCTCCACTCCCACTGACCCCTCTTCTCCCTCCCCTACCCATTCAACCTCTTCCCCCTCCGGCCCCATAACCCTAACCCTGCCCAACACCCGCGGCGCCATCCCCTCAATAGCAGCAACCCGCCTCCGCGCCCTAATCCACGAAGCCAGCGCCTCCCCCGACAAGATCCTCGCCTTGGTCTGCAGCTACGACGGGCTCTCGTCGAAACTCTGCCTCGAAGCCGGATTCCCCGCGCTGTTCCTCAATGGCTACGCAATGGCGGCGTCCATGGGGCTGCCGGATACGGGGTACATTGCGTTTCAAGAGGTGGTGCAGCGTGTGCAGGAGGTAGTCCGTGTTGTCAAGGACGTGCCGATTATTGTAGATGGGGATACGGGGTATGGCGGGCCGATGAATGTTAGGAGGTGTGTTGAGGGGTGAGTTCTGGCTCTTTCTGGTCCCTTTGGATATGGTGCGTGTCGGGGACGGCGAGGCTAATGCTCTACCTGTGTTGCATAGGTTCGCTCGCGCAGGCGCCGCAGGCGTCATGATCGAGGACCAGACGTGGCCGAAACGTACGTTCCCCTTGCCCACTGCACACTAAATCCCCTCTTATCTTCTCTCCTCCCCCCCCCTCGCCATCTTCCCCACAGATCCAACTAACAGCTTCCAGGCTGCGGCCACACCCAAGGCAAATCCGTCGTCTCGCTCCCAGAAGCCCTCGCCCGATGGCGCGCGGCCGTCGACGCGCGCAACAATGGGCTCGACATCTGGATCCTCGCGCGCACCGACAGCCTAATCCACGGGTACGACGAAGCGCTCACACGCGCGCGCGCCGCAATCGCGCTCGGCGTCGACTGCATCTTCGTCGAGGCGCTCCCCGACCGCGCGACCATGCGCCGCCTCGTCGCGGACCTCGACGGGTTCCCGCTCATGGCGAATCTCATCGAGGGCGGGCGCACGGAGATGCTGTCTGCGGCGGATCTGGCGGGCTTGGGGTATGCGCTTGTGACGTATCCGTGGACGCTTGTTGCGGCGCGGTTGAGGAGTGTGCGGGAGGCGTTGGAGGGGATCAAGGGGGGGTTTTTGGATGGGAAGCCCGAGGTTATTCTGGGGTATGGGGAGGTTTGTGAGGGCGTGGGGTTTACCGAGTATTATGCGATGGAGGAGAGGTATACCTTTGAGGGGGCGGTTAATGGGAGTAAGGGGTTTCGGTTTGAGGAGTAGATGGCAGCTACAACGTTGCTTAGGGCGTAGCGGGAATCAATTTGAAAGGCTTTGGCGTCGTATGTATGGACTCTTGTCCCATGTTTATAGTCTGGTCTGCTATCTTTCTGTATAAATGCCGCAGTTTCGCTGATATATGGGCAACAGTCTTAAATTTCCGTATAGCACCATCAATGATTACTCCATACGCGCCTTCAATCGCCGAGCATATGACATCGAATACATCTTCACTTCGTATAAAAATCCCATTCCTGGCAACCCTGACCTAAGGGAGCAACAACCCATTGACCTGAAGAGGTCCTTCCTGTTCCATATATGGCAATTATATTCCTGGGTCGCGCCTGTCTTGTGTTGAACAATCGAATACGAGGGGAAGGAACAACCCCTCACTCCTTTCCTGTTCCGTTTTAGGAAGGAGGAGAGGCATTGCGAGTCTGGAGCGCCCCGTCGCTCCTTCGTTTGGAATGCAACGTACCGAGCGAGCCTAATCCACTGTATCGTTCCTTCCTGTTCTGTACTAGGAAGGTGCACTCAAGGCTGCCCCTTGGTCGAGTCAATCTAAACTGTTACTCTGCTCGTAGTCAAAAGCAACTGGATTCCTAGTCTACCCGGAGAAGCCAGGTTATACCTTTTCCTGACATGTACAGCATAACCGTCTCGCCGCCCGCCGGATGCCCACGGGCGTCTTTCTCCTCTGCATGCCAAAACCCGTCCTCACCCACATCTTCCTTCGCCCTCCCCTACATGGGCCCCATTGCCGTCGTGACGCGGATGTTGGGCTGCCGAGACATAGCGCTGGCAACGCTCTTCTACACCCGGCGAGCGAGCGACAGCAAAGGCGACAACCGACGAAAGATCCCGATCCCGATCTATCAGTTACATTGAAACAAGCGTTGACAGCTGGAATCGTCGCCGATTCGCTGGATGTCGTTGCGTACCTTAGCCTCATACCGGTAATATACTTTACATAGAGTAGTATACTCTAACTAACTTAAATGGCTATATCCTTATAGTACCTATTATATTACTTTTTTATAGCTTCTCTTACCTTTTTTGACTACTTTAAAATATCATGGAGGGAACGCTGGGTGCCGAGGGGCTGGGGTATCTTATCGTGCCGGCTGTGGGGATGTTGGGGCCACAGGAACTGGTAGTGCGGGGTTATTCACTATTGGTGCACGGGTACAGGCGGCCCGATGCCACCTTTGTTCCCCCCATCCGGACCGCTCGGTCAGATTCTTCGCCAACAAACACTCCCCTGTAACGTAACTTCTCTCCCTCAGGATCTAGGCCTAGATCCAAGAAAGAAGAAAAAAAAGAAAGATGAACGCGACGCAAATCTTCAACGAAGCAACAACCATCTTCTTCCGCCACTACCACAACAAACCCTACACGCTCTTCAACGCCCCGCTCTTCCACCGCAAAGCCTCGGCCGGCCAGATCCCGCAATACCTGCAATTCGCCTTCATCGCGACGGCCGTGCGCTTCTCATCGCAGGTGCAATGGAAGCAGCGCAAACAGAGCACGATCGACAGCTATGCGCGCGCGTCCTGGGAACTCATCATGTCGAGCCCCGACGGGTTGGGGGATTCGGATTCGAGCGATGTCTCGGTGATTCAGGCGCTGGCGCTGCTGGCGATTATTGATGCGACGGCGGGGAGGAGACGGGCGGCCTGGGTGAAGATTGGGATGGCGGTGCGGATCAGTCAGGATCTCAGGATGATGGAGGAGCCTGATGTCGAAGCGGGGTTGGGGCTGTTGGAGAGGGAGGAGAGGCGGGGCTTGTTCTGGTCGTTGTTTTTGCTGGATCGGTTTGTGTGCTGTTCGTTTCGACGGCCGCCGGCGATCAAGACCAAGGATTGTCGGTTGAATCTCCCGGTCGATCGGGCGTTGAAGGAGGGCGAGGTCCCCATGACGCTGGGAGGGTTACTCGACAGCAAAGTGCGAGGACGCGCAGGGCAGGTCGTCGGCCTGTCCGGGCTGTCCGTCGGCTTCGCAGCCCTCCTCGGCCGAACAATCGACTGCATGATGAACCGCGACGAACGCGCAATCGAGCCCTGGAAGGAACCCTCGGACTACAGCAGCATCCGCACGAGCCTCGAGTTCCTAAAACAAATGGCCGACAGCCACTCGCCCGACGAGCCCTCGGACACCGACCGCACCTCGCACCTCGTCCTCTCGCTGACGCTGTACCACCTCACCCACTGCATCCTCAGCCACCCGTTCCTGCTCGGCGTCAAGCGCCAGACGTACCCGGCGACGCCGACCGCCTGGGTCGAGGCGCAGATCGCGTCGTGCTGGAGTCATGCGCTCGATCTGACGACGCTTGTGGTTGATGCGAAGCGCGCGGGATACATGCTCGCGCCGTCGTTTTACAGTTACTGTGTCCTCGTTGCTGGGACTGTGCATGCGATTTTGCTGCATGGCGAGGATATGCCGGCTAGTGAGCGGGCGTCAAAGTATCTCAAGACCTCGTTTGATTATCTCTCGGAGATGACGGAGATGTGGCACAATTCATATATCATGGTACTCTCCCTCCAGTTCATATTTAATCCAAGCTAACGATGAACCACCAGTCCGACGCGCTGCGCTTCTTCACAAACCGCTGCGTCCGCTACAGCAGCATCCTCCTCGGCCCAGCACCGCTCTTCAAAAACCTCACGCAGACAGATATAACCGTCCTCCGGGCTGTGCTAGACTACTGGACGATGATGGACCCGCGGAATCCCATCTCCGATCTCAACTCTATAAACATCGACTGTTTCGCAAATACACCGGGCAAGGGGGATCGAGAAAGAGAACGAGAAACGCAGTCACTGACACCAGACGACACCACGACAGGGAGCTCAGCCTCGTCCAAGAACGAACCGGACAATCCGACCGTCGACCCGAAGCTCGTCGACTTTCCGCTCTCAATCTCCTCTCCCGCGAGTTCAAATGGGGAGGGCGGGACCGAGTTTCACAAGTGGGACTGGGATAATGAGCTTGGCGCGATGTAGCCTTCCTTACTTATATATGACATGGAAATGAACAATAGACGAACTTGAGCATGCTTCCAAGTGGCAATTTTTAACCCGATATTCCGCGGATTGTTTCATTGGTATCCCTCCAAAGCAGGAAGGACAACGCCACTACACTCGCCAAACCCAAACCGCACCCCCGTGGCCCGGTTCACGCACCACCCGTCCATAATCACCTCGTCGCCGTCCTCGAGGTACGAGATGCCGTCGGCTTGCATGTCTGGCAGCACGTTCTGCGGGAGTTGGCGCTCGAGTAGGCAAGCTATGCCGGTGTTTTCGCCTTTGGAGTTGCGGCGCTATGTTGCCTTGTTTAGTACATATATACGTTGTTGCGGATTAGGGTGTATAAGGGGAAAGGGTGACCGGGGAAGAAGAGGGCAGTTGGGAAGTATGGCATACCGCACTCGTCAGCGTCCCCGTGCCAAAGATATCCCCCGTACTCAGACCCTCGCCTGCGCTGGCCAGATGTGCGAGCTGTTGGTATGGTGTCCAATACAGCTCGTTTAGATTCGACTCGGTGACGAGGTACGACTTTCCGTTCCCTGTTGATATCATCAGCACACCCCTCCCGAACCAACCAAGCAACCAAGGAAAAAGAGATAGGGATACATACGTACAACCCTCGCGCTCACCTCAACATCCCACGTCGCCTCCTCTTCCTTCCCCCTATACTCCAAATGCCTCAACGGCGCCGGATCCTGCACTTTGGTACTAGCACACTTGCTCCCCTCCAACGCCTCAGCCGTAACAACCCACGCACTAACCGTCGTGCCCGCCCCCTTGCCATGAAACGGTCCCAGCGGCGGCATCTCGAACATCTGGATATCCCTCGCGGACCAGTCATTCAGCAGGACCATCCCGAAGATGTGCTCCTGCGCATGGGCGATGTCGAGGATTGCGCCCGGTGGGAGAGGGCGCGAGAGGAAGAGGCCGATTTCGAGTTCAAAGTCGAAGCGGGCGGAGGGCTGGAATTTCGGCGGGTTCTGGGTGGTATCTAGGGAGGTGGATGGCGTGCGGTAGACGCCGTGCGGCCGGACGATGGGTGTGCCTGTAATCCGCAGCGAGGACGTGCGCCCGTTGTACACGGAGGGCGTGTAGAACCAGTTTTCGGGGATGGGGCGCGAGGTTAGGGTGCAGCACTTTTTACGCAAAAACCTGTTAGCCTTCATCACGACAGTTGCTTCTCCCCCGCGGAGAAAAGGATAGGAGTTGGTAGCATAGGGGGGTCATACATTCTGCGTATGCTCCAACGAGCAATAGAAATCCGAAAAATTCCTCGTCTCCATCGGGAAATGATTCTTCACCCTCTCCAGCGGAACGCCATACCTGCTCCTAACATCCGGCTTGACGAGTTCCGTCGTCAGGATAGCCCTAACTGCCGCGCGGGTGGGGATTGGGAGCGCGGCGAAGGTGTTTAGTGTCGCCTGCGAGAAGACGTCGCCGCTTGATGGGAATCCTGGGATGGATGCGAAGAAGCCATCCTGCTCCAAAGCGGAGAGCTCGATTGCGTCTGTTTCGAGCGCCGTTGCGCACCGGGGTACGGGGTTTTCGGGCGTGGAGATTATCCCGTAGGGGAGGTTGTCGATTGGGAAGGGGGTGGACATTCTAATTCACTCGTTGAGGATAGGTAGTTTGAGCTAGGTAGGTGAAGCTTGCTCTGTCAGGCTGTCAACAGGCGCCTATCTATTAACGAGGGTCGATCGGGCATCGGTGCGTCTGATCGGTGAGCCACGCCTTATATTTACTCCGAGATGCATGTCGAAATACTCCGAGCGTAACTTGGTTCTTGGTCGCCGATCAATTGCTGCGTAACATGGGTGGCCATCAGATGGCGAAAAGTGCCGGGGCACGCACCTCTTGGGGCAGGCTAGGATATTTGCTCTCTGCAGTAGCTTGTATGCGGCATTTGATGGTTGCTGACGAGCGGGGTAGACATATATTACGAGAGGCAACAACAACCCTCAACTACGAGCAACTACGATGAAGAAAAGAATCGATCATGACTCGTGTATGAATAACTATCAACGGCCTTAACGAAGTTTGGATAAGGATGGGTGAGTGCAGCGCTCATCTCCGACACGTGCGGTGCCGATTGAGCTTGGCTGCCTCATAGCCATGCCTTCGACCATATGGGTCGGGATGCCTCACCGAGACGGCGAGTCGCCTGTCGTGCGGTGTTATGGCGGGATACCATCCGGTCTACTACCCAGCACCACGGCCTGAGTTGATGACCTAGTTCTCCAGGTTGATCTTGACGTTCTTCTCGGGAGGAGGAATCACTTTGTCCTCAGCGGCGCCCTTGAGGTTCGGGAGCTCATCCACTGCAGCCTTGATGATATCAAGGGCGGCCGCGATTTCTTCCTCTGTGATGACAAGAGGAGGGGCGAGACGAATGATGTTTTGATGGGTGGGTTTGGCCTGCGATTGTTAATCGTGGTTCACATGAGGATTGCAGACAACTTACCAAAAGACCCTTTTCCTTCATCAGCATGCAGAGATCCCACGCGCTGTGTCCGTTGGTCTTGGACTCGTCAATGACAATCGCGTTGAGCAGACCCTTGCCGCGAACGGTCTGGATGATAGGGTTCTGGATAGCCTCGAGGCCCTGGCGGAAGACGTGTCCGAGCTTCTCTGCGCGTTCGACCATGTTCTCCTCCTTGACAACTTCCAAAGCACGGATGGCCACGGCGCAAGCAAGAGGGTTACCTCCGTATGTCGAGCCGTGGGTTCCAGGCTCGATCGTGAGCATAACCTCCTTGTTGGCCAAGACGCAAGACACGGGGTACATGCCGCCTGAGATGGCCTTGCCGAGGAGAACCATGTCCGGCTTGATTCCGCTCCATTCGTGGCAGAGCAGCTTTCCTGTGCGGGCGATACCGGTCTGGATCTCATCGCAGATCAGCAGCACATTGTGCTTGTCACACAGAGCTCTGGCCTCTTGGAGGTAATCATCGTCTGGGACAACAATTCCCGCCTCGCCCTGGATGGGCTCGACCAGGAAGGCAGCGAGGTTGGGGCCCGCCTTTTCAAAGGCCTCGCGCAGAGCAGCCTTGTCATTATACTTGATTGGCTTGTCCGTTCCGGGGATTGTGCAGCCAATGTTGGGGACGAACGGGCCATAGTTCTCTCGCGACTCGGGGTCCGACGACAAAGAGATTGCGACGAGCTAGAAAGGGTCAGCGGAGCGCAATAATGAGGATGGGAAATACTTACTGTTCGCCCGTGAAAGTTGTTCTCCGCACTCAAAATGATGGCCTCGTTCTCCGGAATCCCTTTGACCTTGTAACCCCACTTTCGGGCGATCTTGATTCCAGTCTCGACCGCCTCCGCACCAGTGTTCATGGGGAGGACCATGTCGAAACCAAAGAACTTGGTGACGATCTCAGCGAATTTGGGAAAGACATCGTTATAGAAAGCCCGAGAGCTAAGGGTCAAACGAGAGGCCTGCTCGACGAGCGCAGCGACAAGTTTGGGGTGGCAGTGGCCCTGGTTCACCGCTGAGTATGCGGAGAGAAAGTCCAGGTAGTGGCGGCCCTCTGGATCCCACACGGAAGTGCCTGCAGCACGAGCAAAGACAACGGGGAGAGGGTGGTAATTGTGGGCAGCAAAGTCGTGCTCAGCCTGGATTGCTTCCTGGGTGGAAGCAGCATGGTAGGCAGTTGCAGCACCGTTGGTACCGTTGGAGGCCATGGCTGTACGATAACGAGATAAGGCGATAAAGTGAGGAGTGAGGAGTAAAGACGGGCAAACCGTGGGTGAGGCAGAAAAACGAGACAAAGAAGAGAGAGTGGGAGGAATTGAGGAATTTAGTCAGAGGAACAAAGAAACAGAATATATAAGAGGCCTGGTGTGCCCGGAGCCAGAGGCCATACCTCTAAGCGCAGGTGTACCCGTTGGATGATCCTTAAGTGCAGGTCTACCCGTTTATGACGCCGAGCCCACTTTTGCTGCTGTCCACTGACGTCGCGCCCATTTGCTCATTACGGATCTCTCGCTTGTGCTTGGCTCCATCGCTCTCGTCCAGCGCACCTCATCTGGGGTAATATCTCGACGCCATGTCCCGGTCCCTGTCCACTCGCTCGCGTTCGCAGCGATCCTACGCTCCCAGTCCAGCTTCCGAAGCCGCGCAGCCATTCTCGCCTTCGACACCGGCCCCCGTCACCACCTCCGTCCCGCCGCCGCTCTCGCGCCTGAGGCCACCATCCCCGCCTCCCGACGCGTCCAACAACATTCTCCTCTTCCTCATCGCCTTCCGCCTCGTCAACGCCCTGACCGTCCGCACATTCTTCCAGCCCGATGAGTTCTTCCAATCCCTGGAGCCCGCGTGGAAGATCGCGTTTGGCGAGAGCCAGGGTCCCTGGATCACCTGGGTCAGTCTCCACCGCGCAAACCTTTGTGATTCGCCTACATGCGGAGTTCTGGTTCTGACCGTTCATCAATAGGAATGGAAGCATCAGCTGAGATCCTCGCTGCATCCGCTTATCTTCGCTGCAGTGTACACCGTCGCCGACCTCGTCGCACGAACCCTCGGATTGTCCCCCGCATTACGCGCCGATTTGTTGATTGCCGCTCCTGGAGTCACCCAAGCCGTCATCGCTGCCGTCGGTGATTACTACACATGGAAACTCGCTCGGTACATATACGGAGATAGGAGCTATGAGAGTTGGGCAACGGTATTTCCTTGGAATGAAAGGCGACGATGGCCAATGCTGACCTGTGCAGCTTGCGTTGACTGTTCTCAGCCCGTGGCAGTGGTTCTGCTCGACGAGGACTCTGTCCAACTGTCTCGAGACTACGATTACGATTGTCGCTCTGAACCTCTGGCCGTGGGAGTGGGCCACGGAGGCAGCCCGCGCACGACCTGCGAATGTGAACAGGTAGGTCTTTGGGGCTGCTGCTACGAGCTTCGCTAATAAAGATAGAATCCGGCTATGCCTTCTCCTTGCGGCTTTCGCGTGCGTCCTGCGCCCGACCAATATTCTGATCTGGATTTATCTGGCCGGCGTCGCCTTGCACCGGAGTACCTGGCCTGAGAAACAGACGCTCGCTCGTGAAGCAGCGCTTAGTGGGTGAGTTTCCCTACAGACTTTCATATTCGAAGCTAACAGCTGTAGGTCGGCAATTCTCTCCTTGTCGCTTATCGTCGACCGCTTCTTCTACGGATTCTGGACGTTCCCACCTTTGCGATTCCTGTACTTCAACATTGCGCAGTCTCTCGCGGTCTTTTACGGCAAGAATGACTTTCACTACTACATCTCCCAGGGATACCCTCTTCTGCTCACAACGGCGCTACCGTTCGCTCTGTTTGGACTATACCGGACTTTGAAGGATCGGCAGGCGGTTGCAGAGAGGGGCATTGTGGTCCAGCTTGCCACGATCTCCTTGGCTATGCCCGGAGTGCTTTCTCTCATCACACACAAGGAAGTCCGGTTCATCTACCCTCTTCTCCCGGCACTGCACATCCTGAGCGCATCGCCTCTGGTTGATTTCTTCCTTCCCGCAGTAGCAACGACGAACCGCCAGTACCTCCCCCGCCGACTGACACTCATCTTCCTCATCTTGGTCAATGTCGTGATCGCAGTCTACACAACCGTATTCCACGCCTCGGGAGTGATCTCCGTCCTTGGCTACCTGAGAGAGCAACACAGCCTCCACGGACTCGAAACCACAGCCAGCACCGGTGGCACAGACCGAACCTACGGCGGGATAACAGCCGGCTTCCTCATGCCCTGCCACAGCACACCCTGGCGCTCGCACCTCGTCGAACCCACCATCCACGCATGGGCGCTATCGTGTGAACCGCCCGTCGGCCTGTCCGAAACCGAAAAGGCCGCCTACCGCGACGAGGCAGACCAGTTCTACGATAACCCAAACCAGTTCCTCCGCGACCATATGGTCGGTGGTCTCCGGTATATCCCGCGCCGACCATCCTACGTTACACCCCCAACGACACCGCGCCTTCCAACGCAGCCCTCCTCCCCGCACGAGTGGCCCGACTACCTCGTCTTCTTCGCGCAGCTCGAACCCACCCTTAAGAAACTCCTCCCGGGCGCCGCGTACGGCGAGTGCTGGCGGACGTTCAACACAGCCTGGCACGACGACTGGCGGCGGCACGGCGACGTGGTCGTCTGGTGTCTTGATAGCGCAGAACAGGAGGCGTGGCGCGCGGAGAAGCACAGGCGCGAGGTCGAGGAGCGGGATCGGCAGTTTGAAACTATCGTGCAGGCGTTTCGGAAGGATGCGACGAGCAAGCCGTCAAAGACTTGGTTCTCGTGGGGGTCGCCTTCGTCGGAGTGGTTGTGGCCGTGGCAGCAGAGGAAGCGGATGACGCTGTTTGGGGTCGAGGTGCCGCAGTGGCCCGAGTGGGATTGGCCGTGGCGGAAGAAGAGGAGCCTTGCTGGTTTTCTTGCTTTCCTTCGTGCTGATCTTCCGTTTTAGTTGTTGATTCGAGGGTGGATTTGGATATTCGGTTTCTCATTTAATAAGCCTTACTTAATATGCTGTTTAGTTACTTAATGCAGTCTGACTCCCGTTTACGCATTCCACTCCGATACTACGCATCACACCAGGAACAAAAAAATGGTAAAAAAAAGAATCCATTCAACCAACAAAACTACCATTCACTAATTACCCTTCTTCTCCTTCAACATACTCCTCAACGCATCCGTCTCCCCCTCGAGCTTGGACACGCGCATCTTCAACTCATCGCGCTCACGCTTGACAGCCTCCAGTTCCTCCTCGAGCTGGGTCATCCGGTCGAGGCGGCGCTGGCGGTATCGGCGCGCGGCCATGGTGTTGAGTTGGCGTTTTGAGATGCGCGATGGGTTCTCCTTTTCCCTCGGTGAGGAGGAGTCGCGGGTGGGCGAGGGGGTAGGGTTTTGCAGGGTTGTTGAGGGCATTGGTGATGCTGAGACTGGGACTGGCACGGACGTACTTGTGGCAGTCGAAGGTTGGATCGGGAGCGAGAGGGTAGGTGGTTCGAGGGTTGTTGTTGTTGTTGTTGGGTTGGTGGAGGGGTTGAACGGGGGGTCTATTGCATCCACATATTAGTATGAGATTCACGAACAATGAAAGGTAAGGGCAACGCACCAGGAGAGTCCACGGCAGAACCCTGACTCTCAAGATAATTGCCAGCAAGCTCACCAGAAGGCAAGCAGCCGAGGGCCGTCCAGTCAATCGCACTAGTGTCCACCGAAGATGCGCCGGGATAGCCCGCTGATGCCGTCAAAGTATTATCGTAGCTCGATGCCGACAGAGCAGGATCCCCAGGGTACATAGACGAGGGAATGAGGAGGGGATCATAGAAGAGGAGGTCGGGGGTGTTGGTGGGGATGGGATGGAGATCAACGGGTGGGTAGGCCGCTGAAGAAGTAATCGGGGTCGAGAGGTCCGGGAAGAAGGCGGGTGTTGAGGAAGAAGAGGAGGACGAGGCGGAGTTGAAGAGGAGGTCTCCGTCACTGAAGACGGAGTGCGGGGAGATGTCGAGGTATTGATGAGAGGAGGAAGAGGGGTGAGGGTGATGCAAGTAATGACTGTAATTAGACGGCCTTTCGTCCGACCAAGAAGACTGAGCCGGTCTGGCGGGCGACCGACGCTGCGGAAACTGCAGTGACAGCCATTGCGAGATAATAAAAGCCGGGTCTTGCGGCGACCCGGTTGCGCGGGCGAGTTATAAAAAGGAGGAGGTTGACGAACTCGCCGGTGTGGTTTGAGATGAGAGGAAGAAAGAGGACCAAGTGTTGCGGGAGTCGGACGGCCTTTTGAAGGGCGGCTGCGGGGAGCCGATCGGGTCTAGCGGACGTGGTGGGGCAGTGCCGTTTTGCTTGGGTTACATGTATTTTACAGCCCTGCCTTGGTGCCTTGATGTTGACATTCTGAGAGTTAGCCTCAGGAACGAACAGTAAATTGAAGAAAGAGTCATAGACGAGGTCATATGTGAGTCAGTCGATGTCGGCCCAGAATACTTAGAGACGTCTTCCTGTTTTCTTCATCTCTAAGCGCCTCAGTGCGCAAAGTCGGCAGCGGGCTGTGTCTTCATCCTCGGGTGTAGTATAGGGCAGAAGCAACAAGCAATGAACGCTTACCAAGATTAGCGAGCTTGGGCTCTGGGCTCTCCCGCCCGCGGGAGAGGCTTTTGGAGCCGGATAGTTCAATTCTACAGTCTAGACTCTACACACTACGATTGTCTTTTATATCCCAACGAATCATCATGCTTGCCCATCATGAGTCGACATGAGCAGCAATGACCTTGTGGTACCCCGCATCCCAAGACTCTATATAAGGATTGGCATTGCTGCGGATGTAGCACTCATGGTTACTCATTGTGATCCTTGATGAGGTTCTCCAAATCATTTGATAGAGCTGTAAGATACATGTATTGGCCAAGATATGCTAGTCCCAGTTCATCGATGAGCGAGGATGAGCGAGAATGACTCATTTTCACTCATGCTGAGCTGGCCAATGATGTCTTGCAATTTCAATGGTTTCTCCGCTAAAATATAGTGCTCCGCTTCTGGGTATATGAGGCGCGCGGATCGGATGAGACCGAACGCTTTGACAATAATGACGAGCAGCGTCGCGGACACCAAAGTCCATCTCTGGGCGGCGAAACAGACTCTATGGCAGGGGTTTCAGATAATCTGCCTTAGGAAATATCACATGGTGAGGTTAACCATAGATAGTCCTCTCAAAACTGCAGGTGGTCCAGGGTTCCAGTGTTGAGAGTACTCGTATGGAAGCTGTCCCTGTTTTCAATATCATAAAGCAAAGGCTTCCGGTCAGTTGACGAAAAATATACAAAATATCCAGACAACTCAAAAAGGATGTTTAGCAGCACGTTTTCTGTGCTATATAAATTAAAAATAATGTCATTGTCTCTCAACAAGGCCTACTGGCCCAATGGCAAGGCGCTTGACTACGAATCAAGAGATTGCAGGTTCGATCCCTGCGTAGGTCATTTTTTTTTGAACCACTTTTTGCTGCCCCACCAAGACTTTGATTCCATAATTTTGATTTGTTGATTGGCATTGACCAGCACTTGGAGAGCTGATGTTATCTATCTTGTTCGTGTCTAGCACCTTTTGCCCTATAATGACTTTTTTATCAGTCTACCTCAGTCCCGCTCAATAGCCATGATTGGACTCGAGGGTTTGACAGTTGAAACGCCAGAAATATGGCGACTTATCCCGCTGTTTTGAGCATTGACTGCTGGATATGCATACATATATATATATAGGTCCCCACTTCCTTCATCCATATTCTAAACAAAAACAACCTGGACTGTTTAGATAATACACAACGTGAGCAGAACTTATCAGATGATTCATCCAAATGCCTCGACACCCAGATAACTCGGAGCCTCTATATTTGAACACCAGGCGGATAGCGACTCGTACAAGGGTCATACATTTCCACTTCCACCATGATCTACCCGCTCGCACTTACACCCATCCTCTCCCTCACCCACCCCAAACACTCCTCCCACTCCCCAGAGGTACTCGCCTTCTCACCTTCCAGGACCCCCATAACCTCATCAACAAGCGCCCTCCCCGCACCCCTCGCCCGCCACCTCTCCCCATCCAACTCATTCAACAAAAACCCAGTAAGCCAAAACCAGCAACGGAACCCTCTCTCGCCTCCTGGAACTCTCAACAAACTCCAAATCCACAGCGCCAAGCCATGCAAGGGCAGGCGCGGGATTTTGGCCTGCCGTGCGCACGCGAATTTCATGAAGTAGTGGCGGAGATACGTGATGAAGTTGGCGCTTGTGAGCGTTTGCTTGGGGGCATTTTATTTGGATTTGGATCGGATTCGGATTGGTTCAAGTAAGCGAGGTGCTCAGATGGGATGGTTGTTGTGGCGTCGAGTGTTGTGGTGACGTCCTTTCGCCAGAAGGGGCCTTGCGTGAAGAGTGGAGGGTTATATGTTGCTTGTTGAGAGTGAGAATTCTCTTCACGCCCTGGAGGAGTTTGAAGATTGTGAGGATGTGGTCCGTCATCCGAGTCGAGGGTGTAGGTTCAGACGCAGGATCGGCTTTATGAGCTGTGAGCTGTGGCAGCGCAAGGCTTATAGCCGTCGTAACTACTGACTGCGCAAACGCCGCCTCGCAGTTCTCCGGCGTAAGATTCCCAATCGCAATGCGAAATGGTTCTAAACTGAGACTGTGATATGAGAGACCTGCATTGATATACGCCAGCGCCTCTGACGGCTCAAGAGTCGTGGCAATATGCAATGAAGCAAGCGACAAGATTCCATGTATGAGATACTAATATTCTATTACAAGACGCGGCACGAGGACCTGCCATGTGCGCGCCTCGGTTTCACTCACAAAGAGAGTCTGGTACGTCTCTGTAGCAAAGTAGTGCATGAGCGCTAGCTCGTCAATGCCACTGGCCTTGAGCGGGCTACTTAAGGGAAGCGAGAGTTGGGTAAATGCCTCATGGCCTGCATGACACGCACAAGCATGAGCCTGAGCCTGAGCCTGAGCTATTAGCAAAGCAGGCGGGATGGGCGAGTACATGCAGTCACTTATCTAGCGCAGAATGTAGTTTGTGCAGGGAGGGCCTAGCTCGTCGCATTTCACGCGGCGGCGCCGGCAATTGTCGCAGCCGTATCGGGACTTTTTGTAGGAGTTTCGAGGCTTCGACATGATATGGACGGATTTCAGGACAGAGATGCGAAAGTGGGGACGAAATGTTGATGGATTCTTCCAAGTTCCAGCCCCGGGCCACAAGCTGCGGGAACCATATCCGGTCACGTCATAGGCTAGCTACGGGAAGTCGTGCCCTAATTGGGAGGAGTCGTCGTCGTGTCCTCTGGATAATGTCATTGCCCATTGTTCATGTCTTTTCTGATTCTCACTAGGCTTGATACTGTCTCAATGATTGCCAACCGCAAGCATCAGGATAGCCAGAGATCCGATGTCTGCCCCTCTGCCACTCATCATCTCAACCCAAAAGGGATTTCCGCTCTGACCAACTTGACAGGTGATCCTCCCTTGGTAGACTACCGTGTCTGTATCATGCCTGGTATACTGCGATTTTGAGGTCTGGAAGAGAAGGACCTTGTCAAGCATGGATTGAGTCTTGGTTTCCTGAAGCATCTATTAGGGCTTGACTGTGCATGCACAATGGCATTTCTATCATTATTATCTTAAATTGCTAGTATGCTGCTGACTAGGCAACGCTCCATGGCACTGTATAATAGATTATTATACCAGCTTAGAAGCACAGTTAAGAGGTGTGTTTGTCCTTGATGGTAGGGGGAACATAATGAGAATAGGTAGAATATCATACTAGAAAAAATGGTGACGATATTTAACCTGGTTGCCAACTTTTTACTAGTCAACTATGTGTAACCTAGCACACTCTATACTTTTAGAGCTTAAAGGGAACAGTCAGCTTCAATCTTGCCATGACGAAAATGGATCCTATTTCCACCCTAGCATACATAGTAAGCGCTGAACGGCTGCAGGAGTGACAGCCTGATACAGTCTTTTATGTCCTTTCCCCAAAGGGAGGAACTCGAGAATGTCTGATTGATGTAATCTGCTGGACTGATGCATGTGCGTTGCTAGCTCTGATATGAGTTTAGGGCTACTATGGTAAAAGTACAGCAGATGTTCTAGTATCCCACTTTTAATGGCCTGGCCAGTATTATCTTCAATGCACTGTATGGGCAAGGTGACAATGACTAAACTGCTTGGTGCATTTCCATTCCGCTCCTAGTGATTGAACTACTACTATACACTAAAATCCCAAGGCCAGGAGATGCTGGCTGATAAAATTAACTAGGCCGTGCCCGGCTCTTTGGAGCTCTCATGGTCTGTTTGAGCCATACTTTAATATACTGTAGTTAGACCTAACAGTATCCCTCCTTGGCTCTGCGAAAAAGGGGATAAACAAACCATACAGACGGATTGTAGAAGAAGTCTGTTGAAGCACAAGGTGAGCAGCACGTGTGGAGAATTCGACGGGTTGACAGTAGTGGGTAGACCATGGGTTTTTGGTCGTAACTGTGGGTAACACTGCAATTTTAGGGGCCAGGGGGAGATGACTCGGGACTAATCAAATAAGCACTAGCGGCTGACTCAGGGCAAAGGAGGAAGCTAGAGCCTTGTACAGCCTCACACGTGTACTGCATTTATAGGCGCTGCGAGGGGATGGCACCTTGCTTATGGTTACTAGCATAGCTGCACATGGGGCATTCAAGCGACATCTTTAGCATTTGGGAGGCAGTTGAGGGTTGGCATTCAGAGCATCTGGCCTAGATACCTTATTTTGTGGTTTCTCTGTTCTTACACTTTCCATGGTATAGATCAAGCTGGACACACACACAAATAAGAATCTCATTTAGGTGGTCTCAAAGCGTGCGTTCTTAGTGATGTAGACTCGCCTTTAATAACAGGGTTGGGATTAGAAGAAAGACTTGTCTATAGCCTACTGCAGCTTCAGTTTTACAAAGCATAGGGGGTGGAGCTTGAGCTGGTTGGCACTAGATGGAGCACTGCACTTGCAGGACGTTAGCTAGCTCATGGGTGTTGCATGGCTACCCTGGTCAGACTATATGCAAACTAGATGGAGGGCCGGCGACCGTTGACTCTCTTCTAATAGACTCTAGAATACGTAAAGGGATGAATTGCTGATTGGACGGCGAACATGATGCAATTCTAAAACGCATGGCCTACATGTGACCTCCCTTAGGCAAGCTCAATTACTTCGATCGGTAGTACTGCATTTTAGGGCATGGGAGAGGATGAGCTCTCGTGATGTTCGCCCTACAGGCCAGAAGCGCTCACGACTCCACATAGTTTTCCACCACCAGATACATCATTAATTGCCTGAAAAGCATCTAAGATATATATCAAACAATTTTCCATCTTGTTGTATGTTAACAAAGTCTACGTCACCTCTAGTAGAATGGCTCTCATTGAAACAACCAAGTAAAGTTGCATTAGCCACAGAACTCTCAAGAACAAGAGGCTAGTCGAAGCGCTGTCCTTAGGTTGGTGATTAACGGATTCCATGTACTGCAATATTTGGGCTTGGGATGGATGGGTTGGTTTGGACCTGATTGTCTCAGCACTAGCAGCTAAGGCCTGGTTTGGTCGCAGGTCCGCATTGTACTGCATTTCTAGGCCCTGGGCAGGTTGAAGACTTGAACATGGTTACTGGCGTAGCTGTACATGGCTACTGTTTCTCTCGGGAGTTTGATGAAATCAGTTTTAGAAGAGTTTCCCTGAATGTCCAGCGCTCTGCGATATAGCTTTCTCCAAAACAACCCAAGGGCCTACCTCAATCCCCCTCTAACAGAGCCAACAATAGTGCTCGATGCACGGATTGCTGCTTTGAAGTTTGTCTCCGGTCTCCGAAGACATAGTTATCTGTCTTTCATCTACGGGAGAAGCTGGTGGGCAGACAGGGGGTCATCTTAATCAAGATGCAAGACTGGTGGCTGGACTACAGCAGGAACAACCAAGTGCAGGTGAAGCAGCGCCCCACTAACTACATTTACTGTACATATTTGCTGACCGTCTTGGCGGCAGTATTCATATCCATCCATACCTTATGATGTCAGTCTTGAACCGTTAGACGCCCCTAGCTGGCAAATACTGCCTGGAATGCATGCGTTGCCCTCCTGTACCTCTGTTCCTCACCCTCCTGATCCAAAGTATACTGATCACGAGCCCCATTCGCTAGCTCAACCAGCGAGCCAACCGCATCACAAATCCCACGCCCAGTCGCAGGCGAGAACCTGACAAAGCGACAGCCCCGCTGCGTCGCAAACGCCTCGGCTTCCGCGTGCGGCACCCCAGAAGGTCCACCATCACCATCACCCCCACCAATGGCGGCGATCACCGTCGCAAGAAAGGGGAGGACGCCGTCCTTGCAGCGGCTGCGCATCCTCTCGCAGGCAGCGACTGTTTCATCCCACGACTCCCTCGACGAAGCGTCGTACGTGAAGACCAGGCAGACGTGCTGCATGAGGGTGAGCCAAGCTGAAAGCGGCTCCGGGTCGCTTGGTGGCGAGAGGAAGCAGACATTGTAGAAGTATCCGTCGCAGAGGTAATCCGTGTCGCAGTAGCCTGTAGGGTCGTACACTTCGCAGCCCTTTTCTCTCTGGAGTAGCTATATGAAACCGCCGTGGCGGCGTGAGGTGAGCTCGGCTTGGCCCGTGGGGGGTACGGGACGGTATGGTACTCAGTCGGAACTGAGCATGGGATGCGCATGCGCATGTTGCGCTGCGCGGGGTAGATAGATACGTACCCTGTATAGATCCGCGGCGCCAACGGCGCCTTTGGCATTCGCGACGAAAATGGAGACGGACTGTATATCGTAGCCGCGCTTGCGGGGATGCTCGGTGGGTGAGCGTCTCACCTCGCTAATATGGATGGCGCGAGGGGATGGGGATGGGGATGGGGATGGGTTGACGGGTTCGCTCTCTGCTGTCGTGGCCGGCGGTGCTGATGGCGCGGGCTCATTGTCACGGCGGCCGATACCACGGAGCTTGCGGAACATGATCCTGGCGTGAGACAGTACCATAGTCGTACCATGGGGGTGACGGTTGATGGGTGAAGCGGGCGAAAATGAGTGGAAAACGGCAGTTCTTGGAAGAGACCTGGACCCGAGGCACTGCTGGGCGTGACTTGTGTGGAAACAGTCTTGGCCGTGGTTATGAGCAAAAACGGGCCAGCTGCTTGGTGATAGTTAATAATGGTCCAAGGAGTCGAACAAATGCCTCGAAAGTTACGGAGACTGGGGAGCGGCGTCGGACCACTCCGCCACTTTAATCTATTGTTCCCACTTGCTCGTTTAGCGAGCATATTAAGTTTAGTGTGTGGATATAACACCAGTGGCCGCATAAGCCAATAGCAAGCTGTTAACTACACACTGCATCTTATTCGCACACAGTGGCTCTTTGACACATGAACTTCGATTACATTAGTTCCTTACCAACCACTCCACTTTAATCACTACACTTCGATCTAGTCGCCTCGATCGCTAGCAGTAGATAGAGTCTCCTTCCTTTTATGGACAGCCTCCAGTGGTTTAGCCGGTGATTCTTTTAAATCCAGGGGTACTTCGCTTATCACGAATATGTGGCCTAGTGTATGGTAGATAGGAATAGCATGCTCGTTGACTTGTAGAGGTCCTGTTTAATTTCCATTGTTGCAGTCGTATAGCCGAGTATATTGTTGCATTCTTTTGTAGCATTAAGAGGGCCAGATAGCAGACTATAGAGGGACGTTACTAGGGAGTCGCATAAAGTGCGCGAGCAATCTCCTTTTGGGGGCCAGACAGTAGCTGGTTGTATACATGACTAGAGAATAAAGGAGCTCGCCCCCGAATAATGCTAGCCCGATGAAGTGCAGGCAGGCGGCACTGGAAGCACCCATATAAAGGGGCATGGACGTGGAGTGGGCCTAGCCGGGGGTGACTGCTAGAACATAGCGCTGTTTCTAGCGGTAACAGGGAGTTGGATTTGCTCTTACCCGATTTCTCCGGAGACAATCAACACTCAAGAATTGACAGTGGATGGAGACATCCTGGGCTGATGTATGACGAGCTGTATGGACGCGAAAAATACAGAAGCCAAACCAGATGCCTGTAGATCAACGTTCGTAGATCATGGCTTATGGAGCGTGCTGTCCACGAGTTCCCAATCTCGGCATACCAACGCGGCTAGGGCATACGAGTCAGACGCGAATGAAATCGGTTCGTACCTGGTCTGGTCAGTGGGATGGGAAATAACCGGAATCGATACCGTGGGATCGTGAGAGGCAAGTCATGCGTGAACTAAAGGTACAAGACCTACCACAATGGAACAGAAAAAGATTCGTCGGTAAAATGACTCGAAGCGACTCCGACTCGTGTATGGAATAGACCGTATGATTCACTAGCATTAGACAAACAAGACTGCTTGGTGCCGGGATCTTTCATCCGGTAGCTTGCAGGTATAAGGAGGTAGGAGGTCGTTCATGTGCTCCCACATCCTTCCAGCCCGGCTACTTCCTTCAGTCAGACCAGGTCACCATAAGGCTACTGGCTGCTCTCGCTTCGGCGTTGGCATGGAGCGTGAGCCTTGACGAAGCCAAGACCGTGTTTGCTCACTTCATGGTTAGTCGTCGCCTCTCCCAGTCCGGCCCTGGGGTTGACTAACGAGACCGGACGCCGCGCAGGTGGGCAACACGAAGTCCCTTGGCTTGGACAACTGGAGACATGAAATCATGGCCGCCAAAGCTGCGGGTATAGATGCCTTTGCGCTGAACATGGCCAGCGGGGTCGCTACCAACGATATTGCCCTGCCCAAGGCCTTCACCACGGCCGACGACACGGGCTTCTAGCTCCTCTTTTCATTTGACTACGCCGGCAACGGCCCCTGGGAGAAGTCTGTCATCATTAATATGATCAAGGAATACGGCGCCAAAGATACTTACTTTAAGAAGGATAGGGATCTATTTGTCTCCACCTTTAAAGGGCCTAATAATGCCGATGACTAGAAGGATATTAAAAAGGAGACTAACTATTTCTTTATACTAGACTGGTCGTCTGTCAGTGCCTAGCCTGTAGCTAATCTAGGGGATGGCATTACCAACGGTCTCTTTAGCTAGGATGCCTGGCCAAAGGGCCCGGCCAACATAATAATCTATTCCAACGCCTCGTACTATGACTTTTTGGGTTCAAAGCCATACATGATACCCATCTCTCCATGATTCTTCACCAACCTACCTGGCTACGACAAGAATTAGCTATAGCATGGCAACGACATGTGGTTCTAGCACTAGAAGCAGGCTATCTCCCTTAACTACAAGCTTGACTTCATCTAGATCATTTCATAGAACGACTATAGCGAGTCGCACTATATCAGCCCCCTGGACGACCACTAGTACGAGGCCTTTGACATTAGCCGTGCCTAGTTCAACTACGTTGAGAACATGCCTCACGATAGCTAGCGCGAGACGCTCCCGTATTATATCTCTATGTCCAATTCTAGGACCGCTACTGTTTTAGAAGAACGCCTCGTGGCATGGTACTAACTTAATAAGAACGGAGCCTGTTCTAATGGCAGCACCACTAGTAACACAGCGAACCAGCTATAGTTCGAGTATTCGGCTAATGGTATAATGGAGGATAGGGTCTTTTATGACGTGCTCCTCACGAGTGACGCCTAGGTCTAGGTTAGCATTGGCGGCGTGATCCAGGCCGGCACATGGGGCCACGAGCCCTATGGGGGCGTTGGTGTATACCACGGCAGCATCCTAATCAGGACAGCAAGTGGTCAGGTCATAATGACTATGAAGAGAGGGGGCACGATGATTACTACTATGATGGGGGCGTCCATCACCAGCAGCTGCAGTTCGGGCCTGAATAACTACAACCCTTGGGTGGGGGCTGCCAGAGGTCCTTCCATCACCCCCGTCAAGACCAAGAGCAAGGTTGACGAGTTGGAATGCGTCAAGGCATTAGTGTGTATGACTTTATCAGCGTCTGCGACTTTGCCTGTGCGAATGGCTAGTAAGTACATCACAGCTTGTGCATCAATCAACACCACTGACCTTGCGACCTGCTGTAGCTGCCCCAGCGCCGCCTGTACCTGCCTCGAGAATGGCGTCGCTAATGCCCCCAACGAGACGGGCCTAGACGGCTATCCACTCCCCGGCAAGAGCGGCTCCTTTGCGGGCTCTGTAGTTTTAACTGCAACCACGGCTACTGCCCAGATAATATCTGCGGCCAGACTCCTAATAACGGCGTCGTTCTGGAATACTCGCCTTTTCTGCCGCCTGCATGCATGGGGGGTACCGGTGCCAGCGCCTTGCAGGGCGTCTGAGACTTTGGATGCCATCTTGGCTTCTGCCCTATCCATGCTTGCACCTGTACCGCGACTGGCATTTTGGTTCAGACACCGGCCAAGACGGACGTGACGGGATACTACCTCGACTCGCCCGTCAACGACTACGGCCTTTGCAAGTTTGCCTGCGAATACGGCTACTGCCCTGATGTCTGTGGCAGCCGACCCATTGGTGACGATACGGATGACGGCGGCGATCAGAGCAAGTATCCTACCTACCAGGCACGTAGTTGAGGTGAAAGGGGACAATATTGGCTGATGTATAGATAGAAAAGTTTCGGCTTGGATTTCCACCATATTTCCCATGTTGTACGGTACATACACCTTTTGTTAGGGCGGCCAAACGGAGCTGCAGTAGCCTAATGACTGCCAAGAAAAGAGTGCAAAATCAGAGCGGCTTTCTTGACGCTTAATTGGCTCGTCATATCGTGCATATTGTACGTCAATTTTTAAGGCCCAGGCGCGGATGCTTCGACAGATCAAGGCAAACTCGGTCTGTTTCTGCCTTGTGCCATGTAGGATCGATTCCATTGAGGTAGCCAAGAGGCAGCCGCATTGCAAAAGACTACCTAGCGTAAGGTGCATAATTGGCGCGTGTGTTTCTTCCTCATCATTGGCGGTGCCACTTGTACTGCATTTTTAAGGGCCAGGGGCGGATCGGATGCTCGGACAGATAAGTCGGGCTCAGCCCTGTCATTGAAGTGGCTGCCTTGATGCCGGGCCCGATTCAGTAGAGGAATACATACTTAATTAAATGTGGCTGGGGCATTTACCCGTAACTTGGTAGCTGTAGGTAGCATCTCGTTCTTCTTTTCGGTTGAAGAAATATTACCAGCAAAGCAACCGCTTGCTTGTGCATTTACAACCTCGTTGACCCGACCTCGCTCGCTCAGGCGTTTCTTTCTCCTCCGCCACCCTTCGAGGCAAACCGCGACAAGCCCTCTCAGTCTCTGGCGGATGATGCATCGGAACGGAGCGATGGCGATGCGGCTGTCCAACTCTTCCCCGCTGCTTATCTCGTACAGAGGTGCGGTCTATGGGGCCATGATACTGAAGGGTATGTACTCTGGATCTCGAAAACGGTGGCCAATGCTAACAATTGTAGGACGGACTAATCCAATTCATGTCGCATGACAACTGGGGGGAATATTATCGCACCCAAAGTACAAGGGACGATTAACTTGCACGAGGCACTCGCCGGGGCGGATCTTGACGTCTTCATCGGCACGAGTTCCACTTCCGGTATCCTCGAGATGGTCAAGCAAACTAGGCCGCAGGTAACAACTTCCTCGACTCTCTCGCCCGTCACCGGTTCACCAACAGCCAGCGGGATTCTTCTCTGGTTCTGCCCATGGTCGAAAGCGTCGGCATTGTCGCCGAGAGGTCCGGACCCGTAGCTGCACTGTGCCAAAAGGGGTATCTATGGTATCGCCGATTCGAAGCCGCAATCGCGGCTAAAGCGACAGCCCCTCCTGCCGACCATGTCATTGTTGGTCTTGACCCGAGCAAGCTCGAAGAACATCTGTCCTCCTTCAATGGAATGGACAGTCACTGAACAGAAGACGCCTGCTTCAAAGCTATTATGCACGCTATCAACTCGACCGGATCCGCGGGTAGCAACGGGGGTTTGGAAGTCACCTTTCTCAAGGCCATTGAAAAAGGCCGAGTCATCGGAAGAGGCTGTCCAGTTAGTGTCTGAGCACTTCACAACAAAGCCTGCCCAACTTCTACTCTTGGAGGCGGATGTGTTCGAAGCAGAGGTAATTCCTATCTCGAATTATGGTTATGATCTCGACAAGTATGATTGTGGAGTTAAGGATAAGGAAATGGGTCTTCCAAGAGTCCCCGCTGGATATTCCGTTCCAGCAGGTGAATGGGCCCGGCTTGACAGTCAGAGTCACGTGTCTTGTTTACATGGCTTAAAGATCCGAATGACTTGAATTTGAGGTTTTTCCTGTTTTTGAGAGGAATTGTTATTGTCTCTAGAAGCTGTCGCTGTCGCACTTGTGTCTGTCAGTTGTATTTCCAGAGCCTAGACCGAAATGTTACTAGAGGAAATCTGAAACATCAATCAACACGTACCAGTTGCCTCATCCACACCGAGACTGAAACCCACACCCCATGGGTTCGTCTGACGACACCTCACTCGTGGGGGTCGGAAAGTTGTCGAGCAACAAACACAGGACGATCCGCGGAGAATCAACCCGCCGAAAAGGGCAGACCGGTAAACCTTGAATCACGTGCGCGACCAGGTTTCCCAGGTCCCAGTCTTCTTCCGCGGGGCTTTTAAAGATGCAGCGTGACGCCGCCGCCGCCGGAATCGACCATGTTGCGAAGACTGACCACCTCCCGCTTACCCCTCCGTCCCGCGAAGAATTTCACTTCAATTTCTTCCCCTCGATTCCTCGCCTCGCCGTACTGCACTTCTCGATCCAACATGCCTGACGCTTCAGACCCCCAAGCTGTCACCCGCTACCTGGAGCAGTCGCACGACAAGATCTTCGAGAGCAACCGCGCTTGGGTCGCTGCGAAGAAGAATGCCGACCCCGAGTTCTTCACCAAGCTCGCGGCCGGTCAGGCTCCTGACTACCTGTACGCTTTCTACACCCTTTTCAACCCCTATTCGTGTCACAATTGCTAATCTCTCCGACTGGTTATAGCTACATCGGCTGCTCCGACAGCCGCGTCCCCGCAAACGAGATCATGGGTCTCGACGCCGGCGAGGTCTTCGTGCACCGCAACATCGCGAACGTCGTCCCCACAATCGACCTGAGCTCCATGTCCGTCATCAACTACGCCGTCCGCCACCTGCAGGTCAAGCACATTGTCGTCTGCGGCCACTACAACTGCGGCGGTGTCAAGGCCGCCCTCACACCGACCGACCTGGGCATCCTCAACCCCTGGCTGCGAAACATCCGCGACGTCTACCGTCTGCACGAGAAGGAGCTTGATGCTATCGCCGATGAGAAGGCGCGGTTCAACCGCCTGGTTGAGTTGAATGTTGTCGAGTCGTGCCGCAGTGTCATCAAGACTGCTGTTGTGCAGCAGAGCTACGAGGAGAACAAGTACCCGATTGTGCACGGTTGGGTGTTTAACCTGGAGGATGGGCTTCTTCGCGATCTGAAGATTGATTTCGAGGGGATGTTGAATGATATCAAGAAGATCTACAACCTTACCTCGTCATAAAAGTGAGGCCGTGAGCGGAGTTTGAGATGGTGTTTGAGGGTCTGGAGTAGCGGGTAGGGAAGCGGGTTTTTTTTTCATAACAAGTTATCTTAGCAATAATAGTTTGTCTATAATTCAGGTTCATTTCCTCCACCTGGAATAGAAGCCCAATTCCCATCTCCCAACAAGACGGGTAATAGCGGCAATTACCTCGGATTTGTCCGGTCTGTGTCACGCAGAATCACAGCCAATGTGCCCCGCGGCGGGAAGCCCTGGCCTATGCGATCTGCAGGGGAATTATCGTGCTCGGAACGCGACGGACTCACAAACCTCGTTCGAATTCTGATTGCGCATCATCAGGCGCTTGGCAATAATGTTTTACCTTTACATGATATGTGTCACAGAAAATTGCGCGATTGAGTTGATCAAGGAATCACATATCCATGCGGGGTTGCGTGGTGGTGAAATAGAATGTGATGTTTTTCAAATCCCGGTTTCCGGACTATAAACTTCGAGAAATCTTCAGCTCTGAATTAGAATTTTAAGATGAGATTGGCAAAAATCTTTCTCATACTACGAATACAAACTCGAAAACCTCCCGGTCTAGCATGATACCCCATCCCCAGACCTTCGGACGGCCACATCTCATCAATGATCACGAAAAACGCATCCGACTCATCAGATTCTAGAAGCCCCCAACCGGAGCTATCAGCGATATACTCCGCCCCTTAGCGCAGATAACCGGGCATCGTACCCGACCACTAGGAACGTCGTAAATAAAGAGAAAATTGCCTAACTAGCTCTAGCGCCGGGACCCTTCCCAACAACCCACGCAATGTCGTCACACTGCTCGACGAACAACACCGCTGCAGCACGAGGAGTGCAACCGCGCTGAGGGCTTCCATCATGGTCTGGAATACTGATTATTTCGCTGTGCTTGGGTCCAGTAGCTTTTGGATACCGATGAGAGTACCGTTGCGTATCGCAGCCACCGATCCCACTGCGATCCCACTGCATGAAATACAGCACCCCTTTACCGGTTAAAGATACACAGGACAAATTCTGGGGAAACAGCAAGGTACCCGGCGCGAGATTCTTGGTGTATATTCCGCTGCAAAGATTGCGGGGAAGAGGACTGTGTTCATGGATACGATAGCGGCCTCGACATGCACGATTGCCTTGCTCGCGACGGCGGATATGTACACGGGTTTCAGAGAAGCGTGATAAGCGTGCGGCTCTTCGCAATACTCACGCCGGCTGTATATACTTTCCAAAGCTCAGTTGAAGAGAGCGACTTTGATGATGATGATGATGATGATGATGATGAGACCTGCTCACACAAGCGAGACCCAAATTGAAAAACGGGGCCCAGACGGCGACTGCGGCTTGTTGTGAGGCGTAGGATTGTGCGGTTGGCGATGGAGTTCTCATCCAGATGCTTGACAACATCCAGACACCGGGAAACTGGCTAGAAGCTACGTTGTATGGCCCACCAACCTAGTCACTGGATGGCTGCCATTGACCGCTTGCCAGAAGAACATCCCCATGATGGTGTACCAGTTAATCCGTGGAAGGGATGTCTGCGAAGTTCAACTGCAGAGGCTCTCGTGTGGTGGGGATTAGTGGGACATCTATTCCACGATGATTCAGCATATGCTGCAATGTACCGTCCAGAAGGGAGACGCCCCACGTTGCATGGAATGCGTATGCCGAGAGCGAGAGGAGGAAGATGGCAAGGAATTGGTTGCTACCCTGAATCGAGGGTACCACTGTGCTGGGTTGCGTACTGTGAGACTGAACTTGACAGTGCAGTTCAATTGCAAGTGGAACGGGTAACGAGGCATATCAAGAAACAGCTGCAGAGGATAACCTACTGGAGACTCTGGTTATGCTCTTCACATCCTCTTAGGCTCTCTTCCCCAGGGTCTATAGCCCGACCATGGCACGTTCCGCGGAAGACAGTTTGGCTCGTAGGTCCTGTCGTACCTAGGTAGCATTTCCTTTCCCTTTGGTCCTTTTCCAGGTCAGCCTTGTATAAGTTGAAAGTCGAAGAGCCTGACTTTGCCAATAGTAGATTTACCTATCACGAGAGTAAAGATAGTGATATTGCACATTCAGTTCTTCGTGGTCTACCTGCATCATCCCAGTTTGAACTATGATTAGGTATTGACGATCTTCTCCTCCCTATCTAGAGCTACTGACTCCGCCTCTTCTAAAAGGTAGTAAATCGTTTCAGGCTCTTCCCATTATCCTTTCTGGGGAGGGGTGTTGGTCCGGCAAGATAGTTTTCATCTTCCTGAGCACGCGTAAAGAACTGTTTGAGGTGTTGAGAAATCTCCTGTGCCGAGCTTCGCATTTCTGGAACAATGACGATCATCTTCGTGGTGATAAGGTCGAGAATATCATGCATCATCTGGGAGCAGTGCGGAAGTCGCTTTAATTTGTCGACCCAGACGACTACATGTGCGTTGACCACCTCACCGTGTGCTGTATAGAAGTTATCTTCCCAAAGCTCGGGATAGGTGGTGCTACGCTCTAGTCGTTTGTTGGAAAAATCCGTGATCGCTTGGTTTCCAAGAAGAAGATACGTTATCCACTCCAGGTACAGGCACCCGAGACCCCATATATCGAATTTCCGTGTGATCAGCCATCCACGCAGTGCATCTGGGGGAGAATACGTAGGGGAGCACTTGACAGTCTTTGGATCTTCACTCGCTTGAGTTAAGTTGCTATGAATTGTCGCATGGCCCAAGTCGGCTATCTTCAGGATTCCAGGACCAAGGGGAGAAGGGAATCTAAAGATGTTCTCGGCTTTGATATCGCCATGCCGTCCAAAACGAGTCTCGCCGGTTTTACGGTCCTCGAACTCATGAAAGTAGGCCAGCCCATTTGCGATTCCTGTCATCTGTTGTACGGTCCATGTAAAGAACTGAGGATTGAGCACAGGGTTGGGATTCGTCTGCCAGTAGTTCCGTAGATTTTCAGCAGCACACGGAAATACCAAATGGAAGCTCTTCCTGTATTCGTATGTGAACAAGAGATCAATTATGTGGGGATGGGCGGAAGGGCCGAGGTCTAGATAGGCCTTTCGCTCAGATCTAAAATCGGAAGCAAGGTACGTGCGCTTGACGGCAACTGTAAGATCCTGGTATCCTAAGCATAAGCCCTAAATCGCGGTATATGTGGAAAAATTGGATTTGGCTTACATTCTGACCGAACTGGTGGTGATCACGGTGAATACGCACTGGATATACTTCTGCAAAGCCGCCTTGCACTTCTGGCCATGATTCTAGTTCGGTATCATCTTCAACGAAGGGTAGGATATCTGATCCATCAAGCTCATAGTGAGCATGTCTGCAAAACACAGGACTCAATACACGGTATTGCTTAACCGCTATATTTTGCAGTGTTCTGGCATCCCAGGTCTTCAACGTGTGAATTGGTGCGCCTTGCTTGGTGACTAGAATCGTGTTCGACTCTTCGAGTTTTGTCACTCTGATAAAGGGAAGGTTATTGTCCTTTATACCTTCATCAAGAAGTTTAATGATATCATGCTCTTTCTGCAAACCAACCAAGATTGCGAACAGTCTTGCGGCTCTCTGTGATATGATCTCTGCATAGCGGGTCACGCTTTCCGCTTCAACCTGTAAATCATCCACCAGAATATCGTGCACACTTTTGCTTACCAAACGTTGGAGAGTCGGGCTCGGGATAAAGAAGTGCGATTGCTCGACATGAGACCGAATACGTGACTCCTTCAGTCGTCTCCGAAGTCTGGCAGTGGAGGATTCGTCCAGGTCCGAAGCACTGTCGGTCATTTCTTGTGGGGCTTCCGGGTCACTCCCTCTGGATATTATAAACAATGAAAATTGCTGCAAATGGCGGGCCAGGTGTTTCTGAAATCTTACTGGGTTGTCGATTGGTCGTTTAGTACATAGAGGGCACTGCTGTGGCGTGGTAATCGGCCTCTCGGATCCACGAATCACCACCTGCAATTGGTCTTTTGAGAATACGCCAGCGTGAGAAGACTGGATATGCGCAGAAAACGAGAGTTGAGACTTGTAGACCCGAGAACAGAGATTGCACACCCATTCGCGACGATGAAATTGCCGCTCATGCTCACTCCATTCGGTATAGCTGTCATAAAGTTGGTTTGCTTGAACACAGTTGTCAAAAGTGCAGATATAGGGTCGTAGATCACTAAAGACGTGATACTTCCAGTCATCTTCGCTGTTCTTTACTATTATTATTTGGCAGCATATTTGACAATTAAATGGCTCTTGTCGAGCGGCTGCTTCTGGGTCCGGCGGGGGCGGGACTGGAATTGTGGAGCTTTCATCGCCGGCTGCCGAAGTAGTAGTAGAGAACACTGTCCTTCCAGAATCCGAGGTAGCGTCAACGTCGGGCATTCGCACGGTTGAGACCGTTGTGTCCTGTGTCCACTCAGTAGACTTGGTGCTAGCGGCAGCGCCTTGTATACCAGAGAGAGAAACGACATCACGTTGATCTCCAGAAGTTTTACTCTTCGGGGTAGAGCTAGACTGAAGGGCATTGCCCATGAAGACGTCGATATACTTAGAAATTTTCTGGTCGTGGTCCTTGTAGTAAGCCAGGAGTTGACGCCGCCTTGTATTGGCTCGTCCCAGGCGCTGAGCAAGAATACAGTCAGCTGGCAAACCGAACTTTTCCGAGGCGTGTTGTATGTCGAACACTTCATAGAAACTAACATCGATACGGGATGCCTTTTTAGTCTTGTCCCTGGTCGCCGGATTTTGAAGCGTTACCGAGAATTTGTACCTGGTAAATGTCAATGTAAAAGCTAACTGAACGCCAAGGGTCCTTACAGGCTTGTGATCGTATGGCGTATATCCAAAAGATACTCTTCGAGATCAGATAATGAGGGATTTCTGGTTTCCAGCCCAGCTGAAGATGCGTCGGAGTCTGAGGAGTCCTCGGACTCGGGCGTAGTGGACTCTTCTTTAGAACACCGAGAAACATATTCAGGGTCAAGCACGATGTTGTTTGCTTACTAAATTAGTAACACCTAGCATAGCGGCATTCTGGGGTTCACTCACCGCATGATAAAGCATCGTAAATATCAGACAGGTGGTCTCTGACCAGCTTGTGCAATTCTGGGGCCTCTCTTAGGCGATGATCGAGCGACAGTCTGTCTTTTTCCTTGCGATGAGCACCAAAACTTCCCGCCCATAATCGAAGACGTCCCAGCTCATCATGAAGGTTCACAGTGGAGTTGATGTAGTCCTGATTGCTGTCCAGCGGCTGCTTCAGAATCGAGCCGAACGCACGGATACAACTATCTAAGAGGGACGAGGTTGAAGCTACCAACTCCAATCGATCGTCGGGCTCGGCAGCAGAAGCCATCGCATTTCATCAAAAAGATTCCAAATGACAGACGTCTCTCGTCGACCTTGGTGAGCGCGGGGTTTGCAGAAAAAGGAAAGCTGAGGTGCGGGGTATGCGTTCGCAACCGATTCCTGCTAGCCTTGCCTTCTCGTCCACCATTCCATCTCGTCATCCTTTCAATCACCCATCTCCTTCGCTGATATGGCAGAATGGCAACCGGAATCGAAATCGTCGGGCTAGCTCTTGCCATCTTCCCGGTTCTGGTGGAAGGGCTCAGATTCTACGAAAAGGAGAAAGGGACGGTTCAGGACCTACTGCATTACCGAAGAGTTCTAAAGGGGCACATGCGTGACTTGCAGCGAGAGCAGCTGAGCTTTCGAAATTCGTGCCGGCTATTTCTTGAAGATGTAGCGCTTCGATCCGATCTCGATGCGGAGGATATAGAGCCGATGATGCAGGACAAGGACGATGCGCGCTGGAAGCAGGGCGCCTGGCTAGAGCCAAATGTCCTTGATCTAGAATCGGTCCAGGGCTACCTTGAAACAGTAGTGCAAATGAAGGAGTTATTGACTAGGATTAGAGACCGTCTCGGGATTCGAGCAAATTCGTCTGTGAGTATCAGGCGCTCCTGCTAGTGTTAGTTACCTCCTTCCACTTTTGCTGACCAAGACTTCTACAGCCAGAGATCCTCGATAAGAAAACCCGCCGTCGGCAGTGGAAAATAATCAAAATGGTTATTACAGGAGACGAAATCACAGAGCATCTGAGAGAAGCAACTAGACTCAATGTATTTCTTGCCCAGTTGACAGCGCAGACACGCCCTGCTGCTCCACCCCGCCGCTCCCATCGAAGGCACACGAGACACTACAAGAAAATCCGAAGTGACGCGATGGATCTGTGTCATATGCTGAAGCTCAAGTTTCCGACTCCTCCATCCTGCACCTGCGCCCTACCACACCAAGTCAACATGCGACTTGAATTTCGGAACGCAAAGACGGCAAAAACGGCAACCTCCTTTCACACGGTCTTCACACTCAAACCATCCAGCTCCTGCAACCGCGCATCAATTCCTTGGCGGGAAATGGAGCTTCAACACTGTGTCACTGACAAGCCACCACCGCCTGTACCCGCAAATCAAAACGCGAACGTATCTCAGCAGAAGAGTACTATGAAGTCCGGCAAGAACTCCGTCAAGAAGGTCGGATTCGTCAATCTGCATGCCCAGACTCCCCTCGATGCAAAATGCAAGGAGATTCAGGACCTTTGCATATTCATGGCTCAAAACAAAACTTCGACGGACTGGATAGGCTTCATCACCGATGGGCAGACCAAGAAGCACCTTCTCCGCGATATCCACAAGAACCATGTTCTCGCGAGCTCTAGAAACGCGCGCACAATGTCACTCGCACAGGCACTTTCCCACAAGGCACCGAGCCGTGAACTGCGATCAAAGCTCGGTCTGAAACTGGCCTCCTCGGTGATGCAACTCCACTCGACTGAATGGCTAGCCGACTCCTGGGGAGCAGAGAATATATTCTTCTTAAAGGCTGCGGACGGGACTGCAGATATTACCAATCCGCTCATCCAGCGCAACTTCGGTACTATTGACAAAAGCCCGCAGATGTCCACAAAGCCTGTACCATGTTTACCATATGTTCCCTGTCTTGTCTCGCTGGGCGTGATCCTTCTCGAGATATGGTATTGGAAGCCATTCAGTGCTCTCAAAACTGATAATGAAATGTCAATAGCTTCCCAGGTACGTATTCTCCATACCGCCTCTCTCACAGTTAGCTGCGCTAACCTTTGTAGGCGCCGGTGTACTCTGATCAGATAGCTGCTGGTCGTCTTGTTACATCTATGGACGACGCAGGACCGAGGTACATTAGTGCCGTAAAGAGATGTATCTTCGGTCTAGACGGAGCATACAACTCGCTTGAAGAGGACAAATTCCAGGGCGAAGTGGATGAGAAAATCGTCTTTCCGCTGGAAGAACATCTCCAGTTCTTTTGCGGCAAGACCACAATCGAAGAGTGCTTCTGACTGAGCACTGATTCATTTGTCTATCTACAGCGCGACCTGGCACAAGTCGAATATGTGACCAGACCTGTCTTGGGGAAGATGTATTCAGAAAGTCCGTTTATCCAACAGGCTATATACACCATCTTCACTCGAACAATGCTCATAGATCCAGTACAGATATTTATGCCACCACTTTCAGCCTCTCACTATGTGCAATGGAGTGTCTTGACAGGGGCCATCTTGGGCCTCGAGTTGCGCCTCTCCTAACCCTGTTTGAAACACGCCTCAAGTTTCTCTTAACAACAACATTAGAAAAGGAGTCAGGAATACGCTGGGAAAAGCCTACGAGATAATTTATTGGTTGAACCCCTGTTTGGGTGGCAGATATAGTATATACTGGTCGTTTTGCACCTGAAAGGAACCCCAATGGACATCTCAAATATCAATATCCTTGGAAGGGCCCTTATATCGCCGCGAAAACCTGACGGCCCGTAATGTTTTGCCAGCCTTTGGTTTTCCACGTATTTCTCCTGGCACCGAGCGTGCGGGGGGAGGGTGCTCTTTCCATTGTGTGTGTAGTGTCCCAAAGGAACGCAAGGTTGTTGGAGAGGGCATGTAAAATACCCGGCGTTAGCAATTCTGGAAGAGCATATGCTACTCCAGATGTTAGTAGTCTTCTGAAACTTCAATTCTCAGAGTCACACAGGCCAGCCTGACATGCGGGGCCTGTGCGCTTTTCACATCCTTTGGAACCCTGGCCAACTTATTCGGTATATCATTGGAGGGTTCTCACAAAAGGCGCAGTTTAGCGTCAACACCATGTAAGCCTAGGTGCGCCTCATAATAGAGCCCAACAAAAGCAGGAGTCAGCCTGTCATGTCAGGCTCCTGCCGGGTTTCCCGAACCATTCCACCTCAAAGTGTCCGTGGAATAGTTGAGCCGCATCTCAGTTTCGAGGCGTAACTTAGCTAGACTCAAGACCATTGGAGCCCCCGCAGTCGCACAAACGAGGCGATTCTCCACGAGCCTTTCGCCCGCTCTCCATAGCGCTACATGTTCAGTGGGGTTCCTCAGCTCAGAGCATCAAGCCATTTTGGTGTCACGTCCGCAGCAGCTACAGAGCTCACTTCTTTCGGTGATGCACCATACGCGCCCTTACACCAGAAAAACAATACCAAGACATCAGCCAATTTCAACATCTTTCAACATCTTTCAACAACCTTGAACATTCTTCCTTATCTCTGGACTTCTTATACAACGAACAATCATGCCGCCACGTGAGACGGAATGGGGGCTCCCACCAAACAACTTGAAGACCGCGTACAATTGACCCCTTAAATGATACCAAAATCAGCCAATTTCGACGTCAAGGATTCTTCATTCTTCAAGAAATTCTCCGCATTACCCTCACCAGAGGAAGTCCGCGCGCAGGCCCTCGCCCAACAACTCGCAGGAATCCGCCCTGATGGGAGAAGAACCCTCTCGGTCGACTATCCTAACTGACTACCACCGGTGACATTTTAGCATCTAGGACTATTTGCCAAATGTGGAAGGAATGTGAGAATTTCAGAGGCGCAGTGTCTTTATGCTCTCCGCCGCCTCCTCAAAGATCATGTCCCTGTTCCGGAGGTATACGGTTGGCGGACGGATGGCCATCAGATCTTCATTTATATGGAGTATATCCAGGGTCAGACTCTGGAAAAGGGGTGGAATAAGCTGGAAGCTGATGACCGCGTTTCGATTGGTTGTGAGCTAAAGACAATTGTCGATAATCTTCGGCGGCTTGAGTAGGATCCGGCGGAACCCTTCATACGTACAGCGGTCCCAACAATCTCTGCATCGTCTGAACTGGAACTATAACTTCCCTTTTACAACGTACAGGAAGCATCGCAAAAGGTACCCTATACGACAGAGTAATCGGGCACAAATTCGAGCCTGAAGCAGGGCCATTCGACACAGCCAAGGACTTCCACGACTGGTACACTTTCCTGTGTCGAAGACCAAGGGCAGATCCGTATTCTGTCCCGATCGAACCGTTTCGCTACGGTCTCCCCGATGACTGCGCCATCAAATTCACCCACGGCGACCTCCACACTAGCAACATCATGATAACATGTTCCAAGCCCTATCGGGTTGTTGCGCTCGTCGATTTTGAGCAGTCCGGCTGGCTACCCGAGTACTGGGAGGCCCAAAAGGCACAGTGGGTCTATAGTAATTGTGGCGAATGGTCCGCGGAATATCTGCCGATGATTTTGTCTCTGTATGCCAGCACTAGCGATTCGTGGACCTGGTACATGGCGTCCTTGGGCTGTTAGGGTAGAGGCAGCGTTCAGCTACTGCATTGAAGCATAAATAGGTGAAAGATTATGGAATGTACACAAATGGCCTTGAGGGATCGTGGTATCCCAGATCGAACGTCTCCACATTCGATGTCAGGACTGGACATTCATAGGGCTGTCTAGTTGGTAGTACCTACCCTTTGAGGAACTCCCAACAACGGGGACCGCGTTGCCAGAAATAACGTCCTCGTACACAAGCTTGGACCTTATCCGGGAGCCAATTTTAGCGATTCCGGAGTCTACATGCATTCACGTAAGATTAGATGTGGCCATTATACCCGATGATCCTCTTATCAGCCACACGAGCGGATGACTTTCATTCTCGAGCTCAATTCAAAGACTAGGTAGCTTGAGTATAGGCAAGGTGACTGTGACTAAACCACCAGCCGCCTACCAAATTTCCTTTATAGAGTCTACAAGCATTTCGGCGACTACACGAGAAAAGACTCCCAGGAGGTTATGTGGTGGAATTGCAAACTCAACGTGGTGGATGAATTGACTGAGCCACGCGATGCCTGGAATGGATATTCTGCTTGGAGTCTCGGAGTGAAGGGCTCAGCGCCGCGGTCTCATGTCTCTTAACGGGTTGACCAATCAGCCAATTAACAGGAAGACGGGAGGTGACAAGAGTTCATCCAAGGAGCTGACGTTTGGATATGAGTTAGTCTAGAATCTGTTGGTTGATCAGTTATTTTTCTCCAGCAAACGAGGTTAACCATTATTCCCACATTAGCCCGCTCCACTAACTGTAAGATCTCCAGACCATTTCATGCTCACATTCAAATTATTTCACAGACTAATAGGTTTTATACAACACATCTGGAAATGGAACATGACGTTTTTACCCCACCTGTGGATACGACTGTTCGAAGAAGAGACCCACCTGGCGATTAGCCCTAATTCCAGCATCTAGCTGAAAGACAAGTTTCACACAAACATATAAACAGGCGCGCCCTCTTATTCGACACCCAGCAAATAAACCTCAACGAACCAGGCAGAAAGTTCCAGCCCAAGGACTAGAATGCGACGCCTGGAAGCGCTGGTTTGTGCTTCTTGGCCGATGTGTATGTTGAGGCGGCGCTAGAGCATTCTCAAGATGCTAGAAATAAAGTTCGTCTTGTCTATCATCCCAAGGTAGGGTTTGCCGCAGCATAAGCTAACTGAACCTCTTATGTATAGGTCCGGGAATGTGGTATGGCCGTTGAGCGAACTAGCGTTGTTGGAAAGACTCGAAGTGTGTAAGAGATCTAGATGGGACCTTAATTGAGTGAGTCTCGCCTTCTAAATACGTACTATACATATCAATTGTCTACAGAGTATAACCATGTATGACCTTTTTCTCCGGAAGCTCCTGGCGACTGGGTTGATTCCGTAGAACGCAATATCAGCGATCTAGAGACAGACATCTACGGCCTGTGCTAAACCTGGCGAGACAACAGGCAATAGCATTTTCAGCGGGGCAAGCATTCGAAATGATATGACCCAATAGCTCATTCGAAGTCTGACTTTAAATGCAGTGCAGAGGACCGCAGTCTACTTCTTAACTCTGTTAGTTTCAGCTAAAGCATATGCCGCTTGCTTTCCACTGAGCATTTCCGTTAGTATCCTAGACTGTAAAAATTCCTCTCTTAGAGTCCTGGCGTATGTATTGTGTATTATCATGTAGCATTAATATGATCATATATACCTTTCTCACCCTCTTTAGCAAGCTTCTAGAAAAGCTAGTATCGCCTTCAACATCCGCCCATCATGATACTTCAGCGCACAGTCGACACCGGGCTGAACATGCGTCTCTCCAGGAGCTATAGCAAGAACAAAGTCCTTTTCCTTGAGCAACTCCACACTCGCCTGACCATCAATACAAATGCTTTCAAATGCTACAAAGTCCCTGCCGAACTTCACACACGAATCAAACAGCAACTCCGATGTCCCCACAGCCAAGATTACTCTGCGAGATACTGCACGCCCACCGTTGCCGGGAAAGAGCTTCTTCCACACATCACTAGCGCCCGCCGCCTCGCAGGGGTTACTCCAGACCTCGCCCAGTGTAGGTTTGAACATTTCCGTGAATAGAGCCAGCGTCTCGCGCGATAGCCAGTCATTTGGTGCTTGCGGGAACCGCGCAGTATCATGCCCATCCGTGGGCATCACCAACCAGGGTGATACAAGAGCAACAGCCCTAAACTGACCACCGCAAAGATCTATCGGCGCCGCATACGGCGAAGGATTGACAATGTGAGTCAACAGACTTGCAACCAAGTGTCCGCCTGCACTATCACCAGCGAGAATGATGTTCTCTGCTTGGATGCTCTCGTCCTCGAGAAGGAGCCGCAGGCCCTCCACAGCTTGGATCAGCTGGCACGGGTATGGCTGCTCCGGGGTAAGAGAGTACTCTAAGAACACGACCTGTGACGCTTTGCAGGCTTTAGCGCAGAGTAATGCGAACGGGGCGTGGCCCGCCGCGCGAATAGGGCTATGGTATCCGCCGCCATGGAAGTAAAGTATTGTGGGCCCGCCCGCCCGTGCTGATGCATCTTTGACGAAATGAAGTATCGTGATCGGGGCACCATGGTCGTCGATCTGGGTAGGAAAATTCCCAACGACGACTCTATGGCTCAAGTCGTGCTTGCGGCAGTATCTCTGGATACCCTCGCCTGTTGATAATTTCCGTATATACGCAGTCCGCTGCTTTCTTGTCAAAGAAGCTTCGAGCGCCTGCAGGAAGGCAAGTGCAAGCTTCTGGCGCCATTGAATGAGGGAAATGTCGCCGCGCGAGAGGCACAAGGCTGAAAGCTTTACCGCACAACGGATGACTACGCATCAGAGAGTTAGAATTGGCTAGAAGGGCTCGAATTTATAAGGACCTACGCAATAGAGGAAGCCGCCAAGAAAGGGACAGCTTATCCGCGAGGTTCAATGGCTGTGTCACGATGGGTAGTGGTGGATATGTCGACATGGCTTTTGATTGCAGCGCCCGAGAAAGAAAATTCGTGAGTGGCAGAGCCAATGATTTAACATAGATGACCAATTATCCCGCCCAGAGAGCTCTCGGCCCTCGGTTAGTTTTACTCCTGTAGCCTAAGTTCCATGGGACTTGAAGACCCACGTCCAACCGAGGTTGAAAGAGATCAAAATATACATGAGACTATTTAGAACTAAAATATGTATGATATATTTTCCCCAAGTATCCGAGATGCTCGCGCAAGACTGACTTGTACACTCATCAAGTCTAGTGCCCTGAGCGTGTAGGAGACCATTACGATCGATGGAGCCGGTCGAGGACGATCAAATCCGAAAATCGAAGATGCATGCAGCAACAAATTTCAAGGTCAACATTCACTTTTAATATCTTACACCAAACCACGCGTAGACAAGACCAAAGGAAAGCATTCCAAGTCTAAAGCCAACTTAGACCATAGCAGGAATGACGATACTCTCAATCGTCCACACAGTTCCGTCTTGGCTCGAGGCCAGTCCCTCATACGTAGCACCACCAGCAGTGGCAATGGTATCTCCAAAAGTCGGGTCCGACGAAGCGAGAGTGATTTCGGTATTGAGATACTGCTGCTCAGAAGATGTGCCGGTGCAGCCGTCGTTGCATTCCGTTCCCGTACCGTATCTAAGGTTGACAGATTGAATTAGGGCTAGCTCTTGTAGTTCGGGGTCAAAAAGATATGACCAACTTACCCGGTCATATAAGGTCCGGACTGGGACGAGTAAGTCGAGAGGACCTTGCCAGTTCCCACATTCGTGACGGTCCTATGGAAAGCACTTGCATCAGTACCCTTCCTTCCAATTTCAATCCAAGAAGAATATGAAAGACATACTGCACCCATGTATCCTGATCATCCAGCAACGTATACTCGATCCTAACTTGGTCATCCCCCTTAACAACACCAGCATCCCCATCCAACTGCCCAAACCACCCAAAGACACTCGCACGTACACACCACTCGCCACTCGCCGCCCCGCACCAGTCATTGCTCTCCCAGCTCTCGAGCGTCGCCTGGATGAGATCGCCCGTGCCGTTGCTCATACCAGGCCAGAGGAAGAGAACGCCGTTCTGGGTTAGTGGTGCCGGGCCGGGGATTATGGTTGTCACGGCATTGACGATGGTTGATTTTGTGGGGCCTAGAGAGACGCTGCCGCCCCAGGTGTCGTCTCTGGTTGTGAGAGATGAGGAGGGGTCGACGGGGGTGGAGAGGGCGAGGGCTGGGAGGAGGAGGGTGGTTAGGGTTTGCAGGTTCATCTTCATTGTTGCGATGGGAGAGTTAGGATGGTTGAAGGTGAAATTGGGATGCGATGCAGTGCGAATAAGCTTCTTTACGAGCTGGCAAGAGAGGGAAGAGGAGGCATAATTATACCTCATACTTCGTATGCAGTTCATCTATCTGAGAGAGGCTTGTGTGTCATGAAACAGGGGTTCCCCACAATCAGACGGGCCTGTCTTACATCAACGGCCACCCTGTGGCTGGAAGAAATAAAACTCGGGGCTTGCCACGTTAGCCGTTTGCACTAATTAGCTTAAGTTGGGGTTATAGTAGTGATCTTCACGGATACTTTCCTAGTTTCGTCATCAAGAGCGGCTGGATTCCGAGTTGGTTTCAGACATTTAAGGAGATGTCCGAAGTCATGGCATGATCAACATACGCTCATCTAGGTCAGACAAGCATTGTCAACTGCCCGGTGACAGTTTGTCAGGGGCGTTCTTCAGGAGTAAAGCTAGTCCCAGAGTGCCTTTCCACATTGTGAGGAAACGATTGGATTACTCCATATGTTCAAGGCTTCATTCCCCGTGCGAATCGCGATGCTGCGGGAGAACTTGGAGATGCAACGAAGCTATCAAAGTCTTAACTAGATCCACCAAATCCTTGTATTTCTAGATTCTATGACGGTGAACTTGTGAATAGCAGATAGGCATCCATCCATACTGCCGCCTGGTATAGCTTCGCCCTCACGTGGCTGACTATAATTAGTACCCACCCTCTAGCGCCAACAGCTTCAGCCTTCGAGTCATGCGCCGTGGCCAAATCCAACCCCACTTCTTGAAAACTCCATCAACAAACCCAAGATGCCGGCCTATAACGAGGTTCCCAACTCCGTGAGGGTGTAGGAGTCCCATAGTGATCCCGAAGATACATCGCTAACTTCCATAGCCTTCTGGTCGCCCTAACGGCGATCTCCTTCCTCCCGCAACTGTACCGCCTCCATGTTAAAAGGAACAGCCTAGGCATCTCCCCCAACTATGTCCTCTGCCACCTCATAGTCGCGACCGAGCAGTTCGCCATCCTCTTTTACCTGTTGGTCAGCGTCCCGGAAGCCGGAGGTGACATGTTTGTTCATGAGCCGCGGACTGCCGGTGACTGGTTGAACTTTGCGCAGCTTGCGGCCACTTGGGTTATGTTCTTGATTCTGTATGTTTTGCCCACATGGTTATTCCACGTATTCGGTGAAAGGCGGGGTATTGATGCGACTGTCCAGTTTCATCCTAACACTAACCTACCACCCCTCGCGCCGCGAAAAACGCGATCACGTTATCATCTACATACTCTACCTCCTCATCACCCTCGTGCCTCTGTTTCTAGATTTTATCGGTCTAACCCCATACTTTGCAACGCCCGAGTGGCCCGAAACCGACCTCCGCGAGGGATGGGCCTTTATCCACGGACTGTTTCTCAACGCCCTCATGCCCGCTTGCGCATTCCTCGCGCTCTTCCCGCAGATGGCGCAGGTCTGGAAACATATCGGCGATCCAGCCGGGTATCCCGGTTTGAGTGTCCTGGGGCTCGCGGTTCAGGCATGTGTCTTCGGGACGCTGGCCGTGTCCTGGGCGTGGAGGATTTCGTACAGTGATGGGGATTATGGTAAGGGTGAGATCCCGTGGTTCTGGAATTATGGGTGGCCAGCTGTTGAGACTGGTATTATTGCCGGGGTTCAAGCGTTCTTGGTTTTGGTTGCCTGGTGGAGGGGGTGGGTTGAAAGGAGTGAGCGGAGGAAAGGGCTGGACGTGTCAGAAGAGGCTTCCAGGTCTGACGGTCGGGAGAGGGAGCCTTTGCTTCCCCAATAATGGATGTGAGGGCCCAGGATCTCCTCGTCCATGGGACCTCAAGCGTCTAGGTGCGGGCCATAAGGTATGGCCTCGCGCAACCAAACATAGCACTTACAAGAGTCTGTCCCGTCGATGCATATACCTTCCTGTGCAGCAGGACAGGGAAGGGTCGGTCCTTCCTGACTAGGTAAATAGGCGCTCTGAGGAAGGAGCCAACCACGTACCTGCCCTGTTCATGAAGGTCTATGGGTCGTCCCTCCCCTATGTTCGTTATGCCATATACGGCAGGTGCGAGCACGGAAATCTCTATTCAGCCTCATCGCTCCTTCCCCTCAGACTTCGCCCATTGTCGAAGAAAAGCAAGCCTAGGGGATCGCGATTTTAACGTCGGCTCAAACAAACAATCCACGGACGAGCCGGTGAGCGTGGCCGCCGAGTATCAACTTCAGATGAATCATAATTAGGATATTTTTGAAGCGTCTATTCAGCGTAGTGCTAGCGTGGGTTGCTGACGTGAAGGATGAGCGCCTGGACACTCTGGACTGGACAGCGAATACTCCGAGCAGAACTTTTTGGAGTGGAGAGGAGATATGAACTGGGGTAGATGCTCTATGCGCATACAAGGGTTGATAGTTGGTACAGGATAGTTGCGACTCACGGACGGCTGTCCTGCGGAGCTGGTATCATAATAGCTTCCACATCCGGTCATCTAGTTCTGCTAGGTTATAGAAGGCGCTTTTGGTCATAGAAGGCTGAGATGATAGCTACTACGTCCTTCGCCATAACTCCAGTATTGCAACGGAAATCTCCAGCAAACTACCACGGCACCTGCGTCACCTCATTAGTGAACATCTTCCACTGTGCGCTTCTTGGGTCGACTGGTCCATCACTTTGACTATACCTGCCGCACTATCCTCCACTGTCACGAGAGCAGGCTCCATCCCAAGTAAATTCGCTGCGCGGTCACCAAGGTTAGTTGCCACGAAGCTACATATCAGGCGGCGGAACGAGTTAGCTATATTAAAGTAAATATGTCTGCATAGATGGTACACACCTAGGGTTAATAGGGAAAGTTGTGAGCTGGTTGTCTTCCGCTGAAATAGCTTTCGTGTACCAGTGCTGGACTAGCTTGGTCGGGGCGGAGATGGGATTTTGGAGAGGGATATTGTTTCTAGATAGTATTAGTATTTATTCATTTTTTTCCCTATCAATGTATTCAGAGAGAATAGTTATAACTCACTGTAAATGTAAGCATTAGCAATGCATTGGATTGATTGGTGGTGTAATGGGTCTAAGAGCATAGACATACCGGGAGAAGCCATACTAGATGTAATAGTCACCTACTTTAAATCTGTTACCACGTATATCCAGATCCAAGGTGAAGCTTTCAAGCTTCCTGCATCGAGGGAGCTGAAAAATATCAGGGAAAGCCAGGTCTGCAGACTCATGTAAGTATTGAACATGGGCGGTTTACTTCGGGATCACGATGACTTACAGCGGTAAATGTAGCAGCGGTTACCCTCATCGAGGTACTGCCACGGGTTGTAGAAAGTGCAACAGAGCGTGAATCCCGCGCAATTTCAATCATAAGTTTGGCGTCCCGGCGGCCCAACTCAGTGAGACGGAGCATTGCTTGGTTGTCACTTCGACTTAACTCTGCTATAGCATTTGATGCGCGGGCAATATTGATGTTGATGATGCTATTTTGGATGCCAGGACAGAGTACACCCTAATTTGAGTCAGCGATATCCTTCAGCCGTTTCTTATGCGGCCTTATTTGAGCTCTTAGTACTCAACGGGCCCACTCGCGGGCGTTGTAGTCATGATTCGAAAGGATGTACATACCGTTTGGATCTGAGCAGACGTTTATTGCACCAAGTACTCACACTGGGCCACAAGACTCTGATACCAGCCTCGAGCCTTTTGCAGCTTGATAAACAGCTCCGATGTGTCACGATAGCCCTGGCACCCAGGACTTTCGACTCGTTTTGTCAGTCAGAGTTTCTGTGTACTGACACATTTGCTCGATCAAGTATCCCGCACTATCAGTTTGCATTTCCAAGAGGGAAAGTCTCCCTAGTAAACTCCTAAGTTCACCAGTGATGGGTACCATGTCGAGGTCTTTCCAGTCCTGATCAGGCTGTTCTGAGTCTCGATGGCTGACTGGTTTCCCCATTCCGGTCGTCTTCGATACCATCGTCAGCATCGCTTCGAGCCAAGTCGGAGGGTTCCAGAGCGGCCTTGCTCGTTCGCAGGTCACTGGATGCATCTGTCAGGCGCAGTACCTAGGTAGGTGGGAGCGTTCTTGGTCAAGCCTAAGCGGCATAAAATGTCTAAACTTGCGGCTGACCAGCATAAAGTACTCTGTCGCGTCGCGCGAGGAGGACAAGGATCGATTGGCGTGGCGATTACCTCACACACTCGCGTGACAGGTCACCAGTATATGATTGGCATCGTTGGCATTGTTTCACAGCCTTTCGCTTGAGGCTGACTGGCAAGCTGACAGGCTGACAGATGGGAAGAAAGGTGGGTATATGCGAGCAACCCCCACCACCCCCCGGGCCAGCTTCAGTTCTAAGACTGCATTGTCAGCGCCCCGCGTCTCCTGATCGCTACACCGGGGCCTTGATTAGCGTCCATGGTGTAAATCATCACATTTTAAATTTTTCACAGCAGTAATCATCTGTCGAACGTCTCGATGAGTTTCCTAGTCGAAAGATCCAAGAAGCGCAAGGCCCAGGGTTCCAAGCGAGACAGCAGCTCTAGTAACAACGACATTGCCGCCAAAAGAAACGCCATAGCCAGGGTGGTCAATCGTCTCGAGGATACAGACATAAGAAATGACGAGAACTTGATCTGAAGGTGCTTGTCGAGCCCACAGACAACAAGGACATAGTTGAGAATGCCACTAGCTCTATCCCGCTTGGCCGAAGCTATGCACTGCGGACTAAGGGGGGCCGAAGCTATCGACTAGTCGAGCACCACTTCACACCCGGGTAGGAAGTTAACAAGTCCTTGCCCTCTAAAAAGGTAGGTGCGATCACAGGTGTATAATGACGAATACCGCAATATCATGCCTCAATCTCGCCGGACAGAAAGCAAAAGTACTATGACGTGAGAGACGGCAGATCTCTGGGCTGTGCAGACGAAGACGATCCCTCTGTGAGGAAGACAATACTGCAACCAACAATGGGGCTGCGGCTCAGCTGCAACGATCGTGGCACTGAACTCTGTGCTACCTAAAATAAAACCGTTATAGGGCTTTATATGTCAACGTCAGCTGCAGAATGGCTTTTGTGGAGCTATCCGGGGATAGTGGACGGGAGAGGTTGCATCCAGCTCGGGTTATCGTGGCAAAGTCAGCTTGGCCGGCTTTAGACCCTGGCTTTAAGACCGACAGTCAACGTCACCCGAAATTCAGTACTCGGGACACAACTATAAAAAGCCCTGAGTAGCCATCGGTAAAGACCAACTCGTCAAGCAATCTCACTTATCAATTGATAAACATACCCAAACGACAAAATGGCCGGCCCATACAACGCGTCTACAACAGCCGAAGAGCTTGTCAAAATCCTCGCTGCCGAGATCAAGGGCAAGGCGATTCTTACCACCGGTCCATCGCCAGCCAGCATCGGTGCAACATTCGTGGAAACCGTCGCTCGCGCCCAGCCGGCCCTGTTGATTCTGGCCGGCCGAAGCACGAGTAAGCTCCAGCAAACAGCCGACGCAATCACCAAGGAAAATCCGTCCGTTCCAGTCCGTCTATTGCAGCTTGATTTGGGCTCATTGGCTGCGGTCCGCAAAGCAGCTTCTGAAGTCAACAGCTGGACCGATGTTCCTCACATCGATGTTCTTGTGAACAACGCAGGCATTATGGCCACCGACTTTGCCCTAAGTCCCGAAGGTTATGAGAGCCAGTTCGCGACGAACCATCTCGGCCACTTCCTCTTCACAAATCTGATTATAGAAAAGGTCCTCGCCGCTTCGTCGCCTCGCATTGTCAACGTCAGCAGCGATGGGCACCGACTCAGCCCTATCCGCTGGGCCGATACCAACTTCCGGGTAAGCGCGAATCTTCCGGGCGAACCGCGTGAAATGTTCTAACGTGGTTTCAGGAAGGGGAGACGTATAACAGATGGTCCGCATACGGGCAGTCCAAAACTGCCAACATGCTAATGGCCGTATATCTGGCGGAGAAGCTCGGGCCGAAGGGGTTGCTTGCTTATAGCCTGCACCCTGGTGTTATCATCACGACCGGCCTCACACGTGGCGTCCCTTTCGAGGAGATGGCTCCTGAGCTGAGTACGAACACCTCCTCCATTCCAATTGCTGTAAATGCTGACATGTAGTGTAGTCGCGCTCGACCGAGCTCTGGGCAACGAACAAGGCTGGCGTGAGGACATCCCGATGAAAACATCCCAACAAGGAGCAGCAACAACAGTGTATGCTGCTTTTGAGCCTATTTTGCGAGGTGAGAGATTGATTGATGTGTTGTGAGCGTTTACTAACTTTTCTATTCAGAGTTCAATGGCAAACATTTGGATGACTGCCATGTGGCGGATCCGTGGGTCGACACGGTGAAGCCGTGGGCTACTGATAAGGTTGAGGCCGAGAGGCTCTGGAAGCTTAGCGAGAGGTTGGTTGGACAGGAGTTCAATCGTTGAGTAGTAATAATATACAAATGGGGAGCTAGAGAAAAGTACTCCGTATGTAGCCGGAACTGAATAATTGATGAGAGGACAAATAAACCTCGGTAAAACAATGCTGGAGCTTCCCCCCATCTTAGACCCCCGGTACCCCGCACGTGCTCCGATCCAGCCCAGCCTCGGCGCCGAAAAAAACATTCACCTCTCATCTTCCTCTCAAGTTTACTCAATTCGTCACAATGCACCTCTCCAATATGGCAGACGACACAACACACTTCCAATCCATCCCCTGGGTCGCCGCCCACCTCCAAGACCATGAGTTCGTGACAATCCCGATCCCCTCGCGCGTATTCAAATCTTCAACCGAGGACAGCTTCTTCTCGACAACAATCAACAGTCCATCCACAATCTCCGCCTGCGTAACACAGTACCGAACACCACCACCGAACGCAAAGCCCTTTCGCCCAAAGGCAATTCCGACAGATGAACTCCGCACTTTCGTCACCCTCGGCTCAGATCTCAACGGTTGGCCCGGCGTGTTACACGGCGGGATGGTTGCGACGCTGCTCGACGAGTTTATGGGCTTGATTTTGAATTTGCGCCTAGGAGGGGGGGAGCCGGGACAGGAAGGGCCGGTCACGGCGTTCTTGAATACGAAGTTTGTGAGGCCGGTGCAGACGCCGGGAACGGTTGTTGTCGGGACGAGGATCACGGAGGAAAAGGAGATGAGAAAGTGGAAGATTGAGGGAGATATTCGGGATGGAGAGGGGAACTTATTGGCCAGTTCCGAGTGTCTATATATCTTGCCAAAGAGTGCAGCGAAGAGTGTCTTATAGATGGGTGGAAGATGAGGTGAGGGTGAGCTGAAGTTTCATAACCCTTACACATAGAGAAATCACTGGCAACATACCTCAACTTATTCTGGAAATCAAATATTCAGCAACCACTTGGAGGTTTCGGTGCTTCTGGTGATCTTCGCCTCAAGTGGCAGGAAGCTGAAGTCAAAAGAAGACCATTCTGCAGGCAAGGGTGCGATTCGTCTCCCAGTAGAGGAGAGGTAAAGTGTTCAGGTGCCCAGCCTTTCGTCTGGAGATTGCTGAGTTGCCCTGTTACGACGGACTCTAACAGTGACAGAAAAATATCGACCTCCCATCCCCGCTCCGCCTGCTCAAACTAACTCAATCTCTAACACACGCCACGAGAAAAAAAAAAAAAACACCAGCTCCATCCTCACTGCCGCATCCTCGAATCTCTTGCCTCTCATTAAATCTTCGACTGAGAGCCAACAGAACACCATGGTGAGTCCATTCAATCTTCGCTTGTTTATTCTTCGCTCTAACATTGCGAAAGACAGGTCCCGCCCTCGAGAATCTCCCTGCCGACGTCCTCCACTTGATCCTTTGTGAGCTGCCAGACCGACAGAGCTTGGAGGCTGCCGTGCAAGCTTCGCCGGCACTTTACAGAGCCTACTCGGCGAATCGTTACAGAATCCTTCTCTCTGTCCTTCGAAACTACCATGACGGGCTTGTAGTCGTGTCAGACGTGATTGCTGCCGTTCGATCTAGGCGACTATGCGCTACAAAGGTCAGAAATAGAAAGTTAATACTCACCCTACTGGACCGTCGTCGACTAGAATCTTACAAAAGCCCGGCGAATGCGAATGAGATTGTCCAGCTGCTACTCCTCCATGAGGTAGCTGTATGGTTCGTCGAGCAACTCAATAATACTGACATTACAAGACCCCGCTGGGTCCCAAGAGAAGTGCGGACGGAGCAACTACCATTGAGGCTGTCAGATGATGAAAAGAGACGCGTTTTCCGAGGACTTTATCGGCTTCAAATATGGAGTAATCTCTTTCGACGAGCGAAATACAAAAGCGAGTCTAAGGTCTCCTGGAATCTGGCTCTCGATCCCGATGAGATTTGGCGCCTTTTCATTTTATCGATGCCTACCTGGGAGATCGATGAGATGGGCTGCGTCTTCTCCACACTCAAGAATATGATCCGACCTGGTTGGAACGCAATGGTAGCGCTGAACTTACTCTTTCAGAGACCACCGGATAGCGAGGAATCGTATAAATCTGTATCTTCAGAGGTGCTTTACGATGAAGACGAAAATGGCCTGTCATCAGTCGTGAATAATGGCCCAGCGTTCGTTGCTGGGTTACTCAAACAGCAAAATACACTGTCCGAATCGATGTATGATGCATTCCATACGGGATCAAGCCACTTCGAGTCGTTCCTTGAGAACGTTCCCTGCAGATATCATGTCATACCCGACGACGACGATGCGGCAGACTATTACTTCAAGTGTCCTGCAACTCAGTACGACGCCAACTCACTCGAATAATTTGAAGAGATCCTCTCCGTACTACCCAAGGCGAAACAGCCCGGTCCATGCTGGAAATGGCATTGGAGCAGGGTTCCGATGGTGGGCATGAGTTATTTGCACAACATGCTATTGGGTGGTGCATCTACCGATGAGTGGTACTGGGGCTTCGCTTTCTGGGACGAGGATAGACTGGTGCAATGGAGGGAGACTAGCCAGCGATGCATTTGATCGTCTCTGGCATTTCGACAATCGCGGCTATTAGGGCAGAGGGCGTTGCATTTGAACTCGGATTTCGACTTGACATTGACCTTACATTGACGTATTTATTCAATGTCCCAAAATCGGCTCTAGTACGCGAAGAATCATTCATATATAGCTACTGATGCTTATAATATCCTCCATGTATGTCTTCCTCGAGAATAAAGATTATACCGCACTCTTTCCACTCGCCTTAACCTCATCCAAAGCTTCCTCAATACCCCGCACCCGCACCCCAGGAAAATAAACCTCCCTCTGCCTCTTTGCCTTCTCAGCATCAACACTGTTAAAACTTGTATATCCGAGCAACTGCAACTGCGCCTCCACCTTACTCCCATATTCACCACTCTCCTCCGCCTCCTCTACCTGCTTAACCGCATCCTCATATCCTCTACTCACAACCGTCCACTCTTCACCTTCACTCCTCTCCTGCAAAAGCGCTAACAGGTCTGTCCAACAAACCGTCTCCCCTTCGATATGTGTATACTCCTCCCAGCTCTTCTCATCTTCACTCTCAATCAACCCCACAACAGCCCCAACAACATCCCAAGCACTCGTCAAAGTAACCCTCCCTTCCCCGTCCCCATAAAGCACAAACACTCTCTTCTCGAAATCAACCGGCCACCCAGCCGTCAACGCCCCAAAATACCTCCCCTCATGTTTCACCGGGAGAAGATACTCTGCAAACCACCCGACAAGCACACTCGTCCACATAACCTCATCTTGCTCCCTCAACGCCTGCCGAATCGGCTCGCGCGTATCGTGCATATACCTCGGTTCCAACTCAGGATGTTTCTCGATGTTCCCCGTCCATTCGGAGGGGATGAAGCGTTTACAGCGCGGGGAGAGTCTGCATGCGGAGAGGAGGGCAAGGTGTGCGGTTATGTGGTCCGGTGGTTGTGCGGAGATCGTGGAGATGACGGCGTCGCAGTCCGAGAGGTGGGATGTCAATGATGGTACAGTGTAGTCTGTTACTCGTTGCTCGATGGAGAGCTTGTCGAGGAAGGGTTTGGGGGAGCGGGTTAGTGCGATTGGGGTGTGGTTGTGGTGCCGGAGGGAGGCGTAGAAGTAGCGGGCGAGATCGCCGGTTCCAGCTATCGCGATTCTCATGGTTTGTCGATGTGCGAGGCTAACTTGGTGTTATGGTGAGAAGTACGGATTCCAAGAGGGTAACTGGTTGTACTTATGGGTCTTTGGATTGGATTGGTAAGCCGATCTGGTCTGCTTGGGGATACGAGGTCTAGATGCTTGCTTTGTTGCAGTCGAGTCGCTGCTATTTACTACCAGGGTTATTGCTGCTGGGCCAAACGAGCTTGTCTCAAGTGTCTAGTTCTACAGGTGCTGCTACATTACAATTAGAATCCCTCTCTCTTCCCAACGGGCACTCCAAAATCCAACCTCTGGCCAAGCGGTAGACGCCATGGACCCTCGACTCGTTTTATCCTAAGCCGTTCCCAAAGAAGGTTCCCAGTTTCAAATCAAATAGAGTCGCTAGGGTGGTGATGCTGGATAGCATCCAGTCGGGCCTTCGTCGTTCATTTCATCTCTATATCTGAATCCTCCCTTGTCTCCAAGAAGCCCTTAAGCGTGTTGACAAGATATCTCGGGCATGGCCAATTCTGCAAGTCCAGGTCCAATAGGCTTTTCTTGGTCTTTTTGCTTTGCTCAAAATTACCACACTTCCAGATCTCGAAGGTATTCTCTCACGGCGACATTGAAGTAGATTTGTTCACGGCGGACTTAAGCTTGAATGCCGGTAAGCCCCACGGATAGGCCTGACGATGTTTATCGTAGCGGACCTTTTCCGGGATGAGCCCGTGGTTTCCTTGCGGTCAGTCTTTTGACGCTGCTGTAGTGAGGTCCGCGAGCGTTCCCAGCTGGTAGTGGTGGTGGCAAGTTCTCTTCCTGAAAGTTCCTTCTTCTGCCCAATTTGCGTGCCCTCCAAGACACCAGTTATAGAATTTTTGCATTTGGTGATGGCCAGGAGTGGGAATTGTAGCTTTCTGCAATTCTTCGTTCTCATTCTCATCGTCGAAGCAGGCTAGCAGACGCTCTTTTGGTGTTATCCGACGCTTGGTTTCCTTTGGCCACGTTCTGATACGCCAGGTTGAGTGGACCAAATCCTCCATCAGTTCGGTGACCACAAGCTCTGTCGATCTGCCTGTTAACAATTTCACCAGACTGTCTTCTGTTCTAAAGAGCCTCTCAGAGTAATCTTATACACCATGCTATTCTGACTTAGCTTCATAACCTCCTCCGCTGATAGGGTGATGAGTCCCATATCAAGAATGCGCATGACCAAAGCCATTTCCAATCGCCACCTCTCCATGCATCAATCCTTCAAGTCAACTAGGAAGTTGATAAAATGGAAACACTTGGTATTCCTATCTAGGGAAGACCAAGTGGGAATAAACGTGGTGTGGGCCATATAACTTTGCTATGACCTGCTAATGCCTTACGCATCCATGCTAAGACAAAGAATCAAGAATCTCCCTCAACAAGCCTATTTTACCCCTCTAAAAGCCCTGCACATTTGTTTAGTAAGGCCAAATTGTCTGGAAGAAAGAATTTGGAAGAGAAAAGGAATGTCTCTCAGAAAGTGGGCGATAGCTTTGGCCCCGAGTAAGTCCATAGAACAGCTGCCTTCTGTGTCCAGAATAGGGCGTGCTTCGTCCGATAGTCCTAGGCAACATCCAACCGCACCTTGGCAAGACGAGTCACTGCGGTGAGAGGCTGTAGCGCTGAAGCAAGTGCTCAGCTGTATGTAAACCAAGCAAGGTTGCGCTGAAGGCGCTTGTCTTTCAGCGTTCCCAGACTCGAGGCAATGATATCCAAGGTGTGTGGTATCCATCCAGCTCAATCGCGAGTTGAATCATTGATAGTCTTACAAGACTCAGAAGATAAAATGATACTCTCGGTCCTGACCTCGTGAAGCGAGATGTACCATTTAGATCTCGAACATACTGGAGGTACGAGGATGTCTAGCTGAGGCAACGGGAAGTAACTCGCGGCACGTGCATGTTCCTATCTTTTTCTGGTCTCACCCTGAGTCGCTTACTGTAGCAGCAACTTGTCCAGTCGTTCTTGAAGAAGTTCTAAAGTGGCTTTGTTGTCATTCCACCTGCACATGGCTTCATCGTATTCTTCATGTGAGACCCAGCCATCTTTACCAGCGATATTTGCTCGCAGGCTGTCAAATTCACCATATGCATCCGCCCATGCTTCTACCTGTTGTCGGCTTTTGTCAATTTCGTCTTTTGAGAAAGAAATAGGGCATGGAGTCGCTAAACCTCGGCGCTCCATGATTTTATCCCATTTCTCGTATATTTGTATAAGGAGCTCTTTGAGTGGAACTGGACCGTCCTGAGAAGATTGCCCAACAATATGAAATATGAAGGTAGTGGGATCATCGTCATTTCTCATAGCATCCATGGCCATGACGAGAGGCTGGTTGAATTTTCTTGAGGCCAATTCGTAGAACTTTTTCAGCCTAAGCCTGACAAGTGTTTCTTCAGCCAACTCTTTCTCTGCTTGCGAAAGGGCATCGAAATCCTTCGGTAACTTAGGTTGAACAGCACCCCATGGGTATGGGTCATCGCAATCAAAGATCGAAGGAAATTTTGCTTGCATGAAGAGCGGGGCAGCGTAGACTGCCTGCCAATCAATTATGCTTGATATTGTTGTTGGGTCTGAGGAATCAACAAATATGTTGTCCGAATGAAGATCATGGTGCAGCAGAACGGGACGAAGAATTTCTTGTGGTGGTAGTATGTGAGGCAGCACTCTTAGAAACTGTTCGAGAAGATGTACATGCTCATCACGTCCCTGTTGTGTTTTCCCCAGTAGTACAGACTTGTTGCTGGATCTGCTAGGGCCCGAATTTTGGATCACGGCGATCTCGCGGTTTGCGATGGATGAAAGGTATTCCTGGGCGGTCCCCCCTAGAGTCGACCCATCAGTGCGTGGAACAAGGAAACCAAGGGATCGGGATTTAGAAGCGCATACATGGCCCCCGATCAATATCTAACTCTCCTTTTTCGTCTTCCCAAAAGGACCGCTGGGTTGTTGGACCAATAACAAAATCCGATGTAACCTCCTTTGCCGGTTCAGTTGGATCAACGGCATTTCTGCCATGATAGTATGTACCTTTATAGTACAAGCTGCCATGGAGCGCAAACCTCACATTCACAAGCTTTTGCTCGATTTCCACCAGGCTTTTCACCAGACCGAAGTGTTGAGCTTCAGACATGGCACCCCAGACCTCACTTAACTGGCGACCTTTGACTCTTTCCATGAGTATATACTCTGCACCCACCGTGTTTGGTTGTGACGGGGAGCTCCAGGAAAGAACTCTGGGAACTGGGATATCAAGAACGTTGCAAAGCTGCATGTGATTACATCAAAAGTTAGCAGGTGAATCAAGAAGGGAGCAACATCATTACGCACAAGATCAAGTGTTGCGACTTCGCTGGCGACAACACGCTGGGGATGACCAGCATTGGGGTTTGGAATTCTTGCTAGGATCTCCCTGCCATTCTCCATTCTCAAAGAGAACACCTTATTGTACAGCCCCTCAGGTATTTTCGTCATTTCGATACACCGGCTGCTGGCTATACGACCAGCAATCTGCTGCAGAGCTGGAACATTGAATCTAACGTATCGCTTTTTAAGTTGTAGTGGCTCATTGTATAGCCAACGACCAGACGTGTAGCAAAAGAAGTGGTTATTTGATTCGATTTGCTCAAGGTTCGTAGAGCAGTTCTGTTTAAGATCGCAAATCCTTCCCAGAATCCATAAGCAATCTTGGCTGCTTACTGAAAAGTTTTGATGCCTTGTAAAGACCTTGCACCGCAATATTTCAGAAGTGCAAACACTGTTGTAATGCAAGTTATGTTTCCGTTGACAACTTAGAGTAGCTTAAACCACGTGATAAGAAGGAAAGGGCCAGTCTGTTATGATACTAAATCACCTCCAGGCTTCGTCCAATAAGAATACCCGTTCTCACTGATCTCTGCAGGTGGATGTGATCTTGCCAAAACAATTCAACTTTCAACTTTCGCGCCAAGAACTGGTAAGCGTTGGACCGAATGGGAGGCCCTCAAGACGCATAGATGATGTGGCGTTATTTTGACGCATGGAAAGCTCCAGCTCCTCCTGCATGCGGATCTGGGGCGCCCTGTGCGGGTGGGAGGGCCCTTTTAACTGCAGTCAACCCCCTTTGGAGAAGCTTGGGAAGCCCAAGTCGCTCATACAGGCGTGTATGCATGTTCATTTTATGGGCGGTTGCCGCAGTTGCAATTGCAACCATCCCCAATATGACTGGTTCAGAAATGATCATAATGGATGCTTTCCCTGGCTCTTGCGGGAATTGAGTGATATGGCTACGACCAGACTTACAGGTATATGAGCACTCAAATCTGCCTGCAAGCGTAAATTTCTGCCACTCTTTTTTCGAGTTTGAAGGTCGCAGTTTTCAACATCCCAAATTGCACCACTGCCTTCTGCAGCGGAACTATATAGTAAGGGCAGAGCCATTACATGTCTTCCGTCTGCGCGTTCATCTAAGATTGCTGTAGGTGATCATGATACAGCTTATACTCTATGGTCAGTTCACTACTTACTAAAGTTCACTCGAAATATACAAATCGCTGTCGTCATGGGCATTAGATAGTGTTGGTAAGAGGCCCCCAACCAAGCATCAATCCTCCAATTTAAATCTCTCCAATAACACTCTTCAAGATCTCTGGTACAATGACGCCCGCATCCCCTTCGAAATACCAATCCTTCGACGACAATTTCCGGGGCTCCTTGCCATAAGGATCCATGTTGACCACAGCCACCCTAGCCCCCTTCGACTGAGCCTTCTCAACATACCCCGCCGCCGGGAAAACTCTCGAACTCGTCCCAATGACCAGCATCAGATCGATCTTCCCTCGCGAAATCCAGTCATCCACCAGATCAAGCGTGTGGGACGGCAGAGCCTCACCGAACCACACAACACCCGGTCGAAGGAGACCCTCTTTGCATTCCGGACAATGTGGAAGTTGTTCTCGGCTTAGCGGTGCGAGCGGGATCCGTTCGTCGGAAATGTCGAGTTCCGTGGGTTCTTTTGCCATGGCATTGTGTGGGGAGCTTGCAGCTTCCTCGCCCGTCTTGTCGTCTGTGGATGGTCGGGGCTCGGGGAAATCCTTGGGTATAGCGAGGGCTGGCACAATTGGGTCTGTAAAGTCGTTCTCGCGGGAGTATTTGCAGTAGAACGATGTGCATTTTACGGTGAAGAGGTTACCATGCAGAAGATGAAGCCGGTCTAGCGGATGGTTCGCTCGCTGCGAAAGACCTGACACGACAAAAGCAGTCATTAGCATGCGTCCCATACCTGGTTATCCCAAGGGTCGTGAACCCCACCATCAACATTCTGCGACAACGTAACAAACTCATTATTTCTCCTCGCCAGCTCCGCAAGCGCATAATGCGCTTTGTTTGGCTGCGCCTCTAACGCCATATGTCGCCGGTAGCTATAAAATTGCCATACTAGGTCCGGGTTGGCTTCAAACGCCTCTGGCGTAGCTAGCTCCGTCGCGTCGTAGGAGCGCCAGAGCCCGCCGGCACCGCGGAATGTTGGTAGACCTGATGACGCGGAGAGACCGGCTCCCAGGAGCGCCAGTATGCGCTTGCTCCCCTTCAGGTACTCGGAAAATGATTTGATATCGGAGGAGACCATGGTGGGGTATCGCCGTATCGCGGGGTATCAGAGCGTGCTTTGGGCGCGTCGCGCTTTGACAGTGATTAGAAAACCGGTTAGGTGATAGAAAAAAGACTTTGTATGACCTATTGGCTTTATTACACAGGCAACAGAGAATCCAAAACGCGTAGTTGGTGTAATATCAGATCGAGGGGTCACGAACGCGTCGTCGAGGGAGCTCAGCTTTGTCTAGATGACGTGGGGTAATGCGGAGTAACTAACAACCAGGGCTGAGGAGAAGACAACTTGGAACCTTACGGACGACCACTCTCTTAGAGTTGGAATCCTATTTTTGTAACTGTTTTTCGTTTGAATACAATCCTATCCAAAGAACTTTTGAAGCATTTTTGGTTCTTGGCCAAATGTTGTTCTATATATATTATCACCAACCGATTTATAGTGATGTCCTTGTCTTAAGTGAAGCCTGTGTTGCGACGAGAATACTCCATTTGAAAAAATATATATTAAAACTAGCAACCGTTAAAGTTATCATTATTCAGGCAAGATAGCACACACAAGTCTTATATATCGCCATCAGTGCTGTTCCTCCTTGGGAAGAGGTATTCCTATAGCCGACGCTGCATACGATCGGTTCCGTTCATTCTGGCTCGCAATGTACGAGCTTATATACTCTGGAACAGCCTCCACTTTGTTTAGAGGATCTGGGATGGGCTCGCCAAAAGTCTCCCAAACAGGGACCACCCCCGTCCAGACACGATCCGTCACCTCTTGGTTATCCTTATCCTTCTTCTCGTCGGAAACACCACCGTCGCGAATCTTGCCGCTTCCGTCCACGACCTTGACCTTGAGGATTACGGTAGACGACATTTCAGCCTTGTCAGGCGGAACTCGGGAGTGTCTCCACCGGTCTGAAAGAACAGAGTTTGTAACGAGTTCCATCGCCCAGAGCTTCTCAGCTTCATCGGTCACAAGTGTAGCGTAGCCGTGAAGGATTGCAGAGCGGTAGTTGTAACTGTGTGAGTTGGGCGTGAGGGAAAGGATCAATCCGTCCACCTTGCTGGCTGCAACACAGATGGGCAATCCCTCGCCCTCGGAGGCGCGTGCTAGGTTCATGATTCGCGAACTGACATAGCCGTGCAGATAACACTCTAGAGGCTCGTCGATACCAGCGGAAGGATAATCGAAGGATCCCATCTGCCCAATCATAGGTAGGATTGCGGGGAATGGGTCAGAGGGCCCGGGGTTGAAAGAGACATGGAGGACTTGGCTAGAGTTGATGATTGAGTGAATTGCGCCGAGATCGTAAGTCGCTAGAATCGTGTTAGGAAGTCATCGCACTGAGTCTGAATAGGAGATCGCACCTCTATGTTTGTACCTGTTCACGGTGTTCGAGTCCCGCTTGGGGTATACGAGTGTCTTACCCATCCTGAGGGGTAAGTTGTTTCCTTGGTCAATTCCTGCTGCCAAACCTCAGAGTCGTTCGTATCTCTTTTATGTTATGGTCGAAGAGGGGTACAATCCGAGTGAGTCACTGTTTATAAGCGTGGATGGCGCAAGTTATACTTCCTTCAGCGACAAGCCCGCGACCATTTGGATGGGGAAATATCCACTCATATCGGATTTCCGCGATTGAACAATGATTTCTATAGGCTTTCCATGCATGACAAGCTCGGCAATCTGGGTCCATTTCCAGAAAGTCCATGCGAGAGGCTTCGCCGACGTCCTGGTGATTGGAGAGAAGCAACAGATGATTGCAACGGTTCAAAGACGATTGGCCAACAACGCCGACGCAATTGCAGCCTGAGGCGCTAAGAAGACTCCTTCAGGAAGCGGTCAGCGCGCCGCTGCTGGGATCCGATAACCGTTTGGAGCTTTGCGATAACAACTTTCAACTCGATACCACCTGGAACATATTTTGTTAAGCATGGCGACGTGCAAGTCATTTGCGCGCCAATTGCCGCGCTATCTTCGTCGCCCCGCTACGGTGCCCATAATTCCCACGTCGAACCGGTTCGCTGGCAAGCTCCAAAATCAAGCTTTCATCCGTCGTGGATATGCTTCCATCTCCGCCGCGGAGCTAAAGTTCGGTCAACCACTGCACGAGACGCATCCGCATTTGCTGGGTCCTGGAGAACGTGAGTTTATGCTTTTGCATTTCCTTTGATACAATTTGTTGCGCAGGTTGGCTGACTCTAGGTACTCTGCAGTGACACCGGGAATAACCGCCCTCGAGTACGCCCATCGCCGCTCCAAACTCGCAAACAAGCTACCAAAGGGCTCGGTAGCTGTCCTCGCAGCCGCAGAGGTCACCTATCGAGCTTCGGGAATCTTTCACGAATATCGCCAGGAGTCCAACTTCTTCTACCTCACCGGTTCGCATACACCACGTTTTGGAATCGGGCGATGAGCTAATCGACCTAGGCTTCAACGAGCCTAATGCTCTAGCGGTCATTGGTAATTACCCTGGCGCACCAGATGAGAGATGCATGGCTGATGTACGACAGTGAATGATGGCTCGGGCGACAACCATCTCTTTCATTTATACGTGCGGGAGAAGGATCCCAAGGCCGAGCTATGGGATGGAGCTCGCTCAGGCACGCAGGCCGCTATGGACGTTTTTAATGCCGACGAGGTAAGTAACTATCGAAGAACTTCCAGAGAGCAATACTAATGCGGTTCTTATAGTCAGGCGATATCGAACGCATCGGCGACATTCTTCCCAAGGTTCTCTCGGACGCGACAGCGATCTATACGGATATCCCAGCCTTCAATCCCGGAAGGTCATCCTTACACCGATATCTATACGGTCCCACGGGCGCGTCGCAGAAGCTGCAAAAGATGATTGATGTACAAAAGGTCAAGCCACTACGCCCAATACTCAACGAAATGAGAGCCTTCAAGAGCGAGGATGAGGTCGTCCAGTTGCGCCGGGTTGGTCAAGCGTCCGGAAGAGCTTTCACTGAAGCTATGCGGCACACATTCACAAAAGAAAAGGACTTGACATCTTTTCTGGAGTACAACTTCAAGATCAACGGCTGTGATGGCAGTGCCTTCGTACCTGTTGTCGCCGGCGGCTCGGTAGGTCAGTCCTTCTCTTGAAAGACTACAAGCTAACAAGTGTAGAACGCTTTAAGCATCCACTATACAAGAAACGACGGCACGCTAAGGTATGTCTAATAGTGCAGGATGATCTCGACTCCACTAACCAAGACATATAGGGATGGAGACCTGGTACTAGTTGATGGCGGCGGTGTATGTATCTCCGACAGGGATAATTGAACCTTGCTGATTGCATACAGGAGATCGGTACTTATATATCGGACATTACTAGGACGTGGCCGGTCAACGGAAAATTCACTGATGCCCAACGCGATCTATACAATGCGGTCTTGAACGTGCATCGCAGCTGCGTCTCCCTTTGCAGGGAATCTGCAGGTCTTTCTCTTGACCGCTTACACACCATTGCTGAAAACGGATTGAGGGACCAGCTGAAGCAGCTAGGTTTCGATGTCTCGGGAGATGTATGTTCACCTTGCGTGAGGTATATCGTTGGTGATTTCTGACCGCGATTTCACAGGCCGTAAGGACGCTCTTTCCACACCATCTAGGACACTATGTCGGACTGGATGTCCATGACTGCGGTGGATACTCTAGGGGTTACGACCTGAAGGCCGGGCAATGTATCACCATAGAGCCGTGAGTGATTGTTTCCTCCAGCTTCGAAGCCCATGCTGACCTCTCTCCCAGTGGAATTTATGTTCCCGACGACGACCGGTGGCCCGCGCACTTCCGAGGCATTGGCATTCGTATCGAGGATAGCGTCTGTGTTGGAGATGACAACCCAATTGTACTTACAACAGAGGCAGTAAAAGAGGTCCGTATCCCTGGACTGGCGCTGGATGCTAAGCGGTGGAAGTTGTGCTAACATTCGAATCACCCAGATTGACGATATCGAGGCACTTCGAGATTAGATTTGGAAAGACTTGGAAAAGAAATAGATAGATACCCATTCGCATATTGTACGATAGTCAAAACATTGTATGTTTACTTGGCGAGATGCGCGGCGATTGCTGCTGCGGTGTGGTGGGGGATGGATTCGGGCAGCACTGTATATTAGTCGAAAATAACGAGGTCGAAACCAAGTAATTCACGCGAACAAATGGCTCCAGCTTTAAGAATTCGACGGGGATTGATCATGGTCGCGGTGGTTGCAAGAATGGACGCGGTGGTTGTCTGGCGCACATCCCGCAGCCAAAACAAACGAACGGGCTCCACCAGCGTTTGCCTGACACGCCCAGTTTGGCTTGCCTCCTCCTCGATCCTGCAATCAATCATCATCACTTCCCCAGTCCACGACCACTGACCAGAAGTCTCTTGGATTTGGCATTTACTTGCCTTGAGGCTTCTGCCGTCCTCTCCGACGCTCACTTCCGTCTGATTTCTTTCTCACCGCGTGTACAATGGCACTTCTCTGAACAGGCGTTTTTTACCCTTCGAGACGTGTCGCCTTGTCGCGTGCTCTGCCTCCCCTCTTTAACAAGCAGCTCGACCTCCTGCTGCTTTTACTGAGCTGCTTCTGTTCATCTTTACTCTATGGCAGCAGTATTTGTACCCCCTTCGCACGAGAACCCCCTGAACATGTCGACTCGTCGGCCACTTGCAAACGTGCCGAATGCCACCAACTCCCCTCACAGGGTAGGCCTCGTGCCTGCCAAACGCCCCCGGGCAACGACTGCACAGATCGATATCGCTTACGGCCAGCCACCTCCGAAGAAGCAGGTGGTGGAAGGAAATGAGACGGAAAACCAGACCACTGTTCACACCAAGACCTCGACCCTCCGAGGCACGGATTCGAAGCTGTTTACCCGTCGAACGAACAATGCCCAACCAAGTGCTTTCGAGAGGAGGCTCGTAGATGCTAGGGACAAGGAACGACAGCCTCAGTCGAAAACAACAAAACAGGAGAAACCGTCCACAGAGAACATTTCGATCAAACAATGGCAACGGCACTACCGGAAGGCGTTCCCCCACTTTGTCTTTTACTTCGACTGCGTCCCGATTGATGTTCGCAGTAAATGTTCAAGGCAGGTCATGGCATTGGGAGCGGTAAGTTGTTCAGACTGTCCCTGGGGTTGACTCCGCTGTTTCGTCCTTCCGAACTGCACTTCGTCCCACCGAGTACGTGCCAATCACTAACGGCTTCTGAAGCGCGAAGAAAAATTCTTCTCGCGTTTAGTAACCCACGTTGTTACCTCCCGCCCTATACCACCAGAGATTGACAGACGCGCACCAGCAGAGCCTGCCCAGGATGCCCCACAGGATTCTCCCGGCGATGTCCAGACGGTGAACCCGGCCGAACTCGAAATGCACCTACATCTGGCAGTGTGTCCAAAACGCGAGCCGAGCCAGGACGTTTTGCATCGGGCACGTGAAATGGGAATGAAGATATGGGCCGTGGAAAAGCTGCAACGAATGATCGCCACTATCAATGACGCTGACATCGCGAACTCGAATCCCACCCGAAACGCCACTGGGGCCCAGAGCAAATCTAGGGGAAAGGACGATCTCTCGCAGGTGCTTCAAAATGAACTCAACGGCCCCTCTGATCGCAGCCATTTGTCCGTGCTCAAGGACCTGGTACTGTTCAAGGGGCCCTTCATATATGTGCACGATATGGATGAGAAGACACGGCCCGTTATGGTTCGGGAATACCCAAAAGTTGCGAAACGGCAGGATGGCATCTGGCCTCAATTTCGAAGTGCTCCATTGGGAAAATGTCCGTTCATTGAGGATGCCCCTACCAAACGCGAGGTAGAACGACAACGACCTCGCCAAGAGAAGGAAGAGAAAGAAAAGAAGACCTTCATCAAACCTACGGTACCTCTATTTGGAAAGGGGGTCGAGATCACGCATCAGCCTCAACAGTTGCCTGCGAAGAAGGAGACAAGTCCCGCTGAAGATGATGAGCCACCTGCGCCACCTGTTAAGCTTGAAGATTCCCCTGACATCTCTCAAGAAGTTCCGCTATCTCCAAAGAAGAGCTCAGAAAGCTTTGTTCCACCTCCACTCCACCGCAAGGGTCCATTCTACCATGGCCGGGAGCCTGCTGCTTCCGGCGTACAGCCTTCAAATATTACCTCTGCCATCCGCTCCCAAATGGTGTCCTCCACAGCGGCCGCACCCGGCGCAAAGGCTGGCTTGAGTAAGGAGGTTCATGAGTTGAAGCGCAAAGTACTGGAGAAGAGCAACGGTGGATTCTCGGCTGCCGTGGCACATGCATACCGCCCACTAGATGCACCCACAACAGCGAATACGGAGAAGAGCTACACCAGTCGGATGAGCAAATCGTCACGTCCCGATAAGCTTGGGCACATCGAGGAGGAAACCACACAATCAGAAAGTAACGACACAAAACATTGGACGAAACCCCGTAAAGGCGCCGAGATAAGGAAGAAGGAACGACGGAGAGATCCGAAACCAGGATACTGCGAGAACTGTAGGGACAAGTTCGATGATTTTGACGAGGTAAGTTGTTATTGCGCGATTTGCAGGACCACAGCTAACATCTGGTTTAGCACGTAATGACAAGGAAACACCGCAAATTTGCAGCTAACGGGGCGAACTGGGCCGAATTGGACTCATTGCTGCTGCAGCTGGCACGACCAGAAAAGGCAGAACGAACTGCCTAATACACACCCCCGGCTCATCTGGACATGACACGAGAGCGATCATATGTACAGTGCATCTACGCGCGTTTCTGACAGCTTCCATCATAGCATTGCCTCTGCTTCCTGTCTCACTCAGCATATAATAGCTGTCTTGCTCTATATACGGCAGCGTCTCACTACGCATTTTGTTAAGAATTGCATATGCTTGATAAGAGCAGCATGAGCTTTGATTAGTTTCAGCATTTGATCGTTTCACTTCTCCATCTTCATGTCTATCTTCCTCTTTCTCCTTTGATTCTGTGCTATGTTCCACCTTTCTTGCTTTTATTGCCCCCATATTTTCATGTTCCTCGGAACAATTTCATAGCACTGGTGTTCTTGGATTTGTTGTCTTTCGCCGCCATCTGTCACTCGTCCCAGCGGAAGTCACCGCAGCTGTCATCTCGGATGCAGATCAAACTCCGGTACCTATCCAGCTCGATTACTAGGAGACCACACGGAACTTCCCACCCTCAGAAGATGTGCCTTCTCTTTCCACCAAAAACTGTGGTTCTACTTTCGCATTGGCATTTACATCAGTTGGGCGATTTCTATCCTCATATTTCTTTCCCTTTCTACCTTTCCATTCTTGTCCCGCAGGTTTTAGGCGGATGTTTCATATCACGGGGATTGCATCATGGAGCCCGACTACTTGGATCGGGAGCAGGTGGGTGTTATTTTTCAAAGCTTTTCCACTTTCCACTTTTTTTCAGCCCTCTTTTGTTCTCGTCCGGGTCTCATAGATCTAGACTTTCCGCTTCTCGAGTGGCTATTATCTCTAAGGTGTAGTATCTACTTTTCTAGTTAACACACTGCATGTTATGGTAGAGCATGGACGTTGGCCGACTGGTCCTGCTACGGCTGTGCTCGGCTCGGTTTGATGTCGAGGGTGAGGGAGGACAAGATAGCTGTTTCAGAAATCTAACAATATTCTAATTATTTATTTCCTCTTCTGAGCCTTTAGACCCAGGAGCTCTTTCGAGTCTTCTACACCCAACACTGCTCATGAACATTATACTCTCCCATACAAACCGTTCCCTCCACCCCATCCCACGCCGCAAACAACACCACCTTCTCAACCGGATCCCCTTCCATCCGAACCTCGAGATCCCGTATACGGCACGACTCCGGCAACAACGGCTCATCAGCATTGCCTTCACCACGAGAAGCCAACCGCGACCCCGATTTCTCCGTCCGGAGACGCCCAGAGTCAATATCTAGAACATCATAAAAATCTCCTTCCTCAAACGCAACAACCCGTCGCGCAATGCACGCCGTGATCTTAGCGTCCCAGATCCCCTCGCGGTGGTTCGACGACTCAATCAGTTGGATTGCGCGCCGTCGGATACGCCGTACACGGCATTTTATCGCCGTGTAGAAGAGTGGAATCATCCAGCCGACGTCGATTATTGTGTGGGACATGTCGCAGCCGCCTATCCAGCGTTTCTTTTCTGTTGCTGGGAGAGCGGTTGAGCTTGTCATGTTTGTTGTGCTTGTGGTCGAATGGGTATTGGAGTTGGAGGGGGAAGGCGTTGAGGATGATGGCGAGGGGAAGTTTAGGTCAATGTAACTGATAGTCCACAAATCCGCAAGATGCACAAGCATCTGCTCGAACTGATGCGTATAGCCATCAAAGACAGTCTCGTTCGGCGACAACGCAGTCTCAGCCATAATTGTGAGCATGGTATGATAGCACGAGACGAGGTGGTGAACTTTGGTCTTGGCCTGGGCAATAGAGTCGGATATTGCCAGTTGAAGACTCTCGATGGAGGAGTTGTAGCTGATTAGCCAGCTGTCGAGGCCTGAGTTGAGGCGCCTTTGTTGGGCAAGGAGTGTGTCAGTCGGTGTAGCTTTGACACCGGCTTTGGCTGCGTGATCTCGGGCTTGTGCGGAGAGGTCGAAGGCTAGGTTCATTAGATGGTCTAGGCCGTGCCAGGCGGCTGTGTAGGAGGGGAATTGGATTGGGAGAAAGGGGTCGTGTATAGACGGTTGAAGGAAAAGGGGAAGGATGCATGGTCGTGGGCAATGTTGATGCTGCAGGAGCTCTAATTGGATGTGTAGACGGAAGAAGGCTTCGCCTATTGAGACATCGATGGGCTCATATGCATACGATGACGTTGGAGAACAGTCCGAGTCGGGGTCGGCGGCGCCGATTGATGAAGACTGTGTTTGTGCCAGGATGTTCAGCCCATTGCGCAAATGGACTTGTGCCGATGCGAAGTGTCCGCGAAGCAGATCTAGAACCACGAACACGAGGCAGACGATGAGTATGACTCGGCAAGAGGCCTTGTCCCGGACAGAGAAATGAGGCCCAAGGTGGCGGACAGCCCTAATCAGGTGGCGTAAAGTAGACTGCTCTTGCGTGCTTCTTTGGCTGGGGAAATTCTGTACAAAGCCACTTTGGTGAGTGGTACTAAGAGCTAGGATAGAATGCCAAACTGCCTGGTCACTCTGGCTAGCTTGTAGAAGAATCGTAGTCCAAAAGTCCGAGAGATACGATCCTGGTATCTTGACCATGGTTCGACGCCTGAACCAGTCAAAAGAGGCTTTCTCATCTGTGTTAGCAGCACATGTTGATATGCATGCGAGCGGAGGATAGTTTGGAGTAGCTGGCGGGCTTTTGGGCGATGGGCGACGTCCATAGTCGTTCCCACCACCTCCCCAGACGCCATACCCGTCGCAGACACGACCTGTAGAGAGACATCTCTGGCAAACCGGGAAGCTTTCGTCACATTTAACTTTGCGAACCCTAAGACATGAGCTACGTTCAGTTTTCTGAAGATGGGCACTCACTTGCAAGTACGGCATCCAGACTTGACTCGTGCCTTTCCACGGCCGCTCTTCCTGGGAGCAATTGCAGCAGGTGACATCAGGTCCAGACTATGTCGGATATCGGATTTCGCGGTTCCGATGGCTGCAGAGTTTCCAGTTGATTGTGCTAAACGTATTCCAGAGCACAGTTGCGCCACCTAATTGCACAGGGTGTTGTAGACAGTCTTCTTGATTCGCCTGGTCGCATTCCCCAGCATTTAACTGGGTTTCAACGTCCACTTCCGGGCATCAAGTCTGTCATCCTCAGCTGCAGCAGAGTGTGAGGAAGATGACAATTTGCAGTGTCGGAAACCAGGAGCCATGATTCGATCCCTGCTTCAAGGGTCAGGCGTTTGATGGTCGACGCCTCGAAGGTGACGATCGATGGAGACTGGCCGGTTGGTGTGCTCGGAAACTCTTTGTGCTCACTGGTGTGCGAGGGGTGCTAAGACGGCCCTGGACCCACAGGTAGTAGCAGTGGACTATACACAGCCAGGTCGGCGCATAGTTACAGATCAAAGTCCACAGAGAGTATGGATCTGGCATACACATAGTGTATTTCGCATACAAGTCATGTCTCAGTCAAGGACAACATTATCCTTAGAGCTGTGAGTATAAAGAGAGCTTCGGCGCCTAGACATTCTCGGGGTATCATCATCACTTCAAGGGCAACCTACCGAAATATATAGCCACAACCTCATTTTTACTTTTCAGTCCGAATGTCAGCAACTCAAGTCCCACTCCGGTTTTTGGGTAAAGAAGGCCCAAGAGTCCCAGCTCTTGGGTTTGGTCTGATGGAGCTATCATATGCCAGCTATGGGACAACCCCCAGCGAGGACGATCAATTCGCCCTTCTTGACCGTGCTCTGGAACTAGGGGCGACATTCTGGGACACTTCTGAGTACGTTGTCGCGACTGCCGGAGATTGTTCTTTAATCATGGCTAACGATGTATACCTAGTCTCTACGGCAATAATGAGGAGATCCTGGGCAAGTGGTTCAAGCGGACGGCGAAGCGCGACGAGATCTTCCTCGCAACCAAGTTCGGCTTCGTACCAGGCAGCAAGACCTATGCCGCTGACAGCTCTGCGGCCTACTGCAAACAGGCGTGCGACGCTAGCCTCAAACGTCTTGGAGTTGACTCCATCGACCTGTGTAAGTAAGCTGGCGCCGGCGACTTGTAGACATGCGTACTGATTGTCCACTAGACTACATGCACATGGCTAACCCCGAGACACCAATCGAGGAGACAATGCGAGCACTGGCGGAGCTAAAGGCGTAATATAAGATCCCCAACCCGAATGTCACGATAGGGAGTGCTAACGCATATTCCTTCCAGAGAGGGCAAGATCAAGCACATTGGATTGTCGATGGTTTCATCTGCAACATTCCGCCGCGCAATACAGATTGCACCAGTGGTCGCGGTCCAGACTGAATACTCGGTGGTGTCTCGCGATATTGAAAGCTCCGCTGGTACCGACCTCCTCGCCACCTGCCGTGAGCTCGGCGTTGCAGTGGTTTGCGCTACACCACTGGGACGAGGTCTACTTACCTCGACCTTTAGTCAGGGAGATGAAGTAGGCGATGAAAAAGACCAGCGCGTGAGAGTGATGCCTCGTTTCCTGCCTGCCAACAGAGAGCAAAATGTCAAAGCTGTCGGTACATTCAAAGAGCTAGCTCGCAAGAAAGGCTGCAGCGTGTCTCAACTGGCACTTGCATGGCTGCTTAACCAGGGTGATGATATTATCCCAATCCCGGGAACAAAGAGGCTCAAGTATCTGGAGCAGAACTGGGGATCGTTGAGTATCTCGCTCACAGATGAGGAAGAAGCGGAGATTCGTCACTTTGGAGACACGGTTGAGCTTGCGGGTGGCAGTTTGCCGGAACAGTTCAGAGGTCATGTTTTCCGAGACACCAAAGAGGAGTCAAGCTGAGTTCGATGTTCATGTGTACTTAAATGTTGTTCTTGTTAGAACATTGCTTTAAATGAAAGGCTATAGCCCCGAGGTCTGCGTGGGTGTCTGCAAGAATGAAACATGAGCCTCGGCCCAAAACACCTCGGGCCGGAACAAGTGGAGTTCCGGCGGGCCACCCATAAAGCCGGTGAGGAGCCCAGCCAGTAGTAGCCGAGAGCCACCTACTACAGCGGACGGACCGGCAGAATCGTCGAAAACCCCCCACCGCCCCGCGCTTCTCCGCCCACTTTTCGCTCAGATGCTCTGGACTACGCTGCAAATACCAGCACGCGCGTGGGATATATAGGCGCCACTGCATTGTTGAGATGGAGTCATTTTCCATCCCGTTTGACTCATTTTCAGCTTCTTCGTCGCGCCTTTCTCCCTGTGTATAGACATTTTGTACATACTTGGCGGCTATTGTCGTTTGCAACATCCAGTGACGTCGTTACCCCAAGAATATCCTCGGCTGGGCGACGACATTCCTTCAACACCACCTCAATTGTGTATAACACACCAAAATGACGACCCTAAGAGCTGCCTCAAGGCGGCTGCTCACCCCAAGGCTGTTTTTATCCTGGAAGCCACAAGCGTCTTCCATCCAAGTACGTCCTGTGCTTGCTAGTGGCCATATCACATCACGTTTCCCAGCGCCATGCGCTATTCGCCATAGCTCGCACTCCCCATTGGGAGGAGCACCGGCCAGCTCGCGGAAAATGATAACCGTGCAAACCTTACGGAACCTTCATAAGAAGGGGGAGCCTATTACAATGCTCACCGCGCACGACTTCCCGAGCGCGTATGCTGCTGAAGCTGCCGGGATGGAAGTGATCCTCGTTGGCGACAGTCTAGCAATGGTAGCGTTAGGCATGCATGATACCAGCGAAATAACGCTCGAAGACATGTTGCTGCACTGCCGGAGTGTTGCTCGGGCGGCCCAGACTGCATTCACAGTTCGTGCATCCAGATCAAGTCCCAATGCACTGCTTTAAAGGCTAATACTGGTTCCAGGTTGGAGACATGCCTATGGGGTCTTATGAAGTGTCTCCAGAGCAAGCTCTTCAATCGGCGATTCGAATTGTCAAAGAGGGCCGCGTTCAAGCGGTTAAGCTCGAAGGTGGGGAAGAAATGGCCCCAACAATCAAGCGCATCACATCAGCCGGGATCCCGGTCGTAGCGCATATTGGGCTTACGCCTCAACGCCAAAATGCCCTTGGAGGGTTCAGAGTTCAAGGAAAGTCCACGGCCGGCGCGTTGAAACTGTTGACAGATGCGCTTGCTGTGCAGGAGGCCGGTGCGTTTATGATGGTCTTGGAGGCAGTGCCCGCCGAGATTGCCAGCATCATCACGCAAAAACTCAAGGTGCCAACCATTGGTATTGGAGCCGGTAACGGCTGCTCCGGACAAGTTCTGGTTCAGATCGATATGGCCGGAAATTTCCCGCCTGGCCGGTTCCTACCTAAGTTTGTCAAGAAATACGCCGACGTCTGGGCCGAGACAGTCAAAGGTATTGAGCAATACCGGACTGAGGTGAAAAGCCGGGCGTATCCTTCCGAGCAGTACACTTACCCTGCTCCCGAGGAGGATGTCGCTGAGTTCCGACGAATTGTTGACGAGATACCCGAAAAGAAGTGATCTTTTGTTTTGTTTTGCTGCTCAACAGTTCTACGTTCGATAACCACGGCGGAGAGCTTGTACATTGCAATGGTTCCTGCGCGACATTACGCGCTGTGATAGTTCTCTATCGTGTAATGTCCGAAAGCTTGGTGCGACGACATGTTCAGTATTTAGCGTTCATAGGGAATGATGATATGATGTTGTTGACAACGCTGAGGAATGCAACTCCAACCCGTAGTTTGGGTGGGGGTTCAGCTTCGCGCAGTGTCCGATTAACGATTTCCGGAGCAAAACAGGCCAAAAGTCCAGCACTTGAGAGCACCTGGGCAGTCAAGTAGATAAACGAAAAAGGAGGCAGCAGCGAATGAGTGCTTACACTCCGTTGTCCATTTCGCGAGGTGGCGCAATGATTACATAACTCAGGAGAGCTGGTCCACGTGACAAATCATGTGAGAGGCGGTCTTACCACGGGCGCCGTTCCTCGCGTGCCGAATTACTCCCATCACCATCAACGCATCGCTCGTTCCAGCATTAAGGAGAGCTCGGTACCTACGATAACGGGTGCTAATATCGGGTATGCGCTATAGTTGTGCCTTACATCGCCAGATCTAAGAGCTTCAGCGTCCCGTGTCGTAGAACAAGGTCTGGGCGACGCGCGCAACTTGTGTCTCAACCTGCCTTACCCGTTTGCAGTACCTCCACCTACATCGCGCCGTAGAAATCTGAAACCTACCAAACGTTATATACACCCTCATCATGGCTGGTAAGCTAAGTACATTATCTCGCGCGTCTTTGCGACAAACATTCACTTGTTTGGCCAAGGCAACGAGAACCCTCACCCCGCGCGCACTATGGTGAAACAGTGAGCTAACTGCAGTGAATCAGATGAACCGCGTCGCTCTGGTCGCTCGACCAAGGGTCAGCACAAGAACCTCGATTTGATCCCCGAAACGCCCGCGAAGAAGCCAAAAGCGAAAGCGCAAGCGAAAGAAAAAAACCCGAAGCCGTCCGCAGAGCCCACTCCCCCTCCTGAGGAGGAGGAAGAAATCATCCGATGCGTATGTGGCGAGTACGAGGAGGAGGAAGATATCGAGCGTGACATGATCTGCTGCGACAACTGTTCGGCATGGCAACACAATGACTGTATGGGCTTGACGTTCGCGAAGGGGGAGGAACCTGATCAGTACTTCTGTGAGCAATGCAAGCCCGAGGATCACAAGGACTTGCTTGAGAGGATGGCTCGGGGTGAGAAGCCATGGGAAGAGGTTGCAGAGAGGCGACGCAAGGAAGCCGAAGAGATGAAAGCGCAGCGGCGCAGGAAGGGTAAGAAGGGACGGAAGGGAGGTAGACAGAGCGAGGTCAAAGCCGAGACAACGACACCTGCTCGTGCCACAGCTCCACGCGCATCTGCCACACCAGCAGAAACTCCTGTGGCCAAGACTCCTGTGGCCAAGGCCCCGACACCTGCACCTGCACCTCCACCTTCACCTCCATCTGCAGCTCCATCTGCACCTCCTGCTGTAGCTGCTCCTACCCCCACGCCACCAGCAGCTCCTACCCCAGCGCCAGCTCCGGAGACGAATAACCAGACGGATAACCATGCTGCTGAAGAGCGGCGACCGAGCGCGCAGAAGCGCAAGTTTAGTGAGCACCAGGAAGTACCGGCCCCGGAAGCTGTACGTTCTCTTCCCTCTTATATTGACTCCTGCTAACATGTACCATAGGCGCCAAAGACGAAACAACAAAAGGTCTCGCCACCCGTGAATAATACCCCAACACCTCAACCCAAGAAGACTGCCTCCGTGAAGAAGGAGTCCAAATCGCAGGCCCCGAAGCAACCCCCTGTCGCGCCTGTCGCACCAGTTTCAGCAACAGAGGCGGCCAAGTCCATCGCGGAGCTCATCATCCCCGCTCGAAGGAATGCTGCCAATGCGCTGTCAAAGGTCTTTGTAGATCAAATTTCCAATGCGTCGACCGGAGGGTCTTTCAAGCTACCCGAAGGCAAGTCTGGGGAGGAATTTGGCGAGCAACTCGGCCTCTCGGTCGAGCATGCTATGTATCAGAATCTATGTGGAGGATCTGGAGAGCCTACAGAAGCGTATAAGTTACAACTGCGGACGGTTTTGTTCAACGTAAAGAAGAACCCTTCTCTACGGGATCGTCTGCTCGTAGGTAGTTTACTCCCTGAGGCTCTTTCTAAAATGAGCTCCCAAGACATGGCAAGTGAGGAACTGCAGCAGAAAGATGCTGAGATCAAGGCGGAAGCTGAGAGACAGCACATCATCGTCCAAGAGCAGGGCCCCCGGATTAGGCGGACCCATAAGGGGGAGGAGATAGTCGAGGATGAGCAGCATGTCTCTAGCGAGCCCGTCTTCTCAGCTGCTCCTCGTCGTTCCACTGTCGCTGAAACAGATGGCAGTCCCGCAGCACAAAGCCCAACCAGCCCAACAGCCAAGCAACCCGAGACTGATGGCCAGGAAAAGACCCCCCAAGAAACAACGCCAAACGAACGACCGACAACCCACGATGAGCATTTCCCACCTCGAGGCCACTCGCCTGGTGCTGGACAAGAACAAGTCTTTCCCGAAGTCGAGACACACATCAATGAACCAATACCAACAGGAAAGGTCCAGGCTGATGCAGAGATCGATAAGCTGTTGAAGGACGACGAGCCCGAGTCTCCGCCATATTCGCCAAAGGAGTTCCACGATGAGGGCGCGATATGGCATGGCAAGGTTGTCATGAACCCTGTCTCGGAGTTCTCATCTTTCGCCAAACATGTTGGAGGAGCGGACCTCAGCGGCAGGATACCTTGGGGTCAGCTCGTTCCATCTACGTTGTTGATCGACGGGAGAATTGATATCCAGCTTGCCAGCAACTATCTATGTGGTCTGCGGTTCAGTTCCTCGACGGACGTCACCGTCATCTCCATCAGCAGCCCGGAATCACCGAAGGAAAAGGCAGGCTTTGACAAGCTGTTCAACTACTTCCAGGAGCGCAAGCGATACGGTGTCATTGGGAAACACCCTCTACCGGCTGTGAAGGATACATATCTCATTCCCATTGAGGCAGGATCGACGAAGAAACCCGAGTTTATTGAGCTTCTAGAGAATAACGCGCTTGAAGATCCTACACCCGAGCGTGTCCTGCTCGTCGTGTTCGCGATCAAGACGGGAGAGTCAAATCCCCCTTCAGTGCAACCTTCATCACACCATTCGAGCCTGGAGCCCGCAGCTTCAGCAAGTCCTTTGACCGTTGCCTCCGCCACTCCACAACAAGCGCACTTTGCCACTCCAGGTCCACGGCCTTCAATCCAACAGCAGTACGCCCAAACACCCACACCAGCATTCAACGTCGCTGCCCAAGGCCAACAACAACGCCACCACCAAGCGCAGGCGCAGCAACCACAACCACAGGCTGCCATGTACGACTCATACCAGCCGCTGCCAGCAGAGAACGATGGATCCCCCATCGGCCTCGCGGCGGCCGTCCAGGTCCTCGGCCCGCAAGCAAGCACCCCTTCAATCCAAAAGCTCCTACAGCAGGTGCCCAAAGTCACAATCACCCAGCTTCAGATCGTCCGGGACATCCTGGTACAACACCCCCAGGCAGCCTCGGACTATGACTCGCTCATGCATGAACTAGTAAAAGCTACTTCACCCAATGGGAATGGTCATGCCCCAGCGCAGCCCGCGCAGTAATAGTGCCGTGTTATTGTTGTACCATACTTCATCCGGTTCATTCCCATTTTACGCTTTCGTATCCTCTTATTGTCCTTTGAATCGATGTGATACATTTCTGCTTTGATTCTCATGTTTCATTCGTTTCTTCCTTGCTGTCATGTGGACTTGGTCAATGCGGGCACGGTGTTTTTATGATATGATGCGCTGTGGGCTCTCCTCTATTTGGAGGACGGAAAACGGGTTTCTAGTTGAATATATGGGATGCTATATCGGTTAGTCTTGACGAGCTGCTAGTGGCTTCTCGACATCAGTTATGGATTGATTGTTTTTATCTACTCAATTGTTGTCTTCTAAAGACGCAACCTTGAAACCAGCAGCGTTTTTTCTGTACACACACTCTTAGTAGTAAAACTGGTACCATATTCTTTTGACCTGCCTTAGAGAAAGGTCATGTATTCGTAGACAAAAGCAAGTTATGATAAGACGGAGCTTTGACATCTTTAGAGCGTATATCTAGATGTAGGCACTATTACCTTTACATACTTTCATCCCTAATATCCTAGGCACACTAGAAACAGAACGCCTGCGCTATGCAAATCCAGACCGATACAAAGGCGCGGACGAAGCAAACCAGAAAGATAAACGACACATTCCCAACTCATCATCACCACCGCCCGCTCCGTTTCTTATAACCACCACCACCTCCACCACCACCATACCGTGGTCCCCGTCCACCACCAGATCGACCTCCCCAGCCACCGCCATCCTCCTCGTCGTGGTGACGAATAGGCGGAGGCCGTCCCTTGAGTTCCTCGCTCAGCTTCTTGAAGCCCTTGCGCATATCTGAGTATCCCATGTGCATCTTTCCGAAGAAATGGTCCGCCAGGCGGCGGTCGTTGTCCAGCCGACTAAGGTACGCTCCGCAGACGTCGCACACTTGAAGTTTTTGGTGTCCCGAGGGACCGGATGTATCCTGGAGGTTCTTGAGCTCCCGCTCGCATGTCTCCTTTTGGTGCTTTGCGGTGCGGATCTTGTGGAGTTCGTTCAGGGCTTGCGCGACGGAGCCTGTTTCGCCGAGTACGGAGACTTCGAGAAGACCGGTGTTGATGGTCTTCGTTAGGTCGGAAATTTGTTTGAGCTGTTCAGGTTCAAGATGTGTTAGTAGGGATATTTAAACTTTGAAGTTTAGTTTCAGAGGACGGTGCGCACCAGGTTATTCGTCTGTCGGATTTCATCCGGTGTCTTCTCCAGACGTCGCTGGGCAGATTCAATTCTCCGGTCACAGTCATCGATATATTTTTGCATATCTCGCATGTAATCGTAATCGAACCCCCATTTCGCCTTCTCCGACGGAGACGCGCTTTCGTACTCTGCCTTCAATCCTTCGCTATGCACCTTTGGACAAGGGCCAAGGTCCTGCTTCGTATTCGTGAAGAGATCGTGCGGACAGGTTCCAACGAGGTATGAGCGACAAACTTTCGGGTCCGTGATAGAGAGTTGAGCGTTGCGAGAGGGTGCCCCGAGTCCTACAAGCTGGTCCGCTGCAGGGAAGAAGTTTGTTAGCTTGCGGACTTTGTCTAAGCTGGCAGAATTTCGGTGGACTTACCTCCCATTAGCTGCTCAAGCAGCTTTCGTTGTTCGGCCGCCATGTTGCGAAAGCGCAGAAGCAAAAAGAGGCTCAGGAATTGAATTTGGGGAGGTGCTGTGGAAAGCCGATCTTGAGGTGGTTTGCTCAAAGCCTCAAAACGTTGATGGAGACTTGGTGGCGCTAGTGGCGGCTGCGCTTAGTGGCCCCTATTAGGAAATGACCGGGGATGACCCTCTTATTCACTGCTCCTCAGCCCTGCGCTCTTTTCAACTGCTCTGTAGCTCAATTCGAGCTGAGAATTATCATCTGGGCTTGCCGGGGACACTAGTCGCAAACTCAGGTCCGCAACCACCGTGCGCAAGCAGCTCCCCGAATTCACTGGACTTCAGTTCCACCGTGTCATACTCGTTGGGCACTTACATGGCTCCTTAGCCCAATTACGAAAGGCATTTCGCATCAAGACGCCTTGTCACGGCAAGCATGACGTTATGACGACCTTCTTCCTTTTCGCGCTCTTCCTCAGCGCCTTCTTGACGGCCTCCGCGGCGTCAAATTACCACGAGAGTCTTAACCTACAACCACTTCCACCATCGTCCCTCCTCGCCTCGTTCAACTTCAAGAGCAATACCACACAAACGTCCTTTGAGAAACAACATTTCCAATATTTCCCTCGAGCCCTCGGCCAGATTCTACAGCACGCAAATACCCGGGAGCTACACCTCCGCTTCACCACTGGAAGATGGGATTCTGAAAGTTGGGGTTCTCGCCCTTGGGATGGAGCCAAAGAAGGTGGCACGGGTGTTGAATTGTGGGCTTGGATTGACGCCCAGAATGATGAGACGTACGTGGATACCAACTACAAACTGTGTGTTTGGAGACTGACCTTGGTCTATTTAGAGCTTTTGCCAAGTGGATCACCCTGGCACAGTCACTCTCTGGGCTTTTCTGTGCGTCGTTGAATTTTATAGACTCAACGAGAACTACCAGACCTGTGGCTTCGTTTGAGCCGGCTGGTGACCATATTGTCTCCGAGAACCTGCACCTACTTCATGGGACCCTGCCTGGAGAGGTTGTCTGTACGGAGAACCTGACGCCATTCTTGAAGCTCTTACCCTGCAAGGGGAAGGCCGGAGTAGCTAGTTTGCTCGACGGACATAAATTGTTTGATGCTGCCTGGCAGAGCATGTCAATTGACGTGCGCCCTGTTTGCGCTGGGACCGAGTGTCTTGTGCAAATCGACCAGACTGTAGACATAGTCTTGGATATTGACCGGTCGAAACGCTCAAGGAGTGAGTGATATGATCCATTGTGCCAAGAAACTGTTTCTAACATTCCATAGCCAACCCCATTCCCCGTCCTGTTCCGGGCGACAAGCTGGACTGTGACACCTCAAAACCGTACCATGCGGGAGATACCTGCTATCCGCAAGAGAATCCAGGAGAGAAGGCATGGAGCATTACAGAGCTCTTCGGACGCAGCATCGGCGGCTCTTGCCCGTTAGCGGACAGCCAGGGCAGCGACGAGACTGTCTGCCTGCGTATAGCTCCTGAAAGGGAAGTGCGCCCGTCGCCAGATTCAGTTAAAACACGGTTCGCGGACGAATTCACTCAATGCTTCACGCCACTACCATCTACAGCCTTTGACCTGGCGGTATCGGAGCAAGAGGTTCAGTCCAGCGTTCCACTAGACGAGCCAGTTTTGTATGCGGAGAGAACAATTGTTGGCCATGGACAGGAGAGAGGCGGAATGCGTATCATCTTCGATAACCCTTCCTCTACCGAGACTGTTGACTTCATCTATTTCGAGTCTCTTCCATGGTTTCTCCGGCCCTATATACACACTCTGCAAGCGACAATCACAGGACGCGACGGCGTTCGCCGACAAGTCCGCACTTCGGAAATCATCAAAGAAACATTTTATCGCCCAGGAATTGACCGCGAACGCGGTACACAACTAGAACTCGGCCTGTCCGTTCCCCCAGCTTCTAGAGTGACATTAAACTACGACTTTGAAAAGGCCATCTTGCGCTACACGGAATACCCACCTGACGCAAACCGAGGATTCAACGTCGCCCCCGCCGTTATCAAGGTTTCTTCCCCTGAAGCCGGAAGGCCGATCTACCTCCGCACAACCAGCCTTCTTCTACCGCTCCCAACACCTGACTTCAGTATGCCGTATAACGTCATTATCCTTACGAGCACCGTGATTGCCCTTGCCTTTGGAAGCATCTTTAATCTTCTAGTCCGCCGCTTCGTGACTGCTGAGGAGGCTTCTGCTTTAAGAGCACAAACTCTCAAAGGCCGTTTAGGTGGGAAGATCGTCGCCCTACGTGATAAAATCCGCGGGAAGAGCTCTAAGGTCGAGTAGTCCGATACGTTCCTACAGAGCCAAACGATCATCAAAACATGTATATTCAGCATCAGACTTGAAGCATAATCTCATAATTCGTTCATATGATATCTTTATACTATTCTTCTTGCGTCACTAAGCTATTAACATATCCTTACCATCTTCGCCTGTGCCTAGTATTCATATTACTCTGCTTAAGAGGACCTACATTAACCGTCAGCACAATCTCTCTCCACCCGCAGGAAAGACAAAAACCATACTCACCCACTAACCATCTCCTTCACCTTATTCCACCCAGGCAACGTCTCCCCACCGGCCGGCTTCCGATTCATAAAGCTCGTATCCTCCTTCTCGCCCTCTAGGGGTTCCGCACCCGACGATGCATTAGCGCGTGTCTTGTACTTATCTTCCGCAGCACCCTTTTGTTGTTCGAGGGAGTGGAAGCCGTAGATTGTGTCTGAGGGAGGTCCGGTCTGTGGAGCATGTTAAAGTGTGTATGGTGTAGTAGGGAAAGAGGAAGCATGGAAGCATACAGCGACGTGTCCGAGACCCTGAGCACCGCCCTGGGTTACGTCGGGAGCGTTTGTGGTCTGGTGTTCGGTCATGGTGGATGTTTTGATTCGTACTTGGTGTTGGGTAGGGAGTGGAGGTATAGTTCTAGCGCGATTGTGTCAATCCATAGAATCTCGGATGAGAATCGCTGCATTTGTACTCACAAGTTTTCGATTCAGTGGAGAAAGGCTTATTGATTCTAACTTGTAGAAATAGTATAAAGTTAAGTGAGAAAGAGGCTGCCATTTATAGATGTAATTTGCCCCGAGGGGTGCGATGACATCATGTGGGTAAGGGGGGGTTCCGTCAGGACAGGGCAGGTCCGGCTGTAAGAGCCAAGTTATTGGCATGGAAAAGACTGGCATCCGCAGGAGTCACACTAGCATGACACTATCTTTGCGGGCTAATAGTATCTTTTGACGTTGTATTACTTAGCTCAGTTTAAAGATTATGGGATATGGTAGGAGACGAATCTGGCTGTGACAGTCATTGATTCATTTTGTACCGATGTTTTGGGATTAGTTGATTTAGAGCCTCCAAGGACAGTGAATATAGGTATAGGTATAAGGGGATCAGCAAGAGAAGCCAATTTGTGCATCAATCATAAACGTCAAGCTTGTAGGATCATCTCTGTGTGCAGGAGTAAAAAGAGGTATAGTTGTAAGAATGTGGGCACGGTAAGGATTCCAGCATTTATTCTCGTGAAGCTTCGACTTCATCCGCCCATGTCGCGCCAGATATTGGTGACAGAGGTTTTGTCTTGTCGTTCGAAGGAGGCGCCGAGTCGCCGGCGGCCGTGTCCTTCTTCTCTGCACCGGGTAGCGAGGGAAACTCCGCCTCGTTTGTGATCACCGGTGTAGGTTGTGGCGTTGTATCAGATGGTCTGTCTCCGGATGGACGATCTTGGAAACCACGATGGTTTCCACGGCCCCGTCCACCTCTTCCGCGACCCCGGCCGCGGTGGCCATGAGGTTGTGGGGTGTTGCTGTCAGGCGAGTCCTCGCCTGTCTGGGAATCTTCGAAGCCTCTCCTTGTGTATCCTGACACGCCACCGTGCATGCCCCGTCGGAATTGTCCTCTTCCTCCGCGTGAGCTAAATTGCTCCTCCGGTTTATCGGCATCCCATTCCCGTCCGCCCAGGGCTTCGAGTTTCCGCAGTCGGTTGCGCTCTCTCTCAGTGTCCATCACTCGGCGGTTTGCCCTCTCCTCGCGGCGTTTCTTCTCGGCAATCTTCTCGCGTTCCATGAAAGACGCTTGGTCGGCTTCAGCACGAGCATGCGCTGCGGCTTTCTTGGCAGCGTTTTCTCGCGCAGCGGCGATGCGCTGAGAAAGCTCCTCTTCTGTGAGTTTTGGCTAGTGAAAGTATTAGTAGCAAGCTCAATGGCCTGCCAGGAATGTCTCGAGCATACCTTCTTGACTCCTCCAGTTGCACTTCTATCTCCACGAACAGCAGGGACCCGCGGCGCGTCTGCTGGGGTAGCAGCAGCCTCCTCATTACTCGGCTGCTCTGCCTTCTCACCAGCAGCCTCGGCCGTATTTTCCTCCCCATTCTGAGGCTCACTTTCCGCGGCGCCCTCCTCTGTCTTACTCTTTGGTCCGTCCGAACGTCTCGATCCCGCATTTTGTGCCCCTCTTCCACCTCGCCCGCCTCTACCCCTCCCTCGTCCGCGCCGTTCACCGCGTTGTCGCGGCGGGGCATCTGTAGTCGCAGGCGTTGTGTCGCGGTCAACTACCGGAGCAGCCACAGGCTCCTTGACAGCAGGTGGTTCAGCAGGGGATTGCTGTTGTTGGACTGGTGGGGGTTGTTGTTGCTGTTCCTCCGCGGTGACAGGGATGATCTCATCGTCGAATAGATCGTCCCCACCTCGGGTCTGCGCAAACTCGTCCATGTCAGCCATTTTGCGAGGCTCCTATTTCGGTGTCGCTTCGTTTCTTTTTCCTTCCGTGTGTCTTTCCCGGGTCTTGATTCCGGGGTCGTGGGCGAGTTCTGTTGGTTGGGGATCTCTCCGGACGCGGGTATCTGCTTGACTCTGCACGTCTTTGCGGCGCCGGCGACGGGCCAATGAAAGCGGTCTGTGGGAGCTCGAGGGGCCAAGCTGGGCAGGAGTCCGCAGCAGCTGGCGACTCAAAAACAGGGCTACTGTGGCGGGGAACGAACTCCTTCCATACAAAATGTTGGAGTCAGCGAGCAACCTCCGAGGATTCCCTCAGTATCTTCATTCCTTCAAAATCTTGTCTTTAAATCTTTCTGCAAATGTGTTTTCTGTTCCACAACGAGAATTCGGATCTTCTTTAGGTTTGACGAAGCTCCGAAAGCTGCAAGTAGCCGAGCTATTTGCTTTGCGCCCCCAAGTTAGTCTTTTGGGGAGGGTATCATCAACAATAAATGCAATTAACGACTTATACAGCTACCATCGCCTCTTGCATGTGCTTCGTGGTGACAAATAGACATGGCACTCTACTGGAGATATTGCTTGGGTCGAGAAACGTGGGCGTGAATTCGTTGGATTCTGAGCTTGGTCAAAGTGGACTAAGACGAACAGCCACGATGATAAGGTTGCCCAAGGTATATGGTGCGATGCAATGATGCTTTCCATTTTGGATCCTGAATATGTACAGGTGACTACGTCATCTAATGCAGTATATACATGCCTCTTCGGTTACGAGCCTTTAAACACACTCCCAGGCGTTCTCATCAGTATAGTTACCGGGCCCCTTATACACATTCCTGCGAGGGTACCGACAGTGCCTGCGGTAGTATTCCACGGATGAGCGAGCTTCATCCGAGAACTTGGCCCCGCGGACAGTCTCCGGCGGAATACCTTCCTCCACCCACCGGACCATCGCCATCAGGACATTGTCCTCTGGATCAGTCCTCGATGCAGTCGCAGCCCGGTTCCCGATGTTGAACGCACCATCACCGCCAGCGCAATGCGCCATACCACTGATGGTGAAGAACCGGTAGAACTCGTCCAGCTCGCTCGGCTTCAGCTTCATAGTTTCCAAGACCCGGTGATAGTACAGCTTCGAGTTATCTGAGCTGATCAACTGATCTTGAAGACCGTGGTAGGTAAGCACCTTGCCACCCGCGCGGCGGAACGGCGTAAGATCCGCATCCCAAGTTTGGATGTTATATGGGTTCTGCCTCAGGGCACGCTCGGCGTCCTTGACGGTCCATTTCGTGGCATTCCAGGTGGGATTGCTGTACAAGACATAGCGGTACCAGTCCTGGCTGTATGGGAACGGTGCGCCATTGTACATAATATTCGCTGCGTAGTTCTCAGAGCCGGGCTGCATCCGAGGGTAGAGGACCTTTCCCTTTGAGCTTCGAAGCGGGGAGAGGACTTCGTGGACTGTGTTGACCTGTGCAGCGGTGAGGCAGGCGTCGCCGTCGGCCGATGACTCGGTCTGGCAGATGATGTTTGATAAGTCAGGATGGCAGAGGTCGGTGTCTTCAATGATACCATCTTCCGCCCCGTCTAACCCGTCGCACTGTCGCAGAATCTCGTCGTGAGCCACCGACCATTCGTCGGGCGACAAGTATGTCTCTGACCCTACGGGTCCAGTGATGGGGTAGAAGTGGGCACTCCATGAGAGCAGGTTAATGAAGTTGAATGCCGGTGCGCCTGCTAAGACCCCATCGAAGTCACGAGGGTACTTTTGGATCTCCTTGAAGCCTTGACGTCCTCCGGTCGAGCAGCCGAGGTAGTAGGACTTGTTGAATCCTTCTTCATAGAAGAGGTTCGTCAGCTTTTTACCCACAACAACCCCCGTGTGAACTGATCGGTAGGCAAAGTCTTCGACCACTTCTGGCGCCTGATAGAATGGTAATCCAGATGTGCCATTGTGTCCGTTGTTCGCACCAACAGCTGCAAAGCCGAAACCTGCAGTATAATCGAGGTCATAGTACTGGATGCCTAGAAGAGTCAGCATGGTAGGCTCTCCCGCCAGTGACTGCAACAAACATACATCCAGAAAGTCCGCCATTTCCTGTGCTCAAGAAACGGCCATTATACTCTCGTGGGAACCACGCCTCGAGGGTAATCTCGCTGCTACTCGACGTCGCAACGGCCATCGCAATTCGACAGGTATCGGCCGTGACTCCCTGGTAGGCCGCTCCACAAGTCGGGTCGTTGTCCACCAGCGACAGATTGGTGCCTCCAGGAAGGTAGCTTGCAAAATTCACCTTGACATGGGGGATGTCAATCTCGTTTGCAAAGCTCTCACATCGGGCTTGAAACTCGTCATTCTGCGCAAGGGCCGCGGTGCCCAGTGTCAACGCGGACAACAGGAGGCGAAGAGAGGCCATCCTGGCGGGTATATATGAGAGGTATTCGTCTAAAACTTCTGGAGGTTGGAATGGCCAAGAAAACACTCCGATCGAGGCCAGACCTGACCCATTTTATATCTTTCCTCCTCGAGTTGGGGTGTTCTGAAGCGTCATATGCCTAACGTCGACGGTTAGCGATTTGCCGCACTGCTTCTGGCCCTTTTCACAGAGCTCTCAGGAATTAGCCTGAGAATTTACTTGTTTACCCGAAGATACACCGTAAAGACTGGAAAATCCGACACTCTCAAAGGTAGTGGGTCTACCAAACGAGCTGCGTATTTCGGATGAGTGCGGGGGTGAAACCGTAGCGAGTAAAAGCAGTCCGAAACATTTGGTATGTTGTAAACCGGAAAATCCGGTTAAATTGAAGACAGGGTAGGGATCTGCACCTGCTTACGCGGAGATAGGGCAAGGTTTTCTTGGTGTCTGGGGATCGTCCTCGGTTCTCCGCACTCGAATATACTTCATGCAGTAACGCGGAGGTAGATGTCCCTCCACAAGCCGATATACTCTGGGGTCGGCAGTTGGATAAATTTGTTGAGCCGATGAGCTTAATGTGCCTGCGCAGCTCCGAGGGAAGCTTGATTTGGAGTACATGCTGCTATTCGTCTGCTAGAAGCCTAGAAATGGTGATTCTGTGGGGAAAGGTAGAAAGTTGATCCTCAATTAGCAGGGAGGAAAGAGGGAATTCCCGAGGCACTTCTCCCGATTCCAGGTCTCGTCTGCCGATGATCAGTCCCGGTCGAGATTGTCTGCAGAGAACGGGCCAGCTCCGACGGCGCTAACTTATTAGTAACACGGGGTTCAAGGGAGAAGAAATAGGAAAGTAATAAGAAATAAAATTGAAAATATCCGAGTTTAATCAATTTCGAAAACAAAGGAGTGAGATTCCGAGGTCTGCCAGCATGTTCTCGGATTGTCATTGGACAGCCGATGCGAAGTATAAAACACGGTCCGACGCCAGCAAAAAGCAAATTTAAAATCATGCTATGTTTTTGTATAAATGGATGATGAGGATATCATATGCAATATAAGTCGTAAGGCGTTTCACGTCCAGGTCGGAACTCAAATTCGAAATAGCCCTTTCGGTTTTAGGCGACAAGATCGAAACACGTTGGTGGTGGGTCGTCGTGATCTGAAGTAGGCGAGCCTCTTGAAGCATGCGAGGGCCGCCTACAAACACACCAGAGTGTCATTGATACGATGGCTGTAACCAGAACAATGGCGAGAAGACAAATCCACAGTACCGAGCTCGAGTAGGATCCAAACACCATCTCGAAGATGCCAATGAACGCTTGGTATTTTCTCGACCCTTCATCGATCGTTGCAACGAGGTCGGCGGCTTTGGAAGCTCCTTGCTCAATGAAAGCAGTTGAAATCTTTGTTTGGATTTGTAAGCCGTCTATTAGCTGCGATAGGGCGCCGGTAATCTCGTAAATATGCTGTTCAGCCTTGTGTATACTTTCAACACGCAGTTGGGACTGATCAAGTGATGATTCGAAACTCCGCAGATGCTAACGAGTTAGATTCATCCATGAGTTACACAGTAGAGGAGATACCAACCTTAGACGCGCTTTCCCCTTGCTCTAGCATTTGTCCCACTCTTCCTTGGAGCCATTCCTGGTGCTAGGTTCAGTCCCGGCCTGAAGTATCTAGCGAAAGGGAACATACCAGAGAGGTGCTGAAATCTCCCACATTCTCACCGAGCTTAGCAATTTCGTTCTCCGTGACTGATTGCAATTGTGACTTGAGAGACAGAGCAAGTTCGCTGTTCATCGCGGTATTTTGTTTTTGCGTCCAGGCGATCTCATCGCTTCTTCGGAGGGTTTCATTGTGGACAGCTCTCAGAGCCTGGCGTAGGCTGTTGATCTCACTTGACGAGCTCTGAATGTCCTATACAGAGATCAGATTACTTCAATCCGGAAAAAGGAAGCGGTGCTCGCCTTCTCAAGACCCGTCACGCCCCTTTGAAGATTTCCCAGTGTCGAGGTGAGAGTCTCGGCTAATGACCTATATTGAGTTTCGAAGCCTTGAGCTACCAGTTCAAAAGTGGTTTGAAAAGTTGATTTTGACTCCTCCAGATCACGCAAGATTCCATTCTTCAAACGCTCTGTCGCCTCTGCAAAGGCCCTGTACCTAGCAGATTCTTCAGCTGCCATTCGCAATGCATCCCATAAACCATGGTTCATTCTGCCTGCGCTTTGGAGCATAGCCTTGTAGAGTTCGAGAATCTCCTCCTTCTCTTTCTCGGCTCTTGATGCTTGGCAGATAACTACGGCATTCTGCCTGCTGTTGCTGTAAGAAGTCCACCATTGAGGTCGCGACTCCAGTGACTGGAGGCAATGTTCCAAGTCGCTCCGCGATACGTTCTCGGTATCGCTGTCTGCACTGGTTTCCTTTGAATAGAAGGGCCAAAATGCTCTCTTTTGAGAAGGAGAAGCATTTACCGAGAGGCAGGAGGACGGGATGGAAGACCCCGCTCCTGTGATCTCACATATAGCAAGCCTCGCTGCGTAAAGCGAGCGAACGTAATCCAGAGTATTGTACGTGCCAGGATCAGCTGAAGTTTTCGGCTTTCGTCCTATCGATTGGCATGTTGTAACGAGTTTCCCGGCAGCCATTCGATTGCAGGATGCAGATAGTTCAGCCGATTTGAGGAGCTCGACTGCTTCTGTGAAAATCGCGTCCTGCCTTTGCGACTTAAGGTTGAGCATTGATACCAAGTCGAGATCTGCTTCGACTTCGTGAAAGGGCTCTTGGCTCACGCAAAAGGTATTAGTAGAGGCACTGAAGTTTCTGCTTCACAAGCAACTTACCACTTCCAAGGGTAGTTGCACGCCCGAGTGTCATAAAAAGCGAAGGGTATAGGATTGTATACAACAATAGGTGAAGAATCTTCATCTTGGCGTTGGATTCAAACGGCCGATTTTTGTGAATGAAAGGATGGGGGATAGGAATGACGCCAGTGAGTGAGTAGATAACGCTAAGACAAATGCAGTAGAGAGTAAAGGATAGATGGTGAAGTAAGAAGGGGACTGGGCGCGGAAGACAATGACTTTTGAGAGATGGCCGAAGAGCAAGACTCCTGCTTGGAGTGAGGAAATGCGATGGAATATGAGAAGCTGAAATCGAGTATATTTGTCAAATTCTATTAGACTCGGAGCAAAATCCGACAGAAGCCATACACAGAGCTTTGGAGCAGTAAATACAGCAGACACACCACCATCATAAACACTGAGAGACTGATTCTAAACATGTTACGGTTTTAGGACTCGCTCATCTATACAAACATGGTGTCACGTGAATGCACTAAACCGTCTTTGGATATCATGGCCTGGCAAAATCCGTCCGCTCGGAGAGCAAAAGTGCTTCGCCAACATCAAACCACAATACCCAGCACCATGACGAGTTTCCTCCCTCAGAGCTGCTTTCGACAGCTAGCGCGACAGTCTCTGACCCGGAGAACGCCTGTATTCCTCGCCCCCGAATCGTCCCGCTTCCAACAGACACAATATTTCTCGAGCACGCCCCGGACTCAATCTCGAATCGGCGGAGCCCCGATTTCAATTCCCTCGGAGGTGTCCCTAAAGTTCATTGAGCTTCCTCAACTCAATGTCAGAGGACAGGGCAAGGATCAGCCGAAGGTTGAAATTGAAGTTACTGGGCCGCTGGGTGAGTTGTCCTTCGATTTCCTCGGAAGAAAGCAGAGCTAATACCGCCTGTCGCATTGTAGGCCAATTGAAGCAAACCATCCCTTCCTTCGTTACTGTTGAGCACGATGAAGCCTCTCGAAAAGCTACATTATCCGTTCAAGATTCCATGATTCCGCACCAGCGTGCTATGTGGGGTGCGTGCTCTCTCTCTCTCTCTCTCTCTCTCGTCTGAAGTGAAATGAAAGTTTGTCTGACCGGCCGGCAACAACAGGAACTACTCGAGCCAATCTACAAAACTTAATACTGGGAGTATCGGAAGGCCATGTCTGCATCCTTAGTCTGGTTGGTGTTGGTTACAGAGCTACTGTCGAGCCAACGGCGGTCACTAAAGAGCCTGAGTACCCTGGTCAACAATTCGTCTCACTCAAAGTTGGATACTCGCACCCGATCGAGCTGGGCGTCCCCAAGGGCGTGACAGCCAGCACTCCCCAGCCCACACGCATTCTCCTGCAGAGCACTGATATACAAACAGTGACACAGTTCGCCGCTGAGATTAGGGAATGGCGGAAACCGGAACCTTACAAGGGCAAGGGTATCTTCGTCAACGGGGAGACCATCCGACTGAAGGCCAAGAAGATCCGGTAGACGGTACATGTTTACATATTGGGAAGAGGGATGTTGGCCGTGGTTTCTGTATATTTATATCCAAGCCCCCTTTCATTGTGTTGGCGAACGGTTGCTATCTTCATGTACTTTTAGAGATTTTGAGCATATGCATCATATCGAGGCATTTCAATACATCATTATATCCAGAATCATTTCATCCTTCAAAGCTTCAGGACGTGCTTGACAGCGCCAATCACTTCGCTCTGAATGGCTTTGGGAGCGGCGACAACTCCCTTGTTTGCAGCCAAGGTCCTGCCCTTGCTGAAATCTAATGGCTGGCCGTAGATATCGGTGACTTGGCCACCAGCCTCCCGAACGATGAGGTCACCAGCAGCATGATCCCAGATTTTCTCCTGGTAGTCCTTCTTCACGGGCAGTCGTAGGTAGATGTCACCGGCTCCTCGTGCAATCGAGCAATATTTAGCCTGCGAGTCCAGTCGCACGCTAGGTTTCGTGATGCCTAGACGCTGGGCAACGGCGGCATTGTCTCCCTGGGAGGAATGTCCAGTTTTTTTTTTCAAGCAGAAGACGGCATACGAGATGTCGGGAACGGGTCGCATAGATATGGGTTTGCTTTCGGCGAGAGCGCCGTTTGTCAAGGGCCGAGCAGCAGACCCAAGGCCCTTGATGGCCGAAAAGAGCACTCCGTTACCGGCACCACTGTTCTGGTCAACGCCAATTGACGAAGAGATGGTAGCAGCATCGTCGATAGGGAGGTTGGGGCAACCGATAGCTCCGACCTTGACATCACCGTCCTCTAGCAACCCCAGGCAGACTGCGTACTGACCTCCGCGGAGGAATCCCTTGGTTCCGTCGATGGGATCGAGAGCCCAGATCCGACCTTTCGCACCGCCAGCGCTCTTTCCTTCATCAATGATGTCCAGCATAGCTTCTTCACTTGGTAACGTGCCACCGAGGACCTCGTTGCTCTCGGCATCTTCCAACTTGATGTCCTTGACAAGTCTCCAGATCTCGGCGCTCAGCGCCCTGTCCTCGCGGAGGGTGCTAGCTTCCTCTTCGGCGACGATTTCATCATTAGGGAAGTTCTTGCGGATAGCCTGGATAATCAGAGCCTGCGCTCCAAAGTCACCAATCGTAACGGGCGACTTGTCATCTTTCGAGACGGTGCCCTTGGCCTTCTCATTGAACACTTTCTGCGTAAGGATGGTTGCGCGCTGGACGGCAAGCTCGGCGATATAGCGTTCGCGTTCGTAGGACATGTTTGCGAATGTAGATGGTGGTTGGGAGAAAGTGAGTTGGTGGGAAAGAGGGAACTTGAAGCTGAAACGGAGGCGAGAATTTAAGATAACGCTGACCCCCAACAGAAGAGTGGAGCAGACGACGAGGCGGGAGAAGAATGAGCGACGAGTCTTTCGAGTGGAGGAAGGATCTGCCGGATTCGTAGGCCAAAGACCCATTGATACCCACGCGGGGGTACTCATGCGAAGTGAGACCTAATTAATGATTGTTGGGAAGCATGAGCTTGCTTCTGCTAATTGAACACCGTGATAGCTTCAGGAGGACACTCCGATCACCCATTCCGCGCTTGAACCTCAAAGGCAGGCCGAGGGCCAGATATCATAACGCTTAGAATATCCCCGCACTAGTCTCCATCAGGCAAGAGAGGGGCACAGAGTCCGCAGTCCGATCACGGGATTCGCCCTGTTTCCCATGACGTGGGGAGGCACAGACAGTAATCCAGGGCGCTTCTTTGATAATTTTCCATAACGCAGCTGCGCCAGGTGGTCTCTCGTGTCCTTTGCATTTCTGGCTTGACACAACCGCCGTCGTAAGCCAGGCACTCAACTCGAACTTCGCGACATATGCCAATATCCCTCGAGTGGATCTCCGTGTCAGTGCTACACTACCTGTCGTGATACTTAAGGGGCATCAACAGCCCCAGACGCGGCGCCCGCTGTGATTCCAATTGAGGATACGCAGTCCAGCCTTTTACCTGTACCGGAGGAGTCGCGTACCCTTTCAAGAACTGTGACCACGACTCGGCGTCGCTCCGGACCTTCCAAGGGCTATACTTGGGTCAACATCGAGAATAATCAACCCCGCGAGGCGATACCACTATGTTTCACTCCACGGTAAGTCTTGAGATCTTGCAAAAATGTACATACATAGTATATCCGCCGAAGCTGCAATCTTCGACACTCTGCGCGGCTGAAATTGTGCTTCAATCTTGCTGACTCGTCTTTCAGAAGCCTTACTCGGCTGTGACCGTGCAGATCGAGGTCCTCACCAGTGAGACATATGAAGTTGACGATTGGAGTGGAATTGTCGATCTTATCGAAGCCATTCGCATTCAAGCCAGCGGGCCAACAGAAGCTAGTCGCGCGCTGCGCAAGAAGCTGTCAGTACTTTAGCTTTTGGCTGCGTCATCTCTAACTCTTGCCTAGGAAGTATGGCAACCTTCATCGTCAGCTAAGGGCGCTCACAATCCTCGATTTCTGTATCCAAAATGCCGGTGACCGTTTCCTCCGCGAGTTCGCTGACGAGCCCTTACTCGAACGACTACGAATCGCCGCCACCGACTCCGTATCAGATCCGTTGGTGAAAGAGAAATGCAAGCAACTCTTCGGGCAATGGGCAGTGACTTACAAGAATACACCTGGTATGGAACGAGTGACCGGTCTATATAAGCAGCTTCCGAAGCGGAAGCAGCCAGCAAATCAAGCAAAAGCCAAAGTTTTGCGGGATACTGGTAGCTCGAATGAGCCTCAACTGGGACATACCGTGTCAGTGTCTGCCGGCAATGGTCCTGCGACCGTTCTTAGCAGCCCAAAGCACAAACACTCATCCAGCAAGTCGTTAAAGAAGGAGAAAAAGGACAAGAGGTTGACGAACAGATCTTTCAACTTCGAAAGAGAAAAGCCTGAAATGCTGCAAACTCTTGCTTCTGCATCCGTTGCCAGTACTAACCTTCTCAATGCGCTGAAGCGTGTCAACCGAGAAACCCACCGTGTGAGCGAAGATGCAGAGGTCCTCAACAGGTTTGAAACCTGCAAAACGCTGCGTCGACAGATCCTTCGATACATCCAGCACGTGGAGAGTGAGGAATACCTGGGAAGTTTGATTCGCGCAAACGAAGAGTTAGTTGCTGCGCTCATGGCCTTCGAGGTCTTGGACAAGAGTGTGGACTACGATAGCGACAGTGACCAAGACGTCCTTGAGAGCGGCTGGACCCCAGACCGTGGAGAAATGAACGAATCCTTTGCTGGGCTGGCCATCAACCCTCCCAAGCCCCCCCGACCTGTTCGCCCTCTAAGCATCTCGGTGCCTTCATCTTCTGCACATCCACCTCCTTCTGATAGTGAAAGTGAGTCAGAATTCGAAGCGGATGATGATGACGAGAACAATCCTTTTGGCGATCGGAACGCTATCAAGACGCCTGCCGTGGACCAGTTCGGTCGAACAGTGTACGTACCCAAGTTCCTCTTCCATAACTCGAAACTAACTTCTTCCCAGAAAAGAGGTCTGAACGCGGTGATCCCAACCATAGCCTCGAAGCTTGTCCCCACCCCAATTAACACGCTACATCCCGCTCTCCCCTGCCTTCTATCTTAGAACTCGCGGGGGCTCGCACATGAATTTATGTTTACGGACCGACTGTCTACCTGAGATGTTTCTATGTTTGAACGGCCGATGTGCATTCTCCCTACTTTTGATGCATCATGGGGAAATCAACCACTAGACCATTTATGTCTAATATGCAATACTGAACGGGTCAACCGCTCCTATATAATACTTACTCTTATTCCATATTAGTCCAAGCCCTATATTAAGTATGTAACGTAATGCTTGTAAGATTAAACTCTCGCCCCACGTGGACGGTAGCCTTCGAAGTATAAATCAGCAAGTATTCACTCAATCTACATACCCACGCTAACCGTACCAAGCAAGCCTGACGGATAAATTAGTCATCATACATGCTTTCTACCTAACTTTCCCTCAGCAACCTACTTTCTCGCAAGCTAGCTCCACATCACAGCTTCAACCAAATAACATCATCACCATGACCCCGATCCTCACCGGATAGCGTCCTCTCACCGAAAAACACATCTCACCTGAAGAACCAAGAATATAAAGATGTTCGACGCGCCCCGCGACGAGCGCCGCCGCTCTCGCTCGCGGTCCCCGCCTCGCCGCCCAAAATCCCATGGCGGCTTCCGCTGGAAGGAAAAGCGCCACGACGGCAACAACGAAGGCGATGCACGCTTAGATAGGGGATACCGAAATCGCTCGCCGCGCAGACTATATGATAGAGAGCGCGACCGCGACCGCGACGGGAATCGAGACCGAGATCGTGACCGTGGAGGAGATCGGTATCGAAGCGATTACCGCGATCGGGACAGAGAGGGAGGCCGAGACCGAGACCGATACCGCGAGGGTGACAGAGATAGAGATCGCTTCCAAGACAGCGATCGAAACCGAGACCGTGACCGCGACCGCGCCGATAAACCTCGCGACCCTACCTCAAAGGACAAGCCGAAGAAAGAGAAGAAACCCAAGGCTGCCCCCGTCGGCGCCGGCGAAGAGATGATTGTCGTGCACGTCAACGACCGGCTCGGAACGAAGGCTGCAATCCCCTGTCTTCCCTCAGATACTGTGGGCAACTTCAAGGCCCTGGTCGCTGCGCATATTGGCCGGGAGCCGCATGAGATCTTGTTAAAGAGGCAGGGGGAGAGGCCGTTTAAGGACTTCATTACACTAGGGGATTATAGTATCGGGAATGGAGTACAGTTGGATTTAGAGGTTGGAACTGGGGATTGAGGTTGTGCTGGGAGAGGTTTGCTTTTCTTTCTTCTCTCATTGTGATGAGCTTGATGGCGTTGGGTTGATTAGGGTCAGGGCAGCGCAGAGCCTACATTGCAGTCTAAGTCACCAAAACAGGACGGTCTATGGCTATGTGATAATTACAGCCTCGATATCAACATTCAAGGAGTTGCGGAAATACGTGGGGAACCGCCACATGATGAAATAAATAAATACATACAGAGTCAACCAATATGCTCATATATCCAAAAAGAGCGATATCCTAAACTCCATATCTGCATGTTGGATAGTGTAAGAGATCATATCATATCAACGCCGACAAAGATGGGTATTATAAATCATCTCAATCATTATTCAAAAGTCGAAACGAGAAGGGAAAAAAAGAGATAAAGCTGACATCACCTATAGAACCTTTGTCTTCATCCATTCGCTTGTCCCAACACCAAGGTTGAGACCGTTGTGAGCCCACCAGCGCCGGACCCGTTCTTCAGCACCAGAGACTGGATCGGCATCTTCGAGGGCCTCTTCAATGTCACACGTCTTGAATTCGACGCGAAGACCGCTCCGACGCCACCACTCGAGAACATTGTCGTGCCCGTTCTTGGTTGGCCCGACTAGGACCTGGCAGTCGAAAATCATCTTTGAGCCTTTCAGCTTGTACCAAAAGTCAAGAACGTGGACGTGCCCGTGTGTGCTAGCAATCCTTGCAACTGATTCTGCGTGTGTATACGGGATACCCGATGCATCCCACCAAGCAAGGGAAGCTGTTCGCCCGGACTGGGCTGCGAGTAGAACAGATTTCCCTACTTTCAGCGGAATTGGTCGGCTCAAAGAGCTGGCCTTCGCGGCCTTCTTCCACCAGTCAAGGACATCAACACGTCCTTCAGCACTGGCAGATTCCAATGCCCTCTCGGTGTATCGAAGTTCAAGGCCCGAATTGCGCCACCACTCTAGAACGTCGATAAACCCAGCACGAGAGGCGCCGTCCATGGCATCTGCAATGTATTCTTTGTTCGGGAGAGCTGGTGCGTCTCGCCACCATGTCAAAATCTTGGGGTTTCTATAGATAGCTGATGCGCGGTAAGGAATATTTGTAAGGCGTGACGTTGTCCAAAGGAGATCAAGGTGATTTTCAGTAAGATAGGAGAGGATATCGGTGCGTGAGAATTTGAAGATGAGATGGCATGCCAGGTCGGACAGTGGCTTCCACCGTGGTAGGCTATCAATGCGCTTCTTGATAGCGGCGAACGATCCCCGAAGAATAGTATATTCCAGAGAAGCAGGAGCTGACATCTTTAAAAGGTGGCTTTGCCATTCCTTGGGAACTGGAAGTTTCGCTGGGATGCCGACTGCTTTGGCGATTTCCCAATCATGAAGATGATCTTCAAAAATGTTCAGCCATAATTCCAATGGTAGGAAGGGAATTCCTTTGGTTTCCGGCACACTGGATCTAAGTGATGCTTGCGAGGGAATTGGCGCCGCATTTGACGGTATAGTATTTTCTAGGGGAACAATAGCTTGCGTCGTAGGTTCGAGCGCCTTGGTATTGTCTTCTGCGTCTTGCGCCAGGGATAGCATTAGGGTTTCTTCAAGCATGTCGTGCAGTTGCTCCAGCCCAGCCCAAGGTAGTTGTACCAGCTCTTCGGGCGCATTGAGTTTCCATAAGACCGGGGAGATGATTTTGATCCATGGCCAGAAACGATGAACCTCCTGGCATTGTCTTTCGGTCAATGGGTGTTCCCATTCTGATATTGTCATGCCCGGAATGAGCAGAACAGGCTTCGTTGACATCCAACCACGTAACAAGGCCAGGGTCAGCGTGTTAGTGAGGCCTGACAACATAGAACCCAATGTTCCCGCATCAACAGGCGCGACCAATAACATATCGGCCCATTCGCAGAGCTCTGCAGCTTTGGCCTTCAGCCATCTCCGTGCTCCGATTTCCTTCTCAAAGGTCTTGCTATGCACCGTGTCCATATAATGGGGTACCTTGTTTGTACCGGATAGCAGTGCGGATGGCTCATCGGTGATGAATCGGAGTTCAATTCCAGGATGTTCTACTAACGAAGGTAGAACGTTATCGACGAATTCGCTGTCGGTGGATATTAATAACCGTTTGCGACGATTCGGCAGCGACGTATTCTCATGACTTTCTAGCGTGTTGGATAATGTCTCTGGTCCATTTAAGTTTTCCACTGCCTTTTTGCCCGGTTCATCGATATCCATCTCACTACCTTGCATGCTCTTCACCCCGCCACCATTTACCTCGGACGAGGATGATGTATTTCCCAGGACGAACCCCACAGCCATCAACACAGGTGATAGTCTTCGCAAAATGAGTTTCCCTGGCGAGCGTGGGAGGATCGGCGTTCGAGGTCTTTCTAGGTCGAGTTGGGACTGCGAAAGTACTGGCCGTGAGAATCGTGCAACAGGAGACTGAATCTCGTGCCGCCAACAGGGAATAAGAATGGAGGTGAAACGAGCTGCGGGTCGCAGCCAGTGCGATTCGAAGTCTTTAAATTGTCAGAAGCGAAGGGGACGCAGAAAAAGTAATGAGCGCGTTGGTATCGGGACGATTAAGAAGGTGCGTCAAGAACGGTCCAGATTGTAGCCCAAGCGGTTGACCAGCAAACCACAGAATACCATGCAATCCATCCACGGAACAGTGGCGCAGATCGTCAACGTATCGCTGCCAGCTTGATGCAACTCGTGTCAAAGGAGCGGGTGGGCTAACCAGCGGAGTCGACAAGCGGTGAGGTGCCCTTCCTCAGCAGCTCGTCCGTTCTTTTCGAGGCGATGGGCCTGCTTCGTTTGCCTTCGATATTCCCAATTCGCCGACTCGGCGCCACGCTGATATTTCGCCGGTGCAGGTGGAATTCGGACAAAGGAACAGCGTCTGAACGCTATGAAAAGGTTACACTGTTCGCGGAAGATATTGCAGCAGTCAATAAAACAAAACAAGGCGAGCATGAAGTGTCATGCAACGACAAGGCGAGCTGAGGTCACGGTTACCAGCGGCGAGATCGTGCATGTAATTCTGTCGTCGCCTCAGGTGTCAACATGTAACCCTGAGTTTTGATTGGGTCAACCATAAAGTGAAAGCGGCCAATGTTCCGCCAATCAGAACCGACGTTCTATACACGTCGAAGAGCTCAACTTAGGCAAGGACGATGGTGGTTCCTTCCTAGAACGGAGGATAATGAGGAAAGAGCAACCTGGCAGAGTTCTTTCCGAATTGTCTGTGCCTAGGTGCAAGTTGAACCATGCTCTTCAGTTTAATTCTTAGTATATATAGTCTATATCTAATGTATGGGGAATCTATATAAAGCTTCAAGCCCCTGTTGATTGACCCAATGTGTTTCGGCGGCAATTTTGTCAAGACAGGATGCACTTTGGTCGCAACCTCGGAAGTACACATGCCTTTGTTTTTCAACCACCAGGGAGTCAAGACTCATTGCTCCTACTCGTTTGTCCGAGATAGGTTAGAATGCAACATGTGCTCTCGCATAGCGACACTGACCAGTGCACCTAGCGCAGCAACACCAAGCAAGGTAATAAACGTAGCTCGCAGCGAGTCCAGATATGCATCTAAAACTCCTGGAATCCAGTCGGCTGGGGCTTTTCGAATCTCCCCAAGGCTATCGCGAAGGCGCGATATCACCTCTCGTGCATGGTCACGGTCGCCAAAGCGTGACCAAAGTCCGTTCTTCAGCACGTTCTGGAAGACAGCAGAGGCAATGGTTATACCAATTGAGCTCCCAGTGCTGCGGAATGCGTAGGACGCCGAAGTTATGACGGCGTGGTGCTCATGGTCCACTGCAGAAATGAGAGCCACCAAAGTGATAGTGAGCATGCCTCCGTACGCGGTTCCGGAGACCAGGAAATATAGGAGAGGAAGTGCCGTTGGTGTTTTAAACGTCAGAGTGCAGATAAGAGCGGAAGATGCAACTAGAAGAAACATGGTGATGTAGTTGTAGATCTTGTAGCGGCCGCTCGAACGCATCAGGAAGCCAGCTCCTAGCGAGCCAATAGAGCAACCGATAGCCTGAGGGACCAGTCTTAGACCTGCAGCTGTTGCTGATAGACCTTGGACTTGGAAGAATATTGGCACGTAAAAAAGCAATCCGAATACGTTCATCGTGGTGAACCAATTGGTTAGACAGGCTGCCAGAACCGTACGGTTAAGCAGCAAGCGGACCGGAATAATGGGCTCAGACGCAGAATTTGCTTCAATGTAGATGAAGAGACCTAGGACAACGGCGGAGAGAGGTAGTGTCGTTAGAATGAGGGGATGTGTCCACGGCACTTGATTCCCTCCTGTATTGAGACCAAGTAGTAGTAGTACCAGGGCAATGACCAGAGTGATTGCCCCAAGGAAATCCACTCGTTTGAGCTTATCCTTTGGATGGGATTCTTTGGCAGGAATTTGGACGGTAAAAGCGACGAGGATTGTGGAGATCACGACAAAGGGGATCTGTATCAAAAAAGCCCATCTCCATCCCAGCGTGTCATGAATCCACCCGCCAAATACACCACCGAGTCCGCTTCCGAGACCGAAGCAGATGTTGCCAATTCCTTGCCAGACACCACGTCTGCGAAGAGGAACAAGGTCTGAGGTGACAAAGGTTGCAATGGCTGTTAGGCCACCACCTCCCATTCCCGCAATGATTCGTCCCAGAATGATAGTCCATTCGCTCCGGGCAAGGCCACAGATGAGGTTTCCTATAGCAAAAACGACATTTGAGAAGATCAGTCCCGCTTTTCGAGAGAATATGTCGGTCAAGCGCCCAGAAAGAGGTTGGCAAGCTGCGTTGGATATCAAATATGCCGTCGCTAGCCAGGAGAGCAGTGACAGAGAGTTAAAAGAAGAGGATATGGGCCCGGTGAGAGTGGCCACTATAGTGCTGTCTGGAGCATTGTTAGATTCAAGTAATTTGTAGAAGGAAGCTTCGAGCCATACCCAAGGCTGCGAGAAAAACCCCTAGCCAGATGCTCCCCAAAACCAAGACTAGTCGCTTTGTGCTTGGTTCCTGGACCTCGACTGGCCCCGCGGCCCGATCAGCCAACAGTGGCGTCTGTTCTGATATCGGTTGACTTCCGGTTGTTTCCGCCGGAGCGGCAGGCAACAATTGACTGGAAGGCATCTTCAGGAAGCCTGGACAACGCAATTTGGCTGGTGCTCGATCTAATCGTCTCTTACCGGAGCCGCAACAACCAGAGAAGCCCTGGGCCTGGGCGATGACGACAATTGAATTCAGAGCACGGCAGTGGAGAAACCCCACCGATTACTAAGCCGACCCTGGGCCTTTCCTTGGTTTCTTCGGAAATGTTCTTGTTGAACCCATTCCGACCTCCATTATTGAGTTGGAAGCATTCCTTAAGGGAGGAAGTCTAATATTGGGATTTGCTGGGGAGGCGCTCGTTCCCTGACGATACTGTCCGCTACGCGCGCATCCGACCAGGCTTCAAGGTTTCCTTATCTGAGCCCTGCCTCGAGTCGGTGGAAGGCAGTTTTTAGGTTGGCTCGTCCAGGGATCAGAGAGTTTTACCCTTCGTCTTTTGAAGCAACTGCGAGTGCTATTTGCATGGAATTCTCAGACTCATATCGATACTCGTATGGGTCAGTCTCTCAACAAGCAGTCGCTGTCGGGGATTCATCCAGAGCCCTGATGGCAGAAGAAGTGCTTGTCCCTTGCGCCGGAGATTACATGAGGAATCTGAAATTGGCTCCTTGAATGAATCGTGGTCCTTCATACGAGGCTCCACCCTAGCAAGCTTAGGACAACTTCAAGCCGTCTCCAAGCTCGATGGTCCGTTACCCAAGCCTCAGGGGACAGATATGGATTGGTCTGGTCAACTGGCGCCCAGGCTACGCATGGAGGGTCCAATGAGGGCAACAAGGATCCCAGGGTGTAGTTATGCTGAAACACTGTCTCGTAGCAATAATGAGCTGGGCTCTGACACGTCGCAGTCGAGCACGGACAGCTGAGATCTCGCATCATGGAGAGATTCAAGAGTCAAGACTCATGTTGTTGCCGGCCTGAAGATTTGAAGGATGAGGCCGGCTTGAGACTTGTGGAGGCCCGGAGCACAGCCACGGCTGGAAAAGGGTAAACAAGCCAAGATCGACGCTATCAAACAGAGAAACACTAACGCGCAGGACGCGAAAGGAGTTGGCCATCCCTCAAACGTCATAAACTTCGTCTTCCAGCGCCCCTAAACCGCGCTAGAGCAATGACACGGCCCAATGGCAGGAGTCGTGCAGTCGCGGGGCTCGTCAACGTGGAGAAAACGGCGGGAAAATGAGACCAAAGGAGCACGAGTAAGGACAGCAACCAGGTCAGAAAAGGAGAAAATCACCGGCAAATGAAAGGGACAGAGACGATCAAGAACCGTGCTGCGTCACGTGGAGGTCTGGGCCAGTTTAAAAGTGACCAGACGCCGCGATCTGACCTCCTTCCAGAACGCTGTGTTTCGCTCCTTGTTGCTTTGTTTCCCTCCCGCTGACCACCCCTCTGCGCGCAAACCACCTCACTTATCGCAACCCCTGCCCACTTGCAACCCTTGAGCAAAATGCCTGGTGTTCGTGAGTACCCTGCCTTGACGCTCTTCTATGCGACACATCCAATCGCTTCTTTAACATCGCGCACCCGACCCCGGCTGACATGTTCCATCTGAAGCACCCGATGCGCTTCAACAGCTGAAGAAAGGCTTCAAAGCCATTTTCCGGAGGAAGAAGAAGAACGCGGAGCAAGCGCCTCCTCCCGCCGACAAACCCGAGGACAAGCCTGCGGAGGCAGCTCCCGCTGCTCCCGAGACCAAACCTGCAGAGCAAGCCCCTGCCGCCGAACCCAAGGCCGGTATGTTTGTTTCCATGCGGACTTGCGCAACACCTTTATGGCCAGTGCACTGATGTTAGGAAACCAGCAGAAGCTCCTGCCGCCGACAAGCCCGCTGAGACCGCCCCTGCTGCTGCCGCCGAAACTACTCCTGCTCCTGAGACAAAGCCCGAGACCACCGAGACTCCTGCGGCCGCCCCTGCTCCTGAACAGAAAGCTGCCGAACCTGCTGCGGAGTCTGCTGCAGCTCCCGCTGCCGAGACCAAGACTGAGACTGTCGCTACGGCTACTGCGGCCCCTGTTGCTCCAGTCGAGACTACTCAGGCGGAGCCTTCGATAGCTCCGGACTCTACAGTCCCCGAGCCTCCAACCCCATTCGAAACGCCAGCTGAGAAGCCAGCCGAACTTGGCGAGCCTGTAAAGGTTGCTGAGCCTGCGGATCCTTCGAAGCCCGCAGCGGCAGCTGAGCCCGCTAGGAGTAAGATCCCGAACCCAACCTATACATACAGTCCTGCTGATTGTCCAAAGCTGAAGCGAAGTAGATGTCCTACCCCTGAACTAGCCGACACGTTGTGATAACCCATTCGCGAATTGCGGCTTACCCTGCATACCCCAATTGCAGATCTCCTGCCATGTTGTCTTGTCCTCGCTCATACCCCCGCGAACTTGTTAAGTTCTAATGCTTGCTTTCATCGTTAATACGATTTCGTACAATACCCTGTTCTCTCCTTTCTGCCAGTCGCGGTCTCACTTGGTTTCGTTATTTGAGTTAGAATTCCTCTTATCACTATTTGGCATATGACCTCAGGGGCGTCATCTATATCGATGACGCGCAACGAATAGTGAATAAACAGGTTTAAACCACGACAATGGGTATCATTAATATCATAGGCTAAACCTAAACATGAGGAAAGCAACGCCATGAGAGCGATCTAATCACTCTCTGAGGAATCATCGCCACCCTGCTCTTGCGCCGCTGAGTTAGGGTCACCAGCAGCGGCAGCGGCTTTTTGCTCCCTAGCCTTCTGCCTCCGCTTAATCTTCTTCTCTCGGTTCTTCCGATTGCGCTTCTCGGCTTCGGTCTCCTTCGCCCTCTCCGCAACCGCAGCGCGCTTCCGTAACTGAATGCGCCGCTTCTTCCCTGGCTTCTTGTGGGACAAAGGCTCCCTCTCCGCTGCTTCCGGAACACATGTAATCGCCGAAGACTTTGTACCCTTCTCCTCGCGCGGCAATTTCGTGTGCTCCCTCTTCAGACGAATCACCCGCCACGACAGATCGCAACCTGGCTGCAGGTCAAGTTAGTCAAAATTCCATATCTCTCCGCGTAGCATACACCAGCCATCCGAAGTAGCAGATGAATCAACTTACCCAAGGCACTCCAGCTAACCTGCGCATCTCCTCTCCACTAACAGCTACATCCTCAAACTGCCTTCTCTTCGCCGCTATCCTCTCATCCTCTCCGGCCCCCTTCTCCCCCGATAACAAACCCGGTGCCGTAAAATAGTAACTCCACCCACGAAACGGCTTCACAAAGCGACCCTCCCCACCAGTCCCTGTCGTAGGCGTCGGAGATCGAAGCCGGATGCGCAGTTTCTGGGCACCGGATTCAGTTGTGCCAGCCGCACCATTCGGTGCTTCTTTGCTAGAGGATTCTGCAGGTGCGGGTGCGGAGAATAATCTGAACTCGAACTCTTGCTCTTCGTCGTCGTCTTGTTCTTTGGAATCTTCTTGCGTGGTGCCGGGGACGGATTCTTGTGGTTCGGTGGGGGTGAAGTCGAGGTTTAGGAGCGCGCCTAGGCGTGCTTGAGCGTCTGGGTATGCGGTGTCATCTGGAGGTGGAGATGGGGATGAGGAGGAGTCTCGCGAGAGGATGTCATCGCGGCGGATGCTGGAGTGTTATTCGTTAGGTTTGCGTGGTTGAGTTGGTTGGTCGAGGACATACCGTTTTGCATCTGGGAGGTCGAACATGTTTTCTGACGTCCTAATTGTCGAGTAATCGTTAAGGAGACTCGGTGGGAGGCGGCTGGGATGGTTGCACTGGATGAAAGGTTCTTTTTGATGATTGCTGTGCGGAGAAGATGGGTGAAAATCCAGAACAGCTTTATTTCCACTGTCGAGGATGGGTTGCGGCCACGTCCCGGAGCTTTGCGAACTATAACCACGCAGTGTAAACTAGGGAGACAGGGTAAACTATGGCTAGTGCTTTATTGCTCTTATCATGAAAACATTCTCATTCGAGCTCAAGGTAGATAGTCTGGAGCTGCTAGGTCGATAAGTTACGAAGATCCTTTACTATTCGCCCATAGGTCAAACACAGCGGCCACCGTCCACCTGAACAAAGTCAGAAGAAACAAACATAGCGGGATCACGGTTGCTTACTTCTAACTCGACGCCTGTAATAAACTCCGCTTCATCACTAGCAAGGAAGCTACAGGTATTCGCGACGTCTGCTGGGGTAGAAGGGCGGCCTAGGGGTATAGTCGACACAAAAGCCGCCCTATTCTCCTCTGTATCCGGCTTGCCAAGGAAGAGATGCGTTCTGCTGAGTTTAGAGAAGGATCCAACTCTAACAAGACTTACTCACAGGCCTGTACTTCCCACGACGGGGCACACGCAGTTGAACCTAATCTTCTTCGGCCCGTACTCAACAGCCATCGTCTTGGTTGCATTGCTCACCGCGGCCTTCGACGCATTGTACCAGGTCAAGCCGGGACGAGGACGGATAGCAGCAGTAGATGATATCTGGATAAAGCATCCGGGGCGGTTGTTTTGTACAAAGTACGGAACAAGCACACTAGTCGACAGGAATATCGACTTGACGTTGATGTTCATGCACAGGTCAAAGTCAGCGTCGGTGACCTCGGTAGTAGGCTTGTTGCTGTAAGTTGAGCCGGCGTTATTGACGACAATGTCCAGTTTCCCATATTCGTTCAGCGTAGATTCAAGAAGTGCTTCCCAGCTGTCCCGTCGGGTCACATCAGTGTAGATGAACTGGCTGTTCAGCTCTGCTGCAACTCGCTCACCGTTGTCTTTCGAGATGTCGGCCACAATCACTTTTGCTCCTTCTTGGATGAACTTCTTTGCGATGCCGTGGCCGAATCCTGATCCAGCTCCTGTTACAATAGCAACTTTGCCTTCCAGGCGTCCAGAAGCTTTAGCGCTAGCCATTGCTCTGAAATTTTTGTCCTTAGGCACGAAATAGTTGCTGTAACTCAAACGGAACAATGGATGGGGTAACGCAGTGAGATCCTGAGGACCAAAATCATGAGACCTGGGGGTTGCTTAGTACGGTGCGGGGTGCTGCCTCCAATGTCTGTTGTGCCACTCTTAGCTTGAGGGGTTGAACCTAGCTGCGGCCACGTCACCGGGTGAGAGACGAAGTAAATGTATCGATCAGATTAGTGTCTGCTTGTTGATGGTTAGCGATTAAGAGAATAAACTTCGAACCAGACGGTCGAGCTTGAAGAAGCCGAGGCTTGTTCTCATCGAGATAAAACTATAAATTGGGCACTCATTGGGTTGAAGCAGATAGCTCCATAAATAGTAGCGTACGACAAACTAGCGATGGTCGCATGTATGCCACCTTTAATTGAGAGCACGAAGGATGTATACACTGAGAGATCCAATCTGATCACAAAAGCAGCACCGCACGGACCACTTCCGCCTCCGGATCAGCCCGTCCTCCGTCACTCATGTGGCTGGGCTGCTTCACGAATTCCTTGACCAGCTTCCTTCTCCGCATCACACACTGGCGCATAAATGCCGAGCCTTTGATACCAAACCCTTACCAGTCCTTACCTATTGTATTCCGAACCGGCCTTCGACCGCACGATTGTTTGTGCTGATACCCCGCCGAATAACCTGTATCCCTGTATCCCTGGATGTCTCGTGCCTGAGTATCGTCTGACCGACCGTTTCTACACGTTCATAAATGGGTGTCTGCTCCTCCTGCCTCGGCGGCGGTCGTCGAGAGAGTACCGATGTGAGCAATGCCTCTTCTTCCGCCGATGATTTTTGCGCTGTTCCGCTATCCTCGCAGCGTCGCACCCTGTTAAATCGAATTCTTCCGCTAACAAAACTTCGTCCTTTTAGCCCGAGTCCTCACGGTTACTCGAAGATGATATATATCAACCGGGATATGGCTATGGGGCGCTCAATCACAGCCAACAGGGGAATCAACCTGATCCAGGATATATAAGGCGCGAACGCGAGGCCCTCGAAGCGATCTGCCAACGGACGTCAGAGTGAGTAGTTCCATGCGCTGTTTGGTCTCCCGATATGAGACCGTATAAATTCGAGTCTAACCTCGCAAAAACAGCTCTGTTATCGACATTTGGTCTCTACAACCCCAACCCCATCTACAGCCCCAAGCAACCCTCCACAATTCCGTCTCCTCAGCCTCATCGAAAGCCCGCGAGCCCTCTGTCATAATCACAACAGGCGACACGGATGCGTCAACTGATACGACCCCGACGAAGCGCGGCGCTGTTCCAAAGCACTGGGGTGAAGTCGTTATAAACCCGCGCAAGGGCAAACGGTCAAGGCCCGGATCCGGCGCCGACGAAGAGGGCGACAAGGACGTCTTTGGCGTTTTGAAGGTGTCATGAACAAAGCCCTACCCAAGCACGTAATGGTCGACACGAGACGAACGATGTGACGATCAATTCAATCCTACCATCCAACTAACTAACCCATCAACCAACTCACTACGCTCCCTTTGGCTTTTCTTATCGATCACGATGTCGCCGGTCGACCGGTCTGCCTCCCCGTCTGTCTCGCTTACCGCTGTCTATTCCTTCTTTCTTCAACATTTCCTTTAGTTCCCATTCGACGTTTTAGCCTCTAATACCCCTGGTTATACTTTTCCTTGGTTCTCTTGGCATTGTCCAGAGCTGTTTCTCGGTACTACTAGTAAGACTAGAGGCGCGCATCATTGTGTGCGATTCATGTACATTACCCAGATTAGTCGAGCGTAGTTGTTATGTCCACGAATAGCTATTCTTCACTATGATACACTATAGAGCAGGCTACATAGGTAAAAGGGACGAAGACCAGTGTGCCCTTATGGACATTCCCGGCCGTTCGATCCTTATCTCCATGCTTTGGCCACTGAGGAAGGCGCGAACCGCCTGCCGGCATGGATGACACTTTCCTAATTCAGAACAGGAAGGAGCGAACCTCAGCCTGGGTCACTCTTTCCTCCGAATCCATTGTTTCTCATCGAGGGGAGCTTGGTGATGCACCTTCCTAGTCTGGGAAAGGAAGGAGTGGTCGGTCGTTCCTTCCTCTTATGCTTACTCGGTTGGTGAGTGAGGAAGGCGCGACCCAGACGCGACCACAATGGTAACCCTTCACGGAAGGGAAAGTAGGTACGATTTCGGTACGTGGAGCGGTTTTTCTCCTATCGCAAGGAGATGATGAGCGTACATAAATGTGTCTGTATACTCAGAGATACAATCAATCACAGATTCGCAGTCCTGCCACAATTGTAACCACTGAAAGTATACTAAGTGCCTTCCTATTGAGTTCCAAAAGCAAGGTTGTAGAAACGAGAGGAGCATGCTATTAGGTGAGAAGATACAAGAGCTTAAGATACATGTAGCAGCCCCCAAACCCCAGCCCAACACCCATCATAGCTGTCGCATGGCCTGACTCCGGGTCTGCAAAAAAATAACAGTAGTGATGATCGCGCCATGAACATTAGAACTCCGCCGCAAGAAACGCCATATAAAAGTACGAAGCCAAGATTTCAAAATTGAGGCAGGCGAAAGATAGTTGAAAGCGAAGTTCTGGTGCAGAAATCGTGGGAATATTTGCAAAGTCAAACACGTAAAATCGAGCGAGGCCACTTTAAACATCGTCCAGTCTGCCAGCCGGCTCTTCTCCGTCCGACTCATAGCTACCGACGGAGCTTAGCTCGTCTTCGGATTCAGTGTCTTCCCCAGCGTCGTCCATGGCCTCTTTGCTGGCATACTTGGCGACGTACTCTGCGAAAGATATCAGCACCGTAAATCCCAAACATACATTGCTGCAATATGAGACTCACCCTGTACTTTCACCTCGTAGCTCTTGGGTTCCCGCATCAGCATGGCGGCGGCCTCTCCGTTCAGAGGATCTGAGGGATTGGGATAGCGCAACAGCTGTGGAAGGAAGACTTCAAAGATGTTGATCATGTCGTACATAGGAGACCACGTTTGGTTTATGACATCAAGGCAAACTGAACCGGACCTGTAGGAATGCGGCTATTAGCGCTGCGAGCTCGGAGAAGAACCTAGTCGCCACTTACAATTCGTCAATATTGGGATGGAAAATTCGATTCACGAATCCGATACTTGGACTCTTGTAAGGATATTGATCCGGCAACTCAACATGTATCTTCCAATAGCCTCCAGCGAAAGGTGCTGAAGAATCATGTCAGTGGCGCCATAACAATTGATTGGGGACTTCTTAACGTACTCTCCTCCGGACCCTTGAATCGTACGTAGAATTCTTGCCTAGAGACCCCATTATTAGACCGAAAAATAGCCAGTAACGTCCACGAGAAGCGCTGTTATCCATACACTGCGCGAGATGATTAGCACCGAGCCAGAATCCAGCAACCTAGAGCAACCCACTGTTATCGTTCACTAGGGTGACCTCATAGTCACTCATCAACCTAGAGTTATCCCGTCAGCCTAGAGTCGCCGCTTAATGCCTCGGTCTAGGGTCTAGTCTGGTCTTCGAGCTATCCAATCTCCGGTGGCGACTGGAAGGGTGATAAGGCACTAGAAATAGGAAGCAGGGCATACATCCTGTCAGATGGTTAGTCGTAGGCTGAGAAAGAGGTTGAACAATATCGAGGCATCATACTTCATGACCTGTGCAAAGAAGAGACCGCATGTCAGTTCATTGTCTATTTCATAAGTCGCTCCGCAACCGCAGGGCACATACATCAGTTTCAATTCTGCGCTTGGGGCTACTCATTGTGAATGGCTTCGTAAATGCAGTTGTCGTAGGATGAGAGGCGTTCTGGAATGCTGAGCAAGCAGCGAGATACAATGGTTGTGTAACTGGGCTAATCCAAGCGATCTCCAACTGGGGCGGGGAAATGAAGCGCGAAGCGGGCGGCAGCGGGGTCGATAAGGTAAGACAGTTTTCGAGTAAGCAACAAACAAAAGAACCTTCGCGCAAGATTGGAGAAAATATGGGAGGCAAAAGTGCGGTTGAAGGAGACACGAGGGAGAAGAAAGGGAGAAAGGAGAAGGTGGGGTGAGGGAGAAGAGATGAAGCGTAGAAAGAGGCCCAGAGCATGCTCCCGTACGGTTCTGCCCGGTAACGCCCCCAAGCGGCGCCCAAAGTCAGGCCCAGCGGTCACTCGCTACGGGGCTGGTCAGGTGCTGGGTATGCCTCCCGATGAGTCAGCCCCGTGCCCTCCGTCTCACAAGGTCCTGGACCATGTTGAGTAATGTCACAGAAAAGATAAAACTTGTATAATCTAGCTAGTGATTGATCGAGATGCTACTCGTCATTATCCTTGGAAGCCAGTGTCGAGTAACTGGCGAAGTGTCGAGAGTACGACGGCTCCTATAGTGTTCCGCGCAACCGTTTGATCGCAAAATCGAGATGATCGTCATCTGCGGGCCTCGAGCGGGGACAATAGTGGGAAATAACGAGACAACGAGACAATAATCAAGTCCAATAGTAGCCTGACACCCGGTTATAAGATCCCAATTCAGACATCGAGGGACTATCACGGAATTATGGAATGCTTCACATTTGCGGTATACTCTATACAAAAATCATATGTGCAGTGCAAACCTAGGGCTGGCTCTGTACTCAGCTACAGCATCATGTGTATTATCTTGAGATTTGCCGTACTATGCTATTGAAAGCGTTAAAAGAGCCATGGTACGAGGTGGCCTGGGGAGTTCCTTGAAGCCATATTGATGAGAACGGAGGGTGTCCCATATTCAATCAAGAACATAGTTAGCTATGCATGCTGTGTCACTTGTCCCAAATGATGTCATTTCTATACTGTTTGTTCAGTTCTAAGCCTTAGCGCGGATGGTAAATATATGGGTCCCAAAGTACTGGGTGCCAGGACGTTGGAGGCCGTTGCAGAGAAAGGATCTATATTTCTCCTACTAAGTATTACTGCGATAACTTGAGATATAGACATTCCTGTTTCCGTTACATATGCAGAAGAACAACCTTGAAAGCCACTCAATGCCCGAACAGGCCTTGATTGCATCTCCCCAGAAATTGGTCCAAAGATAGATTTAGCTTCGGTGCCTCAGGCCATCAATCAGGCTGTCGTGTATCACCAACTCCTGCGAGTTGTTTATCTAACCTCAACTGCATCGACCATAATCCCCCTAATGCCCCAAGCTTCGATTTACCAAGAAAGAGCTTTAAGAAGCAAAGGATAATTCTAGTCTGACGCCCAGTTGCGGGGCCTTGACTTTTACACGATGAGCTCCCCCTCATCTCGCATCCCCTCAAATCGCAACTCTCCGAATCCAGGCCAGCGCAGCAGACCTACCAGTCGAAGAGAAACCACAGAAGTAGCATCTGGAATTACGAATGCGCCCATACCTGACGACGAACATGGAGCAGATCTGCCCCTGACTATGTCGGCGTCTGTGGTTTTGACGAGCCTACCGCGCGATGCCCACCAGGCGCTCGCGGATGCGGAAGCTGTCGACACAGGCAAAGGTATTGTTAACGCCCGCCTTCATCTATCAGGATATTTTTTGCTCTAACTCTCCAATAGTCACCGTCCGGTTCCAGCCTCTAGCTTCTGCTCCAATTCTTAAGAATAGGGTGTTCAAGATCAGCGCTTCGCAGAAGTTTGAGACGGTCGTCAAGTTTCTCAGGAAGAAGCTTGATTGTAAGGAAACGGACTCGGTCTTTTGCTATGTGAATAGTGTCTTCGCACCCGGACTCGATGAAGGAGTAGGCGGATTATGGAGGGTACGCACCTCCCTAAGTCACTATGTCATCTGGGACAGATCTTTGATTGACTGGTCGTATAGTGCTTCAAAACTGACGACCAGCTGATCGTCGCTTACTCTATGACGCCCGCATTTGGTTGAACCGAAGAAGGCATTTTTCCGGGCTTAATAGAACACAGAAATGCTGTTGTTTGTTCGACGCGCGAGCTGCGTGTATCATTAACCGAATATGACACTCCTTTGCTTTCAAGGAGCAGGCAGAGGGGTTGCGAGGACAAAAGGCATTATCGTCGTCTTCTGTGCAGGGTCTGGGCTTTAGATCGGAGGCTAAAGGCAACTGACGGGTTGCTGAGATGGGCGGCTGTTTCGAAACTGCTATCTACCCAAGGTCCTCGATTCGCATCGGCTTCGAAAGGAAGGTCGGATCGAAAGGATAAGAAACATCCCCAAAACAAAGAGCGGCTGTCGCCTGATGCTTCAGCTGAGATATCACGAAATGAACCAGAACGAAGCATATTCCTTGTCCAGGAATGCGAAGTCGCACTTGCAGATGGCTTAAAATAAAATTTTAATGCCGCCATGTCCATATTATTCATTGGCATAGCCACAAATGCACCGAGCCAACAGGCATAGCTCCACCCACAAATTAAGAATAAATATTCTATTCATCTGTTCTTTGCCTCCTAGGAACATGCATCTCTAAAAAAATATTCCGTAGGCGAGTGAGGAGAATGATTGGGGAATCTCGGAGTTAGTGTCGGTCTTTAGCTTTGTTCACGTGCTACGAGGCTCCGGGAGGCTTGGCAGACGCCAGCCATGCCTTTGGCGATTTTGGTCGCGTTATTTTTTCGCGCCTTTGATCAGCTTCTCCAGATCCCCGCATCATCAGCTCTCACGACTCTTGATACAAATATACCTCGAGCTCAAGAACCTAACGAGTCGCCTTTCTAACCTGATACATAATTTCGACCATAACCCAAGACACCGCCATGGCAGACGTCCGCTCACTGCTCCGAAACGAGCTTGCTTCCCGAAGGGGCACATCCCAGACAGGGAGCACACCCAACCGCGTAACGAAGAAGAGAAAAGTCGATCCAACGGAGTCCGCTACGCGCAAGAAAGTAAGACACACGGATCCGGAACAGCTCCTCGCGAACGCCCAAATCCTGCCTCCTAGCGCTCAGATCGTCGCCGAAGCTGAAGAAGAAGAGGATGACGTCGAAGCCTTGCCGCAGGATGTCATGAGTACAGACAACACCCCAACACAGCTTGATATCGTGGAAGAAACGGTCGAAACTACCACACAAGTACTCGAGACAACTTCCATACCGCCAGCTGAGGCTCCGGCTGTCCCTCAGGCGGTCGACGAGGACGAGTGGGCGGCCTTTGAGCGCGAGGTTGCTGCACCGACCCGTGTCCCACCACAGAAGCCTGCTGCGCTTGCGGCAGCCGCGACGATATCCGCTGCGCCGATTACGACGGAGGAACTTGCTGCCCTGCAACAGAAAGAAAATGAAGAAATGAGACGGAATCGGGAGGCGGAGGCGGAGGGCGAGCGAGAAGATGCGGCTCGATTTTTGGAGGAAGAATTCGACGAGATGGAGCAATTAGAGGAGCGAGTAAGGCGGTTAAAGCAGATGCGCGAGCAGCTGAGAATGAAACGAGCGACGGATAGTGCAGAGCCCATTCAAGTTGACGAGGCTGCCGCTCCACCGGAGCAAGCAGCTAAGGCCGCCTTGAACGGTGACAAGTCCGAAGACGAAGAAGACGATGACGATGACGACGATGATGACGACTGGGACAACTGGCGATTTAGGTAATTCTTAATGAAGCCTGCGAAAACGACAGGTTTGGAAAGGCGTCTTTTTACAGGGAAGGCTCAGGGCCCTTATTATACGTTGATACCCATACTCTATGCGAAACCCTTGAACATACTCTAGTACTAGTATCCCTCAGCACTCTTCGCCGCAACTGAGCTATCACGCTGGATCCAGGCCAGCCGCAGTGCTCGCACATGAGATTTGATTAACGACCCAATTGTACTCTAATTTGAGAATGAATGTACTCTAGAACTCAAGCCAAGCTGAGGTTTTGCGTGCTATAGTCCAAATAATAGTTTACTATACACTAGTATTGTCTTCACTTAAAGGTTATACTAGATCCTTACTCCTCATTCGAAGGTTGCTGCGTCTCTAGCTCAATATGGCTACGAAGCCCGCTCTTCCCAATCTTCATCGCCTCCTGTATCTCCGCCTCGCCCTCCTCGAGAAGATGCCTGCCACGCGCAAGCTCGCCTCTTTGCCTTCGCTTCTCATCCTGGACTTGTTTTTGACGTTCGGCAAGCGCCTTTTCCCGCTTTTCGCGCTCCACCCTCTTCTTCTCCAGCTCCTCTCTCTGCTCGGGAGTAATGTCTTCCTCCGGTGGACCGGGCAGCGTAGCAATAAAAGCTTCTATTAATGGGTCGCGGATTTTGGGTGACAGAGCGATGTACCTCAGGTCAGTGAGGATTGCCGGCGGAAGAGCTTCAGGGTTCGATGAGCGGTTGAGTTCGTGCAGTGGCGTAGACTTGAGGAGCGCAGAGAGGTCAGACTTTCGCGTGCTTTCCGGGAGTTTCATGCGAGAAACGAGGTCGCGGTAGAATTTTTCCCTGTCTTTATCTGATAACTGGGAGTCTCTCATCTCCGGCTCCTTCCTGTGCTTTCGCTTGAACTCTGGCCAGTATAGCTTTGGCGTTGCATAATCTTGAAGGAAGGCGAGGTATTTTATACGCGGGTCCTTCTTCTCCTGCTTCTCTTTGCGTTCCTTGACCTCTTGGATTCGATCTCGGCTCCAGTTGGACCATGCTTCGCGGCGCGCTTTCATGTTTGGTAGCACAGTGTAGCGAGAATCCTCTATGATGCGGCCTTCCTCGATTATCTTCTCCCATGTCGAAAATGGGTTTATGCTGTAATCATCAAGGAGGTCGCGGAATAGAGCTGAAGCGTCCTCATCTGTGAGCGGGAGTCCTTCAGCGCCCTCCTCCCAGCCTTCATCTCCAGGCTCGCCGTATTCACCGGGGTCCAGGCCGTAATCTTCTCCCATCGCAGCGAGCTGGTACTCGATGTCCTCCTCTGTGAATTCAACGGGTCCCTGGTTATCTTCGCCCTCCGTCCTCAGGCGCTTGGAAGGCTGATCTTCGTCCTCTCCTTCGCTATCCGTAACCTCAACTTCCTCATATTCGTCGCTCTCTTCGTATGCATCCTGGGTTTCTTTAGTATCCCCATGTTGGCGATTCTCCTCTTCTTCGGGAACCGATGTCGCTCTCTCCGGTTCGTCCACCGTTTCACCTCGCTCAATTCGTTCTTTCTTCTCTCGCTCAAGACGGTCAAATTCAACGACTCCCTTTAAGACCTCCGTCGGAATTTTCCAGAAACTCTCATTGGTCTCTAGATTATGAACAAATCTCCTTCCCAGTTTGGTTTTCACAAGAATCCAGGGTTCGCATCCAGGTATAGCATGTTTCGATCGCGGCCGGTCTTCGGGGCCCCGGTGCCGACGATCCTGGTATGGTTTCCCTCCGCGAAAGCCAGGTCGTGGTTGATTGTATCCAGGAGCACCGTACGATGAGGTACCGTATCCCTGAGGCGCATATGGTGTAGAGGAAAATGGTGGTAACGTATCGGGCGTAAGGAAAGGAGCATTGGCGATAGGGTTTGGGGCTTGTGTGTATGATGGTGGTTCTGTAGTAACCGGCTGTGGTCGGGTGTATGTGGATTGCTTGGTTTGGGAGTTATAATAGTACGTGTGGCCTATTGATTGTGAGAAGAAGCCAATGGATGCGAAAAGCCGCATAAAGACAGACCTGAGGGAGCTTTGTGCTCTGTCCACCCAGGAGGCAGTGGGGGAGGAGGCGTATAAGTAGACTTCAGCATCGTGAACTAAGTCTCCAACAATATTGCCCAATTCCAATATTTACGAGAGGCTCAGGGTTCAGCAAAAAGGCATTTCGCGGGCGGTGGTGAAGCTTTCCGTTTGGGCCTCCCAAAAGGTGGTCCGAGCTTGGCGGACGACGCGCCAGTGACGAGAGTTGCCTGGTTGCTGAGAGCTCACCCCAACTGAACTGTCCTGCAGCTTGCGAACACCGATTCATTGCCTTGCCCTCCACCCTCTGCCCTTGTATCATTCAATTTATCACCCGCAGAACGAGATACACATTGCCGCATATCTTGTTTTCTCTGTATTTGACCGAAGATGTCACGACGTTACGATTCAAGGGTATGCTAACTCTGAACCTCCTTCCGGATGACAGCTACAAGTAATGACCCTTGTTCCAGACAACCATTTTCTCCCCTGAGGGACGACTCTACCAGGTGGAGTATGCCCTTGAAGCTATTTCACATGCCGGTACAGCTCTGGGGATCCTCGCCAAGGATGGAATTGTTCTCGCTGCGGAGAAGAAGGTGACGAGCAAGCTGCTCGAGCAAGACACATCCGCCGAGAAGCTTTACACATTGAACGAGTATGCCGACTGTCCCGGAGATCCTTGCTACAGATTGTTATCCAGTCAGCTAACCGTGTTCGCAGTAACATGATCTGTGCCGTTGCCGGTATGACCGCCGATGCGAACATCCTCATCAACTACGCCCGACAAGCCGCTCAACGCTACCTTCTCACCTATGGCGAGGAAATTCCCTGCGAGCAACTCGTTCGCAGACTTTGCGATCTTAAGCAAGGATATACCCAGCACGGTGGTCTCCGTCCGTTCGGTGTCTCGTTCATCTACGCAGGCTACGATCCCCTCCGCGAGTTCCAGTTGTACCAGAGTAACCCTAGCGGGAACTACGGCGGATGGAAGGCGACCAGTGTCGGAGCGAACAACGCAAGCGCACAGAGTCTTTTGAAGCAGGATTATAAGGAGGATTGCGATCTGAAGGAGGCATGTGCCATGGCCGTCAAGGTGCTGAGCAAGACGATGGATTCGACAAAATTGAGCAGTGAAAAGAGTGAGTGATCTACCATGACTTCGACCATTCGATACGCTCAGCCTTGCTAACATGATCTTCCACCCCTGCTAGTCGAATTTGCAACTGTTGGCAAGACAAAGGAAGGAAAGATCTACCACCACCTATGGAATGCCGACGAGATCAATGCCCTGCTGAAGGAGCATGGACTAGCCAAGGTCGACGACGAGCCCGAGGCTGGTGATATAAAATAAATAGAGTTGCGCGCTCCCGCTCTTGCTTGACCTAGATAATGCAACCTACTTCGTTGACGATTTCAACCCAAACAATTGTCGCCGAGAGTACATGGTCTCCAGACTCTAGACACGTATATCCTTGATCATTTAGCACCGTGCCGGGAACAAGGCCATTCAGGTCGTATATGTCGCCTGCTCCAGCTGCATCTGAAGCGCAACCAGCGTTGCCCACTGGTGACGTGGCAGAGCAGCGACATCAAAATGAGCGCCAAACAATATGATTCGCATGTTTACTCTTTGATCCCCCCATTGATTGATTAGACACCTCTGGATTCTTTTAGATTAATGGTCCACGTAGTTTGTGCCCTGTTACGTAGGGCCTGGTATGCTTGAAGTGCTGCACTCTGTATGATGATTTGGATCATCTTTGAGCAGCCACCCACGGCTATATATTTCGACGACATCACCCAGTCTGGCTCAGCCTGGACACCTATAGCCGTGGATGCTTCTACTACCCATCCCCTCTGCAGGCATCATACAAAAGTGATTTGAAATTCACCGACTCCGAAAATGCTCCTATGAGTTGCAGTGATTTCTTGAGGGAGAAGGAGGCGTCCTCAAAGTAGGGCATCTGACAGGAGGGTAAGTCGGATTCTCTGGCTCCAGCTGTGCTCTCGCACGGCTTCCTCAACCTTCCTTCAGTCATGTTAAACTTTCTTCACGCCTGCGAGTAATTTGATTAAACTCATGATGATCTCAGTAACTAATGGCGTGGCATGCAGATGGCACAACTTCAGGCCTCAACGTGGAACGCTTGACTAAGCATCCCATGTCATGTGGCCACATACCTGCGGGGTGACCAACAACTGCATGAGCAACATCCTTCTGCAACTCTTCCGGATTGTTCATGGAAAGGTTCTCTCATCTCCATTCGCTTGAATAGCGGTGCTAAGTCCACCTCAGGGTAATGGCCACTCGCCGTCACGGTCATTTTCTCTCTTCAATTTCGGACTTTGGGGCTTTGGACCGCCCAAGCTGGCGGCGGCTCTACCCTTGTCGAGGCCAGGTGCTCTCTCTGGAATACAGGCGCTTACGGAGTTCCACTTTCACTCGATTAGTCGCAAATTCGTGCAGATTTGATGAAAACAGGGCAATTCATTGGATTATATGGACTCATTAATGACGACAATCCGGACTTTTCCTCCAACCAGCATCGAATCTGTCAGGCATGAAACCAGCCCGAAGTGATCGTACGGCTGAGGAGCTTCAGAATAAGGTAGCACATGGTTATGAGACACACTAACAATCAGAGCAGAATTGGAAGATGGAAAGCTGAAGACCAAACGAACACTGCGAAAGAGGGAATCAAGGAAACATAACGACAGAAATCATCAGCATTAGACCCAAGACTGGGAGACGGCCTGTCAATCCCCATCTAGCATTTTCGCGCTCCAATCGACTTCTGTTTCTCGTCCCGCTCTCGCTCCAGCTGGGTGATTTCTTTTCCAAGGTCTCCGATGAGCCTCTTGCACTTGTCCATGGACGCCACAAGGGTGCCCCCCTCACGTTCCCATCGGGTCAACCGTTCAATTTCGGTGCTTCGTCGACGACGCTTGGTTTCGATTTTCTCGCAAAGGCGGCAAATGACTGAGTCGTACTCAGTCATGTTCACGAGCTTTATTCCGCACGTCTCGCCAGTGCGGTATTCATAGTTGCACTGGTAGGCAAAACCAGTCCAGTTGAAGTCTCCGCAGGCGAATTTTCTCTGGTTGTAGAAACACATTTTCCTATCGGAATCGTTAGCGATGGCTCTTTTCGTGTCGAGGGAAACTCACTTGTCGGTACAGTTCGTCGTTTCACCTTGTTCTTGGATCTGATTGGCTGACTCGTCGTTTGTACCGCCGAAGGGAATTTGATAGGCTAGGCTTGCACAATGGCTATTGAAGATTGCTCGCAGATTCAGAGGTGAAACCGCTATTATCGAACCCAGGCAATTGTCGCTTGTTATTTGTGATGAGGAGTGATGTTCTGAAACGAGGAATGATCCATCTCATCAATCACTGGGAACGGATGGCCTATTTATGTCTTGTGAGGAACTCCTTTGTCACGGCCCACGGCTTCTCGTTCTACCACCATTCATCGCGATCGAGGCCCCTAAGCATGCGACGGCTTATCGTCTACGGCATGCTCTCATCACATTCACATCACATCCGTCAATTGTTTCTCCTGAGGGCGGAGTGGAGACACGAAATATCCACAACATTCCTTTCTGGGTCAACCGTAATCAGCGGACGCTTCACGAATGCAGGCAGCCTGCTGTCGTGGCAGCATGTTTTCGTCTGAGCTAGCTCGGCCCTCTGAAAATCCCTCAATGCGAGTCAATGAATCTTGTCTTGGGGGTGCTGGCTTGGAACGGTAGCCTTGGATTTTCCATTGACTATCCCGGTTTCGCCTATGCATCTGGAGTCCGCATGAAGGCGCTCTTCGAGAACAGGCATCCTCCCCACCAGCTGGATCAAAGCTCCTGCATGCTTAGGCTGTTGTTACCTTGTGCCAGCTGTCAAGCTGTCTTACACTGGAGCCTTCTCTTACCCCCTGGTCAAAGTTAACCTTGCATTCAATTGGAAACAGGAAAAAACAAAACAGAACTGAACAAGAAAGAGAACATGAGTCCAACGACCAGAGCACCAATCAAAAATCAGACAGAATTATCTTGTGAGGGAAGCGGGGTACGTCAGAAGAAGACTTTTGGAAAACAATAAACGTATTCACAAATGTTTATTGCTTTTTGGCATAAGAATGATCAGCATGATATCCCAGCCAACTTTTTCAGGTACCTCACCACCCTTCTAGTTGGCTTAGGCCTTCACTCACAGCCAATTAGTTTCCACCTGTCTGACTCCTTGTTGTTCGCCATGCTACGGACATTCCCACAAGGGACGATCTAGAGCCTGCCTTTGCCCATCCAAATCGTCATGCCGTAACTAGTGTGGGCAATGGAAACCGTCTTCTCTCGGAACGCCTTTTTTTTTTCTCTCCTTTTTATTTTATTTATTTTTTCGTGGTTTAGGTTTCGTCCTCCTCCGACTGTCATCAACGAAGGGCATGTATCAACTTCAACTGCCAATGGCTGTCTGGTGCCCTCCGCATGATTCCGTTCGGACGTCGTTGCCCAAATGTTGCTGCCCTTCGTGGCAAACGAGGCGTCACTAGCAACTGTCGATTGGCATCGGTTGCATCCCTTGCCCCTCGGCTCTGGAGTTCGCTCGTCCTGGACTTGGTACGACGCCTTAATTGCCATCATAAGCAGATTCATTCAGCTGATCTCTTACGCCTGCAGACAAGTAGTCCCGCATGCACCCCCGCTCAGGTGCAGGGTTCAGTTCATTTCCATACGTTCCTCGGTCACGGTGATAGGATGCTTCAATTGCGCTTCGGCCGTGGTTGATACAGAATGTGGTACGGTAGACTCACACTCAACCCATGCAGCTGCACTAGAGGTCGGAGGCTCTGACGTGGCGCCTTTCGTCTGGTCAATGCAGTCATTTTTCGTCTCATGCTGATGGCATATTTCGAGGAAAGAGGCTATCGACATATTTCACGCGGAAATGAGACGAGAGGCTATTTCGGAACCATTCTCAATGCCATTGGCGAACAGTTGCGCAAATCTTCTCGTCCCCGCTTGGCCGGGCGTTCTGACGTTGACCATATTTCCGTGGGTTTCCATTCTGGTGATCATCCTAGCGTGATGGCGAAGGATTATCAGAGGATCTCATTTGGCTGCTCAGAATATGGGCAGCCGGGGAGCGGAACCATTTTAGGAGGTTGATTGCCAACTCAGAGCCTGCTCGCCTAGGCTTCGAGTCACAATGAAGAAGCAATGTTGTCGACCATTTGCACATCCGTTCACGAGCCGATCCATCCTGCTTTTGCCACTACCTCGCTCTTGGTTCAAGCTGTCTTACGTCGGGCATGTCAAGTCCATCCCTGACTGTGGCGATTATACTTTCAGCAACAAGGATCCGGCTCAGCAAAATGAGGAGCACTCTACACCAATCGACGAAGCTACTCTTTTCCTTATTAAGGATTCAGAAAAAGTAATTACGGGATTGTTTGCAGCCTGTGAACTTCTCCCTTATGTGTTCCCAAGTTATCAGATACCGCGGTTTGATGACGTTGAATTTGGATTCAAATGACCCACATACACGCCCCAGCATTCTGGGTTGCTTTGGTCCCGTGATCAAAAGCAAGCGTGCCTTCTGCGGATTCCGCATACGCTCCTGATTCCAGGTAACAAATGGAAGAAGCGAGTTCAGCATTCGCAGCTTTAAGGTGAGAACGCTTTTTTTGATGTGTCCTTGTTTTGGATTTGGATTGGCTGTCCGGGGAAAGCGTGCTAAACATTGTCAGCAAACCGCATCCAATAGAGTTTCTGACACGCTAGCATGTTTATGCAACTAGACGGGAACCCTGCTCGCTGCACTCGTATGCGCTCAGATCACAGACAAAGGACCCGCTTGCTCTACCAGCGTGACTTGAGGCGGGCCCACGCATCTACAACTTGACAGCTGCAGCATCCTCTACGGACTTTGGGTTCAAGTTCATTGCATGGAGCCTTGGCGTAAGTTCTTAAGCCATTCCGGACTTACTCGCTACATTGAGTGGATCTTGATGCAGCTAAATCTACAGACGTGATTTTCAACTCGCGTTGATCTTATTCACTAGCTGCCCAAAGCACTACTCCTGCAGTTGAGATCATCGTACAGGGCGATGCCTTTCCGCCTCCTTCTGACATTGACCGACATCTGCTCTTCCTTCGCCTGGATGATTGCATGAAGTTTTTGGTATGCATACGATCCTCGTGGTTGGGCATACCCTCGAGCATAGCACGAAGCTGCAGTCATATCACAGAGTGGCGTTCATGGCCGAGCTCGAGACTCATATCTCTGTATAGCCTCATTGACGTGGCAAGCTGAAGTTCACTAATCTTAGGTCATCGAGGATCACGAATGTGGTAGCACATTGCTTTCACGCGTGGCGATCTTTTTGATTGTGCGAGGCAACTCCCCAAGGTTCGGCCTCGAGTTGATTATCCCAGCATAAACATCCTTTTTTTTTTTTTTTAGCTGGGTTCGTCAGCTGGCGTGTTCGTGTCTGCTTCGCCTTCGCGTCTCTGAATGGTAGAGCCGCTCAGCTTGTAGCACCGGCCCATAGCCAATGCATCGCCTCATGGATTTCCCTGCCTCATGTCCATGAGTCTCCTGCTTCTCCTTGGCCTCTGAATATAGTCCCGGTCGTCCTGGTCGTCCTGGTCGTCCTGATTGTTTTGGGCGGTCTGAGTGTTCTGATTGTTGGTTGCTCCCGGAATGTGCACACTGGCAAGAATGCTGAATCAATCTCCACCACCAGCGAAAACCAAGGTTCTTCCGTTGATGAAATTGCTTCGTATTTGCGTGGTGAGATAAATATTCGACTCGCCGGGCTGTCCGGTTTGATGCTTGTCATTCATACCCCAGCTGTAGCCTTCTCCAGTTGCTGTGACGGCGATCGAAATGGTCGGTTCCTACCCCGAGTGATGTTGCTCCAAATATTACCTCTGCTTGCACAGGGACCTTCCATACCCGACCTCTACCATTTTGATCGCGGATGATAGCGATATCGCCGACTATAAGCGCAAGGCGCTGTCTGTCTACCCCAATCCCATGCTTATCAATTCGGCCCCATGAGTGACAATATCCGTTTTTGTCGATAGCGTGGCTGTGATGTTTCCCGCCCTGTATCGAAATGATTCTTGGGTCTCTCTTGGGTTGTCCGAATTCCGCTTCAGCATATGAAGCTTTTTTGGAAACATCTCGCGCTCGAAGCGAGCATCTTGAGGCATCGTGGTTTGTTCGTAGTCACTCAAACCCCAAGCATATATGTCGCCGCTCTTGTGAATTGCAAATGAATGGTAATGGCCTGAACCGATTTCGCCGGACGTTAGCAGGGACAGCACATGCTGCTGGTTCGAGGTCATCAGGTGAGATGTAGTGTGATCGTTGTCGCCCAAGCTGATATTGCTCATTGCAACCCCAGGAAAGACTCTCCCCTTCGAGGTCAATGCTAGCATATGCTGGGCGCCGGCCACCAGCTTTGCAACGTTCTCAAGGTTGTCGATAAGAACCGGGAGCGGCTCCTGCTGAGACGTTGGTGAGAAGCCTATGACTGCGTTACTTCCCTAATCTTTGTTAGTATAACACAAACGCAGACTAGGCATGGAACCTACTCTAAAGGTACCCCAGCCATATACCGAGCCCGTGCTAGTAAGCACAAAGGTTGCGCTCTTGGTAGCAGCTAACTGCGTAAAGATGGTACCCTGCGGGAAGGCATTCGGGTCAACTTCCGTTGGAGTGGCCTCCATCAGGTTACAGAGCGCCCGGTCATCAGCGGTATCTTCGTCCGGCTAGTAGTCGGCATCGTTGGGGTCGTCATCGTTGGGCTCGTTGGGCCAGTTGGGATAACCCCCACCGCTATCCCCGTTCCCAGTTCCATTTGCAGTCCCATTTGCAGTTCCATTCGCAGGCCCATTCCCATTCCCATTCCCATTCTCGTCCTCGTCCTCGTCCTCGTCTTCTTCTTCGTCATCATCATCGTCATCGTCATATGGATCCCCTGTCGTATCCCTCCCCAATGCCCCGTCAATGTTCGAACCCCAGGTGACGATTCGATTGTCTTGGGTGATGATCTACGCCAACAGCGAGGTGAACCACCCCAATTATGCCTGCTGCAAGGTTTGGATTTAACCTGGGACGCACGATCTCCGTGACTGAATCCCCCATCCCCAGTTCGCCGGAATCATTCGTTCCGCACACATACACGTCTAGTTACTGGTTTGGCGCGACGCTGGGGAATGGAGGTGCGGTTGCTGCCGCTGTAGGCCTCGCTATTGGGATGTCAGACTATGATTATTCGGACGTGTCACCGAGCTCACCTACCTCTTTTTACCGGAGGATCCGCCGACGCCAGTGGCGCCTTGCCTTCTCTCTTCTTGGAAGATCTAGGAGGCATTTAACCGCGTAGTAACCCAGCGAGGCAGAGCTGCTCCAATGGTATAAAATCGAAAACAGAGCGTGATGGTATCGCTGGGATATTAGGGCTAAGGTGAGAATCTGAAAAGTGCCAGACTTTCCAAAATTATTCGTATACTTGTTGCTTGCTAGTATATTCAATCGACAAAAGTAGAATTGATCAGGAAATGCATCCCTTTACTAGATGTTGACTGCATTAAAACCAGTATAAACAAAGATATGCATCTTCTTTGACCTCCATTACTCCCTCTGTTGGTACTATCAAAAGGACTTTGTAGAAGGCCTTGTTCATACTTCTCTGACACGTTCAAAGCATCAAACTGCCCTCGATTCTTTTGAGCGACGGCTAATAATATATTTTTGACTACGGCAGATATATATCAAATGATCCCAGCCTCCTCCCTCTTTCAACACTCATTGTTGGACTAACGTTTCACCTCAATTCAAAGGCATTCATTGTTACCACCATGTTGCTCAGTCTTCCATCTGAATTAATCAAAGCCATCTCGGCTAATCTCGAAACAACAGCAGATAAGAACGCTCTCATTCTTACATGCCGCCGGCTCTACTGCACACTCAACGATGACATGTATCGCGATGTAGTACGATCAGAATCCATGCCCAAGAAGAATCCAGCTGGATTAATGCCATGCAATGGGCAGCAATCAACGGACGAGAAGTTTGCATAAAAAGTGCTCACTCATGGCGCTGATCCTTGAATCTTTGAGCCCCGCGATTGCGAAAGACTACAAGCGCCCAAGGCCATTTTTTCCGACAACGATCCCCTTTTAACTTGGTCAAGTCCTCTAATATGCGCTGCGGTCGGTGATCATGCTGGCGCTGCCAAACTCCTCATTGACGCAGGCGCTAATGTCAATGCGCACGGAGTGTCTAGCGAGCAGCCCATCATTGCCGCAGTGACGCATGGACATGTGCATGTTGTGCGCGTTTTGCTTGCTGCGGCTGCCAAGTTGGACTCTAGGATAAGAGGTGGGGCTTTGCTCTCGTACGCCGCCGGGAAGGGTAATGTTGAGGTAGTCAAGTTGCTGCTGGCGCCTCGGAGTTCGATCTCCTTGACCCAGGACGAAGTAGGTGCTGCCCTCGAAGATGCCATACAAAATGGTCATCAGGAGGTGGTGCGCTTTCTCACCCAGACCGGCATTGACCTGGAGCGCCGTGTCAATAATTACCGGACTCCTCTTTTCGTGGCCTGCACAAGGGAGACAAACGACATGGTTCGCCTACTCATTGATCTTGGCGCCAGCACAGAGACTCCATATTCTGATGGCAAACCTCTGCTCCATAAGGTAATCTCAGAAGGGAGGCCGAATTTCAACGAGACTGTGACGCTCTTGCTGGACAAAAATGCGTCAATCGAGGCTCGAGACAGATCTGGCTCCACGCCATTGATTACAGCTGTGCTTTATTATTGCCTTGACACAGTCAAACTCTTGCTTTCTCGAAATGCGGATGTTGAGGCCCGAAATAACGAAGGATTCAACCCTCTTCTACTTGCGATATGCAATGACTTTCACCAGGCCGTCAGGGTTCTGCTGCATGATGGGAATGCAGATGCAAGCGCTTCTTATCCTGATGGTGATACTCCGCTCTGCTGTGCTGTTGTCGGGGGGCATTTGCAGACCGTAGCAGCCCTGCTGGAGGCGTTACCTCCAGGACCAGGAAAGACAGCTTTAATCGATACTCCGGACCCATATCTCCAGACTCCCCTTTTCATTGCGACGGATATTGTCAGTCTCCTGCTGAGCCATGGGAGCAAGGCGATGCATATCAAAACTCGCGCGGGCCGCACTCCATTCTCTTTCCCGGAAGACACCGAGAGTAGACAGTCTCACCCATTAGACCCAAGTAGCGACTTGTCCGCAATCCGCACCTTGTTACGAGATCCGTCAAAGGCGGCCTTTGACGCGGACAAGGTACTTGACACATCGGCTAATGGTATAACTATGCCGCATTTTGACTCCTTACGGTGCAATAACTGTTCGATACCGATCTCGAAACATGATGTAAGCCGTCGTTAGCCTGTGTGCGAAGACATCTATGGGAGTACGCTTATACTATGCCCTGAGTGCCATGCCGTTGGGAGCAAGTGCTATGAAGCAACTATTGACGCCGAAGAGAATTCTTAGTTTGACTACGAGGTCTATGATACCAAGGTGCCTAAGAAAAGACGTTCTTTTGAGTACTAGTAGTGGTGCACCTGTACTCTTGATGTGCTTGATATTATACGTGGGGTCGCCTCCCTGGCAGGCTACTTAGGGTTATCTGTGGCCGAAGACCTACCATGGTGTACTAGTAGTAGGTCCATGGGCCATTGATTTCTCGCACCTCACAAAGCAAAGCAAATAACATGAAGCTGGCTATCTATCTAGGTAGCCTGTTATTTCAACTAAACATTATCTATCTGTATATATTGATCTATTCCCCTCACGATGACCTATCAGAGGAAGTATATGATCGACCGGAGGACGAAGTCCACGCGACCTCACTGCATCGCGCATCGCCCATCTTACAAATATCAACTATCTGGTGAACCATTGACTTTCTGTTTCCGTACCGTTAATTTCCTCCATATGACAAAAAAAACTAAAGTAGAGTATGCATGATGCTGCACTACCCAGTCACGTGAACATATCCGCCCCAGGGTATGACGTCGGTATGACCGCGTATATCCAGGTCTTGTCTTCGATGAATCTTCATTTATCTTTCTTCTCTTCCGCTTCATCTCTCACATTCAATCCAATTGATACTGAAACACTTGTATAGTAAGTTTCCTTTCTGTTAAGGGTTCCTGCCACAGACCTAACCAAGTACATATAGATCATCCAATTTATAGATCACCGTTTGGGCGATACACTGCATCTTCGCAATAAACCAAACCAATACTACAACACAATTAGCCTACTTAAAAACCAGCAAAAAATGTGGAAAGACCTCGCAACCCCAATCCGCCACATCGCGCGCACCACCGCGACAACCACCATTCGCACACAACCAGCTTCCGGAAACATCCTAAGCCGCAACCTCGCAACCCGCCAGTCCCAGCGCACATTCACCGCGATCCCGCGCCGCCAAGCACAACCCCAAGACGAAGAAGACCACTTTCACGACCGGCACGCGCTCGATCCCTCGCGGACTGAAGCCTCGCAGTCCGGGACGACCGACGAAGTCTCGCATCGCGACGCGGCATTCGACCCCTCTAACACGGCACCGGAGACCGAGATTGGGGCGTCGAGGGAGGAGTCTAAGCGGGAAGGGTCTAGGAGGGATCCCCTCGGGGTTAGTGCCGGGGATAAGGATGTTGGACGGGAGAGGGATCCGATGGAGGGAGGTGCGGAGAAAAATGCTGATAAGGAGGGGCATAGTACTAGGGGGTCTGCGAGGAAGAATCGTGAGATCAAGGTTGGGGGGAGATAGATCTTCGAGCTGTTACTGAGTTTGGGGTTCATGGAAGTGGATCTGACAGCTTTCCTATTTGATTATAGCACACCGTAAAGTATATATTAGACTTTGAGGGCCTTGTGTAAAACAAAGTATAACGCTATACGCAAATCAAAGTCCACGCCGAGAACTTCTAAAGACCATGTATATAATAAGTCGACCAGCTCATTCTTTCCCATATTTGATGATATCACTGCCATGCAGAACCCAGACCTTCTCACTGCCAGCAGGGACATCACCATTAAGTGCTTTCAGACCAGTATTGACAGCGGCTTTGCCGATGACATCTGCTTCCTGTGCCCACCCGTCCTTCAGACTCGAGTGCAGCTTACCGAAGGCACCGGCAACGAACCGAGCAGCAGCCTCCAGAGGTCGACTCTCCTCTCGCTGACCAGCAATTAGTCCAGGTCGAAGGATCACAGTCCTCTCGAAGCCCAGAGCCTTGATATCCTCCTCAATCTCTCCTTTCATCTTAGTGTACGCGAAGTTCGAAGTGGTACTCGCGCCACTCGACGAAATCAGTACGTAGACCTTTGTGCCTGCGTCACGGGCAGCTTTCGCCAGCTCCACGTTCAGGTCGTGTTCAATCTTGTATTGATTCTCAAAGCCACCTGCGGCTGCTCTTGTGGTCGCGAAAGAGGAAATGAAAATGGATGGCGTGGGGCTGAGTGTGGAGAGCTGGCTTGCCCACTTGGAAGTGTCATCGGAGACGAAGGTGGTTAGTTTTGCTTGAGCGGCAGCAGCTGCTTGAGGAGTGCGTCGGGAGATTGTGTCGACGCGCGAGACGGAACTGCTTGAGAGAAGGCTGTTGAGGATATGTGTTCCCTAATTCAAATTAGACCGAAGCTCTGAGGGTTAGGAGGGGTCTTTGAAAGTTGTGCGTAGAGTATATTGGTCACGTACCACCATTCCTGTAGATCCAAGCAGCGCCACGTTTGCCATTTTGATGGAATGTAGTTCCTGTGTATTGGGTTTAGACGGGATGAGAGCTTTATCGAGCGTCGAGCGCAAATTGATGTTTTGACGGAGACTGTCGGAAACAATGACGTTGTCCTTGATCTGGATCTTCTTGCAGAAATCCTAGACCAAAAATAGTAACGGGCTTTCTGGGAGGCGCTAAGCCCAGACGGTCCAGGGTCGCTTTGCCTCGGCCGAGAATTTGGAGAAGGATTAGTAATGCGGGGTCGCCCCCGAAAGCGGAGGGTTCTGCCAGAATTTGCCGCCATTCAAACCCTTCGATTAAGAAATTGCGTGCTCGCCGCTAAACCCTTTCGGGTATGATCCCCTGGCACTTTTTATTGGGGACTATAGAGATGGCGTTCTTTTTTTTTTCCTCACTCGCACTCCTCCTGTTCCTGTTCTTTGAGATAGCAGGCGTTTGAACTGGTATCTGGACAGTGAACAATCACAATGGGCTCCTCATCACCGGCCCTCTCGACCCTCGGTGGTCCTACATATGTGACTGCCCAGACCCTAATTCAGCAGGTCGCCTACGCCCTGAGCGACAAGATCTTCTCCTACTCGCCGGAGTCGTTTGATCTGGACGCTGCCCTTCGCGAATGGGCTTCGAAGAAGGATGCCAATGCCAATGGCGAGGCACCTGCCGTTCAGGCCATGGAGACTCGCCAGGGTGCTGGTAACATCGCTCTCGGATACCTCTTCTCTCAGGATTTCGACCTGAAGAAGCGCCACGTCCCCCAGGGCATTGTCGCCTCGTCCGCGACTTTGCCGTATATGCGAGCCGCTCTGGAGCAACTCTCCCTTCTATACTCTGTCGCTAGCCCCGTTGCTGCCCACGTTGCCGCTGTTGACTACGCCGGCGAGGATGGCCTCGTCTCCGACTATGTCTCTGCGCTTTCACTCGCTGAAGAGCTCGGACTCGGTCTTGTCTCAAGCGCCTCTGTTCACGAGTCCCAGCATATGGCTCTCCTGACCACACTGCTCGCCTCCGTTCTTCCATCTATCCACATTTACGACGGCGTCCGTGTTGGACGTGACAACACCCGCGTCATCGATGTCCTCGACCAGGCTGGCCTCAGCCGTGCCTATGTGAATGTGCGCAAGACTTTGGAAGACCAGCGGAGCCGCCACCTCGATGACCAAGGCAAGCTCCTTGAACTGATCCGCTCGTTGAACGGAGAGCTTGGCACTGATTATAGTGCTTTCGAGTACCACGGCCATGCTGAGCCCACCTCTGTCCTGGTTGCTTTCGGTACCGTTGAGGCATCACTCACTGCCCAAGTTGCCCGTTCTCTAGCCAAGGATGGCGTGCGTGTTGGTGTTGTCAACGTCCGCGTGTACCGCCCCTTTGTCGAGGAGGAGTTCTTGAAGGTCCTGCCGCAGTCTGTCAAGACTGTTGGTGTTCTCGGCCAGGTCGCTACTGAGCAGGCTGTGCAAGACCAGGGCATCCGCTCCACTCTTTACGAGGATGTTTTTGCCGCTCTGACCTTCGCCACTGACCGGGAGCAGACTCCCGCTGTCGTGGACATCAAGTACGCTCGCTCTCAACGTTGGGACTTGATCAACATTGCTGCGTCTTTCCAGCTCGTTTCCGACAAGCCAATTGTTCAGGCCGACAGCACCGCCGAGACTCTTCAGCTTCTGGACCCATCCACAGTGCAAGAATTCACCTTCTGGGATGTCGACACTTCCGCTTCTAACGATGCTGCTACCATCCTATCGCAGGCTCTGGCTGCTGACTCTGCAAGCAATGTCACTACCAGCAAGGTGTACGATAACCTCATCCAGGGCGGAGCTGTTCGCGTCGATATCCGCAAGAGCTCCAAGATCGTCGATGCTCCCTACCCTGTTTCTGCAGCTGATGCCATTTATGTCGGCGACGTGAAGCTGCTCGGAGAGATTGACATCCTGTCCTCCGTCAAGGACAACGCCAAGGTCATTGTCAACGTGGCCGGCGTCAAGGAGGAGGACCTGGAGAAGAAGCTGCCTGCTAGCTTCAGACAGACCGTCGCTGAGCGTGACATCTCCCTCCACATCCTTGACCCTTCTGCCGTTGAGGATGCCGCCCTCGAGCCTCTTGCCCTACAGGTTGCCTTCTTGCGAGTAGCCCTCCCCTCCGTTGAGGACTCCGCAGTCAAGAAGCTTGCCTCTATCTCTGGCAACACCGAGTCTCTGCAGAAGGTCAGCGCGGATCTGGAGAAGGTCCTCCGCCAGGCTGAGATTCCTGAAGCTTGGAAGACTTCCGAGGAGGGCGCCGAGGCCCGTGAGCTCCTGAAGGATGTCACCCCCAACAGCTTCGCGCCGTTCGACAAGGACGAGACTGAGCCTGCAACCTTCCTCAAGGATTGGCAGACCGTGGCCAAGGGCTTGGCTTTCAAGGAGGCCTACGGCGCCAGGTCTGCTCTTCGTCCTGACTTGTCTACCAAGAGCTTCACCGTTCACGTCAAGGAGAACAGGCGCCTGACCCCTGTGACCTACGACCGCAACATCTTCCACATCGAATTCGACCTGGGTGACTCTGGCCTCACGTACGACATCGGTGAAGCCCTTGGCGTGCACTGTGAGAACGACCCTCAGGATGTCCTTGACTTCATCAAGTTCTACGGTCTCAACGCAGACGACGTGGTCGAAGTCCCCAGCCGCGAGGATCCCGCTGTTCTCGACAACCGCACCGTCTACCAGGCCCTCATGCAGAATTTGGACATCTTCGGTCGCCCACCCAAGCGCTTCTACGAAGCTCTCGCCGAGTTCGCCACCGACGAGAACGAGAAGAAGGATCTCCTCACCCTCGGCGGCCCCGAAGGTGCCGTGGAGTTCAAGCGCCGCGCTGAAGTGGACACCATCACCTACGCCGACATTCTCCTTGAATATCCCTCCGCCCACCCCGACTTCCACGAGCTCATTCGCATCGTCAGCCCCATGAAGCGCCGTGAGTACTCTATCGCCTCCTGCCAAAAGGTCACCCCTACGACCGTCGCCCTCATGATCGTCGTCGTCAACTGGGTCGACCCCCGCGGCCGCGACCGCTTCGGTATCTCCACCCGCTACCTCTCCCGCCTGCAACCCGGCACCCCCGTGACCGTCTCCGTCAAGTCCAGCGTCATGAAACTCCCCCCCAAGTCCACCCAGCCTATCATCATGGCCGGTCTCGGAACGGGTCTCGCCCCCTTCCGCGCCTTCGTCCAGCACCGCGCCCTCGAAAAGGCCCAAGGCAAGGAAATTGGCGCCGTTCTGCTATACATGGGCTCGCGCCACCAGCGCGAGGAATACTGCTACGGTGAGGAGTGGGAAGCCTACCAGGAGGCCGGTGTCATCACTCTCCTTGGCCGTGCGTTCTCTCGCGACCAGCCGCAGAAGATCTACATCCAGGATCGCATGCGCCAGACCATTCCCGAGATCATCCAGGCATATATCCGCGAAGAGGGAGCGTTCTACCTCTGCGGTCCTACTTGGCCTGTTCCTGATGTTACTGCTGTTCTCGAGGAGGCTATTGCTGCCGAGGCGTATAGCAGGGGCAAGAAGGTCGAGACCCGCAAGGAGATTGAGAAGTTGAAGGATGAGGAGAGATATGTTCTTGAGGTCTACTAAGCCTGTGCATGGATGCATGCATAGTTGGCCTCTGATGTATATGATGATTCATGCTCTTATACATACTGTCTGATTTCAGCGCTTATTGATATCATGATCTGTTGATAGACATACCTCACTGTGGCTTTTTTGGCAAAATGCATTTGTTTGGTCAGAATTATTCTATCTCATGTGTAAATTTGTATAGTCCTCTATTGCTCTCGCTGTAGTAAATCTGTACGTGTGTAGTGTATCTCGTAACTTTTACGCGTCGACTGGGTATCTACTATATACTAATCCGTACCCCTCTAAATTTGAGCTCTATATTCTCATAAGCCGAAGAAAAAATTGCATAGCGGACGGTAATCTCATAAAAGTGCCTAGGCGCGCCCCATGGCCCCCAGCCTCGTCTTACCATACGCACCACCCTTCTCCTTCCGTAGTTCCAGCGCACGCCGATACGGCGGTGCCATGGGCGGCTGTACCGGGTCTAGACTAACATGATCAGGCGGAAGAGAATAAGAAGCGTCCGAATCCCAAGCGGACAAATCACCACAGGCAATGAACGAAGGGATCCACCTGTTCTCAACAGCGAACTTCTGCGGTGCACTGAACAGAGGCTCGGGTGTGGTCGAGTCACCGGAGTCGTCGTGCAAAAGGCGAGTCTGGATGTCCTTTCCTCCGGCTGCAGAGGCAACGGTCTTTACGCGCTTGGGCGCATTGGACTCATCGTCTGGGACTTCCGCGGCGAGATTTCCATTTTCCGATGTAGGTTGCGGGACGGCCGCGCCGCCGAATAGAGGGTTCTTTAAAGAGTCCATACCTAGCGAGCCATCGTGGACGGCTGGTGGGATGAAGCCCTCGCAGACGATGAAGGCTTCAAGACTGCTTGCGCGACTACTCCGTGGTTTTGCGACGCTGACTCGCTCGAAGACGGATCGGAGCTGAGAGTAGAGGAGGTCGACATCGCGCTCGCGGAAGATCTTGGCGACGAACTTGCCTCCTGGTCGGAGAACACCCAGGGCGAGGTTTAGGGCTGAGTAGAGGAGTTGGGATTGGATGTAGATGTCTAGATCGTGGAGGCCCGTTACGTCTGGCGCGCCGTCGGAGATGACGAGGTCGACTGGATGTGGTTGGCGGATGGCGTGAGGTGTAGAGGATTCGGATTCGTAGGCCTCGGGGTCTAATGCGCGCAGAAGGAGGGGGATCGTGGAGGGGTGCGTGATGTCGGCCTGGAGGGTTGTGATTCCCTGAAGAGGAGCCATGGGTTGCAGATCGATGGAGACGATTTTGACATTCTTCCGCGGCTTCAATACATTCGGGTCGGTGTCGTCTGTAGTATTTTCTTCCCCCGCTTCCTGACCCTTCTTGTCATCCGCTTGTGTATCTCCATTTCGCTTTGCCAGTGCCGCTTGTTCCTTGCGCTTCTTCTCGACCCAGGATCTCCGGCCAAAGCTTTCGCCCTTGATCAGCACTCGACTGAGCACTTGACTCCAGCTACCAGGTGCTGCGCACAAGTCGACGACCCTCGTCACTTTCTCCGGATTCTCGTGCTCGAATAGATCGAATTGTTCGTCGATTTGAATCAATTTGAAGGCGGATCGTGCGCGCCAATTCTGCTCTTTGGCGAGGCGATAGTAGGCGTCGCGCTTGTCTTTTGAGGACTTTCCCATGGTGAAGTGTGTAGGCCGAATTTATCAACCTGTATGCTCACCTGTCGTTGTCCTTGTGGAAAAGACGATTTCGGATTTCTTTTGCGTGGGGCAGCGATAAGATCGGCATCTTGAGTAGAAAGCGGTCTGGATCTGCCGCTATTTTTTCCTCCAAAAAATTGCCCTCATTGACGAAAACAACATCTTGCGGCTATTCCTCTCGCTCCCGAGCTTCAACCATACGCGCTTCAATTATGGGTTTCAAACGGCCGCGCGAGTCAAAGAATGCTGGCTCGCAGTCGAGCAAGCGGAAGAAGACCAGCGCTTCTAAGAAAGTGATTGAAAACCCGGAGGTCGAGGATGTCAGTGTCGCGATTGACGATCTCAATTGGAAGGAGGTAACATTACCGGACAAACTCGACGACTTTACCGGATTCTTTGGCTTGGAGGAGATTGAGGGAGTGGATGTTGTTCGTCCGGAAGGGAAAGGAGATCTCCGATTCAAGGTACGGAATTCTACATCTCCAAGCAGTCCCCGACTAAACCGGTATCAGGCCGCCCGTGGAAAGCCAGCCAAGTCCATCCTGAAAAATCCCAACGCAAAGCCCGAG